AAGGGAATAAAGATAACTAAAACGAGGGTATGCTACATGTAGGATGCGGTATCATATCACTACACACACTAGATGTAGGTGGGCGTCATCTCATAACAATCGTACGTACTATCGTCTCAGCTCGTGGCTCTCATGTTCAGGTTCATGTACATCGTGTCGTATAGTATCTACAAGCCTACGCACATCGGACAGACGAGACCGGTCGTTGTCCAGCTGCACGGACTGTAGCATGCAGCTAGTGCGCCATGATGCCGTGGTGGCTCATCGACATGGGCATCGCCCGTCTGTCAAGGAAGAACACAGGCGCGGAGATAGCGCGACGGCCGGGGCTGTTCTCGAGGTTGATCTCGTCCCAGCCATCGTCGTCGCTGCTGTCGTCGCTCGCCGTGCACCGGCGTGGCCCCGGCTCGTCGTCTTCGTCATCTTCGTCCAACAGGAAAAAGTGCGGTGTCTTTGGTCGCTGCGGAGCCTGCTCGGACCGTCTCTCTTCGATCGCGTCGCTAGGCTCCTCGGCTTCAGCGGAGCCATTTGTCGTATGCAGGACTTCCGTCTCGACCGCCTCGATGAAGGGGACCTGCCTCCCGGTAGCCTTCTCGAGGAGGATCCTCCAGCGCGCAAAGGACATAGGTGCCCAGCCCTTGGCGTTGACGGGGAAGGTCACGTCGAGGACCATCGCGCGTTGGAACTGGTCGCAGAGCACGCCGACAGACTCCTCGTCGACGGGCGCGCAGGTGACCCTCCCCGACACCAACGCAGGCGTCACCGACAGTGCGCCGCGCCGCTGCTCGCTCTCGCTGCAGCTGCTGTCCGCGGCGCGGCGGAGCATGTCATGGAGATAGAGGACCTTGCGGATGGTGTAGAGTGGAAAGTTGCAGAAGGCGCGGTCGACGGAGGCGGCGCGGCCGTCGCGGATGCTGCACATGTCGCCGAGGCGCGGGTAGATTGGGACGTTCGGATCCGAGACGGCGATGCGCGACTCGGGCGGGGGTGTCGCTGCCGCGGGCTCGGCGTAGTCTTCTGGTAGAGGGTAATCGGGCTCGTGCGGTGGGACGGCAATGCCGTCGTATGCAGTGAAGGGGTCGGGGCTTCCCGGGCCGGTGTGGTTGAATGTAGGTCGGCGTTTGGACAGTTGCGCTCGCCGGGTGTTCCATACGCGTTTGGTGAGGGCAAGGCTGTGATAGGAAAGGCCATGGTAGGCTGGAGGTGTGTCGATGCTGAAGACGTCGTCCAAAGGAGGTTGTTCGCTAGCGCGCGGGAGTAGAAGGGGCGCGAGTGAGTGCTGGGGGAAGGGGTCCCAGTCTGGCGCGTCGACGTCCGCGTCGTCCAGTCTGAAGCGAATGAGCTCGCCAAAATCGTCGTCGTCGTTGTCGTCACCTGCTCCCATGTAGTGTGGTGTGAAGGAGGAGCGCTGGGCGAGGAGGGCGGAGGAGAAGTCGGGGTCCGCGTCGTCGTCAAAGTCATCTTCGTCGTCATCGTCGAAGGCATATAGTTTTGGGAGTTTGTAGGTCGCGGTGGTGCGTCGCAGCTGTGGGCGTTGAGACATCCTGCTTTCGCAGCGCGCGGGCAGTTCTTCTGTGGAAGCGGTGTGAGTGGGATGCTTGACGCGGGAAGTGACTCGAGAAGGGGGCCCGGCGAGTGCGGAGCTCTGTATATGAACGAGGCAGCGGTGCGTTCATCAACAGAGATGAACTGAGCACGCCAGCGTCGTGGCAGTTGGGCTTATGTTGCATCCCGAGACACCTGTGACGGCGTCAGGGCGGCCACTGCCTGTCACAGCTTCGACACTGGCGACCACAACGCAACAAAAGCAGATGTTGTCGCATAGTTGCGGTATGTGGTCTGAAGTCCCTCCGATGGAAGCTCGCGAAACGGCCACATACCTGCTGCCATGTCTTCGTGGAGGGGTGGGAGGGGTGTGGCTGGGCGGGCGGAGATGGCTGACACAGAGCGGTGCATGGTGGGGGTGTCCGGAGAGAAGGTGTGGTAGGATGGTCGTACAGTGGTACAGCGGGACACAGCGTGCGGGCAGCCTCTTCGCTCGGGCAACGGCGGAGACAGCGCAGAGGGAGAGCGCGTCTGGGCGCCTCTGCCACAAAGCGAACAAGACGTGCACATCACGTGACGGCGACCACGCGCAGCCGACCAGCCACACCCAGCCACACCCTCCAGCCACGCGCCGACGTGTAACTCGAATCAGACTACTCCTTGTCTACTGCATCCGAATTCTTTTCCTCATTGTTCCTCTTCGTGAGGATTTGCGATGTTGTCTTTGTATCGTATGTCTAGCTGACTGCTATATATTCTATGATCTCCTCGTACACTCAGCTTCAACGGCATCCAAGAAAGCGTGAGCTCCATGTTCATGTTCGTCGGCACAGGCTGCGAGGTAAGCGGAGCGGAATACGTTATACAAGGTATCGCCGGAGGTAGGACGTGAGTAATAGGGGTCGTTGGAGAAGAACGCGTCGACGAGGCCTTGAATACCCGACGCCGTATATAGCGACCTCGAAGTGGTTCCCAGTGAAGAAATGACTGTTCACCATTGGTCGGGCGTCACGAACCCTGCCAACGGGCGGAGAAGGGGGGAATTGGTCCAATTCGTTCGTTCTCGGATTGTAGTAAGCAATGGGCTGGGGACGGCGAACAAAGAGTCGAAATCACAATGTGTGTAGAGTGTGAATGGCAGGAAACTCGGCCCGCAATTCGTCCGAGCGTTCGGAGTTATGAATGACTTTGAAGACGAAAGGCATGCCCTGGGCAGAGAGTACACGGTGGCGAAGCTACCCATTCCGATGCTAGTGGGTAGATTGGGCTCTTCCGTCGTAGGTGGTCCATGGCGGTGAGATGAATGCGGCGTAGAACGGACGTCGGGAGTTTAGGTGTTTGCTCCTTCAAGTGTGTAGTGGCGAACGACGACGCAGTCCAACGCGCGTTTGTTCTTATTTGGCAGTGGTGGTTAGGACTCGAATAAGTCACGGACTCGGACTGGTCCATTGCCTAGCGGGCTTCAGTGAGGCATCTACGGATGTCGATTTATGCCGTCAAAATCTACATCGCGGACAAGCATGACAGGTCGACAGCCGGCAACTGTCCACTTGTTATGGATGGTGAGTTGAACGCGGATCTGTCGGATCCTTGCCATATGAACCCCACGAAGTTCGCACTGCTAGTAGTGTACCCTAGCTGCACTGCGTATCCTCCGTCAATAGTTTCACTAACATACGTGCGCGACTCCTCCTTTACCACGGCACCTCCTGCCCGTCATACGAGCACAAGTTCCCGCGCTCGCTGCGAGGTAAGTATCCATTGGTGACAAACCATCCGCAAATTCCGTACAAGACGAACACTGACTGTGTACGCGTTCACCACGGTAGCTCCTTCCCGTTTTGCGAGGCTGAGTAGTACTTCCCCGAGTGCTCCTGCTTTAGGCCCAACACCACCTTCAGCTGAGCCTCGATGCTCTGCGAGGGCTCCAGGGCTGCCTGCGCGCCGCCCATGTCCGTCTTCACCCAGCCGGGACACACTGATATTACGATGAAGTCCGGGCGGGCCTTCGCTTGTTTGTACGTCTGCACGCGCGTCAGCAGGCCGATCGGCCGGCATGGTGGATAGGAGGTACGCACCAGCATGTTGAGCGCAGTCTTGCTCACGCTGTACGTCGCGGTTGTCTCACCGAGGTCTGTGCCGATGCTCCCTAAGGTCGAGCTGACGTTCACGATCGTCTTCTTCGTCCCTTTCTCGAGGAGCGGGGCGTAGACCTGGCCGAGCAGCGCAGGTGCTGCGACGTTCGTCTGGAGCAGCGCAAGGAACTCGCTGTAGTCGAAGGAGAACACCTCGTCGCGGGGGCACTGTCACCGGCGGTCGTCGATCAGCTGTCAGAGTCTCCAGGCGCAGAGGGAAAAGCACTTACGACGCCGGCGTTGTTGTACAGGTAGTCGAGCCCGCGCCCCTTCAGCACCTTCTCGACCTCCGCGACGCTCGCGCGGATGCTCGTCTCGCTGAGAACGTCGAGTTGGACGGTATACAGTTCCGCGTTTTCCACGGGGTTGAGGGCTTGGAGCTCCGATGCGGAGGCGGGGTTGCGGCAGGCGGCGATTACGACGTTGTTGGGTGTCGAGGAGAGTTGGCGAACGAGCTCGAGACCGAGGCCGCGGGATGCGCTGTGGATGAGGGGAGGTTAGTTGAGTGCTCAGTGCAGCGATCGTCTTGCGGATGCGTACCCTGTGATGAGCCAAGTCGTAACGGCTGCCATTGTTGTTAGGATTTGTAGTTTATGCTGGGATGGGTGGTGTGAGTGGTACTGCGAGGACGATGTTGCCCGACCTGCTCAGGAACGCGACTCTTATATGTGTCTGCAGCACGCGTCTAGCCTTTGGATGACCAACAGTACTGCGATAGTCCGGCAAAACCATATTATTCACTATGCATGTGGAGCATGTCCAGAGCATGTCAGCAACGTCGATCACCCATGCGCACTGAGGCTGCGTCAGCAATACAATATCGACCGGACGCTTCACAAGTGCAACGATAGAGGGGTCACTTGCCTAACGAGATGCGCTATCAGCCACTACGAGGATCATGTAAGATCGCGCCTACGGCGGTATCCGAGTGCTCACTGCGGCTAAATGGAATTTCCTTCTCCTCCTCCTCCCAACTGGCGTCTCCGGCGTCGGGGATGACAACCCGGGCATCTGTAGGAGTGACATGATTGATTTACTGGTGATGGGGTACTAGTACATAGGCACGCATGAGCATTCCACGCCCAAGGCCCGTCGTGGATGATGGCGGTGGTGGTCGTGCAGAGGATGGGAGCATCCATGCGGTTGTCTCGGACTAGGCTTGACGCGGTCACGGGACTTATACAGGACCTACCCTGACTCGCGCAGAATCAGCCATACTGATCCTGTTTGCAGTGTGACGCGCATCGGGTCGTTTCGTAGGGCGGATCATATCCCCGTAGGCAAGAGGAGGTATGGACAGCTGACACTGTTGGGAGTAGCACGCTTTGTAACCCTCCAGGCTCGAGGTGGGGTTGATCCTGAATGAGCCATTGACGGTGAGGGGGGACGTCAATGACGCCGTGCCACCTCGAGCCAGTCATCCCGAGCGTACGTTGTTCGTTCCCTAGACACATCATCGCCGTAGAGCTACCCAGCTCGTGCACCGGTGTGCCGCCGTAGCCCCACTGACAGAACCGTTCGGAAATCGCCAACTCCATGCGGCGGCTCACTCAGGTGCGCACGGGGATGTCCGGCTTTCCTCGAGTCGGGCCCGATGAGTTCGCACTGCGAGTGGGTCGTCCGAGGGGGTAAGTTGGCGCCCCGCGAAGTGTAGTAGGCGAACAGTTGGAACCCGAGAAGGCCGCATATGAATGGGGAGGGCCCTTTACTGCTTCCGCGCGCGGTGCTCTATGGACAGGCGTGCGTCGGCGTGGCTTGTGGGGGTGGGGGATGACGGAGGCGAGAGGACGCCTGGCTGCATGGCACCGGAATCGAGGGTGCCATAGGAGGCTGCGCAACAATATCGATATGACTGGCGATTAACCGACGACTCGGCGATGCGCGCTGTCTCCTCAACTGGTACTCTGATGTGCGACACTCAACCGCGAAGAGACTGCGGTCGCGCCCAGCCCGTTCTAAGCGATTGGCTTGGATCCTGGACGAATGGACGCATTAGCACACCTTGGTCTCACGAAGCCAGATCCATTCCCGTCTATGGAGCCTATCGTACACCTCTGTTGTTCTGCTACTTCGCCTACCACGGATGGTGGGTGCCGTTGTAGCGCCAGAACTTGCCCGAGTCGGCGGGGGTGAGGCGGGCGATGACGCGGAGGATGCCTGCGGCGCTCTCTGTGGTCTCGAGGACGGCGCCCTCGCCGCCGAGGGCGGTCTTGACCCAGCCGGGGTCCATGCAGATGCAGGTGAAGTCGGGGCGGGTCTTTGCTTGTTTGTACGTCTGCGGGTGCGGTGCGTCAGCGGGGACTTGACACGTCTAACGGGAGGAGACGGACGAGCATGTTCAGCGCGCACTTGCTGATGGAGTAGCTGGTGCACTTGTCGCCGCAGTCGAGGCCGATGGAGGCGAGGCCGGTGGTGACGTTCACGATGGTCTTCTTGGTGCCGCGGAGGAGGAAGGGGTAGTAGAGCTCGGCGAGGAGGGCGGGTGCGCCGAGGTTGGTCTGGAGGACGTCGAGGAGCTGGGCGTAGTCAAAGTCGAAGGGCGAGTCGAATGCGGGGTTCTAAGCGTGTCCGTTATGTACGCTATCTGCTGAAGGAGAAGCAGGACGCACGATGGCAGCGTTGTTGTAGAGATAGTCGATGCCGCGCTCGCCGAGGACGTCGCTCACGTACTGGACAGAGCCGCGCATGGACTGCTCGCTGCTGACGTCGAGGGGGACGATGTGGATGCGCTCGTTGGCAAGCTTCTGGAGACGGTGCAGCTCGTCGGCATCTGCGGGGTTGCGGCAGGTGGCGATGATCTCGTTGGCGGGGTTGGTTGCGAGGAGCTGGATGGTGAGCTCGAGGCCGAGGCCGCGGTTGGCCCCGGTGATGAGCCAGACGGTGGTGGACATGGTGGGGGAGGTCGACGACGGCCATGCTGGCTGTGCTATATAGGTCGTCGACGGCGAGATTCGAGACTGCAACGGCTATTCCTCGGACACACCCCAGGCACCCGGGCGCCTCCCTCCCCTCGTGTCTACTGGATGTACTACCAGGGCACCTGCTCGCCATCGTGCCTCAAGAACCTGCCCGAGCTCTCCGCCGTCGCCGTCGTCGCCAGCCTGATCAGCCTCCCCACCGACTCTTCCACCTCCATCATCGCATCCGGGCCGCCCATGTCTGCTCGCCAGTCAGCCTCGCTCGCATCTCATCCCATGTGTACGCACCTGTCTTGACCCACCCTGGGTCCACAACGTACGCGATCAAGTCCGGCCGCGTCTTCGCCTGCTTGTATGCCTGCCCGCACGTCAGTCGCAATCCACGGAGACTTGGAGGTCACAAGCACGCACAAGCATGTTCAGCGCCGTCTTGCTGATACTGTACGTCGCGTTCTTCGCCCCAAAGTCCAGCCCGATGCTCGCCAGCCCGCTTGTCATGTTCACGATCACCTTCCTCCGCCCCTTCTCCAGCAGCGGCAGGTACACCGTCCCCATCAACGCCGGCCCCCCCACGTTCGCCCGGAGCGTGTCCAACAATCCGTCGTACGAAAAGTCGAACGCCGAGTCGTCGCCCTCCGTCTGTCTCTCCCGGTGAGCGACGTCGAGCGGGGTAGTCACGAGGTACGCACGATCGCAGCGTTGTTGTACAGGTAGTCCAGCCCCTTCGACCCAAGGATCCCCTCCACCTCCGCGACACTTCCCCGGATACTCGCCTCGCTGCCTACGTCCAGCGCCACGACATACAGCTGCCCTGGTGCTGCATCCTTCAGCGCGCTCAGCTTCGGCGCCCGTGCGGGGTCGCGGCACGTCGCGACGACGATGTTCGATGGGTCCGAGACGAGCTGGCGGACGAGCTCGAGTCCGATCCCGCGCGAGGAGCTGCACGGTTGGCCATAATGGTGAGAGGCGTGCCAGACGACCTGCAGACTGGACCGAGGACTCACCCAGTAACGAGCCAAGTCGTAGCTTCAACCATCCTAGGAAAACCGAGTGCGCTCTTTCAGACGCTACGGCCGTGCATATATACCCCTCGGTGCTCCGGGTCCACTCCGTGGGGGGACATCACTTGAGGCTCAGCGGCGAATCTTCGGTGCGGGGACACACCGAGGTCCTGTCGTCCGGCTCGATGGCCGTTCCGAATGCACGACATGGCGAACGCCTCTGTGCCGATGTCGCCGGCAGTGATAGAGCCCTGAGTGGGAGCGAGAACGGAAGGCGGCGAGGGCGGCTTGAGAGAGGTCGTGTGGCACTGCCGTGTGGCGCGTTGCTCGCGGGTGCGTGTATGCTGGAGGTACGGGGACTCGTTGTGTTTCCGCGTTCTTGACGCGTACGGTCTTGCTGGACCATGACCCATCTAGCCTCGAGGTATCCGTGCTGCACCGTCGTGGACGACAGCCCCGGCCATTGGACGTGTATGGTGCCTTGTCCGACGCGATCACGTGATCCAATACGCGCCTTTGTCCTCTTGAGCGCGTACACGAGTCGTTGCTTTGCTTCAGCTCGCAACAGGTTCATGCTGCGCAGGACACTCAGCGTACTCACCAAAAGGATCCTTTCCGTGTAGTCGCCGACCCTCGATCGCCCTAGAAGCGAACTCGTATCTGACACATAGGGGCTCTTCCGGCCACAGCAATCCAACCTGCCCTTCACAAGGTCCAAACTCATCCGCGCCACAATCCAGCCCGTCTATTATCCTTTGCAAGACCCGTCCGGGGCATGGCAACGGCGCGCGTGGCGCGCCGTTGCTTTGTCCCGCGTTGGTGCGCAGTGAAACGCCCCGTGGCCGCACAAAGAGGAGGGCCACGCGCCCGATCGGGAGCGACGCTTTGAAGGGCGTGGCGTGGCTTCTTTGTGGTGGCCATGGCCATGGCTGGATGAGGCAGGATCGTCATGGCGTGTGAATGAATGGGAGGGTTGCTTGGACCTGCGTGGCGGGGGGCTGCGCGGTGATTTATAGGTGCGAGGGAGGGTGGCGAGGGTGTTTCTGATTTCTGCCCTTGTGCTTTCTGCTCTCTTGCTCTCGTCCTCTCCTCTCGCGCTCGCGCAATCTCTGCTCTCTGCTCTCGTCTTTCTGCTGTTCCCTCCTCATTGCTCGCGGTGCGCCTACCCCATCTCTATATTGTCCACTCGTTCTCATCAACCACAGTCTGCGGCATATATACCTGGACGTCATCCACACATCGCCTCTCGGTCTATCGCGATGTTCACCAAGCTCAACTCCCTCCTCGACCGCACCTTCAGCGGCAAGCGCGGGCGGAGCCCCGTCAAGGCCACCTCCGGAAGCAAGGCCAAAACCCGCTCGCGCGCGCGCACCGTCTCCGAGCCCCCCGCGCCCGCCACCGCGCCACGCGCCGCCTCTGCGCCCAGTACGTTCCCCGTCTTCCCGGGTCCGTCCCCGCTCACACCAACCCGTGCCACAGACGATGACGTGCCCGTGTTCGACATCCGCGCGCCGCCGCCGGTGTCTGCGGCGGTGATGGCGGACATGGCGCGCGCGCTGTCCCCGACGTCGAGACGCGTCCGGTTCTCGAGCGAGACGACGTGCACGACGCACTCGAAGGAGGCATATGACCGCTCGCCGATTGTCACGGTGCATGATGCGCGGCTCGAGGGAAGCCCCTGCAAGAGCAAGAGCAAGAACAAGGCCACACGCGAGAGGGCGCGGGCCACCGTGCGGACGGAGGCCTTCCCCGTGTCGATGTCGACGCCCAACTTGCACGGAGCGAGCGCGAGCCCGGGCGGGCGGGAGCGCAGGCCGTCTCTCCGCCTGCAGTCCGCGAGCCGTGCGTTCGTCGCGCTGTCCATTCAGGAGGAGGGGGAGTCTGAGGAGGAGCGCCGCTCCCGGCCTTCGCTGACGAGGTCGGTGTTCGAGCGTGCGCAGATGAGACCGAGGCCGCGGGCACGGCCGTCGACGGACTCGTCCCGCGCGATCTGTGGGGGCGTAATCGGACGGGGGGTGGACGGGCCGTTCGAGCTTCCCCCAGTGTACGCTGCAGAACACGGCGCGTACTCACATATATACGAAGGCGGGCGCTGGGTCACCACGCCGGCACCGCCCGGCGACTCGTTCATGAACCTCGACTACAGCGACGACGAGTCCATCGACGAGGACCTCCACACGGGGTCGATGTTCGTGCACGGCCGGCGCGCCTCCGAGCGCAGCGCCACCTCCGCTCACCCCGATGCGCTCTTCTTCACGCTCCAGCCGGAGAGCCCCGAGAGGGAGGAGGCACCGCCGTCGCCCTGGGAGGCGTACGGGCTCGCGGAGACGGAGGGCAAGCGCGAGCGGGAGAGGGAGCGCCGCGAAAGACGTGCGCTGCTCGATGCGTTCCCCGAGCCGCCCTGCGAGCCGCCCTCGCCAGAGTCGCACGTCCACCTGGGCATGCTGAAGCATCATGCGATCGCGCAGTGGGTGAAGGAGGCGTCGGCGTCGGTCACGACGGTGGGCTCGTCCGAGGGGCGGGATCGTAGCGAGAGCCCGAGTCCGCTGGGTTGGGGACATGGGACGAGCACGACGCTTGGGGGTACGCCGCCGAGGACCCGGCGCGCGGAGGGGCCCCGCATGCGGTATGATGCGTACGCCGTCCCGGCGACCTCGTCCCGGACGCTTGTGGATTCGGAGGATACGAGGAGGGGGCGCTCCCAGTCTCCAAAGAAAGGGAGTAAGATGGGGAACAGAGACAAGCTCCTCCCTCTCGTGCCATTTGACGAAGTCGACAAGCCGTTCAGGTTCGAACGGCACCCCTATTCGGCAGCAGCGCTGGGCGCGGAGAGCTGATGAACTCGAGGAGTGATTGTCTATGCAAGGGCGCAAGGCTCTGTTATGTCTTATGTCTTATGTAGTCGCTCATTTGGCAGTGTACTTATCCCGTTATTCGTATGCAGTCGTCTGCGAGCAGATGGTGAAACATCCACAATCCTGCGAGAGGCGGTCCTAAACGATGTATCGTCTGATCATGGCACAACAAATTCAGGAATAACTTCTGATATCTAGCGTACACCTACATGTACAGCCCAAGTGCAAAAAGCGATGCCGGAATGTGGAGAAGGTCAACCGCATACATGCGCTCCGTCATGCATCGTGTTCCTCAAGCGTCATCTCGTCAAAGTCCTCCAACAGCTCGTCGAGCTTGACCTCCGGGAAGTCGGGCTCGTCCTCCTCTACTTCCGTCGGCGCCACACTCGCAGTCTCGTCGTGCGCGCCCTCGTCCACATCCATGGCAAACTGGCCCTGGCCCTTCCTCCTCGTCTTCCCGCCGGCCAAGCCCGAGCCGGCGCCGGGCCTGGCGTCCTTGGCGCGATAGAGGTTGACCGCGCCGCGCATCTCCTCGTCCTCCTCGAGATCGCGCAAGAAGAGCTCGTAGTCTTCGTCGACCTTCTTCTTGTCGCGGCCGCCCATGCGGCCGACAACGCCGCGGTCGGCGCCGGTGTCGCCCTCCTCGCCGGCCTCCCTGGCGATGCTGCGGAGGCGCCAGTTGCGGGGCTTGTTCTTCTTGCGGCGGTTGGGGTACGCCTTCTTGACGAGGATGACGTCGGGGACGCGGTGCGCGGGGAGGGAGGCGAAGGCGTCGGAGTTGAAGTTGGCGTTGGTGAGGTAGTAGCCGAGCGCGGCGTCGCCGGGCTGGAGGATGGCGCCGAGGTGGGTGCGGGTGTGGAGGATCTGCGAGGCCGCGCCGCCGTCCATCGCGTCGTCCTCGGCGCCGCCGCCGCCGGAGGTGAACGCGCCGCTGAGGGCGACCTGTGCGTCGGCGAGGACCCACTTGCCGCGCGTCTGGCCGGAGGGCTCGACGTCGAGGACGGTGAATTCGACGAGGTCGGCGACGCCCGCGAGGGAGTCGAAGGGCGTGCGCCAGTACGAGGCGGCGGGGAGCTCGACGAACTGGAGCGTGGCGGGGTCGAGGAAGTGGAGAGAGTTGCCGACGCGGGAGCAGAGCGTGAGGGGGGCGATGTTGGAGAGGGAGCGGGCGAGTTTCAGCGGGAGGGCGACGAGGTCGTCCTTGCAGACGGGGACGATCTCGACGGAGTAGGTGTATTTGAAGTTGGCGGTGCTGGTGTGTGTGTCGGTGCTGAGCAGCTGCTCGCTCGCCTTGCTGCGGATGGGCACGACGCTGGTGAGGAAGTCAACCATCTTGATGGCGTGGCTCCTCGAGGCGAAGAAGAAGTCGAGGCCGTCGCGGACTTCCTTCACGGATATTGTGTCTTTCTGGGCGCCGTGCTTGATGATGAGCTGCTCGAGGAAGAGGAAGGTCCGCTTATGCGGGACCTTTTGCCGCACTTGCACGAGGGCTTTCCAAGTGTTTTTGGCAGCTAGCCTTGCGCAGTCCGGACATTGGCCGTGCTGGACGAGGTACTCGATCTCGAAGATCTGCTCGAGAATGGTGGCGGTGAGGACCTCCTTTTGGATCGTGAGCGACACGCGTAAGCGCTTGCTGTGGGGTTCCGTCCAGATGAAGTGTGCGTCTTTCAGGCGGACCTTGTTGAGACCCTTCAGTTTTCGGAGGCATATGGCGAGCAGCTCTTGTGACTCGGGTTGGGCGATCGTCCAGACAGAGGGCGGGGAGAGGAAGCGATCGCAATTGCGGCAGAATGAGACAGATGCTTGCTTAGGGATGCCCTCAGTGATGTCGACGCTATTGCGCAAGCATGCGACGCAAAGATTTGCGGAGTTTGGGACAATGGGTGTCCCGCAGTCGGCGCAAAGTACGCGGTGCACGGCCGGTGCAGCAACGAACTCCATCCTGGACGTCAAACACGAGAGTCAGAATGATGGTTTCGGCGTATACGAGGAATCGTCGGCGGGAATGGGTATCGACCGCCAGATAAGTACTCACCTCCTTCCCGGTTATATCCAAAGTCAATCAAATGCACACGATCAATACACACTTGCCGGTTGTGGGTGGACGAGAGGAGGATGCGGGCTGAGCCACGGCTGAGCAGAAAAAGGCGGCGGCGGGAGGATGAGTAAGATCCCGGAGCCGATCGATCACATACACAGGCGCCCATGACTAATCCGGCGTCCCGCTGACTCGGAACCACTGGCAGAGGCCACTGTGGCAGAGACGTCCAACTCCGAGTCTCTCGCAGAAACGCTGTGGATTGTCGGTGAGTCTGACATACGCCTTACCAAGTCAAACGCGGTAGCGACGTGTTCTCATATATATGTGCTGGCCACAGTGCATGTATCAGCCAACGCTAATTAATACGATTAGTTCGGCGCGGTGGACGGACGCTCTCCTACAAGCTCATCGGGATCGTTGGTGACGCGACCGGTGCAGCGGCGGACGCTGTACACGTGGTAAGCCCCGTTACTAGTAGAGCGACATCCAAGGCATCCATAACGACACTGAGCCTGACTGAGGATCAACGCTGTTTTCCATCAAGGACGGCACAGGTGTCCTGCGCCGTTTCGGATGATGCGACATGCGCAGCAGAGTGGATCAATGCTATGGTTATTGTATGTGCTCGAGGAATGATGTAGAGGCCGAGCTTTAGCCAGGCGTAGACAGTCCCGCCCTTTGAGGGTTTGGTGGTGCACGGCAGCGGAGGACCTTGCGGTCGGGTAGGAGATTGCGCTCAATGGCTCACGGACGAATACTTTGAGGAATTCCTCTCGTTCTCAATCATTTCGCCGCCGCAGTAGGTACCGGTATACTAGTAGCGGCGGTGTTTGTCCTTGCTAGTAACCTAAACAGTGTATTACCTTGATTCGTGTCAGTATCTTCCATATACAAGTGGTACTCTAATCTCGCAGCCATATATGTCTGACGAGTATAGTGACCGTGACCTTCGGCAGGCTGGCACATAGGTAGACCTGCATTCAACTAGGTATATACAAGACCGTACCACAAACAATCCTCACGAAGAGGACAGGAGCAAAAAATTCGAGATTGTATCCCTCCCATCGGGTGGCAAAGGCCAACGCGAGAGCTGGCAGCGGGATCACTGACCGGCTGGGCCAAGCGAGTGTCCTCAGCTGCGCTTCTGCGCAGCAGACAGGGAGTAGTCTGAATCGAGTTACACGTCGGCGCGAAACCGAACAAACGTGCGCCGCGAAGTGCACTGAAGGACACAACATCATCGACGCCAACAGCACGAGGCCGTCCGTAACTCCGTCTCTCCTCGTACATCGATGTCCTACAGAAGCCGCAAGGTCGTACGCATCAGCAAGCGGGGAACCCCACCCACCAACGCGTAGACCTCCGCCGAATTGCTTGTTCGCGTTTCGCGTAAACAATTCACGCGCAAGGCCGCTTCCGCCCAGATCCTCGACGCGCGACCACGAGTCACAGCGGATTATCCGAGTTGGTGAAGGCTTTCAATCATCGTCCAGCGGCGCCATCCGACGCAAGCTGGCACTCTGTCTCAGAGTGAACCGGGCCCCATACGGTTGCCCGCGTGTGGGCTGCCCTGGAACGTGAGTTCCTGCAGGACGCACGGCCGCAAGTGGCGGCCATGACTTGGCTGGGAGTTATCCCATCCGGTTTCCGATGATTTGGTGCGTGCTTTCGCGCGCGTAGGTCCATATGCAACACGGGGCGACGAAGGCCCAGCAGACACCCCGATCAGAGGCCGCATGAGCACGTTTGAACGTCGCCATCGTACCACAGATGAACCAAGTGCCGTGTCAGGCTCTCCCGCAAGGGATATAGCCCTCACCTAGGACAACTTTACCCGAAAGCGGGTAACCGTCATGAAGACGGGGCGATGCCGATAGAGAGACTGGAGGAGCCACGTCAGCGGATGATAGAGGTGCCCGTACCTGCAACATATCCCAAGCCGACACGGTAGACTTCAAAGGGAGCTCGTCCCTGCGTAGTACACGGGCGAATCCGTTTGACCCGCTCTACGGCCGGCGGGTTTCTGGTGTGTTGGTGGGGACGCTTAGCGTCGCCGGCCAGCTAGGCAGTTGTCTCGTGCATAGAAAGCGGAGAGGATGGCTCAGACCTTAGCCCGCTCGCGAAAGAGGACGAGAGCCCTGTGCGTGGCGAGCGTCGCGGCTTCGAGTCTGCTGCGAGAGGAGGGTGAGGAGAGAGGGCGCAGCTGCCAGCAGACGATGCGAAGATGGGCGGCTGTGCGTGGGAGATTGAAGTCGCCCTCACGTGATGGACGCGTCCCCTCTGCATCAGATTCATACAGTGATACACGGTGTTACCACGCACTATTTCTACGTCGTACCTTTCGAGATCTGGTAATCGGTGCTGGACGTTTGGACGGTCATTGCAACCATTGAAAATTACCCCCGCTTGCCCGGCGGCGCCCGCGAACCCGCGCAGGGCGGTGAAACAGCAGACGCATGCTGGGTGAGTCAGACCGTTTCTATCACCTGAGATGGGCGAGCTATGCTTTTGCTGATGACATACAAACAACGGAGCAAATTTGGTCCTTTCACGTAACTCCGAGGAGAACACCTCTACCTCGGGAACGACTCGTCATGACAATGAAGCAAATTGAATTTGAACAGAGGTTAGTGGCTCAAGATCGGCTCCGAAAAACCACACGCATTGACCCTGTCTCTGCCATCATACAGGACGGTTTGCCCTCAGCCTTCTGGCAGGGGTCTCAGCTTGTAACTCTGTGGGACAGCTGTCTCCGGTGGCCAGGTCGGCGTGGTATGTCCGCAGCCGTGGCAGCCGTCCATTGCTGCGTACAAAGAGTCAATCAGACGTACGCGAACCCCTCAGTGTCGAGCCCGCTTTGTCACACTGGGTTCGATGTGGTAGCTACGCATCTTTCCTGATAAAAGCAGCATTATTCAAGGACGCACGGACAGGTACGCTATAACGTCAGACATTGCAGGGGATAAACGGAGTCAGACCTTGCGATCTGCGAGTCAAGTGACGGTTCGCGGGTAGGTGACGAAACGACGCGGATCGAAAGGTTCAAATTCAAATGACTGGTGAGCTACCGAGAGCTTTCGGGTGTGGAGCAGTCTGATGCGTCGCGTATTAGAATGTCAGACCGTTTTGGGGACAACTCAGCGACGAACTGTGGGCGAGCTCGTGAAGGGCGCAAGTGATCATGCTTGCGCGGGGCTGGCTTCCATGCGGCTGCCTAAGAAGCCAGGCCACACAGACGTGACCATAATAGCCTTTCCTGTGGCTCGATCAAGTGTCCCGCGAAGGCTGAGATACATGCTGTCGTAAGTTCCTCATTCTGGCGTGCATGGCTTTATAAGGATCGGAAATTGATGTCACCGAGACTGACCGAGGACTCATTTCCATATAGGAGATGCTTCTCTGGCTTCCACAGCTTCCAACCGTTTGACTGTACTGCCACGTCCGGTCGACATTGCGGCTCCTTCCGGCTCCGGATCGCAACCAAACCGAGCGCAACCAAGGACGGATGACAGACATCTAACATCATGTCGGTCGCCAAAGACTAGCGGGCATCGCCATCGAATGAACAGAATGATATTGGAAGGTTCCCTGTCCGGCGTGAATTGTGGGCCCGGTCAGAACATCCACACAGATTACCGTATCAAGACTCCCTGCCCTCCGAACCCCAGAATTTCATGATTCTTATTGGTTATCGAGACATGTTCAAGCCCTGGAGTGGCAGGTTCTCGAAGACCGTCATCGGCGGCAGGACCTGCAAGACAATGGAAGCCTCTTCAAGTCGACCAGGCAACATCAACCCGCCGTCCTATGTCACACGCAAGCACACACATGACGGTCTTGGAGCACTGCGGCTGCGGTGTATAAAAGCCAGGTTCTCGCTCACCGGATCGCCAGCCTACTGCTGTCTTCTGCAACCGCCTCTTCTCTCTCGTTGAACCGTTCGAACGAAGCAATATGGGACAAGCCATCTGCGACCTGCAAAAGAGCGAAAAGGACGCGAAGGTCCAAGAGCAGCTCAAATTTCTGGGTAACGTGTTTCTTTTCTCTGCATTTCACTGACCGTCAAGCTCAGACGAGGTCTCTCGATTTTACAGCTGCTATGTGCAATGCCAAGTTGGACAAATATAAAGCCGATATTGAAGAGTGCGTCTGAGTCGGACCCATCGCCGTAGTTACGCAGCGCCCTATCGCAGCATCTCGCTCACAGCGCTACGTACTCAGGATGTTTACGAACCCGTGTAAAAAGCGCAAGACGCGGCCCGTTCCTGGCTACCGTGCCCTGAAATGGGAGCATGGGTCTTACGTCGACGTCGAGTCCCTCGACGCGGAAAAACCGAGCGTATGTGCATCACATTCATATTCATGGTTCATCTAACCGTCATTCGCACTCATTTCTAGTCTCACGACAAAGACACTGAGAAGGCGGGCTTGAAGCAATTGGACCTGCTGAAGTATCCGCGTCAGAAAGCCCTAACCGACCTCATCGATCAGTTCTTCAAAAAGGGCAGCGACAAAGATTGCCTCAACGGCTTCAAGGTAAATTGTTGATGATGTGGCATAAACCTAGAACCTAACTTCACCGGCCCCTAGAAACTCGTCATAAACACGTTGCGCCCCTTCATCAATGACACTCAGACGGGCGAGAGGGAACTCGAAGGCTTCTTCGTCTTTGTTCGTCACAACGCCTTTATTCGTATTGATTACAAGGTTGGTGTCACGCTTACCATGCTGGATGACATTACGGTCGGACTGCGCTGATGCTTGCGCCGACTTACAAATAGTTGTGGCGGTACAACTTCATTACAGATGGTGAAATCGCAGGAAACAAGCGAAACACTCTATGCTGTGAGTGTCTCGTACCCTCTCAGCGCTACATTGTCATATGAGTGCTTATTGCGAGCTTGCGCAGACACATTCTGTATCTCCCTTGTTGATCATACCGAGCTGCGCATGGATGAGCTCATCTATCTGCTCTCTGAGCACGCAGGCGACGACGGGGCAGTACGCGAGTACATCATGAAGCTCATCAATGTGTGGCTGGCCGTCAGTGGCCTGATGAAGTTAGAGACCTCCGAGGCGTATGCGGTGGTGATGGTCATAGCTGAAGGGCTGAAAGCCGAACGGCAGGGAGGATGTATGTGCCCTTGCTTGCAGAAGTCACAGGATGTCCCTGTCCCGGACAAGGCCGGGCGTCCGCTTCAGACGTTGGCGGGGACCTCACTGTGGCTAAATGGAAACCTCTCCTCCTCCTCCTCCTCCTCCTCCTCCTCACTGAGTGTACGCACGCAGGAGACTTAGGCGCGCATCGCTCTCCTCTGCGCGCCCACTCGGACGACCGTTCTCGAAGGCCCCGCGGCCACTATGCACTTCGAATAGCTCTTGTTTTCTTTCACTAGACTACACCACTTGTAGCTTACAGGGATGAGACTATGGTACAACCTCTGCTCGTCAATGCCAATGTGCCACGAAGGGCTGGATTATGTGAGCAACGACCAGACAACTGTACTAGTCACGAATGCGGGGAGAATGGTCGGCTCAGCAGAAGACATCTGCTGCGACACAGATCGAGACAGCAGAGCAGGCTGTGCATTGTGCACTGCACATCTCTCAGTGAGTCGTGGTTTCTGTCTCGCAAGCTCGTCCGACACGAGCATTCAGCCGAGCGAGCGGCGGTTGCCATCATAGTCGACGGCCTTGACCATCACATTCTGATGACCACAATCTTGCCGAGGTCGAAGAGGAACCAGGCTCTGTGGGTGGGGCTCGGAAGGGCAACTCGAATCAAGGCGCATTCGGTAGCTACTAGCCTGCGATTGTCACCTCAGAATAGAAAGAGACAGAAAGTCTACGCAAGTAGGCTAAGCACTATAACATACACGAGACGGTAGTCTCATATCGCAGATGCTACGATGGACAGTGTGTCAGCGAAAGTTACGTGGCGATCAGTCCGGCGGCGTGGTGGACTCTGATTTTCATCGTCGCCCTCGCCTCCCACATGCAGTACGTGGTCCGTATTCTCGTGAATGACTGATGTCGGATCTTCAATGTCAATCACGCGATTGGGATGTTGTCGTGTGTGTGAGTGCTCTCGCCATTCCTTGTGCTCGAGGGAGGATGCGACGTAGAGGGGCCAGATCGTCGCTTGGGCTTTCTACCCTTCGAGTCGTCGTGGCGAGGCGGTGGGAAGGGCTGGTTGATCGAGCTACGCTCAACGGCTCACATTTGAATATCTTGAACATTTTCTGCGCATTTTCTGTCAGCCCGTGCCGGGGATGCTCTGGCATACTAGTAACACCAGTAAAAGTATTCTCACTAGTAGCTCAAAGAGTGTATCGCCTTCATTGCGGACAGCATCTTCTGCGCATAGCACCCGAGCAATACTATGAATACAAACACTGCTTATGTACGTCTTTCAAGCACACCGAGTAGTAGTAGTGACCAAGACGTACGTTGTGCGGCACCGATATTCATCGAGTATTGCGAAACTGGCTCGAGTTCGCTAGATGATACACTTGACCGCCACCACATGAAAGCCAGAGACGTTCGGTTGGGTTGAATGTACGCCGACTTTGAGGGTATATAGCCGTGAAGCCTATTGTCCATAGTCGCCGACTGACGTGATCGCAACACTTGGTCAGCTTAGCAGCGCTGCTTTTGTGAGGTTCAACTCCCGTCATTCTATGCATACACTGCATTGGCGCAGCAAGGCTGTGTAATTGAGGCTCTCGTCTGGTGCAAGAAATCTCGGAACATCCACTGACTACTAAACGACGATGAGATCTGTTCCTCGCTGTTTCAGAGTCTCCCACCTGAGTACTTTGCCCATGAACGCATCATGACCAACGCCTGCCACTAGATGCGTGGTACGTGGGCTACCTCCAATGTCCAGCTCTACAGCATGTGATAGCCAGGTATTGTTCAGCGATATATCTGGTAGGTTCACGAGCGCAGATTGGGTCACTGAGCGCACTACAGTCCTTAGTGTGCCCACTCACAGTCGAGCCAGCACATTCTATCCTTACCGACCGTAGTGCGGACGCATAACCGTCGATTTTCCCGCAGATCACAATGTCTGCGCTTGCTCCGGCGGGTTGCTTCACACCGCGCGACTTCGCCGTCTTGGTGCCTTTGGTCTTCTTGAGCACTCTGGCGGCTTATGTCGTTGCAACCATCAGCAAGCAGCTCTACGTCAAGTACCGGGAGCGATGCAGACATCGATCTGGATGGACGAACCGGCCTGACGGTGAGCGAACTTCTCCATAGAATGATCTCTACCAAGCTCACATACTAACTTCTCCAGTCGAGACATCATTGTTCTTGGATGTCGACGATCCTAGGCCTGCGAGGGTCACGCCGTTCCTTGAGCGCGATGCCTCCGAGGCCATGAGTCAGCTACGGTCACCGAACCGGAAGTTCGGGCAACCCGCGAATGACGCCCTCCGCCACTTCAATTCCGAGGGAGGCCCCGATGACATTAGGAGTCCATTGACGCCATTGGTTCTGGATTTGAGCAGCCCCTCTCGATCATCATGCGACCATGCGATGTCGTGCCAGACGAGACAATCGGTACCGCCGCCGTACTCCCCTTCGGCACTGTGTACAACTACGAGCGTCAGCCGCGTCGACTGCAGCTCTGCAAGCTACGAAATGACGGAGCTAGTTGCGACGACCCCGATGAGTCCCTCACAGCCCAGGCAGACACCGTCCGAAGGTGAAGGGTCTAGTGACTGGGCTCGGGATTGCATTCTGCATCCACCGGCAGCATTTCACGACCCGCTGTTGCGGCCATTACGATGAAGAGGAGACATCTATTAAATAGGTACGATCAGGCCGGGATCGGACAACAGAGGACGCTTACTGACCTCATGTGTTGCAGCATCGCGAGATGTGCAAATCGTGTTTGCATACCTCATCCCCTCGCGCACAGCTTTAATGAGGTTCCGGTTAGCAAAGATGCATTAATTGCACTGGTAATATGTCCTGGAGACGTGAGACGTTCTCGATCAGGCCATTTACACAGAACACAAGTCATTCCGTTGTTATTCTTGTCAATTAGCACATATACTTGCAGGTCAAGGTACCACAGATCATCTCGATACGGTATGAGCGAGACACAGCGCACGCGAACGGCATTCCCAACGGCGGAGCCAGTGTCAGAGAGAGAGGAGCAAGAGTCGGCGTTTTCAGGACAGAGCTCGAACAGACAGAATCCTGCAACCGCCACCGTACAATATTTCACTCTGAGATTTTGCAAGGGAACACATGTCGAGTCGGCACAGCGTACAAGTGCACCCTCACTGAACAATCAACAAGTACAGCGTTGAAAGGAAACCGGCAAGAGGAGTACTCAGCGCTCAGCCCGCAGCCTCCGATTCGCAGCATGTGGACTCGCATTCATTTGGAGGTAGATATATACAAGACGGGAACACGAAACGGTCCTCACGAAGAGAACAAGAGCGAAAAATTGGGTACGCAGCAGACAAGGAGTAGTCTGAATCGAGTTACACGTCGGTACAAAACCGAACAAACGTGCGCCGCGAAGTGCACTGAAGGACACAGCGTCATCCACGTCGACGGCACGAGGCCGTCCGTAGCTCCGTCTCCCCTCGTACGTCGACGTCCTACAGAAGCTACAAGGTCAGACCTAATAGCAGACCGGCTCGCCGGGGTACTCACGTACCCGTCGACGTGAGGTTGCAGGTCGACCCCCTGCCAGAGGGATCCCTTCTTGAGATACACCTCAGCGCTCGGCAGCTCTGTCACCACAAGGCTGCAGGGTGTCGCGCATCGTCCAGCCGCAAAGCTCAGCACCACCCTGGAACCCATTGGCCAGCGTGGTGCAATAAACCTGTAAGCCAACACCAGATATTATGTGCCATTTGCCCGACCATAGGTCAGCGCACGGTCGAGACAATACACGGCTCGCCGTGCGCAGGGCAGCACGAGAACAACTATGTTCTCCGGGACGTTCATCAGCGGCTGCCGCTTGATAAAGTCTAACCGTCCGGTTTCCGATGATTCCGCGCGAGCACTACGCTAACGTTTAGGTCTTTGAATGGTATGGGCGGTGGTCAGCGCAGACGCCATGGCCAGTGGCCGCACCGACAACGCAAGACCGTCAACTGTACCATGGACCACGGCATCGAAGTGCCACAACGACACCCAAGGACATGAAGAATCCGTCACAAGGACGGGGCGACGCCGATAGGGAGACAGACAAAGGGAGCCACGTCAACGGATGATAGAGGTGCCCGTACCTGCAACATATCCCAAGTCGGCACAGTAGTAAGGGGAGCTCGCCCCAGCGAAGTTCCGTATGGGCAGTCCCACCTTGACCCGCCCTACGGCCGGCGAGTTTCTGGTATGTTGATGAGGACGCTTAGCGTCACAGGCCAGTAGTCGGACTGGGCTGCATAGCCAGCTAGGCAGATGTCTCGGGCGCAAAAAGCGTAGAGGATGGCTCAGACCTTAGCCCGCTCGCGAAAGAGGACGATGAGTCCTGTGCGTGGCGAGCGTCGCGGCTTCGAGTCTGCTGCGAGAGGAGGGTTGAGAGGACAGAGGCGAGGCAGACAACGCATTATATGCGGGACGCGTGGGAATTCGCGTTGCGCCCACGTGATGGACGCGTGGACTGCCACTGCGCGCGGCCCTCCACGATCCACGTCGATCCTGCCCTTCCTGTCCTCTAGAGCCTCTAATATTGCGAGTCACTTGCGATGCCCGTCGCGCTGCATGCGAGGCATTTATTCCCTCTGTTTTTTTTCTTACCGGTCACAATGAATCAAGACAACTATGCACACCCGCCGACCTGCGCCTCCATCGCCCCTGGCTCACCAGTCCCTGACTCGGAGGTATACCTAAGTGTCACTTGAAGCTAACCAAATTGCAGTGAATCGCTATACGTGACTGTTATGCCATCCTTGGAAGCTCGATATTTGTCAACGCTCGTTCCGGATACCGCGCCTAGCGCCCGTCTATGGGCTCCTTATAAGTAGTACGCGACTGTGGCTGCGTCTTCTGCTGTGAACATACACAAACGACCAGTGTGAGCGTTATACTTTCTGATACCAGCTCATTATCTCACATTGCGCGTCTCCTCTATGCAACCCGCGACAGTCAGTCTAGGCTGGCAGAGTCCGCGCTCACCACTACTCCCCCGCCGTCTCGCCACTCGCGTTCTGCGCCCGAGGCGATCTTGCTACGATGACAAAGAAGAAGAACGTGTCGTGGTACTCAGATAGCAAACCCGATGTACGTTAGACGTATCTGCCGTGCTCGTCGTGATTAACAACTCACTCGCATGCAATGCCACCTTACATTCAGGCGCCACACGCAGCCAAGGATACGAGTATGCGTCTCGTTGGAAGTGGCACGCTCGTCCAATTTTGGGTGCCAATCTCTGGGGGTTCCGAGTTGCGCAAGTCAGGGCGCCACCAAGCATCGCGCGTATGCGACCCGGAAGAAAGCTCCGATGCGTCGTTTGCTCAGGACCCCCGCATCCGTCTAGACGAGACTCCATCTCAGAAGGCCACCGAGGCATCATCAGTTCAGCACCGATCCGAGACTGGCACTCACGAGGTTCAAGTTGTCAATGGACCTGTGCCTGCACACGAATCGACGCTGGACGCTACTGCGTTACAGCTGTTTGCGGGCATGAATGAGATAGAGCAGTCTGTGGCTGTCCTGCTGGCGCGTATGCTTATGAACAGGTCCCGCTCTCCTGCCGTTGACAGTGCAGGAACGATGGTTGCCTCCCATGCGGACGCGTCTGAGTCATCCAGAGCGTTGTCTACGCCACTGACGGTGGCTTCGTCGCGCACGCCTAGTCCTTCCAGCGACCAGGGCTCAGTGCAGCACGTCAGACGGCCGGCCACTCCTACGCTCTCACAGGCGTCCGACCTTCCGCCAGAGGTCGCGGACGACTCTGGTGAACGCGAGAGCGGTCGGACTGGGGACGAGGAAGACGAACAGTCCGGCGAAGGTGTAAGCGACAACGATTCGTTTATCGAACCCGAAGATGATGACGACGACGACTCGTCCTATGAACCCAAACCAAAACGCGTGAAGCGAAAGCAGACTTCTGTCGCAGGACGCACTCAATCCGCTCACAGGAAGAAACAGGCGTCGAAAGTTGCGTCTGTTCCCAGGGTCGCCGCGGCACCTGTTACTCGACCTACCAGAAAGGGTCCCAGGCGCCGCATCCCTATCGCCCCGCTTGCGCAGGATAAACCTGGCTACAAGCAGGAAGGTCGTTACTGGTGCAGACACGATGGATGCAATGCGTCATTCGTACTATCGCCCGACAGGACCCGCCACGAGGCGGCGCATACTGGGCACCCCCAGTGCAAGTGCATGCACTGCGGCGACAAGTTCAGTCGCTTCGATGCAGGCTTACGGCACAGCCAAACAGCACACAAGAATAAGAAACCACATATCGAACGCTGCTCAGATGAGGCGTAAGTTGGCTGAGCGGCCCCGACTTTGGACTATTGATATCTCCCCGTAAACGGACTATGTTGACTATCTTCAACTTGTATGTACTCCCGGACTACGACATATGCAGCACTACGATATTTCTCGCCACCTAGGATAGTTCTTGGACAGTGTTACCGAACCACCTGTATGTAGTATGACGCTGAGCCGCGCGCCTTCCCAGCAAAGCGGTGACCTTGGGGCGACCAGCGTTGGAAACATGACAAAGAGCCTCGAAGCTCGGAACGCAGCTGCAGTGTGTCCATCGACTGGCATGCCGCACAGTGCTCATGCTGACTGTGGTGCGCGTGTCCCGTGACCGCGTCAAGCTCGAGGCCGTTCTCAGCCCGCGCCCATCCTGGCGCATGCTCCAGCACCACACAAGTCATTCTCCTCGACATTCTGCTCACCCCGGGCCAGTCTTCGTTCTGCGCCTTCTGTGCCTACTATCCGCTCTGTCATGCTCGACACGGGGACGCCGCGCCCACCCCAGGCGCGGTACTGACACGAACTCCCCGGCAGGGCGACACCGTGGCGCAATCTGTCGCTCAACCCGGCAGACAACTGACCATCTACGTCGACGTCTAGGAATAGAATGGCGCTACTCAGTCTCAGTTATGTAAAACGAAGGGGACGCTCGCAAAGCACCATCGAACAATGACGACGGCGCGAAGGAGGCCTCGCACTGTCAGCCCAGACGCCGTGCTATACGTAGTCGGAAGCACGAGGGCAGACGTATATAACGAGGGTGGACGCGAGCAGTGGTGGTAGCAGCAAGTTTCGACATCTTCCGCTACACGACTCGACCGCAACACAGTCCAATCGCATACTTCAGCGACGATGACGACTGTTACTGCTTGGCTTATCACAGGGTGCGTACCTTGCTCTTCCCACTACTCGAGGCTTAAAGTGACCTCTACTCTGTCCACAGGGCATCCCGTGGCCTCGGTTTCGAGCTCGTCCGCCAGCTTACCTCCATGCCCAACAACCTTGTAATCGCCGCCTGCCGGAACCCGTCCTCCGCGTCGCAGCTGCAGGCCCTCGGGCACGCGGCCGGCGCAGAGCTGCACACCGTGAAGCTCGACGTGAACAGCGAGGAGAGCATGCGTGCGAGCGTCGGGCAGGTCGAGGCCGTGTTGAAGGGCCGTGGGCTCGACTACTTGTACAACAATGCCGGAATCGTGAGGCCTTTTTTTGCATTTTTCCCGGAGCATTGACTGATCGGCGTATGCGTCCTGTGACAGTGCCCGCGCGACGAAGCATTCGACTTCTCCTACAGCGAATTGCTGTCACTGCTCCAAACGAACATCGCCGCGCCTGCGATGATGGGCCAGCTCTACGCGCCGCTCCTCGCGAAGGGCGCCAAGAAGACGATCGTCAACATCAGCTCGGGTACTGCGAGCATCGGGAAGGACAACGGGACTGCGATGGCGACGTACAGCATGAGTAAGACCGCGGTCAACATGCTGGTGCGTATCTCCCGCCGATCACCCTAGAGCGACACTCTGACGCGTGTATAGACGTACAAGCAGAGCAAGGCTCGCCCGGAGTTTACTGTCATTTCGCTGAGTCCTGGCTGGGTGAAGACGGACATGGGCGGCTCCAGCGCGGCGTTGGAGCCCACGGAGAGCGCCGCGGGACAGCTGAAGGTGGTGCTGGGGCTCACGAAGGGGGACTCGGGCAGATTCTTTGCGTATGACGGGCAAGAGCTGCCTTGGTAAATGCGTTCCAGTGAGTGCTATGTGAGAGGTGTGTGCATTGTATCGATGATGATGATGAGTGCCGAATGCGCATACAGTGTGGTGCTTCCACCGAGTCAGTGTGACTACGGGATTGATGCTGGATGGTATTGGCCCTAGGCTCCCTTCGTCAACGTCAGCGTCAGCTCAGGCGTAGACGTAGACGTGCTAATTGTCTCATTCTCTCAGCAATGGAATAGTACGGCCCGCGCGGACAGGGAGTTGCGGTGACGATGCGAGATATTCTGTGTTTGTGAGTGTCCTACGCCAATCGGGTGGTATATGCTACGCTGAGCTGGCTGATGATGTACCCTGCACGTATCATCTGTATATGTATTTGTGGCCAATCATGCCGTCGTCGCTGGCGGCTTTCTCTATGTCCTCTCACCTTCCAAGCGCCCGAACTTTACGCCTGTGGAAACTGGACTACTGGCCCACTCATCAGGTTAAACACGTTCGGCCTTCAAAGAGCAAACCCAATGTACGTCAGACGTATGCAAAACCGAGAGAGTTTGCTGTGAGTCTGCATTATGTGATAATGTCGCGTTCAAGCAGGGGTGTCGCGCGGGCGACACGGCTCAGAAGCTAAGTGGATTCTCTCCTCCTCCTGAGTCCTGACGATGATTGGCGACCGAAGTCCAGGCGGGCGCCTACATCAAGGAGGATGATAGACCAATGACCTCCTCCCACTTGTGGGTCCGCACTGCTGACTTGTACGACCATCTCATCAATGCCGAGGACGAACGCCCCAGTCGTTCAAAAATGTACCGGGGCCATCGCAGGACTGTTGGAAGGGCACATATATAGGAGCCGTTGTAGTAAGTCAGGCGTAGTCCCGCATCAGCCTCTCACGTCCACCCTAAAAGGGAGCCCGGCCGTGAGAGTGAGAGACTGGGAGACTAAGTCAGGCGCAGCAGACTCAAGCTCTCTTCGTGCAAAGTATCTCGACTCTGGAGAGAATGGCAAACACCGCTAGTACCTGGCTTATCGTAGGGTACGCACACACTGCGTCTCTCCTTCACGATGTGCACACTCATTGCGCGTTCACAGAGCTTCTCGCGGCCTCGGCCTCGAGCTCGTTCGACAACTGATTGCAACGTCAAATACTGTAATCGCCGCATGTCGGAACCCTTCCTCCGCGTCCCAGTTGCAAGCCCTCGAGCCCACCGGCGCAGAGCTGCACATCATACAACTGGACGTCAGCAGCGAAGAGAGCATCCGCGCGAGCGTCGGGAAGGTTGAGGCGGTGCTGAATGGTCGCGGCCTCGACTACCTCTATAACAACGCTGGTATCGTGAGTGCACTTGGTCCTTTCATACCGCAGTGTCGAGCCCACTAATTCACGTACGTGTCGGAAGCTTGCGCAAGACGACGCGTTCAATTTCTCGTATAGTGAGTTCCTTGCGATACTACAGACGAACGTCGTTGGGCCCGCGCTGCTTGCGTCGCTGTGTCTCCCGTTCCTGGAGAAGGGCAACAAGAAGACGATCGTCAACGTTAGCTCGTCTATGGGCGGCCTTACCCATGACTACGGCGCTAGTGCGGCGAGGTACAGTGCGAGCAAGGCTGCGATGAACATGCTTGTGTGTACCTCTGATTTGCTTCTAAGGTGAGGCTGACCTGGCGTGCATATTTTGTCATGTAGACGCACAAGCAGGCCAAAACTCGCCCTGACCTCATCGTAATATCATTATGCCCGGGCTGGGTGCAGACGGACTTGGGCGGCGTGTCAGCTCCGCTGGAGCCCCCGGAGAGTGTCGCCGGCCAGTTGAAGGTGGTGTTGGGACTCAAGAAGGAGGACACGGGGAAGTTTATTCGCTATGACGGCCAGGAGCTCACTTGGTAAAACCATAGGCAACGAGAGCAGTGATACGTATAAATTGGAGGAACACTCGAACTGTGCGTGCTGATTTTTTCTGGTGAATTTGAGAATTTTCTGGCAAGCCGCAAGGCACGGTCAAAGACAGGGACTCTAGAACGTCAGCCGTGTCGCACTTGAGTGCATGTGGGCGTGTTCACCACGTGATGGAAAATCCCCGACTCCTCCCGAAGGGAGGGAGGGCTCTGTCAAGTAGAAACGATATTGCGCCGGGGATGCCGTGTCGCCGTGGGAAATTTTCGTCCATATACGGTACGCGCGATACCGCATAGGGAAACTGTCCACATGCAAGCCGTGCGCTCGCGTCTGACCGAGGCTCTGCCTGGCTCTGTGTTCCGCTCGTGCGGCCGGATCTTCCTCCGGTTTTTTCCGAGCATATATAACATGCCTCCTGCCACTATGATCGAGACATTCACTTCAACACATCTTGTCTTCCCCCCTGAAGCAGCTGCCATTTCCATGTCACAACAACTAACTAGTATTGCCCCTACTTCCCAACTACCAGATAGGGCCTTGGGCTCAATACTAGTTTTACCAGACAGTGTCTTAGGCCCACTACCAGTTTTACCAGATGATTCTGCAGACTATATACCAGTCTCATCATCAGACATCATACCACATACAATTGCAAGTGTCCCTAATGACACAGTCCAAGGCATCATGAATAGCAATCCTTCATGGTTCTATTATACTGATGATTATTACCTGCAGCAATTACAATCCCTTACCAGAGCTGAATTATGGGCTGCTGTTTGTACATGTGTTGATCAGACACAAGGTATCAGGCAATCCAAAGCATCTTTGGCTAAGCAACTACTGCAGCATTTCAACTCATCTAAAGTGTTATTGGCAAATATGTCAGATGTTCTCCTGTGCCAAACATGCAACTGCTCTCTGCTGCTCAGTTCACCATTCCACTGTAGATATATAATTTTGAAGCATTACTATATACAATTATATGGCTGCAAGATTCTGAAATGTCTATGCCAATCTCCTATGCTTTCCAGTATAGCACATGATGTTGCTCATTCAAGTACAGTTCCTGATATAGACCCTCATATTCTCAGCCAACTGAAACGTTTAGACAAGGACATTTTAGATCATTGTTACACCATATTTCAGACTGACTACATGAAGAGCAAAACAAGAGCAATGCAAATACTGGTTTCCAAGATATTGGCCATTAAGCAATATATCAGTGACTTGAGTATTGCTGAAGTGTACCAACAATACTTCACAGCTGTGACATACAGTGGCAACATGTTACCTAATGTGCCAAAGCCATGCAATATTGTTGAAAGTATCTTGATTGCATACTATGGTGATGCTGTGATAAATGCAATATTCCATAACACACTCCCAGAAATAAGGAAACAGCAGCAAGTTCAGTATCAAAGAGACTATAGAAGGTTGAAAAGACAAGACAAGAGCATACAACTAAAGCAATCATACCTCAGTGAAGAAATGAATTGGCCTACCATACCTAGCACTGAGACTGAGCTACAGTGTGCATACAATTATTGGAAAGCAACACAATGGCATTCTCCTCTCATCTGCTCTGTGTACTCTAGCAGTGCCCATAGATTGAAAACAAAGATCTATGATATGAATCAAATCCCCAACATAGTGCATAACATGTCTGTTTTGCAGGTACATGCCCCATGGATTATTCAGAAATGCATTGTACAACAAAATTCCAATGAGTTCTTGTATGGAAATGAATTGGATGGCTTCATGTTGGATAAAAAAGGGCTGCTATGCAGTGATCCTATCAATCACAGAATAGCACTATGTTCAGACTGCTATAATTCCCTAAAGAAACCAGCTATGCCCAGATATGCACTGGCAAATAATCTATATAGAGGTCATCTTCCTACTGAATTTTGTGACCTTACATGGGTTGAAGAGATGGCATGTGCTATTTATCATATCACTGCCCATGTAACCCGTTTGTATGGATCTTCAGAACCTGGACAACCAAAGATTTTTCATGGAAACACCATAACACATGATATGTATATCATATCAACAACAACAGTGCTTCCTAGAACTCCTGCAGACACCACTGGGTATCTCTCAGTTGTATTTATTGGACCTCATAAAATCAAAGCCAGTGACCTGGGCAATACATTCAGAGTGCAAAAAGCCAAAATATGGCATTTTCTTCTTTGGTTGAAGCACCATAACAAATTATATGAGCAGATCCTGTTGGATCAGAGTAACATAGATCAATTTCCAGATGATGGTGTTCTTCCTGGTGTTGATGCTCAATTCATCCAAGACATTCACCAAAAAAGTGATGAAATCTTCCAAAAAGAAACAGCAGGTTTTACAGAACATCCTGCAGAGGCTTTTATGCATGACAACTCTAAACATGCAGATGATCAACCAACTGTACTGCTGGAACACACAGGTGTATCTGACCCAGAAGGAGACAGCATTAGTATACAGTAGTGATGCTGATACTTATGTTCCGCTTTAGGTCTATGTTGTACCACTAAAAGCGGAGTTTAAGATCTATGTAGATTATTGTATCATCTTATTTACACCACCCTCACTGCTCAATCGATGTTCATTCATAATACAGTTCAGGCTCCCACATGGAGTCGGGGACGGCGCTTGCGCCGCTACAGGAATGAGACAAGCGCCGAGGGATCGATAGAAATATAAGGGGAGAAAAGTACGCAAGGTCGCCATCTTCCCTCCCCTCATCTCCGTGCAGTCCAGAGGCCGCGAAACTCGCTACGCACAGGGCAGCTCCGTCTGTCCCTTCTCGCGAGGAGGCCAACGCTTGCATCGATCACTCGGGCGCGTACCGCATACCACTCGACGAACCGGCTTCACACCGGGGAGAGTGAGAAGGGTCGCATTCGAGCTCGAGCTCGCTACTGGAGTGGGCCACACGCCCGACGTCCGTCACACCGTCGCACACCCTCCCTATCGACATCGCTTCTGCCCAGCAGACTGGAGGTCGGCCAGCCTCCTGCTCCGCTTCTTGCACCCGGTCGGAACCGCCGCTCCCGCGACGGGTCCACACCCTCAGGGCGTCCAGTTACGGATGGCGACGCTTGTATGGGCGGGCAGGGTCCCTCACCCGGACACGCTGTTCGACCTCGTCGTCCCCGTATGCCTGCGCCCCGGTGCGCCGTTTCGACGACGCACCAGCCCATCCTCCGTAGTCGTATATACGTATACGACACGCGGACCCTGGGTCCCTCACTGCGTCCTGCGGCATCCGCGGGACGTAGGGGACCGCCTATCTTCCGTTGCGCCAGAAATGGATGCACGGAAAACTCGATCCTCCCTGCGTCCAGCTTGCGCTGGACGTATAGGATCAAAATGAACCGTTGCTCCAGAGATGGACGCGCGGGTAGCTGGATCCTCGTGTAGGATCCGCTTTGATACTGTTGTGCTGTACCTACAACACATCGGAATAAAGATCTATGCTACGCCATGCCTCCGGCACGACGTGTGAGATCAAAAACAGAGCTCCAGGCGTGTCACCACGCCCGGCGCACTCTAATGCAACAAAGCTACGTCCGCCGACCCAGACGGACGTACGCACTGCGAGACTTGCTCCGGCTTGCTTCTGCGAGTCGGAGACTTCGGGAACGCGCTGCCATGAGCAGACTGCTTCCCACTCATACCGGGCTTCCGTTCTCTCGGACGCCCCTCTTAGTCGTCTACAATCCTGTCGACGACAACACCTGTGATGGGGTGGGAGACCGTGCACGATAACGCAGGTAGGCCAGCGTGCCGCACGGGCTCCAGCGACGCCCATCATCCCCTAAGCCAGGTGTTTGAGTGGTAAGGTGCACGAGGGGAAGAGTGAGACGAACAGTGACGGACACGGTGCGGTCCTCGAGTGTGTATGCTTCGCGGCGCAGGGTCCTTGTCGTACCCTTCGTGGGCGGACGTGTTGAGGGCGCTTGTAGCTGGATGCGGACTGCTCCTGGGCTGGCACGTATAATTTTTGGAAACCCATTACCCCTCTTCGCGAGGCGGTGGTCGCAATCGGCATCGTTTTGTATACGCTATGATACATATGTACATCCGAGAAAGCAGTAGTATCCCAGCATCCTGTTCACGACCGCTCAATAGGCCCGCGTTGTGTTGGCCACGTGATGTGGTAAGTGCCAAACGCCGAAAGGTCGATACATTTCCGCTGGCGGACATCGGGCGGACAGTACTTCGCCTCTTCACTCTGTGCAGCTCGGAGGCCGCGACACTCGTTACGCACAAGACAGCTCCGCCTGTCGTTATTCGCGAGGAGGCCAGCTCGCAGAACCCGCTCGACCTGTCGGACTTTCTATCGACGACAGCGATCCTTGTTGGAATGGGCTGCACACCAGAGGTCCGTCATCCTCGCACATTCCTTTTCGACACCGCTCCTGCGTTTCGCAGATTGGAGGGCCGGCCGCCCTCTCGACGCTCCGTCTTTGGCATCTGGTACACTAGAGAAGCGGGGACTGCAGTCTCGGAGAAGTGATGCCTTGCGTGGACGGGCAGGGTCTCTAGCCCGGACACGCTGTCTGTCCCCATCGCCTCCGAGGGCCTGCAGCACACCCTGCGCGGGCTCCAGAGTAGGCTCTGATTATCGCCCTACACAAACCGCCAAAACCGTCGTGCCCCCGTGCCGACAAAGAGATCTAGAGAACATCATGCCCGTCGTGCCTTCGCGCCGACATATGAAGTTGCAGAACACTCGTCGTGCCTCTGTGCCGACGTATGGAATATCGATTGCGATCACCGAAACGACCACGCGTAGCACGCAAGGTCAAGACCCCCCAGCAGAGACGTCCGTTCTCGGACGGGCGTCGACGCACCCATGACGCGTCTCGCCCTCGGCGAGGGTGTAGCCCAGAGACATGCGCCGCGCGAGCGGAGGGCAGCCTCGATGGAACCATCTTCGCGTTAGCGGATGATGAACGCGTTGACGTGTACCACACGCCGACGTAGAACTGGCAGACGTCCGTGCCTAGCGTGTAGGCCGGCATGTTGCGCGGACGTTCGCATGAGACCCGTACTGGATGCCTCTGTGCGGAGAATGGTGCACGAGGGGAAGAGCGGGACGGACGGATGACGGATGTGGTGCGGTTCTTTAGTTTGATTCGCGGTGCGAGATCTTCTTCGTTTGCCTTTCGCGGTGGACATGATGATGCTCGTAGCTGAATGCAGACTGCACCTGGGCCGACAGACATAATGTTTGGACGGCTATATCCCTCTTCGTGAGGTGTTACAAATACGATTACGAATGCGTTCAATCGACTCAGCGCGTGGTTGCGGTCTTTTATGTTCAACACGGGAGCAAGCGTCAGTCACGGCCGTGCTGGTAACGTGGGCAACCTGAATCCGTGTAAGATACAAGCACTCGCAAGTCGTCACAGACGGGTCAGAACTGATGCGTAGGTGCGACTCACCGACGACCGTGTATTACGGCACCGACGAGTCCTCCGCCTTCTCGACGATCGTGATCGTCATGGCTGTTGTTTGGCTGTTGTCGTGGCTCTATGTCGAAGCACGCTACTGCCACACATATTGAGGAGTGCAGTGGCTTTCAATCTACGCTAAGGTATTCATTTCCTATGACGGACGACCGGGATGTGACACATAAATATCACAGCTCTCTTCAACAGCATGCATATATCGACCAAAATGGTCAAGATCACTCACGCGCATGAAACGGTCTCACCGACGAGACCGCTGGGCGCTGAACACTCAGTGACACCGTGATCGGCGATGGTGAGCGCGGTTTTCAAAATACGACTCTTGCGGTTGAATAAATGCAGATTTCATCAGTATCATCATCATCAAGATACGACTCGGGTTCCCCGGCAGACCGACATCACCGATTGCTTCTGCGAACCAAGGGGCTCTCGGAGGAGGTGCTCCATATAACGCAGCGAGGCAAATCAGGTCCTTCAACTTTCCCTGTCCCCTGCAGGTCCTTCCACGGTCATTCTTCATTATTCCTTCTTTGACATCGCTATGGGGATAAGACAACTGTGTTCATTCGCTGCACTCTGCACCTCCTTAGCTTCTCTTTCTTCGGGTGCAGTCGTCGTCGATGTACACCCTCTGCACGGCAGCACGAATTCCGAGTCATTCAATAACATGGGTCAGGCCAGCCGCGAACGCGCCGCGTCACTCTTGGCCACCGCTGGGACCGGCGATGTACCCATCGTCAATATGTTTGCCGCCTATGCCATGTCGATTGGCGTCGGGGACCCAGCAACCAACTATACGGTGATCATTGACACTGGCAGCTCGAACACATGGGTCGGGTGCGTCAACTGAACGAGTAGTCGTGTTCCTGCAGACTGAATGACCTGTTCATCCCAGCGCGACCAAGCCCTACGTGACCACAGAGACCAGCATCAGTACTGGAGAGGGGATAAATATCACCTACGGCAGCGGTGTGGTGTTAGGGAAGGAATGTGAGTAGTTCGTGAATGCGTCGATATCCTCTTGTTGATTGCACTCTGAATAGGGCTGGATACCGTCACTTTGGCTTCCGGCCTAATCATCCACAACCAGTCGATCGGCGCAGCATCAAATGCCACAGGGTTTGCGTGCGTAGACCTTCCGCGCTCGCCGAATTGACTGATTCTCATGAATCCGTCAATGATAGTCCGTTTGAGGGAATCATCGGCCTCGGGCCTACGTCAGATACTAACAGGACTGTTTTCAACGAGACCACGGGGTCATTCATCAATGGAACAATCCCTACCGTTATGGACAACGCGCTCGCGCAGGGTGTGATCGACACTGAGGTTCTTGGAGTGTCTTTCTCCCCTATTACCGGCAACAACTCCAACAGCTCCATAAGTGAGTCACCTTGCAGTACGCAACCCATTTCGTGCTCATGGCTTTACAGACGGACAGCTGTCTTTCGGTGGCATCGACCAGTCGCGTGTGAGTATGGTATTGGTCGCGCACCTGTATTGCACTCACACTGCTCGTATCAAACTCAGCTCGTCGGTGATGTCACATATACGCCACGGACGTCGAAGTGGCCCGCAAGTCGATACTGGGGTATCGACGCGAACCTCACATACGGCCAGACCGCTCTCGGTAACGACTCATCCAACAGCGGCATTGTTGACACCGGCACCTCGGGTACGTGTATTGACACCTTTTGGGACGTCAACGGCATACTGATACTGTGTCAGTTGTCGTAATCGCCGATGACCTCTACGACATCTACCTCGACGCGATCCCCGGTGCTTACTATGACAACGTGACCCAGCTGACCGCTATACCGCTCGACTCCGTGTCGTCGCTGCAGAACTTCACGGTCTACATCTCCGGAGAGCCGTTCGTCCTCGACGCGGTGACGCAACTCCTTCCCGCCGACCAGAATGTCGAGGCCGGTGGCGTTGTAGGGCTGAGGTACAGCTACATTACTCCGCTCGGATGGAACACGACTAGCGGCCTCTTCGACTGGGTCCTCGGGATGAAGTTTTTGGAGAGGTACTATGCGGTATGTACCTCGGGAGCGTTCTGCGGATTCGAGGCTGAATCGCGTTGTGCAGGTGTTTGACACGCAGAACAACCAGGTCGGACTTGCATACACGTATGTATTACCGAGCTCGGAGACGATATGCTTGACTGACAAGTCTTCTCAGGAACCACACCTTCGCCGCCGTCTCATGAGGATTCACGCTCGCTTTGGTTTGACTGACAATTCTTCTCTGGAATCACAACTTCACCGCCGTATCATGAGGATGCACACGCTCGTTTTGGTTGATATTTGCCTCTTCTCAGGATAGCGTGGCTATAATTTATCATTGGTCAATTGCTTTTGGTTGGTATCAGAGTTGGCCGACGTACCAAGTACCTGATACTCACGAATCTGACAACCGACGCCTTGCTCGCTCGATAATCTGCTCCCAGCCCATACACGATCCTTGACTACAGTATGTGCCGGCCACCCACAGGAAGGTACTTGTGTGACCCGCGCGGCGCCTGCGCTCCCGAAAGCGTAGTGTAGACAAGACCTAGCGAACTACTTACACGGGTGGCCAGTTGCTTCCACGATAGAGGCGCGCATTACTTCGCGCGTGAAGTCGAACAGTGACTGTATAGCACGGGGAGCTACTAGTAAGTTAGTGCTAGTAGTACTAGTAGGACATCGACGTTGGTGCGAGCCAGCGCTAAGTCACGCGCGGGTGGCGCCGAGCCGCGCCACAATTGAACAGTCTAGCGACTCTGCCGCCTTCCGGGCCCCGGCGTACCATACCTACCCTGACTTTAAATTTTGGGTACCTCGGTCCTCCTCCTCCTCCTCCTCCTCCTCAGGTCGGATTTTCTCAGACTGCGCCCCACTTGCCGGTCTGACCTCGGGGTCTGTCCAACACTGGCTTCAGGCACTTTCAGACAACGCGCCGTTTTGCCGACTCGGATATCGATGCACTCTGATTAGTATGGTACTCTGACTACTATGGTACTCTGGCGCAGGTTCGTGCGGCAATGCTGTGCACCACGGAGAGAACGACAACGATCTGATAATTTACAGACTGGTTATCCACACGTTCGGCCATTTGTATGTCCCTCGCGACCAATATAAATGCAGTTGGCACCGCGCACAGAGGATGGCGCCTGACTATGCCCGCCGGGTAAAGTAGAACGGGAAGTACGTGCGCGTCAGGCAACCCATATCAGTCGCTCGTACCTGATGAATGTACTTAAAGTTTGCTGCATCCCCGATAGATGTTCTCGATGCACTGAACACCCCGCCATTGGTGAGACCACCTCGAGCTGGCAGGCATCCCTTGTCTGCGGTCCCCCTCTACACCCCTCTGACCGTAATCTTCGTGCTACGCCAACCGTCTGAGGCACTGTCTTCATGGCTATCATCGAACTGCTGTTAGTGTTGATCGTGATCTTTTTCATATGCACAACGCGGGATCGACGTTCGTCTCTGCCTCCGGGACCGAGTCGTCTTCCCATCGTCGGGAGTGCTCATCACCTTCCGCTCAAATACCAACAGCACGTCTTCAAGGAATGGAGGAAAATATACGGCGCGTTACGCACATCTGCTAACTGGTGTAATCCATCTAACCTAGGTTACTGTACGTGTCCAATGTGCAGGCGATGTAGTGTATCTACGGATATTCAACAAGCCTGCTATCATACTCAATTCGGCTCGAGCGATGGAAGAGCTCCTTGACAGGCGTGGCTATAAATACTCAGACAGACCCAGGACCATCTACATTTCCGAGCTGTGCGTCGCATGCAGCCTTTCTCTCTGTCACTTACATGAGATTGATCACGACTGTATGGCTTCTTAAGGGTTGGCCTCACCAACAATGTCACCATATTGCCCTACGGAGATCAGTGGCGCCGTCAGCGCCGTTGGTTCCAAACCGCCTTTCAAACATCGACCGCACTAGACTCATACATCCCGCTACAGCGGCGCGAGTCCGTGAGGCTTCTCGCAGGACTCATCGATGCTAACCAGGACGGCAACGACGGAGATTGGGTAGGGATATTTCTCTTCAAGGGGCTCAAACAGTATGTCTTTTGTACTTTTGCAAATCTCCAGGAACTCACAGGCCTCTACTGCACGTCGTCCGTCATCGTTCTGACTATGTATCGTGTTTCGATCATTACCTGAGTCAGTTACGTTAGTGCTCTGATGATGGACATTGCCTACGGGCATAGTGTGTCGTGTCCCGACGATGAATTCGTGGCCCTTGCAGAACGTGCTATACTGGGTATTATAGAGGCTGGAGGCGCTGCCGCAAGCCTGATTGACTTTTTTCCATTCCGTGAGTTGCTTCCTCATTGTTTTGGTATGCCGTTCTGACCTACTTTCACTGTCAGTGAAGTTCATCCCGGCATGGATACCCGGCATGCACTTCATGGCTAAAGTAGCGGAGGTCAACAGGCTCAACCGTCAAATGATTGACGTACCATACGAGCGTGTGCACGCGGCTATGGTGCGTATACCTGAATGCCGCGGAGATCTAACTATTCAAAAGTGACTTCTCGAGTAGGTTCAAGGAACCGCACGCGACTGCTTTATGACGACGCTTCTCGACGAATACACTATCGATGGACAGGTCTCGGACTACGATAGGGAGGACATCAAAGGGGCTGCAAACATCGTATATGGCGGTACGTGGCTGTGCGCCCATGTGTCTTCACCATGCCTGACAGTAACACGAATACCAGCGGGAACCGATACGGTGAGTGTTGCAGGAGATCTTAGCTGCATTGACACCCTGTCGTCACACGCCCATGCCTTCTACAGACTGCGACCGCCCTAACAACATTTATGCTCGCTATTGTTCTGTACCCCAATACACGCCAAAGAGCACAGAACGAGCTCGACGCTGTGGTAGGTACAGAGCGACTGCCCGAATTCGAAGATCGCGCATCCTTGCCATATCTCGAAGCTCTGCTCAAGGAGGTGTTCCGGTGCGTCCATATAGCGCACTGCCATGTTTGCGTCGCATTGATGCCGATATGTGAAGATGGAATCCACCGGTTCCGCTTGGTACGTTGTGGATCTTGGTATGTCTATACATGCCACCGACTTACATCTAAACACTGCTGTGTCGTGTGTCGTGCGCATCAGCATTACCTCACCAGCTCACGGAGGATGACACCTATGACTCGTACACCATACCGGCCGGCTCGATGATTATGCCAAACGTTTGGTACGCACTCTTTCGCTTACTGAGCTATAGTAAAGCAGAACCTCGTATCGATCTTTCTCGCTGTAGGGCTATCACCCGGGATCCCGAATACTATGAAGAACCCGACGTTTTCAAGCCTGAGCGCTTCCTGTCGGCGAATCCTGAAAGAGATCCTCGTGACTTCGTCTTCGGGTTCGGTCGTCGGTACGTATCGCCACCTCAGTTCAGTGTGTTGCGTGTCTAACGTGCCTTCTCCCCGCTGACTTCGCGCAGGTTGTGTCCGGGCCAAGCTTTTGGTGACTCCTCTATCTGGCTCGCTGTCTCCCGCATCCTCGCTACGCTCGACGTGACAAAAGCACGCGATCCCACGACGGGCGTGGAAATCGATTTTGAACCAGAATTCATCTCGGGTATGATGAGGTAGGCATCACGGACTTCTTCGTGTATCATGACTGATGTACGAGTAAGCCACGTAATCCCATTCCCGTGTGGAGTGCGGCCAAGGTCAGACAAGTCTGTCGAATTGATACGGGCACTGGAAGCGGAGGAATCAACATAAAGGCTATCTTTGTCAGCACTGAAACACCGTGGAGTGGCACTATGGGTAGACTCATGTGCTCCCGAACGTGGATCCCCTGACAACAGAATAGTTTGTGTTGAGGGTTGGATTTGGGAGAGAGCTGGTCGCGCAGACGGATAGCCACTGTGGTTGCGCTGTGTTGTCGCGGCCCGCAGTACATTAACATAATAACGATGAATGTTACCATATGTGTATGCTCTGTTTGGCAGGAGCGTTGGGACTGCGCCGTCCGCGTCAACATTGGGAGTACGTCTGTAACCACAGAACCTCATTATACCGGATGAGTCACATAATTTTAAGGACCATGCGAGCGGCGAATGCTAAGTAGCTTGGTCGTTCAATGGTCGAGGGTCGTTCCTCGCTGAGCGGGAGTTCGCCTCACTGATTCATCACGTGAGAGGCGCGTCGCGACGCGCCGATCTGAGATCCGTCATGTTCATTACGGTTCAACGTCAACTTCGACGTCAACGCGACTCAAAACCCTTTCAAGTCGGCCATCAAGGTAGGGACAACGTACATATGATACCGCTGTATTGAGGAGCGCTGACCGGGTAGTCGATAGGCAACGTCTACTGTTCTTCAAGCCAGTTCAATCAACTCGGAGGCGGTTCAGATTCAAGTCCCATTCCGCTTCCGGTCGTAGCACACCCTTCCCGACTGCCAACCATGCCTCGAAATTCACTGGATTTGCGAAGTCTCTACGAAGTTGTACCACCCATTTTCGATCAATCACAGTTGTCTACCGCGAACCATCGGAAGAACTGTACTACCCTCCATAAGCTGCACCTGCAGGCTGCTTCCGTCCGCCAGTCCGTTCAGAACGGGAATGTTACCAAGCTCTCCGGAGAGAAGGTCTTCTATGATGTCTTTGTCGATATGACCTCTCGCGTACTCCCTATCAAGAAAGGCTGCCAGGTAGCCGACAGAGTCGTCAAGTTCATTGGCTCGTACGTACAGTTCATCCTTCAGAAAGGTGACAACCCAGTCCGTACCACACTCGAGGGAATGTCACTCATCTCTGGCGATATGCAACAGCACAGACCCAACAAAACAAACAGGGAAATGATGCCACGGTCGATGACACCCTCGCTGCGCGCTTCGCCCTCCGTCTTCTGAAGTGGCTCCTGCAAGGTTCAACGGCCAAGGACAAAACTGTCAGACTTCGCTCTGTCTCCCTAGTCACAGAGATCATAAGTCATTTGGGCGAGATTGAGTAAGCATTTCTGATTCAGCATCGGAACGCAGGCAGGGACTGAAATCATGGCCATCCTTGTAGCGAGGATACGTACTCTAACCTCAGAGAATGCTTGGTGGAGCGTGCGTACGACAAGGAGGCGACCATCAGAGTATACGCTGTCATTGGGCTGTCCAAGATCCTTGGAGGCGAGGTGCCCAGTGAGCTGCCCGCCAATCAGCCAAGCATGCTCGAGATCCTCCTGGAGCGTTTGCAATATGATGATTCTGCGTAGGTCCATTCTGTCGTCTCCATTATCTGCACTCACAGGCCGAACAGTGAAGTGCGCCGTTGTGCGCTGATGCACGTCCCTCTGACGCCGCGTACCGTGCCTGCCGTGCTCACCCGCAGTCGGGACGTGGACCCGGTTGTGCGCAAGCTCCTCTTCGCCACCATCCTATCAATGGGAGGCTCTAAAAGCAAATCGAGGTTACGGAAGTACCAGTCCTCAAGCAACTTTGAGCATCCGCGCCAGCTCACCCTTGCCCAGCGGGAGAAGGTTGTCCGAGACGGCTTGGGCGACCGGGAGGGTGCTGTGCGAGTTGCGGCTTCTCAGGCCATCGCTATATGGTTCGACATCTTATCCGGCCACGAGGAGACAGACTCGGACTCGTCGCTCGGAAGTGTCGTGGCTTTCGTCAAGCTGTTTGACGTCATTACCCAGGAGGGCATCGATGTGGCGGTGGATGCGCTCAAGTCGCTGTTCTTGACGAGGATTCTCGATAACATTGTCTTCGATGGTAAAATTCAGATATGCCTTCCCTTGCACATGGACAATGATATTAACTAAGCACTCTTCGTCTAGATGCCTTTTGGAGAAATCTCAGCGCGGAGTCCATCTTCGTCGCACGCGTCTTCACTACGTACTGCCGTGAGCACGACATGGAGGCTCATCTCGAAGCCGCAAAGGTCCCCGTTGTCACAGCGCTTGCCTTCTATCTGCAGGAAGCCTGCAACAAACTACTCGACGCTATTGAGGAACTGGAGGACGCCAGATTGCAGGCGGACTCTCGCTCCGAGGCCGATGCAGCCAATGATGAAGAGATGGAACGACTAGAGGACGTTGTCTCTGAACGCGCCTTTGTTGTATCCGAGCTCCTTCGCATGGCAGCCCTGTCAGACTTCTCCGACGAGATTGGCCGGCGCAAAGCGTTTGCTGTTGTTCGTAAGTCGTACTGATATATGGTGAGAGAACCGGCTGATCTTGATGCAATAATACAACAGGCGAGATGCTTGCACACGAACTGCTGCCAGAAAGCCTCACAGAGCCGTGTATGGACGTGCTCAAAGCGTCCTCTCCGAGCGAACGGGAGCTGATACGTGTCATCGTCGAGATGATTGCAAAGCTTCGTGACGGAGAGGAGCTCTTTGATGCGGTGAGTGACCAGGTCCTTCACCTCGATCACAGCTTCCTCACAATCAACAAGTCAAATATCTTGCCAGACGGTAACAGCTCCCTAAATACGACACAGAGCTCGCAACGAAGTCGCTCTCTGCGTCGCGCGAAGAGCTACGTCGACATGTCTGCGGAAGAACAGGAGAGGGCGGACACCATCGATCTGCGCTGCCTCGGGCTTTGCACGGCCATGCTGAGCCGTGTGCAAGGGGTCAGTCGTGGCATGCGAAAGCTTGTAGTGATTAAACCTAAAGATGATCATCACGCAGAGCTTTGATGAGAACTCGACACTGGAAGGCCTCCTCTCCGACCTGGTTATCCCCGCAGTCAAAAGGAAGGAGCTTGTCTTGCGCGAAAGAGGGCTCGTCAACTTGGGCTTATGCTGCCTCATCGCCAAGGTGAGCAGTTCTGACGACGCTTCACCAAATACAACTCAACAAAACGTCGGGTGACAGAGCATGGCCATGAACTCTTTTCAACTCTTCCTGAACCAAGTCCAGAGTGCCGCGGACGACCTGAAGACTAAGGTACTCCAGGTCATCTTTGACATCCTCATGGTGTACGACGAAGAGCTGCTCTTGCGGTCTGAGGACATCGTACGCTTCGTATTTCTCTAGTCATGACGGGTTGTGCGCTGACGCATCTCACTAGGCTAGCAAGATCGTCACGTTCCTGTTGCAGACCCTCGAGGTAGAGGAGTCGTCTGCGGTCCAGGCTGTCTTGTGCTTAGGGATCTCGAAGCTCATGCTCGCGGGCTTGGTCACCGATCCTCGGGTCTGTCCTCAGATCTCCCTGAGCTACACGCTTAATTTATGTAGTTCCGTTTGCAGGTGCTGACGAGCATGCTCATGGCGTATGTATCGCCAACGACGGCTGACAACCAGGAGCTCCGGCAATGTCTCTCGTACTTCCTACCCGTGTACTGCTACTCCTCCGCGGCAAACCAGCGGCGTATGCAGTCCGTGAGTCGTGTCTTCATCCCCATCGCTCGCGTCATGAGAGAACAGTGCTAATGCGGGTACGCACAGGTTGCGTTGGCCGCTTCTGACCTTGTGAGACAGGCGTACGGCGAGCTGGCGGACGAGGAGGAGATGATCAGCCCGTCCCAGTTTGGCTTGCTTCTGGTCGACTGGACGGACCCTCGGAAGCTGGTGAACGCGTGAGTGTACACGCCTACATTCTAGCTTGGCACATTTAACAAAGATACGTATGATAGCGACAAGCAAGGCTCCTCAGCGAACGACGTGCACCTCGACCTCGCTGCTGACATCCTTAAGGCTCTGTACGTCAAGGACAGGACAGGTGGGCGGCGCAGCGTTCCCGGTGGTACGCCCATGGTAGGAAGGCTGACTATTCAACCAGACGAGGAACGGAAGGACCTGTGCCAGTTGCTAGGAAAGCTGTACATCCCCGACAAGCCGGGCGACCTCACGCTGCTTCTGCTCCACATGCTGCTCTCGGACCTCGAAGACGTACGTTCTCTTTCCTTCCCTGATGCAGACGATGGCAAATCACGGATTCTTACCCGCGTAGCACTGCCCGTTCGAGGACCCGGCGGCTGAGAAGATGGTGGACAAGTTCCGCAGTGGGTTCGTGAAGAAGTTCAGCAGGCGGATCGAGGGCATGGATGCGCGGACGTATGCTGACGACGAACGTTTCCGCGAGTTGTGTGCGCTCATCGGGCTGGAGTTCGAGGAAGAGGGTGCGAACGAAGAGCAGCGTGGTGATGTAGCTGCAATCGAAGGTGAGGACGAGGAAGAGGAAGAAGGGGAGGAGGAGCCAGAGATACAAGACGTCCCAACTAGGCAAGACAAAGGGAAGGGAAGGGAGCAAGCCCAGGTCGCCGCAGAACCCAGTGATTCAGAGGAGTGAGTTGGCATTCCTTGAGCGCACTGACAACAGATTCACATAAGTGCCCGCTACAGATCCGATGAGGACCAGTCTGACGAAAACGTAGCCGATGACGAGGGCGCTGAACCACCACCCCGTCCTGCGGCCACGCCGAAGCGTAGGCTTGCTGTAAAGTATGTCCCCTACGCTTCCTTAGCCCGCACGTCCTTAATCGTGAATATTTCTAGGAGGACGAGGAGTCCAGGCCGCACATTCTTGTCACCCGCCCACAAGAAGGTCGCCCGCTATCAGAGCCCTCGGTAAGTGGGACCATATCTCCTCCCTATAGACATTATCTGAACCTCAATGCGGTGTGAAAGGAAATCGCAAAGGAGCAATGTTGTGGACGACCCCTTTGGCGACGCTACAAATCAAAAGCAAGGATCGGCTGCCGCAGGGTCTTCCAAGGGGTCCCAGAAGGCAAAGAGAAAGATAGCGAGAAGGGTCGTGGCGTCCTCGGATGCAGACTCGGATCGCGAGAACGTACGTGAAGTTGCAGCCAGTTGAGTTGAATCTTCATTGTCTAGAATGCCTGTTTCCGTGTTGTCCCGCGCCGCGAATGTTGTCTGCATCGGATAGATCTCTCCTTGGATGATTGTTGTTCTTCGGAATGTTGTCATGTTTGGATTACCATGTTGCACTGTCATGCACTCTGTTGTCGTGTTCTCCTGTCATAATTGTGTCTGTCTGTAGTTGAATAGAGATGGAGCAAATGGAAACGATTTCGCGCTACAGCTTATGCTACATGTCATGGGTATACAGTTCAGGCCGGCAATCCGTGCCAATGGTATAGAACAGCACCCTGAGGGTAAGATAAAGTTAGTGATCGGAAATATGCGCTGGACTGGACGGAAGACGTACGGTGCTGTTGTCCTTCTGTACAATCTTTCGGTTCACCAGCGCAATCAGACACTTGTTCACGCGTGCTTGGTTCAGGTCTGGTGGCTTCACCAGCTCAAGAACTGCAGCGCGCCGGCCCATAAGCACGCACGCAAGCCGAGCAATAACAGAAGCACTTACTGCCCACACCCCTCCCTGCACGGTCCAAAAACCCATCGACGATCTGCTCAAGCCACCGCCTCAAGTTCGGGTCACTCCCGCGGTACTCCAGCGGCAAGGCGTTCGCGACCTTCTCCACTAGGAACCCGCGCTCTTTCTTCTCCTTCGCCGTCAGCTTGGGCTTGACGACCTTCTTCTTCGTGGGCACCTTCGAGCCGGACGCGGCGGTGTTGGCAGAGGCTGCGGTGGCGCCGGCGAGGACGGTCTCGTTTCCGGGCTCGTCACCGGGTGGTGCGGTGGTCGTGGTGCGGAAGGTGGGGGAGTCAGGCGTTGGTGGGCGGTTGGCGGCGGCTTCAGTTGCGCGAAGGGCTTCGAGCGCTGCAGCAGCGTCTCCCTCTGCTGGGCGGGTGGTCAGACGATGCATGGTTGAAGCGCATACACTTACCGGCTCTACGAGCTGCGAGCTCGTAGGATGCGGTCGTCGGTGCCTGTACGCATCGGATGGTTGTTGTCAGCTCGTGAATCGTTGCTACGACGCGATGAAGCCGGCAGGAGTGCACGACCCTACGGCATGGTGCTGCGAGGAGATGCTCGGCGGGATCGAGGCTGTCGTGCGGAGACCGCCGTCTGCTTCTGCCGGGACCATCAGAGCAGCTGATGCATCACACACCTGCGGCCAGTCGACCGTGAGCGCGTTCATGTTCATCACGTAGAGCCAGCTGGCAAAGCTCTCGTTGAAGGTGCTCAGCGCGTCGCCGAGGTTGCGCAGGCCTTGGACGCTGTTGTTGAGCGCCTCGGCTTCGTCCAGGAGCTCGCCGAGCGCGGGTTCGAGGAAGCCCAGCCCATGCGGCGCGTCGGGGTATGCGGTCGAGCGCGAGAGGCGGAAGAGGGAGCCCTGCGAGACGCGGCGAAGAGGGGTGCGCTGGGGTGCAGGGACTGTGTTCATTGTGGCGGGATATGTCGTAGTGTAGAACATAGGCGGGGAGGGAGGGCGCTGGCCAATGGGGACGCGTCGTGCACGCGTGGCACGTGACTGGCGCGCGACGCGTTGCTGGTGCGCCACGCGACGGAAGACGGAGGCACTTGGCACCCAACGGCAGCGGATGGCAGCCAATTGGAGACGGCGGCGGGGCCATCTTGTTAGTTGCTTGTTAGATTGCGCTATTGGTCGCTAAAGTGCCTCAAACGCCCGCTAAAAGGCCTCAGCCATGCATCTGGTTACCACACCTGCGCCCCGTAAACGCAGCCCCGGCCCCTTCCTTTCTCTCCCTTGTCCAAGTCTTCGTCTCAGCTCGTCCGCTGGCGGACAGGATCATCGCCTGTGCTCCTCTGGCCTTCTCACCACCGCCAAGCCGCCGTGCAAGCTGGCTACATGAATCCCTCGTCCCCGCTCTTCGATGCGCTCAAGTCGCCAACCAGCTTGAGCCCCCATCTTCCGAGCCCGAGCTACAAGCGAGCAGTTCTCTCGCCCCGCGCTTCTCTCGACTCCGATGACTCTTCATTACGCGACCTCGAGATCTCGGAGGGCCTCCTTCTCGTCGACGCACCGATCACTGCGCGGGGGAAGGCATTCCCGCTTAGTCCCCTCGACTTCGAGCACGACCTTCTCCCGCTCACTGCAGGACTTAACAACACTGATGACTTCGCGGCTGCGGCGGCGGCAGCAGCACAGCCGAAGACCTTGGGTCTTCTCAATGGTAATGGCGCATCATATCCAGTGTCCCGTTGAGCCTAGATTGACGTTGTTGCAGGCATCGCCCTCATCGTCGGGCTGCAGATTGGTTCGGGGATATTGTAAGTGCTTTCATGGCGTCGCCTCCTTGGAGACAGCGAACAAAGGCGTTGGCACGATCTCGAGTGAAGTCCCATGGGTATAGAAGCAGGACTTGGCATCTGACGGACGCCAGATAATATTGATGACTGAGTGCTTCGCGTCCGCGATCGGTCGCTGTGGGCCCTCTACTACGATGCGCCACTCTTGGGGTCACCAGTATGTGCTGTTCTCTGAAAGGACATTATCACCACTGGTCAAGAGCATGTCGTTGCAGGCCCATAGACCCATGCGTTCCGATTCGCCCGCATCCACGTTCTCACCATCATGCCCGGTACTCTCGCTGACAATCACCATTTGACAGCTCTGCCCCGGGCGTCGTCATCGCGAACATGCACTCTGTCGGCGCGAGCCTCGGGATCTGGCTCGCGGCCGGCCTGCTCGCCTGGACAGGAGCGAGCAGCTTCGCGGAGCTGGGCTCGTCGATCCCAGTCAATGGCGGCGCGCAAGCGTACCTCCACTACGCGTATGGCCCGCTCGTCGCATACCTCTTTGCATGGACCGCCATCATTGTCCTGAGCCCTGGTGCGTCGGACTGCACGACATTTCTTTGTTGCTAACTGATGGGGGCGGCAGGCGGGAATGCGGTGATCAGTCTGGTGTTTGCGGAATACCTCAACCGATTGTTTTGGCACAGTACGAGTGCAGATGCGTCCCCAGACAGTATACCACAGTGGGCCGTCAAGCTCACCGCGGTCTCCGCTATCCTCATCGTCTTTGTGATATGTGTTGCCACTCCCAACGCAGCCCCACGAATGGCGGTCATGTTCACCACGGTGAAGGTTCGTCCGCACATCACATCTCCTTCCCCGTAGTACCGCCGCTCACACGGAACTATCAGGTTGTCGCTCTGGTACGTCAACGTCTAACGATGGCCATTCAAAATTCAGGCATATCATAGATTTTAATATCCCACCCACAGATCTCCATCAACGTGCTCGGCCTCATCCAGCTCGCGCGCGGGCACGCCTCATCCTCCCTCACCTCCGAACCCTTCTTCGCGTCGCCACTCTCCGGAGCAGCCGCGAGCTCGCTCGCGCAGGCGGGACCCTCCGAGATCGCGCGCGCACTCTACTCGGGGCTGTGGGCGTTCGACGGGTGGAATCAAGCGAACTACGTCGGCGGCGAGATGAAGGACGCACAGCGGAACATCCCGCGGGCGATACATTGCAGCATGGGGGGCGTCATCGTGAGCTGGGTTTGCATCGGTAGCCTTGGTTGCTGTTGACCGGCGTGGCAGATCTTGTTCTTGCTCGCGAACCTGTCGTACTTCGTCGTCCTGGACAAGGTGCGTCCGAAACCAGGTGACGGTCGTCATCACACTGATATCCTGTGTGCGCTCTCAGGCAACCCTAGCGCGGAGCAACACCGTCGCGCTCGACTTTGGGCGCGCTCTCTTTGGTCCCGTCGGCGGGATCGTCTTCGCGCTCATGGTAGCCGTCTCGTGCTTCGGCGCGCTCAACGGTACGTCCCCCTTCTTCCTTCGCCATCGACCGAACTCACGCATCAACGTTTGCGGCGCAGGCTCGGCCTTCACGTCGTCGCGGCTGATCTACGCGGCGGGCAAGGAGGGCTACCTGCCCGCGCTCTTCGGGCAGCTCAACCGGCGGTTGCAGACGCCGCTGAACGCGATGGGCCTCCAGGCGACGCTGACGATCATGTTCATCGTCGTCGGGGGCGGGTTTCGGTCGCTCATCAACTTCTCGGTCGTCGCCGCGTGGACGTTCTACTTCCTCACGGTGAGTCTGTGCGCTCTGTTTGGGGAACGGAGGAAGGCTGATGGGGGCTCGGTTGTGTAGGTCCTTGGGGTGCTAGTCCTGCGGATGAAGGAGCCCCAGCTGGAGAGGTAAGCGAGCCGATGTGCTGTGGAAAGGCGGTTCTGACTCGAACGTTCTCCCCGTAGACCGTACAGGACGTGGATCACAACGCCCATCATCTTCTGCGCAGTACGTTTCCTCACGCAGACTATCGAACTCGTCGTTGACCAGCAATTGCGCTTAGGTCTGTATTTTCCTGCTGTCGATGCCCGTCAAAGCCGCGCCAACGCAGGCATTGGCTGCCATAGGTGAATAAACTCCGAGGCCGACCAAGTCTCTGGTACTGACGCGGTTACGGTCAGGCTTCATCCTGGCGGGCATCCCCGTGTACTTTATGACGCAGCGCGAAGAGCTCTCGTCCACACTGAACGCCATCTGTACGTCGCAGTTGTAGACTCTCATCTCGCTGTCACATTGACGAATTGTTTTCGACGACGCAGCGATCGCGAAAGATCGGTTCGAGCGACTACGCGCGAGGTGGACGCAGAGAGGTGGCGGCTGGCAGGCCGTCGCGAATGAGGGCGAGGACCGGGTCGAGATGGTCGATAGCGGACGGACGTCTCGGATGTAGCTGGTAGCGAGTAGAATGAAATACGTCGAACGTGTTGTTGTACGCTGTCTTCGAGTAGTAAACCCAGTTCTGCTCAGATGCAAACGCGGTCAAGATGTTCAGAGGACAATGGCAACATAATATTGTGAGCATAGTGTCATAGTACAAGAACGCTGCGCTGGCTCCTACTGATCCAGCGCGCATAAATAAACATACATGGCTTTAGTCCGTCAAGAGATATTCCGCATAGTTGTGTCATAGATATGAGCAGCCCAAAGCCGCTCATATGACTCGCGCGTCGTCCGAATCAGTGTAAGGCATGAGGTCTGGCTCCTGGCCCGTATGCCCCTTGCTGTGGCGTAGGCCTGCGTCGTACCTCGAGAGCACCTTGCCGCAAAGCATGCACTGCCACCGGCCTAGGCCGTTGTGGACCGCCTCGTGGCGGGCGAGGTCCCGCTTGTTGTCGAACGCCCACTTGCACTCCGTGTGGCTGCACCAGATCATGGCGCGCTGCCTGCGTTCGCGTCTGGAGTTCGCCCGCGACAGCGAGGAGCGTGGCTTCCGGCGCGTGCGATTCACCTTGGTGTTGGGAGGGCTGGCGGGTCCTGCGACGACGTTCTTGGGGCTGGTGACCACCTTGGAGGCATGCTTGGCGTTACGAGCTGCCCGAATACGCTGGGTAACGCTAGCCTTTGGCTTGATAGACTCGGGCTCGTAGGAGGGGTCATTGTAGGAATCATCTCCGGAATCTTGATCCAACTCGTCTTCGTCGTAGATATCCATGTCGTCGTCTTCACCGCCAAGGCCATTATCGTCAACCTCCGGTGGGGATCGTGCCGCCTGCAAGGGTGCGGGGCTCGGAGAGACGAAGCGTGGAGTTGACTGAGCTGCACCTCGGTCGCTGAGAGGACTGGACTGCCGTGGCATGCAAGAGGAAGCCCCCATCAGTGGCGCAGACGAAGCCCTAGGAGACGTGCGAGTATTGAATGCAGAGAGCACCTCACGACTGTGGACAGCAGGGGAGTGGGACCTGCTCGCGCGCATCCGCGATAGTAAGAGGACTGCAGCCTGCTCTTTCTCTCCCAGGTTCTGAAAGTGCCATGGCGCCGCGCTCAGCGTCGAGTTGTGTGGCGCAGGTCCATCAGGTGCTCTAGTCTCGATAGAGCCTTCATACCGAGATTCGGCCAATGTGACATGTCCGGGATGCGAGGATCGAGAGTTGTCTGTATGGAGGGGCTGAACAGACACAGCGACTAGGACGGTGTTGGATCTTCCTTCGGAATGGAATACGAAAGACGTTTGATATTGACTTGGATCGTGTGGTCGCGGATCTCCAAGCGCTGCCAAAGAGCTAGATTTGGAAACCCGATGCTGGATAGGAGCTGCACCGGGGATAGGAACAGGATTTACGGCAAGATGAATACCTGTGGCGTTGTGTGGCACCTGCAATGAAGCGGTCGTTCGATCGAGTGAGATGGTGGCCGCTACAAGTAAAGAATACGTACATTGTTTCTGTCTTGCGAAGCCTCCGACACATTGCTGACCATTGGTGCGAAGTTCGGTGAGGATACCTCCACCACGAATCGCATACCAGTGTGGCACGACGGGTGAGTAGTGGCGAGCCCCGACCCCCTGCCGGGGTCGGAACTGTCAACTTGAGGCTGCATGAAGTGAGCGGGTAGAGGAAGGTAGACGAGAGAGAGGAGGGATGCAGGATCAGACATACGCTCATGAGTTATATACGCAGACGAGAGTGGACGCGCCACAGTGGGCCAGTCGCGCGAGAGGCCATGGACGAGCGCTCGATGCCAAAGCGTGGTCAGCGCGCTTAATCGGCAAGCCTTGTTGCCCCCGACCTCCGTGCTCGTCTTGCAAGCTGTACATGCGCGGTCCTTCTGTGCTGGGCGTCACACGCAGGGCTGTACCAGGTGCATCGATGTCCCAAGGATGTCAATTGTCTTCGCATCATGTGCTCCCGCTTTGTGCAACTTGTCGACGCCACTTTGCGAAGACCAGCGATACGACTTGGGTCAGGCCGGACCGGGACCTGTGCGGTATACCTTGTAGCCACTCGATCCAGTACGTTGAGTCGTAGGGGATTCAAGAGCACTTAGAGCGAGGACGGTACGACGCTACTGGTGATGGTATCGGTAAGAGCTCAGTCAGGCTGCCGCGTTGGCGGTGCATGCATCGGGCACAGTGATCGATTGATGTGACATCGCAGTAGGATACCCGCTGCCTTTGTGTTGCCTTTGTGAGGGAACAAAGACGAAGTCCAGAGTTAACCCACAGAAGGTGCGCGTAGTCATCTTAGACTGCATTTGGATCTCCCAATTTACTCAGCCATTGTCTAAGGATGTCGATGCCTTTCAAACCTGCAGGTGGCGTTCGGTGATGACTCATCTAGACCGAAAGACCCATCGCTACGCGTTAATCACCTTCTCCGAAAGACAGCGAACGTAAGAGAAGGCGCGATCGTCTCAGTGGCTCACTACATACTTAGACCCGGCGACTCGGACTTGCAGCAGTATCCATCTGTTGTGACACTGGAGACGATATGCTTCACCGACGAGATGGCCACTCTGCGTTGCAAATGGCCGTGTCTGGGTCCGCAACTCGTCCATCTGTATGCCGTGAGCCCAACGATCCAGGCTAGAAAGCTGAAGTACGCTGCATACGGTCTTGACCTTGTGCGTAGCATTCTGTTTGTGAAACAACGTGCATTATGTTGATGCAGATGGCCCAGCTCCTGTTAAGTTCGGTGCAGTGATCAGTCCTGATAACCATGTTCCACTGTCACAGTGAAGGCAAATCGCAGTGCTCGTATTGCGACCGTATCCACAAGCAGTCGCTCCAACGTCACGGTGAGAGACTGAGTAGTGAGATATTCAGAGTGAGATGAACAGCCAGCGGATTGAGAATCATGCCTGTACCGTGTATCTGTCGTTCGTCACCCGCAGACATGGAGGTACGTCACACAATTTTTCGTCACTTGCAAATGACTCGTCAACTGCATTCTAGATTCTGCCCGGCCAATGACGGAACGAACTTCACTGTGCATGCCGACATACCAGTGGCTCTGTACGGAACTCACAGATCCTGGCCCCGGCGAGGAATACATTGGAACCAACGAAGGTGTACGGTTGCAAAGGTATTGAAGTGGTATATGGGTATAAGTAATGACAAAGGGGTATCAGGTTGGTACACTCAGCCTATGCATCCTGGGTACCGGTACCGCTGCGCAACTCAACAGTGTACTGGCGAGAATTCGGAAAGATATGATGATGCCCGTGTACTCGGATGAGAGGGATACCATGCTACGTCCATAGCAGGATCCGGAAGCTCAACCGTCGGACTACCGATTGGTTCCTCGAACGTTGAAGAAGACTCGGAGGTTCCTTCCCCGGCGTTGACGAGCTCGAGCCACGGATCCTCCCTCGGGTGCCGTGCGTTGTGGTGGCGTAGTCCTGCGTCGTGGCGCGAGAGAATACCTCTACAATGCATGCACACGACGCGTTGGCCTGTATGCGTGCATTCGTGTCGCACACGATCACTCTTCCGCTTGAAGGTCTTCGGACAGAAGCTGCATTTATGCAGCCCACCCGATCGCTCCTTCCCTATCTGACTCCCGTTGGATACTCGGGCGGCTGAGGTCCTATGTGAGGATGGCACATAGTCCTCGTCTTCGTCTACGGTGACCCTTCGTCTCTTCGTGCCTCTCTGGGACGTGGAAGGTCGACAAGCCTGCGCGTGAACATCCTCGTCATCCTCGTCCGGAGTTGTTGAGCGGCGTCTTTTCAGATTTGTGCTCGTCTTCGGATGAGCAGCTCGTGCATAGTACACCGCGAGCGGGATTTCTTCTTCCGAGTCTGATGAGTCGATGCTGCTGAGCTCCGAGTCGGCTTGAGGAGATGGCGCACGCGCCGGATCGTCCAATGCTAGGGCATCGGCGCCGGTCTCGCTGCCAGTCTCATGCAGCTCCAGTGTCGCGCCACTGGGATCGTAGCTCGCGTATTCTTCGATCGCGTCAATTGTAGGGGCGAGCGGACTTGATGTCATTGAAGGCGTCGACTGCTGAGACGATGTATCCTCGGCGGCATCACGGAACAGTCCCGACGCCAGTATAGGAGCAGGCCATGGCGATCGTACAGGTTTTGAGAATGCGAAGAGAGGCGGTAAGGCGACACCTTCGGAGAAGGATTCGTGTTCGTAGCATATGTCCCAGTAAGGTGATGGGACATCAAGAGTACCCTTGTCCAAGTACTCGAGGATTGCTGCCATGAGGTTCATTGATTCGGTGTTAGGGGGACTAGGGGGCGGCGTGATTGTATAGGATGAAACAAAGTGTTCCTGAGGAGTTCGTGAGTCATAAGACAAAACTATGATCATATGTGTGCTTACCTCCATTACCCGTGCAATAGGTTCGCTGCCAAATAACGGCGCCATAGACCAACCGGATTCGTAGGCGTGCATGTCTTGCCAATTTTGTCCGGAAATGCTTCTGCAGTGGTTCCTTGGAGTAGAGTGTACTGAGTAAGAGAGCCGCGGATGAGCGTGTGGCGTCCACGGAGAGGTGCGATTGTCTACGGAACGCCACTACTGTCGTGCTTTTATAGCCTGCTCACCGCCCAGGTATACGTGTGTGCGGGCTTATCGAAAGAGCGTCCTCAAAACACAGCCGATGCCATCCACATTCGCAGTCATCTTCACCCTAGAAGCATCGGAGCGCGCCGAAGGGACTCACGGTGACCCAAGGAAATGCTTAGTGCGCGGCATACCACCCGCTCGCATAGCCACGCGCCTTCTGCAATAGTCCCGTCAACTGCCTTTCTGGGACTTGCGCTGTCGGCTTGAACTCCGGTCGCACATGAAGTCTACCAGGACGCGTGCTCAGCGATAGTGCTCCGAGCTTTGAGGCGAATTGGACCTTCCAAAAGACAGAATAAAGTGAGAGGAAACCGCGAATAAGCACCATCTAAGATATAGGTTACCTTCCTGTGGCGTGCGAGGGCACCCGCTCCTACCATATCTGGACCAGGGGCGGTGCGCACTGCGCAGGACCCTTGCGGTTCGTGTACCATCCGCAGAGAAACAGGGATTGTAGCTTCTGGTGCCTCGAGGCAGCCAACGCATGACAGCGATAGCATAGGATTGATATACGCTCTCTGCCGCAGCCGGTCAGCCGCACACCGACTGGACGGTAGGAGTCTCCGAGTCACATCGCATGACTGTAGCAAGCGAGCAGCATCTCAACAGCTTCTCATGAATAACGGAGGAACAAAGCCTACCAAGAATGGGCATATGTAGCATAGCAATCCCACGCACAGCATACTGCCCTGTAGACGTATGGTGTGGACCACACGTGGTACTTATTCAGGGCTAGAGTCAAGGCCTCGTTCGGACCCTAGATGTTCTTGGGATGTAATCACCGGTCGGTGTTCGGAGAGACAACCCAGGATAAGCATGATTGGGCCTTGTGGAAGGTAGGTAACGAGGTTGCCTTGCGGAAGGTTGCCGGGGCCCGGACAAGAACAACATAAGGGCGCCAAAAGAAGACGGTTGTTTGTTTCCAAGGCCCTTGCCAAACAAAAGAGTCCCATATATGGTGAGATGCATGACACGCCGCTGGCTGGCATGCCGACCTGGAGACGCCCAGAGTCGGCTAGAGTCGGCCCTCCCGCATGCTGAGGCTATGGCTCGCTTCGGCACTGGCAGTGGCACAGCAACTCAAGAAGCCTGAGGGGGATGATCTGAGGTAGGGGGGCCTGGTGGCAGTGAGTGAATGAGTCCTGACGCAATATTTGTCCTTCGAAGGGTGTATACATGCATACAGTATATACACTTCGACGTTAGAATACTAGCCCGAATGTTCGAGGGTTGTAGATCGTGATTCGTCATGCCCCGCAGGGAACTTGGCGAAGGTTCAGATCGTTGATGCTAGATTGACAAGACGGGCCAGAGGCCATGACATTCTGACCCGCACCTACGTACGGTTGTAAGCAATCGGCGGGATCGTACATTAATACGAGATCGATGACTGAGTGCGTCCAATAGATATCGTGAATAGGTGCGGGCTACGAATGAATGCTGTGGGAAAGGCTAGAGAAAGAGATCGCTCGAGAGACTGATGTGGGCGCGAGGGGAAGGAAACGAGAGAAGAGAAGAAACGAGATCATGATGAAACGTGTAGACATGCATGCATACGGACGTGAACCAATGGAGGGTATCGTGACAGATATCCAGAGCAGTTGAGAGCGCCACCGACCTAGCACCGCCAGCGAGTGATGAGTCTCCTCGCTGCCGTAACAAACCGCAGGAGGGCCGCTAGCGCAACGACTGCTTTGACGAGCGGGTGCTCATGGGTGGCGGCCCGCCAGGCATCGCGAAACCCTCCGGGTCCTCGCCCTGTCCCTGGACCTGCTGCGGCTGGTCCTGTCCAGAAGCCGAGCCCGAGCCCGAGCTGGCGGCCTTGATCGACATGAGAACCTCCTTGCAGTACTTGACCTTATCGTAGAGGCGCTGGTTAAACTTCAGCTGCACGGGGTCCGCGACCGGCGGGCGAAGGGCGATCGCCATGATCTCGCTCAGCTTCCACCGCGTGAGGTTGTAATCCTTGTCGATGTGCGTGATGAGCAGTCCTTGGGACGAGAGGATGACTTTTGAATGATCGTAAAAGTTGAACTGTCATAAGAAGCGCGTCAGTGAGACCGAGCGAAGCCAGGGCAGGAAGACGCGAAGACGCACCTGTAAGACGTCATGACTCAGCTTAAACACGATAACGTGCTTCATGCGGAGATACTTCTGCACGAAGTCCATCCCCTTCGTTCGGTTCGTGTCTTCGTAAGTGTATGGGTAGTCGCCGTAGAGGCGCTCCATGATATAGCGTTCGAAATGCTTGAGGAGGTACACCTTGCTCTTCAGATCTTCGGGATATTCAGATACCGTATAGTTCTTGCGCACGTATACCGAACCCTGGCGCCTCGAGGAGATGTAATCAAAGTGGCTGTGAAGAAGATTAGCAAGTGACGCTTCTCGATCGTCGGAAGTGTACGTACTGTTTATCCGCAGAAAGAATCATCGTCGTACTGTCGTTAAAGTGAACACCAAGCGAACCGTCGGTGAGCGCATAGCCCATGCCGTATTTGTTACAGTAGTCAACCCAGGAGACGATGAAGACCTTCGGGTCAGGCAAGCCAGGCTCCTCGCGTGTATCCTTGAAGACGCGACCTGCAGCCTTTGCCTCGAAAGCCGCCGTGAGAGTCTGCGCAGCGGCGTCGAAGCCGTTCGGGCGGAGAGCAAGCGCATTCGAAGAGGACGACGGGGCCGCAAGGGCTGGCTCGTCCTTGGCGATCTGCTTCTCCTTGACCCGCTCTTTGTTGTTCTCGCCCCTCCGTTCGCGCGTGGATTTGTACTCCGGTGGGGGCATATTCTCCTGGTCCTCCTGGCCACACGCTGAGGGCGGCGCGCTGCCCGGCACCATCTGCGCCACAATACGCGCCTTCTGGCTCTCTAGCTCCTTCTTGCGGATCTGCTCTCGTTGCGCGTCCTCGTCCTCCTCGTGTTCCGCGATGTTTTGGAGGTTCGCGCGGCCGGGGCGCACGGGCGAGCGCAAGTCCTTGGCCGCCTGAAGTTTGCGGATGAGCGGCTCGCCGCGTGGTGCAGCGAGAGGCGCAACAAGCAGAGGCTGCCGTGCGGAGCTGAGAAGGGCAGAGATTGGTGAGCCGGGCTGCACCGCCTTCTGGAACTCCTTCTCCTGCTGAGCCAAGCTCGACGACATGCCTTTGCTCTTACTCGAGGTAGCCGCGGCGGGCGGGGGCGGCGCAGGGACATTAATGCTGGTGACCTGGTCTTCATCCAGCAGGGCGGTTCGCTTCAGGCGCGCGAGGTTCGCCTCAGAGACCGAACGCGTGATGTGGGAGAAACTTGGAATACCATCGTGCGCAGTTGCGGGGATGTAGCCAGGCACGATGCCGGAGGTGAACCACGCATGGTCGACGATTTCATGAAGGGTGGGGCGCTGCTGCGGGTCGGGGGTGAGGATCAGCTGGACGAGCTCCCTTACTTGTGGGGACACAGCGCGGTCCTCGGGGAAATCGTACTCGTTGTCGCGGATGCGCTTGTAAATCGCCTTGACGTCCTTCGTTTGGAAGGGTGGACGCCCAACGACGAGCGTGTAGAGGATGACACCAATCGACCACGTGTCGACCTCGAAACTGTGTCCATTCGCGGTGTCGAAGAGCACCTCGGGCGCAATGTAGTTTGGCGTGCCGCAGATCGTCTTCTTGCGCTCGCCCGGATTCTCGATAAGTGCCGCGAGGCCAAAGTCACCGACCTTCACGTTCATATTCCGGTCAAGGAAGATGTTACCAAGCTTTAGGTCACGGTGGATGACCTGGTGCGTGTGCATGTACTGGCACGCGCCGATGAGCTGGACCATGAAGAAACGTGACTCGGGCTCTGTGAACCGTCGCCGCCGTCGGAGCATGTCCATAAGCGACCCGTTGTGGCATAGCTCGAGCGTCATGTAGACGTTGTCATCGTCCTCAAAACATTCCTGGAAATTAACAATGTTTGGGTGGTCCAGCGACCGGTGGATCTTGATCTCAGCGTAGAGCTGCGTGGTGGTCAGGCGGTATGTTCAAGTTGCCACGGCGACGTGCTTACCTTTGTCTTTGCCTTCTTTGTCTTCAAAGAGGACTTCGTAACGACTTTGCAGGCTACCCTCCCGCCGCGGGAGTCTTGAACTTCATAGACGCGAGCGAAGCCACCCTAACGATATATGCATTAGTTGATGTTGACACTCGCACAGAGCAGCTTGAGGTACACGAAATGCTCATAGAACGATGTTGCACATCACGAAGTGTCACCACACGTCACAAGCCTCCTCAGTGGCCGCAACCGTCACCGACTCGGCAGGATTGCCACAAGCATGGCGACGCAATGCTCACAGGAGCAGCACACGCGCCCTAAGAATGGTAAGGTGTGGCACATATGCCACAGGGACCGCCCTGATCGAGATGTTCAGTTGTTGAGCTTACCTCGCCGAGCATTCCAACGCGGACGAATTGGATGGTTCGAGACTTGTCGGTGATGAGTCTAGGAGGCGAAGGAGGCGTGACCTTCGCGTTCTGCCTCGGGAGAGGAGGCGATGACGGGTTGCGCTGCTTCTCTTGGACTTGGACGTGTGGCTTGGGGGGTGTTCCGGGCGGTGCGTAGGGCTGGTTTATCGCGCGGTGGTTGGTGGGGGCTGAGAGGGGGTTGCGCCGGGGCGGGGGAGCCATGGAGGAGTAGAGCGGGACGGACATGGTCGCGGGGGGCCTAACGCCGTCGACGCAGGGGTGGCTGGTGATGGAGGGGAAGAAGCAAGGTGCAGCCTGCGACGTCGTGCTCAACGCATGTTAGCCACGCTTACATAAGCCCACGTTGTTGGTTCGACTTTCGCGTAGCGCGTTTGCCACGTGATCGTGGTCGGGCGCCTGCGCGATCGACGTGCGCGCGACGCGCCGGGCTGAAGCAGCCTCAGCCACTCGACCGGCTGCCGCGCCGTCCATTGTCTTCTTGGTCAGAGCGAGCCCCCGCCGCTATGGTCTTCTTCGTGATCCTGTGGCTATGCTCGCCACTCTTGTTCTCCTCCCTCCACCACCACCATCCCCCCGACAACTAACGTTGCCCTCCCCTCCCCACTTCAGCCCCGTCTATTGTCTCGCCACCGCGGGCGACCCCCTATACATACACCCCTCCTCGTCGTGCTCACTGCTGTACAATGCGAGAACGACACACCAACCTTACGCCACATCGTACTGCCATGGCTGGGACTGCGCTGAGGTATGTCCGCTTTGTCCTTGTCAGACAGAGGAGGAGGGGACTATGAGGTCCCGACGTCGTTGTGGCGCACGACGTTCGAGCTCGCCATACGTGCTGCTTTCGTTGTTGTTGCTTCGGACTCGCTAGGCTTTCCTCCAAACGCTTCTCAACGCGATCGAGTGTATTGTGGCGTTGATCGCCGTCGTGCGTAGCACGTCGTTGTCGAATGTATCCTCGCCGTTATTGCGTGTGTCGTCGGGGACAGTGCCCGCGTTGCTCCCCTCCATGCACTTCACCGTGACTTCTGCCCGTATTTCCTCCTATTCTGGAGGACCGCGACGATGCCGACCATTGGTCCTGCGCTCATATAGCACGTCGCGTGCTCTACTCCGTGCCCTAGTCTTTGCCATAACGCCACATTCAACTCAGTCGCCCGACTGTGATGTTGTGGCGTTGCTCATCCTTACTTCTGAGTCGTTGACCTCTCGAAGGCGTCCGGATGACCGGGCTATGTCCCCTTGGACCCTCGAGCTCTATCTGCGCCTGTTATAACCGTCGTCGTACGCGTTATGGCCAACGCCACATCGTCGTACGCAGACTGCCCACTGCTGGTGTGTCTACGGCCTGCTCGGCCCGGGCTAGGCATGTCATGTCACTATGTCCATGCCTACATTCGACCCTTGCGATGTGATGCGTAGGCATAATCATGCGGCGTGGTCGCTGTTGATGGGCCATGATTCGTATGTGCGACGGGCCTTGGGGCACAGAGTCCAGGGTCAGTCCTCGTCGACATCCACTAGTGTAACTACTAGTACGCGCCCTATGTACGCGTATTACGTAATAGGTGCTACTGTGCGTCCACGACGCGTCTGCACGTCCCTTCTGTGCATAGTCGCCCATGTGGCGTTGTGCATACAACAGAGTCTGAAATGGTTCTAATGGTATCGGACGGTGACGGGTGTTGATACGAACGCGTTGTGATGTTGCCTCGCGTCGAATTGGTTCCATTGTTCGGTCTTTGCTCTTAATTGGCGGGGAAGGGCGAACTCCTTCACCTTTGCGTTTCTATCACCGTCTTGAACGATATGTACTCATACTCTTTCCTCATCGTAGGTCCAAAAAGAAGCGCGATGACGCTAAGCAGTCCATCAAGAACCGGATGTCCATGAAGCCCAACAAAGCGACGGGCATGTTGTTGCTACGGTTCAAGCCGGCGTCAACGAACCGCCCGAAGGTGCAGCCGACGCCTGCGCCAGCAGCGGAAGCCAAGGGTGAAGATGGCGAAGTTCAGATGAACGAAGGCAATCAAGAACACAACGCAAATGGCAAACCTGACGAGGACCACGAGATGGACGAGAGCGGCGAGGCGAACGTGGAAGACGGCGCAGATCGCCAGCGCGACGAAGCACAGCGTGTCCTAGCGACTAGGACGCCCGTAGACGAAGAAGAAGACGAGGTTCTCAGCTGGGGCACCAATGACTGGGGCGAAGACGAGCCTAGGAAAGACGACGACGAAGATGGGGAGGAAGACAAAGACAAAGATGAGGAAGACGAGGAGGAAGACGAGGAGGAAGACGAAGACGAAGACGAAGACGAAGACGAAGACGAAGACGAAGGGAATGAAGGGGAAACAGAAAAAGACGGGGAAGCCAAGAAGGGTGGCGGTCAGTCATTCAAGCAAATCGTTCCAACACATGACTCTGATCGTCCTACAGAAACGGAAGCAAATGAGTCTTCGGAGAAGCTGCAGCGAGGATGGGAAGCCTCCTCAGAGGCTTCAGACTCTGACGAGGAAGCACCCGCACAGACAGAACAACCAAAGGTTGCGTCTGAGGCGGAGGTGAACGCCTTTCTCGACTCTATGGTACAAACACATTTCGGCCCGCTAGCTCGGCCTGAGGACCTGGAGCAGGACACCAAGGCCGCATCGACCCAGGTGTCTCCTGCACATTCCGAGCGTTCGCGCTCACCACCAGAGGAGTCCTACCGATCCGCGGCACCATCACCCGAGACTCAGCGTCCAGCAGCTCTACGCTTTGACGGCAACAGTCGGTCGCCGTCCCCAGAGCCGGAGACCCCTCCTCAAGCCCCAGTAAACTTGCGCCCGGCGAGCGACAGCACGAAGGGCAAGTCCCCGCAACGAGACACGGGCCTGGATTTCGGTATGGGGTCACTGTCGATCTCACACGATGCGCCAGCCAGCAGGCCTGCCGAGCCAGACCTCAGCCTTCATGCAGTCATGGCGAGGTTGTCATTTGCGAGCGAGCCTGCGGCAACCACGCCTGCCAAACAAGACACCGGTCTGGACATGAGCATGGCGTCTCTGTCGATCTCCCCGGCACACCCCCCGCGCTCCCCCATCAAGAAAGTCGTCGAGAAGGAGAAGCCCGCGGAATTGGAGCTCGGTCTGGAGATGGGTATGGCGAACTTGTCGGTCTCTCCACCTCGTCCGCCACGTTCCCCCAAACCTCAGCCTCTCGACAACGTCGTCGAGAAGAAGGAACTCACTGCGACGGACGCTACAAGGGATGTACCATCCATCGTCATAAGTCCCGCTCCGAGCGCCCCGCCCGCGCCCAAACCTCCAGCGCGTGCAGCTCCTTCTCCTCCTACTCCCTCACCGACTGTCGTGGCCGCGGCAGTCTACCCTCTTTCTGCACGTCCACTTCCAGCCTCAAGACCCCGCCCACCTGCAGCTGCTCCCCAACCTGCAGTGCCTAAGCCATCCACTACCGTGATGGTGCTCAAACCCCCTGCGCCACGTCCGACGCCATCTGTCATGACACCCACCACCCCTGTCGACAAGAAGGCCTACATGGTCAAGCCTCCGCCCAAGCCGGTCCCCAATCCACAACCTGCGGTGATGAACACGGCTGTGGACGCGGATGCCATGATTGTCGTAGCGTACGATAATGACGAGGATTCGGTGATGTCTGACTCGGACTCTGTCTCCAGCGGTTCGGTGAGTAGATTTTGTCTATCTTGTCTATCCTATGAGGTGCTGTCTCATAGAGTCTTGTATGCAGAACGCGCAATGGGCCGGGTCACAACCTATCATATTGCCTTCGCCACCAATGCTCAACTTCCAGCAATCGCAGCCCGAACCAATGGTCTACATGCAGGCGCAACCGCAGTTCGCGCCCTCAAATTCGGTCTTTCCCAATGCTTCGCAATGGCCAGCCGCTACGCAATCACCGCCACAGTCCCCGTTCGGACAGGGCCAGTACAACCCGCCAGTCGTGTTTCCACAACCTCCTGTGGAAGCATTCTTCGGCGCTGTCTCTGTGCCAAACCGTGATGGCGATGTCGCTGCGGACATGGAGATCGATGACGAGACCCCGCGATCCCACTATCACCCAGCATGGGTCCACTGCAAAAGCCGCGCAGCCCGCGATGCGTACCGCGCCGAAACGAAACGGACGTCCAAGAAGGCCTTCCGTTTGCGCGCGAGGCGGCGCCACAATCCGTCGCGCCACCCGACTCGCCGTGACATGCGGCGCGCGATCTTAGCGGCGCGCTCTGTCGCGATGCCCCAGCGCATAAATGAGGAGAAAGCTTGGGAGAAGGTAGACGAGGATGTACATATGGGCATTGAGGTCGCTCAAGCACCGAAGACCACCCGGCCTACGTCGACCCCAACGGAAAGGCAAACAAATCCTGTGACATTGACAAAGGACATAGAGAAGGCAGTCGCCGCGCCCACAGCAGCCAGTGAGGCTCCGAAGACTGCAGCACTACCTCAGGCGACGCCGAAGGCTAGACCTGCGAGTGACTCAGTGAGGACTATAATCACGATGATAGAGGTATATGAACTGACACAGATCCATAGATCATGCAGGGTGCCAAGGCTGACCAGGCATCGGGATCGAGCGCTGTTCCACCATCTCCGAGGTCTGCAACGAATGCGGGAGCCGCGAGCGAAACAGTAAGTCCCACCATTGTGATATGTAGGTGTAGTGATTGACGCAGTTTGATCGATCAGGGTGCCGCCACGAGCCCTCAGGTTCATGCGCTTGAGCGTGCAAAGGCCTCAACACCACCCGCCAAGGCTAGTTCGGAGCCCAAGTCTGCTTCAGCCGTTGAATCACTCGAGGAGATTGCTCCGACAATCCCCGCTCAAGCCGCAGAGGGCAAGGGCAAGGGCAAGATGAGAGCAGTGATTGTAGAAGAGAGTTTCGACAAAGAGACCGAGGAAGACGACGACGATGACGACGACGACAATGACGACGATGACAATGATATCTCGCTTCAAGTCGCTTTGCAACGGTCTTTGGGAGGCAGCGCCGTCGATCTGCGGGCCGTGATGGAACAGTCTGCACTGTTGCCTCCCCACCTTCAAGGCGAGTTGGACCCATCAATGCCTGGTCCATCCAGGTTACCAGACATGACGAACACATCGCCGCGTGCTGCGCCGCAAGAGGAGCGTGAAATAGATGAAGTGCGCCAATTGCAAGAAGAGATCGAAGCGTATTTCGCCGCGCTTAAGGAATCCGAGAAGGCAGGAGTAGCAGCACAGTAAGTCACTGATTGTAGCTTTGTATGAATTGCCATGCTGATTGCGATGTGTAGGGTCGAACAGCAGTCCTCTACGACCAACAACACGCCGAGTGTCGTAGCGGGTGTCTCCGAGGCGCGAGAGCCCGTCGTGAGCACGCCGGCCTCCGCGACTGGCCCCAAGACGCGAAGGGTTGCGCCGAGAGTCCGGCCTTCAAGCGGTGTCCCTCAGCAGAAAGTGGGCTCGGTCAACCAGCCGGCCAGTTCGCCAACGGACGCGGCCCCTGCACAACGTCGCTCGCCTCCAGCTAATGCCGAAGCCAAGCCTGCGTCTGTATCCTCGAAGCCCGCCGCATCTGCTGGCTCGAGGACGCAGGCACCGAGCAATGCGCAGCCAGCGCGGAGCGAAGGTGACCTGGAGGCAGCACAGGCACTTGCGACGCTTGCGTTCGCGAAGGTCATCCCGAAGACGCCTGTCACAATGGATGCCCAGCCTGCTGTCTCGCCTGCTCTGGCGCCGAAGACCTCGCCCGTCTCTGCTCCTCTCACACCGCAAGGTGTTCAGCTAGCTGAGAAGGCCACGCCGAAGTCGCCGGAGTCGAAGAGTGCTCGTCCAACGCGTCCAATTCCGGCCGCGAAGCCTACAAAGGCTGCTCCGGCCCCAGTGCCTGTTGACAAGCCGGTTGAGGAGAAGGACGAGAGGCCATTGAAGGCTTTGCCATGGCCTCTGCGACGTGCTCCGACTTCCGTTCCTACCGCGCCGTCTGCGCCCTCCGCACCGTCTGCGCCGTCTGCGCCGTCTGCTCCCTCCGCACCGTCTGCGCCGTCTGCGCCGTCTGCTCCCTCTGCGCCGCTTGCACCCTCCGCACCGCTTGCACCCTCCGCACCGTCTGTGCCCTCTGCACCGTCTGCTCCCTCTGCACTGTCTGCACCCTCTGCACCGTCTGCTCCCTCCGCACTGTCTGCTCCCATTGCACCATCTACAGCCGCTGCTCCGTCCAGTCCCGCCGCTCCGAGGCCCTCTGTCACGCACAGCTTCCACACAGCCCTTGCAGCGTCCACGTCCCCCCTGCGCGCTGCGCCTCTCGCGCCCTCCGCGCCACCCGCGTTCCACTCGAGCATCGCGACGCTCCCCACCTCCTCATACGTCCCGTCCCCGCTCGTCGTGCCCACTCCCGCGCACCGCCCGCGCTCACGGACGCGCCTGAGCCTGACGCCGGCCTTCTGGGAGCTGCAGCTGCCGCAGCGGGCGGAGGAGCCGCGCGCGCCGCGCTACGTCCACCGGGTGCACACGTACAGCGAGTTCAACGCGGAGCACTACGCGCGGGCGCTCGCGGAGGAGGCCGCGCGCACGGCCGCGGAGGAGCGGGCGAAGGCCGGGCGGGCGCCGGTGTACAACCCGGAGACGGAGGACTACGACTCGCCGCTGATGCCGGGGTCGTTCGACGTGGAGGAGAGCGGGAGCGAGGGCACGGACGCGGCGTCGCTGGGGTCCGCGGGCGGGGTGGAGGCTGCCGGCGGCGCGCGCCGCAGCGTGGTCGTAAGGGTCGCGCGGGGGGCGGGGGTGGTGGTGGGGTCGGCGGTGAGGATGGCGGGCACGGGCGTGCGCTGCGTTGCGGGGTGGTGGATGCGGCGGTGAACGTCGGTCCCCCCCCCCCCCCCCCCGAGTCCGACGCGGACGGCGCTCTCCCACCTCCCCCCGAGCGGCCGGCTCGACTGTCGACTGGGTCTGGTTTTTTTGTGTCTTTGGTGTTGTGCTGCTCATCTGGCTGTCGTTGCTCTGCTGCACTTGCTGTCGACTCGTCGCGCTTCGTCCCCACGGTGGACTCTCGCATCTCCCCTCGCACATCTCATCGCTGTCGTCGTCTGTCCATTTGTTCTGTTTTCCCTCTGCTTTTATCCTCTGCTCATCTCACGCATATGCACAACCTGATCCCACACCGCCTCGGCGGTACAAACGTTAACCCACATGCATCCCCATCTATTCGCACAGCTCGCATTGTACTCCCACCCGCACACATCGCCGTTGCAGCAGCAGCAGCCCGCGCCGCCCCACATATACCCATACACCGTGGTTATACCCCTATACCCCGGCGGCGCGGGACTCCTGGCTGCACATGTATACTATACCCGGTCAGTTTGCCAGAACACTGGCTGCTGGCCTTGGGAGGATTGGTACGATTGTAGCTGTAGTCTCTTTGTTGGTTTTTTTCTGGTCTGTTGGTACTGTATGGTTCGGAATGGAATGGAACGCGGGTGCTCGGATAGAGACCGCTTATACCCCGTATGACTGGTGTGATGTGTGCGAGTGCGTGCAGACTCTGAGTAGGACAACATACTCTGTGTCGCTCGTAGGCTCGCGATGATCCATAGTGAACGTGAACATAGACGCAGCACTTGCAGTATCGTACATGAGTGTCCGGACACAGTGTAGGAGTAAGAGCATATGGTACGTAGGTCGAGCGACGTTCCCTGTGCAGTGGTGTCGTGCGCATACAGTCGTGCCCGCTATTGCTCGCGTGCACACAGGATGCACCTTGTGGGGAACGTGCACACAAGCACGAGTCGGCTGTATGGCTAACCCAGCGGCGAGCATACACCACATGACTGCATCCGCACTTCGCGGAGACGAGCCAAAAACGCTGGCCCAATGGGAGTGGGTGAGAGCGAATGGGAGGGCGGGGATTATACGCCCGAGGCAGAATGGGCGTCGGGCCGTCGGTGCATGTTGGCCGTAGAAGGACGCGGGGGCGGATGACGCCAGCGACGAGGTTAAATAGGCCGACGTCATCTGCCCGCGCACGCACAGGTCCTATGACGCGGCTGGGACCCGGGTACCTAGCGCATTTACGACTCTGCCTTGCACCAGCCTTGCGCTCTGCTTGCCGGCTGCGGCGTTAGCGTCGTGCGAATCGCAGGGGGCCCGTGTCTCACCTGCGGCGAGTCAGAGGGAGCTGCCTGGGGGCGGGCACTGGCCTGCTATAAGCCTACCGCGAAGGCCTCCAGGACGTCATCCGTGAGAAGCCTTTCGAGGCGATGTGTCCTTCTGGCTGGCTCGACGGGCTCGGAGGCGTGGGGTGAGCACGATCGGAGTCGTTCGACGGATGCCATCTTCCCGGGCTGTCGCGAATCTGATCGCGCAGGGCCATCACGGCTCCACAACGTCACCAGAAGATTTCATTTCCAGGGACGGGGCAGCCTCGAGGTCGCCCTCTCTCCCGGTCACCTGCGTCGTCCCTCTGCACGGACCTTGCCCACGTACGTTGTGCGGGCGAGCTAGCCTGCGACGCGGGGACGCCGTCTCGTCGCCCACCGCGATCTCTGTCGTGGATAGCGCGGTTGACGCAGGGGCGTCCGCGCTCTCACCGCCGCCGGGAACTGCGTCATCGCTCAATAGGAAGGGGAGAAGCGCGATGCGTACGCCCGCGCACACGCACACGCACACTCATATTCGTGTACATTCCGCACGGCCCCGGCTTCTCGAGGACGTCACGGCTTCTCGCGCACGACGGGCAATCGCCCTTCCTGCCAGTGCATCCCGGATCCATATGCAGGCCTCAACACTACCGGTGAGCACAGACAGCCTTCTGAGCGCCAGGAATAGCCCGCAGCCCACCCGGTCCGTCCAGCTGACGCGTATGGTCCTCTGCCTTCCGCGCCCGCCATCGTACTATGGCACTCCCGTCGGCAGAAACAGCACCGTCGAATGCACTCGAACGTTCGCTTGCGTGCCTATCTGCAATCTCCAGGCAATCCTCCACCTCGACAAAGTCGCGGCGCCGTCGAGGTCAAGGCACTGCTCGCCACAGCGAGGCGAGACGCGGTACAGTAACACAATGCACCGGCGGTACACCCAGGGCGTAGGTACAATCATAGTCCGGCCCAGTTCTAGCGTCCCGTAAGTGATCTATCAGCACGTATGCAAGTTAGCCGAATCAGACCGCCCGCCACACAACAAGGCAAACGATCGCGCAATCTCCCCCCTCCCCTCCTACCCGCTAGTAGTAGTAAGTAAGCAGGCCTGTTCCCAACGGCGGGGCCGCCTCCTCCATTATAATCCGGAGCGAGAAGCGCACACACCGCGTACCGTCCACCGTCGAACGCTCGCATTCGAAGCAGACTAGCTATAGCCCGGTCTGCGGGTTCCCGCTGTTAGTATTACTATGAGATCGGATCGCGCGCTCGTCCGATCCCCGTACGGCCCAAGCTCTCTCTACGGCGTGCTCGCTATGGTGGCTTCGAACGACGCGTGCCAAGACGGGGTGAGGCGTGCAGGCGGAGATAAGCCTCGAGTGCTCCCTTCGCGTTCGCCTTCGCCTTCGCGGGTGATGCGGCCTGGGGGCTGGGGCGGCGAAGACGACAGCACGTAGACGGAACAACAGGAGCCAACAACGCTCGTCGCATCGGCAGGACCACTCATCGACAGCCCGACATCCAGGAGGGCCCAACTTGAAGACACTCGAAGCCGCATCTGCCACCCGATCGTGAAGCGTCTGAGCCAACACTCGAGACATCCGACTCCGGGGCGGCCGCATCAGAAAGGGAGTCCCAACAGCACCAGAGCGCCGCCACGGTACACACTGTATTGCAGATGCGGCTTCGTGTCAATGTCAGAACCCGCCACTGGCACACGGCGAGATTCACCCACGCACAGGATTGGCCGAGCCTAGCTAGTCCAGGTGTCCGAGCCCCGCAGTAAGATTTCGCGTGCGTTGAATTGCGATTCGGCACGACAGGCCTAGGAAAATTGAACGTCGCATCATCGACGTTGACGCGCCTTCCCGAAGCCGGTTCCCCAGATGGACTCTAGGTCTTGCCTCTTGATACGAATCGCCGGCGAGCCCGGATCTCCAGCGCGTGCGTGTACGCACCACTATCAGCGTGGCGTCGCGCGCGTCTGGATCGTGCGTGGCTGGATCGTGATTCGTGGATGCTCATGCAGCTGGCTGCCGGGTGCGAGGACGGGCGTGTTGCGGACCCACTGTGGCTTGCTGCAGCGTTGACGGCGTCTAGCAGATACGCAGGACACAGGACAGAGGGCACGGTTGTCAGTGAGAGGTGGACGGACGGCTATCGGCGTCGCATCACGCCACGCCGGACGGGCCCACACCCACAGACAGATCCTGCGACCGGGGCAATCGGCGGGACAATGCAGCGTGCGTGGTGGACACGCGGGGGGACGCGGCCGGGCCAGGCCAGCCTGAGGGCCGACGACGAAGGAGCACTGAGCACTGGGCAGAGTTAGGCAACCGAGCTGCCCCTTTAGGCCGGGAGAGGACGAACGCGGCAGGTCGGGGTTGTCGCGCGCAACTTGAATTACAGTACGATCACGGCGCCGTGCCTCGACCGCGAAGCTTGTTCGGCTGGACTTGCGCCCTCGCTCGCGCTGGGGGCATCGCATGTCCTGCGAGGCGAGGGATGGCGCTATGATATGGTGCTGCCGTGAGGACCACCGAGTAACGTATGCGCGTACGTACCTGCTAACGGCAGAGCTTGATATCCCAGATTTCCATGAAATTGCATTTTGCATTCCAGATTGGAGATGGAATAGTCCATGGATGCGGATAGTACACAGCGGTGGCTGGATTGCTCGCAGTGGACGCCGCATATCGCCGCCCTACGTACGTAAGCCACGCGGTTCGCCTTGCTTGCTCGAACACAGCGCGGGCGACACAATGTCAAGAGGGATCCGAACGACCGTCGCGCGCGGGCCCCGTCCCGACCATCAGGATCCAGCGTGGTTGGCGTTGTCTTGTCCTGGCCCACGATATCGCCCTGAGCGCGATCAGAGTCTAAGCCACGCGCGTCGGCGACGATCCGCCTGGCCAGGAGCAGGAGCGAAGCTTCCCTCCCCCGGGACCGCGCAGAAAATCCACCTCGATCGCCTCGGAGTCCACGCGCAGTCCGACTCCAAGGCCCGAACCAAGCTTGCGCCGCTCCGTTTCGACACACGCACTGTTGGCAGGAGCACGGTGGCGGCGTGCTGGCCCGCCGGGACCACAGTCCGCCGCGGAAGGGACGCGCATCGCCAATCGTGCTTGACATTGAGAGGATGTAAGGGAATGGGAACGTGCCTGAGCGTCCGGAGTCCGTAGTGCGTGGTCCCAGGTGGCGGCCAGCGATAAGCCCACCAGGCAAAGGGAGCATAGACTCCCGCGCAGCCCGCCCATACAGTACACAGAGCGGAGTGGAGCCTCCGCATGCCAAACGGGCCTAGCCTACGCACGCAAGTGTCCATCCCAGCCCAAGCGCAAGTCACAGGCCGAGGAACGTTCATGCAGAGTCGCCCCGTGCGCACCCGCCAACGGCGTCGCTCAGATACGCGGGGAGAACCGCGCGATCGAGCAGCCAGCAGCCAATAGCCAGCAGCCCAGCAATCACGGTATCGCGTCCTTGTGGCCCGCGGCTCGCGGCTCAGTCAATTGCAAGGGAAGTCGAATCAGCCCAAATGCGGCACGGACGATCATCGTCTCGCCGGGGCGCGCCCCGAGCCTGTACGGAGGGCCTTCACGGCCACGCCGAGCGGGGGATAGACACTTTGATAAGAGTGTCCGCGCCCGGTGCACGCAAGACGAACGTTCGCGCGCAGGAGAGGTGGGAGCCGCGCGGTGGTGGCCGGGCGCGCTGATTGGCTGGGCGAAGGAAGTCCAGCGCCGAGCGCGGGTATACGCCGGAGTGGCACTGGGAGGAGGGGGCCTTCTTCTGCAGCCCTTCTCCCGACGTTGTTCCTGCATCGGGGTCGGCCCTCGGGTTGGGTTGGGCTCGGTTGGTTCGTGCTAATCGCCAATCGCTCTGCGTTGCGGGGTGCTGCACGGAGGGCTGCGTTGGCGAGCCCGTGGTGCGGGCAGCTTGCTGAGACTAGGACTAGGCCGGACGCGGCGGAGAGCTAGGATCGAAGGAACAGAATGCACCAGAACAGAGCGGATTGGTAAACGGGCGGATGCTTGGCTCTCGAGAAACCTAGATACGCAGATCGGAGAGGCATGCGCAGTCCCAGAACCCGTCTACGAGCCCCAAGCCTAGCTCAGAGCGGCAAGCAGGTGCACCAGCACGCACAGACGAGCGACCACCTGAGCACCCTGATTCAGCGTAAAGCAGAAGAACGAGCCCCGTCTCTCACGTCGGCCGTGTGCGCGTGCGGTGCTTGAACCCGTACCGGACAGGCGAGCCCAAGGTCTGTGCGCTCCGCCAGGGATGGCAGCACGGATACACGGAGCAAATAGGCAAGGACCGGACCCTTGAGCAGCGTTGCAGTTCGCAGAGTGGGCGCGGGCAGTTACGTTGAATGGGCCGTGATGAAATGACACTTCGAGGTGAATTGCGGTTGGCAACAGCGCGAGGACGATAGGACGGAGCTCGACGGCCACCGTCAGGAGCCAGGACGCAGGCACGCGACCCTCGAGGGCGACGTGACATTGGCCGTCCCAGGTCGCCTGGCCACATACCATCGCATTGCGACCGAGCGTAGCGGCGAAACGGGAACAAGACGGGGACACCCGTTACAGGCAGCGAGGGCGCGAAGCGTTGTGGGGGATCTTCGCAAGGGGAAGGCGCGCAGAGATGAGAGATGAAAGGTGAATGCCAGATGGAGCACGCCGTGTCGATCGTATCGCAGGTTTTGGGGCAGCAAACTAGAGTGTTACGGCAGGCAAGAGAGCGTAGCGACGGGATAACGAGAGATGCAGCGCGTCTAGAGTCTAGATGGAAGCGGTTGACGAGATGCGCAGACACTTGACGTCGTCTGGAGTGGCCTGCGGGTTTGTCAGTGTGGTAAGCATCTGCATCAGCATTGACGGCGAGTCTATCATTAACGCTGCTGATAGACACGCGGGATTGCTAGGATACCAGCAGACCCCGGAGCTCAGCGAAACGGCGACTCGTCCCACGAGCTCCGGGGCTCTTCACTGGGTGCGTGCACACAGAAGGTGCATCGTAGCTTCGGATGACAGGGCCAGGACGGGCGGACGGGTACGATACGCGCGGAGATGAGCGGGCCGGCGTGCGCGGATGCCATTTCTGGCAGAGCAGGCTGAAACTCGGTGGGAGCGGCGGGGGCGGCACGGGCCTGTGGATGCGCGTCTGAGGGTGCGTGCAGGGCGAGGGCGTGCACGCGCGGGCGCATTGGGACGACGGAGATGACGGGCTTAGAAGCGTCCGCGGCTGGTGCGAGAAGCTGCCGGAACGGTGCAGACGGGCCCGGCTGTGCAGCGTGCGCCGCGGGCGTGGAGGGTGCAGATTGCCTGCGTGCTGGCCGCGAGGGAATCGGTGCACGAGAGGTTCGACGTATCTTCGGCCGGATCGGGAAGCATGTCCATAAGGGTGGACAGCCGCAGACAGGACACGGAAGCCTGTATCGCGAGGGAGGTTCGGCCGAGGAGGCCTGCAAAGGAGCCACGAGTGCTTGAGATGAGAGCGGCCGCAACGAGGATAGTGCAGATAAGTGGGCGTGAATGGGCGAGAAGTGCGACGGCTGGGCAGAGACGCAGACGGGAGGTGGAGGAGGAATGCTTGGAATGGCAGCCCGTGGCAGGGCGAGCGTGATGGCAGGTGACGGACACGGGCACGGACCGAGCAGCCACACGCAAGCTCCGACAATAGAACGCACTAGCGGCCCTTTGTGCAAGCGCGGTGGCGGCTTGGCAGCGCGCGTGGCGGGGCGGGGCGGGGGCGCGGTGGGCGGGAGGCTGGCGGCGGGCGGTGCTGGGGCGGGCGTGGGCGACGAAGCCACACCGGCGAAGGCAGGCACGCCTCCGGGAGAGGCCGGGGGAGGCGCGCAAGAAGCCGGATCGGGGCTTACGTGAGCGGTAGAATTTGCAGGATGTGGCGGACTGCTCTCTCGCTAAACGGTCTATCATATATCGCCATCGCACCCAGCATGCCTCTCCGCTGCTAACACGCTCTGCTCTCCTCTCTGTCGCGGGCCACTCATACCCTCGCCCACAGTCGTCGACATGGGCCCGACGTTCAGCCCCTGCCCCCGCCCCATCCTCAAACGCCCCTCCACCGTCGCCGACGTGCCCTCCCTCTCCCGCGACCGCGACGAGCCCACCGAGCTCCTCGCCATCGACCGCGGCATCCTCCAGCCCGTCGTCCGCTTCCCGTCCCGCCCCGCCCTCTCCAAGACCTTCTCCGCCCACTCCTCTGCCCAGTACGACCGCTCCCCCATCGTCGTCCAGCCCAACACCTGCGCCCTCCCCGCCCGCGGCTGCCCCGGCCGCACCTACAGCCTCGACGACCCCGCCCTCCTCGCCTCTGCGCGCGCGTCGTCAAGCAGGAGGCGCAGCCCCAGCCGCGCAGGCCGCCACCTCCACCCGCGGGCGGCCGCGGCGCTCCCCGCCAACGAAGAGGACGACGACCCGACGCCCCGCGCGTCGCCGCACGCGCCGCTCCCCGCGCTCGTGCCCGACCTCTCCTCCGAGTCCGACGAGTCCGACGGCTTCACGAGCCCACCCAACGAGCTCATCGCAGCCGGTAGGCCCCCGCTCGCATGTCTGCGGACCCCACTGACCGTCGCGTGTCCGCTAGGTGCCCACCCGCGCAGCGGGAAGCCCGGCGCAGACTCGCTCTCCATGGGTCTCGCGTCCCTCCACCTCTCGCAGTCCGAGGCACTCGCGTTCCTCCCCCACCCGCCCTCGCCCCCGCGCATGTACGGCTCTGGCAACGCGCACCCGCCAGAAACGGACGCCCGCGCGAGCCGCCATGCGCGCAACGGCAGCCACGACGGCAGCGGGAGCCCGACGCGCGAGCGCAAGCGGCACTCGCGTACTAGGAGCGGCGCGGCCGAGGCGAATGCGCGCTACAAGGCGCTGTCAGATGGCAGTCGGCTCAGTGACTGCTCGCTGGCGGACGACCTCGGGTGTTTAGGTGGCTTTTAGCATACGCTTGGCGCATCCGGCCGTGGAGGAGGGGATGCGAGAGAGGAGTGGGTCTATGGCGGAGACCGAGAAGAAGAACGCAAAACGACCCTGTACACGCTACGACACGATATCCGATATACCTTACCCCAAGCACACCACACGAACAAGTGACCGTCCGACCATCCATATGCATGCACTCTACATTATTCACATCACAAGTTTTCTTCTTACTTCATATCTTACATTGAGTAAGTTATCTTTTGCGCGGCGGCGTGCCTCGACTGGCATGCTGCCCCGCACACTCCATTTTACTCGACCTCCCATCGCGACGATCTCCACCGCCCGACGCTTTTCCGTATCCTTATCCCATTGTGCCGCGCACACCTCTCGTTCACCTTCTTATTCTCGACTCCTTATAATTTCTCACCAAGTGCGCGGCACTGTTTGCACTACCGTATTCTTTGCTATTGCAGTTGCTGCACTTCCACTCATATTCCCTGCTCCGCTGCCAGTGGACCACGAAATGAATGAAAGCCCTTCAAACATCCGCCTGCCCGGCAGCGCCAGCGTGAGCACAGCTACCACAGCATCGAACGTGTCGCACTGTGCGCAGTGTGGTCTGTGCACGGCGCGGCGAAACCGCGCAAGCATCCACCTCACAGCCCCTCCGCGCGACGCTCGCCACTCGTCAGCACGGCCGGCGCTACGCGCTTCGACGGGTCACGGTCTCCTGCCACTGGCGCCTCGGCTGAATTGAGTTGTAACTTACGTGCAGCGTTTTGGCTCTGGCATCTGGCCTCCGGCTCTCAGCCTGAGGCTAACTTAGCTCGGGGGACCAACTCTACAACTCTATCAACCTTCCAAGTTCGGCGCACGCCTGGCTGCACGCTGCTTCCGTCGCTCGGGCCCTAGGCGATGCATGCATGCTCAGGCTCGTGCTCGTGCTCGTGCTTTCTCACAGCATCCAGAGTGGGGTGGAGATCCGGGGCTCTACTTCGGGCCAGGCAGGTATGTACTCAGACTGTAGCTAACTTGCAATTGGATGTATGCATTGTGCACGCATCGTGGCCCACTATGCGTAACTGGAACTTACGACCGTGCGAGCTCAGGCCCAGGGGTGCCGCGCCTTCTTCCTGGTAAGTACTCGGCTCCACTCGATTTCGTGTGCATGCGCTTGCTGGAACCGTGCAGCGCGTGCCTGTTGCGCTGCACGTCTGCGTCTGCGTCTGCGTCGAAACGTGGTGGCAACTCGTCCCGCATCCGCCGTCGCTCGCGCCCGTACAATGTCCACGTACGGCATAGGCTCTCTTGTACGGCATTTCTTGGCGGACCATGCATGGAACAAGGATCGGCCTCGCCATGCGAGTGCGAGTGAGAACGCGTATGGTCCGAGGCGGTGTCCACGGTGCGCACGGACATTAATTGTTGACTCATCGACGTCGACCTGGCCCGGGGCGAGTAGTGTCCGGGGTTGGCGGGTAGGTACCGTGCTGAAATTTGCTTGAACTTGAAGCTTGAAGTCTCACCACGGTTCTTCCTGTGCCAAGTCGTCCATCTGTCCATGTCTGGCAGTGGCAGTCTAGAGATCATTGACAGCGTCCGAGGATGAATCTCACTTGATGCTGTAACGCTGTATGCTCCCTCACAAGCTCCGAAACCCTTTCAGCTGGCCGTGGGCGATCGTGGGCGTCCCGGCAGCCTTGCCCGGGGTAAGTCCATTTACGACACTTCCGAGTCCACAGACTCTCAGGTCCACCAGGTCTCGCGACCATCCGAGCGGGGCCCCAGATCTGCAGAATGCGCAGGCCCGCAACATACCCGCCGAACGTAAACAGCCTCGTTCGAAGGCTTCCTTGTCGACGCGGACGGCCCACATCTACAAATCACGCCCTCCCAAGCAATACGATTGCAGCGCGGTCTAGCCAGGTGCGCTGCCCGTGCCCGTGCCCATTAGCGGATCCGGGGTCGAAGCATGACTGTGATCACAAGTCGTTCATCGACATCGCCAAGCCCGCGCGCTACCCTCGACATTGACATTGACATTGACACGGCGGACGTGCGCATACGTAGGTCCCCTGGTCGTGCCAACTGAATGAACGGGAGAAGCGCCTCAAAACAAGCTCGTTGAAGCTCCGAACGGCTTCCCCACAGAGGTGGGTGCTTCCCCTTGGCGAGTCAATTAGCCGTCCGGGGGCTCATGACATCCTCGTCCCCAGCATTGAGGGGAGTGGGAACATTCCGGAGCGAGTGTTTCCGTGCACCACAGCTGCTGCGATCGATTGCCGGATTGCAGGCCTCAGGCCTCAGCGGTCCCGGTCCGACGTGAAGACCCTCGAACGGAACGGGTAAGCTGCACGCGTATTCTAAATGTGAGAAGGCACGGGGGGCGTAGGATGAATGAATGAAGGATCGACTCGCGGGTGGAGTCGGTGAGGCACGCGTACCGGATTCGACGTCGCTGATCACGGCGACTTGGGACTTGGAGTTGACCGTCGACGCATCATGTCGGGAACCTGCGGTCAGAGGTGTTCGAGTTGAGAACGTGGACGAGCGACGCTATGGAAAAAGGTCATCATTGCGCTTCTAAGTTGCACTGATTTGGAAGTGTAACTTCAAAGGACGATAACCTTGAATCGGAACCCACCGTCGTTGTCTATGCTAGTGGTGGAAATGAATTTGATGGTGGAAATGAATCTGACTGAGAGTAAGCGACATGTACCCAATACATTGTACTAGCTTTCACGGCGCGATCAGAGAACAAAAGTGCTAGCTAGCTCTAAACTCGTAGAACCTATACGCCATAAGTACGGTTGTACTGTACTGGACTGGTACTGAAACAGTGAGTCTGCACTCAGTACTTGAGCACGTGCCACGGTGCCAGTAGTCAAGGTGGCGGCGTCTGTGCGGCGTGGTGCCGCATCCACTCTGCCTTGAACCGTACGTACGACGTACGTGGCCCGGGCATGCACTGTCGACGTGCTATCTCTACGTACCTTCGCCCACTCACTAGTATTGCTCCCTCATCCTCGTCATGAGCCTGCTAAGTCTCAACCATGACGTTCTCTACCTCATTGTCGACTTGCTTCCTCGACAGGCTTGCCTCGCCCTGTCGTCGGTATCTCGTGGCTGTCATAGGATTGCACGGCGGAAAGCATTCACGTATATTCAGCTAAGCACCTCTGCGCAGCTGGTCAAGATGCACGACACCCTAATCCACAACATCGACAACCGTTTGATATGGCCGCGGAAGTTAAACATCGACACACACAAAATCATGTCCCGGGAGGCGGGCATTGTTGCCCTGGCGGGTATCCTCGAGCACGCATGGGACCTAGAGGTGCTAAGACTCCCGTACCTTTCGTGGATCGCTTCGGACGAGCGGTTCAGAAAGTCTTTCATCGCATTACCGAAGCTCTCAGAACTCCATCTAGAACTCGGCCAGGAGGACACCATCGCCGACTTGTGTAGGATGGTCAGTAGGCCCAAGACACTACATCTCGGATTCGCCCCGCATACGACGTCGGAACACGCTGTACTCGCTACCCAGGCAGCCGCGCTCGATGATGTCAAGGACCTCTTTCTCACTGGTTTCAGGCTCAGACCTGTGTACCTTCATTCGACGCCTGTGTTCAACCTTCATTCGACGCCGATGAAAGCCTACCCGCAGTTGGAGAGCCTCACTCTCCATAACAGTGACTTATATGCGAGCCTCACTCTGTTTCCTGGCATACGAAGGTTATTCGTACCGCGGGTCTTTTTCCTGACACACCCCGGCCCTCCGGTCCAGCGACACCCTTGGCGACACCTCGACCACTTGCGTGTCCGAGTGTTGGACCTGCACCATTTCTCAACCTTCCGGTGCCATGCCTTGACACTAGACCTCACGCCGTGTTCCAACATTCCCGCGGAATCAGACACCGGGGTCGTGTCCACCGCTGCCGTCGTGACGTGTGACTGGGACCACCAGGACCGAGACGCCGAGTGTTTTACGGCGCTGGCGCAGATGATATCCACAAAATCTTCGAGAGTGAGGTACCTTGTCTTGAAGTTCTGGTCCCTGACTCTTGCTGTCCAGTGCATGGTACGTCACAGCGATGCCGCTATTTCCTGACCTCCAAGTACGGTTAAATATCTTGACAGTTTGTTGATACTTGCTATGTATACAGGAGATCATGCCTGCTGTCCTGGCCTCCTCGCAGGTGATCGCCATCCATTGCAGTGTTCGGAAAGCGTTGAAAGGCGGGTGGCGCGTGACGCAACAACACGAGAAGGCCCTCGTCTCCGCTATACCCGGGCTCCGATTTTACTGCAAGCACTACGATGACCGCGCCCAGGAATACGCCGAGGTGCTTTCCTCGCATACCGACTGGGGACGGGTAGAAAGCGATGGCGACACTCGCGTAGTGCGGCCGATTGCTGGTTGGATGGGCGAGAGGATCCATCGCTACCTGCAATCTCCGGGGTTTTGTGAGACGTTGCGATTCGACGGTGCGTATCGTGTTGGGAGAACCCGTGGGATGAGCCGCTGAATCGAAGCTTTAGAGGACGAAGCCTTGCGTTACACGGGCCGATGAGCGCGATGAAAGTATCAATGCGTCGAGTGAGCTCGCAAAGCGGGAAATGCGACATCATCCAGGAGTCAGGGACGTACAGGACTATGTATTGGTCCATCTGGAGGACGCTGACTGTCGGCCTGTACCCCGCGTACTGGCGCGTAAGATCCAAATTTGCTTGGTTGTCGTGGAAGAATTACTGAGTTTTCTGACTCTTCATGGGCAGTACCTGATGGCGACATCCGTCTCAACCATAGTTCCCAGTCTGTCAACGGCGCTGCCGCGGGAATGTATATATTATATACACGTCTATCTGATCGTCAAGCTTGCATGGCCCGCGGATGGTAGCTGCGATACACGATGACCCACATTCACGCAAACGTCGTACTCCAACATCCACGGTCTTTCATCTTCATAACTAGTACCGCGCGGTATTGGTGCGTCGAGCGGGCTTGACTCGTCTTTGGCAGGGAGATTCTCGGTTCGTCTGCGACCAATTCTTGATGCAAACCTGTCTCGTGCTAACACTGGAATCATTTAGTACATGACGACAATGCGAGGTGTTTTGGATTTTCAACGAGCATAGTACCCGCCGACAGCATCGATATCAGACTAACGTCTTCTGCATCCTGGCTGTCGCGCCGTGCTCATCGGCCATATGCATGCCTTTGGTCTTCGATCCTGCTCAGCGCGATGATATGCGCTTCAACGATATGCGCTGATCAATTGCGCCCAGTGTACATGCTCAAGACGGCATGGAGTTACCTGACTATCCGTCAGCAACTCCTCTCGGCGTCCGTTGAGCTAGAACTACGCTCACTCCGCTTTCCTGCAGGTACGGTACGGCATTGTTGGTAGCTGCTGGAGTGCGTCGCATACTCGTCGATGGTGGCTTCGAACTTCACAATCCTCGTTGATGTTTTGTAAGTGCGCGTATTATGCGCGTCGAAGAGACCGAACAAGGGAAGTCTTCGAGACAAGTTCATTGTGCCTCCGGATGGCTTCACGCAGTCTTCGCCATGACTACATGCAAATTCTATCCCGTGACGAGCGGTGCTCTCGCAGCTTCAACTCAATGGTATGGATGTACCTTAGCCGGAGCTATTGATCTCAAATGAAGGCATAACATCCTGCAAGCGAACCGTGCGCGAGGCTCAACTTCCAGTAAACGTACATCGGTGAGGACATTTAAATGAGTTCTAGTTCATTTAGCTAATTGATCACACAGTTGCTGTGCTCAGGTTTTGCACAGACCCAACACAGAGCCACTGCAAAGCCACTGCTACAATAATCATTGCGCGATCGTGTATGCGCTTATCAAGGTTCTGCCGTAAGTTGCCGAAATGCGACTGTACAGTCCCTGGTAAGTACTTCGAGTCATCGCGATCTTTCATGGTTCTTCGTGGACACTTATCTTCCTGTTCACTACGTGTCAGCGACGTCTGACGGGCCAACCTCGTCACCCCGACGGTCATCATCATGAACGTCCTCACTGGCAACTACGACGTCCTCCGCAGCATTGTCGACATGCTCTCTCCCCAGGAGGCCATACCACTCTCGTCAACATCGCGCGACCTGCATTCGGCCTCACGCCGCCATGCGTTCTCGCGTGCCAAACCTCGCTCCCATGATCAGCTCGTCCGCATGCACGATTGTCTGACGAGGAACGTCGACGATCGCACAATCTGGCCTCGCAAGTTAATCATCGGCAGATCCATAACCTGGATCCCTGCCAGATACGGCGATGCAGGATCCCCGATGCACGCCCTAGTCGGCATCCTCAGGCACGCACATGACTTGGAAGCCATGGAGTTCACTGATTTTGAGGAAGCGTTGGAGCAGGATCGAGAGATCGGGGAGTGCTTGGTTACCCTCCCATGTCTTTCGGAGCTCCATCTCGGCGGCATAGGCGCGATAGCTGTCGATGTGTTCTGCCGAATGATGAGCAGACCGAAGACGGTACACCTCCACGAATTCTACTTCGACGTTCAGATCATGCGCATCGCCCGAGCGGCCGTGATGGACAATGTCCAGCAGCTCTGTCTCTTCGATCTAGGATCAAACGATCTCGTGGAGGTCGATCCACAACCTCTCGGTCTCGAGTCTCATCCTTCCCTCCAGACGCTGAGGTTGCGCAGCTGTGTCGTTTACCCCTTTCTAACTCTGTTTCCCAACATCCGGAGGCTGACGGTGCGGCATGGCGACTTCCTGATTGGTGACGCACCCGAGCGACATCTGCAGCTACAGCACCTATCTATCGATGCAAGCGCAACCATTCCTGCTCTTGCAACCGACTCCCTCGAACTGCATCTCACGTCGAGAGTTGTTGATTCCTCAGAGGAACTTACGAACAGGATTTCGGAAGCTGTTGTGTTTCGCTTGTCAATCCAACCTCGATTCCGCGCTCTAGCTGCATCCGGTACTGCCTTGATTAGAACAATCTCTACGAGGGTGTCGAGGGTGAGGTACTTCATTCTCATTCTGAAGACAGATGGACAATCGGAATCAATCAACTGGATGGTGAGTTAAATCCTTGGCACTGGATGAGTCGTGCCCTCAACATTGATAATGTCATGACAGAAGAATACACTCCCTATGCTAGCTTCAGCGCAACTCGTCTGCATGCGAGTGGACACTCAGGGCACGTTCGACTCGAGTATACCACGGCCTACGAGGTGGCCAACTTCGATGCAGCAGATGGAAACGGCCCGCCTATTCCATCTACCTTCGCTCCGCTTCTATTCACAGCGCTATGACATACGCGACCTCCACGACAGAAGCCTGATTTATTCGAAGGTCAGCTGGGGACGCGTCGAACGCGATGGAGGCCGCTACGTTTTGAAGCCGATATCCAACGTAGCGGGTGAGGCAATTCATCGCTACCTTCAATCTCCGGAGTTCTCTGGAACATTGCAGTTTGACGGTAAGCAGTGCTTTTCTTAAGCCAAGCGGCCTTGTAAGACGTATTGCTCACACAAACACAGAGGGCGCAGCCCTGCGGTACGCGTAGCTACCCGCTGCGAGGTCAAGGCCGCTAGCGCCGGCTGAGCGGCCCCGGATAAACGACTGCTGAGAGCGGCGGCCTCAAGGCCCAGGCCTCAGGCTACTACTACTTAGCCAGGAGGAGGAGGCTGAGCGGGGTCCATTTACTGGAGGGCTGTGGCCCCTACTAGCGCGTATTAGCTTAGGCTCTTGTCGTGTTGTTTTGCTGTGTGGTGATCGTCTGCTTTGGTTGAGTGTTTGAAGGAAGCGCGAGGTACGAGCGCTTCCTTCAAACTGAGTCTATGCACGCGTGGCAGCGAGCGCTCGAACCTCTTGCGTCTCGCCGCCACCGTTGGCCGACAGTCTGTTCGGCACTGCCTGTTTTCGAGACTCGTTCGCTCTCGACCTGTGGTAGACACTCCCTACATAACTCAGTCGATGGATCCTCTCGGTCAAAATGGTAACCGACCCCGCGTCCTCGACCCATCCGGTGAGCGGTGCCCGGATTACGAGTTAGCCGCGTTTGCAGCGATCAGGCAGGCTATGACGGCCAACGGCAACATGAACGACGAGCAAGCAGTCCAGGCTCTTCGAGAGAGTTGGCAAACACACCACAACGCGCAAATCCAAGCTTGGCAGGTTCAGTCCCTAGAGGATCGTCGTCTAGCGGAAGAGGAAGAGCAGCGGGCGCGCGAAGAGGAAGAGGCGCGTCGGGCGGAAGAACAGCGTGCAGCGGCAGAAGAACAGAAGACGTTAGACAAGAAAAAGCCCAAGCTCGCTACGGTGGATCCGTCTCGAAGGCCCCCTACCCAACTTCGGCAGAGGGTAGCGGAGTACGCGCGCGAGAAGCTCATGAAGCTAGCGTACGTCGAGCTCGATTATTTCACGGCTAAAACACGTCAGCTGGCAGAGAGCCAAGCGAAGAGCGTCGTCAACGAGACTTATACCCTAGTCTCCGGAGACACGGGTCTAAGCCTGACCCCAGCGTCGTCCCTCAAAGCTATCAAGGGAGTCCGCCGCGACGCGGATCTTCCCTTCGAGGAGATGACGACCGCGTGGCCCGTCTTCATACAGGAGATCACGGACCTCCCGGAGATCTGGCCGCAACCTATAGTACAGCAGTACCTCCGGTTCTTCCTACAGATCGTGGGGCATCAGGATAGCCAGGACCCGATCGGTCAGCCGGCCCTCATGCGCTACATGGAGGAGGTGCGCACAGACTGGCACGAGAAGATCATCGCCAGGAACGTCTCGGACCAGACGTACAATATCGGCGTCTTCGAACCAAAACTGTACGAGCAGTGCAAAGCTGAAGTCCAGTCCACGTCGGCAAGGCTGCAGATTCAACGGGTGCGTCTTCCCCTCTGTTTTGTTTAATTCGTCGAATCTCTGCTGACCAGGTGTGATCTTGAACTTCCCATCTTCCGTTTCCTTCCTCGACACCACGAAACACCCTCGACGCATCGGCACCGGTGCGCCCCCCCACGCGAAACCATCGTCGTCTCAAATGCGTATATATTCGTCTTCCATGGGGATCGCGTCCTTATTTTCGCGGGTATTTACAACTTCATTTTCTACGCTCCGTGGGGCTTTCGTCGCGTGTTTTCTCCTCGGCCGGCGTGGTCATATCGTTCCTTGTCGGGGCTGGCCGGCGCGGTCGTTTTTATCTCGTCCCTACCCCCCCCCCTAAAATTTTCGGCTGGCGGATTTATCATCGGCGTTCACTCAACCGGCGTGGTTGTTATTTCCTTGACCGGCGTGGTCCCTTGTTCTTTGACCGGCGTGGTCGTTACCTCTGTGGCCGGCGTGGCTTCACTCAATCGACCGGCGTGGTCATATTTTCACGTACCGGCGTGGTCGTGCTGTTCTGGACCGGCGTGGTCTCTATCTCTCGACCGGCGTGGTCACCCTGCGGACCGGCGTGGTCATCTTCTGCGGACCGGCGTGGTCATCTTCTGTGGACCGGCGTGGTCATCTTCTGCGGACCGGCGTGGTCATTTTATGCGGACCGGCGTGGTCATTCTTTGTGAACCGGCGTGGTCACCATTCCCGCGCCCTGTACATGATCGTACAAACCTTCAGATGCAAAAATTGAATGATAGCTTTGAATCCCAGCGAGGGGGAAGCTCATCAGGTCAAGCGTCGGGGCGACGACGCTCACCGTCTCCGAGAAGTCAGCAGCGAGGTGGTACTCGTGGTTCGGGGCAGCAGGGTCGTAGTAGTCGAAGAGACGATGCAGAGCCGTACGGCCATCATTCGCGAGACCGAGAGTCCGCTTCGCGCAATGCAAGAGGGTCTTTTCAGAGGGGCGCATCTCGCACGGCCCTCGCGATTTGCGCCATATGCTTGGGCTGCCACCCCTCAGAGGAGATCGGAAAGTGTCGATCGAGTTCTCTGTGGAACGGACAGCCAGCCTTGTGTGGAAGAAACTCCTCGGGACAGATTATCAACAAGGACGGAGAAACGATCTGTCTCGACTGGCAACGAGTGGGAGGTTGTCGCTCCACCAGCCCCAAACACATCCATCAGTGTTCGGGATGTGGGGGGCGGAACCACGGAGCTTCGTCGTGCAATCTCGCACAGAAGAAGTAACCCCCTCACCCCATACCACCCTGATGCTTGGTATAGAACGTTACGAGACGCAGACCTTCTCGATAAATATCCCTCTTTGGTGTCTTCTCTACGATCCGGCTTTATCATCGGAATCCCGCGCATTCACGTCACTAAAGCCCCTAATAATAGCCTCACAATTGAGCAGAATACAGACACTTTCTTGCGCATCGTCCAAGACGAGATCCAAAAACGGAGATACATGGGCCCATTCTCACAACGCGAATTGGAAGACATCATCGGCCCCTTTCAGTCCTCTCCACTTTCTCTGGTTCCGAAGCCACACAAACCAGGAGTTTTCCGTTTGGTTCAGAACTTCTCGTACCCTCATTCACCACGAGCTGGATACTCCGCAATCAATGATTCACTCCGATCAGACGATTTCCCCTGTACCTGGGGTACGTTCACCGCAATGTGTCTCTTATGTAGTCGACTCCCTCCAGGATCTCAGGCCGCGGTTCGAGACGTGGCGGAAGCATATCGCACGGTACCACTGGATTCGTCGCAATGGCCAGGTACAGTCGTACGGCTGTCCGCAAACGACCAGTTCCTGGTCGACTCAAACGCAGCCTTCGGAGCCGCTCCAAATGCGGGGCTTTATGGAGGTGTCGCAGATGCCGGAGCAGACATCATGCGCTCCAGAGGACTGGGCCCCATCACGAAGTGGGTCGACGATCACACGTTCTTCCGGATCTTGCGGCAATATATACGCGAATATAACCTGGCACGAGAGCAGTGGCGTCAACAGATCGAATTCCACGGCGGAGAGCATAAAGACCGAGGCAGGTTATGGTACGGAGGTGACCGGCTACAGGACGGGCGGGTGGACGAATTCGTCGAAGACATGCGTTTCCCAATTGAAGACTTGTCCGCGTCTTCAGAGCGTTCGTCGGAGGATGCGCGATACTCCTGCTGCATGGCGGATATCGATGACATCTCATCGGAACTGGGAATCCCATGGCAGGTCGAGAAGGATGTCCCCTTCGCTCACGAATTCCCATTCACGGGCTTCTTATGGAACCTGGAAACCCGCGAAGTATCCCTCCCTCCAGCGAAAGTGGCAAAGTACTGCCTGGCTATATCCGAGTGGCGAGCCCCCGGACACCGCACGCACACGTTGGAAGAAGTCCAGAAGCTCTACGGAAAGCTTCTACACGCCTCGTTGGTCGTCCCCGCGGGACGGTGTTACCTCACCAACCTCGAAGCCATGCTGGGCATCTTCCACGACAATCCTTTCATGCCGCGTACCCCTCCTCGAGGGACTCCAGCTGATCTGGACTGGTGGCTCGACACTCTCTCACAACAATCGATCTCGCGCCCCATCCCCGGTCCTCTCCCAGTTGCCCGGCTTGACGCATTCTCAGATGCAAGCTCGGGAACAGGCATCGCAATCGTTATCGGCGATCACTGGAGGGCTTGGACGCTGCGCGCAGGATGGGACAGAGACGGAAGAGACATCGGATGGGCAGAGGCGGTGGGTTTCGAATTACTCGTCCGATGTCTGCTGGCCAACGAAGAGCTCCCACCACGGATCCGTGTCTTCGGAGACAACATGGGCGTCGTGGGGGGGTGGAGAAAAGGCTGCAGTAAGAACCGACACGTCAACAGCGCATTCAAGCGGATCCATCACGCCCTTGTGGGACGGCGAGTGGACTTCTTCCTCAGCTACGTCCCGAGCGGTCACAACCCAGCCGATGCTCCCTCTCGCGGCAGATACCCCCCCGCACATCTTCTTCTCCCCCCAGTCCCCATCCCCGACGACATCCGGCCCTTCCTCGACGACGCGGTCGTGGATGGACCTGATAGACTCCGTCACGCATCCCTCGTCCACCGCACAAAGCCTAGCAGAGAGTCAGCCACCCCAGACTACACGGAGTTTCCTATCCGACCCGGATACGACACAGATGAGTACGCCGCCGAGGACTTCCTCTGGCAGCACATCGACTGGGCCGCCTAGTAAACGGCAGAGAGGCGTCCCTCTACCCGTGCAGCCGCAGTCCCAGGTTCGCCCTCGTTCATACCCCTCGCACCTAGCTCTGGCACCATCCCCGCTACGCCCGCACTGTCTCGCGCGCGACCGGCTCCGTCTCTGGCTCCCAGTGACCGGCCGGCAGCCAGTAGACCGCAGCGGTTTTCCGGTGGCGGTCTCGGCGGAGGATCTTGCGCGTGTCAAGTCGGTCTTTGAGAAGGCGTGGACCCAGTCGACGCTAGAAGTCTACGGCTCGGGCTTGTTGACGTTCCACGTAGTATGCGACGAGAGACAGGTCCCAGAGGAGCAGCGCGCGCCAACTAGCGACGTCCTGTTACAAACGTTCGTGGCGGACCTGGCCGGCGCGTACAGCGCAGACACAATACGCAACTACGTAATGGGTATCCGTGCGTGGCACATCCTGCACAGCATCCCTTGGACCCGAGACAAAGAGCAGCTAGACACGCTGTTGCGTGGAGCGACGAAGCTGGCACCTTCAAGCTCGAAGCGTAGCCCGAGACAACCATATACGCGTGAGTACTTGTCGGCTCTACGCGCATATCTAGACCCGAAGGACCCTACAGACTGTGCAGTATGGGCAGTCCTCACGGTCGCGTTTTTCTCAATCGCGAGACTGGGAGAGTTAGTGCTCAAGAAAAAAGGCACCTTCGACGAGACATTGCATACATCAGGAAAAGGGCGATTTCACTGACGGGTTCTAACGGTTGCTGATATGCTGACGGTATGTGACGCCAACCCGTCAGATAACGTTAGCATTTAACGTGCCCGTCAGACAGTTCACACGTCAGATACAATTTTTGTATATTGCTGAAGTGCTGATGAGTGACGTTCTGACTGCTAATGGGCAGTGACGAGTGATTATATTAAATGCAGTTGTACAACGACTTGACAGTGGACTGGTAGCTACTGTACTGTAATCAATGGGATCTGAGGCTGAGGCTCCGCCCGCCGCAGTGGGTACGGGTCACGAGCGGGTACTGCAGGTCCGCCGGTCAGTGAGTGGGTCCACGAGCAGATGGGTGGGCGTACAAGCCCGGCGAGACGGTGTGAGCGGGTCCGTCATCGTATGTGTGGGCCCGTTTATCTTGTATTGCGTTGCTGACTGTCAGTCGGTCTTTGCGTTGAACTTGCTCGTCCAAGTGGCATAAGCGAGCCGAGCAGTCGTGAGATATACAAACAAGGGCAGACGGGTGTAACGCGCACACCTCGAGCTCGTAGCACGTACGCATCCAGGCTTCGTCGCCTTCGTGCAGGGTGAAAACGCAGGTCGGTTGGCCATAAGAGTGAGTCGCCATCAGCATCGTAGAGATGACCGGGCGCAACGCTCGCCTGAACGCCACCTGGCGGCCTTCCCTCTGCTTCCGCTCCGCGCGCTCTCGCTCTCGTGTCCACCCATGCCTCCTGCCTTGCACGCCGCCGAAGAGCACTTGGTCGACACCTCCCTATGATCTCGTGCTCCCGGTCCATGTCCGCGAGGCGCATGTCCTAGCGGTAGAGCCATCCGCCCCTGACAACGAGCCGCTGGTCCCATCGGTCGCGCTTCTTGCCGTTCTCGTTGCTCATGTCATGTGTTGGCTCGTCGTCTTCCCAGACCAGTACCGGCTTCCTGCTCCCGCCGGCTTCGAAGAATGAGATGGAGACGGACGTGTGCCGCCGTCGTTGTCGAAGAAGTCGCGCGCGTGCTGAGGTCGCTCTGCTCAGGTGAGGACGTCAAGCCGTGGTTGCTCTGTGAGTCGTACGCGTCGTGCTCGAGTGGGAGACACGCAGATTCTTCGAGGTCCCTCGCCGCTCAGGGCCGCGTGCACCTAGAGCGCGCCGCAGACCCGCGTCACTCGGTCCGAGGCTGCATCAAGTTGTGAGACGTGCCTATGGGGCAGAGGCGTGCTAGGCAGGGTCTGTGGACGGAAGTACATTTGAAGGATTGGAGCGGGAGTGGTGGAGTCGTCTGGTAGCAATACGAGGTAGTTTCGTTAGTTTCTCGAACCTCCACTTCCAACTGAGAGTGCCGACTGCGCACCACTGTTGCTCGCCGCGATGTCCACTGCGCCGCCCGGGAGGCACCTCCTTGCCACTGGGCGCGTGCGTGTCTTGGGCTTGCCGACAACGATCCGCTGGTTTGCTAGCTTCTTTGGCACAATTTCGTCGTTGCTCTTCATCTCTGCATCTGCGTCCCGGCCAAGTTATGGCTAAGCGAGACCTTGATGGGGATGGGCATTGCTCACGGAGTAGTTGCCCTTTGCGAGCTCGTAGTTGACGTCGAGGGTGGGATAGGCGTTGACAAAGGTCGTGACGTCGTACGTCTGGTGTGTATCCATACGCAAGACAGCCATTTGAACGATAGTCTTATGACAGCGCACCGCTGGAGTCCGATAGTATGACCTCGCGCCGCGCACCCTGCAGGTGCGCAGTGGGCCGTGTGTGTGGCTCCTCTATACTGTCGCGGATGTCGGAAGCCTTAAGTGCAATGAGCAAGGCCGACGGTAAGAGATATGGAGAAAGGAGCGAGGGGCGAACATGAAGGGAAGGAAGGTCAGCGAGGGTGGCAAGCGCGCGTGGCGTGTCGTGGCTCAGGCGCTTAGCACTTAGCACACTTGAACCTCTACCGCACATCCGCCGCCCTCTCGACAGCGCCCAGTGCCCTCCCTGGCCTTCGCCCGACCGACCTCACCGCCATGTATACCAGCGAGTACGACTACCTCTTCAAGCTTCTCCTCATTGGCGACTCTGGTGTCGGCAAGGTAAGCCTCGTGCGCGTCCTTATGCAGTCGCCCTCAGAGTCACAGGTCACACCGCCTCCACGTCGACATCCAAAACTTCGACACTGCGCAGAACATCGTACTGCGCACACACTGGACGCAACGGAACAGCAACACGGCGACACGGAACTGGAGGAGGCCCGGCGGGGATATCAGAAGGTGCGTGCCATTGTGCGCATAGACCGTGACGAGAGGCGAGTCTCTCTTTCACCGTCTTTTCATCTTCCCATCCACCTTCTCGCGTCCTCTCACCCCAGCGTCCCGCTCGCGACTGTGCGCACTCTACATCCATGGCATTTGTCCGCCACCGCCCTATCCTCCTCACCGCCACTACCCGCGACACCCTCCTACGCACCGATGCTGTCACTACCGAATATCCCGCTGCCCGCCAGCACGCACCCGCCGACGCCCCGTCATGCCGCCGCATCCGCCCTCACGCACGTCCGCCGTCCGCCATCCTCCACCACGTCGCGTCGCTCTGTGTTTTGTGCGCTATCGCGCGCATCCGCCGACCAACATCCCCATCGCGTTGCGTCACGCGCACCTGCACCGTCGCGCACCAGCCCGCGACGGGAGACTTCTGCACGCCGGCGTTGGCCATTGACGCGTCTCTCCAGTGCCTGGGAAACAAGATTCTGCTGAGGGAGCAGGGGTGGGAATGGGTTACCGAGGGCAAGTACGACGAGCAGGGTGTTGAGGGGCTGCTGTGAGCACGCAGGGCGAAGGCCCTGCGCGCAAATGTAACCAACGAGTGGACCGCGGGCAGGGATTGAGTGTGTGGGCGCAGGCGGGCAGGGCAGACGGGTGGGAGGGTGGGCAGATAAGCACGACAACACACGCCGACCGCGGGTACGGTGGACGGCGGGCGAGCACACACATGCGACGACACACACGGCGACGACAGCGCATAGTGGGCCCGAACAAGACCATGCCCTGCGGCGGTCACGGGCACGAAGACACGGACCAGCGAGGACACAGACTGCGAGGGCGCGGATTGATGCGCGGACGAGTGAGCACGCCAACAATGAGCACGACGGACAACAGCCCGACATGCAAACACCGCCGACGAGTACACCGAGCGCGGACGGACAAGAGCAAGTGGGAGCGGGAGCGGGCGAACAATGGGCGCGGCGGACACGGACGAACGCGTGCCCGTGGGGACGAGGTCGAGGCAAGCGTGGATGATGAGTGGGAGCAGGTGCGAACGAGTGTGGGCGAGAGTGGGCACGGACAAGCAGGCATCTGCCTACAGCACGCCTGTTCCTAGTACATCTGAATATATACTGTACACGCTCCTTGAATTGCACAGTGACCTGTCGACGCAGCTCAGCCCGGTCATCATGACGCAGATACTATACTTGTGTGAATACTGACCGTAGGTGATGCGTTATATGTGAACTTGCTGATAGGTGACAACTGTCTAACGCAGCTGACGGCGTCGGTCCCACAATTCGGCCGTCCTGCTGAAATGCGGCCCGCGTTGCTGATGCCTGATTTGGTGACGGAACGTGAAACTGGAATATCAGCAACCGTTACGGCCCGTCACGGCCCTTCACCGAAATCGCCAAAGTTCTGATGTTTGAAAAAAATCAAGCACGTTCCTCCACCGACGCCACCGCTCGGTTAAGACTCATTAAAAAGAACATCAGACCACCAACCATTAGGCCATACCACTACTCCCCTCTCAATCTTCTGTTACAATCATGCTGAACCCAGTCCATTCATTAAACATCCACTCCTCAATTCTGTCTCTCCCGTTAGCTGCGGAAGGCTACACCCGACTGGACATACGCTTCCTAACGAAATCGAAGGAGGATGTCGAAGGAGGATCCATTGTCGCTATCATAGGACCCCCTCCATGTTGCATCCAAAGCGGCATGGAGGTTGCATTGATCCCGGCCGCAGCAGAGGAAGTTAGACCGTTTTGCGGTAAACTGATTGGAGTAATCGCGGCTTCAGGCATTTGGGTGGCATTTGAGTTGAGAGGAGACGTGGGGCAAGACTGTATCCTGTTGGTTGACCGTCAGAAGGCCTACCTTGGCTGGAAGGAGAGATGGCAAACTTTCAATACCTCAGGAACCTGGTTAAACGTCTTCCCACCATTGACAGTGATGTCAGTTTAAGTGCATCTACTTTCATTCATTAATGAATTAAACCCTGGATCTGATTTACACACTTTTGTACCCCTGTTAATCTAATCCTAATTCAATGCAGTCTTAATCCATTGCTCAGCTCATATGCCTAATCCTGGTGTATTACAGAGGTCTCTTGATGCACTCTTAATGCACTGCTGATCCACTTATGATGCACTGACTTAAGACATGCTTGATCTCAGTGTATTACAGGGGTACCTTAATACACTATTGATCCACTAAAGATGCATTGGCCAAGTCAGTGTATTACATGTTTAAGGCATACATGTATGTAGTTCTAAGCTGCTGGATTAGTTTTAGATCAAGGCAAAAAATAAAAAAGCGGACATATGGGGTTTGAACCACAGACATTAGAAAGCATTACATAATCACATCATCAAATCGGACCACAGGAACACTAACCACTGCACCACAGGTCTGTTAGAAATGTTGTAACACAATGTTATATGTCATATTGCTGGGATGCTGGACTTAGACATATTTTGGATGCTGGCACAGGGTGCCCTGCATTAGTGGTGGATCAATAGGTGTGTTAGCAGTGAATTGACACAGTGTGGTAACAGTGAATTAGCAGTGACTTGACACAGTGTGTTGACAGTGGATCAGCAGTGAATTGACAAAGTGTATTAGTGCTAGTCTAACATGTGAATCAGTGATGAATTAACATAGTGTATTAATGTTAGCCAGACAGGTGACTCAATAGTGACTCAACTGACAATGGATGCTAGATGTCAAATTCGTTAGGTCAAAGTTTGCAGTCACTTTTGAGTCACATGTTGGGCTAGCACTAATACACTTTGTCAATTCACTGCTGATCCACTGTCAACACACTGTGTCAAGTCACTGCTAATTCACTGCTAACACACCTATTGATCCACCACTAATGCAGGGCACCCTGTGCCAGCATCCAAAATATGTCTAAGTCCAGCATCCCAGCAATATGACATATAACATTGTGTTACAACATTTCTAACAGACCTGTGGTGCAGTGGTTAGTGTTCCTGTGGTCCGATTTGATGATGTGATTATGTAATGCTTTCTAATGTCTGTGGTTCAAACCCCATATGTCCGCTTTTTTATTTTTTGCCTTGATCTAAAACTAATCCAGCAGCTTAGAACTACATACATGTATGCCTTAAACATGTAATACACTGACTTGGCCAATGCATCTTTAGTGGATCAATAGTGTATTAAGGTACCCCTGTAATACACTGAGATCAAGCATGTCTTAAGTCAGTGCATCATAAGTGGATCAGCAGTGCATTAAGAGTGCATCAAGAGACCTCTGTAATACACCAGGATTAGGCATATGAGCTGAGCAATGGATTAAGACTGCATTGAATTAGGATTAGATTAACAGGGGTACAAAAGTGTGTAAATCAGATCCAGGGTTTAATTCATTAATGAATGAAAGTAGATGCACTTAAACTGACAAAGATGCCATTGATCGCGGCGTACCATCCCCAGCCGATATCATTCGGAGCAGCGGACGAGCCTCTGATGGTGCCAGAGCCAGTGAGTTGACAACACCAATGGCAGGACTCGCATTTACCTAGCACACAGTCACACCACAGCATAGTTCGAGACACCCCGTGGCCGTGGACGAACTTCCTGAGGCCGGGAGAAAGACAACCAGTCCATGAACACATAGCGCAGGTGCAGCGGGCAGCCATAGAGACCCAAGACACCCTCGCCAGGGTCGCCTGGGCTGCAGAGGGTGCACTATGTCTTTGAGGTACGCTGATAATGTCTTTAAGCGTCACCTATCATCATGATAGGCTGATCAAACAGTACGAACTGCAGCAGAGCAATAATCGTCGCAAGAATCACGTCTTTCTCTCGTCAATCCGCATTTCATCAACGATACATGCCTTGATACACCTACGGCGCAATGTTAGTTTTCTCATCTCGGATGCGGGTACATCAGAACTTCGGCGATTTCACTGACGGGCGCTGACGGGCGCTGACGCTTGCTGAAATCCCGGTTTCACATAACGTCAGCGTATCAGACGTCAGCAACACTGGGCGGATTTCAGCAAGCTGATCGAAATGCAGCAATCGTGCCGTTAGAATCTCGTTAGATAGCTTACAGCCGTAACGGCGCCGTTAGCACGTTAAGCACGTTAGCACGTCAGCACGTCAGCATGAATCAGCAAAGCAGTCTAATGGGTACATTTTTTACAGTCTGTCTCGACAAATATATTGACTACTACATAGCGACAGTCTATCTTGTACAGTACTATGCATGTACGTAGACCCGTCTAAAGCTGGCGGCGCTCATCGGCGCCCACTCGCCACCACTCGTACGCATCTACGTACTCCCACTCGTGTGTGCTCATCGTCCGCTTGCCTCCACTTGTCCCCTCGGGCACCTGTTCGTCCGCGTCCGCCCCCGTTGCTCATCCCCTCCCACTCCCATTTGCCCTTGTCCGTCCGCGCTCGGTATGTATACTCGTCGGGCGTGTTTGCGTGTCGGGCTGTTGTCCGTCGCGCTCATTGTCGGCGTGCCTGCTTGTCGGCGCATCGATCCACGCCCTCGCTTGTCTGTGCTCTCACTCGTCCCCGCCTTCGTCTCCGCGACCTCCGCACGGTACGGTCTTGTCCGGGCCACTATGCGCTGGCGGTTGCCGCGCGTGTTGTCGTGTGTGCGTGTCCGCCCGTATCACAGTCGGCGTATTGCCCACTGTCCCACCCATCTGCCATCTGCCCCGATCTCTTGCCCGCCTGCACCCGCGCTCGAACCCCGCCTGCACCCGCGCTCGAACCCCGCCTGCGCGCGCGCTCAAACCCTGCCTACACCCGCGCCCGACCCCGCCTGCACTCGCGCTCAAACTTTACTGTAGAAAAACGTTTGTCAACAGCGTGATTTTATGCAGTTAATGGAGCCAACTGACCATTGCAGTAGGCCCCACTCCTGGTGGCGTCCCACCTGCTTGCTGCAGCACGATCTCGTGCTCCTGCCTGACTGGACTCGCGCTCCTCGCGTGGTGCGGCCGGTCCTTGTCCTTCGGCAGCGCGGGCGCGGGCGACGGCGGGTAATTTCGCGCTTCAGGCTGACACACCTTGGACGAGTGTGGCGTTGGTTGCTGACGGAAGGGGATAGGCGAGAGGAAGGGATAGGAGAAGGTCAGCCACCAGAGCCGGACTGAGGGGAGACACACCTGTTGTTACTGCTGCTAGCACTACTGATGCCGCCGACATTGCTGCGTTTCATCTCGACGTCGACGGTCGCGGTCGTCCGGGCCGGGGCTGAGCGGACCGTTGCGGACACTTCTGACCGTTTGTCGGAGGCGACGTGTGAAATGATCTTGACGAACGGCGGGGCTTGACACGTCGAGTGGCCTTCGGGCTGTGGTACAGCAGTTGAACTTGGCGCTTCGAGCGCGAGCGCGAGGGGACGGGAAGGACGTGTGTGCGTGGGGCCTGTGCTCGAATGAAATCAGACAGGTGGGGGGATACACGCGAGCGAGTAGTAGGACGTGGATAGTACTGAGTAACTTAGGATGCGCACGAGGCTTACCTTGCCGACACCGGAGTCGCCGATGAGGAGCTTGAAGAGGTAGTCGTGCTCGCTGGTATGCATGGTGGTGAGGTCGATCGGGCGAAGGTGAGGGAGGGCAGGACACTGTCGAGAGGGCAGCGGATGTGCGGTAGAGGTTCAAGTGCGCTAAGTGCTAAGCGCGCCTGAGCCACGACACGCCGCGCGCGCTTGCCACCCTTCCACGCTCTCGCCGACCTCGTCCGCCTCGTCCGTGGACCGTCATTGGGGAAACACTCGACCCGCTCTACAGCGGCATCCTTGGGCTCGCTCTCCCCGCCCATTTGTCCATCTACCTCAGCACCGGCACCGGCACCGACAAAGGCAATACCTCGCCGCCAACCTCGGGCGTGACTGCTGGCAATGGACCTTCCGTTCCTCTCCCTCGCCCTCGAGCGCCCTGGCTTTGACGACGTGCCCTCAACTCTCGGTGTCGGTCTTCATCCGTCAGAACTTCGCGTGTGATATCAGGGGGTACGTCGCGGGCCCCGCAGCATGTCTAACCCCGCGCAATTCCCCGCTGACGACACCACGCTCCCCACCAGCCCTGGGTGCGACACTGTTGACACGCATGGCAACACGGCACGCGGGGAAGCGCAGGTTGAGGATGCAGTGTGTGTACACACTCTCGCCCGCGCTGCACAAGGAGAAGCATCGACAGCGCGAGCCAGATACGGACAAGCACCTGCGACCTGCCTGGGCGTGGCAGCCTGTCTCGATCTTCCTTGCACCACACAGGCCAGCAATTGTCCTCGTCTCCCCACGCAATGCACACTCACCCTCCCGCTCTGTCCACGCCCGCCACGCCCGGCTTATTGTCTGCGCATCCGCGATGAAAATTGTGGCACGGGTGGAGGCCTTGCGAGAGGAGACCTGGGCAGAACACGCTGACCGCACGACGAGATTGCGAGTGTAAAATGACGGTGAGCTGTACTCTCATCATATCTGTGGAACTGATATCAGTGTGTCTGCGCAGGCACGACAGTGCCGTACTGCGACATAAGGAATTCAACCCGCTTGTGATCCACATCAACCTGTTCGACGCCCGCCGTGCACGCTAAGTTGCGAGTAGCGGGTGCGCCGGGAACGGCGTCGTGAACGGAAGCGCGCACTGCGTGCTCTGCGTGCTCTGCGTGCCAGGCGACAAGAACGGGTAGGACAGTGTTTGCGCGCGCGCTTGGGGAGAACATTCCCCACAGAGGCGACATGCGCGCCCAGCGTGGACTGGATCGCAGTGACTCGGGGGAATGGAACGCGAACTTGAGGGGCGAGGAGTTGGAGGGCCCGGGGCGTGTTGGCGCCGAACTATACTGGGGCGGGGATGAGGGCGGGAGTGGCGAGTGAGGTGATCCAGGCAGGCATATGCCAGAGGCGAGCTGAGCCTTGCATCGGGTAGACTAGGGGGGAGGGTACGGCTGCGCTGCCGGCGTAGAGCTCTCTCAGGAGGAAGAGCGTGAGCGTACTCTACGTCGGTAGCCACCCGATGTGCGGGTGAGCAGGCGGGCGGGCGAGCATCTACAATACATGTGTATTAGAATTCACACATTATACATTAGCATAGTCAGAATGTCAGTCGTCAGCACTTCAGTCGTCAGTGCTTCAGCAGTGAAATGTAGCTTATGTGTGACATGTCTGACGGCTACGTTATCTGCTGACGGTATCTGATGATTTCGCGTCACTCTCGGTTAGCGCATCAGCAACCGTCAGAACCCGTCAGTGAAATCCCCCTTTTCCTGATGTACCGCGCTTTGTCCATAGCACTTACGAACTTTGCGTTCTTCCCACCTCACCACACCCTTTCATGGCCCATCCCACCCTCGCGGCTGACTCGGGCCACCATAGGCTGCCATCGGACAACGCGGGACCTGCGTCGGATCGCCGCGCCCTCCGGGCGCGGGCTTTCGCCCAACCGCGGTCGTTTTCTGGGTTTTCTTTCTTGATTTTCTTGCATCATTGTATCCAGCGTTCACTCGGTAGTATCCCGTCACTTGCGATCGAGAATAGCCTCACGTGTCACATAGCATGCGTTTTGTAACGACATTCACACTCTGACGTTCGTCTTGAGAACTCATCCCTCTGCGCAGGAGCGCAACAAGGGCATAGACGTCGATATAATACATATGGTGCTTGTTCATCGTTAAGCGTGTAGACGCACCATGAACTTGCCATGCACTCCTGACTTTCTGCTGATCGGCCAATACGTTTGTAATACGTAGAATACGTAGGGGCTTCTCAAGGACGTCGCTTACATAATCGATAGTTTCCAAGTACGGGAATCGTACTGACACCGAGTAGTTCGTTGAATCATTCGCCCCGATAGCGGCGTAGTTATCGCTTTCTTCGTACTCTCACCTGCTGGCTCCTATACAACGTTTACACACCAGCCATGGCTTCTCTCGTTCATAACCACGATGTTCTCGACATGATCACTCGCATGCTTTCTCCGCAGCAGGCCATACCCTTCTCATCATCTTCTCGCGACTTCCACGCTGCTGCACGCAAGCATGCGTTTTCGTCTATCAACCTTGAAAACGGTATCACAGGTGCTTCAAGGCTTATCAAAATGTACCAATCTCTCTTGAAAAGTATGGACAACCGTACGATCTGGCCCCGGAAACTCGAGGTCGACGCGTCAATACTGCGACCCGATCTGTATGGGCCGCTACGAATCAGAAGAAGGTTTGAGCAACTTAGTTTGGATGCTCTCATTGGCATTCTCAAGAATGCCTACGACCTGGAAGTCCTGTATCTGGACGGATGCGAGGATGTGTTTGAGCGGGATCAACGAATTGCAGAGTGTGTGGTCACCCTGCCGAACATCGCAGAGCTCCGTCTGGGTGGCATGGGCAGAGCAAGCGTCGATGTCTTGGACAGGATGATCAGCAGACCGAAGATGCTGTGGCTCTACTTTGGGCGGGTTACGCCTAGTCAAATGCTACATGCCACTCGGGCAGCCGTGCTTGACCATGTCGAGGAGCTCGTGGTGGATGGCTTCCACCTCGTTCACCGGGAGGCTCAGAGGGAAGTCGATTCACGCCGTCGACTCGGAAAATCCTACCCATCCCTCCGCAAGCTCACGCTCATCGGCTGCACTGTTTATCCCTTCCTTGATCTGTTTCTCGACATTCGCTGGTTGAGAGCGCTACAGTGCCGATTCCCGGAGGACGTCGACGAAGTCTCGGACAATGACTCTCCAGATGACCAACCAGCGCATGCGGGGTTCTCATCACAGCGTCCTTTGCAACTGGAGCATGTATCGACCCTGTCGGACGACGCAGAACACATTCCCGCTCCTCCGAGCAATTCACTCGAACTGGTCCTCTTGTCAGAGCCCGTATTTCCCTCGGAGGGACTCTCTGACAAGGTTTCCGGTGCGGTCCTCCTTCGGCTGTGGCTACAAGGCCGCGAAGTCATGTCGTGTAGCTCCTTGACGCGCATGGTTTCATCGGGGCCGTCACGAGTGAGGTACCTCATCTTGAGAATGGACTCCCAATCATCGATGACACGGTGGATGGTGAGTCTCAGCTCTAGCACTGCACGTAGATGAGGCACTCAGCGGACACAATATCACAGGCGAAACTGCCTACCACATTGGTTTCATCGCAACTCATCTGTATGCGAGTCGAGACCGAGGTCGAGACGCCCGATGGCACTCTATCGGAGGACTCGGAGGACTCGGAGGACGAGTCGGATAAGGAGGACTCGCCCAACAGCGCGTGGCCAGACTTGCTGCGGCGGATGGAGACGGTTCACGTATCTGCCATACCCTCACTGCGCTTCTTTTCCGTGCTATGCGACGTGCGTCGCTCGTCCTACACGGGGGGTCTGGTATGCTCGAAGCTCACGTGGGGACGGGTCGAACGCGATGGCGACTCGCGCGTCGTGAAGCCGATCTCCAACGTAGTGGGCGAGTGCATTCACCGCTACCTCCAGTCTCCGGAGTTCTGCAAGACGTTGCAGTTCGATGGTGAGCGTACTTGTCCAAGATAATGGGACGTGCCGCTTACATGAGTTCGCAGAGGATGCGGCTTTGCGATACGCGTAGAGAGGCCGGCTGGACACTGGCTGGCTGGGTTCTGTTCAAGGGGAACGAAGCTCAGTGAAGCAGTTCATTGGGATTCAGCCACGGGGCATCTGCGGTCCGCTCACGCGTATGAACCTATGTTTGAAGGCTGTTACTTACAAACCGCACGTTGAGACGATATCTGCGTACCGTCATGTCGGCATGTCGTGATATTCATCTTCCCGGGCTCGGCGCATTGTCTTTGTTACTGGCTTCCAAAGAGACACTTGGATGTCGCCCGTGCGTCCGTGACCTTGCTGTACATCATTCTGGTCTGCATCTTGCAATGTCGGCATATTACGATTGACAATACATATATGCTTATGGACGGACACATCGGCATTTACGCCTACTCGAACGACCCCCACAGAAACCGGCTGCTGATTCAAGTCACTTACGCCTGTAAGTAGATCTAGACCGGAACGGTTTCGCTGACGCAACGGACTCCATGCAATGACGGCGCGCTATAGCGGACCACTGAGTTGCCATGGGGCATATACTTCCGTATCCGAGACAGTTGCTTCGGGCTGCGGATACGCTGCGCTGAGCCGACTCCGCGAGTGGCCAGTTCGAAAGCAAACGGACTTGTTGATGCATGTCGCAGCCCACTGGAAGTCTGCGTGTAATGGGAGGACGAACGCGTGGATCTTTGCGCCTGATATCCATGTAGACAGACCATAGATATATTGTACATTTGTTGATTGGAGAAGGTTTGGAGGATGTGACGGCGTACTGGCGCGTGGAGCTGGGGGCGAGAAGCGGATATGGAATGTGGCCGACAAGTCCGAAAGAGGAAATTGATGCGGTGTCGGATAAGTGGTTGGGTGCGGAAATGCGGATGAACGGGGAAGGGAGTGACCAGACCCGCAACGGCGACGACGACGACGGCTCCGACGGCGACCTGGCTGCTCCTATCCTGCGAGGCATATAAGAGGGCCTCGTGCTCGCCCTACAACTCACCTAGTCTCATCCGAACGCAGCTGAACCCGCAGAGTCTCACTCTCCATGGTCTCCGCCGTTCTGCCTGTCCCTCCCCCCGACGACTCGCGCAGGCCCAGCGTCTTCTCTTCTGCCACCACCTCCTACTTGACCGCGCCCCCGCCGTCTACCTCTCGCTCGTCTTCTACCCACACTTTGGGCCCCCAGGCCTCTCGCGATCCGGATCCGATGAATCCTCTGCACGCTCTCGCGCTGGCGTCGACGCAGGAGGTGCACATCGTCAAGCTCACGAACGACTCCGTCTCCCTCGAGCCAGCACCAGTCGCGGACAACATGCTGCACAAAGTCGGTTCTTCTTCCCACCAGGCTTCGGGCAGCACCGATTCGACGGTCGGACCTCCTCCGCCTTCTCCTCCCTCAAGCGTGGAGGACGTCGACGACATCATGCCCCCAGTGGTCGCAGCGACCAAGTCGGAGCCCATGTCCCGTCTTACGTTCGAGGATCCCGCGCGCGAGCCTCGCCAGTCCACGAGCGCCCGTAATTCCCCGAACATCCCCTTCGCTCGTCCACAGACACGGTCCTCGACCGACACCAAGGGCCCTCTGACCATCACTGCACCGCAGGGCACGCCCTTCCCCTCCTCACCGCCCTCCCCGACCTACGCACACACATCGGCCGACGGGTTCCTCCAAGCTCCGCCATTGACGCCGTTGTCGCACAAGCGGCGAAACACGACTGGCTCGAGCTCACTATCGTCCGTGAGCACAGCCCTCCCGACACGGACGAAGACCGTGCACACACCAAATCCAGCACACGCATACTCGTACTCGCATTCGTACTCCCAGTCGCATGTGTACGATGGCGAGGATGTCGCAGCCACGGAGGGCCTCGAGTCAGAGATGCAGCAGCAGGCAGAGCAGATCCGGCGAGAGCGTCAGTCGAAGCGGCAGGCGGAGAAGGCGAAAGCACAACCGCAGGCCGAGGGGATGCTCACGCGGACGATGTCCATCGTCCGTGGGCCTTCAAGCCGGGGTGACGACGCACCGCTGGTCGGGAACCTGATCGGCGAGGAGCATGTGAACTATGTGCTCATGTACAACATGCTGACGGGCATCCGGACGTCCGTATCGCGGTATCAGGCCAAGATACGACGTCCACTCTTGCGAGACGATTATACTGCTGCGAATAAGTATTCGTTTGACATGTAAGTGGCTGCATCATTTCCGAACTTCTTAGTGTTCATCTTGATTTCAGTGTCGGAAACGAGTTGACGCCATCAGCGAAGTACGACTTCAAATTCAAAGACTACGCGCCATGGGTGTTCCGGGAACTCCGGGAAGACTACTTCTTCCTCGATCCCGCAGATTACCTTGTCAGCCTAACCTCAAGGTACATACTCTCCGAGTTGGGCTCCCCGGGGAAGTCTGGATCGTTCTTCTACTTCTCTCGGGATTACCGATTCATTATTAAGACGATCCACCACAACGAGCACAAGTTCCTTCGGGGAATCCTCCCCCTCTACCACGAACACGTCAGGACGAACCCGCATACACTGCTCAGCCGGTTCTACGGTCTGCACCGCGTGAAGCTCCCGCGCGGGCGCAAGATCCACTTCGTCGTCATGAACAACCTCTTCCCGCCCCACCGGGATATTCACGAGACGTACGACCTGAAGGGTTCAACGGTCGGACGAGAGTACCCGGAGGAAAGGACGCGCGAGAACCCCCGTGCGACGCTCAAGGATCTCAATTGGATACACCGCGACAAGACGCTCGAGCTGGGCCCTGAGAAGCGTGCGCTGCTGACGGAGCAGCTCCGGAGGGATTCCGAGTTCCTCAAGCAGCTCGGCGTCATGGACTACAGTCTCCTCGTAGGCGTTCACAACATGCGCCGCGGTAACCGGGACAACGTCCGGAGCAACACGCTGAAGGTCTTCTCGGTATGTATGCTTGCTACGATCTGTGTGGTGCGGCGCTGAACGTGTCCCCAGCCCGACATGCCCGCCGTCCGGCGGAAACCTACCCAAGTGAAGGGCCCCAGGTCCCCCGACGCCATCGCGATGCGTCGCGCCATGCGCGAGTCGGACCCCAAGCGCCTCGGCACCGCGACGCTGCGCCTCCCCGAGGAGGACACCACCGGCGAGCGCCAGCACTTCCTGTTCTACCAGGACGAGGGCGGCCTGCGCGCGACCGACGAGCAGAACGAGAACATGGACCTGATCTACTACCTCGGCGTCATCGACATCCTCACCCCTTACAACACCAAGAAGAAGGTGGAGCACTTCTGGAAGGGCTTGTCGGCGGACAGGGTAAGTGGTGTTGTCTGTGGCTGCTTACGCGCTGTTGCTCATACGGTTGTTACAGCACAAGATCTCGCCCGTCCCTCCTCAGGAGTACGGTGATCGCTTCTTCTCGTTCATGAAGGCTGTCATGCGCGGTGGCGAGGGTGGCGGCAAGTTCCTCTCAAAGTCCGAGAAGGTTGAATAAGGCGCCTTCTCATCCCCCAGACGCGTCGTTGTCCTATCCTCATGTGCTTTACCGGCTTTCCTTGGTTTTGGTGTCTAGACATTTGGTTCGGACCTTGCAAGCACTGTACTGCATACATTATCCATTATTTCTTCCGTGATACCCCGCAATTAATCCCCTCGCGGATGTATCTTACCCCCGCGTCCACTGTCTTTACTTTCGCGCTTTACTTTATAGCCTCCGGTGTACATATCCGTGCGGCGTCACGTTCGTTCGAAGTACCATGGACCTCTATCACATGCATTGCCACATCCCTAGAGTACGTATATACAATGTACTACATGTGCTGATATACAGACTGTCAATAAAGATATGCGGGTCTCCGCGATCACTGAATACGAGCTCAGAACTGAGTGGCTGATCATCTAGTTCACTCGTCATCGTCCTCTTCCCTTGCGACTGCCTTCTTGCGGGCTGCTTTAGAACGATGCAGTTAAGTTAAGCATGAAGGTACCTATGATCTACGGAGCGTGTACTCACTTCTCCGGGTAGCACGCTTCTTGGCTGCGGCTCTCTTGCCCTCTACCCTCTTCTCGAAGGCCTGATCTTCCTCACCCTGTCGTTTGTGCTCCTCGAGGATCTGCGACATGATGATCAGATATATGAAGAGAGTCGATCTCCATGCGGAACGTACGTTCTCGAACTCATTCAGCTCTGCATCGGGCTTGTTGGCTGATTTGTTCGCGCGTGCCTAGAAGCCTGTTAGCTGGAACTGTTCCGGACGAGGCGCGAGACGGACCTTGGTGAGGATCTCCTGGAAGCGCGAAAAGACAGTCTCCTCGTGCAGCTTGTCGCGGTAGAACTGCAGGCCCTCGATGAGCTTCTTGACCGACCGTTCGGACTTGAACGGCAGAAGGGACAAGCAGAAGGCGATGTCTCGCCATTGACGAGGGTCTTCTGTAAGTCGGAAGCGTTGGCAGAGTTTCTCGACGATGTTCTCCGCTTGCTTCTCCTGTATTGTTTTGATGGTAAGCACCAGGGCATATGTGCACGCAGAAATGAAACAACCTTCTCGATGAAGTTGAAGATGTACCGCATGGTGCTTTGGAAGATCGCCTCCTCGACAGCGTGCGCGCCCACCGACAAATGGCTGATCACTGTTGTACCCATGAGTATCAACTACAATGGCGATGACATGGCCCACTTACCATCAGGAAGGTTGTTGTAGATGGCGTTGTCCTTGGTAGACAGCTCCGAGAAGAACAACTTCGCGAGGTCAGCTATCCGTTCATCCTCGTCCTCGAGACACTTCGCCATCTCTCCCAGCTGCCCCTTGACCTTGATCATACCGTTCAAAATGAGATGGGTCAGGACCATGAGGGTATTCTTTTTGACGACCAGGTCGATATCAGACAGGCCCTTGTAGAGTTCATTGCTGTTCTCGTCAATGATGTTGTTGAACGACACGGCGACGTCCCCCAGTGCTATGGCGATATTGCTCCGAATATTTGGATCCCTTGACGTCTCGAGAATCTTGAAGAGCAGATGGTGGTGCTCGTCGCAGAATTTGGAGCTAATGCAGAGGAACTTGCTGAAGGCGAGAGTCGCTGCCGCCCTCAGTGTTCGATTCTAGAGCAAAATTGGTTAGGTGTATGAGACTCGAAACGAAAGGTCTGCTTGCCTTGAATCTGTGCGGACTACCGCATATATGCACTGTCATGGGCCCGTAACTAGCCAGCAGTGACTCAGGCCCGTACAATAGCTCAGACTCTCGGATTGCTGCTATCCTGTCACCGATCTCGTCCTCCGCATTGCCTGCGACTTGGTCAAGCTCTTCTTGGTCCTTGGCTGCGTTAGCTGCGCTACCCTTCTTGGCCGCTTTCTCCGCTTAAGTGGTGATATCAGTAGACCGAGATGAGCGCCTTGCATGCAGTACGTACCAACTTCCTTCTCGTGCTTCTGGCGCTTCCACTCTCGCTCCACCAGCTCGAGGTAGACGATGTGCTTGATAGCAACATGACCCACCACGAACAAAAGCTGGCTGAGGATGAAAGCGTCGCCATTGTCCTTGGACTCATCCGACTGCGTATCGTTGCTCTGAGAATTGTCCGCTTGCGAGGTGTTTGCTCCCTCTTCCGCATCATCCCGGGACTCATCCTCGTCCATGGCGTCAGGATCCTTCGGCTGAGGCGTTTTCGCTCGCGTCTGAGCAGTGAACGCACGCCGAGTCAAGTTCCTGATGATACGGTCGCAGATAACGTCTGGTCGTTCGCCCAGAGCATAAATGGTGTTGATGGCTTGTTCCGTCATGCCAAACCATTCCTTCGACCGAGTCGGGTGCTCGATCGCGTCTTGCAGCTTCCGGAATAGGGGGTTCTCCATGTCTAGTCGCAACGTCTTATCGAGAAGCGAACCTATAGACGTGCTCATCAATCATACGGTATGTAGGCGGTCGACTTAGTGTTACCTTTAACCTTCTTCGCACTCCCGTTCAGTCTCTGCAGAGCAACGCAGGTATACTTCGCCAGTGTAAGATCGGCCTGAGCAGTGGTCAGTGCCATACCAACGGTCTGTATTGAGGACCATACCATTCCGAGCTTGCCCAATCCCACTCTGACCAGTGTCTCGACACGGTCTGCTACTACACTTCTTCGTGCAAGGGCCAGCATGCCGAGGATAATCACAGCACCCCTCCTTTGTTGCTTAGGCAATGGTCGTTCGGAGCCTGTAATGAATCGGTCAGTGTGCGGCTACAGGAGGCGTGTAGCAGATGGTACTGACCATACACCTGCCAAAGCTTGTTGATGACGTCTGTATGCACCTGGTTGTCGTCCATGAGGATGCGCATCATCTCTTCCAAGCTCGTTAACTCAGCGAGAGTTGCTCCGTAGGTCAACCTACGATGAAGTCATAAACGTCACTGACAGGTTTAACTTGTAGAATCGCGGAATGACTGACTCGATCATGTTTTTGGTAATACGACTTATGTTGCCCTTGGCGTCCAGGTCCGCTACGGGGTCAAAGTACAACTGGCGGTAGCATTCGAGGAGTCGCGAGCGAACGCCCTTGAGCTCCTTCCCGTCATCAGACGTTTGTGAGTTGTCTTTGGACCAAATCAAGTGCAGCATCTTCTTGATCCCACCCTGCAAGAACAAAATAATTACCATGTGACGCACTGCATCACGCTTACAAGGACCTACCTCTGCGCCCTCAAACTTGTAGTCATGAGCTGTCTTGAAAAAGTCCATCGCCTCCAGGACCTCAAGCTTGTTGGTCGAAGCGAGCAACTTCTGCACCGTCTGCATACCGTCTTCGACTTGGCGAATGAAGACGAGGCCTTCAGAACAGTACTTCTTGCGCAGACGCAGGTGCAAGATCTTGTCGCCCTCCAGCGCAGCGAGGGCCTCTTGCTCATTTGTCAGGGCGACCATGTCGATCTCGGACTTGCGTGCTTTCTTCTTCTTGGACTTCTTGGGCGGGCGCGGCTGAGCATCCTCGTCCTCGTCCATATCTTCATCTCGGTCTTCACCCTCGCCTTCCTCGTCGACTTCCATCTCGTTGTCGTCTTCTCGCTTAACCTTCTTCGAGCTACACACCGCCCCTCAGTAAGGTTGTCTCGAGACTTCGGACGAAACACCCACCGCTTGCGAGACTTACGCTCGCCATCCCCCTCACCCTCCTCGTCTTCTTGCTCTTCTTCCTCCTCCTCATCATCCTTCTCCTCTCCTTCTTGGGTGCCTTCTCGTTCTGCAGCCCGTCCCACCACGCCTTCCAACTCTTGCAGCTGCGCGCATACCTCCTTGTACCTCCCTTCCCACTCCGGCTGATTCAGCTCACCTCCGTACATGAGGCCATACGGGTGCGTCTCGATCAGCCTCACAAGCAGGACCACCGACGCCTTGCGCACTGTCGAGCCCTTGTCCTCGAGCGAGTCCACTGCCGCACGCGTCATCGCTAGGCGCTGTTGCGGGAACTTGTGCGGTAGATCACACAGGCGGGTCATGACGGAGAGCACCTTGGTGCGGACGTAAGACGAGACGTCGATCACGCGCTCAATGAGCAGCTCCCAAAGGCCCTCGAGCTGCTTGCTCATTTGCTGGTCGTCGTTGGAATTCTCGGATGCAGCTGCGAGCTCGCGGATCAGGCAGCCGATGATCTCGACTATGGCCATGCGCATCGGGTAGGACTGAAGGAGTGTGAGATTGCAATCATGGACTGCTGGGGATTGCACTTGCCTCGGAGTCCAGATGCGAGAGCAACAGGCTGATTTGCTTCAACACCGAACGGGGTATATTCTCGGCAAGGCGAACAAGGAAGCGAGAAAACGCCCGGGGGCCCTTCGAGTCCTGAGCACTGAAGCTCTTCGCCGCGATCTCCCGCAATATCTCGTCACCGAGCTGCGCGTGATCGAACTCTTTCGCAAGCACGATGAGCAGGTCGGCCATAGGCTCTGACAGGTGCTCGTAATACTGCAAGGATTGCATGATGCTAATTTGGGCGGCGAGGCCATGACCATGCGACTTGACGGCGAGACAGATGACCTTGTAGACACCGGTGCGAATGGCTACGGACTTCATGTATTGTTCGCTTTCAGTAATGTGGTATGCTGGACGAGTGATGCAGCTGCGGAGCATATGAGTTCAATATTCACGATAATAATCATGGCGCGAATGAGTAGATAGAATGGACCGAAGTAGAACACAAGCAGACGTAATATCATAACCAAGGATTATACTCACTTGATGAAGGTATCGCGCTCACCAGTTGTCAACCATATTCGCTGCGTCTTCAGCCGTAGTACCTTGGAGATCAATGCCAGTGTTGAGGGAATCTGGTCTATCCACGTCCACTCTTCTGTGTTTCGCTTCGCTGCTGGCCTCGACGCGGCGGCTTTCCCACCTCTCCCTCTCCGGGTCCTCGGGGCTGGTGCTGCGGCTGCGCCGTCATCTTCTCCAGGCCCCTTCACCTTCTCTGCTGCACCCACAAACCAGTTCAAGAGGAAGCCATACATCTCGAGCGCTTTCTTGTGAGCCGCGATAGTCTGTTGGTCCTCCGTATCCAGGTCCCGGTTGGTGGCTTCTACCTGCGCCTGGAACCCAGAGGTAACAGAGTCAAGCACCTTGCTCATGAGCGGCCCAGGCAGGCTCTCCGCGTGTTTCAGCAAGCTACGGTAGGCATCGAATACCTGAGGTTCCGTGATAGCGTCGGACGACTCGGCGAGAGCCTCAACGGCAGTCTCGAGGATGTGAGCGACAGCGCGGGCGTCCAGGGATGGGATGTCATCCTGATTGGGTATCTCGTAGTTCGCCTGGTCTTGCAGGCCTTGTAGCTCCTCTTGCAGTTCAAAGTCCATGGCGGCCCAGGGTGGCGGTCGTCGCGTCGCCGTTCAACTTCGAGTTCAAGAAACAACCGCGACGCGCGGGGTTCAACGCGTCGGTCACATGGGCACGCGAATGTGACACGGACGCGGTCCCGTCACGTCACGGTGGCGGAACGTCGAGCTTGCTCAGCGGCTGCAGTCTTTCTGCAGACGACCGCATCCGTCTGGCCTTCCTCCACGATGGTATGCCCTCACAGCACGATGCCTCCTCATGAGACTTAGACTTGACCTACGTAGATTATCCCGGTGCGTTGCTTTTCCTGCGGCAAAGTCATCGGAGACAAATGGAACGGCTACCTGGAGATGTTGTCGAAGGATGTTAGCGAAGGGTGCGTCGGCTCACTCACAAGGCACTGTCATCCAACTCATCGTATGTGTGTAGTGATGCGCTGGATCAACTACAGCTGAAGAGATATTGCTGCCGGCGCATGGTCCTTACTCACGTCGACCTCATCGAAAAGCTCCTTCATTACAACCGTGAGTCGATAGCATTCACTCGCTTTGTGGTGCTTCTGACAGCGCGACTCTTATTTTCAGCACACGAGCGCAACAAAGATAAGCAAGCTTATGCATAGTCATGTTGGTCCTGTATTCTATATGTTGTACTATCTATTGCCAGGTCGTTGTTGAGTGACCCTTCCGCCCAACGCATTTCCGCTGACATGACTGTCAGCGGATAGTTGATGTCACTGCAGGATATTAGCTCACATGTGCGCATACAGCTAACGGATTTTGCTCGGAGGTGCGTTTCCCGACTTTCGAGCCCCGATCCTCTCCTAGTAGAACTCGTGTACTTTATAGGTGAGTGTTCGCACTCAACAAGCACTGATCCGTCCAGTATAACATAGCAGGTGTCTACATGTACAAAGGATACATTAGAAAACAACCGGACCGTGCTCAATTTGCTGCAAACGCTCTCCCTACGGTCCCCACTCGACACTGCCAGGCTTCACGAAGAAGTCACAAGAGTTCCAAAAATTCCGTCCACAACCCTGGAGCGGTCAGCCACTACTGGCTATAGATATCGTCGAAACTATCCCGCGAAAATCATGATGGACAACGCATCGCCGACTCCGTACGCCCACTCGGTACTTCCCTCGTATACCCTGCCTGTCGGCGAGGCTCTGAGCTATACACCTCTGACGGCTGCACGACGATCAGCGGCTCCCTGTGTGATTCGTCGTCCAGGGCATCGTACAGAGGGACCGCTCGACGCAACGACCAGTGTTACCGCCACGTCACTGGCAGGTGGCGACGTGGACGGCCTCAGGATCGCTCACGCGTCGAGGCAGTTCCGGGCCCCGGCGGGGGACTACCTCGCGCTGGCGAGATGGGTATCGACCATCTGACGGGCAGTGAACGCAGTCTCGCCGATTGCGCACACGGTGTACATGATGGTTGACTTGGCCGAACGGGTCCGACAACCACGAATTCGGTGAGAGACACATGCAGATGTATGGCGGCGACGAGGACGGACGGTTGCCGTGATCAGCGGCCCCGTCGACCCATGCGAGCATCGCCGTACCATGCTGAATGTGTCCGGCTGGCGCTGCAGCACCAGCCAACTCAGAGCTCGTATGGCAACAGATGGGCAGCCAGCCCATCCATCCACGAAATGCAGACTCGGCACCGATAGGAAGATGTGTGAGTGTTGACGAAGGTCCATGGTGTCTGCTTCTGACAGCTCAACGCGGCGTCGACGACAGAGTGTTGTCGACGTCACGGATGCTCAGTTGGAAGCTGGCTGACCGAAGCACGCTCGCGAGTGTAGACAGCGCCGACGCTGTCTTGTACGTGGCGAGTATCGCGGCCTCTGGGTGGACGTGGTACATAGAGAGGCGGAAAACGGAGAAGGTTGGCCTTTTGTAGCTGAGTCCGTCACGTGGATCACATACCGCTGCCAACCGCGAACTGCAGAGGCGCTGGTTGGAGACAGGTATGTATGCGGTTCGGACGTTGTGCTATTCCTGACCAACGCCTTCCGAATGCCCCATCGTTCGCTCCATTGCTACAGGTCGTTCACGAGGGGATGCATGCCTTCTTCGCCAATCTATTTTCGTCACTAGATACAGTTGAGTTTGACGAGGTGGGGCCGCTATTTCTGACCACGCACAGTGCACGTCGATGATGACATGCATCCAACCGCAGGCTAGCCCTCGCAGTAGTCGTCCGCTTGCTTGAATTCAGTATATAACAGTGACGACCCTCGCTTAGCCTGACATATTCCACTAACAAGATTACCCCCCACCATGGTCGAACCAGTCCGCGACAACAAAGGCTCCAACATCGTCGGGCCCCGCAACCCCGACAGAGAGCGCCAGAACCCGGACATGATGCGTCCCCCGCCGACCGACTGGGGGACTGTCCTCAACATGAAGTGGTCCTGGGCGGACTCGCATATGCGCTTGGAAGAGGGCGGCTGGGGGCGCGAGGTCACCGTGCGCGAGCTCCCGATGTCGCGCGACCTCGCCGCGACAAACATGCGCCTCGAGGAAGGCGCCGTGCGCGAGCTCCACTGGCACAACGACTCTGAGTGGGCGTATATCCTGGAGGGGCGCGTGCGTATCACGGGGATTGATTATGGAGGACTCTACTTCGAAGAGGACGTCGAGAAGGGGGACCTGTGGTTCTTCCCCCAAGGTGTCCCACACTCGCTGCAGGGCCTCGAGGGTGGTTGCGAGTTCCTCCTGGTGCGCTTGACCCGTCACCGTTCGCCTTCAACAACCTTGACGTCGACCTTTATGCCCCGCAGATCTTCGACGACGGCGAATCCTCCGAGTACAAAGCCTTCCAGCTCACCGACTGGCTCGCGCACACGCCGCGCGACATCCTCCGGAAGAACTTCAAGGTGCCCGAGTCCACGCTCGCGCACCTCCCCGCGCGCGAGAAGTTCATCTTCCGCTCGATCCTCACCAAGCGGAGCGCCGCGGGCGAGGTGCAGCCAGGTGCGCCGCTCACCCGCCGCCGGCTCACGCACAAGATGCTCGCGCAGGAGCCGATCAGGGTGCCCGGCGGCGAGGTGCGCATCGCGGACTGCTCGAACTTCCCCGTGACGACTATCAGCGCGGCGCACGTCGTGATCAACCCGGGTGCGCTACGCGAGATGCACTGGCACCCGTATGCGGACGAGGTGCGTTGTCTCCGCAGTGGGCGACTCGGAAGCGAGAGCGTGGATTACTGACGAGCCGTGGCCAGTGGTCGATGTTCCTGAGCGGCAAGGCGAGGGTCACTGTGTTCACCGTGCAGGCAACGCGCACCTACAACTTCGTCGCAGGCGACGTGATGATCGTCCCGCGCAACTGCGGGCACTACATCGAGAACATCGGCGACGGGCCTATCGAGATGCTTGAGATCTTCAAGTCGCCCAAGTGAGTCTTCCGATCCGCGACTTTGGCTGTGCGCGAGGTTGATCTTTGGATTGCAAAGGTTCGAGGAGTTCTCTTTGAACCAATTGCTCGCTGTTACCCCGCCGCACCTCGTCCAGGCACATCTGAACGTCGGTGAAGAGTTCACCAAGGCCCTCGACAAGGGTCACACTCCAATTCGCGATGACAGCGTGCCACAGTGAGTATCAGCCCCTTGTACCGGATCTCTGGGTGCTCATGTTCGCGTCGCTTCCAGTGAGAATGCGCCAGGGAAGCCTTCTGCAAAGCTGTAAAATCGGGAGTTGATGAGGGGATCGCGATGTTCAAGGTGTACACGGCGTACCTGCAACCCTACTTACATACTTTATCTTATGTGAACGCCCTGTACAACATGTTTTTGTAAAAGTTGTAAAATATAGGAGACTCGTACTTGCCTGACTATCAGCCCGCAATGCCACGCCGTGGCGGTCCTTATGTTATACCAGTTAGAAGATATTCTACGCACGCTTCCATGGCAATCAGCATGTATTCTCACGTCGATCGTCAGCCCCAACTCCACCGCTGACATAGACAGGCAGTCAACTCGCCATCATCCAATTCATCGTGATTCATGATACATATGTACAGTATCGTTCCCGCGCGTCGACTTGACGTCGACAGTCGATCGGTGAAATTGGCTGTCAACGATGCATCCGGCCCCGACAGCGGCTTGTCCTTGGCTAATCCGACAGTTCGTCATTCGTGTGAGTAGAGAGTGCGCCGCCGATAGCTACAGGTATCAAGGGGAGCATAGCCTCACCGTGATGAAGGTAGGGATTCCGGGCAGCGGCCATCTTCAGGCCTGTCTAGCCAGCCATTTCCAGATCGCTGTCGATGTCAGGACCGTTTTGCGACTTGTACCTGGGACGAGAGCGTGGTCAGTCGTCTTGGTCACCTGGTTTGAGATATGGATGTGAGTAAAGCCTCCAGTAGCAAACAAAGAGCCGATACGATACGATACGTACCCTGCCCTGCACGCCTTCCGGCCGCGGTCGCTGTCCGAGTCGTCTGCTGGTGGATCCGTGTGTTGCAAATCGTCAAATGCCTGTGAACGGTAGGCGACTCTACTCATGGGGAGAAGTCAGCGCCACGAACACTCGGTGACCGATCTCGTTGATGCAGTCACTTGACGAACTGCATGACAATCGCAGGCTTCCACTGCTCGTGCGACGACGTATCTGCGAGGAGTAATACACCCCAACCACGGCCCCGGCCGCAATAGGGTCACTCTTGGTCGGCCCATTGCAGGCGAACAGCACAGCTCCGCCTATCTTTCCCGCAAAAAGCGCCGGATTTTCCGTGCACACTCACGCTTCAAGTTGTCTTCACCGGACGAGAGATGCTGAATGAGCTTCTCTCTTGGCCGCACCATGAGAACGCAATAGACCGGGTGCTGTGTTCTTCAGCACTTCGAAGTGTGTGACGCTCCGGGCCCATCGTACAGTGCCCCGTGCCTTCATGGACGTGCCTCCGTCAAATTCGCACTCTTGTTAGAAGGGCTGGACTCACCGTCGGGCCCGATAGTCCGGTTTGCAGAGAAGACAGGCGTAGATATCCAGAGCACAACGCCGCACTTACTCCGCGGCAGCGCTTCCACAAGGCCGGTCCCTTTCTAGCGGAGGTTAGGGCACGAGGGAGTACTGTTGCAGTCTTGCCAAGAAACAGTTTGCACTCTCCCGCGAGCGTGAAGAGAAGTCACCGGTCTCTCAATGGCACCAGCATTCAGTCACCAGAGCGACCCTGAAAGCGTGTGAGTGGACTGTTCAACCTTTCCCGTCGGGAGACGGTGGGAGAGGCAGTAGGGCAGTCTTCTAGGAGACCAAGACTCCAAATACTTAACACTGACAACGAAGACGAGCTATATCGGCCTGTGCCGGGAGGCTCTTAGGCAAGCTATAGCAGCCGTCGATACCGCCCTATGCAGCGTCCGTCGTGTGGCTGGAAGCGATTCAGCATGAGAAGAGCTACTCATGGCGACAATTGCGACTTACCTTCGACTCGGGCCGAGATCTATATATCATTCAGATGAAGTAAACATCGTGCATTGCCCGCGACAACTACTTTGACACTGCTAAAGCAGACATTTGACAAGGAGGTTTGACGACTTAGTATTCAGTAGCCGATAGTAGGGGGTCCGAAGTGAGACAGTGGTAAGTACATTCGAGCATAGCGATCACCCTCGCAGTCGTTTGAGCAACCACGTCATATTCCTTCGGACTGCCGATTGTCCTGCACACTGCATCCTCAGTCAGTGAATGTCCTCATGAGACCAAGCGGAAGAACAGTGACGTACTGTGGGACAGCAGTATGCAGGCTGAGACGCAGTATCGTTGCACAGCTTCCACCTCTCCCCATCCACCAACTCGGGTTCGCCACAATAGCAGCATACGTGTGCGAGCTCATCTTCGTCGAGCAGTATCTCGACCTCCTGCGCGACGCGCTCCCCACCCTTCAACTTGTCTGCCGCAGTGCGCCCGCGACCGGTCAGCCGTACTACGGGAGGCTCCGCCGCCAGCAACGAGTTGAGCAGGCCTCCCTCTGGGAACGTCGAGTCGCCCGGTTCGCGATCCCAGTTGGCATCGAACCAGATGAGTGGGTGGCCGGCGGGGCTGAGGGCAGGTGCGTTGGCGGCGCTCGATGATGTTGTGCAGTTGAGCGTGGCGCCCTTGCGGGTCTCCGCCATGCCGTAGCCTGTGGCGAGGACGAGCATGTACTGGTTGCGGTTCACGTCGTCCCTGCGGGCGAGGGCGAGGCGGACGCCGCCGCTGGCGAAGGCTGGAGTCGAGAAATCACGGATGGGCATGGTTGTCCGAGTCGTTTGTCGTTCAGTACTGAGTTGGGAACTTGAATTGGAGGCGAGGTCTGTGTCTGTCTATGTAGTGGGGATAGGCAACCCCCCTTAGCTGGACGGCCAGCGTCTATTTGTGCCGGGATCACGGCCGTGTAATCTGGTGACATCTAAACGAGCGATAGTGCAATATCTCATCTTATCGTTGTCGTGCCGATCACACAGAACGCGATATCGTAGATAGGCATGGTACATAGTGCTAGGAGGTATCGGTGTGCAGTGGGAAAGAGTGGTAACTGTATAAAATGAGTGCTGGAGGTACGTTACATGGATTTTCTGAATTATAGGTATAGATAAACCTGTTGTATATATGCAAAGTCACAAGTGGATCGTAGAGATCCGCCGGCGGTAGGTAGAATGGGGGATTGTGAAACTCATCGTTTTGGGAGTACGAACATCGGTCCGCCCACGCTCGAAGCCGAGCTCGTCGGGGTCGGGGCGGAGGTCGATCACATCGACGTCAGTGAGCTGCTCATCTGCACTGGCAAGAGCGACGCGGCTGTCTCGTCCTCCGCGGTCCAAGTCCACCAGTGAGCGCGAGCCTTGTGCCATGCCCGCGCGGTGCTTGCCAGGTACCTGTGATCCTCTCTTGACTGGCCAGTCTTGGTAGGGTGTGCGGGCGTCGGGAGCGTGAGCACGGCAACGGTGCTGGCCGCGCGGAGGGGAGCTCTGGAGAGCGGGGGCCAGGGCAGCTGCGAAGTTGTGGCTGCCTGAGAGTCCGAGACGGTGCCAGCAACACAGAGGTTGGTTCGATGTATGGGTGTGGGAGCCACACTGCAATTGGTGCGAGACGTGGTGAGTGTGTCGTGCGAGTAGAGCTAGAGACTGCCGCTGCCGTGGTGGTAAGGATCCAGTAGTATTAGCAGTGCTGGTGAGTTTCGTTTGAGCTCGCCGCCCGAATCAACCTTCTTGTCCCCGGTGTACTAGACGTCCCCCTCGTTCTCCTAGTCAATACTGATGTCCATATTGATGTCCCGCGACGCGCGCTGCTTCTGCTTCAGGCCAGACACAGATCCCACGACGCGATCACGAGAGCAATGCGCCGGGCAGGCGTCCGCAGCGGCTTCAATGTACGCACCTTGTCGATGAGCTTGAGATTTTGAAAGTAGGAAACAGTTTTGACGAGCACGTCCAGCACAGCCTCTTGAATTTCTGGCATGTCACACTCCGCTCGCGAGTCCCTCCGCAAATTCAACCACTCCCGCATCGGAAGGCCCGCCAGACCAAGATCAGCCTGGCAGACGCCTGTGACACTGTGTGCACTTATCATTGAGGCTGAGCAGGAGAACCCCTAGGAAGCCGGCGAAAAACGAGGCAAGACGAATGCGAAGGGCAGGATGGACTCGTGCCAGGCTTGCGGCCGCGACGGGTCACGGCGCTGGGCTTGTATCACTTCGTCGCCAGAGTTGGAGTGGAGTGCGTCTGGCAAGCTGGTCCTAGAAACAGCGCTATTGCGAAGGATGGCACTGGCCGGCAGTGAGTACCGTCACGGTACCGCCGTCGTGACACACCGAGGTCCACGTCGATGCGGTGCTGGCAACACAGTTGCACACAGTGGTAACGTGAATATGACTCACCGTGTTGCCAACGATAACATGGGTTCCTCGTCGGAAGGCAATTGCCCGCGTTATAAGTTACTTGCAGCGCAGACATCCAGCATCCCAGTGGCACACGTACTACGGCGCTTGGGCGATGTATGGGGACAGGCCGCTTATGTAAGCTGTACCACGAAGTTCAGACTCAAGAAACTCACCAATTCGCACCTGACGGTTATGAGAGAAGTTGAACCAACATTCATGGACTCAATCTAAAAGTATCCCAACTACATTGGATAGCCAACGTTGAGCATACTGACAGGGGACACGCACATGGCAGCCTCATCCCACACGGGCGCTTGATCTGCGAACCTCGAAAACGGCACCTTTTGTGTGGTCTCGCAACGACAACATTTCACCCATCCAACTTTCGGGATGACCGTTTTTTGATACGACGAGTCGAACCTTCGTTGCCAAATTTTCACTGCTTCTCATTTAATGCACAATCTCAGCATGCATATAGCGAGATAAATTACTTCTCGACACACAACAAAAAATCAGCAACCAACGTTTTGCTTAGAATCCTTATCGTAAACGCACTGTGTACAAGATCTACGAATAAAGCCGCTGTTGCAGACCACAGTTTTCGGTACCGTTTGCTGCTCACTGTGGCGCCTGATATGAAGACGATCGCTGGACTATCTGCAAGAGATTATATGGCATCTCGGCACGATGGCCAGCTACCATCAATCGTGTCCGCTTCCGTCCTCGGGCGCTTGGCCGCGCGCTAAGGCCATTTGGCGGGGGCGTTGCCTATCCCCATATGTAGGCTAGGCGAAAGGCTACACGTACACACATGCAGTGCTTGACATGCCATCTTAGGTGTGGCGGTGGTGCCGTAACAGGCTGTAGCCCGTTACTGACCTGTTGTGGCGATGCCACACCCTCCATCACTGCACAACGATCTTAGATCTGCTTTGAGTTGTTGACGGTTCAGTTTCGGCTGCTACTACTTACTAGCAACACTCACCGTGACCCGCCTCCGATTGGTATCTATATGACTCTGGAGACTCACTGGAGGATTCTCGTTGCCAGACCATGGGAATGGCTAGACGTTGGACTCTTCGTGCAACTTGAACCAGTGCTGGCGGTATGTACACACGGCCGCACGATCATGATGATGCTACGGTCCGAACTGTCAGGAAGACTCAGCCTCACTTCTTACGCCGTGACGTGCACAGACCTCAGGGGAGCGCTCTCGAAGCTATTACGGGGAAGAAGGTCACATACGGGCTGTCATCATCGTGCATGATGAATCATGATAGTAAGGACATAGCATGGTTCGACACCTGCAAGAAACACGATGCACGTAGGATCATACTCACAATCAGGTACTCCTATGCCCTTCAGCAGTGCTCTTAGGGTACGCAGAGATATCGACTACCGGTGATTTTCCTGCGAAACACTGGTACGTTGTACTCCCTAGGCCTCAAATTTTATTCAGCACTGACGGCGGACAGACGATCTTCACCGCCAAAACACGATGGTGTCCGAGTTGGTTTTGCCTTGCAGGGACACTGAGCGGTCGTCCACTGCCACCCGGACTTTTCCTACGCATTTCATCCGCTTACCGCCATGGTGGACATATGGTACTGTACCTCCGCACGCTGTCATGCATCTAGTAACCATCACCTGTATGATCTTTGAGCGCGATCTCGACACTGAGCGCAGGTGCCCGCCGTGTGCACGCAACCACACATCTTCTAGTTTATGGCACTGCCAGTGCCACCGGAGCATCGGTCTCCGTTCGACGTCGGCGGCTGCACTGCAGCCCATTGAAAGGAATTGTTGCAAGACACTGATGCTTCAGCGGCCGTCAAGTCATTGCTGCGGCGTTCACGGATGGGCGTGCTTCGATAAAAGCGCGAGTGGATGGAGATGATGACCCAGGGCAACTGGATTCCCTCTCTTATTCCTTTCGATCTTCATTTCTTTCCGGTGAGTCCGCGCTCCTTATCGCGCCTGAGGGCTTTCTGAATGAAGGTCTGACGACGAATGCTACAGCTGCGCGGCTTTTCACATCTTATCCCTTTATTTACGATCCCGACATGAATCGCTTCTATGCCCTGCTACTAAGCTTCGTCTTGTGCTTCACGGTCGTCACTAATGCCGCTCCTATCCGGGAGGGAAGGTCATATGCAGTATGTCCCACCAATCCCCTCTGAAGTGCTCGCACCTCAGGCTCACTGCTGAACAGGCTCATTACCCCCCTTCGAGCGGGCTTCATATTGTGGGTGCACCTGACGCTTTCGGGCTTTATACACCATCTCATTAGTCACTACATGCACAGATTGAGGAGAACATCGCCCGTGCACTGTACAACCCCACTCACGCGCTGTCTCGGGCTTTGGATGCTCTCGCTACCCTCAAGAGGCGGAACAACAGAGGTACGTACTGGCCCCATTACTTAGTTGCACGCTGTTACAATTTCCGGGACCATGTACAGAATTCATCGGATGGCATGGTACAAATGCTGTTTGTTTGTTTGTTTGTAAATCCCATTTATTGTCGCGTTAGGGCGAAGCCCTATGTAGACATGAGCTGCCGGGGTACTGTACTAATATAGTAGGTCAAAACGTGGGGTCGACGGGAACATTGGCTCGGTGTACCCCCGAGGAGGCCACCTTGCCGGGCGGGACGTGATTATCGTGTGAGGTGTATGTGGTATGTACAGTAGGGAGATTAGAGAGTTCGCGTTGGTAGGGTGTATGTACAGTGTAATGTATTCTAGTAGAGTCCGTATTGAGATGAAATGAGATGGTAGGGGATATGTATAGAAGAGTGTGAAGAATGCACGCGTCGTGTTCGTTAGTCCGTCAGGTTGGGTCGTCTGTCCCGTTCGCGTTCCGCGGTAGGTCGAGTTCTCCGAAGGTGTTGGCGAAGCGGCCGGTGGCGTGGATGAAGCGGAAGAGTGGGCGGATGGTTTCGGGTTTCGATAGCAGGTGCCGGAGCGATCCTGCTCGACGACCTATTTCGCGGCGTAACCAGTCGCGCTGAGGGGTGTACTCGGGGCATTCGAGAAGGTAGTGTCGGACCGTCTCCCGGCGTTCGTCGCAGGCGGGGCACCTGTCGGTGTCTGATCGGCGTATGCGGTGTAGGTGGTGGTTCAGCGGGGCGTGTCCGGTGCGCAGTTGGATGAGTAGGCTGGCGTGTCGACGGGGAAGGGGCGCGATGAGCTTGGTGAACTTCCTCGATGGCATGTCTGGGTTGATGCGACTGAGTGCGGCATGGCGTGGGGATTCCTTCCAGCGCTGGGAGGCAGCTGTCTTTATCTGGTCGAGGAGGTGTCTGCGGATTGCTGAGATACTCGCGGGGAGCGGCATGCGAAGGTATTCAGGGAGGTCGTCAAGGGGACTGCTGTCACCTCTCGCAGCTTTCTTTGCTTCCTCGTCTGCGCGTTCGTTGCCGTCGACGCCGCGGTGGCCGGGTACCCATCGGAGGGTGAGCTTCGCGTTGGGGTGCGTGGTACAGAAGCGGTCGACTGCCTGGTGGAGAGCATCGAGAAGGTAGTGGCCGGGTTGTCGAGAGCGTGTTTGCGAGGCACGGAGGCAGGGAGTGTTGTCAGCAGCACAGGATGTTTGGACAAATGCTGTGAGTACCCCAACTTATATATTCTATAACGCAGGACTGACGCTCGTCCGCAGGATACCGCCGCACTCTGGACGAAAGACGGAAAGATCGTGAAGCCGAAGGGTAAGGCAGGCACGGGCTCTGGTCTACACCTGGGTCCTGGTCTCTACGTCACAGATACCTGGTCAACGTACGTCCAGCACCTCGACCGTCGTCTGCATGTATATTGACGCTGCAACAATGGCGCTGTAGCGGGGTGTTCTACGCGAACTGGAACAGCCACGAAACGCATAAGCCGCCCAAAGTGTGCGCGGTCTATGCAAAGTCGGAGTCCGACTGGCGCTCTATGATGACCAAGGTCAGGAACCTATCTGCATGCTCCAACATCTCCGCTCTCTGAACCGATCCACGTCGTAGGTCTGGATGCCGGACAACTTGATCAGCGCCACAGCTACTGAGGCAGAGAGGCAAAAGTACATCAAAGAGAAGGCTCCGCACAAGATGGACACTACCGCCGTCAAGTTCGGTCCTCTAGACCCACAGAGTGCGTCGCTGTTTATGCCTGTCCATACAAGTCAATGAAGCTCACTAAGTGTCTCGTTGCCGCGACAGGACCGACCCAGCATCAGCTTGTCATTCCCGAGGCGATTGAAGACCACTTCGAAGTGGTATGCGTGAACCCTACAGCGAACCCGCCTGCGGGATATCCTACGCTGCAATACTCCTCTCCGGCGCTCAAGGCTGAATGGAAGATTATCAGTTAGGCATGCCTCCCCACCATGACGTTGATACCTGCTCGTTGCTGCAGGTTCCGGCGTGCGGCTGCGTTGGAGCGTCCCAGTGAGCCCAGTTCGTTACCATACATAGATTCATGTCCATGTAGTACACCATAAGATTCGTAAGAACCCGTATGCGAAAGTCCTCGCACTAGGTGTAACTTTCTGCGTATAGTTTGTAGATGCAACCCCCAAACGAAAATCATTGAGGCCTGCGAACCCGTACCTGCTATTGTGTACTAGTGCATGTGTGCATCGTACTACTTGATCTCGAACGTCGACGCGTTTGAGAGCATCGTTGTACTTCGATGCCCGCGCGATGTACCACATGCCTTTTACATCTGTGAACTCCCGTGAGTACATTGACGGACTTTTGATGCGTATAGCACATTCGCCACTACGACCAGTCACCACGACCAACTCGAAGATTTTAGTTGCGAAGAAATGATCGACTCATCGCCGCCAAATCACACACCCTCAGTGCTACGTCGTGGATCGCAAGCCAACCCCAGTGCGTCAAACATAGCTGCCCAGTTAAGTATGACGGCACTTGTAAGTGCCGCGTCGACAATGATAGACTCACTCGTGCCGCGGCCGTGCCGATCGGGTCGGGACGTCTCCCTCAGGCCCGGGGTGCAGTCAGCACAGACATGCTTAGTCTTGTACCACTGGACACGGCTATGCGGGCCTGCGACGTTCGGCCGTAGGCCGAGTCACGTGTGTGGAAAATAGATGTAAATAACGCGCTCCGCGTCGTGTTCTGCACACGCGTCTGCGTATTATCTTCACTGTTTGCGACTCGACTACGCGGTACGACGTCCGTCTGGATCTCGTGGAGCACGGCCGACGTGTTTAATGGTATGCAACTGAGTCAATGCTTGACAGAAGAACCGGTCTCTGTGTGCCTGCCTCAGACAAGCACCACAATCTGAGTACCTTGCTCCGAGCTGTGGCCCCGATCGAGCACTGCGCCGTCCGTCCCTTCGAAGTAATTGTCGTGTGGAAGAGCAAGGGTGTCATGCTCACGCCCTGGCGAGAACACTGCAGATTTTCGTGAAGGAAAACGTGTATGTGTGCTGCATGCGCGCAGATCTCTCAGGAGTACGAAGTTGTGCAGGACGTGGACGAGCGTCACGAGAGCGAAGAGTCGGAGGACAATAACTCCAGGGCGTCGCTGACGAGACGCAAGCGTGTTGAGACGCAAATACGGCGCTGGGGCGCTGGGGAGGTCTTCATCGGTGAGCCCCTTGCGGCGCTCAAGCAACTGTTCGAGGAGGAGAGGTCATTTGACAGAGTGTTCAACACTGTCGCAGGCATAGAGATCTGGGAGATGACATAGAGGCTGCTCGCGGCGCCCCCGTTGATTTCGTGTGCAACATCGGATGTCGAGGACAACAGCGACGACGGGCGCAAGGTCTTTGTCTGCCCGGCGCAGTTCACCACGCTCGTTTTGTAACATGATGATACTCCTCCCTGAATTTTCCATGCTGAGTTTAGCCCGCGGGATGATATATCACTCAATCTGATGCTACCCTTGGACAGCAGGCTTCTCGAATGCTGCAGCTTGAACGCGATGTTTAAGCTCATGCACAAACCACAGCGCCAGTGATAAATGTGTCCGTCGCGTACCAATCTTCTAGTGCACGATGGAGACCAAAGTGTTACCTAGAGCAAAAATCAAAAACAGTACCTCAGTTAAAGCTCCTGGGCGATTTTTGGCTGAAGGTTGTCACTCAAAGAGACTCAAATCGCCAAACTTGAGCGTCCGAGCAAACGTACAACGTGAGATTACATAAGCAATACCATATGTGGACCATCCGCACCTTTATGCACGTCTTCATGCCGTGCAACCAGCCAAACCGCACCGTGAAGTGCACAGACTTATCAAGGATCAGAAACATTCAATTCTGTAGCAAATTCTCGTTATGTATCGTCGTAGTCCAGCACGACACGAGACGCGCTCTGGAGGGAGAGTCAGGAGGCAAATCACTACTTGCCTTTTATATCCGGAACCCTTCAGGCCCGGTTAGGCAGCGCGTCTTATTGCAGACCAAAAACGAGAGTAACTCTTTTTGGTCAGCAACGGAGACTAAGACATGCTGCACCCTCGTCGGTCATTCGGAGGGTACCTTTTCGAAGCTTCATCACGCACACTTCGCGCGGCGTGCTAGAGAGCGGGGTCGCACAATCGTAGGATGGCACGGATGAAGTCATAAGACTGCAGGATGAGACCGGCGAGAGGTCGCCGGGTGTCTGGCTCGGTACGGCTTGGGGAGGGACCCAGGAGATGCAGTTTGGAATACGCAATGAGTTGCGGGTGCCTTGGGTGAGAAAGGGGGGCTTGGGACTAGGAGCACGACTCGGGACAGCGCGCTGCAGCGAGGAGATGACCGCAGTGATATTAGTGTATGTAGCCTACGAAGCGGTACATCGCTGCTAACTTACCGCGGCTTGTGTGAGCCAGCCTGGGCATACATACAGCGGATACTTAGGAGGAGCCAGGCGACAGGCACGGCCGATGCGACGTCCAGCGAAGACGGTGGCACTGACAATGGTGACAGTCGGTCGGGGTGAGAGCCGCCCACACGCATGCCGACAAGCCCGATCCGCGGCGATCGCCATCGGAGATCCACGCGCCCTTCCTCATCAGGCAGACTTTGGGTCCAAATCTACAACGCCCGCCACCGACGTAGTCCATTCTGACAGCCTCCGTACGCCTTCTACTACGTTCCAAACGCCTGCGCGTAGCGCGAAGCACAAATCACTTTTACCAGGCGCAAGCGACGGCGGCCAGCTAGACTCGTCGCTATTTTTGCGAGCGCACCTTGTGCACAGTCGACGGCCCGGTGGAAGCCAATGCGAGTGAACGGATGTTCCACAGCCGCGACGGCTCGCCGGCTCGCCACTGCGTGCAGCTCGACAAGAGGCGAGCCACGGCGTCGATCTTCATACGGGCTAACCTACTCCTCTGTTATGCCTCAAATTCGGTGTTGCGAGCAATAGAGAGAGCGGGATCTGCAAGGGATCGTCGCCTCAGGCTCTCAGGTTCGGGCTCTCATGACGTTGTGGTGCGCCGTCTCAGTGTTCTTGAAGAACGAAGGAAGCTGAAGCTGAACCTGAAGCCTCAAACCTGCTCCAGAGTCATCCATCGATCCTCTCCCCTTTCCGCGACGACGTAAAGATAAAGGTGGGGCAGACGGAATTTGGAGAAAGGAAGCCTACAGGTGTGGTCAGTGGCGACTTGGCGCGACCACGGATAGCTAGAGCCTTGCGCACCCGGGTCTCAACGAGTTCATCTCGTTTCTTCCGCATTGCTCTACAGGTGCGATCTTCCACAACCGACAGACACTTACCCATGGCCTCCGTGGGATCGCCGATGCGTACGGTGGTATTCTCTGCCAAAGTGGCAACCTGCGGACCTGAAGCACAGGCGTTGCACGGACCGCTGCCGCGTAGCAAGGAAGAAGTATGCCCAAAAGGTTATGCAACGATGTGCAGAACACACAATCGCTGCGAAGACACGCCGTCGTAGCTTTCCGGGGGTATCATTTCAACGAGCGTTGGCAACGTCCTGCTGCGTATCTGCGGATATGGGCGTCCGGCACGCAGCTTCGTCCGTCGCCCAGTAAGTTAGCCTCTACATGCCTGGGCTTCATGGTTTCTTGGTTTAGGTGAGATAGCGCCCGGAAGTAAGCACGACCCCATAACGTTGCAGCGTTGCCAAGGTGCGTTGCGCAGTGACTCCCATTTGCGCTTCTGTTCAGAGGTCAGTAGCGGGCTTACGCGGGTCCAATGTTTAGGCGTTGAACGGTGTGTATGTGCCAAGAATGCGCGTCCAGGGCCAACTCGCGAGCACAAGGTATACGAAAAGCAATCCACCGTGCCCCATACTCCGGATCCGTGCATGCAGGCCTACACACATACATGCCTTTGTTCCAGGAATTCCGCGCGTCCTCAGTCTTCCTGTCGTCTCGCACTGGTGCGCACATCCGAACCTGTCCCGATCGGATAGTCTGGCCCGTACACCTCAAGACGTCAATCGATGTCGAGGGAAAGAAAAACATACATCATGCAGCTCGACGTAGCCCAGCCCTTGTGCAGATCATAAGAGAAAGCGGCGCGAGGATCACCACGCGATCGAACTGACAGCCTCTCTGCTAAGTAGGAAGCGTCGGGTCGGGAGCCGCGCACGGACCCGGGTGCGCGTCTGCCGCTGAGCGGACTCGGGTCCGCGATGGCGATCGTCGAAGGGGATGTCCCCTCGTCATAAATTCATTTGTGATCTCGTATCGCATCCGTGCGCCGCGTCTCTGTCCATTGAGTGTCAGCTTCCAACTGTATTTGCAAGCGCATTAGCTCGCTATGACGTTGCATTCCCCGTAGTGCGCCCCGATCCACTCGGGGACTGCCCGTCGTATGTAACGCATACGGAGCCGCCCAGCGGCCAGCCCGACGCGTGCTTCGAATTCGCGGCGCTTCGAGCACGTTTTGTGAAGGGCGGTGCCTTCTGCTCCGTGCCTGTCCCCCTTTGGCATGTCGCCAATTTCCTATTTTTGGCTCGACGCGCAGCCAGCCCGATCTGGATGCGGTGTCCTATATTCGACGACGCGCTGCGCCGCCGCGAGCGTACTTGGGCAGCATTTGTGACTGCGTGGACGGATAGAAGGGGTCGTAGTCGCGTGCAGGGCACGCTTGCAGCTGCATTCGTCAATGCGGAGTGTACCAAGCACATCTTTGACCATGTTGCCCAATCTTATACGACACAGAAGCCAGACAGACAGATAGCACAGATAGGACTATTGCACCCACCTCAACGACCGCGTCGACGCTCCGCCGTCGCTGTCGGGCAGCAACTGAGCAAGGCATGCGGCGTTAGACCTCGCGCGACGGCAGAACGGCGCACCGATTCCTGTCAGATCAGAGGCGACGTCGACGGATCTCGCGTGTCCAGAACGTTGGTCCGGCGCGCCGCGCCAAAAATAGACGTCCCCCGATTCGGCGCGACGTCGACCGATCTGATGCCGATTCCCCGCCCGTGGCTCGCCAGATTCGGCGCGCCGCGCACGGGCGAAAGTGGACGGGAAATTACGACATTTTCCCCAGGAGCGTGCGGCAGGCGTGCGATTGGTCGCAGGCTGAGTCTGGGCGCTCAGCCAATGGGGCGAGGGTGGGTGGGAGGTGGTTGCGGCCAAGGCTCGAAGGACGAGGACAGGGAGCTGTAGGAGGGTTCTTGCGCAGCGAGAAGCAGAATCACCGTTGACGACGTCCGGGAGGCGCGATTCGGAGGATCTTGGCTGGAGCGACAGTCAAATGGGCGGGGTCGTGTGATGGCGTGTGCAGGTACGCTCGAGAGTGGGAGAGTACCTACAGCGGTGGGGAATATACGTCGGCCATGGTATAACATTTCCTAGCGTGACCTGCAGGGGAGCGACTGGGGTCTGGGGCAGGAGAGTGAGGTCATGCTGAAGTCTGGACACGAAGACGTCGAAGTAGAGCATCATACCGGCATCAATTCATAACTGAAGCGAGGAAGGAAGCGCTTCGAAGAAATGATATCACCATGCGTTGGCGGTGCTGCAGATACCATGACTGCGCGGCGGCTACTTGGACGAGGAGCGCTGGGATGCAGGGCCAGGAGGATGTCGAGGACGGGTGGAACGGTGCTGTGTTCGCCGCAGAATGGCGGGCAGCGGATGGACGGTGGGATACGGGTGCAGCGGGTCATACCTCGAGCGCGACAGGACAGGGAGGAGAGCCACAGGGCGGCGCCGCTTAGAGCCCACTGGGGGCAAACACGGAAGGCCGTCATGAGAACGCCAGTGCAGTGCGGGCGTATCTATCGTCCACCGCCATAGAGCATATTGCCCAGGCGCCTCAGTCAAAAATGGCACATTCTCATCAGGATGCCTCAGTCGGATGCATTCGACCGAACGAAGTGGATGGCTGATCATCACTGTCCCGCTGGGATCATGATGGCAGGAGGGGGATTGGATGGGGAGGACGAGGAGTAATATGAGTGTGGTACAGCCTCGGAGGCCATCGTTGCAGGACAGTAGTTTACTGGACGACTCACTGACGGGGTGGCACGACTGTCAATGTTGGCCATGACGACCTGGCAGTTGAGCAGCGGCGTGCAGCTGGGGTGCTCGTCTCTGCCAGATGGGTGTTTCTCGGGGCATTGATTTGTGCGCCACCGCTGGGGATGAAACGCACCGAGACCGTCCGACGCGTTCTTCCACGAGAGCGGCGAGTGCGGGTGGGCCGCTCCTCCCGACCGTGGCGGAGGGAGGGCATGCGGACGAAGATCCGTCGACTTCCGAGGCCCGAGCGGCTCAGAGAGAGGCAGCAGCGACTCCCTGCCCAGCAGAATCCCCGCACTCCCTGATCGGCCAGGATCCAGGCGAAAACGCGCACCGGCGGGGCAGATTCGCGCAGAAGGACGAAAGGCGTGCCCGATGGCAGCCCTCGGCACGCGGGACGGCACGCGTTGCGACGAGATTGGGTCCGCTGGATGACGGGAGTGGCTGACGCGTATTTGGCGATGTTGACCGGGTGATATGGCCGCTGGGTCGAACCAATATAAGACGCCGGCGGGGAGGCTGGCGCTCTATCCTCCCTCCCATCCATCCGCCCTCCAGCTGTGTTGTTCGTCCTCCCGTTTTCGCTCTAGCGAATCCGCTCGACATCGTTGGGGGTTTCCCTGCTCGTCCGCCCTCTTCTCCCCCGTCTGCCCTTCCCATGTCGTCCCCCACTGAGAAGGAGGCTGGCTCGACCGAGCCGGTCAAGGATACCAACCAACCTGAGATTCCTTCCGAGGAGCCAGAAAAGAGGAAGAGAGAGTATAAGGACTTTGGACATGATGAGGTGAAGGCTACGCGTGAGTACACCCCGAGAGCGCGACATCTTGAACTTTCATTGACGCGTCGAATAGACGCTAAGGTGGACATGTCGCAAATCCAGTTGCGTGCGGAGGATCTATACGACAAGGAAAAGGTCGACCTCGAGACCATCGTCGTGGAGGATGTTTTTAGACTTCTCCAGTGCGATGATAACGGTCTGTCGCCCGAGGAGGCCATCCGTCGTATCGAGCTGTTCGGCCCGAACAAGCTTGAATCGGAGGAACAAAATGCCTTTCTGCAGGTTTGTTGTCCCCTCCACTGCCGTGCACATCATTGTCTCATGAGCTGTCTAGTTCCTGTCGTTCATGTGGAACCCGCTTTCCTGGGTCATGGAGGGCGCTGCGCTTGTCGCTATCGTCCTGTCGAACGGCGAGCACCAGCCCCCAGACTGGGAGGATTTCATCGGTATCGTCCTGCTTCTGTTCGTCAACTCGGCCATCGGTTTCTACGAGGAGCGCAACGCCGGCAACGCTGTCAAGGCGCTCATGGACTCTCTCGCTCCCAAGGCGAAGGTCAAGCGTGCTGGGCAGTGGAAGGAGATTGAGTCATCGGATCTCGTCCCCGGTGACATGGTTTCGTTCAAGATCGGTGACATCGTCCCCGCGGACTGCCGTCTGACCGAGGCTATCAACATTTCGATCGACCAGGCTGCGCTCACGGGTGAATCTCTGCCCCAGAGCAAGAAGGTCGGCGACCAGTGCTTCTCGTAAGTGTATCTCCGTATTTTGTGTCGTGTATTGTCTCATTGTATGCGCGCAGCGGCTCGACTTGCAAGCAGGGCGAGGCTGAGGGTGTCGTCATCTCAACTGGTCCGAACACGTTCTTCGGTCGTGCCGCGTCGCTCGTCGGTCAGGACGATGACACCACGGGTCACTTGCAGAAGATTCTCGCGCAGATTGGTTCATTCTGCCTGATCTCTATTGGTATTTTCGTCATCGCCGAGATCTTCTGCTTGTACGCGGGCTTCCGCTACAACTACCGTCGCGGTCTCAACAACATCCTGGTGCTCTTGATCGGTGGTATCCCCATTGCCATGCCTACCGTGTTGTCTGTCACCCTCGCCGTCGGTGCTCAGCAGCTCGCGAAGTACAAGGCTATCGTCACTCGTATCACCGCCATCGAGGAGCTCGCCGCCGTCACCATCCTGTGCTCCGACAAGACTGGTACGCTCACGACCAACAAGCTCACTATCGACCGCGAGACGATCCGTACCTACGGCCCCTTCTCCGCGGAGGATGTCATTCTCTTGGCAGCGTACGCCTCTCGTACCGAGAACCAAGATGCCATCGACTCTTGCGTTGTTGGCGCCCTTACCGAGACGTCTCGCGCTCGTTCTGGCATCAAGCTCCTCGACTTCAAGCCGTTCAACCCCGTCGACAAGCGCACGGAGATCACGTACCGTGAGGAGTCGACCGGTCGTCTCAAGCGTGTCACGAAGGGTATGACTGGTATCATCATCGAGCTTTGCACGCGCAACAAGAGCGAGGAGCAGGAGAACAAGCTCGAGGCTGACGTCGAGGAGTTCGCCATGCGTGGTCTTCGTGCTCTCGCTGTCGCCTACGAGGAGGTTGAGGGTGACGACTTCGAGGGCGAGGGTAACGGCTTCGAGCTCATCGGTCTTCTCCCCATCTTCGACCCTCCCCGCTCGGACACGAAGCAGACGATCGACGATGCCATGGCTCTCGGCGTCAAGGTCAAGATGGTTACTGGTGACCAGCTCGCTATCGCGAAGGAGACTGGCCGTCGTCTCGGTCTCGGCGACCACATGTATCCCGCCAAGGTGCTCAAGGACGGACCTGAGGCCGGTGGCAAGCACGCTTCCCTCGACGAGATGATCCTCGACGCTGACGGTTTCGCGGGTGTTTTCCCCGAGCACAAGTACGAGATCGTCAAGCGTCTTCAGGGTCTCGGCCACTTGGTTGCCATGACTGGTGATGGTGCTAACGACGCTCCCGCTCTTTCCCGTGCCAACGTCGGTATCGCCGTCGAGGGTGCTACTGACGCCGCTCGTGGTGCCGCCGACATCGTCTTGACGGAGCCCGGTCTTTCCACCATCGTGCACGCCATCCGTGGATCGCGTATCATCTTCCAGCGCATGCGCAACTACTCGATCTATGCCTGCGCCGTTACCATCCGTATCGTCGTCTGCTTCGCTATCCTGGCCTTCGCGTTCAAGTTCGACTTCCCGCCGTTCATGGTCCTGATCATCGCCCTGCTCAACGATGGTACCATCATGACCCTCTCTGTCGACCGCGTCCTGCCCTCGAACTCTCCGGACAGCTGGGACTTGGCCGAGATCTTCTCGTACGCCGTCGCATATGGTATCTACCTCACCGCGTCCACGATTGCTCTCGTCGCCATTTGCATCAAGACGACGTTCTTCTACGACAAGTTCGGTGTCGTCTTCGAGAACGGCGCGATCCAGGCTACGAACCACAACGACCGCTGCCTCCACTCGATTGTGTACCTCCAGGTTGCCATCATCTCGCAGGCCCTGATCTTCGTCACGCGTTCGCACTCGTTCTTCTTCATGGAGCGTCCGTCGGTCGCGCTGTTCGTCGCGTTCTGCATTGCGCAGCTCATCTCGTCGATCATCGCCGTGTACGCCAACTGGGGCTTCACTGACATCCACGGTATTTCTGGTGGCTGGATCGGTATCATCTGGATTTGGGTACGTGTTCGCTTTCTACCAGCGGAAGTCGGTGACGGCTAAACTTCCTTGTAACAGGACATCATCTGGTTCGTCCCTCTCGACTGGATCAAGTTCGCGATGAAGGCTACCATCATCAAGTCGCTTCGCGAGCGCCACAACGCCGCGATGGCCCAGGCAACCATCGCCCAGTCGTCGGGCGTCCCCATGACCCGCACCCAGTCCCGCGCGGCCTCCGTCCACGAGTCGCTCTACAAGAACCGTGTGTCGTTCATCCGCCGCGCTGCCCGCAAGGTCGGCTTCGGCCAGAAGGTCTCGATGAAGCCCGAGGAGCTCCAGCGCTTTAGCAGCATCCAGGCCCAGCGTGCGGGTGCGACGCTCGCGCGCAACCCCTCCCGCACCGCTGCATAGATGAGTACGCAGGCTGCTGGCGCGTTGGTGGCTGGCCGTGGCTAAGACGCAGGTGTCTCCTTCCTCTCCGTCGATTTCGTTCGTGTATACCCCCTGTAATTCCGCCTACCCCTCGACACCTGTGGCACTGGTCTCTGGTTGGCTCCTCGCGCGTCGGTGCGTCTCGCGTGCTTGTGTTCCCATATTATTACTTCGACGACTCGTGTTTTACCATGACCTTGACTCTTTTTCATGTTGTACACGCCTCACGATGTGCGGTATCATTCCGTAGTTCGCATCACACGACTTGTATGGTATATACGTAGCAAAAGTAATCTCATGCATAGATTCCCGGGACCCTCATTGCTGTGTGCAGTCAACTGTTGTCGAGTGTGGCAAACGGCCTGACTGGTGAGCGCTTGCGCTGCCAGTGGTTGATGTAGAGCGAAAGTCGGCTAGTGCAAACCTTACCATTGCTACTTCAGTGCTGGCGACAGGGTAGCAATACATGCTCAGATCATCGACGTAGTATGCTTGACTGTGACTCCAGTACTTAAATAATACAAACCCACCATGCATGAAGGTCAGTTCGTCCGGGCTACTTCAGTAGATGATGACTATGTGAGATCGCTACTCACTCGAGCCTCGAGGTCGCCAGTCATGACCATCGTAGTCGCTCCCCGGGGGCGAGTAGAATTTTTCCGCCAGCGGGTCCGCCGAGACATGCGCAGTCTCGGCCACGTCGTCCAGCGCATAGCGCTCGTCTGAATCGGACGTTATGTTCTCGAGGAGCTCCCAGGTTTCCCATTACTTGGTGATAAGCAGCGTGTTGGTGACACTTGATTGTCCGATCGAAAAGCCTCCACGGCACTGCAAACCATCATAAGCCACGGAAAGCTATCCCGTCTTTCCGTATACATGCGCGCTCGATGTCATGATATGCCCTGGCAGACTTGCTATAATCTTAACTCTAAAAGCGTCGACATCAAACACGGCTGCCGGAACATGCGCAGCACGCGACTTACACATCCTATGCGCCCCTCCTCATCGCCGACAGCTTCCTCTCCATCCTCTCCATCCGCGTCTCGTTCCCCTTGACCCGTGCGGCCATCTCCTGCTCGATACCTTTGACGCTGCAAACGGCGTCCTTGAGTTTCTCTTTGGCCCTGTGCATGTCGGCCTCGGGGACCGTGCCCGACCCCGCGCGGAGCGCACGCCTGACGTGGTGTACGTGAGTCTGCAGTTCTGCGACCTTGACTTTGAGGTCGTCGGAAGGGTTGGACTTGTACTGTGAGGTCGGGGCTGGCAGAACGTCAGTGATCGAGCCTTCCCGAGGCTTGCATGCGAAGAAAGAGTGGGTTCACCGTGATAGTCACGGTCTTGAGTGACGCTCAGGTCCTCTGGACGCTCAACCACAGTGTCGAGCACGAGGAAGCGCAGATGCTTCGGGCGAGCCGCCTTGTCCGGACCTGAGTGTGGATCGCTGTCGACGCCAGGAGGGTGGGTGTATGCGGGGGCTTTCCCCTTCCCCTTCGCGTCCCAATCCCTAGCGCGTGCACTGTGCGACATTGTCAGAGCAGCGGCTAGGCAGTTAGGAGGGAAGGAAGGATTGACGCACGCGGGTCCTCGAGGCCCGCTTTATGTGGTGCCTTCAGCGGCGCACGCGTTCTCGGAGAGATCGCACGCTGGTGGTTGACGGCGACTCTGGTAGAAGGGGCTGTCAAGGTATGTAGGCATCAGTGGCCTCTGCGAAGATGGAGTTCGCCTGAAATGGATGTTCGATGGCAAGAAGTGATCGCTGCAGGCTTCTCAGGAAGCATCGCAACCAGATTTGCGCCCGCAATGACAGAACCATGACCTAAGCCGAACCTTGTGGGACGTCTGCTAGGCGCACGAGCATAGATTTGATGTTTTGAGGACTCTGTCATCCCCAAGCACATCACTTACATCAGTGCCGCTGCAGTATCACCGCGGGCGAGGCCATTCTATTCGGTCGAGGAGAGGCAGGCTCGGGCCACCGTCATCGCTACAATAATAGATGAGCGCACTGCTCCAGATATCGACGTCCGCTGAGGGGACGAGACTATTCGTGGGTTTGTCGCGGTCACTATGTACGCGCTGCCGGTGTGGAGGGAGAGACGCACCTGTGCTCCTACCCGAACGTTGCCCTCTCGGGGGCTTGAGTATTTCGACACACTGACATTGCACGCGAACGAGCTACGAGATAGCTGCGAAGGAGGAGCACGTGGGCTACGTACGGAAAGTCGCTTTTCTAGCATGTACCGTTACGCGCTGGTTACGCGCCAGCTCTAATACGCGTCGGACGAACGTACTGTGCCTCCTTGACTCATGATGCCTCCACACATTTCCTGCATCCGACACATCAATGGGCTCGGGGTGGACTCGGTGCGCGTCCGTCGCCGAGTCTTCTCAGCGGTAGTGTTCTATATTGAAGCCAGCGATGGGTCACCGAACGACTCGGACGCGGCGACGAAACTCTTGACCGCGGCGTTTGCGTAGCCGGTGAGTCCGGAATGCCAGGTAGCAGGGCCACTAGAATAACTGCCAGTGTAACGTGGTGTGCAAGAAGAGAAGAGTAGCCGTAGCACGAAACTGACCATGGTCGAGAAGGACCCAAGGAGGGGATTGGCAGAAGAGTGACTGACGTAAGCGGGGTATGGGTAAAGCATTCGTCCTGGTACGCCACATGCATCCAGCTTCAGCGAAGAGCCTCGAAGACCACTAACGTCCTCTTTCGTTCCCCTCTCTGCCGACGCCCAGGCTGTACCCAGGAGACGCATCTCTCTCGCGGATCGACGGCTGTCTCTCACGTTTCTGCCAATCCGGAGCGCGTGAGGCCTGCTCCAAAGTCAACTTTTCAGGTTGCCGCGAAATTTCTCTGCTGAGTAACGGCAGCCTCTACGTTGCTGACTTATCCAGAATCTTCGGCTCCTTACTGGGTATTGATTCCGCCATCGAACATGAGTAACGCAACGGAATTCTGCTTGCCGGCTTCCGGCTCTTCTGCCATATCCATGGGACAACAAATCTGCGATCCTCGCTATAAAAGTGCGGCTCTTCGGGCTTGGTTCTGCACACCGCCCATTCCTCCAACTCGTTCACCTGAACGCCATGGCCCACAACAACAACATCATCAACGCTCCTGCGCCCAACATCCCCTACTTTGCTCCCGCACAGTATCCTCCCGCAGGCACCGCGCTTGACCCGCAACCTGATGGCAAGCCCATCCCGACGCTCTTCAAGCCTCTGAAGATCCGCGGCGTCGAGTTTCAGAACCGCATCTTCCTCGCCCCGCTCTGCCAATACTCGTCCGAGAACGGCAAAGTCACGCCATGGCAACTCGCCCACCGTGAGTGTCCTTATCACTTTTAAAAACCGCCGCACTAACCATTACCATGTGCTGCTGCAGTCGGCGGCATCTTCACACGCGGACCGGGCCTGACGATCGTCGAGGCGACCTCAGTCGTGCCCGAGGGGCGCATCACGCCACAGGACGCGGGCATCTGGAACGACGAGCAGGCAGCGGCGTGGCGCGAGGTCGTGCAGTTCGCGCACGCGCAGAACCAAAAGATCGGCATCCAGCTCGCGCACGCGGGCCGCAAGGCGTCGACCGTCGCGCCCTGGCTCCACGGCGGCCTCTCCGCGCCCGTGGCCGACGGCGGCTGGCCCGACGACGTCTGGGGCCCGTCGGCGATCCCGTTCAGCGATGACTTCCCGCAACCGAAGGAGCTCACGACGGAGGGCATCAAGCGTGTCGTGGCCGCGTTCGCGGACGCGGCGAAGAGGAGCTTGAAGGCGGGCTTCGACGTGATCGAGATCCACTCTGCGCACGGGTACCTCCTCAGTGAGTTCCTGGCACCCGTTTCGAACCACCGCACGGACGAGTACGGAGGGAGCTTCGAGAACCGTATCCGACTGCTCTTGGAGGTCGTCGATGCTATCCGTGCGGTGATCCCACCCACGATGCCTCTCTTTGTTCGGTATGTCTCCGCCTCAATCATACCACCCATCTCTCGCTGACACCGACCGCAGTGTCTCCGCGACCGACTGGCTCGACGAGACTCACCCCAACGAGCGCTGGGGACACGAAGACACCGTCAAGCTCGCAGGCTTCCTCGCCGTCCACGGCGTCGACCTCCTCGACGTCTCCACGGGCGGCATCCACCCCGCGCAGAAGTTCAAGCTCGGGCCGCTCATGCAGCACCACCTCATGCAGGTGCCGTTCTCCAAGGCGGTCAAGGCGGCGCACGGAGACAAGCTGCTCGTCGGCGCGGTCGGCACGATCAACACGGGCACGCTCGCGCAGGGCGTGCTCGACGAGGGCGCCGCGGACGTCATCTTCGTCGGGCGGCAGTTCCAGAAGAACCCCGGCACGGTCTGGGCGTTCGCGGAGGAGCTGGGCGTGACGATCACGCAGAACCACCAGATCGAGTGGGGGTTCATTGGCCGGGGAGGTGTCGGTAGGCCGGCGAAGAGCCAGTGATCGTGCACTCGACGGCGAGGTGGTGAATCCGGTTTTTTTAGAGTCAGGTTAGATGTAGCGATAGATAATCCCGTAATGTCAGTGCACGATGTCTCCCCGTACTCAATAAAATGTCCAACCGTTCATTTCATGCGGGACCTCATCAAAGAGTTGTGGTCTTTGCCCGACCCCACTACGTGGCTATCTTAAGGACCCATGAGGCCGAAATCTATTGAGAACAACTTTAGGGTCAAGACGCATAATTGTAATATACGGCCGGGCGGATGGATTGACTTGTTTGTTGGTGCGTCCTGGGATGCAGAGTGCAAATTTCACCGTACCTATCCGTGGAAGAACAGCTTCTTCCGCGGTGGTGGATGTTCATACGCTCGACCTATTCAGAAAGATTGACTAAGATAATCTCGTACTCAGGTTGTGGTAGTGAGATTGCTCTCATAAGTGTGATGTTTTACGGTAAAAATTCCCTGATCATGACTCAATTCCGTCCTACGCGTTAGTGGGCCCACTATAAGCTTAGCTACATACTGCCAGTGCCAGGGCCCGGGACGCGAAGGTCACCAATACACGTGACCGTGATCCAACGCGCGTTCGCGCGCTTCGCTTCGGTACAAGGTCGTTCTAACTTCTCCTGTCCTCTAGCCTTCCCTGAGCTTGAGCTTGTGGCCCCACTTCTCTAACAAATCAAACTGTGCTGACTTCCAAAGCTTGTCAGCGGAGGAACTGGTCTCTTTCTCACACCGAGAAGTAGGGCATCTACACGAAAGAAATGCCGTTGATACGCATAGAAGTCAGTGACTTCAAGTCATATAGGTGACTATCAGCACTGCATCTGTGCATCGTTCTCTGTTTGACAAACTTGCAGAGGCCACCAGACCATCGGGCCCTTCACCAACTTCACCTCCGTTATTGGGCCCAATGGCGCGGGAAAGTCCAACCTCATGGATGCCATCTCCTTCGTCCTCGGAGTGAAGAGCGCGCAGCTCCGAAGTAGCCAACTGAAGGACCTCGTGTACCGCGGTCGCCGTCTTGCAAGGAGTGATGAAGGGGAAGGCGAAGACCCAGAGGAGGATGAAGAGGATGAAGAGGAGGGAGAAGGAACGGCTAAGAAGGCGTGGGTGCTGGCAGTGTTCCAGGATGCGAGCAAGAAGGAATGGCGATTCCAAAGAACGTGAGTCAGGTTTTGCCTTACTCCTTGTGGCCCTCATGCAGATCACTTTTTCCAGTATCACGACCACGGGCGCGTCCGAGTACAAGCTCAACGGCCAAGTAGTCACCTACTCAGCATACAACGCTGCACTTGTCTCGCACAACATCCTCGTTAAGGCGAAGAACTTCCTCGTCTTCCAGGGAGATGTCGAGGCAGTCGCGTCGCAGTCGCCAAAGGAACTTGCCAAGCTCATCGACCAGATCAGCGGCTCTCTGGAGCTTGCGGGCGAATATGAGAAGGCGAAGGAGGCTCAAGAACGCGCGACGGAGAATGCGACATTCAACTTCACCAAGCGCCGCGGTATTGCGGGCGAGATCAAACAGTACAGAGAGCAGAAGACGGAGGCAGAGCGTTTCGAAGCTCTGGGCCAGGAGCGTGTAAGTCACTCATTCCAAGCCGCCATGAGTCACTTTTGCTGATCTGTGCGACGGTACAGGACGAGCTTGTACTTCGACGGATTCTCTTGAAACTCTACCACATCGAGCAAGGACTTCAGGAACACGCACAGACGATCAGGACCCAGAACCGGACGCTCGCCGGGCTCCGCGCAGAGCAGCGTAAGCATGAGGGGGAGCTAACAGAAGCCCGTGCCGAACAAGCCCGCGCTCGTTCAAGCGTGATGCAAAAGGAGAAGAGGATCAAGAAAGCGGAGAAGGCGCTGGAAGGCAGGGTATGTTATTCGCCATCTCACCAGACGACGTGCGATGAACACGCATGCCACTGCAGAAACCAGACCTCGTGCAAGTAGAGGCTCAGATTATGCACTCCGAGCGGAGGCGAAACAATGCAATCCAGGAGAGGGAAAAGGCGGAGCAAGCAGCGGAGAAGCAGAGGGAGCAGCTGCGAGTGCTGCAGGCCGACCTGGAGCGGGTGAAGAAGGCCGCGGACGATGCCACAGGTGAGTTGTCAAGCGCACACACATAGGCTATGTTCGAGACAGTGCCTTTCAGAGGTGCAACGGAGGGCTGCTCAGACCAACTTGTCGCTGAGCGAAGAAAGCCTCGAGGAATACCGCCACCTGTATGTGTAGTTGTCCTCTTTTACTGCGGCTTCATTGATTGACCATTACGCAGTAAGGCGCAGGCGGCTGTTCTCGCCGTCGAGGAACGACAGTCGCTCGAGACGCTTTCTCGAGATGAGCGGACCTCTGCGCGCGCATTGGCACAGCTCAAGGAAAGGCATGAGGGGCAGCAGGAGAAGGCGGAAAGGCTCAGGCGCGATCGGGACTCACAGACCGAGAAACGCCAGGAGGTAAGTTCATGAGACTTCCGCATGTGAGGACGTGTCGACTGACAACATCATGCATCTCAGCTGGAAGAAAGGATCAAGGGGCTCCAGGACGGCCTCACGAACGCCAAGCGGGAGCTGGAGAAGCAGCAGTCCGAGCGCACTAGGATCGCGTACGTATTTCTCGCATAGCACGTTCATTCAATGCTAAGGCATACAATCGCAGAAACTTGGAGAAGGAGATTAACGAGAAGCTCGTTGATGTGCACAACAAGCTCCTGCAGGCGGGTGTAGATCAGAAGGAGTCTGAGCGTGAGGCGAAGATGAAGGAAACGCTGTCGAATCTGCAGAGGATCTTCCCTGGTGCGAAAGTAGGCCCGTGACAATCTCCTGTTGCTCATGAAAAATGTACAGGCGTCCGTGGCAGGGTGGTCGACCTGTGCAAACCTACGCAGAGGAAGTATGAGACAGCGGTCTCGGTTGTCTTGGGAAGGAACATCGATGCTGTGGTCGTTGATGAAGAGAAGACCGCCATCGAATGTATCGAGGTAAGGACTTATCAGCCTCGCCCCCGAGCAATGCTGACATCGCTCTGCACAACAGTATATGCGCATACAACGAGCCGGTCAAGCAACATTCATCCCGCTCGACACCATCCAGGTGAAACCGATTAATGACAAGTTCCGTTCGTTCGCGAAGGGCGCCCGCCTCGCCATCGACGTGATACAGTTCGACCCCGCCGTTGAGCGTGCCATGCACCATGCCTGCGGAAATGCGCTGGTGTGCGACAGCTACGAGATTGCGGCTTATGTTTGCTATGAGAAGAAGCAGGATGTTAAGGGTGAGTCCTGCACTTTTGATGCCGTCGCTTGCATTGATCGGGAGTGTAGCTGTCACTCTGGAGGGAACGATCATCCACAAGACTGGTATGATCACCGGTGGTCGTAGCACCCATGGGAATGGCCGGAAATGGGAAGAGAAGGATGTGCAAGGTTGGTTGAGTAACATCTACGTTCCGAGGAAAGAATGAACTGACCTCCTACAGGCATGCAGCGTGTCCGCGACAACCTGCTCGGCGAACTCCGGGAGCTCAACAAGTCTAAACCTCGCGGAAAGGCTGACGAGAATATGGAATCGGAGATCAGCAGGCTCGAGTCGGCTTTGTCCGTCGCGAAAGACGACTTGAAAGCGTGCCAACTACGCTTGGACGGCATCAAGGAGGAGCTCAAGCACGTGGAGAGGGAGATTCGACGTATCGAGCCTGAGCTCCGTAAGGTACGTGATAGCTCTCGGGTGGCTATTCGCCCGCTGTTTGTGCTAACGGGTTTCTTGTAGGCTCAAAGAGATTACGACTCGCTGAAGGAGAAGATCGACGAGTTGGCATCGGTAGTCAATGCTGCCGAGGACGGGGTCTTTGCCACTTTTTGTCGTAGTATTGGCGTGTCCAACATCCGCGAATACGAGGAGCGGCAGCTCAAGGTCGCCACGGCAGAGAGTGAGGCTCGATTGCAGTTCGAGAAACAGATCGCTCGCTTGACACATCAGTGCGTCTGACTTTATTTTAACCTAATGGAAACTCATGAGCTTCACCTCCAGATCGAAGTTCATCGAGGAACAGTTGCAGACGACTGAACAGCGTGTTCAAACTATCGACACCTTGATCACGACAGAGGATGCTAACATCGTGAAGTACCACGAAACGCAGGAGAACATCCAAGTGGAGATCGGGGAAGCAGAAGAGGCCATCGCCACCTTGCAAGAGGAAATGAAGGATCTCAATGAAGCCCTCGAAGAGAAGAACAAAGTCGTGGAACAAGTCAAGCGTACGACCTTGAAGTCCTCCAAAGCTTTGGATCAAGCGTTGAAGGAGATTGCCACTAGGGTGAGAGCATCATTCTGAGCAATCTGGAATCGTCCTCATGCCCCGATTGTAGAATGACGAAATCGAGAAGCTGGGTCTCGAACGCTCGACCATATACCGTAAGTGTAGGCTGGACGAGATCCGGCTACCTCTCGTCGAAGGCAACTTGAGGAATGTTCCCATGGAGGAGGTAGGATGAGAGTCAACCGCGTGATCAGAGTAACTCTAATACCATCTGCAGAATCTGCGTGAAGAGGTCGCTATGGACGTTGACGAAGATGAGGAAGGGAGTCAGCACGTCAAGCGTATCCCCGACTATGGCATCGAGGTTGACTTCGACAGCCTTGAAGATGACGAGAGAGAGGTAAAATCCCGCGCTGCGTAAGCTATAGCTATGGTTGATCCAAGAACACAGGAAAATCCCGCAGAGGCCTTGGCAGACATCGATTCGCAAATATCTAAGGTCAACTCCGAGATCGAGCGCCTAGCCCCCAACTTGAAGGCAATGGAGAGGTATGGATCTTGCATTTGCCCTGAGTTGGCAATGTTCATTTGCTTTCATAGGCTCGACGATGTCGAGACGAAGTTGATGGAGACAGAGAGGGAGGCAGATAAGGCTAGGAAAGACTCCAAGAATGCCCGTGACCACTTCAATGATGTCAAGCGCCGCCGGTAAGTCACTGGACGGTATTAAAGCTGCATGATACATCTGACAAGCACTATGCGACAGCTGCGACCTCTTCAACAAGGCATATAACCACATCTCTGAACGAATTGACCAGGTGTACAAAGATCTCACCAAGGGCAAGGCAGCGCCAATGGGAGGTGTGGCATATCTCAGTTTGGAAGACAGTGAAGTACGTCTGCATTGCCCGCTGATGGATCTGTGGACTGACAACCTTTGAAGGAACCATACAATGCTGGTATCAAGTACCATGCCATGCCACCTATGAAACGTTTCCGAGACATGGATCAACTGTCCGGAGGCGAGAAGACCATCGCTGCACTTGCCCTCCTGTTCGCTATTCATAGGTACGTCAGGCAGCGTACAGAACCTCAGCTCAGGATTTACCTGTCCTTGTTCAGCTATCAGCCTTCGCCGTTCTTCGTTCTCGACGAAGTTGATGCGGCATTGGACAACACGAATGTGGCGAAGATCGCAAACTACATCCGCTCGCACGCTTCGGAGAAGTTCCAGTTCATTGTCATCAGTTTGAAAGGCTCGTTATATGAGCGAAGCAATTCTCTTGTCGGCATTTATCGAGACCAAGATGTCAACAGTTCGCGCACGCTGACTCTCGATGTGAGCTGCGAAGTTATCATATCGCCTTCATTCACTGACTCATGTACCTGCCTCACAGCTGACTCAATACGACGAGTAGATATCCAGTCTCGCTATCGTTGTTGCTTGTTGCTTTGGTGTTGCAGTTGTCAATGTGTTGTTCTAGTAATGTGATGTGATGTACCATAATCCAGAATGTAGCAGTAGCATAACCATATACATAATATTAACGAAGCGTGAACAGAAAGCGAGGAACGTAGGAACGAACACGGATGCCATCGACGAATGCTCTACGGTATATTACTGCTCGGAAACGCCGTGAAGAGTGGGTGAGCGTAGGATATATGGGTAATGAAGGGACGTATACGATGCACAGTGCAGTCCTCAAAGTGCCTGTCCGATTTCGCTTTGACCTCCGAAAGTGGTGGTACTAGGCTCCCGAACTAAAACTCCTGGGCGCCGAGGAGAAAGATAACCAGTGAACTGATGCGAATCCCGAGAATCGTCGAAATAGGAATCGAGCACGGACATCTGATCTGGGCTGACGTCGGTCGGGGGCACTGGGAAGTCAGAGAGCCCAGACATCCTGGACATGCCCGTTCCGGACGTCATGACACTCGAACGAGCCGCGTCGGATATAGGGGCACCGAGACTGGAGTAGGCGGAACGAACACGCGGAACGGCAACGTCTTGACTAGAGCGCTCCTCCTTGTCCCTGAAGTTCACGAAGGAAAGCCGGGTGGACGAACGCTGTGGACTGGTGAGGAGAGCAGGTGTTGACAGAGCTTCCACACTGCCGACACGCATGTGGCCTGCTACAGAGACGTGTTAGACTACGCCAAGCTCGCATGAGACTATAGACTTACTATCTGACTCTTGTTGAGGTGCATACTCAATAAACGAAGAGGCCCGCGAGGCCTCCTCGACATCCTCTGGTACGTTGATCGTGGGCTGCGCTAGGGACGCATTCCGGTCGATCGGGAAACGCAGGGGAGGGGACGAGGCCTCAGGGGGTGTACTCCGTACAGACGATGGCCCAGACAGCACCACATTCGGGTCAGGTACAGCATCGTCCGGACGCTGTCCACGAAGTCCCCCAAACCGCCTGCCCCACATAGGGGACGACGAATCCGGTTCTTCCATGGAATCAAACGATGGTTGGCGCAGCTCTTCGAAATCGTCCACAAGTTGACGAGCCAGGGTTGTCAGGCCACTGACACTCCGCGTGCTGACATTGCTACTCGGCTGCCGCGATGGAACGGTTGGATGGCGGAAGCCCTCACTGTGAGCTTCCTCGGGTGTTGGCGGTCTGGGCGGAGGCTGGTAGAAGAGGTCACGGAAGCGTTCGAGATCATCAGTCGCGTTGAGTGAACGCGGGGAAAGCGGCGGCGAAGAGTCGTGCGAGATCATACCGGGAGACGAACCAGACGAATTACCGTTGGCCGTGAGTCGCTCGGTAGGCTGTATGCGGAATGACGGCGGGTTGACGGACTCCATGGGCGACGAAGCCAACGTATGATTTGAGGACGAATACGTCGCTTCTCGGCGGCCCATGCCGGGGCGCAGCCGCTCAGAGGGATCCTCGAGCGGAACGGGAGGCAGGTCGTCCAAATTGACTGCGCGCTGAGCTGGCCGGTCCGTGTCCCGTAGGTGCTCCAAGCTTTCGCTTGTCCCCAGACCGCTATCGACGCTCCCTCTATCCCTCAACGTCTCAGTCAAGGCATCCGCAAAGCCCCACTCGCTCATGCGCCTAGACTGTGCGACATATGGGTGAGACCTCGCGGCGGCGCCAAGGCTGCCCGCCTTCTGTTGCTCCACAGGGTGTACCATAATGAACGGCGAGTACCGCAGTTGTTCTGGCTGAATCTCCCGAATATGGCCCGGAGTAAGCTCCGCGAACATACTGCTCGTTGTGTCCGCGGGGATCTCGATCTCCTGGCCATCTTCATCCGTCGGACCATCCACAGTGACAGTGGGCTGCGCAGGGACCTGTGGGGCATCTTGTCTTCCCCACGCCGGCGGAACCGAGGCGTACGGATGGCTCGTCTGAGCAAACGGCGCGTACGGGTGAACGAGCACCGGCTGCCGATGTCGTTCAGAGCCATCTTCACCAACTACTTTCTCCTGCTGAGCATCCGTGGGGCGCGCTGCGAATCTCTCAGGCTCTGGAGACGACGAACGCACAGGGAAAGTAGCCCCTTGCGCGTACGGATGCGCGGGGAGCCTTAGACGCTCACGACCACCATAGTGTTGTCTGGCCTGCTCATCTGAGGGCGTAGGCGTCGATATGGCAATACCGACGGGGCTCTCCCCGGAGCTTGACATCGCAGATGGCACGGGCGATAGCCCCTTCGCGCCGCCGGGCCCTATGCGGAGTGTTTGCGCAGGGCCGTGATCGGGAGGAGACGCTGGGGTGATGAGCACAACGCTCTCGTTGTTCGCATCGCGCCGCGCCTGGTCTTGCAGCCTGTGCCCACGCGTGTCCTGCCGCCGCAACGCGCCGTCCCGCATGTCCGAGGCACCCGCCTGCTCGTCCATCGGCGTGCCAACCATCTCTATCCCGCCCTCGACCACCCGTTCTGCACTCGAGAAGCCACAGAAGCCCGCCGCCGTCGACGCTGTGTTCTTGACAAGCCGGAGCGCCGACTTACCCAGTGAGTGCGACCGCTGGTGGTGGCCCGCGCCCGAGCCGGTCCACATGAACGACTCTTCCGTGTGCCCATGCGAGGACGTCGCAGTCCCAACCGAGTTAGAGTGTGCGTGTGAGCGCGCGGGGCCATGCGAGTGCGAGTGCGACGTGAACGTACTGACGCCGACGCCACCGCTGGTGAACGTCGTCGTACCGTGCTCCTCTGATGACCTGAACATCTGCGACCTAGACTCGTGCAGCCGGACATGCACCGTCGGCGGACGCGACTGGTTCCCGAGCAGCGTGCGCTGCGCGAGGACGTCCATGGCGGACGTGCGCCCCTCGCGCGGGGGACGGTGCGTGGTGCTGAGCGTCTTTGCGCGGGCCCGCGACACGGACCGGGCACGCTTGTTTTGGAACGAGCGTGTCGCCTGCGACTGCCACGCCTGGCGATCGGCTTCGAGCTGCCTGCCCTCCTCGAGGACCCTGTCAAGGCAACATGTGAATACACCGTCTTGGGCAAGCTTGACGTGACAGAGACAATGAACGCCAGTAAGGGCGCCCGCGGAAGACGATTGATGGGAGGGTGAATTACAAAAAGGAGAGCGACAGCGACATACTTCGTCAGTGAGGGCACTGGACTGGGCAGTGCCAGATCGTCCAGTGCGAAGCTCTTTGGTCTTGGCGGCTTGAAACTCGTCGGCGCCTTACTTATACCCGCACCATGTCTATCTCCGCTACTACGTCCAACGCCCACTGCTTGCCTCTGTTCCTCCACCGTCACTCGCGAGGGCCCTGCAATAGGTTCTGCTGCAGGCGGGCTCGCCAACGGTCTTGTGCTCTGCGCCGTCAACAAAGGTTCGTGGCTATCAGCGGTAACACCAGTGTCCAGCCCATGGGATGATCCTGTCGTGGGCTCCTTCTCTGCACGGGATTGATAGTAGGTGATGGTGTTGGGCAGAACCGGACTGCCCGGGGGACTGACAATTCGACCACTTCCGCCACCTGGGTCTACACGAATGGCGAATCGCGGGCGAGGCAAGATCAGCGCGTCGCACCATGTCTCCGGAGATAACCAACGTTGTTTCCCCTTGGGGATCGACGTGGGTGGAGCGGGAGAGCGATGTTGGGAGGTAGACTGAGGATTTCGCAGGTTGGGGGTGGAGATGGAGCCCCGGATGCTCAGGCGGTTGCGCGGCGTGGGCCGCAGGAAGGCGGGAGGCGGCGGGAGGGTACGAGAGGGCTGCGGCGTCACTCTGATTTTGGACGGCGGGGAACGCCGGGCGGGAGACGTAGTAGGAGAGGGGACGCGAGGCGGGGAAGAGCTGGTGGCGGTGGTAGAGAATGGGAAGGCGTACGGATGGCGGCGCAGGAACATCGACCCCTGCGCGTTCTCCGTCTGCGGCGACGCATGGTGCTCCGCGCTACCCGCCGACGCCTGACGCGTCAATTGGCCCGCCGAGGCAGAGTGTCTAATGGTCAGACCTCGCCGTGTGCCCAACGTAAGGATACTTGCAAGGCTATGGCGCGTTGTCTCCGTCGTCTTCGGCTGAGTTTCCTGCTGCTCCCGCATAGGCACCGGAGCCTCTCCAACGCCTCCTGCCTGGTCTAGGTGGATGATCGAGTTGACACTGGGCCTGGGGACGCTACGTGTCGTAGAGAAGGCTCGACTACGTGCAGTAGATGCTGCGTTCCCAGACGAAGAAGTGAGAGCAGCAGCGTCGGACTTTGCACGATCACGGTTCATGCGGGCGTACCGGTCTTCCTTCTTCGCCAGCGGGTCCTCCGCCAGCCAACCACTGACTAGATTCCCCCAGCTATCCCTCTGTACGACTCCGTCAGGCATCCCGCGGGGTGGCTCGTACGGGCCGTTGTAGGGGATGTACCAGTCTTCTTGGTCGACTGGTTCGGCGTCGGGCTCGCGGGCGAGTGGTGAAGACGGGCCGCTGCGGATGAGGCGGGAGATGCGAGCAAAAGGAGAGTGGTTGTTCTGAGTCTTGGCCGCCATTCATGGGTGCCCGAGAGCGAGGGAAAGGAGTGACAGATTGAAGGAGCGGAGAATGATCCGGGCACTGCGCTTGTATCAGTGCTGCCACCAGTATCAAATGCACCATGCAGCTGGATGCGCGACGTACCTTGGCCGACGTGCTGCAGCTTGGAGAGCGAGATGGCCGTGGGTTGGACTCAACGCGAAGTCCGGAACAGGCAACCAAACTTCGGCTAATCGACGTGCCAGCGCAAGCTCAGCGTGGTCCCTCTCTGATCATCCAAGTCAGACGCACCTCGCGTATAGAACCTCGCTCGGTATCTGGCAGAGGAAGATACGTGGTTGTATGCGACGACAATCAGCCACGAAAGAACTGGCGGGACAATGCCCGTCCAACGCCATTGATCGCTTGGTGCCCAAACAGGCCATACATCAACACGTGACACTGCCGTCTCTGCTACTCGATCAAAGTTTGTTCAATCCAGGATCCTACTAGTTACAGTATGGGCATAACGTACGTCCTTTGGTCACGCTATAGAGTTTCAACGCGGTGCAAGTACTGATGCTGCGCCTATGCCGGACGAAACATCTGTAGCTAAGTTAAAATTAGTTGTCGGAGGTTTATATCGGCGTTCAAGTTTCTCGCAGCGATAGCCTGAGGATGTGCACAAAATCTTGTCGAGGAGTCGCGTCGCCCTTTAATAGGAGAGGAGCTGGTCATGTCTGATTCAACGTTTGGTCCAGAATTTGCTCGAGGATGTGGCTAGCCTTTTAAACGTTAACTTGAGCAGCTTGAGCCGGCCCGGGCCGGACCATTTGAGGAGGAAAGTCCTCCTCCGTAGGATGTTGCACCGACCCCTTTTGTCATTCTCCCATAGCTATCAGTGCCCCGGAATAGTCGCTGTATGGTGCAATTCACCGCGATCAGTTCGGGACACTTCGGGACACCGCAGAGCGGTGAGCAACCTCGGAACTGAGCGTGCGCGTGCTTCTAGCGAGTGGAGCGAGCAACACTCTGCAACAGTGCAACCCGACCTACAGCCGACCTACAGCCGTACCGCCATCCGAGTCGTGTCTCCTCCTACTACCCGACCTTCCTACTCTTTACCTGGCACTGCTCTGATTCATTCCTTACCTCTGGCGTATTCTGGACGACTGAAGATTGCCCGCCGGACCTGTGCGCGCGCTCATCATGACGCTCTCGTTCTACGAGTTCCAGCTCGTATGCCTCATCGCGCTATGTCTCTTCTTCATGCTGGTCGAACGCCAGCTGTCTCCCAAACGAAAAGAGGGTGTGCGTCTGCACGATGGCCTCCATGCGCCGACTCCGGCGTTGCACAAGCTTTCGAGACAGTATCTGTCTGCTTACGCGATAGTTATGGGTATGTCGCCTTCTCATACGACGGGTGTGTCGCGTCGCATGGTTCGGGGACTTGACGATGCACTGCGTATCTAGGAGCGGACTGGCTGCAAGGGCCGTATATCTACTCTCTGTACAAGGAACAGTACGCGTTTCCCGAGCGTTACGTCGCACTGCTCTTTGTCACTGGCTTCATGACGGCCGGGCTCGCTGCGCCCATGGTCGGAGTATGGGCCGATCAATAGTATGTCTGCTGAGACTGCTTGACCGTTCACGCTTACAGGAGTTGACAACTCCAATTTGTAGTGGCCGGCGCAAGCTTTGCTTGGCGTTCTGTATCACCTATACGCTCACCTGCGTGCTCATACAACTGCCCTACTTCCCCATATTGATCCTGGGCCGCTTCCTCGGCGGATTCTCTACCTCCATCCTATTCTCCGTGTTTGAGTCATGGCTCATCTCGGCGTCCAACTCCCTTGCCCTGCCGGCCGCTGACCTGTCCACCATCATGGGTCGCGCGTCCCTGGTAAACGGCTTCGTCGCTGCCACTGCCGGAGTGGCGAGCAACCAACTAGTCAGTTCGACGGGCTCATTCGCCTCTCCATTCGTTGCTAGCGGCGTGCTTCTCGTGCTTGCGTGGGTCGTCATCCGCGGGTCGTGGACAGAAAACTATGGCAGCGGTGGCGGCACTTCCGCGAGCGCGGACCCGCTGCAACTGAGGCGTCTCGGGCAAGCTCTCCAGATCGTTCGCAACGGTTTGTTGTTCCCCAGCTCAGGAGGCACCCTACCAACTCAATACGTCTGTCAGAGCCGTCCCTGCTTGTCATCGGCCTGACGCAGACCTGCTTCGAGGGGTCCATGTACCTCTTCGTCTTCAACTGGGTGCCGGCGCTGCAGGAGGCCGCGCGCCCGGGCGCGCTTCTCCCGCTGGGCTACATCTTCTCTGCGTTCATGGTCAGCATGATGATCGGCTCGCTCCTGTACACGTCGCTCGTATCGCTGTTCGCTCGCGCGGAGGACGCGCCGCTCGACGCGGGCGGCCCCGCAAGCGACGCGCCACTGACGCTGCACGCGAAGCTGAGCTCGCTCGTGTGCGCGGTGAGCGCGGTCGCGTTTGCAGTGAGCGTGGAGAGTGGGAGCGAATATGTGCGGTTCTGGGCGTTCTGCACGTTTGAGGCGTGTGTGGGGATGTATTATCCCATCCAGGGCATGCTCCGTGGATCGCTGATATCGAACGAGCACCGAGCAACGGTGAGTCGCGTACTCTTGTCCTTTCGCGTGCAGCTCACTCAACGGTTGGTCATCAGCTCTCATCGTTGTTCCGTGTGCCGCTGAACATCTTCGTCGTGGTCTCGCTCCTCACAGGAGTGTCCTCCGCACGGTACACCGTGCTCACCACTAGCTCACTCATGCTCGTCCTCTCCTCGCTCATGACCGCAGCATTCCTCGTCGAGCGCATAGAGTTCTCTGCTCCCTCAGTACCTCACCCCGCCTAATATCTGTATATCAGCATACAATCAGCATACCCTCAAAATGCCCACGGACATATCACGCCTACTGTACAGCCTTTCTTTGTCACTGAATACATATTCGATCTCTGATTGACAGGCTCGGTTTGGCTATCTCCGAGCAGTCTCGACACGGCTTCGGTGGCCCATACTCCGAAGCCAGGTTATGCTTGACTGTCTCCGAATCCTGCATGCGTAGTTCCTTGTACGCTGCAGGGTCGACCACGATCAATGATGGCATGACCTTCGTAGACCGTATGGGTCAAATCTTGGATTTCTACGGCATCCATTTGCCGCCTGCGACTGAACCACAGACAGTGTGACGGTCTGACCAGACCGTTCGACAGCTCTGATGAGTCCCCTATTTAGTGGCCGCGATCGCTGCGTACACGCTCACCGCTTCCTGCCAGAAGCTGTCACTATGCTGCGTTGCTCGATCACTCCCAGCCTGAAGCCGTGTAGTTTGATCAGCGGAGTCAGATCCGCTTATCGTTCCGCTATACATAAGGACTTCATGTAGGCTTCGCCGCGTATTAGAAGGCCTGATGGATTCCGCACATTGGACTGGCCTTGCGAAACTGGGGATGTAGTGAGTTCAGCTTCGACGATTCCCGGTACTTCATACTAGTCACTGACCTTCCCTCTGTAGCCATTGGTGCGGTGCGGCTTCTGCAGGTAGGAGTGTTGCAGTGACGTACAGATACTGCGTGCTAATGGCGGGGCATACACCAATGGCAAGCATTGCTCTTCTACGACTATACGTTGACGTTACCCCGGGAGGTTCGCTGTATATGGACGCGCAGTTTCTCGGGCGCGACATTGCTATTCCTTGTGAATCGGTACTTCACGATGCTCGTCGTAGCTCTGAACATTTGCAGTCTGGCCTTGTCAGGCAGCTCCGTTTCGTCTAATCGCCCGGCACACGAGGTGAGTACTACGCACAGACTTATGGCACAGCTCCCTCACCAGCAATTGCAGTTGTGCGTAATATGACATTCCCTGACTTACTATTGCTCCTGTACTGACGTTGTGGGATAGCTGCTTTGTGCTGTCAAGAATCAATCAGGCCATGTCCGTAGTCTTCGCCCTCGTCAACGCCGGTATGTCGTTTGCCGTGCATGCAATTACGCGTTCGTATTTGACGGCCTGTTCCCAGCATTCCACTCACTAAGAGTATTTGCAATCTGTCCCAACAAAATCCGGAAAATAGTCTTCAGCGTTGTCTTTGTACTCGAGATGATACCTATTTCTGTCGATGTGGTGGGTCAACCGGTTGCGGTCTCGCACAGCCGGCGACTGAGGCTTCCAGTTCTTCTTCACGAGGATTGCCGACTTTGGGGCCTCGTATCTTCCCTTCAATGGTTGCGAATTGTCAGGGTTCTCAGACGTCGGATGGTACTATCAGTAAGTCGTAGTATCGGGGTTTAATTTAGCTTGAAGAGCTGACTCACGATCACGTAGACGTATGTAGTGACAGTCGTCCTCAAGTGTGTTGGTGGAGCCCGTTGGCTCAGTTTTCTTTTTAGTGGCCTACGGAAGCCTCGCTGCAGCAATAGCTGCAGATTCCGTTGTACTCATGCTGACATACTGGAGGACATCGAACATTCACCGAGCGCTGCGGATGCAAGGCAGAAAGCGCAACCTTGCGTCAATGGTGTTGAAAGATGGTGCGTCATGAGAAGGAGACATCATACGTTCGCTCAGCCTGGTGTCAAGGGACCGTCTACTTTGCGTGCGTGTCTCTCCGGTGACTACACCAGAGGTCCGATTACGTGAAGCTGATGTCGAGCTCAACGTCCATAGTCAATTGACATTTCTGAACATCATGTCCGCCATTGGTGTCAAGTTACGGGACGGGGTAAGTATAACACATTGATTGACGAATGCGGGTTGAACTAGTCCATAGATCGTCGTGCAGTTCGCGCAAGTGTACGTCCATCAGGAGCCATGCATAACACGATCGCTTGTTGACTTAGTAACACATCAGCCTAGCATCCATCGTCTTCTCTAGGTTCATCCTAGATTTGCGCAACTTCTACCTGACGGATTCCGGCGGGGATACGGGATATGCTCCAAGCGATGCCGCGCTTCAGGGTTCAGGCACATTCTCCACTGTCGTCTTTTCGCACTGGAGGGTTGTGGGGAACTTCGGGGCAACGGTCGAGGACTGGTTGGGAGACAGTCATGAAGAGCACCTGAATACCTCTAGCGTGCAGAACGTACCTCAGTTCTCGGAAGATCCATTTTCTGCAGGGTTGTTACAAGCTATGGAGGTACCTGAAGGACAAGTGACCCCACCTATCATAGCGTAAACGATGTGTACAGAACAATCTTCCCAGTAGAGTGATAGCGAAAAGAACTGGAGCCGGAGCAGCAGAATCCCGACACGAATTTAGAGGCATGCTCAGAGCTCTGGGCGGGGCAGCAGCCGGTCGGGTCTTACGCTATGTGAGGGGCCTCACGTAGACGTCGGTACCTTCCAGGTAACACGCATCTCCGAGCCTGTATCCATGGAGCGCTCGCAGGGACGATTGAGTTGTCAAACCAGACAGGAGTCGAGATGAATAGAAATCATTCCTTTTCGTATCGGCGTGACAAGAAAGACATAAATACACGACGACCCGGCCACTCAGTTTGTTTGTGCTCCGACAGCCTACCGAGCCAGCATAAGCAACGTGCTGCAATGACCACCAACTGAAAGAGACACTCACCAGACGCTTGAGATGTTCCATGAAAACCTGCAAGCTGACGTCGTCCGTGAAGATTGCCTGCCCAGCGCTCGCACCCGTAGCCGTGCCGTACATGCTCGTCGACATGTGTGTCGTCGACGGGTTGAGCTTCGAAAGCAGGAATCGCGCCTGACTGCCACCCTGATCACAAACGATGTAGCGTGGGATGGGGAACCGGTCCGCGAGAAGTTCCTGGAATCCACATATTAGCAAGGTTAGAAACGGAGCAGTTCCATACAACACACCTGGGCATCGACGACAGGAGCCGCGAGGAGATCCTTGAAGTTTTCGTAGCCTTCTTGTTCCTGGTAGCCGGCCTTACGCCACTGTGCGATCGTCTCTCCGTGGAAGATGAGGATGTGGAAGAACGTGTCGAGGAGGAGGATGACGTCGGGCTTGATGGACACGCTGTCGAGCAACACGGGCTGCGGAGGCGTGTCGAATGTGTATGACATGAGCGTGGGTTGGATCATGATGAGAGAACTGTTGACATCCTCCTCGTTGAGAATGTGCCTGATCGAGCTCTTAGACCCCATTCAACTTAGAACGTCGTGATGACCTACCTGTAGAAGGCAGTCTCGTCCGGACTGTTGTTGAACACCTGCAAGAACTGGCTTCTCCGGAGGTGGAACATGAACTGCGGATAGATGCTGAAGTTGTCCGACAAGCGGAACGTCGACGGGTCCTCCTTTCTGTAGTCCGCGAACTTCTGGCACAGCCGGATGAGCATGCGGTCCAGCCACCTCAGCACGTCGGGCGAGTCGTCGATCTCCGCCTTGAAGACGGCGATCCTTGCCATGAGCACTGCGGCCGCCTCCTGGTCGAACGACGCCGCGATGCTTGGCGAGCCCGCCTCCGCGAAGTTCCGCGCGATCGTCGTCACACGGAGGCGCAGCTGGCCAGACGAGTGCTGGTAGTGCGTTACGAACTGGATGAGGCCACGCGAGCCTGGCTGCAGTGGCTGCCCGGCTGGTGTCACAACCTCGAAGTAGACTCCTGTTGCCGTGCGCGGTGTGATGGAGTTGATTTTCCATGCTGAGGTCTGGCCAATACCGATCTCCGTCTCGCCGACGCACGCAGACTTCTTCCCGGCTGAGATCGCGTGCCCGATCAGTCCGGATACCTTCAGCTCTTTCGTCGTTTGCACATCAAATGTAGCATTAAAGCCCATCTCGAGGTGGCCTTGGTCATCCTTGTTGAAAATACGCAGGAAACTCTGCTTGAAGATCGAGGTGGCGAACGAATCGGACAGTACGATCACACCGTTGGTAGAGTTTGGTAGGGACTTCATCTCGAGGAGACCGACTTGGTCAAGGCAGCCCGCAAACAGGTCGATGATATGCCCGTTGTTTGATGCGCGCTTGGCGAGACCGTCGTAGAACTACACGATGGTGAGTGTCTGTCGTCTATGAGTATACGACTGGCATACCTTGACGGCGCGCTTGTAGTGCTTGGCGCTGTCTCGGTCGATGTCGTGGTGCGACCGAATTGGCTCCTTCAGCTCGTTGCTCACGACCATACCTGGGCCTTCCGTCGCAGATCCACCCGAGAACACCATCATGCGTGCGCCGGTGTTAGGGAAGGTTGTCTGATGCAACATGAGTTAATGCACTCATGCACAGAGAACAGTACTCACCTCCAAGAGGCCGACCGCGACCGAAACAGCAACACCAGTGCAGCGCAGCGGTCTCTTGCCCGCCGCCACCGGCCATGGGTCCTGGTTCAAGGACTCCAGGATACCAGTGAGCTGGAACTCGCACTGCGAGACGGGGAGGAGGAACCGCGCCGCGCCGAACGTCTGCATTGGCTGTCCGGGGCGAGGAGCTGCCCTATTCTGCGAGCTCAGGCCGAGCATGTCCTGAATCTGCTTCGGGCTGTACTCCTTGCCCCCGCGGAACACGTATGACTTGTTGCACTCTGCATAGCCAAGTTCGTGCACTTGCGCCTGAAAGCAGCCTTAGGAGCGCAGACTAGACAAGCTTCGAGCACACGTACCATAGTGCCATACGTAATGAGACCCACGAGCGCGTATGGCGGGAGCAAGCTCAAGCTGACGATGATCGCATCGCGAAGTGCCTTGAGCTCTTCCGGTTCCTCGAAGCATGTATCGACGACGAAGAGGAATATGGGCGGGACTTGAGCTGGCCGGGAGAGCGTGTACTCGATCGTCGTGTATTTTGGCAGCAGCTCGGCGGGAAGATTGGTGTTCGAGATGTCCTTGTAGTGAGGCGGGAAGGCATTCCGCTGCAAACAGAAAGGGCAGATCCAAAGCTTTCCGCGAATATCAATCTGGCTGTAGTCCAGTTATCATCACCTGAACGTCAGGCGGTGGCATATGACGCGTACCAGTAGGGGTTGAGCACGGCGCGACATGGTGGTTTGCAGGTGACGGGTTCGTACAAGACCGGAGGCAGATCCTCGCGCACTTTGAGAGGCGTGTAGAGGGCCGAAATGGGCACGACTGTACGCGTCGCCTCGATCCTCGACGACGGCCAGACGTTCCATGACAGACGGACGCCTGCACGGCTTCGTCAGATTCCAGCTCGTATGAGATGGAACCTGCTACGCACCGTCGCGATCCTCTACATCCTCGAAATTAAGCATCGTAGTTGGTGGATATTAGGTCGACTCGTCAAGTATATGCTGTGCGTCGTGTTCCTGTCGTCGACGTGTCCTGTATGTTACTGTTTGTCCCCCACGACAGTCGACAGACTGCAAGAGTCCTGTAGGCGCGAGAGATACTGTATGGTTGAGTGAGTCCCGTGCATGTGCGCTGCATTATGTCGACGTACCTAAGTTACGAAGATTGAGGAGGACGTGGAGGTCGGTGACTGGCGGGGCACGCGGTACAGTGCGTCTGACGCCGAGTGCCCGATTCGGAAGGCCGCCAAATACGGCGACAGACGTCGGACTCGTTGTCTCGGACTTCGTACTCAACGTCGCTCACTACAATCATCCAGGCCTGGTCTGTTTGATAGAATTGTGTCCTATGATTTTCCACACAACTCTGCGGCATAGAGCCCGTACAATCGCTTTCAGTCTTAGCTTTCTCGGTGCGACGACTGTCCGACATTCTTCAACCGCTTGTCTCCTTCGGACACCGCCGTCATCTGCTCCTCGCGAGGTCCCTACCCCGCTTGTCTTTGTCTCGTCGAGCTCCTGGGATCCACGCTCGCAACAAGGGTGAGCAGCCTTGCTGCTACGTAGCTGAACAGCACCTCATCGCGCCGCGACGCCACTTCAAGGCTCAGGTCGCTGGCAACCATGTTCACCACGCGCGGGTTTACCTGTCTGGAGGTTGACTTGGCACCGCCCGAGAAAGCGGAGACGTCGGACGCACTGATGCAACACTACGAAGCAGGTAAGTACTCTCTCAACAGGGCCCATGTCATTGTCGAGGCCCATCTCTGGTTAATTCGCTATGGACCGGGGCGGGATCATCGGTCTGTGCATAGCGCCTCTCCTCGTCAATCACCTACGTTGCGTGTTCAAGATTACCCGCAACTCCCGTTCGAGGCTAACGCATCAGCATCCTACCTCACACTGTCGCACGGGGCACTAGTGCAGATGCAGTTCATGTCCCGGCCCTGACGCGGACGCCGCACTGCTTGTCTACATGGACCCCTACTGATCAGAGGCTACTTCTGGACGCTATGCTCATTCTCTGCCAGAGCTGTCGTCGCACATCCGTCTCACCATGATTCCCTTCGCGCCAATCATTGTCGCTCGGGGGTCGGGTGCACTCATCGCACAGACCTACATCTCGTCTCACCCTGCCTCCGGTCTGCTACTCATCTCGCCGCCGGTATCCAACGCTGCCCTCCAGTCGTCGTCGGAGGCCGAAGACAAGACCCTCTTGCCAACGGTCCTTCCGGAGTTCAACTTCGAGCCGAGATTTCCGTGTGCCGTCCTGTGCACACAGCGAGAAGCCACGGCGTTCACCGAGAACAGGCTATGGGCGGATGAGAACGTTAGCAAGTTGGTCACGCGGGACGAACAGGCCCTGGATGGTCAAGAAGGCTTCGTCAAGATAGAACAGTGGTTGGACGAAGTTGGCGTGTAACATGTGCGACGAGTGCGGACGGTATGATGCTTCGAGCTCCGTATGTGATACATGAATTTCACATGCATCTTTGTTGAATTCCATCGTCTTACCGCAGAGAAGTCCTCTCATCGCGCATCTGCGTGCCTGCCGGAGTTGGCAGATAAAGCAGACTGTGCATAGACCTGTACGTCCCACGCATCGCAAAGCTGCTCTACTCGGCTTCCTTGAAAATGGTCGGGGTGGTTGAGCGGCATCTTGTCATTGCGCGTGTATCCGGTGACCCGGAGCAAGACTGCAGACCATCGCAGTAGCTTGCTGCAGCGCAAGTTGGCCGAGCTTGGGTCCTCCGACCCAGCAGCAGAATTTCAAACCCCGGTCGGGTCTGGTGGATTTGAACTCGAATTTGACGATCGGCTACCGCCAGTGCCATGGAGACAGTCATCCATATCTCTCATCCTCTTCAGCCTCAAAATCGCCCTTCAACATCGAAAACCGCATTCTGGTTCCTGGATCAGCAAAGCCGAGGAAACATGCTGCGATCCGCATTGTGCTTCGAAACCAGTATTCCGGCCACCCCACATTTGTCGCCGAAGTCCACAGAGGCAGCGACTCGACTCGGACATCCTGATTCCTCCGATCTTCACTACCATCGTGATGACCACTGAGAAGACCTCGTAAGCACCTTGTGCACCCGGCCACGGTGCACGTACCCTTCAGATACACATGACCTTCGTAACCTGGAACCATAGAGGCAAATGGCACTGTATATGTCTACGCCCGTTCCTAGCCCCCGCTCCTCGCCTGTGGCAGAACCTTCGCCTTTTCTGCGAGCGAAAGCCGCATCGTTGCGTCGGTGAGTCATGCCCTCGATCATCCCGGCGAAGTAAATCTAACGGGGAACCACACGAGATCTAGAGCATAGCATCCAATTGACAGATTCCTGATGCCGGCGGGTGCGCTCAAAGTGAGGTGGCATCGCCACAACACCTGCACAGAGTAGGTAAGCGGTGCAGGCGCCACTGAATTGACCAAAGGACGAGCATTCACCGTGAAGCCCAGGGATGAAGAACTCAGCCTACAGCAGTCTCGCAACGCTTCATGTATGTCGGCGGTTGCCCCGAAGACGGACCGTGGAGAACGATACATGCAGTACCCCGGGTTGGATGGGGACCCGGATACCCGTAGCGGTACCCGCATCGGCGGTAATCTCCCCGAAGGGTCTGAGTCTGTGGCTCACCACGATGGTCCAATAGCTGCTATTCTGGTCGTGGGCCACCAGTTGTCGTGGCCGAAGCGGTCCAGCGCTGTTGCAGTCCGAGCCGATGATCTGTTCCATTCAAGGTTCAAACGTTCACGGCCGCCTGTATACTTATGTGAGCGCGGGGAGGCAGCGCGCACTCCTCGTCTCGATGACCCACAACAATCACACTGTCAAGACTCAACGCCCGTTCGACTTCTCTGTACCGCCGTGAGTGACAGCTGTCTGAGTCTCGGATGTGCATCTTGACTGCTGGCTGATGACGACGACGGCGCATCTCATAGGGCAGGTATTATATTAGCTGTCTCATGTCAAGTAAGGCCCCGAAGCTATATTCCGTTGACGTTTCGGATCCACGACTCGTTTATGAGCCTGCGGAGGCGTGGGGTCCGTCCTGCAGTAACGGAGACACGGGCACGCAAACAGCCGGGTCTAGCGTCACTTTCACATTCAACGGTGCGCGGTCATTTTCACATTCAACGCTGCCCACGAGTTCGTATTCTGACACCCATGTACAGGTACCTTTGTCGAGGTCTACGGCTCGTCGAGCTCAGCGCAGACCAGCACATCATTCGTTCTAGACGGTCAGCAGGCTGTCAACTACGCTAGCTCAGGAGCAAGTTCGCAGGACCTCCCTCTCTATCACTCGTTTACCCTCAATCACGGCGCGCACACACTCAAAATCACAGTAAAAGGAGACGACCCGTCACTCTGTCTTCAGCAGCTGCAATTCACGGGCACGCCAGTCCATTCAGCGTCGTCGGCATCTTCGGCTGTCGTACCTACACAGACTCAAGCGCTCAACAGCTCGTCCACCACGACGTCCTCCAACCACCTCTCACCAGGGGCGATCTGCGGGATCGCCATAAGTAGCATCGTGGTCTTGTTCCTTGTCATATTCACCATCTTGTATGCGTGTGGCCTTCTACCTCGGCATTGTAGGCGAGGACGACGTCCCTCGAAGGATGAGGGAGTAGATATCATCTTGGACGGTCAGTCCGCGCTCGGTATCCTCATCCAGACATTTATTGACATACGCTCACAGAGATGCCCAAATCCCCTCCTCCACCAGTGGGCATGGACATCTTCCGGAAAATGCTGATACAACACGCCCAAAACAACGCCATGACCCGTCTAGCCTCGGGACCGAACTCGAAGAAGAGTTCGTCGAACGGGACGCGGTCGACCGCCATCTTCTCTTCCGTCGTCATACTCACGCCACCCGTTTCGTCGTCTGGCGGGAGTCACGGCCGCTCGGAGAGACAACCTCAAAGACCCCAGCGAGCGCAGCTGAGGCCGTCCACACCTACTTTGCATATCGCGAACCAGGTTCAGAGTCCCTGACCACATTCCTTGTTAGTACGAAAGCCCCCATCTTGTGTCGAATTTGTATGGACATCAGTACCACGGACTCCGGAAGAGCGATTGCATATATTAGTAGTCTTGTATCTGGATAATCTCGATATGATATTGCGGTGAAGTACAGTATTAAGTATGTAAGTTAGCTTGGCCTCGGCCCTCCGGAATGCCACGACCTCAGCGCTTCAGCCACAACTTCAACTTGAACGTCTTCTTCCTCACTGTCCTCAGGCTGTTCAGTCCAATGTTTGGACTTGTCTAGTATGCCCATCTCAGAGGTCACTCACGTTGTTTGACTTCAAGTGCTGTTTAGGCAGTCGACCTGCGTTTTCATCTTCCTGCCAAAATTACCTCACGATTCTCCGCCGAATCGCAAGGCGAGATCATGTCCTGAGCTCCGAATTCGAACCCGATGCGACGAGGGCAACAAGCTAGCAGCCGGTACTAGTATGAAGTATATATTTGTTCACCTCTATGGTAATATGAGGAAGCTTGGTAGATCAGTATCACCTGTTAGTATAGACATAGTCGACATCTCCGGAGGGTATACAGGACCTCAATGGCCCCTCCGACTGAGACCCATGTGTCTTCGAACCGAGGGCGCCGGTACGGTGGTACGTGCCCTGCGATACTTGTCCAGTGGTATCAACTCAACGGCAACTCTTGACTAGGCCTGACTGAGCTACTACTAGCGTACTGCGCGGCGCAGGCTGCATGTAGCGAATGTCACAAATAGCGACCCTGTGCGAATGATCATCTGTGCCATAGGACAAATGTATCATTTCTGTACAACACCACTTCCGTCAACAATCACCTCGAGACACTGGCAGTCGCTGCAGATTCAGCTTCCGTTATGATGCTTCGTACATGGCAGCCTGCCCGGAATCAATTGGCATCATGCAGCAGCTCCTCCTGAACCACTCAGGCTAATGCCATCGGGGCAGCTACTCGTAAAGCGGCTACTTTGTCTAAGAGGTAGTATCAGGTGAGTGCATGTATTGACTGGTGTTCAATCGACTGAAGGCTGGTACAGCGAGGAGCCGGATGATCGGACACAGGCCCGGGGAACAGATGCGTGCACCGCATTCACTGCCGCTCGAGATGTCGAACGTCCTCTCGCTGTCAAGAATGCTTCAGAAAAATCAGTCGGACGGTCACAGGGCAGGATTCTATTGGCTCAGTATCCGGCCCCGTTGAGGTCGTCTCACGCCAAGTTTTCCTTCGGAGCCAGGATGGTATGATCCTCTACATAAAGCGGATAATGTTGAGAAACTGACCAAGTTGGTTACTCCTCCCAACGCTGCTCGTATCTGTTGAGAACTTACTTCTTTAGTCGCAGCTGAGCTGTCGGCCCGGTCACCATGTCGCAGGCCGATTCTTCTTCAGCTGTCTCTGCGCAGGTCGCGGTTTTGTCTCAGGAAATGTGAGTGCTCGAAGTACTACGCGGTAGACAAGCCGTCTGAATATGACTTTGATAGGCTGCTGGCTAACCTCTGCGGCATCGCAGCTACCAGTGAGAGTCGCTGTCCGAATATCCAAAACAAAGCTTGACATCCGCGCATAGTGCTCCTCTTCTATGACTATATGCTCACGTTCTCGCGCGAGGTCCGTTGTATTTGGAAACGCCGATTCTCTGGGGCGACAGTGCTCTTCATGTTGAACCGATATCTGACTCTCGTATATCGCGTTCTCATGACCGTGGAAATATTACCATTGGGACAGAACCCCAATTCTGGCCAAGCGGTAGCAATCCATCTGTTTACGTGCCTTCCTTCGCTCACATAGTCATTTTAGATGTATGAAGCACTCTTTACATTAAAAGTCTCGATCGTTGACGCGCCACGAGCAGTTGCACTGGAGTGCTTCGTACTACTCAGGTCTTGTCAACGGCGACAAGCCTGGTAACAGCAGGTACGTAGCCTTCATTCCGCGGCTCATCGAATCTTATAGGTCAAGTAGGCTTTACCTCGTTGCGCATGTACGCGGTCTGGTCCAAGGACCGTAGAATATTCGCTGGGATTTTGTTCCTCGGATTGGTCCCCATCGGCGTGAACATGGTACATAAGGCTCCATCCAATGCATTGTCGCGCGCTCACTGTCTCACGCCAGTTCTACTACACCAAGGTGGCCTTCGTCGTTGCCCCTCCTCCGCTCGTCGGCTGTGCGGATTTAGTGTACATGACCCCGGCTGCCAGTGACATGTACGTCCTGCCTCCGATCTTAACATGACCATCGACCTGAAATCTTGCGCAGACGTAAGCAGTAGTTGTGTGAGTCGGTTTAGACAAACATACCCACTCACGCGTACCATGTACAGTGGGCATGTTCAACTGCATCTTCGCCATCACCGCGGATACTATTGTCCTGATCCTCACCTGCGTCAAGACATTTGAGATCAAGCGCTCCTTCGCCGCCATTCGGACGAAAGCCAAAATCAGCGTTGAGAATCTAGTCCAGAACCGCGAAACTTCATATGTGTCCTTAATACAACGAGATGGTAAGCGATTCCACGACCATCATAGAGCATGCTATTCACAGATCTGATCATAGGAACGATATATTTTCTGTGAGTGATGCTTCTTAGTACTCGTCGTCACCTATCCGCTAATAAACTAACAGTGCTCTACTGATTCTCAACGTAGTGGACTTGATCGCGATAAAGAACCAGGTACATCGAATTACCATCCTATGCCGGTAGCCGTCTCTGACACGTCTACACTGGCAGGCTTTCGGATCTCTCCCCGCCCTGACAGAGGTGTATGTACCGGTCATCTAGTTCATGATGACACCCAAACCTTAGCAATACTGCCACAGGCTGACGTCAATCCTCATTTCCCGCTTCCTGCTCGACCTCCGCAGCATATACCTTGCATCTCATGGAATCGACAGCAATGGCAAGGACTCGACCATGAATGCCAATGCGTCGACTCTAGCATTCGGAGGGCATAGCGTGGCAGGGAATCTCGGCGCTCCTCTCGAATCTATGTTGTCTGACCCGGAGGAACGCTACGAGCTGATCGCTGCGGACGAAGCTGCGTACATCTCCGAGGACCCGTTGGCTATGGGGCTACGTTCGTCTCCGAGGCACGATCATAACTCGCAACACAACGACGCTGACGAAGCTGACGACACAGGGCTCCGTGTACTCAGACAGTGAGTCCAGCAACAGATTTTGTTTTGTACATATTCCGTCACTCATCTGCTCGTAGGTTGTACGATGACCCTGTATGATCTCAGTATGGATAGGATGTTCTCGCTACTGCGCCGAACGTACAGCGTACTGGGGAATGCGCACCGGTGGACCGCGGACTACGTTCGGCTACTCGCGCAATGCGTCCTCACCGAGATTCCTCGCCAGAACCTGTGACTGCAGGCTGGTCCTGAATCATGGAAGGTGATGAGCGGTCAAAATTCGACCGCCGCACAGCTTTAGCGCAGCCACGGACGTCCCTCCGTTAGCGACTGAGCGCCTGGCGAGGACCGGTCTTCGCGTTGACTCGAACAGCGACAGACAGAATCCGCAGGTTCTGCGCTGGTCGACCTACGCAGGGGGCCATGATTGTCTCAGAGACAAGTTGCACTCAACACGAGCGTGTATTAGAGGTTTCACTATGAAAATACACCATGATCCAAGAGTTAGCCCGCTATGCGTACGCATCCCGGCTGAACCGATACAACACGTCAAGCAACAAGTTCAATGCTTTGAAATCAGTTCTCGCCAGGAAGGGCCGCAATCAAGCCCTTGACTTCATCCCACCTGGCGTCATCCTTCCAGCCCATGCTCATGTCCTTCTTCAGAGCAAAGACTCGTTTGATGTCTTGAGCATCCGTGCTGGTCCCCTCTTCAACGGCCTTCCTCTGGGCGTCGATAGCATCAAGCCATGCAAGGACGACAAGGTGCTCGGGCTGCGATATCAATGTTTGACGATCAGCCCAGATCGTTCTGTCGAGGCCGTGGGTGACATAACCTTTGCAGAATGATGTCAGTGCGCGATTTTTAACCGAGTATGAGTACATCAAGGATGTTCTTACCGATAGAGGAATACACAGCTTGAGGCACCCATCCAATCTCATAGCGCAGCACCGGGAAGCCAGCATTGTACAAGTCCCGCGCGAGGAGCCTCGTCGGCAGGTACACCTGGCAGTCAGATAGCACCTTACCCATGAACCTGAACAGATTCTGTGGTTCCGTCTCGTAGCATTCGAGCAAGCGTGCCACGACGTCCCTCGGGTAGAACTTCCGCAGGTTCGCCTCGACGTCGGCGTAGCTGTAAACGGGGTGCGTCATCGCGTAGATAAACCATTCCTCGGTAAGGTCGCCGACAACGACGCTCCGCACGCCCTTCGCCTTGAGTGCGCGCGCGAACTCGCCGGAGCGCTGCCAGGTCATCGGGTCAGGTGAGTCCCCAGTCCAGGTGCTGTCGCGCGTCCCACGGAAGGTGTCGAATTCAGTGCCGATCTCCCCGCTCTCTATAACCTGCGTGATCTTGTTGAAAGGCAGTGCGGAGGTGTCGCGCAGCTGAGAGAGGATAGTGGGCGAGCGCGGGTCGAGGCCAAGCGAATGACAGAGGGCATCGAATTGCGGACGTTGCCCCGCAGGCGTCGCGGGATTGGCCCTACACAGGAGCCTGATGTCAGATCCGACTTTGGGGCGTTCCACATGAAGTCCTGATGTGGATGTACTCACATCATGCCATTCGACTGAAGCGTGGCGGATTGAAAGGGCGACTTCTCGCCTTCGGGCAGGCGGGAGACATGGTGCAGGATCTGATGCACGGAGTGTGCACCTGCCGACAGCCCTGTGAGCTGTATGTTCGTGGGATCACCTATGAGACGAGCGCCGTTCAGTATGAGAGTCTATACTACACCGCACAGACTGGCATTCGAGTCATACTCACCACCAAAGCATTCGATGTTATCCCGAACCCAGAGGAGCCCAAGCCATTGGTCCTTGAAACCGAAGTTCCCATCTAGCCTCGGCTCGTCCGACGCGAGAAAGCCAAAAGCGGACACACGGTACCCTATATTGACGTGCACCGTCTCCGACTCTTTGGCGATGTACTCGGCCTGTGAATTGAGTTCATGCGGCGATCCTAGCTGCAAGAAGCTGGCATATGATTATTTTGTCAGATCATGCCCTGGTGGACATCGGACCCCATGCTCACCCGCCGTGGATATAGATCTTGACCGGGTACTTACGGTCGGAGCCGGGACTCCAACCTGGCGGACAGACAATGTTGACGTATAAGCTTCAAGAAAATGTTAGAATGTGACAGTCAAATTGGTGGAGTCGTGCGCACGGGTTCTCGGTAGGGTTGCCCAAACCAACTAGGTTCTGATACGGTGTCCGGGGAGGGATTAAGATCCCATCGTTCGGCTGCGCGCAATCTTGGCACTCCATGATGTTCAGGTCTATATTCCAGTGATGGGATACTCACAGCTGGCTTCATATAAGTACTCCTTGGCTTCGTAACGATAATTTGCGGGCAGTGGTTCAGGATCCTGAAAGCGACCCGGAGGCAACGCATAAGGGATTTCTTGGAAACAATATACTGAGCACTAGTTCGTCACGTGAAGTACCAATTACAATACCTAGAAAACCGGCGGTGCCGGTGTGTGTGACTTGTCCACCAGTGACTGGACCATACTTCGTGTTGACTGTGATACGCGCAGAGCCACACACAAGCGAGTCCTGTAGGTGGGATGGTCGCCGAGTCCATTGGATTCCTCGGCGGCCGCCAGCCAACTTGTGGGCAAGACTTGAGTCTCTGGCGGCGACACTCGGGATCGGAGATTGAGTCCAGAGAGATCGGTAGGTAGGATGATGCCAGTGCGATGTTTCCGCGCATAGTGTGGGAGAAGCCAGGCGTGTCGCAAGCTGACGGGCAGCAAGGCTGCCAATGCGGCGTTGCGAGAGCATTCACCTAACCCCCTGTGTCAGTCGCTGACAGAACACTGGTGAAGTTGCTACGTACGTTTGTACTGAACTCTTAACCAACAGATGTCTGAGGAAGTAGTTCCGGTGGATCGAAAACAACTGCCGCATTGTTGTATATGTACTTGTTCAAGGGCCGAAGAAGATTACGTCCCCTGGTAGAAATCTGCATGGCACCACAGCCACATAAAGTAGAGAAGATACTGTAATCGCCTAACTCGCATCCAGCCTGTGGAGAGTCTCTGCTAACGTGTCAGGTTCTCCATTGCTGTGCACGGTAAACGAGGAGGGCGGAGGTGCGTCAGGTGTCTTGCTCGGCACCGTGCATATAACCTTTCAACTCTATAAATCAGCGCTGTAAGTCACCCGTGTCTCTGAGCGAGAGAAAGCACATCCTTCTCTCGTCTCAAATTTCATATTTTAAGAGGATAGGCGGTCAGTGCCATCGGACGACTCGGCGGCGGAGTCACACCTAAAGTACCACACACCATGCATGAGACTTCGCGTCCGCTTTGTTGGCCAATACGCTTCCGTAGTCCCGAAGAGTGTCTAGAATTGAAACGAAGAATGCTCAAGCACATGCAGCGTACTGACTCAGGATGTGATCAAGGACAGTGCCAGATCCGGCTGAAGCCGCAGACGCGTACGTCACAGTCATGACATCGTGACATCGTGTTCCATGCTGTCACGCACACAGAGACATACACCGTCTCGATACAAGCAACGTGACACAAGAAGTTACAACACTGTCGATACATACATGCAACACGACTTCGTGGTTGTTGACAGACCCGAATATTTAATACAACAACGACGTTCACTTCTCGCCAGGAAGAAGGGACGCCAGTTGCATGAGCTCGTCCCACCTCGAGTCGTCCTGCCACCCCGAGGACTTGTCCGCCTTCAACGCAAACACCCTCTTCATGTTCTTCGCGTCAACGTTGGTGCCAAGCTTCAGCAGCGCCACCTGTGCATCGACGGCGCCGAGCCACAAGTTCACGGTGGGGATCTGCGCGGGCTTCATCAGCGGTAGGCGGTACGCCCAGAAGACGCGGTCAGTGCCGTGCGAAACGTAGCCTGCCGTTCGCGCTCAGCATATAGTAGTGCATTGGGCGCAAGTAGCGCAGGAGCTCACCTCCTGTAAACTCTGACAGCTGCTCAGGCACCCAGCCGATCTCGTACCGCAACACAGGGTACCCAGCATTGGCCAAGTCCCGAGCGAGGATCCGCAGCGGGATGTAGACCTGCGCGTCCGAGAGCGCGGTTCCCATGAACTTGGTGATCTGCGCCGGGGTCGGATTGTCCGGAAGAGGCGGGTAGGCCGCGAAGAGCTTCTGGGTTACGTCGGGGGAGAAGTAGCGCTCCATGTTGGTCACGCAGTCGGCCATGGTGTGAACGGGGTGGATGATCCCGTACACGTACCACTCCTCCGTGAGGTTCCCCATGATGATGTACTTCACGCCCTTCGCCTTCAGCCCGCGTGCAAAATCGCCAGAGCGCTGCCACTCCATCATCTCGGGAGGAGGCGCGACCCACACGCCGTCGATGGTATCGCGGAAGGTGTCGTACGGAGCAGGGACGGCCCCGTCGAGCAGCGCGGTCATGATCGTCTGTGCTGGGTACTTGGTGGGGTCGCGCAAGTCTGTGAGCACGGTGGGCGAAGAGGGGTCGAGACCGAGGGCCTTGCAGACCGCCTGGAACTGCGGGCGATGGTCGGCCTTGCTGCTGGGCGTAGTCCTTATTCGCGGCTGGTCAGTGCTGGTTCCTAGGTTTATTGTGCGGAGATGCACTCACAAAAGCCCGTTTGACTGAAGGAAAGCGGACTGGAATGGCGCCTTCTGTCCTTCGGGAAGACGCGAAACATAATGCAAGATCTGGTGGCACGAGTGGGCACCCGCTGAGTCTCCAGCAATCTGAATCTTGGTCGGGTCACCTGGGAAATGACGCAGAGTCAGGCGCTACATTTGGGCGTGAGCCGTACAAGCGCACTTACCACCAAACGCGCTGATGTTGTCTTGGATCCACAGGAGTGCCTGCCATTGATCCTTGAAACCAAAGTTCCCGGAGATGTCCGGACTGTCGCAGGCGAGGAAACCGAGGATGGAGACGCGGTAACCAATGTTGACGACAACTTGGTTCTTATACAGCGCCAAGTGCTGCCCTTGCGAATTCAACTCGTGCGGGGAGCCAGTCTGCAGGAATCTGCACAGAGGTCAGCCTGAAGCGCACAGAACACTGTGCCACTGATACAGACCCGCCATGAATATAGACCAATACGGGATACTTGAGGGGAGACTTAGGAGTCCACTGAGGAGGGCAAACGACGTTGAGGAACAGCCTAGAGTCTGTGTGAGCGTTAATGATGGCGCTGGATGCTCCTGCTACACGCACGGGTCCTCAGTGGGCTTCCCCAAGCCAACCAGCGAGGGGAGGTTTAGGCCTAGGTCAAGTGTCAGCCTGACGTCACTTTACACCATCAAGTACTGGGCTCATACCGGGAACGCTCGTCTCCGGCAAAGGCTGCGCACAATCTGACGAAGTTTACTTAATATTGGACTCGTCATGGGTGACATTATAGCACTCACAGGAGCTTTCATAGATATAATCCTTGTCTTCATAGCGGTAGTCCGCGGGCAGAGGCTGAGGGTCCTGCCACCTGCCAGGCAGAATGGCATAAGGTATTTCTGAGTAACATTGCACGACTGTTAGATAGGCCTGTCTGGGTGAAAGGAAGAATGCTCACCGAGAAACGCGGCGGCGCCATTCGCTGCACGACCGCCAGTGACGGAGCCGTACTTGGTGTTGACCGCGAGCCGCTCCGACTGGGCCGTGAGCTCATCCTGAAGCTGTTTATCGGGAACAAGAGGGTTGAAGTCGTCGGTGGTTCCAGACATGGCGGAAGCGAGGTATCGAACAGAAAGTTATTCTTCGACGAAGGATGTTGTATGCGAGCCAGGCGGTAGCGCAGGATCTGGTCTGTAGCACTGCGAGGTGCCCGTATTTATGTATGCCCGGCAAGGGGCTGTGTAATCGAACCTCGAGCGTTGGAGATGGACACGCGCGCCCTCTCCAAAGGCATCTAGCGATGCGTTGGACAGGGTTCCCGTTCGGAAGTACATTGGGAAGCGAACAATTGGTCAGGTGAACGGCGTGCATCGAATGCCGTTAATCTCCAGGCATATTCGTCAATGCAGGTGTCCAGGGATGTCGATGAGCCAGGCTTCGACGTGCGCTACGAAGCCTGTGAATAGGATTAGTCTTTAGATGTAGTGTGCAGGCACACACCACCAAATACTAGTCTGTGACCCGCCACATGCTGCCATATCTGCGTCGAATCTCGGAAAGTCGGTTACAATTGGTCGTGCTCTTGGTTAGATGGTGTCATAGAGACCGTAGTGAGTCAAATCGTACCGATGTGTACCAGAGCTCCATTGGCGGCGCCGCCAAGACACGATCATCAGACAGCCCACGACTCCAAGCTGTCGACGATATCTTTGTTCTGAGGAAGAGTTGCTCGCCATCCACGCCCGGAAAGCCATCGACTTGGTGAACGTGGGCGCCTTGCCAGCCTCCTGGTAAATCAGGTGTACGCAGTCCGTCAAAAGGTGGTGCACCTTCATGACAGCGGTGTATGATACACCTGCCGCAGACCTCTCTATCAGCGGCACGACGTACAGCAGAGTGTACAATAACGTCTTTGGTATATGATGCCCTTGAAGAATGTCAAGCTCAAGGCAATGCCGTGTACTGACCAGTGATCTTCGCGGAGCTGCGCATCCACCGATAAGTCCGACGGCTCATCCAACACACCCTGTCAATGGTGCTGTTGCTAGTGACGTCGCCAGTTCAAAAGGTGAAAGTGTACACCTTATCGGGCACTTCTCGTACCTTGTTCTGCATGGCGCGTAATTCTGGTAAGAGGAACCCAAGTTATGTACTTAGAAGAACGCGCCATGGCACGCCAGCCTGCATCTTGATTCTTGTCCGCCGGCGGAGTTCATCCACGGTTCCATATATGACTCCAGAGCTGCTTGTTCCTACAAAAGAGTAGGTCTCCGCGGACGACAGACGCAGAAAGTTGCACTTCGAAGCCTAGTGAACCTTGTGCAGGCAGTATTGAACGTTGGACGTTGAACGCCAGTCCTCTCGCGTAAGGCTAGGAAGTCCACTCACGAGATGTAGCTGAAAATACCGGTCATATGTTACGAGCGTCATTACTCCTTTACTTGAGTATTCGACGGAGCAACCGCGAGCAATATGGTTCATCCCGAAGACTCACGGCAGCATTCGCTTTGAGACCCGAAACGATTTATGTGGGAGACGCATTCAGCGTTGATCGCTGAGGTGTCCCGTCGCCGTCAGTTTCGAGCTTGAGTATACCGCATACCAAATGTGAACCACTTCGCATAAGGAAGCATCGTGCTCATGCATTGTATACCTTCGAAAGGGCCAACCTATTTCCAGAGAGGAACATTCAGTAGTTACAGCCGGCCAACAGCAGTGTCGTTCTCCCCTGGAAGTGCCGTTCGGAGGCGCATGAGATGGTCCCACCTGTCGTCGTCCTTCCAAGCAACAGTCTTGTCCTCCTTCAAAGCAAGCACTTTCTTCGGGTCCCTTGCATTTACGTTCATGCCAGCTTCGAGTGACTTGGTCTCCGCGTCGATGATGTCGAGCCATGTCCTCGCAGCGACGATCTGGACCGGCTCCAGCGCAGGTAGACGTAGGGTCCACAGCAGCCGATCGGTACCATGGGTCACATAGCCTTGAATCGTATCAAGATTCGTGAGTCAGTCTAATGACGTACAAGGGTCACTGCTGCTCACCGTACGGCCGGTACTGCTCCGGCGTCCACCTGATCTCGTACCGGAGCACCGGGAACCCAGCATTCAACAAGTCCCTCGCAAACAGCCTCACAGGGAAATGCACCTGCCCGTCTGCAAGGATGTCTCCCATATAGCGCTCGAGCTGTTTCTGGTCCGCATCCTCGGGGGGAGCCGGGTAGCACGCGAGCATCTTGTCCACGACGTCGTGTGGGTAGTACCGTCGCACATTGTGCACCACATCCTCCGCTGCGTTCACAGGGTGGGCGATGCTGTAGAGGTACCACTCCTCGGTGAGGTCGCCAACGACGATGCTACGCACGCCCTTCCCGCGGAGCGCGCGCGCGAACCCGCCTGAGCGCTGCCATGCCATCGGATCGGGCGTCGTGGCGAGCCAGGTGCCGTCGAGCGCGCCGCGAAAGGACCCGAACTCGGTCCCAATCGCGTCTGTCTCGATGACATGCGTGAGCTTGTCCCAGGGAATGGTGGAGGTGTCTCGGAGCTGGGTGAGGACGTTCGACGAGGAAGGGTCCAGCCCCAGAACGCGACACAGGGCCTCAAATTGGGGGCGGAGATCCGTTGGTGTTTTGGGAATTGTTCTGGACTGGAATGAGACGACGCCTTGTGCTTATGATATGAAATGGAGATCCTACAGGATGGCGTTGGATTGCAACATAGCCGATTGGAATGGGGCCTGTTCGCCATCCGGAAGACGAGAGGCATGGTGCAGTATCTGGTGGACTGAGTGGGCTCCCGCGGAAAGCCCTGTCACCTGTATGTTCGTAGGGTCACCTGGCACGCTATAATGAGCTCACGTCATGGGATACAACTCTGAGGACCCTACCGCCGAACTTCGCGATGTTGTCTCTGATCCATAGCAGCGCAAGCCACTGGTCCTTGAACCCGAAGTTGCCCTCAACTCTCGGGTTGTCACACGCAAGGAAGCCGAACACCGATAGTCGGTAACCTATGTTCACCCAAACTTCTGACCTCTCGACGGCGACGTAGGGCGCTTGTGCACTCAACCCGTGTGGAGAGCCGAACTGCAGAAACCTGATACATGTGGTGAACCTAGGATCGCATGACCCTACAGACCTATTTGCACTCACCCTCCGTGAATATAAACTTTGACCGCGTACTTGGAGTTCGGTGTGAAGTTTGGCGGGGAGACAATGTTGACGTATAGTCTGACGTCAATTGAATTGGTATGCGTTGTGCAATTGCTGTCGATGCACATACGGATCCTCACTGGGCTTCCCTAGCCCGAGCCTGTCCTCACGCGGTATACCTGTCGAAAATAGTCCTGTATGAGCACGACGCGTTGTAAGCGGCAGTATGTTGACGCACCGGCGCCCTGGCCATCGTTCGTGGGTTGTGCGCAATCTAGGTCGGAGGAGAGTCAGGCATAGCTCGCTCGCTGCAATGGCAGTGTGGCCATATGCTTACACTTGCTCTCATAGACATACTCCTTGTCTTCGTACTGAAACCCGGGAGGCAGAGGCTTTGGATCTTCAAACCTACCAGGAGGCAGCGCGTAGGGTACCTCTGCCACGAGAACGAAAGTATGAAATCAGTGGCGATCGACGTATGTAGATCGCAGATTCAGGACGTACCCAAGAAGACAGCCGCCCCATTCGCTGCTCGTCCTCCTTTGATAGGACCAAACTGCGTCTGCACTGTGATACGGTCAGCGCTCTTGATGAGCTCGTCTTGCAGGTGAACGCGGGCCATCGTATGGTGAAGCGTAACCTACGAAGGCGGCGAGAGTAGACAATCTCGACGGACGGAAAGGACGGACTCCGTCGCTTGGCAAGTCTAGCCTATATATATGGCTTGTTGTACGCACAGGGAGCAAGTGTGATAACGCGGGCCGTAGCGGTCGGACGGTCACAAGTCCTGGTCAGCATTCGGACCAGTAACATGCGAGCTGGTCTCAACGGACTTTTATGTCCCACCGGTGACACGACCAAGACGAAACTATCAACACTCGCACTAATTCGTTCGACTTGTAGATTCTCCCTAACAATGAAGGCCGCGCTTCACACGGAGATGTCGAGATCAACCTTCCGTTGGGGGTCCACAAAGGTGACGATATGGAATGTGCGCACACGCCCGTAGACCGTGAGAGCTCCCGCGGGCCATCTGCTACAGCTCTTCACAGCTCAGGTGTGTAGCTGAACTTCGAAGGTAAAACTCGGAAACCTACAATGTACAGTTATAAAAATTCAGTCGATCAGAACGTTCAACTTTGACGCACCTATACGCAATGCGCACAGCATCCTCCCTACCCATCACCGGATGAAACTTTCGATCCTTCAAGTGAAAGATCGATAAAATTGACAAAATCTTTTTCACGATATTTCGTATGAAAGATTGTCAATAAAAGTCAGAAACAATCAATTAATCATTCAGACTCGAAGTATCAGGAACAGATCACAGAAGGATTCATTGACAAGTGTCTTTGATCTGTTTGTGATCCTCTAGGCAAATGATTGAGAACATGATTGTGAAAAATTCTTGAACACTATGTGGCTCAATTGTTCTGAAAGGATTGAAAACAGATTGTCACATGGGGTGTTACAATCTGTTCTCAATCTTTCAGGCTGTCACAATCTGTTTTCAGATCCTTCCAGCTGTTGATATCTTGGTGAGATTGGAAACAATTTGTATCCCAGGGGTTCAAAACAATTTGCCCAAAAGGATTGACAAGAGATTGTGACACTAGCTGTGACACTGTGCCACTTCCCTGTGACAGAGCAGTGAAGGCAATTATGCCAAACCTATGATAAGCTGCCTTCTGCTGGTATGCTCAGTCATTTCTGGTCCCTCATTCATTGCCTGCCATCACATGAGTCTCATTAGATGCACTCAGTGTACAGGGTTGTACTTGTGATTGTACATTCCTAGAGATGTGCATCTCATTGTATGACTAATGAACATGTCCCAGACTTGTGCATGTCCAGATGCAATGAAAGAGGGACCAAAAATGACTGAGCATACCAGCAGAAGGCAGCTTATCATAGGTTTGGCATAATTGCCTTCACTGCTCTGTCATAGGGAAGTGGCACAGTGTCACAGCTAGTGTCACAATCTCTTGTCAATCCTTTTGGGCAAATTGTTTTGAACCCCTGGGATACAAATTGTTTCCAATCTCACCAAGATATCAACAGCTGGACGGATCTGAAAACAGATTGTGACAGCCTGAAAGATTGAGAACAGATTGTAACACCCCATGTGACAATCTGTTTTCAATCCTTTCAGAACAATTGAGCCACATAGTGTTCAAGAATTTTTCACAATCATGTTCTCAATCATTTGCCTAGAGGATCACAAACAGATCAAAGACACTTGTCAATGAATCCTTCTGTGATCTGTTCCTGATACTTCGAGTTTGAATGATTAATTGATTGTTTCTGACTTTTATTGACAATCTTTCATACGAAATATCGTGAAAAAGATTTTGTCAATTTTATCGATCTTTCACTTGAATCACTTGAAAGATCGAAAGTTTCATCCGGTGCATGGCCGCCTTCATACGAGCACCGTTATTCAACCCTGAGTGCGGGCTCTGATGTATTCCGGGGCGAAACGACCCGGAGAGCGGCCAGGACAATTCACTTCCGCGCATATATCTAGCCATCGACGTGTACGGCTTCCCCCTTCGGCGAGTGATGAGTCAGGCACAGACTGGATGAGGACTGGTCGGAAGTTCCTGGGGAGTCTGCATGTCGAGAGTAAAGCGTTCTAAAGGATAGCTGAACTTAGCTGACTGGCCATTCCAAATCCAGCTGGTTGTGGCGTTCACCTCCGTAACAGGAAACTATCCTCTTTCGAAAATTGCGGCCCACTGCGCTGCGAATTATACCCTGAGCTTCCTGAGGCCATTCCTAAATCATAAATATAGACCCAGCCACGTATGATGCTAGAATCATTCCCAATCCCAATCCGCGAATACATAGCCAACCCTCCGCACAGCTCACAGCCCATGCAAGAGCGGTTCAAATATGCGTTCCCCGACACCAATCACAACACCCCCTACAAAGCTACTCATCCTCTTCCACTCCCTGCCCATCGAGTGCCTCTCCCTCTGTCCCTCTGCAAAGCCCCTGAATAAGCCCGCCGCCCCGCCGTTCTGCAGCCCATACACCGCGACGGCGACGCCGAGCACGAGCACCGCGCCCGCGACCATCGTCTTGCGCTGCAGCACGAGGTGCCGCGGTTTCTTCAGCCGGCGCCGGGCCCGGTCCCTGTCCCGCGCACGGCGCTTCCCGCGCGGCGACGCGCCTTCGTCGTCGGACTCGACCTCGTCGTCTGGCTCGATGTAGGGGAGGACGACGAGCTCGGGCTTCGTGACCATCAGTTCGGCGTCGTCGTCGGAGGGCAGCTCGGAGGGGTCCGAGGACCAGGTGAGCATCACGCTCTGGGGGCCCATGATCGTGGCAAGCGCGATGGAGGGGTGCGATGGAGGGAAGCGTGCGTACAGGTCATCGGCTTGTATGAGAAGGGAGGTGAGGGAGACGCGTGGGCGGGGAGGGGAGTCATCGGATTCAGTGATTGTGGATGCGCGTGAGAGGGGATGCTTTTCGAAGAGGTCTGATTGTTGCTCAGGCTGGTCCGACGGGTGGTCCGGCGACGGATGCTCCATCTCGGTGGACGAGCATAGGGGAGTCGTCATTGTGGTGGCTTTCTCGTTGATGATGTTGTCTTCCTCAACATCCGATTCGTTGACCGTTATGGATTCCTCGTCACCGACCGTGGACGATGTGTCCGACATGGCAGAGACAGAAGTCACTGCCGTCGTATCGTCGCTGAAGTCGACATGCTGCTGCTCTTCAGTGACAATGTTCGAGGCATCCGTACTCGGCTCTGCGACTGGCATTGCGTCCGGCGGTCCAGCAGGAGACGCTGCCACAGGCTCGTGTAACTCGTGTGCGGCACCTTTAGATGGGGCCTCGTCCGGAATAGCGTGCTCATCCTCTTCATAGAGATCAGGAAGTGTACTGAGTACTGAATGGATCATGCCGTCGTCGCCTTCTTGTGTGAGTTGCCTAACTTCATCTCGTCTAGACATGATAATCTGTCCTCCGCACCCCAACGTTAGCACTATCGAAGCGAGACCCCGAGGAATAAGACGAACCGCTGTCACAAGGTAGACGACGGCAATAGGTTGTCTGCATAGTAGGTAATCGAAGATGTGCTGGATTAAGGGCAAGCTTGGAACATCATGAGAGAGCAGTGTCAAAATGTTCGACAGTGCAAAATAAGGGAGCGGTGATGTTCTAGATATGGAACGCATGAGTGAAGATTATGAGCCATGACGACGCGCGGCACTCACTGATCTACGATTGACGAGAAGTCTGGGTCGACTGCCTGGAGTAAACGTTTTGTGATTCTATCATAGCGAGTGAGAATCTATCATACCATGTTCATGAGGCGAGACGTACCTCAGCAGCCCTACTACAGGCTCTAGCGTCATACCCATCGCATCGCGCACCCGATGCAAGCTCATCTTCTCCACAGACGGAGCCTGCAGCTCGGGTGGCAAAGTCAGAAACAGGACTGAGACGATGTCATGATAGCCCTGCAAACACGGTCATGACTGCGCCCTCACGCGTGATATGCGCGACTCTTACCTGGAAATAGTTGAGGTGACGGCGTTTCCGGAACACAGAAACAATCAGTTCGTGCAGCTGCTGCTTCAGACGCTCCCTGTCCGGACCCTCGTCTGCCAATAGGTTATGTGTTGAAGTCGACACATGGCGGAATACGGTCCTAGTCACCTACTGGGTACAAGACGAAACTGCGGTTCGTGTCCAGGCCGATTTGTCGTTCGTCTCTATGAGCAAGTGCTTCATCGATATCGGCGGAGATTTGTGGATCCTCACTTCCAGAAGCATCCTCAACAACTGGTGGCGGTTCTGACGAAGTGTCCGCCTTCGGTGCACTGGCTTCTGCGAGATTTACGTGCAGCAACTGTGGCCTGCCTCAAGAGTCAGACATTGCTTCTACACCCCGGCCCCCAAGATACTTACCAGAGTGTCTTACGCTCGTCACCAAACCCATGGGGTCCCAGGCTTCTCTTCCGCAGGGCATCCCAGTCTGGTGAGGCAGAGGTCGGGGTAGCGCGTTCCACGGCCTCGCCGTCGCTCATATGTAACGACCGTTGCGGAGATTACTGTATGAGAATTTGTTGAAGGGATGCCCTGCAAGGAGTATTCAGAAAGTCCGAGACGTGTGGAGGGCAACAGAGCGCAACAGCCCCAGGGCTGCCGGAAGAGGTGAGTGGTCGACGTCAAGCTCGGGCCCGCAGGCGCCCACGGGATGCGGAGACAAGCGCCCATAATCGCAGTCATAGGGAAAGTCGAAATTGAATGGGAATTTGACTTGTCCCTTCGACGCTTTCTGTCACCACTCGAAGTGTCATCGCACCCGGCGGTACGCTTCTTTGCTATACTATATCGCCCCATAATTCGCGGAAAGAATTCATCTGTCTGTTTGCCATCTCAGGTGAGTGTTGTATACATTGCATCAGCTAAGTCGGACGAGTCAGGCTGGTCCTTCTCACACCGATGCCAGTGACTGGCTTCTGCAGGACCCACGTACAGTGATCGTACCACCAACGTAGGAATTATTTCAGCGCACGATTTGTTTAACCCACTAGCTAACGAGCCGCACGAGTCATTAGCTTCGCGTACAAGATCACACACATTCTACCCCGCCCACACTCTACCATGTCTACGACCCTCGGTACCACCATGGACGCGCAGCGCTCGACATTGGGAAAGCCAGTTCCTCCGTTCACCGCGCACGCGATATCTGTGTCACTCCCGACCTGGGATGACAACGTCGGCTACGAGGAGGGAGCCAAGCGTGTGGTTGATACAATGGTGATTGGGTATCCACGATTCTTCATTCATCTGAGCATCCAAAAGGTATGTCATGATTACTCCGTGACGGTCAAGCAATCTGACGCTCCTCAGCTAGCTACGATTTGCGAACAAAAGTTTGGCACGCACGGCGAGCGATGTTTGCTATGCCCCACGCGCAAGGTCGCAGAGGCCTGTCGTGCCTTCATGGTCGATCGCTCATCTAGTACCGGGTCCGCCGTCCCAGTGCGCCTTGTGCAGTTCCTCATCTGCCCCGAGGACGACGTCGAAACCCTCAGTCAATGCATCGAGCTTCACATCGCTCTCTTCCCAGGTGACGCCTTCCCGCTAGCCAAGCAGTTCTGGCAGCACACGGGTAGCTGCGTCTCGAGTCGGCGGGCAGAGCGCTGTCTCGCCATGCTCGGAGAGTCTCCCGGGGTGGATGGCGCAGGGATCCCCTCGCTCGCTGTCTCCCGCCCACCCACTCGCGTACCGAACAAACACTACTCCAAAAAGAGCTTTGGCAAGTCTCCGCCTCGCTCACCAAGCTCATCCCACTTCCGCAACGGCCCATTCCGGTCGCCAGAGGAAGTACTGAAAGCGGACGAGATGCTCAGTGCAGATCAGAGTACATATCTGGAAGAGAGGTATGGGCGCAACCTGCCCCTTGAGTCCGCTGCTGCTTGCAAGCGTGCGCTCCGCCGCAGGATAGCAGGCGTTCTCGTGAGGGACACGCCGGATGACTGGTCGAACGCTGGTGGCAACAAGGCAGAGATCGGTCCCAGTACCAGGGGTGTGGACGATGTCACGGAGGACGACGTCTTCTTGTTCCCCACTGGTATGTCGGCGATCTGGCATGCGCACCAGCTTGCGCTGGCGGCGCGACCTGCTGCCAAGAGCGTATGTTTCGGGTATGTGGATCTGCCGTGCTACCACAGCCATTGCTTATGGGATGGCATAGGTTCCCATACACGGACACGCTGAAGATTCTGGAGAAGTGGGGTCCCGGTTGCTGGTTTCTGGGTAACGGACTGGACCAGGACATCGACGAACTCGAGGCCATTCTGGAGAAAGAGGCTGCAGCAGACCAATCAAGTCCACCAGCCCTCGCTCTCTTCACGGAGTTCCCGTCGAACCCGCTCCTCCGATGCGCTGATTTGCCTCGCCTGCGCGCTCTGGCAGACAAGTATGACTTCCTGATCGTCGTGGATGAGACAATCGGGAACTTTGTCAATGTGGAGGTACTGCCATACGCAGACATCGTCGTGAGCAGTCTGAGCAAGATCTTCAGCGGCGACGCAAACGTCATGGGCGGAAGGTATGCACTCCCATAGCTTTATCTCCTCCCCATCTGACGGCCCTTACAGCTTGGCCCTCAACCCTCGAGGGAGGCACTACGCCTCTCTGAGAGCCAAGATCACCGACGTCTACGAAGACGTCTACTTCGACGAAGACGCCGTCTACATGGAGCGCAACTCTCGCGACTTCCGGCAGCGCATCCACACCATTGACGATAACGCGCTCGCCGTCTGCTCCTTCCTCCACTCCCGCTCGCTCGCCACGTCGCCACCGCCCGCGCGCGCGGTCGTCAAGCGCGTGTACTACCCCAAGTACGAGACGCCACAGCACTATGAGCGCTGCCGCGTGCCCGGGGGCGGGTATGGCGGGCTCTTCAGCGTGACGTTCACGTCCGCGGCGGCGAGCCGCGCGTTCTACGACACGCTCGGGTGCCATAAGGGCCCGAGCCTCGGCACGAACTTCACCCTCGCAAGCCCGTATGTCATCCTCGCGCACTACGCGGAGCTGGACTGGGCGGCGCAGTTTGGCGTTGAACAGGGCCTCGTGCGGGTGAGCGTCGGCTTGGAGGACAGGGAGGCACTGTTGAAGGACTTTGGACGCGCGCTGCTGGCGGCGGAGGCGGCGCTGGACAGTGCTGACGCATAGAGCGGACTAGGGATGACTGAACGAACTGAAGCGCGGCTCACGAACCAAATTGAAGGCGCATCGAGCGGATCCAACTCCCTCGGTCTGGCGCGCCAGCATACCAACGACCAAGATTAAGTAGAATACTTGTCCAACCAAGATGTAGCAATAACCATAGTCTACTACGCTATCTGTATCATGTACCCACTTCTTCGTCGAAATGCGGACTTCGAGGCGACACCTCCTTGGCGCTCGGTTCTCGGTGGGGGATGTCCACGACCTGCGGAGCCGTCTCTTGTGCAAGTGCGTCGGCGTGCAGAACCACCTTCTCGTCGAAGGACGCGGGCACGCCTTTCTCGACACCGTCTTCGCCATCGTCCACGGCCTCCTCGATAACGCGACCTTGCTCGCGGATGACGAGCCATGTCCGCTCGGCTACTACGAGGTTCTGGCTTGCACTAATAGCCTTCACGATCTGGCCCTCGTGGTGTGCATGTAATGTGCGGCGTAATGACCGGGCGACGAAAGTAGAGAGGATGCTCAGAGGCCAGTCTGGAGGGATCAGGGAAATGACCTGGCGAGAGATGAGGCTTCACAAGTCAATCAAATGGCAGTAGGGACTCACGTCAAGCACATCTAGGTTCATTGCCTGCGCGTTGAGGAACTTCGCCGTGCGCTCAGCCGTCGCTTCTCCGCCGCTCATATATACCTCTAGCAATATCCGGATAAGGGTCTTCTTGAGCTCCCCATCAACCGTCACCAACCGATTCATCGACTGCGCCTTCGCTATCCCAGGCTTCCCAGGTACTGATGGGGGTGCAATCAGTGCCGACCACGCCTGGAGCTCGAAGCGCTCCCCGAGCGACTGTGCTGTCTTGGGCGGAACGATCACGCCACCGAGCGTGCAGTAGATCTCAGCCGATGTTGGGTCGTGGAGGTCGTGGACTAGGGATGTGAGGGCAGGGCGGTGTTCACCGAGCTAAATGGCTCTTCAATGTAGTCACGACGAAGGGGGGCGAAGGGGAACTGACCTTGCCCTGGACAATAGCAATCTCGAACCGCAGCAGCTTTTCGTGCTCGAGGAGGCGTTCCCGGATGGGACGTGGGTCGTATAATGATGAGCCCTGGAGGAAGAGGATGGTCTTAAGGCGTGTGCGAGTGGATGGAGAATCAGGGGTGGTGGATGCGAAGTAGGAGAGGAAGGATGTGTCGGATCGAGATGATGTGTAGGAAGACACTGAAGCATATGCTCGTGAGTAACTGTGATTCCAAATGATGGGGAGGAAATAGTACATTTGGCACGCCATAGCTTTGACGTCGACTCATCTGCCAGACACGAGAACAGCTCGTCCACACAACTCGTGGCGAGTTGCCGGTGCAGATCTACATCCTGCGCCTGTGTGTCAGCCACAACCGGGACTTGTTCGACTATGATCACCGACCTGACTGCGCTTCTGGAGGACAAGGTGCTCCAAATACCTTCGTCCTGCAGAAGCGTCAGCTTCTCGAAGCTGCGTGAGGAGACCTCGGTCGTCTTCCGTTGTCCGCTTCCCGGAGGACAGTGAAGTCAAGAGCTATCGGCACATACTCAGCTAATACGTACTGGGCGATCACCAAAGGAAACGGCATACCTTCAATGTACGATCCGGATCTCGTTTTGTGAGCCAGATGCTCCATTGTTGGATCAGCGTCCTGTCTCGCCGCTCACCGAGCAGCGCAAACATACTCCCTAATGGGTCCTTGACTTCGTCATCCTTCCATTCGCCATCTACAAGCCTGTGCAGAAACCGCAGTCAAGCTAGGTGAGCGGATAAGAAGGAACTTGCCCGAAGTCGGAATGAACGTACTTTGCCCACGCAGAGATGAGCTTCTGCTCCTGCCCATATTGCCAGTAGAGCCTGCAGAGGGCGTCGAATTGCCTCGCATCAATAAACGCGGGCTCGAGCTCTGTCAGCACGATGTGATTCGGTTCGGATAGAAGTGTTCGAAGATCCGTAGGTTTCGAATGGGCGACACACAGCTTCGCCAGAACAGTGTCGACAGCCTAACGTATCAAGGTGCTCACTATGTACCCATTCTGAGAAGTGGGAGTACCACCTACCGCCATGACTGGTTGCAAATACTGCACCCGCTTCGGGTCCTCCATTTTCAGCTTTGTCCGCCATTTCCTCAAGTACGCCTCCAGCATGTCCCGTGCAGTCATCTTGAGCATCTCCCTCAGTTCAACGGCGGGCGGCGCCTCGCGCGTGTTCGGCGACAGGTGCGGGGAGTAGTTGAGGACTAAATTTGCGGCGACTGGATTAGTCCCGACGGATGGCGCGGCGCGGGAATCGCAAATCCGAAGGGGGAGAGTGAGTTCGCGGGAGCGGGGGAGAAAGGGAGAAACATGAGAAGCGCGGAGCGTGCATGCGGCACGCGGACAGTTGGACGCAGGATGCAAATATGATACAAAACAAAGACGCGGTGGGACGTGAGGAGGCGGGTGGAAGTACGCGACACTCACTTATGTCGTCTATGGACTCTTCTTGGGGCAGATACTCTGCCACGCCCGCGTAGACGTCAATGGCATCTTCCTCCGAGAATAGGTCGCCCCGCAAGTCCGGATAGTAGCTGATGAGGACGCGAGGGTCCAGCTCGCCGGCAAAGAGATGCTTTCCAGCATCGTCAAAGAGTGTCTCAGTCAAGCATTGGAACCCTAGTCGCTGATAGACGTAGCGTAGTTGTGCCGCCTGCGTGTATCGCTGTCAACATGGGCGTATGCACCGACAGCGGGTCAGAAACTACTCACCTCGTGCTCGTCAACTGTAATCAAAGCCTGGAACTTTATCCGCTGCTGGTCAGCAAGGTCGGCGGCCTCCTCGACGCGGTGCGCTTGCAGCAGCGCGTCTGCTTGCGAGATGAGGGTCGAGGGTAAGAGCGCCTGGACAGAGTTCGCCCCAATGACTAGCACATTCGCTCGAGGAAATGATGGCTGTCCGGACATGTTCAGAAGGAAAGGTCGATCCTGGACGCAACGATTATAGCCACGGCGATACTACAGCCTGGTGTATGGCACCCTCAGGCCTCGAGTGCGTGGCAGTTGTACGCGTTCCTATGATGCGCTAAGAGCCGAGTAAAGTTGTGAGGCAGTCGAATGCAGATTTCGTACAGACGGTCTACGCCGTTGTAGGAATGCTGGACGCTTGAGGTTGGGGAGATGAGGAGGGCGAGACGCGCCAAGCACTGTCCAGTGTCACTGCTGGGCACAGGATCGCGGGAACAAGCTTTATGGGCGCTTGTTTGCGCAGGACGCGCTCGACCAAGTCCAACTGTCCAAGCCTCCTCCTCCCTTTTCATCTCCGAGGACTTGTTCGTTGTCCGCCACCTGTTCTTCCCTCGTGCAACAACTTCTCTACAATCTCAGCCAAGCTACGACCCGGACTAGCACCGCTATCATCTAAGGACATCAGACTCCCCTTGGGTCAAACGCGACTCTTCTAAAGCTAGTCACGTCGATCATACACGCTGCGTACGCCTAAGCAGGACCAAGTTTCTACTACGACTACAGCACAAGAAATACGCGTGTTGACAACAACATTCCGAAAGTCTAAGGACGAGGATGAGCTCCGCTCCGCTGAATCCGTTGGACGTGCCGCCATACCAACTCCAGCCTCTGCTCGCCAGCGTCGGTGACAACTCTGCACGTCAGTTGGCCGTCTTCGCGTGAAGTAGGCTGAGCGGCATCTCTAATGTAGGACTTCCCGGACAACAGGCTCATATACGATGTGCACAAGCCCTAGGTTCGTACTTCTGGACCACCGAGCATTGTGCAGCGATTCACGGGCGCTGCAGGTGCTGAGCTATACGTGGGGTGCTCGAATGGCGAGCTACTTCGCTTCTCTATCCAGTTGCAAGAAGGATCAACTGTGAGTACATTCAACGCGGTGTTGGTCTGCGCGGGCTCAACGTCGGACCCCTCAGGCAGACTCATATACCCTTCTGTCACGTCAAGCTGTAGTCCACGAGCGGCCTATACAGGAGATCGTTCTTCTTCCAAGTCTCTTGCGTGCACTGGTCCTGGCAGGTGCGTTGTATCTGTCTTGAGTTGTGAATCGAATCTCACTGGTATGCGTAGATCATCAGGTCTACATCTACACGCTTCCTTCGCTGGACCAAATACCGCCGACCGTCATCAAGCCCATACGCAACGTGGTTACTATTGCGGTCGACGAACAACACTTGCGGCGACCACCACCTGCAGACCCATTATACCCAGCAGACCCGGTCGACTTCTGCGTGATCAAGCGGAGCGCCATCTCGCTCTACAGCCTCTCCAAGGAGAGGTTGTTTTTCCAGAAGGTACATCAGCGCGGTGGACGCTGTAAGTCGGCTGATAGAGTTTCCACAGGAAATCCCTCTCCCCTCAGGGGGCTTCGTCGCTCGGCGCACAGGCAAGGCGCTGTGCATTGCCGACAAGGAGTATTACAATGTCATCGACCTAGAATTGGCGTCGATGGTGCCTCTCCTGCCACTCTCACAAGCGTCAGATGGACAAACCATCAAACCCAGTATCACCGTCATCAGCGAGAACGAGTTCCTGATTGTATCTTGGACGGGCGCGAGCAGCCTGGGCGTGTTCATTACAGGCGACGGAGAGCCTGTGAGGGGCACACTGGAGTGGCCAGCTCACCCAGAAACCATATGTGAGTGTCATGCAAGTCCTTTCCGCTATCGCGCGTGACGCAGTGGATGGAAAATGAACGTGTGAAGGCGTGCAGTACCTCACTGTTGCATAAAGATGAGGCCTATCAGATGCTGCTCTGCCGCCTTCAAGGGTCATGACGGAGTACTATCCCACCTCAAACTCCATGCATTGCATGGTGCCGTTCACGCGACATACATACACGTAAATCTGAGGTGTCTCGCGGCGACCCCGAGCGTCTTGCAGCCTGTGCTTCCCTGGTCGAACCCCGCGCTGACCGGCTTCGTTGCATGCAGCACTCGATTATCCGTATATGACCACCCTGCTTCCGAACGAGACGATAGAGATCCACAGCGTCGAGACACAGGCGATCGTGCAGGTTGTGCCGGCACCTGCTGACGGCGCGCAGATCCCGGAGCGGAAGAGACTCAACAGCTCGGCGAACGGGTTTTTCGTGCCGTCGAATCAACGCTCGGACAAGCTGCGCAAGACACCGGTGCGCCTGGTGCGGAGGAGGGGCACGAGCGAGGCAGGTGGATCGAGCGGGAAGGAGAGCGGCGGGGAGGACTTGGAGGAAGTTCCTGGGATGTCTGTATAGCGCGCCAATCTAATCTAATCTGCTTCTGGGACGACGTAATGGCGCTGTTTACGTACGAGAGGACCTCGACGTGCCCAGCTGACGGGCGAGCGACTCCGAGGATCCATTTCGTTTCGTTGCTCCAGCGTCCCGCTACTTGGCATGTAGTTGCTATCATCCCGCCCAGGGTGGCGCTCTCACCTCTCAACTCTTGTTCACCAACATGCCGCCCAGAAAGAGGATGTCCGTCTCGAGCACAAGCAGCCGCAGTGAATCCCCGCTCGTGTTTGCCACTGCACCGAATGCGGACGCGGAGGAATGGGTCAAGGCGTGGGCGCAGGTGCCTGCCAGAGGTGTGTGCTTTCCGGGGTTTTGACAGGAACGTACTTCGTGCTGAACGCCTTTAGAACTCATCGACTGCCCGGTCATTGCTATCGACGCAGACACTAGCGTAGAGGATGCCTGCGACGTGAGTAGATTGGAGACCGGCATTACGTGCTGCGCTGACCGGCCAGCAGATGCTCCTCTCTAAGGACATTGCCTGCCTCGCTGTGCAGGCCCGTCCAGGCAGTTCGCCTTCCGGTGCCCCGTACCACGGGTTGTTCGACGTGAGCCCGAGTGTTAGCATCTCCTGGACCCGCGTACGCTGACCACCGAACCCAGTTCTCCGACGTAAACGCGTTCTTGACGCTCGCGGCGACACAGCACAAGCTCGCCTCTGAGAACTTGAAGGGAAGGCCTCGCATCCAAGAGATCCTAGCCGCTGCGAAGGCCGGCAGGGTGCCGGTCCATCTCGTGAGCAGTGCGTGTGCGCTCGCGGTGGGGCGTGTTGACGAAACACCGCTGACTTGAATGGATGGTCGCCTAGATCTTTCCGAGAAGAATCCGCTCGAGATGCTCCCGTACGATGCAACGATCGTGTCTCTGCTGGGTGTCTTCTCCCGTGGTACGCACAGAGGTAAGACTCACGTCCGGCTCGTGCTATTCAAGAGGTCGCCAACGTAGATCGTGCTGTACAGTGCTCATCCAGTCCGACACAAGCTCCACCTTCGCCGGCATGGTTTCCGACAGACAATTGCCTTCATGGTTCACCTCGTTCAGCCAGTCTTCGTCAACCTTCCTCCGTTACCTCAGCAATCCCCTAAGCTCGCTTTCATTGCCGTCGATGTACCTGTACTTCAGTGTCATCGCTGCGAAAGCGAGCGAGAGCGTGCTCGACGCGATGAAGCTCATGAGCGAGGAAGGCGTGAGCACGATCGCGATTGTAGAAGAGGATGGTAGACTGCTCAGCGCTGTGAGCGTAAGCGACATTGGGAAGGTGAGGTCCCCGCGAGCGGATGTGAGTGAGCGATAGGAGATGACCTCGCTTGTAGATTGTGGTACCTCAGCAGGACAATCAGATCCTGACCATGCCGTTGCACCAATTTGTCACTATGATCAAGGTAGGTGCGATTCAGTGTCATAATGCGCATCGCTCACGCAGGTGCTCAGGAACCCGACGGCTCAACAGATGGTGTCGACAAGTTTCCCGTGTATAGCGTCTCCCCTAGCAGCACGCTGTACTACACCATGCAGAAGTTGCTTGCAAGTATGTTCACCATAGCCTCACCCTTGATTGTGTGCTGACAATGAGGTGATTGCTAGCCTCCTCGCATCGACTCTTCGTGACTGACGATGCAGCCCTCTCATCATCGACCTTTCCCCCTACGAGTGCCGGCAACCTCACAGGCATAGTATCCACCGTCGACGGTACGTCCCTACTTTTTCTCTCATCCCTTGTGCTCACTCTTGGGCAGTCCTCTCCCTCTTCGCGCGCATCGCGAACCTGCCCGACATCGACCCTACGCGGATGCAGCGGCACCGACGCGCCTCCTCCGCCTCTAGCAACTCCAACTCGTCTGGCTCGCGGTCGAGCGGCCGGAGCAGCTTCAGCTTTGGTACGGGCAGCGCGCGGTCGCGATCAAGCAGCAGGACGAGTCTCGGCCGGCTGTCGTTCTCGGGGGGCACGGGCATACCCAGCACGGACGGGAAGACGTTCCAGTGGGCGGAAAGGGTGTCGCCCGGAAAGTCGCAGTGATCTGAAGGACAAGCCGACGTCGCCTGGGGTCACATTGATGTTCCCCTGCGTGCGCGGAAAATGTGCGTTGAGCATGTCCATGCCTGGCAGCCTCGACGGCGGGCTTAGGAACAGGGGATACAGGTCCCCCTATAAAGCTAGAATTGTGTGGACGTTGTATTCGGACTTTTTCTAGTGTTTCTTGGAAGAACTTATGGCTGGATAGGATCACTTGCTCGCCAGAGCAAGGCTTTCCCAGGTCGAAGCCTCGCCGGTGGATGTTTGGCTTCCGACAAGGTTCACTAGTTCAGGACTTCATGATGTTCTGAGGCTTCACGGGCACCATACACAAGGGTTCGTCCGCAGTGGAGAGTGTTGAGCTTGTCATATGTACCTCTCGACTGTGTCATTGCCCTGCTGGTGCAACATGCATCCTGGGTGTGAGACAAAAAGTAAAACAAATAGATGGATTAAAATGCTCGGGGAGAGACTTGAACTCTCGGCCTTAGGATTGTATCACGTGACTGCGACTCATATGCAAATATGAGACCTACGCTCTAACCAACTGAGCCACCCAAGCATAAATATACGTTACTTATAATATTATATAAGCTATTATGTATTTCACAGCATACAGTGGTATGCTGACCCTGCCAACTATCACTTTGCGCTGTGTGAGGTACAGCATGTGCTTCTGCGTATGAATTCATCACAAACTAGTGTACAGCAGTCTAACTACCCTGTGTATAGCAGTACTGCCTGCCCACTAAAATGACACCATACATAACGATCTGCTGTGTAGTCTTTCCATATTAGGCAATTCACCTTCCGTTTCCGTCGTGTCTCTCACCGTTTTCATACTCTCCCTGCTTCAAGTGGCGTGCCATTCACATAATACTTATATGTAGAATTGGATGCCCTACTCTAAGCTTGGGCACCCTGGACTATCAGGTGGACTACATATTAAACTGTACATCGTGTCAATACTAGCCTCCGAGTCATCGGCCATTGACCTTGCATTGTCCACTGAAGAACACAGGGAGTTCACAGGGCAACGTCCTTTTTGCCCTCACGTAACTTTCGGCCCATCACAGAACGCTGATTGCCTCTTGGCTGACATCCGCGACGCTTGGCAGAGGCCTTTGACTCGACCTTGGAGAGCCTTGGAGAGGTACCGCCTTCGATCAATATATCAAAACTCTGTGCTTAGCACCTGATGCGGCATGGCCGTGCGGTGCAGCTGTCACCGTAGCGGCGCAGGGTTCCATACTGGCGACATATAATTGAGCAGCTGAGGTGTGCATGGAGCACTTCCATTTCTCTTCTCCTTCGCCTTTTTGGAGAGTGACGTTCTACTCTCCGCCAACTTACTTTTATTCAGTTCGCCGCGCTGCACCTTTGTTCATTTTGTTTCTTCCTTTCTATTTCTGAAGATGCAGCACTTGACCTTTATATCCATTCTTCTTGCCTTTCTTTCCCTCGTCCATTCTGCGACGAGTATGCCCATGCAGCGCGCAACATACAACAACCGTAGGTCCCACCATCTCGGATCCTCAGCGCACAACCCAGCGCTGAACGACCCGCCCAGCAATCGTGGCGGGAGTGGCCGCCGACCCGTGGATAATCAAGCACGGCGACGACTACTACCTCACCTTCACGACGGGCACAGACGTGCAGCTCCGCAAGTCATCGAACCTCGCCGAGATCAATGTGAAGCCGACGACGGTGTACACCCCGCCCAAGGGTGGGAACCTCAGCGCCGTCTGGGCGCCGGAGCTGCACTACATCGGCGGAAAGTGGTACATCTACGTCGCGATGGTCGAGGGCAGCGACGCGAACAACCACCACATGTACGTTTTGGAGGGAAAGAGCCAGGAGCCGCTTGATGGATTCGACGTGCGTATCCTCTGGCTGGGCGCCGATGACTTGCTGACAGCACGGTGCAGTTCGTTGGTGAGGTCGGAACCCCAGACAATAACTGGGCGATCGACGGCACTATCTTCCAGGTAAGCAATCATTGGGCTTCAGCGGCGGCATTCTAGACTGACCTCCCATGGCGAACAGTACACCAACGGCGACCTGTACTTCATCTGGTCCGGCTGGGCGAATACCACCGACAAGCTCTGGCAGAGCCTCTACATCGCCAAGATGGACTCCCCGACGAAGATCACGAGCGAGCGCGTCCTCTTGCACCAGCCAATCCCGAAGTGGCAACAGACCGTCGACGGCGGCGCGGTCCGCGGCATCAACGAAGGCCCTGAGATCCTAGTCCACAACAACAGGACGTTCTTGATCTACTGTGAGTCAGCCGCCCGGTCTCGGTGGACAGGTATTCACGCATCATGCGGCGCAGCCGTTGCTGCGAGCTGGACAGAAGACTACAGCCTTGCCATGATGGGCATCGACGGCGGCAAGGACCCTCGTACGTCCCACCCGCCCGCAGTGTCACGTCTGGACTCACGGATCCGCACAGTTGACGCGAGCAACTGGTGGACGCTCGACTCGCGCCCTGTGTTCTCGAAGTCGAAGGCGGCGTTCGGCCCCGGCCACGCAAGCTTCACGTACGACCACGACGGCACGCCGTACATCGTCTACCACGCCATGGCGAACGCGACGGCGGGCTGGAACGGCCGCACGATCCGCGCGCAGAGCTTCGGCTGGAACAAGGATGGCTCGCCCGCCTTTTCGAGCCCCGTAGGTCTCACCACGGAGCTGAAGCTGCCAGCGTAAGGGCAGGGATGTAAACGGGCCGGATCTCGCGACAACGTACGTAGTACGCATGTAATGACGGACGCTGTATTCGCGCTGTACCCTACATAATTCACTTATTACCTCGTTAGCAAGACCGTCTTGACCGAGCTCTCACCTTGGAATCTTTGCGTCATCGAAAATTTGCTGAGTCGCGCCTGCGAGGAAGTATCTTTTCCGGATGACAGAGTCTTGCGCTTGCATCAGAATCCAGAAGGTAGCGGCGATAAGAGGGAGCGGTGGAACGACCTACTGCGATTGACGTGGCTCCGCGATTGAGATTGCTTCGTGCTTGGGTTGAATTGTATCGCACGATTCGCAACAATGTGAGGCTTCGTACCTTTTAAACGAGCCCCACCTTGATACAGGGAAGTTGGTCCACGTTGCTACCGGTGAGAAGGCACTCCTTTGAAATAAGTGAAATGCTATGCAAGTAGTGGTTACCGAGTTGCTGGCAAGTCCCTCAAGGACCTGGATCCGTACGTGTACGTGAGACAGAATGCATTCAGCGGGAGAGTGACACGTCGCTTGTTCCGCCCGCCTCTGCGATACGCACCGCTGACCTTGACCCTGAAGTGCGCAGAGATGCGCAGGCCGCCAACAGCAGCCAGACACTTTTCGAACCGGCACTCGCGGAACGAGTCGCTGGAACCACTGGCATCCACGAACGCAACAGGCTATCGGTTGCCAGGAACTCGGAGTACACGAGGTGAGCAAGGTCGCAGTTTAGTAGGTTGAGATGAAGAGGCTTTACCTGACAGTGACAGTATCAAGCAAAGTCGTATGCAGTCTCGGCCGGCGGGAGAGCAGCGACGATGCATTGGGTGACGTATGACGCTAGACTCCTAAGCCATGAGCAATAGAGATACGCCGCCCGCGACTATGATCGAGGCTAAGTGCGATGCGGGGCATAAATGAACCTGGGGTTGGCTGGGGTTGATTAGCCTTAGGGGGCGGGGCACCCCGTACGCAGTGCGCTATACCGGATGCGTCGATACGGACAGGAGGCTGTTTGCCAGTAGCTTCATTTCTGTGGAGAGCTGGTAGTCTCCTATGGTTGGGCAACGTAGATAAGGTTCCACGGGGCTTGTTCCTGGCTACCGTTGTTGAATTTGCCCTGAAGCCTGAAGGACGATACCGAATCGGTAGGACACGTAGACGAGAGTTGAGCCTGCCGCTGCGCATGTCGTATCGATTTCGACCAGGGAAGTGGCATCTCGGCGGGTGGAACGCGACAGAAACACATGCGTCTGGGAGAACTGCGACAGTGAGCGCAATTTTCAGCTAAGCTTCTGCTCACCAATCGCCGCCTGCGCCTGGAGAGGCGAGACGGGGCGCATATGGGCCGGAGGCGGTGGTGGACGCACAGAAACGAGCGAGGACGTCTCTCGAGCGCTCGAGCACTCGGCGCGGCGCTTCTCGGGCTGATCGACAGGGAGGCGCCCGTCGCCGCAACAATCACATGCAAAACGCGCGACGCGATATAATTCCTGCTGCCCTGCGCGAGGCTGCTCCGCATCTTATCGCGGCTGCTTCCCTCACCGCACACGACACTCCTCCCACTCAGTCAACGTCGCGCACGACGATGGCGACCCAAACGACCCAGGAGACGACCCGCACGCCCGAGCTCACCATCATCTCGCGCGTCGCGTCGATCCCCCTCGTCTCGTCCTCCCTCAGCACCCTCCACGACACCCTCACCAACAACACGTACACCTGCCAGCCCTACACCACCGCCACGACGCTGTCCAGGTCCGCGCTCGGGTACGCAGAGCCCCTCCAGCACCGCTTCGCGCCGCTGCTCGTCCGCGCGGACGAGTACGCGAACCTCGGGCTCGACGCGGTCGAGAGCCGGTACCCGTACCCGTTCAAGACGACACCGGAGGACATCGTCAGGGACCTCAAGGCCCGCAGCGACAACGCGAAGGACCTCGCGAACAAGACCATCGAGGCGCGGGTGAAGAGCCCCGTTGCGAACGTCGCAGGGGGCATCGACCAGGTGCGTACCTCCTAGTACCGGCAATCATGCCATGCCTGACCCCCGGCCCTCGACAGCGCTTCGCACCCATTGTCGACTACTTCCAAGTCGCGGTTCATAAAATCTACCCCTCTGCGAACGGCACTGCAGAGCCCGCGTCCCCGGAGACCAGGTACCAGTACCAGCGCGCCTACGCGCTCTCGAGGGAGCTCTCCGACCAGCTGCGCACGTACTCCACAGAGCAGTTGAACCAGCTCAAGACACACAACGCGCTCGTCAAGCGTGCCTCCGAGACAGCCCACGACCTCTCCACGCTCGCGTCGACGGGCTACGGCACTGCCCAGACGAAAGGTACGCACCGGTTCTTCCCCGTCCATCACTCCAAGCGCGGCTGACGCGATATCTCGCGACCCCCGGTTGCAGTGCACGCGTTGTCCGACACGATGCTCACGGAGCTGCACCAAGTGCGCGCAACGACCGCGGCCCTCCCCGCGCACGCGCAAGCCGCGTTCTCGGACATCTCGCAGCAGCTCTCGTCGACGATCGCGGACCTGACGGTGATCCTCAAGTCCGAGGAGCCTGTGCACGCGAAGGTGACGAGGGTCAAGGAGACCGTGCAGGGGCGCGTGCAGCCGATCCTCGCCGCGGCGACGGCGCGTGTGCAGGAGATGCTGAGCGTCGTGCGCGCGCGCGTCGGCGAGAAGACGGAGCAGGGAAAGACGGTCGTGGGCGAGGGTATTGCGCTCGGCGAGGGCGCGGTGGTCGAGGTTGTGGAGGGCGCGAAGCCGTCGGAAGAGGAGGCGGCACCTGTGACGGTGGCGAACGGGAACGGGAACGGGAACGGGCATGCGTGAGGTCTCTCGGTCGTGTTCCTTGTTTCCTGTCTCATTGTGGAAGGCGGTGTGCCTACGACCTGACAACTATTCTCTCCTCTCTTTTCGCGGCTTGCCATAGACGTTGCACCACTCTCTTAGATTCCGGTACGAGCACATGTATGTATCATACTCGTAGACGACGCTTGTGAGGGCGTAGGTTGTTATGATACTTGGAATAGAAATGTGAACTTACGAAGTGCGTGTGTACGTCGATAGTAGTTTGAATGCCCGAACCTCGCCCGAGGCTGGTACGATCGCACAGACGCCGAGTACCAGCGGAGGCAGGCGACATGTGTGGTTCGCATCCCAGCCGCTTCTCGCCTGCAGGGCCTCTCCACCGCCTCCCACCGCTCGTCTCGCCGCACGCTCAGGCTCAGGCTCACCGGACGCTAGACGGCCCCCTTGTGCGGGACGCGCGTCATCCGTGATCGCCCGATGACGTGCCCCCATCCTCCCCTCCGAGGGCGGCCGTGGGCTGGTCATGCTGCAGATATATTGCCCTCGTCGACTCTCCACACCCGCCCCTCGCGCTAGCCTTCCCAGGACAGCGCATTACACTCTCCGTCTCGTTGGCTGACCCCACCCGCACCCAACATGTTGCGCTCCCAAGCCCGTGCGCCCCGCGCGACCGCCGCCGCCCTCGCGAGGCGCAACTTCAACGCGTCGGCCGCTCGCAGCCAGCAGCACCTCGTCATCCTCGGCTCGGGATGGGGCGGCTACGAGCTGCTGCGCGGTATCGACAAGAAACGTTGGCGTGAGTGCCGCGGTTGTCTCGTGTCCTCTGCTGCTCACATCGTGCGCAGACATCACCATTGTCTCGCCGAACAACTACTTCAACTTCACGCCTCTTCTCGCGAGCTGCTGTGTGGGTACCCTGGAGTTCCGCTCGGCCATCGAGCCGGTGCGTATCCTTTGCCGCATTGTGTCTACGAGCTAGGCTGACGATGGGATACTAGGTGAGGAGGTACACACCGCAGGTGGTCAGTCGAATCAGTTCTGTCCTTCGAGTGCCATAGCTCACTGTGTCTCTCCTACCTTCCTATATGCAACCCAAACGCGCGCGCTCGTCCCCTCGCATATGCGCTTCTTCCGTCGTACTTGCTCTAACCATATCGTCTGTCTGTCTGGTACGGTCGATCGCTTTTACCCCACACTACCCACCGTGGCCACCCCTACCCTCATTTACCCTCCGGCCCGTGTCCGCCTATCCGCTCTTCATGCACGATACACCTCTCTTCGACGCGTAGAACGCATATCAAGCGTGGTGCGACTCGATTGACTTCAAGAACAAGATCCTCAAATGTGTACGTTTCTCGCCGCTTCCCGAATTCCCTGCCCCACCGCACTCGCCCAATTGATATGTCCGTCGCCGCGTTCACTTCACCATCTCCCTCTTACCCGCCACCTTCCACAGTCGACCCACCCCGCATCCACACGCTCGCTCACCGCGCACGTCCGTTCCGCAGATGCCCGCTACCCCGCCGCTCCCCTTCCACCCCTCATCACCCGCCCGGACCGACAGCGCCTCGCCCTCTTCGTCCGCCCAGAACGCAGTCAACGCACAGACCGCGCCGACGCAGGCGAGCAACGAAGGCCTCGCCGAGCGCAACCCCGGCACGACCCATTTCACGCTCCGGTATGATCGGTTGGTCGTCGCTGTGGGGGCGTACAACCAAAGTACGTCTTCGGTTCTCACCCTAGGAACGGCGGCGTTGGGACCCGCGGCTGCTGGCTGACGGTGGCTCTGTCGCAGCGTTCAACGTGCCGGGGGTCAAGGAGAACGCGTACTTTTTGAAAGATGTAACGGATGCGAGGGCGATCAGGGCGAGGATCATCGAATGTGAGTGTGCCGCTCGTGTTCTATGTGGTTGTGCTGTGAAGTGATGTGGATGCATCGTACTAACGTTTCTTCCCGAAAGGCTTCGAACAGGCGAATCAGCCGACGATCACGGACGATGACCGGCGGAAACTGCTGCACTTCTGCATCGTCGGTACGTATTACCAGCTCACTCTCCTCGAGGTTGTGATGTACTAACCAAGCGACTCCCATCTTCTCGTGTGCCTTGCACCACTACCTCCACTCGTTGACCATCCATCTGCACCATCCGTACTTCCCTGTCCAGGCGGCGGCCCCACCGGCGTCGAGTTCGCGGCCGAACTGCATGACTTCCTGCACACCGAGGTCAAGCGGCACTTCCCGGCGCTGCACCGGTTCGCACGGATCAGTCTCTTCGACGTCGCACCCACGATACTAGGGAGCTTCGACCAAGGGCTGCAAACGTGAGTAGCCTTCTTCGTTCGCCTGCATCATCCCAGGGAGCGGGCGAGTGATGTGAATTTGTTCCCTATTAACGGAACGCGTAGCGTCTTGACGCGAAACACCCTATTCAGCTGATGTTGTTACTGCCCGAGCCCTTTGTCGTTTGCTGGTGTATGTTGTGATCTGGTGCTGACGATAGGCCTTTGACAGATACGCGACGCAGAAGTTCCAGCGGGAGGGTATCCGGCTGCTCACGCAGCACCATGTAGAGCGCGTCGAGCCGGTACGTGGCTGATAACTCTTCGGTCTATCGTTATGCTCATTCGGTCTGGCCGCAGGGCAAGATGCATGTCAAAGAGCAAGGCGACGGTGAGCTCTACCGTTCGTGCGATTGCTGTCGGTCTCACAGGACCCAGTGCACTTCGGGCTGCTCGTCTGGAGCACGGGGCTCGCGCCGAACCCGCTGGTGGAGAGCATCACGGAGGTCGAAAGAGACCCGAAGACGAAGAGGTGCGTGTCCGAGCTGGGCTGTACAGCGTGAACGTTGACGAGTGCATGCAGCTTGATCACCGACGAGCACCTCAACGTCGTCATGCAGGACACAGGCAAGCCGGACCCGAACGTCTGGGCGCTCGGCGATGCGGCGATGATCAGGGGCATGCCTCTGCCCGCCACCGCCCAAGGTAACCGTTACCACCCACCCCGCTCGTCTCCGCTCCCCGCCGGCACTCACTCACTCGCGCGGCTGCAGTGGCCAACCAGAAGGCGAAGTACCTGTGGAAGAAGCTCAATGCGGTCGTGAAGGAGCGGCCGGCGCAGGAGCCGTTCCGGTTCCATAACGCGGGCTCGCTCGCGTACATCGGTGACTGGCAGGCGATCTACGACCGCACGGGCGCGGAGAAGGCGAAGGGCAAGGAGGCGGGGCGGTTCGCGTGGCTGCTGTGGCGCTCCGCGTACTTCACGATGACGCTGAGCTGGAAGAACAAGTGGGTCGTCGGTCGTTCAGTGCTTATGTGGTGCTGACTGGCGTGCGTGTCTCGCGTTGCAGGATTCTCGTGCCGATGTATTGGTGAGTGGACGCTGGATGGGCTCTGTGGGCGCGCGGGCTGACTGACGGTGGGCATGGCACAGGTTCATGAATTGGATCTTCGGCCGGGACATGAGCCGGTTCTAATCGGGCAGCGCGGTGGGACGGTGCGGTGTATGTGGGACGGTGGGACGTAGTAGACACCCACTGGTTTGCGGTCTGAATGGGGAAGCGCGATGATCGTGCGTGACGATCGGGCGTGGTGGATGACATGGACAGGCGAGGGTGGGCGGCTTACAGTAAGTTGTGTTCGGACCTTCAGCAAAACAGCCTATGTGATAGAGCACGCGTACACCTACGGTTGGTACTGCATCTGGTTTTCGCGATAATGATCACATAATAATGCAGCTCCACACATGCACACAGGTCATAAGTGACTAGTGAGATCCGAGGCTTGCGTTGACATAGTCTAGCGGCGTCGCACAGCTTATCCAGCGACCGCGGACAACGCTCAGCCGGTCCCACCCACTGCGAGTGCCGACTGTACAGTGAGACCCAGGCCGAGTAAATATCGTTCTGAGGCGCGATACTTTGACTATACGGATACATGATAGTGTCTGAAGAAGTCCACAAGAGCACAGCGGGACTACAATACAGTGGTGATCATAAATGATAAATATTAGGCGTAAAAGCGTGAAAAGAAACGACACCGAAGAAATCACTTATTTCTGAAAATTGAGACGGCAACACTTATGAGAGCCACACCCTCGAAATCGCTACACACTGAACTCAGAACACCCGCACTTGACTTGTAATTGGCACAAGTCTTCACGCTGTGGAGGTAGGTAGCGTCGTCACGGGCTTCCTGTGTGGAGACTTCCGCTGCGTAGGCTTGGCCTCGCCCGACGACCGCGATACTGTACACCAGTGATCAGCGAGCACTCCGCACACACATCAAACCACATACAATTTGAGTTTTCTCGCTTCACCGCCTGGGCGCCCTGCAAGAAGCCCTCGACGAAGTCCTTGTTCTCCGCGAGCATGTTCCCATCCACGCGATGCTTGTGCAGTCCGTCGAGCGAGATGCCATGCCGCTGCATCTGCTCGACCATGATCTTCAACTCGGGCTCGACCTTGCCCGACGCTTCGAACTGTCCGTTCGCGAAGCCTGCATGCGCGACGTGGTCGAAAGTACCGGGCACGGGGCCGGATATCAACGAGCGGCGAATGCGGTTCTTGGTGGGGTTCGTCACGCTGGTCGTGGCACGAGCGGCATAGCGGGAGGGGGCCTTTGAGATCTTTCGTGCCGGGAGCACTGCACGGGGCGTACCAAGATTCAGGGCGAATGCCCGCAGATGAAGGAATATAACGTACTCGTAGCGTGTGAGTCGCTCATCTTCTTATAAAATCTCTCTGCATGCACGTCCTCTTCGAAACGAATCCCGAACATCCGGCTCTGCGAATGAGGACAATGAAATCTATCTGATGCATTGCGTCCGTACATGAAGACACCTACCTTCCCATGAAAGATATGGAAGAACGGCTTGTCAAGGCGGTATTGAAATTCGGTTGGGATAGGGTGCACCCAGATGACCCCCTTGCCCGGCGCGGTGTCTACGAGTCTAAACCAATACTTGTGTTCGAAGCTCGTCCCAGGGCCCGAGCCCAACGGCCTCTCCGCGTGCATGACGACGCGATCGCGGCCGAACACCAGCATGCCGTTGAGGCCGGTGTACGCCCAGGCGTCCTCTCGCGCACCGAAGGGGGCTTGATAGATACGAGAGGGAGCGACTGCGAGGATCTTTATGTTCTGCGGGAGCTTGGAGAGAATGCGGCGTCTCTCTTCTTCAGAGCTGAACGGGCTAGAGTGCGAAGACGACTTGGATGGTGCGTGGCGCATAATTGCCTAGGGCGAGAGCGAAGTGATTGGGGTTGAGTGCCGGCGGCTAGAGACAACAGGATAAGGAGAACCTCTTGAAAGAACTGTGGACTCGATGAGAATACGAGAAGGTATATGTGTCTTCCAAGTAGGCGCACAGGTATCGGCTGCGTGCCTTCTGGTGCCATGGCCGTGGTGCATCGTGCCGGCCGCATGTTCAGGAAGCACGCCCGCGTTTGTGCACGACGTGCCCGTGCGTGGTCCTCCTGCAGCACGTTAGACGAGCTTCGCACTGTGAAGGCTGCGTGGTGGGCGGAGACGGTGATATCAAACGAGGCAATGATCAAGTTCCACCATACGATTAGAGTTATGTGTGACCAGTGAACAGTCTCGGCCTCATGCACCACTCCTTGCGCTCGCATCAGTGCACTCGACAGTCCACCAACTCACCGAGAACAAGGGGTCTGAGACGAATAGCTCGGACACAAATCGCGGAGCATCTGTCTGTCGAGCGTAGGGTGGAATCAATATGGTATGTCGAAGACACGTTCAGTTAACACCTTACGCACCTGGATACTTGCGACTGCGGGCACTTCGATGGCACAGACTGATCTGGATCGATTTTGCGATGGGCTCACAGCGGTGCGCATATCGGGTTCTGCTGCGTGCGAGATGCGTGGGGAGTACTTGAATTGTTCCTCAGATAAGGCTACTTCGTCCGTCCGTCCTCAGTCATGTAACACGCAGCGATGCAACTGTAGACGTATCGTTCGGTGAGTGGTACTATGGCACACAAGGGCTATCCGCATGCGCACCTACTGTCTATCATGGCTTCACTGGCAGAGAGTATCCGCAATTCGCCGAGCCGGAGTCTGCACAGCTCACTCATAGCACAACCGAGCTCGCTTCATGAGCCATTCCCATTTGCTATATCCGAATACCCGCGGTCGCGCGCGCCGCGGAACTTCAAGCTTACGAGTGGACGATTTGAATTACGGACGTTCGCGGGCATCTCCTCACTCGCGCAGGGCTCTTGCAGTGCCCTAGATATGCAACTCTGGCTTCCGTCCGTTTCTATCACCAAGAAGGTGGAAACTTTGGAAGGTTATGGGTGAGCAATGTGGGCCCTTGCCCAATGTCTGAGTCGATCTGACTAGCTTGGACGTCAAGAAGTCAATAGTAAGAAACATGAGAACGAACTGTACGAGGTACACGGGAGAGGGCCCAGGGATGTTGCGGTAGCACCGATAGTCTGAGTGCGTCGACAGCATGGAGACCTCACCCACCAGCAGCCCATACACGTCAGGAACTGCAAGTGCCGAGTCCCTGATCCTGAAGGTACATCTCCGACATCGTCACAAAGCCCCCAGCCGACGCCGCCACGAGCAGCGCGACGCCCACATAATGCACACTCACGGGTACGACAGAGCCTACGCGCTTCCAGACAACCCAGAAGACGAGCGTGCCCAGGGATGACAGCTGGTCCGCCGCGAGCCACGCCGTCATCCACGCGCGCTGGGCGACCGTGCTGTGGCCCGTGCGGAAGCGCGTGAGCGCGTAGAGCAGCCCGTGCGGGAGGGTCATGGCGGCGAGGAAGAGCGTGAGGGTTATGAAGACCTCGACTGGCTTGAGCGCGCGGTGTCGAGCGACCTCGGGGTTGTCCGCCGCGCCGTCGTGCCGCAGCGAGGAGACGGTGAAGCGCGAGGCGCGGCACGCCTCTTCGCTGTCCTCTGTACAAAGCGTGAATTCTCTCTCCCATGCGGGCGTCGTCACGACGAGCTTCCTGTCGGAGGGATTGTCTTCGTCCTCGATCGTCTGCATATGCACCGCGACGTAGCCCGTGGAGCTCGCGTCGCCCACGACTGGCTTAGGCACCTTGCGCACCGTCCCGACTGCGCCGTCAAAGTGCCCACCGCGGCGCTCCGCCTCGTGCAGGATCGGGGTACGGAGGACGTGTCCGCTCGCATACTCGCCGACGATCGACGCACAGAGGATGTTCATGACCGACATCAGCGCGTAGGGGAACACGGACAGGCCGTACGCAGCGTACCCCCACGTCTCGATCTGCGCGCCCTCCGTGGAGTAGAGTGTGTACGTCGCGGCGATGATCTGGACGACGGAGACGAGCATCTGCATGACGCCCGACGCGCGGTGGATCTTGATGTTCTTCGTGGGGTTGAGGTCGCGCGCGATGAGGTGCTCGGTGTAGGACTTGTCTGCCGGGACCGCCAGAGAGTATCCCAGGGGCACCTGGATGTGTCCATGGATGCTGCGATTCCTGAGGTCTTTGATGAGCCAGTGGGTTTCCCTTTGGTCGTCGAGGCTGTCGACGATGATGACTGCGTACGGACAGGGATCGTGATCCGGACTGATCGAACAGTCAACCGACGGAGGGGCGTGATGAGGTTGTAACACATACTCAGCCTTCTCGTTGTCGGTACCGGGAGGGAGCTGGGCGAAGACGATCTCTCCGCTAGTTGGTGGCTCCCACCCGGGGGAGCGGACTACGACGAGAAGTGCGCCGTGGTGCAGTGCTGCGAGGACATCGTTGCCCTTGCACCGTACGTGTTCCGCGATGAGAATGATTGTCCTCGCGAGTGCCCCGAAAGGCAGGAATAGCGAGATCAATTGCGTCCAGTAACCCCGGTCCCGACGTGTCACTCGTTCCGTATATCGGCCGACCTCCGCTGAAATTGGGACAGCTGCTGCGTGTGTAATGTAGTTGGTGGTGATGTAGACGAGGAAGTTCCAGATGGCTATGGAATTTTGATGGCAAATGAAGCTAGGAACAGCCGGTATTTCCTGTGCGGGTGCTGAAAGGGTGGGGCTCGCCAGAGTCAGAGCGGCGCATGCGAGCGGGAGGACGAGTGCGTAGGCCATCTGTTGCGGCTTGTCATGGAAGCTCAGCGGACTGAAACTTATGTTGGGCCCAATTGAGTTCAATACACACCGTTTTGTCGCGTGTACGCCTTGCCTCTAAGGCATTCCGCAGTGAGAACTCTCGCCGAACGTGCTGGTCCACGGCAGCAAGGGACACAGAAGATTGAGGTAGAGATCCGCGCCCCTGCCAGCCGCTGGAAACGTCACTGAGCGCCGGGAAGACCGCAGTGCAGCGATTCTTGAGAGGATACGCCGCGACGGCATGTCAGCACGGCGGTTGCGACAATGTGGGGAGACTTACTGAGGACGTTTGGTAATGGTTGCTTCTGCACGACTACTGCGTCAAAGCCTGAGGAAGGGGGCCCCGAGCAAATTCTAGGGGACGCGGACACGTAGACGACAGCGGGCTTACTTAGAGCGCGAAGCCGCCATTGTTGCCTTGTTTGGATTTAATGTGATTGGACCTATGGCGGTCGCGCAGGCCGCTAGCAAACAGTACCTGTGGAAGCGGAGATATCTCAACGTCGCTGAGCGAACTTAGCAAGTTAGATGTATCTACTATCGGCGCCACACGACCGTGATGGTACACAAAGTCACGTGCATGTATAGACGTGTCTCGTGGAGGAGTCGCGTATATACGCGTCAACCGACTCGCAGTAGTACTACTACTCTCTACTTGCTAGTACCTACCACAAGTGCTCTCAGGCTTATATTGCCATCTAGTACATTGTCTCCTGCTGTTTGGTCAACATACGCCGTGCTGCGGTTCCTTTTCAGAACATTGCGGCTACCTGCTGCTCGCTCACCGTCTGGGACTACTAGCCACTGGCACAGCAATTTCATTGCTGCGCGCGGCTGAGATTCTCTCTGGGCTTGGACATACTATTCGAAGGGAGATCACATGCGAATGGTGCCATGCAACCCTCTCCTTGCCTTACTCGTCTCGCTCGTTAGCAGGAGCTATGCCAGGAGTCCTCCCGTCCAAGTCGAGTTACGGTCTTCATGGCCGGCACCGCCACCACTTCTTGAGTCAATGTGAGTACCGCACTCGAACATTCGTTCTGGCTCTCAACGGTCTATGTCAGAGAATCCATCGCTCTGGAAGAGCCGGAGGCCTTCTTGCCTCTGCTTGACGCCCTCACCAATCCAGAGACGCGACCAGACCCAGCCCCGACTTCCTCGGAGGCAGCGCACAAGTACGCCTTCGACACTGCACTGTCCTCGGGCTTTCTTTCAGGCCCTGGCGAGTATGCTTCGGCCGAAATGAACCTTGCCTTGCATGCCGCGACACCCAAAATAGAAGCGTTCTACCAGTTTTATACCGATCGTCATTCAAGTCGGAAGGAGGCCCTCAACATTCCTAACTGCGAATCCTGGGTAGACTGGTATGGAAAGGTTGTTTGTGATGCAGAGAGCCTTGCACGGCTCGCTACTGTGGACACCATCGATAACCCGAATTCGACTGACGTAGACAGGTGAGTGCATGGATTCTGTACACGAAGAACCCAACATATGATAACCATCGCCATAAGCTCATACACACCGCCTCAACTCATGTCCTTCGATCATGTCCACCCCTCGCCAGCGTCGATCTTGGAACGTCCGCAGCGCACTGCCATTCTCTACGCCTCACTATCCTCCGACAACTTCCGGGAATTACACTCCGTCCTGTTCGCGTTATCTCGTGCTCCCAATCCGCGTCTTGAGTACATCCTACGGCCGATACCACCGACTGGGGGCGATGTTTCGCAGAGGAGCTATCTCTCTGGTTACGGCGTTGCTCTTGACCTGAAAAAGATGGATTATCTCGCGCTGGATGATAGAACGCAAAGTAGGCTTGGCTTTCTGTTTCTCGATTCTGTCATCTAATAAGCACAGGCTCGAGCAAACAAGCGGACGATGCGGACGAAGCAGCAACGTCCATACAAGCCACAGACCCTGTTATGGCGTTGATCCACCGGTACCCGGAGAACACGACGACCGACGCAAGCGCACCCCTCACCGAGGACGAGCTTCTCGGTCAGTTCTGTGTCCTGCCCTCCATGACAGTCTCTCATCACTGGACGCGCAGAGATAGACTTCCAGGCTGCGCAGATTATCCGGGACGCGGACGAGCCTCTGCTGATCCTGAAGCAGCTCGCTCAGAACTTCCCCAGATACGCGACGTCCCTCGCGCGCCAAGTCACAGTCAACGCTGCCCTCGCTGAGGAAGTGGAGAACAACCAGGCGGTCGCGCGGGGTGGAACGAACGTCGCCTGGCTCAACGGCGTGCAACTATCTGAGAAAGACATGAACCCCTTCGCGTACGTCGTGCCCAGCGCATCGATGTGTGGGCACTGTCACTCACGGAGCATTGTAGCTTGTTGAGATTACTGAAGAAGGAACGCGGCATCATGCGGTCGTTGACGTCGCTCGGCTTGTCGACGACCCAGGCTCTCGAGCTCCTCACGCATCCTAAAATCAATGCGGCTCAGGGCGCGTCGGATGTCTTGGATGGCATCGTCGACGCTAGTGACCGGCAAGAGGGCGGTGGAGTGATCCAGTGGTGGAACGACCTCGAGAAGGACTCACGGTACGTTGCCGGTACCCTTGTCTCCATTGTTTTACGGACACTCATGGCGTATGCAGTTATGGTAGATGGGCGGGCACGCTGAATGTGGTCAGTTTCCTAGCCTACAGACTATGGCTTCGGCAGCGGGCGACTTAGGCTGACATTTGACCTACCAGTTCCTCCGCCCTATGTACCCGGGCCAGTTTCCGAACTATAGAGGCAATCTGTTCAACATCGTCATCGTCGCAGACCTCTCCCAGACCAGCTCCCTGCACTTCCTGGGGACGACTGTCTCCAACATCCTCGGCCGCAGCTTTCCCTTTAGATGGGGTATCGTGCCTATTGCTGAATCCGAGGAAGGTGCGTGGTCTCAAAATTCTGCTTCACAGCAAGCAGTTGAGCAGTCCTGTGGTTCCTCAATTTAGCGACGAAGGTGGCGCGTCTGGTGTACTTCCTGATGGAACGCGTTGGGAATGCGAACACCATGGAGTTCATTCGCCACGTATGTCGCGTCTATGCTGGGCACTGCCAGCAACTAAGATTTCCGCATAGATCTCGCAAGCTGACAGACCTGTGGAGAAGACCACTACTACCGTCGACTGGGCGTTGGTGCGCACTGCGTTCAGCTCATTCCGTGCCTCTAGCCAAGACCACGCGGAAACTCCCATGCCCGAGCTGGATAAAATCCTGAACGGCGAAACCGAGGGGCTGGACGAGAGCATCCAGAAGGCGCGGGCGTATGCAACCAGGTTGGGTGCCACGGTTGCATCCGCTCCGCATGGACATGCCTTCGTGAATGGGAAGCATTTCGAGTTGGATGATGTATGCGAGACGTTCTCGGCTGCGGCACATATCACTGATATAAGCGTTCTTTCAGCAATTCCTACAATTCATGCAGGTAGAGCTCCGGGAGGAGATGCGTTACGTCCAGGAACAGGTCAGTTCATCTATCTGAAGGCACGTTGAGATGCTGACGTACTGCGTCTGGTAGCTGATGTTGGGTGCGCTGACGGACGCCACAGCGGGCGATGTGTCCACGTATTTCTACGACGTGCCAGGGGTGTCCAAGCGGAGGAACCCGTACATCTATCCGTCGTCGAAGGCAGGCGGCCTGCGTATCAGCAATCTGTTCGATTCCGTCTTGAAGCTCGGCTTCCCGAGTGCCCAGGAGTCGTTTGTGTATCCATGTACGTCGTACTATGAGCTCAACTGACATAACGTACATTGACTATCACCGTCCAGCTGACGTGCAACAAGTTCCGCTGACGACCTACATCGTCGCTGACCTGGACTCCGATTCGGGCCAATCGCTAGTGAGAGAAACACTGGCAGCCACGGTACGTTCTCCACCTTGCCGGGCGAAGTCGTTTGCTAAGCCTTTCGCAGGGCGCGGAGTTCCCATCCCGCATCTCATTCATTCACAACCCGGCTGTTGGTTCCATCGAGCCCGTCATCCGCCCACAAGTTTCGTCACTCTTCGCGCAGCTGATTGTCCACGGGCTTCTTGAGCGGGCTTCGCCAAGCCGTCTTCTCGAGATTATCGGCTTCGGCCATGTCGCCGTTCCCAATCACAGCCCGCAAAAAGTGATATCTCCTGAAGGCGCTCTAGACGAGATCCTGGGTAAGACGGAGCTGAAAGACAGTGAATACCGAGAGTACGTCAAAGTCAGCCGACTGGTCGCGCGGGAGTTTGGTCTCGCCCCGGGAGAGCAGGGTCTCGTCGTCAACGGACGTGTACGTCAGAGCCGTGCCAAATGTGTCGTTCGTGCTCACCGTGACTGCAGATCATCGGGCCGGTCGCAGTTGGGGAGTTTGTGGCACAGGACTTCCCTGTCCTGTCAACATACGAGCTTCGCAAGCGCGTGCAGCCTGTCGTCGATGCGTTGCATGATGTAGCAGGGTCACTCCAGGAGTACGATAGGTAAGAGCGTTCATTGCGCGTTCGCGCCTATGCTCATATCGCGATGTAGGGCTTCGTATGCCGAAGTAGTCTCACTGGCTTCTTCGCTGATATCTGCCATCGAACTACCGGATCCCAGCGAGGTCGGCCTGTTAAACGTGCCCCACAAGTCTCGTCAGTTAAAGTATCGGCTGCTGGCTACAGAATACACGTGAGTCTGCAGACTCGATGCCCGGGCTGTTGCATTGACAAGGACGTAGCGCTTTCACGGTGGGCGACAACTCTACAGCGTCCTACCACTTCGGGATTTTGTTGGACCCTCTCAGCGAAGCCGCGCAGAAATGGTCCAGCCTGATGCATGTAAGCTTCATATACAGTGATTGTGTAGTGTGATTGATATTAACCCTCCTTTAGTGGCTACTCGAGATCCCCGGAGTGACGATTGAACTGCATCTGAACCCTGCCAAGTATGGGGAGGTAAGGTCGTAATGTTTATCTGACATATACGCAGACTGACTCCACTTCAAGCTCCCTCTGAAACGATTCTACAGATACAACCTCTATCCTAGAATAACATTTGATGAGAGCGGGTAGGTCGGCAACCTTGTGTCAAGTAATCTTACTGATATTCCTACTATACTTAGGAAAGAAGTTCACGTCCAGACGGTTTTTACTGGGCTTCCCATTGATCCGATTTACACTCTTGCGATGGACGTTCCTCAATCATGGCTAGTCCGACCACGCGAGTCCTTACATGACCTAGACAACATCCTGCTTGCAGGCCTATCCCCTCAAGATCGTATTCAGGGCGTGAAGGCAGTCTTCGATCTTGATTACCTGGTCGTTGAGGGCCATGCACGAGACATGTTCATAGGCGGCCCCCCTCGCGGCCTCCAGCTTCAGCTCGCCTCCAACTCGGGTGATCCTATCGCAGACACGCTGGTAGTTGCAAATTTAGGCTACTTGCAGTTCCGAACCAAACCAGGAGTGTTCCGCCTCGAAATCCGTCCAGGTAGAGGGCGCGACATATTCAAGATGGAGAGCGTCGGCAACGAAGGATGGCATAGCCCGTCTGTGGATGAGTCGGGAGACGAGATTACGTTGACTAGCTTCGAGGGTCTCATCCTGTACCCTCGCCTCGTCAGACTGCCTGGCATGGAGAGAGCAGACGCCCTGGCAGAAGTTTCCTCAGCTGGAACGTCCCCTATCGGTCTGCTTGATACCGTGATCTCTCGGTAGGTCGTTCATATATGTTCCTGGATACTGGTCTCTCAACATACACTCCATAGCATAACATCCCTATTTGGCGGGCAAAAGACTCAAGAAGTGACCTCGATTGAGAACAAGCAGGCCGACATAAACATATTCACCGTAGCGTCAGGCTTACTCTATGAGGTGGGCGGCTCTTCCCTCAAACGTCCAGCTGTCCTGACTACTTCATTGTATAGCGCTTCGCGTCCATTATGATCTTGAGTGTCCTGCGCAATACCAATCACAGCGTGAAGTTCTGGTTCATCGAGAACTTCCTCTCGCCCTCGTTCTTGGTGAGTATAACATACAAAATGCCTTGGCAATTGTATCCTGACTACGCTGCGCAGGAATTCCTACCTCACTTCTCAGAAGCGTACGGGTTCCAATATGAGCTTGTGACGTACAAGTGGCCTTCGTGGCTTCGGGCACAGAAGGAGAAGCAACGCATCATCTGGGCGTACAAGATCCTGTTCCTGGACGTCCTTTTTCCCATGGACCTGAAGAAGGTTATCTTCGTCGATGCTGACCAGATTGTCCGCACGGACCTAAAAGAGCTCGTTGACATTGATCTCCATGGTGCTCCGTATGGGTACACTCCTATGGGGGATGACAACGTCGAGATGGAAGGCTTCCGCTTTTGGAAGACTGGGTATTGGAAGGAGTTCCTGAAGGGCCTCTCGTACCACATCAGGTGTGATATATGACATCCTTCACTGAGCATATCATTGACAGTCATGTAGTGCGCTTTACGTCGTTGACTTGGTCCGCTTCCGACAGGTGAGTACGACGTTGAACTTCTGATCCCCAGCTGACCAAAGGTCGCCGTGTAGCTGGGTGCTGGTGTAAGCACAACCTCCCTCGGTACCATCGGATCGTATCGCTCATTTCTACTTAGGATATACTCCGTGGTCACTACCAACAGCTATCTGCAGACCCAAACTCACTGGCAAACCTTGATCAAGGTGGGACCATTCTCTACCGTATCAGAATTCTCTGAATATCGTCTTACCTAGATCTTCCGAACAACCTGCAACGGGACGTGCCCATCGTGAGCGCAGCTTGCTACGGTGTATGATGAGGATTCTCACGTTTTATCTAGTTCTCCTTACCCGAGGATTGGCTTTGGGTGCGTATACTTCCTGTCCTTGAGTCGTGGATACTCACGGGCATGTTTCATTTCACGGTCGTTAGTGCGAGACTTGGTGTGAGTGTAAAAGCATTGTCCTCGGTCACGAATGCTCATATAGATCCACTCTTATAGGCAGCAAGGATCGGCTGCATCGCGCCAAGACGATTGATCTCTGCCAGAACCCTCTTACCGTACGATACATTATCACGTCCAACGATACACCCTCTGATCTAAACATACCGCAGAAAGAGCCAAAGCTCTCCCGCGCACGGCAGATCCCCGAGTGGGAAGAGTACGACGCAGAGATCGCGCGCTTCGCGCGTTCGCTTGCTGAAGAGGGCAAGATGCTTTCCGGCATTGTCGCTGCGGATGTCAATGTCCTCGCTGAAGCGGGCTCTAACAAGCCGAAGCCTGAGCTGCCAGCCGAAGACATGGCGATGGAGAGCGGTGCTGGGGAAGGGGCACCAAGAGATGAGCTGTGAGGATCGATGGCGAGGGAGGTGTTGTGAATACTATAGATCCCTAATTGATGTGTTAAAGATTCGCGGACTGAGTACGCAGCCGCGCCCGGACTAGGTATGCTAACCATGACGACAAAGAGATTTGTTGCAGACGCGGCAGCCGAACTGGAAAAGGAGAAACTCGCCCGAAATATTGTCGCTGCAGATGTGGATGCTTTCGTTTTTGTTGAACATGGTGACCCGCTATGAGAAGGGTCGGAACCAAGATGCTTGTAGAAGGGGACATCGAGGGGTGAACTAGCTGAACGTATATCGTTATAAACAAGTTTCAGGTACATACGACGGTGAGTTACATAACTACGTATAGCAATCAGCATTCAGACGCATCTGACAGGTATCCAGTACAAGGGACATATACAAAATGGAGACTACCGTACGATGCATCATGACAATGCATCAGGCCATCCTGATTCCTAACGGTGCTCGGCCCCATGTTCCATCAATGCGAGAACTCCTCCGGCTTCAATCGCGTGCACCTGGTCCTGTAGCGCACCCCGGAGGCTAGCCGCTTGAAGGCCGCTTGGAATATCCAGTCGCTTGTTCTCCGAGAAGAAGGTAGGTGTGTCGTTGGGCCGACTAGGAAACAGGGCGCGCACTCGCACGCGGAGTTCAAGGTTCGAAGGGACTGCTGGGTTGTGAGAGTATTCCTCCAGGGCGCTCACGACATCGTGGGTCTTCCCGTCGGCGAGCGAGCGAATACTGGACGACAGATACAGCGCCTGTGGGCGTGGGCGACGAGGTTTTTGCCCTGGGGGTAAGTCCGGCCCTGCGAGCGAATACGGCACCGATGCAATGTCTCGCACGAGATTGCGTATCGACTGACTGCGTGAACCGACGATGAGGATAGCGTCCGGCTTCGTCGATGCAACCCGCGGTATGAACATCTCACGCGTGGTTCGGTGGTCAAGCCCAAGGAAGGCCTCGACGACGAGACTTTGGGGATGGAGCTGGGACCTGACGGATGGTGACAAAGGCCGACATCCTGTCACAACCGCGCATAGTCTAATCTTTGGTGTTGCTTCGGGATCTCTTTGCAAGAAAGGCAATAAGATATGCTCTACGCACATATTCAGTGTCATTATGCCGAGATTGGAGGACGTACACACCAGAGTCAAATAACACCAGAGCAACGCGGAATGCATCGGGCCAGGGGTATAGAGTCTGAAGGAAGTCGGACCAAGGCCGTATTACGCGCTGCGACAGCGGTACGACACCAAGTCTTGCGGTATCAATGAGAGGCTGGCCGTAACGACCCAGCTTACTCGTCCCTCCAACAGGATTGGCGTCCAAGGAGGCTCCAAAACCGTCACAATCCCTGAGGAAGGCATACGACCAGCGCTGAACAGACACGGAGTAGGGATCCAAGCGATAACGGTAATCGGTTGATCGCACTGCTGGTGCGCTGAAATCCCAGTCGATGATGCCGACGATGCGCCATTCATCGTCTACTATAATGTTCCTATCTTCGAGGTCATTATGAGCGAGACCGATGCTGGACAACCGACGGGATATCTCCAGTATTTGCGGTTCGACAATGGCGGCGGCGTGGGCACCATACTGGTGGAAGACGGTAGCGAGGACATGGCCTTGGATGAAGTCCATGAGGATATAGCCACAGTTGCCAGAGCGGCCGAACTCATGGACCCTTGCCACCGGGAGAATACCGGAGGCCAGACGCATGTTGTCGACGATGGATTGCACGTCTACAAGCGGAGGGTACATCTTGAGCACTCGCTGACCGTCGAGTACGAGAAGTCGCGTGGCCGACATGACCCGCGAACCGTTCGGGAGGATATGCATGTCGGTAACGCGAGACGCGTTGAGAGGGAAGCCCACCGTCAGAAGCGGGGCATATAAACCACGATCTCGAGGTGTACGCGAATAGAAGTATGCGCCTACGTCCGGGAGGGCATATGGAGGGGCAGAGTGACATCGTCGCCCATTGAAGGGAACCGTAGCTGAACTGAACGAATTAGGCATGGGTATAGCGTACTTGAAGCCAGGTCAAGGCGCCGATACTTGCGCTGAGAGGGTGATTGGGCTCGCGCTCAGGTGCGTAAGTGTCATATACGACCGCCCTCCTCCGTCGTTTGGAGCCGCCCTAGGGGGGACTGCGTAAGTGATCAGCGCGCCACAGCAAGCTGCCTCTCACAATATCGAGCGGTGGGTAGAACACAAGCACTGCCCTGCGCGGATGTCAGTCGCAGACCGCAGACCACCCACTAGACTCAGTACATCGTGCGGGCGCTGTCCCACGCATGCCAGATCAGGATCAGGTTGTAGTATACAGCATGACCGGGATGGCACAGATACGCCAGAATTACAATCCTGATACATACAGACACAAACTTCAACCCAATGGGTCACATTCCCAATCAGGAGGTACACATAACACATAACAAAAATGGAAATTTCAAACAGCCAACACGCAACCTCGGGGTCGGGTCGGCCTCCGGGTCAAAATTTACCTGAAGGCTTCCTTCCGCCGCTAGTCTAGTCAGAAGGCAGTTCAGAATGTGGACAGCTGCTTGAGATGCCAGAACGCCCCTATCGCATTGTGAGTGCTGTTAAACCGCACCAAACCTAACTTTATCGTGCGAGCTAGCTACTATAACTTCCAGCGAGGACACCTCTAGCTTCGATAAACCCCACACGTGAACTTGAACGTGAGAGGCGGCGTGGAGATCGAGACTAGAACAGCTCAGCGTATGGATTCAGTTTGGAGCTCTCAGATTATTATGCTCACCAATGTCTTTCCCTGTTTGTCCCGACGTGACAGGACTCGCCGGCAATGGCATGTCCTCGTATCAAGACCCTGAGTCCAGCCAGAACAGGCTCACAGCTGGTATTACCACACATTGCACAACCTATGGATCCTCCACGTTCGTCCCTTTGGGGTCGACTGACTTGAGGCGATATGGGCGAGGCGCCAGAAGATCATTCGAAGTGATGTAGTCCTCATGTCCGCATAGCCGTCGACCCAGCTTGGACCACACACTGTGGGCTGCCGTATAAAACCAGACGGTTCAGAGCCAGGCGGAGGACATCGCGTCTCACTTGCATTTGTCTTTGTCGTACTGTATTCACTGTAAGTCCGTTAGTAAGTCCGTTATGACTGACGCTACCGCCGTTGTCTGACTTGCCACGCTAGACTGCTTGGCCATCATGTCGCAACAAGATGAATCGAGGCGCGGACGTTACAACCGCGATGGCACCTATAACCCTTCTCCCCCAGGCGGTTCCGACAGCAATGGTTCTGGGTCTGGCGGCTCGTCGGGGAACCACCGTCCCCCTGCTACGTTATACCTCGGTTCTCAGTCGGAAGGTGCCCCTTCAGACACCTCTTCCGTGCACCGCAATACTCGTTACTATGCAACTCGTATAGGGCAAGATATTCCTGTGGTAGATCAAGCGAGGCGGCCAGACGATTTGCCGACCCCCGGATACTCGCGATGCCCCCAATGTTCCGCGTACTACAACACTTCCGATACGAGAATTCACGGGCACGTATGCGGTGACCATGAGGGCCGGCGCCGTCGGCTACAGCCCATCCCTGGGCTTAACGAGTCTCTCAGCCCTCGGGTTGGATCCACCCCTTCTGCCACGACGTCAAGTTCCTACATGACCCCCGGGTCGAGCTGGCACCTGCCCAGCCCTGGTTCCTCTGAGCCCGCCCATACCGTGGGGAGTGGTGTCTCTTACTATTCGGGCTTGCACCCGGGTGGGAGACATTCTGGCGAGGGTCACAGTTCCACCGGCTCGTCCGTAAGCTGGGACCCGCATTACCCCGCCGTGCAGCCGTACGGCTACCCTGTTCAAGGTCATGCTGGGGGCTGGGGCTCGCATAACCCCGCCTTGTCACTTTACGGGCAGCCAGTCCCGGGCCAGCAGTATCCACACGCCTCGAGCATTCGGACCACCACCTCCGCACCTGCTCGGTACCCGTCTCATGCCCAGGGAAGCGCCTTGAGCTCTACCTCTTCTCCTAGCGGCGGCTCCGGACAGCAGCCCGACACCCGCTCTCATTCAAGTTGGCCGTATTAGTCACGGAGGTGATTATCGACTCGCGCGGTTGTGCGTCTTCCGTCAAAGGTAAGTTCAATCCCATCGCTATCAGCAACACCAAAGTCTGCCCTGTTGTCATGATTGCGTTGTACCATGTTTTCCTTTCCTGTACGCTCCGCATATGTTCTTCTATATTCTCAACAGTCGAACGGCCATACGATGCTACCACATGTTGCTCGCTTGACCTCTCCTATTTTGTTTGGTACTCAGGCTGAGTATGCAATCATCTTACGGATATTGGGTTTTAGTGTCATACCATGTTAATTATCACAGGCTTCCTATACGAATACATATGTCCATCTATACTACAAGAGGCATCGGCTCTGCTACCACTAGATCTTCGTCTGTTGAGCACCATGTCGCAAGACGACACCAACAAACTTGGCCTCGGCCGCCTCCACCTGCGCCTGCAGCACACCCCGCATACGGTCACCCTGGAGTTCTTCGGGTATCTGTAGCTTCCGATTCGCTGAACGCAGAACCTTCGGTGGCTCTTTGGGGTCAGGGCGGAGATCGCAGATGCGCAGACGCAGCTGATACGTCGAGGGTTCTTTAGACGGATCTTTAGCGCGCCTGGAGAGAATTTCGTCGAAGCCATGCGCAGCGACTAACTGTTCTCCGCCGGGGACGCCGGGTTGGATGGTGGTGAACAGGTATACTGTTCGAGGATGTGGGCGGCACTGCGGTTGCCCGGTATGGGGATCCGGACGCGGGTCGGCGAGCGAGAGGGGGACTGCCGCAAGGCCGCGCACGTAAGTAGTTGCGTAGGGCAAGGGTCTGGCATGAGCCTGCGAGAAGGATGATGTGTGGTTTCTGTGAGAGGACGCGGGGTAGATACTGGTCTCGCGTCTGGTGGCGGTTGAGCGTTGAGGTGGGCCTAGCGGTGATTACGACGGTCTGAAGATCCAACCTGGACCTGATGGAGGCGGGGATTGGCCGGTCAGTCACAATGGCACATAATTTGTATGGCTGCACTTCTGCGTCGTTGAGGTCCAGGAGAGATTTCAGGTTATGATCTAAACACCAAGTCAACAACGATCATGCACCTAGTGGTGGTCGACATACCAGTGGCAGTCACCAGTATGAGTGCGACGCGTACTTCGTTAGACCACAGGAACACACTGCGCAGGTATTCCGACCACGGCCGTTCAGTAGACTCGACTGAATGAGGCACATCGTAAAGCCTCCCAGCGGCGCCAACGAGAGACTGATCACTCCCCGGTGTAGCGTCTCGTCCGGCGTGCATCGCAATGGCACTGGCAGGGGTGCTGGGATACGCCTCCTCCCACTGGCAGCCGATGAGGCCGACAATGTGCCAGTCATCGTCGACGACCATGTTTCTGTAATCTATCTTGAAGTTGCGGCTCAGTGCACCTATGGTAGTCAAAGCCTGCAGACGGCGTGCTATTTCCTCGACCTGCGGTACCACAACGGTGGCATGGCGCGATCGCCGTATCGTTCGATAACGCTGGAGAGGAGGTGTCCCGGAATGGAATCCATGGTGATGTACGCGCCGTATTTGCCGATAGTACGTCCATAGTCATGGACGTTTGCCGTTGGAATCACGGACGATGCGACTCGCAAGTCCCGAGGCTGCCAAACGATCGACTCAAGGTCCACGAGTGTAGTTTCGACACACGCTGTCCGTCGAGGAAAAAGCGACGCGTAGGGGGTTGGGGTGCCATGACGCGGTCGCCGTGTTGTTGTAGATGACTCGTGCACACAGGGGATGGGATGAGGAGACGAGGTTGTGGCTGGCTTGTGTGGAGCCGTATAAGTACTCGTGAGTACATCGCCACTCGCAGCCAAGAGTACAAGAGTATAAGAGTACAATACGGAGACGAAACAAAGCGCGGAGGCTAAAGGCTAAGCGCGACGCTGCATGCACAGCGGACAAATTGGTGTTCAAAAAGTTCGAACATTGATCTTAAATACTGTAGAAAGGGTCAGTAGTTTTCTAAGAGGCCATGTACGGTTCCGTAAGTACGGTGGCGCTTGGTGGCGCTGGTGGCGCGCCAAAGGGCGCGGGTTGCCTTCGGCGCGCAAAGTGCATAAGTAACTTCACTGCCACACACCTTGCACACACCGCTCGGAAAGAAGTGCACATCGACGCCATTAGGTGCGTCGAGGAACCTCCTTGCGCAAGAGCGGGGCGGAGTCCAGGTTCGCTTGGCTTACGTAAGGCGGCGACCACACCCGGATCTCTGCAAAGAGTTGAGGGGCACCTTATTATGCTCGAAGACCAACTTTCCATAATATTACTACTATTATACGCATATCCGGTGAATTCGTTGACGTCTGTTTGGCATCTCCCACATGCACATCCGCCGTCTTCGCCTTTCCCTTTATGTTCGACATTTGACTCATCTGATGACCTTCCCTTTCAAGGATAGGTTCATCACGGTCAGCCTCATGATTTGCTTTAGCTGCTTGCTAGGAACCTAGTACTCCTCCTCGAGCTCCGCATTAGGGGCCCGGGCAGCTGTTTAGATTGTCGCCCCTACGTGTGCGCAAACACCGACTATCGTAACCTCCGTCACCTACGGTTTTCTCATACTCGTTCAAGCAACCTCTGAGCAAGCTTCAAGCAAGCCATACCGGCCAGGCGGAGCGAAGCGAAGCAATCCCTTGTTTACAAGAGCAATATCCTCGGCTCAACATCCTCGACTCGAAAGGTGTCGCGTGGACATTGTAGCTAATGAGACTGAGAGCCTGTGCCCCGTCAGCGAGACACTGCGGAGGATGACTACCAAATTTGGGCAGTCACGCAATTTGAAGTCCGACGCGGCCGTTGTGGCGCGCGCAGAGGCAAATCATAGGCTTCGACCAAGCTTCGACTACGTCCACTATCCGCTCAGCTCTCCCCTCGCCGCCGTTCTCTCTGCACACATTCTCGGCACCATGGACGTGGACATGAAGATAAAAGACGACGTCGACGATAAGCGGGACCGCGAGAGGGAGCGTGAGAGGGATGCTGACCGCGATAGGGACAGGGAGCGCGAGAGAGAAAGGGACAGGGACAAGGAGAAAGACAGGAATCGCGACAAGCGCGATCCCGAACGCGACAGGGAGCGTGATCCTAGGCCGTCTGGTGAGTCTGAGCACCATACCAATAACAGAGTGTATTGACCCCTTTCTTTGTCTTCTTAGCCCGCAGCAGGAGAAGCGACCACTGGGAGCCTGAGGAGCGGCGTAATGGAGACGTGAGTAAAGCCCTAAACTGTACTTAGTGCGATGCCAATGAATTCGTGCGTTTTACAGCGTCGGAGAAGGTCACGCAGCCGCACGCCGTCTCGTTCACGTAGACGCTCTGCTTCGCCACGGCGGCGCTCGCGTCGATCGCATTCTCGGTCGCGCTCACGTTCGCGCTCGCCCCGCTCACGTAGCCGTGAGCGGCGGAATGCTGATTCCTTCAGCCGTTCGCTCGGCGGCCCGATGAATGCGCCCCACGAGGAAGCCGTCGAGTTCGCCAAAGTCAGCAAGCGCGAGAACCGGGTCTACGTCGGCAACCTCAGCTACGACGTCAAGTACAGGGACCTGATGGAATTCATGCGGGGAGGTGGGTGGGGGATCTTCAGATTAGTTCTTCGGTCGTCGTCTTTCTTGGAGGTGGAGATGGAAGTGGAAGTGGACACGGCGTGGCGACAGAGGCGCCGACTTTGCAGCAGCGACCGCAGCCTGCATACACGAGGGGCAGGCCATTGTGCGCGCGATCTCTGGAGAGCCGGCTTGAGGAGAGATGAAGGTAGTCCATGATCGCGATATCGGAGGGCAGCCAGCTGCGCGAGTCCGCTTGAGGAACGAGATTGCATTGCGAGGCCGGACCCGGGGAGAGGATTTACTGGAGTTTGCTGGTTTACTGATGGGTGGCGAGTTGAGAGGATGGCTTATTGATGGGAGCTTTCTTTTGGGGTTGTTAGCTGGAGAGGTCCTCTTCGCCGAAGTCCTAATCACGCCCACTGGAATCTCCAAGGGATGCGGGTAAGTCATTCGCCTTCGCGGGGAATCACCATATTCATTGTTACTAGTATCGTCGAATTTGCATCGCAAGAGGATTGTCAGCGAGCCATCCGCGAGCTGTCAGAGCAGCTCCTGCTTGGGCGTCCGGTCTTCATCCGCGAAGTGAGTTTGTTGTACCGAAGTCACCTACCACTCACTAACCCCGCATCCAGGACCGAGAGCACGAGTCGCGGTTCGGTGCGACACCCGTTCCAGGTAAGATTGGCATGGCCATGGCTGGCCAAGGCTTGAACGCCGCACCTCCGCCCCGCCCTGCCTCACACAACTACTTCGGAGGTCAAGGCGCCAACCCGGGCAACCAGCTCTACGTTGGCAACGTATGTCCCTTTGTGCGTTCGTTGCTCGAGCTTACTCATTATCGACTGCTCCTAGCTCCCTTACCAAGCTGGATGGCAAGACTTGAAGGACCTGTTCCGCTCTGCCGGAAACATCATCCGCGCAGACATCAATATCGGTGCCGACGGTCGCCCCAAAGGGTCCGGCACTGTGATATTCGAGACCTCAAAAGATGCCCAGCAGGCCATCAGTATGTACACCCCTCATTCTGGCCAGCCTGTAGCTCACCCTTCCGTCTAGGCATGTACAATGGCTTCGATTGGTACGGGCGCACATTGGAAGTGCGAGAGGTTTGTGTTCTTTTATTCTTACCCAGGGGCCTCACTTATCCTTCGCACAGGACCGTTATGCGGGTCTGTCCGGACCAGGGTCTTACCGTGGCGGGCTCCGTGGCGGCAGCGGTCCTCGTGGCGGGCCCCGGGGCGGACTCCGGGGTAGCGGTGGGCTCCGGGGTGCCTACCGCGGGGGCGCCTACGGAGGAGGTGCGGGTGGCCGAGAGTTCAATGAGGGCCTCTATGCGCCCTACTCCGGCCCCGACCAGGCTGGCGGTGCGGTGAACGGCTTCGATGCTGGCTATGGCGGAGGCTACCCTGGATATGAAGCTGAGCCGAGCCAGCAGATCATGGTCCGGAATGTGAGTGCAGCCTGGCTGTACAATTGGCTTGTAGCTGATGCTGTTGGTTTTAGCTCCCGTGGTCAACGGCGAACGAGGACTTGGTGGAGCTGTTCGAGACGACGGGCCAGGTGGAGCTGGCCGAAATCTTGTTTGAAGGCACCCGCTCGAAGGGCTGTGGTGTCGTGCAGTTCGGCCAGGTGCCGGAGGCTGAAACTGCCATCGGTGAGTCGCAACCATCCTTCGCGCCTTCGATACGGTGCTCACGGATCCATAGCAAAATTCCAGAATTATATGTATGGCGGTCGTCCTTTGGGTGAGTACAGGGTTGAGCCTGACTCCGCACCTCACTGATTCTGTCTTTCCAGACGTGCGTTTCAACGACCGTTGGCACACCTTCACCCCCAGCGCCGCCAAGGGCGGTCAAGCTGTCGTCCCCATGCAAGCAGAGGCTGTCTAACCATGCACATCTTGGGCACACTTTTCAAAATCTGTTCCACTCAGTGTATTTGTGCGAGATTCTCTATGCAGATATTCTGTTCTATGCTACGATACATCCAAGCGTGCCAGCTGCTGCTCTACGGTATTTCTTTTCTCTGATGTATGCTATGGTCCCTAAGTAGTAGATATTGCTGGGGTGTCAGAATATACACAAATTGGTGCCGCTGCCCGCATTTACAATGCACATTACACTCGTACAATCGCCGCGTATCTGTAAGACCTGTCCGTCGAGGGATCGCGAGTCTCGTGTTTGCGCCGCGGGTTCACTGTCAGGGACCGAGAGGAGAGGGAAGTCGTGATAGTCGTGAGGAGTGAATGCGAGCGGAACGAACTCAGAGCTTCGCCTCTGACTCATCCTTGGCGATGTACCCGAGGTCGAGCAAGTGGCTGATAACCTCCTCGGGACTGGGGACGTGCCATGCTGCCAGCGTACGCTTGCTGCTGTGGCCGACGGCAGTGCTGAATACGCCCTCACGGGTGAGCTGGAGGTCGACAGGCTTGAACTTCTCCGCGCCCTCGCCGGTGACGAGGGTGACGGAGAGCGGCGGGTCGAGCGTCGCCTGCGTCTTCTCGCCGTTGAAGAGGAGGAGCGCGCGGAACATGTCCTCGTCGGTCTTGTCGTCGCCGGCGCAGAAGACGAAGTCGGCATCGGGGTTGTAGTAGAGAATGCGCTTGACGATCTCGCCCTTGTTGACAGCCAAGGGACGGACCTCGAGGTTCTTCTTTCCAACGAGGACTGCAGACAGCTTCAGCGTTGGTGCCATGAATTTGAAGTACTGCTACTTACCCTCGATGGGACGCTTGCGAGCGAGGTTGTTCTCGAGCAGGTCCTGGCATTGCCGGCACTGGAAGAGACTGGAGGGGATTAAGCTTCACGTTCAATTCATAGGCGCTGTATAGACTTACCCCCACTCTGGGTCCGCCGAACGGTAGTGCCACGTAATCGAGCTCTTCTTGACCTCGATATGGCTACCCGTCGTACGCTACAGAGCAAACGCAGCGTCAACACTGATCCTCCCAAACGCGACACCGCAGGACTCACCTCAGTGTAGTACTTGAAGATCTCGAGCACCTCGCCCATCCACTCCATATCCAGGTTCTCCGTGAAGTTCGTCCACTCCCGCGAGCCCGGCTCGCGCACGAAGCCACCATGCTCCGCGCTCATGCCGAGCCCGCGGATATGGCCGAGGTGCTGCTCGAGGAACGCGCCGTCGCGGCCGGAGATGATGAACACGACGTTGCGGGGGTCCTTCGTGAGGTTCTCGAGCGCCTCGAGCGTCTGCGGCGAGGGGGTCGCCTGGCTCGGGACACGCACGATCGGTGAGAGGGTACCCTAACAACGCGAACCCATTCAGTCTCGCGGAGCCGAGAGGAAATGAAACTAGGTACACGCACGTCGTAGTCGAGCAAGAACAGCCGCTTCTTTGCGGTACGGTACTGCGCCTCCAAGCGGTCCTTGGGCATGGGAAGGGTCATCTTCGCGGTATTCTGCCCGCCGATCTGTTGGAGAAGGAGCTTTGCGAGCGTCGCGGCCCACGTATGCGACGTGTGCGTCCGCGCCGTGTCGTACAGCGTCGCGTGGCGGCGTGCCTTCTCGTCGTCAGCCATCGTCAGCCCACGGTGCATCGCCGCGGCGACTTCCTGGACATCACCGGCGTGTCAGCTCAGCATTCCGGCGCCTCAAGAAAAAGACAGAAAGTGGCATGACATGGATGTCATCCGCGAGCGTGGGGAGAAGGACGCACCACGAGGTTCCACGGGTTGACTTGGAGCGCATCGGCCATGTTGCTGGAGATACCCATGAACTCAGAGAGGACGAGCGGGCTCTTCTTCGTACGCCCCTGCGCGAGGACGAACTCCATCGAGGTGGTGTTCATACCATCGCGCAGTGGCGTGATAACGCCGAGGTCCGCAACGGACAGCAGGGCGTAGAACTCGTCCTTCTTGATGGTCTGGTGGCTGTGGAGATAGACAATGCGGCGTCAACTCAAATGCCAACATGCACCCGTAGATGATAGCAACGTACTAGTGATGCACAGGAATGAAGTCGAGCGAGCCATACTCGCCGTTGATGTGTGCGACGATCTCGGACACCTGGCGCTCGAGCTTGGGCGAGTCGGACAGCGCGGGGGACGTCACTTGAATGAGGACGACGTGGCCGATCCACTGCGGGTAATCATGCAGGAGCTTCTCAAACGCGCGAAGCTGGCAAGAAAACCCACGTCAGGCGGAACTCACGCGTGTCGGAACCAGGCCGAGCGCACCTTCTGCACAACACCCTTCACAACGTCCAGCTTGTCCCGGCCGACAATGATCTTCTTGCCCTCATACAGCGCACGGAGCGCCTCGAGCTTCGGCTGGATGCCCGGGCGCAGCCTAAATGCGAACCTTTATCAACACCACTCACACCCGGCACGTAGCTCCGGAACACTCACGTATCCTTCGCTACCCGGTCCGCGTCGACGCCTACCGGGCAGTAAGCAATCGACGCCACATGTCCCGCGACGTCGATGCCGCCTGTCGCCGTGATCTCATATCCGCACACACGGACACACGACGAGGTGAAATGCCGGGAGTACGAGTATGTCTACATCAGCCACCCAACGTGAATATCCCCAATTGGCAGGTAGATAGGATAAGACGAGGCGCACCTGGAAGCAGATGAGGTTCGCGCCGAGCATGCCGTCGAGGATCTCCTTCCTACGGGGCAAGCACCGGAAGATCTCCGAGCTCGGGAACGGCGTGTGCATGAAGAGGCCCAGCGCGACCTCTGGGAGGGCCTGGCGCAGCATCGACGGCACGAGAAGCAAGTGATAGTCGTGGACCCAGATCAGGTCGCCTACGTTCGTCGTTTGTGTGAGCACTCGCCGGGGAGAGCGGTGGGAAACGAAGCGGAGACGTACCAGGCTTGTAGACCTCGGCGACGCGCTTCGCGAACACCTCATTCACGGCGTTGTATGCACCCCAGTGCGCGTCCGCGGAAGCGTACTCGGTTGCAACATCTTGCCAGAGGAGGTAGTGGAAGAGTGGCCAGAGGGCTATCCGAGGTGAAGGTTCGTTAGCGTGCTATTGCGATACAGCAAAGAAAATGTTGAATCGTCATGACGTGGAGAGGAAAAGGCAAGAACGACTGCTGCCGCAAAATGGTACATTGTACAATCCAAGGCTTCATGATGGGCGCAGAAGTATTCACAGGTCTCCTGTGTCATAAACAGCGACCCCAATACCGCATACATCGACCGAAACTAATTAGCCCGACCCCATGGGGATAACACATCCACAGACAATCATTCTGCATCGAGCATGTCCCTGCAAACACTCGGAGCGGTAAAACCAAGCTCGCCGGCCCGCCAAATGAAAAGCCACCAGGCACGCCCGCACCTGATCTGCTGCCGAGGTTCAGGTCGAACGCAAATCTGACACGGTGCAACAGAAGAGTGCATCGAGGCGGATAGACGTTCAAGCTGCGTGACAGATTGGCACGGAACGTACGCACGCGTCTGAAAGCCTCGCGGGAGCGGCCCCGTCCGACCTCGCCTCGCGCGACGGTGACAGACAGGGGAGGCCACGGGCGGAACGTGCGAGGAACAGTGGCCCGCGCACGCCCCGCCCATCCGGGACGACGGGCGACTCCAGGCTCGGAGCACGAGCGCGTAGAGTCAATGCACGAGGCGAGGCAAGGAGCAATTACAGATTCGGGTGGGGGTGCGCCGTCGTACCGGAGCTGTCGCCGTGCTCGCGGTGTACGGAACGGGCTAGCGACTTCTCCATGCGGGAGATAGAAGAGTCCGGGGGTGCGTGCGGGGAATTGGCATCAGGGATTAAGGCCCAGAAGGGGCTGAGAGGAAATGGGAGGATTCGTCGGATATGGAAAGCGCGTGGACGCTATAGAGGAGTGCAGTTGGATGGTTATCGGTGGGGTAGAAGCCAAGAACGAAGAGGAGTGTATGATCCGGAGCGACGCTTCACTGATGTTATGGGGTTGAGGTGCACGAGGACCTTGCAGTGAGTGTGTACCACATCGAGTTGCGGGCGAGCCGTGCAGCGACAAGAGAAACATAATCAAATGGGCAGAAATACTCACTTTGTTTGCAGTAACCCTCGTAGTGGCCATGGGCTTCCGTGTCGTCTAGCCAAACGGGAACATAGGTAGTCTGCTGGCCGCCCTCAATCTCGACGTCCTCTCGTGAGCGATACTTCGCCAAGAGGCCTTCGAGGGACCGTCGGTCCTCTTCGCCGATGTCCTTGACTGGGACTTTAGAAGGGGTAGCATATGCCGACTCTGGCACGGTAGAGGCGGAGGGAGCGCCATAGGCAGCTGGGGGGAGCGTCGTCGGGGCCGACGTGATGTCGCCAGTCCAGCCAATGACGATCTGCTCGTGGGTCGTCGCAAGGCTCGAGATCCCGCTGACCATCGCGGAGTGGCCGTGGCGCGCGCTCAGAACCCAGTTTGTGTCTTCCTGCGTCTGCGCAGGCTGGGGCTGGGGCTGCTCGAGTGATGCATCCTTCGGCGGGGCGGTGGGCTCGGTCGGGCTCGCGGGGATGTCGGACGGCGCGGTGGGCGGCGTCGGGGGTGGGCTGGGGAGGTCGCTTGGTCTGCTGGAGAAGGAGGAGGAGACGGGGAGGTAATGGCAGACGTGGATGATGCGGCCGGAGAGGGGGATGCCGTTCGCGATGTGGTCGGTCTCGAGCTTGCGGACCTGCTCGCGGACGGCGGCGAGGGAGACGGGGGTTGCGGGGCGGCGGGGCTCTGCGAAGCTGTCCATGGCGGCAAGGAGGAGAGACGGGGAGGAGCGACTGGACGCGATGCGAGTATTTGTAGTCCAGCCTCGCCGCGTCGACTGCCCGCTTCCACTGCAATGCCCCGGGCCTGCTATCGCGCACTCGATCGGCACGTGACACAGGTACGTCATGCCCCGTCCGTCTCCCTTCCACACGACCGCTCCTTTTCTGGACTGCATGCCCCGCCTCCGCCCGCCCCGCCACCGACGCGTCCTCCGCCGGCCGACGCGCGCACCAGCCTGCACGACGCGTCTGGCGTGCCCGGCGACCCCGGCGGCTGCGCGGGTCCGCGTCCGGCGCGTATTCTCACGGCGGAACGACAGGACCTGCCATAGCGGTCTGGCGGCGCCCAATCGCGGCTGATCTGCCCGCTCCAGGCGCGTCGCCTCGCTGCCAACCATCCTTCGCTCGCGTGCTTACCATCTTTGGACATCGCCCCCATCTCCTCCTCCAAGCCTCTCGCAGCCTAGACCCTTCGTGCATGTCCCCCCGCGGACGCATGACCCCCCACCGTGCGTTCATCGTGCGGTGCTTTCTCGGCGCGCTGCTCTTGCGCGAGTCGCGGTCGAGGCGCCCTCGCTGGTCGCTAACGGTACCGTCAATTCGTAGAGCCTGAGGGACATTGATCGCAGCAACCTCTCCGTGCGTTGCGAGGTTCAGAAGGAAAACATGGCTGGTCATGAACCCCTTTTCCGCGCAGCAACGGTATGTTTCGTGAAATATCAGAAGCAGAGCACGCTGCTCGTGCTGTATCACGACATGGGTCCAGGTCAGCGTAACGTGCTGTTCATTTGCTACAGCTAGACTGCCCCGCATGCATATCATCGATCCTCTACCATGCCACGAAAGGCTACCTCTCCGATCACTCTATCTTCAAAGCTTATTTCGAGCATAGATCGTCGAGAACAACAGGCTTCTCGCCTTCCGCGATATCCTACACGTAACAACCGTACCATCGCCTCCGGATCCCTGTTAATCTCGTCCGCAGAGGGTACTATCGACGTCCAGGGCATGATCAGCAGTGCAGGATTGTGTACAACCCACGTCAAGATATCAGGATCCTCCGCCGCGCCGGGACGTTGGTCCCTTCCCAAACGGGTACGCCCGTGCTTATTACGCTTTGCGGTTAATCTGCGTGCATGGAACCGTGTCGATACTGAGCACATCATTAGCGCGTCATCTCACAATGGTAGAATTCGTTCGTTGAATTCTCCGGTGGGTAGTCAGATCGTTGGCACATGCGTTCATGTCCGAACCACCATCAACGCAGAGCATGCGACCCATCCCCTTTCACTCATTGAAGACGATCATTTGTCGGCATGTCAGGCTCGCTGAGAACATCTCAATCAGTGTCATTTTTGCGACTTGTTTGTTCACGGTCGGATGCGCATCCACGTTGCGAGAGGGAGAGTGGGTATCATCATGCACCATTACAACGACATACACTACAACTATTCGTGACGAGCAGTCCGTCCATCGCGACTATATTGTACATCCAGGTTTCATCAAGCAGGTCCGTGCAAAATCCGAGCTCACACCCGCACCCCAACGAGCGCCATCGGCTCCGGCGCATGCCTCCAGCTCTCCTCGAGCGCAGGCTCCGCACCAGAGTGCGCCGCCCACCCCCACGCGCCGTGCCCATGGCGCCTCCGCCTGCTCTCGACGTCGACGTGCACCTCCGCCTGCAGCTTCTTCGCGTTGCTCGCGCGGCGGCCCGCGCGGCGCCTGCGCACCGCCTTCTCGCCTGTACTCGGGGTCAGGTTCGGGTTCGGGTTCGCGGGGCGTGGTCCAGGCGCGACGAACGCGCGCAGCTCTTCGAGCTGTGATTGTTGCGCGGGGGAGACACCGATGAGCGGGGACGCCGCGAGGGCGCGCAGTTGCGCGATGTCGTACACGAAGGAAGACTGCGTGCGGATCAGGCGGCCTGGGAGTGCGGAGGTTCGTTCAGAAGGATGTTCGTGGGTTAGCGGGAGAGATGAAACTGACCGTTGTTCATGGCTGCGCTGACCGCGCTTCCTGCGTGCGCAGCGATGCTGACGTGCGGGTCGACCGCCCTGCGCTTGTGGACGGGCACGTACACGCCTGTCGGGGAGCCCGAGGGGCTGCGCGATGACGAGGCGGGGGACGCGCGAGAGCGGGGGATGGCGATAGGGCTAGACATGGCTGCACAGGTATCCACGAAGTTCGACTAATGAGGATGCGAAGGGGATACAACGAAGACACACGACAGGTCAAGTCTGTGCTTGCTATCTGCAGGGAACGGCCGACTGACGAGGAGGAGTGCCGACCACCTCCCAAACGCACGCACCTCTTATAGACACCCAAGGCGCGCGTAGCACAGCGAGCTGACGTGGCCGACACGCATTTCTGCGCGGAGTCATCCAGGAATGGCGCAACGTGGGTACGCGGGTTGGCACGGCCGCTCGGGGAGCATGGCGCAGCACGAGCGAGGAGGGCGCGGAAGGCGCAGGACGGATGGGGCATGTTCTCGGACGTTCGAGCAGCATCGGCCACCGACGAGCCACCGCCACCCAAGCCGAGGCTCACCGTATCTGGACCGACGTGGCGCCGTCCTGTACTTTGGCGCTTACCTAATCCGCGCCTTGTCAATGACGGTCTCGGGGCGCGACGGGAGTTTGAGTCATTTGACTGAGTGGGTTGTCAGCGCAATCCCTCAGCGAGTGCCTTCGGTAGACGGGATGAAGAGCGGGAAGGCGTATTATTAGTAGTGGAAGTGCAATAAAAGAGCCTATGTAGGTAAGGGGGCTGCAGCACAGACACTGCATCAACTTTTGTGCGTACGACCCAGCCGGGATGCGCGCAGTACACAGACGCAGCGCATCTATGCCTCGATGAACGTCTTCACCTGCTGCAGCCAGCCAACGTACTCCTACACAAACATGAGCAACCTGGACTCGAACAACGATCCTGCTACGACATACCTTCTGCTCCTTGTAGTCAGCATACTCCGGGATGAACGTCGACAGGTTGTCGGTGATGCCGCGCTCCCGGAGCCACTGCTCGAACTCCTCCTGCACGGTGACGTCGAGCGTGTCGAACTGTGGGCCGATGTACAGGCCGCGGCGCTTCCAGTCCGCCTCCGCCGTCAACTCCGTTCCGACAGCGGCGTCGCTGTAGAAGGAGATGTTGTCCACCAGGAAGGCGCCCTCTTGGCAGAGCGCGTCGACGTTGATCGCGCCGTTCGTGCCCGTCTGTAGCGACTAACGTCAGAAGCAAGTAGTTGGTTTTTGACTCGGAACACGCACCTTCGTGACGGAGATAGAGCAACGGATAGGCTGCGAGGGGACGGGCGTGTCTTCCGCCGCCTGCTCACCCTCCTCGCCCTGCTCGAAGTCGGCCTCCTGCTCGCTCTGGATGTCCGCAACCGAGAACATCAGGCGGATGCTGCACAGCAAGTCGTCAGCGGTCTAGAGCCAGCGGATCACCATGCATGACATACTTCTCGTTGCCAAACTTCCGGCTGAGGGCAATCTCGTCATTTCCAGGAGTGTCCACGATCTACATTCGTAAATAAGATTCCAGTGCCGACGCTGAACAGGCAAGACACATACCTCCCAGACACCCTGCGCCTTGAAATTGCGCACGAACTCAGGCTCGGCCTCGGAAGCACTGTCCTTCTCGTACTGCAACTCCTCCCCGAGCTTCTGTGCCAGCGCGACGTCAGCTGTCCCGACCCACGTCAGCACTGCCACACTCAACCAAAAGCCCAAAACGACTCACAAGCACCCTCGCCGAATCTACGCGCCGACACGGAGAACGCCCTTGACGAAACCGGGCCAGCACGAGCAGCGAAGACAGGGAGGGCCGCGCGCGATACGGAACGCGCGGCGCCGCGCACAGCGAAGGCGCGGCTGGAGGAGAGCGAGACGTGGCGGAGGGCACGGATGGCGGACATGGTCGTCGTGGTCGTGATGGAGAGAGGAGGAGAACGTTTACGTGGGCGTCGAAAACTGGAGGTGCGCCGGCGAGTGCTGGAGAATCGGCGCCTGTCACGTGTGGTATCCGTATTTGGATGTGATGTTTGCCAAGAGCCTTAGAACCAAACAAACGCTGCTCGATCGTCCGTTCTGGTGTCGTCCAGCTCTTAGTACTCGTACACCCTAGGCAGCATGACGAGCTGGTGAGCTCACAAAGTAATGAGAAGTCTTGGGTTCTGAGCAAAATTAAAGGAAATGGCCTCCGTGATACACTAAGTACTCTCGGACATGTTGCGACTCGCAGCCATTCATCGGCCGCGATTCAAGTTATGGTCACACGCCAAAGGCACAAGGTATCATACAGAAGGTTATATACAGTGGTCTAGTCCACGAGTGAATTCGGGGCGACATAGTCTGCTCGGTCACTCCTTGTACTCCCAACGGCGCCTGGTTAAAATAGCAGTCGCTCCCGCGATATGCAACAGGGTGGTCCCGAGGAGCTGCCATTCCACCTTGTCGGCCCACGAAAGAGCAGGATTGATCTGACCCATCTTCAGATCTGTTATGTGCGAATCAGTACGGTATCCGGGCTATGGCACACTGCCAGGCACAGCGCACTTGCGTAGAGCAAGTGCCAAAGGAACGAGGTCGAAGCTCGAGCATGGTAGACGCATTTACTCACACTTCCGAATGACACTTCCGATCCCAAGCAACACCGAGGAAGTCAGCTGCAGCTTTGCCATCGTGTCCAACAACCAATCAGTCCGCCCGGTCTTGCGCTGCCGAGCGAGCACAAGCGCGGCGATCCAGGAGAAGACGTCCGTGGTGACCACGAAAGCCGTCACAGGCAGGAACAAGGGCGACCGAGACGGGCGAGGCTTGTTGCCGAAGACCATAGGCACGACATAGAAGAAAGCGGGCAAGCTGGACGCGGCGAGTCCCGCTAGGATGCCCTGCGTCGCGAGGCTCGGCGAGGGTGGAGGGATGAGCGAGGTGCCCTAACGTAGCGCGTTCAGTTGCCTTGGTAGTAGTATTAGAGTGAGTAGGAAGAGTGAACGCACCTGGTACGCGGCGATGATCGGCGAGAGCGCGAGGCCTCCGCGAAGGAGCATGGTCCCGGAAACGCGTACATTCTCCCAAGTGGACGGCATCGTGATAGTCTCCTGCGAGTATCAGAACGATTGTGTGCGTGTCTTGGTGAGCAGCAACTTGAAAGTGGACTTTGAGGAACGCGGGCTGCGGCCTGGCTGCGGCTCAGGCTGTCCCACTCACCTCACAGGTCACTCCGACTGACGTCGACAATGACCTCCCGGTGCTCCCCGACGCCATCACAGCCCATATTGTCCACGAAATTACAGCGGGTCGAGCCTGCGCTGTCCATGGCAGTTACGAATCCGCCGAGGCATGCCTCCTTACGAGCGATGTGGAACGAAACGCACAGTTCGTCCAAGCCGGCGGGATGCGATGGGTGTGCTGGATGGACCAGACCAGCCACAGATCCCATCGCTACCGGACTCGGCGCCTACGTCTGTAACTCGCCGAGGATACATCGCCTGATTGTTATCAAGGTCTGCGCATCGTTCCGTTGCTGTTATGTGCCAGATATGCAGAGGGTAATTCGGATTCGAGATCCCTGTTAGGCGGTTCCTGTGTGCGAAGCACAAATGAGTTCATATTCAAGTTGCGTGGTAGGTACCTTTCCCATAAGCGGCTACTCACAGAATGCGCAAGCCAGAGTGGCAGGGGATCAATAATTCGGTCGTACTCACAGCCGTAAAATAACCAAGCGACGTCGCAACCGCACAGCCCTAGTTCTGCACCGGAAGGACACTCGAAGACCTCACTGAAGAATTGTCTAACGCGCTTTGCCTATCCAGGTTTTATTGCGGGGGATCTGCTCCACAGCCGAGCGAAAACTTCACCGTGAGTGTGTCCAGCGGCCACATATCAGATGCACAATTGACAGGAATCAGGTTCGACACAGGCACTACCACATTACTACAATAAATATTAACATCCATTCATCTGTTCAGGTACAGGCACATAATTTGTGTTACACACATCCAAGAAGCACTACCAGTCGACGAGCGAGATACCATAACAAGTTTACAGCGAGAGCGAGGACCACAAGGCACAACTACCGGGAAAGGAGATGGGTTCTAATCTATGTATTCTGCATGGCATGTACACCGGAGCCCGGGATCCTACCGCGCACATTTGGCACACCAAAAGGATCAACCACATGGGAAGACCCTTTTACTGGCTAAATGACACAACCAGGAGAATCCCTGAGACGACGATGCACCACCACGAGTGTCCATCTCTGAGAGTTCTCGTGCAAAGCCGAGTAGATGATAACAGAATCGGAGCAGACACGGCGGACGGAGATGACGGTAATACAAGTACAAACGACCCTGAGGGCCGCCACGAGCGAAGCTGTCGGAGCTGCCTGTCAGACTTGTCGAGAAACACGCTGGCCACATGCCGCATGGCGTGCGTGCCCCGTAATTAGACAGCCACCATGGTTCTCGACGCGTCGTTCGCGTAGACCGGGGCTGTATCGCCTTGAACGATAGCGCGCGGGGCTTCGCCGTCAGCGTGAAAGTCCCCGGCATGCTTCGCTTTCTTGCCCCTCGCGCCTCCATCTTCGTTGCTCTTCACGCGCGACCGCTTCTTGTTCTTACTCGCGACATTGCCATTCACCTCCGCAGGCGCGACAGTAGTGGGCTCGGGAGGCTTCGATGCGGGAGGCGCAGGAGGTGGCGCCATGGTCGGAGGCGGGTAGGGCATAGGCGGAGCGCCAGGGTACGGCGGATACGGTGCGTAGACAGGATAGCCTGGATAGTACGGCGGATGGGGGACATGGGCGCCAGGTACGCCTTCGGGGTGCGGCTGCCCGTCGTGAGGAGGCGGGACATAGGGGTGAGGATAGACGTAAGGATAGTAGCTCTCGGGAGGCGCGGGGTACGGGGCCGGCGGTGGAGCAGACGTTTCACCTTCGCCGCGCACAGGCTGCATGAGCACAAAGGTGAGCACTTGGGATAAGGTATGGAAGACATACCGCTGGTGGGCGGGTCGTCCGTCTTGCTCTTGCGCTTGTAGGGACCTCGCTTCACGCCCTTCTTGCGCTCCTTGCGGACGCCGTCGATGCAGGTATCCGCGATTCCATACTTGACGCAGCGTTCGCACGGGCGGGCCTCATCGCAGCGTTTGCAGGCAGTCGCACAGTTAGTGCACTAAGACGCCACTGAGCGACGATCGAGAGGCGAAAAGAGCAAACGACCTACTGCCATCTTTACTTGCTTACGTTTGGGCCGCACCGTACTCGGCGTGGGCTGCATCTGAGGCTGATATGGAGGGAAAGCTGCGAGCATACGTCAGCAACTAGGTGGCTTGTTCGGCTTACTGATCGCCTCACCTTGGCCAGGCGGAGGGGCAGGATAGGCATAGACCATTCCCGGCGGCGGGGGCGGGAGCGCCATGAAGTATGGAGGGGGCGGCGGGGCCCCGTTAGCGGCATTGGGGTCGTGGCTGCCATCGGGGACGGCGGCGTAGGTATAATAGGGCGGATAGGGGACAGGCGGGGGATACTGGCCGCCATACTGCTGAGGAGGATAAGTGACTATGGGATGTGGCTGGAGATGTTCTGGGGCCCCGGGATTCGAGGACTTGGCTGGCTCGCTCGCCATGGCGGCGGGGGGTGCGGACGTCGAGGGACTGGGGCCGGCCGAGGGCGGGCGGGGGGCTTGTTATTTTTCTGGGACGCTGTAGGCATTGCAGCGGGTGGGTTAGAACACGTTCGCGGGAGAGGGAGGCGTGCTCCGGGGACCAGGAGCGGAGAACATGAGGAAGTTGCTCACTCCGACTCAAATCTCGTTCCCGATCTCGTCGCCGCTCAGAACTCACCGACTCTCCTCCCACTCCGTTTATGTTCCGTTTCAACTGCCTTCCGTCTCCGCAGCCCGTCAATCCGTGCCCACGAATGCTTGGATGGGCTGCAACCCGGAAATTGGACGAGAGCGTGCGGAGCAGTCCGACGAGCGCGAGGGTTTGATGGTCAAAGGCTCAAAGAAGAGTGCACGTGTCGCAGGCTGTGAGCCAAACTTTGTTGTTGCCACAACCGTGGGCGCTACGCAGGCGCGTCTCCCCTCGACGCCGACGGGGCCATGCTCGACGTACGCGGCGGGCACGACGAAGGGTCGCGCGCTGCGACCCTGGGAAGGCAATGTCGTGTCAGCGCTGCGACGTTCGCCGGGGCGCCACGCGAACGTGGACCCACAACCACAAGGCGAATATTCTCCGACCAAAGTGTCTGCGCTCCGCGAACACTTTACATACCAGCGGTGCTACTAGACATACCTTAGTGGATGCCTTCCCGCAGAGGTTTACAGCGCGCTCTATCCTAAATTTGCGCTGTAAATCTCTGCGGCAAGTCGGCATCTCGTGTGTACCGTTGCTTCGGATCAGTACACCCCTCTTCTAAACAGCTCATTTGGAAGGGGGGTAGGACCCCCCCTTCTAGGTACAAAACACGTCCGTAAAGTTGAGTTTGAGCCTCCGACGAGATTTGGATCTTACCGTCGCGCACGCACGTCGCACCCCGACTATGCTCTGCGCCGTATTGGTACGGGAACAAGCGGGAATTCTGGGGATATTGGGTGGATGGGCGCCGGGATGGTCAGAACTTGACGGCGCTTAACCCGTCGATGGTGTCGGCGAGAGGAGGGGCGTTGGTTAGTGCCCCTCGACAATACAGGAGCCTGCTCAACGAAACTACGCGATAACACTGCCGTACTGTCCTGGGCTCTGGGGTTGCCGCGCCAAGTGCACCGCCAGGACCTACATGCGAACTGTGCAACCTACCCAGCTGGATCTACCGCCCCCGGGCCGATGACGCATCTGCGCGATGCCACTTCTATGCAATGCCGCCTCCGAGCGATGCCCCTTCTATGCGATGAGTCGCTTCGAGCGATGATACCGTCTTGTAGCGTAGTTATCGTTCGACGAAATCGGTACCGTCCTGTGGTGTGCTCGTTTGACGAAGCCGTTTCATAGGCCGACGAGCATGTCCACGCGACGAGGCTATCTCGTAGCGTGTTCGCTCGACGAAGGCGTCTCGTAGCGGTCTAGCTCGACAATGACAGCAGACAAGCAGTCCTCGCCCATGGAACCTGCGAGCCAGTGAGATATCTATGCTTGAAAATATGATGCAGACACATTCGCAGCTGTGTCTTACGGTAACGTTGTGCCACCACGGCAACGCGGCATTATTTGAGCTCCGCAAGGTATTGTCCATGGATTTTGAGTGGAGCTACGGAGGCGCACTGCAGATAAACATTTCTTAACCATAAAATCCAGGGCCCGCGAATGCATTTAGAATCGCTGAAAAGCCTGCGGGAAGGCATCCAGTCTTCCATCAATTGTGTTCGCATCTCTATGATATCTCAGCAACTGGATCTGAATCTCATACATTTCCTTGGGCTATACAACGGAGGTAAGTACACCAGCGCTTGCGAAGCGTTCAAACAGTCGAGCTCATCGTCTGGTGCTATTCAGGCTGCTTTGAATAGTCACGCCGCTTGGCACCTCCCACCTACGATTCCAAGTGATCCGATTATGTCTCCATCAGCTCTGGGCACCACTCCCTCAACCGCTCTGATTTGGACTGCTCTTGGGTACTTACTGCTATAGCAACGAACATGTCCGAGTCGGAGCGCACATGTCTCGTATTTGTCTCGCGGTGAGATACCTTGAAGGACTCGATTCCACCTCCGTGACAGTCGGATCCCCATCTCAGTGGTTGCCGCGCAAGGCGGTCTATAAACATTCGCATTGCAATGAATTCGTGACCGCTATTTTGGGTCTAATATTCGTTTCCTCACGCTAGCGCCAAATAGAATGTCTGAGACAACCCGCGGGATCTCGCTGAATATCTCAAGATGCATCAACTACTTCAAAAACTTGGTTACCCCGGTACAGGTGAGTTATCCGAACTTGACTTCACGCATGCTACAGAGGTCATAGCGGAACCGCCGGGTACTTCTTAGATGCATGACGCTGAAGGTACAGCTCCTCTCGTATAGTGGAGTCTATCATAGGTGGCCGTAGTCTACCCCAATTTGATGATATGCATTGGCAGCCCATCAAGCTGGGATGTTTTACTACGGTGCAAACGGCCGTGAACGGGCGCTTACTCTGATGAGTCTGGTACCGATGCGATCTCGCGTCCGCGTTTCCTGTCTCGGACTGCAACCAGACGGTAGCTCGATTCCATGGAACACTGTTGCTACTCATGGTTCTCTAGTTATTACTTGTGATGGGAGTACACTAAAGATACAGGATCTACAAATCCTCAACTTGGATAGTACATCCGAGTCGTGCCTGTCAGCAGCCTCTCTGCGGCGTGGACAAGTCACAACTTGAATGACATTGGGACAGTATCTTCGCTTCGAGGCCTCGTCGACTGTGGCAATTAGCTCAGATGTCCAGATGTTCAACACATCTACGGAACGTAAGTAATAGGGAGCGTCCCCTCATGCTTTCGCAGGTCCAATCGGTGGCAGTTATACCCAACAAGTTCGGAACGCCCATGAACGAGATATCCCCGTTTGACCAGTGCATCAGCGACGGAGGTGTTCCCAGGCAGCAGGACATCTTGTGCAGTGCACTTCAGCGCGGGAGACTCGCCATAGGGACCCTCGATCACAGTTAGCCTGCAACTCGAAGCTTCGCCGTCCGACGTAGGCCCGGGGTTGTAGACCTGTGGACGCGGATGAGGGTATGGTGAGTTCAGTGTAGGGTTCCACGTACGTCTAACCGCGCTCGGTACCAGAATGTGTACCATTTGCTCCCAGACCATGCAACTTCAGGTTCCGCGATGACTGGAAGACCGATATACACTGTCGTCTGGAAGCCATCAAGAGCCACGGAAGCCTCCGATGAACATCAGCTACACACCATGTGCTCGCTTCTCTGCTTGTATATCTCGTCGGGCAGAGGGTGGATCATACCGGGGACCATAAACTCGCCCACCCAGGGGACGACTTGTAGCCGGACGGGTTCCTTATCTACGAGTCGCTGCGCCAGCACGATGTACGTCCGCAGCACGGCTCCGTTCTGCTCGTCGTGAGTGCATACAAATTCCGGACACTCGCTGCAGTATCGCACTAACCACAGTCGTCGACAGAATAACCTTCTCCACGACAGCGTCCATCCATTCGCTGAACCTTCCGATGAAACTTGGGTAGGGCTGAATGTGGCCCGGCATGACGGCGCGCCAGTTGCCCTTGTGCTGCATCTTGGTGAAGTAGCGTAGGCGGACTTTGCATGGGTGCCCAACCTGGAGTCTTGTCAGACACTACTGATACACATGTGGCGTTGACACCGAGACTGCATGGGATGCCCACCGATACGGGTACTATGCGGTCTTCCAGGACAGTTGGGATGGCGTACTCCGGGGCGATGGATTCTAACGGGCCGAGTGGGTCTAGATCAGTAATGCACTCTCCCCATTCACAGTTCCCGAGCAAGTCCCTCGTCCAACGTGGGTACCGATGTACGCCGACAATGAAGGAAGGCGAGTCAGAGGCCATGAGGAGCCGTAGCGGGAGGGTAACGACAATCCCCGGGTACGATCCCCTTCGCGCTCCTTATATTTTCTGCCCAGACTCGACACTGCCACCACCGTCTCTATGGGACGCGTACGAGACTCGTCGAGGCGTTGTAACAACGTGTTTCGTGATATGCGCGTGCCCGGTGAGTATAATGCACTGGCTGCATTGTCCGCCTTGTTTGGGCCTAGCAACGACGACTCGCAGATCCATTACAATAGAGTATGGTCTGACCAGCGGCGTTATAGAGGGTCAATGCAGCCGCTGTGCATTCCAGTAATCTCTAACCTGGTGGCTGTCATGTTTCCTTTCGACGCACATCGTCACGGTCACCGTTGTGGCGCTGGTACCATCCCCTAGTACTCACGTAGCTCATTTGCCCACCAGGAGCACGGCAAGCTTCAGCCAAAGTACCTTGGTCATACGAGGATGCATGCAACAAAGATTGAGACAGATGAGAAGACGAATCATCTGGCGCACCCCATTCTTTCACATCCGAACGACGACCGCCCTCCCTCTCTCAATGACTCGCAGGTCGTACCGTGGCCATTGCCAGTGAATCATCGCGCCGCCATGACCTTGCTCAGCTCCTTCAGTTGCAAGCTCCGCCACTTTGCGTAATCCTCGGCATCTTGATACTCCTCGAGAACATCAACGCAGCTCAGGCTCGTCTCTACCGTGGAGTCGGAGTCTACGGGCCTCAGGAATGGCGGGCCAGGAAGGATTGCTGCGCGCTCGACATAAGCAAGTCTCAAGATGACATTGACGAAGAACACTGGAAGCTTGCCAACCTTGCCTACAACAGAGATCAGGCGAGAACAGAGGTGATAGCGGAGGTCAGAGCCAGGCTGTGGCGAGGAGGCTGCCAAACGACGGGCGGCAGCGATGTCTGATCCGCATCCCGATTTGGTAGTCTGGTACTTTGTTCGCTTTCGCGTGCCAGTGCCAGCTCCGTCACAGCGTGTCGCATCCAGGTGCCGACTGCCATGTAACTTTGTATGCTGTTTACATAAACCTCCATGAAGTGGTTCCATATCCAGTCTACGCCCACGTTCGAGTTCACGGTACAGTACTGGTTTTTTTTTTCCACGTGCACGGCCGCTTCGATCGTACTAATACGTGTCCCTCCGCTGGCTATGCTGTGCATCTTCCATCCAGGCCAATGTCGCTCACAGGAATAAATTCAATTCCCGGGCGCAACAGTCGACACGTCAAGAGGTAGGAATACGAGACGCCGAAGGCGTGAAGTCCTGACTCCATGACTAGTGACTAGTTAGTAGTGACTACTTGTCCGAAGAGGTGACGCGAACACCCTGAACTTGACCGCAACCATCGTGAGTTGCCCATCCCTCCAACGTAGCCGATCAAGATGACAGTGTATATTCGCGGACATCATACGACAGGCGAGAGCGCGAAGTATGGCAGCATGTGAGGATACGATGTATCAGGTATAGGGAAGAAAGAGCCTACAAAATACAGCCAGCCAACAGTCTATGAATCGGCAACGCGATCTATATCGCCGCATATAACCACGCACGCGCCCGATACCTGTCAGGCGCAGCCTCTTGAGGTCATTCGGCACACCGCGTCGCATGTACGAGAAAGCAGAAGTGAGTCCAAAATCAAGTCGGGTGCAGTCGTCATACGAGGCTACAGATGTGTCGAGTGGGATATGTCGCAACCGTCTATCAAGTATGCGAGATCTACGAGGGAGGAAACAAAACAGTAACGAATGGAAGGAGAGCAAGGACAGAAAGGCGCGAAATCAGAGCTTCGCGATGATCAAGCCGATGACGACGACGATAATAGTAGAGGGCGCGGTGAAGACAACGTACGACCAGAAAATCGTGCGACTGATGAGCCGCTCGAAGGCGTCGCCCGACGCCGCCTGCGTGATCTGCGCGAGCGTGAGCGCGGGCGGGGACGCGATGATGAGTACGTTCGACACGATGAACACAGGGCTATCAAGTAATCAGTAACAGACCTCTTGGATAGACGGGAGGCAAACGCACTCTTCGAGAAGCCGCTGAATGTTGTACTTCGTCGCGACGACTAGCAACGGCAGGAGCAGCAACGGCGTGATCACCATTCTCGCTAGAATAACGACGATGACCGTTGTCGTCTCCCCCGAGTTCTCCTTCTGCACAGACCTCGGCTCCCGGTTCCTCCTGAAGCTGAATTTCTCGCGCAATTGGCTGGAAAGCGTCGAGAACCACGCCTTGCTCCCCTTGCGGATCGGCGGCTGGTGGGTCGGGAGCTGACTCTTGTCGGCCGGCCTCCAGAAGTATCCACCGAGGACGACTAGCGTGATGGGGATGGAGCAGTTGCCCATTTGAGTGATCGCGCCTGTGATGGGCGGGACGTGGTCCTCGATGAAAGATTGCAGCGGCCCGATTAAGGCGACGATAATCGACGCGAGCGCAGCCCACAGGGGCACGGTCATGAAGTCGTAGAAACCGATCCAGAACCTGCGGAGCCGGTTGAGCGTGTGCTGCATACGGGACGGCTGTTCCACGGGTGTCGACTCCGGGATTGTGTTTTCCAAAGGGGGAAGCAACGTGTTCTCATCGAGCACGCCTTCTTCGGCGTACAGTGATGACGCGCCTGATCCTGATGCTTGTGGCTGGAGTTCGGGCGAGATGGGTCGTGAACCCGGGAGCGACTTGGACTCCTCGACGCGAACATGCGTGAGGGTCTTTGCATCGTCCACATCTGTCAGAGTGGAGGCCTCGTGTCGCAGGGTCCGCTCCCCTTCGGCCGAATTGGAGCTCGCGACCTGTACCGGCTCGGTGGGAGATTGGTTAAGGTGTTTGTCTGAGTCTGGGTCGCCCGACGCCAAGAGCTTGACGCCAAAACTCCATCGGACCTAGCGAACCACACGTTAGAAGCTGAAAATCACTGCGCAACATGTTCTACGCACAATCATGCCAAGGGTAGAGTAGAGCACGAGATAAGTCAGTGCTCTACTCAGCATGGCGCTTTGTGAGTCGTCGCTTCCCCACTTCAGATCGGGGACGGTGACGACGAGACTCTGCATCAATGCTATCGGAAGTGTGTTTGAGTTCATGAACATAGCAGCCGCAATGGAATAATTCCTGCATTGTAGAGCCCAGTCAGCATACATTCGCCACGCTATTGCACGGATAATAAGTCATAATGAACAAGATCGAGTGTAGATTGACGTTCTGATCGACAAGACTTGTGATTTGCCTCCGCATGCTTATCCGGTGGCGGAGATCGGCCGCAGCGTTATCTTATCAAGACAGTGCCCGGATCAGCATCCGCCACAGAAGGGCCAAGGCTGGCCAAGGCCACAGATGAGCAGAGCGCTTGGCGATTTCGAGCTCGGCTCCGTACCGAGAACGCCAAGGAGCTCGCGTAGTTCACGAAGCCTGTCCGAAACGTCGAAGCAGGCTTCGCGGCACAGAAGCAGCCGGAATGACGGTGGCGGAAGAAGGGTTGCTCACCTTTGCGACCTCTTCAGCTTGAAGAGAGTTGAGAGTGCGAGCGCGACGACGGCCGAAACTACAGTGATGATGACGAAGAAGACTGGTATGACCCATAGCTGGGCGAGTTTGGCTACGGTACGGTAAGACGGTGTTGTGACACGAGTGGCCTTCACAACGCACCTGGTGTAAGGAAAAAGGCAACTTTGCCAAAGAGCAGTGCCGGCGTGAAGATGGAGACGTTGACGCGGTTTAGTTGCTGTTGCGTAGTCCATGGATGTCAGCGGCCTGCGGCATACTGGAAGCTGTGGCTCACCTTCTGCGTCTTCTTGTCAAGAATGCCCTGTACGGCAAGGATATAACCAGCAAAAGTGATGATGAAGACTTCAATGATAGACTACGGGACCGGTCAGCACCTGTTCCGACGGCGAGGATAGGACGTACTTCAAGGACAACCAGGACAAGTGGAGCAATTGGTGTTGAGGCCATGGTGACACGGGGCACTGCCCAAGGGCAGATCAGTGGAAGGAGAGGGCGCTGCCCGGGGGCGTATAGTGAATGAGAGGGCGCTGCCCGGGGGCGGATGGAGAATGAGAGGACGAGAGCGGTTCTGCCGATGCGTCATTTGTAGGGTACGCGGTGGCTGATTTCTTGAGTAACCAGAGCCACCCCCGGCGCACCCCATAGTGTCATACCAAGACCGTGTCGCAACTCCTCTGTCCCATGCGAGCGCTTCCCCCGCCACGATGCTACCTATATCCGGCTTCCCTCCCTTCCCTGCGGGCCATCCCCGTCGCGTGAAGGCTTCTTTTCTCGTCGCCCAGCCTGCGCAGTCGCCGAGCACCCCATATGCGGCACTGCCTCTGTCGCCTCTGTCGCCCAAGGCAACTCAAGAGATCTGCCCGCTCCATTTACCATGTCGAGCCTGCCCGACACGGTGTTATGGCCGAGAGTGCGTTACCTGCGCCCAGACGGCGTTGCATTCGTGGTTTGCATCTATTCGGCCTCCGACGCACATTCATGTTCGTAATAGGGTGTGATGTGATGGTTCGCCGCGTCGGCTATGACCAGTGGTTTCCTACGATTGGAAGTCGCGACCCTCCGTGAGTACGCTTCGTCTCGGGTTATCGATGGGTTTTGCCAAAAACAGACCTCTGGATCTGCGCAGTCAGAGATTCCACGTCGCAGGATTACACCCGGTGAGGCGTCCCAATTCAGTCGTCGGGATCCTGTTTGCGCGAAGTATTGAGCGAGAGAGCTGGTAGGGCATAGAGCCTTATAGATCAAGCAGCTGACTGATGTATCGCTAGCCTCCGATGAGGTTTGTTCTAGACTCTGCATGTCCAGAAAACCAGCAGTGCTTCCGTCAAGTGAGTTAGTTCCACTGAGCCACTCAATTTCTCGTCGACATGAGAGACCCCTGTTCTTGGGACCTTCTGCGTTGGTTGAGCACAAGGTCGCAGTCTGGCAGAAGACATACCGATCGAGCACCAGCGACGCTTCTGTGATCGTACATCCTCCTCACCCACCCGATTTCTCGTCGACCTGAGAGACCGGGGTCTGGGGCGACTGCGTTGATCGAGGTCACATCCTGCATGTCCGAGGCAGACAAATTTCGATCGATGGTCAGTACTCAGTAGCAGGAGCAAAAAGACGCGAGATGCTACCACTCACTGCAGCCAGAATTTGAAGCGTTCTGGAACGCATGCTCGTTCTCGTCGACCTGAGAGAGCGATGTTTGGGGTGCCTTCTATATTCATTCAGCATCGATCTCACTCAGGCTTTGCATACGAAACAGACTGAATACAACGGTGTTCACAGGCACCTACGTCATCGCTACCGCATGTTACCAGAAAGTGGAAGGTCAACAATGTTGCGCGAGCTCTTCACAGCTCTTGGAGCTTGAAGCTGAAGGTTGAACGTTTGAACGCGTCTCCGAGTCTCTGCGAGTCCGCGCCGACTTGTCTACAGATCCGATCGGCACGAGCGCTTAGGAGTGTGGCAACACCGTGATCGTCGAAGTTGAGGTTTGTTCTTCAACTGGACGATATGTATTATGTGACTGATGTTTACATAGCCCCAGGCCCTTAGCTCGAGGCTGGTCAGTATATGTTGGTATACGTTGGGGACGGCAGCGCATGCTGATAGTTCTCACATTATCAGTGACTTTGAGCGAACAGAAGGGAACAGCTTCCGAGGTAATTGATCGAAGACTCGGAGGTGAGCCTGAGTAATGATTCATGAATGACTCAACGTACAGGGTGTTCACTACTAATACCACTAACTTTATGAAAAGATGGCTGTCGCGCCCGTCTACGCCCGCATATGTCACAGTAATGAGTCCATAATTGAGCCGTCCGTGTCTGCAGAGCGGCCACGATATGATGTCAGGAAGACCGGCGCTCGGCGCCCTCAGGCTGAGGTGCGCACCGTGGCTCCCAATTGAAGCGTTATTGAGCAACAGCTCACGCGTTAGCCTTCGATAATATCGAATCATTCATGGTTCGAGGCCTGTGCCCCCGGTATGTAGCTTGGTTCCATTGACGATGTGCGGCCAGGTAGTCCACAGTGGGGATGATTGTCGTACTACTAACACTGGCAGCATTGACCAAAGAGGCATCGCATATGTTGCCGGTACATTGCGGCCCATTTGATGCCAAGTTTACGGGTGTAGTCGCTGCCTTCCGCTGTGTGGTCACTCATTGCTGAACGCATCTCTTCTTTTTCTCATCACAGCCACAGGCACACCACGCAGTCTCGTCGTGTTAACATGAAAACTGCATGTGGTACGAGAGCCAGCGCTCCGGTTCCGAGCCTGCCAAGGGATATCTCGCTGGTGGAGACTCCGGGCATGATCGCATTCTACTTGCTCCACGTTCTCACTCCATCCGCGGCATGCAATAATAAGACCTTACTACTCGGCCATCTCCCGCTGAGCGCACCCCTCACCGACAATTCCTCCGGCGATTCCACTGCCAGTCGCACGGCATTGCACCCGTCGACGACCGCTCGTCATTCCCCGTGCGTACGTGATTCTGCTGCTCTTCGCGTTCTCACAATGAGTAAGGGCTAAATGATTCCGTGTCCAGCGCGGCGCATCCTGGTTTGTACGACTGCTGACGCAAAAATGTCTCATGTATCGACGGGCCGCGGGCCTGCGCATCCTGTTGCGGCCCCAGGGACCCGAGGATCCGGAGCCTATGGTCGGATTGACAAGTCGGCCGTCATCGAGAAGCCGGCACGCTCGAAAAGGCGACAGGCTTCGTCGCGGCTGTGACTCACACTAGCTCCTTTCACCACATCGTTCTCGGTCGCTGCCAGTGGCGCGGTGTCTCACCTATGGATCTCGCAGTACGGCATTGTTGTGGAGCATGCGTCGTCTATGACTGATGGTGGATCAGGCGTGGGGTGACCGCTTTCTTGCCTCGGTGAGATGTTCATCTCTGTCTTTCCTACGGTGCTGTAGTGACATTCCGATGGGCACTGCATGTCCCTGCAGAATATTCCAGGCATTGGCTCAATTCAGGGGGTTGTCTTGCGAATAGAAGCGGAAAGATACGCTGAAGACTAGAATGGCTCTGGTGTAGCAGCTGAGTCGATGTTCTCGCCCCCTACGTCTAAGGGGTGAAGGAAGGTTGAATGACCTCGCGCACCTGGTGTCGGTGCCTCGTGCGCCGCAATGCTTTGCCGAGGCGACGCCCGCCTGAGGGAACATCTGGAATATCATCGAGCCACGGTGATGGTCCGACAGGGACACCATCGATATGGTCCACGCTTTCCGCCGACGCAGCTGAGCTAAGGTAATATGGTTCGCGAAATCGCAAAAGCTCTGAGCTCAAGGGCCGGAAATATATCGGTGGATAAAGAAGTTCTCAGTAAGTAAATGCTAGCACCCTGGTCGAACTCATTCAAGCGAGGTAAACAGCACCGACCGGGAAAAGGTATCCTGAATATGAATGAAAGTCCTTTGATATGTGCGCGTGGATTTATATTCTATGTGCTCCCAGCCTGAATGGGCAATACTTGTCTACGGCAATGAAGTTCATATGATACTAGCGTCGAGGAGGTTGCCTCTCACAGACTATGCTCAGTTCCTCCAACCCATCCATCCCAGACGACAGTACTGACATTCGCATGCAGCCACTCCTTGTCTCCAGGCTCGAGCTCGCAGCAGCCGCGAACTTCCAAGTAGCTCACCGACGACACCACGAACTCCTGGTCGCCATTGAGCGCGAAGCCCGTAGCCTCATGACATACACGCCGCGCCTCGAGCATCGCGCGCAGGTCCGAGCTGCGGAAGTTTTTGCACCCTTCGATCGTGAGACCTTGGAGGATGGGGCATAGCCAGTCGTCGTCGTCCACCTCCACCTCGGATTGTGCGGGGATAGGCTGAGCGAGCTTGCGCAGCACGTCTGCGGTGAGGCCGTCGCAATTAGTGAACCACGCGTCGCCGCAGTGCAGGTCTTGCGGGTCCGCCGCAAAAAAGTGGATGAGCGCTGCCGGGGTGTCAATCTCCACCATCGTTATGTGGTGAGCCTCCACGAGCGCTGCGCCTGCGGGCGAGGGGGCTGTGCACCGCGTGTACGATGTGTAGTCGACGACGGGGTACCCGAGGAGCCGGCCGTACTCCGCGATCACGGCGCCATCCATGTCGATGAAATCGACATTGCCCTGCCAAAATGGCGGCTTAGACGTATAGATGGGCGGCCCGCCATAGGAGCAGTCAAGATGTAGATTGTTGAGCTGAAGCCTAGATAAATCAGGGCAGCTTCTGAAACAGGTAAGGAGGTCGGCGAGCGAAAAGACTGCGTTGCGCGAGTCGTAGTCGGTAATACTGAGGATGATGATTTTGGGTGGCATCGCGAACAGAGGGAGAAATCTCTTGTACGAGTTGTTGAAGGCGACTCCACCAATGGAAAGTTGTTCCATGACAGGGGTGTAGAACTCGCCAGTGAGCGGTGCCGTTCCTTCGGTGCTGTTGATCGAGTCATCGACTACGAAGTCGAGAATGAGTGTTTTGAGCTGCTCTGCGCATCCTACGAGGTCGATATGGGGAAGCGGAAGCGAGCTGGAGTGCAGGAGCTTCATGCATAAGACCCTCCACCGTTTGACAGAGGGTAGGAGCGCCTCAATGGCGGCGTTCACCTGGGCCTTCTCCGTAGGGTCCTCCATAGATGGATCGAACCGGCGCACAATGTATATCTCGAGGGGATGATTTCGGGACCACGCAAGGTGCTGGTGTATCCTGGAGAGCGGAGTAGGGTCCCTGCCGACCCAGATCACGAAACGCGTCCAGAAGTGCGATGAGTTCGACATGGCTTCTCGCCACGCGGGTGAGACGGAGGCGAGACATTCCGGAGATGGGTGCTGAGGATTCGGGTCATCAGATGACAACCAAGGAGCTAGCGTGATGCCGTAGGAGTTTTCAACGTCTTGCCGTCTCCGTGGAGGCCCTGCAGCCTTGAACACATCGTTGAAGATGAGGAGGAGGACATCGGCCGGAAGATCAAGGACGGTTGCACAAGGCTTCCGGTCGCTCCTGATGCTGCTGTTCTCGGGCAAGCTGTCGGCGGTATCGACACTGACAGCTCTGGACGCGTTTGCACTGTCCACTGACGAGGCTGCGGTGGCTGCCTGCTCTGCCTGCGTACAGCGGCGTAATGAGTATGGTAATTAAGTTGAAATGAAACGAGACGAATGCTCGTTGCCTACCATGCTCTTACGTTCGTGAGTCTCCTGTATGAAGGTGCACTCTAAGTACTGTTGCTCGGTTGCAACTCGGTTGCTATGTGAAGTGGATGTGGATGTGGATGTGGATGTCGGCGGGGAGCCTGCGGGCCGGCGGGGCGACGCGCACCAGCGCTTCAGCTTGGCTTGGCCTGACCGCCGCCATGCGCGACTTCAATTATGCGCGAATCATCCCAGCAGCCTGAGTACAAGGTGTCCCTACCTCGTCCGACTTCCCACTGGCACAGGGAATGCGATCAGGCTCACACTAATTGACTTTTAACGTGCCTATCGCAAATTACTGTGTATCGCGACAACACGGCGTAGCTCGGAAATGAATATGAATACTTCAGTAGCAGTCTCAGTGTTAAACTATATATGTACGTAATGTACACTGTGGGATACGTGCGTCACGGTGTCAGGCCTAGGTATACTATGGATGAATAGTAAATACCTATTATTATAATATTACTTCCAAGCGGCATCCGAACCGTGATCGCATGAGCGATCATGCTGAAGTGGGCACATGTCTACTACGCATCGAAGAGATCACCTCTTACGCGGTAAATCCATATCCTCCTACCCAGTCATCCCAGACAACTAGTCGAACGTTCGCGTGGAACCACTCCTTGTCTTCGGGCGCAAGGTCGCAGCAATCGCGAACATTCAAATACTGCAGCGACAACACGAGAAATCCCGGATCGTCTGGACCTACAAATCCCGTTTCTTCATGTAATTTGAGCCGCATCTCAAATACCACACGCACGTCCGTGCTGCTGAACTGCTTGCACCCTTCGATCGTCAGCGCCTCGAGGTACGGGCACAGGTAGAACCAAGGGTTTTCCGCTTCTGGCCCAGCAATCCGCACGCGCCCCGCGAGCTTGTTCATTATGTCCGTGGTTAGACCATCGCAGTTTTTGAACCACGCATCCCGGAATTGACTGTCGTACGGAACGGTGGTGAAGAGGGTGAGAAGCGTCGTGGCATCGTGGATTTCTTCCAGCTTGACGCAGTCAGATTCCGGCAACCTGAGTTCATGGAACCCAGCAGGGGCCCAGCAACGCGTGTACGACATCCGCTCAACGCAGGGATGACCGAGAAGCCGGCTATATTCTGCGATGACGCTGGCGTCCATGTCGATGAAGTGAACGTCGGCCTGCCAGTGCTGCATGTCGAAGATTTCGCCGTGCGATTCCCAACAAAGGAGATGGAGATTGTCCAATGTGAGACCACGCAGGCTCCAACAGCTCCTGAGACAAGTGAGCAGGTCGAAAACGAGGAAGGGCGCGTCATGTCGGCTGTAGCCCGCGATGGAAAGGAAGGTGAGGTTGGGTGGCATGGCTAGGAGGGGGAAGGGTCCGACAAACAACCAGCGGAAGTGAACACCACCCATGGATAATTTCTTCAACGCGGGAGTGTGGAGCGCACCGGCCAGGTGTGAGTCCATTTCCTCGCGATAGACTAGATCGTCTATCAAGAAATCTAGAACAAGCGTCTCGAGCATGTCTGCGCGCCCCACGAGGTCGAGACACGGAAGCGGGATTGAGCTCGCACGCAGGACCTTCATACACAAGGTCTCCCACCGCCTGATCGATGGCAGAAGCACTCTGATGACGGCCTTCACCTGTGCCCTCTCCCAGGGAGCCTGTAGAGACGCGGACGGGTCGAGCCTGCGCAAGATGTAGATGTGGAGGGGGCGGTCCCGCGACCAAGCAAGGTACTCGCGGATTCTAGGCAGTGGGGTTGGATCTCTGCCGATCCATATGACAAAGTGCGGCCAAAAAACCGAGGAGATAGACATCGCCTCCCGCCACAAAGGAGAGACAGACGCAAAACATTCCGGGAAGGGGTATCGGGGATTCGGATCGTCGTACGGCGGCAGAGCAGCGATATGAATTCCAAAAGCGTGACCTTGTTGTATCTGTGGATGACAGACAGCATGGCTCGCATAGTCGATGATGATGATGAGGATCTCCGGTGGAAGGTCAAGGACAGTGATACGAGGCTTGGAGGCCCGGGTAGCACCGCTGTGCTTAATCGCGGCAACAGCGAAATGGCTGGACGAATGTGCACTGTCCGCCAGCAAAGCCATGAAGGCTGTTCGCGCTGCCCGGATCCATGCCTTTACAAACTTATTAGATGGGCCTCCAGATGACACGCCACATACTACATGATGACTTACCGCGCTCAGGCTTTCAGCCACGGTGGCTCGCTTCTGCCCGTCCATACAGTAGGTGCGTACTCACCTCAAACCAAGACCTCGGAGGAGGTTCTTTATTGATTGCTGGAAGCGCTGTAGATATACTGCTTGTTCCAATTCAAGTTGTTGTGGACCGTGGTTGCTACGTTACGTTCAAGTTGTGGCTTGTTGTGGCCAGGTTGTGGCGCACTCAGGTAGCGCGGAGCCCCGGGCCGCCGCGCCGAGGTTGGCCTCAGGCCTGAGCTGGTGATCAGTACAACAGCATTTGGTGCGCTCGTTGTATGTAAACACAATGACAGCGACGTACCGGTCACTCTGTATAACAGTAGGTATGTTGCGTTGTCGCAGCATCGAACCCCTCCAGCAGTAACACGCCGCAAGCTTTACATACCCGTCAAACTCACGCTTGCCAGTGATGACAACTTGAAATCTGCGATGCATAACAGGGATATATGGTACTAGATGCCTACAGTACAAAAATGAGTTAAACAGTCTATGAATCAGCCACACCCTCTACAGTGCAAACCACTATCACCACAACCACACCACCACCCGCCCGGCCATTCCAAGGCCGGACGATACATGCACAAACCCGTAAACAACATGTCACCACCAACCCGCTCAGTAGCGAGTCACGCCATTGCCGTCACACGTATGCACAAAGAAGTATGCGTAGACGAGATTCATCGCAATCGTGTATCATGATGTAAGATTGCGCATCGTAGACGAAAGCAATTCGAGATTAGAGCTTCGCGAGCACCAGCCCGACGACGACGAAGAGGATGGTGGAGGGCGGGGTCATGACGCAGTACGACCAGAAGACCGTGCGGCTAATAAGTCGCTCGAAGGCGTCACCAGACGCGGCCTGAGTAATTTGTGCGAGCGTGAGTGCGGGCGGGGACGCGATCAAGAGGACGTTCGCGACGACGAACACAGGGCTTGAATAAGGCATGTATCAGCATCAAGCAACATACAGGCACGGAACATAACACGCACTCCTCGAAGACTCGTTGTACGTCGTACTTCGCCGCGAGCGCCATCAGCGGGAGCAGCAGCAGTGGCGTGATCACCATCCTCGAGAGCACCGCCACGGCGACCGTCTTCGTCTCCCCAGGGCGCGCCTGCCTCCTCGTCGGCGGCCGCACCTCCTCCTCGGCGTCCGCCTCCCTCCTGCGCAAGCTGAACATCCCGCGCACCTGGCTGTAAAGCGTCGAGCGCGAGGCCCAGCTCGGGGAGCGGCTGAGCGTCTTGTGCGCCGGGAGCGCGCGCGCGTCCTCGGGGGGCGAGTAGAAGTACGCGCCGAGCACGACGAGCGTGAGCGGGATGGAGCAGTTGCCCGCGGCGTTGAGCGCGCCCTTGACGGGCTGGATGTGCATCTCGAGGATGTGCTGCAGCGGCCGCACGCACGCGACGAGCAGCGACGCGAGCGCGGCCCACAGGGGCACGGTCATGAAGTCGTAGAGCGTCCGCCAGGCGCTGCGGATGCGGTTCCGCGTGCGCCGCATGCGGGATTGCCAGAGCGAGGAGGTCGGCTCGGGGATTGGGCGCCCCATGGGCAGCTCGCTGTCATCCTCGCTGTCCCCGTCCGAATAGTCGTGGGCATAGACGGAGGGTGCGCCGGATGTTGACGCTTGAGGCTGGGGCTCGGGGGAGAAGGATCGAGAGCTGGGAAGCGACTTGGGGTCATCGGTGGTGGTGGGCGGATGCGTGAGGGTCTTCGTGTCGTCGACGTCAGTCAGCGAGGATGGTTCGTGGCGCAGAATGCGATCTTCCCCTGTTGAGTTCGGGAAGGCGGTCTCATCTCGTTCAACAAGGGGACTCGCAGGCAGTTCTTCCACGGTGTCTGGGTCTGCACTTGACAAGAGCCTAACTCCATAACTCCATCGGAGCTGGAACGAACCAGATGTGAGGATGCAAGAGATGATGAGAAGATGGAGTGTACGTACAACCATGCCCAGGGTAGAGTACAGCACAAGATATGTCAGTGCCCGACCGACCATAGCGTTTACGTTGTCATCGTCGCCCCACTTTAAGTTGGGTACGGTGACGACAAGACTCTGCATCAGCGCTATTGGCAATGAATTCGAGTTCATGAACATGGATGCTGCAACGGCAAAGCTCCTGCATCATGTGTCCAAGTCAGTACTGCGACTCAATGCTGGGATCGCTCAGCCACGGAATGGACACGATCGGAATGAGATTGGCATTGATGGCACATGGCCTGTGATTTGCTCCCGCACGAACGTGCCTGCCAGATTAGGCGCGTACGATCAGCCGCAGCCAGCATCTTATCAGATAAGCCCGGATTAGTCTTGCGCCCCTGCGCGCCTTATGGCGCAGCAATTGCACCGCCGGCGGCATAGGAGGCGATAGGGCTCGGAGAGGGGACAGTGCTCGGAAGGTGCCTATCGACAACGGAGCTTCCGGACGAGATGCTGGCTGAGGACGTGGCCACATGTAAGCAGCTTGCTGGGCGACCCTGCCTCGGCGTCGCACCGAGATGCCCAGGGTCTCGCCTAGTGGACGAAGAGCACTGCACGGCGAGGAACAAGCACTGGGGTGTGCGGGAGCAGAGCGAGGAAAGAATCGGAACGTGGACACTCACCGTTGCGACTTCTTCAAGCGCAGTAACCATCCGAAGACATACGCGACCACCATCGAGACACCAGTCGTGAAGACGAAGAATATTGGAATAATCCATAGCTCGCGCAGCTTGGCTGTATTCCGGTCAGCGTGTATAATGGTTGGGCGATAGCGGAAGCATACCTGGTGAGAGGAAGAAGGCGACTTTTGAGAAGAGCAGCGAAGGCGTGAACAGGGAAACATTGAGGCGGTTTAGTTGCTGGTGGGCAGCAGAGAAGTCAGTGGATGGAATGGCACCCGCAGAAATGACGCACCTTCTGTGTCTTCCTGTCAAGTATGCCCTGTGTTGCAAGGATGTATCCGGCAAGACACATGAGGAAGACTTCGAGAATAGACTGATGACCGACTCAGCACGCAGACCGTCTGCGGATTAGATATGCACGCACCTCGAAGACGACCTTGAGAAGGGGGAGGACTGGCGTTCCGGTCATGAATGGCGTGAGTTGAGGGCGCTGCCCGCGGGCGGATGGGAGGAGAGGGGAGGGACTGCAGTGCTTGCCCGATGCGTCATATGTAGGAGCCGCGGCGGCTGAGCGCCGCGCCTGGCCCATCCCATGCGGGCGCTTCTCCCGCTCTCCTCTTCCCATATCCGGCTTCCCTCTGCTCCCCGTCGCCGCGCCGCTCGTCTTCTCTCGTCGCCCAGCGTCCGCAGCCGCATCGCATCGTCGGCGCTGCTGCTGCCGTCGCCTCTGTCGCCCAGCACCGCGTAGCCGCTGCGCTTCCGCCGTCTGATGTGCCTTCCATGCTTCAGCCGAGAGCTTGTACGCCACGCCCAGACGTGCACTGGTAGTGGACCACCTTCGGCGACCGGTGCAAACGTACGGTTCCCAATAGGGTACGGTGCGAACCGTATCTACAGCAGTCAGTAATGCACTTGTCGCCATTGGATCTCTCAGCGGGTCACGACCCTCCGTGAGTACACACCTTCCGCGGTACTTACAGTGCCAAAGCGATCCACGCAGCCTGAGAAGCTGGAGTGCACAAATTACGCGCCCATTTCACCGATACGTGTCCATTCAAAGTTGGGACCCTGTCTGCACGAGGGCATCCCAAGCGCTTGTCTGGGAAAAGGGAGGGAGAGGTTAAGGAGAGGTGGCCGGGATCGATCGTTGTGGACAAGCAGCTGACTGAAGCTGAGTAAGTTTGTCACTGCGAGTTGCTCGAAAAAAGGTTGGAATTCAACCTGGACAGCAGGAACACTAGTTCCGCCCGTCAGCGGTCCTTCCGTGCTCAACTTGCGCTTTTGGGCTGTATCCTTCGTACTAGTTCATGAACGCCGACTTCTTGCTGCCTGTCAGTGACAACCCACTCCTCCTCCTCCTCCATCATTGTCGGGTGCAGTGGCGAACTGTCGGAAGCGCTCGGTGCCATATAGTAGTACACTGTATGCGCTGTTAACCAGTATTGAGCCGCCTCACAGGGCACTCTTACAATACTGACTTTATGCAGCTTGTGGCTACCTCCGTGCTCTGGAGACTGCGTCGAAGTTAGCCCTAGAACGGGGAAGAGAGAGGTGGGTCTACTGCTATACTATATGCGAGCGCCACATGCTGAAATCTTCGGGTTCAGGACATGAGTGAGATACACCTATACGCGTGTCACATATGTTGGCGTTGACGTCCTTGGGTGGCGTCCACAGTGATCGCTGTGGTGAGCAGGAACGCAAAAGCCCGAGGCCAAAGACGAGAGTGAATGTGTCGTCAACAAAGCGTCCGCTTTGTCCTTTGTTCTTTGTCTTCGCATCCCTCATATATGTGGCGCGTCCCCCATATGTTCTTTATATCCGCAGAGACAATCTCATAAGCGGAAATCAAATACAAGTCTCGCATGAGATTGCTTCAAGTATCGTCAACGCTTGACGCCACGCCCCTATATCCCTCCAATAAATACGAAGGATCCAATCGTATTATGTCTCCCCTTCTCTTTGGCACAGCTGCATCATGCCGCCTCCTCGTACTGACACCCGCAGAGATCAAGTACCCAGGTTGACAGATATCGACCGCGTTCTCGACGTCCCGATCTTCGAACCGCCTGACATCATCGCGTCCGCCAACCCGCGCGCATTCTCTGCATTCAGGATCAATTGTGGCGCCCCCTCAGCATCGACATCCAATGTTCCTCGATTCCCCTGGATGCTAGTCGCACGTCCTGCTGCTTTCGTGGACGATGATTCGCCGTCTCATCCTGTACGCACCCTTCTCAATTATTTTCATCGATTCACGCTGAAATGACGCGTCTAGCGCGGGACCTTCTGTTTCGTGCGCTTGCGGATGTATACATGTCTACGCTGGATGAACGTACCGCGGGTTTATTCCCAGGGCAGCACGCCCAGCGATCCGAGGAATCTCTGGACGGACTGGATGTCCGCCATCATCGAGGAAGAGTCGGGCTCCCTTACAGTCGTAAGTCGTGGCCCCTCCCGCACTTCACTTCTTAAGCTAGATATCTCACCCTCACATCGTGCATTTCACAGTGCGGCACTATTATCAAGTCATATATTGTACGCGCAGAACGTATGCACGACCGACGGCTGATCCGACTCCGGGTGATCCCGTACTTTGGGGAGATGTACGTCCCCGACCTTTCTATGGCGCGAGGAGCGATACTGCCGCGGGTGCCGCTTGCCTCGGTCGAATACTACCGGCGCTGTTTGGACGCAGTAAGTGTATCTACGAACCGAGGCGCCAGGACAGGCTGATCCGTGGATCATTACAGACCACCGTCTGGGCCGGGATCCTCACCGACGTCGTGTCCAAGCAGACCGGCACACACACGTTGTCACACATCTGGTACAGAGTCGCGCTGGAGGTCTGTACTCTGCCTCTCCCCGCCCTTCCCTTCATACTCGTACTCACCGCATAACTCAGCTGAACGACCGAGCTATGGAGAAACGGTACCTGGCGACGGTCCACGGCGGTCCGTACGACATCCCCAGCCGACGCTGCTACCTGCGCATCAGCCTCGGCGAGAGCGTCCTCTTGCTCCCGGGGGACCTCAGCAAAGCCGTCTTGCGTGCGATGGGGGCGACGGTCTGGGACGAGGCGGAGGCAGTGCTCGGAATGGCCCATACGGAGTATGCACCGGCGCGGGTTCTACCTACCGTTTGCTGCGATCCTGGGCGGGGCGTGCTGCGGACCACACCAGCGACGGTTGAATGGGTGCGTTATACCTAATCACAAACGTCTTCTCGTGAACTCGAGTCGTGAAGCATTGACTCGGAATACACGGCGAGCGACGGCGGCGCGAATCGATGTGCAAGCATCTGAATCAGAATTCAACCCCTCCTTTCCGGACATCCCAGACAGCCCACGCGCGACATGAAACGGGGATTGACAAATCCAGAATTGACTAAGTGTACAAATGTGCTAAATGTCTGGTATGATATTGTATACAAATTGCAAGCAGACGGCTACATGCCTCTATAACATTGCCTAGGCAGCGACCGAGCTCAGCGAGCTCGCCGGGGCCTTATCCGGGCACTCGAATTGGTATGTCCAGTCAATAAACGAGAAAGATTAGAAGAAACGACGAGATGGGGTGTACCAATGACGGCCCCCACTCTAGAGTCTAAACTCCGAGGGCGAGGACGTCCGCCTCGCTCCAGTCACCATCCTCCTCCAGCTCAAATGCATCACATCTCATCATCGTCAGCCATCTCGCGCGCTCCTCGGCCTTCCTCCCGCTGCCTGGCGTCGCAGGTTTGCTCCCTGTCACGACTCCGTCACAGCCGGAAGCGTACCCGCGGCGCTTCCGCAGCATCATGCCCACGCCCATGGGGACACCACCGAAGGGTAGCGTCGTCGGGTCTGGCAAATTTCCTCGGGACGTGAGCGAAGGAAGTAGGGGCGGAAGAGTGGCCTGCGAGGAGGCGTACGTATAGATCCGGATGCGCTGTGCCGATGACAGGGTAGGCGCGAGGAACGACAAGATGTAGAGCTGAAGCTCGATCGGCAGGCTCGTAAAGCGGAAGGGTAGTAGAGGCGGCTCCGCAAGGCTGATCGACGAGAAGAGGCCACTTCGAGTACACGGTACTAGTGCTCTTGACGCGGAGGGCGAACGGACACTCCTTGGTTTAAGCAAGACCGCCCGCGCGTACTTCAACAGGCTAAGAGCCTCGCGTTCAGTCGCCTCCCTCAGGTGCCTGTTCCGCTGGAGCGCACGCGCCAGCTCCTTCTCACTGTCCTGCCAGATGGCATCGCCTGCCCGCAGCGCGCCCTCGTCGTCGCTCGCGGACGTCTCGCCGGACGCGTCGGGATCAGCATCGGCCAGCCCGTTGGCGTACATCTCGAGCTTCGCGAGGGTGAAGTTGTGTCGGTGTATCGCACGGACGATGGTACGTGCGCCGCGCAGGCCGAGTCTGTTCCCGTTCGCACGGAGGGCGCGCAGGCGGCAGCGAGGAGAGGATATGTACTCAACAATGTGTGGGGCAGATGCATGCGTGAGGCCGAGTACGGATAGCTGCATCTCCTGCAGGTGCGGTGCGTCCAGGACCGGTAAGAATCTCGCGATGAACTCGTCGGCGAGCGCGGTGTTCGTGGTGAGGGAGAGCGTCTCGAGCTGGGATGTGTTCAACGCCTCGGCAAACGCAGTAGCGACATCTGGGTCCGCAGAGAACGCGTTCTGACACCAGTCAGCTTGACATGCTCGATGATATGGACTGGCGACTCACGTTCTGCAAGAAGAGTTCCTTCAGTGATGTGTTCTCCCTGAGATATTCGATGATGGCGCGCAAGCCTCCGTCGCCTATGCCGTTCGAGTTCAAGCTAATCTCGGAGATGGGGTACTGCCTGCCCTTCTCCGTGCTGAGGAACCCGAAGAGTAGCTCGCATCCCGCGTCACCAAGCTCGTTGTGTCCAAGGATGAGCTTGGTGACGTTCCGGCGTGCACGTATGTCAGAGATGACTTCCGCAGCACCTACGCGCGAGCTCAGTTAGCCTCTCGTCGCAGTGCTATCGTCGAGTGCCTACCTTCCACTGAACAAAGTCCCGCATCCAGGCTCTCGATGTGGCTCCGGGCCGAGAGCGGGACTTTCGCGACCGACATACGCCTCGTCGTCGCTGGCTGAGACAGCGCGAAGACGCGCGGATCCATCGCTAGCGATGTTCAGATACAAATACAAGCGGTGTTTGATATAACCAAGGTCGTTAAATAGCGAATAGATAGAGGTTGTAGCCGGTGGTGGTGGTAGCGGTTGAAGGGACTGATGCACGATGGGCCGTAGCAGTAGCGCCACAATTCGCACACCGCTCTTCTGAGTCTTCAGGGCGTCGCTGCCGCACCCTAGCCACAGCCTGACTTTCATCCCTACCACCACCGTGTCCTTAACCTTTCCTGCTTCAGCGCATCTCCGAAGTTGACTTGCGTGCTGTCTGTTCTCCTGGACCGCCATTCGTCGCGGTAGACCTTGGAAGAGTCCAATCCGATGTCAACCGCGAGTCTGTCAAAAGACGAACAAGAAACATTGCGACTCCTCGTCCAGCATGTCTCGCGAGCGTTCTACGACCCCAAGCACACGGTTGTGATGGACCAGCTGGCTCGGCATCCTGTGTAAGTGCTTTGAGGACAAACTGACGACTCTCAGCTGAACACAGAGGCCGCTGGTGGTGGTAGTCTAAAGGACGACGACCTCGCGGGGCGGATGGGCTTGCAGCTAAAGGAACTCAACAAGGTCATGGCGGTACTGGAGGGTGACAGACTGGTTAGGATGTGAGTATTCCCAACGTATGCGAGAGATGCCTTACGAACTGGCGCAGCCATCGTCAAAATGAGCTCAAAGAGGGTGCGCAGCGCTCGGTCGGCCGTCAATACTTCTACATCGACTATCAGCATTTCTGCAATGTCGTCAAATGGCGGATAGCAGAGATGCGGAGGATAATTGACTCGTCGTTGCGAAACGTGCGTGGCCTCGCGTCTGTGACTGAGTAATAGGCTCAAAGTGAAGATCTGCAGGAGCTTGATAATAAGGGATACATCTGCCCGCAATGTCACAAATCGTTTTCTCCCCTGGAAGCGGACAAACTCATCGACTTCTCCGCTGGCACGTTCAACTGCGACGTATGCCATGCCGAACTCGTCGATAACGAGAACGCGGAGAGTGTGAAGGGTAGCCAGGATCGCATGCAGCGGTTCAACCGTCAAATGCGGTTCATCCGAGAAGGGCTACGGCGGACTGAGGATATGGTGCTACCTGCGTACGTTTGCTTAGGTCTCGTGTTGTCCCTGTGTTCACACTGCGTAGTTTCGACGTGGCCCTCTGGGTTAAAACCCATATCATCGACGCTGAGAAGGCCAAAGCGGCTGCACAAAACGGTGGTCTGAAGATTGCGGGATCATCAGGCGAGGCGAAGCAGGAGGACGCCTTTGGCATCATGTTGTCTGTCGACAAGGATGAGGCAACGCGGAAGGAGGAGCGCGATCGCGAAGCTGCAGCGAAACGCCAGCAGAACCTCATGCCATCATGGCACCTGAAGAGTACGATCACTGGCGACTTGACCGCGCTGGGTATCAAGGAGACCGCGAGGACGGAGGATGGTCCCGCGGGCGCGAACCAGCTACCCACCTCGAACGACATGATATTGAAGGGGCTGGGTGTTGTCGGGGGACCACCCCCTCCTCCACAAACGAATGGGATCGATATCAAGCCTGCAGCCTCAGCCCCAGCACGGACGCAGGAAGCAGACTGTAAGTTGCGCAACAGATGCCTCCAGTTGACTCAACACTTCCATATATACAGACTATGACCAGTACTACGCGTCGCTCGCTGCCTCCGCAGCGACGTCCGCGCAAGCGACGCCTGCCGTGGCGACGCTCGGCAGCGATTTCGGGGAGGATGAGGAGGACGTGAAGCCGTCGGTGGAGTACCTGAACTCGCTGAACGAGCATCGCAAGCGGTCGCGATCCCAGGAAGATGTTGATGATGACATCACCTCGGCGAAGACGCCGCGTCTGAATGGCCACGAGTCGGTGCATGCAACGACGCCTGCAGCAGAACCTCCTCCAGCGGACGAAGCTATTCCAGAACCTGTTGGTGACACTGGTGCTGCACCGGCTGATGACCCAATTGTACATGGTACGCTGTTTGTTCTTCGTATCTTGAGATCTATATTGATCGTGACGTCTTAGTTGCTGGAGAGCCAATACGTCTCTCCGAAGTGACTGAGGAGCATCAGGAACAGATGACCGCGGACGAGTACACCGCCTATTACGAGGTGGTCATGGCGAACTCGTGATATGTCAATTTTTGAGGGCTTGGGTTATCGGATGGACATTTGCGCAACACATTCACGCATGGCGGCATGTATCACGTACAAGTACTGTATCACTTAGCTTGAGCAATACAATTGTTTGCTAATCTGGACATTGCCTGCGTGGGGGTGTCGCTTGCGTCAAGGTTCCCGGCCGAAAACAGGTCGGCAAAAGAGGCTCGAATGTACGTTCTCCCTACTTAGTCTTCACCGCATCGCTACTGATACATTGTTCGTCCTCAGGGCCTCTTAGTATGACGAAGGGTGCAAGAGCATAGTCTAGCAAGCCAACGTTCAGCATGATGATGCACAAGCAATCGTGTCTTACTTACCCCTCCGTCAATCAGCACTGTCTCCCCATTCACGAACCAGTTCCCGACCAGGAACAAGGCCAATGAGCCCATGTCCCGATTAGACCCTCCGTACGGGGCTCTTCCTCCTTGCACAAGGGCTGGCTGCGTCGCGGGAACTTCGAATTCCTGTTTCGCGCCTTCTGGAATGTGCGACTGTCCGACGGCATCTGCGGTCCCTGGGGCGGTCATCTCTGTTTGAAACAAGCCTGCATGCAATGGCGTCAACTCCTTTCGCCGACCGAATGATCGAAGAGGACGTCGACCTACCAGGCGCTATGCCGTTCACCCGGATACCGAGTGGGAGGAGCTCGTGTGCGAGGGTAGCAGTGGCTTGCCCGATGGCAGCCTTTGAGAACATGTACGGGTACGACCGCCCGGCCGTGTTGATGTCCTATAAAGTGCGAGCAAATGAGTGAGTGGCTACTCATAATAACAAGCCGCCACAGCTGATAGCTTGCCTTCGTCCAGCCGTTCATGCTAGAGGTCATGATGACTTGCGGCGCAAACCGCCGATTGCCGCTCTCGTACGCCTTCCACTTCTCGAGCAGCGGCAGGAACGCGAAGGTGAGCCAGTACGGGCCGACAGCGTTTGTGTTCAGGCTGTTGGCAAAGTGCTCCGGCGTGATTGCGTCGAGGTAGGCAGAGCGGAACGCCTCGGCTGTGTTCGCCGTCGGGTGGGCGGAGACTCCTGCAAGAACGCTGCACGCCGTGAGATGATAGAGATGACGCCTCGAATTGGTGGACCTACCCTGCGTTGTTGAACAGTGCGGTGACATGCTTCTCCCTTTTCCCCACCTCGTCTGCTAGGCGTAGTGCCTCCGACTATCGATGTCGAGGTCACTCGGATGAAGATGTTACAGACTCAGTTGTTGGACGCCATCTTACCTTACTCCTGACATCGCCTGCGAGGCCATACACGCGTCCAGGACGCCCAGTCTTCTCAGCAGCCTCGTTATAGATGCCCGCAACTCTGTGACACTTCTCAATCGGATGCACCGTAAGGTCTCTGCAAGGTACACTCACTTGTCCAGATCCACCTGGTTGGGCCCAATGATATAGACCGTGGCGCCGTTTGCCAACAAAGTCGAACTAATCATCAGCCCAATTCCCTATATCTCGATAGAGAAAGGTCAGTTGCTGCCACATCTGCTTTCTGAGTTCCACGGACCGTGCCTCCACCCGTGACGACTGCGACGACTCCACGCAGGTCGAATATGTTGGCTGCGCTAAGCTGGTTGAGGACGGCGTCAGCCATGGCTGAGACTCGGGCTCCTGTGGCTTGTAAGGTATTGAGAATAGGGAGAGTAGCGTTTCGACACTTCGATTAGTGTCTAGTATAGTGGCGAAGGTCAACTAGCCTGGTCTACCTATATATATGGAGAGCCTGAAAAGGATAAGACAAGTACTCGTATGGGTCAACGTCATCGCCGATGCGTCGTTCACGGCCAGTTCACGGCTGCATCTCGTGTCTTTCGAACTAAGACCCATCTAGAACCTCTTCTCCCCGGTTCCTCGCCGAATGCGGCATCTAGTGACCTCATAGTAGCCTGCTGAGTACTACATGTACTGTTACATGTCTGGTACAGAGCTCCGCCTGTTGTTCACATGTTCGACTATAGCCTGAGACCCACTTCACAGTCCGGCCCCGCGTACGTTCGCAACTCCCATTGTACATTTAACGAACGGATTGAGCGTCTCCATAACCACTTCGCGATAGGTTGCCCGCACACTTGACGAGCCGTACCGTCTGCACATGTTGTCCGTCATTACAACGTAGCAGCCTTCCACATATCCAAGCTCTGTTCGATATCGACCTCATGGTACGTCACCCGCTCGTTCTCCGGGACGAGGTTCGGGAACGTCGCCATGCTCCATCTGAACCATCCGACGCCCACCGCCGCGCCCCACCTCGCCACGGGGTTCTCGAAGACCATCCCAGCGATGCAGGCCGGGGCGTCGCACTCGCGCTTGATCCACTGCGCGAGCGACTCCGGCCAGACGTCGCCGGCCAGCCAGGCGTCGGCGTGCCGCCGCGCGAGGCAGAACATGATCGTCTCGGAATACCAATAGCAGTTCCGCACGAAGGCGTTGAAGTTCGGGGTGCGCGAGTGAATGACTTCGAGGAGGGAGGCGAACTCGCCGAGGGTCGGCCATCCGCTGGGGGACGCGCCAGGATAAAGGTGTCCGAGCTCGCGTGCTTCGCGCATGAACACAGAGGAATCGTCAGAGAGCATGACGACCTGCGAGACGGGGTGCTCCTCGAAAGCATCTTTGCCCCAAAACTCGACGCGGGCGTACGTCCGGAAGTGGTCGGGAGAACCCTCCTGGTTCAATTCGATCGTGACCATAACGAATCGGTGTCCTAGGTTTCCCCCGGTCTGCTGGACGATGAGCTCCTCCGTCGCGATGGACTGATACAGAGCAAACGAGATTATGCGCAGTGTGTCCCGCAACGAGCTTGTGCGGACATGCTCTGCGAACTCCTTCACATGCATCGCGGAGTCGGTGTTGAACTCCCTGCTGAGAAGCGACGACGCTCGCGATGCGCGTCAAGATGTAGGAAGTGAGTGATAAAGCCTTGAGGCCTAGACTAGCGGGAGCACTGAGTTTGAGTGCGGCCGTCGACAATGTGTTTGCAGTTGCGAGAGTGGACAACATAATGCTGCGATGATGCGGAAAAACGACGTGGTGGGTTGGTTTGCACGTACTTTGCCCGTGGTCCATTTATGAGTGATTCAACACAAGACATGCGGATCCCGTGTGTCAGGCTTCGCAGACTTCTTACGCGGGTTGAGAGCTATTCGGTACCCTTAAGAGTTGCTATCAGTGAATCGGGACGCAACGGAAGATGCGAAATTACGCACTCAAGTACTCTCGGCTAACATACTGCGCTCTGACCACGCTACACGACGTGAGTACAATAACGGCACAGTAGAAGTTTACTAATCTTGCTTGTATGCTTCTCGTGAAGACACGTAGTCGTACCATCCCATTAGCATTGATCGTAGCCTGTCGGACCATGGTACATGTCACAGATTGCAACACATCGATCCAAGATCATCCTCGTGTCTATCGGCTTCTCTTCTTCCCAGTCTCCGCCGCAACCCATCGGTTCAGAGCCTTGGGAAAAAGTGGCATCTCATCGAGCCTCTCCTTCTCGTGCGCGAGGATAACCACGACATTCTCCAGACGATGCATAACCTTCACCTTGTCGACGGTCTCCCGCGCAACATCGAGGTCGTGGTAATTCTCCCGGCTGATAAGACGCTCTCCCGGGGAATAGCAGAGACGATTGTGGCAGCAGTCCGCAGCGAGCAGGACGAACGTATCCGGCGCCACGCGCGCGAGGGCCGCTAGGTGGCCGGGGAAATGCCCTGGCGCGTCGAGCAGATACAGGGAGCCGTCGTCGTAGAAGTCTAGCCCACGCTCGAAGGACCCGAGGGGCGCGACATTGCGCGATGGCGCGAATCGCACGACGCCGTCGTCGAAGTGGATGTAGCGCACGGTCTGGTGCCTAGGGAACTCTTGCCAGGGGCTGTCTGGGTAGCGCGGGTAGGGCTTCTCCATGATTTCGGCGGCGGGGCCACCGATGACGAGTTCGGCGGCCGGGAAGTGCGTGAGGTCGCCGACGTGGTCAAAGTGAAGATGACTGCGACACGAAATAAGTACTCCTACTGCGTGCTTGACGGAGAACGGTACCTGTATATGATGGTATTGATCGAGTTGGGGGAGATGCCTCCGTCTTGTAGGATATCAGCGACGTCGTGCGGACAATCGACGGTAAACAGCTGCAAGGTCTCCTTCAAAGCCGGTGGGTAACCTTCTCCATGCTTCGCTCGCCCCAGGTAAAGTCAGACACGTAGTCCAATTATTCAAGATGAAACGCCACCTTTCTCAGCCCAAGGTCGAACAGGAGCTTCCCATGCTGATCGTGTTCGATGAGGAATGCAAAGCTAGGCACCTTCGAACCGGTGTCGCTGTCCAGAGCATCGTCGAAGACTTCTCGGTCTGGTAGGAATAGCGAGCCGGCGTGTAGGGCGTACACGGAAACGAATTTCTGTCCGGAAACATCTGAAGGGAGTACCGGCGGTCGACCCTCTGACATGCTGCTTTGTTCTAGACTGCCAAAGCGGTGACGGTAGAGACTGAAGTGGTGGTGCTCACAAAGCACCTCCAGCCTGCTCGAACTGCTCTATGGCCGAGGCGCCGCCCCCATGGCATAGCGAGTCACCTTGCTCTTTCCCGGATTGATGACTCGCAGGACGCTGTCCGACGCCGGGGTTTTCTACATCCGCGAGCCTGAGATCGTGTCGAGTGCGACTGGAGGGCGCAAGGCAAGATGATACCATACTGGATGCTCAAGTGAGTATCCCTGTGTATTACCGGTCGAGCCCATGACTGTCGTTGAGGAGGAGGATCGCGACCGCTGCACGCTGAACGCGGCGGGCCGCGAGCGCTTGCGGAGGCTTTCTCACCTCGACTCCCAACGTCCACCGTATTTCATCTCTCTCGCGAAAGCCTTACATTCTCATGCTCTGACTGCTAAGACGACATATGTACTCATGGATTTCCTCAAAGGACCTGATTATTCTGTGGGTAGACATTGTCACAAGACAAGCACTTCCAGGCACTTCCAAGGCACTCATTCGGCGATAAGGCGCATTCAGAATGGCTATGGCTGCTCTGGACAGAAATAACCTTCGCGGATAGGCTTCGACTTACTGTCCCTGGTTCATCCATCACGTCGGGGCAGGGGTCCGCCTTGCTCGGGCAAAACGATAGGAAGTGCATACGCCCATATCAGCGTGAGCGTCTACAGTTGGCTTGCGACCGCGCAGCCTGCAGGGACTGTAAGCACGTAAATCAAGGGAGACATTTGTCTCTCAGTTCATTTTACTGAGGCAATGATTCTGAGGAAAGGTGGGTACGATGCAAGTGTTCCCCCGAGTCTGCAGATCTCACCAGTCTTCCATCAGCGTGGCAAATTTCCAGGTGCACCGAAACACGCCCGTACTTTAAGACTCTTATCAGCGCACGGGTGACCATGTGCAACGAGCCCGACGGTGCTGTGTACGCTGCATCCCGTGCGATCCGTCACGGCAGTGACCCCTGCCGCCGTCGCATATAAATATCCCAGCATGATCCTCGGCCTGTAGGGTTTCTCCTCTGGTGGTCCAGCATGGTCTCCGCGCTCCTACTCGCCGCCCTACCCCTCGCAGCCGCGTTCCCGCACTCGGCCTCAATATTCGCGGGCTCGACGACGTCCGCGGCGTTCCCGCCCCCGGGCGCGACGGGCACGTCCTACGAGGAGTACTTCCCCGCCGCGGCGGAGGTCGGATTCGCCGGACCCACTCCCAGTACGTGTTTGACGCGTCTTTCACGCGTCGTATGACTGACCGCCGCGTCTGTAGCTGGTGCCGAGCCTGAGGCTATCCAGACGGCTCCTGCTGCTCCCGTGAAGTTGGACACGTATCCCCTGGTCGCGGATGGCGCAGCGTACAACCCGTCCTTCAACCCGATGCGCTACTGGGGCAACCTCTCGCCGTGGTTCTCGGTCGGCGGCGCGTTCGGGCTGCCGGAGGCGTCCCCGCAGGTCCCGTCCGGGTGCGAGCTCACGCAGGTGCACATCGTCCAGCGGCACGGCGCGCGCTACCCGACGTCGGGCACGAACAAGTTCGCGGCGCTCCTGCAGGACGCGGTCGTGAACGGCACGGGGTTCACCGCGCACGGCCCGCTCGAGTTCCTCAACACCTGGACATACAAGCTCGGCGCGGAGATCCTCACGCCGTTTGGCAGGAAACAGCTGTATGACCTGGGCGTCGCGGCGAGGGTGCAGTATGGGCACCTGCTGGATGAGTTCACGCGGCTACCGGTGTTCCGCACGACGTCTGAGTGGCGGATGGTGCAGTCTGCGCGAAACTGGGCTGCGGGCTTTTTCGGGCTTGAGGAGTATCCGACGTCGTATCACGAGGAGATCATCATCGAGGAGGAGGGCTACAACAACACGCTCGTCCCCTGGAATGACTGCGATAACGCGAACGGCGACTTGTACACGATGGGCAGCTGGTATGCGAACAACTGGACGGAGATCTACTTGAAGGACACCGTGAAGAGGCTGCAGCAGTACGTTGACGGCGTCGAGCTCACGACGACGTACGTGTCGGAGATGCAGGATCTGTGCGCGTACGAGACGGTGTCGATCGGGTATTCGAAATTCTGCGAGCTGTTCACGGAGGAAGAGTGGAAGGGCTACCAGTACGCGAACGGTGAGTAAATAATACTGTTCTGGGTACAACGGTGCTACCATACGCTGCAGACCTGGACTTTTGGTATGCGGACGGCCCAGGAAACCCGACCGGCGCTGCTCAGGGCATTGGCTACGTGCAGGAGCTCGTTGCGCGCCTGACGCAGACACCCATGACCGTGTTTGACACGACGACCAACGGGACACTTGACGGGAACAACATCACGTTCCCTCTCGATCAGCCGATCTACATGGATGCCACCCATGATACCAACATTGCATCCAGTACGTTTACGTCTAATCCCTAGTGAAGAGCTTGCTCAATGTATGTAGTCGCTGTTGCCATGAACTTCACGAGTATGGTTGCGAGTGGTCCCCTGCCGGTGGACTACATCCCTGAGGACCTGGTGCGCATTTTCCTAGTATGCTGCCTCGCACCCGCACTGATCTTCACTCATAGAGCTACAACACTCAACACATCGCGCCCTTCGCCGCACACCTCGTCGGGCAAGTCATGACCTGCCCCGTCAAGCACAGCACCTCCGACTCGGAGAAGTACATCCGGTGGCTCCTGAACGACGGTGTGGTGCCGCTCACGGGCATCAAGTATTGCGAGGAACCGAACAAGGATGGCTTGTGCTTATTGGATAACTTCATCAAGGGCATGCAGGAGCGCGTCGCGGAGGTTGACTTCCAGTATGACTGCTTCGGGAACGTGTCCGTGCCGTACCCTGATAACCTCACAAATGGGAGGTATATCCGGTAGGATGTGTAAACGCCGTTGCCGTACAAAACACAGCAGCACTTCAATACTTGAATACATGGCAGTCCAATGTTAACTGCATGGGTACACGCACAGACAACGTTCCACTGGATCCCGGTGGCTGAGCGCTGAGCGCCGGATCGCCGGAAACGTGTACTGTACATGATGTACTTACTGCGCGATGAATTTTGAATACTTAGCAGTGGATTCCGCTGTTCGTCGCATACAACTCAATTCAAAGAACCGTTGTGCTAGGGGAATGCTGTCCAAGGGCCTAAGACTATGCGCGTAGTCTGGTGCAGCGCGGTCGCGTGACCGCGTATGTTACGAGGATTTGTCGGCGGCCTTCCATTTTTAGTAAGCAGGACAGCGAACGAGAAATTGTCTGGCAGCGTCACTTCACCTCCTCGTCGTCGTCGTCGTCGTCCGGACTGCCACATCCTTTCACGCATACAGCCTACCGCGGTCGAGGAAGCGAATGCAAGGCCTGACCGGATGCTGGCCAGATCGCTCCCTGTTGCCAGACGTGCCCGACTATTTCATACTTCTCTGCCCGCCTCTGTTACACAGTACAAATCTCTGCCAGCAAGCACGACAGCGCGCGCAACTTATGAGAAAAGCAACGTCGAGTGGGAGGAATTGTGGGCTCGATCTACCCAGGAGGTCGCCGGACAAGATGGTGCGTCACAACATCTATTTGCTGCACATGTCACTGATGTGCGTGCAGAGGTCAAGCGGAACCAGGTCGGCGTGCAGCTCCTCTCGCGCCAGCTGCACAAGCAGATCTTCCGCAACGTCTCCTTCCCCGCCCCCGAGTCCTCGTATGTGCGCATCGCGCAGGAGCACCTCAAAACGCACGGACTCGACCCCGCGCAAGGATCCGTCCTCCCCCAAACCGACTTCACGCTCCCGCCGCTGCAAGGCCACAACCTCGATGAGCACTTTCACGCCATTGGCGCAAGCGCGGCGCAGCCCTGGCTCTCGCTCGCGCAGGATCTTGCGGGCGTCGAGCTTCCCCCGCGACCCGACCACTGGAACGTCCAGGCGGGATGGACGCGGTACCTCTACCACCCGGACGGATCGAGTTACTACGAGCACGTCGAGTACCCCGAGTTCAACGGCCAAGCGGAGGAGATGCTCGTGTTCGACGTGGAGACGCTTCCGGCGTACAGCCCGTATGCCGTCATGGCCTGCGCCGCGTCGAAGAACGCGTGGTATTCCTGGGTCTCGCCGTGGCTTCTGGGACACACTGAGGAGACGAACCAGTTGATCCCGATGGGCAATCGTACGGTGCCTCGCGTCGTGGTCGGACATAACGTGTCGTACGACCGTGGTCGTATCCTTGAAGAGTACAACGTTGATGGTACACGGACGCGATTCCTCGACACCATGTCGCTGCACATCGCTGTGAAGGGTATCTCATCCAACCAGCGGCCTGCGTGGATGCAATACCGCAAGTCGAAGGAGAATGAGCAACTGCGAAAGGAGGAAGCCATCGAAGCCGTCGTGGAGCTCATGCGACAGGCCGAAGAGCGACTAGTCTCGGAGTCCGATCCGGCAAAGATCGAGGAACTGAAGCGGCTGCTGCAAAGCCTGGACGAGGGTCTTCAGTCCTTGCAGAACGAGGGGTTTGAAGAGGACGAGGAGGAAATCTCGTGCAAGCGCTGGCAGGATCTCACTTCCGCGAACTCGCTCGCTGACGTAGCGAAGTTGCACTGCGACATCGACATCGACAAGGAGATCCGCAGCGACTTCATGTCGAGCACGAGAGAGGAGATTCTCAATGGCATCCAGGACTACTTGAACTACTGCGCAGGCGACGTTGCAGTCACTCACTCTGTGTTCAGCAAGGTCCTACCTGCTTTCCTCAGCGCGTGCCCGAGCCCTGTATCATTCGCCGGTGTCCTGACTATGGGCTCGAGCTTCTTGACGGTCAACGAGCAATGGGAGGCCTATCTCGCCCATGCCGAGCGCACGTACAAGGAACTCGAAGAGAAGGTTAAGACACGCCTTCACGACTTGGCTCTTCAAGCGAAGGACATGATGAAGGACGACCGGTGGAAGGCAGATGTCTGGCTGAGCCAGTTAGACTGGACACCGAAGGCTGCAAGCACATCGCGAGGCATCAAGGTAAGTCATTTGGGTGAGCTGGGACGCGATTGAGTACTCAATATTAGTCTTAGAAGCCGAAACTCACGGACTCAGACAAGGCCATGGTCCCAGCCTGGTATGCGACTCTCCTCAGGTGGGGCCCGTTTCGAAATACATTCTCGCAAAAAATATTACCGCACCTGCTGCACGCCAAGTACGAAGGAATGACTCTACATTTCTCCGAGGAGCATGGCTGGTACTGGTATGCGGGAGACGAGATATGTCAGCCTACGAAGAGGGGCGGTACCGGCCGTAAGGTGGTCGACTTGTTTACGGTTGGCGTCGGAGTACACGCCTTGGAAAACGGCAGGATGGTGACCGACGATGACGAGCTAGCGTTCGCCGTCAGCAACAAGTACAGATCCGATTGGGTAGCGGCGCGCATCGTGGCCGTGGCGAACAAGATTCTCGATATGGACCAGGCTGAGATCGACCAAGACCCCAGGCTCAGGCAGCTGGACTGGACTCCCACAGCAGCGCCGAAAGCACATCGACTGTGCACTGGCTTAACGAAGCCTCTGGTGAGGGAGAGACCTACATCCGTTGTCGTGGAGTGGCCTAAGTGGTTCTGGGACCTTACGAAGCCGAAGAAGGGCGCCAAACCCGGCACGCTCGACCTTACCGTGCGGAGCCGAGTCGCACCGCTCCTCCTACATCTCTCCTGGCAGGGCTGGCCGCTCTTCCACTCCCGGAAACATGGCTGGACCTTCCGCGTTCCCCCCGGCGCGAAGTTCGAAACCCGTGCGAAACCGTTGGCCTTTACACACAATGGGCTCAGTCCAGCAGACGAGCAACTTCGGGCGATGACCAACGAGGGCTACGTGTTCTACAAGCTTCCGCACAAGGACGGCGAGGAGGCGAACGTAGGGAGCCCCCTCGGCAAGACGTTCATGAAGTTTGCGCAGGACGGGACGCTAACGAGCCCGGGCGACGAGGCCAAGGATGCGCTCGACATGAACGCGCAGTGCAGCTACTGGATCAGCGCGCGTGACCGAGTGCTCAACCAGATGGTCGTCTGGCAGGACGAGCGCGTCAAGGCGGGTCTCCCGCAGCCCGCAGAAGTGGGCAAGAAGTGGGGCATCATCATCCCGCAGGTCATTACGATGGGCACCGTCACGCGGCGCGCGATTGAGAAGACGTGGCTGACCGCGAGCAACGCGAAGAAGAACCGCGTCGGGTCGGAGCTGAAGGCGATGGTACGCGCTCCGGAGGGATACGCCATCGTCGGCGCCGACGTTGACTCAGAGGAGCTGTGGATCTCGAGTGTTATGGGTGACGCGCAGCTCGGTTTGCACGGCGCGACAGCGATCGGCTGGATGACGCTCGAAGGCACCAAAGCTGCGGGCACGGATTTGCACTCCAAGACTGCGAGCATCCTGGGCATCTCGCGCGATCAGGCGAAGGTGTTCAACTACTCGCGTATCTACGGCGCTGGGATGCGCCACGCAGTCTTGCTGCTGCTTCAGTCGAACGCGGGTATGCTGCCCGAGCAGGCACAGAAGCTCGCGCAGAACCTGTACGCGTCTACCAAGGGTAAGAACACCCATCGCGCTGATCTGTTCGGACGCAAGTTCTGGTACGGCGGTACGGAGAGTTATGTCTTTAACAAGCTTGAGGAGATCGCGCTTTCCGACCGGCCACAGACACCTGCACTTGGGTGCGGAGTGACGTACGCGCTGTCGAAGGAGTACCTACCTGCGACGTTCGGCGACGACTACATGCCTTCGCGCATCAACTGGGTCGTCCAGTCCTCCGGTGTCGACTACCTGCACCTCCTCATCGTCTCGATGGAGCACCTTATCCAGAAGTATGACATCCAGGCACGCTACCTTATTTCCGTGCACGACGAGCTGCGGTACCTAGTCAAGGAGGAAGACCGCTACAGGGCGGCGCTAGCGCTCCAGATTGCCAACCTCTGGACGCGCAGCCTGTTCGCTTACAGACTCGGTATGGACGATCTCCCGCAGGGTGTAGCGTTCTTCTCCGCTGTTGATGTTGACAAGGTGCTGCGCAAGGAGGTCGACATGCCCTGCGTGACGCCGTCGCAGCCGATCCCCATCCCGCCTGGCGAGAGCTTGGACATTGCCAAGGTCCTAGAAAAGACTAACGGTGGCTCCCTCTGGCCTGACGGAGCTCCAATGGTTGAAAACGACGGCATCGACTGCGGGGGCAGTCTCGTCGGTTATCGTCAGCCTGATTGCCTTGTCCATCGCGCGCACAGCGCTGAGTGGTTGCGAGCGCAGGCTAGCTCCGACCTTCAGGAGATCAAGCAGCTTGCGATGGCTCACAAGGCGAAGTTCGGCGACGGCTTGAAGTCAAACCGGCAGGCTTCGAAGAACATCTCTGGGCTGCGGCGCCTGCGGAAGGTGCGCACCCTGGGCGACGGGAATAGCGTAGACTGGAACAACACCATCGAGCAGCTGCTCAAGTCTCTGGACATGCATCCGTGATTGCGTTCTCCCATGCTGTCTGCGTCATTTATGGCATTCGTTATTGTACAGTTCATTTGTTGCGGTATGTTTAGGTTCAATTAATGTCACGCATCCCATTCTCATCACACCGTGAGTAGTGTGCGGTGTGATGTTCACGCGCGAAAACCTGAACGGCCATTCAAACGGCGCCGCCGCCGTGTCCGGACGGAGCTGACTGCGATATGGAGCTTGTGCACCGAGAAATGTGTGCGCCTTCGGAGGGATAATGGAGGTCATGGCGCATTGTTCCTGCGGCGTATGCGAGCGGCGGCGCAGCCTGGGGCGGGCGATATGGATCGATGGTCACACCGCCCCTGCTTCCTGCGGACAAGGCGGAGCCTGTTATGGGAATACGCGCCGTCACGCGCTGTCCGCGAGGTCCAGGGTCGGTGTGCCATGCGGCGCGCGGCGTGGGTAGAGGGCGCGATGATACCCCATATGGCAATGGGCGCTATCCCAATATGGCAAGTCGCGCCTGCCGACGTGGGAAGGCGCTCGGCAGACGGGATCCCGAGCGATAAGGCGCACTCGCCATCACCGCCGCACGTCGGGACTGCGACGACCGCATGACTCGACCGCCCCGCCTGCGGCGGCATTGTTTGGCGACGTCGCGCACCATGCCCCATACAAACACAACATGACTCGTATAAATCAGCCCGCCCGGCGGGTGGGTTCCATATCAATCTGCCCGCCCCGCCTCCCGCCCCGTCCGCCTCCGCGCATCTGCCCGCCGGCCCAACCCCAACCACCTCGGTTAGCAGTCCACTGTCACACATTAGCTACCAGTTGTCACTATGCAGTATCCTCCGACCCCATCGTCGAGTGCCACGTACGTCCCAACCACACCCAACGCGCCGTACATGAGTCCGAAGGATCTGCCGCCGTCACCCGTCACGCCTACCCACCCCCTTCCCGGGCACGGTGCGCACGCCGGCGCACCGTACATGTACGCCGTAGGTCACGGCGTTGCTCCGGGTACACCGGCACACAGTACGCATACTCCTCATATATTTCCCGCTCCGACTGTTTGTTGACAATCGTCGGCGCGTTACCATAGATGGTCTCATGACTCCGCCCACTACCCCCGAACGGGCACGCGGTCGGCGTGGTGGGCAATATGTGGTCCACCCGATGTTCCAGCCCAGTACGCTCAGATTCGACGTCGGCGCACAGCTGCCGCATACGTTCTGGGCGCATCACAACCCCACCGATAGCTTCATAGACCCTCCTGCCCGATGCGTCTGCATCAACGTCATTGGCGTATTCAGAGTTGAGGTGCGCGCCGGCCCGATGGGCTATGTCACCGCACAGGACGTCCTCGCTACTATCTTGCGGGAGATGTCACAGACTCCGTCGGGCAACGAAGTCAACTGCTTCACCATCGAAACCCGCCAGGCCGTCGCTGCGCACACCCGCAATGCTCGCCGCGTCCACTACCTCGGCACCAGGAGGCTCTACAACGGCCTTGAAGTAACGCAGGTGTCTGGCGGTGTTGTCTACTGTGACCTCCAGCTCGCCATTACACCCGCATGAATAACGCGGCTGCCCTCATCCCCCCTTTATCTATCTCCTCAACCATCGCCGCCTCGAATCGTCCCCACCTTTTCTCCGCTTGATATCCCCACTCGTCGCACTGCAACTCGTCGTTGTCTCTGGCCTCTTCGGAGCATACGCGCTGGACGCTCGTAACCCCCATCTCCTGTATCATCTTGGACAGTCTTCTCTGGTCTCTATTCAATGTACAGGCACCCTCTCATGTAGCTATCTCTCCCGCTCGGACGTCTCCTACTGTACAGTAGATACCCTGCCCCCGCTCAAAAAGATACTATGGTTCGCACCGTGTACCTAATGCAAAATTGATACTAGATGTTCTGCCTTCTCACGAGATGCCGCGATGTTCCCTGCGCATGCAGCGGCGAGTACGTGCCCCATTGAGCAATCTTAGTCTTCCTCGGCGCTTCTCATTGGTACCTACTCACTTGGCGTAGACAAGATGTTTACAAAACAGTAGGCCCTTGTACCGGTTGAACGCTGTAGGTTGGGCTGCTGCATTGCTGTATGTGTAGATCGGTGCAACCCGGTCGAGACGAAAAACAAAAACCAAGAAAAGAATTCCCACAAACAGATTTGAACTATTGACCTCGTCATGTAATCGGTTAACCCATTCTGGGATACTAGTGACGCGCTCTACCAACTGAGCTATGTGGGATGTGAAAGTGTGCAAGCATAAGAGTATAAGTCCGTAACATACAAAACCCGCGTTGGAGCAGTGAATGCACATTCAGCGTTTGGGTCGAAGTCCTCAGGTACTGTATGCCTGTTTGTGCGAATGGCTCTTGAATAACATCCCGGGAATACATATGAGGTAGAGGCTCCCGCGCACGGCGGCGAAGGCGCATCATACAACCAGAAACACTGACCGTGACAGGCATGACCTTGGCTCCGTACATGCATGTATCCCCGGCGCCGGGCTAGTGCGCGCAACTTACAACACACAAGCTGGCGGTCCACGAGTTGGAGATCATCCGTGCATATGCAGGTATGTGCAGGTCATGATTTCATCGCGCAGCTCATATATGATGTAGGCTGTCGCGAAGGGAGAAACCCTGTCAACTAGGAATGTCAAGGCGTAACAGTGCTACTAGTACTAGTTAGTAGACTGTGAAGTAACCGCGATACGTTCGATCTACTAGCGCAAGTTGCGCAACTGCACCACAAGCCCATCCGCGGACCACCCGCTTGGTGTTGCTATGGCAAAGGTGGTAATACTTCGCTCAGACACTTGAAGCAGGGCTCAAACACTCACCCACCGACTTAGTGGAACCCTCCACGTCACGGCCCGGTTCCGCACCAGTGCGTCCTCGAGGCCGCTGTTGACTTACTCCGGCTTTGGTCGGGACCAGCGTTGCTCGGACCACTCTGTGGAGACAAAATGGTATGTGTAGCTATAGCTTCGGCGACACCGACGCGTGTTCTACAATGAGCTCACCAGCACCCTACTATCCTCAGAGGCAGTACCGCGGCCGATACCGATGGAGAGTCCCTTCGCTGTCAGCGCCGGTCATTCCCGTGGGCGAAGCGAACCGGATCTCAACGTCAGGTGTCCCGGTCTTAACCTATGTACGCTGCGCAGTGCGGATGATCACCCCTACGGTTCTGGGGTTCGCGGCACAATGATCTCAGACCAAGATCGGGTGGTACGTCGACGTCTGGACTTCCAGAACGCGTGTGTGGACCTGGTGTGGATGGCGCAGAAGTGTGTACTCTTCTACCTATGTACGTGTCTCAGCGCGAGATGGGCGGTAATAAACGTCGAACGTACCGCAGTGTGGTCACACGACGAGCTTGTTTTGCGGGAGCGAGGTACCTATGCTCTTCTAGTGTATCTGCCTGCCGGGACGCCGTACATCTCATACGCACCGTGGTGGCACTGTGTACTGGCATGTGCCCAGCGCGTTCTTGGTATCCCGGCGTTCGGGCTGACTGCACCCTTCACCTTCACATGTAAGCGAGATAAGTAGACCCTGGCCTTTAGAGCATACGAAGCGTGAAGTGTCGTCATAGTTGCCTGACAAGGTACATAGAAGACAGAATTGCATGGGCATATGATGATGCATTTGCCTGAGCTGGGGATGCGACTAGTCAGTAGTAAGCGGTACAAAACTATAAACACAAGAACTACAAGTGCGCGATGGATGTATAGTACAAACGTCCTAAAATGCGAATGCTAGTATCATCGTTCGTGCGTGAGCATGTATAGTACAGATGGTCATAATCATAATCGTGAGTCGCGTCATGAGTACCCGAGCGTCGTCGAGCGTGAGTCGTCAGATATCACCTAAGGTGAGACAAGACCGAGAAGGAGAGAGCGACGAGAGCGAGAGCGAGACGAGAAAGCAAAGCAGACGACGAGCAAATACGCAAGTACCTGCAAATGTTTTGAGCCGGACGCGGACCGGCGAAGACACCAATAGATCACCGAAAACCCAAGGAAAGAAACCAGAATAAGAGGGGGCAGGCCACGCAGTGAGAAGCGCCTCACGGCTTCTCAAAGATAAGCTTGCCGGTGCCACCACCACCACCGCTCTTGTCGACCTCGACGCCGACGAGCCGTGTCTTCTCACCGAGCCAGTCGACGCGGCGGACACCCGCCTCCCAGCCACCGCCCATGCGCGTGCACCGACGCTCGTACGCCTTCGCGACCTTGTGCTGCGCGCGGCTCCCGTTCCCAAGAGCCGCCCACTCCTCTGGCGTCACGGGCGTCATGAGCGTGGTGTGCACAGCATACAGGACGTCAAGGTTCGTGATGGTTCCGCTCGACTTCGGGGGACCCACGGTGAAACGAGGACCGGGGGAGGCCGTGACCGAAGGCGCAGATACGATGACGGGCCACGGGAACTTCGAGGAACGGAGGACGAGACGGGCGCCCGCAGGCATGGGCGGCTCCGTGGCAGGTTGGGCAAGGGTATGGGAAGGAATGGCAGAGTGGGTTGCACGGTCCAGGACAGTCCGCGCGGATGGCGTGAAGGTGACGTCGTACGTGAGCGGCGCGTGGTGAAGACGCGTATACGCGAGCAACGGGTGCATGTGCAGCATAGGCGTGCGGGGCCGTGAGTAGCTGCTAGAGTGCGAATGGGTCGAGGATGGGCCACCACGGAGCGATCCGTCTAAGTTTCAAATGAGCCATCGTTGCCTTCGCAGGTTCATAGAGAACTTACAGGATGACGCAGTGCCGACGCTAGACTGGAAACTCTGGTTCTGCCTCAAGGGCGGACGGACAGAGTCAACGGAAGGGCGACTACTGTGGTGATGGCCCATGTCGGAACTGGACGACCGCGGCGCCCCCATGCCAAAGAGTGAGCAGCTTGAATTCGATCGAGACTCAGGCGGTGTGATACGACCGCCGGAAGAGATATACGTCGCATGCTGGACTATTTTCGGCGTTCCGAGACATTGAGCATAAGTCGAGTCAAGCTACGACAATGCAACTTACCGGGTTCGCGCGTCTTGTAGCTCGCTCGCCGCAGGCTGTTGGCGCGCGGTTCCGCGTATGGCGAAGTGGCGGCGCGCTTGGCGTAACCGTGCATTGTTCGTGTATCAGTGCCGGTGGCATAGCGGAGTGGCGAGGGGTTCGCTGCGCGAGAGGCGGAGAAGCTGTAGCTGCGCTGGACGTTGGCGCTAGCGCTGGAGCTGGAAGCAGGCGCGTAGATGGGAGCGGGTCCCGAGGAGCGCGAACGACTGTGAGACTTGGACGAACTCGCGGTGCTGCCCGAGCCACCAAACCAGTTGCGGAAGTAAGAAGGCATGATAGTCATTGGTACAAGAGCGGCAGGACTTGACGACACCTCGAGGTGGCTGAAGACAAGCTGTGGAGACGGTGGCGGTCTTGCAGGAGAGCACAGGGACAACTCTTCCTCGCAACGGCTGCAGGGGGAACGCAGAAGCTGGACCTGCGACGGGGCCTTATAAGTCGAGTGACGCGGACGGAGAATGTACCTCGTTTTGGGCAGGTACGGTTACGTGACTTGGTGCACCGAGTTCTGGACACCGCCTGCCGCGCTGGGCAGCGTGGAAAGCCCCCCAGAATAATGAAAGGACGTGCGGGGAGGCCTGGATCGTGCTGTCCGATTCTAGGCAGGGTGTGCATAGCCGCTGCTCTTCGAACGCACTTCGCCGTAAACTCCGTGATACGCAGGTATTACAATCACCCTTAGCGACACCACCCCGCGTCCAATGAGCGGTCGACAGCACAGGCCAGGTGGCCTTTGGGTGGCCCTTTCCAGCGGAAATGTTGGAATGCGATGTACAAAATCAGTAATAATCGTGATTGGCGGCGTGACAAGGTCCTGCCCCGGGCGTTAGGCCGCTAACAATGATCTTAGAACCTGGAGAAGCCGCGTGGCGGAGGCGTGTTTTCCCGTTCTAGGGCGGCGCGGCAAGCGCGCTGTACTGTTTGGGCACTTTACCGACGCGGGGGATGCACGCTGGATGCAGCAGACGACCAGTCCAGGTGTCGAAAGAGCGCCATGATGCTTCCTGCAGACCGCGTCTTGTCATTCTGACGTCTTCGTCGCTGCAGATAAGGAGCGCACTCCCACAGACTTCAGCAGCCCACCAGGAGCTGCGCAGACGAGTCGAGCTATGCTTGGACATAGGGCACCGAAGACAGGACCGGCAAAACCCAGAGCAGGAGGCGGATAAGTGCAGCAGTCATAGGCATGATACGGGCAGACCGGACGCTGGACCGGTTTGGGCAAAGTAGCGCACGTATAAGGCATGCCCTGCCTGCTTCTTCGGCCTAAAATGAACCACGGGTCCAGGCTGTGGAGATCAGCACCCTAGAACCGGGGCATCACAAATGAGATGCAGATTCCGAGATCTCGTTGGTCGTTGTGGGACCCTTCGACAGCACCTTCTGGCACAGATACCGGCGGCTCAACGCCGAATCCCCATGCCGCCGCGGTGGCCAAGCTGCCCCGACGCGCCAGCCGCCCCGCCCATCGAGGAATGGCGAAGGCGGTGCGGGGCTGGGCTGAGGCAGGCGAAAGAGTGAGCATGTCAGGCGCCGTGGGACCGGTTCTAGAGCAGTTTCACCGCGCCGACGGCAGACTGATGGTCGTATCCACCTCTGCTGCGAACTATCATTCAGCCTGTAGTTTCAACTGTTCAGTTGCGGCGTCGGCGTCGAGTTGACTGAAGGGGCAGCTGCTAGACGCCGCCAGCGAGGCGCGTGAGCGCGGATCGTCGAACGGAACTGTGACGCAGAGGGAAGTGGTGAACACAAAACCAGTTGCGATACCAGCGAGAGCGATCGAACACATGTGCAGCATCTAGGCCAGAAGTGACGAAGCACGATGTATGTCATACGCGCTGCACCAGCTAGAGATACCCGAATGCCTTGAACTTCGCGAAATTTCAGAGAAGGAATCGCAGAAAGCGAGCAAACGAGCGACAGGTAGGTCCAGGCCTCGGATAACAGTGACCAGGGATTCCACTGAATGACCGCTCGATTTGAGTCTTTCCACAACGATTGAGGAGCAACGCGCCGTCAGATTTGCGGGTAGCCGCAGCGACGACACTCAAAATACCATAATTGCCGAAGTCGCGACAGGTATAGCACTTCCGCAAGAGACCGCAATCCCCCGCCAGACCGAGCCAGACCAGAGACATTGTCGAGTGGACCAGTGCAGCCGTCCAGTCGCCGTACGCAGTAGAGCATTCGTCCCCTCGCAAAAGCTCCGCATGTCATGACACGTTGCAATGACGGCTGTCCTCAGGCTGAGAAAAAGTGGAGGTTCGACGTCGTCGGCTATCAGCGCCCCGCAGCACCAGGACCAGGGACCGAAGGACTCATCCTAAGGTTCGTTTAGCAGCAAGAAGGATGCGTTGGAAGCTCTCTGAGATGCATCACGAAAGAACAAAGATGATACGAACACGAGGCCGAGGTAACTCCTGGGTATGAGAGCCGTTCGCAGGCCTACACTCGAGGAGAGGAACAATCAGGCCGCATGACGAGAACCAGAGATGAATGTCAGCGTAGTTAGATAGATCCTAAGGGGATAGACCTAGCACAAACGTGGCTCGGACAGGATGCGGGAACGTACCAAACAGAAAACCCTGTATCCACCAACACGACGGCGTACAGGCATCGGTTGGTCGAACACACGAGATCAAAGGGGATCGAGACTTCGCTGCTCAACAGCAATCTCCAATTGTATGAATGCAGCTGGACCTTCGCCGCAGCTACATGATCATCGTGCGCACGTCGCTCGTAATACGATGCCGCCGGTACGACGGACTTTACGCATCACTTCAGGCGGGTACCCTTCCACGGCCAGGCCAGCCATGATCCCATCAGAACGGGACGGCCACGGGCAGTTCTAGGGTGCGGAGAGCTCAAGAGTCTCGAACGAGCGCGACTCAGCGACCAGCACGACACGCCCGAAGGACGGACTGAGCGGGGCAACGCGCACACTCAACAGGGCAACACACAGACATCCCTATCCGTGCGCGGAAACGACCCCATTGATGCGCATACGCTAGAGCACTAGAGCCGCGCCTGGTATGGCATAGGATACCCAAGGAAGGCGGGAGGCGGAGGAGCAGCGGCCTAGACCGCAGGCAAGCGCGCAACATACGCGAGTGCGTCTGCACAAAACAGGGTGTTCCACCACTGCGGTGGAGCGGTCCACAAGCAGACCAATGTCAAGGTCACGTCAAACGGCGAAGAACGTTGGTGGTAGGTAACCTGACGAGGATACACCGTGTATGCGTATATGCAATGATCACAGGCGAAGGGGACTGCTCCGGGCGCGACGAGGCATACGTAGTAGGTGGTATGATGCCCGTGTTGTTGGTATTCGTCCTCAACCAGTGGGTCAGAGGGCGTTGACGCAAGCTGTGCGAAGTCGAGGTCGGACTCCATCATAGATAGCAGAACACCGTGTGGCCAGATAGCACATCCCCATAGCCTTGACATAGCCTTGCACGAAGGGAGAAGCACACACTTCTCAGTCGTGACGCCCGCCTACTCCTCGAACGGCAGGAAATCTACATAGCATCGGCACGTTCCAGACCTCGGTATCATGCCAACACCGAGGACCGTCGAGGAAACAACGTACGGCATACCAAACTCTGCAGAAACTCATTCCGGTTTGGGAGGGATCGCGCCGCGTTCTCTGCCTCCTGTGCGCGCAACCGACCGCGAAGCAGAGTCCAGACAAAGGAGAGCACAGAAAAAGCGACGCGAATTTGCGATTGGTCCGCGTGGAGCCGAGAGAAGTCGATCCACTGCGTGTCAAAGAAGCTCACCGGCATTAAGTCATTCTGCGAAGCTTCCGACGCACGGCGCAGTGGCATAACTTGAGGTCGTTGCCGCTCGACATGAAACAGGCGTCAGTCGTGGTGGACGGCTTGATAATGAGAATTGTCCGTTAGTCCACCATGCTTGCTATCAGTGGCGGTCTAGACAGACTCACCGTCGGTCTCCGTATCGCCCGAGTACATGGCCATGTACACATAGTAATTTCCGCCCGCGGAGCGCCAGATTCAGAGTTTCGAACCATATCGAACTGGTCGCAGCTAATAGCTATCGAAGCGCTGCGTAACGGTGACGCGTCCAAGCCGCGGCGATCAGACTATCTTCAGGCCGGAGACATGACGTGGAGGAGTACACGCTAACGAGGCACGTTCATGAAGAGGCTGCCTTGCCCAGTCGTCAACGTGTTGGAGGAGATATAGAAAGTCGGGGCCATTTGCATACCTGTCACCTCATCTTGAAGATACACGGCTAACTCCAGAGCAGTCAAGGGTCTTCGGCGTGTCGCAATGACAATTCCGACTCTGCAAATGTCCGATTTCGCGCAGTGATACTCCTTCAGCTTCAAGACACAACTGAACTTGAAGACGCACTCACCTCGGTCTAACTCGTTCTCCCCGCACAACATCTATGTTCGCACGGGAGATGACAGTAAACAGGCCGTGGCAATTCCGTGGCGCATCCCTCCTCCATGCATGTCGCGCGACTTATCTGCCGGAAGGTGGAACGACGATTGAGTTCGTCGCGGGCACAGACTGGAACATAGACTCACCTGCAATCAGGTACCAGCAGAAATACGACATTTTCTGAAATCATAACGACCGGCACCCAAGGCAACAGCCCTCGCCTCCATCAATCAGCTGTGGCATTGAGCGGGCCAACACAAGCTGGACACCGATTCGCATGTCGGAAGCCTTCACTAGCCTTCACAGGAGGTCGATTGTTGACAGTTGTTGGCATTGCAGTGAAATGAATTGTGAGGACAATACAGACGCATATATGCAGGGGGCTGTGAGATAACCAGCGTTGCGGATGAAGACGAATGAGCGTGGTACAAATGCAAGAGACGCGACTGGTCTCCATCGGTCAGCGCGTCACGGTCACGGGTTGCAGCCAATCAGCGACCGTGATTTTTCAGCGGCAGCCCCGCGAATGCCAAATGTGACCGTGACGTAGACCCTCTCAGCTGCAGTAAGTTAACGTTCTCCTTACTCGCCTATTGAACGAGGGCTTCAGCCGCTATGAAACTGCCTCCAGGTCTATGTTGCTAAGTCTCTTGTGTTGAGACCCTCAGAAGTACATTTTGGCCGCATTTCGACGTAAGTAGGCTTGTAATATAGTGGGCAGCTACCGACGTGAATCGCGCGCCCGTGCCAGGTGAACCCCCGTTACGATGCTGTCGCTCGTTTAGCACAGCGATTCTGACGAACGCAAAGGCAAAGGCTCTCGCTGTTATCGCCTGCTACGGTCCGCCAAAATGGTATGTACGGCGGCAGTGTTCGTCACAGTGATCACTGCCTGCGGCAACGCGGGCATTATTGTGGTGCGTCCCTCTGTGTTCTTTTACTCCCGCTAAGAGGTGATAATCACCTTGCAACTGGTAGATTCAGGCTCGCCGCTGGCTTTATACACCACGCAGGTTCCTACCAGCGTGTGTATTGCTTTGTGATGCCTGGTGCGTCGGCTAGCTTTCTTCTTTGTGTAGTGGCTTACACGCCGGTTGCACGCAGGTCGAACAGGGCTACTGTGTGAGGCAGATGGGAGTCGGAAGCTTGACTCTTTGCTTGCGTGGATCTCGTGAAGCAAATACCCGGCTGGCATTGAGGACCCTTCCGGTGAAGAGCAAGGTCTGTCTGGTCTCTGTGGGACCTTGATGAGGTCTCCGTGTTGGGATGGTAATATTGTGTAAGGCGTCGCTTGATCGCATGTTATGCGAATTCTCTGCCTGTAAAAGCACTTTACTGTGAGCCCATATATTGCAGGGACTGACAACTGTAATAGCAGGTGGAATACAACGCGGTCATATGACGGGTAGCGAAATGACGTCACTAGGGTGAGGCTGGAGGCTTGTCCGCACGCACAAAGACGCACAACGACTGACTCTTCTCTTTACACCACCAGCATGCACAAGGTCGCCAACGCTCTGAAACAACATCTCCATCCCCAGCGCGAAACGCGCGCAGAGACACTTCCACCAGTCCAGGCTCTGCCATCTACGTCGTTTACCGACGTCGATCTGTACAGCTATCGACAGCAGCGCGGAGTTAATCTCGGTCCGCATCCGTTCCTGCTGTATCGTCTCGTAACTCGATCGATTGATCATTCCATTATGCAGGCTCTTGGTTTGTTCTCGAGCGATGGATCGCAGATGCGCCTTTCCGTTCCGCCGATGGCCCCGCACAAAGCGATCTCGACGTCGCGCGCGGGTCCCACGCCAAAGAGGTGCTCGAGCGGCATTGGGACACCTGGATTACCGAGGAGGACTGGGCGTGGATTGCCGACAGAGGATTTAATACAGTCCGCTTGCCGGTACGCGCTTCTTCTGCTTCCTCCCTGCTCCATTTCGCGTCCTGTCGTGAGACCTGCTCGTCATTGTCATGATATGTGTCGAAACACTCGTCCCAGTGGGAAGGGATCTGCGCAGAGCATTTCGGGATGGCGGGCCGATTCTCGGCATTGCCAGCCATGATGCGCGTGTCGTAGAGGCTCCCAGCTTCGAGGCGCAAACGGTAGCACTCGCATCACCGCGACGCGACAGGTGGACACGTTACAAAACATGTGATTCGCGGTACTTACAAGATGTTTATGTACCTCAACGCAGATTGGCTTCTATCACATATGCGGCGTCGATCAGACAGTCCTGCAGGGCACCGACTTCGCCCAGCTCGGCCACGTATTCGACGGGGCCTGGAGCAGAATAACAAAAGCCATCGCTACCGCGCATCGGTACGGTCTGGGGGTTCTCATCGGTGAGTCAACGTTCGTCCGCTGAGCACGTAGGGAGTCGAGCTCATCAAAGCCATGCAGACCTACACGCTGCTCCGGGTAAACAAAATGCCGACGCGCACTCTGGGTCGTCTTCGGAGCCAGCGTTCTTCACGAATCCTCATAACATGCCTCACACGATCCACGTCCTCTCCGTCCTGCTTTCCCAGCTCATAGCATTCACACGTTCACACAACCCTCCGCTGCCCAACGTCGTCGGCATCGAGCTTCTCAACGAGCCGCAGCCCGGGCCGCAGAACGCTTCGCTCGAGCGATGGTACCTCGACGCCTTCCGCGCGCTGCGTAGCATTGACTCAAGTATACCTCTGTGCATCGGTGACGCCTGGATGACGGATCAATACGTGGAGTTCCTTAGCAAGTCCGGAGTGCCGTTCGTCGTGCTTGACCATCACCTGTATCGCTGCTTCACTGAGCAAGACATCTCTACACCTGTCTCGCAGCACGCGCGTGCCCTGTCCGACCCGAACGAATGGGCACCCCAGATGTTCGCGCGTGTCTCGCAGAAGCTCGAGGGTGCAGGTTGCGCTATGATAGTCGGCGAGTGGTCCTGCGGTCTCAATCCTGGCTCTCTTCAAGGTATAGGTGATGAGGATCACGCCAGACGCGAATACGTGGATGCTCAGCTGCAACTGTACGATCGCTTTTGTGCGGGCTGGTTCTTCTGGACGTACAAGAAACAATACGGAGACAAGGGCTGGTCGTTGAGAGATGCCGTGGCCGCAAACGTGTTTCCGAGCTCGGTCGGGCTAAGAACGAACAGACCGGTTGTAGACGATCCCGAACGCACCGCACGGAGAGATCAGGCAAGAGACGTGGCTTTAGGTGAGTGACATCATCGCTAGTACCTAGAGAAGCCCTGCCGACGTCCCGCACCTCCGAACAGGCGAACACAGCTCCTTTTGGTCTCAGTTCCCAGGAAACTACGAGCACTGGCGGTTCGCGGACGGGTTCACAGAGGGCTGGGAAGATGCGTGGCATTTCTTCTTCATCTCTTCCCATACGCAGCGCGCCGGCTTCATCTCCGAACTTGGCTTCAAGGGTCCGTGGGCGAAGCGACGAAGCCAGGAATACATCAGCAAGAAGGGTAGTGGGAACGTTTGGGAGTACGGTGAGTCGCCATGCGTGGTGGGGTTTGATACCAATGCTCGTGCTCATGATGTCGATGCAGAACACGGCTTCTCTCAGGGCGTATCATCGGCTCGTGAAGACTTCGTGCGGACGTATTGCTAGCTTGCATGAAGCATAGCAAATGTCGGGTCAGAGCGTCATGTCTCGAAGGCTTGAAAAGAAACGTAGAATAAATTGAAGGTGAACACTAAATGCGCCCGGGTGAGTACCATGCATCGAATAAATACAGCTTGTCTGTCTGTCCATTTCAGTCTTTGTAAGTAGCGGCAAACGTCTCGTACTGCAAGGGCAGTTGATCGGACTTCTCAGCGCCGACCGGCCTGTACGTCCTCTGTGGGCTCGCTCGTGCTCTACGGACCAGCATCGCGGCGATGACGATCAGGAGGAACAACGCCCCAGCCATAAGCCCGATGATAATGTAGGAGTTGCGCATCAAAGCGGAGTAGTCGTCTGAAGACGACGAGGAGGCTGATGGAGACGAGACTCCCCCCGCGACTGAGAGATCGTCGTCGTCATCTGAGCCCGAGCTGGACGACGTCGAGTTCTCGGATAGGGCGGCGGCGAAGGCGGATAGCCTCTCCTGGTTCGCCTGCGCGAACTCCTGGGCTGCGGCTTCGGCGTCGGTGGTCTACACGAAGCCATCATAACTGGTTAGACCCCGGCTACGCTGTCACAATAAGCGCACTCACGCTGAGCATCTGCACGTATGGCCCGATCTCAGCTTGAGAGCTGTTGCCGATGTTGAGGTTGTACAGGGTGTATGCGTTTCGGAGGAACGTGTCGCCGAGGAGCAATGCTGGATACCCGACAGTGGTCAACCCGAAGTAGCAGCATGCAGGAAGACAATGAACACCTACACCCATCGGGGAAGCTACCTGCGAGGCGACCAATTGCTCCCTTGCAGATCAGCGAACCGTTTTTGGCGAGGGCAACTGGCTGTATCGCGTCGATCGGGTTGATCGGGAATTCGTTCTCACTGTCGAAGTCAGTGGACGTACGACAGCATGTTCTGGCCGGCTTACCCAAAGACAAGGGAAATGTTGACCTGCGCATTGCAGTCCACGACCGAGTAGTCCGTATCGATTTGTTCCGCGTTCGCGCCGTACATGATGTCCACGAACCTGGGGTCGACCAATGCTAGAGATGGAGAACAAGGGTCAACACTGTCCTTCTGCGCGGACAAACCAATGGTGAAGCTTACCGGTCGGGGTACCAGTGTCGAGGATTGCAGAGAGGTTAGCTGCGCCGCTCGAGCTGCATGAAGACGCAAGTCAGCAGTTGATCCTCGACCCATCTGAGACCGAACAGACCTGGTGTTGTACCACTGCCCGTTGATGATGATGGCATCCATGTGTACAGTCCAATGTTGAGCTATCAGCGGGCTGTCACTGCCCACCGGCAGGATGGGCGTATCCTGGATGGACGCCAGTTCCGGGACGGGGTCACCTATCAACCACAGTGAGCATTGCGCCAGACACCGCAAAGTACGAGGGCTCTACCAATGGTGAAGGCGCCGCCGGATGTTTCATTCAGGCCGTCGTTGCGAGACATCAGGATAGTGAACTGTGGCTGGATGCTGGGGTCGTTGAAGAAGATCTGCGTCCAGGGCATGCTGAGTTATGGCTATGCTACTCGATGTACAACTCACGTTCTGCAGTGTGTTGTAGCCGCTTGCGTTGTAGTTAGCCTCCTTGAGTTGACTCGCGACCGGGCTGGTTTCCGTCAATCTGTAGTTACGATGGTGAGTCCACTGCACCGATCCCGAATTGGTGCAATGTGTACTGACGGGCTAAGGCCAATGAGCCCGCTGATCCCAGGAGCCACGAGACCATCCGAGACTGTTGAGTTCTGGACATCGACTGACAATACGTCAACATCGCTCGATGAGCCACGGGTTCGCGACTGGGACACTCACTGTACGCTTGCTGCGCGATGGTGAAGCCAGCGAACTCGACTTCGGCTGTGAAGATGTCGCCGTGGATCGAAGACCCGTCGGCGGCATCGGTACCGTAATTCAGTTTCACAGAGACAGAGGTGTTCACGGCGCCGGGCAATGCTGAATCCGTCACGACCCACAGGTCAGGACTGCCAGTATCCAAGATTACCTGCAATGCGAATACATGCATATTAGACATCGTTCACAAACGTATACGCAGGATAAAACACACCTCATACGACTGCCCAGCGATAGTGATGTTGCCAATGTAGCGAAAATCCCCATAGTTGACGAAGCCAGAGAGGTCGTTCGACGTCGATGACTTGGTGACAGTGACTTTGTGTGGGCTATCATCGCGACTGCTGACAAAGCCTCTTCGAAGGGGAATGTGAATAGCAAAAGCAGAGGAAAGGACAGTACTAGCGAGGAAGGAAAAGGACAGAAGACGTTGATACATGGTCGTTCACCCAGGGCGGTGGGATGTTCCTGGGAGGTCGAAGCGACTGGCCTTATGAAGGGACAGATGGGCGGTGGCCATCACTCAACGGGATCCTGCCGGCTACGGCTGCACCCCATTACTGTCTGACACTTCCATTGCATGCATCGGGCGGTAGCGGTGCAGCAACCAACGACTCTTGAGCGTCCGTCCCACGCTTGCCCCGCATGTCCTTCATTTCCGCCTCATGTCACAATAAATTGCGCCTTCCAACCTACCTCGATTTGAGTCTGTTGAACTTGTTCGGACTACTTCTGCTTGGCGATAATGCCTGTTATTGAACACGGATGCTGAGCTTGACCGTTAGCATCGGCGAACGACTTCAAGTGGCCGACAGTCTGCATCACCGCGCAAAAAGCGCCGTGACGCCGCTGGCCAGTGCTCACTGATCCAGATCATGATCCAAGCTGTACATATTCAATTCATATTCGTCCATGCTCTTTCTAAATTGGATTGCAGTCAACACGTTGGGTACGGTACATACACTGTGTCTCCTACCTGACATCTCCTTCTGCTAGACCATGAACTTGTGTACGCTCAAAGCAACATTCAAATTGTCTTCCGCTCATACTCCTGAGTCCTATGAGGTCCTCACGACGAACAGCCCGCTTCGTGCAGCAAAGAAGCTGTGATCCGAAGGTGCGCTCCGGACACCGCCGGATAGGAGCGTCGAATGGGCGTCGAATGAAACCGAGTGGGTCACCGAGCGAGGCGAAGCCGGCGACGCCCTGCACTCGAGCGCAGATCGTGTAAACCGGAAGAAAGTGCGACGATGCGAGGTCTCGGGAAGCTGTGAACAAGATCATATCAGCGAGCGTCGACCCGCATGACGTGGCATTCGAGCGGTGATTGTGCTTGAGTCGGGGCCGGGCGGGCATACCTGTAGGCTTACGAATGGCGCAGTTTGAGTATGTACCAGTGTTGCGCCTAAGTAGACGGTACCGGGTAAGTACTTAGGCTGTAGCTAAGTACGTGGATGAGTACATAAGCACTGTCAGTACCAATACTTACCAGATGAGGAAATGTCCTGCGGTGGCTGTGACAGTCGTCATTGAAAGTGGCGCTGCTCTGAAAATGCGGCAACAATCTTCTCTGCATGTCGGGCTCCTATCTCTCCGCAATCCGCATTTCCTTGTCGCAAGAACCTGTCGTTACAGGCGATGTTAGTGAAGGTACTGTGCGCCTGGACCTTCCAGCCTTGGGAGAAGAGAGGGTAGGAGAAGTGCACGCTCACTTGAAAGGCTTCTTGACCACGTATGGTGCTATTCTGAGTCTATGCCTAGCTACGGTTCTGACGAATCAATGATTCATATAGGACGCTCAACCGTCATGGGCCTACGCTCACAGACACGATCTCCCTTCTACAGCAAAGCATTTTGCTCTGGAAACGAGGGATGCCTTCCCCGTCGTCAGGCATCCTCACCGTCCCGTTCAGGTTCAAGCTGCCGGACAATCTACCTCCCTCGTTCGACTTCAGTGACGAGGGAATCAGTGTCCGGATCAGCTATTCCGTCGAGGCTGCTCCAGATCGTTCGGGAATCCGGAGTGAACGAGTAGAATCTACTGTGACCGTCGTTCAGAATGACCCGGAAAGCTCGCAGATTAGTCTGCGACTAGCTCAAGGCTGGAATGAACCTTGGACGACAAAGACCATTTCTAAACGATTTCGCAGAGTACATGGTCTTGTCGGGGATGCCACGTTGAACGTGCGTAAGCCGGATTCCTACCTCTTATGGCAGTGAACTGTACCGACGTTCCTATGTTCGCAGTTGACGTACCCATCGTCGCCTGCTCTGCCTACAAATTCGAACATCCCTTTCAAGCTGCATGTCGTCACTGTCAGCTCCTTGATGTCGCGGGACGACGACGGTAGGATATGGCCATCTCCGCCAACTCAGCCTCGTGAAATTCTCGCTGAACTGCGACAACGGGTCTACTCCCGCATCGGCTCGGAAAGCCATGTATTCACCACGCCGGTCAAGTCACTGTGGGGCGCTGTGGAAGTCGGGCCGTTTGACAAGGAATGGATCCCGACCGAAGGGAGCGACACGACAGGCAAATGGAAGCAAGAAATGCCCCTCAGGTCGTCTTTTATGCCGTCAAACACACCTACATTCGCCTACTCGAGTGCTGGTACGAGTGAAGTCCGCGTCGAGGTAACGTGTTATGGTGCTGTTGCTCTGCCGACGCAGCTGAACAGTCGCTCCTTAGTATTCGATCCACCTCAATGTTCACTTTGGGTCACATTACAGTCTTGACCTGGACGTGCCGGTCATCATTGGTTCTAGCGTGGGACCGGGCTCACGCGACAAACCCGCCTCTTTGTCAACAACGGAAGCCGCACGATCACACGCTGGGATAGACCGAGTTGAGCCTCCTATGTGAGCGCTTATATGTATTTCTATGCTGACAAGCTTGACAAAGTAAACGTCGCAGGGATTGGTTTCTTTCTGTCCCAGGCGCTTCCTTTGAGAGCAACTCGTCAAACCCTCTGCGTCGTGTGATCACTGCACCCGAAACGAGACCGCCTTGTCCGACCACAGCAAGTGATCAGGACAGCAGGCTCACTGCTCGTCTGGAGCAGCATGACCTCCCAATGTCGGTCCAGGAGATATTGTTGCTGGTCAATAATCGCTCACAACATGTTTATGTAGGAGCTGGTTTATGCCTGGCACTGGTGCTTCTGCGTCCGGGGCGCCTGGGCACGGGTACACAAGAAGCCTAGAGTTACTGGACAACTCCATGTGCGTTTCGTTGTCTGTGTTAGACTGAAATACTCGCTGACTCGGTCTGGCCACAAATTACAATACAGCGCGCTCTTCGAATCTGCTTCAAGACTCAGGAGTACCAGCCACGAACGCCCCATACCTCTGCGGCAAGTCCGATCTGCAAGTCCCGCAAGGGCATCCATCGCGCGAAGTGGCTACGTGCGGAACTTCGGACTTGCCGACTTACCTGAGTAAGTTCACATCCAGACGTACCTCTTTCGCACTGTTGAGTACGACTATACGTCAGGGACATGTTCACTGGAGATTTCAGAGGTGTCCCCGCGACTCCTAGACGGCCAGCTCGCAGGCAACCAGCACCTCCATCCGGAAACGCTCGTCCCGTAAGCGCCGAGTCAAGTACATCTGCACGAGGCAGTCGTGTTCGAAACTACGGGGCCGCTGACGTACCCGAGTAAGTTCTGATCACATGTTGGCTATATGCAGGCTATTGAGCTGAATCGTGTAATAGAAATATGTTCGGCGCGGATTACGGCGCAGTCCTTACGACCTCTAGACGTCCTGCACGCCGGCGCCCGGCACCCACGTTCGAAACGAATCGCCCGGAGGAAGCGGAGTCGGCGGATCTGCCTTCGTACGTCGTTGTCATGCTGTCTCGGTACAGCTCCGCTGAGTGCAGGAGGCAGGTATGGCGACAGTCTCGACGACGGACCCCCACCCTACGAGGAGTAGCGCGCATCAATGCTCTACATCCGCTTCTCCCAGTGATGGTGTGATTGCTCCGTGCTTCTGCTATCTAGCACTCGTCTTGCATTCACTTACCTGGTGCGTGTATACCTATGTATCTCATACTAGTTGATCTGTCGCCTCAGAACGGGTCATATATGCCTACCCGCTGCATCCCAGATAGCCTCGATGACAGACGTCGGTTCTAAAGACGTGTGGGGCCGCACGAAAGATGCTCTGTGATAGAGTGGCACCTCCCAAGCTATAGCCTATCGCGCGTCCTGCCAGTACTCACTCTCACGGCAAGGGGTTCCCGAGTGATGCATCTGCATCAGCCATGATTTTGATTGGCATGCCACTGGCACGAAAGCTCGGGCAGTCAAACTACCATCCCTCTGCATTCGCAAAGTGGGTTGACCGTAGACTAAGCGATCAGTTGACCCACTAGGGCTGTACTTGATACTGACCTGCGATCCCGTGCATTGACCGCACAACACCTAGTACAAACCATCTGGTCGCCTCGTCAGCGCGGAATCACGTCTGTCGTACGTAGACCCTGTGAGTGTCAAATTAAGATTGAATTGATGCGGCGTCTCTGACTGACCTTGAAGCTGTTCCCTAGCCTCGGGGAGATATATCTAGCCAGTGTAAAGTACTGGGTTGTTGCTAGTAGTCGACTCAGGCTGCGGGTCTGCCGCGATGACTTCGAAGCCACCACTACACCTCGTCCTTGCTCATCACACATGCATTGCTGGACAACCTATTCGAGGCGCGGTTGCGCTGAACCTTCGTTCTGTGCGAGATGACCCGTTGGATGAAGTGCGCGTGGACTTGAGAGGGATCATGCACATGTACGTCTCCTCGACATTCCACCGAGTATGCGCTGACACAGCTTGAAGCTCCTATTCACGCCGTCACGGCTGTGGGAAGGAGGACATTCTCCTTGTCTACGAGAGCAAGTCCCTCTGGAAACGAGAGCGCTACCCTCCGGCTGGAACCCACTTTCTCCGGATCCCCTTCAACTTAGAACTACCTGCCGATGTACCACCCTCGTGCTACGTCTCAACTGGCGGCACCGTTGTTCGGGTCGACTACAAGGTCGAGGCTATCGGCGTACGGAGTAGCATGCTCCGACTGCACGAGAAGGTCGATTGTTCGTTCAAGGTCGTCACGTCTGATGCCGTAGGCGCGCCACTCCGGGCAAAGCTAAAGGGTGGTTGGCAAGGCCCGTGGGCCACAAAGACAGCCAGACGACGTATTCGCAAGGGGCTATGGGGTGCCCACGCGGATGTTCAGTTGGAAGTGAGTGCACAGCTGCGTTTGTCATCACCCTCTCAGGAAAGGGGCTCTAAGTGGATTCGTAGTTCACATATCCTGCCATCCCTGTACTACCGCTATCTTCCGCTATCCCATTTGCTCTGTCTATCGCCACTGTCAGTCGGCCCCTGCCACGTACCTACGACAGGCGGATCTGGCCCAGTCCGCCATTCAAACCGCACGAAGTGAAACTCACCCTGAGGCAAAGTGTTCGCGTCAAATCGCGGACGTTCGACCGGACGTATATATTGCCGCTCTCCTCACTGTGGGGTTCTGTCGACATCGAGCGCTTCCCAGATGAGTGGTACCCCATCGACGACTTGGGCGTGAAGGGTCGGTGGAAGCAGGAGTCCGTCTTCACCTCAGTGTTCCGCCTGCGATGTCCTTCTGCGTTCAGATTCTCACGTCTTGGGCATGAAGTTGAGATACAGGTATGCGCCGCAATTTGTTCCCCTCGTGAATGCTATTGAAGAGCGTGCCGCAGTATTTGGTACACATCCGGGTGAAGTTCGACCGGTTCCACAAGATGAGCACAACAATACCCATTAACGTTGCATCTGGTATGAGCATCTAGTGCATTGACCCTTCACATACTGTCTGTGTGAGTGCTGATCCGTTATCTGCTTTCATTCACTGATGTCGGACGTCATAACGGTCGCAGCCTTAGGTTTCGCTTTTGCCGCACGGACCATCTGTTGTGACCTCATTGTCAATCATTGCGCATTAAGTTATCCTATAAGGTACGTAACCATCCTCATCCTCATCCTCATCCTCATCCTCATCCTTATCCTCATTGTTGACCTCATCCTCACCATCGACCTGCATAGTAGTACACACATCCTTGTCAGAACCTTGCTCCTCAACACGCAGCCTCTTATTTTGCCTGTATGGTCCTTTGTTGCCCAATTTGTCCGAGTCTTCTTTTTCCGTCATCTCTAATGCCTTCCTGCGGACAGCTGGAACAGAGTACACTTCTTTGTACAAGTGACTATGTTCCGTATGAACTCACTGGTCATATGTTCTTCCTTCTCCTCCTTCCGAGCTTTGCTAATGGAAGTCGAACCAGCCGGGTGTTTCGTGCCTTCCCGGCGGCTTGATTGGGGACCTTGTTCAGTTCCCTTAGAACGAGTGACAATACTATCCGTCATGATGTCTGCTCAGCAAACGTAGCAGCTCAAGGTTATGATGGGCAGAGACAAGGTCAACTCACCACCGCTTGCGTTGGGGTCGCGCGGGCATGTGGCGTGGTACTAGTACATACAGTACAATTATAATGTAGACTACTGGCTAGTACTCGGTATGCTTTTGCCTGTCTGTCCGTCCACATATCCGCCCTCCCTGTCCGACGCTTTGCTCGCCAGGTGTCGGTCCATATTCGTGTCGCGGTTCGTACCATTGCGCCGAACGGCAACCGTTGCGCGCATCGCGATAACTCCCCCACCTCAGGCTGTCTGACCTGCGCACCCGCTCACCCACGCTCCCATTTGTCTGTTCGCCCACGCCCCGTTCGCCCACGCCCCGTTCGCCCACGCCCCGTTCGCCCACATACCCACCGCCCCCGCGTCTGCCTGATCAACTGCCTGCGAGTCTACCCGCTCGACTGCCTCAACTCAAGCCTCGAGCGGCGCTTTTGGGATACTGTCGCTCGAGCCCGTCATCCCCGGTTGAGATGAGTAGAGCGCCCGCCAGCCAGATGAAGGACGCAGTTGCGCGTCCCCTGCGCCATGCCAAGTAGGGCAGAGCATGGGTCAACGCACGGGTGTCCTGAGGTGTACCCGTACCCGTCCGGGTACAGAGCCGCTGCAGCGCGTACGGGTCATGCGCGGGTAGACACGGGTTCGCGGGTGCACGAGTGAATTTGTGGGCAAGTGGGTGAGAGGGGGCAGACCAAGGCATTGTGGTGAGGATCTGGTGGACTCGCAGTTACGCGGCTTGAGCACGCATGCTGTGCCCTCGGCGGTCATTGCATTGCTTGAGGATGCGGGCTTGACATACTCGCGCAGTGCTTCACTGGAGGGTCGAGCGTCGCTGCGTTGAGCGCGGGCGCGGCGATCCTCGTTCGTTGGGTCAGCGAGGACTGACTGGCTGCGGAGGAGCGCGGAGAGGTTGCCCTACCTCGTAGTTGCCTTGAGGGCCTGTTGCTTGTTGGAGGTACGGGAGCGTTAACGGGAGGTAGGCAGCGGGCTGTGAGGTGTGCGGCAGAGGCGGGCGGAGGTTCAAGTGCACTGGCCATAGCAGCGCATGCGTCGTAGTCGTGAGAGAGGTGGGGTCGGGACGTACGTATGGACCGCGCGCAGTCCGTTCGTCGGTCGCGTTTGCGCGCTGGGCATTCGCCCTGCGTGCTCGCGGTCGTCGTGCGTGTCGTGTCCTTTTTGTTGCTGCACTCTGTGTCTGCCATCCGCTCGCCTGCGCCTGCGCCCATGCCCTCCTCCCTGTGTTTCGCTGTGCCGGCGACCGTGCTGAACTCGTCGGGTGTGTTCACACTGGCACGCGGTACCTCTGCCGTGCGTGCTCGCCGTTGCCGTGTGCTTCATGCTCGCATGTTCTGCGAGTGTGAAGGCGACCTTCCTACCGGGACAAATGACATCAGCGCGTGGCTTATCCCACATATATCAATCCACAACCAACCATCCATTAGGACTGCCAGCATGGGTGAATTGCTTTCCGTGAGAGTCTAGACAAAATGGGCTGATTGCTAGCTGTCGCGCCCGAGACCACGGATAAGGCACTACTGACCTGCTCTCGCCCTCGAGCCTTCGTCAATTCCACTGGGCAATAGTGAATTGCTTGCACATACCTGCAAGCTTTGCCAAAGCAGCGCGTGTAGCTGCGGCAGGACGCAATGTGCGCCGCCGCCGTTGGCTCGTTGATGATACGGATAACGTTGAGACCGGCGATAGTGCCCGTGTCCTTGGTCGCCTGACGCTGCGAGTCGTCGAAGTAGGCGGCGACGGTGGCGACAGTGTTCGTGACTACGAGGCGGCCAGTGCGCAGCGTGCGGTTCGACGCGAGAGTTCAAGTTGAGTGCTCAGGCCGAGGAATGGGCACGAGGGCATTGCTGCACAGTTGTACAACTGGCTGACTGACAACTCTGCTTCCACAGAGTTCCTGTGCCAACGCACCACACTCAATGAAGAACCGGGCGAAGGTGGGAAGGTGCAAGCCATATCATGATATCATCGTCATACTAGCTCTGTGCATGGGCATGTTCGAGAGCGAGGTGCTGGAAGTCGCAGGTCTTCGCAGGTGCAGTGGTCTAAGTGAAGGGGAGACCCAGTGGGTGACCCAGGGATAGACACAGTGAGTATGTACGATGTCCGCGCGGTCTTGGCGTGGTCGCAAGGGTCCGGGATCTGGCGCGCAGGAGAGTATATTACTACTAAGCAATGAGGGGGTCCCGGGTCTATAATATAGAGTCTGCCTATGCTCGAGTGCTTCGCGATAGGGTTACTCGATGACCCTCATCCTAAGTATCATTAAGAGTACATCGGATATCGCAAGTCTAACGATACATGAGATCGTAAGTCGTAACAATAGTACATGTATCATTCGTTCGTTATGAGTCGTCGCTAAGTAGTTGTCGCTAAGTAGGGACATTCAAAAGCGTCAGAGCATCACAATAGCGTCCAAACCTTGCGACATAGCAAGCACCAAGAGAGCAGCAGAGCATAAGATAACAGAAAAATAAGAACCCAGTGATAGAGACGTAGATGCGCAAAGTGGCGGGGGATGCGACGAGGGTGATCAAGGCGCTCGATGACCAAGGTGAGGATTGTCGTGTATAGATTGCAGGCCTAGGTTCAGGTACCACCTGTTGTCAGGACGAACAGCGATCCACGTCCCCCACCAAGCCGTCTGGTCCTGCAGACAGTCCGCGCGTTTCATTCCTTGCCGATACTCGTACCCCTCGAGGGCGTGACTCGTCCGACACCGTCTCCAGAACGCCTCGTACATCCGTTCGCGGTTGCCCGGCCGTAGCGATGACACGAGGTTGACATCCTCCTCCGACATCCGCCTCTGGAAGAAGTCGTGGATTGCGAAGAGTATGTCGCCGAGAGTGATGGCGCTGCTCTTCTCGATGACGATCGGCCCCCAGCGCACGCTCGCCAACCCGATGTCGCAATGGATATGCATCGTGCGCACCTCGGGGTAGGTCGCCACCTGGTTGAACCGCTGCGACAGTGGTACCCAGACATGTCGCCCAGTCGCCCATCGCGCTGTCGTCGGATGCTGCGTGATGTCCCAGGCGACGTGCGGCATGGACGGCATCGCTGGATTCGGAACCAACCAGGGACAGAGCAGTATTGGCGAGTCCGCCTGATCCGTCCGACTGGGCGTCGGGGGCCACGCCGCCGGAGCCCCATCTGACGGGAAGGCTCCTGGGAGGGGCCAGCCGCCCGTCAATGTCGCCACTGCGGCCGGGCTAAACGGCGACGTAGGCCATGCTCGGGGACCGTTGAACAAGTTAGGGCCCCAAAACGCATGTGGCGAGATGTTGGGATGTGGGTACGGATGAGGCATCCAAAATGCAGGAGGAGGGGTCATCAGTGGCGTCGCAGGTTGAACATGAGGGAGCGCGGGCGGGAGTAGAATGGGCTGAGGGACGCCCATAGGCGCGGCCAGGAGTGTCGCATATGCAGGGACTGGAGTCGGCATGGGCACCATGGCGGGTATGAAGGTCGGTACAAATACCGTGCCCGCGCCTGCTGATGCCTGGGGGCCGGCAGCAGATGGCGGTCGTGGCGGCAGAGGAACCGCGAACGGCCCTGAAGAGTGTTGTGCATTCGCTATTCAACACATGTATCAGGGGAGTCTAGAGCCACATGTAGCGATACATACGTGTATACGGATGGTGGCGATCCCGGAACAAGTGGGGTGGTAATCGAGGATTACGCGTCCCATGAGACCTTGGTGCCCACGGATCTGTTGTAGCACTTGCATGAGTACATGTCTCAGGGATAGTGACTCGCAGTCTCACCTACGCCGGGAGCTGAGGGAGGAGGCCGTAGAGCTGTAGATGATTGTGGTGCGTCGCGAAATAGATGCGGCGGCATGCCAGGAGGGCGTTGAGACGTTCGAGGCGTCCGCGGCTGTGGCTCCGAGCGAGGAGGTACAGGATGATATGGTTGAAAACGTGAAGAAGAGGGACCGGCGACTGGCGCATCCCTGAACAGGTGTGGCGGCACGCTTGAGCGATGTGGCGAAGGTACGGAATGCGAGGGAGGCATCGCCGCACTCATGGGCGGGAAGTCAGGCGAAGGGGTTGCACCGGGAATCGCCCAAGGAGGAAGGGGCTGCATCCCAGACTGAGAGGCCGAGGCATCCCTAAACAGATGTGGCGGCAGTTCCGCTCGATGCCACGACCCCTCGTGAGCATTATGAAGGATGCCTCGATCAGGATGTGCATTACGGTGCTGCGGCGTGTGATGTGTATGGTCGTCGCGTTGCAAACGATCGTTGAAGGTCACCGACATTGGTCTATGCCAAGTCTCCCCGCGCTCCGCAGCGCACCTGGGACACGAGCAGGTGCTAACTCCGTATGTCGGGATACAATTACGGCTGAGGCAAGGAAAGCAAGAGGGCCAACGCATCCAAATCTGGGTGAGATTCCAGTGGGACACGATCCTACGCGGTGTTGCTGCTAGCTTGCGTAGGCAGACCCGTAGTAGGCCGGCAGGCTATGAAGCTCGTTCTCTAGAGCGAGAGGGATATAAGGACTTAGTACACGGCACTGGCACAATCCTCCTTAAAAACCATACTTTTCAGGGCCAACGGTGGACACATCGTCCACAGACATCAACTGTTCGCCCCTACTCCGCCTGCGGCCTTATGTATTCTGGCATGTTGCTAAGCGATGTTTTTGTGCCGCGTTCTCCTCCAAGGGGCCAATCGGTCATAGACAGCGGCACTCGAGTACAATAGTCGACAAGCATCGAGGCTTAGAACAAGAAGGTTGTGTAACAAGTTTGTCAAGTTGTGGGCAGGGGCTAGCCTCCGTTGCACCGACGCCGCCAGTGGCGCCGACGCTCGCGCAACCGAGGCCAAACAAGGCTGCCACCACGACAGTCTCTTATTCTTCAACTTACTCACAAAACTTCCTCAGCTTCGAGTCCGTAAAAGCCCACCTACACGATTTAGGTGCTCAGATTGTTCCTCCCAGCGAGGCGTGTATACGTAGACACAGCTTACCGCAGACACGGCGAGTCGCGAGCCGCGACGTCCGAGTCCGTTTACCCGGACCGCACAACTTGAATGAACGCGGTCACGTGTCGGTGTAAGGGAGCAGCGGATCGTGTCGATTATATGTGGTGCTTAGCGTAACGAACTACAGATCTATCAATAGTAGTATCCTAATTCCATCCTGACGCAGCTTCGCAGAGCTTTTATGCTAAGTAGCCACTTTCCGCCTTCTAGGCAATGAGACGATCAGAACTCGAAGACGATCACCTCCATGTCCTACAAGGTTCGTTAATGAGATAAGAATGAGCGCATCTCGGACATAATCCTACCAATTTCTCTTGGCTTCCAACCTGCAGCGGATAACAAGTCTATCAGTCTAGCGCAGATCATCATCTTACCCGACGTGCTCACCTGTACGTCCTGGAAGTTGACGCCGTCCAGAACGCACGACGAGTCGTGTCCTTTCTTGCGTTGTCGCTTTGCAGCGGCATGTAGTCGCAGGGAGACATTATCCCGAGCATGCCTATTCGATGATATTTCGCTGAGTCCACTTGTCAGTGATCACCTTAAAGCTACACCACGCACATCAGTCTCATAACAAGATCCTTCAACACAGGATGCGGATTACGTCCTGAATAATGAGATGTCAGGTCAATCACATGTGGCGGATGTCTGTTCACTCACGTAGTTCTTCTACGAGAGTCTTTACCCGAAAATCAGTCTCGCACGCGATACACAACAAGACATAGACTTACCATCGACATAGAACGGCCCCTCGGATCCTCCCACGTCTGCTGTGGGTCACCGCATGCTGCTATGGAGATCTTCGCGGCATACGATGTTAGAAAGGTATTCATAACCGTGAATCAATGCAATCCACGTACCACTCGCGGAACAGATTTCATACTCGCACTCGTAGGCACGCACCATCCATCGCACCGTATGCTAGGCACGGGCGATGGTGATTGATACCTCCGTATCACCAACGCAAACGCCTCTTTCCACGGTCTGACGAGGGTCCTTGTCGCTCGCGCAATAACCCGACCTTTGCGAGGTTCAGGCGCACCGGGGGCGTCGCTAGACTCGGCCTCTGATACTACGGACAGCCTACTCTGGGAGAGGAACGTTGGCGTGCGGTCGACTTGCGGCACGGAGTCGCGGAAGACGGAGAAGATGTGGTCCATAGACGACATACGTGGCGGGGCGGAGAATCGGCGGCGAGGTTTTGTCTTCTGTTTCTGCGGCGGCGGAGGCACTACTGATGAAGGGCGTGATGCAATGTTATGCGTCTCGGAGGTTTGTGACAATTGCGAGACACTCACTAGCGGTCTTGCGTTCTGAGAGCTGGGGTAAGTGTCAAGTGTCGGATATGACAGCGTGTCAACTTACGAACGGCCTGTCTCCACGAGCCAGACCCTCGAGGTCCACGAGAGATCCTAGGTGTATATACCATATTGCACATGTAATGATCTAGATCTGCGCATGTGTCAAATGATTGCTGAAAGAACAAGGGTACTCTGGCTCACCGAGGAGAGTTCCCGAATGACAAGCGTCAAGGATCGCCTACGGCAGATCCATCAGTTCAGTGGTATGTGCCGACGATCAAGGTCTTACGGTAAGTCGGACTCCCGGACTCAGTGGGTTCACGAGTCGCTGACGCAGGTGCTGGTAGACGCTCAAAGTAAGTTCCAGCAGATGTATGCACGACGTACGTTGTCGATGATAAGTTTTGCTTTGTTTCGCGTCCCTTCATGATCCATGGGCATAAGTGCTACAAGTAACGTCAGATTGAAGTGCCAAATGGATGGTACAGTTACGAGCACGGACCTTCATCGAAGTCGTCTGCCTCGCTGTGGTGATGACATGGAATCTGACAACAGTGTCCGGCGACTAAGGGGCACTTGAGGAAGAAACCATGCAAGTTGACGGCGGGCGACTCACACATGAAGACCAAGCGATCGCCAGGACGAGCGCCCTTCACCAAGTCATCCATAGCAAGGATCTGCGCAGATCACAGGTCAATATTTCGACTTGAAGCAGGCGGGGTAAGTGGTAAGACCATATTGTTGTGCGTAGGCTGCAGATAGTTGTCGGCATCGAGCATAACCACGATATCAGATGCCTTGTAGCTGTAGCAATCTGCGTAGCAATAGTCGAATGACGGGTAAGCGAATCCGCTATACTGTCCTCGACGTTCACTCACCAATGAGTAGCTTCCGCATAGCCACAATATCCCGATGGCAATTGAGCAAGGCCGTGGCAGTGCTGTCAGGATCCCGCGAAGCCTGCGTGTCGTAGTTGATGCCAATCAGCAGTGCTTTCCTCGCACCCTGGCGATGTTCTGAGTCGGTCGTGCGCTTGTACAATGCACCGATCTTCATGGTTGCGAGTGAGATGAGTCTGTCTGCGCGCGTACAGGCATCAGACTATATGGTCGCGGTGCGTGGCGCAACTTCGAACACTGTCGCAGTTCATCATATCAGGACGAGTCTGCAGCACAAGGCAACGATGGCAACTGGTGTTGAACGTTGAGTGCGAGCTCCGATCATGACAGGCTCGTGCACCGAGAACTCGAAGTGCGGCCGACGGCTCTTTGCATTGATGAAACACTGGGGCGGGGACGCGTTTCAAGCTGAGAAGGTTCAGTCAAACCGCATTGTTCCCAGCCTGGCGCGTCGGCGTCCTCCTCCACGTGGCCCGATATCGACGTTGGGAGCAGCGCATGAGTACGTGTGCTTGATGGTGGAACATTGACAAGCATTCCGTGGCCTGAGCTAGTGGGCCACAGCGAGTTAGATTGGTCTTGCGGAGCATGTACCAAGTCGCTCTGGTGTGTCCGCGTCAGGGCCAGGAAACTGAAAAGTGCGTCAAGCGTGCCTGGCTGCGCCTAGTCGCCAAAGGAAGGTTAGTCCCAACAACTACGATTAATCTACACCGTTCGTGGGGTTTGTGTAGCGTTTCTGTTACATGGAGCCTAGCCCAGGAGAGCAAGTAAGCAGTCATGCCACCAGGTCCGGCATCGTGTGCCATTTTGCTTGCGGTGTAGATCACATACTGGATGATGCCAGCTGCAGCGCTTGCACATCAGGATATCAACGCGCAGGTGGATATCGACCGATCAGCTGTGCATTGACGGAGCCTCTGCAAGTAAGAATCAGTGTCGGGCGCGACACGTTGTGGGAGACTCACCGAACGCAGACACTACTTCACGATCAACATACGTGCTCGAAGATGTCTGACGAATAATTTAACGCGACAGAATGTACCGGAGAAGCTCTCGAAGCATCAAGACGTTGAGAAACGCGACGTCTGCAATTGCTGGGATCATCATCAGGAACATCACTGTTGAACATCGCTGGACCAAAACGAACGCGGAAGGAACCGCGACAGTTTCATAGCCCAGCGCAGCTGGCCGCGTGTATCACCAGGCTGGACGTTGGCTAGGTACTCTGTTCTGCCACGACCCCATCTGCGTTGGCCTTTCTGTACGAGCATCTCGGCTCACTGTGTTCGTTGAGCATGTTTCGATGCGAGTGCAACGAACATTGCATGACTCCGGGCTGAGATCTTTACTTAGTACGAGATGACATCAATACGCAAGCGATCGTTACCAAGTCTTGCGCAAAGCCGAATAGCAGCTGTGCGCCAACCCGAGCTCGTCTTCCAGTTCCGTGTCGAAAGCTGGTTCGTTGTATTGAGGTCCACGGATCGCACTCGAGCCGTGCCGATAGCGAACAAAACAAGGGTGACAGCCAAATGAATGCCTGCACAGGTGAAATTGGAGGAGGACAGGAGCGCGTAAGCGTCACCGATATAGGCTCGATGCGAGCTCGTTCCGGCTTAAGCAAGAAGGTGCAGACAGACACGGCCGTCAGGAGCCTGGGTACGTTTGTCAAACATGCGGTAGGCTGTGGGCCACGTCGACGAACTAGGAGGACGATTGCTCATGTGCCCACGAGCGCACATCGCACCACGACGGGGATAAAGCGGTAGTGCGAGGGTCTCCGGAGTCAGCGCAGCCGACAAGAGATCCCGACGCACTTGCCGTGTAAGGGTATCAGTTAACCGGATATAGAGTGGTGAGTCCCGCAGCATAGGCATGACATATGGCAATGGAGCTCGAGCGGGCACGGCGCTCGGGCCCAAAGAGCTGGTCGTTGTCAGACCTTGCTACGCGGACGGGCGGAAGGAATATGCCATGAGCCGCCGCCACAACCATGAGCGCGTGCCAGAGGAAGCCTCGCAGTAAGACGTGGCTTGGGATAGAAGTGACGCGAAGGATGCATCGGGCGCGAAACGCAGACAGCGCACGCGTGCGCACGACCGCCGTTATCAGTCCATCCATGGAAGCGGTCAGACGGTGTCAAATTGGGTTCGGTATCGCTCCACTAACGTGTCATTCAATGGACCACCAAACTTGGGCATCAGCCACGTCGAGGATTAGGATCACTTACCGCTGAGGCACTGCGCAACTTAGGCTGCGCGCTCAGTTGACGGCGGGACATAGCAATGACAGCACCGCGTACATCTGGGCTCTTGTGAGCATCCCGCTTCAAGGATGCAGCGCAGCGTCGTCGGCGCCAGTGGTGCAAGGTGAGCGTGGGACGACCTGCGAGTTCTGAAACGATTGACGTTCATACTTGACGTGGTGCAGGTCATTAAACACCGACAGCAATAGCGTTTCGACGAAAGCTTACCTCCACGTTTCTCGGCATCTTGATTCCGTGATATCAGACAACTCCTCCTGGTGTGTGACAAGTCACTCGAGACGAGCTGCGCTGCCAATCGCCGTGGAAGCGAGAGCTCTGGACCCATTGTATGGATCTGTCACAACCTGCACTGATCAGTCCTATACATTGTCACGACTTGCCCATTCCTGTCATTATTAGCGTTCGGTCACTCGCGTGCTGGGAACGCGAAGGTGTATGTTCCAAATCCAGAGGGTGGAACCGCGGCAGATGAACAGATGGTTCACCAATCTATCATAGCTCGGCGAGAGCCGCGAGACAACCTCAAGTCAGTGCCATATTCGTCGAGGAGAATCCGTACAACTTGCAATCGCAGTCCCGTCCAGATCGCAGCCACCCGCAGCAACTTCAAGGGTCTTGTGCCGGTCTGGTCTTCTGCGCATTATGTCCGAGCGGCGAGAGTGCCACTGCCAAGTGCCAGTGGTTATGAGCGGCGTTGCGGTAGCTGTGCGCACGGCTTACGTAATTGTCCTCTTCTGGTAAGTACGCTGCTGGCGCCGAGGTACTTTTTCTTCATCCCAACATCCCTTCCCCGCCAGATCTCGCCTTGCAAGGCAACTCTCGCCCGAAATCAAGCAGGAACTGGCGCAAATATGGCACACTTCGCATAGAAGGCAAGTGGTGGAACTCGGGGTGTGACAGACGTTGACTCACGTCAGGGGGATGTGTTGCTGTGCCAGCCATAAATCATTCCGCTCCCGACAACCAAACACAGCTCGACGACACTCCCTCACCACCCTTGTTACCGGTCTTATATAACTATCATGTCTGCCTAGCCATGACCCCTCTAAACTATCCCAGTCCTCTACATCCCGACTTCGCTATGCCTGGCACGACGAAGCGCGTTCACTTCGACATCCCCCCGACGCCGCCCCCGAAGCACTTCGAGGTGCCGCCAACGCCATCACCTGTCCACTCGGACGTGTCGTTGCCGTCGTCGGTCGGGATCATCACTCCCCCACAGCTCGCATACGCGCAGCTATCTCCCAAGTACCCACTGCAGTATGTGCCCGGCTCGCCGTCGTCCTTCGGCTCACTGCCCTACGTCGCCGGGCATGTCATGATACATCCCGTCCTCGCCGCGCCGCGCACCGCGCTCGCATGGGACCTCATCCTCCCGCCGTCGGCAGCAAACGTCCCCACCACGTACGGCTCGCCCTCACCTCTCAACCCCGCGTTGCTGGCGGAGCCCGCGACCCACCCCGGGCTCCCGTCGCTGACAATCATCTGCGACATGCTCCCGTGGTCGATCACCATCACGCCCTCGCGGACACACTTCGTCTCGGTCGGGGACGTCCTGCACGCGCTCTATCGGATGCTCCGACTGGCGGTCACCGAGACCGAGGTGGGCGTGCTCCCGCCGGACACGCGTGTGCGCGTCCATAGCGCGTTCCACGCGCGCCATAAGATGCTGCCCGACGCGCGCTCACGGGCGGAGGAGAAGCAGAAGGGTGTCAAGCGCGTCGACTTCCTCATGGACCTGCGCCGTTTCGCGGGTCTGTCCATCGTCATGAGCGGCGCGGCGCTCAACGGCAAGGGCCTCGGCGAGGTGTGGGCGCTGCAGCTCGCCATGGCATGATGCGGCGCAGTGGCACGGCATGTGTGCTGCGCTGCGCTGCATATGGCGACTTGACTTATTCCTTATTTGCGACCACCCCGCGACGGCGGTGACGACCACGATCACGGCGACGACTATGATGGCGACGCCGGCGACGATTGACGACGGACTCCAGACAACGATCATGGACTGCATAACTGTAGAAGAAAACCCCTTGCGTTCGATTTCTCCTCGGTGTACACGGTTTCCCATTGACGACGAAGCGCATATTATTGTACGGTACTCTCCCCCCATACCCCGCATAGACTCCCGAACTCGTCGAACACAAAAGCAACAATCACTGTAATTTTTCCCCTCGCACTTGGTAGCGCTAAGTTATTGTACTTGTCGTCTACTTGTACTTGTCACTGTAACGAAATGACACGTCGCCATGACCTCCGCTGCGGTTCGACTAGGCGCTCCGTGATTGGCTAGGCGATCCAGCAGCGATCGCCCGATATGGTATGCCTGCTCGTTCGTTACCACCTGGCAGCACGAGTCGGACCCGTCCGAGCCTCACGTTCCGTTGAATGGGACGCACTCACGCTCGGACGACTGTGCGAAGATTCGGACGCATGTTTATGACGTGGATGAAGATCTGGGCCGGTTAGCCTAATAAATGAACGAAGCCGCAGGTACGCTCCGCCAAATCCGTCCGGCGTCCCGAGGAACTAATCCCTCCGTTGTAGCATATTTGTCCATTCCGTACAACCAAAACGACCGGCGAGATGCACCTCCGTCGAACTACGCCGCATTGTTGTAGCAGGAGCGCAGTGATGCTTTCATGCTTTCAGCGCCAGCCCGATGGAGGAGGTCCGAGCTGACCGGTCAATCGGCGACTGGTGAAGTCGATTGTTTGCGTTCCGTGACTGCCGGCGTGGGGCGGCTTGCATCCCGTGCGTATCTTGCAGCCATAGACCCCCGCGTCTCGACGTTTTTGGGCGCGCTGATCTTGTTCTTGACGTACTAGACACTCCAACTGCCATTGCGCCCTCAGGGTCCCGCAGCAACCTGGTACTGAACACCTTTCGTGAGCCACGCGCTGTTCCGCATCGGAGCAAAAGTGCTCCTCAGCACGATGATATATATACTGCTTAGGCAGCCAGAACAGGCCACGCTGCGGCTGCAGTGGGTCATATGTGCTTTGGCGCATACGACCATCACCGTCCGGCATGATACTTATACGCGTCTTGCCTCTTCCGGACCTATCATACGCGTTGTTTACTGGCCATTCTAATCACAGCTGTGCTCCCCGATGCTCTGGCAGGGTCTAGACCACCCGGTGCGGTGATGCTTTTGCCCGTTCTTCCCTGTTCAACGCAAGTTCAACGCGCATGTTCAAGTTATCCGTTGCAACGGAACAAATTCGGTTGGCGAAGGACGCCAGTCAAGATGTTCTCAGAGCCTCGAGCCGCGAGGCGCGATGTGAACAACTCGAGAGTGGATACAAAATGCCATTACCGGGCTCATCGTGAACCAATATGGTATCATCTGGCCGGTGTCATGGACGAAGGAAATTGGTGTCAAGAATTTGCCAAATGCACGCCAGACCCTGCGATGTTCAAGGATTAATGAAACTCATGAGCAGATGCCTATTCCCCATCGAATGCTTCATATGTTACCTTCCATATTGTCGTGTTCAGCTCATTTCAGGGAGCTAGAGTCGCGCCTCTCCGAGTCCGTCTCGGACGCATCGACGCGATGTGCTATATCATGATCATGTGACCGTCTACCAGCGTCACCCGCTCGATCATCATCATATCAGCGCTAGCGTGCGCAGGTTGCGACCGGCGACCGCTTCATACAATCGTCGAGAACTCTCACTTCTAGGCCCTACGCGTGCAATTGGCAGCGCAGCTCGTCTCGAATGACCTGGGAAACCCAGAAAAAGACGTCCCAAAGACAGTCTCATTACGGAATCAAGATACCGAGAAACGTGGAGGTAAGCCCTCGTCCGAGTCGAAGCGCTTTTCCCGTCGGTGTTTCATGAGCTGCGCCACGTCAGGTTCGCACGTCAATCGTTTCAGAATTCGCAGGTCGTCATACGCTTCCGCATACCACTGGCGTTGACTCGAACGACGTCGCGCTATATCCCTCCGGAGTGGCTCAAAAGAGCCTGGTTGCCTAGGACCCCTGACAAAAGGCCGAGAGGCCAGATCCCGAGCTGAGTTTTTCGTCCGGATGGAATGAAGCCTCTGGTCATGCAAGCGCACTTCTGTCCGGACTCGGGAGGCAGAAAACAGGGTATGATCCCGGGTTCGAAGTCGACCTGTAAGTCCGGATGATTCTGAGCGCGATATCTTTGTCCGGACAATCCTGGGTCAGTACTTCGGCTTGTCTGTCGGTCCCAACGCATGGCTTACCACATATTCGTGATCAACAGTGCAGCCCGGGTGCCGACGTCCGAACAGTTGCATCATGCCTTGGCCAGCGCGACGCACCCTTTCGTTCGGTCGGGATCAGGCCTGAGGCCTGAGGGCCCGAGCATCCACGTTATGTGTCCGGATGAGCATCAGGCCTTCCCGTCTATTGTCAGGGTCCTAGCCTGACGTATGCGGTGTTGTCACTGCTATGTCCCACTGTCAACTGAACGCGCGGCCGACGTTGTGCAGTGCCTCAGCGGTAAGTGGTCCTGATCCTCAACGTGGCTAGTGCTAAGTGTTGGCGGTCCAAGGCATGGTACGCCAGTGTGGCAACAGCGAACCGAACCTGACACTGCCTTACTGCTTTCGCGGATGGCCTGACGACAGAGGCCGTGTACGCATGCGCCGTCGTCGTTTCGCGCCCGATGCATATTCCTGGGACCTGGACTATCGGTGGCTGCTACGCTATCACAAGCCACGTCTTATTGTCACGCGCTCATGGTTGTGGCGGAGGTTCACAACATGCAGGCTATGTCATACGTAGCAAGGTTCGACAGCTACCAGCTCTTCAGCCTCCGAGCGCCCTGTCCGCTCCATTGCCTATGTCATATCCTATGCTGCGGGGATCGATACGCCATATATGGTTAACCGAGACCCTTACACGGCAAGTGCATCGGCATCTCTTGTCGGCTGCGCTGAGTCCGGAGGCCCTCGCAGAACTGCGTTGCATACCCCCGTCGTGGTATGATGTACGCGCAAACGCTGAAGCGCAGATACCTGGCCATAAAGTCCATTGGCGTCTCCCGTAGTAGCCACCTGGCAGCTTTGCCTACTACTGCGGGATGGATAGACATACCCATAACCGGGCTCCCGACGTTTCTGCAGGCTGCACGGTCTGCGCCACGCTGCGTCTTGTGTCAATAATGCTTACGCGCTCCTGTCCTCATCTGCGCAGACATTCTTTCCGTCTCCTCCGCTATCCACATGTCTCAGCACGCGACCCCCGTGCTCAATACAACGAATCAGCCTTCGACTCGGAACTGGAAGACGAGCTCGGGTTGGCGCATAGCTGCTCTTCGGCTTCGCACAAGACTTGGTAACGATTGCTCGCGCGTTGATGTCATCTCTCACTACAGATCTCAGCCCGCAATCATGCAATGTTGGCCGCGCTCGCGTCGTATCACGCGGAGCGAGTATAGCCCGTGATGCTCGTACACAAAAGCGATGATCAACAGTGATGTTCTTGACCACGGTCCTATCCAACAGCGGTTTCTGGGTGGCCTGTGATTGCAGACGTCGCCTTTCTCATTGCCCCGACATTTCGAAGACCTTTTCGGTATGTGATGTTACGCTATCGGACATCGTCGAGTCCGTATCTTTGCAATAGGGCTTAAATGTTACAGCAAGGAAAGTGCTACCGAGAAGCACCGCCGCCCTGGCGCAGCGCATGAATCACTCCTTCGTCCGCGTAAGTTCAGTGCTCGATGATGTTCAATGTTATCTCTAAATCGGCCCTCCTGCCAAAATAGATTGCATGTGTGGCCCATCTATGATCGTGAACCTTATGCTATATATAAGGTTCACACATCACCTGCATGGATGCGTGGGGTAAATTCTGACGGTGAGTAACTGCCTGCTTCGTTTCACAGGGATCGTCACCATGCATGGAACTGTGCCCGACTCGCCAGCGTATCTGCTAAAGTGCGTCTGAGCTTGTTACGCAGTCCGCGGACTGCCTGATCCTCTGGACAGGCGGCGTGTGTCCACGATAACCCTAGTTTCCCATTGAGCTCGGGTGGGCACAGTGCCCGCTGCACTACCGGGTAGTTGCGAACAGCGTATTCAATCGTAGCGACGATGTGTATTTGGACAGATGGGGTGCGAACAACGGTGACAGGGAAACTACATCGTTAGCGCGAGGATCACACATTCAGCTGGGTGCTTACTCTCCGCGCTCGGCCAGGGTCTATTGCAGACCCCCGACTCTGCAAAGGGAGTTGGGGATCCGTTCCACGAGCACAGGAAGCGCGTTGGTCATGAGTGCGCCACCACCCCGACGCTGTATCTCCGATCCGCTTGTATGATCCGTTTGCGTTCCTGCGAGCCCTGACGGCGGGCGTGATGCGCGTGTTCCTTGTCTGCGGTCGAAGACATACACAATCTCGCACCACGCGCATCATGGGCTCTGTGGCATGACCAATACCCTGGTGACCTCAGGCTCTTGTGCGAGCCGTGCGGCCTCCGAGAGACAGCGCGAGCCCGCGTCCGGCCCGCGCGAGCGTATGTCATGTCGCTCGGTGAGCTGATCGCAGGAGATTGCGGCCGAGTGCCTGCTGCATCGGAGGAAGATCAGTCCTCCTTTCATCTCCTGACCTTGTCCGTCCTGCGATGGTATTCCTGTCTCCCTTAGAACACGAGGCCGACGTGGAGGCCAACGTGGGATATGACGCCAACATCTGCGTTGACGTTCGCCCACTGTCAGACGGGGTATTCGAACTGAGCTCTGACAAATGCTTGAACTCACGCGGCAGCTTTGGGCTCCGGGGGAGTACAGGACTGTTCTTTCCGGGATGTGCACGACTTGCATCGGCGCTAGTGCAACGCCACACCTCCGATCGTGCGGGTGAAGGCTTCCTGGGGTATTGAATGCAAATATTCTCCTATGGCGCATCACCTCCGGCCTGAGACTGCCCTGAGGCTTGTGACTTTGATCCTACAAAGTGGTATCCTCAGGCTGGTTGTGATGGCTGATAGATGCACTACAGCTCGAGCAGGCAATCGCAGCGTTGCACAACAGCCAGAGCCAATCAACCTTAGTTTCCTCCTGTGAGGGAAGTTGCTGCCATACAATACAAGGTAGCGGATCGGTAAGAAGCTCATTCGCTCACGGGTGTCGGAGCCTCATTGAGACAACCAGACAACTAGACATCGCACTCCGCTCATCGACCTCACCTTCCTCCTTGGGCTACTGCGTCAGTCTGCTTCCCTAGGATATCTTGATTGGGAATGAGTGTCCGGTGAGCCCACACGCGGCGATAAGCGCACACTTACTAGGATCTGTGGCCAATTCGATCCCGCTCAATTCCGTGCGCTTGCCGCACGCACGATCTCATCGTGATCCTGGCGTCTCATATGTGGTGCCTGCAAACCTTAAGTCGCATCGCTTGGCTGTCAGGACAATCCTTCGCTAGCTAACCTTCTTCTTACATCGCCGCATCCGTACGCAGCCACGCCATGGCCCACCGTCCCTGTCAAAGCAGGCGGTCCTACTTCTCCTTCGGCAGTGCGGCGTCTCTCAACGGCTCAGGGCCGGACTGCCTCTTTGCGTCTCCCGGCCACGCCTCTGTCTGCAAACCTTGTGCCCGTAGGTCCAGCGGGGCGGACCGAACTCGATCTTACGGGGCATTCATAAAGTGAGCGTCCCTGCTCTACCATGTCCCTCAGAACCGGACTCTTCAGGACGCCGCCCCGCCATCCTCGAGCCCACCGCCGCCTCACCCCACCCCATAACCTGTGCGCCGAGGGACCACGTCGACATGGGCGTCGCAACTGTCTACTCCTGCTATTCACAGGATAGTGCGCCTGCCAAGCACACTGTCTGTCCTAGCCATCATCACGAATCCCATGAACTATGCTCATCGCCATCCTCGATCGTCACCCAAGCGGGCTCATCCACTCCTCGTTCACTGTCCCATGCCACTGCGACATACACATACTACCACGGACGCATAGTCCCATTGCCCGCAATCTCGCCTCAACGTCAGCCCAAGGAGCTGAACCAATCCACGCGAGATATTAGTATGTCGCATCCGACGAAGGGCATGCGACCAGCGCCCGCTGCGGTCGCGCGTCTCCTTTCACGGGCCGCTGAGGGAGGGAAAACTCCCTTGAAGTGGGAAATGGCTTCGGACCCTCTTCTTCACTCCTATGATCGTACCCTCAGGATGGCGACTGGGATTTCCGTTAGCCTCAACGATCCCGCCACCTCATTTAACACCACATCTCTCGTCGTCTCCATTTCCGGAGTACATTACCCCTACGCGATCACCGCCAATCGAACCCCCGGATCCGCCTCCCCATTCGTAACCGTTCGCGACGTCCTACTCGCCATCTACGCGAACCTGAATAAGGTCGTCGAGCTAGAGGAGGCCAAGAGCGCGATGCAACGGAGTGACATCTGGCACGCGGCATGGCGAGTCTACCGACATAGGACGCGGGGGAACGACAAGGAGAGGATGAGGCGCAAGGACTTCCTTGGCCCATCTACCGTTTTCCTCGGAGTCGTCTTCGCGGATCATGAAGGAAAGCTACCAAGACTCGAGCTGCTGGTCGGCCGTCGCGAGTCGTGAGCAACAGTTGCCTTGCATCCCAGTATACCCGTATACCCAGCTTCGCCCTCGTGCTCTCGTCCCCTCATTCACAATACAATGTACCTTATAGTCTTCAATCACGCTGCCAATTTGATGGACTCTCGATCCACGCCTGTGTTACTACGATGCATACTGTGTTTATTACTACATCATATTTCGCTTACGATACTGTGTATGATAACAGGGAGATACTGTACTACGACGTACTCGTACTTACTAGTTCAGACTTAATAGCCTGAATGATATTTTGAGCTTCGAGACATTCTGAAGCTGCGTTATCGCTCTATGCAATTTGTCTCCTGAGGAACATATTCACTTGAACGCTCAGTTTGCGGTCACATGGCCGCGCTCATTGTGAGGATGACAGGCGCCTGTGTATCGCGATCTTGCCGCGATCGGGCTTATAGGCGCGCAGGATCCACCTTCTCCTCCTCCAGGTCAGCGTCGTACAATACCAGCAAGAGTATCCTTCTTGCACAGCTTCCAGGACTGAAATCCATACCAGCACTATTGCAGTCATTATGTGACGTGGCTCTCTTTGCGTCTTTGCAGTGTCCTGGACCGAGTCCGACGTATTAGCTTTACGCCACACGCACCGCCTGGCACGCATATCCTGCCTATAGCTATCCTGCCAGTGCCTGGCTTTCACTGCCGCTGTCGCGCCTTCGAGGTACGCCACATTCCACATGCTTTCTGCATTGTGATTAAAAAGCCAATTTTGTATGCAGGTTTTCAGCCCTATGCCGGGGCGACGAGCCAGTGCCAGCGCACATTGCTGTTCGGCGTGCACGTATCTGGACTGACATGTGGTTTTTACTCGGCTATGCTCTAGTTGTTCCTGTTTGCGACACGGACACTAAGACTTAGAGTTGCCTGCATTCCTTTCATTACCACCGTGAGATTGAGCGAACTTTTCTTTCGGCTGGTCTTGAGCATTGACTGAAGAACACAGCCTGGGGATTGAAGCCACTAGGAAGTAACGGCACTCAAAGATTATCGCTTTTCGACGCTATGTGCGCACGTCTGTAAGTCATGCCGTTCGTCAATACCCGATTGCTTAGCTGACTACCGTTCTATCCATCTAGCAACGTGCCCTATATCCTTGGGGTCCCAGGATATCGATGGCGAACGGGCGGACGCAACTACCGCCCGATGTCTGCTTACGGTCCATTTCGCGAACGTTCGCAGGGCGGGGCGCGTACACCACTGCCTCTGCGACACACAGTGCAGTGTGGCCGGGCATGACTTGTAGCGCCGTTGCGTATTCCCTGACGCACGGCCTCACCGAGCTTGTGCCCGACAGCGTGCTGACCGCGGTAAGGCTCGTGAAGTCATCCCTCTTGCCTAGATGGGCTGGCGCTTTCGGGACGTGTGGGCTCTTCGATTCCATAAAAGATTTTTCCAAGGTTTGGAACGGAAATCACACTGAAAACTATTGCCATCTGAAATTCTATTAGGTCATGGTCTAGATTGGCGGGCATAGCAAGCGGGAATTCTCGTTGGAGAAGAAAGCGTGCTCGAATAATTCCATCGATGCGCCCAGACTGGGGTAGGCACGATCACAGGAGCAGAATCGCGCGGCGATGCACCCCCAGTGGACCAGAACTCTCAAACAGTCTCGGAAACGCGTTGGCATCTCGCGGCCTACGTGATCCCGAGCTACACTTCCGGGACAAACTCCGCCGTGAGGAGCTCCTGCTTGTGCGGTCTGACGTGTGAGCCGCTGACGTTTTTGCATAGGAGGGCCGCGCAGGAGCTGCTTTTCCGAGGCGCTGCGCGCTTCCCCAGCCACACTTCCATGCATTCATTTTCCGTCACAATGGTAACAACCCCTTCGTGTCGGTGGTCCTCCGCTGTGACATCGTGATTTCGGCGTCTGCGCCGCGGTGTCACCGACCGCGTTCGTACGGATGCACACCGAAGTCCGTGTGAGCAATCACCTCCTTGTCTTCACCTACTGGGCGGCCCGCAACTGATCACAGTTTCCCTGGTCCTTCCCCCCGGAAATCAGATCGATGAAGTTCCTTACCTGAAGAAGAGGCGAGCAGTCCGACCCATGCCCGTCTACGTGATGTGGACACTGTCCGAGTCTGACAGCACCCGAGGAATCACTCGGGAAGAGCTCATTGTTTGAGTCATCCAAAGAATGACCACGATTCTCCAGGACACTGGGTTGCTAGTTTGGAGCTGCTGACCAGCGTTCCTGTTTGCGCTGCTGTGACGGCACGAATTGCAGGCGATAATAGTTGATTAACGGCCCTCTTCCTCACTCGGACGTTCAGTACACACGAGGGGAGCAACAGTTCTCGGGCGCGCGGATCGTGAGGCACATCGATTTGAGCTGTCAACCGGTCACTCAGCCGAAAGGTGAGTAGGTAGTACGAATGCCGTGCATAAGCGCTTAGTGACAAGGACAGCCGTACTCCAAGAGAAGCCAGACGGGTATTTCCGACCGCTTTACGAGCACCTGGGTCGATGTTGCCAGAGGTAATGGCAACCCCGTACTTGTCAACGGAGCCGTCGGAGGAGACAAGCCTGTGGAGCTAACTAAGGTTGGTCAAAATTGCGCGGCCGTGCGTACGAATTCCTAGCGCGCTGACAGAACTCTAGATCCCCTAGCCGGATAAATTGCATGTGTTCTAGTATTCTACGCATGTGAGATTTATCCAGCTTCTTATGTCTATTGTAAATGCCGACTAACCACTTGTGCTGACCACTGGTCAGCAGATCCGACCGCCGTGCCCATCTATCAGTTCCTTGACCCTGGCTAGAGAAGCATGGCCTCACCGAGCCGCCGACCCATGCCGGCATTACGCCACGAAACCCTTCGATGCCACAACGCAACTCTGCGCTTGCTGATACTGTGGCTCACAGTGTCGAAGGATACTCCTCCTGTTCTCTAATTGCTTCTCTTGGACCATAATCCGAAGCTAGCCATGGGTACAAAGCGCGGTACTGAACTTCCAGATGCGTCTGCAGCGTCCATTCATTTCGCTCTCGGCTGACCCAGACAGACGTTCGGATGCTGGCGGGTCTAGACAAATTGTGCATCAGCATCGGGATTGGTGCGCTGAAGCAGTGCAAGCGCCTGGGCAAGGTGGTCATTTGCAAACCTTGTTCACAACAAGATGCACACCCAACAAGCGCGTATGTCCCTACCCCGTCCTGCCTTGCAACGTGCCTCCGCCGATACGTCGGCGGAAGGCGACGTATCCTGTTTTACCGTAGCTTGGTGAGCAACATCCTTTGCACAGGTGACGTTCTCCGAACCTACGAAGCATGCTAAGGCGAAACATATTGGCTTATGGGCGCCGCGCTCCAGATGGCCCGCCAGCGACGTCCGTGGTCCTATCTTGACTAACAAGCAATAGGTCGCGAAACGCATGTTTGCCTCCATACACATGTTCTTGCGCTGAGGATGCTCATTTAGGCCAGCATCGGGTGGTGTGGACTTCACATGGGTCTCACGCGTTGCGATAGCGGTGGATCCCTGCAGCCTGTAGTCGCAATGCGCTCCGTCAGCCTCATCGGCACTCTGCGCAGAATCGATGCGTACCGGGCATTGAACCCAATCGCAGGTGCCTTCATGTCCGGGTCTTCTCCCATGCTTATCACCGCGAACGCTTGTTCCTTGGCGGCCTCTCAGCGCATCGATGCCCTTACGGCGTTCGGCGTTGGCAAGGATAGACCACGCATGCAGTGATGTTGCTCTTGCGACCGTTCCAAGTTCAGGCGGATCATACCCACGTCTGTATCATGTTTCTGGAGTGGGGCAGCAGGCCTTCGCAAGAATCAGGACACGTGTGAAATTCATACCACGCTCAATGCTACCTTTTCGGGGTGCCCACACTCTGGCACTGCGTTCCTACTTGCCATTTCGGCTTAGTGCGATAGTAACGCACCTGGAAACATCCTCGCCGCTCGATCTGACGAGATAGCGCCAGCGAACCCTGAGTCCACGTTATGCAGTGCGGCCGACGTTACCGCTACGATCCTGGACACGAATTCGCGGAGAATCAAGTTGTCGGAGACGGCGCGTACTGAAGACATGAGTATATGCAATTGCATAGTCCGTAAACTGTGACAAAAGGAAGTCCGACGCCGACGATAAGTAGGTACCCATGGATGTGCGGGACGCCTGACCAGACGCAATGTGATGGCTGATTGCGACAAGGTTCGATGCCAGTACTGGGGTCAAGTTCCTACCTCGCGTATAGCAGCTGCGTTCTACCCGTCGAGTTCGGGGTCTGTGCAGTATGTAGTGAGTGGCTCGCACGGTCCCCGGAAGCACAGCGTCGTTGACCAGAATGGCAAGTGTAGTACCTGCCTTCTATGGGCGCCCTGCAAATATCAAGACACGTCTCGGGATCGATAAGGCGTTGGCTCCGGCGCATCTGGCCTGTCGCCACTCCCCAGAAGCCAAGTGGTAAGTTACGTGAAATCGTAGATTCCGCTGCGGCCCCGATTCAGAAAGAGTCAATCGTCAGAGCCTTGACTAACCACTCGGCGGTAGAGCTGTGCATACTGTGACGGCTCACAGGCCTGACGTCGCAGGCCGCGAGGGATACGCACCACCGCGTCCCCAGCTCCGCATGTGTGTATTTTTGGATAGGTATGAATGCACATGAGGGGATCAGGATGATCCCTTCTGTGCAGGGCATTTCGGAGTGGCGAGAGCATAGGCGCGTACCGTCGTACAGTCGGAAGCGCCCTCAATGATGAGTGGCGAGCTGTTCCTGGGACATCGCGTACCGCGCTCCCGGTCGTGGATGGCCCAATTGATGCTGCTTACATACACATGGCTGTAGTGGACCGCATTTCATTTGCGCACCGACAGATGGCCCCGCCTGCTTTCGCATACTGACATGTCCCACAGATGGCAAGTGAGCGGTCGAGAGGCTGACCGTGACAGCCGATCCCCCGCTCTGGAGCACCGGGGCACGGCGGGGGCTGTTCCGTTAGCCGGTACGTACCACACTTCTTCGTCGAGCGCACCGAGTCACTGCGCTACATGGCTCCGAACTTTAGCCCGACCCGCGCCACTGCGGACGCGGTGCTATACACGGAACTGGGCCAAGGTATCCCTCTATTTGGGCTGTCAGAAGCGGTCCTCTGACCAGATATATGAGGGCAGTACCGTCCACGTTTTCCTGTAGATCGCTCCCCTCACTCGCACCGAGCTAGTAGCGGCTAGCCACTTCACCCGCCCCTTGCACTACCCCGCCCTCCGTGCTCACCGCCATGACTACTCCGCGCCGACGAGTCAAATTCGCCGACGAGGCAAGCACTGCGAGCCCCATCTACATGTCCCAGAGAACACCCTCCAGCCCTGCCTCGAGCCTGAGCTCGGCGGGCCCCTCAACTCCGCCAATGGCGACGTTCTACCACTCGCACGTCGTCCCGCTCCCACCGATGACGCCAGCGCTGGCTTCGTCTGACCTCGACCGCCCGTCGAGTGTGTCGTCCTTCCGCGCACCAGCGCAGGCAGGCACGCCGGTGCCGGTATCCGCGGTGCTTGCCACCGCGACGAACGGGGGCAAGCCCCGAATCAAGTGGGATATGGCGTGCGACCCACTCCGGTGGGCATATGACCGCGAGCTCAAGGACACCGGCCTGTCCCTCGTACTGAGCGAGCCCGCCGCGTCCCCGGACGTCGCGCGCCTTTTGGTCACCATCTCTGGGGCGTCGTACCCCTACGAGATCTTCGTCGAGCGGCCGACGTCGCTCACTGCCCCGCTTTATGTGAGCATCCGCGATGTGCTCGTTGCGATTTTCGACAACCTTTGGCGGCCTGTCACCGCCGCCGAGCAGCAGGGCGCTGCACAACAGAACCCCCGTGCGTGGCAGGCTGCGTGCGCAGCGCACCGACAGCGCGCCGCCGGTCGTTCGGGCGAAGATATGCGCAGGTTGGATTTTCTGACGGGCCGCACGGTGTTCCAAGGGCTGGGGTCGAAGGGGGTGAACGGTAAGATACCGCAATTGGAGGTCCGGGTTGGCGCGCGCGAGTCGTGAGCGACAACCTGTTGGCCCCCGTTACTGTCTTATTATACCCCTCCGGCTCATTGATACCCTGTCGACGCTGTGCTGTACGTCATGATCGACATCGAACCCCATACTGTACCATATACATCACTCACCGATCAATCGCATACTTGTACTCAACCCCCACCTCCCATGCTCTCGATGTCCTGTAGTGTTAGGTGCTCATGGACTCATCGCCGACGTCGTGCTTGTACAATATCCCCACCTGTATACTTATCCAGTCTCAAAGGGTCTGTAGTTGGTCGATCAAACTCAGTTGTCCTCGAGATCAATCTGCGAAGCGTTGAAATGACATGTGTTATCCGCTCGCACCCGACTGCATGGGCGTTAAATGTAGTCACAAAGAAGGTCGCGAGCGCATAGCGGCACCGCGGGCGCCTCGTCACGAGCGCTGCTGAGCTGTGCGAAGCACGATAACTTCAATCGCGGCATCGTCTTCGGGAGGAGGTCCGGACATTGACCTGCGCACGTTACCACTATAGATCGCCGACAAACAATGTCTCATAGTACACGCCCCGATTCCGCCCCACGCCGAGATCGTACCAGATCAGACATTGACCCCGCTCTTCGCGGAGCCCGCAGCCAACGCCTTCTCAATGACCTCCGTCGTGTGGGCCCAGACCCGCTCGCGGACTTCGTCCCCACCATAATAGCCCACTTGCCCGAGATCGTCACCGTGCTCGCCCTGGCGCGGCGCGCCCGCACCTCCGTTAAGAAGCGCGTAGAGCATATACTCTCCGCAGTCGTCGATCGATGTAGCGAACGGCTTTCCCAAAATCCTTACCAACCAAGGTAGGAGAGGTGTGTCGACTAAACCGGGATAGATATGCGAGAACATCGCTCCGGGCACGCGGGACGCAAAGATCTGCATGATGGTGTTGGGACGCGACCCAGAAGATGGTGCATGGACACTCACCTCCATCACCGAGTCGAGGTACGTCACCGCGATCCCTCGCTTCTTCAGCACACCGGAGGTCTGGCGCATCCCCATGTCATTGAAATCGATAGGACCACCATGCCCTGCAGCGCCAACGTTCAGGACTCGCGCGTCCTCGCCGGCATCCCTCGCCTTCTGGAGGAGTGGCAGGAGATCGAGCACGAACTTCGTGCGGCAATAAAACAGTACTGCCCGCAATCGGTCGATGTCTTCCTCCGTTCTATGCTCTATGCCTCGTATGGCGTCCCATACCGACGGGAGCGCGCCGCTGCTCAGGACCAAGTAGTTCACCTTGGGGAGTCGTGCGAGGAGCGCGGATGTCGTTTCGGGTATGTTGCGGATGAGGCTCGCATCGCAGTATACGAATTCGTACTTCGAGTTGGGGGCCTTGGGGAATGTCGCGATGATCGCTTCGGCGGCGGCGCGGTTCCGCCCTACGAGGATGATGTGCGCGTTGCCCTTGACGTAACGCGCGAAGGCTTGTGCAGTGCCCTGTCCGATCCCGGACGTCCCGCCCAGGAAGATTGCGACAGGGGTTGTAGGTGGTGAGAACTTCGCGTTCGACTCGCGAACAACGGCGAGTGAGGGCATGCTGGACAACGGTTGTCAGTGGGATTGTCGTCCACGATTATAAGTGTTCAGCGTATATCATCGATGCCAACGGACGAAGTAACTGTAAGCTGCCAAGCTCTCAGGCTGTGAAGCCGAAGGAGTACGTGTATGACGGCGGCAGACTCATCCACATGGCTAAACCTCAGCCACCCGCCACCTTCAGCCACCCGCCGCGGCGCTGCGTAGGCGTGCCGCATCTGAGATCTGATCGGTCCGACGGTAACTTAAATCTCTCTCGACAAGTCACCGACGTTACTGACTGAGACTCACGGACCAGAGTCACTAGTTGGTCACTAGCCTCACTTTCTACATGATCAGTGTCCCCTCAGCCTCCTGTCCGATGTCGCTATTCAAAGCAGGGCAAGACCGCGAGGCATCCTCTTGGATATGCCGGAATAGGATGCACGCTTCGATTCTTCTGGGCTTGAGGGTCAGGTGATTGACGCGTCTCTTACGAACGTTTCTTCCAATCGTCCCTTCTGAGCTGCTGGGATCATCGTCATTGAAGACTGTCCTGTGATTGCAACTAGAGGTCACTGTTTTCGAAGTCCTCTACCTTCTCGTGCAGCCGTGTTAAAGCAGGCTTCAATGGCAGCCAATTGGTCTCGGACCGAACTCTCCCGACTACCCTAATAGGGCGGGTGGTGGAGGTCGCCTTGTGTAAGTGTACACCTTATCATTCGCACTCAGCTGCCTCGTATAATTAAACCCATAATAGATCGCCGACAAACAATGTCCCATACTCCACCCCCGATTCCGCCTCGCGCCGAGATCACACCAGATCAGACATTGACCCCGCTCTGCGCGGAGCCCGCAGCTAACGCCTTCTCGAAGACCTCCGTCGTGTGGGCCCAGACCCGCTCGCGGACTTCGTCTCCACCATAGTAGCCCGCCGGCCCGAGATCGTCACCGCGCTCGCCCGAGCGCTGCGCGCCCGCGCGTCCGTTGAGCAGCGCATAAAGCATGTACTCTCCGGAGTCGGCAATCGATATAGCGACAGGCTTCGCCAGAGTCCTCAGCAACCAGGGTAGGACCGGTGTGTCGACTAGACCGGGCCAATTGTGCGAGAACATCGCTCCGGGCACGCGGGAGGCAAAGATCTGCATGATGGTGTTAGAACACGAACCAGACGATGATGCACGGACACGCACCTCCATCGTCGAGTCGATGTACGTCGTCGAGATCCCTCGTCTCTTCAGCACACCGGAGGTCTTGCGCATCCCCATGTCACTGAAATCGATGGGACCACCATACCCTGCGGACGCAATGTTCAGGACTCGCGCGTCCTCCCCAGCATCCCTCGCCTTCTGGAGGAGTGGCAGGAGATCGAGCACGAACTTCGTGCGGCAGTAGAACATTGTGGCTAGCGAGCGGTCGAGGCCTTCCTCCGTTAGATGCTGTACGCCGCGTACGAGGTCCCATAGGGGCGGGAGCACGTTGCTGCTCAGGACCATGTAGTTCACCTTCGGGAGTGCGAGGAGCGGGGACGTCACTTCGGGTATGTTGCGTATGAGGCTCGCATCGCAGTATACGAATTCGTACTTCGAGTTGGGCGCCTTGGGAAATGTCGCGATGATCGCTTCGGCGGCGGCGCGGTTCCGCCCTACGATGATGATGTGTGCGTTGCCCTTGGTGTGACGCGCGAAAGCTTGTGCAGTGCCCTGTCCGATGCCGGACGTCCCGCCCAGGAAGATTGCGACAGGAGGTGTAGGCGGTGAGAACTTTGCGTTCGACTCACGGACGACGGCGAGTGAGGGCATGCTGAACGATGATATGGTTAGTGAGAGTGAGAACGTCGTTCATGATTATATACTGTTCAGCGCATGTCATCGACGCTAGCGGACGCAGCTGATGTAAGCTGCCAAGCTCTGCCAGTATGAAGCCGAAAGAGTACGTGCATGCACGGCAGACTCGTCCAAATGTCTGACTCAACATTCGTATGTGCCGACTCGGAAATAAAATGAGTAATTGCTGAATAGGGTGCTGATGAAGCTAAATGCCATGAGTTCCCTGCCAAAGACCGTAGCCATTAGACTCACCCTCTGCATGCCGACGTCACTGTCAAGTTACTGCCAGATGTTGCTGTCCGAAGTATGGCGAGAAACATCCGAGAGATATCGCGTGGGATATGCGATACAGCGAGTATCCGTCTGAGAATGTCGAATTGGGATGCACGCTTCGATTCTTCTAGGCTCGAGACAGGTATGACAATTCGTACCAGTGTTCGAGTTATCCCATTTTCGAGGCTGCTGGGGTCGTGCATGGTGGGACGTCGTCGTCATCAGAAACAGTCCTACAGTCGCACCTAGAGGTCGCTGCGTTCTAAGTTCTCGTGCAAGGGTGTTGTGGGCCGTGGTAAGAATCAATAGCAACCAACCGGCGCTTGGGTGGCGAGCTTGCTGAGTTTGACGGGAGCCGGACACGTGACTTCGGCCCGATGCAGAAGTTCCCAAATGCAGCAAGTGTCTTGCTCTTTGCGTCGAATCCGGTTGATGACGGGCATTGACGCATCCTCTTTTCGCTCGCCCATTTACTGACAGCTGTGCTTTGCATGTATATGAACTTCTCGTCTCCCCACGTCGCCCCGCCTCATCTCATACCGCGACCACAGCCTGCACTCACGAATTGCTCTGTTCTTGGCCCTACATCGGAGTTCCGTCCAAGAGGTGCGTTACACGCGTGCCTGCATAGGCTGCCCATGAGTCCTCCTGTACGAATACGCATAGCCATATGGCGAGACTGCGAGGAAGCCTTGAGCATCCACTCATGAAGACAGTTGGGTCATTGCCCACCCTGGGGCCCGCTGACGTTGCGTATCCGGAGCCTCGAATCGAAGCTACAGTATAGCCCGGTCATGACGGTGGCTTACGATGGTCCTCATGTTGTTCCCTCGTCGTGCAAGGTGATAAGCACAGCTACACTCTGCACCGCGTCGGTGGCTTATGACTTTCTGGAATGCGAGCTATGGACATCCGGTTCCCCGGTGTCGGTACTGCAGGAAGAACGCGATAGTCAGATTGCGATGCTGGATGTTATAGACGTTCTTCTGTCGTACTTGACATCTCGATTTCCCCGTGCTGCCCGAACACTGGTGTTTTAGAGACTATACCGCGCCGACCGGCCGTGCGCACCCTTGCCATGCGTCTAAGGCATGTACATCGCACCCGTTTACTGTTTGTGGCTTCTATGGGATCCCAGCTAACACACATGACGCCTGATCCTGCACGATCCCACCAGACTTCCGGGCTGCTTTCTACGAAAGGACTCAAAGCCATCGGGCAGATCGTGGAACGCGAGAAGAGCGTGTACGTTGTGCGCCTGACGTCCAATAATAAGGTTGTCGATATTCTAAGGGCGCCTGCCTCCGAGCGTCATACGTCCTCGAGCTCTGTGTGCCCCTCGAATCGAGCTGCCATCTCTGATCTTGCGTCGTGAACAGCCATCCTGTCCGTGCGGCAGCCCTGGCACAGCATACACCACTTCTACATCGGAATGCCTGGGGTCCGACCGGTCTGGATTCGCGCTCTTATACTGGCCATGCCGACCATGTAGCTCGTCCTTCGCAAAGACGTGCATGAAGATCATTGGTAGTAAGCTCCGCCGTCGGCTGTCCTCGATCCACCCACCGACAGAGCAAAAGAAGAAGGCCCTCCTTATTGGAATTAAGTATGACACCTCTGGCTCGCCGGTGAGCCAGGAGTTCGGGCAGTTGGACGAGCCCCACAAGGACGTTACGTCCGTACGGGACCTGCTTATAGGTACGTGTCGTCGGATGCGACTTTCAGCTCGATGACTCGAGCTTCGTACTCACATGCTACATAGATGTGTACGAGTACGCGCCGGAGAACGTTGTGGTGCTGATCGACGGGGAGGGGCGCGATCGAAAGGTGCAGCCCACCAAGGTCAATATGGTGCGTGATCAATTCCTATCACATTATCCCTCCGTACTCAAACGAACCCGATTAGACCAGAGAGATTCACCGACTCGTCCAGGACGTGAACCCTGGAGACCACCTGGTGTTCCTCTGTAAGTACACCTCATCCCTCGCACCCAGTTACCTCGATTGACTTCGGCGGACCACCAGTCGCCGGGCACTCGACTCAGTTTACCTGCTCGGATCGCACAGAGGATGACGACAAGGACGAGGGTACGTCGTCATCCGTCCACTCAGCATCAGCGCCGATCTGACCTTCATTACAGCCATCGTGCCTATGGATCACAGCGGCAACTCGAAAAAGTCTAAGCTTATCTTAGACAACGTGAGTACCTTCTGAACCTTGCTCTATCACACCTTCCACTCCAACCCGATCTCGCTGACACGCAAGTCCACCTTCCATAGTGGCTCAGAAAACACCTCATCGACCCGCTGAAGCCCGGCGTCCAGCTAATCGTGAGTGATCGAGCATGCCTTCGAGGCGGATGATGATCGGGGCGCAGCACGCTTACTATGTCGTCATGATTTGCAGGCGATCTTGGATGCGTGCCATTCCGGTACGCTACTCGGTGAGCGCAGCACTGTTCTGTAGGCGTCTGTGTGCTGCTGCTGATGCTAGCTCGGGCTGCGTATCGCACAGATCTAGATCACAATGAATGCAACCGGGTGGCTATCCCGTGGGTCAACCCTGGCCTTCGCTTGAACGACACGATGCACGAGAGAGTCGGTACGTCATCTTTCCTTCGTCAGACACTGCGGTGGTCTTACCCGGCACTCGCAGTCCGCAGGGATGACACGAGTGAGTCCTATAGCATCGCAAACCTGGCCAGTCGATCTCACCATTCCCTGCAGTGATTCACTCAACTTCCGTCGTCCGCTTCTCCCCCGCTCCCTCGCGATCGGCCTCCCTCGACGCCATCCTCGCCCGGATGGCGCAGCAGCAGCCGAAGCTCTCCCGCTCACCGACCTTCACCTTCTTCCGTTCGCGCACGGCGTCGTCGGCGGAGCTCGGCCGCGGGAGGCTCGCGAGGCCCCTGCGGGTAGTGAAGCTGCCGGTGAACGCCCTGAAGGAGGTGCTTCGGATCAGCATCCCGAGGTGCAAGTCGCCGGAGTCGACGAGGAAGTGCGACGGGCTGTGTGAGGTGAAGGAGAAGCCGGGTGTGCCTTACGTCGTGAGTAGATGTGCCAGTGCTTGGCTTTGGTTTGGGTTGGAGGGTGCTGACGCGGACGGTGGTGGGGTGCTGTGTTGCTTGGATGTAGATCTCGTTTGCGTCGTGCAGTGACGAGCAGGTGACGTGGGAGAACAAGCGGGTCGGGTCGATGACGCAGGTCAGTATGATAATACGCAGACTCGATAGTGCTCTCTGACTCACACTCGAACTATGTCGTAGTGCATTGTCCAGGTGCTGCGTGAGCATCATCTGCAAACCTCCGCTCGCAATGTTGCTAATGGTTGATCATTGTAGGCAAAGAGCCCCGCCCCAAGCTCCAGAGGCTCATCGAGTCGGTCTCGTACGTCCTTCACCCAACCTGTGGTCGTACCTGTACTGAGGAGTCCCCGTAGATACGCGCGCCACAGTGCCTCGCGCCTGATGCACGACGCGGAGAGGCGCAGGAGGGTGATGGCTAAGAAGAACCCGCAGAACGCGGGGGCGCCACTCGAGGCCGTGAACTTCCAGACGGTGCAGGTGCGTAGCGTCGTCTTCCCAATGATTAGTGTCTCTCCGGTGCTGATGCGTGTGTTCTGCAGATCGGTAGCCAGCAGAAATTGGTATGGTGTCTCTTTTTGTCTTGTGTTTGGATTGGTGCTGAGGTGCATTTCGGTTGCAGAATTTGGACGCGCCCTTCGAGTTCTGAGCTCGGAGGGAGATACCCTTGCCTATGATGCATGAACGATAAGAACGATGCCCGCAACGACAATTCACAGAATCATGGACTCTGGACTGGTCATGTAATGCTTTCTTGCAACTGTTACTCTACCGCCTCGCATTGCTGTCGCACCAGATACCTCTGTATTTCTAGTTTCTTCTCTGCTCTGCTCAATGCTTTCCGTCACATACATAGCTCAATTTAGGCTTGTTGGTTACCACGCTTTACTAGCCTGCGAACCATGTGATTCTACACCTGAGATAGCACAGCTCGTCCGAGGAGTCAAGGCGAGGCGATGTTTACACCAAGTTTGCAGGCTGACAGGAATGGCATCCGCGCCATCCCAAAAAGGAACTGTGACTTCCTATCTGAAGATCTGACACGCGGCCTGCACCCAGAAGCGCCCGAGGTAAGTATCATAGTATACTTTTTTTTTTTTTTTTTTTTGGAGGGCTTAAATAAACCTTTGCAACCAACGATTGGTTGGTCCGCGGGTTCAGCCAGCAAACGGGTTATTCCGCTCGTGCTTTCCAGGGAAAAATGCATTTACGCACCACCATACTAGGTGAGTGTGGGACTCCTCATCCAGCGTCACGTTCTGTTCTTGCTGTATTGATACCCACTAAAACCCCACGGCATGCTGTCCAATCCTCGGGGAGCGCTAGCTCGTCGGACAGGGTGCCGTTCCATGTGCCCAGCACTGTTTCGCGTTTCAGAGCCTTGCGTCCGAAACGTCTGTGAGTCATGTCCATCTCCTTGTGCAGTCTATCGTTGATCATATGGGTCCATCTTCCTCGTATTGCCGTCTTGGAGTGTTTCCATCCTTCCTCCTCGCTGTGGCCGATCACACGTTCACATCGAAGTTTCCAGATTAGGAACGCGGATTCTGAGATTATTATCCTCCATAGTCGTTCCGCATAGTGCCTTCGGTGTTTCGTATGGCGTGATCGATCGGTACGTTCATCTTGGGCCACCTGTTCCTGTTCGTCGTGCCATTCTCTGAGTCCTAGGCTTAGGATATCCACCATGGTCGGTGACTTCCATGCTAGTCTCTTCTTGGCCCATATCTTCTTGGCTTGTGCCCATATCGTTCTTCGTCCAGGGGCTTTGCATTTGGTGAGTATATGTTCCATTGAGTCTATGGTATTACAGTGCGAGCATTGACCTCTCTCTTCATATCCTGGTATCCTTGTCCAGAATTCGCCGCATCGGTGAGCGCCGTGCACATCAGGAAACTGTGCACTTTCTGACAGTATGAGCCTCTGAAGGTTGGCCTTCAGAGAGCTTCAGAGCCATCAGGGCACTCCAGACATGACATGTTGTCAGATATTCTCATTTCGCCTCAGAAAGTGTCAGACAGCCTGAGTGTCAGTAGCACAGTACATCAGACAGCACATATCACACATTTCATCAAAAAAAACATCCCCTCACGTAAATGGACACAATTGCAATGGATTTAAAGACTACTACAATGATCATAATACATAAACGTCCGCATATCGGAGCGCGGTGTGTAAGCGAGTGTTCACCGACCAGCTCAAGCAGATCCTCGAGGTTGTCGGCACCGGCCTTGGGCGCGTGAACACAATGCACCAGCGGCAGTAACTGCGCCGTGCAGAACGCTCAGCTCGCCACTTTGCGCTGCGAGGAGGAGGTACGGGAGCGCATCCGCGCGGGGGCGTGGCACGACGGACACGTGGACTGTATCGCGGGGAACAGCATGATGAGCGAGTTGGGCATGGGCGATGAGGTGTTCGATCGCGAGGAGGGGGCTACATGTCATCAGCGCGGTGTCGAGGGACGATGCTCTTGGGTCTTCGATGACACGGACACAGCTCTTGCACGAGCTCAGGGTGTGTTCGGCAACGCACTACAAGAGAGAGCAGGGAGCAGCGCGAACAGAAGAAGCGACTTAGCTGGTGGTCTTGCACTCGTGCACATCCTATCATTCCATCCCCACTCCCCATGCTCGCTCTCGACCTGCGCTTGTACATCCAAAGCCACGCGTGCCATTGCTTGTCCACTGCGGCGCCGCCTTGGCCATGTCGAAGCGGAGCTGCCCTGTGGGTGTCATGCACATGTCAAACGAGCCCGACCTTAGCGCGCAGGCGTAGGCGATCGCGGAGAGCCTGCTAAACAGCAGGGCAGCGACAGCGTTGGGCTCCGAGTCCGCGTTGCCGCACAGCAAGACGTCCGGGTCTGCGTGAAGTGCAGTGGCGGTGAAACCGCGCTCGCGCGTGCTCTTGCTATCGACCGGCGGAGGCGGAGGCGTTGCAGAGTAGTTTGTAGCTCGGAGGGGCGTATAAGCCAGTGAGCAGGTGGGCGGCCAGACGACGGGCGGGTTGACTCGTTTGCCTACAAAGACGGGGTAACTCAGCAAATATCAAGTGACGGCGCGACATTCGAGCAGGAGCGCGTGCTGCGCTCGCAGTGGTCCTCGAGCACGCTCGGCTCGCAGGTGCAGGCCGAGCGCGAGTCGTTCGGCTGGATCTCGCGCCTCACGCTCTCCCTGGTGAAGAAGGGCAACCGTGACTCACCCGTGTTCCCCTCGCCCAAGTCGCCAACGAGTACGGCGACCATGTCTGCGTTCGTTGTCCTAAGCCCGCGCTCGCCGACGCGCCCTGCAAAACCCCAAGCGTACGGCTACGTCGTCGCACCCGCCGTGCGCGGGCACCCCCGCTTGGAGAGGCGTTCACACTTACCTGTAACTTCCCTGCCATGCCCCGAATCCTCTGTCTCTGCCATTGTCACATCCCCGTCGTGTATAGCAGATGTTGCTACTTGCGGTGTCGAGTTTGAGCGTGGAGCTGTAGAGTGGGCAAGTGGCCGAGGTATGCGCAAGCGGGAGGTGGTACAGGACACGAGCGTCGATGTGGAGGTTGTGAGCTGCTGTGAGTCACAACTGGCAGGCGCGATTGAAGTGCTAAGCGCCTCAGCCACGCCACGTCACAGACGCGCGCTTGCTAAGTTGCCGTCCTCTCACCTCCTCTCACTCTCACTCAGACTGCACCACCTTTGGCCTCGCACCCTCGTCGCCATCTCTCACCGGTCACCTTTGTCTACTACTGGATAAACTACGTGTGGGGTCTGTCTGCAAGAGACGTCTGCCTTGAATCGACCCGCCACACTCCACGATCGCGTGGCCCGACAGCTGCAACAAGCCCCGGCGACGCGCAAAGAACACCGACGGGGGCGAAGGATGGTGCCGAGGGAAGAGGAAGATATTGTGTCTAGGAGGCAGAGCATTCAGGTGAGTACGCTCATTGTCGTCTTGCGACCTTGCCTGACAAGCGCAGTCGTACCAATGCCAGTCCACTCAGGTCGCAGCAACGATCGTCACGGTAACGAAGGCATGGACGCGAACTCAGTCTCCCTCAACACCAGAGCCCCCGATGTTCGGCACGCCGCCCATGTTAAGTGATCCCGCGCAGTCAGCGCAGCAGCAGGACCAGCGCGTTGCTGCGTGGTATGACAGACTACGACACGCGGGCTGAGAGCTTCGCCCAAGGCAGATAGTACGCAAACACCGGTGCTACTGGCTACACGCAGGCAGGCACCAGCACCAGCAGTCAATGTGGCAGGGCATTGCCGTTCCAATGGATCAGGGACACGGTCAGTATGGATACCAGCAGTACGCGCCAGATACTGATGACCCCTTTAACCAGGCAGACGAGATCGCCCGCGCAGTCAGTCCCGACCGAGGACGCAATCCCCAGCAGCACTTCCAGTTCACAGAGTACCGCCATCTGGTCTAGCTAGTCGTGCCCGCGCCCGTGCCGTTGTTGTACACCGCGACCGGCAGCAAACACGCGGCCCACTGAGTAGTAGCGGGCACGAACTTACTGTGAGTATCACCGTGAAGTGCTGCTACGTATTCCTTGATTTCTTCTCTTGTGCACGCCCCATGTATATACAGCAGACCTGTCTATGGTGACGGAAATATATTGTTTTTGAGCATATAACATCTGGAGTTGCTGAGGGTCTGACACGTCTGACATGCTGTCTGAGTCAGTCTGACCACTCTGGACCACTCTGACACTCTCTGATACTCTCTGAAAATTCTGTCTGATGACAACAATTCGCAAAAATTCAAGTCCTTGAGGTATGGCCATATGAGCTGTTCTGATGTGATATGACGTGTTCTGAGCGCTTATGAAGCCCCTGACAGGGCCCTCAGAGGAATTGCACGAAATCCTGATGCATACATTTCCATAGGAAATCACTTATGACTCTTCGTAGGTCTTTGTTCTGTAGGCTATTCCATATACTCTCGTCCGTAGGGCGGTTGCCTGAGATTTGTCCGAGGTTACTCGAGACTTCCTCTAGGTTCTGTGTTGTACGTCCTCTCCTCGTAACTTGTCTTCTGGTCATGATGCCCCGGTAGGCCAACTTCTGAGTCATCTTATCGAGTCTAGCTCCCGATAGGTTGAAGGTTTGGTTTAGGTCTATGTCGATTTCTATGGGTACGTATCTCTCGTACATTTTGGCGGCTTCTTTCTTAGCTGTCGCTATGGCTTGGACGTCGTTTCGGCTCCCCGCTTTCCTGCATGTTGTAATTGCGCATCTCTGCCTTAGTTCGTTGACCAGCGTTCTCTTAAGGTCGCTGTTGGTTGCGTCGATCCATCCTTGGTCTTCCCAAAAGCTTAGATCCTTAACTAATGTTGTCTTTAGGCTGTCCGTCTCGCCGACTAGGTGGAGAGGCACGTCCTTTGGCGTGCTCCGTGCTGCTATTATCGCGGCAGCTAGTTCTCCTCGGTCTCTTGAGGTTGGGTGAGTGCTTTTTGGTGCTCTTATTAGGTTGTTCCTTGGGTTTCCGGTTCCGTATGAGGTGAAGCCCATCTCGTGGGGTAGCTGTTCATTTGGGTCTCTTGTTGATGGGGGCGGTGAGACCGCTATTACGTAGACGGTGCTTGCTTCTTGCTCTACTGTTCTGCCGACCTTTTGTCTTATTGCCGGCGGGTTGTTTAGGGTGGGCGCGTCGGTGAAGACGCGGAATGCTTCCGCCACTCCCCCTCGTAATGTTAGGGATGGGTCGAATATAGCCTGTCCGCCTTCTTCTATGGCCTTCATATTCTTTTCCTTCCTCTTTTTCGTCAGTGTTAGGTTATCTGCTTCTGGTTCCGCCGAGGGGTTCCATTTTGCTGATAGATTGTTTAATAGTCTGCCTGCTGCTTCCCTGCAGCCTTCTGGGTTGCGGCACCCTCTCCTCCTTGCGTCTATACATTTTGGACACTCGCATTCGGCTTGTTGGCTGGCTGATTGATTTATAGGTGAGTGTTGGTGTACCATTACGAGATCTGCTACCAGTTCCACTTTATGCGTTTCTCTGAGGCATGTACTTAATCTTGTGTTGTTCAGACGGTGCAATTGTTTATCTGCACTGATGTGGTACCATGCGGGGAGATTGGCTTTTACTTCTTTGCTCAGTTTGATGGCTGCGAAGCATGCTTTATGCTTCTTTGCGGTTTTTATCATCCGCTTCAGGTATTCTGGCAGCTTAGACCTGGAGTGGATTGCGGGGTGCCAGTCCTGTAGGAAGGAATTTATCTGTGCTGATCGCTTGATTGCGCCCGCGTCCTTTGTGACTCGGATGGCCATTATCGCGTCTGCAACGAACGCCCATCTGGGTCTGCTGTCGTCGAGTGTCAGGTACCTCTTAAGCCACATTATATCTATGGCTTCGTTTCTCGCTTCTAGGTCTAATACCTTTAATCCTCCTTCGCTCTGTTGTCTTGTCAACGTTTCATAGTTGACGAGTGGCGGTCTTTCAGAGCCCCAAACGAATTCCCGTATCATCCTTGTGATAGTGCGCTCAACTGACTTCGGCATTCCTTGAACCGTTGTCAGGTACTGGGAGATTCCGCCTGGTCCCATTTGGATGATATGTTTCTTCCCCTTCAGTGACGGATGACACTTATTCCATCTTGTTAGGAACACTTGTATTTTGTTTATGGCCGGAGTCCAAATTGATGCTTCGTCAACGTGGTTTCCTATCCATGCTCCTAGTATGCGGACCGCTTCTCCATCCTTCGCGATGTTAACGTGTTCTGGGATGGTTAGGTTGTTTGAACCTGGGTCTATCTTCCTCTGTGTTATCACCGCGGAGCGGTACTCTTCTGTGCCTATTGGTATCATTTCTGTCTTTCCTTTGTTAAACCTCGCTCCTGAGGCTTCGCACCATCTTTCTAGAATACTCCATAGGTCTTCCCATCTGTCGTGTCTCGACAGGAAGGTCGAGGTATCATCAGCGAACAGCGAGGCTATGAGCCTGTCTATCATTCCCGGTATGTTGAATCCTCTTAAGCTCGACTTACGAAGCAGGCATGCTAGTGGTTCGATTGCCAGATCAAACAGCAGACACGATAGCGGGTCTCCCTGTCGGACCCCTCTCGTTACTCTAAATGCTTTACTTTTCTCTCCGTTTATCATAACGACCGTCGTTGCATGTTCGTATAGGCTCTTCACCTTCCCGATGAATTTTGTTGGCAGACCTAGTGCTGCTAATACCTCCCAGAGGTAGTCGTGTCTGACTTTGTCGTACGCTTTTTCTTGGTCAAGGGCTATTATTACCCCATTCTCCTCTGTTGCCTCCGCGTAGTCGACCATTGTTCGACATAGCTGTGTTTGATCTGTGATTCTCCTACCCGGTAGGAATCCTGCTTGGTCTGGGTGGATGAGTTTTGTTGCGATTGGTGCTAGACGTTTCGATAGTATCTTTGTATATAGCTTGTAATCTGAGTTGAGCAGCGTTATCGGTCTGTAGTTCGCTATGTCTCTTCTATCTTTCTTCTTATACAAAGGGCACATCCATCCTTCCGTGAAGTGGCTCTCTTCTTCTATTCCGTGTTTGTCTATGTCTTCATAGACTACCCTCAGCAGTTCTATGCAATCGAAGGAGGGTTTTTCGTCGCTTGTTTTCTTGTGTATTTCGTTGAACTTTGTCCAAAGTTCATAGGGGATTCCGTCCAGGCCCGACGCCTTCCCGGCTTGTGCGCTTGCCAATGCTTGTTCAATCTCGCATTTAGGTATCGACATGGTGAGCTCCTGATGCAGGTCTCTTATATTTGGTGGGTTGAGCGAACTCAACGTTTCTTCGATTGCTGACTTCCTGCTTCCTGGGCTCCGTTCTTGATCCAGATCATTGTACTGAAGCTTGTCGTGGTGTTCTCGTGCCAGTTCGGCCATTCTGTCCGACCTAGACTCATATTCGGGTTCGAGGGTGTTCGCCTTCTTTAGTGAGTATATAATATCCCTTGGTTTACGCTCTTTGTTCAGGTTAGACCAGTATTTACTGATTGTTTCTGAGTTTAGGGCGTAATGCGCTGTAGTTGCTTTCTTAACCGAATGGTGTCGTTTACGCGTAAGCTCAGCTATTCTCCCCTGTATCGCTTCTGAATCTCTTCTAAGTGTTTCGTCTGTTGGGAAGCCAGGTTGCGCTTGGATTGATTCAGCATGTGCCTTGAGGTGATTGATTGCCACCGTTAGTTTCGGTTGTTTAGACTTGAGTATCTCTCTAGCTGTCTCGACGATCTTCTCTTTAAACTCTTTGTGTATGGTTTGTGGGTTGTTTCTTTCCGTTCGGTTCAAACGTATCGACGATGTCTCCATGGCTTTTAGGGCCTCTTGTCCCAATATGACTATCTTGTCTGTGAAGTTCTTGTCTACAAGGATTGTCGCTGGGAGCATCCAGCGCCCTCTGCCTATATATGGGGCTGATGCGGTACATAGCTCCGCTGTTACTAATCTATGATCGGTAGGTATTCCTGTTGTCTGAATTTGCCAGTCGTGAGATGACTGGATTATCTCCTCTGTTGAGTATATCCTATCTATTCGTGATCTCGACGTAGCGGCTCGTTGAGGGAACGTATAGTCTCTTTTGTCAGGTTCGGCTGTTCTCCAACCGTCTTGTAGGCTCTTCACATGTAGCAGTTTTCTTAGACTGTCTACTGCGGGTTGGTAGTCCTCCCTCGGCGGGAGGCGGTCAATTGTGTCTTCTACTAGATTGAAGTCACCTAGTAGGACGTCTATACAGTTGTTTTGCTCGATTACCCGTTCTGTTATGTTTCTCCAGAATCTCTCGTTCTCTTTCTGTTCATTTGGTGCATATATATTTAGGATATTTATTTGGGTCTCGTTGTGCCATCTCATTTTGAGTAACGCGGCCCTTCCTGGTTGTATGACAGTGAGTTGTGTCTGTGACACATCGACGAGTTCTCTATTGAGTACAAAAGCTATTCCTTGTGCGTTGGGGCAGTCCTTGTCTTGTGAATATAATACGTGTAGACGTCTTCCGTATAGGTCGTGTATTCTAGCAGTGAAGGAGTCATCTAGGTGCGTCTCTTGTAGCGCAAGTATTCCTATTCTTTGTTCCCTCATGATTTGATTCAGAGTGTTCCATTTGTTATTGTAGTCGCCTGAAATGTTTCCACGTCCACTTATGTTGAGCGAGCCTATCTTAATCGTGGCGCGTGTCTTACGACCGCCTTTACTGTTGGGCTTCATAGCTTTACGGCTATGTGTTTCTTGATTCTCTTGGGTAACCCGGCCCACCTCTGGTGGACTAGCTCGCGTGGTCCTAAGGTGGGTCGCCCTACTTCCGTTCCCCCTCTCCGGGTCATTTACGTGGTTAGTTGTAGGGAGAGTGGCCTCGCATCTCCGTTGAGGGGAGCTCGAACCGTTTGCCAAAGTTCCAACCGTATTATTTGTGTGTTTTGTTTGATTGTTCGCCGTTGCTCATCGGGCCCACCGCTACAACGATCCATGGTGGGTGGAGCCCGCTCCTGGGACTCTCAGGGGACATGCTGGTCGACGATCTTCGCCTTCCATGCTTCAGCCTCTCGGCCGGGGGCAAGTCTAGAAGTGCCCCCTTCGGTTCACAGTTTGGGTAGCTCGGTCGCGGACTGCGGCTTTCCTGTCCCGCGATTGCGGTCAGTATATTTGGGCACGCCTTCTACGACTTTGCTGTTCAGGTACGGGATGTTCGTTGTTCTTGTTTTGCGGGTTTTGCTTCGCCGGGAAGACGTGATGTCATTGATCACTGTAGGTGTATGTACCTTCGTAGGTTACTAACGTGTATGTGTACGTCTACTTGTAGGAGTTTTTCTGGACTTTATCATGGAGATCATTTGTGAGTCGTTTACACTATTTACCGACGTATCGTGTTGGCCTACTTCACTAGCGGGATTAGCGAGATTGCGTGGTTGTCATGAGAGTTTCAAGATCGTGGTTCGTACACATGTTTATCAAGAAGGTGTCTGGAGCTCAGCGTACTCTCCGTGGGGTCTCTGTAACTGCGTGTGGTTCGTGGCTCTAGTAGCGTTCTACCTGTTTGCCCTTACCTCTACCCCTTCCGTCGCGTCCGTCCCGTCGCCCGCGCGACGATTCCGCATGGTCGCGACCGTGGCCGTGGCTCGGGCCTGTGTTCTCCGGTTGCTTGGGTTTGGTGGGGTCGGAGTCGTGCCATCCGGGAATGGATAGGAGAGTGCATAGTCCGACAGGGTGGTCGATCGAGTGGCAGTACGCGCACCGCATCTCTTCTTTGAAGAGTTCCGGTTTGCCGTCGCTGTCCGAGCCGAAGTTGCATTTCTCTAGGACTCCTCGAAAGTATTCCCAGTCCTCTGGGTTAGCCGTCGGCGATTGGACGTAGAGACGTACTACTGGGTCCGGTCTCCCCGCTCGCGACTTCCTCTCGAGTTTGTCCGCCCTTGCGGATGATAGCACTGCGTCGCGAGCATCCCAGATTGTCCAGTCTTGCCAGCGTCCTCCGTTGTCGATGTCGCTGGCTAGTAGGCTCATGATTAGGGGTAGGACTTCTCCGCTACGCAGGACGCGGACGAGGACTTCCGTGTATCCTTCGTTAGTCGTGGCGCCTAGGCGATGGGGGGGGCGAAGGGAGCCTATGTACTGTGGGTTGTCCGCTACCCACCGTACGAAGTTCATTGTCAGCCCTGACGTGGAGAGCCACTCCTGGCCGATGAGGTGTTCGGCGTGCACGTAGGAGAGTTTGTGTATTAAGTGGTAGTAGGGCGGGTGGTTTCTCTTCCTCCTGTTGGAGGGATCGGCTGCGTACGCGGATTTGATTGGGGCATCCTTGATTGACATGAATGTCTCGAGTTTTTCCGCGATGAGTTCGACTATCTCGCCTGCGTCTGGGTCGTCTGCTCCGTGACGGGGGACTTGGACGCCCACGACGAATTCAGTGCGAGCGATCACGTTCCACGCGTCGATCTGTTTCTGGGACATCCCTTCCGTCAGGTGGTAGGCATCCTTCCCTTCTACTCTAGGGAAGCCATCTCTCGGACGTCTCGTTGCTCCCGAGGCTCCTGGGATTGTTACAAAACGGATGGGGGCATCCGGAGCATCCCCGGCGCCTTGTGGTACCGCCGATGCGTACCGTTCTCTTTCCTCCTGGTTTGGGATTGGGAGGAGGTTCCTCCTGAACGATGCCGCCTGGGGTCGTGTACTCTGACTCGGACCTCTACCGGCGTGGCCAGTGTGTCCCGAGGGCCCAGCCGGGGTCGGTGTGCGCGGCGACGAGGTCACGTTATGGGCTCCGCGGTTCGGTGGCTGACCGATGTTTTCGTTGCGCGGGTCGACTGCATTACGTTGGTGGATAACGGGGGCTGGGGGTTGTAGGCGAGTGGCCCGTGGGGTCTGAGGGGTGAAGACGAACATTGGGTTACGGGCGTCGCGAACTGGCACTGGGTTGTTCTCCGTAGCGCGTGACAGGAACATGTTAGGGCCCATATCAAATGCGAACTCAGTGTCTACGTCCATATCTTCCGTTCCTTCCTCGTCAAGATAACTCACGCCACCGTCGCTTTCATAGCCGGTAGCGCGTCTCTCGAAACCCGTGGAGCGCGTCGAGGTAGGAACGTCTGCTGGGTAGTAGATGAGGGGGCCAGTCCTGGAGTCTGTGCTGGGTGCGCCTGGGTCCTGGGACGATGTTTGGGGGCCCTGTACTCTGGTCGTAATGGGTTGCTCACCCTCGTTGCCGACATCGTCTTCGCCCCTTCTGCGCTTTCTTACGCCGCTCACGTCGCGCTGGTTCTCCTCCGTCTCGGGTTTATCGTTTGCGACTGGAGGCTTGCCGTTACCGATCAGCGACGACTGCGTTTTCTTCTGTGCTTTCTCCTGTTTTTTGAGCGCGCGACGACACTTCGCCTCGGCAGCTTCGGCTGCAGCTCGGGCTGCGTTTACGTCCTCCGGTACTGACGACACATCGGTTTATATGTGGGTCATTCTTCATGCGAGGAGAGGTTGAGGGTTACTTACTGGACTTAGGCAGTGCCGGGAATTCCTCTTCCCACCCTCTTCCCGTCGTCGTAGCGGTCACGTCCGTAGCGTTGACGACTCCGCTGGAGACCTCCTCCTCCGCACTACTAACGGCCTCAGTCTTGGTGACGTCGGCTCCCGTCGTTGTGTTGGTGACGACCCCGGTCGTAGCACCATCGGCGGCCTCGGTCATGATGCAGTCGGCGTCGTTGCCAGCTGGTTTAGTGACGGTGGGGTCGGTTGGGAAGGTAATGGAATCCATCGTGGTCGCGTTAACTTGGTTGGTTTCGTTCTGCGCGGTTTCGGGCTCCTCCGGACGCCACGGGTTCTCGCCCGGCGTTTGGATGACTAGGGGAGGACCCGTCGTGAGCTGCGTGTTGCCCCTTGGGGTCGGCTGAGGGCCGTTAGACGGGGGGCTACCCGCTTTCTTCGAGGAGTTGGGGAAAGGCATCTCGTCTGAGCGGGTGGGGCGTCTTAGCAGCTGGAGCGGCGGTTGAGTAGGGGCGAGAGCGAGGGTAAGCCGACGTGGGGGAGGGCTTCGTGTCCAACCCTAATCTCCGGACTTTTCTTGCTCAGGTGGCTGGTCTTCGCTTCGATTCGGGTTCCGTATAGCGTCTGTCGTCCTGTTTCAGGCTTTGGCATCGCATCGTCGGCGTGAAGATTTCTTCTGGCGGCGGCGCGCCCTTGGATGTTTGAGGACCCGAATGGGAAGCTTCCCATCCGTCGCTTTGGGTTTGTTAGTACCTCTGTGGGGTTTTTGGCGTTTCCTCATGATCGGTTTTTCTGCTCTTGTTTGTGGTTGTCCTCCTATGCTATTTTGACACGTTCCTGTTAGAATGTTACTACTGTGTTTATTTCTAGCTGCGTGTTATCTTACGCTCCCTTACAGCGTGGTGGGTGGCGACGCTCGTGTGGATGTGGGTGTGTGTGGTGGGCCATGGGCGTCTAGCTTTGCTGTTTGTTGCCTTAATCGGATCGTGTCCGCCTGTGTTTCCGTCCGGTTGCCTCGGTGATCTTTATTCGGTCCTTTTGGCTTGGCCGGGTATCTCCGGCTCCCTTAGGATCTGGATCGGCCTATCTGTTGGATTCTTCCCTGTTTCCTGACGTCTGTCATCTAGGTTGTGCTCTCGTTTTGGCTCTGATCCTTGTACTTCGTTCTTGCCTATCTGTTAGACGTGTCTCTCAGCAGATAAGTCCATTTGTTTCTTCTCTGTTGGTACTGGTTTAATTATACATAGGTTTCTCTGGATTGGTCTGGTCGCTTTTCGTGACGTGTCACCATTCCTCTACTTCCCCTTCCCATGCTTCAGTCCATCTAGCGTCTGTTTCAGACGTTTGGTACCCCTTAGCTTTTCTCTCAGCTCATCCGCATCCCTTGGGTCCTGCTCGAACTGGTAGGGGTTCGTTTGGTCGTCTGCGAACGTGGGGCGGTTACTGAAGGAGTGATGTGGTTCGGGTGATCCCGGGAGGGATTCGTACAGTTCGGTGTGTACGAATCTGTCGAGCTTGCCGAGTTTGATCCACGATGTCGGCGTACGTAGGTAGGTGTTGGCGTGCCCGCCGGTTAGGCGGACCGTAATCCAGTGTCGCGTGATTAGCGTAACGGTTGAGATTCGGCCTGATCTGACTATCTCGGTCGACGTGCTCCGAAGGGTTATCACGTGGCCGCGTGCTAAGGAGTGTGGGGGTTGCTGATCCACTATCCAGACGTGTTCTCCCTCGCTCTCCGTTGTTTCTGGCCGCTCTTCCACTTGAACCTCGTACGTGTTGCAGGCGTTGGCGAGGTGTGGGGCATAGGGCGTGTTTCTGCGTTTTGTGCGTCTCTGCTCTCCACTGGCTGGTGAGGCGGTTCGCTCCACGCTCTTTTGGGAGTTGAAGGTGAGGTACATGGTGTAGGAGTGTATGCACGATCCTCACCTTCCCTCTAGTTATTATATCTTCGGCGCTCGGGCGTTTTTTCTGGCAGTTGGGGGTCTCTAGTGGGTGTGAGGCGTATTCGGTGCCGTTTCGTTTGTTAATTCGCTTTACGATAGGGATGTTTGCAATTTGAATGAGGGGAGGGGAGGTGCTGGTTGTATCCAGACGACGCTATGGGATAGTGACCTGGTGTCAGGGCATCCAGGTGTGCCTATTCCCTCGTGCTTATATTCTAGAGGATTATTCACAGGGATTTATCCGTCTTCGGTCATTTCGGCCGAGGTTCAGCTGCTCGCTTGTAATTAATTGTTTAATTGTTTATCCGCGTCTGGGGTGTCATCAGCTTCGGTGCTGTGCGGCCCGTTTATCAGAGGACGATCACATGTCGTGTTTTTAGCTGGGTGTCGTTCGTGATTTGAGTCAATTTGGTGCTCCAATGTTCATTTCCTGTTCGTTTCCCATATTCTGGTTCTGTTCAGTGATTACTGTTCGGCTCGATTCGTGCCGCGTCAATCGAGTTCATTGGTTTCCTTCTTGGGTTATGCCTCCGGGCGCCTATTTCCGTTTTTAGACGCTGGTCACTTTGCGTGTTGGGGTGGGTTTTGTCGACATCCCTCAGGTGGAGGGCGTGTCTGTGTGGTTATGTGTGTAGTCGTGGTACGACTTATTGAGTTCTGGTGGACTCTGTCGAGATTTCTACGTCTCTGGGGACCCTGGTGTGGGTGGATTGACTGGTGTGTCATTGGATGTAGGCTTTGGTGGGCCTTGACATCGCGGCTGGTATTGCTCGCGATGTCTTATAGCGCATGTTGGTTTCCCCTTGTAAGGGTACTTACCCCCCGGACCTCGAGAAGGTCTGCGCGGGACTCGTCTGCTACGACTGAGCCCTCCCGGGGGTATCATAGTATACTTACGCGTTGCCTACGCGCGGATGCGTTCCTGCCCGTCATACATACAAGCTTTCGCGGTCGCATGGCAGTGCTCTGCACACCCTGCACAGCTCTTGTGGTGTAATACGAGCCAGTACTTGGCGGCGACATTACTCAATTGGTGGCGGTAGCTGGGCACCGGGAGGGCCGGTGGTCTGTCCGCACGATGTAGGACCGCCAGTGAGTCCGCACATGGCGTAGGCCCCTGCCAGTGGAAAATGTGAGAGTTTGAGAGCTGGTAAGGCAAGCAGAGGCTCAGGCTGGACTCTAGGCGTTCTCTAGGGGAGACAAGAGACGCTTCGGGGGATCGCCACGGGTTTGTAAATCCTCTCAAATTGCATTCGACGCGTGAAGACAGACGCTGTGTGATACAGACGAAGTCACTTCTCGCGCTTATATTGTACCTAGCACCCATGTAAATCATGTAACTTACCGACTGTTCAAAATACACCATTGTAGTATGGGCCCGGTTTGTCGAAGCAACGGGGAGCGGTCATACGATCTCTATGATAGGCAGTGTGTTTGCCTTGCTCCATTTCTTGTCGTCGTCCCTGTAATGACAGAGTAGCTCCCTTTGACCGCGCCGTGACATGTGTGCATACGAGCTTCGTTCGCTGACTCTTGTAGAACATCGCTCGAGAGCCTGTACATGTCGAGCGCCCTGCTGCTAATTTTGGGTTCGTGTTTTCACACGCGCCGTCGCACGGTGCGCACCGCGTGTTTGAACACCTTGACCGCGCTATCCATGCAGAACCTAGTCGACACAATGCTGAAGAGGATTGCGGGGGAAGGGGGGAAATGTCTGCCACCGCATGAATGGACGACGGCATCTTGCGCGAGGCCGCGGGTGGCGAGACATTCTTGGCATAGCACACCCACGGCGGCACTCTGCGGCACTGCATGATCTCGACGGTGCGATGCTACGTTTCAGATGGACTTTCGTACTCCAACATCATATAGGTGGCACTCTACACCCCGGTGCCTTGCCTCTTCCCGTCTGTGGTCTTATTCTGCCTGGGGAGCAACCATCGCAACCGGGTCTCGTCGCCGTCACCGCCCCGCTGTCAACGCCCACACATTGTCGCCTAACACCTGTGCGAACTTTGTGGTTCAAGGGACGCGACTTGGCCCTTGGGCACAGCATTTCCGAGTCCGGGCAGCGCGAACACTCCAATTCATCGAGATCGCCGGGTGTCGGTGCCGCTCATAGCTCGCCGAGTCCAACTCGATTCGCATAAGGCGCGCCGCTCGCGCGACTGCCATCTCCCCGCTGCATCCATCCGCCCCCTCGCTGCTGTGCTTGGCTGAAGGGACTCATCTTCACTGCTCTGTCTACCACTACCCCACCTCTCGCACGCGCCGGTCCCCGTCAGAGGTTGTACCAGCTATGAAGATCGGACCGAAGCTCGGACCAAGGGTCCTTCACCGATTGTCACTCCCAGTGACACCAGAGACGCCTCAGCCTGCGCGGTCGTGCAGGAAGAAGGCGCTGCTCATCGGCATCAACTATAGCATGGAGGAGTCGTCGCTGAACACCAACTGTGTAGAGCTGGAGGGCCCGCACAAGGATGCCATCGGCATGCGGGACCTGCTCATCGGTGAGTTGAGGACGCGCTTTCTTCACTGTGTCTGCTGTCCTGACGGTGTTGCGTGGTGGGCAGACAAGTACGGGTATAAGGAGGAGGACGTCGTGCTCATGGTGGATACGGAAGGGGTGGATCGGGCGCGGCGGCCTAGTCGCAAGAACATGGTATGTCATCAATCACTGGAGGTGTTCAGCCCCCTCGCTGGTACCGTGCCTGATTGCGCACCCAGATACGGGAGATCCGTGCCCTCGTGAGGGGTGCCCAGCCAGGGGACCGCTTCGTGTTCCTATGTTAGTACTTTCCTGGCGTACTGTGCTCTGCTGCTTATTGATCTACGTTCTCAGTCTCTGGACATTCCGACCAGATCCCGTGCAGGGACCACACCGAAGACGATGGCTTCGACGAAGGTGTGGCCTGCATTCGTCTATGACTCGCGTGTATTGACTGACTGGTGATCGCAGTTCTGCTTCCTATGGACTTCGATGGCAAGAGCAAGCACAAGCTCATCGTTGACAATGTGGGTTTGCATCCCCGTGTCCACCGTCGTGGCCGGTCACTTACCTGTGTGTGGAATCAGGATCTCCGGAAGTGGCTCGTTGATCCACTCCCGCCCGGAGCACAGCTCATGGTGAGCACAACTCGACCACAGTTGCCGACCTTCCGTGCTAAGCTATCTCTACTCATAGGCAATCCTCGACGCATGCCACTCCGGCACATTGCTTGGTAAGTCGACTGCTGATAAGTGTTGGCCAATCTATAGCTGAGGCCTGCGCAGATCTCGATCACTATGACTGCAACAAGGTGTACTTCCCATGGGTCTCACTCGGTCGTCGGGATGCGAAGACGCGGCACGTTGATGTCGGTGCGTTATGTCTGGTCTGTGCTATGGGCGCTTCTGACACGCCATCCGCTCTAGTACGCAAGAACGATACATGTACGTTCCCGCGCGTGGCGCTCGAGGACAATACACTGACACCATCGCAGTCGCCCCGGTCCTCCACCAGAAGACCGCACCCGCCGCACTAGTACTCGACTCCCTCTCCGGGCTCAGCTCCCCGCGCTCGCCGCTCTCCCCCGCCGCATTCTCGCGCTCGCTCTTCTCGCCGCTCTCGCCCTCGCCCAAGTCGGCGAAGGCCATCCGCCACTCGCGCTCGCTGCACCACAAGGCGCTCCGGCACCACCCCGACCGCGCGCCCGACGCGGACCCGGACGCGGAGCAGGGGCACACGCGCGAGCTGCGCAGGCGGCGGACGACCGTGTCCGTGTCCGTCGCGGCGTGGGCGGCGGGGAAGACGCTCCGCCCCGCGGCGGAGGTCCTCAAACAGATCGTACCCGCCGCGCTGTGCATGTCGCCTGTGTCGTACCGCAAGTGCGACGGAGAGTGCCCTGTAGGATTTGCAGCGGAGGTGCCGCGTGTCGTGCGTGTCATTTGTTACAAGGTGTGGATGTGCGTGGCTGATAGGTGGGGTCTTTGGGTGTAGATATCGCTGGCGGCTTGTGGGGACTCGCAGTATACGTGGGAGTATAAAAGGGGGCAGTCTATGACCCAGGTATGGCTACTACTCTTGAGTTGTACACGCGATCGTTGCTGACAGTGTGTGCAGGACTTGATCCAGGAGCTCAGGGAGAACCCGCAGCCAAAGATCCACGAGCTGGTCACTAAGCTGGGGTAGGTGTTGGCATTCTGTCCGCTGTGAGCCGTGTGCTGATGGAGGGCTCGGTAGCTACTCGCGCTATGAGGTTTCTCGGCTGTTGCACGGGGCTGCGAAGAGGCAGCGGGAGGCGATCAAAGAGGGCGCGCAGCCGCTCTATTTGCTCGAGGGTGTCAACTTCCAGGATGTCCAGGTGGGTGGCGCTGGTGTTCCGCTCTGATTTGTACTAGAAGATGCTGATGTTGCGGTTCACTTGCAGCTTGGTAGCCAGGAGAGGCTGGTGAGTGACTCCCGTTCGTCTTGTTTGGTTCTTGCTGAACCTCGCGCACAGGACATGGAGATGCCCTTCGAGTTTTGAGTTTTGAGCATGCATACATGCTCGCGATATTGTCACACGCACATCAACCTCCCACCCATCAGGATTATGACGGATCCGCATCGATCTAACTTATTCACATTGAACTTATGTCTCGAGGCCATACCTCATTTACGCTTGCATAGTTAACGTCCGCCGTCTGTCGCACATCTGTATCGCCTATCGTCACACCACCGCCACACTGCACCTTATGCTCATTCATACATAGTTAGTTTAGATACGTAGGTAGTTTGCTCGGGGTCGTACTGTACACATATCTGGATGCAATCGTCGTCGTCTGCGCTTGGTTTCGGTAGCCATCACCAGGTGCCATGACCACCCCCCGACTCGACTCATTATTGAATGGAACTGCTGGCCGGAAATAGTAGGTGTCGTAGTTCGCGCCGCTACTCGTGCACGTGCACGTATACGTAGCTGCTACCGTGAATGGTAGGTATTATGGTTCGCGCTGGCGTGTGTATAAACTCTCTCCGAGTCCAGAGCCTAACCACACCCCCGTCTTCCCTCCCCGGCGGGTCCTCCCCATCGTTCGCTCTACTTCGTGAGGCTGTGCGTTGCACGGCTAGATCAACATGCCGTGAGTGCTCCTGTCAGGATTCAGGATCATGATCACTGCAAGCTGCTCGCCGTCTGACGATGTTCAGGATCAGGCCTGTGTATATCAGGGAGCGGTATGGCTCAGTTTCGCCTCGGAGTACGGCGTGAGGCTGTCCCAGAGAACACTGTGGTACTGAGGCTGCAGTAACAACACCTTGTTGCTGGCAGCTCAAATCGTTTAGCCGGTGTGCATCGGTACTCCAATTCTTCATTGTTGCTATCACGCCCCTTCGGAAATCCACTGCATCTGCCTGGCAAATTTAAAGAAGCAGGGCAGCAAACCTGTGGGACGCGAATCAACCATCTTCCCAGCGACACCTGTGCGACAGGAGCGTCGCTGTCGTCAAGCGGGACGGACCCGACGATGCATATCTGTGCGTCTATCTTGCTTCCCCTCTTCCTCCTTTGACTTCCGTGTCCAAGTACAAAGATAGAGCCAGCGGTGCCCAGTAGCCAACTCGTCTGTCGGGCAGCGGCTCGCACTGCCTACATATCTCCGAATGGCACGCGCTGCCTGAGACTCGTCTGTTGATGGACTCATCTGGATTGACGCGCTGAGGTGTTGTCCGCGCACACATATGGCAGTGAGGATGGATCAAGGAGCATCCAGATGTCGCGGAGCATGCCTGAAACGGGCGGACAAGAGGCGTATGCCTAGACTGCCAAAAGAAGCCCTAACCGCGTTCTTGCTGTGCATTGTATGGCTTCCTTGACTGTAAAGAACCACCTATCCTGCTCACGTTACAGTTCTTTGCATGGGTCTGTGGGTAGGAGCGTCAGAGTCTCCTCCAACAACTGTCACAGCTAGCTTTCCGATAATGCAGGAAATAAATTGATTCGGGCGCGTCCATATTCACGCTGATAGGATGGCACAGCCTATTGACGTGAGATCCTGGTGAAGGAACCTAGCCATTGCAAGAGATTGTGGTGTCATCTCTGCTTCGGGACATTGCGAGTGAGATTTCTCTTGTACTAAATGCCGATGCTGTTTGCTCACACTTCACTTCGCAGTTATAGCTTGCGACGGACACAAACGAGGAAATCGGCTTCCGCGGGATGACCCTTGCCACGGGACAGTCGCGACGAGACATTGTGCGGCGCGAGGAGGCGCTGCAGCCGTTAGCTCGATGACATCCCAGTCGGAGTTATTCACGGCACTGACCAGACGAGACTTGCTCACCGGGCGAGTCTCGACCGTTGCACAATGCCCATCTGACGTCGCTGAAATGAACAGCGCTCAACCAGCCGGGCTTATTTGTACAGAGTTGGCGTCTGCCTGGAGTGGCTATGAGACGGACCACATGCAGGCGCAACGCGTCCACAATGCTTCTCAAGACTGTCACGGTCTAATCGGTGAGTTCGGGCATGGTTTCTGCGCGCGCCGTTGCCCACACATAGCTAGACCTGTCAGGCAGCTTTTGTACAAACACTGGCCAATTTGGGGGCAGTGTTCGCCCCTCCCCGGCCTCTTATTTGGTCATACGCCGACGGCTGTGATGGCATCCTCCTTTTCTTCCATCCCGCTCTCTCACAGCCTGCTACCTCGCCGCGCTTCCAACACCTAGTCACCTCACTGCGCGCAGCAGCCTCTGTTGATCTCCCGGGCCGTATAACAACCCCGAAGTCCGAGTCGCACTGCACCCCTCCCCACCAGTTCTCACTACTCAGGTTATCCGACCCGAAGGAAGTGTCACTCATCTCCCTCACCTCCAGCCAGCAGCCCGATGAACACGCCAGCTCGCCCACCCCAGAAGAAGGCCTTGCTCGTCGCCAGCAACTACATCTATTGCAACACTGAGCAGTGTACCGTTGAGTCGAGCGTCAGCATGGCACAAGCCGCGGCGGATGGCGAGAGTATCGTCAGCACCAATGGATCCCTGGCTACTAGCAGCTCCCTGCCTGCGTCCGGTGACCAGATTCCCTTGGTCAATCCCTGCAAGGACGCGTGGAAGTGGAAGACTCTTCTCATTGGTGAGTGCTCGCGATGACCGCGCACGTGTCGATGATTAACCCTGCCCGTTCGCAGAACACTTCGATTTTCCCGAGAACATGATCTGCACGCTCGTCGACGAAGAGCATGATTGTCCTCCGAGTTCGATGGCCCGTCAGCCGTCAGATGTCGCCGGCAGCCTCGGCAAGATTCATCAACATAACCCACGCATGCGACCTAAAAGGGCGAACATCGTAAGGCTACTTTATCGCTCACGCGCAGAGGAAATATATCTGAAGCATGGAATCTCCTCTGCAGAAGCGCGAATTGCTCGAGCTTGTCAAAGATCCGATTCCTGGTGATACGCTGTTTTTCTTCTGTGCGTAACGCATGAATACGCCCCTCAATGATATGCCTGATGATGTTTCCCAGATGCTGGGCATGTCGGTCAATTGACGTGCGATGAGCACTCTGAAACAGATGGCCAGGACGAAGGTCAGGACCTCTGGACCCTTGATTAGAGAAAGAACAGCGCTGAAGGAATCTGCCGTAGCTCTGATACCTGCTGACGCCGTCCGGCCTTGGGAATGTCTCCACATTCCTGCAGAGTCTTTGCGACAGATCGACCACGGCAGCTGGCTCAAGGATAATGTAGGCTACGGTTGGATTTCACTTCAGCTGCATTGTTGGCTCATGATAAATCCAGGAGCTGAAGAAGATCCTCGTAAATGATCTGCCTCATGGCGTTCGACTGGTGGCACGTATCAAATCTATCTTTACACTGACTTCGTGGCTGATTGTCCTCACAGTGCGTTGTCGATGCGTGTCATTCCGGAACGCTATTCGGTGCGCAAAATTGTATCATGTCCGTGGCCGCACCTCACCTTGACTGAATGACGCCGTCTTGCTGCACAGACCTACCGCACGGCCCATGCAACACGGCTCAGATCGCCGCCGCCCGTCGTCTCCGCACCTATCTCCCCGACATCCCGCATCTGTCTCGACCATCTTCACGCGCCTCTCTTCTACGACCAGAGATCGTATGCAAGAACGCTTTCTGTCCTCGACGTCCAGCGGTCACCACAGCCACGACATCATCGATCGACATTGTCACGAACCCCAATTTTAGAGGGAAGGAGAACGTGCGAATGATCGCTACCGCAGACGACCGCCGTGACGGAGTGCCCGGACGGCGGAATTCGAGCCACGACTCCTGCCACATGCACTGCAGCTGCCGCTCGTTCCAGGACTCGGAGTCGTCGCAAATCCTAGGAGGGGCAGACGCCAACACCAGCTTCGACTCGGAGTGGCCGATGTCGTCGTTCAGGTTCATGGGCAGATCGGAACCCGACGCGTTCCAATGCGAGTCCCCGACGGTGATGCTGCCGCTTCTGTCGGAGGTCGAGCAGCCGTGCGGCGAATCGTGCAAAGTCGACCCTGACTTCATGGGTCCCCACATCGTACGTCTCTCGCGTAAACCGTGGATGTGCTCGGTGGCGAACTTGAAGGCATCATAGGTTACTATTTCGGCGTGCATGGACGATCAGGAAGCCTGGGAGAACAAGAAGACTGGAGGCTCTCTCACACAAGTGAGTGCAAGAATTCTCCTCTTCTGGTGACGCCACTTACAATATGCGTTGGCTAGATCCTTGTCCCATACCTCAGTAGGTACATCGTATACTGTGGGGTGTGCAGCTATCAATTTCCCTGGCTCTGGCAGAACAACACCGGAAACCTACCTACCGAGCGCTCATGGAGCATACGAAGTACGTTGGCACATCATGTATAGCTACGTGATTTAATAGGTCTTGATCGTTCTGCCTATAGCAATAAGCTTGACAATATCGTCCACAATGTCCACAAGAGATATCGCAGAAACTTGGTATCCGGTGTCTACTATCCTCAGGGTGGGCCTTACCACGGCCCAGCCTACCAGGATCCGCAGGTGGGCGTTGGGTCTGTGCACTACGCGTCGCGCTGGCTGATGCGGTTCTGCGTAGCTATGCAGCCTGACACCGCTGGTGAGTTGTACCGTCTCTCCACAGGCGTACTAGGCATGTATCTGATCAACGGCTTCCTACGTAGGATTTGGATGAGCTCTTTATTCTATAATCGCACAGTAATCTCGGCACGCACACCCCACGCTGTCTTCGCTTTCGCTTTCTGAACCTGCTTCGGGTTATCGCATCGTATTCACGGACTACTTGACCTTCATATTTGTAGTGTACAGACTCCCGGTTGTCTAGATCTCGCCATCCTATTGCAATACACATCATACTTTACTATGCACGTAGCTTTTGGCAGTAGACATCTGCATGTATCGATACATAGACCTCTGTTCGGTGTGTACAAGGAGTGATAAACGCACATCTCCACCCAAATATCCGAGCGTATTGATAACAGAAGCTGGAAGACGGTACCTTCGTGAGGTGCGGGTTACAGAACTTGAAAGCGGTCTTCAATGCTTCACGCCCGGTCCACCTCCTCGAGTGTATGCTTCCATAGTCGCTCCCTAGCTTCGTCCGTGCCGAAGTATCTCTTCTTCCCCATGTCGTTGCCTTTGTTGTCCCGACGCGAAGCTCCTGGTTGGCTATGCAGCAAGGCGTAGAGCATGTACTCTGCGCAGACCTCGGGGGTCACAGACAAGGGGTAGAGCAGCACCTTGCCGATAGTGCCCATCAGCGGTGTACGCACGAGCCCAGGGAACGCGTGTACAAAGGACATCCGTGGCTCCAGTTCCGCGAAGCTCTGAGCCGGTGTACTGTGAGGGCATGCGGAAGGGCACGCCACGAAGAACGCACCTCGATCATCATGTCGTTGTACGTCGCCGCAGACGTGAGGGCCTTCAGTGGGTTGTACCTCTTCTTCAGCCCGAGGTCGTCCAGATCGACCTTCCACCCGGAGCCGGGACCCAGGACGGACATGACCCTCGCCTCTTCTCCCGCTTCCTTCGCCTTCCTCAGCAGAGGGAGGAGGTCGTAGATGAACTTCCATCGCGAGTAGTAGTTGAGCGCGAGCCTCTTATCGATCCCATCTGCAGTCTCGTCGCGTCCGCGGAAGTCCATGAAGCCAGTAGAGAGCACCAGGAGGTTGACTTTCGGGAGAGTAGACAGGAGGGAGGACGTCGCCTTCTCCACGTTCTTCATCTGGAAGAGGTCGCTCTCCATAAAGGAGTGGTGGTTTTCTACGTCCGCCGAGGTAGGCTTTGGGTAGGAGTTGATGGTTTCCTCTGCGGACGAGCGGTTCCGGCCGCACAGAACGATGTTGGCATTTCCGTGGGTGTACCCAGCGAGTGTGCGAGATAAAGCCTGCCCGACACCGGAGGTACCGCCCACAAAGACAGCAACAGGAGGTCGCCTGAAAGAGAAGGCAGCGTTCGCTGCACGGACCGCGGCGATAGACGGCATTCGTGACGGGTCTGCGACGACCGAATGTCTGCAGTACACGATAAGAACGAGCTGAGGTAGACTTGACAGTAAAGGCCAAAGCAGAGAAGTTCAGCGGGGTCCAACCTTCAGATCTCAGAGCTGGAGTGCGACAGCGACGTTGAGCAAGTCGGCGAGCAGAACGCCTCCTCCTCCTCCTCCTCCTCCTCCTCCTCGCCACCGCTCGGCGCTCGCTGATGCGCCGCCGGACAAAGCCGAAATCCAGTGATGCTAGTCTCCCCAGGCAGACGTAGACAATTCCTTGAACCTTCAACCTTCGTGCCTCAGGATATCCTTGTCTGACAATGATGCATGACTTGCTCTCAACGGTCATTCGTATTTAGCCCTAAATTAGCCGAATAAAATGGTTGCCATCCGCCACTACCTAGAACTGCTACAATCTCTCTTGGATCTCTCCTATCAGACCGTATCCAGAGTTGACAACATAGTTCGGCCATACCATGCCACAGTCAACTTCTCATGCGCTCGCGTTCCTTGGTAATCTGGCGGAGGCATTAGAGTCTGACCCAAGCGGTGGCGACGCTCGCAACCTCCTATCGTCCTTCACCGAAAACCTGCCAATCCACAGCAGTGCGCCCAATGGTATGTCATGGACTTACCTGGCATGGAGATGCGACACTGAACCGAGCAGAACACGACCTACTTCCGGAATTGCAGAAAGCCAACAAACTGGCAGGGTGCAAGATTTACGACGAGGCTCACGCTCTGTATCTGCAGGTCGTTGCCACCATTCTTGGTGCAGACTTCTCTGTCCCCCTGTCCCGAGACCAGGCCGGGGGAGTCAAATGTGCAGGGTACATGCAACTGTCTATGGATGATAGAGTCAACCTCATGGTCTGTTACAATGGCGTCGCCAATTGTCTGGGTGAAACGCACAAGGAAACCGAGGTTGCAATCCCGTGCTTCTGTATCACCGAGTCGCTGACTACATCTGTTTTTGTACGGTAGGCACTGGACTGGTACGAAGAAGTGGACATATTGCACAAAAATGCGCGCTTCTCAGCACGTCCCGCGCTACACGGTGGGCACTTCTTCACCGCGAATGTCATTCATCGACTGAGTCACCAACAGACTGGGAATACTACGACCCGCAGCCGCCTCGCCAAGAGTTCTACATGCAACGCGTCAGAGCGCTGATGGGTGCTGCAGAACTCTACCTCCGCCTGAGGAACACAGGCGCTGCGACACATCGCAGATGCACGGCCGACGAGCTCGTCAAGCACGTCCCTGCCGGTGTCGACACCCGTGCTTTACGCGTCCTCTGCCCGATGGACGTCGTGACGGGGATGATGCAGTTCCGGCATCCCGAGCCGGAGCTGCTGAAACAATGGGAAGCGCTGAACAAGGACCTGCAAGTTCGCGGTTCGTGGCAGAAAATGAAGGTTGCCAAGAACATACCTCCGCGCATGGGCTTCGCGAGCTTCATCTGGCACGGTACGTCCTCCGTCTCCACCTCGGAGCAACTCGTTGATTTCCGCCGTGTCACAGGTCGTCTGTACATCTGCGGCGGGATGAAGAGCGGCACGATGGAGATATACAACGACTTCTACTGCATGGACCTGAGGAAGCAGCCCGGGACATGGCGCGAGCTGCCGCGCTACCCCCGACCGGTCTTCCTCAACCTGCAGCTGGCCATCCACAACGGCAAGGCGTACTGTTTCCGGGGCGCGCCGCGCGTCGACTACTTCGACCTCCACACCGAGCGCTGGGGCACGGTGCTGACGAGCTGGGTCGACCGCTCCGGCAAGCGCGGGCCCTGGCCGATCGCGGACGACGAGCTCTCCGACTACGCGATGCACGTCGTGGACGGGCGGATGTACGTGTTCGGCGGGGCGGCGCACAAGGCGAAGATGGGGTGCAACCTCTTCGCCGTGCTCGACTTGGGCACGAGGAAGTGGCAGCGGCTCTCGGGCGTCGCGAAGATCCCGGAGGCGAATCCTGATGAGCCTGGGCCGAGGAAGTACGTCGCGAGCTGGGTGGACGGGAAGAATGAGAATCTCTACCTGCTGCAGGGCATGGCGGACAGGGCGGCTTCGGAGATGTTCCACCAGGCACATGCAGCCTGCGACTCGCACGGATACGATGACTTTTGGAGCTGGAATATCAAGGAGCGTAAGTGGCGGAGGGAGAAGATGGTCGGGAACGTACCCTGTCCGAGGACGGAGATGGCCTGCACATACGTACGTCTTCCATGGCCGCTCGTGGACCCCCGCGACTCACTTCTCATCGCCACCAGAGCCCGAGCCTGAACTCCACGATCGTCTACGGCGGCTACAACCCCGAGATCCCAACGCTCTTCGCCGACTCGGGCCTCTGCTTCAGCTTCACCTATTACGCCGACACCTTCGTGCTCGACCACTCCTCGCCGTCGCCGCGCTGGCGGCACGTCGTGCACCAAGGCTTCCCGACCTACCGCGCGCAGAGCACGTTGCTCACGGACCCGGACACCGGGCGGGTGTACCTCTTCGGCGGGTACACGAACACGGACCAGGTCCCTTCGGGCAAGCACGGGCACACGCGGAGCTTCTGCGACCTCTGGCAGCTCCGCCTAGACGTGCCCGGCGGCCATTTCGAAGAGGTGAACGTCGCGGATGAGGAGCGCAATGCACGGCTCGGGCCGTGGCAGCGCTGCTTCAACTGTGGGAACGCGGGGATGTGGCGGAAGTGCGGAGGTGAGCCTTGGCTGTGGCGGTTTGCTGTGTTGTGGGCTGATGTGCACGCGCGGTCGATCAGGGACTTGCAAGGGCCGCGCGTTCTTCTGCGACGACGCGTGTTTGAAGGAAGGTTGGAAGGAGCACAAAGCGCTGCACAACTGTGGCACCCGGAAGAAGTGAGCTCTTCGCTGGCTCGCGCTGCGGCACCTTCGTCTTGAAAAGTCCGATGCAAACGTTCCAAGACAAACAATTGCAGCAAACCTACTTATAGCTCGGACCCGCGACGTCTACATACGACCCGAATACATGCGAGCAGCTTCGACCCTCTTTGTCCTTGGTAGTGCTCCCCCTTCGCTGAATGGGCCTCATTATTAGGCTTATAATAGCTGATGACAATGACTGGCGGCAAGTACTTTGACCTAATAATCCGGTGTGTCGTCTCTTGCTTCGATCTGGTTGAGCCTCGTTGAGTTCTGCGACGAGAAGGCGATCAGGGCCACAGACGACTCCTTGTTGCTATGGAACGTTGGCCCATACCTAGTAAGGAAACGAACTAACGTCTACGACCCGAAGATGCGTCACCGATGGTAAGACAATACAGCACCAGAAAGGCAATTCTCGGTCGCGACTGCCAAAACGAGACTGCACGGCCACCTGTGGGTGGCCCTGTCGACGGACCGCCACAGTGGCCCTGGTGCTTTGACCCTTTACCCAGTACGCCCGCATGCTGGCCACCGCGGGCCCTGGAAACGACCGTTGGTATGCACGGTAGGTATCCCTGCCATTTATAAGTGACCATGGTCTTTGACGAGAAGCACATCGGGTGACCTCTTCCTCCCGATTCGACGCACTCCCAGCTCCTCTAGTCTTTAGCATGCCACCGAGGAAGCCCAGGGCAGCGAAGTGGTATGTCAAGAAGAAGGCATCCACAGTGGCGTTGACAAAGCGCTCCATGGTCGGTCTGCGGCGTGGCCCCGCTAGAAAGGCTGCGGGCGCTCGTGCGCCCCCGAGCCTTAGCGTTAAAGGCGCAGCGCAGATCAAGCATACGTCCGCCAACTGCGGTCGTCCACGGAAGCCCTCCCAGGAGGAGGTCGAGGAGCTGACAGAGCGATGGGAGACTGTCCGGATTCAATACAACAGGCAGGCCCGAGAGGTCCAGGAAGCGATGCAGGACGAAGGTGCTCTCAATATACCCAGGTTCGTCCGCCACCTCTGGTGCCACACGGCCGTTCTACAAGAATCGAGGAGGGACCCGACGATCACGCGAGAAGACATCCTCGGTGACCCTGCGAAGGACATAGTGGAGGAGGTGGCGTCGGGCGGAACGATAGAGAAACTGGCGATCGACATTACATTGGTCTCGGAGGGCTGGCTTGCCAACAGCAGGTCCCGGCCGCGCCACGTCCTGATCCTGCGCGACGAATACCCGACGCGGCCGTACCATTTCTTTTGGCCGAACAAGCTGTTCCAGCAGACGACCCACGTCGCGTTCGAGCCAATGCTGCACGAGATCTACGCCAAGTTCCCTGCGAAGGGCCTCAAGTCGTTGTTCCCTCGGGTGCGTTGCTGTGGCATCCAAATCATGGATGCAATGATTACAAGGGCCGAGCTGGGCCGGGCTGTCCAGTTCGTCCGGGAGCTGTTGTCGGTCTTGGACAAGCTGGTCGTGTCCATCTACACCGGCGCAGGTTGGTACTGCTGTCGCGACGCGCCTATCTGGCTTGCTCTCCGAGCTCTGGCGAAGACGCAGCCGAAACTCGTCGTGCTTCCTCATCAAGTCAGCTTCACGACGGAGTGGGAGAAGCTGGTCACGGACGGCGAAGAGACCATCTGGGACGCGCAGGTGGACGAAGATGAGTGTGAGAAGCTCCCGACGAAGGCCAGCCGTGAGGAGAACTGGAACGAGGCCTTCTTCGGGAGTGCGCGATGGCTTTCTGGGAGCCGCATTCACGTCGACGAGAAAAGAATAACTCGCTACAAGGAGGAAACGGCGACGAGGACCGCTGCGTTGGAGGACAAACTCCGGTCATTCCTCGACGACTTGACTGTGCCGGGCGTGTGCACACCCCTTGAGGACCTGGAGGCAATGTTTCCGTTACCGCCTGACGCAATGGACATTTCAGTATACTAGACATCGTAATGTTTTCGTTTGTAGCTTGCTGCTTATGTATCTATATCATCGAACTCGGGATTATTGGACGTGTGGCTAAACCGCTAATAGCAAACTTGTGATTGTCATGCACCCTCTCACGGCCCGCTTGTACTGTGATCATTGTCCTGGTTCATACATTGAACAGTGCTTTCCGTGTAACTGTCCGTGGTTGGATCATGGCCCTGTACATGTGTAGCGGCTGACATGCCTCATCGTGCGCCCGCGAATAGACTTGACGCACAGTGCGATGTGAGAGCTGCCTCTCCGTGCAAGTCATCGTTGCCCAGGTGGACAATGCAGTCCATATAAAGCGACCTAGAGAACGCAGCGACAATGGGCCACCCGGGCCCAGTTGCAAGGCGGAGACACCCTTGGGGCGTCCATTGTCGTCGCCAGTGGCAAGACTAGCCTCTCGCGAGGTATAAAAGACCTGCACTCTGAGGCTTCCTTCAGCATCCAGTCGTCGCCTCTCAGAGCTACGAACTCACCGAATGACGACAACTGGCCATGTACCTCCGCCACGCCATACGACCCCGAGAGCCATGCATCCTTCGATATCCTACGCCGAATCCGGGACCTCCTCCAACCGTAACATCCACGTTCCACAGCCACAAAGTACAGCATATGCGCGCAACTCAGATGCCGTCTCTCCGTACCCTGGTTCTTCGCTTAGATGAACTCGGGAGGGGGCAAGTGGATCCATTGAATAGGCAACAATGTCCGCTTGTAGTCATCGTAGGACTCCCTGACCTGAAACGGCAAGTCACGCCACGCAAGATCGCGAAACGCAAAGCAGCTTCCTACACTAGTGGAAGCCTAGCGCGAAGAGCGAAGAGAACAGCTGAAATACAGCTGCCTCCTACGATATCGGCGTGGCCGTCCCAGGACCCACCATCAGGGCTTCTAAGCCTCGCGCGCAGCGTTTTCAGGTGCTGCACTTCGTTGGCCGGATGTGATCATCTATACACGGGCTCTTGGGAGCCGAACATTCGTACGGCGTGTACCGTATGTGGGTGAGTGCCATCCAATCTGACGTGCCACAGCGATGATGTAACCGCAGCCTCGCAGAGATTGCACAAAGACTCCGACCCCTACGACGCAGCCGCAACGGTTTGACAGTCTATCGAATCGCATTGTCGACCCCCGGGGCTATCACGGAGGACGCCGCGGATGACGTCGACCCAGCAATAAGGGATCCCATCCACAGACGAGGTACAGCCTCCTGGGACACCATACACCAGGCTTGCAAGAAGACGCTGAGAAACCGCAGACAAGGGGGGTGGCGTATATGGAGAAGCGCGGATGCCTGGCGGGCTACCTACAGGGTCTGGCCCATGCGACAGCGTGCGGGACCTAGGGCAAAGTCAGTGCAGAGGATACAGTGGGCATTGGACGCACCGATATAAGTTACATGACGTAGCTCCCGCCGGTGGGATCACAGCTTTGGCACAGTAAGTCCGCGACGCTTTGACAAGATGGCCAGCCTGACGTGAAGCATTTAGATTCGTGCAAGGGCCCATCCGTTTCTCCAGCCGACGCCAGCTCCCAACGAAGCTGCCCCATAGCATCAGCAGCTGCCCCACCGGCTACAGAAGTCGGCGGAGAGTATTGCGTACTAGGCATGGGAGCAGCCAGGAAGGCCCTGCCCATTGCCGTGGCGACTCCGACCCGCCGACGCTCAAGAAGAACATGTTTGCCAACTATGTCTACGCCCCGGTGATTGTGCCTGGGCAGGACGGGGACTGGCAAGCGACCACATATGTAAGCAGCCCAAGTCAGAGTCAAAGCGTCAGACTTACTCGTTATGGGGGTGACTTGCGGCAGACGCTTCGGCGGTCGTGCGTCCCGAGGCAGACATATCGTACGAACACCTGATAGCTGCGTCAGTAACTCGGAACTGCAAACGCCTGGCGTTCTCCCCCAATACCGGGCGGGACAAGCGGATTGATGAAGTGCTACAACTGCTGCGGGAAGGACCCTATCGAATCCGTCTTTCACCCGCTGGACAATCTGCGCCGAACCTTCTCCTCGATGTGCGTCCAACCCCGAAACAGAGCGAACCCAACTCATGAAATTTCGTGCCTTCAAGGTGTCGCCGGGATCTTCATCCCCGCTACCGGCCTCGAGCGACCACGTCAACACCGACCGAAGCATGGCCATGTTCAAATATTCGCAGGTTGCCCCAGGAACCACTCCCGAAGAACGGCCTGCACGCTTCCTCAGGAACACCACCGACGCGGGGCGACGATAGGTCCACCGACAATGAGGATCTCTTCACTCATCGCCACTCCTGCCAGTAGCACGCGTGCTCGAGTGGCCGCAGGCCGCCGAAAGCCTACTGGACCTGTGGGTCTTCGAGGCACCGAGTATGATGGTATTTCTCGTCAATGCTTTGCACGTCGAGGAACCGACGTCACTAGAACTCCTCGGCGAACAGCCCACCGCGATCCGCCTGCGCACAATTCTTGGGGTGCATCACCTGGTGAGAGCGATGGATGGAGGAACCTCAGCGGTGATATCTCAAGGCCTACCCTTCGAGGAGCCAGGCTGACCCTTTGACGAACCAGGGCTATGCGCAACCTAAAAACTACTCTTCGAAGACGAAGAAGCGGCGGAGGGTCGCATTGGGTCGCCGTCATCTGTTACGCCCAGTAGCATGCAGCAACGTGATGTCCGGGAAGCGCTTGCCGGGAGCCACTACCACTGTGAGGATTCGCATGGAGGACGACACGGAGGCGCGATCTCGGTGGGGATGATTATATGCGGAAAATCCCCGATGTACAACGCTGCAACCGGGTGTTAGACCTGGTAATGCATATGTCCCTTCAACAGCACTCTAGCGGACTGACGAGACGACTCACCTAGGTTCAAGGATGGGCGACCCTTCGCACCCTCACGCAAAGGGGCGAACAGATGACGGGTATGGTGTACGGCCATCACATCAGGGAGGAGACGTTTGCGGAATGGTTCAGCAGCGCCAGAGCACACCGCCTTCGAGACAGTTATATTCGCGACGAACCTCGACCTCACCATATGCATGCGGAGATCAACTGGAAAGTTGATGACAACGTGGGCTCTCGCACCATATCCCCGCGTCCGAGGAGGTCCCGACGAAGGTCCCCTAGTCTCGCCTCTCCTTTTCCGACGCTTCACTGTCCTCCTTCACTGGACCGAATCGGTTTATACTCGACATCATCCACGAGAAGGCACGACGCCAAACGACGAAGTCCACTCATCCTACACCCAAAGAGATCCGTGCTGACGCTCCATCCGTCTCATCTCCCCGACGGCAATGGCAGGTCGCGACTTCGGCGGACAGGATGGTCGCTCAGTCGGCGTGCAACTTGCTGTTACCCACGGGGATATGGTGCGAGAGTCTGGGACGAGACTTATCATGCTCTACGCGTGTCGTCAGATGTGATTGCTGTCGCCAAGAGATTGTTGCTTACAATAGTTAAAATAGTGTCAAAAAGTATCGGAACGATGACTTGCGGTCTACCGTTGTTGAAGTTTCCGCGTATAATGAGGGGTCTAGCACCGAGCCACGATGTTGCACGACTGAGGCCAGTGGATCTATCACGAGCACCAATCGAAGAGATTGTTGCTTACAATAGATTTCATTGCTCTGTCGTACAACATCTCATCAACATGCCTTCAGTGTCGCGACGTTATCCGAGTTTGCGACTTGCGGGCGTAGAAGCCAAGTAGAAGCACATCGCGCATTAGCTCAGCCCACAGGTGGGCTGGTGCGAAGACAATCGATATTCTGCCCTTTGAATGTCGTATGTCAGTAGCGATTGGGTTCGTGAAAGTCGAATCATACGGGTAAGTGTGCAAGTACCTCTTGATGCATGAGATCGACCCAGTAATCCAAGCCAGAGTATCCCAGACCTCGCCCCCAGTTTAAGGACTTCAGCAGACAGTGAAGCGGTAGCATATATGAGCCCCGTTACAGCCTATTGTGGCCTTCATCGCACCGCGACATAGACTGAAGAATTCGCCCAGTGAATTATCAACGAGCAGAGGAGGAGGAGATGGACAAGATCAAGGCGAGATCGACCTTCGCTGCGCGGGACTGAGCCGCGGGCGCTCACACATTCCCACGCTCCTCTGCCCGCTGCGAGTGCAGCTCGCAGCTGCGGTCGTCACCCCTTCCTCGAGCTCACTGTTGCGAACGACGTCCGTGCAGCCAACACTTCACGCCAGCGCCACCAATCGGGCTTGTACATTACACAGACGCTGCTGGCCATGTCTCTCCCGCGCGCAAACTACGACCCTCGACGGGTCTGCCTGAACCCCTTCCCCGCCCTCAGCCTGGGCAAGCACCGGCGCACCATCGGGATCTACCTCGCCGGCGGTCTCGTACGTCCATCCAAGAATTGCTATTCACCGCTGAGAGCTCACCGCGCCCTGCGTAGTTTGCGCTGGCGAACTGGACGTTCCTCGACGCGGCGATCCTCTCCGCGCACGCGCGCGACCCGTGGAACGACGAGCTCGACCCACCCGTGCACGTTGCCTTCGTCGACTGGGTCCCCGGCATCTGCTCGCTCCTCGGCATGATCATCATCAACCTCATCGACAAGGACCGCGTCCGCGGCGAGGAGGGCTTCGGCGACGCCGCTGCGGTCTGGCGCGCGCGTCTCATTCTGTTCATTGGGTTCGCGCTCATGGCGGGCGGTCTTGCGGGCAGCGTGGTGCGTCTCGTTCTCGCATGTATTCTTGGTTGGGATGCTGATGGGTTTCGGTGGGGCATAGACGGTCCTGGTGCTGAAGTACGCGCTGAAGGACTACCCGGAGCAGTTCCTCTACTACGGCTACGCGAACGTCTCGCAGAACATCGCGCTCATGCTATCCGCTATCGTCCTGTGGATATCTCAAAGTGTCGGCTCCGAGTACGAGTATAACCTCGCTATCTAGCGCTGTAACTATATATCTATCGTGCCTGTCATCGGTCTACAGAGGCAGACGTGCTTACTGGAAATCCTGTGTTGCACTGCGTGTATGCGTACTGACCTCGGTGCTGTAGAGTCGGATGAACCTCGTGAGGTTTCCTTCGTTCGGGGCCTTGGTGCCTGCCTAACGTATCCTGGACCTCGGTCATACGCGCGCTGGCTGAGAGGACGGATTCGTTGCATGTCGGTGAGTGGTGGCGAGGCTTGTCGACTGGCGATAGACGTCTGCGGTCGGTGAGTTGGACCTGAGCGTCGTGTTTACAATGTTCCACTCAGCGGCCTTGGTGTCGCACATGGTTTCCCGGACGTCTTCCACAACGTTTGGCCGTCAAAGCTCATTTTGAGCTGCTTCATACCGTACACCATTCCGCCATTGACTTCAACGACAGAGGGTTCTCTAATCTCGTCTCCCTCGCTGTGCACCCGCGGTTAAAGCTACACGCATGTATTTGAGTAAGACGTGAACGTCACAGATCCGACCTGTATAGTAGACGGTGACGCGATCGCTGCAAATCTCTCGGGACGGTTGATTCGGACTTCTAGGGCGAAGATATTACTAAAGGCACGCCAGCGAAGAGCTCACCTCTTCCGACAATTGTGCAGCTCTTTGTGCTCCCTCCAGGCTTCCCTCTGACACGCATCGTCGCAGAAGAACGCACGTCCCCCGCAAGTCCCTGATCAACCGCGCGTGCACACCACTTCGTCAGCCCACACTCGAGCGTCCACAATCCAAGCTCCAAGACTCACCTCCGCACTTCCTCCACATCCCCGTGTTCCCGCAGCTGAAGCAGCGCTGCCACGGGCCGAGCCGCGCATTGCGCTCCTCATCCGCGACGTCCACCTCCTCAAAGTGGCCGCCGGGCACGTCCAGGCGGAGCTGCCACAGGTCGCCGAAGCTCCGCGTCCACAGCTGCCCGTGGTTGCCCGAGGGCACCTGGTCCGTGTTCGTGTACCCGCCGAAGAGGTACACCCGCCCGGTGTCCGGGTCCGCGAGCAGCGTGCTCTGCGCGCGGTACGTCGGGAAGCCCTGGTGCACGACGTGCCGCCAGCGCGGCGCCGGCGACGCGGAGGAGTGGTCGAGCACGAAGGTGTCCGCGTAGTAGGTGAACCTGAAGCGCAGGTCCGAGTCGGCGAAGAGCGTCGGGGTCTCGGGGCTGTAGCCACCGTAGACGATCGCGGAGTTCAGGGCCGGGCTCTGGTGGTGTGAGAGGTGAGAGGTGAGCCGCGGTGGTCCACGGGCAGCGATGAAAGACGTACGTATGTGGAAGCCATCTCCGTCCTCGGACAGGGTACGTTCCCGACCATCTTCTCCCTCCGCCACTTACGCTCCTCGATGTTCCAGCTCCAAAAGTCATCGTATCCATGCGAGTTGCAGGCTACATGCGCCTGGTCGAACATCTCCGCGGCCGCCCTGTCCGCCATGCCCTGCAGCAAGTAGACATTCTCCTTCCTCCCGTCCACCCAGCTCGCGACGTACCTCCTCGGCCCCGGCTCATCAGGATCCGCCTCCGGCATCCTCGCAACGCCCGAGAGGTGCTGCCACGTCTTCGTCGAGAGGTCCAGCACGGCAAAGAAGTTGCATCCCAAGTCCGCCCCCTTCGCCGCCCCGCCGAACACGTACATCCGCCCGTCCGCGACGTGCATCGCGTAGCTGGAGAGCGTGCCGTCCGGGATCGGCCAGGACACCGGTTCGCCCGCGCGATCGACGCAGCGCGTCAGCACCGACCCCCAGCGCTCGGTGGTGAGGTTGAAGTAGTCGATGCGCGCCGCGCCGCGGAAACAGTACGCCTTGTTGCCGTGCACGACCAGCTGCAGGTTGACGCAGACCTTTCTGGGGAAGCGCGGGAGCTCGCGCCATGTCCCGGGTTGCCTGCTGAGGTCCATGCAGTGGAAGTCGTTGTATACCTCTGGGGAGCCGCCCTTCATCCCGCCGCAAATGTACAGGCGACCTGCGACGAAGCCGAAGCCGAAGTCAACAGGCTGCGGCGAGGGAGAGAACACTGAGTCAGAAACGCACTTTGCCAGATGAAGCTCGCGAAGCTCATGCGCGGAAGTATGTTCCTGGAGATCTTCATCCTCTGCCACGAACCGCGGACTTGCAGGTCCTCGTTCAGCGGCTCCCATTGCTTCAGGAGCTCCGGGTCGGGGTGCCGGAACTGCGTTACGGCGTTCAGGAGGTAGATCGGGCAGAGCACACGCAAAGCACGGGTGTTGACACCGGCAGGGGCGTGCTTGATGAGCGCGTCCGCTGTGCTTCTGCGATGTGCAGCAGCGCCTGTGTTCCCCAGGTGGACGTACATGTCTGCGACACCCACCAGCGCTCTGATGCGTTGCATGTAGAAGTCCTGTCGAGGCGGCTGCGGGTTGTAGTGTTCCCAATCTGTTGGTGACTCAGTTGACGTATGGTCAGTCCTCTGCGTGGTTACACACCATGCAACGCGGGACGCGCTGCGAAGCGGGCATTCTTGTACAAGATGTCCACTTCCTCGTACCATTCCAACGCCTACCGGTGCATGTACGGAATGTAGTCAGCAACTGAATGATGGATACAAAAGCACGGGATCACAACCTCTGTTTCCTTGTGCATTCCATCCAGGCAAGTGGCGACGCCATTGCAACAGATCATAAGGTTGACTCTGTTATCCATGGACAGTCGCATATACTCTTCGCATTTGACTCCACCGCCCTGGTCTCGGGGAAGGGGAATGGAGAAGTCTGCGCCAAGAATGGCGGCAACGACTTGCAGATACAGAGCGTGAGCCGCGTCGTAGATCTTGCGCCCCGCTAGCTCGCTCGCCTCCTGCAGCTCCGGAAGTGGCTCGCGTTCTGCTCGTTTGAGTATCGCGTCTCGAGGTCAGGGATCGTGACATACCATCGGGCTCAGTACTGTCGATTTGCAGATATTCGGAGAAGCACGACAGAAAGTCGCGAGCGTCGCCACCGCTTGGGTCGGAATTTACTGCCTCAGCCAGGTTACGGAGGAAATCGAGCGCAGGAAGGTTCACTGGCCGCTCTTGTGGCATGGTATGGAGAAACTACGTGAAGACAGTCTGAACTGGGACCCGGATGGCCAGCGATGGGAGTTGGATGGGAGATAGTCTCTAAGAGTAGCAGAGTCGTCAGCGCGTCAGCAACTACACACGCTGTATAAGTAGTCTGGAGATAGAACCTGAAGGCGTGACCCGACGAAGCCCAACGTAAGCAACCGACAGAAGCAGTGGCCGTCCTGCTCCGAACAACCCTCGCGCGACAACTTGAGGCCTGAGGCCTGAGGAATAGCAAGAGCTGTAGAAACTGTAGCAGTTGCGCAGGTAGCAGGCTGTAGCGGTCCGCGGATAACTCAGTACCAGCTATATTCTTCGCGCATCTTGGGGCTTATGAAATGCGCGCGAGTGAGCGTCGGGAGCAAGTCGTAGTTGTGTATCTCGGAATACCGCGTCGTGGATTCACAAATGCCGTCTATCGCCGCGGTCCGTCACCCAGCGAATGCTGCCTTCTCCTTCAATGGATCTCCTGTTGCTCAATGCTGCCTTTGTGGGCGGCCTATAGCTACCTCCAGTGTCGGCCAGGCTTTGGCTCGCGCTATTTCCCGTCCAGGAGGTCTTCTTTGGGCTCTGCCTAGGGGAGACAAATTTCGCGCACTCGCAGACACTCGCTGGGTACCCTCAACGAAATGCCAGCATCGTTCTGTGTGGTTGGACTCGTCCGCAGCAGGAATTGTCAATACCTACCCGAAGCCCACCTCGATGGCTGTCGGAAACCCCCACTCCTTCATGGAGACCTACCTCTTCCCGATGAAGCACGCAGAGAAGGCGACGTCCTCCACTGCGCGCGATGGAAGTCCATCCACGACCTCCTCATTCTGCTGAGGAAAGCGCACGCTGCGGGAGAAGAGGCGAGGGTCATGTCCGTCCTGGGTCCCGGCTCCGGGTGGAACCTGAAGCTTGAAGCTTGAAGGTCGGTCTGGACGACCTCGGACTGAAGTTCAAGAAGAGGTATAATCCTCTGAATGCCTCACGCGAGATGATCGAGGGCGTCCTTCGTCGCGGGTCCTCGCGGTACACTGGCTCAGAGCTTCGGGGAAATGGAGCCACGAACGTCCTTCATCTACGGTATCTCGGCCTCGTGCGTACGTCGCTGATGGGCACCATCGGCAAGGCGCTGCTCTACCCTTTCTCTGTGACATCCGAGGTCTGCGCGGAGCACATGTTCTACGCCTTGCTGCAACTTGAAGCCCACCAGGAGCCTCACTGGCACGTAGGGACAACAAAGGCAACACACGGGGAAGAGATACTTCGGCGCGGACGAGGCTAGGGAGCGACTATGGAGGCTTACTCTTGAGGAGGGTGGACCGGGCGGTGAACCATTGAAGACACTCTTTGATACCTCACGAAGGTCCAGCTTCCAGCTTCTGTGATCACTACGCTTGGGTGTTTGGGGTGGAGATGCATGGCTCCCTGTGCGTACTAAACGGAGAACTATCTAGCGCTGTAAATATATATCTATGTGCTTATTACCATCGGTCTACGCAAGCAAACGTGCTCAATTGGATCCTGGGTTCATTGTATGCCAGCTAGCAGTGAGTGATGGAGAGGTTATTCTGGCGATACCGATGTCTATGATCGTTATGTCGCAGCTGAGCGTCGTGTTCATTGACAATGTGTCGCGTCAGTTTCGCACGTCGTTGCCCAGGTCTCTCAAAACAACGCTTGACCGTCACATCTCATTTCAGGCTACCTGCATATCGTACACCGGTTCACCATAGACTTCAATCACAGCCCCTCTTCTGACGTCCCATCCTCCCCGGCCACGCACTCGCCTAGTCCCCAAGCGGGTACGGGTGCATGATCTGGCCGTAGTACAGCTCCGCCTCCGCGGACGCGAGGAAGACGTACGTCGGCGCGATCTCGCTCGGCTGGCCGACGCGCCCGATGCTGCTCTTCTCGCCAAAGCCCTCCATCTCGTCTGCCGGCCGCGACGCGGGCTGCAGGGGCGTGTGCACGGGGCCTGGCGCGACCGCGTTGACGCGCTACGGGCGACGGTCAGCGAGCGGATCGAGATGCCGAGTAGTCTATGGGAGACTCACGATGCCCTTGGGCTCGAGCTGCTTGGCGAGCGAGCGCGTGAAGCCGACGATGGCGCCCTTGCTCGAGACGTAGTCGACCATGCTGGGCGAGCCGCGGAACGTCGTCACGCTCGTCGTGTTGATGATGCTGCTCCCGCGCGGGAGGTGGGGCAGCGCGAACTTCGTGACGGCGAACATCTGGAGGATGTTGCTCCGGAACGTGCTCTCGACGGAGTCGAGGTCGATGTCCGCGAAGTCCTTGGTGATCACCTGCTTGGACGCGTTGTTCACGAGCACGTCGAGCCGCCCGAACGCGCGCAGGTGCGCGTCGACCACCGCGTGCGCGCCCCGGAAGTCCTCGAGGTCGTACGCGACCGAGAGCGCGCGCCGCCCCTCGTGCTGGATCGCGCGCACGGTGTCCTCCGCGTCCTTCTGCTCCGCGGGCAGGTGCACGATGGTCACGTCGGCGCCCTCGCGCGCGAAGAGGATCGCGACTGCGCGCCCGATGCCTGAGCTGGTGAATGGCGGGTCAGCGCCGCGTCTGTGCTCGGTGGCACGGACACTCACTCTCCACCCGTGATCAGAGCCTTCTTGCCACGCAGCTTGCCTATGCCGACGTACGGTTTTGGTCCGGAGCCCGTCTCGAGCGAGGTGTCGAACGGCTCGGGCGCCATGGCCTTCTGGAGGCCAGGCAGGTCCTGTGACTGTGCGGGGACCTTCTGCTTCAGCGTCGTTCCTTCGTGTGCCATGTTGTGTCTAACTCGGGGTCGTGGCTGTGATGAATGAAATGAAATGAGCCGCAAGGAGGGTGTATGCGGAGGGGCATGGTGAGCATGGTATATATATATATATAGTGGGGAAGAACGCTGGCGCGGCTACGCCATGGGTGACCCCATCGTTGCGCGCCTGCAGCTCCAGGAAGGCTCGGCGGCGGGCAGCGGGGCAACCGACTTGCCATCCTCGTCGTGGGGCGCACGGTCTGACGTCATCGCTTCACCCTTGCGTCGACTTTCTACTCTCGAGTGCCTAGACTCCTGAATGGACAGTAACAAACGCCACCAAGTGCGTCATCAGTCGTCGTGGAGGCAAGTGAGGGGCGACGTACTTCAGGCATCACGGACAAATGGGGAAGGTGTCCTTCCTAACCAGGAAGATTTCCTTCGCCGAGCTGTGCTCTACTTGTGGCACTGACCATGTGTTGGAAACTCGCTGGGCGGCAGAGCGTCTTGTCCATTCCCTGCCACCCAGCCTCCCAAGTACTCACCAACACGCAACAAACCCACGCAATACACCATCCAAGACAGCAAATAAATAAGTCCGCACGGCTAGCGCAATACATCCGCACCGACTACCGCGTACTGGTACTCCGCACTCAGAGCTCGTCCGCCACGCGCTGGACGGTCTCCTCGACCTTCTTGAACGCGCTCAGGATGTTCGCCTTGATCTTGAGCTCGTCGAGCTTCGCGGGCGCGAGCGTGCGCTTTTGGAGGAGGCTCGCCAACCTGCGAGTCCGAGAAAGCACCGGTCAGCATCCGACATGAACACAGAGTAGCCAGCGAGAGGAAGCGGAGGAAGGCGGGGGCAAACAGGGCAGGGACACTCACCGCTTGCTCTCCTTCTCGACGTACTCCTCGCTGCCATTCACCACCTTCTCCATCACGCGCACGTAGTGGCTCGCAGCAGGGCCGACGCTCGCAGCCAGCGCCGTCGCGTCCTTATAGATCGTGTCCCGCGCCGCGCCGGTCGCAGCGAAGAACTGCGACGCGAGCGTGTCCAACTCGGGCAGACGGCCAGCCTGTGATTGAAGACGTGAGCGCCATCCTAGGGAGGGCGAGCGAGCGAAGACGCACGAGGTCACTGAGGCCACCGCCGACCGCGCGGTGCGTGCCGCACTTCTCGTTCAGGAAGTCGACGAAGGCCTCCTCGCTGCGCGGCCCGTCGTAGTCAAGCGGCTCGCCTGGACGTTCAAGGACCGGTCAGTCTGACGACGAAGCGGAGGAGCACGGAGTACAACGCACCCTTCGAGCCCTTGGGGAAGAACTTGAGCGTCGGGTAGCTCTGGACGCCGTACTTCTCGGCGAGCGGCTTGTTCTGGACCGCGTCGGCGTCGAGGTTCGCGACAACGCACTGCAAGAGGTTCAGTCAGCATGATAGCATAGAGATGCGGAGAATGCGCGTACGTTCGACTCTGTGGCGAAGATCTCGGCGACTAGATAGAACGGTGTAAGCACGCTCCACCGCATCGGCAGGGTTCTTGGACGCACCCTTCTCCCAAGTAGGCTTCAGGCGCTTGCAGTGACCGCACCACGGTGCCGTGAAAGAGACGAGAACATTCTTATCCGAGTTCTGAGAGCAGAAGGGTTAGCAAGCATGCTTTGATCGTGATGTTCGCGGAGTACGCACAGTGACCGCGTCATCGAAGTTCGAGTAGTCGAGGACCTCGTATGCCGGGGGCGGGGGAGGCTTGATGCTGGACTTCACACCGGACTTCGTGGTGATGCTGCAAGACAGTCAACATGGATGTTCGGGTAACGATCATCGAAAAGCCAGAACAATGCGTCAGATTTGAGATAACTTTGTCCGCAAGAGGAAAGCCGGACGACTCTCGACTTCGGAGAGAAAATTAGAAACCATCATATACGCGACCGGGATAGACTTGCTAGCTCGAAGGGACCAGCGTCTTGTCCTCTCAACGTAGGACGGGCCGGGAAACGATGGGGGAATACGGTCTAAAAACAGGCCACTCACAGGTTCACCAGGTCATCAAACTCCCGCCCGCCCTGGTAGTCCTCCGGCTCTCCACCTTGGGGGCCGAACCACTTCAGCGCTGCGACGTACGTGTCAGTACCGCACTAGCACCTTCCATCCTCGCAACACGCACTCGGGAAGCCCTTCACGCCGTACTTCTGCCCGAGCGGCCTGCCGATCCCGTCCGCATCGACCTTCGCAACGACGACCTTGTCCTTTGCGTGCGCAAACGCGTCGGCGACCTCTTCATATATGGGCGCGAGGTTCTGGGATTGGAACACGTCAGCTCCCGAGCACGCGTCTAGAGCGCGGTCGAGCGTACCTTGCAGTGACCGCACCATGGCGCGAAGCTGCACAAGCGCATCCGTGACCAGTCAGTAAACCATCCCATACCCTCGGAAAGAAACTCCGGGTGGTCCGAACACGCACAACTCGACAAGTGCGGGCTTGCCTTGGCCGACGAATTGGTCGAAGTTGTCCGGGTCGAGGTCGATGACGTTGGAGGCGAGGGCCCCGCCCAAGGAGACGACGGCAGCGAGGAGAGTGAACGTGAACTTCATGGCGTCGGAACCAAGAAGCCTGAGGTCGTCGGAGGGGAGGAAAGGAAGAGGATTTGAGAGGGAGACGTGGAGCTTCCGCTGCTTATGGGCGCGTTGTAGACGCTGCTGACAAATAAGGCAAGTCTGAACTTGGCGTTTCCGAGAGACTCGGTCTGTTCACGCTCAGTGCTGTACGGTGCCGCCGCGACGTTTGGTAAACTCTTCAGTTTCGGAGGACTCTTCCCTTTATCGACATCTCTGACCACGGGGTCTGCTTGAATAACTCGGGCAGTCTGGGTCGTCATGCGTCAACATATATAACGTTAACATCGTGCAGGCCCAAGTAGTACTCGACGCATTGCCGTCTCCTTGGACTCGCGCTGCCAGGCTCCAACGCATTGTACATTGTTTTCACGATTGACTGACAAGTCAGTGCCATTGTGTACGTTGAAGTCAGTGCATCCTCGAACCAAGGTATGATTCACAATATAGACGCAAGTCCGTACTAGCATTGGCATTGCTATGTAGTAGTCAGCCAGCAACTTCGTGGCACGCGATCGTTGTACGAGTACGCCGCGTGGATGGTGAAGCACCCTCAGTAGTAGCAGCAGCAGGAAGGGGGTCCATTTAGCCGCCTCGACATCTCGACGGCGATAGCGCTCACTAGGAACGCTCTCCGGATGGGCAGCGGATATCCGACGAGCAGCCTGTTTTTGGGACGACATAGTCGCTTGCTGCTTCATCAGTCATTCACTGTTTGGGAGGATAACAAAGAAGCGGGACGGAGCGATCAAGCCTGCCTGTCTTGAGAGACAGGTGTGGAAGCTGCACCGCGGACGCTACCTCAACGCCCAACGACTGTGTGCACTGTGCAGTGCCATATTAGTACCGCGCCGTAGCAGCGATTCTACGCATTCTCGCCTCTCTGTTTTCCTGAACCAACGGGCCCCGACTTCGAAATGCATGGTGGTATCGTCTTCTTTCGTCCCTCTCCCTTTCGTCGGCTATTGCGGACCTGACGTAGCATCGCTGCATTGTCGCCCTGGTACGTTGTTGCACAATGATGGGACTGTTTCAAGTCAGTCGACTGGTGCTTTGAGTGCCCTTTGAATGTACAGGACGATCCGTTCGCCTCTGGCTCGCGGACAGCCACCAAACTCCACTGAGGCGAAAACGACCAGTAACGCAGCTCGGGCGTGCGGTGCGTGTGGCTCCTCCTCACTCAATACGCAATCTAGGCGTCGTGTCATCGCATCACTTAGGGGGTACGCTGCTAGAGGGGAGACACATACTGACGCTTGAGTTCTATGGGCACACGCAGATGACAATGGTTACCGAGGTTGTGCATGCTGAAGTACAGGGGAAGAACTCGAAGGCGAGGCCTTAACTGGAGCGTTTTGAGGGCACCAAGAAGCTATATTTCCTAAGAGAAAATCAAAGGCTCTTCCATCCTAAAGGCGATGGGGAAATAAGACGACAAAGCGCAGAGAGAAAATGGTTTTAATACTTACAACTTATAGCCCACATTCAGTTGCATGTTCGTACGACCTCAAGGTGTTGATAGAAGCGATTAAAATCGACACTGACATGTTCGGGCACATTGATGAACGTACGCGGTCGCGTTGGTGTGAAATCTACTACTGTACATGCGGATGGCTCGACGAGAAGGGTTCTTGAGATGCCTGTATCTTGCAGTTTGGAGCATGTAGCCGTCCAAGAGCATGTAGTCTAAGGGGGCTAGTCCGTTGAATTACTACCAGTATAGGCCAACGCACCAGGATGTACACCTGATTCAGCACTGGACAGCGTTCACAATCGGTGGCAGCATCACGATGCTCATGGCACAGTAAACATCCAGACGATGGGGATGCTCTACCCTTCCTTTGCACGCCTGGTAGTCACGTCACGAATCTACTCATCCTGCGATGGCTTCTGTGAGTCACCATCCGTATGAGGACGCACCTGAAACACGATCGCAGTTAGGAGTCGGGCGCTTCCTAGTACCTAGACCACAGATCGGATCGTCACCGCATAAGCCACGCTATGCCGGTTCCTTGCAGGGATGCCTCGATCGGTATCGCCGTCATGATGTGCGGACAGAGAGTGGAGTTTTGCCTTAATGGGAATGGCACCGCTACCGAACAAAGTCCATGTCAGTCACTGCGCATGAAGGAGACGCTCGGGCCTCGAACCTCCGCCGGTCGCTATAGGAGACTAGTGCCCGAGAGGCATATGGCAGTCCCGCAAGGCTTGAGTTCATCAGCGATGTCAGAGCCTGGCTGATGCTTCCAAGGCGCCGCAAAGCGTCTCTGCCATTGAGTTATGTCGGTAACGGCCATAAATACTAGTACTTATGGGCGCGTAACAGTGCCTCGTATGACGGCACAAACCTTAGCTGATGTCCAGAGAGGGCGAACAAAAGCTCAGGTAGTGATCAATCCTGAATGTAGAGGTCAATAGATACGCGGAGGTTAAGTGACATGTCTTACCCAAACGCACATGGGCACTGTGGGACGCGCTTCACACAGAATGCACATATAGAGGCACTGACTCGTGTTGAGAACAAGGCCTACCCTACCGGATCCAAGCCCCTTGCAAATAGGGGCACCATGAGATATATGAACCGTTCAGAAGCACAACTGCACACGCACCGAAGTCGAGCCCCCCCCCCCCCCGGTTTGCATTCGCAGAACGAGAACGTATTCCACCTCCTCGTTCTCGACCGGTGCGCTCCATCGAGGAGGAATGGAGAGCTCCGCTGGCATCGAGCTAGTACTCGCATCGGCGCGTCGTAGCGGCCATGTCCATGTGCAGGAAGCGTCCAATAGGCGCCTCCGAGTTTATGAAAAGCGTCCGTAGCACATCCGTGCCGTCGAGACCCTGGCTGCAATCACCGAGCACATGATACCCATTCTGGTGCAACGGTATCTCGAAAGCTAGCCTTGCTGACCAAGAAGATAAAGTTCAAGCTGACAAGTCGGTACGCCGCCGATGTGTGCACAGTAATCCTGAACTTTGGTGTGAGATCGCCTTCTAGTATTGCCGCGGAGTCTGTCGACACCCCTTCGTTCATTTCGTTGACCAGCGACGGAGATGATCTGGGTGTCAGAATAGCGTGAGCCGCAATTAGCTCCCCTCACAGTGATGTCCACGTACCTCGCAGGCGAGTATGAGTAGTAGGCTGTGTAGATATCCCGCTTCAGCCAAGGCAAGTTCTACGGCGTAGCCTCCGTGAGTTTGGGGGCGCGGTGGAGTTCGCGCCCTCAAACTCACGGAGGCTACGCTGTAAAGTCAGAGTACCCCGAGATCACGTTGGCGATGTCGGACCCTTGTTCCCTAATTGCTGACAGAACGATTGCATGCGGCACCCGTGCGAGCCTTCTACGAAATGGAAGAGATAGACTGAATACGTCCACATCCATGGGCTCGGGTCTGCGCGGTCGCGACGTCCAGGCCCAGGCGCCGCCATCATGTAAGGCTGGCGCAGACAAGACACCTCTCTTCGTAAGGGTGGCCGAGACGGAACATTATCGCCATCCAAACCAACATTCGCGGGGAGCGATCCAGCGAGATGGCAATGGTTTTCGGGGTCGAGAATGACATACCTGGTATCCGGACGAGCCGCGCTAGGGAGAACGGCGCTTGGGTTGCGGTAGCCCCGAGATGAGAGAGGAACAGAAACTTGCTACGGAGAGCTCGGGCATGTTCGAAGGTTGGGAAGGCCGGGGACTCGCCTTGGCTTTAAGAATACTCTCCTCGGATCACGAATCAGGGAGTGTAGCATGTGCAGTGACGGCGCGACCTCACCTTGAGGAGCTCTATGAGAATACGCACACCTATTGCGTCTACGCGCCTCATCACGTACGGCCATTGAGTCTCGGCGGAGTCGCCGTACCAGAGCCGGTCAAAAGCTTGGTACATGGTACGCAATATAAAGCACTGAGTGTAACTCACAGTCTCCTGGCGCTTGCGCATGCGTGGGGTGCGTAGCATGCGTTGGACCGTGGATTGTGCACAGCACGGACGATCTCACCTTGCGAAGATTCTACACACTGTACTCGTAAGCCATCCGAAAACAAACCGCCCTGAGCAGTGTCCACTGTCTAGCTAGAGTACTTGATCAGTAGTGAGTACAGAGTCGGGGGACTCGCAGCGCCTTGATCAGCAATCAGCTGATAAACCCACGTGTGTCATGGCAGATAAGGACTTCTGCCCTGCGTGGAATTGGACGATCAGTGCCTAACGAGCGGAACCAGAAGAGAAAGGCACGAGGAAAGCGCCTTCCGAACGGACCTGGCTCGCGCTGTCGTCCGGGAGGCACCAACACTTGACGTCAAAATCGTGTGCCGTGACATTCGTGAAAGCCGTGCTACGTAATTCGCATACATCTTTACTACGAACAAAATCGATATGAGCAATGCATGAGCAACGAACAGCGAGCGACAAGAATAGGACCACGTACCATGAGAAGAATCCAGGGTACGGTCCAGATACATAACGAGCGAGATGGGGAGATACGAATACAGGAGATCGATGTTCGAGAAGGGAGCGGAGGGGGAGAGTACGGAAACTCCCGAGGGATACCGCAGTCCGCGCGTCGGCCAGTGCATCAGAGGATGACGCGCTCGACGTAGGGGGCGGAGATCCTGTGGATGATACAAAAAGAAACAATAGAGAAGATACAATCACCAAGGAAATGAAACATAGCCGCGACGTGTTTGGGAGTTGAATCACCAACGGACGCACGCGACGCAAAACCGATCGCCAGCCTCTAGAGGGAAGAGTTGAAGCTTCCAGAGATCATTGAAGAGCACCATTCAGACGTTCCGGTTACGAGTGTGTTCTCGGACCGCCATCAGAACACGTATGGGCTGTTGCTCGGGTGACAGCCAATATTCTGTAGCGCTTCAGGATGATATTGCCCACCTTCGAGATCGCGCGTGTTGTTCGGCGAGTACATCGCAAAATCTTGGACCATCGAAGCCCCAACAAAGCCACGCCAATCGACGCATGTCGCGGCCTCGAACGCGTCCTTCATAATAAGGCCCGCTCCTGCGGACGGCGGGAAAACATAAGGGGGCGCCATGAGGGACAGGGGCTGATCCCCCCTCATGAATGCATCGCCGGCCCAACCCTTGAGCGATGAATAGGAAGAGTGGAAAGACGCGTGCGGGTCTCCATCGAACTTCGAGAACATCGGGAGGTCGAACGCGTTGCTCCCTACCCGCGGACTAGATATATTGAACGCGACGGGGCTGGGCGGCTGAAGAGGACTCATGGAGCCTTCGATGTCCGGCGTGAAGGAGGGCAGAGGGGGGCTCCAGCACTCGGTCACACTGGGGCTCGGAGCGGACGCCTAGACGGAACGGGAAAAATCATGTATTAGCCCCGGCTGAGCTCCTGTCTGCGTTCGCACTCACCGCATGCCACTGTGGACTGTCACCGAAAGGAATGAACTCTCCGGCACCGTAGAAGTTCGGCACAGACTGCTGCGTGGCGGCCGTGCCATCCGGGACCGTCTTGTGCATGCCGTCATTCGACAAGTACATGACAGGTCCTACACGTGTCGCCTCCTCGTGTTCGAGGGCAGGCGAGGCAATGTCGCTCGGGGTCGGCGACGCGTACACCATAGGTGGTGTCGTGGGCATCGTATGTCCATTAGCAGTGACAGCGCGCCCCAGCTCGTCGGTCTGACCGCTATTGTTGCGGAAGTGCGAGGCCGGAGCGGATGACGATCGCTTAAACATGGAGGTCAGCGGAACCTTGAACCTCGCGTCGTAAGCAGCGTCCGGAGTCATGGAGCGCATTGCAGTGCCTGGCATACGGCCAGGGCGATCGTCGGGAGCAGCGTCGAGCTGCAGCGGTCCAGCCACCTGCGCAGTATCGCCGCCAGGCAGACCACCGTCCTTCGCCTCCTCCTTCGGCGCAGCGGCGGCGGCGACTTCTCTCTTCACTTTCTTCGCTGTAGTATGGCCATCCGCGGTACAATCGTACTCCTTCACCGCGGCCTCGAGCGCAGGCCCGGTCTTCCCAGCGACCAATAGATCAGCGATTTTGGCGCACCTCTTCTCTCGACTTCGGACCTCCTTCTCCGCCTCGCCACGGCCCTTTCTGACGCGTCTCTTCGGTCCATCCTTCACCTTGGCCAGTGCGTTCGCGCTAGGCCTGAACCGCCAGTCCGGGTACTTCTTGCGATGCTCAGCCTGTGCCACTATGGCCTTCGCCTCCCAGACCTCCCTCTCCTCGCGGGGGAGTGCCTTCCAGTATTTACCTGCAGACAGAAAATTTATAATAGTACACGTGTCAGCCGTAAGGGAGGCCTGAAGCGACGTACCAATGATCTTCGAGAGCGCACTATGATTTCCCTCAATCTTGCCTGGGATGTGTTCAGCGCGGATGAAGGAGCTCCTGAACAGGATGAAGGCATTCGGAGGGCGAGGAATATAAGACGGGTCGCGTTTCTTCGCGTGGGACATGCGCATAGGCCCGAGAGCAGGCGAAGCCGGGGGCGAGTAAATCGACATCTCGGGGACGTCTCCACCCTCGGAGGGCAGCTCGTAGGTCGTCGGGTCGCTGCTGAACGTGATAGGAGTCATGTCCGTCGCGAACGTGAATGTCATGGCTGAGATAGGATTGTCTACAAGGGGGGGCATGCCGTCTACACGCCATAGTGGTGGTGGTCGGTGAGTACAACGCGTGGATCGCCAAAAGAGGCAAGAGGGGCCTACCGTCGTCGTCGGCCTCGGCGAGGCCGACATCATTCTCGTGCGTTGCGGCCATCGTTCAGAGTAGGAGATGCAGCAGCGGTCAGGATGCACAGGTAGACTCGGGGAGAGCAGAGTGGTTCTGAGCAGAGATGCAATCGGAACCAAGTCACGGTAGCGCGCTTCCCATTTAACAGTTCGTTTATTCTCTTTCGGGCCGTCATGTCAACAAGATAAACTTCGAGCCGGGACCTATTTCTCCCAATCTAACTTCCCTCCGCCTCGACGCCGACGGCATGCAGACCCACTCGAAGCCTGCGGGCTGGCAACCTCCCTGTTAGCCGGCCCTCTGCATCCACATCCGCACTGCCCCCGCGCGTCCATGTCACACGTTCGGCGAGCAAAACAACACTCATATGCGGTAGATACCGCATGTCAATGAGGTCCCATGAAGTCCCAACAAGATCCGGAGCCAGGTGCGCAGCCAGGATATGAATTCCTCATCAGTTCACCCGTCTTCACCGCCCGCACCTACGCGACGGTTGCTCCTTCCTGCGCGCCGCCCAGCTGAGCTGCATGGCAGAGGAGCGATGCATTCGATATGAGCGAATTCCACCAACCCGTGTCGATGGCCAGCCGCCCAGTACTAGTATCGGTACGCCGCCGCATGAGACCCGATAGTACAGCCTCGCGGAGTCGGCTGACCTGAACTTTCCTTGCAGATTCAGGCACTCCGTTGGCCAACCGTTGGCACAGCCAAAAAATCCCAAGATCCGGCACTACGACTTCCTCGACCGTTTCTTTGCCCGTCCAGATGGTGCAATCTCACGTCGTCGTCGGGCCCGAAAGCCAGAGACAACACGGCGGAGTCCCCGGACACTGCATCGTGCGTTGCGTCCCAGTATCCCGAAGTCCTGGAGCCCTCGTCATTGCTTGTAGCACGGATGATATCCTTCTCAGGTCTGTGAGGTTTGTGGCGCGTGTGTGTTGTTCGACAAACCCCTTACCCTGCTGATCCTCAAACATGCCCATGTTTCCGAACATGGGAGCCAATGCAACAGGTCCAGTCGCCGTACTTTCCATGAAACGGAAGCAAAAGACGAACCTGGTAAGCAGGCAGCATGGCGGTCGCAAATCGATCGATGGGCATAAACTCTCGCGGAACCATACGGGGTCCCAGGTCCTTGGCGCTTGTTTCTGTTCCGTCGCCCAGCGCGTCGCCGCCGCTTCCACTGCGTAGCGGTGCTCATCTCCCACTGATTTTGCGATTCTCCAGACATGCTTTGTGGAGTCGGCAATATGCTCATGGCAATCCCTTTCCATCTCGTGCTCAAAAGAACGGGATCCGGGTACGTACACAAATATATTCAGATGTTCTGGTACGCCGCTGACACGTGTCCAAGGCCTGACGGATGACCTGCAAAATACGGCGTGCAAACTTTGCTCGAAACTTTGCTCGAATCATCTACTTGAACATGGCTAATACCATACCGCTTTGTGCGACATGTTCAACTGCGACCACCTCGAGGCTACTTTGCATCATTCAGGCGCTGTCTTACCCGCCCTCGTGCTCCCGCTGTTCAAACTTCCATGTGGAATCCTCTGATGAGACGAGCCCCCCGGCCCGACTGGTATGCTCCCCGTTCTCTGACCCATACTGTAGGTTCACCGTCCTCCGCCGACTCGGAGGGTCGTTGTATCTGAAGTACACACCAATGAAGACCAAATCTATCCTTTCATACACGCCTCGTGTCGAGCGGACATCCCATGTCAATGTACGTTCACCTCTCAGCTTAATTGACATTTGAGTGCTGATCACTGACCAAGTCATCGCTGGACGCTCACTAGTTCAATGGTCTCTGTTGACGAGTCTATAGTGACTCTCCGACTTGCGTCCGGCTTCCAAGACCCAATTGACAGCGACCGGTGTCTTCCTCCATAGTATCGGTCTTCTAGCTAGCGGACTTCGAGCCCCCGCATTGCTTCCGCGCTACCGCATGCTTGTCGGTTGTATCTGGCCCCCGCTGGCATTTGCTCCTCCGAGATTTCTCGGACGCTCGTCTTCTTGTCTATCCGCCCTACCTTGACACAGGACACAGGCGTCCGCTCGTTCGTCCGTTTGAAGAGGAGCGCCCGCACGAGCGCTCACCGACATGTAACCGCTCGCGCAGTGATTTCATGACATACCCCCTTCCATGAGCTTGGGAACCCGCGCTTGACATGGTGCGAATTGCTCACCGCCTTCTCTGTCGGGGCCCCTTCTCCATCCAGTCAACAGCTTCCCATTCGCCGCCCGGACGAGCGGACCGACGGCGAGCGTGTCAGGTGCGCGGACGTCGCGCGTACGATGCCGTACAAAGACCCGCGGTCGGCGCTGCTCGTCGGCGAACACGACTCGCGTTCCCTAAGCTGGGCATGCGACTCCCCAGGTGACGAACGCTTTCACGCGCTGTGGTGTTTGATATGACGAGCTCGCGCGTCTGCGGGGCATGCTAGACAGACGTGCTCTGTGTGTCCAGCTCCGGTACGCCCGAATACCAATTCAATGTGCCTGTTCGTCAAAATGGCGCGCGCGCTCTGAGGGTGGCAGGCTCCAGGCGGCGCTGTACCCCGGGGCGTCAGAGTTGCTCGGGCTTCCATTGCCAACGCCACATGTTCTATCATTCCCTAAGTAGCCACAAAACCGAGAGCGTCACGTCTTTTGACTACCTCGCAAGGGTACTGTCAATGATATGTGCAGCACCTCGTGCTAGGCCTTGTGGTTACGACATGCCGGTCAGTCAAGCTCTTGACCCTATACATCGGAAGGGCTCTCTGCATTTGCATCAGGATGCTCGGAACATCGGGTTGACAAGACGTTGAGTCCAGGACGAGCCTGCAGCCTTGCTGATAGGTTTCCGGCCTTAGCAGCGAATCCCGTGTGGGACATGCTGCTCTAATCGCACTCCTGCAATTGAACTGGGCGAGCGTCCGGTAACCTATTGCAATAGAGTCGGGGCCAGCGCGGACCTTTGATTGAGCTTTGCATACGATGACCGCGGAAGCCTAGAGTAAGCAACGTACGACCGTGTGGAATAGAAGAGCTGGTACTACAAGATGCCCTACATAGACTGCCCCAGAACCGTGATACAGTAAGAGTGCTACAGATACAGGGTCACTGACACCCAACATGCCACCATAGCTCAGTGCGACGGACCAACGAACAGAATGAACCCGTTCCCATCCGGGGCTGGCTCCAGTCCTCTGAAGAACGGCCTGTCTCCGAGGTAATCAATCCGCCGCAGGCCGTCGTCGTCACCCGGTATTCGCCCGCTAACCATCATGCGCGCGCGCTCCCAGTACGCCCGATACATATGTTGCCGGCGCTGCTCCGACAGCGCCGCGACCTCTTCTGGCGTCATGAGTTCTTCGAAGTTCGCAATGAGCGCACTCAGGACGTCCATGACCATGACCGGGAGTTCCGAATGATGTGGCAAGACCAACATGGGCCAGGGAAACGGATCACAGTTATCGTCCGCTAGGGCGCCTATGTACAGTTCAGACACTGGGGGATACGTTGCGGGTTGCGCGCCATCCGGGCCGTTTGGGCAGAACAAGATGTGCATGGGTTCCCCTCCTGGGATGGCGGGCGGGAGCTCCCCAAGCTCCACTCCGACCGGCTCGTTACGCATGTCGAACAGGACGGGAGGCCGCCCGAGCAGGCGGTGCTGAAGATACGGATTAAGTTGCAGAGCGGTTGAGGGAAGATGAAGGGCACTCGGTCGTGGTGTGTGCCATATCGCAGGGCGCGGTGGTAGAGCTGGGTGCTCGACACGCGGGACCCAATTTTCGGTGTGCCATTCACCTCTTTCGTCCAAGAGGGACTGCATAATCTCCTCGATCTCTTCATGAGACAAGTTGCGTGGAGAAGGCGGCGGTGCTGAGGTCGTGCGTGGATATGAGCATTCACTGCATGCGGTGATAGCATGTATATGAGCGGACGTACTAGCATTATGTACGAGGACTGGGCCGACTCGCGGACGGGCCCAATAGCCATACGCTCTCCATTCAGCAGGTGTAACGACGTGCCGCCCTTCATTGAGGCTCGGCCAATTGTCCGCGCGCCGTCGATCGTGACTCGGGTCTTTCTTGCCTACACGGAAGGGGATTACGTCAGTTCAACTCTGAGCTTACGGGCAGAGACGCGAACATGCAGCGTACGCACCGAATACGCGCTTACGAATAAATGAGAGCAATCCGATGGTAATATTGGTTGACTTGCGCTTAAACGGGTCGTCCTCGGCAGGCCGTCTCCGCCTGCTCTCGCGCCTGTCGCCTCTTGCTTGCGGGCGCTGTACGTTAGGTACAACGGGAGGGATGGTTTCATCAAAGGTCGGTAGCGGGAAAGTCTCCGTCTCAGGCGATGGTACCCACGCTCGCCGGCCGGTTGGGTCGCAGCGATGTTCCCACTGCGATACGTTGGCTGGCCACGTTGCCCATTGTGGCTCCAATCCGGAAGTGGGCATGGTGGCGAGAACAATGGTCGGTGGACTGGATGGGGAGAGAAGAAGCGACGGTAGACCACGGTCCCCAGAGCTATACCCTGCGGTCCAGTGCCTTGCGGTGTGAACGTGCAGAACCACTCGACGGCCCTATCGGGCAATGCATCAGTGGCTCACCTACCTATACAGTGCACTGGAGATTCCCTGCTTCAAAATCAGATACAGCGTGGCTGGGGCATGGCCTCATTGACGCCAGTCAGTGGCACAGTACCCGTGTTGTGAGGCGGTTTGCTTCCGTGGGCGTCACTTCCTGTTTTGGACACTGAGCACGACACTCGGATGTTGCGGCTTCAACGTAGGAAGTGGTTCAATTGGACTGCATCAATGGACTTACCTCTTCACCGAGCATTTCCTGAGTTACCTTTAGATACAGTGAGCTAGGGCTTTCGTACAACATCCATTTGCAGGACTCCATCCAGCATGATGGCGACCCACAATGGAGCTACGACCAATCAAGCAGCTAAGCTGTTGGTCGGAGTCACGTTCATATAACCAAGCAAAGCGAGGATAATACATTATAAACAATCTGAAGTAAATGCTGTCAAATTCATAACTGAACGCCGGGACGCAGGGTACTTACCTGTGGGCGTGATTGACAACGTCGGTTAAGCGGCCTCCTCTGCCTTCAGTACTAACTCTGGGAGTTCCTCGTCCTTTACGCCTCTGTGTTCTTTCAACCACATCTTCAAGACACAGTCACCCTTCCCTCGATTCCCGCCTTTGCACCCCGAGCACCTCCGACCGTGCGCAACCATGAGCACGTGCAACCCGTACTTAAGTTCGTTCGGAACCTTCAAGTCGAGATGCGCTTGGGCTGTTATCCTGTCTGCCTTCGTAGGCACCCAGCCCAACAACTTCGACAGACGGAAGACATGCGTGTCAACCGGAAATGACGCTCGGCCGAGGCAGAAGAGTAGTACGCAGGACGCGGTCTTCGGGCCAACGCCGTCATAAGACACAAGCTCCTTCATCGCTTCTTCGTCCGACACGACATCTCCGCTCGCCTTCGCCTTGCCCTTCGCGTCAGGGTCAAGCACTCCCGCGAGGTGCTGTAACGAGTAGACGCCGTGCCTCTTCTTCACTTCCTGGAGGATCTTCTGTATTACGCCTGCCTTCTTGTTCGCGAGCCCGCCAGTCCGGATAGCGTCGACGACGTCTGCCTTCGGGGCCTGCGCGATTGCAGCGAAGTTGTTACGACCGAGCTTCTGATCGAGTCCGCGCTTTGCGGCGGTCGAGTTCTTTGACGTCGTATTTTGGCTGAGGATCGTCCCTATGAGCGACTCGAGCACGTTCGGCACCTTCCCACATGTGCCAGCGGAGTCGTTTGCGTCCGTCGGTGCTGAGCGAGCGGGGGCTATATTTGGGTGTGCTGACGAAAGCACGTCGTGCACCTGAGCAGCCTCTGCGGGTGTCGGATGCGGAAAGTCGGGAAACGGAGAGGCTATTGCATGCGAAGCAAGTAGTTTAAGCTTTTTGTCTTTATGAGGCGACAAGCCGTCCGCGGCCAGGCCGACTCGGACGGGGGTCGGCGAGCGGGAACGTTTCAATACTGGCGGCATTGTCAGGCGGAGATGAGCACGGCGTAGGGCAGAATGAAAGACTCAAAGTGAAGCTGTCTGCGCAAATATGCGACAGCTCAGACAGGGTTGTGGTTGAACCAGCGGAAGCGAGCAAGTTCAAGTTGAGATTTCGGTCATGACCGAAACGGCAACAGACGCTGTCGATCACGGTACCGGCGATCAGCCACCTGCCTCATCTCCGATTTGCCTCCGCCACACTCGCGGGATGGCCCTCCCCGTATTGCTGATAGAACGTTTACGCGCAAACGTCCAGTCAACGGAGTCAAAAAGCAGGCTTAGAAGAACGACGGCAGTACTGCTAACAAGGTTAGAATCTGCTGAGGTACCTCCGTGTCACACATGCCCTTCCGTGTGCAATGAATATGGCTACTACTACCTCCCGTGATTCCTTCATACGAGCCCTTCCATGCACGTCGCGATCCGACCAAGCAACCGATAATCAAGAAAGTAGCATGTTGGTGGCTCTCGGCGGAGGGAAACCTGTCCTACATTTCATTTGCGTACTGGGTCAAGCCGCTAGTACTATCGTCGACGATCAACGAGGCACTCTGCGTGCGATACAGCATCACGCAGTCCCTCGCCGCGGCCGATCACAGTGCGGAGAGAGATAATCAGGTTCACCTAAGTTTGATCCGTGGGTTCCTTGTGCACTCAGTGCAATCGGAGAATGCAGGGCTCGGAGGGGCTCGCTGATCCGTCGACGATAGAGACTGCCCGCCCCTCTCCGCACCGATTGTCGATGGATGTCGCCCTACGCGATCGTGTTCGGCGCAAAGCTTAACGGCTTGGACTTTGATGTGTTCGAACGTACCTTTCCCGTGGCACCGATCGCATGTCCGCTTGCTAGGCGGAGGTGAGCTTCTGGTGCATTTCTCTGCGCTGCCTCCGTTACGTGAAGGCGTCTCCCCGGCTGTGTGGCCTTACGATGGCGTCACTGAGGCCTTGACGTACTGTGAAGAGATGCCTCCCACCGTCGTCATATAATCACGGATCGCATGTGAACAGAACAGAAGTTACGCGCTGGGATAATCGCAAATAATCGCTCCGATGCGGGCGCGGTCAGGAATTGCCGATGCGAGTTACCTAACGTCAAGCTCTTCAAGCGGCACAGACGTACCGGATTATACTCTAGAAAACGCTGATAATATCGCACCGTCGTTCCGGTGCTGCCAACAGAGCAAGTCTGTCATGCAGCCATCTCGCCATGCGCCGAACCTCGTGCCCGCTCAGGATCATCCCCGAACCCATTCAAGCGCACCCGCAACACCAGCGCAGCGTCGGCTGATTAAAACCACCGCTGCCGTCCCCGTCGTCCGAGATGGGCCGCGGCGAACAGAGCTCTGCACCTGCTAACTTACTCCAGTCCCTTGACCATCGGATAGTGTGTTTCTGCACGCACCGGGCAATCAATCTACGGCAGCATTGCCCGCTCCACCACGCATGTAGCACGTCGGCTGCGTCGGCGCTGCGACGGAAGTAATTGCTTGTCAAAGGCTATCGTGTATCACCCACGACGCCGACCGAGCAACCCATGCACGGCGTAGGCACGCCATGCCATCGATGCTTCCGTCTCTGGTAAAGTGAGGAGTGATATGGGCGCAGCGTCGCATGGCCTCCCGACACATGATATTCCTGCGCGCCGCGAGGTAGCACAGGCTCGGCGGAGGTGGTCTGCGAGTGTGATCCGTCCGTAGTTGCTAGGTGAATGACCGTGTTACCGACACTAGCTGCGCGACGCGTATGAGATCGAGAGGGCCCCACAGGGGCGAATCAGCTGCGGCTTGTTCGATTACGCCCTGGCAGTGCACCCAGTCATCTCGCGCGTGGCGGCCACGACAGACGTGGGTTGTGGGTGTACGTGATGAATCTGCGACGGAAGTAAGTGCAGCAACTACTGTTTCGCCTAGAGGAGCACCACGCACACGCATGCAGAACCATACAAGCTCTGACGTTTGTCAAGTCGTCAGATAAACATTGGATAGATTGATATCCGGAGGGCCACGCAGGCCACAGGCGGAACTCAGGATCCGATATCGTGGTCAGGCGTAGCTTGTCCGGGTAGTCTCCGGCGACTTTGTTCCAGATTTCCTTTTATGGCGACAAAGCGGATGTCAAAGCACAGGTCCCGCGGCCTCCTTAGGATCCTCGATAGGCGGGGATACGGGCTCGGAAGCGCGACTACGTCCATATGATTGTTCGCGTCGCCGCCCTGTACTAGTCGGTCCGCGCGCGATGCGGCGCTGGGACGGACCGGGATTGCAGGACTCATCACGTTCATTTCCGCGCAGGACCGTATGGGCCGAACCTTGTCATCGGGCGGCGGGTCATGGGAACGCTGCGCGCCGCTTTGGGCGCAGGTGGGACAGCGAGAAGAGCGTGTCGCGCCTGCAGGCAGGGGCGGTGCCGACGCGTATGGCCAGATATGGTCATCGCGACGCAGAGTCAATGCATGGGGCGGGCGGAAGATGCTTTTCGCAGAAACGTGGTGATCGCGCCGAGGGCGGGCGATCCTAAACGCAAAACGATCGGATCCTCACGCTACTCAGACGTAGTCATTACAGCTAACCGAGGAACGAGCGAGCAGTTGCCGTTTGCGCCGGTGACGACGACTGAACTTTGACTACACCGCGACGACTGGGTGTATCTTACCAGATAGAGCAGTAGAGGAAGCGGCGGCGGTGAGTCAATCCCCAGATCATCCGATACGCTCAGGAATGTGTCATGCTGCGCTTTGACAAACGTGGATGCGATGGACTTGACGGTTACTGACGACACGAGGTACGCAGGCTCGGAACGTCGGGAGAACGTGCGGACATGGCAGCATGCGCAACCGCCCGCACGAGCCCAGGGGCAGCGTGCAGAGGGAGTCTGAGGTGGATAGAGCGATAATACGGCTTTCTGGAATGCGTGCATGGGCGCGACTGGACATGGGAAGGAGGGTGAAATTGGGGGAAGAGTACGCGCGAGAGCGTCAGCACGAGACTTTATCGCACTTTGAACTTTGTGAGATAACGGCATACGCGAAGAGTTGAGAGACAATAGAGAGAGACCCGATATGTGCCGAGCGCTCATGCAGGGCTCACGGAAGGAGCGTAGACAATAAGACGAATCGGTGTACCAGATGGCTTGATGGGCAGAAGAAAGCTGAGTGTATTTGTCGTTATTTGGCAACGTAATGGAGGCATTCGCCGATTCCGGATAGGCGCTCTCACCCATCTGCATTCGGAATGACAATGGAGGAGATCTCGGATTTGATCTCGCGGGAAGGGGGAGAGGTGAGCACTCGGCAGCGAGGTCATATCACCTAGACTATAAAGACGCACGTCGTATTGTCTTGCGCTCGTCCTCCTCCCGTGCAATTGTTCTCCCTCGAGGCGTCCGAGCCACCCCATCATCTCCTCCTACCGCAATCGGGAGCGTCTTTTGTCTTGCCTCGAGGGAGCTTACCTCGCGTTCGCGAATAATACAGTGCTGCCTTCCGCGCCCACGAGAACAATCATGCCTGCATACCGCACTCGCGAGACATCCTCCAGACGTGAGTAAACTCTCTTCTATTTGCACACCATGCACAATGGGCAGCTCACCGCACAATGGGTCTTCGACAGCCCTCGAAGTCGCGACGGACGCGCCACACCCTCTCCCGACGGTCGCTATCGTTTCCCCGACGCCTCGCGCATTTTCCTTCCCTATCAACAACGACGTTCACTTCGCCTCCCCGTCAAGTTCGCCCTTCGAGCCCGATCTGAAGTCGGTATGCACGCCGCCCCCCGTCCGCGCCTTCTCCCCCACCTCCTCCATCGGCTCTGATGGATCCTCCATCCTCTCGACCCCTTCAGCCCGCTCCTCGCAGGCTTCGCATAAGCGGCGTAGATCGACCGCGAGCGATATCGTGGAGCGGCGGCCAAAGAAGGGCGACGAGGACTACATCAAGCGTCCCGAGAACGCGTTCATCCTCTTCCGGCGTAAGTGCTGCGAGGACCGTCAAGCGGCCGATGAGGCGGCGGAGGAACCAGTCAAGAAGCAGCGTCAGGCGGATCTCTCCAAGGCGATCAGCCAGCAGTGGAAAAGTCTGCCCGCGGAGGAGCGGTCGTACTGGGAAGATCTAGCGAAGGAGAAGAAGAAGGAGCACGAGGCGATGTACCCCAATTACGTCTATCGCCCGCAGAGGATTAAGGAGAGGGCGAAGTCGAAGAAGGGTAAGGGGCGGAGGGGTGACGGCGAGCAAGAGACGGATGCGGAGAGCAGCATTTCGTTCGTGCTTCCAGTTCCGTCTCCTCCTCGCAGCCTCAGTCGCGACAGCCTCCCTGCGCCGTCGCGCGGTCAGAATCGGAGAGCGGTTTCTGCGCCGACGCCACCGCCTACGTATCAGACCATCCAGCTTCCGAGCGTCTTCATGCCCTCATGCCCCACGTCCCCGTCCCTTCTTCCCCGAATCAGCAGACGCTCTCCTCGTATACCCCATCCCGACGACGACCATCTGACGCATTTCGAGTACTTACCTAACGACTCCCTCTATCCGCCGACATTCCAGCAACACGCCGCCTTCGAGCCGAACGTCCAGGTATGTCCCCGATCGCGTCGATGTGCTGATAGACAGCTGATCACTCGATCGATCGCAGACCGACCAGCTGTTCCAGATGTTCCAAGCTGAGCAGCCCGCGCTCCAGCAACAGCACCAGCAGGGCGGTCCTCTTCTCCATTCGCTCAGCATCCCGCGCGACCCGGGCATGATGGCCTCCAGCCTCGTGTCGCCCGCAGAGTCCATCGCGTCGAGCCAGTTCTTGTCGCCCATTGATCACTTCACGTCTCCCGTCTCGCCTTCGTCGCCACAGGGCGCCCCGTTCACGCCGGCCGAGGCCATCTCGATGATGGCCCTGTCGCTTAACAACCCGGCCGACGACACCAGCCAACACCCAGACCCGAGTCAAGCTCCCGAGATGTCGTTCCCCTCGTTCTCGTGGCCGACCGAAGGGAGCCTCTGGCCAGACGAGAGCATGATCCCGGACGACTTCGACCTCAGCGCCATCCCGCCGATTGAGCTTGGTATCTCGAAGTTTGACGGCGAGATGCAGCAGCTCGCGAGAATGTCGGCCGACGTACCGCTAGGGTACGACTTCGAGAGCGGCGAGTTCCCACCCATGGACATGGCGCCAGAGCACGACCTTCACGACGCAGACCCTGGACAAGACCCGTATAACGTCAACGGGATGTTCAGTGGCTACGACAATGGCAATATGCCCTGGTGATGACGCTGTCAACGTACGCGGGCGTGCGTTGACGACCCAAACGGACTTGTACAAAATCAATAGCTCTCTGGCCCTTGGGATTCGTTGTTGTACTCACTTACCTTCTATCGTCGGAGAACGCTGGTCTGTGTATATTTGCACTTGGTCGCTGTACTGATAACTCCTCGCTCCGTCATCCCCTCCGTCATCGCCACGGTCATCGTTGTACTCACACACCTTGCTCCTGCATGCACTCGCACCATGTCCATAGTCACCGGCAACCCCGCACTACTCCCTGCCCACACATCACCCTTCCTCGTTTTTCCGTGCCCTGATACCCCGTCCCCCTCACTTATGACATTATTTGTAGTTACGGCTTCGACCGGAGTGATCTCCAACCCAGTTCAGCACGAATACAAGGTTTTGGTAGAGCTTTGTGGCTTGCTTGCGAGCGTGTCTTCGGGTTGAGCGGAGGTGAGTGGGAGAGAGACATTGGGAGACACCAAGCCAGTTGCGCAGTAGAGACAACGAGGAGACAAAGGCACAAACGTTGCCACCGCGCGGTGGCCACGAACGATGTCCCCCAGTCCTCGGGGATCACCGAACCACGTGGCGTACAGCTCGACCTACTTCGAGAATCGACTTGTCTACCTTCATGTCTCCGCCCTTCATCCGTGCCAGTCAGCCACTATATCTCCTGCTATGATTGTCTATACACTCTGTTGTACTGGCTATCATATACAGTCTAATTTATGTGGAAAATGCCGCGTAACGCGCTCATTGCTTCGAGTCAGGGACCGGATCCGCCTCGCTATTGATATTGACAACATCGTTGCAAGCGCGATGAGGACGTCGTCCACTTGGGTCGCTCAAGCGACAGCTGATCATCAACTGCAAGTACCATCAGGCCCTCGCTGTTTACGCACTCGATGAACCCGAAGACGTGCCTTCGACTCTTCAAGCTTCAAGCTCAGGCTTTAGCGGCGACCCCGAATGGGCCATGGTGTCCTCTACCGCACCGTGCTTTGGACGTGTGTCATTCCTCCGTTCATGCTACGAGATATTCCAATTCTACCCAATGTCGAAGTATATCAGCTCATAAGCACATCATTCGCGACGCGGAGCATCCCTAGAGCCTGGGCCAGTTAGGACTGTGATAGATAAAAGTACGGTATGCTCATCAATTTCCCCGTCTGTACCACATGTCATTCAACCTTGGTACTAGCCCTAGACTCTCGAGACCCAAGACAAATCCAAGACTCCCATTCTGAGCCGTTTTCGCGCCAATGATTCCCGTTAAATTCCCGTCGTTTCTGACGTCCCTGGAGAAGCTACTGCGGTTGATCGAGCTCAGACGATCGCCCTGGTGCCGGTGGTCAATCCGAGTGCTGCAGTTCAAAGTCCCAAACACATTCCCCGCACGCATGTTTGAGATGTCCCACCAAAGGATCTTAGCGCCGGGGATTCGTCGGCGCATGTGAATGTGCTGTCGCACTGTGCAGTCTCGGTACATAGGCGCGACGCGAGGAGGGTTTTGGTATGCGACAACCTGTCTCGAGGCTTGCTATCTTATCCCGGACGTCACTGGTGAGGATTTCAACATCAGACTTGCACGGGAGAAGTCGCCTAATCCAGCGACGATATGGCGTACCATGGCGCGCGTGGAAACACCCACGGGAGATAAGTCAAAGTCGCTTCCTCGCTATATAATCCCTATCGGCGCCCATGACTTGCGCCCGGGTCAGACGTCTTCACTGCTCCTTGCTCTAGCTGGATAACATGTCGCTGAGGGCATTCAAGTCGAGGCTGGCGTCGTTCAGCGCTAGAGGACGCTCTCTGGAACCCTCGGAGGATGCGGACGGTGTCAAAGATGTGGACGAGAAGCTTGCTATCAAGGACGATGTTGGGTCGGTGGTCGATAAGTTGGAGGATCCGGACCTCGCGCCTGGAGAGCTCACGTACAATGAAGGCATGTTCAATGCATATATTACTTTCCGTTCGAGCTCATCATTCGCACAGCTACTGCTGGAGGAATGGGTCGCCATCTTGGCGTCTTCACCTGCACCATGTTAATGTACGAGAACACATCATTAGCCATGGAACCTTTTGCTGAACGCGAATCACTAGCGTTGGACATATCATTGGCACGGGGATCTTCTCCACGCCGTCCTCCATTCTCGAGTCGGTCGGATCCGTCGGCGCTTCGATGATGCTCTGGGTACTCGGGTTCGCGCTCTCGTTCTGTGGACTATTCATCTGGCTTGAGTTCGGCACAATGATTCCTCGCTCCGGCGGGGAGAAGGTCTACCTGGAGGCGGCTTACAAGAGACCGAGACATTTAGCGACCATCATGTTTGCGACCAATGCCATCTTGTTGGGCTTCACCGCATCTAACTGTATCGTGCGTACGAGCCCATACTTCGTTTTTTAGAACCTCACATACAATTTCGACTCTTGCATATCACAGGTGTTCGCGTCCAAGTATGTGTGTTGATGAAATATTGCTCCAATCAATGTTGAAGTGGACTCATTCCTCAGCATTCTTGAGGCCGCGGGGGCCACCACCACTCGGTGGAATGAACGTGGAATTGCGATTGGAGGCAAGCATTCATACAGCGCTCCCACCGCCAAGGTTCACACCGCTAACTCAATCAATAGTCATAGTCTTCGTGACGATCTTGCATGGCTTTACTCCGCATATTGGCATCATACTCATGAACGTAAGTATCTCACACTTTGCTCATCAGTGGCCGAGAACTGAATGCGCCTTCAAAGCTTCTGAGCGTCTTCAAGATCGTCATCCTCGTCTTCATCGTCATCGCAGGTATTTATTAGCAATCCTGCGCGTGTCTGCCCACCTATTGATGATACACTAGGCTGGGTCGTGCTCTCTGGTCGCACGTCCGTCGCAGATCCCCACGCCAACTTCCGCAATGCCTTCGCGGGAAGCTCGCAAAGCAGCTTCGACGTGCGTGATTCTCGGAAAATACCCCTCCATTTCATCGGCATTTACGCGAGGTGGCTCTGGGTTCGCAGTACGCCACCGCGACGTTCAAGGTTCTGTACGCCTACGGCGGCTGGTCGTCTGTCAACTACGTCATGAACAACGTCCGCGACCCCGTGCGCACGCTGAAGATTTCGGCACCGTTGGGCTTGACCATATGCGCCGTGCTCTACCTACTGGCGAATGTGGCTTACTTTGCGTGAGCATCATGTTGATAACGTAGATGCAGTGTGATGCTCATGCGACCAAAAGGGCGGCGACCAAGGAGGAGATCGCGAACTCCGGAGTTACTGTGGCGTCACTGTTCTTCGCCAAAGTCTTTGGACCGACGGCGCAGAAGGCGTTGACAGTGTTTGTCGCATTGAGGTACGTAGATCTCAGAAGCCGTCAGACAGAATCACTCACATTACCTCGTCAGCGCCCTAGGGTACGTAGCACCATTTCCTTCTTGGGTGATCCTTATAACTGATGGTTGGGCCAACCGTGCCCGATGAATCAGAGTGAGTGATGTATAATTAGCTTATTACCGAAAGCCTTACGCAGCGAAACCAGAACGTTATCACAGTAGTAAGTGTTGCATGGCTCAGACGTCTGGCTGTATGCACTCATCACGATGGCACATAGACGTTTTCTTCAGCTCGCGTCAATCAGGGTAAGCACTTCTGATACATATATTGACGGTGTATATGCAAACTCACCCAACTCAGAGCTTGCAAAGGAAGGCATCCCGCTGCCGTTTGGTAACCGCTTCTGGGCATCAAATTGGCCGACTGGGAAGACACCGATGCCAGGGTTGATCATCCATCTAATACCTTCCGTAGGCTGAGCACCACGTTCCACAGCATGTTTCTGACTAACCACGCGTCAGGTCATCGTGATCCTCGCACCCCCGCCTAATATCGCGTACCCGTTCATCCTCGATGTCGAAGGGTACCCGTCGCAGATAATCAACTTGTTCGTTGTCATTGTACGTTATGGCATCCTCTGCGCAGTAGAGAACGGGCACTGATAACGATTGCGTTTCTAGGGTCTCTTCTGGCTGCGCTATCGCAAACCAAATGCCCACCGACCGTTCAAAGGTACGATACTGGCAGCCATTTGATTGATCACGGCGCATTATATTCTTCGCGTGACAGTATGGTGGCCATTGGCCGTCTTCTATCTCGCAGCTGCGGTCTTCCGTGAGTACAGTACGTCGTACATCAAGGTGCATTCAACTTAAACGCATTCTAGTTCTCGTCGCCCCGTTCATTCGACCTCCTGGAGGTGTTGGCGATACGCCTCCGCTGCCGTACTACCTGTGAGCATCACCACATCAGCTCGAATCCGCGTCAAAGCTAAGTACTCTCTTCCAGATACTGCCTCGTTGGCATCGCAATCATGTTTGCGGGCGTACTATGGTGGGCAGGCTGGCGTGTAGTTCCTCGCTGGTTCGGATATAAGTTTGTGGCGAGGAAAGAGGCATTGAAGGACGGGACTGTGGTTTCCCTGGTGCGTACTATATTTGTATTTGCGAAAATTAATGCCTCACAGCCGCTCCCAGTTCTCTATTCGAAAGATAGAGTGAGGATCCGAGGAGACGGTGGATACCGCACTGTGTAAGTTACTACTGGAAGTTGATGGATTTGGTGACAGTTACTATGTTACCCAGACGACGAGTGTCCGCGACGCAGCCATCCACAACTTGAAGATATCAGGGTAGCGACTCGCTAAGACCTTTTCCCTGCATGTCATCAACGCGGACACCGGGCACGTTGAGGCTCAAGTTGTGTTCAGGCCACGTCTTGGCTGCGTTCGTACTGATCCTCTTTGGCGATGTTTGGACATGTTAGGATCCAAGGCTGTTGCCAAATAGCGCCGACCGTTATGGCAAGCGAATCGCCGATACATATCCACGTGTGCACGACTCGGAGGCACAGTGCAAAAGGCTCACCCTGCTCAGTGCTCACTGCAGGCTCACCGCCACGTATTGCGCAATCATGCTTCACTCGATGCTCGACAAATGTTTGCCCTTGCTCCAGGTCCATCACATCGATCCCGTCGTGCGCAACGGCTAGCCTCGGCATCAGCGGAGGCGGTGGATACGACGACAGACGACGACACTTAACGTTGAACCATGATCGCCCTACCAGGCTAGTGCAACCATTCGCAGCTGAGCGTACAGTCTAGTGTGCCTTATGATGCGGATGTTTTTCTTTGATGATAGCGGTGCGCGACAGACTCAAATTGAGTTGATCAATAGCGGTCATACATGTGACTCTGGGCGTCTTGGGCCATTATCAATTCCTGCTCAAGATGGCGCATTCTTGCGTGGAAGGCTCCATCGGAACGTATCTGAGCTCCCGTATAAGAACCAAGGAAGCGGATGATGTTCTCACCCTAGTCGTCCTCACAGGCATGCCAGTGATCGGTAGCGCTTGGTCGAGCAAGATGTTCAACTTCCTCACAAGACGATCGGCCGTACATGAGGATGTTGAGCTCGACAAGCGCTCCCCAGAGCCTGGCTCTGTAGATCATGACAGGTCCACTTCGGACGAAAAACTTCCTTCAAGAGAAGACACCGCTTCCATCTCAGAGAGCAATCCGAGGACCGAGGACCCAGCTCTAGCACCAGGAGAGTTGACGTATGATGAAGGTGCGAGGGCTGAGCTCAAGCTTGGATACGAGAGCTCAATATCATACAGCAACGTCCGGTGGAATGGGTCACCACCTGGGTGTATTCACCTGTACCATGATGATGTAGGTCGCGCTACAACCTTCGCGCTCTCAATCACTAACCTATGTCGTTTCCATGTAGCATTGGGCGAATCATTGGCACGGGTATATTCTCTACGCCCTCTTCAATCCTCAAGTCGGTCGGCTCGGTCGGCGCCTCCATGATGCTGTGGCTATTGGGATTCGTCCTATCGTTCTGCGGATTGTTCATATGGCTAGAGTTCGGAACCATGATACCTCGTTCCGGCGGCGAGAAGGTCTACCTGGAGGCTGCATATAAGAGACCGCGACATTTGGCTACCATCGTCTTTGCAACGAATGCCATTCTTCTCGGATTCACGGCGGCGAACTGTATTGTGAGTGGCTATGTCTGCCCTGATTGTACTGTACTGACGACTGTTTTGCGCAAGGTCTTTGCCTCATAGTAAGTGCCGGAGCAGCTTATGACACCCCAATGCCGGAACTCTGACGCCTGTGCGCTGTTAGTGTACTTGAGGCTGCCGGGGCAACCGTCACTCGATGGAATGAGCGTGGCATTGCTCTAGGAGGTATTCTGTCCCTCCCATGCCGTCGCAGCATGTGCTAATGCAGTTACAGTCATCTTTGCTGTGACACTGCTCCACGGGTTCACACCACGGACGGGAATCTGGCTCATGAATGTGAGTACAACGGTCACACAGTCACATCTGATATACTCATGTAAACGTCAGATTTTGAGCGTGTTCAAGATTGTCATCTTAATCTTCGTCGTCATCGCAGGTCAGCTTCACTAAACTCATCGCTCGACGGTCCACACTGACATGGACACTATCAAGGTTGGGTTGTACTCTCTGGTCGCACGCACATCGCAGACCCGCATGCCAACTTCAGAAATGCCTTCGCTGGTAGTTCGCACAGCAGTTACGACGTCAGTAACGGTACATGTTACATGCGCACAGCTCAGCTCACTTTCCGACTCCCACACCGTGTAGTATGCGACGGCCACCTTCAAGGTCTTGAACGCATATACAGGATGGTCTAGTATCAATTACGTTATGAACAACGTGAAGAACCCAGTGCGAACATTGAAGATCGCTGCTCCACTGGGTCTTGGCATCTGCGCAGTGCTTTACATCCTTGCCAACGTTGCATACTTCGCGTGAGCAATCGGATTATAGTCTTTCCGAGCGGTCGGGTCCGAACTGAATAACACTCCCGTTTCGTAGTGCTGCCACCAAGGAAGAAATTGAGAAGTCCGGTGTCACTGTGGCAGCGTTGTTCTTCAAGAACGTCTTTGGGCCACAAGCACAGAAGGCCCTCACTGTGTTTGTCGCGCTGAGGTACGCTCAAATTCTTCTGCCGCGTCGCCTGCTCAGACATTGACGTCACTTCTTCAGCGCTATAGGGTACGTCGGCCATGTATTCATGCTCGTGCTTCGTGGCTTATCAAAGTTTCCTCGAACGCTCACAACGACAGAGTGCGTACGGTACCGATTATCACTTGGATCCTTTAGCTGATAACTTCCCCAGAACGTCATCACCGTCGTAAGTAAAACCGCCTAGACACATGATCATTGCTCACGCAATACGCCGATAGACGTTTGGCGCTGCACGTATCAACCAAGGTGAGCCTCCCCATGAACTATTTGATACACGCATTTAAACTCAATCGACGGCAGAGCTCGCCAAGGAGGGCATTCCTCTCCCCTTCGGCAACCGCTTCTGGGCATCGAACTGGCCAACGGGAAAGAGTCCCCTACCCGGACTGATCATCCACCTCATTCCTTCGGTGCGTATCGCAGTTCTTCTTGTGCTGCTCGCGCTCATAAGTAACGACCAGATCATTGTCATCATCGCGCCACCGCCATCCGTCGCCTACCCCTTCATTCTCGACCTAGAGGGCTACCCGTCGCAGATCATCAACCTGTTCGTCGTTGTCGTAAGTTCTTTCTGGCACTCAATGTACGTGCTGTCGTCTGAAAACTCGCACAGGGATTGTTCTGGTTGCGGTACAAGAAGCCAAACGCGCATCGACCGTTCAAAGGCGCGTCCTATCATTTGAAACCTTCCAGTGCCTGCGTTCTGACGTTACGCTTTAGTATGGTGGCCACTCGCAGTGTTCTACCTCGCTGCTGCCGTCTTCCGTGAGTAGCTATTGTCCAGCGGCACACGCGTACGCTGATGTGCATGTCTCGATACAGTCCTCGTCGCACCATTCATCCGCCCGCCCGGAGGTATCGGAGACACTCCGCCGTTGCCATACTATCTGTACGTCGGCTGCAGTAGATGCATTGCAGAAACATGGCTCAGCATCTTCTTCTAGGTACTGCCTAGTCGGTATCGCTGTCATGGTCGTTGGTGTGCTCTGGTGGGCAGCCTGGCGCGTCGTGCCGAGATGGTTCGGCTACAAGTTCATCGGGAGGAAAGAGAAACTCGACGACGGCACGGTCGTCACATTGGTCAGTCGGCGTAGCATATAGACTGCATGGACAGAAGCTGACGACGATGATATGCTTTCCAGTTCTCATTGGCTAAAAGACAGTGAAGAGGCACGCTGTAGCTTGAATTTAGAGACTAACTTATACCTGTATCAATGATACCGATGCTCGTCATCAGGGCATAGACCAACGTAACTTATCGGGTGCTAAGCACACTCAGATGCGTTGTATGTTACATCAAACAGAATGTTAATGCATCTAGCTACCCGTCCATCCTTTCGGCTGTAAGGCGTCGTGAGCACAAGGAGTTCGTGTTGGGGACAACAAAGAGCGCCATACCTTGACTTCGTCTCCTGTCGTCCTAATGTACACGCTTGGCCGCTCGGCTGTTCTCGCGCCTTCCTCGCCCTCCTCCCAGGTGTAGCTCACGCCGACAGCGAGCTTGGTGCCGTCGCAGTTGAACGAGACCGACGGCACGGCGGAGTGGTACTTCGGGTACTGTCGCAACCGCTTCTTCAGCTTGTGGTCCCATATTGAGACTGTACCATCAGAACCTGCGGACGCGAATGTATTGTACCTATATGAAGGAAGGAAACACTTAGTGCCACCCCTTGATTTGAGTGGCGTTGCAACTTACACTGGGTGGAACGCAAGGGAGTTGACCGGCCATACGTGGTCTACGTCGTCGATGGTCTGGCGGTGGCATTTGAATGCGTACTTCTTGTCCTGAGCTTCGGGGCTGGGATCAAAGTATTCTACTGCTATTCGCCCCTCGACGGACGCAGTCGCATAACCTGCGGACGTCAGTCAGTCATGGCGGCATCCCGCTATATCATCATGTCTGGCTTGCCTTGACCATCTGTCATGCAGGCGAGTGCACGCGTCATGAACTTGAGGCTGCTGTCACGGATCTGAGCTGGCTCGTCCATCTTCCGGATATCGTAAATGTGGAACAGTCGGCTGGCCATGGCAACGACGAGGGTGTTGTTGACGAGATCCATGAGATACACCCGTTCAGGTACGTTGTGTGACAATTGCTGCGATGATGTCCGAGGATCCCAGAAGCGCACGGTCCTATCCCAAGAGCCCGTGACGAGCACATCTGCGGGATTGTCAGGTTCAGTAAGCGAAACATTCAGTTGCGTTCAGACGTACTTTGGTCGCGAGAGAAGTTCATGCTCGAGATTGAGTCTGAATGTTGTCCGAGATGATTAATCTTCTCAGTGTTGAGATCGAATCTGTGGAACATTGAGCATTCGTCGACGCCTCGGCTTGCAACTCGGCTCACTCTCGTACTGATGTGTCAAGGCCACCGCTGTAAGCATGAGAGTCATCGGAGAAGCAACATGCCAATACAGCAGCGCGATGGTCGAACTTGGCCTTCTGTTCATTTGCCGCGATATCGTAAAAACGAACCGTCTGCAAGGCATAGTGAGTTCCCTGTTCGTTGCAGGAAGAGGGACACTTTGAAAATTGTCTCGCTCATGCTCCGTAAGGTGATTTTCGGCGCGCGTGACGAGAGAAAGGGGCACATCTAGGAAACAAAGAACACACCGATGATCCCGCCTACGCGTCGACATCATTCTTCACGCGCTCAACCTCATAATCGTCTTCCAAAACTGGCATACCAATGCCCCGCGAAGATTCTAGGTATAACCAATGAATACGAGCAACGGTGTTACTTTCAGGATGAGCCTGAAGTCAAGCGATCGACGTATGGGTCATGCAACGTGCCCCACGCACAGGTTCAGCGTTGAGAAGAGCAGAAAAGAGCAGGAGCATAGCCCTCCCAAGCATAGGCAGGGATCCAGGCGCGGTCGCAGGCCACTTTACTTGTGCCATCGCGGAGGGCGAAGGGCGGATGCCCGGGCTCAGACAATCGAGTCGAAACAAGTAACTCACCGTATCCCAGGATGATACAAGCAGATGTGATGGGCTCTTTGGCGAGAACCTTACGGAAGACACGCTATCGAACGGCGGAGAGGAGAGTTCGATTTGTTCTATGTAGACCATTGTGAGCTGCGACCAAGGCGAGCGATGAAATGCGCGACGTGACGTACCTGACATAGCGGAGCTTGGCCGGAAATTCGATTTGTTGATTGAGAAACAATCCCACTGCGTGAAGGGGGATGTGGCGGTCGCGCACGAATGAGGTCAAAGGTCGTCGCCACCGCAGGGGTTGTGACAGCCACAAGCGTCGAGCAATTATTTGTCTCTGTTGTATTGTGTTAGGATCCAAAGCCTTTGCCAAACATTGAAACAACGCCTGCAGATGCTGCTCACCTCCACTGGCAAGCAGGCGCCAGCAGTCGTATCGAGAACATTCCTATCCAACAGAGCTGGTCTACGAACATCGTTATTTATTGCTATCTGTGAACACTCCTACTGTCATATGTCTTTCATGCCTTTCTAAGAGGCGTATCCCTCGTCTCACCATCGTTCCATGGATTCTAGTATCCAGGTTGTGCTCTCGAACTACACCTGCGTCGCCGGAGGAACCTTGTCTGGCCGGGTCACCCTCAGCTTCCCCTTACTGCAGCAGGAGCAGATTGAAGAAGTTCACCTCAAGTTCAGGGGCTCTGTATACACGTACGTTGGCTATATAGCTGTCCTCCACCTGCGTGAGCCAGTGCCGAGCTCCCCACAGGTATATCAGTCCTGCCCGGACAGATTTGAACGAGACACGGGACGTGGATATAATCCGTGACCAGATCTCTGTGTGGTCTAGAGGGTCGGCTTATCCTCCTCCGGACTCGCACACTCTCACAATCCCATTTTCATTCAATGTCCCGCGAGACATCCCGCCTTCGTATGATTTCACTGCGCTAGAGTGTCGGGCGGTTGTACGATATGGCGTTGAGGCCGTCGGCGCTCGAAAGGGTGCGCTACGTTTGAACAAACGCGTATTTGTTGCGGTTGTCGGGCTACCCGTGGATCCTCCCGGTTCCCAGCTGAGGGCCATATTACAGGCTGGTTGGACAGGCGCATGGAGTACGGAGGTTAAGCATAAGCAGATTCGAGCAGGCTTCTGGGGAGAGCATGCTGATGTCTCCGTAGAAGTAAGCACGTCTCACGCCTTGCCCTCTTCAGCGTAGCCGGCTGACAGTGCGTCAGTTCAAGTATCCTGCCCTGCCGACAATCCCGCTCTTTGCATCGGTTCCCTTCGAGTTGATTATCGTCACTACAAGCAAGTCGTCTAAACGAACACCCGGTTCCGAGAGCAAGCCTATCTGGCCCGCGCCCCCTACTCGACCTGAAGGTGTCCGCTTGGAGCTCAGACGCACAGCATATGTGCAGACGAGCCATCTCACATGGAAACAGCATGACAGCCTATCTTTGTTGGGAGATCTTGGAGAGCCAGGCAAGGGACTGAACGTCCAGGTGCGACCCGCGGCCAAAGAGTGGCTGTCTATCAACGGAACCAAGGGTAGATGGAGGCAGCAGACGACATTCTCGTCTAGCTTCAATCTTGCATGCCCTCCGTCGTTCAAGTTTCCTACGCTTAGCGTTGAAGTGCGTGGCTTACCATTTGTGCGTCGTCGTGACAACCTGAAGAATTATCTGACTCAGTACAACCTTACGGTCATCGTCCCCTTCAGTGGATTGAACAACACCTTGCGGCTCGAGATACCCATCACGGTATCCTCCGGCATAATCCTGAGTCGTTCCCTAGAACTTCCGGACTACGACGCTCCGCCTACTAGTGCGCGGCCGGAGAACGCAGACTATATGTCACCTCCACCTACACTCGAATTGCCTCCGTGCGTGATCTCGTCTTTAAAAAAGAAAGTAGACATGCAAGGGCTCATTGCTGTTACAGCTCATACTGGAGTTCAGCGGAGTAATATCAAAGTTCGCTTTTTCAATTCTCTTGTAGGCTGCGAGTGAGAGTTATGGCGTCCGTCACCGGGCGCCATTCTAATATTGTACTCTCTGTTGCTGCGTCTGAACTATGATGTCGACAGCTGGGCTTCACGTTTGTCCCCTCAAGCGTATGGATACATCCTCCATCTCGATACGCAGCGTCTCAATTGGCACTTACTGTGTTGATTCAGTGCTCGCAATGTATTACAACTTCGGGGCTCGGCTCAGTTCAAGATGGGGCAAAGGAATGTCCGCCTGACGCCCCCTCTGGTGCGACTACATCACAACAGCAAACTCTAGTAGTGCAAGTATATTGGGTGATACGACGAGCGATGGTGTGAGTCTAGCATCCTTTCTAAGTATGATTGCTGTGGCTCAAGCAATCCTTGAGCGTAGTAAGTAGGTTGATAGAAGGCCCTATGACTTGCATCGAGCAATCGCGTCGGCGAACTTCGAATTCATCAATCTTCGATGTGCGGCGATGGAGTGTAGCTGCGCACCTTGGGTCAATGTTCACCTCTCGTGGCAGCTCCCAATAGACAGGTGTCACAGTGAGGATACCGCGCTCGTCCCAAGGGGAGAATAAGGTTTGCATCGAAGGGACGGCTTGCGCGAGCACAGCCGTCGCTTTGGCCCAGTTGTCATCCCAGTGATCCGCGGAATCGGCTTCGACAGTGAGTTGAACGTCTTTTAAAGAGCTGAACACTGCGCGGTTGAGCACGCTTTGTAGATAAGACGGATCCGACTCCGACTCGGCCAATGAATGCATTATAAGGTCCGTGTCGGCCCTGGTAACCCAATGTAACGCGATCGCCTCTATCGAGTCGCTTTTGATAGAGGAGAAAAGAGCATAGAGCTCGTCCATGATCCTGGGCCATGATACCCCTTCGGACTCCCAGACTCGCCTCGAGATGTACGTCTCGAGAAAGCGTAACTTGGTATTATTCTCCAAGTCAGCGTGCAACCGACCCTCTACGTGATGAAATCGGGTTAACGACCATCTCTGTACAGCAGGTGAAGGGACGTACCATACAAGGATCCGTATTCAATCAGCTCGGTCAATGAGCTTCCAATCGCATGCAGAAGTCGGTTGATGCATGTAACATCTCCGTCCGAGTTACGATGGATCTCCAGATGCGATATCGCCCGGCAGGAGGAAGACTTGACGAACCAGTCGACCAGAGCCGTCAACAACACTGTGCCAAGCTGCTCGCCCAGTTCCAACCTCTCCAGCTTGTAGAGAGTGGCATAAGGCACATCATCCCGTATATCCGAATAGGCATACCCTCGCAAAATCTCTCCGTGCGAGATTGACAAGTGGTTCAGTCGTGGAAACGCACAGAGGATCTTCCGAAGCTCCGTGAAGTTGGCGAGCTTAAAGCTGGAGAGCGTGAGCCTCACCACGGTTGTAAACGCTGGAAGGTATTTGAAGAAGGTAGGATGCATCATCGGCTTCAAGCACGCGTCGAAGATGATGCTCTCCAGAGCGGGCATCATCTTGCCGAGCGTGAGCGGGACGACATGACAGAAAGCCAGTCCCTTGGCATTTGTGACGCAAAGCTCCTTCGTAAAAGCGAGGTTCTCTCTGGCCTCTCCGATGTTGCGATGGGCTGCGCGAGAGAGGGCTTCCAGCGCTACGCGCCGTCGAAGTTCGATTCTCGTGTGGAGGAGATAGACACCGCGTGGTTTCCATGCTCGGCATACCCGTGCACACTGGCACAGGGTCGCCTGGTCCATGTAATCCATGATGTGCTCGAGGACGTCCATGGGTAAACGTTGGGAGAGTGCTTGGGAAAGCGGCTGGAGTATCAAGCGGTCCGTCAGGACATGATCTGCAGCGTTCAGAAGGAACACTATAGCTGCCAGCAGACTCGGTGAGAGTACTATTAAGCACGTACCATGAATATCCGTTGATTCTATAAACCCAATTTCTAAGCGGTCCTTTGAGTTGTAGCGCTTTCTGCGCACAATCGTATTCGGCAACGTCGGGTTCATGATGCCAATCTGTCAAGGCCACTGGCAGAGGATGCCACGGTTCTTCCTCAGGAGCGCTGTTGAACGTTAATCTCCGAGTCAGGCGTATCGCGACGTGGCCAACCTCAAGGCAAATCGATCTCGAAATGCAATAAATATCGGTACTCTGGGCCGCGCGTACAGCGCCAGACCAACATGACCAATCACAAGTTCGGAATCAGTGGGCACTGCCCTGTCCGAGGTGATGTACGTACGGAGATGTATGTAGTGATGGTCAGGGCCTAGGGATCGTTCTATGGTCTGTGTTGTAGCAGTGTCCGGTGACTGTCTCTCGTGTATACTCGTGGGTCTTTAGCATATATAGTACTTGAAGGTTAGCCGCAGAAATGAAGAGAGAGAAAGAATAGCATAGCGTCGTCCATCATCCGAATCGGCGGCGGGTCCTCGACGTATGGGCGGCTCATGCGACGCAAACGTACAACTTGAACTTAATCAGGGTGTTGGCCTGGAATGGGTAAGTGCACGCTGGTGCTACTCCGACACACGCAAGTTGGATACGCTATTCTTGTAATCAATGTGCACTCATAACTAGATGCACACATAAACCACTCTGTGGAATCAGACCTAGTATTACAGTCTCGTATATGGCAGCCTGAACATATGTGTATAGAACATACTGTCTCCGACGACTCTGAAGTCCAGCCCTGCTTCGCAAATCATGCACCTAGCATATTCAGAAAATCTTCTTCCGCGGAAGGCCAGCCGGGAATCGTTAGATCGTCGAAACGCTCATGCGCAATGTCGGACCACGGTGTTCCTCCGCGCGCTACAAGAGGCGTGTTTTCACGGAAACTGAGAACATCGTTGAACCTGAGTGGCGGCGCCTCAGCATCTTGTCCTTCTTGCGCGAGGTGATCATCATGCGAATCGTCGCCATGGTCACTGTTGATAGCCTCCAACTTCTCCTCCATTTCGTCCTCCGACAAGTCGAAGACGGTGCTCCAAAAGACGACCATGGCCTGCCATTCCGCTTCCATGGAACAGCCGTGCGGAATTACGCAGAGCTTCTCTTCGCTCTTCGCGACCTCCTTGAGGGCGCTCCACAGCGGTGCGTTGCGAGAACAGTACCAGGCCGGGGCAGCCCACATGCACACCACGAGCTGCTCCAAGTGGCGTAACCCAAGGAGTTCTTGGACTAGTTCGATGGCCTCGTCGGCGTCGGACGAGGCGTCCATTTGGATGCAGAGGTATTGCATCTTCGGGAACAGGCCGCGCAGGCCGTTCTTCGGGAGTGTGTAGCGTGCGCCGTGCCACAGAGGCTCGAAGACGACGTGCGTTGTCCTCTCGAGGAGCTTCGGGCATGATGAAAGTGCAGACGACTTTTCCGGCGAGGCCTCGTCCGTCAACAGCATGACGTGACTTGGCCTTGCCGCGCTATCGACCAGCCAACCTTCCGACAGGAGGGTCATGTCGATAGCAAGACACCTGAGCTTACCCTCCGCCGTCAGGTCGGTGGCCACGTCTTTAACACGGTCTGCAAGTTTGTCGGCTCCGGTTATAGGCGGGTCCCAGGGGAAAGGGTCTTGCAGAACAGTATGAACGCGCAGGTTGCGTACGACGGGTGGAATATGGACACCCAAGGGCTGCGATAAAGCGTCGGCGATCGTCTGGGCCTGTCGGTCATGGCGCAACTCGACAGTCGTCCACTTGTCGGTCAGGTCCTTTGGGATCGTCCGGTGCTTCTTCGTCGACCAATTGTTCTTTCGACCCATGGTCGTCGTGGGAGGCAGTATCAGAGGCGGTGTCGTGGTGCAGGGGCGCGATTGAGGAGTAAAGGCGGTAAGGCTGAGTGGTTCGAGGCGACAAGACGGAGAGTTGAGCATCATTATATACGTTTATTTGAGGGTGGCCGTTCCTGAAGGTAAGATCGACTGCTTTCCATGACGACGTACCTCCTGTGGCCATGATCGAGGTTATGTCCTAAACAGGCTTTGACCTGCTTTGACCTGCTCATCCGCCACGCCACGGAGTTTCAAATCAAAACGGCCACGGGCTAAAACGTAGTTCCGTGGCTTGACACGCTTGGACGCGTGGCACAAGTCATGCACGCAAACAAAGCGAGGCGTCGTGACGCAGCAATTGCTGCGCTTACCAAAGCGGTACGATGTTGCAGACAATGCACAGGCGGTGTGAACAGTGCCTAAGTTAATGCTCGCAACGTCAACGTGTATACCTTGTTGGAATCGGCAGTAAAGACGGACACACCAAATACAGCAATCTGTTCAGCCGGAGCACCTATCAAAAGGGTCATCGTCACCTTCGTCAATCTGCACGCCATGAGTCGGCGCTTGGGAGGTGCGAATCGAGACTCCTGATACCTGGTCACTGAAAGGATACATCTAGGCATCTGCTTTACACGCTTTGTGCAGACCTGTCAGGCTGCCGAGCTGTTCTGGCTTCTCCATCGATATCGTCTGTGACAAGGTTTGTTACTGTGACTCCTGTCGCCCGCAGAGGACATACATAAAGAACAACCTATGCCTTCCAAAACACGCAGCTTTACCACTACAAGCCCTACTCCGCCTTTGGCCTCTGGCTGTCCACCGGCTGTGGCCCTCTCGCCTTCGCTTTCCTCTCCTTCTTCCACGCTAACACCTCCCGGATAAGGGAAGCCAGGAGAGGGGCAGTGACGGACGCGAACAATGGGGCGTACACCGCCCACTTGTGCTCCGTGGGGAAGTACAACAGCGCGAGCATCCCTGGGTTGAAGAATGCGCGCGACGCCACAGATTGCGCCTTGCTTGCGAAGGTCAGTGCTTCAGTCGAGGACGATGGCGCGGTCGAGTATGCCTAACAATAAACGGTGACAGATGACCGTACGGCCCTTGACAAAGCAGGATTGAGCACGTACCTGATCAAGGGCTGCAAGCGCGTCTTGCACGTCTCCCTTGACGTCCTCGCCAACCGGCATATCCTCGATCTGCGCGACGAGCCGTACGATGCTCTGTAGAGTGTCCTGCGCGCTGGCGGCGTTCTCCGCAGCGCGTCGGCGAACGAGTGCGTCCAACTGCCAGTCAGTTACCCCTGCGACGCCGCGAGTCCGCGCGTGGACGTGCGGCGGGAGCTCTGGAACGCCTAGCAGTGCCGAAAGCTGCTGGCGGAAAGTCGCGAAGATTGTGTCAAGCGGACGTCCTGCGAGCGTTGGCACGATACCGGTCGACTGGGGGTTATGGATGATGATACCGCCCCATTGAGGAAGTATGAAAGCATTCGATGACGTCGGCAAGCCTGAACAAGTTGTAAATGGGGAAGGGACGTCTGAGAGAAGTCCTGCGTACCGTTACTGTCCACGATGCGAAGTGGACTGTGCTTCGAGGACGGTATGAAAGCGACGAAATGCAATACTGGATCATTTGAGACACTTGATGCTAATCGAATTCAGTAGCAAGGTTCAGTATTCGTTCATGAGCAGAAAGGAGAGATTCATACATAGCGTCCACTCGGCGGAATTGACAAAAACGGTGAGGTCCCCAGGCGTTAAGCCATGCTCGATCTGTTCACCCACTTGCAGTGCACGGGGCTCAAAGGCAAGGGGTCCATGGTATTGTACTTGACTCTCAATCGTGAAGTTGTGCAACACGGAAAGGCGCTCAAGCAACGGCGATAGTTGCGCTGCGTACCTGAGGTACATAGGTTTGTTCGCTCATGCTCAGGGGGACGCACGTACCGGCAAGAGCGTTCTGTACGTCCCAGGACAACGCAGCGTTGCCTGCAGCAGCATCTTCGTTCAGAAGAGTGAACGCTAACCGGTAGCGCGGCGAGTACGTCACAACGCGCTCAGCTTGCGAGCTCCGCAGACTGGTATAGGGCGTGAGCAAAGTCGCCAATGTATCAGCGAGTTGCAGTGCCGCCACGCCCGCGTGTTCTGGTGCAACTTCGACCGTGACCTTACGGCCATCGACGATGGGATCGCGCGTCCCCGGACGAAGAACGACCTGATAGTCATTCGCACTTCAGAGCAGGTTGAATTCGGGATGGGATCAAACGCTCACACGAAGACTCACGTTGCCGTTGCGGAGGATACTTCCACTGACAGACCGTTCTGCTTGAACTCCCCGTTGTTCTCGACATGATGCCGTACCTCCTGAACGATCGTGTCCGTGCCAACCTCACAGTTCCTGGTATCGAGGGCGACATGAATGGGGAAGGCGAGCTCTCTTCCAGTCGCTGCATAGACCCGTGATACGGGCAGGGCTTGCCGTTCGATGCTAGTAGTTTTCCACCAGAGAGGCAAGGCCAGAAAAATGACGAGAAAATACGAGGCTATAATGCTCCTCCGCGTAAAAGCCGACTCAAATGCAAGAGCGGGTTTGGAGACGGCGTCCATGTTTGTTGGGTCCCAGCTTCTGTTGCTACGGGATTTGGTACAGTGCTAGATCTCCTCGTCGAGATGCATGTGTTGTCGACCACTTTGTCAGAACCAGAAAGCAGTTGTTGAGAGCGTGAACGGCGGTGGCTGAACGATCCTGAAGCCTGAGGCTACTCCCGGAGTGTGCCGACTATTTGACGCGGAGACTGAACGGATGGCACCAAGTCCAATTCCGGAAGGCGACAGCTTGCAGCCAAACCTCCCGAGACCCAAGTTCAACTCGTCGAAGCTACTCACATTCGTTACAGGTACTGCCAGGAGGCTGAAGAAACCTACTTTACTCTTGAATTCTCTTCATGCTAAACCGCTTTTGACGGCTGGGTCTGCCATCGGCACTTTCTTCTTCGCGCACCTGCCTTCAGTCCGGCACGTTTGCGCAGGCGTCTGATCGCTACCGTGGGTCATGTCTCCGACGAACCAACGACGGCGCCGTCGTGGCGGAAAAAACAACGGGCCACCTGTGTACAATGTCAGCGAACATATCTGTCCAAGTAATGCACCGTGAACTCACGTTGCATCACCCCTAGCGACCACCGAGCCACAATGGCAGGTATGGACCTTCGCCCGGCCCGCCGACCGCGTATCCTGTCCATGACGCTTATAACCCCGGTGTTGGAGGCCCTTCATACGCACCCGGCTATCCTAATGACTATCCTGCGGAACCAGAACTCTGGCGGTCGGAACCGTCTTACTATCCCAGGCCTCCTTCTCCGGACTTGTACGGCTACCAGCCAGGTCCGCCTCCGAGTGGCTGGGCTCCGCAGAGTTGGGATAACCCTGCACCTCCTCAATGGGTTGATAGAGCTGAAACAAATCCTCGCTTCGAAGGTGATCCATGGTCATATGACCGTCGAGATACCATGACCATGGCCCAGCCGATGTTCGAGCCAAACGACGCTTGGAAGCAATCTCATACAGGTCCTCCTAACACGCAAGTATCTTTTGCTGTGGGTTTGGAATTGGATGTATGACTGATCGTTGTGAGTTCAGTTCGCGGAATGACATGGCGCCTGAGCCGTACTCACCGTCAAGACGTCTGCCGCCTCGGCTCGCAGCGGACCACTACTCTCCACCCCGGCCACTAGCTAACGAGCACTACCCTGCTTCCGCCCCGGGACCTCCTCTTTTTGACCACTTCTCTCCAGGTCCCGGTTTCGCGGGCCCGCCACCCCGGGACCATTATCTGCCAGGTCCAGGCCCGAACGCGCCTCCCCTTCCGGGCGATCATTATCCACCCAGCAACAGTCCGAACGGACCTCCCAACTATGGCGATCATTATTCTGCAGGTCCTAGTGTCAGCGCGCCTCCATTTGCTGGCGACCATTACTCTCCTCCCGGTCTCAGTGGGCCTCCACCCTTCTCTGGTGATCACTACTCACCTGGTCGTAGTCTGAACGCTCCCGGATATACTGGGGATCGTTACAGGCCAGAGAGCCCTCCGGTGTATCCATACATGAACCCAGGCTCGGATAGCTACCGTCCTCGGTATGACGATGTCCCAGACTCGAGGACACCGCAGCCACCGAATCCACGCGTCCATCCCAGATGGCGACTTCCTTCTGCAGAGCGTTCGCAGCCATTACGAGGTAGGATATCTCCCGAAACTCCAGGCAATCCAAAGCGGGTCTGGGAACCGAGACGCTCGCCGCCCCGCGTAATCAACGATGTAGACCGTCCCTCGCCTACTACACGGCCACTGTCTCCACCTGTTCGAGAGCTGAGGCAGCTCGTCAGCCGTGGAAGATCGCCTAGCCGTGGAAGGTCCCCTCCTCGTAGCCCCAGCCCAAGCCGCAGCCGAAGTCCTTTGTACAGTCCTCGCGCCAGTCGGAGTCCCGTTCGCCGCGGTACACGCAGCCCTAGTCCCATCCGCCGTCCTCTCAGTCCCAGTCCAATTCGTCCTCTCAGCCCTAGCCCCGCCCGTCGTCCTCTCAGCCCTAGTCCCGTCCGTCGTCCTCTCAGCCGTAGTCCCAGCCGAAGTCCGATTCGTCGCCCTCGCAGTCCCACTCTCAGCAGGAGTCCGATTCGTCGCCGTCGTAGCCCCACTCTTAGCAGGAGTCCGCCATATAGCCCTCGTGCTTCACGCAGTCCCGTCCGTGGCCGCATTCGCAGCCCGCTCGCTTCGAGATCCTACTTCAACAGACGCAGACGTTCGAGGAGCAGATCGCTGAGCTACAGCCCTGGGAGGTCGATAAGCCGTAGCCCTCGGTCACTTCGACGGGCTCGCCTTCGCAGCCGCCGATCATACAGCCGCAGTTCATCGAGCTCCTATGACAGCTATCGAGCCAGACGCGCTAGTCGCGGTCGTGATCGCCGACGTTCAAAAAGCCCCAGTGTCAGTCGGACCAAGGCGCGCAGCCGGAGCCGTGGACGGTCACGTAGCAGAGCTTCTACGCTATACTCACCGACGACTACTCGCCTGTACTCTCCCGTTCTGACACGGAAACGTGTATCTCCTGCACGAGAGAAGGGCCGTTCTCGTGGGCCGGCGAACAGGCGCGCGAAGCCCTCTGCTGCTGCTTCTTCACAGCCGGCACACCCGTTACCACCGCCACAGAAGCCTTCCAGCAAGAGAACAAGCTCGACTGAGTCTACTGGATCGATCTATGGCCCAGAAATACCTCCGGAACTCCGCGCGAAGAAGGCAAATGTTGTTGCAGTCGCGCAACGGAGCAGAAACTCTTCCTTGTCTTCTTACAAGTCTGACAACGCCACTTCGACGTTGCAGGGCAGTGCGATACCTGGTCTTGCAGATTTTGGCAAGGGAATAGCCATTGTTCCTGAGCAGGTGACCCAACAAGCACAGGCGACCTCACCCCAAGTTACGCAAAGTCCGCCCTCGTCGTCGCGGAAAGACACGTCCGAGGCTCGTTCGCAAGGTACTGGCGTTGCTCACAAAGGTAGATATAAATCATTACAATGCCTTAGTATCGTTGTGCCTAATTGTATTCATAGAACTCCTCCCGACCAACGAGTTACGTGCAGCTGTCGCCAAGCTCGTCAGCGGACAACCTATTTCCCTCCATGCAGATGCTAGGAAAAAACCTGACGGAGAGCCTGCGCATTCTTTACTGAACGTCAAAGGTATCTCTAAGCCATCCGGCCTACAGATACCTCCTCTCGATCGGGATGCGTTTCCAAAGAAAGCCGAGGGAGAAGAAGGAGAGGCTGACATGGACGTGTCTGAGCCAGCCACTCCAGTAGACGAAATACCTCAGCCTACTGCGGCAACTCCTGTTCCGGATGGTCTGGCTGCCGAGCCAAAGAGCCTGTCGGGCGTTGATGAAGGGTACGTCGGCCCACTCTCGCTGACGTAGTTGCATCGCCAACCGCTCACGATACTGTTCAGCGCTACTGTGGAGGAGTCGGATATGGACGTGGACATGGACGTAGACATGGACATGTCTGCTCCTCCATCGCCTGTCTTGCAGGCCAGTATCACTCCCACCAGTCCTACCGAAGTCGCCGATCATCATAAAGGCACATCTGCGATTCCTGGCCTGGTAGCCACCGAGGGACCGGTAGTCATAGCCTCACAGCCAGCCTCCGCTGCTCCAGACACATCCGGTGTGACTGGATTGACATTGACTCCCCGGCAACCAACCGAGGAACTTGGCTTGTATTCTGCTTCGAGCGAGGAATCCATCATTCCTGGGCTCAACCTCAATAGAAAGGACACACCGTCCGCTATGCCGGCCCATGTTCAGCAGTTATGCGAAGACAAGCCCACGGGTGCTAAGGAAGACGACTTTGCGATTCCTGGGCTGACGATCTCTCCTCCTGCCATCGCTCAAACCGAGGAGGAACCTTCACCTGTCGTCGAGACACGAGAAAAGACTGCTATTCCCGACGAGTTCGATGAGCTGACTCCTGAGGTTTCAGTAGAAGATGATGAATGTGACATGGACGTGTCCCCGCCGGCCTCGCCTGCGTCTCGTTCTTCCAGCCTTGGTGACGCTAGTCCGGTTGCCGTTGCTCAAGCTGAAGCAGTTGCTGTGCCGCCTGTCACTATAGAAGAGCTGCCGATTGCGCATGAAGCGCCTGCACTTGCTGCCGAGGAGCCTTCAGAGCCGCAAGATGAGTCGTCGCCTGTCACACGTGAAGCCGTATCTACCTCAGTACCCGCCTCGCCTCTTGCAGTGCCGACCTCTCTTCCTGCCGAACCGTCACCTACTGCCTCAGAGCAAGCCCTTGTACCGGTGCCCTCCGACGAGATTGATGCACCTCGTCCAATTGAACCGGCCCCTGACGCATCTCCTTCAAATGATGAACCTCAAGAGGAGGAGTCTGCTTCACGGCCAGGCTCGCCCATGGTAGTAGAGTCTCTACTCGGCCTGACTGAGCCGCCGCCTATACCAGAGTCTTCTGTCGTGGCGGAGGAGTCCCAAGTGGCTCAAGGTTCGCCAACGGTGGTCGAGTCACCAACTACTAGTCCTACTGCTGAGAAGGCGGTCCCCGCAGATGGAGCACAAACGGTGTCGGAGGCGACGCAAGGCGCACCTGTAGAAGAGGGTACAGGTAGGCCCATCGGCATCGGGAGTGAAACCGCCGTACAGGTATGTCAACTTTCCTTCACTTAGACTTTATACTCAAGGCGAATCAGGAGCAACTTGTTGCCGTCCCCGAGGAAATCTCTCATGCGCTGAGAGAAGTGGACAGACAAGCTGGTGTGGCAGAGAAGGCCGCAGACGCTGCAATTCACCACGATGAACAGGTCGATCAGGCCCAGCAGCAACTACCTGCTCAGGATGTCGATCCTCTCGCAGAGGGACTTCGAGTAGTAGTCTTGGCGAGGTTGCAGTACGATCGGCAGACGAAAGCGGAACGCGTTGCCCCGGTTCTTATGGCTAACATGACCATTGCAGAGCCTCATGACCGCCGCCAGAAACCGTCTGCAGGTAGGCTCTGTGAGGAGGTGCTACAGGGCAAGCGCAAGCGCGACAGAGATGACAGCTTCGTGCGCGTGCGGCCGTCACTCCAGGTTCTCTTTGCTAGGCGACAGGCCTCTCTAACGGAGAAGGTCCGAAAGTTGAAGGAGGAGTATTTGACTCTTCATGACCGCTGGATGGTGCATTGCGCCAAGCTAGACGAGGTTGCGAAGGCTGCAGCACTCGAGGAAGCTGCCGCCACTGCTGGTAGGACTACGCGGCGCTCGGCTGCACTGGGAGATGCCGTACGAACAGACCTAGAGATGGAGCAGATCATTGCAAGCTTGGGCAATGAGGAGCTGACTGACGCCAATCACCTTGCATCGCGGAACGCTGCAACTATCCCAGACATGATCTCGGTAACGAAGGGATCGGTCGATTATTCGTTCGACGACACCAACAACGCCGTCGAAAACCCGGCCAATTTCTACACGCCGAATACATGCCTCGAGGATTGGACAGACGAAGAGAGGGAGATTTTCCTCGAGAAGTATGCGCTCTACCCCAAGCAGTTCGGCATCATCGCCGACTTCCTTCCCAACAAGACCACGGCCGAATGCGTCACGTATTACTATCTACACAAGAAGACGCTCATCGACTTCAGGAAGGTCCTTGCACGGAATGCGACTGGCAAACGGAAACGCGGAGGCGGGCGCGGAGGCAAGAAGAAGGGCAATGCGTTACTGGAAGACATTCGGAAGCACGATGCCGAGGTGTCTCGGGGTTCGACTTCCAACGGGCCTTCTACTCGTCGCAGACGGGGGGTGCCCATAGGTGAGAATGGGGAGCCTCTCCCTCGCCGCGCTTCGACGAGGAAGAGCGCCGTCCAAGCCGAGAACTCGCCGGGGACGACGCCGACACCCGACCCAGATCCTGAACCACGCAAAAGACGCCGCGCGGCAAAGCCCACTGCCCGCGCTGTGGCAGCGGCGGAGCAGGAGGTAGACGACGAAACTGCGGTATGTGATTTGCGCACACATGCAATATGCTACTTGACGAACGAACACTCTGCAGGAGGTGGAGCCAAAGCCACCGCCCAAGCGGACGCGTCGTTCGCGCAAGGTCAAGTCGGCGGAGACTGTTGTTGACTCGCCACCCATGTCAGAAGCGCCCCTTTTGTTTAGCGAGACACGGTTCATAGACCAGACAGAACTGACAGCTCGGAAGAAGACACCTACGGGTAATGTCCAATGGACCGAAGAGGACAAAGGTACGCCCGTATCCATGTAGTATTGGTATTGAACTCGAAGATCTTACGTACATGTGTAGAGCTCTTCATCAAGCTGCTGGCTCACCACGGTGATGATTTCAAGAGGATCTCCGCGTCGATGCCCAACAAGGTATGATTGACTCCGCTGCTAGATAGGACCCGAGACTTACGAAACTCAACCCAGACTGCCATTCAGTTGAACGCATGGTACAAGGCGAACATGAAAGAGTCCAACCTCGCAACAGTGGCAGCTCAGGGGAGGAAACGGACGCCAACCCCGGACCTCCCCTCGGCTTCTGAAGGCTACAAAGAGATGTCACTTCCTGGCTCGGGCGTCATCACACCCAGTACCCGTGCGTCAACCCCAAGCGTCGTACAGAACTCCACGTCGTCCACGAATTTCGAAGCGCAGTTCCGGCTGGACGACCCTTCTGCAGTCTATAAGTCGAAGTTACGTGCATCTGCCTCAAACAGCGCCGACCCCGAGCAGAGGCCATCGAGTCGTCCCGGGTCCAGTCTCGCTGGATCCGCCTCCTCTTCCGGGAACCTCCAATTTCGTTCTACATCCCTGGAGACGATGCGCGCGCAGTATGGCGGACCATCTGATGCCCTCCCACGACACTTCCCTTTTCAATCGCGGCCCTCTCCCTTCGCCTCCGTCATCCCACCGCCGCTAACCATGAACGGCTCGCCCTTCGTCGACACCGGGCGACCAATTCGCCCCGCACCTCCTTCCGCCGCGGGGTCGAGCTCCGGCTCGGGCTCAGGCTCGGGCTCGGGCTCGGGCTCCGCGCCGCTGACGATGACGTTCCCGTCGAGCTTCGCGTACTCGAACCTGTCGCCGTCGCACTTTTCTGGCGAACAGCGGCTGCCGCCGCGCGGGTACACGATGCGCAGCGCGAGCCCCGGCAGCGCGCCCTCCAGCCAGACGATGATGTTCGAGGCGTCCATGTTCGCGCCGGCGGGCCCTGGTCTGGGTTTGGGCTTGGGCTTGGGTCTGGGTGTCGGTGGGGCGTCACCATTTACGTTCGGCGCGTCGGGTGCGGGTGCGGGTACGGGTGCGGGTGCGGGCGTGGATGCGGGGACGGGGGATGGCCCGGCGATGCCGGCGACGCTGCAGACGACGGAGGATTTGGTGGCCTACTTGGAACATAGGACGAGGATCGCTGAGCAGAGGGAGTCGGATTTCATGTGAGGGGAGTCTTGCCGATGTTCTTGTCTTGCGAGTGGTTTGGCTGCTCTGGTATATACTCTCATGTTTGCTTTTTGAAGGTTTGCGTAATATGGTGATGATTGATGGCTGCTGGTTAGCGTACATGCACTCCTCGTTTGCACTTTTGTGGTCTTATTGTACATGGTGTGGTAGTAATCAGTACATATTCCGACGTTGCTCGTTCTCGTGAAAGCGGGCTTCTGATCGTGAGTGCTGAGTGCCCCAAGCGTTACCGGCGACCCTCGACCATGATGATGTGATACCCGAACGTGGTCTTCACGAGCGGTGAGAGGATCGGCTTGTCGACCGTGGATGGCTGCAGTGCGAAGGCCGCGTCCTGGAATGGGCCCTACATCGACGAGAACGACAGTCAGACGGGTTCATAATCCCGAATACAGCGTGGAACTCACCACCATGGACCCTCTTGTCATCCAGCCAAGACTGCCACCGGCTGCAGCATCGCGAGTGCCACATGTGCAAGGAGATCTAGGAGAACGGTTGTGTGGGCGCACCTTTGGCCTTGTCTTCCGAGTATTCTTGAGCGACCTTGTCGAATCGCTGACCCTCCTGACAGTAGCATGAGAGTCAGTGATTTTCCAATGCGAGAGAAGGCGTAAGGCGTGTATAGGTCAAGAGACAAAAACGTACTTGAATCTTCTGCAGAGCCTCGGTCGCCTTGGAATGTTTCTCGCAGAGGATGTGCCGCACGTTCACGGCGGTGGCGGCCTTCAAGGCTCCCTTACCCTACAGCATTACCCTTGCTTCAGCCTGCTTCGAACTTCACTCGGTTGAGGCAGGCGCACCTTGCCCTTGTCGTCCGCATCCTCCGAGCTCTTCGACGCACCCTTCCCGCCCTTCTTACTGTCTGCCGGCTTCTTCTCAGCTGCTGCACCCTTCTTCGCCATGAGTTTCAGTCTCTCTGTAGACAAAGCTTTGGAACGAAGTCAAAAGCCACAAGCAGTCCTTTGCAATGCATTCCGTGCGCCGTCTCACCCGCCACAAGCGCGGTCAGCTGCTGTTCCCGCCCTCTTACCCAATTTGGCAGGAGGGCGGGCGTCGGGCGGGGCCCCACAGTCACGTGGATGACGCGTCGCCTGAGGTTGCGGCGCCACCCGCCCAAACGACGCCCTATGACGGAGTGCAGCCTGCCCTGGGCGTGAATTGCAGCTCTTCTTGACGACCGCCACCATCTCTCACCCAATCTCCATCCTAACTCGACGACACAGCCTGCATATGTGAGCGTGGTCGAGCCTGAGTCGGACGAACGAGCCTGACTCTGCCACGGCAGTTCTCAGACACTCGGCGCGAACGTGACGTCAGAATGAGTTCGCGAGCTCGCAGCAAGCCTTTGGTGCGTCGCCTTTTATAGGATAGAACGAGAACGTGTCTGACCGTGTGTATGTTTTGTTATTTTTCGTTGCACAGGCTGTCGCCGTCGTTGTCGGCTCTATCGCGACACTGGGCTATATGTACGTCGCGGGCACGCAATCGAAGAGGGCGGAGGGACAGTCGTCTATCTACAGTGCGTCCTCTTGCTGTCTAGTATCGCGCTTCTGTTGATTTGGACTGTGCGCCATGTGCATGCAGAGGAAAGCCAGGGTGCTAGCAAACTCGGCAACGACTCGAGCGACGCTCGGCTTGGCTCTGCAGGCGTCCGCGCGGCCGTGCAGGGAGACAAAGGATCGTGATGAAGCGTCAGGACAAACCATGCGATGTAACAGCTCACCATAACTCTACTCTTGTACTACTAGCAGCATATCCCCGACGCCGCCGGTTCGGGGTTTTTGCGCAATGTATTTCGTCAAACCCTCCTCCTCCCACTTGCGCCTCTAGTCATTCATCGGGTCTGGCAGAAATGTGGGGCTTTGTCATGTCTGACTTGACAACATTCGGTCTCCCCAGTGGGCTCAAGTCGACTACACATCCAGTCGACGACCTCTACGCCTTGGTCAGAACGAATGTGGGCGTCTACGTATCTTTGTCATGACGTCAGTCAGCCAACAGCCTCACACCGAGATCGCCAATCTCCGTGCACGGTCAGAGTCGGGCTCAGGTTCCTCATGCAGGTTCCAGGACGATTCCAAGCATCGTCACGGATCCCTTTGTCCTTCAAATCCACGATGGGCGCGCACCGCCGGTCATCATCTGCTTCCACTGGTCGCACCAGCACAGCTCGTTGGCCTCTCGCCTCCCCAACTGCCAAAGGGTCTGAATCCGAGGCCGCCGTCTAGCATTGAGCCGTGGCTCGTCCATCCCAGAGAATTCTCTCGTCCGATTCCGGACGGACATCAACACCGAATCAGTCCCGTCGCGCCACATCTGCGTCCCAGACAAATTCATTGTTCAAGGAGTGCCATAGCGGGCTAGCACGACGATCGCCAGCAGCGGTCCCTTGGAAGCGGGGGCCCGGGGGCGGAATCGCGCCGGTCAGAAGTTCTGTTGGAAGGCGGTTGGCCAAGCAGCTGCAGTGCAATCACATTGGTGCGCTCAAACGGGTCTTGTTGTTTGAGTCGTTTGTCGCGACTCGTTCCATTCGTTACGCGCAGGCCTCTGGTTCTTCTCTGGCGATGGTCCTCAGAGGCGTCGCGATCAGGCGAGCCGTGTTGCTGTGCTCCGTAAAGCATAAGCACTGCGAATGTCACTGTCATCAGAGACACTGTGGGTGTAAATTCGGTCTGGTTGCATGGCGCCCTCGCTGGACGTCGCAACATTGTACTCTGAAACTCTGGATGAGTCCTGGCTAGTTTCGTAGAGCGGTGTGCACGGAGGATGACCGCCTCACGAGACGCGTGCTGCGAGGCCGCCGCGATGCGACGGAGCGAAACGGCCGGCTGGTTTCGAGACTGGCTGTGAGGATGGTGCACTGAGGATGATCCCCGTGCGAAGCTCGGCTGTTCACGACCACGACTTTGCGGCGCTGCCCGACGTGCGAACTGCGTGCTGGACGCATGGGGGACGTGCCAGCCTGATCGAGCGGCCAAGAGTAGACTCGGGCGTGAGCCTGTCCGAACGTCAGTCCGGGATTGTAGTGTGACCGAGCGACAGGCATGGAGGACCTGAGAGTGCGGCTTCTACATGGAATTTGAAGATGAGTTAGACCCAGTAATCACTGATGTGAGTTGCAGAAATAACCAAGTTCAAGGCGGGCAGCGTTTGGGCAGCGTTGTATGTACAGTATGTAACTTGTGCCTGGACGAGCGGTACCGGTGGGACGATGTCACGATGTCAATGTCATAGCCTCGGCGATCGCGCGCAGATCGCGACAGAGCTCCGGCAGTTTCACGTGGCAACACGCGAGCGAGGCGGCGGCCGCCAGCGGACCTCGGCGGAACGCTGGCGTCCTGGATTGGTTCCGTGCTGCGTGCAAGTCTATCGAGTTTGGGGCCGGAAGCCCGGCGTATTCGAATTCGAGGGTGTGGTGACGGGCGCGTTCAGAAGATGTTTTGTAGACGAGACGACTGACAGCGAGGCCGTCGTGAGGGTTTCTCTGGCGTCCGACGTGACTGTGAGGCCGATGCGAGCTGGATGCAAGGCCGCTGTGCGCACCGCGCTCCGGGCAGCCCGGAGCAGCCCGGAGCCCGCACGGGAAGTCCCAGGGAGTCCGTGCTTCGCGGAGTGCCCCACGACGGATCACTCTCTCCTGTGCTGGGTCACAGACCGCGCACGCACTGCCCACGCGAGCTGCGCTTCTTGAGTCAGTCCACAGTGATGTTGACGGTCTTGCCTCCAAGCAGGCACCGCAAGTTCCCGTGAAATGTCCGTAGATGAACAGTGGGACGGTAGGGAGGCCGTGGTGACCAGTGACCGCGTTCAGACTGCGGTGTAAGTGGGTGCAGGGGCGCCATGCGCATTTCCGTGGCGGCCGGAGGTGTGGGTGGGCGGCGGACATGCTGCCAAATGGGGAAAGGATGCACGGCGGCCACGCGAGGACGGGCGCTCTTCGAAGGATTAGCGATGATCAAGTGCTGGCGCCTAGATGGGATCGGTGGCGCTTGTGCGCATCCCGGGCGCCTGTGGGCATGGGCCGTCAGACAGAAGAAAGGCAGGCTGCGCTTGTCTTGAGCGCGACACGCCTCACCAGACTCTGGCAGACTGCACGTCCCCGCCTCCGCTCCCGTCCTCCGTTCTTGAGGATAATCACAGCGAACAGCAGCGCGACACTGTCTGACTCTGCCTGAGAACCGCGGCCCGATCTAGATCGCTCAGCTATATCAATTGCCAGCTGCGAGCGCGAACATAAAAGTGACTCAGGCTCGTCTTGGACGCAGAGTCCAGATATTCAACGCCGAAATACCCCTGCCCCACACATCGACCTCATGTCAAATAACACTGAGAGCGATAGCAGCCAGGCCTCGGGCTCGAAGTCGAGGCTCCCTGCGAGACCGTAAGTGCCGGTGTCACTCAGATTCATTGGCCCTGACCATATTGCCTCTCTAAACAGTCGCGGAGCCTGCGTGCACTGTAAAGCGCTCAAGGTAGGTAGTGCCGTTATTGCACACAGGTAATCTGCTTAATTCTCCGCAGATCCGCTGTGAAATCATCCCGAACGAGAATATCTGTGTTCGGTGTAAAGCCAATGACTTTGACTGCGTCTCCTACGGCCGCAAGAAGCGTCGCCCAGCCCCGTACGCTGCCGCCCGCCACTGCGCCACACGTCTGCTGTTAACATGTGCATTCTAGCTCCCATGAAGATTTGCAACAGCGCTCGCGCTCACAGGACGTCCACATCCAGGCGCTCCTCCGCAAGCTCGACGAGATGAAGTCGCTCACCAAGGTGCGGTACTGTGTCGCGCAGGCGCAACAGGAGACGGAGGTCCTCCGCTCAGGCACAGGAGGATGCTCGTCGCCGAATATCAGCGGGTGGAAGGCGAGTGCAGACCGTGAGCCACGGGTGAATGGGTGGCGAGCAGAGGGGAATAAGGCTCCCGAGACGACTGTGCCAAGGTCATTGACACCCCCACCATCAGGCGAGTAGCGGCTCCGTGGTTAGGTGGGTCGGTGCTGAAGGTGTATTGTGTAGCGATGAACCCGAAGTGGCCCCCTATACTCCGATGTGGGCTGTTTGGCCCGCAAGAGGTCACAGATCTCTTCAAGTTGTGAGCATACTCTGTTGAGACCTGTTGCGCGACCTAATGAGTGCCCCCCGAACAGATTTTATTCCAGGTTACACGTACGTGGTGCAAGAAGATTGAGATGTGATATCTGTACTTAACCTTTCGCTCAACAGCCATCCTTCACCGTCCTTGATCCCGCCCTCCATACCCCACAATACCTCATCTCCAAATCCACCCTCCTCTTCACTAAAGGTGTGCGCTCTCCCTTTCCATGTACTTCTTTCACACCGCCCGCTTACCTGTGCCCCTTTCCCTTCAGTCCTCTCCCTTACCTCCCGCCATTGGACACATCGTCCGAAACTACATCAGCTCGCCGCAACATTCGCACACGAAGCAGCGACAGAGGCAGTCCGCGAGGGCTACTACACCATCGAGACCTGCCAGGCATTCATGCTCTCAGCAGGCTTCCCCGCGCCCCGGGAACGCTTCTCCGAGCACCGCGCCTGGCTGCTCGTCGGGATCGCCATCCGGTGCGTCCCCCCTTCCTCCCCCCTCACCCACCTAACTTACCCGCGCGCCCCTAGGATCTCGCAAGACCTCAAGCTCAACGAGCCGCCCCCCGCGAATCTGCCGGAGCGCGAGCGGCTGGACCGGATCCGGACGTGGTTCCAGGTGGTGTGCATCGACGCGTCGACGTCCGTGCAGCAGGGCAAGGCGCCCTTCCTGCAGGGCTCGGACTACGTCGCGCGCGCGCTCTCGTCGTGGTACCGCTGCTCGCCGCTCAACTCGCCGTACGACCTCTACCTCTGCGCGTTCACGGACCTCGCCCTCCTCGTCGCGCGTCTTTGGAAGGCGATTGGCGCGGATAGGTTTGACCCGGATTTGGTGCAGGTGCGTGGGTCTCTGAGTGCGGGGATAATTGAGGGCTGACTGGTGGTGTGACAGGGCGTGGATGTGATTGGGACGGTCCTGGAGTATCACCAGAAGATTGTGGAGAAGTACGCGGAGTGGAGAGAGCGCGAGGCGCAGCACTCTAAAGACCCATTGCGTATGTTGTCCCGCATCTCCGCGTCATTTCGTGCGACTGATCGGTTGATACATAGCGGCGGCGCAGCCTCAACATGGAATGCGTTTGAAGCTGTGAGTAGCGTTCATATGTGCGCGACGTGTTGGGATGCTTATACGGCGGTGTAGGATTGCGAACGCGATGAGACTCATTGTCCTCGGCGCTGGCTTCCAGTGGTCTGTGAAACACGGAAAGGAAATAAATCCTGAGATTCTTAGTCTAGTGCGTGTCTTTGAGTATATCAGCTTCTCCTTACTAACCCTTCATACAGTCGATCGAGACTGCATTGACATGTACCGGAGTACACATTGACGAACTATACCCGGCCGGTGTCCTTCGCACCCTGATTGAGGTATGCTATAACGCTATGAAGAATTTATTGGGACGCTCATCTCGCGCCGTATCTCAGCCACATTTCCTCTATGTAACATATGCCGCAGCTTTCCTCGTTAATGTGTGTATCTTGCCTATCCTCCTAGCGCCCAAACGAACTTAACCCAGCTTGCACAGCTCCTTAAGCGGGATTACTCCTCCCTGCTCGAGCCGCACGTTCGGACTACCATCGTCTCGAACGTGCGCACGCTCATCAACATCTATCTCTCCAAGGAGGTTGCGCTCGACCGCGCGCACGCGCCCGCCGTATACGGGCGCTTCCTCTCCGCGCACCTCGACCGCATCGTCGAAGGGCAGAACATCGCGCCCGCGCCGCAACGCGGGCCGGAGGAGGTGGCCTTACCCCCGGACATCTGGGACATCTCCGTCCCGTACGACCTCGGCGTGCCCATGGGCGGCGGGCCACAGCAGGCGGTGCCCTACATGAACGGCGGCGCGGGCGGCGACCTCATGGTCGGCTCGGACTTTGGGTTCGAGCAGTTCGTGACCGGGATCAACGCGATGGGCGACTTCCCCCAGGGATTTGCGGACCCCGCAGCGTTCATGCCCGCGATGTCGGTCAACCCGCTCGACGAGCAGACGTGGTGGAGCGGCTCGGTAGCGTGCCCGCCCCAGTTTGACCAGACGGCCCTCGACTTGGCGACGTTTGCGATGGACGAGGCGTATTTGCAGGCTGGGTGGTGATCGATTCTGTTGTGTGCTGTCGATGTATGTGTCTCAGGAGCTATCTGTATCTGTTGCTTTGTGTAGCATATTCTTGCCCTCGAACCTGCTGTGTTGCTCTATATACTATATACGCCATGATCATTATATGCGACCATCTGCTCAACATCGCTCAAGAATATCAAGTCGAAATGCGAGGACTCCTGAGTACGATGTACTTAGACGTCGCAACAACGAGCGCTCAGACTTCAGGCGCGCGCTCGAGCACCTAAGTCCACGTTAGCAAATCCCGTCTTGCCCAAATGGCGACTCGAAATGCGCGAGCCTCAGGCCCCTCCCGCGACTGGAGCAGCGTAATATGCGTACGTACGACATGTCCGAGGGTTTCGGAGCCGAGCGTCAACAGCGGGCCGCCCCCTGCGTGAGCCCGATCCTGGGCTGAGCAACATGCGTCCACAAGCGCATCGCACCCGGACCGCAGATCTGCCGTCTCGAGGAAAGCCAGATCAATTGAACCTTGACAGGAGAGTCTAAATGCACATGGCACGATGACCAGATTGAAGACCCATCGCCGCGGTCCGCCATGCGCGTGGATCCAAGGCTATATATACATATGGGCACCGGTTGGCAGTGCGCTGTGTCCCTATCGCGCACTCTCCTCTCTCGCACTACCTCCGTCTCGCTCTCACCAGATTCCCTCGTCTACAGGAAAGCCGTGCCAAGTAGCTGCCGGAACCGGATAGGCGGACGTTTGGTGGGTCGTGACGTCCGCGACGAAGCGCTGGATCGTGAACTCGGCGCCCTGTGACGACTCTATGTCCACGACATGACTTGAGGAGCCTTGAGCCTCCGATGTGGTTCCGTGGGTGAGTGCTAGGCTTGGGTTGCTCGGTGTCGGAGTAGACGGATGGGCGGACAGGTCGTCTGCGAGATCTTGCCCTGCCGTGATTTGGTCGAGCAGGGCTTCGAGGAAGCCTGCGTAGACGACGGCAATATGTGTCCTGTCGATAGCTACGTCTCTGCAGTTGAATACCTCGATGAGGGTGCGGACCTCCCGGAAGATGTCCGTACGAATGGTGCCTTGAAGCAACAAGGCGAGACAAGGACGCAGCAGCTTCGGAGAGGTAAGCTTGAGTTGTCGACAATCAATTGAAGTGCTCACATTGATAAGGAACGCTGCTGAGTATGTCACGAAGATATATTGTGGCTGTAAAGGAGTTGTCTCAGACCTCGGCCGCCTTGGAGGACCATAGTACGCACCTCGATGGCATAGCGCAAAACACCGGTGGGGTAGATGTGCTCGGTGTCGTATTCCAGGACATGGCGCGCTGCCTCGACAGCCTGCTTTCTAATGAGTACAACATGTGCACGACCGATGGAATATATCGGCATACGAGATTGAGCAGTTCCATATTCGGATAAAGCATACGCTTTACCGAATGCTGAAACCCGACTCCTAGGACACTCAAACGTAGAGCATATCCGAGCCTAAAGCAATGTAAATCGGAAAATTGCCCCTGGAAGCAGATGCGACATACAGTTTGAGCTTGGGGTCGCGATGCGCAGCGACTACGCAAACGTCCTGAGTGCGATAGAATATGGTGCGTGAAATCAAGCATACCTGCGGGATGTATGTGGTGCTCGGCGATGCGCTGTTGCCACAATTCAACCCTACCGCACACACTGCGGTGGTACGACAAGATGGTATCAATGACTTCGTCATCCTGCAGCCAGAAGAATGAGTCGCACAGAACTCGTCTAGATTCATGCGGGCCAACCTACTTCTTGTGAATTCATGCTCGTCGGTCCCGTAGGGCCCCAGACGTTTGACGTGAATGACATCAGATCCGCATAGGCGCTACAGTAGATGTCGTATGGCGAGTTCAACGGGGAGCACCGGTACCACAGATCGGTCATCTGGGAGGTGAAGTTGTTCCTCTGAACCCAGGTTGGCTGCCCCTTCTGGATGGCATTAGAAGCATCCACAGCGACAATTTGAAACCAGGTTCGGAGACGGTTGAGCTTCTCGCGTTCGAGGATGTCCGCAGGTGGCGGCTCATCCAGCTTGAGGTCCTGGACAATTCTACGGGTGCAATCAGCATCAGAGCGACGAATAAATACTAGTGCGAGCGTACCGAATAGCGATGCCCATTAGCATCCACCCTCGGTGGTCAACCCAGCTCCTGTGAGGTGCGGGGAACAAAGCCAGCAAAGTGAGAGCCTGGCATGTCTCAATTGTCCTGTAGCCTTCCCGGACGGCTTCTTTGACGCATTCGGTTGTGTGCGCTCGGGCAAGCACATGAAGCTTAGGACGGTGTGTCCATAGCCGTGACGTCACATATAGCACTACGGCGTAGCTGAACAATCGTCATGACCTAGGAGACAACGCTCACTAACCAGTCGTAAAGAGCAGGGATGATTTCGATAGGACATATTCTGGGGTATGCAAGGCAGGGTCCAAGATGGCAAAGGACGGCTGTAGACGGGTTTCATCAATACCTGTCGGTGGGCGAAAATTGAGTGCGCCTTACGTATAACTTGTCGAAGTACCTGGCAAGGAGCGCGGTCCGGTATATTCTCAACGAGTGGCAAAATCACTCACAGCTTGAACAACGCCGTTACTTCGACCGGCCCAAAAAGGCCGCATTTGAGTATCGGGGGACAGATGAAAGTGCCCCAATCTGTCCGGTCATCAACTACTCACCAATCGTAGACTTCGACAGGCCTCACTGACCTACGGCTGAGTAGTACGGGAGGAAGAACGATGCAGTTGTTCTTGCAGTTTCCACGCAAGGCACGGAGGACTGATGAGCTCTGCTGGGATCCCGTTTATCACGCCCGTTTGCTGCCCCAGAAGGCAAATGCTCGTCAGGATAGACTGCATCGAGCGTCAGAATTCAGTCAGCACCGGCCGGGCGGCCGCCGGCGGCCAGGCTTATTAACATGCATAGAGATGCTCACCATCCATTGGCACGCCGCTGGACCTTGCCATCAGGGCCGCAGATTCATCCCTCGCTTTAGCCACTAACTTGCGTATTTCGGTGAGTCGCTTCAGACCATCCAGTTGGCCCAGTAACGACTGAATATGAGCGTCTTGCGCCTCCGAGCGCTTCATGAGCTGTTCATGAGACCTACGACTCAATCGTCAGCCTGCGTCAGCCGAAGCACTTTGAAGGGTCGAAGTGCTGACATTGCGGGTCGGCGTTTCTTACGTCCATGGGTCATGCAGTCTGCCCCTGTCGACTTGCACTTCACGCATATGCCCTCGTCGATGATCCACTCGCAGCGGATCTGGCAGGAATATGAGTCAGCGTGTAGCGTTTGTGCAGTGTGTCAGACCCACTTTGAGTGTCTTACAATTGGCGCAAGCTCCGGTCCTGTAGTTCATGTAACATCGATACGACATCCGGGGAAGAATGAGTGGAACAGGAGACTCACGACTTGTCTGCGACGAATCTCCGCGAGGAGTAGGTATCGCTGCTCGATCCATCGCTTTCTGTGTCAGACATACTAGATTGAAGTCGCGAGTAGGTAGCGAATGCCCGCTCGATTCAATGTGCGTGGGTAGTAAAGTATTGAAGATCACGGTCGCGTTTAGGCTCTCGACGAACCACAGGCCTATATATACACTAGGCCATTCACCCTCTCCACCCCATCAGCGCTCTCAGCAAAAAATCGAGCTTCGGATGTGCGCCGTCACGGTCATGTATACGCGTACTGGGAGTGGGCGCCGCCGCCGTGACGCGTAGACCGTAGGCTTGGCCTTGACCCACTCGCGGTCCGGGCTGCAAGGAAGACACCGAAACACCGGAGATCATATCGTCGATACGGCTTGCGATCAATGATCATCGTCCTCGCGCGGCGCCCGCAACAGAGTTCTGACTCGTCCTCCACCGAACGCTAGCTTGACCGCCGGTACCGGGTACGGTTGCTTCGGTCGACGAAGAATGCATTGCAATTGGACGTACAAGCGACTCAAAGCCTGCCTCAGCTCCATTCCCAGTCCGAGTTGGCCATCTCAGGAGGAGGAACTCATCACGATGTCTGTACTCCTGAACCTGGGGCGCTAGACACAGACTCTGGGCGCGCCCAAGAACCGAATGCACCGCTCCTCTGATTGCTAGATCTACCGCAGCGTTTGCGTCAGTCAAAGGGATGATGGATCAGCTGCCACGCGGGAATTTGCACTGACTGAGTCGAACCTGACGAACAGCGTCAGTCACTGTAGAATATGAAGGGCTCTGAATGCCTCTGAAAAAGCAGTGGCCATGAGGGAGGCCGCGAGGGGCGCAAGTTGGAGGCTCATCTGGGTCTAGCCTGGTTTTATTTGCACAGCTAGATCAAGACATGGTCTGCAAGGCGACATTCATCTGGCCACATATGCGTTCAGAAGGTCAACCCGACAGGGTCCACGACGACTATTATGTAGGTTTGATTCTGACCTTCGGTTCTTTACTTCTGAATCACCCGGAAGGCGCCAGAAAGACGGGCTAGAGGCCTGTCCGTAATTCCACAAAGGTCGGGAGCCGCATCTCGCGCGGTCGGGGCCACAGCTGTGGTGCCTAGCAGGTCGGAACCTTTCGATATGTTTTGTGCGTTCGGGAGACTAGACGTTGGCCCAGTTTTCATACCCTGGCAGTGTCGAGCCACCCGCGATGGGTCGCACGCACCAATGTCCGAGTCACAGTGTCCCAGTGGTCCGCGCCTGGTCCGCGCTGTCGTCGTCATACGGCGCTCGGTCAGCCCTGTCCTCTTGATATCCGGCGAGAGACAAAGTGTCCGTATGGGGATGTGCAAGGCTGGTGCTGACGGCGCCGAAGACTCGGTCATCGGTCGGTACCAGCCATCGCCACATATGTAGCCGGTGGTCTTGCTGAGCGCTGAACATCCTCGGTGGGACGAAGCATAAACGCTGGTGTGCTCATAACGGTGGGGAGCGGTGGGGATGGTGACTTGGGAGTCTTGGTGACGCAGATAAGCCTTAGGGCGAATGTATCTGAGGATATGCGATATCAGCGTGTAGTGTTAGGTTCATTGCTTCCACCATAGAAAACATAATGACAAAAACATAGAACATGCTACCGAGAACCTAACAGTATGCGTGGTCTGCGGAGCATACATCGAACCATCGAGACACGCTGACTCGATCGAGCTCATGCACGCTGCAGGCTGTCCGTCGGGAGTCCGAAACCCCAGGCACGGGGCGACTGACACAATGGACCTGGTATTTGGGAACAATATCAGAAGGTGATGAGCTCATCCATCCCAAATCAACTTGCCATGTATGGTTCAAAGTAGCGAGCGTGGCGATGTTTTGCAAGAGACCACGGATTCTAGTCGAGATGATAACTTGCTTGGACAGCGAGGGCTGCGTATCTTCTCGGTATGTTTCCCTTGAAGCATGAAAGGCGCGACTCATGCAAACTTAGGGGAAGCCAGGTGTGTAACCAGGAGGACGGTGACCGTTAAGTTAGCGTCGTGTTTAAGTCCGACGACGGGCACTCGCCCGTGCCGGGTATCCGGCGCCTATTCCACGCAGTCTGAATCGGCTTAGCGCCCACTGTCAGCCCGCCACCACCGCACCGTGTGACACTAGTACTGCAGCTGTGTAGTATTAGTACACGTACTACAGGCTCTTGTGGATGATGTTACTGCGTTGGTGGGTTCGTCAACAGGTAATGTGTTCAGTTCAACGAGGACATCTTGGACCTCACTGAATCCAGGCTGAAATCACTTATATCACGATATGATCTGTCTTTACCCACTGAAAGAGCATTGAATTTAATCGCGACGTACCCCACTCAGCCTCACTGTGTGTGGGCCGCTGGCACTGTTAACATTGTCATACTCGCTTGGTGAGCCCAGTATCGCTATCGATGTTACATATTCCAGTCATCCTCACTTTCAAATGACTTTAGACCCCTCCATGCCAGTGCGTTTACCAGTGTCTCTACTATAATTGCCAGCGCGGGTCTGTGCAGCGCCCACAGCCATGTGTCCGCTTCGACCCGCGAGCAATGTGCACACCGGAATCCGAATGCAGGTTGTCGCTCCTCGGATCAATACAAGGCCCAGGTGTCGCTGCTCCGTAAGTACTTAACTGAGAATCGTCGCGCGTTGCCGAACCGCTTCATTCCGAAGGTGAATCGTATTCACTACTGTGGTAAGCCAATTACTTATCGCTGAGAGTATTCAGACATGTTCGGTGCCGATGGGACTTCGGCACGGTGAAGAAGACGCGCTGCCCGGTGCCCTGCAACATGGTACGCTTCATTATGACACGGCTTGCTCATGAATAGAAGGCAAGAAGATGTATGAATAATGCTCGAAGCTGGCCTCCGTAAACGTTCCCATCGCCAGTTGATCGCCAGACTTTCCCTTTGGCTCATGGCAAGCCTCAAGGCGTACCACTGCCAGCACGCGATCGAAGAAGGTGGCGGCGCACGATGGGAGACGATGGAAGACACGACGGCAATGTTACCGAGGGCCAGGAAGTCAATCGGTGGATCAAGCGGATCGCGGTGCAAGGCACCCAGACCCCCTTTCTCCCACCCACTCGTGCACGACACCCGGAACTCGCGTACGAAGGCGCATGTGAGAAGGCAGAGTCCCGGAACTCAGCGAAGCCCAAGTACAGTCAGTATGAAGTAGTTCACGAGAATGACATTCGCTCACGATGTGTAGTACGGGCAAGCCATGCCGGTATGTCGCTCCGCGCGCCAGGCTTCATCCGTGATATGCGCTATGTGCTACAATTACATCCATGTCCGTCAACCAAAGCAAATCAGATATTATACATCATATGCACATGTGTCCGAAGGCGTGAGGGGTCCCTATCGATCAGCCTGACAATACAGTTCGTTCATACAGTGTGTTCGCTCCTGCGGGATGGTCCCAAGCTGCAGCGCCAAGTTGCTGCAGGTCTTCGCACCACGACCCTGCCTGCCACGATGGCTCGTGGAACGAGGTCAGCGGCTGGGGTTCAGACATCTGCCATCCCGCTTGAGCAGTCTTGACGTTCGTCACGAAGTTCTGGAAGGCAAATGCGTCTCCTCCTTGCGAGGCCTCGACAAATTGTGCTGGGTCCGCATCGAAGACTGTCTGATACCCCATCGGACCTACATCGTAGCCCTGGGGGCTGTCCGAACGAGGTCCTTGTGGCCACGAGAAGTCTAGAGGCGCATGAACCGAAGCATCAGGGCCTGCATTCTGTGCTTCAAGATACTTGCTCAGAAGCGACGAGAGGAAGCGCGAGTAAATGTAGGGGGCATGCTGTTTGTCCAGAGCGACATCGGCCGACGCCCATACTCGGATGAGTGAGTGCACGTCTGTCAAGATGCTGTCGCGGAGCGCGCGGTCCACGAGAGTGGCGAAGCGCGGGTCCAGCAGCTGTGAAAATCTACGTCAGACTGCGGGTCCGGCGGAGCTTGCGCATGTAATTACGTGCCTTCAATAGAAATGCGGCCGTGTACGTCACGTACAGAAATTGAGGCTAAAACAGGGTGATTTCAATGCAGCTCTAGGATCGCAGTTCGGCATGCCCACCTCGATGGCGTAGCGCAGGTGCCCGTTGGGATACAGCTGGTCGATGTGTATGCGTAGCGTGGTTTTCGCTATCTGGACCGACTGGAGCAGCGTAAGGATGTGGAAAACACGTCAGATGGTTAGACATACAGAGTCAAAGATATCTGGAGCAAGAGCGACCCCTTTCTTCAGGCACCAGTGAACACCGGCACCTAGGACTACGAGTCTCTGAAGACACGTATTCCTGTGAGACCAATAGTAAGTAACGGGCAACATGAGAACGCTTCGGCTTACAGAGTCAACCTGGTGTCTCGCTCAGCTTTCACTTAGAACAATGAGCCCATGTCCAGCGCAGAGAGATGCCCTCTCACCTCGCCAGTCTGCGGGATTGTGCTGCTCCGTGAGACGCTGCTGCCAGTGATTGTACCGCTGCGTGATCTTGTAGTCATACTCCCGCACGAGGGCAAGGACGTCAGGCTCCTCACCGCAGTCGTATGAGTCGAATAGAGCGGACATGCGAACAGATAAAGACGTACCTCCCACAAGTCGGGATTCGACCTGTCTGGCTGGACAGCTTCCAGAAGCTGTATAGCGAGCCGCATTGAATCCAAGTAGGCCACGATATAGATGTCATACGACAGATTCAGAGTGGAGCACCTATACCAGAGATCAAATATTTGGTTGGTGAAGTCGCTCCGTGACCTCGCCGGCGTCCTCCCACGTTGAATGCAGTGCGACGTGTCCACTACCATGATGAAGAACCAGGTCCTGATGCGGTTAAGCCTCTCGCGCTCAGGAACTTCCGGTGGCGGCGGGTAATCCAGCTGTAGATGTTGCGCCATTCTTCCGCGACGTAAGTATAGGGTTTGGCGAGGCTACAGGCGTCATCAATTTCTCACCGAATGGAAGCCCCGATAAGTAGCCAGCTTCGATTCTCAAACCACCGCTGGAATGGTGCTGGGTAGACGGTCAGGAGAATGTAAGCCTGACAGGTCTCAATAGCATGGCAGCTATCAATGAGAGCCTGTGTCACGGCCTCACAGGCATATGCCATCGCAAGCTGATGGAGCTTTGGTCGAGGCTGCCAGTGGCGTGTGGCAATCGCGAGTACTGTGGATATCATGAACAGCCGTTCGATAATCAGCATTGCATCGACTTACTCATGGTGAACAACAAGGGTGATTTAGACATCAGGTATTGCGGCGTGTGTATCTCAGGATCAAGAATCGCGAAGGATGCCTATGACAGACATTAGGGACTGATCAGGGTCAATCGCGAGACATGTATGTTTCTTACATGTACTCTGTCGAAGTATCTGGCGCGCAAAAATCAGTTGTACATATGAAAGGGCATCATAGCATGGTAGTACTCACAGATCGAACAGCGCAGTGATCTCAAGAGGGCCAAATAGCCCGCTTTGGAGAATGGCAGGTTGGTTGCTGCTGCTTGCATAGTTTGCTACGTTGTCGGCCAATAACAAATGTCAGTAGCTGCTCTACCGTCTGCTAGGGCGTCTACTTTGCACGCCGCACAAGACTTACCAAATCTATCCGCGTAATTTGCTTGTCCCAGTAGCCCGGGGTTCGAAGGCGCTCCGGGGTATGCGGTTGGCCGACCCCTCGATACGTTTGCTGATCGTCGTGCATAAGGGCGCGCACATCAATCAAATTGAGCCAACACTGTGATTCGTCTTCCCAACTCACCATACGTTTCGTGCGAGCGTCTACTCATAGAGTCGGCCTCCGCTTGTGCCTGAGCAAGACAATGGAGCACTTTGGAACGCGCTTTTGTTTCGTCAAGCCGCCGCAGAAGCGATTGGATTTGCAAGTCCTGAGACTGTGAACGTTGCTGGAGTTCTTCCTGTGTCCTGCATGGAAAAAGTCGGAAATGTGGAGAATGGGCATAATGAAGGGGAACAACGGGGTAACGTACGGTGCCGCTCTTCGTTTCTTGCGACCTCGCGAAACACATTCGGTGCCACTGGCCCTGCATCTTACACACGTATCCTCTTCCGGTATGAACTCGCAACGAATCTAAGTATATCAACTCAGAAGACTGCCTGACGTGAGGTTAAGAAGTGACATGACTTACCTTGAGTGCTTTGCACTGCACACAAGCTCCTGACCTGTTAACGGCGCGAGTGATCAGCTTTCATCAGGATACGGCAGTGAATGCTTACGGTCTCTGAGGAGGAGGAACCGATGAGCTAGACGAAGATTTTTCCCGTTCCGCTGAACCTTGACGAGGAGAGCTTTTCTGCTCCTGTGGCCGAGACATAACTTTGTATCCGCTGAATCAGCCTATTGGCCGGAACCGAGGCGTGGAAGTCGGAGGACGGTTTCAATGGATGAAAAGGACTGGACACGAGTGGCATATATATCCACTGAATCAGGGGCAACTCTGTAGATACTGGTCAAATCATGACATGCGGACTCGGTGCATCAACTCCGTGAAAACCTACCGTCACGGTGTTCTCTGTTGGATCAGCACGGCTGCCGTGTTCGCTGGAGCGCGGCTACCTCTTCGTCCGGCGAGCACAGTTCACACCGTATCAGGAAGATCTAGCACGAGGGAAACGAGATCTGGATGTCGAATAGTGTCAGACAAGCTACGTTATGTTCAGCTCTGAGCGTTACACGTAAGTCACCGTGTAGCTGGGACCGTATCCGCGAACAGCAGCCGCGATTAGCGTCGTCGGAAAAGCGTCGAGCACCGTCCAGAAGCCTCGTGAGCCGTGAGCCACTAGATCTGGGGCTAATTCAGACGGCACGCACGGCTCCGGAGACCCAGACAACACAATGCACTGTACTGCAAATTCAAGCTGCTGTGGTAACGACTCCCACACCGTACGTACTATGATGCGTGGCTCGGGAACTCGGAGTAACCTCTCAAACTCCATTTTGGTGCGTTCTAGCCATGCTCACCGGAGCGAGCTGAGCCAACAGACCAGGCAGGTGTGCGCAGTGATGGGCTTGGGATTCTCGAATACAATTGTGGGCGCCTCTGTGCGTTGCGCAGCAGATCCCCTCCCGATCAACCTCCAGGCTATGCGGCGTGTCTTGACGGGTCGCGAATGGTAGTAACATCAGTCTCCGAGTCACGCATCGACCTAGCATCGACCTACTAGTAAGTAGGTGGGGACGAAGCGACTAGACGACTTATAATAGGCATACCGCGGACGCGCTTGCTTGAACATTCGCTCCGCGGACTCTGCAGTGGCTGTGGGCGTACAGCACCGTCGAGCCGGGGCAGCTTCCAGGACACGCGAGAGAATGACCCGCGTCCTCTTCACTATGTCGGGAGTTCCTCGCCGTCTCTGCAGGGCGGAGAAGATCGACGACTGTAGTCGATGTTCTGGCGGCGCTGCTACTAGATCAGGGATCTGAAACACGCTGTGCGTCATCCAGCGTCGTCCTCGCAGCTGAACAAGGTTATGACATGTCATCAGCTTGCAATTCAGACAACGCACCACAATCTCTACTGACGCGGCGGAGTTGATGGCGCAACGCCGCCCAGCGAACATGACATCCAGGGACAAGGACTGTTTGCGTGGAAGCTTATCGGGCAGCTGTTGATCCGAGCTCCGTGTTCGAAGGGACGACGGGTCTCCGATGGCGAGAACGCCTGAAGCGCAGTCACCAGCGTAGTTCGGTGGAAGTAAACGCCGGGCCACTGACCTAATGCTCAGGAATCGTCGCAGAGAGTACCCTATGCTGCGGGGACTTGACAAAGTCGGATGAGTTGCACTCCGGGACATCGAAATTCGCGTATACAGTCGACGGAATACGAGAGTGAGACTGAAGCGGTGCGCTGATTGCTATGCAATCTCATTGAAGTTAGGTCATGATTCGTTGCAGAGAACTGTCCTCACATCACTTCCTGTCTGCGCCGCTCGGCTGCTCGACCACATGGCGCATGACTTGTGTGGGGGTCCCATACAGGCGGAGTATCTCCGTTGGAGGTTGAGTAGAGGGCGCCGTAAATCATTGCTCTCTTGTCTGAGTGGATGGGAGATGTAGTCTTGGTAGTGTATTGCCGGGGGACCGTACGATCACTACACAAGAGCCGTTAGTGAGAACACAAGGCGATACTCGCAGGAAGCTTACTGCACGCGCTGAGAATAATGAAGATGTGCTTCAAGCACTGGAGTACATCCGTGACGTCAAATACCAGTGCGACTCAGCACTACGCATGGAGAACGCTACCTGGGATCTACTCAAGTCACCGAGACATATCAGTAGTAAAGGCGACCACACGAAGTCCGTTGAAACCCTAGACTCCGCCGAAGAGCGTCCATGTTGGCAAGCGAGGTCCGAAGTCGCCGCTTATCGAGCAGACCCACTGGCAGACCTGGCGAGACGCGCCCACAGGCATCGTTCGACCGTGTCGATCATCAGCTGGGTAGCCGAAGACGGCGCTGTGAGTGCAGGAAACCGTCCACATAGTATATGGCTGGATGACAAGTGGTCTTCCCGACTGTTGCCCCATTGTGGAAAGCTGCGTGGTCGCGTAAGCTTTTTTAGATTTGTCTCATCAAAGCCAACGGTGATGAGAGGTCGAGACGCGGGGATAGAACCCCTCGGACGAATCGCAAACGATGGACGTACTGATTTCACTGGAGCCCAGGTTTGGAGGGGACCTGAGCTCGGGCGTCGCCCCATTGGCTATTCTTCTATGCACTTGGTGTCACGAAAACCGTAGCCCTCACAATCATCTTGAGGAGATGCTATCATTGGCCGGTAATTTCCAACTGAAGACGATGCACTCACCCTGATCGCTACACGTGCCGCTGTACTCCAATTCGCCGCATGCAAAATTGTCTGCGAGAGAGGCCAGACCACGCTTATCAGATTGGTCTCTACCGAGAAGCACATTTACCTTCGACACATGCTGGGTCGGCATACATGGTATCAGCCCCGAGTCGGCATGCGGCGTGAACCGACAAGGCCCGACAACACTCGTTGTCAAACATGGCTTTCACACGGCGTCTGAGCGCGACAACCTCGGGCGAAGAAGTGGGAGACTGGGGGGCTGTAGAGCCTCTTTTTGTAGCTGCCGAAATTGCCCACGTACGGCACGACTCCATGATTGCCACTGCAACTTGACAACTGCTTGTTCTGCATCTAGCGCAACGTGCGTGTATGAACATGCCCAATGGCCGTCTGCCAGTGGATCCCGCCCACTGGTCATGACGCTACTCATGTCATATCCAACTCGGAGACGCGACACCACAGCGTCGTTCGACTACCCTTTCCCTGATACGTGATCATGGGGCGTCCAGACGTCAGGGCTTCCGCAGCCTGAGGTGAGGCCACAATGAGCAGAACCCACGTTGTGAATGAGGCGCAAGGGCGCGATAGCCGTTGAGATAAGATACCATGAGACTGGTGCTCACCATAGACGTTGAAGCCAAAATGCACGGTAGACACATTCAACGTTCGTGCCTAACCTAACGCGAAAATCTTGCGGCCGCCTCGGTGTATGGCTCCTGAGTAAACCCAAGCATTCTGCACGTAGTGACCTGGTGACCACAATGTACCTGAGGCCCTGTATCTCAACTTCGCGTTGGCCCATAAATGGCCTAAGTCGCTGTGACGTCCAGGATGAGTACAATGTCAGGTTCGAGTAGAGATTTGATCAAGAGACATACCTCAAGATTGACTCCCGGTGAAGTGTGGTGCATCTAGCCGCAAATCAGCACATTGTCTGTTGAGGCCCGAAGCGTCGCAGAGCTCTTCAGGCTTACTTCGGGCTCGTCTCGGAACCGCTGCACACCTCGAGTTCAGTCTTGTTTCAACCAGCAACCGCCTCGTTGGCTCCGAGCCACTACGCTCGTTTCCGGGGTCTTGCGTTCACCGGTTCACCGTCCGAGAACCACGGCCCGCCGGCGGGGATATCTTAGCGAACATCCAGAGAATGAACGAAGTGTTGAATATGAGACTCCGTGGATCGCGGAATCACCTCGTAGGTGCGATGGCGACGTACGCACTTGCGCCAAGCGTGTGTATGACACTCTGCTTCACTTTGCTGACATGATGGAACAGCTTGAGCAGCTCCAAGTCGCCGTGGTGATATCGCAGTGCCGAATAAGGAGCCATCGGGCACCTGGCGTGCAGCAGACAGTGACACAGACTAGTAGCTTGTCGCATCGGGCTCATCACACAGCGAGCTCGCTGGCGAAAGAAAGAGAGGCTTCGCAGCAGCACTGAGCAGTGAGCATCGTCGGGCGGCCCCGACTTGCCACTGAGCCACGCGTGACGCGAAAGCTCCTGACGCGGTCACGAGACTCGCGTGTCTACGCGATGTGCTGGCTGTTTCAACTACTCTGACTCACTACGCGTGCCGAAAACCTTCATAATCGACGACATCATCTCAGCTGCTGCACCCTTGTAGCGATCTTGTAACCGTGCGCTCGAGCACTCATTGTGGTGCCAGCCAGCATGTACCTCCTACATAGAGCTCGAACTTCCTCACTGGCAGTACGCATACTCGCCGCGAATCGGTATGTTGCCGCTTGTGTCCTGACCTCTCACTCCTCCAACCGCTCACAGATGTTGGTTTATGTCTTGTATAAGATGCCTTCTGCATATGCAGCTCTGCACTGCGCCACCTGAGGCAATTGACTCAGTAGTGACGGAAGGTAACGGCCGGCGCAAGTTTCTTTCCGCCGAGTTCCTGCCAACCAGCTACATTATTTCCTGCGGAGCGCACCGAAAACTACTGTAGGTTGGGAAGTGTACGTGGCATCCTGATATGGATTGGGCCGTCAAACAGTATTGACTTATTGACGGCAGGATTCATCGTACGTACTCTATCGACCACTCGGGTGTCTACGCACGTTAGCAAACATCGTGGCATAAAATGGCCCTGGGTTGATTCCAAGGGCGATATGATTATGAGCGGGGATGGTGCAGCTGAACCATGTACGTGTTCGTTAATTGCCATATGGGGCTATCTGTCTAACATCATTGTACCTACAAACCTAGGTTATGATCGCGCCAAGGTCACCTACAGAGCGGACGTTGGCATGGCGGCGGGTATAAATGGCTTATCGAACTTGCGCTCCTCCTGGGCCTGAGGTCTTGACTGTCTTCTGCGTCGAACTGACCTCTAGTGAGTAGCAGTACTTCTCATGAGCACGCAGTCACTTGCGCCTCGGCCCGCGTCAGCTGTCTCCGTGCTGTCATCGCGATTCCGCGCACTTCAAGGAGCGCCGATACATTGCATACTGATTCTTAACGACCTACAGTGACTCATCGTTGGCGATGAATGCGCATCCGAGTCTAGCCATGGCGAACGCAACCGGCGCTGCACTCAGCTCTGCACATGTCGTACCAAGCAAACGATACAACCCGGAGTATCGCTGGGAAGTGATCGCAGCAGGCTGTACGTGGTACCATTCCCGGAAGGCAGTCCAGTCACGGTTAATCCAAGCACAGGGCGCAAACCGAGTACGACTGCGAGTCGCCAAGGCCTCCGGCAGCTCTCTCAGCAACTCAGCCAACGGATTCCGCTCGATGTCTACGAGCACATCATGGACCAGATGGACCAAATGGGGCTGTACCGTGCTGCGCTCGTCTGCCACGCCTGGTACCACCAGAGCATCCGCCTCCTCTACCGCACCGTCGAGATCCAGCAGCGCTCCGCGTTCAGCACCATCTCACGCACGAGTCCCGCCGCACGGGCCCGCCTCGTGACAAGCAGGGAGCTGCGCATAACACATCGCAGGGGTCCACCCTTCTGTCACGCAGTCCCGCTTACCCTCGGACGCGCGATGCCCGCAGTCGAGCGCCTCGCGTTCCACGCCTGCCTCCAGCCGCTCATGCACCCGACCTTCGCGCGCTACCTCTCGTCATTCAAAAGCGTAACGAGGCTCGAGATCGAAGGCTTCCGATTCTCGAGCGTCGCGGAGCTGCAGAGGGTGCTCTGCGCATTTCCGCGCCTCACCCACCTATGGCTTTCGCGCGGGGAGTTCGCGCGGAGTGCGGGTGCACAGGAGGAAGGGAAGGAGGGACAGTTCGTGCACGCGACTGGGCCACAGAGCCTACGGCTCCAGACACTAGCCATCGGCATGCAGCTGAGTGCTGCGGTGCTGGAGGCCCTAGTCGATTGGCTCATTGCATCTTCTGCGTACCGGACCATAGCGCATCTAGAGTTCTGGCGAGACTCGCTCGAAAGCATCGTTTCCGTCAACCGACTCCTGGAATTCATCGGCGGAGCGTTGCTTGACTTTCATGAACATCAGGGCCGCCTTGGTGGGTCGCTCTCTCGTATCCTGGGCTGTAAAATGACCATTGTTGATCCAGAGAAGCGTCAGCACGTCGATCTCCAGTTCAATTACCGTCTTCGCACTCTGGAGATGACCATGTCGAGGCGTCTAACGGAAACGATGGGTATCCAGTGGCCTGGCATCATGGAAGAGCTGCTCTCCGCGTCCGAAGCTTGGATGTAGAGCGAGTTCTGCTCCACATCGTTAGTAGAACGGCGGCGGCGGCGGGCCAGATGCTTCCGCTCGCTGCCTCTGGGAGCGGCCGACCTCCCCTCTATGACGCTCTCGAGCGCTCAAATTTCGATCTATTGCGGGAGGTACAGGCGACGGTGGAGCTAGACTCAACGGACTTATCATCTGATGAAGTAAACAAGATGGTTGCGGAGATGCACACGCGCAAGATCGTCCCATACATGCGCGTACTACTCGTGCCTTGGCACAAGCGGGGCATTCTCGCCGTTACGCCAATTTATTGGAACCTCTCGCCATCATACGGAGAGTTGGACCCCAGGTCGGCAGGCAGTACAATGTCTCCGAGTCTGTTCTTGTGCTGACTGCTGTTTCCTATCTAGTTCTGCGTCCGGGTTGTTGTACGCACATCAGATGGAGTTCTACCACCCCAAATACCTTCCAGTTGGACTGCTCGAACCGCCATATGATCCTGAATTTGCGTCAGGGTTATTGCACACGGATCAGAAAGAGCTCTACCATCCCCAGTATCTTCCACTCGGACTGCTCAAGCCGCCATAGCTATACAGTGCGATCCTAGAAAAGGAGAAGCCACCGAACGGTCCTGGTCAGGATGGTCTCAAATGTCTGGTACTTGTCTGGGAGGTCAGGGCCTGAAACGGAGCGACTGCAGAGTAGGATTTGATGGCACTCAAGAAGGTCCTCGTTGTTTGGCACAAAGCTCCGTAGTCCGTATATACGAGCCGAAACGTCCCTCATCAACACCGTGCTGCAGCGGGTCGAGCACGACATGCGAAACAGACGGTCACTCATCCACTGCAGAAGATACCAGTTAATGTTCAAGCTTGCAAGCCTCTGTTTCTGTTTCTTGTGAGCCGAGTTTCCTACGATCAGATGTACCTCCAAGGCCATGCAATAGATTCTGGATTGATATTCTTTCAGGGTCACTCACAGCGCCGCAGTGGTACGCGGACGGTCAGGCCGGTAAGGCTGAGACGTCTCGGCAAAACCGTTTGCGGGTGGACTACAGAGCTACTCCGTGCTTGCGTGCCTGATGAGCAGGTAGTTGGCGAGCTTCCAGTCATATACGACCTGAATTGGGCGGCCAGTGGTCTGTATGCAGAGGCGGCGAGTCAGTGACCACATTTACAGGCGGCCAGTCACTCACAACAGCTCGCCTAGGCCTCAACCGTTTTAGACCGGCGCCGAGACCACTGTGGCTGGGACTCATTGGCCGCCTTTGTTGACCGCGCACTGAAAGGACTTCACCGACATATTGATATCTCGCTTGGCCTAGTACGCAACTTGAAGCCGCGATAGTATAGTACTAGTAGTTGCGATCCTACAGTGGCAGCAGGTCGAGCATCAACGTCAGAAGCGGTGGGATATGTCTCTGCTTCTCATTTGATCAATGAGCATTGCTCATACAGACTTGTAAGTCGAATGTGTGTACATCATGTACATATGTTAAGCACGCATGATGTTGAGGGAGTGACCATGACCAATGTTCAATTCATCTCGCATAGACTACACCTGACGGGGGTAACGGACACAGTCTATCCGACAATTCTCAGTTCACAACCTGGTCACACAGAGGTTGAGTAAAAAACGTAGCATCCGTAGCCAGAAATTATTGATCAGACGAATGTGTGGTGGTACTTATACTCTCCTCCACCTCCTCCTTGAGCAATGAGCAGAGCAACTCGGCGGGCCGGGCCGCCGTGGGCCCGTGGCTTGATTTTTGATTAGCGACCTGTGATTGGCTGGCGCGATGGTCGCCGAAAATCTGAGCGTCGGCGCATGCTTTGGCAGCGCGCTCGGTCGGGTAACACTCAGCTCTCTTCAGTCTTCCTCCTACCCCTCACCTCACATCACCTTGCCGAGGACAATCTCGCAATATGTCCTCAGACAAAATCACCCGTATCGCCATCGTCGATTCCAACCGCTGTAAGCCCAAACGATGCGCGCAAGAATGCAAGAAGGTACGCCGAATCGTCCATCGCAGATCGAGGAGATGATTCAGGAGAGAATAGTCATGTCCAGTCGTCAAGATGGGTACGTTGATCCCCGGATAGGTTGCGATGGTCGTACTGACGCGGCGCAGGCAAGCTCTGTATAGAGGTCAAGCCGACAGACAAGATCGCTTTCATCTCCGAGTTCCTCTGTATAGGTTGCGGTATATGCGTTAAAAAGTGCGTACCAGAGCTCTCGCAGAACCTACCGCTGACCTACCCACCAGATGCCCCTTCGAAGCGATCGCCATTATCAACCTGCCCACAAATCTCGACTCGGAGGTCACCCACCGCTACACCGCCAACTCGTTCAAGCTGCACCGGCTGCCGACGCCGCGCCCGGGCCAGGTGCTCGGGCTCGTCGGCACGAACGGAATCGGGAAGAGCACCGCGCTCAAGATCCTCGCGGGCAAGCTCAAGCCCAACCTGGGCCGCTACGATGTGCGTCGAGCCAGCTGTCCGTGCACGCGCGCGCTGACCTCCCCGCAGGACCCGCCCGACTGGCAAGAGATCCTCAAGTACTTCCGCGGCTCGGAGCTACAGAACTACTTCACGAAGGTGCTCGAGGACAACCTGAAGGCGCTGATCAAGCCGCAGTACGTCGACCACATCCCGCGCGCCATCAAGGGCACGCTGTCGGTGTCGCAGATGCTCGACTCGAAGCTGGAGCGGGACAACAAGCAGAAGATGTGCGACGATCTGGAGCTGAACGACGTGCTGACGCGGGAGGTGTCGCAGCTGTCGGGTGGAGAGTTGCAGCGGTTCGCGATCGCGATGTCGTGTATCCAGCAGGCGGACGTGTGCGTGGTGCATTCTCTCATCCTCGACTCTAATCTTCCTGACACTCTCGCACAGGTACATGTTCGACGAGCCGTCGAGTTACCTGGATATCAGGCAGCGACTCAAGGCGGCCGAGGTGATCCGCGAGCTGCTCACGCCGGCCAACTACGTCGTCGCGGTCGAGCACGATCTGTCTGTCTTGGACTACCTCTCGGACTTTATCTGCTGTCTGTACGGCAAGCCGTCGATGTACGGTGTCGTGACAATGCCCTACTCCGTGCGCGAAGGTAAGTCGCGCGCCGCTTCACGCCCAGCGCGCGCTGAACCCCGGCAGGTATCAACATCTTCCTGGACGGCTTCATCCCGACGGAGAACCTGCGGTTCCGTGAGGAGTCGCTGTCGTTCAAGATGGTGGAGACGGCGGAGGAGTTGATCATCGACAAGACGCGGCAGTACTCGTACCCGTCGATGACGAAGACGCTGGGCGGGTTCAAGCTGACGGTCGAGGAGGGCTCGTTCACGGACTCGGAGATCATCGTGATGCTGGGCGAGAACGGGACAGGCAAGACGACGTTCGTGCGGCTGCTCGCGGGCGACACGCCCGACGAGGAGACGTTGAAGCAGTCGCTCAACGTGTCGCTCAAGCCGCAGACGATCGCGCCGAGCTTCCCCGGCACCGTCCGCATACTCCTCCTGAAGCGTATCAAGGCTGCGTTTATGCACCCGCAGTTCAACACCGACGTCATCAAGCCGATGAATCTGGACCCGATCTTGGACCAGGACGTGAAGACCCTTTCGGGTGGTGAGCTCCAGCGTGTCGCGATTGTCCTCGCGCTAGGCAAGCCGAACGTGTCGGTGTACCTCATCGATGAGCCGAGCTCGTAAGTCGTTCGACCTGCTGCTGTGTGGTGCGTGGGACCGATGTGTTTGGCGCAGGTTCTTGGACTCGGAGCAGCGTATCATTGCGAGCAAGGTCATCAAGCGGTTCATCCTCCATGCGAAGAAGACGGCGTTCATCATCGAGCACGACTTCATCATGGCCACCTACCTCGCGGACCGTGTGATCGTCTTCGAGGGCAAGCCAGCCATCGCAGCCACGGCCACCCCGTACGTGCCCCTCGCCTTCTCCTTTGCCTTCCATGATTGCTGATGACCTGTAATGCGCGTCACATGTAGACCGCAGTCACTGCTGACAGGCATGAACAGGTTCCTTGCATCGCTCGAGATCACGTTCCGTCGCGACCCGACTAACTTCCGGCCACGGGTGAACAAGATGCACAGTGTCAAGGACCGTGAGCAGAAAGGTATGCCTCGTCTATCTCACATTCGTCCTCTACAGTGCTCACGACTACCACCCTAGCTTCCGGTAACTACTTCTTCCTCGAGGAATAAGCTCCTCCCAGTGGGCGTTTACCATGCAGCTCGCGCGACGACTGGGGGAGGCGTGCGCGAAGCCGAGGGCGGGGACGAAGACGAAGACGAGGACAAGGACGAGGACGAAATCGCCATGGGTCTCCGAGGTGTAAAACAGCTATGTAGCGTAATGCACGCATTGTAGCAGTAGCTAAGCGTGGGGTGAGTGGACACTGGGAACTAGATGCTGATGTGATGGCGCTGTTGTTGTAGCAGCGTGTGGCGCCTTGGCCGTAGGCTGGGGCTGTGAATGGATATGTATAACACCTTAACACTATTTTTCCTGATGTTTGATTTTTGAAGGACCATCGACCTCGCGCACTGGTATCGCTTTCTCAAATCCATCGGGCAGTAGGTAATGTACAAGATAGATCCGCGCTGTGCTTTTCTTCCCTTCCACGATGTCTGCAAGCCCTCTTACTTGGCGTTCTCGCGGACGTCCCCGACTTTCTGTGCGGTCGGGTTCGCATCGACTTTCTCTGCACCGAGGGGATTAGTCCTGGGAAAACGTGATGGACACGGGAAGACGTACTGTCGTCAGCCCTCAGGTTGTTCTGCGCTGCTGCTTCCGGGGAAACTCCTGACTTTGGCCGCGAGTAGTAGAGCCCTGCTGCGCCAAGTGCGAGCGCGCCGGCGACAGCGAGCATCTACATGAGAACATGGCCTGGTTATCGCGACATTTGCGAGGATGTATGTGTCGGCGACGTACCATGCCCTTCTGTTGCGGTGGTGCGCGGTCCATGGTGAACGTGTGGATCGATGTCTTGCCAGTCGTTCAGGTTGTGGGGATGTCGAGGCCGGTGTATGTTGTTACGCGGAGGGTACTGGCGTGCCTTGTATGTGCGCCATGGTCGGGGTTGTCTGACGTTCGCCATGAAGTCATGCCATTCGGATATCGCATAGCGGTGGAAAGGGGCACCACCGGATCCGTGTCACCACGGTCCCCACCGCGTCGCGTGTGTCACGTGGGCGCGGGGCTCCAGAGTCGGCCAAGAGTCCGCGTCGACTTGGACAACGAACGACCGTTCAACGACGAACGTCGAACATGTTCTTGTCGTCTCGTATTTCACCGGCTGACGGGAAACTCAATGACTCTGATCTGGTCTCTCCTCTGATGGTGTGTGTATGAGCTACGCAAACATACGCGCCTCGTACGGTACCTGCAAACCACAACGTGTCAACTAACGGAGGTATGATTGGGATGTACGGTGGCGTAAATTGAGATGTCTACAAGCAGAGGTCCGTGGAGACGTTCGGAGAAGGACATTGATTCAATGGTGTGTGTCTCTTGTCAGGAGTAATATCACTTTGTGACTGACATGTCTTTCGGCCTTGAGCGAATAGCGCCATGACCAGGGTCGTCGCTCATTATATGTCAACTTCCAGGCGAGCGGAGGTCCTCTATATCCCGCACAAACCACACATGACCCGATTTCTCAACGCGTGTCGCCCGAATCCTCATTCCCTGTCCAATAGGCAACCAATGGGTCTCCTACGCTCATGCGGGATCAGTATATTTAGTGTCAGTGAGAATGCAGCTCGCACCTCTGACCTTCAACGTTCTTGTGCCCTGACTCTCCAGCACTGGTGACAATGTCGAGGCATCTGATGCTCTTCTGGTTCCTCTCCCTCGCGGCGACTGTACTTGCTGTAGCACCGTCTACCGCTGGCGCCCCAACGGCAACCACGCTGAATGGGACATACGTCGGCCGCTATGTTCCCGAATATGACCAAGACTTCTTCCTTGGCGTGCCCTTTGCTCAGCCGCCTGTCGGTCCTCTGCGATTTGCTAACCCTCAGTCACTGAACACGTCCTTCAGCGGGACTCGCGAGGCGACGGAATATAGCGTGGAGTGCGTAGGATACGGCGTGAGTGCTTCCTTTTGGATGGCACGCAAGATACTGATTGTGACTTTGTATAGAGTGACCAATGGGCCTTCAACGTAAGCGAAGACTGCCTCTACCTGAACGTTGTGCGCCCTGCGAACTATGCGGATTATGATGAACCGCTCCCAGTTGGCGTTTGGATTTACGTACGCCCCTGGTTTTCGAAATGATAAATGGCATCGGCTAAGTTCGCAGGGCGGCAGCTTCGTCGAGGGCGGCTCACCCGATCAGCGCTACAACCTCTCGTTCATCGTGCAGAACAGCGTCGATATAGGGAAGCCATTTGTCGGTGTTTCGTTCAACTATCGACTGTCGGCCTGGTATGTATTCGTGGAATACTCTCTGGACAGGTGCTGAACAAGACATGCAGGGGCTTCATGGCATCTGGCCAATTAGCCGGCGAGGGCAGCACGAACATGGGTCTCAGAGACCAGCGTCTCGCTCTGCATTGGATCCAGGAGAACATAGGTGCCTTCGGTGGTACGCCTGTCTATCCCACTGCCGAAGCGCTAAGCTAACCCAGCATTAGGCGATCCGTCGAAAGTCACAATATGGGGTAGGTGCCCCAGCAACGATGTGCTCCGAACGCGTATACTGACCCTCCACAGGCGAAAGTGCGGGCGGTATGTCAGTCGGGTTCCACCTCGTCGCCTACAACGGACGGGACGACGGGCTTTTCCGCGCGGGGATCATGGAGTCTGGCAACTCCATCCAATGGAACGGGATGTACACCGCGGATTACTTCGACGGCGAGTACCAGGCAATCATCGAAAACGTCGGGTGCACATCCGCTGCGGACGTGCTCGCGTGCCTCCGCGCGACGCCGTTCGACACGCTCAACGCCGCGGTGAACACGACGAACGCGGGCGTGTGGTTCCCGGTGATCGATGGGGACTTCATCACGAAGCTGGCGAGCTACCAGCTCGAGGCGGGCGAGTACGTGCATGTGCCGATCATCTGTGGGACGAATACGGACGAGGGGACGTCATTTGGCCCGATGGGCATCAACACGACCGCGCAGTTTCTGCAGGTGCTCGAAGGTGAGTGGTGCCCAGTTCTGCGACACGCTACTGGCAGCGTCGTCTGACAGTGATCATGCAGAGGGTGGGATTCATCCATATACACCCCTTGCCCCGGCTCTCGCACAGCAGATCATCAACGTATATCCTGACGATCCATGCGTCGGTATTCCGGAAGGCCTTGGGTGTACACGCCTCAATAATAGTTTCGGCCTCGAGTATGTCCGATCCTTCTCCGGCCGCCTATTGATTGAATGACACGCCCCCACCAGGTGGCGGCGCACCTCTGCATACGCAGGCGACGCGACCTTCATTGCCGGGCGGCGGTACCAATGCCAAATCTTCGCCGCCGGCGGAAACGCCACGTACTGCTACCGCTTCAACACGCTCCCGAACGGCGTCTCGATCGACTACGGCGTGACGCACTTCCAGGAGGTCGCCTTCGTCTTCGACAACACGGGCGGGTACGGGTACACCGTCTCGCCCGACCCCTTTGCGGGCGTGCCCGAGAGCTACTTCGCGCTCGCGAAGCTGATGAGCAGGTCGTGGGCGAGCTTCATACACGATCTGGACCCGAACAGCTGGAGGGAAAGCGGCCCGTATGCAGAGGCGGGGACGCCGCTGTGGCCGGCGTATGATGTGGACAATCCGCTGGATATCGTGTGGGACGCGAATGTGACGGGCCTTGCGTGGGTCGAGTCTGACACGTTCCGAGCCGAGGGGATCGACACCATTATATCGTTCAACCGTGCTTTCAGACGGTAACTCTGTGCTCGTGCATCGAATACGAATCACAGACGATGTTGGGTGGTCGATTGGGCCCGATACGAGCCGGTCCGCTGGGCGAGAAGGATTGTGCTTCCGGGGTGTTGTCTGATCTAGGAACTAGACAATTGAGTCTGCTTGGGGTCTACAGTCTGTCGAACGCATAGCGCTGGCTCAGAAGCCCCAATTGCCTGGACTTGCCCTTACTGCATTCGCCTTCGACCGTGACCACAGGGACCTCGACCACGACTTACGAGGTGCACAGGCAGACGACACCTGACTTTCGTTCCACAGTATTGCAACTACAACTCAAACCAAGCACAATCGTATACGTACGAGAAGAATCGGTCAGTATCAAAAATAGTAAGAAGCGACACCAAAGGCTTATCGTTTGCCACAATGGGAGCCTGCAACCAGCGATTCATTAATCTTGACAGGCTCCGAAGCCTCAAGGCCTCGATGAGGCTTGCATGAAGCAGCAGGCGATACGACGCAGTACAAATACTTGCATCCCGCCACTGGTATCGTCTGTCGCCCTCTTCATTGACCCTAGGACAGTGTCTGTACCGCGCATAAGCTCTCGCCGTGAGATCACTACGGAACCTACACAAGGTACTTGACATACAATCGCATCTTTGAGCTGATGCTGAAGCCTTGATCACGCAGATACGATGCCCATCCGACAGTGGACGAACCTAGCGATGGACGACGAGCGATACAAGCAGTTCGTCTGTCCCCGTCATCTTCCAATCACTTGTCCCAGCTATCGTTTGGACTTTCCTCCTGAGATCCTGATCGATATCTTCATTGGGATGGCGGCCGATTACTTGTTCTGCGTATTCTCTTCCGAGATGCAAGACGACGAGGACATCGAAGCGCGACTCGCCGCCAACCCTTTCCTCGCGTTCCTGCGCGTGTCACATCAGTTCAGAGAACTTGCAATCAAGGTTTCAGAGAGTTCGTTTGGTCTTCGTAGAAACGCGGATGGGAGGTATGTACTCGTAGTCAGTCGGTGGTGAGTGCTGACGCCGATCCCCGGCCGGCAGCCTGCCCCAGGATGCCTGGGACTGCTTGCGCTATGTCTTCAAACACACGCACCTGCTGCAGCGTAGCACCGAAGAAACAATCGAAGAACATAGAAAGCAAGGAAGTCGCTACGCGATTCCGGCCGTACTGAAGGGGCACTTAGATATCACAAAAGTGGCTTGTCTTGGCAAGGATAACCTACTCAGGAACGCATTCAAGTTGCTGAGTCCTCTGAATGCCAAGTCGGAGGCCAAGATGTCCGAACACTTGGGGTATAGTGCCAGTGTGATGTTCCGACCTGGGCATGCACAGCGGGTCATCGCAGGTGAGCGCTTTAGGATTACAAATCTCTATGCACATTCAAGTTATTGACCAATGTCCATACCAAGTGGTATGGTGCCTCCAGTTCTATATTTCGATGACCCCTCTGTCTCATATGGACCATGTTACCGCGGATCATGTGGGTATCATTACGTTCAATAATCAACGCTAATTCCGGAGGTTGACAATGCCTTTTTCAGGATCTAGCCGACATCGTTATGCGTGCCTCCTATGGCATATTCTACATGATGCACATAGAACAAGGTCCGGGGCCCAAGGCGCGATGGCTAGAGGGGGAGCAGTCACCGCCAGCGATTGATGTGCCGGTTCCTGAAACTGTCGGCGCAGACCTATTAAACGTATGTACCGGCACGTCGTGCTTGCGAGCGATCGTGGCACTCATCTGCCTCTTGCAGCGATACAGGTTCCTCTCCACTCTGTGGCGATTCCAGAAGTGCCCAGTCGTGGCTGCTGATCAGGGTTTGATGAAGATGTCGCAGACGCTGCTAGATCGCTGCCTCGCCATCACCTTACCGGCGGATCGACCATCGGCATGCAAGGCGTCGCGCCCTCGACGCGCATCATTCTCTACGGTTCAAGACATACGGGCAAGGCCGCGTCCCCCGCGTAAGCTTCCAGTTGTCAGTATACTAGCTTGTTCTCTGATTCTAGCCGCTGAGCAGTCCAGCCGCCCTGTCGGTGTGAGCATCGGTTGTGGATTGTGTGATAACGGCTAGAGAGAACATTGTACAGCATGCATAACGGTTTGGAGGTGATATGTACGATAAGGCCTCTGAGTATGAGTCGCACCGAAAACATCTGTAAATGACACGTCGAATTCGATATTCGCTTTGCGCATAGAAAACCACAGACCTTACGCCTCCTAGACCTATGGATCGGAAAGCCCAAATTGCTCATATGTCCTGTCAACCATCTCCCAAACATACGTTGCAGGCAGCAGCAAGCCGCGAACCCTGGGCTTCGCAAGGCTGTTGTACAACCGAGGAAGGGAGTTCTGCAAAACCCGCTTGAGCCCATCGTCGTCGATCAGCCTCCCGTGAGGATCCGCCGCCTGGATCCAAACGTCGTAGTATAAGTCTGGCGCGCGTACGCATCGAAGCGCCTTGTCGAGCTCGCCGAAAAGCGAGTCGAGGGCTGCCCAATCCACGTCGTCCAAATCCCGTATGCGTATGGCGAGCCACACCCATTCGATCGAGGGATTGATCGTTTGGCAGATAGCTTGCATTACCGCAATCGCCAGCGGTGTCCAATGAAGAGTCGCATCGATCTCTGCCACATTGCTGTTGCAAAATGGACGAGCTTCGAGCGAGCCGATTGCGAGTCTGTATGCGGTGTCCATGGGTAGTGCTTGTTCCCATAAGCGTCCTAGACAGTCCAGATGGCACCATTCATCCCAGGGGAGATCGTCCGGTAACGTAACGCCCGTGCAGGCAGCATGCTCGCGAGCATGATCACCCGACAAAAGATGCAACGTCAGAACATACCGGACTTCGAACAATCCCAGGACTCAAAGCTGTGCAACACGAGTTCTAGTCTCCGCATATTGGGGACGGTTTTGCGCAGGAGATCAAGGAGAGGAACAATGTCCAAGCTCCTCCAGACGATGGTCGCGTCCTTGACTACGCACACTGGTCGTTTTCCCAGCAGCCATTGCATGACAGGCCTCCAGGATATGAAAGGGTTGTTCTGCTTCTCGAACAGTTCCAGATACTCCAGTCGGAGCGGCAAGAGGCTGGATATCTGATCAGGAGTATGATTGAGGATGTTCCACTTGCAAAGAGCCACGCGGAGTGTGGTCACATCGCATACAGTGACCAGATTGAGGAGCTGCATGAGCTGCTTCGTATTGATCGTGTCGAGAGCATCGAGGCGGAGGGTCTGGAGCCCTCTGAAGTTAGAAGGATTACGTAGGATCATCCGCCCCTCAAGAGGCATATCTCCCCAACACGCGTCAAGATATTGGACCGTCCGGATATTCGTGGCAGGATCATGAGACACATCATGATCCGAGTCCGCGTCTACGACGTCCAAGTCGTGTGCTGTGATGTCTTCCGCGATGGAGGGACGTCGCTTGATAATCAAGGTGAGGTATAAGGATAAACTGAGAGGAAGACGGCACGCACATGGTTGTTCATAGTTGCGCTGATGTTGTCCATTGCTATGTCAGATAGAATGTTTGCCTTGATATGCGTGGATGGTCAAACGAAGAAACAGCCGCGATATGGAGTTGACTGACCGTAGAATTCCTATTGCTGCTGTCAATTTGCATCGAGCATGGCTTGATTTATATCGGGGCGTTGAGCGCCTGGGTGTCTGGACATCATGAACTTGGAGAGTACATACCTGGAGCGAGTTATCCAGAATTGTTCAATTGGTGGGCAGTGTGATGGTCCACATTGTCGTCTTGGTGACTGACGAACAACGGCAGCAACTGGACCAGATGTCCCTCCGCCGTGCTAGCCGCTACTGTTCGGTCCTGAGTTATGGCCCGTTCTTCAAGTTGAAGACAATAATCTTGTGCTCGATAGGGAGACGCTTCAATGGTATGTGACATCGCCTGAGGGCTGTGCATTTACGTACGCACCAGTGCGAAAAGGTTTCACGACTTACGTTGCTGGGCGAAGACGTCCACAAACCTCTGACGGGTTCGCCGATCAATGACCCCACACGTCCGTCTTTGTGCATAAAACAATACTGATCCTGTCGCGTACACGAGGGGAAGTTTGATGGCGTCAGGAACGTCTGTTAGCCTGTAGTGAGGACGCTCAGCGTTAGTATATTTGGTCCAGGATGTAGTCAAAATGACACACACACGTTGTCCCGGCACCGTCCTGTGCTTTGCGAGGTGGGCAAATGACATCTTCTGGCTACAAGAAGACAAAGCTGGCAGAAATGATGTTCAATCCTCTTGTTAGCCTGGTATCTCTCGTACAGGACGCACTGGCGGTATGCGGAGGTCTGTCACTGGCTAGCGCAGGCCCACCGTGACAGTGGTGGCAGTCGTTGATGATGTGACCTTCGATGTGACTCAATCTCTATTTGGGCAGCTATGTTCAAGTCGCTTACTGTAGTTTCCCAATCAACATGAGGGATAAATGGAGCAGTTTTCATCACACTCACTGCCATCGTCCCAGAGCGAATCGACCTAGTAGAGTGGCATTCTTGTCTTCAAATTGTCACCAATTATGTTGCCCGATGAGTCGAAGTCTGCGAATGGGTGATGTTGTGGAGAATGAGTTCCAGTCCTCAGATGATTGTTAGTACCAACCCGGTCCTTGTAGTAGGTGGATTCCCGTGAGTTTACCTGCTAGTAAGTATACGTGAGCCTGCCACTGGCATGACCGCCGCCTGCTAGGTTAACGCCGGTCTCAGGCTAGTCAACCACTCGAAGTCGGTATGACCGACACATCCGCTACAGGGGGTACTCGGATCCTGTCACGATGTACCCTTGCCGAGATACTCGACGAAGTGCGGTGGTGACTGACGTCGACGCGGCATTGCTACTTCCGCATTATGATATCTTTGCGCTCATCCAGAGCGCAAGCTGCTCCAGTGCCATAGGCATGTCTCTGTGTGTCAGATTCGAGCCTCAACCTGTGAAAAAAGTGTCATCGAGGAATTAGAATAGCAATGGTACAGCAAGTTCGCGGTGGTTGTGTCGAATTTCAATGTTGGGTCAATGTTTGAGAGCACGTGACCATGACCGTTCAAGTCGTTCGATCGAGGTTTGATCTAGTCTCCCGTAGGCAGACGGTAGACCACAAATACGACTTTTTCGGAGGGAAGGAGGACGGCCGTATTAAAGGTTTGATCTAAATTCTATGTAAACACCTCGATGAGAATCCGACGCGTTCATTCATGAATTTGCAATCACGCCACGGCGGCTTGTTCGGAATGACAATGTTCGAGCCAAGCATTTGTCTTCGTCGGCGGCGGTCGCGCTCCAGTTACGTCCAGTATACTGGAAGTTTCATCCGCGAAGTACAATGATCATCGCGGTGGTCGACAGATCAGGCTCCCCTGCCACTGTATATGAACTCAGGTAACTTCTATACTGGCCTGTGTGACTCGCGATCGCCGCCGAAAGACTGCAAATGCGTGCCAGTAGTGATGTACAAGACCCCTTCATAGGACCAGTACTGCTGGGATAGAACGCCGGCTACGGTAATCACATGAGGATGATATTCCACAGCATGCAGCTGTACCGTACCACACGATCCATACATGCATACCGTACAATACCAACACAATAGTTTCACATTGAGCATCCCAGTCCGCGATACATGGATTACGTACTATTTCCTCCATGCCATAGTGTTCTTCGTCAGGAAAGAAAACTTACCTGTGACCGAGTTCTCGCGAAGACACAGACCGACCGACCTACTCCGTGTCAGGTACTGGTGGCATCAGACCACACGAGCCATGCACCGATACCTTGGGCTTCACGCTACTCCGATAGATGCTAGGTAGCTTCCTCCTCACCATATCGTGTAGTTCCTCGTGTGAGTCCTTTTCGAATTCGATCCAGATTTGGACGCTATACTCGATAACATCGGAGACCTCGTGCCGCACGAAGGCCTTGTCGATGTCGCTGAATAGATCGTTTAGGAGGCTCCACTCCACGCGCTCGAAATCCCTGATCCTGAGCTCGATCCTGAGGCGCCTGGTCGCCGAGCAGATCAGCTGGCGCACGACCCGCAGGCCTGTGATCGCCAGAGCGGTCCAGTCGAGGAGGACTTCGATGTCCAGGAGTGTGCTGTTGAGGATGGGGTCATCACGGAGGGCCTGTTCCGCGTCCGCGTGTGCCTGCTCCATGGTCGGGCATTGCTTCAGCGCACGGGCGCGTGAAAGGCCGTAGGACCACTTCTGTCGGTTCACGATGTCGTCCGGCAAGCAGTACCAGCGGACAGCCCGATCCTCGCCACGGCGAGGGGGCTTCCTGGGCTCATCTCTGAGTCGTCTGATGTCCTCTTCGGGCGATGTCAGCGAATCGGTATCTATCTCACGAAGGGCACTCACCGTCCGTGAGGTCTGCATCTTCGCTCTCAAACGTGTGAAATATAGCGTGGAAACAACGCATCCCACACGCTGTCTTGCGGATTAAGTCGATCAGAGGTGTGATGTCCAAGCTCGACAAGACAACGTCTGCTTCTTTCACCGATAGCACCTCTCGCTTTCCGAGCAGCCACTGGACGACGGGCCGCCAAGAACAATTGTACTCGTCGGCCTCGGAGAGTTCGAGCCGCTTCAGCCTCAGCGGAAGACGACTAGCAACCTGCTTCCGATGGTGGTTGTTGACTTCCCAGAGACAGCGGCCGACGGTGAGCTGTATGACACGATGTGCGGTCACCAGCTCGAGGACCCGCATGAGTTGGCTCGTGGTGGCAAAGTTGACGTCCCATAGATGGAGCATGGTCAGGCCATTGAAGTACGCAGGGTTGCTGAGGACCGCCCGTGCCTCTATGTGCACGTCCGCCCACATCATGTGCTTCAGCTGCAAAGACTCCACTTTGTCTAGACGACACACGATCCTCGTGGCTTTCCGAATGAGCAGGTGCCTTGCCTCGCGTTCGTGCTCGTCGAGGGAGTAGACGTCCTCGGCATCAGGACCGTCCGAAGTGTTGACGTTCCCTCGTTCGTCAGAATCCTCGAAGTCTTCATCATGGCCTGAACCGTCACTGCCGTCACTGTCATCGTCCGGGTCCGGCCCATAGCCACAGGGAGGTTGGCCGTTGAAGGGGAAGCACGCGCACAGTGACAGCGCTTGAACATGCACTGGTCTATCACCTGCGGCACCAAATAGCTCCTGGTACACTTTGCGACACCCCGGATTCCGAAAGCCCCCGTCGAACATCAGTTCCACCACCTTATGAGGCTCTGCGTCCGATGTTGGGCTAGCAGCCGTCGGTGGGACGATTGGAGGCAAATTTGGGAGCCCTTCGTCGTCTGAGTGTTCCCAGATGTCTGCATCAACTAGCTTGCGGTCCGGGTCACCCAGGACGTCTGGGTCAACGGACACGTCATCCGCGAGCTGTGAATCGTGATCGCGAGGATCAACGGACGTCACGTCCGACTGTCCGTGTTGCGTGAGCACCGAATAGGAGAGTATCGCAGGACGTGAGAACATACGTTGTTGTCTTTATTAGCGCGTCCCATTCTGTCACTCGATTGGATGCTTGTCTGTAAGGTGAGAGGCGAATTAGGGTTATGTTGAGTCTGTGGCAGGAGATACTCACCAATACGTACTTGGATGAAACTTGCAACTCTCGCCATGGTCATCCGCGCTTTTATATCTTGCAGATAACAGCACCAGAGACAGCACCTTGAGAATGATCCTCAACGAGAGTGCACGGACTGCCCACTTAGTTACAATCATGCACAATCATGAAAACAACACCACCCTAAAGCCGACGAGCTCCGTTGTTTCCACCCAACGCTAGAACACAGCAGTTACATATTCAGGGGGCACGTATTGTCGTGCATATGCTGTGCAGAAGCCCACACACGTTGTTCAACGAAAGATTAGATGACGACGTATCGCTTGTCGAGCCATGCATGATGCAGCAGATATTCCCGTCGTTGTGAGGATGAGCTCGCCTCTTTTGACGGTACGATAAGGCCCAGACAAGAGAGCGAGTGTCTTCGCTGGTTTTGCGGTGCACAGTGCACACGATGGTGGACGATAGCATCGGAGAAGCTGTGATGTTGTCTCACAGCTGTCTCGAGTTGCGACCAGACGGTCCGCGCACCGGGACCTGTATATCAGTCGAGTCAGGAGCATAACTGAATGTGAAGAAACTGTCAACAACTGCCATACTGCCTTAGCAAGGCGTTCGGTGTATTGAGGAGCCTATGCCTCGCTGTCGGCAGTAACTTGCCGTCGGTGTTGCTCGAGTAGTAGTACCGCTCGCTCATATCGGAACAAGCGGCAATTGTTATGTTTGGGGCGTCGTCCGGTCGTTGATGGGGAGGGTCCTGGCCACCGGGTCGTCATTCCCAAGAACAGACTGGTATCATTTATGCAGGTTCGAGGCATGTGTACTGCATGTAGCATTGGGCTTGTGCATAACGCAACAAACACAAGGTGAACTCGTGGCCGTCTTGGACTACCGTCTTAGACCCGGGCAGACGTTCTCTTCGGGTGACTGTAGAATATGAAGGCGCCATATAGACATCGAGATGTACCTCAGGTACGAAACACCTGCCGAGATCTATAGTTTCTATAGTCGCGGCTATGTCAGTCTACTACATAGCGCTAGCGCTGCTCGCCGCACTGGCACACGGATACACTTCGACCACTTACGCAGACTGACCACCCGTTGCGGTCGAGGTCAGTTTACATCCCGTGTAATCTCCCGCGTTCATGTGCTGTGTTTCGGGGCCGTAGTCGGAGAAGGATGCACGTTGTACATATGCATGCTTGCTATAAGTGGCCTCAATGGCTCCCACCTGGCTGCCTGAGGCCGAGGTTCAAGTAGCAGTGCACGAAGTTCCCATCCGCTGCCGCTCTCGTGCCGACGACCGCCTTGGCGCCATCTACCATAGGGTCAGTGTTGCACAATGCGAGAGAGTGATGTGACGGAGCGCGATAAACAGTTGGACGCTGTTGAATCTGCCATTTTCTGGGCAGCTCGGCGCGCGGCACTGCGGAGACAGTATTTTCTCAGCCGTGCCGATGGGGGCGGGGTGCTCTCTCCATCTCCCCCCGCCTTTAAACCGACGCCTGGCCTTCATGCCCATCCCGCGCCTGGCACGATCCAAGACGACGACGACGACCCCCACCAGCTGAATGTTCCGCTTCCCAGGCCATGGACGGCCACTCTCACTCAACGTAAAGCCCGTTCTATCAGCCACCTTCCGCTTTCTTCTCCGCCTCGGCCGCGTGCCCTTCTTCCTCCCGCTCGTCACCTTCTACATCCTCTACCGCATCGCAGAGACTTCATGGTGTCGCCTCTATGACTGGGACGGGCTATGGCAGCCGGCGTTCCCATTTTCCTGGGTCGTGTGGGCCCTCTGTCTCGTCGTCGCACCATTAAATGCCGCGCTTTGGTTGGGAGGGCTGCTCGGATGGAGGGGCTTGTGTTGGACGGTGAGCTACATGCGTTCACGTCGGTCCGTCCATCTTGGCCAGAACGGCAGCCCAGTCCCCCGAACAAGCGAAGAGGAGTATATCCTCCTCTCCGATAGCGAATCCGGGCATCCAGGACACGAGCGGCAGCCGTCGAGTCCAACCCTTCCCTTCGGAAGACGCAGGACTGTCCGCATCTCAGTTATTTGGTGGTGGGCGGAGGTTGCAGTGCTTGTGGCCATTGCGCTGGCGGGAGCTTGGGAGGCTTTGCATTATGCTCACCCGAACGACGTTCGGTTTCGCAATGCGGTCGAGCACGCGCTACGAGATTCCCATCCGAGGCCTGAAGGTTACGGGAAAGGAGGTGAGTTACTCGTTCTACACACTCGTGTACCTTCCACCCATGCGGGATAGTTCATGTTGCGTTATATAGAGAAAATCTACATCGCCGCGGCGTTCTACAACAACCACATCGTGCTCCCGTACTGGACCAAGTCCATGCTGTCGACCATCTCCTACCTCGGGCCGGAGAACGTCTTCGTATCCATCGTCGAATCGCACTCGTCCGACAACACCCCCGAGCTCCTCCGCGAGTTCGACGCGTCCCTCGCGAAGATGCACGTCCCCCGGCGCATCCTCATACAAGACACGGCAATCGAGAAGCCGGAGGACCTCTCGTTCGACAACCGCATCGAGTTCCTGGCGGCGGTGCGCAATCGCGTCATGGAGCCTCTCGTGGATTACGGAGGGTACGATAAGGTTCTGTTCTCCAACGACGTATACATTGAGCCGGAGAGCATCGTGGAGCTGATTGAGACGGCGGGTGGGGAGTACGATTTCGCGTGCGCGATGGATTTCAACCACTATGGGTGCGTTCACGCGAATCTACTCAGTATATGCGCTTGGTGCTCACGATGTTCGCAGCGCGTATGATGCCTGGGTACTGCGCGACAGACTAGGACACCTCACTAGCACAATGTACGCTCGTTTCCCATGACCGTGTACGTTAACCGCACGCTAATCGTTCCCCAGCTGGCCCTACTTCATCGACAAACCGTCCATCGACCTCATGCGGCAAGACGCGCCCGTACCCGCATTCACGTGCTGGAACGGTATGGTCGTCTTCAACGCCGAGCCACTCCTCCCGATCCACCTCCGCCCAAACCGCACGCTCTCGTCTGACCCGCTCAGCACGCCGCTCCCGCGGACGCACCCGCTCGAGCGCGGGCCCTCGCCCGCACTCACGCCCGCGCTGCGCTTCCGCAAGTCCGACCGCGGCACGGGCGAGTGCTTCGAGAGCGAGTCGTTCAACCTCCCGTACGACTTCCGCCGCGTGTTCGGCCTCGACCGCGTCCTCGTCAACCCGCGCGTCGTCACGAGCTACGACTTCCGCTTCTACGTGTGGTTCAAGTGGGTGCTGAGCCACCGGCTCGTGCGCTGGTGGGTGCGCGACGTGTACGACGGGTGGGGCATGGAGCGCAGGAAGATGGTCGTCGGCCCTGAGGACCAGGTGTGGGTGTGGGACGGCGGGGACTGCCATCCGTGGTGGTAGGTGAGCGGTGTACGCTGTGTTGTTGGTGGGTTTCACCGGCTGTTATGGGTTGTATAGGCTAGAGCTCTTCGTACGTTCGGAACCATACCATTCCGTATATTGTTTTATTACTATGATTGCTTTGTGTGATAGTGAACAGAAGTAGTGTAGTTTGCATCTCGGAGCTGTCATGTATACACGGACCGTTGCTGTGAAGTACACGATACATCCTCAAATCTCTTAACGGAACTTGGCTTCGCCAAGATTAGCAGAGTTAGCAAAGTGTGCGACTCACTGCTTGGGCTCGTCACTCTGTGCTCGCGACGGTGAGAACAATAACGTGGGAACTTGAAAGCGACCGCTGATGTTGTGTGGGTCCCGGTGGGTCCTCCTTCCAGCTTACAACCATACCCTCATACCCAGGACGCCTCTTGGCCGAACTGTATCGATGTGTCTAAGTCTCGGTGGCACGGAGATCATTGTCTGCGTCGGGAACAGTACCAAGGTTGCGCTGCTGCATGGTTCTCCTGAATGAGGCGAAAATGGACATGGCGATGATGGGCATGTGCGTTCACTTATCTTCTGTGATCCAGTTCCGATGGCAGGCAATTGTTCGTACCGCTTGCTCGATTGCTATAGTATTTTGTCCTGACGAAGGTTCTTCTATGTAGTTGCTGCCTGTTGGCTACCACCCTCTGATGGAGGTAGCATGGGCTAGAGCGACGACCAACTCGCCAACGTGCTACGAGGCTCTCTTGACTCGTGTGACGACCTTGTGGAATGCGCATGTCTTCGATCACAATACGCGTTGCTGACAACCCTGAAGTCTTCCTTCTGCAAGTGCGACCGCAAAACAATAGCACTCGCTTACTGGCTCTCCGACCGCGCGCTGCTCACTTCAGGATCACTGTATGCACAACGGAGTCATTGTCTGCAGAGGCAGAGAACTGACCTGATGGAAGACGGCACTTGGACCTTCGCCACGTTGGTGCGCAACAACAACTGCACGAATCTCCGAGGAACGCGACGCGGTTCGGTGCACTGTATTGTCTTTGCTTTGGCGATTCCTATAGGTGACGAGATACAGGGCGTATTTAAGCATGACGCTGCGACAGACTGCGACCAATCCCCGCCGAACACTATCGGACCCTATACAACGCATAGACTGCTACTCCACTCACTCTCATCAATCTTCTTTACTGCCCTACAAAGCGACCCCCTCGTACGTCATACTTCTGGCATCCTATCAATCTGCTCGCTGACAGTCGGCGCATCTATCCCTAGTGCAGCCCTTGACCTCGCCATATTCCCGCCGCACTGCAAGATGCTCAGTCACATAAAGCAAGCTCTCAGGTGAGAACGGCTTCTAATACAGTGTCTAGATGCTCACATCGACGGACAATCTGAACCTCAGATCCGTCTCCCCCTTCCCTCTCTTCCGTGACAATGCCATTGCCAGTGACGGACCCCGGCGGTCCCCTTCTGTGCAGCGCTCTAGCCCGCCCTCAGCGGACGACGACGACGACGACGACATGCAAACCGACGATCAGTACGGCGAGGAACCCGATGTACAGATAGAGCAGCCAGACGAAGACGAAGACATGGACCCGCACTCGGACGGCAACGTCGCTGCCCGCTTCGGAGGCCACAATGACCCAGAACCGCCGCTCCGTGGGCGGACCATTCACCGCGAGCTAGCACGGCCGGATTCCCCGTCGTTAGAAGCAACGGCGCGGCGAGAGGGGCGCGGCGACGCCGCAAGGAGTGCCTCTTCCGACGATCGAATGTCCGTGAAATCCGCCTGTCCCTCTGGCATCGGCTATGACCCCGATAACGAGCTTTTTTACCGAGCGAATCCTCCAGTCTACTGGATGGAATCCAAGACGATCCCACAGCTCACGTTCAAACCGAATACCGACATCGACTCGCTCGTTGAGGAACGTTTCCCGCGTGGCTCGAAAAGGCTCTATGCCTCCAAGGTCCTCATTCGCGGCTGTCTGTCCACCGAGAGAGAGGAGGATGATAGGGATCAGCATACCGGTTGGTCACCCGAGTGCACCGTCGAGCACGCTTGGATCGAAAAGGCGGCTAGTCGCGTCTTCCCTCATGTGAGGGGTGTCGAGGAGCTGGAGCTGATTGACCTTGAATGGGGCGACGTCCCGTCACCGGCCAGGCTGGCGCTTCGATCCCAACCCTGCTTTACCGTCCTCAAGCGTCTCCACCTGGTCAAAATCGACTTCTGGAACAGCAATCAACTGTTGCTCCTCTTGTCCTCGCTCTGTAACCAGGATTTCCGGGAGCTTCGCGTTGCAGGCTGCCGTTGGAAGACCCTCAACCACACCCGCGATCAGATATCGGAAAGCTCCACCCTTTATATTCACCGCCTCCAGATCTATGAAGACGTTCAGCAATCGTCTCGTCCGCTTGTACACTGGTTGCTGGGCAAACGGGATGGCCTGAAGATCGAGGAAGCGGAGTTCATCCTGCAATCGTTGGACATCGCACCCATTCTGATGCTTCTTTTCTGCCTCCTATCGCATGTCCACAAGCTAGAGCTGCGCTTCCAAGGCATTGAGACATTTGCGAGCAGTGATGGTACGTTCAGTTACCTCTGGTCTCACAATGACGTCGCACTGACCCGTTCCAATCTCAGAACGTGAGCCTCGTCCGCCGGCTGCGCTGCCACCATGCCGATGCCCCCGAAACGAAGCCGAAGGAGTCGAAGTTGACCCATTCGACTTCCTAGGATTCACCGAGTCGAAGCCCTGTGATATGCTAGAGAAGCTCGCGTTTGGATCGACACATTACGGGAACCATGAAAACCTTGCTCGCAGCAGGGACTACTTCCCTGACGACAGACTGCCTGGAAGGCCCTGCAGTTTTGTTGCATGCGGACGGGAGGCCGCACAGCGCAGGCCGACCATCTCCCAGGTATATGATTGGCTCGCCAATCTCTGCCACCGCTCTCCAATGGGCAATCACCCTCGGGCGAAGAAGATCGTGCTCAGCGTTGATTGCATTGGCGACATCGCAACGCCGACCGCCGAGCTTCCGGCTATCGCTCTGGAAACACTCTGGATAGTCCTGAATGACTGCACCGAGAGGGTCGAACTTACGATCAGGTTCAGGGACATCGACACTGTTCACTGGGCTGCTCTCGATGCTTCCTTGAGGGACGCGTGCGCCGATCCTGATGTTCTGCACTGCCTGTACGGTCTCCACAGATTCGACTTCAACTTCGTCATGAAGGCTGATGCAGCGGCGGCGATTGACTTCGAAGGGCGACCTGATGCCTTGGAAGAGGCAATCTTTACCAGGCTCCCTGCCATCGAGAAACTCGACGAGGTGCTCGACTCGAAGCTCCTTTTCCAGGCGTCTCTTGGCGACGTTGGACCGATACGGAGGTGGGGTATCAAACGCACCGCAGAATTCGTCCCTGCTCCGCAACACCTTGTCGTCATACCTAGGTGAAATGCGGTGCCGGGAGGTTGATCGAGGGAGTCAAGAGGTGTAACTCGGCGAGTGCGACGAGAGGGACCTGGACTTCAGACAATACGGACATCATTGATTGTACGAACGCGCAATTTCATGTCGAATGCCCTGGGTAGTGCGATTTACCAGAAATCAGGAACGAAGGTTGTCCTCGCTGTGTACGTCTGCTGAGGATCCATTGGCAGATGCAGCCCGTGAATACTGCTGGAACGTCCGAGCCTGCTCAGGTTCGAACATCGTCAAAACGTCGAAGTTGAACGCGTATGCCTCAGTAACGGGCTCCGACTGGATATCACAGTACTACCGTGACGTGTGGACAAGTCGGGCCTAAACTCCGCTGGGAATAGAGATTGAGCCTAGCAATGTGCCCAACGGTCAAAGTATGCAGTGCATGACGACGTGGTAGCGTGCCCTCTCCATGTAGGTCTCATTGCAGGGCGCCGTCAGGATCTGTGGATTTCTCTCTGAGCATTCGACGACGGAATACTATTGGATGTGAATGTGGTTCACCGCGAGCATCTCGACCACGGCTTGTGGGACAACAGTGAGTACTAGTGAGTCCTCGGTCCCGCAACGTCGCACTGTCAAGCTCCGAAGATTTCTGCAGAGAGTGAGTTACTACGACACTGTGAGTTTGAAATAGATAATTACATCATGCTCAAATTGCAGGACCGGAATCAGTATGTTCTCCTTCGCCGTTGGGTTCAAGTTGGAGTTCCCGGCGCTTTGCTGGGCTCTCGCGGCGTCTCGCCTAAGCTCCTTTAAGTGTAGCAGCCTTCTGAGCTGCTGACCGCCGCTTCGGTCTTCGTTTGGTATGTGACTTGTATACTCCTGTTGCAACCATGCCTCGCGCTGACGATCCGTGCCCGTTGCAGGTCGACTATGACTCAATGAGTGTCACTGTGTCACGGTATGTCGCTGTTACTAGTAGACTGTATCTGAGGCTTAGAGATGCGGGATGGATCTCTAGAGCTCAGAATAAATTAAAATGCACTTAGGAGATTGTCTCATGTACTCACATGTCTAGTTCAGGACCATTCGAGGGAGGGAGGACATTGTTTTGCCCATGGAGACGTGCGGGTAACCGTGCACGCGCGCACGTGACCGTTGAGACGCGTCTGTGGCGCGAACGTTCCGTCACTTCCGTGCCACTTGTATACTACGCGGATTGGTCGCGGTTGATTTGCGCCACACGCACCGTTTCCCGCGTCTATCAGGGCGCTCAACCTCGCGCCCTGCCACCGGTGCGTTCATGTTTTGAACCTCCTTTGCCTAGCCCTCTACGGCTGTAGGCCAAGAGCATGGCTGAAACATCTCATAATATACTCAGAGTTTTATGAAGATGCGTGGTAGGACAAAAAGAAAGGCCTACGATGGCCGAGGGGGACTGTTTCTGAGGAGAACAAACAAAACCAAACATGATCAGTGCACGGTCACGCTTGTCACGGCCACAGCTCGCTCCGGTGGCTGGGCACAAGCTTTGACTTGGTACTATGTCTTCTCATTCATATACGCCCTCGGATTTTAGCGAGCCCCTTTTCACCGAAAAAGTATGTTAAGTACTTGCAGCAATCGACAACCACTTTGAAGACCGCATCGCAGTGGCAGACTCTTAGCGCCCGTGACCTCCGAAAGGGCTTCATCGAATCACTCCGCACAGTGCGAGTATGCAGCCGGACATGAGCAAACAGAGATTCATACACCTTCCATTGCGTTTCTAGGTGCTTAACTATCTCCACCTAACTTGCGAGACGGCCGTGGCGTTCAATTCGAATCGCTTTGGCCCTCCTAAGTCGTGGGAAGAGCGTAGCGCTGAGATGATAGCGCGCGTGCAACGCACAATTGAACCGCGACCAATCCGCGTACGTTACACTTGAGGTCTACGACCATCAATTGCGCTGTGCCAAAGGTCGCCGTCATGTTTGTAAAGGTCAAATTCTAGTCTCGCCGCAATAACTTCCACGGGTGAGGGGTTTGTGTCGGACCTACCTCAAAGCTGCACTGTGCTCATACTACCATTCCGGCGACCCATGCGGCAATGCCACTCATGCCAAGCAACACCAAACATAACTTCCGGTGTAGGCGCTCAGGCCTCAGGCCGTGCTACCCCTCCGGGCCCTCCCCACCCACGGTGAGCGCATGGACCTAGTCTGTCTCAATATCCCTGGCAAACACTGGCCAACGCCTTTGGCGGAGTTACGTAAGCAGGTCCATCTCCGAAACACGCGTTCAAATCTCTCGCGCGCGACGCGTCGGACGCGTCGCGCTCCTCATTTGCTTGCTGCTTCCCTCTCTTGAGCTCTTCATTGCATGTACCGTAGCCGACTCCAATCAATGCAGAGCCCCGTGTCTGACGGGGCTTATACACATTCATTCACCTCGTTCAGCTCCCCTGGAGGGATCGCTTTTTGCCGCGACATCACCTCGAAAACTCTACCATGGGACCCCCACGACTACCAGCTCGAAGGAGCTTGTAAAGCACTCGACGGCGTCGACGTGCTCGCAATCACACCAACTGGATCAGGGAAAACCGGATTTCTCTTGATTTACATGCTTGTAGCTCAAGCCTTAGCAAAGGACCGGGAGCTGTGTCCGAAGGAGCTGCGTAGTCGCTTCAGAGCAGACCCGTGTATGGTTGTGGTCTGCCCGACGAAGGCTCTTGAGTAAGATATGGTGAGTGGCACTACACTCCTCTGCGGAAATCATGGCTCAGATCAGAACAGCAGTCCAAGTTCGAGGCCACCGGCCTTACAACTGTGGTCATCAATGCCGACACCACTCGAGCGAAAGGCGTGAACACTGACCCTTGGCAAAGGGCGCGATCGAACACGGCTGTTATCCTGCTCTCCCCGGAGCAGCTATCTACGTCGGGATTCCGAGGTCTAGTCAATGACAAGACGTTCACCGGTCGTCTCATGGCGCTCAACGTCGACGAGGCGCACCTACTCTGCAGCTGGGGCAACCAGTGTCGCACGTCATTCAAAAACATCGGCCACGTTCGTGTACACTCCGGTCATCATCGCGTTAAGTGCGACGATCTGCACCGGTCCTCAGATGGACTCGGTCTGACGGTTCTCGGGCCTGCACGAGGGTGAGTGTCACCTCATTCGCCGTTCTAATGCACGCTACGACATGCGCTGGCTCTTCCGCACGAGTCGGTTTGGGTTGTACGCATACTACAGGTGTCTGCGATACCCTCGGTGGCGCAAACGCCGGATATACCGGCGGAGGAGTCTGCCAATTGACAGGAGGCATCATGGGTATGTATGGTCCTGGAGAGTAGGCTGATATTGTGGCTACCGGCGTCAGTTCGTGGGGGACACCATGAACAGCGTGCGCGTACGCGGGTGGTGGTGAAGTCATAATAGGTCTGTACCAGCCTTGTGCCGGAGGGGGAGGTGGGCTGTAGGTTGGGAAATTATGATCATGGGAAGGATTTCGGTGCATCTTGTGTTTCGCCTTGAACTGAGTGTAGACGTAGAGCGAGAAATCATATCATATTCAATGTGCAGTCTGCCTCATACAGTGCGACCGATAATATCTGAGATGGATCTGGGATCGGCCACCGGCATTCTTGCCGTGCCGTGCCGCAGCCACTGGCATCGTCCGGCCATCACAGAATGGGTCCTCAAGGGGCTTGGCCAGTATGGAGGGCGCGTTTTGAAGCAGACCCTACAAAGACCCTAATACGACCGTCCTCCTCCCCTCCAAAAAGGTCGTATTTGCGGTCTGCCTATGGGAGACTAGCATGGACCCAGCCCTGCAGCGGTCGTCGACATACGATCGTCACTCAAAGCCCCGAGCCAACGGGGCATGCATCATTGATATGACCGTGCGTAGACGCGTGAGTCGATGCTTAGAGTTACATGACGTTGTTATTGATGCTCCCGCTAAAGCGCATTCCATAGTATGCCAGCATACCGATGTTCCTTCAGGCCCTCAACAATTGTTTCGCCCATGTCTGCATTATGATGACGCCTCCTCCTGGTTAGTTCAACAGCAGCAGCATGGTCAGACGACACCGTCTATTCGTCGGCGCACGCGCGCGCGCTATGGCCCGCGCGCTGCATTGTGTACTGCATGCATTGTACACTGCTGTCAACGCAATAACTTTGACCGTCTCGACAATCTCGCACTGATCTGCCCCGCCGTGCCCCTATTTCAAGGATCGACTGCCGCACCGTTGTACGTTACGCTGCCTCAGGCCACCCCCTGATCAAACTCTTCGCATCATCATACTGCTACTACGATGCCCTCTCGATCGCCACTCACTGAACAAAGGCCACCTCGAGTTCGCCACTCGACGCGTACGTCCTTATGCAGTCCCCTCTGCGCTGTTGTTGACTATGATGCCACACAGCCACTGAACGTCCGCGTCGACCTCGACCTCGACCCCGGAAGCGGTCTGCGCATCATCAGTCAACGCATTCTGACCCAGAATCAGTGACGCTTTCGGAGATCACTTCGTGTCTCGTGAGGTCAGCACCTCTTGAACCGCTAGACTGAGCTATGCATGACGGTACTTGCAGAGCTCTTCTGTGCATGGGCCAGGATATCGCCTCTTGTTTCACCGAGCCGTTCATCTATGCATGGCTTCTAGCGACTACATCCCGCGCAGGACCGCACGACGTTCCCACGTTTGTCTTTCGACCACACGTCGAACCGGCTTCAGGAGGCAACTCGTTCGAGGAGGAAGAGGAAGTCTTCGCCATGCTCCTCAACGAGGCAGACATGGTAGACGACGAGATGGACGCCGAAGAAGCGGCGCGGCGCGAACCTGTATACGTCTGGGGAAGGAGGGGGCCTCAAGACGATCCAGACTACCGGTCCTACGACTTCGCAATGGAGATACCACGAGGGCGGTTCTCGCAGAACCCACCAGCATTCGTCAACGTCCAGGTGTCTGGGTTGTCCGAATCGAACATGCGCGTGGAAGTCAACCTTAGTTTGCATGATACCAGCGAGCCTAGCTCTATACACTATCATGTACTCCAGCATGACGAGTAGATGGGCAATGGATCTGAACTTTCGAGTCACAGCGACGCTCTGGAGATGGGACTCTGGTTCTTCCTTCAGAGATCTACAGGTTTCCCGCCGGTCCAATGAACCGAGCAGGGAACACTGTGTGTAAGAGTGACAAGTAACAGTATGCGACGCGTACTCAAACGCGTCCAATGTGAGGCACGTGAGCGCGATACAGAACCTCTTCAAGTGATGTCACTGTAGTTCTCACCAACAGACCGGCCGTCCAGGCGGTGTACGCAACAGCACGACCAATCGTCCCGACACCTCGCGCGCCCAAGCCAACGCTCAATCCGCTAGCGGCCCACCATCCATCCCGACTCATCATCGAGATCAAGGATGGCCCGTCAGCGAAAGACCGGCCGAGCGAGGTGGAGATCGTGAAGTACATCAACGAGGTACTCCAAGCCAGCAACGAAAGCAGACATTTACGGGTAGTGAACGTTAAGTTCAACGCCCATAACAATTGCATCGTCTTCACGCGCGCTGATCAGTCAGCGGGAGAGCTTGCCCCGCATGCTCCGAGGTTTGTAGAATTCTTCGCTGGCACGCGGGACACGCGTATCCGCCCCGACGAGAAGTGGTTCAAGATCCAGCTCAACGGGGTTCGGACCTTCAACGACAAGACCAACGACATAGCAACACCACAAGAAATCGACCACGACCTTCGAAGTCTCAACCCAGACTACGAGAAGATGGAGACCGCCGACCTACCACGATGGATGAGACACAGGGGCGACCTTATCTCACTGTCCTACTCGTCAGTGGTGATCGCCCTCAAGTCCCAAGAAGATGCCGACCACCTGGTGAACCGGGTCAAGAACCTCGCGATTGCAGGCCAGTTCGCAGAGGTGAGACGTTACGCTGACAAACCGCCCGTCATGCAGTGTAGCCGGTGCTGGGCATTCGGCCACACAAAGTCAAGGTGCAACGGGACGGAGAAGTGCCGGATCTGCGGGGCGACCTCCCACACCGAAGCCGACCACACCTGCCAAGAGTGCCGCGAAGAACGACCAGATGAAGACGTCGACATGGACGACTGCAAACATGAACAGTACGAGTGCGCCAACTGCACAGGGTGCCACACGGCGACGTGGAGAGACTGCGCAGCCCGCGACCAGGCTCGAGGCATCACGAAGGGAACACCGCGACCGAGGGGAGGAGCTAAGGCGACCTCGGAGTGGAAGGAAGCACGGGCGCCGAAGAAGACCACAGCACCCAAGAAGCCGACGAAACCCCAGCCGAGCCAAGCGCAGCGGAAGGTAGCTACGGAGAACGCAAACCATTTCGCTGCGCTGGACGAAGAGGAGCGGCACAAAGGCGATCTGGAAGCACTCCAGAAACGCTTCCCAGACCTGGACGAGACAGAATGCAGAGCCGTCTACGCGACGGTCGTCGAGGACTTCGCAGCGGCGGTAGCCATGATCGAGCGAGAGTACTACCCTCACCGGGTCCCTGACATTGAGACCGACAATGAGGTTGGATTATGAAAGACACGACCACCCGCCCCATCCGGATCCTACAGCTCAACGCCAACCGACAAAACGCGGTAATCCACGCCCTCCTCAACACCGCGACCTCAGCCGACACCGCCGACATCATCCTCATCACGGAACCGTGGTGGGGAAACATCGGCAACGACATCCAAGGACCGGTGTCGGAAGCAGGAGCAGGATGGACACCTATCCTACCCGTCTCCGCTGTCCCGCGAGACAAACGACCGAGAGCGATGGCGTACACACGCAGACGAGGAGACTTCACAGTCACCCTCCGCTCTGACATCGCTAATGACCTAGATATCCAGGTCCTCGAAATCGCGCAGGCCCCCCACCCCCCCACCATCATCGTGAACATCTATAACGACGACAGGAAGCAGGGCGCCAAGTCGGCGGCAAAGCGGCTCCAGAAGCTCTCCCTCCCAAGGGAACGCCCGACCATCTTGTCGGGCGACTGGAACCTGCACCACCCTCTGTGGTCGCGCACGTCGGAGCCAGCCAAAGACTCGACAGAACAGACGGTAGACTGGCTAACGCAGCAGGGCTTCACGATGAAGAATGAGAAGGGAGACCCAACCTTCTTCTCGCATGCACACGACACGTGGTCCACCATCGACCTCACCTTCACCAATCCGAAGGCCACCGAGCTCGATACTGCCAAGCACTGGTGGGTTGATCGGGAGTACGCGTTCGGCTCGGACCATTTCGCGCTGAGATGGGAAATCGACAACGGCGCCATCGAGATCGACAACCCCACAGGGGAACGATACAACTTCAAGGATACTGACCCAGCGGAATGGCGAGCCGCCTTCCGATCAGCACTGGACGACCACGACCTCGACCTACACCCCTTATCCGAGCAGCACACGACACTCTCCGATGACCAGCTCGACCGAGCCGCTGACGCATTGACGGCGGCGATGCAAACCGCCAACACAACAGCGGCAAAGGTCAAGAAGCCAAGCGACCGCGCGCGTCCGTGGTGGAACGCGGACCTCCACGACGCGGCGAAGAAGATCGCGGACCTACGCACGCAGAGCCTGAACCACCTGAAAAGGTGGGGCATGCAGGCGAGCACGACGAATGCCCAGATCAAGAAATCCCGAAACTACTTCAGGCGGCTCTACAAGAAAGCACGCCAGAAGTGGATCACGGACACCCTCGAAGACGCGACCACAGCCGACATCTGGGGCTTCACGAAATGGGGTAAGGGGGTACGATCGTACCAGTCACCAGCCATCTCGCGAGGCGCAGACCAGCCACCAGCCGTCATGCACGAAGACAAGTGCAACGCGCTGCGGGACGAGCTATTCCAGCCACCACCACCGCTGCAAGGAGTCCCGGAGAACGACCTCGAGGACCCTCACCCAGACGACTTTGCAAACAAAGACGTCACAACGGATGAGGTGAGACGTTCCATATTCGAGCAAGGGGCAGACAAAGCCCCGGGCCTTTCCCAATGCCAGTTCCGCGTCATCAGATGGGCGTGGGCTGAGGCAGAATCGACCATAACAACGCTGATGAACCATTGTCTACGCGCAGGTTACCACCCCAAAGCGTGGAGGAAGGCCATTGCAGTGGCCATCCCCAAGCCGGGGAAACCGGACTACAGCAATCCCCGGGCGTACCGACTCATCCAGCTCCTGGAGTGCCTCGGGAAGACCCTGGAACGGATCGTCGCCAACCGCCTCGCCTACCTAGTATCGACCCATAACCTCGTCCCTGCGAACCAGTTCGGCGGGCGTCCCGCGAGCTCCACGGACGATGCCATCCTCACCTTCGTCCACGACGTCGAAGCAGCCCACAACCACGGCAAAGTCACCTCAGCGCTTACCTTCGACATCAAGGGCTTCTTCGACTTCGTGAACCACCGCCGACTCCTCAACGTCATGCGCGAGAAGCGCCTCCCTCTCCAACTAGTACGATGGACCGCAGCCTTCCTCTCAGACCGAGAGGCAGCAATCTGCCTGGACGGGATACGTGGGGAGATGAGACCGGTAGAGAATGGGATCCCCCAAGGCTCACCGGTATCCCCCATCCTGTCTATCCTGTACGCCGCTGAACTCTTAGAAATCTTCGAGAAGGCGGCACGGGACCACGTCGACGCCATCAACGCCAAGCTGAAGCTGGTCGACAGCCCTGGACCGACACAGCTCATCATGTTCGTGGACGACGGCAAAATCTACGTCTCCTCGGACTCCCTCGACACCAACACCCGGATCCTCAAGATCGCCTACGGCCGAGTTGACACCTGGATGGCCAGCGTCGGCCTCTCGCCCGACCTGGTCAAAAGGGAACTGATGCACTACTCGCTCAGACGTCGAACAGCCAACGACTCACCGACAATCATCCTCCCAGGTGCCAACGGCGCCAACATCACCATAGCCGCGACCGCTTCAACAAAGTGGCTCGGCGTACACATCAGGAAAGCGTCATTTGCGTCTAACCTGTCTAATTAAGACAATTAGGGAGTTAGACGATTTAGACACATCATCTCAATTAAGTAGATTCATTTCTAGTGTTAGACAGCATTTAGATGCCTATGCTGTTAGGGATGCGAGGCCGCTACTAGACGTCCAGACGGATTATGCCACGAAGAGTTACTAGATTCGAGCATTGCTACATACTACATGATGGTACTCCTAGACTGGTACTATGATCATGTTCCGTAGCAGCACTGATTTGTCGAAAGCGGAATTATCCAAAGTAATTAAACGGACTCGTGCTATGGCATGCGCAACGTGACGAATATAGAGTAGCCTAGAACTGTGTGATGAAAGGATGGGGTCGAACGGATATGTTGCACCGTCACTGCTTCAGTTAACACAGCGTCAGCGTTCTCGCGAGCGTAGAAAGGTCAACGTTGACATTGTACTCACCTGATGTCTCCTGGCTTTGACAACAGATGATTTGTCTCGTGGTTCAGCCTCTGAATGACCAAGGTAGAAGCTTCAGTCACTGGCATCGTCGTCATCGCGCTGCGAGAGGGACTACAAATACATGCCGTCAATACGGAAGCCATAATACATAGAATAGTAGTACACTTACATCGCTCTCAACGGCCGGCGGTTGCTGTGGTGCGAGATAACGAAGATCATGAGCGAATTTGAACATAGCCTTGCAATGCTAGCATACATTTTGCTCGTCATCGGACGCCGTGGGGTCAGTCTGAGGGTGGTGATCCGCTGTGTCCGAGCCCGACTCGGAATCGGAGTACATGGCATCCGAGTCGTCAACATCGGCTTCATCTAGATCGTGGGCATTTCGCTGGCCGCTGGCAGAACGCTCGCGAATCAACGCGCACGAACGCTCGAGGATAGCGTCCCATGCGCTGGCGTCCAAACGCTTGATGGAGCGCACGTAGAACATGGCGCGAGCGCCTGCGTTCTTCTCTGAGAAGCTGGGCATGGCCGGTTCCGACATACGGCGGCTATGCTTCTTGCGATGCTTCACTGGGAATTCACCACGAACTCCGAGCGTCCATGCTCGTTCAGCCTAGGTTATGTGTGAGCCGTGGTCTCATAGAGGTGGAAATATTAAGGAGCTGACCGCGGCACATGCGAGCAACAACGCGCCGCATGGATTGCCGTGCGATGGGATCTTACTGATGATCCAGAGGTGCTCGGCCAGCGTCTCCATGACGATTGCATGCTGAAAACGTTGGTAGTGTTTCTGATAACCGTCCGGGCCATTGGAATTGGTGTTAGAACTAATACTTGGCCGCTTGGACTCGCATACTAGGATCACGTACCTCGATGACCAACTTATCCCCGCGCTTGACGGTCTTGACATGCCCATACAAGTAAGGATCACTGTCCCCGATATGGAAGGCTGCACACGCAGTGCGTTCATCCGTTCCGAAGAGCTGATTATCTTCCCAGTACTTCTTGACCGCATTGATTGCAGCCTCGCCCAGGTCCGATCGCCAATTGTACACGCGCTGCATGGTCTGCGGGGAGGCCCCCGGTGCGTCAGTTCTTTCAATACGTTGCATGATCATGTAAACGCACTAAAACATAGACCGGGGTTTTCGGTTGCATGACATAGCCGAGCGGATGGTTCGGGAATAGCTCCTCCCAAAGACGTTGCATCTCAGCTGCAGGATTGATACGTTGGAGATCCCATGGATTGTCGAGACGTCCTAGAAGCTCGAGGAGTCTCGGCATGAATACTGCATTGTATTTTGACCGTGTGCCGTCAGGGAGGGCTTCGTTTGTGGCACGGACAGCGGGTCCATGGCCAGTACTGTCTGACCCGTCATCATCAGACTCTCCAACGGCGCCCTGGACCGGTGTCGGCGTTGAGGTTACGGCAACCATACCCTGCACGCAGCACAGCATGCAATCAAGGAAACAAGGGATCAGCTGCCATATGTCTGCGATTGCCAAACGAGATGTCCGTACCTGCGCAGTGCGTCGGGACACAACTGGAGCAGCAGTTTTTGTCTTCGGCGCAGATGCAGGCTGAGACGTCTTCGACTTGGAGGGAGTAGGCGCTGGTACACTCGGATTAAGCGTTGACTTACCCTTCCCATGCGTATTCCTCGGTGTCTTCGGTGATTGTTGGGTCCGAGTCGGAGGCGTCTTCCATGATGCAAGCAATCCGAAAGGAAGAGCGGGCTGTGAGCCACTGCCAGAGGCCTTGGCCTTCTTACTTGGCTGTGCCGTGGCGGGGCTTCTGTGGCGCCGTAGTACATTGACGACAATGTCAGAGTCTATCTGACGTTCAATACAGTTCAAGTTGACTCACCCGTCAACAATGATCTCGTTTCCGGCCTTTCGCTTGCCGGTCACTTGCGTTGCCATCATGGCTGTAGCCCACTCTGGCAACGCGGGGCTCACACTGCGTGTATCAGTGGCAGCTGCCAGTGCTGGGTCTTCGCGGCTGCTGACAGCTTCAATATCACCACGCCGCATGCTCGTCTCCTTCTTCCGAGACTTCTTCGGCGCGGCATGCTCTGTCGACGGCATCTTCAGTACTACCTGCGGTCGACGGGACTTGGAAGCTGGAGTAGTAGCATGGGGGGCTTCCGAGAGGATCGCTGCGCGGCGGTCATTTGAGAACGAGTCGCCGGTGTACAATTGAAGGTTACATCATCACAAGCACGTACCTGCGATGTCGGGGAGCCTCTCACTGTACGACTGCATGGCTGGAGCAATATCAATAGAGGGTCAGACGCAGTCAGGGTCAGGGAACTTGGTGAGACCGTACCGTCGTACTCGATAGCTTCATCATCGCTACTCACCCCATCCGCCTCGCCAGGCTCTAGTATGTCAAGGTGTGACAGGCCACGAGCTTCAGCACTCGCTGAGGCAGAGCTTGTACTTGGTACCTGGCGCCTGAGCTTTGGAGGGAGAACACTTGGTGGCCCGCTCTGCTCGAAATCATCGCGTTGCCGCAGACGCGACTGAACATCAGCAAGGCTGCGAATCTTACCCGTGCGCACAAGCTCCGCTGCCTTCTTCTTCTCGCTGTCGAGTTTACGGGCAGCTTCAAGCTCTTTTTTGGTGCGACGTATGACCGAATTCTCCTTGACGACATCGCCAGGATGTTGATTTTTGTTTTTTGCGCGTGTACCCGGCCGGCCGGGGTTTGGCATCTTGTGCAGATGCTGGATAAGGAGGGTAATTCGATGAGCAAGGGTGCACCGGTGAGGACAAAGGCGTAGAGAGTGGAAAATGTCAAGTTGCAAAAACAACGTTGACGTGGGCAGAGACAAGGGTCAGTGCCAGCAAAGGGCAGCTGTAGTAGTAGGCCTGCGTTACCGGACGGTGTCGGAAGGGAACCCCGATTTTTCCCTGCAATTACCAAGGAATGACGCAGCCCAGACGCAGCCCCACGAACAGCATGCTGCACGCCGCGCTAAGTCTGATTTCGCTGTGATCAGCCCGCTCATCTCCCCTTGCTCTCGACGCACTCATCGAGACTTCAGCCCTCCCCAGACTCGTAGCGACTCACCTCAAGGCCTCCATGGCTAACAATGCCCAGCATGAGGCTCCTCGACGACAAGTGCACCAACCTATACGCATTCAATGTCAGATATGCCACGAGTCATTCCAAAATCGCTCCGGCCTTACCCAGCATCGGAACGCGAAGCATGTCGAGATGCCTGTGTATGATCCTGGTCGGCACAACGCCAACCTGCAAGGCCCGCAGGAGGATCCCGAAGTTCAGCTCTTTCCAGCGGAGCCAGATGTCGACGAGGCTGGAGGTGTAGGAGGAGGAGAACCTGATGGTCAGCCTGAGGATGGGCCGGAAGATGACAGGATGGGGGAGGACCAAGGGCAGAATAACACACATTACCACCAACATATCGACGGTATGTTCCAGCCGCACAGCATGGCGCGCTTTGGATGGCTCGCTGACCTCGACTTTAGCACGACCCTGCACCGAAGATGGTGGCGAGTACCTACCTCCAGGTATGCCGCCGCAGCCACGCGAACGGGCTGCCCAAGGAGATTGGGCACCATTCGGTAGCCGGATAGAGTTCGAAGCTGGCGAGTTCCTGTTCAAGAAGATCGAGATGTCAGCAGGCGATGTCGGGACCATCATGGATCTATGGGCCGCTTCGCTCATTTCGTTCGGCGCGAAGCCACCCTTTGCAAACGCAGTAGACATGCTCGCTGTCATTGACGAGATCCAACATGGGGACGCACCTTGGCGTAGCTTCATTGTTCAGTACCAAGGTCCCATTCCGGAGGTCGGCCAGGTGCCGTCTTGGATGACCGCGCAGTACACTGTTTGGACGCGGGATCCACGAAAGCTCATCCATCTTCTCCTCGAGAATGAAGACTTCGATGGCGAGATTGACTATGTACCGTACTGTGAGAAAGACGAAGAGGGAAAGCAGCGACTCACAAACTTCTTCTCGGGCAATTGGGCATGGCGTCAGGCAGTGAGTGGCATTAGAACGGCTCCGACTGTCCACCGGAGGAATACCGTGCTGAGCTTTGATTCTCAGGACACCATCGCCGAGGATCCCACGACGCATGGCGCGATGTTCGTACCAGTCATCCTGGGAAGTGATAAGACCACGGTGTCAGTAGCTACTGGTCAGAATGAATACTATCCACTCTACCTTTCGATTGGGAACCTCCACAACACCGTCCGACGAGCTCACCGCAATGCCGTCCATGTCCTCGCATTCCTAGCAATTCCACATGGTAAGTCAACCCACATGCTGTCCCTTCGGAGCAATAGAGACAGATAAGTGCTTACTAACTTGTATATGACGGCGGCGGATACTCCAGCTGACAGGAAAGACAAGGACACCACCGCGTTTCGTTCGTTCAAGCGCCAGCTGTACCATGCAAGTCTGGGCAACATACTTACTCCGCTTCGCCCGGGTATGTCGACACCTGAGGTCGTACGATGTCCCGACGCACACTTTCGTCGCGCCGTTTACGGAATAGGCCCAAATACGCAGGATTATCCAGAGCAGGCGCTCGCTGCATGTGTCGTCGAAGGTTGGTGCCCTATGTAAGCACACACACCTACGGTCACAGTTCCCAACGCTGATTGTCATGCCCTGGGCAGATGTTTTGGTCACCATAATGACCTCGATGCCGGAGCTGATCAAGGGCGACGTACGGAGGAGTTTACAGAAGCGTTAGTTGCGATGCTTGATGAGCGTGCACTCTGGCAGGATTATGGGATTGTCAGCAACGTCATCGTGAGTTTCGATGACCCAAGTCCGTGAAAATGAAGTCTCACCATCACACCTGTACTTATAGCCATACACCAATGATTTCCCGAGAGCGGACATTCACGAACTACTCTCGGGTGATCTTCTTCATCAGATCATCAAACCCTTCAAAGACCACCTCGTCGATTGGATTATAATACTCCTGATCATTATATACGGGGAAGCGCTAGCCAGTGTGATCTTGGACGAACTTGATCGCCGGTGAGTACTCACCTTTGCTCACACGCTTGTGTTCAAGTTCATTAGCATTGATTATTGCGTGGATCTATCAGTTTAGCAACGATGCCACCATTCGTAGGCCTGCGCCATTTTCCGCAGGGGCGGCGCTTCAAGCAGTGGACAGGTGATGATACCCGCGGACTGATGAAGGTGAGAATCATACGGAACTTGGACCTGTGTCAGCCGCATACTCACGTCAAATTATCCTGCAAATATAGGTGTTCCTGGCTGCACTCCGAGGTCTTGTTCCGGACGACGTTGTTCGCGCCGTCCGATGGTATCTCGAGTACGCATACATCATTCGCCATCCTGAACAGACAGACGACACGCTCCGACGCGCAGATGAAGCATGGACTCACTACTGTCGATTCCGTGAGATATTCCGTGTTGCTGGAGTCCGAGAAGACGGCTTCTCGATCCCTCGCCAGCACGGTCAAAAGCATACGTCCCGTCACACGCGCAATTTCGGCGCCCTGTATGGTCTATGCACGTCAATCACGGAGAATAGGCACATCACGGCGGTAAAGAAACCGTGGCGGCGATCAAGTCGCTACAAGGCTATCGGCCAGATGCTCCAGACGAACGCACGTCTTGAGAAACTCGCCGCTGCTCGTGTGGACTTCACCGTGCGCGGAATGCTAGAAGGTACTTGCCTGAGCGAAGCCCTCGAAGCGATGATTGCTGCCGAGGACGACCCTGCGGAGGCCGACATGGATGTTGACGATGAAGAATGGCAGGCCGGGGACGACGAGCCTGAGCGTGATGATCGCGGTGCACGCAATGCCGCGGACAACCTAGATCAGGGAGATGAGGTTGGGCCAGTGGCAGGAGCAAACGAAGGTGCTGGTGGTCGGCCTGCCGCTGGTGCTGATGAAGAACTTGGTGACGCGGTGGATGGACCACAAGTCGATGCGTTTGTTGTCCTTGCGCGGCGACCAGGTATGTAGTTGTGACAGCACTTCTTTGATTGGTCGGTACTCACTGCAGTGCACCATATTGACAGCAAAGGGCTATCCTCGAAGGCTCGGTGACCTTGGTGACTATATTGGCCGCCCCGAGCTCCCCACCTGTGTAGCGCGCTTCATCGCGGGGCAGCTGGGTCAAGATCCTGATGTGGAAGACGTGGATCGCTACAACGATCCAGACATACAGGTGACCGTTTACCCATCTGCCGTAGCAACATTCTACGCACCAGGTGATCCTTCGGGAACTGGCGGTATGCGGCGCGAATGGATACGCGCAACACCATCCTGGCGAAAGGGACCCGCACGGTATGACTGTGCGTACGTGACTCATAACCCAGCCTTGGCTGGCTTTCGCGGTCTCCATGCCGTACGAGTACGCCTACTCTTCTCTTTCACTTTCATTGGCACATTTTATTCGTGTGCGCTCGTCGAGTGGTTCATTCCGGTCGGAGATGAAGCAGACGACGTGACGGGCATGTGGGTTGTTAAGCCCGAGATCGACGAAGACGGGCGGCGACCATGCGAGATCATACATTTGGATACTGTACTCCGAGCAGCTCATCTCCCTCCTGTCTACGGCGACCAGTTCATACCGCGCGATCTCACAGCTGAGGAAACCTTGGACGCCTTCCGCGCATACTACGTTAACAAATTCGTTGACTATCACGGACATCAACATTTGTTCTAGTGTAGCATGTACTACTGTACATAGTATTGGATGGCTCTGCGCGATCATGTCAGTACAGTACTACGCGCGCAGTAAGTGATTTTTTTTAGCCCACCCTCAAGTGTTGACTGCGGTAGAAAGTTAGGTCCATTAGGCCGGTGTTAGATGCGTGAGATACATTAGATGGTGTTAGGTGGCGTGACGCTTTCCTGATGCACCTCGACAGGCGACTCAACTTCGACCATCATGTCAAACAGATGGCCGGACGTGCAGAGAAAGCGGTATTGAAACGGGTTGGGCATGCTAGCCAACACCGTAAGGGGACTCTCACAGGAGCACTTACGAACGCTTTACACAGCCTGCGTACGCCCGATCATGACGTACGCGTGCCCTGCATGGTGGCGAGGCAAAAAGAGCCACGAGAACGCTCTCGAAAAGGTACAGAGACGCGCGTTACGACTGATATGCGCAGCATTCAGAACAACGCAGACGACGGCAATGGAGATAGAAGCGGCCATATCACCGATCCGCCACCACCTGGAACTCACCAAGGACCGGGCAGCGATCCGGCTGAACAAGCTCAGCGCGCACAGCCCGATCCTCCAACGGCTCCCCGACGCATGGCGTCAGTTCACCGAATCCAATACACCCCGACCACCACGACCAACACACAAGAAGACCACAGCACGCCGGAGGAAACCCCCAGCAACCACCCGGCTGTGCAACATGGCCTTACGGTCGGATCCCATGGACGAGCGCATCACGCCGCTTGCAGTTCCCCCATGGAGGAAGACAGCGGCGGACTTCAAAGGGAGGCTCACCATCACCCCAGCGGTGAAGGGAGTCACAAAGGAAGCCGCCGCAAAAGCGCACAATGCAAAGCTGAGTCAACTCAACAAACGAAAAGACACCATCACGATGTACTCTGACGGCTCTCTGCTCACAGAGAACAACCAGAGACGGGTCGGCGCGAGCCACGTCGCAATCGGACACAACAGCATCCTCTTCGGAAGGAGGATCCCGATGAGCCGACGCGCCGAGGTATACGACGCGGAGATGGCAGGTCTCTCGTGGGCAGCGAGAGACTTAGAGGCCTACCTACAACAACCGGACATCCCCCCCATACACGACATTTACTTCTTCGCCGACAACACCTCTGCAATCTCCGCTATCTTCGAAGCAAAACCAGGACCAGCACAAGGACACTCACGCATCTTCCGCGAAGTGATCCTCCGCCTCCTCGAAGCCGACCCAGCCACGAAGATCACCATCGCGTGGACGCCAGGCCACAAAGGGATCACCGGCAACGAACTCGCAGACCAGCTCGCCAAGGACGCAACCGCGCTCCAACCCGACAACCACCGATCCACGCGCGCCAACGCCCTTCGCAGAGCGAGGGAGCGGGCGATGCAAGCGTGGACCGACGAATGGAAGAGAACGCGCCCGACAGGACGCTTTGCGACCGCGAACCGCCTACCACCGAAACCGAAGCCCGGAAAGCGTTTCCAGAGGCTGTCGCGCGAAGTGTTCGGACGGGTATTGCAATGCCGGTCTGGACACGGATTCATGGGCGAGTACTACCGCAAACACGTCCCGTCGGAGACGGTCGAATGCCCATGCGGCGCGCAGTACCAGTCCAGGAGACACATACTCCAGGACTGCCCACGCTACGAACCTCACCGACACCTACTACAAACTGCTAGCGAGACAATCGACCTACCGACTATACTAGGTACGGAAGACGGAATCGACGCGCTCGCGCGCTTCATCGAGAAGAGCGGCGCGTTCACGAAGACAGGAGAACCGCCCACTGCTCCGGAAGGAGCAGCGGACCCAGAGCACAACGACGATGAAGAAGCAGCGACAGGAGACGACCGCGGAGGAGACGACTCAGAGCCAGAAGAAGACCCCGACGGACCGACCGACGAGGACGAAGACTAGACGGTACTAGCTGCACGGCGAAGTACCGTCACCAAACTCGACACTCCCACACCTCCGACAATCACTCGTGCACTAGGGGAACAAACCCGGCTTGCGCCCCTAGGAGAAGACGACGCGCCGAACGCGGACCGCGGATTATGCAGTTTCCCTACATCTCTGTTTCTCATGCTTATTTATTACGATCTATGCGACTCGGACAGACGAATAGAACCAGTACCATAGACGCTACCATAGACTACAAACCGACAACGACCCATTACTATATAACCCTCCAGACGTTACTCTTACCAGTACAGCCCCGAACTGGACGTCGACCTGGGTGGCGCGTTTTAACGCCCACTACTGTACAGGCCGGCGTCCGCCGCGTCTTAGCACATGTTTGCTTGTAGCGGTTAATAAATGCAGAGGTCATCATCATCATCATCACTGTAGTTCTCATCCTATCAGTCCTTTCAGCCACAATGCCCCGCATCTGCAGCACCATCCTTCCAGCCTCTGGCATCCTCGCAATCCCTGTATTCGCTCGACATCGTCTATCCTGTTACATCTCACCAACAAACCCCTTGGACAACGAATTGAGGACAGGCTAAGACTGAAGCAAGATGGCGTGGAGATGCACAGGCGCGACCAACGTCGAGCTCATCACCAACATGGCGAAGCACGGGCTCATCAACTCTGAGCGCGTCCAAGCAGTATGTCCTCGCGTAGTATCCCCCGCTGAAGCCAGGCTTATCGCGCGGGTAGGCAATGAAGAGGGTGGACCGCGCGAACTACGTGCGCAATCCGCATGAAGCGTACGAGGACTCTCCTCAGTCAGTCTCTCCTTCTCCATTTCCCGTACGAACCCATGGAAACCCACCCCACCAGACGCATCGGACACGGCGCGACCATCTCGGCCCCGCACATGGTCAGCCTCCTCCCATCCGTATCACCCCAGCCCACCCACTGACCCGGCTGCGAACAGCACGCCCACGCCGTCGAGTACCTCCTCCCCCTCCTCCACCCCGGCGCACGCGTCCTCGACGTCGGCTCCGGCTCCGGCTACCTCTGCGGCGTCCTCCACTACCTCGTGACCGACCTCGACTCCAGGGTGACCGGCACCGTCGTCGGGATAGAGCACATCCCCGAGCTCGTGGAGTGGTCGAAGGGGAACCTGCGCAGGGACGGCCTGGGCGCGGCGCTCGACAGCGGGAACATCAAGATGATCGCGGGGGATGGTAGACAGGGTGCGTACCATCCACGCGGGCTGGTCAACGAAGTCGGGCTGATCGTGCGATTGTTCCCTAGGCTTTGCGGAAGCTGGTCAGTGCTCCAGGTGAAGACGCGCTGACACCTACTGACAGGGTTCCAGGACCGTATGATGCCATCCATGTCGGTGCGGCGGCACCCACCATGCCGCAGGCACTCGTCGACCAGTTGTCCCGTCCAGGACGCATGTTCATACCCGTAGGGGAAGAGGCGCAGGCGATCATACAGGTGAGCAACCCGTTGTTGCATCGTACAAGAGATGCCGCTCATGCACGCATGCACAGGTTGACAAAGACGTGGACGGGAACGTCACGCAGAAGGAGCTCTTCGACGTCATGGTGAGTCCCACATTGGCCGGGAGCGAGACCTGTGCTGAGTGCGCGCATGCAGTATGTCCCTCTGACCGACCAGGAAAAGCAGCGGACCGCGGGTCTGTGATATGTGCTTTCGAAAACGTTGCGCATGGAGCTCATGGTGTGCGTGGACTAGCGAAGCCAATTACCGAGATGTCTTGGGCAGATCGTAGCAGATGTTGTATCATAGTTTGTACGAATACATGTTGCTTCCGCGTGCCCAGGTCGATAACGGCGTTTTACGTTTGCAGAACGAATACCGCTTGATAGGATGAGGTGGGCCCAAGGTGGGCCCGAAGAGTCTTGGATCTGCTCGAAGGTGTCGCAAGAGGGGACATCTAACGTTTGGTGACCGGATGATGAGATGTTGGTTAGGCTAGTATGGAGTTGAACCGGTACCACAGCTGCACTCTACTATATTACTACTATTATACGCATAGGCCGCCTCCGGTGAATTCGCTGATGTCTGTTTGGCATCTCACACATACACAGAGTCGGGCGTCTTCGCCTCTCCATTTATGTTTCACCTTCGACATCCGGTGGCCTTCCGGTTCAAGGATAGGTTCCTGACGGTCAGCCTCATGAATTTGTACGTATATCAGTATCTTCTTCTGGCGTCCCGTTCTGTGCATCATCCCTGTGTGTTTTCAGCCACTCCGTCGGGGATCAGCCATATACGGCAAGTCTTCTGGTTCGATCATGATCCAAGGTCCTTCGCATGCCTCTCACAACTGTCAATTCACTGTATCTGACCGACACGCAAACGGCAAACGATCATGATCTCATTTCCACCACACACAATTGCTGTCGAATCTACTGTCACAGCAACATTATGCCGCGGATTTCGGTATAGTCAGTAAGTTCAGGCATTTGAACCGTGTATGAGTCGATGACCCCGGGTCAGGCGTAAGACACAATCTCGTAAGCGGAAGCCGTGTTCCTCCCGCTGACTGCGTTGACCATTCACGCGACGGACCGCATCGCCCTCTCCGAGGCGGAAAGGCAGCGGAATTACGAGGGAGTTTTGAATCGAACTGCAGGGAAGCGGCAGCGCCCTTCATGCCTGCCGCTTTCCCGTAGTCCGACCCGCGCTTCCGACACTCCTCCAGGTCAATGAATGCATTGTACTGTCTAAAGCTATCAGCAATTCCAGCCCGACATGTACAAGTCATCACTACGCCTCTGTTCACTCAGTGTTGCAATTCGGTTCCAGACCACTCAATACAGACAATCCCTCCGTGCTGGTCGAGAATCACGGAATCAAAAGACCATCACAATCTTGACCGATGCATCCATCGTCGTTGGTCTAGACCGCGGGTATACCAAAACTAGATAGGAGGTCTGCACACATCCATCCGCTGCTACGAGCCGAGAACGACGCACCGAAAATGCATATAAGGGTCGGGTTTTCGCCAGTGTTCGCCATTATCTTCGTCTTCGCATCAGCATCCGCACACTCAACTCCAGAGTTGCATATTCTTCACGATGCCTGCTGCACTTCCTGACTTCACTGGCATGATGATCGACGCTGGTCGTCTCGAGCTACTCCAATCCGTGGGCGCTGGCGCCTGCGGTGAGGTCTACCTCGCCATTGATCACGAAGCCTCGGCCTCCTCCTCGGTCCCCGTCCGGCGTGCAGTGAAGATCGTGCCGAAGGCTGGTCCTTCGAAGCGCGACACGCAGCGCCAGCGACGGGAGATCACGATCCAACGACTCGTCTCGGACGTGCCCGGCGTCCTCGAGTTGCTCGATGTCATCGAAGACGACGCGCACTTCTACCTCGTGACGGACTATCGCGACTGCGATTTGTTCGACCTCATTGTCGAGGGCGCTTTCGAGGACAACGACGAGCGGATCCGGTCGGTGTTCGTGCAGATTCTGGATGCGGTACACGGGTGTCATCAGAAAAGGATGTATCACTGTGACCTTAAGCCAGAAAACATCCTCTGCACGGCCGACGGGAAGGAGGTCGCTGTAGCCGACTTCGGGGCGGCGACGCCTCTGGCGCGAAGCTACTCCCGCGGCTACGGGACGGGCTCCTATTTGAGTCCTGGTAAGTACTTGGTCCCCAATCATTGACACGGATAATGCTGACCTTCACTGTCATCAACAGAATGCACCGAATCCGCTACTGGACCTTACTCCACCAAGCATGCGGACATCTGGGCGCTGGGGAGGATCCTCGTCGACCTCATCACCGGCTGTCGCCGCCCCTGGGCGGAGGCCTCGCTCGACGATCCCGACTTCAGGGAGTTCCTCGAGGACGAGTATTACCTCGAGAACGAGTTCGGCATCTCGAGCGGAGCCGCCAGCCTCCTGAAGCGGATCTTCAGGCTGAACCCCATTGCGCGCCCCAGCCTTGCGCAGATCCGCAACAACGTCCTCCGCCTCGACACGTTCTTCGCCGAGTTCGAGGAGGACCTTGAGTGGGACGACGAAGACAACGAGTCCATCGACTCCACTCCCACGCCTGAGGACAGCATCGCCGTTGTCGGTACACCCGGCAACGATACCGCGATTGCTCCTCGCTTCGTCGTTTCCAAGGAATACGTTCGACCGCTGTTGCTGCCAGCACTGGCAAGAAAGGGCTCTGACGATGAATTTGCGCTCGGCTTCCTTGACGGCCTGGAGATGCTTGTATGAGAGTAGCTCCAGTGTCCACCCAGTCATGCGAGGACGAAAAGTCGGGCGCGACGTTCCCGCCGCCTATCGCCAGCCGGTCGACGAAAAAGAGAGAGGAGAACGCCTAGTAGTGCCAATGGACATTACGGACATATGCCTTGGACACGCATGGACGCTGTGCCATCGGACACTTCGAGTACACTGCAGATTAGGAATGGACAGTCAGTACCGGACAATGTGCCATGGACACGTAGGGTAGAACAAAAAAGCCAACGGAACAAAAACAGTACATACATAAACTTGCCAAAGTCAAACACAGTCATGACAATCTCTTCTGCGTGCGCGTGAATTTGTGTCACTCGCGTCCCTCTCGTCGAGTCGTCGCCTCGAGTCTTGAAGCTTGACTGGAGTCTGTAATACTAACACTGTAACAGAGATTTGGCTCGGTGCACGCTGCGAAAGTTTGTCGCGGTCACGTGCATGTGGCCGCTCCCCGCGCGCCCCTATTCTGATTCAGTCGGCTGAGGTCGCCCTGAGGTCACCGCTCGCCGCTCCTCTCGTCACACCAACCTTCACCGACTCACTCACTTATCGAATCTGACTGCATTTTTGTGGTGGTGTAACCAAACGTTCGTCGCATCGTCCATCATACTACTTCATTCAAGACATCGACCATGTCCACGTCTTACAGATGGCAGCCGCGCCCAAGCCACTTGTCCTTGTCTTCTCTCTATCCGGAGAAAACATGGACGGATTTTATGCCCCCTTCATGGCCCATCTCAAGGCTCAATGCGAGGTTGAAGTCGTCAAATCACAAAACCATGCGCTGCGGACGCTGTCGAGGTCACCACGTCCTCAAGCAGTTCTCCTTGCTGATGAAGTTGTGACCGAGCGGAGACAGGAAGGACTCCTACGCAAACTGGCAGAGTATACCAGGTCTGGAGGTACGATTGTCTTTGGCTGCAGATTCTCAACGTTCGTCGAGAAGAAGAAAATGGAGGCAATGTTCCAAGGGGTGTTGGGACTGCCGTGGACCCGGGGCGATTATTACCGCTGCGTCTTCTCTCTTAATAGAAGAGTGGAGAACATTGGCCTCGAGAGTCTCGCTTCGTCATATAGTATGAAAGCCTCGCAACTGCGCAACGTAACGCCCACGGCAGCAGTGTATGTCCCCACCGAAACTTCCCGGATCCAGTCTTTCGTCTTTGCACCTACCCCTGTCGGGAACCTAGAGCAGACCCCTGCAGCATTCACAAGACTTGGCCAAGGCTACGTCGGCTACGTCGGAGACGTCAATGCTGAAGAGGAGACAACTCACCTGCTCATCGCTATGTTGCTCGCATCCTCGCAAGAACGAGAGACCAATGATCCAGCGACGTCGACAGTGAGTTCAGTGCCAGACCCTTTCTATATCAAGCTGACAATACCATCACTGCCAATCAGAACCCACGGAACATGCAACGACCTTCTGTGCTCGTTCTCATGCTCCAGGAACAAATGGACTTTGCCTGGCGTGAAATGTACGCTGACGTACTCGCTGCCCTTCGCAATAGGGCCAATGTCACGGAGGCCTCGACAATTCATCAGGCTCTGCGACGTCTTACAACGAAGCCACTCCCAAATGTTGTGCTCGAGATGGACGGTAGTATTTTGGAGGAAAGGCATAGCGCACTTCTCTCAGCACTGATCGCATATAGCCAACTTCCTGGGAACACTGTCGTCTTCGCATGCCAATTCGCTGGATTCGTAACCCCGGATGACTTCGATGCACTCTTCGAGCGTCTGGATCTCTCGTGGCGCTGGGGCACCTACACGAAAAAGGATGTCACTGTGACGAAGTCCGTGGACGACGTTGACTTCGACTCGCTGACGGAGACATACGAGTACAACAAGGCTTTATACCTTCGGGATGTCCCCTGGGACGAAGCTGTCTATGTTCCGACGCTCCGATACCGCAGCGATGAGACATCGGCAGCGCTGGCTAAGACGACACGCGGAGGACGTATTGGATACGTCGGAGACATCAACACATCGGAACATCTAACCAAGCTGCTCCTGGCCCTCTGCTTTCCAAAAACTGTCCAACCAAGCTCGGAGAGCGCGCAAGCCGCTTTACAAACAGTCGTAAGTCTATGATGGCTCCTGCATTGTGCGCAGCGCTAACCACTTGAACAGCCTGCGACACAGCCTGCGCGTAGCGAGGGAGCTGACAATCGCGAACCAAAACCCGAGGTTTTGCTTATCTCGTTCGACAAGCTATCGTTCTTCGACAGCAGCGAGCAACAGTTGCTTTCCGCCCTGCACAAGAACGCAGTGGTCCAGGAAGCCCTCGACGAGAAGGCTGCCCTGAAACACTTGTTGACGAAACCCAGTCCTGCCGCGGTTCTTCTCACCCACACCGCTGTCGCTCACAACGACAAGGTAATTCACCACGTCATTGCGTATGCCCGCGCAGGAGGCAAGGTGATCGTTGGCTTCCAATTCCCCAACAGCCTCCCACTCAATGAGTTCAAACCGTTCTTCGAGAAATGGGAACTCCCCTGGGCCGCTGGCGCATATCACCGCACAACCTGTGCTTTGAACACGGACGGCGTACCTGCCCCGTTGCGGTCGAGCAAGCTCTTCCCCGCGTACAGCATGAAAGCCGGTCACCTGAAACACGTCAAGAAGAAACATAGGGTATATATGCCGACGACCGCATCGTGCATAGAGGAGCAGTTCAGTCAGCCAGGCCCGCTAGTCACCGGCTCGCTCCTGGATGAGTGTGCTGCAGCCTGGGCTCCCATCGGCAAAGGCTACCTGGGCTACGTCGGCGACGTCAACACGGAAGAAGAGAGCATCAGACTGGTCCTCGAGATGTGTGGTATCACCATCAAGCCCGGGGACCTTGGCCCGCGGAAGTGCAGTGTGGGTATGCGCATCGAGCCTGGTGGAGGGAGGACACCTATCACGGAGACGTACGGCGAGCGGCTACTCCCCGTGCGCAAGGAGCTATCGCGACCGAGGCCTCGAGAGCAAGAAGCTGCTGCCCGGTCGGTGAAGCGCGCCAACATGTCACGACGGAGACGCCTGACTGCTGAGGTGCTGAAGGAAGAGGTGTGCTTTCACTCTGTTAAACGTTAAACGGAACTCACGCATATGGCCCACGTGATAGGGTAATACATTATTCAAGGAGGGCAAGTCAGCAGAGGCCGCGAGCAAGTATCGTCAGGCTGCGTTAGTGTACGGACCGAGACCAGTCTACATGAGCAACCTTGCCGCAGCCCTACTCAAGATGGGACGGTGAGTTGCCACGAGATTCACCATGTACATGACTGACAGACCCGCGTAGCCACGCCGAGGCAGAGTCTGCTGCCAGTCGTGCGCTCTTCTACGAGCCGAAGAATATCAAAGCACGTTACCGGCGAGGGATGGCAAGCAAGGGATTGAAGTCGTATGCTCTCGCCATAGAAGGTGCGTTTCCCTTCCATCCATGACGTTTCCATTCTTGCATGCTATCTTGATTGCGTGCCGCAGACTTCCGTAGTGTTCTGAGACAAGATCCGTCGTCGCACGTTGTGCGGTCCGCTCTTGAAGAAACGCTCCTGTTAAACCACGGCAGGGTGCCACCTGAAGGAGATCCAAAGAGGAGCGAGGAGCATGATCCTCTATGGGAGATTATGACCGAATCGGACAGCAGCGAATATGAGCATGACGGTAACGGAACGCCGTGTCGCTATCTGAACCACGACGGGTGTAGGCATGGTTCGAAGTGTCGCTGGAAACACGCGCCTGACACACGTAGTGTTCGCGATGAAATGTAAGTCACTTACCCAGCTCATTACGAGATTCAGGTGGAATTGACATTGGCGGTGTCACAGAGGTCGCAATGTATGCATGATGTGGCTGTTGGGCCACTGCACTTACAACAAGTGCTACTACGCACACGACAAGACCTATCTTTCTGCAGGTGGATGGTGGAACAAACCCAACGTCGTAACCGAACTGTGGAACGATGCCGACGATGTCATCATCACTGGTCATAAGAAGACAGATCGAGCGATGTTCCTGGCAACGATCTGGACTCTACAGATCTGGCGCACCGACGGGTGGACGCTTGGACGCTTTAGCGCCTTGGACGACGAGAAGATTACCATCGGAAAGCGGTCAGGCGTGTTATCCGTCAACACAACGCAGCGCGACGGTCAGTTCCAGTACAGCTACTCTATGCCGGAAGAGACCACGGCAAGCGTGGCAAGAGGCGGCGACGAGGACGATGACGGTGATGACGAAGACAAGGATTACGACGGAAGTGAGTGGGACGACGAGGAGCAGGAGCAGAGGATGGACAACATGGGCTTCACCAACGACGAACTGAACGACATATTATCCTATGGCGTGAAACCATGGGACGACGACGCCTGGGTACGTATCCTATTCTTTGATGTCAAACGCATTCGAGTACTCACTCATACATCCTCTTAGGACGTACTAGATGCCGTTCGCGGCATGTAACTGTCCGCGTCAGCGCGTATCGGTCCGTGGCCGACGTGTATGTATAGTGAGGTGCGGACAGGACAGGCTGAAATCCGTCCGAGCGAAGCCAAGCCTGGGCTTCAAGCTTCAATATCCCCTCCTCTTTGCCTCAGATGAATCTATGATAGGGGTTTTGCTGCATACGCAGCTATCTAGTGCATACTCATCCTGTAATGTACCATATATCGACCTCGACTCCTCAATGAGTTTCACGCGTCACGATTCGTGTCACTTCTGTGTAGACGTATTCACCTATTGACATGAGAGTGATGAGAGCGGGGTGTACAAGAAACTCTGCTAATAATGATAGTAGTAAAGTTAAAGCGACAATTAGATGTTTGAGTGCACTTATTATGTGAGCAAGTAGAGTAATAATGCCGCCGTGAGGAGTATTAATGCCGCCGTGAGTGCGAGTGGTCCAACATGGTCCATGTAGTCCGAAATTCTGGGGCAGTCAGGTCCACCGCTTACAAGCTGAATACCGCATCCAGTTCAGACTTGAACATATCTTCGACGGCCCTCCGTCGAATGTTGCCCTTCGTCGCCGTCCGTGGTAATGTGCCCGCAGCTACGACCACAATCATTTTTGCGGAGGTGATCCGCTCGTGCATGTACCTCCTCGAGTGGAAATGACGTGTCCTGCGGAGGATTTCCTTCTTCAGCTTGTCGTCGTCCATCTTCCGCGTAGGGTTTGACTCGATGAAGAGCACGGGCGACGGGCGGCCGTTCCCCACGACGATGCACTCAGAAATGAGCGCCTCGCACGTCGCGCGGACATTGTCCTCGATAGCCTTGGTATCACAGCGAAGACAGTTCGCACTCTTGATCCAGTCGTCGTTCCGTCCCCGCGATACGTACGCACCGGGCTCCACCTCGAGGAACAGGTCACCCGTGTGGTAATGTCCGTCGGCGGCGCGGAGTGACGGGTCTGGGCAGTCCGGCGAGTCAGAGAGGATGACGAGCTCGACGAGCTCGCCATTCAGATTGTGGTACGCCGACTGCGCCTGCCCGTTTGTCCCGGAAACGGGGAAGAATCCGTATCGCGAGCCGGCGATGGGGCGGAGCGACGGGCCCGGACGACCCCCGCCGCGCACGGACGTCAGCATGATACCGCACTCAGTGTTGGCGAAGACATTGATGAGCTTCATGTCGTTCTTGTACGCCCACTCCTCGTCCTCCTGCGGCATCGCCTGCCCGGAGTAGAAGATCTCATCGAGTGCGTGGAGCTGCGCGAGCAGCTTGGGGTTCTGCCGCGAGTTGCGCATGTGGATGCCGAGGAAGGCGGGAAACTGCGTCAGCCGGTTGAGACGGCAGCGGACGATCATGTCGAGGAGCTCCTCGGAGCTGAAGTCGACCGTCGTCGGCTGGACGGTGCAGGCGCCGTTCTGCAGCGAGCCGACGAGCATGAAGGTCTGGCCGATGTGACATACGCTCCCTCTGTGGGACGAGTCAGTCAGACTGCGGTGAAAACGGGGCGCTCAGATGTACTCACATGAAGTTTCTGACGTCTGGACCGTCGCGTCGGAGCGTTTTAGAGAAGAGCTTCGCTTTGGCAAGGATGGTCGTGAGCCATAGGTAGCTGCAGGGGATGAGCTTGGGGGAGCCCGAGGTCGATCCGGAGGTGTGGAAAATTACGACGGTATCTGTGCCCTTCACTTTCGTGAGATCGGTCATCGGGGGAACCGTTGACTTCGAGAGATCGTGATGGCGCGCGTCGACCGCGGCGTGTGTGGGCACATGGCAATTGGACAGGTCGGGCGTGTAAGTGGGCTCGAAGATGAGCGCCTGCGCGTTGGCCTTCCGAAGCAGCTCGTAGATGATATCGGGGTTGGGAAGCCGGAGGGAGAAGAGCTGAGGAACGTAACCCGCGCGTGCAACGGCGTATATGTGGACGACGTCGAGGTATGTGATGCCTCCAAGCCTATCCATGGAAGTCAGTGATCAAGTCGATTAGACAAACAACTCAATTGACTCACCATAACCCGACAACCGATCGAGGCTGCACACCATCCCTCGTGAGGATATCGTTCCAATAGGTTGCGAAGTGCTCCACGTCCGCGTGAAAGTCCTGGTAGCTGATTGGCTGCCAGGTCTGCACGCGACCAGTGACCTGGTCGAGGATAGGAATCTGGAAAGCTGGCGTCGTCGGGTGCTCTGCAGCAGCCTCAGCAATGACAGTAAGGTGGGTCTTGTAGTTGGCCATTATGTGTGGTGTACGACGGCGGAGCGGCAGACTATAAGGTGCGTAGCTTGAGGGATTAAGTCCGTGAACGTAAGATAACAGGGAGAACGATACTCTGCGAGCTCGGAAGAAGAGGAAGAGGAAGAGGCTGAAGATTGGGTTACTCCCGAAGTCACCAGGCCGTATATATACCCCGATGGCCTATTTAGGCATGAGAGTGTAGAGGCAGAGCAAGCATCTGCGTCAGGACAAGCCATCGTGAGATGTGACGAAGTGCGCGCATGGGATCTGGGCGGCAGCGGCACAGTCACTTGTCAGCAGGAGCCAATGAGTCTGTGTCGCCGCTATGACTCGCGTCTACGCGCACCTCGGCGACTTTGAGTTGCAACATCGGGCTATGCGGATGGGACCACACCCTTCTTGATGCGCAACTCGGCGGAGGATGCGCGCTGCACGCCCAACTGGAGAGCCCCGCCGCGGACGAGCCGAGCTCTTGCGCCAAAGGGGAGCCTCCCTGTCGGATGTCCGTCGACATCGTAGCAGTGGTGCTGTCGCAAATTGATGGTGGCGGACACGACACAGGACTCACGCGCTGGCTGCCAGAACCGCGCTTGGATGCACAGCCACCTTGCCAATGCCAGCTGCTCCGCGTCGCATCTGCGTGACTGTGAGTAGTAGGCGCAGACTTCACGGTTGATAGATAACACGAACACGGATGCTGTGGTCTTCGGTATGACCCCGTGCTTCTCCTAATGATCATGATAGTGTTACTGCTTCGAGGCCGCCTTCGAAGGCCACCGCCGGAATGAGTTCGCAGAGCTGACGTTCGCCCGTGTCCTCTCTGACAATTTACTTCGGATAGGCTGTGCGTTTGTTCGTTTCCCGATGTCAGTTAGATCTGCCAATTCCGACAAGCGGGAGTACCTTTAATGCTTGCTATTATAATTATAACCCTCCACCTTGACGCATGTAACATGTCCGGTCTGTCGGAGAAGAGTACTAACTTATCCCTACCGTCTATCTTGCCTCAAGGCGTGTCCGTATCGCCTCGCTTTGCTAGACGCTGCTGGCGATATGTAGTGCGCTCGGGTTTTAGAGTAGCATCGGTACGCAGATCGCCAGGAATCTTGTCAATGATCAATGTGGTGCAAGTATGAAGTGGGATTCGAGCGCTAACGCGCGCTCGCCACTGCATATGAACTCAGAAGTCGGACGGCCATCTCCCGTGATGGTCTCCTAGATGCGTCAGGAGAAGATTTCCACGACCGAGCGCGCAAAGCTCGGGCTGATCATGTCGAAGCATTCTCAATTCCTCAGGGGGGAAGGCAGTACAACCAAGTAAAGGGAATCTAACTGCCAGAACTTGAGTGTGAAGCTGACTCGACTCGGGTGAGGTGGCCAGTGATGGTGTCTTCAACACAAGGCGTGAGTGGTCGTGGCTGACTCGTTCACTCTTCTCTGATTCTTCGACACCGCAGCGGGAGTAGTTGAGTAGTTAGCATAGTCAAGCCAGCCCATCGAAGCGACTGTCGTCTTAGCTGAGTCGCACTGCGACGCGTTTGTACCACTCGGAAGCGAACGAAGCTTGCCGTAATGATCCAATGAAGTGCGAGTCGACTCTGAGATGTATCTGGCGAAGCATCGCCGGACAGATCATGTCGGGCGCGACACGAGGTGGGATGGAAGCAGACCTACATTCGAGCGACTCCGGAAACTTTTACCAGTCTGGTGTTCTACTAGTACTAAACACATAAGCCCTCGTTTCAATGACTCGATCTGGGACGGCCGTACCGGTGACATGTTCCTGGCTTTGGCGAGCAGGCAGTGCTCACTATAATGAAGGTGATTGGACGTAGTGCAAGCTTGGGCGTCCAGGCGGCTCCTCAGCCCTCCCGCCCGTCAGCATTGATCTGTGAAGAGCGAAGCATGCCCGAAACTCTCTAATGTTCATCCCCATCATGCGCGATGGTGGTGGCAACGATGGTGGCGCCGCCGCTGCCATGCCGTCTGTTGTCCTCGCATGGCAGTCGTGCTAATCCGCGAGTGTCAACGTCAACATGAACCATTCCATGAGTTGAGTAGCAGCGAGGAACGCCGGTGGCGGCCTGAGCGCTGCAGCACAGGTAAGTAGAGATCCAGAGATGGTTTGGATTGTGCCAGCGGGCGCTGCACTTCCTATCGTACATGCAGTGATTCTGTCAGGTTTCAGATCTTCTCTGTGCCTTCCGCGTCGTATGGGTCCAGGTATACCCTTCGCCCTCGGCTGTGAGCGCTTATGCTCGGTGCTGCACGTAGCAACGTAAGCAGCTCAACCCTAATCGTGGGTCCCCCGACTGCGCGTACACACTCAGTACTGGTCAAAGAACCCCTTGTGGAATGCTATGCTAAACGTCAGCCGGTAGGCTCGCGCAGGACACACGGAGACACTCACCGCCTGGCATCACCGCACTCGAGTACATGACAAGGGTGATAGGCACGAGCGACGCGGGCGTGTGCGTCGGCCCACTCTCGAGGTCTGGTTCCCATACCGAGAGGATCTTCTCCATGTAAGCATCCCAGTTTTCCTCTTCGAGCGAGAGCTCCTTCTGCCGCGTCTCGGTATGGCATCGGATGCCCAGGCCGGTCCCGAACTCGCGGAACGCGAGACGGTAGGCTCTGGATTGGTCGTAATATCCGTCTTCGAATAGGACACCTGTCACAAAGGTCAATCAATGGGGGACTCATGACGTGTGCACATGGAACGCACGGGTGCAGGCCACAGCGCGGTTGGTGAGCTCCGTCGCCCATTCCTCCTCGCCGTCAAACCAGTGTGCGGTCCACAGGGTCATTCCGAGGTCGAGCGGGTCATTCGAGACATATCTCCTCCACTTCGTGTCCAAGATCTTCTTGTACTCCCTGACCTCCTGCGCAAGCACGCTCGGGTTCGCCTTGTTTGTTCGCTGAAGCAAGCTGTACACGACGTATCCGTCGATGGGATCGAGGTTCCCCTCCGAGCGGACCATCGGCCTACTCATATCCACGCTCATCTTCCAGTACATCCTCGGCCGCTCCGAGTCGCGTTCGCGCACAAAGCGCGGGTGGATCGCCTTCGCGAGCTCGATTGCGAGGTCGTTGTAGCGCGGGTCGTGGGTCGCAAGCGCCGTGCGGTTGAGCGCGAACATCCAGATGGTGAGGTAGTGGTGGTACTGCCCGTCGCCGTCCCCGCTCGGGTCGTCCTCGTCGCCCACCTTGCCGATGCGGAGTCCGCCCCGGAGCGGATGTGCGTCCGTCGCGCCGGGCAGGCGCTGCGTGCCGTCGCGCGTGCGTCCGAGCACGTCGTGCACGCGGACGATGAGCCGGGCGGCTAGGGTCGTGTATGTCGGGTTGTGCGTGAGCGTACCGAGGGTGAGGAAGTTGAGGACGCCGAAGGCGTCAGTCCAGAGATATCGTCCGCGGTGTCCTTCTGACATCGGAGGAGGGACCCACGACGATGCTTGTGCGCGAGAGAGCTGTGAGAATGCCCCGTAGACCGTCTGCATGGCCTTCAGGCATTTCGTGAGCGATTCGGCAGAGTGGCGAGTGGCAGACATTGCAATGGCGCGGCTTGACAAACCGAGATAAATTGAGGTAGTGCGACGGCCGTCCTAAAGCGTGCGATGCTGTATAGCGTGGAGGTGACGGACGGTGAGTTCACTCATGACATAAGTTCAGTACATACCCTGTTGTGATTTGGCTGGAGTTGAGCCGCAAAGCGCCGAGGCCCACTCACTGTCTTGCCCATGACGTCGACGACATATTCCAGTCTTATGACAGACCTGCCTGATCCTTGGCGATTGAGGACTGCATATTGATTCATGTCTTTAAATTGCCACTTATAAGCAATCTCACACACCATGCCACGGTTCGATCGCGGTATAGTGAGACTCTTAGAGACCTTAGGCTCAAGAAATCTAAATTTCCGGAGGTCAAACGGCATTGAAACACCAAAGAATTGTGATGCCTTACATGACCATGTAAACACAACTGTCGTGCAGCTTTCCGTGCACTGTTGGGACAAATGCTTGACCTCCGCGCCCCAGTCCACGCATATTTTCCGAGTCATTTTGATTGTGATATCTTGCGCAAGTCACGTAGATACAAGCTGGAAACTGCACCCCAATCGTCAGCTACTGAGCCTAGCACACGATACCCCAGTAGGCTGTAGCAGTGCGTTTATAGTCCCGAGATGTGTGAGGCATCGACGACCGGCGACGAGAGACTGGAACGTCGACCTCCGGAACTGCTGTGGCACGTGATGTCGCGCACTACCCAGCGCTTCAGAGTGGGAGCCTGCTTTCGACTTTCTAGACTCCAGAGCACACCGTCCTGGACCTAAGGACCAAGGTCATCCTCGACATCGACATCTGAGGCTTCTTTCATTACAGAACTCCTTTCAACCTTGTTGCTGCCACAAAAGTGACGCCTTGTCTGACCTCTCGCAAAGATGGTGAGGTCGCATTATTCGAGAACCCTGCGCGTTCTTACACACCCCCGTACAACAGGCACGTAATGAAGAGAAAGCACAGTCTATGCTTTATCGGTTCCGCGAGGCTCAAGCCGCGGAGCTGGGCCTCGGGACACGAACGGACCGACGACCGCGAATGGCGAGCGCGTGTAAGAGCCTACGAGAATGCGAACGGTGGCGAGGAGAGATTCTGCGCGAAATCAGTCGCAAGGTATCAAAAATCCAGGATGGTACGTTGCAATTCCGAGAGGACTTGGGGGTGACATTGAAACGTGGTCTGTAGCCGGTCTCACGGACTATGAGGTCCGCGACCTGAACGACGAGATCAACAAGCTGATGAGGGAGAAGCGGCATTGGGAGAACCAAATTGTTGCTCTCGGCGGTGCAAACTACAGACGAAATGTGGCCATGATGGACGATGACGGGAAGGAGGTGCCCGGGACAAAAGGATACAAGTGCGTTTCAGAATACTCCGCTGTCTCAGTAGTTGCTAAATAGCATGCTTCCTCCTCAGGTATTTCGGGCGAGCGAAGGAGCTTCCAGGTGTGAAGGAGCTCTTCATGAGCAAAAAGAAGGAAGAAGACGAAGAGAACCAGGCGCAGAGCTACTACAAGAAGTTTACGAACCAGGGTCCGTCGTACTTTGGTGATCTGGACGAGCAGGATGGCAAGCTACTGGAGTATGAGATGCACGCAGAAGAAGAGGGTGAGTTTCTCATCCCCTTTGCCCAACATGGCGCCTGACGCAATGCACCAGAATGGGAAGACGCGTATCAGCACATACGAACAGCGTTAGGGATGCCAACTGACCCTATACCCCCAATTCCTCGCCCGTCCAAGAACGTTGCTACAATAACTGTCTCAGACGACTCAAGCACACCAGCACATCCACCGTCCGACGCTAAACGGAAAGCACCTGACGAAGACGTCGAGATGAGCACAAACGGCAATGCGGACGAGCACGCAAAGAGGGCGCGGACTGACAGTGAAGCACAAGGCGGGGCGGATGCTTCAGCAGTCAACCAACGAGAGGCTGCAATGGCGTTCGCGCATGCCACTGCCGCCTTCGTCCCCTTCCTTTCGACAGAGGAGCTACTGCCGCCGAAGATGCCTTCGAGAGAGGAGATGGAGACGTTCTTGCTCGACCTCCGGAAGAAGGCCCTAGTAGAGGAGTATTTCGGTTGAGTGCCGGTTGATTGGCTGCGTCGTGTACGATAGGGTGTGTCAGTCTTTCTGAGTGGTCACCGATGGGAGATTCCTTTCCAATCGTGTCTTGCGGGCGTCGTGTCATGCCCAAGAAACATTGTAGCTGTTTCCATATCGATAGGAAACACCGACTCCGCTTCTCTGTGGTGCTAGACGCAGGAGCGTTTTGGAAACAGCGGTGACAACTTGAAGTCCGTTACCGTCGACTGAGGCGAGCGCCATGGACTTAGAGGCTCGCGATCGTGCAATCCACTTTCCGGCTTGAGTGTCCATCAACGTCGATTTGTTGTCATACTCTTGACCGCGTGACTAAATGGTTTGCAACGCGCAGGAAGGTCCGGGGCGGGTGAGAGATAACCAGGTCGACCCAGCATTTAAAGACGTCGGGCCAGGCCTAGGCGTAAACACGTTTGCGAGAGTTCAGTAAATAGTATAAGTGTAAATCCGAACATGCACGGAGCGTGGAAGTTAGTCTCCCCTAGACAGACCCTAAAGAAGACCTCCTTGAGTGAGGGGGAGGACGACAGTCACCAGGGAAGCAAAATATTGGATCGCCCGGACTGAACGAGATTACAATCTTACGAGCTTACAAGGCGACCTTATCAAGCCTGTGGCTTTCTAAGCGGTTAGTAACAATAGTCAATACAAAAGGGCCCCCTTTTGTATCGACGGACTTCCGGAATATTCCGCAGAGGCTGTTCGAGTAAGCAGACCAAACAGAGTCATAACAGCCAAACAAGCCGCAATCGCTCCGGCACGCATCCTTACCTCCATCCACCATCTCCCAGTCACCGTCTGCATCGTGAGTGCTCTTTCGTTCTATGAACGTCGGGAATCGTTGCTAACGGGTTTGGCATCGTTCTCTTCCCCGAACTGGTTGATTTCGTCGTCGGTCGTCGCGTCGCTGGACATCTCTTGTCATCGTACCCCATCTCGCACGATCTGGTCGATCTTGCGCTCTTCTCCAGTTTTACGACCTCCCCCTCGTCCTATAGATCCCCATAATGGCCCTCAAGCGCATTAACAAGGTGAGTGTCGGTTGTGTGGCCCCAGGCGTATCCGATGAGATGCGCGTCAATGTCGCTGTGGCGCGAGGGGTGCGCCTCGGGCGGTGCTCGAGACAATAACTGATGCATTGCGCCCACTCAGGAATTGATTGACCTCGGGCGCGACCCACCCTCGTCGTGCAGTGCTGGCCCGACTGGCGATAACATGTTCCAATGGCAAGCAACTATCATGGGTCCTGTGAGTGTTCATCCGCATACATCCCTCAACGCTTGCCCGGTGCGCTATCGGATCGATGCTGACTGAGGGGCTGGACCATCAGGGCGATTCGCCGTATGCGGGCGGCGTGTTCTTCCTCTCCATCACCTTCCCCACCGACTACCCCTTCAAGCCGCCCAAGGTCAGCTTCACGACGAAGATCTACCACCCGAACATCAACGCGAACGGCTCGATCTGTCTGGATATCCTCAGGGACCAGTGGAGTCCAGCGTTGACCATTTCGAAAGTGCTCCTTTCGATCTGCTCGATGCTCACGGACCCGAACCCTGACGACCCGCTTGTGCCTGACATCGCACATTTGTACAAGACGGATCGGGCGCGCTACGAGGCCACTGCTCGGGAGTGGACACGGAAGTGAGTGTTCTGCATGTGTGTCGTCTGATCATGTTCTTACGTGCGTTCGTAGGTACGCCATGTAACGGCGTCTGGTCGTTAAGGGATATTGATGACGAGCGTGTATGGTTGTACGATGCCTTGCCTGTTTAGCTTTGTGTATAATCAACAAGCCGCTGTTCCGATGCATGATTGAATCACGACGACATCTTGGGTCTCCTTTGACAATGACATTCTCACAGAGGACGAACCGGCTTTTGAGAAACACTTACATCGGATCTTACATTTGGAATGGTCAGTAATTTTCGTAGTCGCCATGTGTGATTATCTAACTCGGCATACATGACAAATGTACGCAAAGTAAGTATGTTATTCCTTCAACAAAAGTTGTACATCAGATAAATTAAGAGTTGTGTAATTACATTGGAAGGCTCGCTCTCTGATTGGTTTCCTACGATGTTAGATCTGCAAACATCTGTTATATTTATGCTTCTACTTAACATCTCAGATTCTATATGTATGATGTATCCCGCGATTCATGTACATTTCCCAATGTAAGTTAGGTACTCACACATGGCGACTATGAAAACTACTGCCGTTCCATTGTAGGCGACTTTCTCAAAAGCCGCTTTGTCCGTCGTGTCTTGTGTGCGCATCGTTCATCTGAGATGGTGGAAGTTTGAGCGTAAGTTACAGTTCGATTGGAAGCTCTTCATAATGCCGGCATCCAGCCTACTTCGGCGACCGGCCGCCATGGCCGCCAATGTCATTGCTATTCACCTTGTTACTAATGTCTAATACTGTGCATTGTACGGGTACCTTACAAAGTGGGTAACCAATGGCAGGGCGACCATTTTCGCCGTCGGGTTTACTCGGTGCTCCCACGTGAACCGTCTCCTACATCATCGTCGTTGGCTCTGGCAGCGCTTTCACTCTCCTTCCTCATCGTCCTCCTTCTCTTCTCGCAGCGTCTCCTTAGAAGATGCTGTCAAGACAAGTGATTGCTCTCGCTCGCGGGCGGGCTCTTCGCGCCGACGCCGCCGCTGTTTCCAGAGGATGGTGCGTAAGCTGGTTGCGCGCGGGCAGTACACGTCGTGACCACTAATTCGGCGCGATAGGAAGGTCGCGACGACGTACTCAAGACGCGCGCAATTCCACTCGACGAAGCTCGTTGAAGGTGAGCAGACCGCGATGTTACGCTACGCGCCGGCTGTGCTCATACATCGCCTGCAGCCGAGACGGTCAAGGTGCCCCAGATGGCCGAGTCCATCTCGGAGGGCACCCTCAAGACGTGGTTGAAGCAGGTCGGGGACAGCGTAGCGCAGGATGAGGAGGTTGCGACTATCGAGACCGATAAGGTGTGTGCACGCTCATTGTTATGCGGTGCATCTCTTTCTCGGGCCTGTACGTGCGGCACGCCTTTGCTGGCGAGGCGTTATTACCTCTGGCACTGTTCGTGACGCGGTGTGGGGCTGCACACAAGTAACCTCATTCGGATTCGAAACACGCTGTGAAGGCGAGTCCGGTATGGCTGTACGAGGGGCACCGTTGCAACAGCGGTACTTCCTGCCGACGCTCTATAGGTCTACTCTGTGGACGAGGGTCGATGGATGTGTTTTTTTGAATTGACGTGTTGCGACTCACCTGTGCATATTTGCGGGGTACATCGGGCAGGCCAGCATCAAGCTTCGGACGGCGAGATTGGGTGCTGTGGGATGCGCAGAAAGTACCTGGGTAGCTCACTCCGTGCTGAAGTGCAATGGAAAACGCACTATCTGTATCTCTCGTGGAACCGCACGCACAGTGTGCATGGCGGACGCGTTAGATACCGTTGGGCATGCCCATAGGCTTCAGCACTTACGTGCTGCCATCTCGGATCTCCTCAGCCGATCTGACCTGCACAGGCCAATTGGCGTTTCTGATACACACTGTTTTCGTCCGCTACTGCTGCGGCGTGTTCAACCGATCTAATCAGTGCTGTCCGCGCAGATCGACGTTTCCGTGAATGCACCTACTGCCGGTACCATCACGGAGCACCTCGCAAGTGAAGAGGACACTGTGTCGGTCGGCCAGGATCTGTTCAGGATCGAGCCTGGTGAGGGCGGTGCGGCACCACAGGGCAAGAAACCAGAGGAGCCTGAACCGGCCCCGCCGAAAGAGAAGGAGGACAAGGAGGAGCCCAAAGACCAGCAGGTCGATAAGAGCGTGCCAAAACCGCCTGCGCCTGCGCCCTCCGACGTGCGTGCGAAGGACACGGCTGGTGTGCAGGGGGGTCATGCGAAGAAGGACGTGAAGGAGACGTCGAAACCTGCCGCTGCGCCAAAGGGCAAAGCAGAGAAGCCTGCGCCTGCGCCGCGGGTGGCGGGTGCGCGGACGGAGACGCGGGTGAAGATGAGCCGGATGCGGCAGCGCATCGCGGAGCGGCTGAAGGAGTCGCAGAACGCGGCGGCGTCGCTGACGACGTTCAACGAGATCGACATGCACAGCCTGATGGAGATGCGGAAGAAGTACAAGGACGAGGTGATGAAGACGCACGACGTGAAGCTCGGCTTCATGAGCGCGTTCGCGCGCGCGTGCTGCCTCGCGCTGAAGGAGCTCCCCTCTGCGAATGCGTCGATCGAGGGCGACGAGATCGTGTACCGCGACTACGTCGACCTCAGCGTTGCGGTTGCGACCCCCAAGGGCCTTGTCACGCCCGTCGTGCGGAATGCGGAGGGCATGAGCTTCGTTGAGATCGAGAAGGAGATTGCTTCGTTGGGCAAGAAGGTGCGTGGCTCATACCTTTGCTGTGAGCGATGACTGAGGGTGTCTGTGCAGGCTCGCGACGGCAAGCTCACGCTCGAAGACATGGCGGGCGGCACCTTCACCATGTAAGATGATTACTCATCCGCTTGGTTGCTTACTGACATCCGGCCCAGCTCTAACGGCGGTGTGTTCGGCTCTCTCTATGGTACTCCCATCATCAACCTGCCGCAAGCTGCTGTGCTTGGTAAGTCGTCGTACCTTCTTTCCCCGGGCGATCGGGGAGGTGCAGCGCGCCCAGTTGATTGCACACGGCTGACCGGAATGCATTTAGGCATGCACACGATCAAGGAGCGCCCGGTCGTGGTCGACGGGCAGATCGTCATCCGACCGATCATGGTTGTCGCGTTGACGTACGACCACCGGCTGCTCGACGGGCGGGAAGCTGTCACCTTCCTCGGTGCGTGTCTACTGGCCACCCTTCTGCGTGCCTAGCTGACCACCCTTCTGCTCCTCGCTTGTTTCCTTGCGTGCGCATTCGCTTGTTGGTCCGGCCATGGTTCGCGGCTACAGTCAAGGTGCGGGACTACCTCGAGGATCCCCGCAAGATGCTCCTCGCTTAGAGCCCACGTCTTCTGCGCATGCGCGTGTCGTCCGACTCGCTCGCGTATGCGATTGGAGAGGTGTAATGTACAATGCTCTGGCTCTGGCCATGAGACGGAGGTGCCCCCCTGCTCGGACTTATTCTATCATGTGCATCCGATGTTCACAAGCGTGCTGTAATGTTCCCAACCACTGCGACTTCTCTATACAATACTTTTCCCTTTGGCTCTCGCTCGGTGGGGTACCGAGACTGTTCTGGTGGTCTCGGGGCATCTGGCCACGGATCCTCCTCTACCGAGGCCGGACTGCGAGGGTACGTTGCAATGCATACCGTATGTGGGTGTCCTGTGGCCATCCGCCATCCGCCGTCCGCTGGCAGGCGTTGATAAGTGCGCTGGTGCATCCGCCGGATCCTCCTCATATGCCTGCTTCCGGACGGTCACGGGCGTCGGGCGCGGGCCGTGCCTATCTGGCGATGACGATGAGGGTCCCTCCTGGTTCCTTGCGGCGCGCGGAAGGTTTTCATTTTGCGAGCTGAAACTCGGTCCTGCGCACGGTATCCGTGTCCGAGTGGTGATCACTCCGATGGACGGCATGCCCGGGAGCGTACGATTAGGCTGGATCTGGGCTGGGCGGTGAAGGCAGGTAGTATACCAGCCTTGAGGATAGCGGTCGCCTCAGGTGGACTGCGGCAGGCTCCCCTTCCGAGTGCCAAATACACGAACTTGCAGCATCGATTGAGAGGCAATGATCCCGGTCTGCCACTATCGTCGATGTGCGGGTCTTGTCAATGTCGCGTATGCCGTTAGTAACCGTAATGCGATGCCCGCGATGTCTGCTTGCGTGGTGGATCTCCCCGGCGGTGGCGTGGTGGTGGGAAGCTCGAAGCGCGATTGGACAATTGAGTTCGGAGAGTGCCAGAGTGTGGTGTATCCGGAGCTGGGAGCTGTCGGGCGATAGGCTGTTCCTGTCATTGGTGGAGGGCTACGGCGTTATTTGGTGGACCGCGGAGTAAGTATGGTTTATGAAGGGTGTACTCGGGAGTAAGGGGAGCAGGACGAAGATGAGCTCAGAGATTGAGCGGGAGGTTGCCGTGATAGGTTTCGCTATCTGATAACCGATGTCAAGGAGTTGGGGAGCTGCAATGAACCATTCTGCGGAGGGCATACTTGGACTCACCGTCCGTCCATGATCCATACGTCTGTAAGTAGATCTACACTGGTTGCGTTATAATACCTGACTGACGATATGCGACGCCCGCAGCATTAGCAAGTTTGTGCAAAAGACGTCTGTCTGAGCTGTCTTTTGTGGTTTATGTAGACAGCGTATCGAGACACTTTGTCGCTGGTGAGATTGACCTGCTCGGTGTTCAGCCACCTCTGTGAGCGCTAACTTACCTGTATTCGGAAGGACAATTAGACAGAGATCGTCTACGCCGCAACTCGGACATCGCTCCGCGCCTCTGGTCCACGTCGACCATCTATGATACCTGTGCTGGCTGTGTCGCCGCCGGTCGGTCGCCATTCCATGCGCGTACGAGTGGGCGACGCGCAATGGACACGCACATGGCCAGACGAGAGCGCTGTCGGACGCACATGATGATGCAAGTGTGAGTATCGCGCGGTGTGACCTTGTGCAGTCCCAACGTTCTGCCGTTACTCTCCAAGTGAGACGAGATATCCATCTTGCGCGCTCTACCCGTTGTCCGAAAGGGCAAAAGTCTGCTCAAGTGAGCGAGAGTGGAACTGCGAAGCGCGCGGCGCAGTACTGTATGGCATGGCATCGTATGAGCGCAAACTCCAAGGCCGACGAGTACCGACGAAAACTTCTTGTGACGGCAAGAACAATGGCGTACATACAAAGAGTGTCATTGTCCGACCCGGGCGACATTGACAGTGACAGTGACAAGCAAGAACAATGAAGCCTCGTTCTCTGAGCAGCAACGGACGGACCCATTGGCGCTGAGCGAGGCTGTTTACCCGAGGAGCGTATACGAGACCGTATGTGCGTGCGATGGCCTCACGGAGGCTGTGAGGTGGACGGTCTCGAGTGCGATAAGGAGAGCTGGAGTAGATGGAGGTGGACATGCAGGAAAGGGACCGAGCAGGAAGAGAAGCCGCGCGGAGGCTGGCGTGGAACATCAAGGGTTGGAGCGTGCCCATTGCAAGCGCATCTTCCGCGTCTGCTGGAAGCTAAACACGGCCTCGTGGTTCGCGGAGCGGCGGAAGGAGGCATGGGAGGATCAGACGGGCGGATGGCGAACGCGCACGGGCCTCCTGCGCACGCTCGCTGCGACACCCTGGGCTGCCCTGGCTGGTGCCCGCCTCGAACCCGCTGACCGACAGGGGCCAGAGCGTAGCGCCCGCGCAGGAGGCTACTGTCCGCCACCGGCACGCCCCGGCCGTCAATTTTGCGGCAGTGCCCGATTGGGCTCGCTTGGAGAGAAGCGGGACAGGTTCAGACTCCGACCGAAAGGCGGATTGATTACAAGAGCAGGTGACGGGCCCGGCTCGCCCATATCCCCCCGCTGCCTCGTTTTTCGTCGCCAACCATTCCGTCCTCGTCGTCGCGCTCGTCGCCCCCCTCCCCCCGCCGACAACCCCCTCCTCCTCACCGCCATGCTCGCCGTCCACAAGCCACCACCAGCCCACTTTGCCCCGCCGCTCTTCCGTCCGACGCACAGTCGCCACTCCACGGCACCCGTCGTCATCAAGCCCACGCACACACCCGGCCTGCTCTCGCTCTCCAAGCCTACCCAGCCGGCTCTGCGTCCTCAGTCGGTCCAGCGAGAGCGCCAGGTCCGCTCGTCGCCCCGAGGCAAGAAGTCGACTCCTGCGCAGCAAGCGCCCGCACTCGCGCCCGCTGTCGAGGACAGCAAGCCGTCGAGCACACCCGCAAAGGCGGATGGCGCGGCCGCAGACAAGGCCAAAGTGCAGTCTGGTCCGGCTCCTGCGGCTGACAAGTCCACTAGGGGCCGTCAGCCCAGCAAGCCTGCCAAAGATAAGGCACAGCGAAGGTAGGCTCAGCCGCCCCCTGCATCCTTCAGTCGTAGTAATGTCTCGCGATCCCTCCAGGAGCGCATCATCTTGTTCCCGTATCCCTGCGCGACGACCCGCACACCAACCATCTCCTCCCCCCGCCGACAGGATACCCTCGCAGGCAGAGGTTACTGTCCAACGCCCGACCAAGTCCCGTCCCACTCAAAGCACTTCGGTATCGGGGCTCAACGATCCTTTCGCCATTTTTGAGTCTTCTACCGAGGCGGCCCCGAAAGAGTCAGCAAAGGCTGGCTCGAAGGGCCCTGCTTTCCGTCCACTCCCGCCGCTTGCCCAGCCATCCGGCAAGCTCGCCCGCCGTCGCCAGATAAACGCTCGCGCGTCGCCGACGCCAACCGCCCCGAAGACCCAGCAGCAGCGCAAGGACCGTATTGCTGCTCTTGTTGGCTCCGTCACCGAGGATCTTTCTCAGCTCAGCATCCGCGATGAGGTCTCCGCTACCCATATTCGGCGCAGCAAGGCCAACCGTGCCGCAGCGGAGGGCTGGCCCGTCTTCCCTGTTTGCGATGACTCGAGCGAGGCTGACGACAGCGATGACACCCCGCCGACGACTCCCATCCGTGAGTCCGCGAGCGTGCCTGTCAAGAAGCACGTTCGTCACTGGCCTACCCAGGGTGCCCACGACGCGCCGCGCACTGCCCCTCTCTCGTCGACTTTTGTCTTTCCGTTCATCCCGAGCCCCTCTTCCTCCCCGACGCCCGCTCAACGCCGCCGTAACCACCGCCGCGTCCCCAGCGAGGGTGTCTTCCACATGTCTATGGACGAAGATTCGTCGTCGTCGTCAGCCTCCGAGTTCCCTCCGACGGGCAAAGTACTGCACCCCCGGTCGAAGCGCCCCGCCCCGCAGCCTCGCGAGTCAGTCGCAGGCGAAGCATCCACTTCCGCTCCCCAAGCGGGCTTCTTCGCGGGTTCGGCGTTCCAAAACTCGCCCAGTCCTGACGAACTACCGCCGCCATCATTCTGATTGTATTTGTACATTCCTTAGAATTCATCAAGTGTAAAGGTGAGGTATTTCATTCATTCATTGGCGCGTACTCACCGGTGCCGTCAGTCCAAGTTTACCGGGCCCATAGATGCTCCTATATTTCATCGCTGGTTCTCAAGTCTAATACCCAATACTCCGAAGCCCTTCGTCGATTACATAATGTGTCCACTACTTCCTTCTGCTGCCTCCGCCATCCACCCGACGTCTCTCGGACTCCTCCGGGCTTCGGAGCTGTATCGCTCACCATCGCGCATATCATTATCACTCGACGCATCGCATCATTGTTATTGGGTTCAGCGGTCTCTGGGTCCTCGGTTCATTTGGGCTTCCTCGCACATGCATGATATTCGACTGGCGCAAACATCGGTCATACCCTCGGTCAACGGTTACTCGTTCAGGACGCTTCGCTTCGATCTATCTCCGCTTCACTCTAGATACCCCGCCTCTCGCTGGGTCCGTCGTTGGCAAGGTATTCATACCCCTCGCCGCGACACTGGGACTCGTTGGCGCCCGGCGTGCACGCATGCTGGGCTGCGAGCGAGACTCGACACTTCCACTTCCACTGTACATATAATCCACATCACCTCGTCTCTCCGCCTTCTCGCAGAACCCATTGTACCACCCAGCTCACACGTGCATGCTCTCGCAACCCGACATCCTCGCATCGCATTCCCCTGCTCACGTCGGCCTCACGAACGCTCGTGCGGGCCTGCGTTGTACCACCAGGATATCGATAGACAGCAAGTAGTATAACGTACGCAAGAAAACCTCAAGAAAATCAACACTAGCAAAATCCTCGCAGGGCCGTGGAGGGCGGCTGCCGCGTGAAGCCTAACTTATACGACTCTGGCGTCGGTGGCTACCGATGCCGGGGGCTATTATCTGTCGTCGCCGATTTTTTTCGTCGTCTTGGCTGGCTCCCCGGGTGCGCACGCACGCGCTCTTACGTCGTGTGTTCTTGGATTTTGGGACTTTGCTCGCATCATCGTATCTGGTCTCCGTCGTGTCGATCTCCCCCTACTCCTTCATCCCTATATACTACCTTGTCCCCGCTGCCGTTTCTGCTTTTGTTGGCCGGGGACGTATTCCGCCCGCCGAGGTTCTTCGTTCTCGCTCACCTCCCTCTTGCCATCCGCCTTCCCCTTTCGCTCCTCCTTCTCGCCCCCTACCCTCGGCGGGCCGCTCAGGTGTATCAATAACCACAATGTCGATTGTCTCGTCTCTCTTCGGTTCTACAGTTGTAACCTATTTACTCCGCTCGGTGTCCGTCGCGAGATAGCTCGTGGCGCCGCCGGCGGGGGCCCGTATTGTTACGATAGACCTTGTCTACTATTTTCCCTTCCGAGTCGCATCTTCCGTCCCGGTCCTTTTCTCTTTCTGCTATCTGTGCATTTTTATTGTGGGCGTCTTGCCGGTGTACGCTGTTGGGCTGCTTGTGAGTGTCCATCCGATCCTTTCGTCGTTGAGTATCGCCGCTGACCTCTATTCCCCTCAAAGCCCGTCTATATTATACAACGTATACTGCATACCCAACACTACCCCCCAATACTGCCCACCCACCGGGATCTCGCCACTGCCGTTCTCTTCTCGAGGCGGCAGACTGTACATACAAGATATCTGGCGACACCCGGTGGTCTTTCCGCCCCACACCACACCACTACCACGCTCCTTAACTCCCGACCCAGAATCCAAATCCCTTGTTGTCCTAGTTCGTATATATACAAGAACGACTTAGAGTCGTGCCTCTCGATCCCACCGACCCGCCTCGGTTCGTGCCCGGGCTCTCCGTCGTCCGCGGGGGAGAGTCGCTGGGTGCGATGTGTCCAACAGCTACGTGTTCCCGTTCCGGTTCCTCTTGTCTCCTATTTCCATTCTAGTGTTACGATTCCGACTCCTTTTCTCCGCGCCCTCGCTCTGCGTCATCGCATCCACCACCGTGGTCGCAGCGGTACACTGGCACACCCTCATCCACTTGTATCAGTACGGCCTTCGTCAACTGTACCGCTAGCCGCATCCGCATCCGCTCTCGCACCCCGCTGTATCGTTGGCCCTCGCTTTCGCGCATCGCATCGCATCGCATCGCTGCACACCTCAACACCATTGTCGCGTATGCACCTCATTCTTACACACGCCTATGCCAAGCTTATGCGGAGCGCGTTCGGCTGATCGGGTGGTTGGTCGGTGCTGGGAGTGGCGACGTGGAAGTCCAAAGCAGGAGTCGGTCTCGGTCTCGTGTCCCTATGGTATGCGCGATGTGGCTGCGATAGGCCGTCGCACGGACGTGTTTCGTGTTTCGTGTTTATGTCAACTCTCGATGATACTTCTATGCCATGTACGAACGGTTATTGGTCATTACTTACTGCCTGATGTATGACGAGTGGTTATATGAAGATAGTTTTTATCGCTCATAGCGGTTTGGCGATGAGCGTGAAATGAAGGGGTCGTCGGCGAGTAGGGCCAGATTCGAGAACCGCACACAAAAGCTGATTGTGACGAGACGGGGTGGCTGACCATTCTCACCGAGAAAGGACGATTCAGACAGAGGACAAGATACATTTGTTACAGACGCTATCGCTACAAAACGAACACGAGAAAGACAGTGACGATAGTGATGCAAAAACGAACAAATCCGCCCATCGCGCCCATCACATACAAGTCCTCGCCTGGACTCAAGGGAACGTCAGGATGTACTCCTTCATGCTCGTCTCCCAGCTACACCGCGCCAAGTTGCTCGCGCTGTCCCCGCTCCCGTCGTCTTCGCACACCTCAGAGAGCATGGCGCCTGCCTGCGCGAGCAACGCCTTGAGGTTGTCCTTGATGGCCTGCTCCGAGTCCGCGCGGGCGAGGGGGATGAAGATGTGGTTGTCGGGAACGACGTCCGCGGCAGGCATGGCAGCGGCGGCAGTCGGCGAGAGGCCGGTCGTGGTGGTACGAGAGGTCTTGCTGGGTGTCGTCTTGGAGGGCTGAGGTGCGCGGGGGATGAGTTGGCCGTTGTCGAGCCCGGAGAGCTTGTCGGGGCTGAGGTCCGAGAGCGGGCTGCCGTCGCTGAGGTCCGAGAGTTGGTTGAGGGCGTCGCCGGAGCTGAGGCTGTCCATCAGGCCGGTCCGGGCGAAGACGGGCAACGGCGAGAGGCCGGTGTTGGTGGTGCGAGACGTCTTGCTGGTTGTCGTCTTGGAAGGCTGGGGTGCGCGGGGGATGAGCTGGCCGTGTCCTACGGGGTCGAGCTCGGAGAGCTTGTCGGGGTTGAGGTCCGAGAGCGGGCTGCCTCCGACAAGCTGACTGGCGTCGCCGAGGGCCGAAAGTTGGCTGAGGGCGCTGCCGGAGCTGAGGCTGTCCATCAGGTCGGTCCGGACGAAGACGGGCACGAAGACATGGTCGTCGGGGGCAGCTTCGGCGGCAGGGACAGCACTGGTACTTGAGGCAACAGGACTAGAGCTAGAGCGAGAACCAGGAGACACAGGAGCTGTCCTGAACCCAGGGTAACCCTTCGAGGTCGCCATCGCCTTCGAGCCAGTCTTCGTCTTGCTCTTGCTCGCCGTGGAGCGGGGCATGATCCTCCCGAGGCGCATCGTGTGCCTATGGTCATTCGCCGCGTTCAACACGTTCTGCTCCACCAGCTTGTAGGTGGCGCCCTCGGGGTCCGCCGCCGCCTCGATCCGCGCGCGCGTCTCGTTGTACGCCAGGTACCTGAGCGTTGGGAAGAAGTGGACCATCGAGCCGGGCGTGCCGCAGACGACGGGGCAGTCGGGGTTGGGGCACCCGGGCGGGTCGGCGCCGTGCACCGCGCACTTGCCGTGGAAGAACCGCGGGAAGACGGCGGTCTCCATGCCGATGTAGGCGGCGGCGTCGTAGGCGGAGAGGAGGGGCTGGAGGTAGGAGGTGGCGGTAGTGATGTCGGGGTGGGAGGGGAGCATCGAGGAGAGGTTCTCGGCCTGCGCAAGGGTTAGTTGGGTGCGGGGCGAGCAGGGGAGACGTACGAGGATGCGCATGACGGCGTCGACGGGGGTGGTGTAGTTGCCGACGTAGGCGTTGGTGATCTTGACGATGCATTCGCCCTCGCAGGCGGAGACGGTGGCCGGCACCGAGAGTGCGAGGAGAGCAAGAACCGAGTTGCGGCGCATGATGACCTTCCGGAGGTTCAGGATGTTGTCGAGGATCCTTTCGAGGTCGTCTTAGCCGTCCTCGACGTGTCTTGCGAGAGCGAGCCTGGGGGCGGGCGACGGTCAACGTTGAACCTGTTCGACTCGCCGCCAGACAAATATGTCGCAAACAACACGTCCCTTCAGAAATCACACCTCACGTGGGACGTGAAGAGATCGCCTGCGGGTTCTCCTACATCCTCGCTGAGCGGCTAGCAGTCCCTTGGGTTGCCAGCACGAGTACGATGAGTGAGGCATCAGACCGCAGCAGTATATCAGAAGATCCAAGCCACGAGGCCTTGAGGCTACAATGCATTCTGCGATATCGTACAGCACGATCAGTTCGACGCTAGGCCTGGAGCACAGCACGCATTTCATTTCCAGGGCACAAGGTTCAGTCGTAATCGTATCCTGCGACCATACCCTCCGTCAAGACCGCACGGAACATGGAGAAGACAAAGTGAGTACGCACCGCCTCCCCCTCCGCCTTCGTCATTGCCTCCACCGTCGCCGAGGCCGTCGGGGTCATCGCCTTCGCCGTTGTCGAAGTAGTTCTCGGCGTAGTCGTTGTCGTATTCTTCATCGACGTCGTAGTCTTCTTCCACAGCCTGCGAGCCGACGTCGGAGTGCTCCTCGTCTTCCTTCTCCTGTGGTCAGCATAACGATCAGATAGTGACTGATACGTGCGAAGACAGATGACGAACCGCGTCTTCTCCGTCCTCGCCCAATTCGTTCAGGTTGATCCTCTTCTTCGGACCCTTCCTCTCACCTGCGGAGCTTGTCAGTGCCTGCCGCCCGCATGACGTGACTAGGTCGGCAAGTACTCACTGATCTTCCGTTTCTTGGGATTAAAGTAACCCTCGAGGATTTCCTGCGGGAAGAAGGGCTGGTGCAATTCCTGTCTGCGCAATGTAGGCTGCTTTGCAGCCGAGGGGCGATATTTGTCAGAGTATCGAGGCAGTTCTACACTTCGGCTTGATAAGGCGCATTGTGTACAGGAATCCGAGTGATGCTCACCTCTTGATTTTGTTTGCTCTACGACGTAGTATGCAGACTGGCGGAGCCGGGTGGTAAAGCCGACCTGCAGCTCAGCTATGCGCCTCTCCTCCTCGCTATATTCTGAGAGCACGGGCAGAGGATCATATGACTGTGCACGTAAAATTCAAACAATGGCGAGATATATTCTTGCTGCTACGCACCGGATACAGAGCACTTTCTTCCCTAGACAAGGACTGTATATCCGCGAAGGTCAGGCCCATCGGGGGCAAGTTATTCTGGCCGAACCCGCCCCGTCCACCGAATCCCCCTCGTCCACCACCTCGTCCACCTCGCGACATAACTGAATAAACTGATATTAGGCGGAAGGGAGAACAATGGGACGGAGGACAAAGCAGGCTGCGTCCGGATGCGGATGCGCTTGACTGAGCGCGCACCGCCATTGGGGCTCCGCCACAATTTGCCAAAAAGGCGAGCGCGCGTCGCGCCGCCCTTGCTACTCGCCACCACCTCCTCCCCCAACCCACCACCTCAGCCACCCTCCCCTGTCCCTGTCCGCGCCCAGCACCCGTTCCCAGCACTAACCCTCGACGTCAAGACAATGGACAAGACTCTCGACGAGGTCAGTCGCCGCCCTCGACGCCGCCACCGCCCGTCGCTGACGAACCACGTCGCTCAGATCATCACCACCCGCCCGAAGGGCATCCGCCGCTCGACCTCCCGCCGTGGTGGCGCGAAGGCTGCCGTCCTGGGCAGCCCGACGAACCCCGCCACGCGTGCGCGCGCTGCCGCCAACGGTGCGAAGGGCACCCCTGCGGCGTCGCAGCAGCAGCCTGCGGACAAAATCATCGTTTCGAACCTCCCGACGGACGTAAATGAGACGCAAGTCAAGGTTTGTCACTGCTCTGCGCCGTGAGGGGTTGTCGCTGATGCGGATGCGTGCCACAGGAATTGTTCCACACGACGGTGGGCCCGCTGCGGAGCGTGACGCTGCACTACGACTCGCAGGGCCGCTCGAAGGGCGCCGCGGCGGTGCACTTCCAGAGGCTCGGCGACGGCACGAAGGCGTTCCAGCAGTACAACAATCGCTTGATTGACGGAAGTCAGTATTCGGTGCTTTACCCTCTCCTTTCCTTCCACCCCCTCCCCCCTTAGCTTGGCTTGGCTCTGCCGCGTCTCGCATCTCCCCTATTTGTGGTGGTTTATACGGCCTCGTTGAAGCGTTGAAGTCGTCGGTGGTCCGTTGCTCGGTGTCACCGCTCTCGAAGCTTGAAGTTCACCTGCCTGCGTGGATGGACGGGTCCCGGTGGTGAAAAATCACGCGCTCCCAAGGTCGAGTCGTCCGGCTCTGACCGCACCCGGTATGCGGTATCGACCATGTCGGTACATGTCAACCCTGGACGTGGTGAACGCGGTGGGGTCTGATCAGCCCTGTTGTGTAACCAAGGTCCGGGTCAGCCCGCAACTGCCACTCTGTCATGCCGGGACCGCGGCTTGAAGCAACCAGAGTACGCTAGACGAGGAGCATCACGGAAGGGGAACCATTCGTCAGCTTCGTTGGCGGAGACACGGGATGTCTAGGATGCCGTCTGGATATGGCAATACCTTGGACGTGTCGGCTTTGTAGACATGGTCGCTGGTGCGCACATGGGACCCACGCGACAAGCGCGAGGGTAGTCGCCGCCGGGCTTGGACAGACAGCAAGTATGCGATAAGTGCTGACGATGACGGTGCGGCGACGACTGGATCATGCGACGATGAAATGCTTCGATGCTCGAACGTGTGCCTGACGCCCCTCGTACCGCTTCCCTTTTGCTTGCTTGCTCCGATCTGCTGAACAGCCAACTGATGAAACCTCTGCTTTGTCTTTGTCGCCGATGATCGCTCCCCTCAATTCCACCTCGACACCCGCCGTCACCATTCGTATCCGACCCCTTTTCGACACCCGAACAGAGCGACCCATGAAAATCGAGATCGTCCTCGACCCGTCACGGCCTGCGCCTCCGGCGTCGCTCGCTGCTCGCGTCGCGCCTGCACCTGCTGCTGCGGCACCTGCCGACGGTGCTAGGTTTGTCAAGCCTCTTGAATTGTATCGACGTAATGGCTTATTCCCTTCCAGGGGCGGCGGACGGCCCAGGCGTGGCCGTGGTGGTGGTGGTGGTGGTGGTGGTGGTGGCGGCGGCCGGCGCAAGAACGAGAGGCCGAACAAGAGTGTAGCGGACCTGGACGCGGAGATGGAGGTACGTTGTGTCGCCCACCAAAGCGCATGGACTGAGGTGTCTGACTCTACTGCGCTATGTAGGATTACACCGCCAGCAACGCCCCTGCCGCTTAGATCGTCAACCGCTGCTAGTTGGTCTGTCAGCGCGATCATTATGCGGACTTTCTTTGTGCGATGTACTACGATAATCCTAGTCTACCCTCCCAGTCTGAATGGTTGTAAATACGTCCTGCCCTGACTCGTGCACCACTCGTCTCTTTTGTCTCCGTCAATATACCTCCGTTGTTGTTGCAACACGGATCACAGCGTGAATTAGTGTCAGAAGTTGACTGCATCAACCGAAGCTTGGACTCGTTTGTGAGAGACTGCAATTCGACTTCGACCCCAACCACCATGTCCGCCGAATTTGAAGACGTGCTTCTGTATGCCGAACGACCAGAGTGGGCGGACGTCACCCCGCTGCCACAATACCAGGGCGTCGACGCGCTCGCCCCGATCAACTACTCGGCGGAATGTCCGTACCCGCGGACGCAGCGAGTCTGAGCTGCGCCGCCCGTCCTCCTCCTTCCGTGCGTGCCTCTGACGGCGCCCTGCAGACCAGGATGCGACGGACTACTTCCGGGGCATCGTCAAGGCGGGCGAGAAGAGCCCGAGAGTGCTTGCCCTGACATGGAACATCATCAACATGAACCCGGCGCACTACTCTGCATGGTGAGCCGTCCTTTCGACCGGGCGCCCCTGCGTGCTGAGCGATCGCGGCGATGCAGGCAGTACCGCTACAAGACGCTCCTCGCGATGGGGGCCGACCTCGAGGCGGAGCTCCGGCTGATGGACGACTTCGCGGTGACAAACATGAAGACGTACCAGGTCTGGCACCACCGCCGGCTCCTGCTCACCGCGCTCCGCTCGCCCGCCGCCGCCGCCGCCGAGCTCGCGTTCACCGCGCGCGTCCTCGCGGGCGACGCGAAGAACTACCACACGTGGAGCTACCGCCAGTGGCTGCTCGTGCACTTCAACGACGACGACGAGGGCGGGCTGTGGGCGGGCGAGAGGGCGTGGGTCGAGGAGCTGCTGGAGAAGGACGTGAGGAATAACTCGGCGTGGCACCATCGCTTCCTTGTGGTGTGGGCGAGCGGCGTGAGGAGGGGGGATGAGGACCGGGAGGCGGTAGGCAGGACCGAGTCCGCGTGAGTTTGTCTGGTCATAGGCCGCAGAGTGCGTGTTGAAGGGAGCGGACAGGTTCGCGAAGGACAAGATCGCGCTCGCGCCGAACAACCCGTCGGCGTGGAACTACCTCCGCGGCGTACTCGAGCATACGAAGACACCGTTCGCTACCCTCACGTCGTTCGTGGAGCTCTACATTGTCTCGGATGCAGCGGAGGCGCCGGAGGTCGTGGACCTCGACAACCCGGCGCCGACGGAGGGCGCGCAGCTGCCGTGCGTGCATGCGCTGGAGTTCCTTGCGGACGTCTACGAGCAGGAGGGAGGCGAGCAGGTCGCCAAGGCTGTTGAGGTGAGTGACAATGTCTCTCAGACGGTTCGTTGCGTCTCATGCACCCTGCTGTAGATCTGGAAGTCGTTGGCGAACGAACATGACACGATGCGCAAGAAGTGAGTCGTCTCATCATACATCCGACATGGGATCCTGTTACTGACTTGCGTATAGGTACTGGGAATATAGGATCAGAGATGGGCTCCAGGGTGCACGCGCGTGAGGCATGCTGAAAGCAGAAAACAAACATTTGTACAGGTCACTGGCTTACCTCAATCCAACATCTGCTTTTTAGCAGTACCTCACCAGCTTCGCGGGTACCCTGACCGATATCCTACAGAATGCGTAATGTGGCGGCGATATTCACTATGCATAGTGGCCCCGCCATCATATACTAAGCATTAGCTCATTGGCAGTCACAGTACGATGTATCATCATGCAGCTGGACCAACACATTGCACTTCAAGTTCTGAGGTCATAGGACACATGTCGGGGAGGGCAGTCTTTTTAATACATGCACAGTGCGCAGACTACGCACCAGTGCCCGAGCGGCACTGTGACTTGCACTAGCGTCTAGGAAGGGGTAAATAGTAAGTACTACCATCCTTAGCTGCCGGGTTTGATCTCGCTGATGACTCCACGAGAGGGACGCGAGTAATACGCGTGCAGCAAAAGAGATTGTCATGACTGTGTTTGATTTTATGTATGTACTGTTTTTGTTCCTTTGGCTTTTTTGTTCTACCCTACGTGTCCATGGCACATTGTCCGGTACTGACTGTCCATTCCTAATCTGCAGTGTACTCGAAGTGTCCGATGGCACAGCGTCCATGCGTGTCCAAGGCATATGTCCGTAATGTCCATTGGCACTACTAGGCGTTCTCCTCTCTCTTTTTCGTCGACAGGCTGGCGATAGGCGTCGGGAACGTCGCGCCCGACTTTTCGTCCTCGCATGACTGGGTGGACACTGGAGCTACTCTCATACAAGCATCTCCAGGCCGTCAAGGAAGCCGAGCGCAAATTCATCGTCAGAGCCCTTTCTTGCCAGTGCTGGCAGCAGCAGCGGTCGAACGTACTCCTTGGAAACGACGAAGCGAGGAGCAATCGCGGTATCGTTGCCGGGTGTACCGACAACGGCGATGCTGTCCTCAGGCGTAAGAGTGGAGTCGATGGACTCGTTGTCTTCGTCGTCCCACTCAAGGTCCTCCTCGAACTCGGCGAAGAACGTGTCGAGGCGGAGGACGTTGTTGCGGATCTGCGCAAGGCTGGGGCGCGCAATGGGGTTCAGCCTGAAGATCCGCTTCAGGAGGCTGGCGGCTCCGCTCGAGATGCCGAACTCGTTCTCGAGGTAATACTCGTCCTCGAGGAACTCCCTGAAGTCGGGATCGTCGAGCGAGGCCTCCGCCCAGGGGCGGCGACAGCCGGTGATGAGATCGACGAGGATCCTCCCCAGCGCCCAGATGTCCGCATGCTTGGTGGAGTAAGGTCCAGTAGCGGATTCGGTGCATTCTGTTGATGACGATGAAGGTCAGCGTTATCCGTGTCAATGATTGTGGACCAAGTACTTACCAGGACTCAAATAGGAGCCCGTCCCGTAGCCGCGGGAGTAGCTTCGCGCCAGAGGCGTCGCCGCCCCGAAGTCGGCTACAGCGACCTCCTTCCCGTCGGCCGTGCAGAGGATGTTTTCTGGCTTAAGGTCACAGTGATACATCCTTTTTTGATGACACCCGTGTACCGCATCCAGAATCTGCACGAACACCGACCGGATCCGCTCGTCGTTGTCCTCGAAAGCGCCCTCGACAATGAGGTCGAACAAATCGCAGTCGCGATAGTCCGTCACGAGGTAGAAGTGCGCGTCGTCTTCGATGACATCGAGCAACTCGAGGACGCCGGGCACGTCCGAGACGAGTCGTTGGATCGTGATCTCCCGTCGCTGGCGCTGCGTGTCGCGCTTCGAAGGACCAGCCTTCGGCACGATCTTCACTGCACGCCGGACGGGGATCGAGGAGGAGGCCGAAGCTTCATGATCAATGGCGAGGTAGACCTCACCGCAGGCGCCAGCGCCCACGGATTGGAGTAGCTCGAGACGACCAGCGTCGATCATCATGCCAGTGAAGTCAGGAAGTGCAGCAGGCATCGTGAAGAATATGCAACTCTGGAGTTGAGTGTGCGGATGCTGATGCGAAGACGAAGATAATGGCGAACACTTGCGAAAACCCGACCCTTATATGCATTTTTGGTGCGTCGTTCTCGGCTCGTAGCAGCGGATGGATGTGTGCAGACCTCCTATCTAGTTTTGGTATACCCGCGGTCTAGACCAACGACGATGGATGCATCGGTCAAGATTGTGATGGTCTTTTGATTCCGTGATTCTCGACCAGCACGGAGGGATTGTCTGTATTGAGTGGTCTGGAACCGAATTGCAACACTGAGTGAACAGAGGCGTAGTGATGACTTGTACATGTCGGGCTGGAATTGCTGATAGCTTTAGACAGTACAGTGCATTCATTGACCTGGAAGAGAGTGTCGGAAGCGCGGGTCGGACTACGGGAAAGCGGCAGGCATGAAGGGCGCTGCCGCTTACCTGCAGTTCGATTCGAAACTCCCTTGCAATTCCGCTACCTTTCCGCCTCGGAGAGGGCGATGCGCTCCGTCGCGTGAATGGTCAACGCAGTCAGCGGGAGGACCACGGCTTCCGCTTACGAGATTGTGTCTTACGCCTGACCCGAGCTCATACACGGTCCAATGCCTGAACCTGACTATTCCGCGGCATAATGTTGCCATGACGGTAGACTCGACAGCAATCGCGTCTGGCGACGGTGAGATTGTGACCGTTTGCATGTCGGTCAGATACAGTAAGTAAATTGACAGTTGTGAGAGGCATGCGAAGGAACTTGGATCATGATCGAACCAGAAGACTTGCCGTATATGGCTAATCCTCAACGGAGTGGCTGAAAACACACAGCGATGACGCACAGACCTATGGCATGTAGACACATATGCTGGATATCCATCAGGACACATGAGCCGAAGGGGTCTGCGCACAGTGAGTAGTTAGGTACCGACGCCTGAACAAACGGTCTACGTTTACATGTTTACCAACTTCGACAGAGGCACAATGACATCTCTTGCAAATAGGCGAAATCAGCCCGTCACATGCTGTGAAGAGCTTCCAGCACGTCCTGACAGGAGACAGGAATGCATGAGTACTGAAGCAGCATCCGAACACATAGGACATACCCAAGCGTCTTCATCCCAGGGTTTCACACCCTGACACAGTAGTTCGTGCACCTCACTGTTGGTGAAGCCGCAATTGTTCCATCTCTCCTCCTCCTCGTCCCACCCATCCTCGTCATAATCTTCATCTTCGTCCTCTTCATCTTCGTCCTCTTCATCTTCATCGTCGTCGTCATCGTACTCATCCACTCCTCCTGCCATACCCGCCATAGCCTCTGTAGACATGGAGTACTCATACTTGAACCGGCCGTCTCGCTGAGTCGTGTTGACGGTGATGCTTGCGCGTTGCCCGATGGTGGTCTTGTCGTTGTCCAGTTCACTGAAGCGCCCGGACATCCACTCATCGCTGCGCCAATTCTGCAGGTTCATCACAGAATGCAGGAACATGGCTCGATCCGAATTTTTGTTACCGGTGACGTTGAAGTGGTCGACAGCGCCCCGCAGGTTGGTCGTCTGCTCGGGCTTGTTCCACCAGCCGCCTGCAGGAAGATACGTCTTGTCATGCGCGTAGTAGCACTTATTTCCCAAGATGCAGTTGCCAACCAGCCATATCATACAGACATTGCGACCTCTGCAACACAATCAAAACCATCTACTATGAACTTGGCTTGGTAGCGTACTCACAGTTCGTCGCGAATGCTACGCGCGTCGGGTGCGTGCTTCCATCGGCACTGCGAGCCATCGTTGCAGCCATCGTGGTTCAGGTAACGACAGGGCGTATTGTTACCCTCATGCTTGTATTCACTGCTGTCCGACTCGGTCATGATCTCCCAAAGAGGATCGTTCTCTTCGAGCTCCTTTGGATTTCCTTCAGACAATGCTCGCCCATGGTTCAGCAGAAGAGTTTCCTCGAGAGCGGTCCGCGCGATGTTCGATGACGGATCCTGTCTCAAGACGCTACGGAAGTCTACACCACGCAAGGTCAACAGTAAATATGTGAACGCAGCGTCAAACTCGGACGTAAAACGTACCTTCTATGGCGGATGCATACATCTCCAACCCCTTGTTTGCCATGCCTCGCCGATAACGCGCCTTGATGTTCTTCGGCTCATAGAAGAGTGCGCGACTGGCAGCGGACTCGGCCTCTATATATCTGCGTGGGTTTGTCAGTCACGCGCACGGTGGAACCCATGCTCGAACACCCACTTTCCCATCTTGAGCAACGCAGCCGCGAGATTGCTCATGTAAACAGGTCTGGGTCCGTAGATCATTGCAGCCTGACGATACTTGCTCGCGGCTTGCGCTGACTTGCCCTCCTTGAACAGTTTGTTACCCTAGTAGTCATATGATACACGCGTGAGCTGAATACAAAACGTGGTGCAATAATGCGCACCTCTTCCTTGAGCACCTCGGCTGTCAGACGTTTCCGCCGCGACATATTCGCGCGCTCCACCGACCGAGCAGCCACCTCCTTCTCTCGAGGACGAGGCTTTGACAAATCCTGGCGCGTAGGCAGCAACCGCTCGCCATACGTGTCCGTGATGGGCTTGAGATCTCCAGCCTCGACATACGTGCCCACGTCGCACTTGCGGGGACCGAGGTCGCCAGGCTTGACAGTGACACCGCACATTTCGAGGACAAGTCTGGTGCTCTCTTCTTCTGAGTTTATGTCTCCGATGTAGCCCACGTAACCTTTGCCGATGGGAGCCCAGGCTGCGGCAGTTTCCTCCAGAAGTGACCCAGTGATCGGCGCGCCAGGTTGCCCAAACTGTTCCTCCATGGTCGACGTGGTCGTCGGTGCGTATACCCTGTGTTCCTTCTTGACATGTTTCAGGTGGACGGCTTTCGCGCTATATGCGGGGAACAGCTTGCTTGAACGCAACGGGGAAGGTACCCTGTCCGGAGTCAGCGCGATTGTCGTGCGGTGGTATACGCCAGCCACCCAAGGGAGCTCCCACTTCTGGAAGAACGGCTTCAACTGGTCGAGTGGCAGGTAATTGGAGAATTGGGAGCCAACGATCACCTTACCGCCTGCACGGGCATACGCGATGAGGTGGTGGATGACCTTGTCATTGTGAATCACGCTAGGGTGGGTCAGGATAATCGCAGCGGGGCTCGGTTTCGCTGACAAGCGCTTCAGCGCAGCTTTCGCATCGAGCACCTCCTGGACCACCGCGTTCTTGTTGAGGGCCGAAAGCAGTTGTTGCTCGATGCCGTCGAAGAAGGAGAGTTTGTCGAAGGAGATAAGCAGAACCTCGGGTTTAGGCCCCTGATCCCTGGCCGCCTCCCGTGGCGGCTGTGGCGCAGGCTGTTGAAGTGGTTACTCGAGTGCACGACGGAGGAGAGACAGTGGGCTTACCGTCGGAGCAGCTGTTTGCGAGACTGGCGACTGGTTCTCCGTGTTCGCTGGAGAGATTTTGGGGAAGCATAGGGCGATGACTAGCTTCGTTACATGCTCCGATGGGTTGACATCCCCGGCGTATCCTATACACCCTCCGCACAACGTCGAGCCAAAAGCCGCCAGTGTCTCATTGCTGCGGTATTGAAGAGTGGGGACATATACGGACTCCTCCCATGGAACGTGCTGAAGAAATAGGGCCTTAGGGTACTCATAGGTCTCCGTGAGTGCGTCGAAGTCAATGTTGTCGACGGATTTCGTCACCGTAACGTCCATCTTGGTGTACGACCCCGAACGCCACGAGAGGTCGAGTCGCTGGAATAATGCGTCGAGGTCGGGCCAGCGCACGAAGCTGCTGAATTGACATGCGAAGACGATTGTAAAACCGCGCCGTTGACTGTACGTGACTAATTTAGAAAGAACTTGGTTGTTCTCTTCGTCCATGATACCGGCATCTGTGACTAAGACCGCGTTCGGGAGCGGACTCGATGTGAAACCTCGCAGGGCCTGTTGCTTCGTCGAGGCCTCGGTGACATTAGCTCTGCTTCGCAAAGCAGCATACACGGCAACGTTTAGTTCGTCGAAAGCAGCGTCCTTGTGCAGGGAAAGGATGAGCACTGAAGGTCGTTGCACGTTCGGTGAGCCCTGCTGTAGCCAAGGCTTGGTTAACGCAATGGGAAGGGAAACGTACTAACTAGACTCACTGTCGAATTCAATTGGCCAGTCGGCTTTATTTCTCGCAAAGACGCGAGCAACATGGCGATGAGTAGATGAGTCGTCTCCTCTTCGGCATTGACGTCTCCGACGTAGCCGACATATCCTTGTCCAAGCTTGGAAAATGCCGCGGGAGTCTGATCCAGGTTCCTAACAGGATCAGGCGCAAAGACCAGCGACTCGATCCTTGATTCGTCCGTAGGGACGTATACAGCCGCTGTGGGTGCGACGTTCCGTAGGTGCGAGGCTTTCATGCTGTATGATGGTGCAAGATGTTCGAGGCTAATGTTCTCTACTCTTCTGTTGAGGGAGAATGTAGAGCGATGATAATCGCCTCGTGCCCAGGGTAGTCCCAGGGTCCGTTGGAACATCGTCTCCATGTTCTTGGGCTTGACGAAGGTAGGGAACCTACAGCCAAAGACGATCGTACCTCCGGATCTTGCATACTCTGCAAGCTTGAGTAGCAGCTGCTCTTGTTTCCGCTCGGTGACAACTTCATCGGCGAGCAGAATTGCTTGTGGGCGTGGAGGCCTCGACAACCACCGCAGCGCGGTGTCCCTAGACGTGACGACTTCGACCTGGCTTCTAGCTCTCAGGTGCTTTAACAGATGGACATCCATTTCGGCCATCTTCATAGCCGAGAGAGAGAAGACGAGCACAAGTGGCTTCGAATTGGACGCGGCAGCCGCCATCTATGAGGGGTATATGCATTGATTTCATCGAAACCGGTCTATTTTGCAAAGAAGAGAATGCGCACTTCGGGGAGTGATTTGCCTCTGTTATAATTAAAGTAAGTCTGTGTGCTGGTATGGCGAAAGGAGCAGCGACTTGAGCCACAATAGCCTGAGGATAGGGGCGGAACTTGAACGCGGCCGCGGGCAGCATGCTCGCTTGGTCAATGGCCAGATTCCGACAGCGCCGAGCTGCAACACGTGACCGCGACAAATGGCAGTAGCCACTGGTCAGGCCGGTCAGGCTGGAATCAGAAAGTAACGGTATTCTTCAGATTGTCATATCCTCTGAACTCGCAAAGAGCGCATGGTAAGACAGGTCTATAGCCATACAGTATTGTCTCTAGATCAAACATGTCTAAATACTATGAGTAGCAACTACTCGATTGGAAGCTGGAGATTCACGCGGATGATGAAGCTGTTTTGCCTTCAGCGAGACCGAGCAACTTTTCCTTGTCAGCGCTCTCGTTGACTAGGGCGCGAAGCAAGCCGTTCTCTATCTTCAGCAACTCGCTGGGTGCGCCATACTCGACCTGCACGAGATGAGACATTGCGACGAGACATGCACATCGTTACACTCACAATACGACCAGCATCGAGAACCATCTATGAAGCAGGGCGGTATCAGCACGTCTCATTGTCCGTAGTCTTCCTAATCACTTACAATCTTGTCGCTGTCCATGATCGTCTGCAAGCGGTGCGCAATTGTGAGTAAGGTGATATCCTTCCTCAGCTCACCGCGCAGTGATGCCTGGATAACGGTATCGGTCTCGTAGTCTGGCCAGCCAAATCAGTCAAGTCAATCTCTACGTTTCGATCTCGCTCGATTCGTCGCACCTATCGCGGATGTAGCTATAGAAGAGTAAGTAGAGAGACAATTGTTCAATGGTGCGATGTTCGTACCTTCGTCTAGAATCAAAAGCTTACTCTGACGCACGATAGCTCTGGCCAACGCGAGGATTTGTCGCTGGCCCACCGAAAGATTGCCACCGCCGCTAGCGATCTGGCTATCCAGCGTGATCTTGCCTTCATCAGTCTCTTTTTGCAAGGAGAAGAGACCCGCGGAGCGCAGGGCATCATTCAGGACAGCATCGTCGTGTTCATGGAATGGATCGAGGTTCTCCCGCAAGGTCCCGCTTAAGAGCTCGGGCTAGACAGGGTCTATGAGTCAGACAGAAAGTGGCTGGAAGGCAGACGAAGCTCACGGATTGAGGAATGATCGTGATCTTCGAGCGAAGCGCATCCAGGTTCAGGGTATCAGTAGCTATACCGTCGTAGTATACCTTGCCTTCCGTGAGAATGCACCGAAGTAAGGCTAGTGTCAAGGAACTCTGCGAACAGGGTCAGACGGCGACGCTTCACGGGCACGACGCCTCGGTCTTACCTTCCCGCTACCCGTCCGACCCACTATTGAGAGGTTTACCAATGAGTCCACAAAGCTGAAGGCGCGGGGATACTCACCAATTCCAACGCGTTCGCCAGACTTGACCTCGAATGATATCTCGTGCAACACGCGGGGACCATCCTGAATAATATAAGTATGAGCCCATTGGATCGATTGCTATGACGCACTGACGAATATCGTGCAGAAAGTTTCTCCACTCTCAGTACACTGCTCGCTGGCCAATACGCAGGAGGTACACCGCTCGTGGTGGGTTTCGCCTCTTGCTCGATCGATAAGTACTGTTGTATCCGCTCCAAACTTCGCGGAATTGCTCAGTGCGGCGTGCATCACCTTTTGATATCACCGCTTACCTGTTACCTGAGAACACGAGAACAATCAGCATGCTATCGCCGTGCATTGCTGGCGCACTTACCGTGAATTTGAAGCTCGTTGGAGAGCTTGATCCACCAGATGATACAGCTGCTGAATTCCACTAGATCGCCAACCCATCAGTTGTCCTCTCGCAATCACGGAAACTTCGAGACAAACCAGCCATGTTGAGAGAGAAACCTATGCTAGAAGGGTCCTGTGGTGGGCCATAGATCATATACACTCCCAGGCCTGCCGTGAACAATGCTGCCAATGTATCTACGCGTATCGCTATCCACCTGGACACAATGAACAGTTGCTATGCATCAAAAAGCATATGCACCTACTGGTACAGGACGTAGAAGGACCTAGCAATCCTCGTGAACTTGTCGATGCGCGCATACGATTCCTGCCGGAACATATCTTGTGCACCATATGCGCGAATAGAGACTGTCAGGCGATCCGTGAGCTCAGTCGTATGCATGACGTGTCGGACCACCTACCTAGCCCTGTTATTGCAGCCCCGAAGTGCCCCAGGACAGGTGCCTGCGCAAGACTCATTTCGCGTTTGGTGTTGAGCTGAGTATTGATGTATAGGTAGCCGCAGAGAGCGCCGAGGACAAAGATGGTCGATCCGGGGATGAGCATGAGCGGCGACATGATGACTACGGCTCCAAGTCTTGTAGCCATAATCCCGCTGTGCTCCATCCACCAAAAGAAGTAGTCCACAATCTGGTTATCGACTGAGAGGTGGTGTAAGCGAACTGCTCAGGGATGGAACATGTAACGTACTGGCTTGGATGTCTTGAGTGCAACGCGTGATGATACGAGACGCCGGAGTCATGTCAAGCCATCTGCAATGACTATCAGCATCGAATGCGGGGAGTTTGATGAAAATTGCACCTTAGAGTTGCACCCAGGATAGAGGACATCAGTGAAGAATGGATGACGATAGAGGCCCTCAGGGACCCGAAAAGATAGATTAGATAAGAAGTGGAGAAGAGCATGACGGTCACTCCTTGGATGAGTGCGTACGTAACCACGTAGCTGTGGTTTTCATCAATATTTATCGATGAGACTCAGTCAAAGGGGGGGTGCTTACAAGGCCACCGATACCTTCTCAGGTGGCATCTGGTCATATTGACGAGCCCACAGTCCGAGGAACCAAACCTGGAACGTGCTGGTAATTTCGCATGTCAAGTAGCATCCCAGGCACGCCATCCAGAATATCAGAGGATGCCGACCGCCCAGTGAACCCAAGAACAGCTTAACTGAGACACCGTTAGCGGCCGAGTAACATGTGGTCCGTTTGCACTTACACGCAGACCAGCCGACCTGACCCATGGAAACTTCTTCTTCAAGAATAAGCTTGCCCTTCTTCTCTTTCTCTGTCGTGTCGGGAATAGTGGCATCAACCTCTTCCCCCGCTTCTTTCGTCTTCTCAGAGATCTCTGAAGCAAGTTCTTCGCTAGCTTCTAATGCGCCAGCGAGCGTGCCCTGGCTATGGACACGGCCATCCGTGCCGAGGGACACGACGAAGTCAGCTATCGGTCGCGCAATTGCGACATTGTGTGTCTTAATGCAAAGTTAGGCAAACGTAGACATATCAGGGCACCGTAACATACCACCAGGATGATTGTGCGCCCGCGAACAAGATCGCCCTTGAAGCATTTGCCGACAATCCACTGCGATGTGTGAACGTCAAGAGCAGCTAGGACGTCATCCAAAAGCAAGATCTCTGCCGGAGAATAGATCGCACGAGCGAGGGTTATGCGCGCCTGTGCCATCGATGATGAGTCTCGGCCGTCATTAAATCTATGTCGGTTTTACCTTTTGTCCACCACTGCGAACGGGCCCATGTAAGCCGTGCAATAACAACGCATCAAAAGAGAGGCATACCTGAGGGTCAATCCCTTCTCTCCGACTTCGGTAAGATCGCCAGCTTCCAGAAGCTCCAAATCGCGTGTCAAACCACATTGTTCAATCACTGAGGAAGCGTTGTCATGGACATGTCGTCAGGAGGATAGGCAACTATACCCTTATTGTATCGCTCTTCGTCATAGGGCGATCCAAACAGAATGTTGTCCTGATTGTGCTTTTAATACCATGACTGCACCTATCTACTATAAAGCACATACCTTGATCGTCTCGTTCTGTACCCACGATTCTTGTGCAGCGTATGCAACGCCACAGGAGCGCGGAAGGTTCACATATGAGTCTGGACCATTGGGTATATAGTGCATCTCGCCTATACAGGTCATCACCATGGGCGAGCGTAGATTATTTCGCCGATGCGACGACTTACCGAGCAATGCCATCAGCATAGAGGTCTTCCCTGATCCTGTAGGGCCAAGGATCAGGTTGATCCGACCACGTTTGAACACGAGCTCGTCGTCAATCGACAATCTGAACACGCGTCTCTGCGGCGTCGGCGTCATGTTGCCTTCTGTCGAGGCAGTCCAAGTGAACGAGACATTTCGGAATCCGATCGCGTCGCCGTTGTTAGGCCCATTGCCTAGGACTTCGACAACGTCGTCGCCCGTGGCCGAATACTCATCCAGGAGTTCTGTCTGGCGCGGGTTCAGTATGAAATACGCGATAAGTCAGGCTACACCTAGCCAACCTCATTGAGGAACTTGTCAACTCGATCGACCGAAACCTTCGCTGCAGATGGCTGTCAAAACTACATTACTACGAGTTTAGGGCATGCAAACCTTGTATGATGAATGGTATCATTAGGAACGTCTGCTGTAACTCGTAACGGAGTGTCTCGAAGACTGTATGTTCGATTCAGCTTTTTTCATGCACTAAGGTTGGCTATATCGGCACTCACGCGTGATGGAGGAGAATAGAACAGAAGCTAGGTTGCATCAGCAAAAGTCGCATCATGCTCACGAGACACATGCCTGTAAGGGTCTGCTTCATCAAAAGCGTCTGCTGGAGGATTAGCGATGTTTTGATCTTCAAAGGACTATCGCGCTCACATAGACTGCGTAGGTGACGATCATGGTCACCAGCGGGATCAGGTGACTACCAAGGTAGGCCTGTCAGCTCTGAAGACACCAGTAGAGTCGGAGGGTACTGACTTCACGTAATTCATCAGGAACTCGCGCATCCGCAGACTTCTGACGAAGCTCATCTCTTCCTCTCTCTTCTCCGCGACCTGCTCAGCAACACGTGGCTCCCATCCAAACAGCTTGATCATGCGGACCACGCCGAGTACTGTATTGCAATGCCAGTCGTCAGTATCTTGATATACCTGAGACAGATATTCCAAACACTGACGTTCGCTTACGGTTTGCACGCGAGCGTCCGTCTGGTGTCACATCCAATGCAGCATATCAGCCGTGGCGGGCAGGATCTCAAACGCATTGCATACCTTCGCCATCTTCTTCTCTTGTAGACCATGCACGAAGCTGGCAACGTACCCTGGGAGTGGAAGCATGCATCCCATGACTCCCATCCCGACGAAAGCACTAAAACCCCGAATCAACAATGCGACACGCTTCAGTGAAGACACTCAAGGTTACCTCCAGCCCAAGACCGAGTACAAGAACCACGTACACAGTGCGAGCTGTGTCGGGACCTCAACCACTGTCCACGGATCACGGTCAACGTCGGCACCACATGCAGAGGGTTGAATCTATCACGCACACACGAAGATGAAATCCCGTCCATGGTCGATCGTTTGCATGTCCGTCGTTACGAGGTTATTGATCCTTCCAACAAGGTTCGATGCACCGCCGCTCGATCCTTCCTTGCTCGAATCCTCACCGTCCTTCGTCGTAGCAGTCGTTTCGGTACTCGAGCCGCGCAGGGTAGCGTCCTCTCCGTTGTCTGTCTCCATCCCGTTTGTGCCGTTTGCGGACGCAGGCTCCGCGAGCGATGCCGTGTCTGGCGTCCTGCCTGGAGTCGAAGGGGCTGCTTTCGCCCCGGCTGTCTCGGCTTTCATCCGGACGCGTAGAGCATGCTCAAAGACGAGCTGGGTGATCATCGCTTTCGCGCGCACCGTCAGTGTGGCCTGCCGAATGATTGAATGACGGACTCATGCTGATATTACGTGCTACAGGACTCACTGCTGTGTAGATGTACCATTGGAAAGCGAACGTGCCCGCAGTAGGGCCGAGGAAGAGCAGGAAGATCCATACCCAGGGTCGGACGGTCATGCCTTCGCCGCCTTGCTCAATGTAGCTATAGGCATAGATTGTAGCTATCGTCAGCAATCGATTGTCCACATGAGGTGACTATTACGCACTTCAACAGTCGGTTGACACCGATAGGGCTCGCAAGGTTCGCCACGGACTGATGCTTTCCGTCACCTGACCATACAATCCGAGAACAACTCTGAACATACTCGTAAAGCGAGCATCAGCCCAAGAACCGTGTATTCCTTTCCTGTTTATCTGGGATCAGATACCGTACATGATCATCGCACAGAAGGGGGGACATACCGAAAACGCGCATCAGTCTCCAGAAAAAATGTCTCCTTTTCGGTGTTTGGAAGGGATCTAGATGCTGAAGAGCTTCTTCAGTAAGGGGAACCAGAAGCAAGGCGAGGAAACGGTACCGGAAGTCCTCTCTGGACAAGATTCTTCGTACGATCATAATCCGCGAGCGGCGGGAGGTCCTCTAGCTTCATCTGGGGCTGCCGGTACGCCTTCCAGACGGTCGGATCTATCCATCCGTACACTATCAGCGACAGCAGAGATGCTGTCTGCTCTGGGTGCGGGGCCGTCGGCTCCTGTACAAGGGTCATTGTGGTGTAGTTCGAATTTCTGGGAATTTACCCACTTGCGGATCAAGAGGAACATATGAACGCGGGATGCACAGTGGTACGATCACCGCAGATACGGTCAATAAAGCGACTTTCGCCCAGAGAATGCCGCCTTCGGCGCTGTCGAGCGGCGTCAGGGTGAATGTCGCCAATGGCCAAACGTCTCGGTAGACATAGAGACCCCAAGTGACTAGCAGGAGTACAGTGAGATGAAGCGACGCGTTCCTGCTGAGCGGTGATCGCGCTGTTACAGTCAGAAGCGCCAGCAACGACGCGTATGCCTATCATCCCAAGTGTTGTGAGCGACGCGTCAGCTGGGGGGGGGGGGGGTCCTGGAATAGAGGCTTACGTAGGCTGCAGTCAGACGAAGTTCAAACCAGGGAACCAGGTTCGGTTGTGGATGTACTCCGACAATGACTTGGTTTACGGCCAGGGCGAGGAGGGCGAGCACGCACAGGAGCCTGGTACCTTTGAAGACAAGGATGAACATCCCGCCTTGTTGGTCCAGATAGCGTGCTAATTTGGGCCGCTCGCTCTCGCCCTCAGCGTCGCAAACCTGCTTGTCAGACTTGAAAAAAGGTATTGTGAACACGAAGGACAACGCCGAAACAATGGCGACGAGGGCAGGGATATACAGCGGATCATCCCACTTGTCACTATCCGCAAACTTGAGCAATCGCAGTGGTGAACGCAAGACACATCATACATACCTGAAATTTAAAGAAGGTTCGATCATAGCGAACAACGTTGGAAACGTATCATCCATGGCGGTCCGTGAATGTTGAACCGTGGTACGCCTTCGACGTATCGCTATGTACCCGGAAAGACGCTTGCGCGGCCACCGCCAAGCTCTGGGATGCGTAAGTATGTGAGTCAGCTACTCAGACCTTTGCAGTTGATAGCGAAGGGTGGTCGACTGAAGTTTTGGCAGATGCGTTTGAACCAGTTATGGAGGGCAGACCTTTTATCCGGTGTGCACCCGGAGAGCCCGGAGCCGTCAATCAACGTAATCTTCCTTCTGACTCAGGTAAATGACATTCTTCTTCGCGCTTGAGTTCGGGCTAAGTTCGGGCAGGGGCACCATCACGGCGATAAGTCACTATTTGTATGAGTACTATCTCAAACGGAACCGTGACCATGCGTATGCGCCGTGTTCACCGCGGGCAAACTGGCAGGTTGTTCGAACTCCGAAAACGCTACGAAAATTGGTCCCTCATGGGAACCTTTTCTGGGGGCATTTGGGCTCCGAACATCCTCAGAAAACTGTATTTTAGCCAGATTTTAGCATGTTCGACGAAAACACGCATGTTCGGAGCATTTTCGGAGGATGTTCTGGGTCCATCAAAACTCGCAAAAGGTTCCCATGAGGGACCAATGTTCGTAGCGTTTTCGGAGTTCGAACAACCCGCGGTGGTTCCCAAGAGAACGATGGTCACTGATCCTACGGAGTTTAGTAATTTTCGACCGAGCCGCTGAAGCGCTGTCACGAACGGCGGTCAACGGTCCTGCATCGGCTGCCTGTGACTGTACAAGAGATGATACATACATATCAATTGCTTCAAGCAGCACAAGCTGGTGTTCGCGATTGATACAGTGACCGTGCAAGTCTGCGCTGGCAGTCAACTGCCAGTCATCTATCTTCTATCTTCTATCTTCTATACTACAAGAGGCCTGCAGGAAAGTTCTCACGGCAGACAAAGAAGACATCGGATTGGCCAGTTGAGGGAGACAAACGCAGACACCGAGCCCTGCCCGAGCCCCGAGCGCTTTCGAGTCGCGGCGCGCGCTGCGGGAATTCGAGGTCATCGTGTCTCTTACTTTCTCATTGACATATGTATGTACCTCCTCCCGCAATCATTTGCCGACTGGCTACTCATTTGGTCGACGGGTCTACAGCTCATTATATACCTTCAAGTGTTCTGCACAGATGACTTGACCACGCTGAGCATACCGTTCTGCTTTCAAAGACGGGGGCATGAAATAGACACGAAAAGTCTACCAGAAACAGAGGTAATCGATGTCTGCACGGACGACTCAGACGTTAACGAGAAAGAACTAGACAAGCAGAATAGTGTTCTGCTTGCAGACGTGGCCAATGAACCCACTATGGGCGCGTCAGCGAAGGACGGGCGAGCGAAGGAAGGTGAGTGCAGACACTTGCAAGTCAGCGAGCTAAATGTGGGCAAAAGGATGCGGCGACGTGCAGCACAACACACGCACCGACCGCGAGCGCGAATGCACAGAACGCACACGCGGGCGACGACTCATGCATGGCGACCACGAACGCGGTGCGTGGCAGCATGCAAACACGACCGACGAATCGACCGCGCGCGAATGAGGAAAGAATGCGCGAGCGCGAGCGGAGGACGGGCGAGCACGAGTGGAGGACAATGCGCGAAGACGAGTCGGCGGCAATGGGCGCGGCCGGGGCGCTGCAATGCAACACACACGGCGACGGCGCACGAATGCCCTCTCGAGTGGGGGAGCCAATAAGCTGATATTCCAGTCATAAATCCCCGCTAATCCTAGGTATGAACTAAATTTTGCTCTACTTAAACCCTGCTCAATGGACAACAATGAACATCACGTATGGTAGAACCCGCTCGGAACCCAAGTGTCAACGATGGAAGGCACGATTCAGCGAAAGGATCGTGTTGATTCCATCAGCACGGTACGTATCAGCCTCAACCCACGCAAGAGCCGTGACATTCGCATCCCAGACGATGTCCTGAGGATTGCTGTTGTCGTAAACCGGCCAGAGAGGCGTCTCGGTATCCCCAAGCCTGAAGCTGTTCGGATCCAGGTCGTTGATGAAGCTCGCCCAAGAGCTGCTCATCAGCTTCGCCAGACTGTAGTAGCTCTCCGGGACCCCGCCGAATGGGTCGGGAGTAACGTCGTATCCGTAACCGCCCGTGTTGTCGAAGACGAAGGCGACCTCCTGGAAGTGGCTAACGCCGGAGTAGATGGACAGCCCGTTGGGTCGCGTGTTGAAGCGATAGCAGTACGCAGCGTTGCCTCCCGCCGTCCAGGTCTGACACTGATAGCGACGGGCAGCGATGAAGGTAGCATCACCTACGTGATGCAGAAGCCTAGGTGAATGAGTCGTACTTTGCGACCTGATTAAGCTACCTCACCTGCATAGGCAGACGTCCGTCGGTACCTGAGACAGGTTAGTAAAGTGTCTGGAGATGTATGGCCGCCATCGTGCTCACTCTAGTCCATAGCTGTCGTTGAGGCGTGTGCAACCGAGGTCCACAGGAATGCCTTCACAGGGATCGTCCGGGTATGCATTCAGAATCAAATCCCCAAGTGCAGGTGCGATTCCAATGAACGGATGGATGGTTCCCGCTAGAAGACCGTCAACAAGTGCGAATCCACAAGGCGGTGATCTGTGCTCACATGCAAGGACCTCCAGGAACTGCTCCGAGGTGTTGACACCCGTCGGCCCAAACGACGTGCCCTCGTCTGTATTCGCCCCCGAGATAATCGGCACATGCACGTACTCGCCCGCCTCGAGCTGATAACTCGCCACCTTCGTGAACATATCCCCGTCGATCACTGCGAACCACAGTGTCGCGTTCGTGGTGTTGAGCGCTGCGTTGATCGTATCGAAGGGCGTCGCGCGGAGGCACCCGAGCACGTCGATCGACTCAGTGCACCCGACGTTGTCGACGAGTGCCTGGTACATCGGCGTATAGTAGTCCGCGGTGAACATCGCGTTTGCTTGCAGCGCGTTCCCAGACTCCATGATGGCGCCGCGGAAGAGGCCTTCGTCTCGCCCGTTATAGGCGACGAGGTGGAAGCCGACCGATTGCGCACCGGCGCTTTCACCTGCGTAGATTATGATCGTGCATTGTTCAATCGTGGTGACAGGACGGATGCAGCTCACCCCATATCGTGACCTTCGTCGGATCACCTAGGAGGGCGTCAAACTAGCACGCGCGAGAGGCAACAAGGTTGACTCACCACCAAACGCCGCGATATTCTCTTGGATCCAGTGTAAAGCCAGCCTCTGATCCCTCAGCCCCATGTTGTTCGTGCCCTCCCCCGCAAGCTGGCCCGAGGCCAAGAACCCCCTACGGGATGTAGTCGGTGTGTATCTCGTTCGCACCTTGCGTAGATGATACTCACCAGGCTGAGAGACGATACCCAATGGATACACCGATGAACGGCTTGTTCACCTCCATCCCGTTTTGCACGATGAACGAGAGGTTGTATCGCTGGTCGGGCGTGCCGCCCTCGAAAAAGCCTCCTCCCTACGCTAGTGTGAGTATGCATCATTTGCACTTGATTGCTGTAGGTGTCGTACGTGGATCCACACGCCGACGGGCAGTGGCTCGTCATAGTCCGAGTAGTTCGCAGGTCGAATCACGTTGAGGTACAAGCAGTCCTCGCTGATCGCGTATCCCCACTGGTCGCTCTGGGTGCATAGTCAGTGTCCGAATCATCTCCGTTACTGTCGAGGATGTCGCTCACTCCGTATCCCACGCATTCAGGACTGTAGGCGGTTGCAGACCGGACCCCGGTGAAGGAGGAATTCAGCGACTGCGGGTTCGCAAAGCGCAAGTCGCCAAGTGGTGGTTGTGCAAATGGGACGCCGAGGAAGAAGTCCTGGTTGTACTCGGGCACGTACCGGCCGGTGTAAGTCCCGTTCACCGTGCTGGCGGTCGGCGCGCTCGCAGTCGACACTGCGTTGCCCTGAGCGGCGCATGGTGCAGCGATGAAGACTGCGGCGACAAGGAGACACCAGGCAGACGAGACACGCAGAAGCATAGCGGCAACCTGCTCTGGGCTGTCGTCCGTGGTCCCCAATCCTCCTTTAGAACGACACTTATATCCACGACGAGACCCTTACCGAACCATACAGTGATCATGAGTGCAGACGCGGGGCAAGCTCGGCCTTGAATGTGGCGCACGCTATACCAAAGATGCCCATGGTCGCATCCTCTGGGAAGGAGGGCTGCACGGAGTCGATGCGCGCAGGTCATGCGAAGGCGGTTCTGATGGTCTCGGGCTCCCGTGGCTGGGCGGTTGCAAACTTAATTTGGATCTGAAGGCATGTGTGGCCACCGCGTGCGGGATGTGTACGAGATGCATACATACTTTTCGGCCCGTTGCAGGGGAAGCACCGTGCAGGAATCCAACCGGGCTTCTGACGGCCCGCTGTGCATGTAGCATAACCTGACGGAGGCCAGCTTTGGCCCGTCGGCCAGACCCGTCAATGCGCATATATCTGCAAGTAGATTCGCAGTCCCGAGAGTTGGCAGATACACGCCCGTTGCAAGTGCGCGCGCTGCGGCAGATAGAGGACAAGAGTGAAGAAGGCGTTCCGTTTTAGACGCGGACGTTGCCCACAAAATAGAAGCCGTAGGAAGCACTAGCGGCTCATCAGGTGTGATGTATCTTTAGTGCTGTGAACATCGGTATGTGAGCAATCGAGTGCGACTCGCCTATAAGCGGCGAAGACTGGCCCAAGGTACTCACGACTCGGAAAGTAGGCCTCACCGATCGTCGAGCGATCATGAAGCTGCTTGATAGCGAGGTGCTCTCACGATGTGTCTTGTGGTTCGAACTATGCCGGGGGGGGCAGTGTACGCAATGCGGAGGCAGGTACAAACGTCCATTGACACCCTGCAGAAAATATGATGAAATATCCGTGTCGCGTGACTAGGTTCGTCAACATACACGGCGACTCGGTTACATTTGCGGTCAACGCCCCGTCAAGCAGAGTAGACTCGGGCAGACCGACGGTATACCGGTCGTTCCGGAGTGCACGGGTGGACGACGTTCGGCAGTACTGAGTGCAACGCGAGCTCGCGGATGGATCGTATCCGCATACCCGCAAGCGTTCCCTTTGAGAATTTGAAGTGTCGTACACGGGGCACGGAATGTCGATATCTTTGTAAGCTATTGCAACGTGAACCTGAAGCCGGAATCAGTGTTGAGAACACCCACAAAAAAGACTCTCACCTTATCTGGCCTGCTGTAGGGCGACATACATTCTGGACAGTGCATAGTCTGTTGTACAGTGGCTAGGACGAGGATCTTCTCCATAAGTCGGTTCTCTTGGCCTCCTTGTTCGGCATCAGATACAGTTGCGAGACGTCTGTGCGTTTGATCCGGGCGACTTGTGGGATTCTAGACGATGCGAAGATAGGCGTGTAGGTGGCAGACGAAAACGGCGGCTGAGCGCCACACGCAGCCCAGGGCCCCAAGGCTGGCAGGACCTGTGAGGATGTCCAGTGTCGTCAGAACTCGAATTTTGAGTCTCGGGCCTATGTGGCGGCCTCCTGTACATGATGTTATTTTAAGCACAGCAAGCGTTCCTAGCTGATTCTTGCCATTAAACAGGTGGGGTCCGACGCTCGCGGGATCACCGCACGCAACTTGCGTGGGCCAGGTGCCCCAAACGGACGACATCTACCCTTGAGAGCATTGGACTATGGTAGTGCGGGAATAGCTGATACAGCGGTCGGGCATGCGCACTACTCATAACTGCTGCAATGTCCATGAATCTCGGATCGCGTTGAAGACGATTCAAGAGAAGGCTCTCACCGTGATGCGTTCATCGTCGCGATCCGGTCCGCTGGTACTCAGCCCGTCGGTCAACCGTCGGTCATAGTAACGCAAATGTAGCGATTGGTTACCGAAGGAGTCGGAGGACACAGCGCGGATCGGAAGCGCTCAGATCTGGGTGTCATTGCTGTCAGTGTCAGCGGCAAACTCAGCGTGCCTTCGCTGCTCAATTAGGATGCGACAGTGATGAAGTCATCGCAGACGTAGCTCGGTATATAGAAGTGGAGTGCAATTCTCCGATTTCACAAGCGAAGACAGCATGGCGCGCATGCTTGAGTGCGGAATGGCTGTCCGTAGTGTTGGGAGCAGTTCTCAAGAGACAAGAAGCGGAAGCGAGGGACATAGCACATGCGATGGTGATGAGAAGCGACAGATGACTGGCCGCGTGCAATACAGACCAAAGAGGAATTCTAAGGTCAACGTCACTGAAGCTTCCGACGAACACAGATAGCGGCGCGGACACTGCACGCAGCCACCACATGTGCCCGATCGAATCCTTCGACGGGCGTGCGGGGGCGATCGGGGTGACGTCACTGCACATTCTGGGGTGCTGGCGGCGTGTGATGCGGGCGAGCGCAGCGTCCGACACGCGGCGGGCGGCGTGCTCGATTGGCGGCCGCGGGGGCGGGCCTGCTTCGGGCGCTGCAGGCAGACTGGCGGCAGGGAAGAAGGGGACCGGGCGAGGGAGCGCTGCCATGGTGAGGACGTGTGTGACGTCACGCCACGTGCGCAGCAGCCGAGGCGGCGGTGGGGAGCAGTTCGCGCCCACAATTGGCCCGGCGCGCAAGCCCTTGCGCCGTCTTCCTGGCTCCAGGGCTTTTCACGACTCTCTCCCCGCGCACTGCCAGAGCCTGCCAGCACGTCGCCCACACGCGCCCCGGCGACGCTCGACACGACGACGACCACCCCATACACGACACGCTCGACGCTCCCTCGCCAGGCAGCAAGGCACGCAAATCATCGCGTGCAACCTCACGACCGCTACGAGCGCGCGGTGACTCCCGCTAGCCAGACACCGCTCCGCGCATCCACCACGGCTACCCACCACCCCCACCACACCCTGCGATTGCCTGATCCATGCAGTCGCACATTCCCGCCGCCCTGGGCGGCCGCCCCTCGCCCTTCGTCGCCCCTCTCCATCCCGCCGACCCCGCACACCCATCCCCCGCCTCCATGTCCTCGCCGTTCGGGCAGCCACCCCTCAGCTACTCCCCGTTTGCGCAGGGCTCCGGCGTCACCTCTTCCGCGGCCTCGCGTGCGATCTCGCCGCGCCTTCCGAACGGCAACACCCCCGCCGGCGCGCGGTCGCCGCTCTCTGGAACACGATCACCTACCATGGCTTCCGCACGCGCGGACCACCTCAGGGCACCCAGCATTACCGCAGCGACTGCGGCGGCCCTCTGCGCAACCGCTCCGGCCCTGAGCGTGGGCGGAAGCGTCACACCGACCAACGATGATATCGAGGCCGTAATACAGCTTGCGATGGCAAGCTCACCAGCCGGGAGTGCGAACGGGCGTGACACAAGGACGCAGTTATTTGTCGGAAACGTGAGTGTACATTACTATTGTACCCTCTTTGCTATGATTTCACGTCGCTTCTGCTGCGTTGTTGGCGGATGCACCTCTCCCGAATTGGGCGAGTGTATGCCTGTGTATGCGCGTTCGCAAGTCATTCCGTCACCGGATGCTGATCCGGAGCGCGCTCGCGGTTCATCGTCAATGGGATTGACTATTCGAGAGCTGGCTCATAGCTGTCTCAAAGACACCGATGCATCATTTGATATGGGTCGCCCATTTTCAGGTTGCGAGATACCTACTCAGTCTCGAGAATGATTTGCAGAAGCGCATCCTCAGTACGAGGAACATCGCGTACTGTTCAGGATGCGTACGATCCCCGCTGCTTCTCCTAGCCTTCCTTCTTCGCTTCGCTGTGCAATACGTACTCACCTACGTAACATCCCACTGACACCTTTCCCACTCTCAGCTGCCGTACCGTGTCCGCTGGCAAGACCTCAAGGACCTCTTCCGTCGCGCGGGCACTGTACTACGCGCCGATGTCGCACTGGGACCCGACAACCGCTCTCGCGGACACGGCACCGTACTGCTCGCGTCGCAGGAGGATGCAGAAGGCGCAATCCAGATGTTCCAGGGGTGGTGTTGGCAGGGGCGGGTGCTGGAAGTGAGGAAGGACAGGGTAATCAGCGGGGAGGAAGGGCTGGCACTCGGGATGGGAGGAGGGAGTGGGCTGCCGAGCCCTATGGGTGGTGGGTTCGGGACGGTGATGGGGAATGGGCTGGCGAGTCCGGCGCCGCTGAGTAGGTTTAACTCGGGAGTGGGATTGGGTGAGTGGCGATTTATCACCGGCGAGAGGTTGATACTCAACTATATCATGTCTTGCGTTACCTCCATGACTGTATGCGTGTTCTCGATCCTCGGCTGGTCTCGGAAAGGCGCAGACGTCGACGATCCGTTAGCAGCGCCACTCAGTGCTGGGGTGTCAAGACCAGGGACGGGAAATGGTGCGGGGCCAAGCGTGAGCAGGAATCTATTCGTGGGCAATGTGAGTACTTCGTCTTCGTTATTTCACTTACCTCGTCCCCGTCGTGGACACGCCCTTCCGCACCTCTCTGCGGATGTCTCGAAGGGCATGGTCGCTCGTCCTGCGGTTGTATGCGGCTTATCGAGTGAAAGGAGGTGCCCTCGTCCGCCTGGCAGGCTTATATAGCGCTGCCTTGCGGCCTCACACACCCCGTCCTACGCCGCCTGACTATCCGCTCCGTGGTGACAACTGCCGTGCGCACGTTGCACGAGCCGCACTACATACGCCTGCCTGCCTGAGCTGAAATGGGTGGGCGCTCAGAAGGCGCACATCCCCATTGGACGACGCCCGGCGGAGCGGGCTCGTGGATCATTGATAGACTGCGTCGCACTCTCTTTGTCTTCTGGTTGGTTCTGACTCAAAGCTAATCTCTGGTATCGCTGCAGCTACCATTCCATATACAGTGGCAAGATCTGAAGGATCTCTTCCGGCAAGCGGGCGCGGTGACCCGGGCTGACGTCGCGCTGGGAGCGGACGGACGGTCAAGAGGGTTTGGCACGGTCAGCTTCTCGAACGAACAGGATGCGGAGCGCGCGGTGCGGATGTTCAACGGGTACGTGGCCCATGTCTGCGCTCGCACTCGTGCGGACGTTCCGTCGCAAGCGTCCTGATCTCGCGGCTGCCCGGTATAGGTACGAGTACAACGGGCGCGCGCTGAAGGTGCACTTTGACAAGTTCTCGGCGCCGGCGTCGACGGCGCAGCTGGCCGTCCCGCCGCTGTCGGCGTCCTCGCCGCACTCCCCGTCGGCGATGGGCTTCCAGCAGACACATCCCTTCCAGGGCCAGATGCCCTTCGCGCAGAGCGGCTCGTTTGCGCAGCAGCTTCTATCGCGGCAGAACAGTCAACAACAACAACAACAACAACCGCCGATGCCAATGCCGTGGCAGGGCTCAGACACCTTCTCGTACAGTCCGTACGAGGAGCAGCGGGGCGCCGACGCTCTAAGCACGATGCAGCCGGACCAGAGCGTGCCGGAGGGCCTCCCCGCGCATATACCGCTGGCGTACCGGTTCGAGTTCCTCAGCTCGGGCCCGAGCACGCCGTATGAATGGTACGGCGACGCGGGCGGGATGCGGTTCGGCCCGAGCCCGGAGCAGGCGCAGGCGCTGCAGCCGTCGGTGTCGGCGCTGAGCACGCGGGCGGACGCCTCGGGCAGCGGAGAGGGGCTCTCCGGCTTGGCTACGGGCTCGGCGGTGGAGGCGGCGGTGATGCAGGAGCAGTCGAGGATAGGGCAGAGGGAGGATGGACAGGGACAAGGACAGCTGGCGAGGCCGCCGCCGTTGACGTTGTCGCATTCGCATGTGATGTTGGGCTCGTCGGCGAGGTCGGCGCAGGAGCAAGCGGCGCAGGCGCAGGGACAGGCGCAGGAGCAGGCGAACTCGCAGACGCACTCGACGCCTCACCAGCACCAGCACCCTGCACATCCTGGCCCGATCGCCCTGCCTCCGCCGCCACCTGTGACCGCCTTCCCTGTGCCACCTCCGCATACGCTCTCGCCACAGTACTATTCCCCTCTTATGCACCCCGGACACCCGCAGAGCCCATACCACCACCCTGCAATGGTGATGGGCATGGGCATGGCGATGACACCACACGGCCTGCCGCCCATCACCCCAAGCATGCCCTCCTTCTCCTTCGTCCCGCAGCCCTCGCCCGTGCACCCGGACCCGAACCCGGCGAACGTAGCAGTGAGCGCGGGCGCACCGATGCAGCCGCCGTACGACCCCGCGCGGCACATGGTGCACGCGCACGGGCACGTCATGACGCCGTTCCAGCCGTTCTCGCCGGGCGTGACGATGTCGCCCGGCGCGTTCTGGGGCCGCCCCGGGAGCGGCGCGGTGAACCCGTTCATCAACCCCGCGGTCGGCGCGCCTGTGCACGGCAGCCCGGGGTACTTCTGGCCGCCGCGGGGCCAGCCGGCTGCGGGCGCGGTGGACGAGCAGGGGTACTTCCCGCCGGTGCCGGCGCAGCAGTCTCCGCCGGAGGGGAGCTACTTCCCGCCCTTGCCGCCGTCGGGATCGAGGCCGAGCGGGCTCGCGAACGAGCTGGGCCGGGGGGATAGCGGGAGCGACCCCGCGGGCAGCGTTGGTGGCAGCAGCTTGGGCGTTGAAGAGAGGCCGGAGGGTGAGCGGTCACGATCTGGGAATAGCGAGGCGACGACGGCGGGGACTGGCGCGACGGATGCGACGGGCACTGGCTCGAGGCCGACGAGCTCGCAGGGGACGAGCTGGCAGACGGACGTTGACTCGGAGGACCCGGGGATGGGCGCGCTCGAGAAGGGGGTCGATGCTCTGGCGGTCGCTGATGAAGACGGCGCAGAGCGGGTTAACGGCGGTGAGCATATGAAGCCCCGCGCGTACTCAGCGCAGTCGTCGAGTGCGGCGCACCCGCCACCACTCACGCGGGCGGGAAGCGATCCTGTGAATGTGCGACAAGGGAACGGCTCCACGGGCGCGGTCGTCTCGTTCGGGATGGGGGAGCAGGCCGCGGCGAGGTGATGCTCTGATTTATTGGTATAAGTTTTGTCGGGCTCGGATGTAGGGGGCAAGTGTAGATTCAGCGGCATCATCTGTGCAAAAATCATGAAGGGTCCTGGGCTAGGCAATATCTGGAATAGGGCGTCGTCGTGTCTCATACAGTACTTATTATCCTATGCGGGTTGCATGCTCTTACATACAGCAGTACATACCATAGATACGTCGTTAAATGGCTTTGTGCGATATATCCAACTACTTTGCATAACACGGACTGGAGCAAGTTGACTGGACAGTAGTACTAGAAGATCGTCTACTTATCACGCCTGAGTGGCGCGTGAGACTCCGGGTCAGCCACCGCTCATCGAGCTCTCTTATGTATTCTAGTCTCTGAATCACCTCACGCTTTCCTACGTGATTTTTCACTGCAGTCTGTACGGCGCATCTCTCGTGTATTTAGCTTCGCCGAGGCATGCAACGCAAATAGTCTAGTCCCACGGCCAATCAGGAAGCCGCGGTGTGCATATGGACATCAACGAGTCGCTCTAAACGCCGAGAACCATGCTCGAAGCGAATAACTTATGGGAGTCGAACGACACGTACGCTCACGGCCACAGCACTCCGACTGAACGCGAGCCTTTACCCTCGAATCCGAGCCATGGGTGTTCTTTGGTCTTTCGTCAGGTACTCAGGAACGATACATAGGCAGTCCCGCCCTCCGGAGCCTGTGTTCAGCGTGAACCACGTTCCAGACCTCACCGGCCGTGTCATCCTTGTGACAGGTAAGTAACCAGTGTCGTATGGCCGCAAAACATACACCTCGACTGAAGCTTGAAGTACAGGTGGCAACGACGGTATCGGCAAGGAGACCATAAGGGTAGGTCATTTCATTCATCGTGGGCATCGATTGTGAGCCTGATGACGGCTGGGGCACCAGGCTCTGTTAGAGCACAATGCCAAGGTGTATATGGCATCGAGAGACCAAAAGAAGGCGGAAGCTGCTATCGAAGAGCTGAAGGACAAGACAGGTAAAGAAGCGCTCTTTTTGAAGCTCGACTTGGCCAGCCTGGCGTCCGTGCGACAAGCTGCGAGTCAGTTCCTCAGGTGAGCTTGGTATAAGCACACTATCAGCCCTGTATTGAGTACGTGTTTAGCCTGGAACGGGAACTACACGTTCTGTACAACAATGCGTACGCGATGCCTCACCTGAACAGGCCCGACGTCGCTTACTATGACATGGCTCCTGCAGGGGCGTCTCAAATACGCCCATCGACTGGCTTACTGATGACGGCTACGATATGACCTTCGGAACGAACATAGTCGGTACGTCGCCACTGCGCCTACATCATATTCTCATCCTCACGATGTATCAACTGCATAGGCCACTTCCTTTTGACGCAGTTGCTTATGCCTGCTCTTCAAACGGGGAAGATCACGTCGCCGGATCACTATGCTCGTGTCATCTGGCTGTCGTCGTTCGCGCAGTATCTATCGCCTCTCGACTTCGACGCGTTCAAGGATACTCCACAACGTAGGAGGACCGGAAGTGATATCATGTACTGTCAGAGCAAACTGGTGGGCGCGATCCGCTTTGCCAGCTACCAGTACTCATCTACGACCGTTGCGACGCTTTCTGATCTAGGCCAGCGTCATGCTTGCTCGCGAATACGCGAGGCGCTATGGTGAACAAGGTATCGTAGCTCTGTCTGTGAACCCCGGTACGTACCTAGCGTGTAGTGCACGTGGTCACATTCACGAGCATTCATATGCAACAGGAAACATCTACACGGGCATCCTTCGACACGCTTCGAAGGTCAACCTTGCCTTCACGGTAAGGAACCGGCCTGTATCCCAGTGCACTACGACCTTGACCATGACCATTTGCAGAAGCTCTTCATAAAAAGGTACCCGGTAGAGTACGGCGCTCTCACTCAACTCTGGGCTGGTACCATGCCAGAGGCTCTCACCCACAACGGCGAGGTCAGACCATATCATTTGCGATGTCATCAATTCTCATGATATCACCACACAGTATGTCGTTCCATGGGCACGCATTGCGGACCGTGCGCGATCGGAGGCGTACGATGACCAGATATGTGCGCGTCTGTGGGACTGGCTGGAGAATGAAGTCAAGGAGAATTAGTTCTGGATTATCGCACATTGGGCGGCCGGACGTTGGATGGCTTTTTCGTCTTGCTGTCTTGTTCGGCGAGAATCCACAATGCAGTCGGCGGACTTATTAGGAGATGCTATCTTGGTTCTTATGTGGTGCGTGCGAAGTCCGAGTACTGCTGATCCCCTCCATATGTCGTGGACCAGCTTTGCCCAGGGCGTCGTCCAGCTGTCTCCGTATCTCGGCCATACATACTAAAGTCATACATGGTGCGGAACAGATGACCAGATCGTATTTGAATTGCCTTCTTACACCCTTATCTTCGCTGCCTGGGCAGGCAGTGAGTGATAATGCGTGCTGTGTATACAGGTCTTCGTGACCCTAAGGGATGGACCAAGAACCATGCTGTCGCTATTGAGCACAGGCTTCTCGCGGACCCCTTGATCCACGTGTGACCAAGGCAGTCCATCGATAGTGCACTTCATGTGCGTAGATTCGGGGCCTAGGAGGGGAAGCCGCGATGACACCCAGAATGCTCAAATACAGCGAGACTGGGCCTCTTGTGTGTCTCCATTCTGCTCGGTCCTTCATGGCTCCGGACTCGCAGACGTTTCTACTCGGGAGCGCTCTTACATGGTTTCCGGCGGTATGTGTCTCATTATATCTTTCTTCCCTAGGCCGATTAAGAGACATCCAACAGAACGTGTACTACCCCGACAACGAGTATGCATATGCCGACCTAGTCGAAACTGTCTCCTTTGAGGCTGAAGTTGAGGTGGTGCTGGAAAATGTAGGCTTTAATAACTGGGAAGAAGACATCGTGAGTCAAGCATATCTACACAGTGTATCCCCATCTTATGCTGCGTATTAGTCCAGCTCTGGAGCAGTCCATTTTCGAAATGGGGCTGCGAGACGGGCTGCAGGGCTACCGCGTGTCCCACTGGAAATTTGCGAGCGTATCATGGAATGTCTGAACCTGGAGAACTCGGGTCTCATGGTTCACTTCGACTACCAACGCGTAGAAGCGCTGAAGGCATGTTCCCTGACCTGTCGAGCATGGCGAGGCACTGCCCAGACACAACTCTTCAACACGATGGCATTCCTAAACAAGACCTCCGTCCAGCGCTTTTCCGCGCTGTGACTGCGCGCCCAGAAATCGCCACACTGGTCAAGAATGTCGTGGTGAGCTCGTCGATCCTCGATCTGCCCGCGGAGGAGACACTTGGGGGTGGCGCCGGTATGACATGGGCACTCGCAGCCATCAACCTTGTGAGAGGCCGCGAGAAGAAGCCGTGGCCGCTGGATGGCCTGCGCGCTTTCGTTCTTATGCTCGCCCGTAAACTGGACGGACTGGAGCGTCTATGCATTGTCAGAGGGGAATGGAAGGCTGGCCGACTGCTTCCGCGTAACAATGCCATGTATCAAGGCTTCTCTGCCTTCCGCTCTCTATCGACACTCGTCCTCTGCAGGGTTTCCCTCCCGTCTGCACGAGAATTCAAGGACATCGTTCTTGCGATTTCTGGCCTCGTTCGGTTGGAATGCCAGACCATATACTGGAAGAAAGTAGGCGCCATTGACCCCACCGAAACTCGGGCTCTCCACCCAATGCTGCGGTCGTTCCATAATGTCTCTATCACTGTGCGAAGTACTATGTGGTTCATCGATGATCGAGCTCATTCTGACCCTCAAGCCTTCCAACATCATAGGACAGCCTCAGTGTCCTATCATCGAGTCATTTTCGAATCTCTTTCGAGGGTGCTACGCTCAATAATGGTATCGCAGAGAATTGCTCTGGTTGGCTCGCGCTCGCAAATATTGCCAGCAGTGAGTCATACAACGTTGTCCAATCCAGCATTGTGTGTACCCAAAGACTCCTCGCGCGATCGCAGGAACTAGATCAACCCTAAGAGAATAGCGCCGTTGGTCTCAGTGATGTTGAGCACACTGAGGTAGAGTAGTCTACTTAGCAACAACATCTGGGATGACGGACACGTGAGTTGCTGGTATTCTGCGTAGCATATTGTCTCATCACATTCTATTGCTGCATGCATGCAAGAATGGCAATCGGGCTACCCTTGGGCTACCCCGCGTGCCTCTCGAGCTCATAGAGCTCGGCGAACGGATTATACGATGCCTTACGCTGGGGGAAGACGAGACAATGTTCGACCAGATCTGCATGAACACATCAAGACCTACGCCCTCGCCTGCCGCACGTAGCGATACATATCGCAAGATCAGCTCCTGCGATATGTAACAATTTACGTACCACTATATGATGCACCAGCCAGATTTGCACGCAGGCAGGCTGCCGCTCGTTGCGAGTCTTGCGACCGCCCAGCTCGATGACGCTGCCCTGTCGTCTCCGAGGCTTTGCTACTTGGAGCGAGTAAGTGTCAGAGTCTCTGTGAACCACTTCTATGAACCACTTCTATGCCGAGGACGAAGACCCACGCTCCAGACGAACGGCCTTCGAGGAGGCACAATGGAGAGCCAAAGAAATCCGTACCGTACTTCCTAGGCTGAGTGGCGCTTTGGGTATCCTGTCGTAAGTTCTGCATCGTCAATTGCTACGGCGATACTTATGCAACGTTGGCTCCCTTGTGTCTGCAGCGTGTATGGAGATGTTCTGCACAGCCGATATGATACTCAGATAAACTCGCCAGACTCGTTGATTCTGAACTCAAAACGGATAGATTTGGCAATGCACGTCCTTCGGCGCATGGTGTTAGCAGCACACCTTAGGTTGCGACCGCTTCTCCATTGAATCTTCAGATACTACCTTCCGCTTGCTGCCTTCGAATTGCTACAGCAGCCAGTGATGATGGTCGCAAGTCAATCGCAAGTCGAGACAAAATGAGTGGGAGGAGCTTTCGTACTAGTACGCGCGTTGTCACGTCGGTGACATGAACCCGCTGAAGTGACGTCACGCTATATAAGCAATACGCGACGCGACAACGACCACCAACCAGCTTCTGCTTCCGACCGTCATCTCTCGTTGAGTTCAATTCTCTCAGCGATATAAGGCGACATGGCACCTAAACCTGCATCCACCGCTGGCAAGGCTCCCGCGTCCACCGCGTCGAAGGCACCAGCCAAGACGACCTCTGAGGGTGCCAAGTCGGCGAAGAAGAGCACCAAGCCTGCCGCTGCATCTGGAGATGATACGAAGAAGCGAAGACGCAAAGCGCGTAAGGAGACGTACTCCTCTTATATTTACAAGGGTGCGTGTTCTCGGAGGTCTGCCGACTTACTGTCGCATTCATCTTCGTGCTATCCCGCACACCAGTGCTTAAGCAGGTGCATCCGGATACCGGTATCTCCAACAAGGCAATGGCCATCCTGAACTCCTTCGTGAACGACATCTTCGAACGCATTGCTACGGAGGCATCGAGTATGTCGCGATGTATGATACCTGTGTGGCGTCCCTGGTGACCAAGCCTTACAGAGCTTGCTTCTTACTCGAAGAAGTCCACCATCTCCTCTCGGGAGATCCAGACTGCTGTTCGTCTGATTCTTCCCGGCGAGCTGGCCAAGCACGCCATCTCGGAGGGCACGAAGTCCGTGACGAAGGTATGTTGTCCGACCGTTAAGCGCTCAACAATGAGCTGAATATCGCGATAGTTCTCCAGTGCCGGTGCGAAGTAAGATAACATCTTGTTGGTACTCACGTCGGCGCAGTGGGGTGTACGTGTATAACACAGGCCATCGTCATTGTATTGTATGTCTTCTCTCTTGTACTCCTCGTATCGCCGTTTTGTTCTTTTTTCGCAGTTTTACTGCAATCTACCTTAAGATCCAATGGTGGATGCGACGCACTAGCAACCTTGTGAGCAGCGAGCATGTCACTGTATCTTTGTTCTGCGCATGGCTGCAGGCTTACGAAGTTCGAGTATTGCACCTGATTGTGAGTTTGTTCCGTCTGGTCGTCGTATGTTCATCGCTCGATGGTGCATTATCGTGGTTGGGGATGCGTGGCGATATCAGCGTGTCGTCTTTTCTTCATGCTGCCCACACGACACCTCCGCGCCGATGGCTACAATAAAAACAACTGCATAGGGAATCACCGAGCGCGGTACATGGTACATTTGTCGGATCAACATGTCAACGGGTCGTCGTTCATTCCGCGAATGTCAGCGAATGAACTGATTGTGCCTTACGAAGGAAGTAAACGCATAACATGTTGTACACTGGCAGTTCAACGCAACTAGGCTTCCCACCAGGTACCGATCCTACTGCCAAGGGGCATTCCATACAAGCTTTCGACGCAACGTGTCGCCGGTCGGACATTTCAATGACGCCGCGTCGACCTGCGACGACCACCGACTCCGTATGTGGTGATTAATGGATGTTATACGACGAAGGCAGACTAGGGTGCATCCTACCCGACACATGGGCCTGTGTGGCACTAATGTACAATGGCTCCTGGCAGAGCTCAGGGACGCCGCCAGCATCATGAAGACCATCGTGTTAGATCTTCCGCGGCGTGCAAGTCCTTAGCTTCCCTTATGCCCGCGGCCTATGTAGATCCGGTGTGCTACTTGTCAAAGCCTCCTGCGGTGCTGACGGCGGCGCTGTGAGTGCAGTCCGGGCTCTCATCGATCGTTCTGACTCCATGCCTTGTATACAGCGGGTGCAGGGGGGATCAAGGGAATACTTGGCTATTTGTGGTTTGACGGTGCAGGTATGAAACACTTCACTGTCAATGCGTGGTGGCGAATGTGGACACAGTGAAAGTTAGAGTGAGGGCCTCCCCTCCAAGATGCTCCTCTGACCCTTCATGCACATGCATGGCACAGTGCCATGTCGATGCATAGTGCGTATATGGTCTTGCTGATCATGACTCCCTTCTCGCTGGACTATACGGTATGAAGAGGACAAGAGAAGATATTCCCGCGCTGTTCCCTGCTTGTCTTCTGCAACAATTGATACCACCGTTGTATAGCCATAGGATACATCCAGAACGGTCCTCAAACAATTGTCCGTGAAGACGAACTATCTAAGCCGACGTGAGACACGTTCTCCAAGCGCCATTTCTCGTGCCTTCAGGAAGAGGACGCTAGCATTGCGAGGTCTGTAATTTGGAGCACTGCCATACCGCACGTTCTATCCTATGGCTGACGACCTCTTACAGCACAACTGGCACTATGACTCGATCTCGAGCCCGTCCTGGCCGGCACGTGTGTGACGCTGGCCGTTTGACTTCTGTCGTCGAACATGCGAGGACGGCGACAGTAGCCGTGACGGCGCTGGACATTTCGGCCAAGATGTGCCTGGTCCTCTGTGTCCTGTCCCGATCGGCCTAATTCTGTCATGTACTGCCTATGTCCCGCACGTCCTGATCGCCCGAGGCACCATTTATTGCGAAGCTATAAGAAGGTGTCAGGACTCACATCAAGAGCCAGCATCCTCGTTCGTTCGCATCGACTTCCACTTCACAATGTTCAAGCATTCCAGCCTCGTTGCCCTCGTTGCCCTCGCGGTGACCGCCTTTGCTTCTCCCGAGCCGTGGCACGGCATCGTGCCTCCTCTCCATCGCCGTCTGACGGGCCAGAACATCGCGTTTTCCTGCTACGGCGGAGGCGGCGACTGCGAGTGCCCGACCGACCTCACGGGAGACAGCAACGGCGTCCTCATCAACGTCTACCCCGGCTACCAGTGCGCCTACCCAGGTGGTGCTTGCACCTGGGATGACAAGGTGGGTAACGCGTGACGTTCTCTCTGCACTGCGTGAATCAGTACCTGACATTGGGATCTCTGCACAGACCGGTGCTCTGGAGAACACCGCCCAGACCAACTGCCCGACCTCTGCGCCGTGCAGCACCGTCAGCGGCTGCCAGTGCCCCATCGACAACAACAGTGACACCGGCGTCTTGATCAACCAGTTTACTGGATACCAGTGCGCATACGTGCATGGTGCTTGCACCTGGGACTACGTGAGTGTACTCAGTCGTGCGCGCCGTATGCCGTACTGACTGTCATCACAGACTGGCGCTCTCCAGAACACTGCGCAGACCAATTGCCCTACCGTTGCGAAGTGCGCGCAGTTGGCTGGCGATTCCTAAGTCACGGCGGGATACAGATCTAGCATACTATAGCTTACACTTCACGGGTTATCGATGGGTTACTAGGGTTCTGTGGGACGGTGTCTTCCGTCAGTCATCATGGGTTGATATTCTGTTTCTGTGTAATATTGGGGAATGGATATGATGGACGAGGTCTTTTTTTTTTTTTTTGGCCGCTTTCGCTCAGAACCAGGAATGGAGTCCGCGTCGAAGTCATACTCAGCCAAGCGGGAACAGCATAATATATGACATGACAGCAGTAGCACAACAAGTCCATCCCTATATGAATCGTAAGTCAAATGCGCGAAGTGTCAAGTGCGTGAAGTGCGTGATAGTATACATAGTATAAGTACAAGGCGCATTGATGCTCTATCGTGTGGATGCAGCGTGGGTTCGTCATGGTCATTCAAACGTCACTGCTTTTCGTTCTCCTAATCGTGTGCTCGCGCCTACATTTTGTGCGGCGGCTTGCAAGAATTGCTCCGATGTGAAGTCTTGTTGCTCAGGGCTGCTTGTCTGCTGCTCGGTGTCAAATAGCGAGGGCGTACCAGTCCGAGGGGTGTTGCCGTTCGTAGAGTTTGCATAGCTACCGGGAGTGCTCTCCGTGACGTTGATGGTAGGATAGTTCGGCGGAGTGGTCCAGATGCGCACGCCGCCGTCATGACTTCCAGTAGCGAACACGAAGGGTTCTACAGCGGCGTTCCAGGCAATGCAGGTCAGATCTCCTCCTAGGGCCTGTGCACGGACGTGATGCAATAGAGCCGCCGACTCCCGATCCCAGATGTGTATGTCGCCCGCTACAACTGAAATGAGAAAGCGAGGAGGAATAATTGTCAACGGATGCAGTACCTTTTCCTGCACAGAGCACCAGCTGGTCGTTCTTGCCACCAAAGTAACTAGGTCCGGCGAAGTCAACAGTGACTTTCGGCATGTACGTATGTCGGAGTGATAATCGAGCAGTGTCCTTGAACAAGTCCAGCTTCCAGAGTTGCGGAGGTGCCTGGTTCAATCGTGAACGGTATGTCACTACATCGGCCCTGAGCAACGCACCTTGTTCTCGTAGCTAACCAGAGCGACTTGGTCATCGTGAGCTAGAGTGATATCACGTACGTCATGCAAGACAGGCACACGGCTGTGAATACAGGTCAGGTCGAAATACGCACAAGAAACAAAAGAGAGTCTCACTTCTCGATCTCCTTCTTCTCCATATTGAACGCTGCACGCATGCTTTAGTGAGACAACGCAACTCATCACGACCTAAATGCACGTACCGATGATCTGCTTCTCCGCCCGAGACTTACTGGGATGCAAGCCATCGCGTGACGCCATGAGCGTTCCGACGCATAACATACGCTGACAGTCTTGAGTGACTGCCACGTCGTGCAGCACCATACGGTCGAAGTGATACGTGTCCAAGACCTGCATGATGTTATTCATGAATCAACCGAAGGCAAACAACCCAGACGACGCACTTGACCGTTTAGATCCTACACAGCCTACTCAGTGACGTCTCGATTTCTGGGGGTATGGAGACTTACCAATTTGACGACGTCGCTGCCTTCAACCGATAGGAAACCTACATAATGAAACAGTCTGTACTGACAACGAGACGGTAAGGCTCCAGCTGGCTTACCTTCGCCACCAGGAAGCCAAGCTATCGACTGGACATTCTTCCGACGATCGATGGTCTTCTTGCACACGCCGTCCTATGAGACGATTCAATGCACGTCAGGCGATACGGTGACTACGCAGAAGATTGACTGACCTCATTCCACACCTTCACACCGCGGTTCAGCTTCGTGAGAAGTATGGTGCCATTGGGTGACCTATCATGACACAGTCAGACCCAGCGTCACCAAGGCATTAATAGACCTAACCAAGCCACTTGTCCAACGAACCCTTGCGGCTGAGCAAGAATACGATGTGCAGTGAACGGTTCCTGATCATCGCCGTGAGTTGAACAGACCATGCATTATTCTGGGTGATGGTACGTACGCCAACTCTGAAGATAACCGAAGTCCTGTCCCAACTATTGATGCACAATCAGCTAGCAAGGTCTTCCCTCAGGATATCAAACATATTTACCTTGAAGTCGCCAAGAACTTGCCATTCGGCGAGAACTGCAGATGGCGCACGAGGGCCTGATGAGCAGCAAGGTCCTGCGTTGTCTCCAGCGCCTTCAGCTTCGGCACCAGCGCCGCGACCCTCGACGCTCGCATCATGCCAATCGGCTCCGCAGACATGCTCCGCCCTCTTGGGCCGTCGATCGAGGTCGTCCTACGGCGCGTCGGAGTGTGCGGCGGGAGGCTCAGCCCGAAGGGCATCGGCGAGGCCGCCTGGCGCATCATCATGACCGAGTGCACTGCGTGCACGAAGCGCGCCTTGCCGGAGGGAGGCGGGGCGTTCTGCGCCGCCGTGCTCGCGTCGCTCATCGTTGTCGCCATCTCCAGGTTATCCGAGGACCCGAAGTTCGACGACCGCACTTCCGCGATGGGGAGCAGCGGGCCAGTCGAGTTCGACTGGCGCATGCGTAGTGGCGAGATCGGCTCCGGGCTTTGCGGGGACGCCAGCGTCTCTGTGGTGCCGTCTTCTTGGTCTTTCTCTATGGCGGTCGACATGGTGCTCACACGGCGCAGCGTCCGCGTGCTCATGCGTGAGACGCTGTCGCTCGCGATGCGGAATTGCCGCACCATCCACTGTCCGGCTTCCCTAACGTGCCTCCCAGTCCGCCACGCAAGTGCGCGGGGCTCGTAGATGATCCACTTGATCCCCGGGACGGAGCAGAGCTCCACCTTTGCCTCGGAGAGTACATCTGCGAGCCACTTCTGGCCCTGGTGCTTGGTGAAGATCATGCGCTCGGAGATGAACCAGGTCGAGACAGCTGCGAGCCCGATGCAGCTGAACGCAGAGAAGACAGATGTCAGAGTTGTTGTGACGCGATCCTGCACAAACGATGAGACAGGTGCACACAGCAATCAGCGGGCTGTACTCACCTGCCCAGAGGAGTATCCGAAGAGCACGAGACCCATAGAGAAACATGCAACAGATGCAACCAGGAAGACCAACGGTGACCGTTTGATCCAGATGTGGACCCACCACGGCACACGGTGGCCAGGGGAGCGGCTAGACAACATTGAGACAAAAATGCAACTGCAGGAACGCACATGACACATACTACATCGCTTGCTTCCAAGTCAGCCCTAGAAGACTGTTGACGGCGGCTTGGATGCTGAACACAAGCGAGATGAACCAGAAACAGTTTACTGCTTTGGCAAGCGTGCCCTCAGTCATGTTGTACGAGAACTGCATGGTTGTTGCAGTGACGGCGCTGAAGAAGGTGGCGACAGTACTGAGGTTGAGTAAATTTTGACTGGCATGTTCCTGCGCAAACCGGATCGTCGGCACGCCTGGGAAGTAACATCAGCTATGCTTGAGATACACAAGGGATCTAGACTAGTTCACCAATTTCAATGAAGACGGACAGGGAGCCAGTGATGATGTCCAAGTGTTCGCCCATCTCCGAAGTGAGATCATGCAGATACCTCTGAACTGCCGGATATCTGAATTGGCCTTCAAAACTACATTAGTCAATTGGCATGGCATGTCGCCGGCGGTGGATGTACCTTCATATGCCTTCAAGCATGATGCCCAGTACTATAGCAAAGTAAGTATCTGCCTTGACAGCCACCGCGCAGACACACCTTCAAGTCACACTCGAGGGACTGGATTGATGCATTGACGGCCTCGTCGCTGAACTCCGGGAACTCGTTAAGACAGTCCAGAAACGTCATCACATCGTGTGCCAGACTTCGCATCTGATCCGGGAAGTCCTCCGGGTCGAGGTCATCCACAGTCGGATTTACAACATGCGACGGCCCTTTGTGGCGCTTGCGCCTCAGTGCAGCCTGTAGCGCGGTATCGACGAGGGACTCGCGAGGTTGTCGTTTCACTTTTCGTGGGAAGAGGTCGGCAGCATTCTCGCGGAACAGCCAGAGAAGCTGAGCCAACCGCTCTCGCAGGTGCACGGACGACGACAGGATACCGACCGAGCTTCCTAGCTGGCGGGCTGCGTTCGCGAAGTTGCGCAGCTGCGAAGGCGTGTCAGCGTTGACGGATATAGATTGCCCGTGACGTGCGTACCTCCCGGTCTAGGTTGGTCATACGCCTGCAGTATGTCTGAGTTCGCACATATATGATCCGGAGCGTAGGAAGACACACCTCTCGAACTTCTTGAACACATCCGCCCCGACTTTCTGCAGATGTTCGTCCACAGTGGCTGCAACGCGACATATCAGTTGGAATGGCACGCGACTCGGGCTACGAGAATCACTCACGAACATCTCGGTCGTCCTCGAAGCTAGGTCGGTCATTGTTTGAAACAGCTACAATGTATGGTCGACGTGAGCCGTATGCATACTCTGTCCGAAGTGCCTTCCACTCACGCGACGCGAAATCATCATCCTTCGTCAACTCATGCAATGCATCCAACAAGCTGAGCAGAGTCTGCTTCCGCTTGGAATGACCTGCATCGGCAAGTGGGTCTGTATTCGGAACAGCAGTGGCTTCGACAGCGGGCGAAATGCCTGTGGGTCCGGTCACACTCCTGCGCAGCCAGCGAACTACGTCCGCGCTTACCTCGTCCCATGCTTCATCCTACTCTCGGAAAGACTTGCAAGCTGCGGTTTATGGAACGGAGATTGAAGAGAATGTCGTCGTAAGTCGTCTAGATGTCGTCCGGGGGGAAATGCACGCTGAGCTGTGAAGCTTGGGCGAAGGTATATGAGACGGGTATCAACTGGATATCAAGCTGACTGTCTTCCGGAAGGCATTATTGAAGCTCAAGGCGGCTATCACAATGGTGCTCAAGAGATGCCGGCCCAGGTCCCCGCCTCATGGCCTGATGCAGCCTCATGTCGGGGATGACATGCCAATTTCTGCAATGAGATTGCACTTTTGGCCTGCTCGAGCTCGAGGCCATGCGCATATGCGGCATAGTAGTCGACCCTTCTGCATCGTTCTGAGACGCGTGCAGCCCGTACAGCGATAAATACTAGTAAGGGCATCTTCAGTCTGAGGAGACCGATGTCAACGGACATTTTGACCGCTTGAGGAAATACCGCGGCCTTTGATTGGCCGCAAAAGCTACTTAAAACTTAAAGCAGCTTGAAGTCAGGCGCCTTCCATCAATATTCGGGAGCTTGAATGCTCTGAGGATATCGATCGAGACTGGAATCAAGAGCGAACACATTAATTGGCCATCTTCTGGCTGTCTAATGACTTAGTTAGGGAGTACCTAGGTTAGTAGTAGTAGATATTGTATATTGAAAAAGTGTTGTATCGCTACAATGTAGATATTGTGACTTATTTGAGTATTACCGAGTGACTTACCTGAAGCAATACACTTTCTTAACTATACTGTATAACCGCGTCGGTGAACACCTGTCAGTGTTCATTGTCACAGTCTCGTCCCGCGCAGCCGACCGACGTGTACGCCGGCCACGATGTCGGACAGCAGCCACTTGCTTGGCCCAAGTCCTCGACCGTCACTTGACAGCCAACGGTCCTCCTTCTCTCTACCAAATGGTACGAACGGTACCACGGATGGCGCAACACAGGATGCCGAGGAAGACCTCGACCCAATACAGAGGCTGCAGCGCGAGCTCGAGCGTACCAAGGAGGAGAAGGACACGCTTGCGACGCAATATCGCAACCTTCTTTCGAAACTCACGACGATGCGGACAACACTGGGGAATAAGCTCAAGCAGGATGCCGTACGTACCCTGCCACCTCTCACACACGCGCGCAGTTACGACTCGCACTCGCATAGGAAGAACTCGACCGGCAGAATGAGCTCGTGCAGCAGCTGTCCGCGCAGAACGAGGACCTCGCCGCGACGGTCGAGACACTGAAGTCCGAGCTTGTTGCTTCGAATGAGGAGGCGGAGCGCACGTCGCGGGAACTCGAAGTGATGCGAAGCCGGACGTTCCAGGATAATGCGCAGGAGACGTACATGCGCGAACGGGAGCTGCGCGAAACACAAACAGAGCTTGAGCAATGTCGGATGGAGCGAGACGAGTGGGAGCAGAAGGCGCTGCAGGAGCACGTTTCGGCGGATGAGGCTCGGACCGCGCTGGCGAACCTACGGAGAGAGTTGGAGATTGAGCGGACGGCACGGGAGATGACAGCGACAGAGCTAGCAGTGGAGCGAGAGAAGTGCGTCAATCTGCAGTCGGTACTGGAGGATTTCCAGGCAGGTAAGCCGATTAGGCTTTCGGTTCGACTTACATTGAGCGTGAGCAGCAAAGGATCACGACCTGAAACAAGCAACGAAGGAATACGAATCTCAAATAGAGAAGACCACTCAGTCTCTAGCAGAGTACAAGAGTCGTGCATTGAATGCTGAGCTCCAGCTGCAGGAGTCGTCCACAAGCAGTTCACGAACACAAGAGCTTGAAAGGGAGGTCAAGGAGAAACAACTGCTCATTGGCAAGCTCCGGCATGAAGGTGAGGCAGGAGAAATAGCTTCTTCGCTGGCGCATGTCTGACTTATGTGTCAGCTGTAATCATGAACGAGCACCTCATGGAGGCTCTCCGTCGCCTACGGCAGTCCTCAACGGATACGAACGTAGACAGACGATTAGTCACAAACGTGCTGCTCTCCTTCCTCAACACGCCTCGGGGCGATCCAAAACGCTTTGAGATGCTCTCGCTCCTCGCTACCATTCTCTCTTGGACGGACGACGAGCGAGAACGAGCGGGCATCCAACGCAGAGGGCCTGCACCCGCTATGTCAGCAGTAGCGGGGTTCTTCAGCCGTGGCTCTCCAACACGAACGAGGAACCTCGAGCTCGAGAAGACAGACGAGACAGAGGTACGTGCCGTTCTCCGTGCAGTCCACCTCGTCGCTGACCTGACCGTCCGCTTAGTCGTTCTCTCGCCTATGGGTCGAGTTCCTTCTCACGGAAGCAGCCTCCGGAGAGGAGGGGCGTTCCAGCTCGTCACCACCCGCGAAGTCCCCGCGGAACAACTCCCTCCCGAACTCGCCCACACGCAGCACGCCCCGCCAGCCCAGCCTCCTCTCCCCACCCGAGCTCAGAGGCACGAAGCGCCTGCCATCGTTCACGGGCGCAGCGATGGCAAGTAGCCCGAACCTGGTACTGCAGCCACCGCCTCAGGGAAAGGGGAAGGAAAGAGCGGACTTCTGATTATTGGCTTTTCATATTTTACTTGGACATATTTATTTCTAGTGTGTACATTCAACATGTTATAGCGGGTAATTGCATGCTATCCAGGAGCTCTATTAGTAGTGGGTGATCGCGTGCCCATCTCGATACGTGTGCAGAGTCATCCACGATTGCTAGGATTTGTACAGTATCGTCGTGGTGCAGAGCTGTGAGTACGAACACAGACGCCGGCAACCCCGATATCCAATGTCGTCAAATTCATTTTGACATTGAATCGTAGATTGATCTGACTCGACCCGATCCCGTCTGCTACAAGCTGCTACATTACTGTCAGTGTCCCAAGCGTTGCCATTCTATCCTGTACATACAGCAAAGTGCGCTTGGGAAGATCATACGCCAGGTATGTATAGTCACGTAAGGCGAAGGTCTGCTGTACGCACTACTCGAACGTATGTTGACATCATTACCACAGGGACTTCAATTCGATCATAACTTGAAAGTACTTGGCAGCCTGAGTACTGCTCAACCATGTCGGTACAAGCGATCGTATCTTCCGGCCCCAAGGTAATGCGCGTTGCAGTCGTCGGAGTCGGCCTCGTCGGCAGCGAGTTCATCAACCAACTCCTTAACTTCCCAACCCCCAACCCCTTCCGGATCGTTACCTTGACCTCCTCGAAGACTACGCTCCATGCTCCAGACGGGCTGAACATCACCCCGGATAGCTGGAAGCAAAGCCTTGCACAGGCCAGTCTGAGGCCCGACTTTCCCTTCCTGTTACGGGAGCTGGCGGCGCTCGTGAAGCCCGGGGAGCCTGTCGTGCTCGTGGACAACACCTCGTCGAACGCGGTGGCCGCGCTCTACCCGCAATTCTTGCGATCCGGGGTGCATGTCATCACGCCGAATAAGAAGGCGTTCTCTGCGGAACTTTCGCTGTATGAGAGCATCGTATCGGCGAGCCTGGCGAGCGGCGCGAAGTTCCTCAACGAGGCCACCGTCGGTGCGGGTTTACCGATCATCTCTACGCTCAAGGATCTCGTGGCTACCGGTGACCAGGTAGGACTAAACTCAATCTTGACTGTTTATTTTCGGTATCATGATTGTGATGTCTGTACAGGTTCTCAAGATCGAAGGCGTATTCTCGGGAACGATGAGTTACATCTTTAACGAGTTCTCCACCGGGCAAGAGGGCGGCCCGAGCTTCTCATCCGTGGTCAAGGTCGCAAGGGAGAAAGGCTACACGGTAAGTTCTGGGTGCACTGAACGTCAGAACGAGATAGCTGAACGTCTGGACAAGGAACCTCATCCCGCCGATGATCTCAACGGCGCCGATGTTGCGCGCAAACTCACCATCCTTTCCCGCTGCATCCCATCCCTACGATCGTCCTTGCCTGACGGCTACCAGTCTGTCAGCACAAAATCCCTTGTCCCGCAAGAGTTGGAGGGCATCGACACTGGGGACGAATTTATCGCCCGGCTGCCTGAATTCGACGATCACTTCAACAAGATGCGCGCAGACGCAGCGAAGGAAAACCAGGTGCTGCGGTTCGCAGGCGTAATCGACGTCGCGTCCGGAACTATCAAGGCAGACCTCGAAAAGTGAGTTCGCCCCCGGTTCCATTGACCCGCGCGGTTTGTATGCTAATGCTTTGGGCAGATACCCGGTCACACATCCGTTTGCGACGGCCCTGGGGGGATCGGATAACATCGTCATGTTCTACACGGCACGGTACGGGGCAAGGCCTCTGGTTGTGCAGGGTGCTGGTGCTGGCGCGGCGGTCACTGCCATGGGTGTCATGAGCGATCTTCTGAAGCTGGTGTAAAACGCAGCCCGCTATCAGTAAGGCCCGCAAGAGAACGTGGTAGAGAAGAAAAGCAGGGCATTCGAATGGAGCATGACTCATGGACCGGCGCGAGAGCATCCGCTGATGGCACATAAACGCGTATGTTGAAGGTGCCCCGGCGCGCAAATGGCCCTGGCACTTAGAACCGTATCATCAATGTTCGGCGAGTCTGAGATGCACTGCAGTCACTGCAGTGCACACTCCACTCAGCGTGTTCCCGCCAATCCGTTTTTGAGCGATGAAAAGACAATATTACTGCATGATGAGGCTGGATGGTATGGACCCGACCGACAGTAGTAAGTCATCATTGTAGGAGTTGAATGAGCGGCTGTTACTCAGTAAGTATGGCGATTACCGCGATCAGGATCGCATACAAAGAATTTGAATAGATGAGCTCAATTGGAATTCTTGGCGGGCATATGTATGTAAGCCAGGAAAGGCAGACTTCAAAATGGAGTAGCTTCGGTCGCCCGTAAGTCCCATACTAAGTGCCTCCTCCTCCTCCTCCTCCTCCGTTCTAGTCTCCACAGGCAGACGTAGATAATTCCCTTGTCTGACCTCCGTTCGCGACGTCTTCCCCCTGCCTGAGCTGTGCATCGACAGCTCCCAACTGCCAACAACCACTGCGGCACCGCTTTTCGACATTTGCATCTGATCCCTTTCGAGGCTGCTCTTAAGCTGATTCTCCCTTGTCTCCCCCGAAATCGACCATGGCGACCCTCGTCCGTACCCAGACCTCCCCGCCGACCTCCGACGCGACAGAAATTGGGAACTCACGCCAACAGTACTGGGACGACCTGCAAAGGAGCGTTCCGGCACCATTTCCCACCCGCGCTGAGAGAGAACAAGAGGAGCTCTTGCACGAAGTTGCGTCCGAGTCCCTGCAGGACCACAATCTTGGGCACGCTACGCAAGAGGCTAGCCAACAGCGTGCGGCCTCACAAGACCTCAGTTCCGTCGGTTCTGCGACCATCTCGCGGACACAAGAGATGATGCAGGTGACGGGCCCATCGGTACTGGGCGAGGTGCGGCGTGGTGAATCTCTGTCCGTGAGTCCGTCGTTCACGTCCTGCGTGCAGACGCCTGCTGACGCGCCGTAGGAGGATGTGATGCCATCTATCGTCCATGTCCAAAACTCCTGTATAACGACTCTTAACGACCTACTCTCACACACACCGCAATGGCGACCCATCATACCAGACCGCCGACACTCCATGCCACCGTGCTCCCCATCTTCACCCGGCTTCAGCGCGCAACCTTCGTCCTCCTTGTACACACTAGTAACGAATCTCCGGGCCCTCGACGCCGGGCGCGACGCGTCCTCTGGGCCCTCATCTTCGACAGCGAGCGACGATGCTGTGCTGATCCGCGAACTGCAAACACGAGCGAGCCGACTGACAGACTCGGACGTCTTCCCACCCCAGGATGTTGTCCTTGTCCGTAGACTCGCATCCTTGATCGGACACTTTCACCGCCTCGCAGCCTCGCAGCCAACGAGCTCCGCGCCTACATTGACGCGTGTTGCCTCTTGGGGCAGTGGTATGCCCTCCAGCACTCCCGCAGACCCGATCGCAGCCCTGGGCCGCGAATTGAGTGACCTGCAGCTCGCCCGAGACGCTAGTACATCGCCTTCGCGCGTGGTGTCTCCTGTGCAGCTGGTAGAGGGGGAACTCCTGTGGGCGCAGGTGGATGAAGAACTCGAGGAAGTATTGTCACTATGTCGGTCGCGAACAAGTCACCCTCCCGAGCAGCCTCCAGACTACGAAGCTGCGTGGTACGACGTCCAGATGGAAAGCGAAGGCCTTCCGCAGTACGAAGCCGGGTCCTCTGGATCGCGAGAAGATTTACTGAAGGCGGGCACTTCTAAAGCTTCCATCGCAGCAGCGGACACCTCCAGCATATTGGAGCGCGGAAGCGCAGCGGCCCTTAGCGAGAAAATGCGGATGGACCTCGAAGCTGTCACCCTGGCGATTGACCGTCTCTACCTTGTTGCGCCACAGCTGCACAATCAGAGAGTAGAACTGAAAAAGAGCAAGGTCGAGGAGATGGAGAAGGCGAGCCGTGGAGGGGCGTTGGCGCGCAAGGGAAAACAGCGCGAGAGGGAACCCAGCGACGCGCAGGAGCTGGAGAGGATGGTGGATCTCATCGGGAGAGCATCGGAGAGACGAATCACAGACCAGGCGGTCGTTCTGGAGGGCGGACTGCAGCGGAAGCTCGAGCAGGCGAGGCAGCGGGATCTCGAGAACGTACGTGGTGCACTGCTCATTCGGCGACCAAAGTTGACGTCTGCAACAGCGAGACGCGTTCGTCGAGTCACTCCTGCGGCATGCCGGTGCGGGCAGACTACATTCACAAGACGCCGTCCTGACACCACCCGGGAGCACGTCGCGAGTGAAGGTAAAGGACCCAGAAGCGCTCTTGTCGCTCCCCGAGTTCATGCGCGAGGCCATCCCCGAGCCTGTCCAGCTAAAAATGCAGATGGAGAATCCGACTGCGCTGCTCACTCTACCGGAGTTCGTGAAGGAGCCTATCCCGAGGGAGCTGGAGCCGCTGCCCGCTCCCGCGCCTCCGAAGCGGAAGAACTCGCTGGGTAAGAGCGTGCGGAGTAGGAGTATGTCAGCACCGCCGCTGGCGTGGCTGTTGTCTTCGTCAAGGTCGTCTTCGCCTACGACGGGCACTCCGACGACGGAGGCGAAGAAGTCAAGAGCGTCGAGGATGCGGAGGGTCGGGTCGTCAGTGGCGATCATGCCCACGTTGCAGAGTGAGTGCTCCACGCCAGAGTTGTGTTGCACTTGACTGAGGGTTTGCAGCCAATCTGGAGGTGACGTACGTCGCGGAGTACCACGAGACCCTGCAACATGTTCTGGTATTCCTGAACATTGCTGGCATGATGCCTGGTGCGACATTGGAAGCAGAGGTCCTGCCTGCAGCGCAGATTCCGGGGAAGGCGAGCGACGGGTATGAATGTCTCATACTCAAGTGTGGCCTCAGCACGTCGCCGTTCCTTCGCCTCCCCACGCGCGTCTCACCAGGGAAGAAGGAAGTGCAACCTGCAGGCCAACACTTTCAGGTTAAGCTCTCTGTCTTGGGCGGGCCTGCCAATGGGAATGGCCCTTCAACCTCCGTGCATAGCACGCTCATGGATGCGTCGCGCCTTTCCGCGATGCGCGCCACAAGCTACGTCTGTGCGTCGTGCTCCTTGCCCCTCGTCCACGGGTCGCAGGTCCAGGACTACCGCGATCTGCCCTCCGAACACTGGGCGGAGCTCGTCGACGCGTGGATGTGCCATTCGGACCAGAAGCTGCACGAAAATGTCAAGAAGCGCTCGACGCAGGGCTTCTGGCCGACCGAAGGACACGCGCTCGTGGGCGGGAGTTATATCCTGTTCGAGCAGTCGGCGATGTCTGCGCACAATCTGTACGCGGTTGATCCTGTGGATGAGACCAAGGTAAGCACACTCTCCAGACTCCTTTGCGTTGTAGTGTACTGGAAGGACAGAAAGAAGGCCGACGTTGGATTACCTACCAACGGCCGCCGCGCTTGTGCGTTGCCTGACGTCTCATGCGTCGGTCGAAGCCCTTGTAGGTTTTGGCTGTGCGCCGGGTGTCGGGTCAGCGTATGGGTCGGTGGCAGGATACGTCCTTTGGCTGATACAAAACGTCCGAGATGAATGGCGTACAACGCGCCGGTCACTTGCTAAACAACTCTCGTGTGACTGAGGTCTACGTCTCGGGAGCTACACGCGAGGGCATATCCTTACAACTTTCCGCCTGTTCTCTGTCCTCTCTCTTTTGTTTCGTTAACATTGACCAACGAAATATCTTCACAGCATGATGATTGGGAGCGGGTACGTTGTATATGCGGATCCATCGTCGGACGACGCCGTGAACACGAACCCTCTGGAGGGGCACCCTACTTAGTGTACAGGCTAGCAAAATATGCCATACGACCACTCAGCCCAGCCCATGAGTACGTTCCGTCTCCTTGTACTCATCATCGGCTGACATGCTTCCTTTTCAGACCACCTCGGATACCCCTTTCAGCATTTGTCGCGGAAGACATGAACGAGTTTGTGCATGCCCACGCGACGTACCGCTTCGTGATCCTGGACGAGGAAGAGGAGCGACAGCGCTTGTTGATCTGGCTCTTCAAGCCGAGCATGCGCTTGGCGTACACTACACCGACGGAGTACGTCATGCCCAAGAGCGCGTCGATCCACGCGGCGAAGGTTCTGTTTAAGATTCTCGGGCCCTCTGCGGTGTACACTGACATTCAGTCGTACGTCGTCCCTCTGACTTTTTGAGTTGTGATTTGGGCTGACAAGGGCGTGATGTGCAGTGTTTTGAACAAGTACCCGGGCTTTCCGCAGGCGGAGCACCTCTACTACCCGCGCGACATCTGTAGACGGCTCGCGGGGATGCTCAGGGAGAGCAACACCGCTTACCCAGAAGGCATGCGCACTATGACTGGACTGGATGTCGGCTGGTTGCAGCGTGCATAGACGCTAGACGTGATACCCTTCGAGACACTTCGCTGTGCTTGCACTACACTCTACATGTCGTAGGAATATTGTAGATATGTAGATCATGTTCGTTGTTGTGATTTACGTCGGATTTGTGCTGAAACATCTAGACATGTTCGTCTGTACTGCTGTGCCTCTGTTGACATGCCTTTCGACTCAGATCTGTTGACTGCGCTTGGATACCCAGTTCCACGTTCATGTAAGTCAAAACATCGCAACGTCTGATAGCTGAACTTGGCGAGTCAACCTCGTTACGCCTACTCAACACGCGGACGTCCATGTATCAGGCAAATAGAAAAAATAAGATAGGATGCAGTACAGTACAGTACAGAGAATGATACAACAATGGGACCCTGAGAGACGTCTAAACCTCCTGGCTGTCCTTCTTGCCTTTTGTTGTCTTCGTAGGCAAGAGCTGTTGACAACAGGTGAGTTTGGCCTTTGCTATTATTCTTTGAAGACTAACCTCAGGGTTGATGTGTGGTACGACACCACCTTGCGAGATGATCACGTCACCGAGAAGTTTGTGCAGTCTACGACGTTGTCAGGAAAGATAGTGCAACTGAAGCGCAAGTACTCACTCCTCGTCGTTCCGGATGGCGAGTTGAAGGTGTCGAGGGATTATACGTTGCTTCTTGTTGTCACGAGCCGCGTTACCCGCAAGCTCGAGAATCTCAGCTGCAAGGTACTCAAGGACGGCGGCGAGGTATACTGAAGCCCAAGTTAGCTAGAAATTACAAGTCCGAAAGCAATTTTGCTTACCAGGCGCGCCAGCTCCTACTCGCTGCGCGTAGTTTCCCCGCTTGAGAAGACGGTGCACACGACCGACCGGGAACTGGAGACCGGCCTTCGCAGAGCGCGACTGGGTCTTGCCAGTGGGCTCGCCGGAAGCCTTGCCGGACTTGGACTTGCCGCTCGTCTTGCCAGACATTGTAGTAATCGGTGAGGTTGGTTGGTGGAAGAGGTGGAGGCTGAGCGACGAGAGGGCTTGAGAGGTGCGAGTTGCGGAGATGGGGACAGGTGAAACGAGGGCGCCCAGTATTTATACTGGGAGGCGCCCGCAGCCACAGACGCGGCGCGCGTCAGCACGTGATGGTTGTTGAACGGCGTTCAACAAAATAAGGTTCAGCGCGTCGACGCGTCTGACCAAACAAGGCCAACGCGTCCGTATAAATACCCCGCGCCTCCCCACCTGCATCCCATATCTCTCGCTATCACCACCACTCGCCCTCTTCGCACTACCTCCCTCACCACACACACGCTCAATCGCAATGGCCCCTAAGCCCGCTTCCACCGCCGGCAAGGCTCCCGCCTCCACCGCCTCCAAGGCACCTGCTAAGTCTGAGGGCGCGAAGTCGGCAAAGAAGAGCACTAAGCCCGCCGCCTCTGGTGATGAGACCAAGAAGAAGCGGAGAAAGACTCGCAAGGAGACGTACTCTTCCTACATCTACAAGGGTAAGTTTCACGCGTCAGAACGTGGTGACTCTTGCTCACGAAGATACAGTCCTCAAGCAGGTCCACCCTGACACGGGTATCTCCAACAAGGCGATGGCCATCCTTAACTCCTTTGTCAACGATATCTTCGAGCGCATTGCCACTGAGGCTTCCAGTGAGTTGACTCAATCAGATTGATAGGACTGTTCTGACCTAAGTTCCAGAGCTCGCATCCTACTCCAAGAAGTCGACGATCTCCTCGCGTGAGATCCAGACTGCTGTCCGCCTCATCCTCCCCGGTGAACTCGCCAAACATGCTATCTCAGAGGGCACGAAGTCAGTAACGAAAGTGAGTTGATCGCTGTTGAGCCTCTGAAGCACATCGCTGACAATCGAACTTGTAGTTCTCGAGCGCAGGAGCGAAGTAGATTGTCTCGTCTCTCGGGTTGCTGTTGTATTGTAGTCTTGTACTTTCTATTTATCTCTACTTCTATCGCATAATGTCTCCCGAACCGCACGCGTGTGAGCAATCATCAGGGCATCTTGCAATTGAGTGGTTAGGCAAAGCAAGTCCTACTGGCGCCGAGGAAGCCACGCAGGGTTGTGGGCATTCAGTGATATCGGTGAGCCGCTTTCCTCTACGGGTGTATGTGATAGCTTCGCAGCATGACTGATAGCGGTGATCCTCTCAGGTTGCTTGTCATTAGCTGTTGCGTGGTCTCCCGAGTGGCGAAGATGGGAAACTGCGAGGAGCTGCAACTCCTCTGGCCATGGTAGACTCCGAGAAGGTAAAGGTCTGCCTTCGCCGAATGCTACCGCCGGATTGAAACGGCCCAGAGAGCGGATCCACTGGCCAACGGCAGCGAGGGAGACGCGAACCTCCCACGAGCCTCCCTCCTATTGTGCGCGAGACTAAACGGGCATTGTGTGAACGAGATGAGCAGGACTTACTGTGATGGTCTTGCAGAGCGCCGCGTTAATCCCGAAGGCAAGGAGGAATCCAGCGGCGTGGTCCAGAGCTTGCATGGGGAGAGGGCGAGGTGCTGGTCCCGCGCCGTCCGCGGAGAACGTGGCATGAGCCTCCCCTTCCGCGACGTTGAACCCGGAGGCGGTCTGCACTAGTGAGTCAAACTGTGTACGTCGGCCAATGCAGGTACCGTGTCAGTCGTATGCTGTGTGTTCTCGCGTGTCTGTACTCACTCCACGACGGTCCTTCCAAGGTCCTTCCCACCCATACGCCGTCAGGCTCGCGTACACGATCCCAGGTCGCGCTGTAGCGACGTCCTCAGGCCCGAAACCCTTGTTCTGCAGCCCGCCCGGGCGGTATGCCTGCAAGAACACGTCGGCGTCCTTGACAAGATCGCTAAGTATCGCGCGATCTGTCTGTGTGGTGAGGTCGAGCTGCGTTGCGCGCTTCCCGCGAGATGTATCCGTATCGAGGAGAGGCAACGCAGGGAGCTTCGTGGAGGTGATAAGAAGGACATCCGCCCCGTGCGCTGCCAAGACTCAATCAGAGCTTGGCCCATGCACAGTGGGTCAGCTCTTACCAGCAAGCGTTCTCCCGCACACGGGCCCTGCAAGGACCCTCGTAAAGTCCAGCACGCGGATCCCTTCCAGGGGTCGGGCGTAATCTCCTCTGACCTCACGCCGAGGCGCGTCGCCGATCTTGACGAGCTGCACGGGTGGCGCGCCCGCGAGTGTGCGGCCTTGCGGATGCCTGTCCCACTCATCGAACGAGCGCAGCGCGGTCGCGACCATCTTGCGCGCGGACGCCTCCGTTTCGAAGTCGACGGCGCTCCACTGGAGAAGCGCGGCGGCGACGGCGTCGTGCGTCGGCGCGCATCTGAGGATGTCGAGTATGCCTTGGCGGTGGCTATTTGGTGCGCGTCAGTGTGTCAGGGGTAATCGGTGGATGAAGGGGTGCGCACTGGGGGAAATTGGTGTGCAGCCGGACGTAGCTGTCGTCTTTCGTCTTGTAGAGCCCGGCCAGCGGATCGAAGAGAGTGCCAGACGGGAGCGAGTCGTTGATCGTGTACCAGGCCTCGCTCTCTGTAACAGGCTCAGCGGTCGCCCAAACAGGATAGGCGAAGGCTGGTATCACTGACTGAACTCTAGGACCGCATGTCGAGCATCTACGGATACTTCTTGGTCGACGCCTGTCCTCAGCTTATGGAAGTGGGCCGCTCCAAGCCCGGATAGGCCTATCACAGTCTATTGGCCCCAGTCAGAATTTGAGCCAGTTCAATCAATGTATAATCGAAGCGTACCTGCGCCGCAGTCCCAAGCTTGAAGGATGAATTGACTGCGGGATCGGGGTTCCGACTCAACCTCAAAGAAGACAGAGCCTGGGCGGGCAAGCCATTCCCTTCCCAGATCGACCGCGCGGGCGCGAGTGGGTCGTCCATGCTCGTGTGCAATGCACGGAATGTCTGTGGTCGCGTCCCTGCTGCCGCCAGACCTCATAAATAGCATCAGTAGCTTGCCAGTGGCCTATCGAAGCCCGACGTCTGTGTACGGTCGGCAATAGGCGATCTACGTACTGATGCTACCCAGGTCAGCTGTCGGGTCACGGAAGACGCGATGGCGTAAGGAGATTTGCAACGGACGAGCTCTGTACATGAACCAGCTGAGCAAACGCCGGACGGAGACTGCTCGGCTTGAGCAAGGAGACACGGTATCGTGACCGCGACAGGACTCAGACTGTTTGTTCACAAGAGCGGTAAGGGTTAAACGTTAAGTAGTACACCAGGGTAGTTCAGCGGAGGTGAAGCCACGAGAGGGAAGTACAACTTGAAAACAGTGTCGTGAAATTTGAGCGATATAATATTAAGACCGCTTCGCGGCATGTAGATGAGTCAGAGCGCGAGATGCTTGGTTTGATTTGACCCTGGGCCTGAGTATGCCTCTCCGGGTCTCCGACTCGACCCGGTCAGGCCCAACCTATCGCATCTCGTACGACTGCTTAAAAGGTAACGCAGTACAGAATACATATCACCTGCAGTGTCGCAGATTATGACGGGGGACGTCGGGCATTTACTCAGGCTCGGACATGGGGGTCTCTGTAGTACCACTAATCATCGTTCAAGTTGCTATTGGTTCTTATGGTAAGTGTTACTATGCCATGCAATGGAAATGAGGCACATCGGGGGATACAAACATTCATTGCCCATGACCGTGGAGATGGTGCGTTGCTGCTATGTTGATGCAGATCATGCATCCAGAGGCAAGATGCTCGGGATTGGCCCAACCGGAACGATCTGCTTCGGGTTGTACTACAGACATGCACTCAGCAAACGATCATATATCGTATCCACGCCCATACGCACAGATTTCTGCCAGTGGTACCCAGTCTTGATGTGATCGAAGTTGCAGGTGTCCTTGAACGCGGGGATGTTCCAGTACAACTTCCGCAGCCAGAGGTGGATCGCGGGGTAGCCGTGACGGATGGTGCGGAAGTTGCACTTGAAGTGGCTGTAGTACGCGACGTCGAAGCGGATCTGTATAGGGACCATGAATATACTGTATGCGGGAATGAAAAGCATAACGAACGATTGTCACGAAGAGTCGGAGGTCAGCCTCGGTCAGCTGATTGCCAATCAGGTAGTCCTTGCCCTCGAGCAGCTTCTCGAGACGATCAAGCGATTCGAAGAGAGGGTAGACGGCCTTCTCATATGCGGACTGGGATGCTGCAAAGCCGGCCTTGTATACGCCATCTGGACATTTGTGAGTCGTTGTGCAGAGAATAGAAGAGTACAGAGGTGCACGTACTGTTCACAGTGTCGTACACCCAAGCATTGAGCTCGTCGATTTCTCCCCTCAGGTGTTCAGGGTAGAAGTCGAGCTTCGCCTTCTCCTGGGGCAACAGGTGATTGAACGAGCTGTTGAACATCCGGATGATCTCGGAGCTCTCGTTATTCACGATCGTGCTATGCTTCTTGTCCCAGAGTATGGGTACCGTAAAGCGGCCCTCGTAGTTCGGCGCGACGCGGAGATAGAGATCCTTCACGTGGTCGACGCCGAACAGGGGATCGATGTCCGCTCCGGGGAACGGGTCGATGTTCGCGAAGGGCCAGCCGTGCTCGTCCATGCGAGGTGAAACGACAGTGACGTCGATGAACTCCTCGAGACCTTTGAGTTGACGCATGATCAAGGTACGTGTTGCCCAGGCTGGTACCCAACTCAATACGGATGACTTCACAGATAGCAGAGTGTGGTACTCACGGCAACCGTACGAGACGTAGAGGTGGTATCGACCTATATGAGCATGAGCATGGTCAGACTATAAACGGCCGGCAATAGTCCCAGAGGTATCCACCTTTCTCTGGCTCGAAATGACCGCCTTTTGCAACCCAGTCTCTGAACTGAGATACATGGCGATTGAAGGACCCATCCGCCTCAGACTTCAGCTTGGTGAGGTCGCTGAGGTGAGTTGTGTCTCTGGTAGCCATTGTTCCTGTAGTGACGGTGTCCGTCTAAGTATGAACGATGGAGTGAGGTGTTGTTGTGAACCCAGGAGCTGGGAGGCGGGCACAACAGCAACAGGATTCGAGCGTCATATATATACCAAGGCTGCATACACGTCAAAGCCAACACGACTCAGAGGTCATTGAGTGAGGTCAGCCTAGGATTACAAAGTCAACGCGTCAAACTCTGAGAGGGCGTCATGGAGAAGGTGGATGTCGAACACTCTGACTGATCTGTGATGACTAAATAGAGAGAGCGTTAGTATCATGTCCTGCCTGTAACTTACTGTACACTCTCGCAATGAGGTGCTCATTGTGTTCGAAGACAGGACCCACGGAGAGCCTGACGGTCTTCGTGGTGAAATTGAGCGAACCTCGTGAGTCTGACTACGCGCGCGCCACGATGCCTATTGGATAAACCTGTCAGTCATGGTTCATGAAGGACACGTCGAAGTCAAGGATCAGGATGTGCTGCACCTCAATTGTCGTCGCGGCCCAGTCGGACCAGCGTCGGCGACGTCGAATATTGACGTTGGACGTCGTTGAGTAGCGGCATGGACGATGATGGGCAGAAGTCGCGAGATGATCCAGTTCAATTCGGCTCCAGCAGGTGAACACAATGGTGGGTGTCCACGTGGCGCTGGTACTGCATGCGTGCAGACGCGCTGTACCTGTACCTGCTCTTCCCCACTCGACTCCTACACTCTTCGCGCCTTCAGCGCACCCACGCACAACCCCTATACCCCTCTGTCGACTGTGCACGTCTAGCTCGACCTGCTACCCATCTGGAACGGAACCAAGTCATCTACGAGTCATTCCGATACCTCTTCTTTCCAGCAGTTATCCCGTACGACCACACATACGAAAACGCGTCCAACATGGCACCACGGAACCGAAAAGCGGAGAACGGCGAGTCGTCACTGTCTGCCGGAACGAGCACAAAGGCGTCGGAGACATCAGAGTCAAGCACGGATGGCGTCCTCGCGAGTGCACTGCTGCCACCAACCGAGGGACGCGAGGTAGTGAAAGTAAACAACGCGAGCGTGACAGAGATGAAGCACGCATGCGATGACGCGCTGAAGCGAGTGAGTCTTTTTCTTTCTATGACGCCCGAGCCTGCAGTCGGTCACCGTCCGCGTTGTGGGCCCGGTCGCGTGCGTGAAGACTGCTAAACTCTGTCTCTGCATAGTTCCTCTCACGACCTGAACTTTTCAACCAAATCTACACGCATACGGACGTCCGGCTAGGCCTCGGCTGGGCAAGTGTCTTCGTCGCGCTTGGGACGGGTCTGTACGGCTGGAAGGTCGACTTCGAAAAAAGCAAACCTGCAGTATGGGCAGGCGTTATCCTGTGCGTCATTTCATTAATCATACGCGTCTACCGGTACTAATATACGCGGACTGCTCTCTCTGCGTGCCGCACCTTCAGTTATGTCCTATTAACAACTATCCAAACATTGTATGCCTACTTTGTCGAGGGCGATATTGTCTTCGTCGGCAAGCGCAAGACATTTGACAAGCGCGTGCGTGTCTCAGACATGGGTCGACTTTTCGAGCTCAGAATACTGACGCCTTCCTCTCAGATTGTCACAGAGCGAATAACGCTCACCTCCACCTCCACGCCGTCCAAACCTTCCTCCCCTCCCGCTTACTCCCTCGGCCTCACCTACATGCGCTCGACGTCCGGTGGCAAGTCGCTGCTCGGCCGGGGGCGCGCCAAGGGTGATCGGGGCTATAACACGTTCTTCGACGAGAAGGGCGTCATGGACCAGGAGGCCTTCGAGCGGTGGGTCGGCGAGATGGTTGGGCGGGTGATGGTGGGCAAGAACGAGTGATTCAATCTGGGTAACGCGTCTGCGGCTTGTAGGCGTCTCGAGCGTATCTGCACACGGATGGGTGTATGTGTATGGGCTACTTATTGTCCGGGATATTGGCACGGTAGGTAGTGACTATGTTATGTAATGCAAGCTCATCAAAGTCTCCTTGGAGGCAGACCGGTCTGGTGGGCGATGTGCGATACTTTCGGTGAGCGAGTCAGGTCTGCCATTTTACGCTGAGGCTTCTCCCTTAGTAAGGATCGCTCGTGGTGGCTGGACGAGGGTTCGTACATTACACTACCACAGGTCCACAGCGTGCTATGACTCGACTAGCGTGTTGACGTTTCCGCTCTCCGGGCCTATGGTGTCCTGCGTGGCGGCGACTCGAGCGCACTGTCACCAGCTACGCCGAATCCCAGATAATAGGCGTCCGAATAGTCAGTAACGGTGCGTCTAGAGGCTTCACGAAGACATCAGCGACATCGCGTCAGTCGCTCATGGAGTGCGACGGCGTACCGTCCTGCGGCTCTGGGACCCCGAATTGCAGGTGTCCGCCCGTCCTGCGGAGGCGCGTGGTGGTCAGTCCTACCGGAATACATTCTGTGGCGTGTGCTCAGGCAGAGTGGACATACCCAGGGAATCTCCAGTGGCCGTTCGTGAGCTGGTTCGTCAAGTCCCTGTCATAGGATGCGATGTGAGTATGCAACTCCGTTCTAGTGTTAAGCCTGACGCACTGCTCTGGTATGGGAGCGGCAAACCCTTGGTTCGCGACCGCTAGCATACAAGTAACGACGGCGAGTATCTGTGGGAAGAACATAGCGACGGAAATCGTGCTTCTGACCGACAGAAGGGCTGTAATACGGAAGGCTGCATCGTGTTAACCACCACTCAAGAGGAGAAGACGCGTGCGAGGTCCACTTACTGCTCTACACCGAAGATGAGTGGGAGAAGGCCGCCTGGGCGAAATAGTAGGAACCAGACCCATCTGCCTGTGCGGTTATATAGCCTGTACACCGCTGGTGATCGGTGTCGGGACGATGGCTATATGAGCCTGAGAGTGTTCATTCGTCAACAGTTGTTCAACAAGGTGCTTGACAGATGTGTCTCGTGTCCTGTTGATCAACTTTGCATTTTGCAATGCGAAGTTCAGCGGCACGTTGTGGCGTACTCGTCTCGACTGGCCTATTGAATATTCGAAGTCGTCTGGCGAGTTGTGTTTAGCAGAGCATGATTGATGCTGGGGTTTGTGGAGTTCGCCTTTGACGCTAGGTGTTGCCGAGGTGAGACCAAGAATGACCCTGTTGGTCCTCTCAGGGTCCGGGACGGTCTGATACTTGAAGTTGATGCTGTCGTGGGGACTCGGAACGCGTTACAATGCATCGAAAGTTGGATGGTACCACGATAGTTCGATGGGGCACTGCCCCAACAAGGCGGCGTGCTGCTTATCCTAAGCTACGTACTTATGTAGTATGGCATCACTTTCAAGTTGTCGTCCTAGTCAAGTCTAACCATCGTGCTCATCGTGGCCGCCGGTCGTTGTACGTAATCGCCGACGGGGGAGTCGGTACATAGAGCAGTGCTCCTCCTCCGGACTTGTACGCGTCGTGCGTCGCGCGTCACACTCGCCAGAGCGGAGTCCTGCAATGCAGATGGGACATTTACGTTAAAAGCTTGATTATCGCCATCCCCTCCGGACCGTTGAAAAAGTCTTCAGTCGAGACCCTGCTTAGGGAGGACTACGCGAACGGTACGGTGGCCCTTGGCAGACGGTCCAACTTCAGGTATTCAATGCTAAGGATTGTTCATATCGTTCTACTTTCCGAGCATGTCCGAGTGACGATCTGCATACAGATAGGCGCATTATGCCTCGCAAGCCCGGCATATGACTCAGCACGGTGAGCGTTGCGTGATGATGATATACTAGTTCACGTTCCCTCAGGCTCGTTGCATGGCCCACAGTCCAGCTGAGGGAAGCCATGTTATGTAGACTGATTTCGCTGACCGATCCACTCTGGTCGGAATGACGCTCGAGAATTAGACATTCCAGCTTGAACTTCCTATCCTAGGTACGTGTCACGACTCTGTTATGCCTGGACGGACGTGCTGACAGCGCTGCTCTCAGAACGTGTGAGGACTCGCAATGACGGTACTTCAAGCGCCTCGTCGCCAGCCACGCCGAATTGCAAGACCGGAGTCGCTGATGGGTGTGCACTGGTATTGCTGATGTGGTTCAGAACTGCACGAGTAGAGCATGTCAGCAACGTGTTAGTATCATCCAGCATGTGCCCCCAGACAGAATACAGGTACCCACCTACGTTCTCCGAGGCGTCGATGACCGGCCCGAAGTGATAGATCGGGTCTCCGACCGTCCTACCGGCATCGTGAACGTCAATTTGGGTGAGAGGCAATATATTCTGCCGAAAACAGGACTTACCCTGGACCCTGCCTGTGAAGAGCATCGATGTCGACACGACGACTGCTGTCGAAGGAAGCGACATTAGTTGGTGGTGTTACAGCTGAGCAACTAATGTCGCGTACGCGTCAGGTAGGGGAGCCGCAAAGCCTAGCGTCGCGGCGGCGATGACAGCGATGGATTTCACGAACAGCATGGTGGAGTAGTGGTGCGCGCGTCACAAGAAAGGAGAGTTGTACAAAGAGAGGCTGGATAACAATTGTCGTCGTGAGCCTCATCTAGAATGGAAACATGCTAGGGCTTACTGCTCTGCACCAGAATCGAACGATGAATGTCGGCCGGGCGAACTGAGGCCCCTCCTGCCTAATTGTCCCGTTTACATAGTACTACGCCACGGTCCAGATGTTGCGATCTTGGAGGCAGCGCAACCTTTCCGAAATATGGTACAGCCTCTGACATATTGGACGTCGCGCTGTTCATCTCTTCAAGTTGCTGACCGTCGCAGCTACCAGGACAGTTCGAATCTCCCAATCGCATCACGTCATACTACAACCGGTAACTTGTGGCAGTAGCCCTTTACCTGATGCTGCGGACTTGCCCTCGCATGTAGACCGCAGCGGTCCAGTTGACGGTGTGGAGGAGAAATCCGGCCGAGGTCTAGATCGACGCGTAGCGTCACGGTTTTACTACTATTTTCTCTCTTGGCAGTGTTAGCTTATATCATTTCGCATGCAGACGTTACCTACGATACAAACATCAATCTACTGTACCATCGACTCTACCGGCGCGCTCGCGAGGAACCGGAAGGCGGAGGCGGAGGACCGACCATAGGGCGAAGGCGGGCGACATCGAGCAGAGTGCCGCACCTGTCGGGGGCCCAGGTCGCGAACGTTAATAGCACCGCTCCGCCGCTGTCAGCCGCGCGCCGAGACCATGGTCCGCCGTCCGAAGCCGGAAGGGGAACCAACGGACGTCGTCACCCGGGCGGGTGTCCCATACGTTACTTTCCTTATTCGGTAATATTCCTTCCCGATCTGTCAACGATCGCTTGCCTGTCACTCATCACCTTTCCTTTCGAACTTACCTCATCTCCCCTTGCGTCATCCTTTGCTCCTTAGTTCCTTCTCGCTCTTGTCGCGCTGCGTGTACTTATAGAGGGCCGCGTCGCCCGTTCTCGCCAGTGAATCGTACCCCCCAGCTTCTCCCCTCTCGCTCACGCGCACTTCAAGGTTCGGCACGGACGAGCGACTCGACGTCGCGCGTGCACCTCAAGTCGAGTTAGTCGAGTGGTCAAGAAGATTAGATAAGTATTCGTTTGTATCCGCGCGGCCACACTACTTTACACAGAACATCGCCCGCCGTCCATCTCCAGCCCGAACACCCATTCGCTCGACTCTACTGAACACCTGCACCCGGAGACGAGTTGTGTGTGTTGGTCGTCGACGCGCACGTTTTCTCTCCCACAAGTGGTGACCACCGCAGGGGGTTTCATTGCTCACAGGTACGTGTGCAGAGTCCCGGGTGCGCTAATCGTTCTTCTTCAGGACGGCGCCCAAGAATATACCGAAAAGCGCGACTAGCGCGCTGCGACCTAACGCAGGTGAACCGTCTCGAGGACGTCCCGAACTCCGTCGCACAACCCGAACCGCGACCGACGTATCGCTAGAACGCGCTGCGTCTCGAAAAGGCAAGCAAGCCCAGAAGAACATCAAAATCGACGAAGCCGTCGATCAAGATTTAGATATCTCGATCCTCCCAACGTCCTCCGAAGACGTTCTCACCCCGCTAAGCACCTTCTCTTTCACCTCCTTATCGTCATTCCCCTCGGGTTCAATTACTCCTACAACCCCTAAGACGCCGTTTACCCCAGTATCTACACCAGCGCTCACCTCTCCATCCTCGTTCATATTCCCCGCGCAGAACCATATTGACAACGTACCGCCAGACATGACAGCCCCTGGAGCAGCACCATCACAGGCGGGATCGTCGACAGCGCTAGTGGCGTCGGCACCGTCTCGCATCGCAATGCCGCCACCTACCTCAAAGTATTCGCCTCGGTTCGACGGGAAGCGTCTCCAAAGCTTCCTCAACGTTTACGAAAACCTCGCAAACGCGGCGATGCTCACCGACTCCGAGAAGTGCCGGATGGTACTCGAGTACTGCACGGAGGAGGTGAGTTTCATGCTCTCCTGCATGAGTGAGTTCGCAGGCAGCGATTGGGAGGCGGCGAAGACACAGATGCTCTTCTGCTTCGGCGAAGGCACGGTTAAGGACAAGGGGTCAGCTGACAAGCTTAGGGCGTACATTAAGAAGTACAGGAAGACGCGCAAGATCCGAAATTTGGAAGGGTACTACAAGTACCTTCACGGATTCCTCAAGTGCGCAGGGAACCAGATCGAACTCGGCGGGATCAATTCAGCTGAGCACGATTATCTGTTCTTCAAAGGACTAAATTCGCGTGTTAGGAAGGCGATAGTGCCAAAGCTCGAGAAGCAGATGGGGAAGACTCCCACGCACAAGGAGCCGGCATCGTTCAAACTGTGCGCGGAGGAAGTCCGCAAGTACTTCGCTGAAAGTGACTACCGTAGGGACGCTGATTCATCCAGTTCCGAGTCAGAAGGTAGCGAGTCAGACTCAGAAGAAGAGTCGGACAGCGACTCTGACTCATCGGACAGCGACAGTGAAGACGACAAGAAGAGAAAGAAGAAGAAGAAGAAGACGGATAAGAAGGCAGACAAGAAGAAGAGCAAGAAGAAGGGTAAGCGAACGAAGGACAAGGACGACGTGGACGACCTCGTCGACCGACTCGATAAGCTACTCGCCGCACGGCTCGTACCGGCTTCGACGAACTCGGCGACACAAGCGACGGCGTGCGCGGCTCATCAGGGGACGCTAACGCCGCAAGCGACTACATGCGCGGGCCACCAAGGGCAGCCTGCGCGGATATGCTACATGTGTGCTAAAGAAGAGGGTAAGGACTTGGACCATCGCATCGGCATGGGACACTGCGGCTTCACAAAGAAGTGGATCGCAGACGGTACGATCGTGTATAGCCCGCAGGGCAGGCTAACGTACGCGGACGGTTCGGATTTGCCGAACGGACGAGGTGTTGCCGGCGGCATGTCCACACTAATCCAGCAGCGGCTCGATCAGATCAAAGGGAAGGCTCGCGACGCGCCGCCGCACATGTCGTGTAGCGCGATCGAGGTGATGCGCGACGACCAGCCAGTGCTAAGCGGTAACGTGTATGCGGTATCCTCCGAAGACGTTTACTCTTTCCCGGTCACTAGGTCGCAAGGGAAAACCCAAGCCCAAGATCTGCCAGCTACGCCGCCAGCTGCGCTCAAGAAAGTCCGGTTCGACTTCAAGCACTCGGCCGCGGACGAGCAAGTAGGCGGGTCGACTCATAAGTCACCCCCTCCCGTGCAAGTTCGGCAGCCGGCTGAGCCTACTCAGTTCACGAAGGACCGGGCGAAGGTAGCCGAATCCTCGACGCCCGAACCGCCAAAGATCAACACGGAGCAGGGATGGCGAGAACGCGAAGCGCAGAAGAAGCAAGACCGGCGGGAAACTACAGGTGATGCCGCTGGTCGCACGCGAACTGACCGAGCTAGCGTTCGTTTCACATCGGACATTCAGGACATGGTATCGGTTGACCAGGTCATGGATAAGACTCTGAACACGATGATGTCCATTCCGCTCAAGACGCTAATTGCTATGTCACCAGAAATGCAGAAACGGTTTGCAGCCATAACAAAGACGCGGCGCGAAGTCTACGCGACCATAGCCGAAGTAAGAGAGCTCGTGGACGAAGCTGAAGAAGGCGCAGGAACATCGGAAAACCCGCGTGGCGCTGCGTCGGTTACGGTACGCGACGAAGAACACCTCGAGTCGATCATCGACAGCTACGCCGCAGCAATCGCGCTTGGCAGCCGTCGACGATTCGTGGCAATGGCATGCGGGCTCGTCCAGGGCAAGTTTGGTGACGAACCGGTAACGTACCTCATCGACTCTGGTTCGGAATTGAACCTGATCGCTCAGCGCGTGTACGAGCGAGCTGGAGTAGACATTGACACAGATGGGTCGCGATGGACGTTGAGGGGCATTCATGGAGCACCGGTGGCGCTGGTGGGATGCTGCCGAGACGCGTCGGTCGTGATCAATGGGGAGCGGTTTGACCACCACTTCTTCGTGCATCCGGGGGAGATGGGGAGGCACGATGGGATCCTCGGCCAACCTTGGCTGCAGTGGTTTTCGGCACGACTCGAGTACGCGCGTAACGGGGGGCAGGAGCTGGTCGTGTTCCCTAGCGGAGACCCAGCTAGCGATCCGATGCGCGTCCGGATAGTAGGGATGGCCGATCGCCGCAACGTGGACAAGCTAGTCCAGTCGGCAGAGGTCGCAACGGATTTTTAGGAGGGGACGTGTTATCCGAGCCGGCCCCGTCGTTCACGGGGCAAGCGTCCCTAGAATTACCACGGCTCGGGAGGTCACTGCAGGCTCTGGCCGGTGACCGCAGATTTTTGGACTCAGACAATGTGCACGTGTTGACGCAGTTGAACCCTCCTCATACGTACGATGGCCTGCTTCGTTCCGTTTCTTTTTCCTCACCTGATTGTATTCGGCCCGTTCGCTCACCATGGACAGATCGGGCATTGGGGCAGTACGAGGCATCCTCAAGCGCAGCGCGGCGATACAAACCGGTAGCACGCAAGGTAAGGCCGGTTCCGACGTACATGCCTAACCCATCCGCGCAGAAGTTGGTTCCAATCGAGGTACCGACCCCGCCACCGCTCCCAACGCATCCAGCACCACGAACGCAGTTTGTGCCCACGCAGCGACTGACTCAAGAGCGCCTTGAAGCGATTCTGGAGACGGTCCCCGAGGGATTCCTGACGAGCGCGGAACTTGACCTCATGGTGCACGTCCTAGGTGTCAATCAGACCGCACTCGCATGGACAGAAGAAGAACGCGGTACGTTCTCGCCTACCTATTTCCCTGACTACGAGATCCCTGTTATAGAGCACGTACCATGGATGCGACCGCCGATCAAGGTACCGAAGGCTCTTGAGGACAAGGTGCGTATAGTCGTACAGGATCAAATTGACGCAGGGAACTACGAGTATTCGACCGCGTCATATCGAGCAGCCTCATTCCCAGTCCTGAAGAAGAATGGCGAGCCCAGGATGGTCATCAACCTCGAAGATCTCAACGCGGTAACGATCCGCGACTCGGCGCTGCCTCCACGCGCGGACGAATTCGCCGAAAGCTTTGTCGGCCATCAGGTATACGCAATACTCGATCTATTCTCCGGCTATAACGGCATCCGGCTGCACGAAGGATCGCGCGACCTCACAACGTTCCATTCCGTATGCGGCGCGCTCCGAAATGCCACAATGCCGCAAGGCTTCACGAACGCCATGCAGTGTTTCATGCGCTGGATCCTGCACGTACTAGGGCCTATGTATCCCGTTCTCGCTGACGCGTTTGTAGACGATAATGGGGTGAAAGGACCGACATCGAGGTATAACGACGAGCCGATCGAAGGCAACCAGGATATCCGCCGGTTCGTATATGAGTTTGCGACCACGCTGAACATGCTGTTTCACAGATTCCGTGAGGCAGGCGTGACGGCTTCGGGGGCGAAGCTAATCCTTGCCACCCCGAGGGTACAGATCGTCGGGTCAATTGTATCAGCAGAAGGCTGGGAACCCGAGCATGGCCTCGTCAACAAGGTAATCAAGTGGCCATATTGCGAAACAGTCAGCGAGGTCCGCGGGTTTCTAGGCACTGCAGGCGTTGGACGTCGATGGATCAAGAACTTCTCGCTAATAGCTAAGCCCCTGTCCGCTCTCTGTCGTACCACTGACGCGCCGTTTGTATTCGGGGAAACAGAGCGACGCGCAATGGACGAGCTCAAAGCACTGATCACACGAGCACCAGTTCTCAGGAAAGTCGACTACCAACTCGCGGCGACGATCGTTCGTGCTCCACGCGCATCCGATCACGGGCTCGTTGTCCTCGCGGTTGACTCATCATTACACGGGGCAGGGTGGGTCATTTATCAATACAACGAGACTGACAAACACCCAGCTATATTCGGGTCATGCACGTTCAACGCGACCGAATCGAGGTACTCACAGCCCAAAGCGGAACTGTACGGCGTGTTTCGCGCAATCAAGGAGTGCCGACACCGGGTTTGGGGCGTCCATTTCAGGCTCGACGTTGACGCAAGCTACCTGAAACAGATGATCCACGAACCGGACCTACCTAATGCGCCAATGACGCGATGGGTAACGTACATCCAGCTATTCGACTTTGAGCTTAACCACGTGCCCGCAGCGAAGCATAAGGCCGAGGACGGACTATCAAGAAGACCGCCCGCAGACGACGACTCAAGCGAATCCGACGGAGAAGACGAGCTCAGCCGACATATAGGGTCGACCACTGGCCTGCCAGGATTCCTCAACGCATTCACCCTAGCAATGGCGGACCGACATCGCTCCCAGCTTGGACCGTTCGGCATCTCGTACGAAGCATCGTCAAGCAACGGCGTCACCGTGCAAGAGATCTCATCCATGGGTGAGTTCGAGTCGCATAAAGCTGACCGTATCGCAGAATGGGCGCGTCTCATCGGGGGAGCGGTGCTGGCGAGGAATATACGACCACACAGCGCGAATATTACTGATTCGATCTACCCGAGATGGTATTTCCACCATCAGCGTCTCTTCCCGTCTCAACCCCAATGCGGACCCGACTGGGACGTCTCGCAGAACAACCCGAGGACTGGGCGCGAGTACTGGTGGCCTATCGAAGAACCAGGGAACATGAGTCCGTTCCACCCGAGCTTGCTCAGGAACGAGGACGATGCCTCGTACATTGGCGACGAGTTCATGGTACGTAGCGTCGCAAGAGAACAGGTGGCTGACTTTATGCTTGGCAGCGAACTCATCACGCTCGAGTACATAGAGCATCGACCGGCATACCTGTCGTCGAAGAAGAAGGACCAGCATGAGAAGGATAGGATCACCCTGCACGTAAAGAAGGTAGGCGAGCGCTACGGAGGCATTGGCTGGCAGGAGGGATTTACGACGTGGGAGGCGCGGGTCGAAGAGACAAGGATGGATTACGAGGAGCTGCCGCAGCCGACCAGCATGCAAGACATTAGGTGCGCGTCACACGAGCACAAATCGGCTAACGTATTCTCGGCAGAAGTCTTCAGGGAGATCAAGGAATTCCTCGACGCAGGGACGCTGCCGGAGCGATGTGAAGGTGACCCTGCCGAGCTAAGAAATCTGCGTCGGCGCGCGCAGGGCTTCATCGTTCATGATGGCCGGCTCTGGAAGACGAGCAGGAACAGCGTTCCGCATCTGGTAGTAACCGACGAAGGTAGGAGGAAAGAGCTGATCGCAGAGGCACATAACGACTGTGGACACCGTGGCCGCAACCCGACATACAAGAAGCTCGCCGATCGATACTACTGGCCCTCGATGTACGACGAAATCGCCTTCTTCGTGCGGTCATGCAACAATTGTCAATACCGCTCGCGTACACGGACAATCACACCGCTGAGTATCACATTAGCTCCATCTATTCTGCGGCGAATGGGGTTTGACACTATCTGTAAGAGTTCGTGGGCTTGGAACCCTTGATTGGGGGGCCGGGCTGCCCGTGAACTTGACGTTTGGTGGTCGCGGCGCGACCGGGGAGAATGTCGTGGCTTCGTGAGGTCGTGAGCGAGGCGAGGAGCTCCCGCTAGCGTCGTTGCAGGGCGAGGAGCCTAGCGCGTGGGTTGGTGAGTCCTAGGTCGGGCGAGGAGCCAGGCCGAGAGCGTGTCCTAGACGAGGGCGAGGAGCCGTGTCGAGGGGGAGTCCTGGACGCAGGCGAGGAGCCTTGTCTAGGATTGGTCCTAGGCGTGGCGAGGAGCGCAGGCCGAGAAGGGCTGAACGTACTCGGATGGCGCGGGGTTCGCACACAGACGATGTGGTAGTTCAGGTGTAAGAATAGATTACTTCCCAATAAGGAAGGCGGATGGCTAAGTACAGACGATCTAATCTAATCTACACTAGACAGTTCATAATCTTATCTACTAGGGCAGGCATAGTATTGCCTACCCGTCACAGAGCCCCCCATTATGAAGTGTGTAGTGTGAAGGTGAGGGGACAAATGAGTGCAGATAGAAGAAGTAAATGTGAGTGTAGAATAGAGGGTGAAAAAAGAACAAGAGATAAGAAAAAAATTTCGGCAGTAAACTGCGGCTCCGCCACGCAGAGGCTGAGCTGTCCCGCACGCACCACATCCGAGCATCTATCCCTGCCGCGCATCAGCCAAGACGCACAGGCAACCATCGGCGACGCCCTCGCATGCTCAGCTAGATCCCCGCATGCTCCACTAACCTCCCTTGCCCGTGGCAGCCTTGCCCTCTTCCCTACACAGAGGACGTGCTCTCCTGCTTGTACAGCGTCCCGAGCTATCATCCTCGCAAAGGGTCTGCACATCCCTCGGGCTAGGGTCGGCTAGGCCCTGGCATAGCTGCCCTAGGGTCCTATCCTCCCCTACCCCCCCTACTGCCCCCCAATCTCGAGTCGGAAGGATCCGGTCGGGGAGTTTCGGCTCGGGATTCTCGTGACAAAAGGTAGTGAGAGTAGAGGAGAGGAGTTAAGGGTGGGTGGGCTGGGACAAGACAGAGGTGTTGGGAGTGCTGCCCCCCAGGATTCAGACAAGGTGTGGGATCACACACTTGCTGGAGCCTGAGGTTTCCGCAGGAAACTACTCCAGAACCGCACGAGGTTTTCGCGTTGCGGAGGGAGACCAGAGGATTCCGTGTCGGCGGGTAGGCTGATTGCTTGGGAAGGCGGGGAGCTGCGCCTGTCCGTCGAGACCGAGGGCGAACAAGCAGAGGGCGGACAGGCGTCGAGCGTACCCGACGTCGATGGCAAGGGAGGGGAGTGTCTACCGCGCGAGCCATCGTGGCTGCCCGTACTCGCAGCCGGTAGTGCCTTACTCGGGCGATTCGACGTGCTTGACCGCGCAGATCGCAAGGTGGCTTCGAACGTTTGACTTGTGCGCACCGGGGTTGGCCAGTGTTCTCGCTGCGTCGGAGACGAGGGGTGGGGCGCGGAGCGGCGAGACGCAGGAATGTCCACCGTTGGAGAACCCGCAACTAGCGGCGAACGGCGAGGGAGATTGGTTTTCCCATGAGAGGCTGCAAGGTATTGCACCGGCGAGCCCGCGAAGCGCTTGAACGAAGGCGAGGGTGAGCGTGCAGGAGAGGAAGGCTCGCGCACACCTTCGACAGGAGCGGGCCCATCGATTTGTTGCGGAAGCGGGGCTTGATGCGTCGCGCGGTCAATGGGACGCGAGTGCGGCGGGAGCTTGAAGCGTTGTGCGCGCTCGGAAGGGGCAGGCGCATCGTACTGGGTCGAACGCGCGGAGCTCGTGCACGTAGTGAGCCGTTCCCCAGATGAATGGTTCGAATCGCAGGGCTGCACCGCGCGCGAGGCTTCCATCGAGCGTAGACTCAGCTCCTGCGTCGAGGCGGCATGAGCCCGCACCTCGCATTGGCGCGGTGTGCCTGTTAGGGCTTGGCAATCTCCCTGAGCCGGGGCTGGGCAGTCGCGAGATGTGCGGGTGGTTCGCACGACTTCGCTGCTGACCGGGGGGAGAGCGCAGCGCACGCGCGCATCCTCTCGAGTCGCGTCACCGGCGGCTTGGTCTTCGCGCGGCCGTACCGCGGTACGATTGCGCTCCTCACGTATATCTTCGCGTAGGGAGAGAGCGAGGCTACGCTTCGCAGCGGCCGCTGCCCGGATTGCCCTCGCGGCTGATATTTCGGCGTCGAGCTGGCGCTCTTCGTGTGCACGCAAGGCTCGAGCGCGCGAGCGCGGTGACATGGCGCGAGCGGGCCGGTCTTCGTATTGCGCGGGAACACGTGTCTCGCGCAGCGCTTCACCGGAGGGTTGAGCATCCTCGCGCTGGCCGCAGGCGCGTTGATCATCCTCGCAATAGGCTGGAGGGGGCGCGTGCGCACGAATGTCGGACCGTGGTCGGTGCGCAGAGACTTGCGTGCCGTTCGCAATCGGGTGCAGGGGAGTGCGCGGGGACGAGTCGGCTACCGGGCGGCGCGAGCGTAGAGACGCGTCGGACAGGGGCGGTGGAGCCGGAGAGCGGTGGGTGTGCTCGACATGCGCGAGTGCGTCTCGTTGACGTATCGACAAGGACGCTTCGACAGGAGGTACGCGAGTGCATTCCACGGGCGTACGCGTGCCAGGTGAGAGAGCCTGAGCGGCCGGCGGATGCTCAGACGTAGGCTCGTCGAGCATGAAGGGACGAGCGGGCGGGTCGTCCCGTTGCGCGATGGCGCGTGTTTGTTTGCGTTGCTCGGACACCAGGGCTTGAGCCGCGAAGTACGCGTAGACGTCCGCTCGCCCTTGCGAGCACGGCGAGAGGGCGCGCGGGGGCGGTAACCGAGGCGATGGTGCGTCGAACGGGGAGGAGGGAGCCGCAGAGAGCGCGCTGCGCGTAACGAGCGCGAGCGCATCCATCGCGAGCAGGTGCGCCGGGGGTACGCGAGGACGAGGCGGCTGGGAGAGCGCAGAGGATGGACGGACCTGGCTACTCACCGTTGTACCCTCTCGCCCTCTCTCCCCTACCCCCGCTCTTGTCGTCGAGCTCGCGTTCGCGAGTCGCGTACCCTCGCCCTCCGAGTCGCGGCCGTTCGCGTTGTGGGCGGCGAGCCTGCGCGCTGTCGAGTACGCCGCGTCGAGTGCCGGCGTGGCTTGCGCGGCGACCTGGGCTGCGCGCTCGTGGTGCGTGCGCATTCGCGTTTGCTCGTACCGGGGCGGCGAGACCGCGCGTGTCGACGGCGCGTCGCGTTGCGCGTGGGCGCGGGCCGTCTCGTTGCGTGTCGCGCTGCGGGACGGTCGGTCGTCTTCGCGTTGGGTGCACGCGCGCGCGCGTTCTTCGCGTTGGGTGCGCGCGAGCGCGCGTTCTTCGCTCGCGTCGTGAGCCGGGGCCTGTCGGCTGCGAGGAGAGCGGAGCCATCGCTCGTCCTCGCAGTCCGGTTGGCGCGTCGAGCGGGCGAGAGGACGCGAGAGAGGAGGAGGAGGGAGGTCGCCGCGAGAGTCGACGCGACGGTCGAGCGCCGAGGGCCGCGCGTCCACCGCGCTCGGGCGCTCGTGCGATCGCGCGGTTCCCACGGGCCTCCGAATGGGCGTAGAGGGCGCGGCGGGTGCAGGCGAGTCGCGGGGAGTGGCGGAAGGAGGTGGCGGGTAGCCTCGAGGCGCGGTCGTCGAGGAGAGGGTGCTGGCACCGAGCGCGCGCGCGCTCTTCGACGACGACGCGTGCTTGAGCTGCCGAATAGGTGACAGGGCGTCCCAATGGGATCGCGAGAGCCACGTCGTTGAAGGCATTAGGTTAGGATGAATATAGAACAGTTAGAATGAGAATAGACAAGGTCTAAATATACGAGGGAGTTCACAGGGCAGTGGACCGGTCCCCTGAGTGTCCACCAATGTAAGAGTTCGTGGGCTTGGAACCCTTGATTGGGGGGCCGGGCTGCCCGTGAACTTGACGTTTGGTGGTCGCGGCGCGACCGGGGAGAATGTCGTGGCTTCGTGAGGTCGTGAGCGAGGCGAGGAGCTCCCGCTAGCGTCGTTGCAGGGCGAGGAGCCTAGCGCGTGGGTTGGTGAGTCCTAGGTCGGGCGAGGAGCCAGGCCGAGAGCGTGTCCTAGACGAGGGCGAGGAGCCGTGTCGAGGGGGAGTCCTGGACGCAGGCGAGGAGCCTTGTCTAGGATTGGTCCTAGGCGTGGCGAGGAGCGCAGGCCGAGAAGGGCTGAACGTACTCGGATGGCGCGGGGTTCGCACACAGACGATGTGGTAGTTCAGGTGTAAGAATAGATTACTTCCCAATAAGGAAGGCGGATGGCTAAGTACAGACGATCTAATCTAATCTACACTAGACAGTTCATAATCTTATCTACTAGGGCAGGCATAGTATTGCCTACCCGTCACACTATCTACATGCCGCGGGGGGAGCATGGCGAGAAGTACCTCTTGCACGGCTCAGATGCAGCGGGCAAGTGGGTTGAGGCAAAGGCGGTAAGGAAGAACACGTCGAGAGCGTGGGCGGACTTCATGTGGGATGACATCATCTGTCGTTTCGGCTGCTTGCCGGTTGCGAACTGCGATGGCGGGCCAGAGTTCAAAGGCGCAGTACGAATACTCCTCGAGGAGCATAACGTTGCGGTCATCCTTAGCACGCCGTATCACCCGCAAGGGAACGGTATAGCGGAACGAGATGGGCAGACGATCAAACGGGCAGTGCTCCGAGTGAGCGGTGACAAGCCTCATCACTGGCCGCGACACTTGCCAGCGGCTCTGTTGGCAGTGCGGACAACGGTGTCGCGTGCTACGGGATACACGCCGTACTTTCTGCTCTATGGCAAGCATTGTCTATTCCCCTTTGACCTTACTGATCGCACTTGGTACAGACTCGCGTGGGACGAGGTCAGGACGACCGAAGACTTGATTGCGATCCGAATCAAGCAAATCGAGCGGCGGGACGCAGTACTGGGTGAAGCGACGGATCAACTCCGCAGGAGCCGCCAGCGCGCAGTCGACGATTTCATGCGCAAGCACGCAGCACAGATCGTGGACGGCAACTACGAACCGGGCACTTGGGTCCTCGTTCACGAAACCTGGCTCGACGCGCAGCATGGAAACAAGGGCGCACTTCGATGGGCAGGGCCTTACGTCGTGCATGAGCGGTATCCTTCTGGCTCCTATTGCATTCGCGAGCTCGACGGCACGGTATTGAAGGAGCATGTTGCGGCTAGTCGCTTACGTCTATTCTTTTACAGGGCTGACCGACAGGTCATGATGACGCTGCTCGCACTCGATCCCGCCGACGACCCGCGTCTCGAAGACGTACCGTACAGCCTCTGGAGGACGAGTTGCGCGACGCTAGGCCATGCGTTGGAGTCGGACACGAGGGAGTACCCGTCGGGTGCGTGGAATGTGATCGACACGGCGAGGTGGGACAACTACGACGACATACGCGAGATGACGAACACCAAAGAAATCCTCGATCTCGTCAAGCAGTACTATACGCCTTGGTACTAGAACGGTCTTGAGGTCAAGACAGAAGTCACCCCCTCTTGTGGAGGAGAAAACCGGCCGAGGTCCGGATCGACGCCCTGCGTCATAGTTATGAGTCATCGCTTCGTATTTCTTTTTGATCAACGTTTCCACTTGCCAGCACTTACATGTTCTCGGACAGACGCTCTTACGGTACTCACCAAGGTTACTATACTCAATTCGACTCTACCGACGCGTCTGCGGCGAACCGGAAGGTTGAGGCGGAGGACCCACAGTAGGACGAAGGCGGGCGTCGTCGAGCAGAGTGCCGCACCTGTTGGGGGCCCAGGTCGCGAACGTCAATAGCACCGCTCCGCCGCTGTCAGCCCCGTACCGAGACACTGGTCTGCCGTTGAAGCCGGAAGGGGAACCAACGCACGTTGACACCCGGGCGGGTGCTCCCATACGGTACTTTCCTTATATGGTATCATTCCTTCCCTATACGTCAACGAACGATCGCTCTTCACCAGTCACGCTTCCGTTCGAACTTGCTACACTTTCATCTGTGACGCTTTGCTCCAACTTAGGTTTTTATCGTTCTCGAGGTCCTGTCATCACGCTGTATTTGTAGAGGGCTACGTGGCCCGTTCTCGCATCGAATCTTACCCTCTCGCTTCTCCCCCACTCGCTTTGCGCTCTTCAAGGATCGGCACGGACGAGCGACGAGACGGTCGCGCGTGCACCTCGGGTTCACATCAGGAAAAACCTTCCCTATGAATATCCTGCAATATCCCATCGTGTTCGGTAAAAGCAGATTCTATCGTACATTCCCTTAATTGTTGCCCAAAGCGAAATTACCTGGACCCACCCCTACCCAATATGAATGACAGGTAAAACTTAGGTAAAATGGCGAATCCCAGATCATTTGCTAGCCTTCTCGTAGGTTTCCGACAATGGGTATCATCTCGGTTTGCTCGTTCACTCGAATTATAAGCAACATTAGATCAATTGTTCTGTATAGTAATCAATCATAGATAACAAAAGCCATGACTACGGTCAGTGTTCGGTTCACTAGGAATGCGGCGAGAATTACGTCTGAATGCTATGCAGTATAATAGGAATGCTGTGAAAGACCATTAGAGGCGAGAGCCAGTACGCTAAACAGTCCATGTATGTAGAGCCAGCGTGAGTGTCAGACGGAGTTCTTGTACTAGATATGGAAGTCTGTGTTCTACTCCGAGTCGTCATCGGGTATGTTATCCCAGTTCATGCTTGTGCTGCCGCCGTGTGTACCCGAATGCAGAGCATGACCCGTTCTGGATGCGGAGATCAGGCTGATGGTAAACTAGCAAAAAACATGAGGGCATACGTTACGGCTTTGAATATATTGTGCATGACGCGATGATAGCGCTTCGGCTTCTGCTGGCGGAAATCAGCGAGTCGCACCATGTGCTCTCGGTACGCGGGTGCGCTAGCAGCTCCGAACTCAAGTGCCTTGCCAAGACGAAGGCTATGTTCGTGTATGACAGACTCGACCTGACAGAGACGTAGGTGATTAGCACTCGAACAGAAGGCACCAACTGAACTTACAGCTGTCATGGCAAGGGAGACCAATTCTCGGGGTACCTCGTACTCTGATGGTTTGCTTGCCAACGAAGACGGGCAGAGCACGACGCTCTGCAGCCCGATTCCGAGATACACCGCATTAGTAAAGAATCCGGAGCGTATGACCGACTTGATCATCTCGCTTTCATAAGGTGCGCGCCCATCAAAACCCCCCTTCAATCCACGCATAACGCTTGTCATTCCATGCAAATCAACATGCAGTTCATACTCACTGTTGGAGTCCACGGATATATGTAGTTCATCTCCTTGAGGAGCTCCATCTTGTCGGGCACTGCGGGAACGTTGCCGGACTTGATCGTGAGCTTGAACTCGTGTTCAACAACGAAAGCGATTGCTTTTCGAATGCCCGTCCGAGCCATGGACACTCGACGAGCAACCTGCCGATGCAAGCGTTAGCAAGTAGGACGATATGAGTGTGACAATGCTGACATCCGTCATAAGCGGTCTAGTGTAGTCTTCAAACGACCCATCTTCCAGGCGGTGAGCGATGTCCCCCTCACCGCCGTACCCGAGCGTGTCTGCCGATTGGACAAGGGCATCGTATGCGATACGATCAAGGCCAATCTTGTCCATTGGCGTGACCATGGTGTTGAGGGCGTCAATGGTGATGTCGAGCTCGCGGTCCTCTGCTCGGCCAAATACCATCATCTGCTCACCAAGGGTGTAGGCGTGGGACATGACTTGCTGGACCTCTCCGTCTTGAGCTTTCTTCCCCATCTTTGTGCTCTTCGGGAGCTTGATAACCGTGATATTCGACCGTGGCAGCCATTTGATATTGTCGTGCATCTTGCTGCTGACGGAGGCCGAGCCCGAGTGGTGAGTCTGCGCCTGCTTCTTTGTCTTCTTTGTCTTCGCAGTGCCCTGAGTGGCACGGCGAATTTCAGGCATCTGACGACGCGTTGATCAGTATTCGTGTAAGACAGAATTGTTACGAACCTCAGACTTCAACTTGTCTTGCTGCTTCTGTGTTAGCTGAACGTGTAACTTCGGGTCAGATATGTCGTGCAACTTGACCGCGCGGTAACGTTTGCGCACCTGCCGTTGCCCACGCGAGACGACCTCCGGGATCTCATCTTCATCGAGATCGTCCGCGTCACCGCCGATTGCAGGATCCGAGCTGTAGGCGACTGGTTCATCATACACCCGGTCGTAATCAGAGTGAGCGGCTTGCGCCTCATCTTCATCGACGTCTGCTCCGTGCATGAGGAAGTCGTCATCAGTCGCCGGTGGCTCCGAGTTGTAGTAGGACACGACACTCGACGAGCGTGAGCTCTTCGAGCGGAAGCGGGGAGGTCGAGGGCTCGGCACATCGTCCGCCGAGTCGGGCGCTTCGCGCGCGGTCGTCGACCGAGAGTTGCCTGTACAGATGTTGCAGCAGTTAGACATCAATGGATGAGGGAGTGCTACTCACTGGACCCCGTGATAGTTACACGCTGCGGTAAGGTGAGATCAGCGATGCAAGGGACAACTAATGTATCGTACCTCTGCTTCAAAGTCGACGCATTGTTCGCGCGACTCGGCCTCCTCATCACCCTCAAGCTCGCCCTCCTGCTCGTACTCGGCTTCATCATGATCCACAACCTCACCATCGTCATCCAGTCCGTCCTCAATGCCGCGAGTTGCAGCGGCACTGGGTTGCAATTGACTTCGGGTCGCCTGGGATGATCGAGAAGTGCGGGGTCGTGGCGGTGGCGGCGGTGGCGAGGGCGAGTCAGAGTCCGACGCGTCGTTGATCACTGCAGCTCTGGGAGGTCTCTCTGGGCGTGGTTTCATCCCAGTGGTAATGATATGGTTAGAGACAGGTAAGACTTACTGTTCGATGGCGCGTTCTCATTGAAGTTTGCAGGCCGCAAGTTGCCGACCTTCGCCTTCTTCTGCTGTGGTCGTCGCTCTATCTCACTGTTGGTACTCTTCAAGCGCGGCGCCGCCGTTTTTTCACTGGCAAGATCCTTCGCGCTCTTCACGCTTGCTGAGTCTGCTCTCTTGCGCTTCTCTTGAACCTTGACGCGACTTTGGATCTCGTCGGTGTTTCCTGCAGTGAGTAAGTCAGATTCATTATCAAAATGCACAACATTGAATACTTGCCCCGAAACTCCAGGTTACTCCCACCAACCTTCTCCACCTTCTTCCGTGGCTGCGGCTGAGTTGCCTTCCCCCCATTTGTGCTGCCGGCTCTCTTCTTCGGCACCATACTAGCCCACGCTGTAGGATGAAGTGCAAGCCGAACCTACGGGTGAGTCCCAATCATCCTACACAAATATTTGTGGAGACGTTACCCTTTGGAGCGGCCTGAGAGGCTAGACGAGTGGGACGTTGTGAAGTGCCTACTAGTACATAGATGTGAGTATAGTACTACTGCAGCCAACACTCTTACTTACACTGTTCATCGTCAGCCTCGTCGATCTGAGTGTCGTCGGGTTGATTCCGGCCCTCAGTGTCAACTAGGTCGACCCTTGATTGCTGACCTATGCGACTACGAGTGACGTTCCGAACTGATGACATTGCACAGCGTTCTGTTGTGGTGTAGCAGGTGTAAGATTGTGTCGAGAACGACAGCCGGGGCGTTGGTCAAGATAGATGGTCAGTAGAGACGACTATGCAGTCAACACCGCTGCAAGGAACACTCACATATGTGCTAGGAACGAAGGAGAGATACAAAAAGGCAGGGGAAGGAACAGTTATTGTTGCGTGAGTGGTCCCGAAACGATATATGCAGGTTGGAGTACTGAGGTGCAAAGGATTGTTGAAGGATTGTTTCCAGGGAGTTGGGACGGGCAAGTGAGAGTTGCGCTGGCACATGCGCGTGACAAGGCGGGTTCTGCGAATGTGTGTAACTCGGCAAGGGGCGACCTTCGCTTGTGAATCTGACGCCGTACGTCTTGCTTGTCGACCTCAATCTACAGACTCTGACGCTTATCCGCCATAACCCACCACTATCCCATCACTTGCACTCTCTCTGTTAGCCGTCTACCTGACTCGGAGTTGCAACCCTTCGACGTCTACTGTTGTATACAATAGTGAGTTCACTCTTGTGTTCTCCTGCGCAACGAACCGTTAACAAACGTCATCTAGTCCGAGTCTTCTTGTATAATCAATCTTTCTACATCGCTATGGAATTCCATTGCAACGGCTGCACCCGTCGCTTCAACGAACACGGCGCATACATCCAGCATCTCCGAACCAGCCCATATGCCGCCTGTCAGCTCGCACGTACACAACATGAAGAGGCTTCGAGACGGCCGTCTCGTCGAGCCAGCCACAGACGCGCTGCGCGTCGTTCTCGCTCAAGAAGCCAGCCCCCTTCAGAAACTCCCTCAGCTTCGCAGGGTGGCGCTTCGCCGCCCGAAGACGACGCTATGGAGGGTCAGGTCCCCTTTGAAGGTGATTTCTTCGGTGCCGCAGACGAGTATGCCCAGGGAGACCTCCCCTTCGATGGGGACGCTGAAGAACCGGCTGATCTCGCTGATCAGACCGATGACTTGGGCCCGGTGGAAGTGTCGAGCGATGTTGAGTCGTCTGACGATGAAGCAATTGGACGTGATCTTGTCCAGCCTGGTGATGAGGTCGAGCGTGATGGACGTCGGCTTCCTCGCTCAACGTCACCCAGGCCACTTGCTCCGAGTTCAACGCTGGACGCCGAGCGCGACTCGGAGCAGGTTGCACCACAACCTCTTGCTGCCGAAGCACCCACCGTTTCGTCAGAAGGGCCCAACACCGCACCAGGCGGAGTGAACGCTGATGCCCATGAACAAATCCGCCGGGCACCTGCATATATTGTCTCGTTTGGAGGACAAGCAGGTGCCCCTGTCCCGCCTGAGTCTATTTCTGGACAGTCCGAAGCGAAGTCGGCGGGTTACACAAGCTACGCAGAGGTGGTCGACCCAGAGGCGAAGAATCCTTACGCCCCGTTTGCATCCCGGATGGACTGGGAACTAGCACGCTGGGCAAAGCTACGTGGTTCCGGGTCAACGGCATTCTCGGAGCTACTCGCCATACCAGAGGTATGCCTAAACATTTCTCAATACAATTGCATCGTCTTGATCTATCTCCTGTAGGTCCGAGAGCGGCTCGGCATATCTTACAAGAACACGGATGAATTGAACAAGATAATTGATGACAAGCTGCCGACACGACGCCCCATGTTCCACCGCTTTGAAGTGACAATCGGTGGGGAGCGGTTCGACATGTTCAACCGCGATGTTATAGAGTGTGCGCGTGCCCTCTGGGGTGACGCAGAGCATGCACCAGTCTTGTGCATTGTCCCGGAGCGCCACTATGCCGACGCTGATAATACTGTGCGTCTCTATCATGATTTCAATACAGGCGAATGGTGGTGGGCGACGCAGGTACGTTGTAGTCTCATGGTATGAATCATCCAGGGTCTCTGAGTTCCTATAACAGAAAATGCTCGAGAAGAAGAGACCGGGCGCGACGGTCATGCCGATCATTATCTCGTCCGACAAAACTCAACTCACGCAGTTCCGGAACAAAACGGCATACCCAGTCTATATGACGATAGGTAACCTACCAAAGGAAATCCGCCGCAAGCCGTCGCACCGTGGGCAAATCCTACTAGCCTACCTACCAGCGAGCCGGTTGCAACATATCACGAATAAGGCTGCTCGCCGCCGGACACTAGCGAACGTATTTCACGCTTGCCTTTCCGAAATTTTGAAGCCTCTGCAGCAGGCCGGCGTCGATGGTGTCGAGATGATGAGTGGTGATGGCGCAACGCGCCGCTGCCATCCTATTCTGGCGGTGTACGTCGGGGACTACCCGGAGCAGGTCCTCGTGACGGCGACGTACACCGGGGATTGTCCTATCTGTGAATGCCCGCATGATGAGCTAGGGACGTATCCTTGCACGTCGGCCTTCCGTAATGTCGATGAGGTCCTCGACGCCCTTGATCTCTTCGGTACGGCAGACTACAATCGTGCTTGCGAGGCTGCCGGCGTCAAGCCTATCCAACACCCTTTTTGGGAACATCTCCCGTACCTCGACATCTTCCAGTCGATCACCCCTGATGTTTTACACCAATTACCAGGCTACACCGGCATATCTATGCATAACTACCCTGTAGTTAGAACACAAGGGTTTTATATAAACCACGGTACCTACTGTCGCCCGTGGTCATGCATGAACAGGGGCACTGATCATGCATACATAGAGCGCTGGTTATGCATGAGCGTAGCGCGCTCATGCATGACCGGGTTTCACCAAATATGGTTACTGCCTGCCATTTATGGCCGCCCTCCGGCCGCTGCGCGGTCCCGGGGCCGCGTCGCAGGAGTGTACCCATAGCGGGATGCGTATCACGGCCCTTGTACGGTTGCACCCGATCCGAGATTGTCCTCAGATACGAATCGCCCCAGGGACCTGGCCGCATCGTGCTTGTCCCTGGCCATCGTGCCTGTCCCTGTCATCCCAGGTGGCTGCCACTTTCAGGAGCATACGGCCCGGTCACCTGCCACAAAGAAGCTCGTTACACTTACATGAAGTCGAGACGCTCGAGTACTTCCCTATGTGGCATACGTAGCGAGCGTGGCAGCTAAGGCCTACGCCCTTGAGACCATGCGTCAGTTAACCCGCGGGTCTACCATGCTGAGGGTTCTAGCCTATACTATAAGCTTATGGTCTGATCCTCAGCGAAGTCCGTGGCTCGAAGCTTACGCCGGGGTTTCCTCAGCTGAACTGTGAAGTCTCAGGCTTACATAAGCCGCTAGCAAAATCGACGCACATCACACTTCTGTGTCGCCGTTCTAGTGAAGGATAATCACATCTTGATGGTTGACAACAGCATCGCCAATATTATACCAAGTAGGCTTGCAAGAATGACGTAACATACAATACGAGGCAGCCAAGACAAGAGATTGAACACATATAATAGCTACATCTTCAAATTTTGCGCGCACGCTTCGACTGTGGGGCATTGACATCAGAACTGTGAACAGGGGCAGGACGCTTCCGCTGAGGCACCGAATTTGCACCGCGATTCTCCTTGCCATGGACGCCAGACGGCTGCCAGTCTGCATCAGGGCGCTTAGGAGCCGACCGATCTCTGCGAGGCCGCGAAGGCTGGTCGTCGGCACGCTGGAGCTCAGCTGCATCAGGCTGGTCATCCGGCACGGGTTGGGATTGCGACATGGTCGCATCGTGCGCATTTGCATTGGTGCGCGATCCAGGAGATAGCACTAGTGACGTCGACGAAGCTGAAGGAAGGTTTGTGGTAGGCGGCAATGGATCGACCATCATCTGCGATGCGGATGGTGCCGGAGGGTCCGTAGTTGTGACGTTCACAGCGGGGCTCTGAACCGTCGCGACAGCGGGGCTCTGAACCGTCGCGACAGCAGGGCGAGCGATGTTGTCGGACACAATGGGGTGCTGGACAATTTGAAGCGCGGGCTGCTGAGAGAACATGTCGGTGTCGGAGAATGTCGCTAAAGTATTTGCCAAAGTGCTAGGAATGACTGGTAGACCGAGAAGGGCCGATGATATCGGCGAGAGCAAGGGCGGCGTGAGAGATAGCAACGGCTCTAGAGGGCTCATGTAGGGGAACTGGAAGGTCGGCGGTGCAGGATGGAACTCGGAATCAAACGAGCTCGGGATTGACAGGTTGCCAGGCAGGAACGTAGGTTCGAAATGGAACACATCTGAGGACCGGCCCGGCCATGACGGGACGTCAAGGCCACCGGCAAGGTGATCTGCGGCACCAGGAGCATTGAACGTGAGCAAGCTGGAGGGCTGGAGTGTGATGGGAGATGCAGAGGCGGCTGTCGAACCGGCGCTGACTAGTGACATCTCAGTAGGAGCCGGCGGAGGAACAACGGATGCCGATGCTGATATGGCAGACTGTACGCCGAGGTTCCCGGTGCCCAAAGGGTACGACGTGGGAGTGAGCTCATCTGGGATAGGAACGCCGGGGCTACGGTCTGTCGGCTCAGGGGGCTCAGCAAGCGTAGGGGCTGTGGTCACTGGTGACAATGGTAGAGACGGCGTGGCCACTGGTAGAGACGGTGGGGCCAAGCTAGATAGATTCTCAGGGCTCCCTGTCCTTCTCGACTGAGCACTTTGCGAGGCCGCAGGCGAGGGAGTGGTCACTGTAGTGATGTTTCCGGGCACATTGCTATTAGCGGGGGGCGGGCTCTCCGCAGCGAGAGTGAGTGAACGACGTGCGCGTTCAGCAGGGGCTATGTATACAGTCAGCAAGTCAAGTCTGTGTCAAAGGGTGGGGTGACTTACGATACTTCGCCTTGAGGAACCTCGCATAGGGATCCATAACGGCTTCTTGGTAGTTCATGTACGTTTGTTTGAAGTTGTGCCCGGCGTCGGTAGTACCAACATGGTATCTGATCAGCCAGAGCGTCGCTGGTCAGCTTCGTAATTTGAGACAGTAGGACCGAAGGACTTACGCAAACGTTTGGATCGCCCCGCCTTCCTCCGGGCACGGCCCACCACCCATAACGGTCAAAGCCCAACCAGTTTCCTCGGCGAGGTAGAGGAGGACATACTCCAAGAAACGCGGAAGGTCGTTGATGGCACTGACAAGCAGGTCAGTTACATTATGTGCGTAGCTGACGGAGAGGTACATACCTTTGGTATCGCTGCGGGGTGCGTTCTACGGGTCGCTCTTTCGATTCTGCCGCTGTAGCCTCCTTGACCTTCTGGACGAATGCCTTCACCTCGGCTTTGACTTCGTCGGTCTCGGCTTCGAAGGCAAGAGCCGTCTCGCGACGCACAACACCTATGTTCTTATTCTTCGAGCCTTGGCCATTCTTGATCTCCTCTTCAACCGATTCCTTGACCTTGTCCCGGTAGTAGAGCTTGGAGTAGACCTCGACCTCCTGCGGTACACGTGTCGATGTGCTCTTTCCGGCAGATATGACGGCAGAAAGGGACAGCGTCTTCAGCTTCTCGTGACGTGTTTTGGCTTGATCATTGTAGAATTTGGCACGGATTTGCTTCAACGACGTCAGGCACGGCACATCGTGTTAGCCGGCAAATCAAACTCACCAGCTTCCGCTTCTGCAGGGCGTTGCGATATGTCTCGAGCTGCTCGTCACTGAGGTCCTGTACGGTTATTTCGGGACCAAACAGCCCCGGAAGCTCAGGCCATTGCTCCCAGAACTGGGCCTCGGCCTCTGTGAGGAACGCTGTGACCTTCGCGATCTTCTGAGCCCCTAGGAATGCCTCCTTCTTTGTTTGGAACCACTCATGCTGCTCGGGCGTTACCCATGGCTTTGCTGGCATGTCTATGCATAAGGTATCCTCGTCACGACGGAGCTTGAGCGAAACAGGAAATAAGGACGTACTTGGTGGCTTTGGTCCTCGCGGCGGGGATGGCTAGGGGAAGGGGACTTATGCATAAGGCCTGATAACGACTCGGCATTATGCAATACGTAGACGCTCCTTTTGACGCTTCTCGCCAAGTTTGAGGCTGGAACAACCTAACGTGGATTGTCAGACGCGACTCCGAGACTGCAACCGAGTAGCTTGAAGCGAAGAGCAGTGGTCACATCGTACGATGTGCGACAGTCATTCTCGGATGTGCTGGAATCGAGGAGGCATGTAAAAAGGTGAACTTGGGGCTGAACGCGCATCTCGTCTCGATCCTGCTAGATCCCTCCCCCTCCTCACGATGCGACTTGCTCCCATGGACCCCTCCGAGACGGGACCAGCGCCTGCGCCTGCGGACTCTGCACCTCGTGCGGAGCACGACAACGACGCCGCTGACAACCTCGAGGGGGACGTGTCCGCGGAGGAAGTGTACGTTGCTACTCAAGTATATTCCATTGGTACGTTGCAATGTCCTGACATTAGTATGACAACTAAGAGCTGTACTAGCACGCACAATCAGGGAACAGTCTCGTCGCTTAGGCCGCCCCGTCCGAGTTGACCCCTTGAACACGATCCAGGACATTCTCTTTGCCCTCCCCACTGACGAAAGGCCGGCCACTGTGCCCTCAGTCGCACCCTTCGCTCCTTCCTCCGTCAGGCGCACCATCACCCCCACAATCCAGGTGCGCCATTTCGAGACTGACACATCCCGCGTGCTACTGACTGACTTCCCCATCGCATGCACTGTCCACTGGCAGTTGGCCTCCCCGACACCGCCACCATCACCAAGGCGACCACGCCCGCTGCCACGCCCTCCTGTTGAAGTAGTCGCTGCCACGGCTTCTACCGCAGTTACTCCCGCGTCGTACACGCCTATTTTCAAGCCATACAGTCCGAAGGTCAAGACGTGGTATGTCATATGGAAGGGCATCAGAGTTGGAATCTTCACATCGTGGTACGTTGTCCAATTCCTTGTCGCAGTTATTACATCTCCTGACCATGAAGCTTGCAGGGGAGAGACATCCGGTTATGTACTTGGGGTCTCACGAGCGGCGCACAAAAGTTTCAGCAGCTACGAAGAGGCTGTTTGTGAGTGGGAACAGCAGGAGGCCCTTGGTGGGGTTATGGAGCTGCCTGGCCCTGTCCCGAGGCTTCTGACTGATTCGACTGTGCATGTTATCCAATGAGATCCGTGCGCAACAGTCATCTGTTCTCTTTCCTCATTGTATCCTTCATCTTCGCTGCTGGGTATCATGTATTGTCTTGCAGTCGGTCGTCGTAGTCTCTTGTCGCATCAATTACCGTCTTCCTTGTATAGTAGATGTATAACCCCGTGTACAACCCAGTCCCAGTGCACCAACATATGTTTCCATGTGAGCCGAGTCTCTGTCATGTCACACTGCCCAGGGCCCCGTCAGAGCTCCACGTGCCCTGTCTTCAAGACGGTGGTACATCGTCAACTTTGCCCGACCTGGAAAGGCGTCGCCTCCTTACCTTTTGTGCATGCACGAGGTTTTCAGAAGAAAATGGGAGTGAATGTGCTCGCAAGTCCGCGAATGTTGGTGGCACCCCCATTTGGCCGAGGCGCAGGGGAGTTCGACGCAGGAGCAGATGATGCAACAGTGACGGCCAAATTGTACGAAGCGAGGACGGTAGAGTCAGGCTGCATGGTGCAATGAGGATGAGAACGAGACGGAGCAACAGTCGATGTGATCTTTGTCTGGTGTGTGGTCGAGCGGGAACTGAGCTATCGCCAGGCGCAAAGACTCGGACTTCTTATACGCAGAGGCATGCTGTACCATAATCCGACACGATTGAACTAAGACAAGAATCTGGAGTTCTATTCGGTGTCGTGTATAGACGCTATGTACAAACCTGCACATGATAGTAGTACATACTGAACTATGTGGAGAAATACAAAGGTCGTCTTGGGCTGCTCGGGGACATGCCCGAGCAAACATCGCTCGAGTGCATGAGTCGTCTCACCGGCGCTCAGCCGCCACTTTGACTTTCTGCGTGAACATGACAGACAGGAGAAGTAATACGGGACACAGAGGCCCTCGGACAAGTTGATACATAGTTCGATGCTCTTCATGTACTATTTCCGTCTTATCCGAGTTCACTACGGCCTCAATTGTTAGATTCCGGGGGGATTCTTCTGTTAGCCATAGGTTCAGCCACTGGGTATGAACAACTTTGCATCGTGCACCGTGCTCGTGTCTATGATGTGATGTAACATTCCAGAATTGGAGTATGACATTGAAGTATTGAACAAAGCCTAAGATCCATGTCGTTTGACGGCTTGGCTGAAGTGTGACAGAGCTACTAGGAATCACGTATGACACTCAATTGGTACGTCAAACATCAGATTTCTGCATCCCTGTATTGTTAGAAAGAGCATGGTCAACTCAGAAATGAGTGTATATGTGTACAAGTAATCGATCAATAGTGTTTCCATGATGTGTAGCCTAAGTAATGTGGTGATATACATACATCAATTCGACGATGACTTGTGCCCTCAAACGGTTGTCCGAGATTGCTATATGTATTCGTCATGTTTATACTAGTACAAAGGTACAAAGGGGTACATTCAGGCTTTCTCTGCGCACTTCCAGCCGCTGTATCCGTCAATACTTCCTAACGTGTGCTTTAGTAGAACTTACATAGAGTAGTCGAAAGGAACGGCGCACTGTACTTACATTGTGACTATATAGGCAATATATGATGTAGTACTGAAGGCGAAGGACAGATTACAGCAATAATTGGCGAGGGGAACTAGATACTTGTGCTCATCGTCAGCGACGGTGAGCACGGTGAGCACGACGTCACACCCGATGTAAGCGCCAGCGAGCACTGTGCCAAGTTCGAACGTGCACAGGGTCAGATCGTATTAGGTAAGGTCCACGTGAGGGTTTAGGAGCGCGAGGGAGCCTGATTCAGACATTGCCTCACGTTCGGAAACAGCATGATGCGCTAGTCATAACATCAACGTTCAATGCTGTCTACGGATATGCAAATTAGGTGCTAGATGAGTGGCTCTTATACCTCCTTGGCTTGCTATGAACGAACCTGGAGAACACGAGTCCAAATGGAGGGCCAACTAGGCAGTCTGAAGTGCCGGGCTTGAATGACTAGGCCATCGGCTCACCTGCTTGGAATGCGAAGGTATGTCCCCGCGCCCCCTTTCTCGGCTGAATTGGTTCCATAGAAGGGCGCCACAGTCAAGCCGCAGCCCATGATGGGAGCGAAGTCGAACCGCCGCATTCGCAATTATTAGTGGTGAAGACTCTTGACGTCCACACGGCATTGCGGCCTGGACAATGGGGAAGGTGGGATGCTGCTGAAATCATGGCAAATTGGACCTCGACATAGCCATACACAGCTGAAGGTGTGTTCTCTACCGCCTTTCATGGATTCGTGGCTGATGCATAATTATTGATCGGCAAGGGTCTGCTGCACGGGTAAACCTCAATACTGTTATTGGGTATGTCTTTTCTCTTTGGTGCGCAGTTGCTGCGCCATATTTCAGATCAGAAGACGTTCATCAGAGGGAGCGCATTCCTTTGGCCCCTCCATCGAGGCACTATCCACGAGGTGTACCTTCGGATGGAACCCCAAGCACTTCAGACGAATAGGTATCCGTCCATCGATCACGAAGTTCAAGTCACAACTACAATAGATGCGCGAACTACCCCGTGTGTGTTTGCCGAAGTGTCGGCCGAAGCATTGTGTCACCGTAGGACGAACAGTGGCGGCTTCGCATTCTTCGCGGACTGGCATCGTTCCGTACAGTGAGCATCCTGGACTCATTTTTCGACACGTTGCGACAGCTGAAAATTTTTGGAGGTAGCTCCATGGTCATATTTGGAGAGCCCTGAACCATCCTCCGGCTTGTCATTCATATTCAGCTTCGTGACGTGCTGCCACTGATCTGAATAAACGTCCCTCGGTCGATAGCCTGGTATCCCCCGCTTTGTCCCACATAACCCCACCATGACGCGCCGGGCAAAGCTCAAGCGTGTCTGCGCCATCCTTTCCTCCTTCATGCCTCGCAATCACAAGCGTAAGCGCGAGGTTGCCTTCGACATTGTGACTATCAACGACAATGACGACGAGGGAGGAGCCTCGACGCCTCTAGCCGAGAAAGCTCGCCATACCGACTATGTCTCTCATCAACATGGCTTTTCTTCGCAAACATCGTTCTACACTTTGCCGGGTTCCCCAAAGCCGATCTCATCGGTTGATACGCTCCCGGAGCTCGTCTTTGACGAACTCGACGAAGACGCCTCGGAATCTGCAGTTCCTCATGACTTTGACGCGCCGGTCCACACCTTTACCGAGGCTGACGAGATTGAAGCGGAGGCTCGTCGGCGCCGGCGGACAGCTAGTGTAAGTACCCAGAGCTGTATATTGAACGTTTGCTCACCCCCTATTGCCAGGATCGGCCTCTGGAGGAGTGGGCCTCCAAGATTGACGACTGGTTGCTCGAGATGCTCCTGGTGGAGGGTCGGATGGGTTTCACCGCGCAAGAGTGCCCAACGTGTGACACCGGCGGCATTGCTGAGTACCGGTGCTCAGACTGCGCTGACTTGCAGCTCTACTGTGCTGAATGCACGGTCCGCCATCATTCGCGCAATCCTCTTCACCGGCTAGCAGTAAGCATAGCTACCTTTGATATATTGGTGTAATCGCTAATCATGAGGCCCCAAGATGTGGGTTAAGACCCATTTCTGTCGCGCGGACCTGAAGAAGCTCGGTGTTCGCATCCAGCTGGGCCACCCCACCGGCGAGCGCTGTCCGAACCCCAAGCGTGCATTCAATGACGACTTCGTCATCCTCGACATCACCGGTGTTCATCATGTAGGGCTCGACTACTGTGACTGTCCGCAGAAGGTACATCTCCCGCATCAACTGATGCGGGCGAGACTGTTCCCCGCGACGGTAACGAATCCGAAGACGGCAGCAACCTATCATCTAATGGAGCACTTCCACCTCTTACGTACGCAATCGAAGATCTCCGCGTACGAGTTCTACCAAGGTATTGCACGGCAGACCGATAACGTTAGCCCGGAAGACCCCGCAGTCAGTTCATTGCCTAGTCGGTCCGTGCGCTGTTTGCTGAATACAGGCTTGACAGGATCGCTACCCTGCTTTTCTTCGCATGTCACGTGCATGGAGTCACCTGAAGATGCTCAAGCGCGGCGGACGTGGCCACGATCCGTCAGGGGCAAGCGGGACGTCACCAGGTGAATGTGCAGTGGAATGTCCTGCTTGCCCTCAGCCGGAGAAGAATCTGCCCGCCGATTGGAAAAATGCCCCGAAGGCTAAGAGGTAAGTTCTGTCAACCATACATGCTGCGTGACTCATAGATGAGTAGCTGGCTCTACCGCCTGTTTGTCGGCCTCGACGCTAACTTCCGCCTCAAGCGGAAGAAGGTGTCCAACAGCACTGTCGATCCGGGCCTCAACAAGGGCTATGCTTACTTCGTCGAAGAAACCGCGTACAAAGCTTTTCTCCACGAATTCGATACCAAGCTTCCACCAGAGAAGAACACCTGCCATAATCACGATGCGGTCAAGCTCGCCAACATCAAGAAGGTTCGTGAGACGGATGCGAGTGGGGTTGCGACCGTGGAGTGCACGCGGCATGACATGAAGCGACCTTGCTCCGTCGGTGATTTACAATACGGTGAACGGTGAGTTTCTGAGACTCCCACACTCGATAACCCGTCTCATCCTTCGTAAGCTACGTTAACATGGACTATCTGTACTTTTCAAGTCTCGAACACCACTCGATGCCAGAAATCGTCACTTCGTATGACATTGCATGCCAGTGGTCGCGTAACCTCTCGACACGCCATGACATCTATAACGCGCCCTTCGACTGCTCGCACCATCGCATCAACTTCCTTATCCCTAAGTTCCATCTTCCCGCGCACCAGTCATCGTGCCAGTACGACTACTCCTTCAACAACACCCCGGGCGTTGGCCGCACGGACGGCGAGGCAGTCGAACGTGGCTGGGCTGCCGTCAATCCGTTCGCGACGTCAACAAAAGAGATGGGCCCGGGCCATCGCCGTGATGTGCTCGACGATGTCTTCGGTGCATACAATTGGGGGAAAGTTCGCCAGCTTGGTACGTCAGTGCTCCAGTCAGACCGTTCACATGTACTGATGAACTTGTCCCCATAGCTCCTACCTTGCTGAAAAAAGTCAAAACGGCCGTTGACAAGCATGTCACGCACCAGCAAGCCTTCGACGACTTCACGCAGGTGTTGCCAGCAGAAAGCGTGCAGTTGTGGACCACGATGGTCGAGAAATGGGAGGACGACCCGGAACATAATCCCAACCCTTTCGCCGCGACTGAACCAAGTGAGTAGTTGTCAGCAGATTGAGTCAGCAATGCTGATTCCGAGTGAGCACAGCTGTCACGATGGCTGCCGTTCGCCGCGCGCTTGCTGAAGAGGAAGCCGCTCTTCTGCAGTCCGGCAGTGGCGGCATCTTTGGACCTCTTGCCGCACCAACAGGCGACCTGACGTCGAGCGCCGAGCCGCTGAGTGCTATGTCAGCGAGTGTCATGTCGCCGAGCGTCATGCTCACCGCGGGGCTGGATCTCGAGGAACAACAGTAAGCTCACGAACCTTCCTATATACCGTCATCTTACTGATGGACATTTCACCAGACGTCGTCTTCGTGCTGACGTGAAGAAGCTCGGAGACCACTCCACAGACAATCAGCGTGCCACGGTGCTTGAACGTGCTAACGCACTGCGTCGCAAGCTCGAGGCCTGGTTCAAGATCCAACAAGTCTACATTCCGGGTGCTGAGAACCTTCGCACCATCCAGCTGAAAAAAGCCGACATTCAGAATCCAGCCGCATTCAACCTACCCTTGCTTCTCCCATCGGCGATCAGTTCTACACTGGAGCTCGCCACCTCGCTCCGGGACATCGAGTGGCGCCTCCGACATGCTCAAGCTCACGACGCCCTATCGGACCTGCGTAAGCACCTTCGCATGCGCAGCCACCTCTATCAGTTCAAGGACCGCTTCGTCCGCGGTCAGCATGCGAATACGCGCGCACGGTCTGTCATCGACAATGTCCAACACAAAGTCGACGAGGACGCTGATCGCTACCGGAGGGCACGTGCCGCTCTGCTCTCGCTGTCGTGCACACTTGGAAAAACGGGCTGGGAGGAGACGCTGAAGGTCCTTGGGGAACGCGACGTCCGCGGCATGACAGCAGGGACCGAAGAAGAGGAGCAGGAGCAGCAGAGCGAGGGTAATCGTACCCTGTCATGGATATGGCGGTCCACTCCGATTGTCGGCCCCGAAGACGCTCACAATCCTGATCTGCAGGAAGGTCAGTATTGTCCTTTGAACTACACCATACCTCGCTGACATCGTCTTGTAGGGTTGCGTATCGAATGGTGCAAGTCACGCGCAAGGGCAAACCGGTGGGATGAGGAAGTTGACCTTCTTCGAGAGGAGATGCGCCGAGTTGTCAGATACCACTCCTGGAAGGCTCGCCAATGGCTCGACAATGCCGACGCTCGCCCGACGCTCGCTGCTAACGCCAGAGAGGGACTCTCAGCCTACGCTCATCGACAGGCGGAGATACGTACAACCATGCGATCGGTATGTGCCCACGGGTGGCGGTACGTTGATGCACTGATCTCTATCGGGGAAGCTGAGCTGAGTGGAGAAGATCCACCGTCCAGTATTACCGAAAGTGATATCTCTGCGTAGTGTTGGTGTCTTCTTCGTGTTCATCGGACTCTCGCCATGCTTCGTTCTCGCGTACTATCTTGTCAATGCCGCTCACTTTGCTACGCTGTTGCTCGATGTATGTCATCTCTCAGCCTGTATTTCTGAAGTCAAACTGTGCCTCCATCGAGCTCTATCATTGTTACGACATCATGTATTAGTCATAGGTACAAAAATTGCTTGCCACGGTGAAGCTTTTGGGTCTTCCAAGCGTGCCGACGTCGGATATCAGAAGCTAGTACAACACGTACGACGACGTTGAATTCGACAGAAGTATCACCAACTTATAGTTCTTGTATGTGTTTGTTCGAAGCGAGAGAACGATACTCATTCGGTATACCACATAGCGTAGATACAATACATCGCGTAAAAGACGGTTTAGCTCTGTGACACGGTGAGCTAACAGGAGCATTGCATGTCTTGATGCATAACATACTGAGGTCTGAGCCTGTCTCGGTACTGGCATCGAGCGGTGTGGCCCAATGATACATAAGCGTACACTATGTCTGAATTGATAGCCCGGAAGCAATGTCGAGCCTGCCGCCACGGCCTAACCAAATCGGCGAACCAAGACAAACCATAAACGGAACGAGGCCACGGTGCCTAGACCCCTTCGCCTATATTAGATATACAGGCAAGAAGTCGCCTCAGGAACCAACTGTCGGCCGATTGAAAATAGAACTTCAAATCTGACGTGCAGGATCGCGCCGGTGCGTTCGTGTAGATCATAATCGTCCGATAGTCGCTCAATCGGGCCTCAGGACGTGGCCGGAGCCCGACACTTCCTAAAGCGGAAGGGAAGGCCGCTCGCCGCTCAAAGGAGAGCACTGGCCGCCGGCGGTCAGTGGGCTGCGGGCATGCACAAGCATAACAGGCTGAGCAGCGCCCGTGGTAGCCACTACAGATTATGTATGAGAGGGGACAGTCACTACTGCAATTTATGCAAAACCCGTTGGTTATAGTCACTGTAGTTTATGCATGAGCCTGCCAGGTCCTGGTGCAATTACATCAGGGCGTAATCAAGCACGTTCTCGCATGGATCACCAACATTGTTGGCAAAGACGAGGTCGATGCGCGTGTCAAGCGACTCCCTCCGAACCACTCCATCCATAACTTCCATAAGGGGATCACTGGCTTGTCGCGCGTCACGGGTGCCGAGCACAAACAAATATCCCGGTTCATCCTTGGGCTCCTAATCGACCTCCCGTTACCTCGAGGGGACTCTTCGGAATTGATCGACGCCACGAAAGCTCTGCTCGACTTCCTCTACATGTCGCAGTATTCAGTTCACTCGGACACGACTCTGCAGGCGCTCGAAGGCTCACTTGCCGAGTTCCATGCCAAGAAGGACGTCTTCATCCGACTCGGTGCAAGGAGTAACTTCCTCATACCGAAGTTACACATGCTTACCCATTATGTCCGAGCGATCAGGTACTACGGGACAACAGACAACTACAATACAGAATCAACAGAGCGCCTGCATATCGACTTCGCGAAGGAGGCTTATCGCGCGACGAACCGCAAGGACGAATTCCCGCAAATGACAAAATGGCTTGAACGTCGCGAGAAAGTGCTCCAGCATGCTGACTACGTTGGATGGCGCCTGCTGCGCGCAGAGAGTGGTCGTGATGATCTGATCGCCTCGCGTCAAGGGGTACGCTGGCGGCCGCCTGACTTGGCATGTACCCTCAATCACCTGATGACGAAACATCCAAGCCGCAAGGCTGTACCCATCACTGAGCTCGTAGCTCCAGATGGTTACGATGCTACACACCTCATGCCCGCACTTGCTCGTTTTCTCATAGAGCACAACAATCCAGGTATTTCGCGAAACGAGGTGGAAGCTCAAGCCGCGTACGTCCGGTTTCCCTTCGCTACGCTACCGGTCTTTCACAAGGCAAAGTTCCGTAACCTGGAGTACCATGGCAAGGAGACCTTAGACTCGATACACGCTCGACCAAGGAAGCTCGGAGGTAACAGTGATATCCTTATACCCTCCCGTTTCGACACTGCCCTTGTGCAAGTGCGACACATCGAACCCGCCGCCGAAGGTCAGACCACCCCTCGTATTGGCCTGTCAGGTATGCACGCACCCTACTTGTATGATCGCTCCAACATTGCGTGACTGATGGTATCACTACAGACATGCGTATAGGCCGTGTCCACGCGATCTTCTCAATTCCACAGAAGTTCCATAACCAACTGATCCCGTCGATGCCGAACATCCGATGCCCACGTCACCTCGTATATGTGGATTGGTTCTCCAAGTTTGCGCGCTCTCCTGACAGCCACTACCAGATGTACAAGGTAACTACGTTGACAGGGGGTGAAAGAATTGGATCTGTGGTACCTCTTGCGCTCCTTGAACGCAGCGTCCACCTTCATCCGAAATGGGGTGGTCCTGTACCAGCACATTGGACGAGCGAGAATGTGCTAGACGAGTGTACGACATTCTACTTAAATCCGTACAAGAACCCGCACGACTTCTACAACCTGTATTAGTACCAGTATAATCTACTTTTTCACGCAATTCTGTGATGGGTGTCCACGACATTGTTAAAAAAGCGGTTTAGTAGGAAATTCTGAGTGATCATCCCGTAATTCTCTACCGGATCTCTCTGACCCGGAGAATGACATGCAAATGCAAGAGATTGCAGAGTTTCTGAACATTTTCACAAATATCAGCCTGTACATGGCAATTCACGGGGGAGGGTTTTCCTGATGCAGCAAGTCGAGTCGTTGAGTTGTTAAGTAGCTAAGTATTCGTTTCGTATATCCGCGCGGCCCCATTACCCTACATAGCATAGCACTCGTCGTCCTCTCTCTAGCCCGAACACCCACTTCGCTGACTCTCCAGAACACCTGCTCCCGGAAGCTGTCAGTACGCGTGTCGATACCTCGCGCGCGCCTTCTCTTCCACAACGGATGGCAGGCACTTTCATCGTGGCAGTCAAGCGTTCTGCGATAGCTTCGACAGTCCGTGGGTATCGTGGCTGTATGATCGGCCGCAACGGTTGAGGCTAGCCAGTAGGACCGCAGCGGCCAACTCGGTCTTCTCGTCATTTTGGACTTGAACCCCTCTGTGTCAATTCCCGATGATCGACTGCGAGACATCGGAGAGCACCTCGGGAGTATCTAGCCATGAGATGACCTCGCCGATTGTCCCTCCTGCCGATCCTGTTATGTAGAGCCCTGATAAATAGATTTCGAACATAGAACGCATGAGACATACAATATGCGATGTTATCCTCTGCGAATGACATTCAGCGCACTCAGCATAACGGCATACTAGGAGGTAAATGCGCACAGGAGCTGACCTTCAGTGGCGACACCCCCGATGTAGATAGGGTGATGGGGCGCTGGATGAAACACAGTTCGAAAAAGGCATCATTTAAGTTATTGCGCATGTCCTATCATGAGAAATTCCAGATCCATCATGTACCGCGTGCACCAACTTTTGCACGGCTCGTTTTGTCAAAGCTGGAACAACGGAAATCATCAACAGGTTCAGCATCTATGTCAGGGAGAGCACAATAGTATTTCAGCATCAATTGGTCTGGAGTTCCGCTGGTCCGATTGAAAACAAGAAAGGGCTGAGCGCACCATTTATAGCTGCAGACCGCCTCTCTAATTGGCGCGTTGGCAAAGCTACCGCGGCGCTGAGCAGGAAACAGGGGAGAAGAAGTAATGCAGAGGTGAGCTTCATGCCAGTAATCAGTAATCGGGCAAAACACAGAGGAGGGTTGATCTTGGAGGGGGCACTCAGCTCGGCTTATATCCCAAATGCACAGTCGCCACGTACGTGCTCTCTCGTCCAATGGGAATACTGACATCATTTCAGTGTGGTGCCGAGATCAATGCTATGTATCCCGGATGCCAAAGTGTTAAGTAGTATCTCGAGCCATAGTTCCCAGTCTGTCTCTGAGGCAAAGACGACCTATTGTAGAAAGGCTTCAAGACATTATCTGACATTGCGCAACTGTTTGCACAAGGGCTTGCAGTATAATGGGTCTATGCGGTCCCTGTACGGTGATTAGCTACTTGAGGCCCTGACTCGTATCGGGGTCACGCACCTGATCACTGAATTGAGTGTTCAATCTCGAGTTTGAGTCCCAGAATAATGCCACTCTGTTATACAGGCTCGCCGTCATTGCGATGTGCACCATTAATTGAGGCTACCAGCTCATGAACGTTCGACAGGCCATCTCGGCCTGAAGCACGAGAAAGCGCACTCTCAAAAGAAGCGATGCCAGAGTGGGTATGGGTATTCTGGGTATATCTCTGGAACCCTGTGGGAGGAACGCGGTCGTAGACCGCGCGAGAAATCAGGAGTAGACAGGCCAAACCTTACATTCGAGTTGGAAGCCAGATGATCACCCCGTCGTCACTGCGTACTACCACAGCACTGCCATGACAGGTTTTACCATCCTCACGTTGCGCACGGTGAGATAGCAAGCAATGCTGAACGATGCAAACTGTCGTTTTCCCTCCTGTCGATAAGGAGTCGGTATGATATGCGTATTGGAGACCTGGCTTTGAGGAGGAGGGTAGTACTTCGTAGATTGAGCACTCGTTGAGGCGACTGTTGGATGGCACCGGCGCCGGCTTTACACCTTCATATTCAGGCTATCTTCCTGTATCGTGATAAGTCCGGTGAGAGACTTCAACGCAATCCATACACCCAGTGTATGTTACACGTTGTCCAATTTGACCACAGTTGTGAAAACGTGTCACGGTAGAGAGTCGGAGGCCGTCTGAGTCGAGCGGCGCAAACCACTTGCTCTCCCAAATGCCAGTTCGCTGACATCGTCGTCGCTGTCTGTATCATACTCGATGTCCTCGCCCATGTTGCCTATCATGGGGTCGCTTTGACGAGTGGTCTGAGTGATGACACGGCTTTTGTACACGCTCTGTCGGAGGGCTAACATGAAACGCGACATAATTATCGCGACAAGTCTGTGCGTCAGACATTGATCTCATGAGCCATGAAAAGCAAAACAAATGAATTGAAACATACGCGGTGTAGTCGGAGGTGTTGATTGTGACGTATGAAGCCTAAGAACCAAAGATTAATGGATCCAGTGATACTTCTTGAAGCAGCCCCACCAGTGCAAGGTTGAGCAACAGTATGTTGAAGAATGTAGCCGCCCTTGCAACGTCCCGTCAGATTCTGCACCGAGCAGGCCTCAGAAGCACTCACGCGAAGTAGTGTAAGCCTGCAGCCTTGGAATCAACCTGGTATCTAAGCCACGGAGTACGACATAACGTACCAAAGCGCAGTAGTGCTTCTGGCACGTATGCAGTGAACCCGACTGCTCGTGTTGAAGCCATCAACCTACGTGCCTTCACCCATGTGAATGCGACGACTAGGATGTCTGACACAATACCAATCGCACGAGCTGCGAAGTAGACGGCGAAAGCTGCGGTGAGTATGTCAAGCGTGGCAAACGTTGCAGTAGAAAGCGAACAGCTGTTGACGAACCCGTTGTTCTGAGAAGACATATCTGCGTCAATATACGGTACGAATGACGAGCAAGAGCTGGTCTACCCCGCATGTAGACTAGGATTGCAAGCAACAGGGTTGCTGAGTGCCTCTCTAACGCATAGCGTCATGATAGCCTTTCAACAATGTCGTCAGCGAGGGGAAAGATGATCCAGTATATGATAGATACTTACTATGCTGACAAACGGGAGTATCAACCCGCACATAACGACAAGAAGCGATGGCCAAACGGTACCGTACCACAGAGCGTATACTCTGAGAGCGGATAGCACTATGGCGCAATCCACAATCCACAACCTGAGTTGAGTAAGGAGTAAATGTTGGACACTCACGTGTGATAATAAGCAAAGCAATGACTGCATAGATTTCCGAGCACCATACTAGTAATGAGCAGCTGATAGTTATATCAATTGTTCAGCTAGACGTAGGGTAGTGCAGCCGATCAACCGACATACCTCTTGCCACACCGCACCAGTCAGGGGAAATGAGGACCGTTTGACGAGGGAATCTCTGACCAGAAGCTCACCTCTTTTGAAGGGTCCGAGGTTATTCCCACTAGTATGACCACCCGGCTGGCCAGGCACAAATATCGGTTGGCGAAGAACAAAGCACTGGGGATATCCAAAGGGCGATTCCAGTATTGCCGCACCTCCCGCGTCCATGTCAGACCATACTCATAGAAGACAGCGGCTGTCGGATGACGAAGTCAGTGATCACTGAGACCGGATGATGTACGCGAAACAACATGCTCGTGACAGCCAGTGAGACCGTACTTAGTTGCATTGGGTCAGTGCTGGACAGTACAGTGAATAGCGTAACGTACTCAGCTCCATTGAATAGCGATACCATTCAGGACGAGCCAGCAAAAATGCGAATGTAGAACAGGGGGCGGAATATCAAGTTTCGCTGTGAAGACCGATAGGCCTTGACTTATACAACCCACAGCGCTACTCACGATGGGGTCACCAGGGGGTCACTGCGGTCATGGCAAGCATGCTGTTGGAACTCTTGGCTGACGTCGAAGACTGTAGATCTGTCGTGCATAGACAGATGGCCTATAATTAGTGAGCAGCGGCTTCTCAGCATCGTGATGAAAGGAAGTGCGGCCATAAGTTACCTGCGTACTTACTGGAGTAATCGCCAAATGCAGCAAATCTTGTACGACGTTTGACTGTTGTTTCAACGATATATGCGTTTCGGAGGAGCTCTCGGCATCGCATGTTGATCACAGGGTACGACGAGTACTCAGTACGATCTGTTCACAGCACCGAAGGCTACGCGCTCGCTTCAACGATCCCATTAGAGAGCGATGTGATTGGCCACCGGCATCCCGGAAGGCCCACGTTGCGGTCCACGATCCTTGACTGGAACAAGCACAGCGTCGAGGACTCGGAGGAGACATCGAGACCGACAATGAGACAAGCGCCAGCCATACAGGAATCGCTCAAGACTTGGTATGATTCCAATGAAGCGGCGGGAGCAGATTACGATAGACGAGTGGATACGAGATACAGACACGATATTCCGTAGTTGATACAGACGCAGGTTGCAGGGCACGGCGAGCGATGACGAAGACGGATAGCAGTGGAAAACATTGCGAAGGTTATCGTAGATGGTCACTTCGACTATTGGCAAGGGTTACAGCTTTCGACGTGTCGGATGTAGATGAGCTACAGTTCGACGTGAGCTGTGTCAAACCCAGAGTGTAGTCGAGTTGGAGGAATTCAGCGTCGGAAGGCACCGGCATGGCGACTACGACGGCGACTGCCACCTTCGCCTCAGGGAGCGCGGGAGGGGACGGTGGAGCAGTCGGCGCAGGAGGCCAGTGGAAGAATCCTAGGGCATCGAAGTGCCATCGATGATGGCCACCTTGGGCGACATCCTCGCTTTCTGGTACAGGCGGACGCGGCGAGCTCTGAGATACTGTTTTGGCGGATAGAGGCTATGCATGCATAACAGCACATAGGTCCCGTGTCAGGCATGATTGTTGGAGAGTACGTTTAGCAAACTCACAAGTATATTCTGCCATGATGCAGGGTCTACGCTCTTTACAGGGGCGTAAATGTCATATAATGTGGGCGGTGTGCCCACATCTTTCTTCTTCCTCCGGGGTCTGCTCCGCCCGTCGGCGTCCGTGTCCGGGAATTCATGCGCCCACAAAGGACTCGGCACATCGCTCGCCATCCAGCGCTGCGCCCGCCCCAGAGCGCGCCTGCGCAGACCGATCATAGCGAGCATTCCGCCGACGAACAGGCCGATGGCGAGGAAAGCGAGGATGAGTGCGGCAGTGCCATTTGAGGAGAAGGACGTGCTCCCGGAGCTTGACGATGAGGATGTCGACGAGCTCGATGTCGTGCTCGTCGTCGTGGATGCCGTGCTCGTCGTGGACATCGCGGACGGGCCGACCGCCATGGCTGTCTTGGCTCGACCTTGGCATCCGAGATGGCATGAGGATCGCGGAACGGGAGTTGCCGAATGGCTACACCCCGTTATGGAAAGTCTTGTTGAACGTTGGTTCATCCTCGTGCCGCTCCTTGACTCTCATCCCCCATCTCGGTCCTGGTCCATTTCGCTCGTTCGCAGTCATTCCTTTTAATTTACTCTCTCTATAATGGCAGTTATTGCAGCTTTGCTACTACTGGGTGTCGTTGCCTCCCGTGGCCGCGGGCAAACGTATTCGGCGACGTACCTTCCGTCGAACGCGCCCGATCATACCCAGGACGGTCAATATGGTACTAACCAGTGCGGCATCCAATCAAGTCAGAACTCTCTTTGTCAGAATGCATACTGTGAGTGGTACTGCATATGTGGACCTGGGTCCCCACTGATTGGTGCTTTAGTGAACTCCGTGGACGACTTCTGCGTCTTCGCGCCTCCATACTCAGGTTCAAATGCGACTATTGGCGATACAGAACGCGTTGAGGTCTCCTGGTGCCTTCGAGATGGGTACGGAACGCGCCTGATCCCCGACGGCACCATCACTGGCGCGCACTTCGTGCAGACTCCGGACTACATCCAGATCACTGGCGTTGGCGATCTTACGAAGTTGAACATCCCCGTGGGCGACGACGGAGGCGAGCTGGACCCTCACGGTGCGGATGGCAATGGAAACCCCATCGGCGGTCTCGTGTTCTCAAATGCACTCGGGCAGCTCCAGCAGTTGCATGAATGGACAGTAAGACGACGGCTGTTACATGTCATTTCTCGGGCTCTTGATTGACAAACATGGCATACCTCCAGAACTACATGTCTGCTACGGAGTTCTGCTTCCGTGCGTGCACCCCCGGCCCGGACGCAACGACATACTGCCAACACACCTACGACGTCATGGGCTGCGAGTGGAACATGCCTGGCGACTACGACGCCGGCGTCTTCGATCGCTGCATGGGTGACAGCGGGGAGGTAAGACTGATACTCCTCTTCATCTTGTTTCGATGCAAACCCCCCTCGGTAGCCCATGGGAGTGTACGGCACTTCGACCTGGAAGCAAGGCCACTCGGCGACCCCTTCAGCTCATCCTGCACCAGCCACGTCCATGTGCACAACGTACTCGTCCGTAGGCAACGGCGTGCTCCTGGCGCGTAATCTGTCTGCGAACGCTACTTCTCTCAGCGCTACGGCCACGAACAGCTCAGCGACGCCCTCGCTGACGCCGGTGACGAACTCCACGCAGGCATCCGCCACACCGGTAAGTCCGCTCATACACATGTACTTGCTCCTGATCTCACACTTCCCTGCCGTAGCTGCCCACCGTGACGCACATGTCCATTCCCGCTAGCAGCACCCCAAGCGCGACTGGATACTCGCGGAAGGCAAGCGGGACTATCGGTCGCGCTCATGTCGATGCTCTCTGGCAACTGCTCGTTCTCCTCGGGGCCGCTCTTGTCGGCATGTCGTTCTGCTTCTGAATGGCTCGGACTAGACTTGGATGGCTGGGCTATGACCTCGGGCGCTGGCGCCGGCTTCGTGATGGGCTCGGGATGACTACCCTTTTGGACAAGATGACAACGAACAACCTAATCAACAACCACGGCCTTCTCTGTATGGGACACGCTACTAGGACACATCTGGGACTCGGGTAGTCACTGCAAGGGACAAGAACTAGCTCTAGCATATGGATGATTTCCACAACTGTACACTTACTTACTAGACGCACTACGCAGCATGATTGTTGAAATGTACATTGCTATTCCTCCATCTCCTATGTGCTCGTACAACTGGGCCATGTGAGAAGTACCGATACAAGATACAAAGCGGATTCGAAGTGCTACAGCGAATGTGTTCCTTCCCCCTACCATGATTAATGGATACAGGCTGAGCCCTCAAATGTCGAGAGGCAGAATGTCAGGGATAGGACCGACGGGGACGATTCGGTGTGGGTTGATCTGCGCGTCCATTAGCGCATGACATCATACAGGAACTGATCTACACACCATGGGATGAGACCAATAGTAGTGCGTCTTGATGTGTTCGAAGTTGCACGTCTCCTTGAATGCGGGGAAGTTCCAGTATAGCTTGCGGAGCCAGCGGTGAATGGCGGGGTAGCCGTCGCGGATCGTGCGGATGTTGCACTTAAAGTGCCCGACGTAGACGGGGTCGAAGCGCACGATGGTGACGAAGAGCCGGATGTCCGCCTCCGTGAGCTGGTCGCCAATGAGGTAGTCCTTGCCCTGGAGCATCCCCTCGAGTCGGTCGAGCGAGGCAAAGAGCGGGTGGACCGCCTGCTCGTACGCCGCCTGCGTGCTCGCGAAGCCGGACTTGTAGACACCGTCTGCGGGCGGTCAGCGAAGCCTCGCGCGCAGAAACGGGGACCCACGCACTGTTCACCGTGTTGTACACCCAATCATTCACCTCGTCGATCTCCTTCCTCAGGTGCTCCGGGTAGAAATCGAGCTTCGCCTTCTCCTCCGGGAGCAGGTGGTTGAACGCCGAGTTGAACTCCCGGATGATCTCCGAGCTCTCGTTGTTCACGATCGTGTCCTGCTTCTTGTCCCAGAGGATGGGGACCGTAAAGCGGCCCTCGTAATCGGGCGCAGCGCGCAGGTAGAGGTCCTTGACGTGCTGTGCGCCGTGCAGCGGGTCCGCGTCCGTGCCCGGGAACGCGTCGGCGCTCGCGAAGGGCCAGCCGTGCTCGCCCATGTGCGGGGAGACGACGCTGACGTCGATGAACTCTTCAAGCCCCTTCAGTTGGCGCATGATCAGGGTGCGCGTCGCCCATGCTGGACGCGAGGTGGGTTAGGACGCGTCGGGTGGTTCTGAGTTGGAGGGCGCGACTCACGGCATGCGTAAGATACATAGAGGTGGTAGCGACCTGTCTAACATACGTCGGCAATGCATTTCTGACGCGATGAACGATCCTACGCACCCTTCTCTGGTTCAAACTTCCCGCCCTTCTCGAGCGAGTCCCGGAACTGGGACGCCTTGCGATTGAACGAGCCGTCGCCCTCCACCTTCATCTTGCTGATGTCGGTATGGTGCGAGACGTCTCTGCTCATGCTGAGTCGCGGTGTGTACGTGCAAGACGCTGGTCGCAAGGATGGTCTGGAGCGGAGCGCGCGAGAAGCAAGTGGGAGAAAGCGGATGAGGGGCAATGTCAATGTCATGCTTCGCAGCGACTTCTTATATCATCTGAGTCAAGTCCGGCCTTCAGTCCGACTGCGAGTTCGAACTATATACTGGTCGATGATTCGTGATGTACATTATGACAAAGAGGTCGGTCAAAGCCATGACAGGGTCTCTGCCTTGGAGCGTGGAATGGAGTAGCTGATTGTGGATGTCGGTTCCCTGACTGGCTGTGGTGCTGACTGAAACTTGGGCATCTCGAAGTGCTTCAGTCGCGGCCTTTCGTAAAGTGACAGCTTGTAAGTAAGGGGAACAAGTAGAGGCACGCAGTGGAGTCCATTCAGCAATGGCAAACTGAGGCAAAAAGTCTCATGCAGCTTCGCGGCCATGATACGGCCCCGCGTTCAGAAGTCCAATCGAAGAGCATGGATGAGATCAATCACGCATTCTGCCGTCCAATACAACTCGAAGTGCAGTCAGTGACAGTGGCTAGGCCATACTTGCAGCCGTACGAAGACTGGGTGGAAGCAGAAAGGAACACGTTGCGCAAGGGGGCTGTCATGTAGGTGATAGCCTCTGCACATGTGTCACAATGCCTAACACCACTCACCTACATCGACGACGAACGGGCATGAAGGGGGGCAACGTTGCTTCAACCTGAAAGAGCTTTGTTATGGGAGCAAGGGATAGCGCGGTATGTAGCCGGAAATACCATCGAAGAGCTTGAAAGATCAACAACGCATCCGAAAGTCCATTGCAGCATTATCCGTGAGGTATGACCATGAAGCCCTTGACAATTACAAATGAATGACCCCCGAACCTGAACTCAACTGCCTGCCATGCCGGTCACACCGACATTATCACGGATCATTGCGATCTCAGAAACAGTCAAAGAGCCCTTGCTCGCGCAGAAGAAGTCCTCCCAAGCCTGCGCCGCGTCGCTGCCGTTCGGGAACTCGGACCTGCACCGGGATTGCGTTAGTTCAGTGTAGCATGAGAAATCACCAGGCACTCACTTCAGGAAGGCATACAGATGCTCCCAGAAAGCAGGCTTCGAGATGGTCGTGTGGTACGGCGTGTTCGCCGCGCCAGATTGGGACGGCTCGGGTATGTTGGTCGTATCCAGTACGAGGGGTATGTCGACCAGCCTCTCTCCCGGCGACGGCGATATTGACGGGGATGGCGAGAGAACGATAGAAGGCGTACGCCCGTGTCCTCCACGGGTCCGCGAAGGCTGCTCCGGAAGCAACGTGATGGACCCTCCCTCCGCCTTCTGTGGCGCAGGCGCGGCGACGGGTGCTGGCGTAGACATCTTCGATGGATCCCAATCGAAGCCGGGCTTGACCATGAGCGTGACGGTGTCCCCGTCCTTGATGCTGTATTCCTGAAGGAGCTTGCTGTCTGCGAGAGCCTTGCCCTTCAGAAGTAGTCTCTGCGCGTCCGAGGGCGGTGCACCGAGTTCTGACGCAAGCTGCGCCTTGATGCCTGAGACGGTGTCGGTGGGCTGTACGGAGAGCGTGTAACTCTTCGCGGGCTTGATAGACTTGAAGGTGATGCTCAAGGAGCCTGTGCGGGCTCGTACTTATAGCAAATGCGAGGCAGAGTGGCGGGGAGGCTTACCTGTGGGCGTAGCTTGTGACACCTTGCGTTCAGGAAGAGGAGGCAGTTCTACCTAAGCGACGCGGCGCGCTATTGGTCCCCAGGCTAAATGATGATCATAATTTCACATACCGGTAGCACCGGGATCTTCTTCAGTGACCTCTCGGGAGGCTGTTGGAAGCTGTCCGCGTACGTGATGGGCTGCGAGGAGAGGTTGTTGACGAACGTCTTTGCGAACGCCAGCTCTGCTTGCTCAGTCATCGTGCCTATCGACTGGGGTGTTGTTCTGGGTGTTCAGGATGGATGCTTTCGAGGAACAATTGAGAGAATTGCAACAGAATCGAGAGCACAGCTTCAAGTTACTTGGCGACCCAGGGCGACCCGCCGCGATTGCGGGGCACAGAACGTGACATGCGCGCGTTGTCACGGTCACACGTTGCGTCACACCCGCCAATCCCGGACTCGGATCCAGACGACCTCTCAGCGTCGCTCACAACGTTTAAGATGGCGGTACGTGTGTTCATCGGCATTGCTATGTTTTGCGCTGAAGGCATCAATTAGTCTGGCTTTGGCTTCAACGGAGGTACGACAAGAGCTATCGAATTGCTATCCGCCTTGTGATTGAATTGGCGACTAGGTGTACCACGCTGTTTCCCGTACTGGCAGGAGTTTCAGAAGGTATGCCGTGGCTCTTTCATGCCCATGAGCTGTTCTGAATTGCATATGCTCGCTAGTGCTACGCTCAAACAGATGTGCCCGCGAAGTGCAGACCGCCACTAGACGACTACTTAGAATGCTTGCATCACACCAACGAGGCACGTCACTCATCCGTCTCTCAACTTACTCTCATCTAATGAATATGTTACTCGCCCACGTAGATTGCCCGCGCGAAGGCCATCAAGTCTGAGTTCATCCGCAAGGCCGAGCACCAGGCAACGGAGGGCCGGAAAGCGGCGGAGATCGTTGCAGACGGTGCTATCGTGGGTGTTGGACTTATCAAGCGAAGTCAGGAGGAAGCAGAGTCTAAGTAGGTACTCGCAAGGCTCAATATATTGCTGTGCACATTGTTCCTTGTGTCTCTGTTCCGTCATCACTGCAATTGCTGGCCACAGTTGTCGCGGTAAGTACTTGCATGGGTACCACTTCTGCGAGGAATGGGTATCCCTTCGAAAGTTAGCGCCACAATATACACTCTTCCTCCTACCCGCTTGGTCCACACTCCTTCCGTAGACTATCTCATCTCGTATAGCACCAGCGAGCGAGTGTTATGTGTTACAAAATCTACATGATACATCATCGATATCATGGGCGGTGGACTGTATAACATACACTCCGACATAGCAAGTACTATCAGATTCAGACCCCGGCTCAATTCCTTCCTGATGCTTACCTAATGTGTAATGACCGGACCTGGTCGGGGTTCAAATTCTCTCGATCCGCGTCGCAGAACGCCTCTCCGCAACTCGCACTCGAATTTGACTCCCGACCATCTTTCCTCTTCGTTTGTTCCTCTCACTGCAACTCGGCCTCAGAGATGGCGGGAAACGGAAACGGCTCGTTGAGCTCGCCGATTGTCATCTCAGACGACGAGGACGCTGCACTCGTCGAACGAGAGCTGGGAGGCTTCGAAGCGAGGTTGACCGACCCTGAACCGGGCTTCGAGCCCCAGATGGACGATGTGACCATGTATGATTGGGGACAGCAAGAGTTATATCCGTCGTCGGACAGTCTGCCGATGAATGGCTTCAGCGATGGTGAGTCGTTCAGTGGCCTGCAAGACGATCTGAGAGTGATGTCTTCTAGTTATGCAAGCGCCAGCGCCTGTCGCCGGCCAGAAGCGCAAGCGAAAACAAAACATGCAAGCTGGGCCCTCCAATGCCGTGCAGGGTGTGCAAGAGAGCAAGAACCAACGGAAGAAGCGACGACGGGCCGAGCGACTTGCGGCTCAGGATTCAGAACGGGTATCACAGGAGGACATGCAGGTCTCCTCTTCTGCGGCCCCTTACACGCGCCCCAAGTTTGCTCCCCTCCCTGATCGCCCGGTCGCCACCTACCACGATCCACAGCATAAAGGGATTTTGCCACCCGTCTCATGGACCGCCTCTTTCTCCGCACACACGGCCGCAATGCCCCAATCCTTTATGCCCGCGCTACCTTTGAAGCCGTCTCCCTCCACGTCATCCTTCGTGCCCGCCCCAGAAAGTATCCCTCCATTTACCTTCCCCGCGGCTATCCCGCAGATACCAGAGCGTCACCAACCCCCTCACATACCATCGCCCGCATCTGCTCCTCATATCCCTCTCCCAAAGCCGCCCCCTCTCCTTGTAACAGACGCCGCTCCTGTAGGCCAAGGTCCTGCGCCGCAGAAGAAGCTGCTTGGGACAGCGCGCGAGAACGACAAGACTGGGCTCGGTTTGTTCTCCTCTGAGCTCCTCAGCCAGCCCCCGCCAGATCCGACGCGCACGCTCGTCCTCGCACCCATCCCCAGGAAGTTCCGCAACCCCGAGTTCGTCAGGCACTGGGCGAACCGATTTTCGCGTCCGATGCCGATCCGCGTCGAAGTTGACAAGACGAGCGGGAAGGCGCTCGTAGAGTTCCAGAACGTTGCGTTGGCCGATATGGCGTTCGGCAGCCAACGGATGGCGGGCGAGGGCAAGGAGCACATCCGCGCGTGGTGGTATCGTGAGCCCGCGAAGAACCCATCGGACCTGGAAGAGGGCGAGATCGAGGAGGGCATCGTGGAGGCGCCGGTTGTTCCCCAGGCACAGCCGACGAGCAAAAAGAAGCTCAACAAGAAAGAGAAGAAGGCAAGAAAGGCCCAGGCAGCCTCGCAGATGGTAGTGAACACGGAAGGCCAGCGACAGGCGCCTCATCAACCACTGTCATATCTTCCTAGGTATCCTTCGCACCAATCCACTGCCGATCGTCTTTCTGTGGCTCCGATGCCAGTGCCGCTCCCGATACCTCCGCTTACTCGTGCCGGACAGTCGACAAATGCCGCCTCGAAGGCTCCCCTCGTGCCTGCATTGCAACCTCCTCAGCCTGACGTTCTGCCTCCATCGAAACCCAAGCCTTTTGCTTACCGTGGCTGGGCGGGTTTCATGGACCGATCAGAAACGTACCGGGTCTTGACCGACGACGAGGACTCTGAGGACGAAGGCCCCAGCCCCGAGGCGGAGCGCAGTTTGCACTATTATGCGGGATCCCGTCAAAAGGAGCAGCAAGAGGAAGAGCAGGCGATGGACCTCGAGTCAGACGACGAGGCTCCCATCCCGCCGGAAGAGCCCAGCCCGGATTCTCGGTATGCGGTTTGGGGAGAATCGGCGATGGCTGTGGATGTTTCTGCGGCGGACAGTGCGTCCATCGCGTCTTCGAGGGCGGGATCCATTGAGCTCGAGCACGAGAAAATGCGCGTTGACGACACGGGTCCTTCGGTTCCTGCGGCAGCACAAGTTGAAGCGACAACTCCATCAGCTCCGAAACTACCTTCCTCACCAGGCCTCCCTAAGCCGTATGTCCCGATTCCCCAGCTGCAGACCGCAACGAGCCCCGTCAAGCCTCTCTCGCCGTCTGCCTTCACCATGGTGGAGCCTCCAGGTGCAGTGTTGGCAGTCAGCTCGACGACCACTACCCTAGCGTCACCCAAGACGTCGGAATCGGCGCGCTCAATCGCCGTCGCTCCCTCGGCGATCCTCACGAACGAGGTTCCGGCCCCAAACCCTGTGTCAGCCATCGTACCTACCGTCACACGTCCGGACGTTTCTATGCCTCAGCCAGCTGTCAGCCAAGAACCATCTTCGGAGCAGCTCAAGGGTTTTGTCGACATCTCTTCATCCGTTGAGTCGGCTCTCCCAAGTATGACAGCCTCGACTACAGTAGAACCTTCGCCCATTGTAGTGCACGCCAAACGCTCGCTGCTCGAGAAGCAGAGGGAACTCGAGGAACGGATCGCTCGCGCCAAAGAGGAGCTGGCGCGCAGGAGCGCGATATCCAGAGCTAGTACCAGCAGGCACACGTCGCCCGAGGAAGAGCAAAGCAAGCCGGCACCTGCGAGCAACCGCGTTGCCGAGGGAGCACCCCCTAACTCGACGGAGATGCTCTCTGCCCAAGAGCTGCGTCGCTCAGCATTGCAAAGCAGGCGGAAGGTTGGGCATGCGGCTGTTGCTTCGACTGGGGCTCCTCAGCAGAAGGAATCAGCTGTAGCCTCCAGCGACACGTCCGCAACGTCCACGGTTGTGGGTGATGACGCTTCGGGCACGACTTCAGCTCCGAAAGCGGGCGCTATTAACTTCGACGAACTTGCGGTCTCATTCATAACCGAAACGCTGCAGACGGTCAAGCCGTCGCCCCCTTCGGACACGCCGCAGCCTCCAGATGCAGGCAACCTCGCACGTGCGGGAGCGCTTGAACCCGTATCCCATTCTGTACCCTCGACCGCCCCAGCGACGCAGAAACCAACTTCGGCTGCTCCTCACCCGCTTGCGTCAACGCAGTCACATGCGCCGGTCAAGTCCAACCAAACGACCGCAAAGACTCTTCTGGCTGCAAAGCACAAGCGGCTCGAGCAGCACATTGCCGAGACGAAGGTGCTGATGGCGAAGCTCGGCACAACGCGGTCGAAGGCAGAGAAGGAAAACATTCTTCGCATGCTGCGCGAGCAGCAACGGTAAGCCGTTCATATCTACCCGCCCTTTTGCGGGACACCTCTGAGCCTTTTGCAGCGCGATGGACGAGGACATGAAGGCTGACGCGTCATCGAAGCCTACGTCGCCTTCACCTGCTCCTCCATCGTTGGCTCCGAACGGATATGTCAGCCACCATTATAAGCCACCAATGGCGCACGCGTGGAAGGGGCACTGGCCTGAGCCCACCAGAGACGCTATGATTCTCATCATCAGTGATGACGAAGACGACGAAGACTGAGTCGCCAGGTGCACTGGTAGGTATGAACGTCTGGTTTATTTCTTGGTTTATTGTAGAATTGTACACTGGACAACGCACAACGCGCAACCACCGACACCTGTACACGGAATCGCTCTTGGACAGCAGGAAGTACATTACGTCCCTTACGCTACGAACATCTAATAGCGCTCTTTCTCACAGGACATAATGTCCTGCTGCGCTTTGTCGCGTGAGGTGAGTTGCATGCACTCCTCGCCAGAGTAGTCTGATCGTTATTCACAGATCATACCCCATACCTACTCTTCGGCCCGTCAGTCGCGAACATCACTAGCTGTAGGGTCCACAGGAGTGGCGGCGCATCGCTCGTTGACGTATGTGCTTTGGTAGTGCAGGGTGGCAGATCTGCTCTCGCTCTCGCCGATTGATCGGCAGATGCGGAGCTAAGTCTGCGTGCCCTACATCTGCCTTGCGTGTCGGTGGGCTGTAAGCGCGTCGTTCGATCTTGCTATCCGTTTGTCGTGTTCTTGTGTCGCTTTCAATGCATTGCTATCGTGTCCTCGAAGTTGTGTACGCAATGGCACCAGTGAGCGCGTGCAGTATGAAGGTTACATCTCTCGACGCTGGACAGCACACAGTGAGATTAGCGCACGAAGATCGCGGGGGAGGAGGGGAGGGTGAAGTACGTGTTAGACAATGCTACCTTGGTCTATTTTTACTTGCGCTAACGGTTGTGCGCGCAGACATCGTTCACGGAGCTGTCGCGTGATGAATGCTGGTTCAGCGCGAGACCGACCGAATTACAACAGTGTGGCAGAAAACATGCTTGAAGCATGGAAGCTTTCGGTATCAAATTCCATTACTGAATGCAGTCTTACCACGCTGCAGCCAGGCCCCTTCGAGTCACGATGATCCCGCTGCAGCAGAGCCTGACGCGACCGAAAGAGATGTTGTAAGTAAACGCAATGATTAGCCAGTAACATGTTGTGTGCGCTCAAACCGGTTGGCATTGTGGCCTGTACAACGATGATGGCACATGTCCACCTGTGCCGGGCTTCCTTTCCATTCATTCATCGAGATACCCCGTGTCAGTCGGTTTGCCTGTGGCCCAGTGGGCCATGTTCACTGACTTCTCGACGCAAGGTGGAAAGACCCCTGTCTAGGCAGCGAAAATGCGGAGACTGGCTGGCAAAGCAGGTGATGTACAATGTCATGTCAATTTCACACTGCTAATAGGATGAGTTACGAAGGTCCATCAAAATCACCCGAGTCGGTCCACGGCAATACATAGTGTGACATGAAGAGCATAATCATAACATGTGCATGTGAGCGTTACCACAACTAACATGTCTGGAACTGGTAACCCTGGTCCTGCAGATACATTTGTGCCAGCGTCACGAAGCCTCCCATTCCTGCCACCATAAGACCGGCGTACCAGGCCCTCTGGACTCCGTCCGGGATGACGTTGTGCTTCTTCTTCCATAAAATCCAGCACCCGAGCGTCGAGCAGGCGGAGAACTGGTCAGCCGCCAGCCATGCCATCATCCACGCCCTCTGGGCCACAGTGCTGTGATTGGGCCGATAGCCGGTGAGTGCGTATACCACGACGTGCGGCAGGATCATCGCGAGGAGGAACAGGGAGATGATGGTTGTCCTCTCGCGCGGCGTAATTGCTTCCAGCCTCCTCACTGTATCTTTGGGCGGAGGACCATCGTGGCTGAATGCGGACACCGCGAACTTCACCACGGGTTCCGCTGGCGGAAAGGATCCGGCTTGTGTTGTACCTCCTGCCCCTGCGGCCTCGCGGCCTGCGCGAACGAGGCGGTACTCCCTGCTCTTTCCGTCCAATGTAACAACGAGGATCGTCTCTTTGGAGCCACCGCTCTTCTTCCGGTCCTCTGTGCGCATCCGCACTGCGACATAGTCTCCTTGGCTTAGGGGGTCCGTGCCCCAGTTCTGGGGCATGCACTCCTTCTTCACGGTGCCGATAGTCCCGTCGTATTCCGTGTTAGTATCGCCCCGCCGCACTGACTCCTCGAGTATGGGAGTCCGCAGGAGTTGCGCACACGTGTAGCTGTCCACGAAGACCCCGCAGAGCAGGTTCATGACGGACATGATCACGTAGGGGGTCACGGAGAGGCCGTACGCCGCGTACCCCCAGCGTGGGATCTGGGTCGTCTGCGAGACGTACAGGCTGAACGTGCCGATGACCATCTGGGCGAGCGACAGCAGCGTGACAATGAAGCCCGGGCGGTAATGCACCTTCAGCCGTTTCGTGTCGTTGATATGTTTCTTGATGAGAAACTCGGCGTAGCCCTTGCGCACGGGTGTTGCCAGTGTGTAGCCTGGTGGTGGACTCGCTATGCCGTGGAGCATGTGGTCATCGGCGGTTGTTGGCTGGTAGGCGTGTTCCTCCCCTTCAGCATCGAGCACGATGGTGGCTTCCGGGAGCGAGGCTCCATACGGCGTACTGCGTAGACCACGTCGCTTGGTAAGTATACTATCATATTACCACAAAGCCGGTGGACTCACTCATTCTGTTGGGCGAACTTTGTAGGGAGCCTCGTGTAGACGACCTCATCCCTCGTGCTAGGCTGCCAATCCGGAGCTCTCACCACGACGAGAAGAGCCCCGTGTAGAAGCGCAGCGAGGACGCCGTCTCCGTCGCTCCTGACCTGCTGAGCGAGCAGGATAAGCGTTCTCGAGAGCGCGAAGAAGGGTAGGAACAGCGAGATTGTGTTGAGCCACAGGTTCCATCGCCAATTGTCCCGGCGCGTAACCTTCTGTCCGTATCGTCCGATGTCTGCTCCGACGGGGATCGCGGCGGCATGGATGACGTAGTTGCCGACTAGGTAGCTTGCCAGGTTGTAGATGATGACCGCGTCCGCGAAGCAGGCACTGGTGTCAACGGTCACGGTCCCTTCCAGAGAGACCGGTGCTGCACGGGCTGGTGCAATAACGACGACGAGGAATAGTGCCAGCCCCACTTGAAAGGAGAGTCTCGAGAGAAGGGTGAGGGAGGAAAACCAATTGTGACTCGGCATTTTGGGGAGTCTTGACGGACTTCGACTACATTGTCGCGTCCCAATTCTCGAATCTTATACATGGCCATGGCCTCCACGCAGCTGCACAGCACACCTTAGTATAGCTTGTACATGCCCTAGCCGTGAAGCGTACGAATGGCTCCCGCATCACACGTTGCGTTGTTGGGGATGAAGTGAAGTGTAGTATCACGATGTGGATGCGCCTTGCCCTAGTACCGACCGGACGGCGAGTCTGAGCGAATATGGCAGACTCTTCTTCCGCGATTCTGCTCTGCTATAAAGTGAATGTTGATTAATTGGTCTGAACGGCGTCGTTGAAGCCGTGCACTTGCTGGCCGACGACTGCTTCGCATGCATTGTAGGTCGGAGCCGCAACGGAGATCAGACCTATAGAACCGCTGACGTCATGTCAGGATACTCAACCCTTAGACCATGCTTACTAGGTATGAGTCGTACATTCTGGACCTCGGACTGCATCGTGCCATTCTAATTGAACGAACTAAATGCTTCGTCACGATATTTCCATGATGACAAATATGCTCAATGCTGTCGATGTATTGCCGTAAGTGGTTCTGAACAGCGTAGAGTAATACCATCAAGTGAACGTCTGCCTTAGAAGTGAACCAATTTAATCCAGTGAACTGGTGAAGTTAGTACGATAGTACTTGAATGATGGTATTAGTAGACCTACTACAGTGCGGCTCAGAGGCATATTATTCGGTTCGTGCGGTGTGAAGAATAGGGAAACTCGGAGGTAATTGAATGCAGAAGCACTAGGTCAAGATATGGTCAAGGTCCCAGTGGCTTTGTGACTCGAAGTGCCGTGTCCGAGTCGGAGGCCCCGTTTGGATTTTCGGCGCTTAGATTACGATCTGCGCAACCGGGAACTTGGCAGCCGGGTGACACGGTCTGACACCGTGCCGTGGATTACTTACAGTCGATTGCAGAAATCATGGCACTCGCGGATTTTTTTTGACGCGCGCAATGACGCGCGTGAATCTTCCGACCCAAAGTTCCGAGCTTCCTTACCAGTGTCTCTAGCTATGATAATGCAGCATAACTTCGCTTCTCTGTTCTGGAAATGACAATAACACTACCAGATAAGTCCCTGGTCATCATAGCAGTGAGGTTTAATGGAGAAAAATACGGCAATGCGTAGAACTGGGTTCTGTTACGCGGTCTATCCAATTGTGGTAATAATGCACGTGATTGTTCTGTGCTCGACACGCCAGACTTCTTATTGCGCATTCAGCTCATGGATCCTCCTTTTTTATGTCATAGACCTGTTCCAAGACACATAGAGTAACATGTGGTAGTGTAAATTGCTGTAGTTTTGGTAGAATACATGAGAGATTCGTCATTCGACGACTCGGAAGATGGGCCGGAAGATGCGTGGGAACTTCAGTCGGAAGGTTCACGCGCGTGTCGAATAATTCTGTGAGTGCCAACATATTCGCAATCGACTGTAACAGTTAACTTCATCGCAGTCACTCCAACCTCAATGCGTACGCCGCGAAATCACTATGATGCCACGTTTGTGCGTTGTCCAATCTACACATAGTACATACTCAACCGTTAGCCACATCTAAGGAACCAAACAGTAGGTCGTGATAGTATTGTCACGGTGATCCGTGGATGCGGGGCCGTGACCACAGCTTGACATAGCAGTGACGTAGTTCATTGCACCACAGCGCTGCACGCCCTCGCCATCCGTAACGCCTTCTTGCCCTCGCCCACCCACTCACCCTTGGCACCGCTACACCTCTAGCCAAGAATCTCGTCCAATATCACGTCGTGATGGACAAACATACGAAGATACACGCTCGGCACGACGATGTGCCCAAGGAACATCGAGTACACAGGTGAGCTTGCCTTACAGTAGTTGACAGCACAGAAGTCAATGTTCACCCCATCACAGGACTGGCGACTGGCTCCCCGGAGACCATCGCATCCACAAGGAGTGGCTGAGCGGCGTGATCGAGCACGTCGACAAGAACCCGAAGGATCTTCACCCAGTCCTCCAAGAATTCAAGACGCTCATCGAGACCGACACTCGCGTTTACATGCTCATGCAGTCCATGTTCGAGCAGGTACCCACCAAACCGCCCTACTCGTCCGACCCGACCGGACACAGGCAGATCCGGGACTACGAACACATGCTCCAGTTGTTCAACCACCTCATAACGACGCCGCCGCAGTGGAGCGACCGCTCGCACCGCGTTGGTATGGTCGGCGTGCCTATCAATGCCGTCCTCGACTGGCCGATGGGCACCCCGAGTGGCTTCGCACTCTTCCTCGATCCGGGGGTCAACCGGATGCTCAAGAAGGTCCTCGACGCATGGGGCGAATACCTCCGCTCCGGAGAATCCGCCAAACAGGCGCTGAACGACGGTCCGAACGGCTGGTTCAGCGCAGACGGCACGGCCGACCTCACCACCGTCGCAAACGGTGCTGTGGGTACCTCGCACACGTTCGAAGACATATTCGAGTGCGACCCATCAAGGCCCTACCATGGCTTCGCGTCCTGGGACGCGTTCTTCACGCGCAAATTCAGAGAGAACGTGCGCCCGGTCGCTGCGCCCAACGACGACAACGTCATCGCGAACGCGTGCGAGTCGAAGGCGTACAACGTCGCGCGTAACGTCGCGCTGCGAGACGCGTTCTGGATCAAGGGCCAGCCGTACTCTGTACTCGACATGCTTGCGTACGACGAGCGTGCGCCGCTCTTCGCCGGCGGGACCGTCTACCAGGCGTTCCTCTCCGCACTCTCGTACCACCGCTGGCACGCGCCTGTCAGCGGGCGCATCGTGCGCGCATACGTCAAGGAGGGCACGTACTACTCCGAGCCGCTCTTCGAGGGCGTCGGTGACCCCGCCAAGCGCGACACGGACGGGGACGCAATCAACATGCAGAACGAGAACGCCTCGCAGGTGTACCTCACCGCGGTCGCGACGCGCGCGATCATCTTCATCGAGGCGGACAACCCGGCGATTGGCCTCATGGCATTCCTGGGCGTCGGGATGACCGAGGTGTCGACGTGCGAGATCACGGTGCGCGAGGGTGACCATGTGAAGAAGGGGGACGAGATCGGGATGTTCCACTTCGGTGGTTCGACGCATTGCTTGATGTTCAGGAAGGGCGTAGATGTGCAAGGATTCCCGGATCCGGGTGGGGCAGAGAACGTTCCTGTGCGTGGCAAGCTGGCAGTCGTCAAGAGCGGAGTATAGCTTTCGCGCGTCGACGGGCAGCCGTCCAGTGCATATTTGGCGGACTGTAGGATCACGCTGCGCCTCAGTACATAGTAGTCGATGGAGCGCACGCACCAGGGAATAGACATCGCATTAGTAACACAAAGTTTAGGACGTACGCTTGTCGTGATAAAAGAGTGAACCGAGGAGTAAGTATACCGGGTTAGCGGGCGCACATGGGCCTGCGCCACATAAGTAAGTTAAGATTGTATGGCAAAGGGTATGGAATGAATTACGACCGTGAAGCTTTGAAGGTCGAGTACGCACCTTTGAAGGGTTACAAATGGTTCTAGGCCTTTCTACTTAAGTACTATGACGCGAAATTTGTCGACATGCAAGTGGATGAGAAGAGCACTGAGTGCTCTGAATCGCTCAGCCACAGCGGCGAGACGCGATAGTCACGTGTGCGTGTCGATTGCGCTCGCCGATCCGAAGGCAAGGGCGACGCGTCTCGCAGCCTAACTTCTCCTGACCCCTGTTCCGCTTTTTCCAAACCTGCCTTGAAGTACACAAGCTCGAGGTTTCAATCCCTCGAAACACTAGCGAGGTCACTGGGGTCGACGTCTCGACCGCCACACCTGGCGCCCACAAGCGCAACGCTCCACCAAAAAAAAATCCTGCCTAGAATGTATGATCGATAATACCTCTTGACCTCGACTATATGAAATACTCTGCGGTGCGGCAATAAGTAGTGCGATATAATGTGCATGTGAGCGTTAACACAACTAACATGTCTGAAACTTGTCACCGTGGTCCTGCAGATACATCTGTGCCAGCGTCACGAAGCCTCCGACTCCTGCCACCATAAGACCGACGTACCATGCTTTATGGACTGCACCTGAAATGACGTTGTGTTTCTTCTTCCATACGATCCAGCACCCGAGCGTCGAGCAGGCGGAGAAGTGGTCAGCCGCCAGCCATGCCATCATCCACGCCCTCTGGGCCACAGTGCTGTGATTGGGCCGGTAACCGGTGAGTGCGTATATCACGACATGCGGCAGGATCATGGCGAGGAGGAACAGGGAGGCGATGGTGGCCGTTTCGCGGGGTGTAACTTCCTCCCGCCTCTTAACGGTATCGTGGGGCGGAGGACCGTTGTGGGTGAGTGCGGATACCACGAACTCCACGGGTTTCGCTGTGCCTTTAGCCCCTGCGGCCTCGCAGCCTGCGGGAACGAGGCAGTACTCCCTGCTCTTTCCGTTCAATGTAACAACGAGGATCGTCTCTTTGGAACCGCCGTTGTTCTTCCGGTACTCTGTGCGCATCCGCACTGCGACATAGTCTCCTTGACTTCGCGGCTCTGTGCCCCAGTTCTGGGGCATGCATTCATTCTTCACGGTGCCAATCGTCCCGTCGAATTGCGTTTTGTCATGGCCCCTCCGCACTGCCTCCTCGAGTATGGGAGTCCGCAGGAGCTGCGCACTCGCGTAGCTGCCCACGAAGACCCCGCAGAATAGGTTCATGACGGACATGATCACGTAGGGGCCGTACGCCGCGTACCCCCAGCGTGGGATCTGGGTCGTCTGCGAGACGTACAGGCTGAACGTGCCGATGACCATCTGGACGAGCGACAGCAGCGTGACAATGATACTCGAGCGGTAATGCACCTTCAGCTGGTTCGTGTCGTTAAGATGCGTCTCGATGAGAAACTCGGTGTGACTCTTGCGCATGGGTATTGCCAATGTGTATGCTGGTGGTGGACTTGCTATGCCGTGGAGTATGTGGTCGTCGGGGGTTGTTGGCTGGTAGGCGTGTTTCTCCCCATCAGCATCGAGCACGATGGTGGCTTCCGGCAGCGAGGCTTCATATGACGTACTGCACACATCACGTCGCTTGGTCATGTCTCATACTATCATAAACCCGATGGACTCACTCATTCTGTTGAGAGAATTCGTCGGGGACTTTTGTGTAGACGAATTCATCCCTCGTGCTAGGTTTCCATTTCGGAGCTCTGACCACGACGAGGAGGGCTCCGTGTTGAAGCGCAGCGAGGACTCCGTTGCCTTTGCTCCTGACCTGCTGGGCGAGCAGGATGAGCGTTCTCGAGAGCGCGAAGAAGGGTAGGAACAGCGAGATTGTGTTGAGACACAGGTTCCAGCGCCATCCGTCCTGGCGCGTAACCTTTTGCGCGTATCGTCCAATGTCCGCTCCGACGGGGATCGCGGCGGCGTGGATGACGTAGTTACTGATCAGGTAACTTGCTAGGTTGTAGACGATGAGCGCGTCTACGTAGCAGGCACTGGTGTCGATGGTCACGGCCCCTTCCAGAGGGACTGGTGCTGCACGGGCTGGTACAATAACGACGAGGATGAATAGTGCCAGCACTAGGTAAACGGAACAAAGGGCGGAGAGAAAGGAAAAGACGGAGAGCCAGCTGTGGCCGGGCATTGCGGTGGGTCCTGACGGACTACGCGGTCGTGTCTTGACTCTCCGATGCACGTTCAGGACGCCCACTGATAATTAGCCTTATATAACTAGTCATGGACAGCTACGCATTGGAACAGCACAGCGCAGTGCCAGTGTAGCTTCTGTAATCTCATTCCGTAAAGCGTCCGAATGGTGCTCGTAGACCACGGTTGATTCAGTGATAAAGTGAATGGTTGTCGATCTGCCTCGTATTGCACGAGTCTGACATCACGTTAACATGAACCGGGAATATCTGCATTGCGCAGCTCTGGCAGCCAAATTGTGATTTCGACCCTGAGAAGTATGTGGGGGAGACATATAAGTATTAGGACGGCGCCGATGAAGGCAAGCACCTGCCGGTCGACAATTTATTGACACATCGTTGTGCAATGTAGGTATCTGCAAATGATCAGACCAATAGAACCGCTGACGTCATAACATGATTGTCAACCCTCTGACAATGCCTAGTGATTCATTGATTCCTCGCACAGTCTCGAGCTTCGCCGTAGCGTTGCAAATGAATTGCCAAATGTGTGGCTCGCTGCATGAGTGTTGTTCAATATTGACAATGTCACGGTAGATAAGTCCGTACAAAGCAATAGGATAGCATCTCGTTGAAGCTTAACCTTGTACGCTACGATGCTCCAACTCATGCATGCCAGTTCGACGATCGTTGTGACAGTTTCATAGTTGGACCGTCACGGTTCGCTTGTAGTACGCGACTAGCTGCAGCGGCAACTGGAGCACGCATGCACGAGTCATAAGCCACACAGCAGTGTCATCCTTATGGAAGGAACTCGCGGCGCGCGCATCGATGCCAGGGCGACCGCGTGAAGTGAACCCCAAAGTAAATCTCCTGTCTGGCGGCCACTGCCAGCCTCCAGGCTTGTAGCCCGGCTATCCCCGATTGCGCAGATCGTAATCTTAGCGCTGGAATCCAAACCACGTTGACCCGGGCCAAAGTTGAACGCTGAACGTTGAACGCTGACCTCTGTATCTGCCTACGTACATCCTAGTCTCCGCCCGCTTTAGATGGCTCCGCTTCTCCCCCCTCTCCGCGTCCGAGGTGTGACAAGTTGTTTTTCTTCCGCTGTAGGGACGTCCGGCGCCCGGTACGATGCGCAGTTTTACTGCGACGTAGTTCCCCTGCTTCCCGATCGAGTCGGACTCCTGCAGATTCCAGCCCGCCTTCAGTGCGCCAATGACGCTGTAGTATCACGGCGGGATTCTCGATGTCCACAGTGCTTCCTCGAGGATGGGCGTGTGGAGCAGGTTTCGACGATCGCAGCGCAGACGAGGTTCATCACGAACATGACCGCGTATGGGAACGGATGATTGACAGGGAGAGATACAGTGTGCAGGTACAACAAGTCAAATGCAAAACCGGATACACATGGCTGACACTACCATGATCTATCTATCAAAGGTGAGATGAGCAGTAAGTTGATAGCTAGACGTCGACATACCTGGGCCAGCCTCCCGCTTCGCACGTCTCACCTCCTCCATGAGCGCCGCAACGTGCCTGTCGAGCATGTCGACGTACGGCTTCAGGGACGTTTTCTGCCAATCTATGCACCACTTATCAAGCCTCGGCTGATAATTTACTACACGAGACTTACCAGAGTGATGTTCCGTGGCCTCAGCCCCAGCGCTCGCACCGGCCTCGTCGAGCTCGCGTAGTAACTGGCTTACTGTGGGCACCCGCTCTGGCCTGAAGCTGTCTATCGAGCTCGGGTCAACGGGTACACAAACTCGACCTGTCTTGGGGTGCACGCAGAAGGGCGCCTTGAGCAAGTGGTTGCGGTGTTTCGAGACTTCCGCATCTAGGCGTGGATAGGTATACTGTAGGACGATGTCCTCCATTGCGGCCACCATGTTATCCTGGCCGTGATGAGCACGCGTACGATGGCCTCAGAAGACATGGTCAGACATACATGTATTTTTCCGCCCTTGTCTGCTCTTGCTTCTCTCTTCACGTCTTCCCACTTTTCTTCAGACGAGCGGGATTTGATCTCCCACTTCGCACGCAATCGCCGGGTGACGCTGGGCTCAGAAATGAGCTGCAGGAGTGTCTCCCAACCTTCTTCCTCAGCGAAGCAATCTTGGTCCTCAAGAATGAGTCTGTGGAATATTGTACGCAGAGATTCAAGCGACATCCTGCACTGGCGTCATCGATGTGCATCACGTAATGTTCAGAGCACTTACTGAATACCGGGTGGGAGAGACTTCGTACCCTGGCGGACGTTAACTTTCTTCTTCATCTCCTTTCCACCCTGGATCACCGTCAGCCAGCCCACCAATGCCCGCCGCTGCTCGTCCGTCAACTCCATCGCCTCCTTGTCCGAGATCCATAAGTGGATACCACGTCGGCCAGAGTAGACCCATAGCAGGTATTTGTAGCCAAATTGATCGCGAATCGCGCGATCGAGCACACGTACAGCAGCGGCGATGAATGCCCAACACCGCTTGCAGATGCCGGCGCCGGAGCAGCACGTACGGATCTCGTCGTAGTCGGTCATATCGATATCGAAGACGAGCTCGCGGAGTTGTGGTGTGAAGTTGGCTGCGCGAACAGTCTTGCGGTCCCGGGGCTGAGATGGACGCTGTCAGGCCCGCACGGAAGGTCGTACAGTCGCGCGACGCACCTTTGCACTGTAGACGGGCCCTATCTCGAAACGCGTGGGGTTCAGCTGGCAGACTTGTTTCTTCAACTCGTCTGCGTCTGCGAACGATTGGTACCTAACGTAGGTGTCCGGCGGGAGCGTGAAGGCCCATTCGCGGTGCGTGAAGCGTCTTGTCGGCGTATGTTCGTGGTTCAGCCAGCCAAAGATTGACTTGTATGGGTAGAGTCGCTTGTAGAAGGCAAGCATGATCTCTGGAGATACTTCCGTGTCAGACATGGCGACGCTTGAAGATACGTGTGGTCAGATAGACGTCGAGGGAGGTGGGGAGACCTGGAGAGACCCGCGAGTCGCGGCGCGCCCCAACGCGGGGATGAAACGCGTCGTGTCACACCGTGACTGCTCGCGCTGCTTGACCAGATGAGATCGGGGAAATTCCCTCCGGACAATTCTACTACTGTATGGCCTCCTCTGTTCGCCCCAGTCATGTTTTGTCAAAAATTTGCATGAACCTGCTAGGTCGTCAATGGCCTATTTATTACAACTTGAAAGCAGAGTGTCAGTCATTGCCAGGAATAGAGTGATTATTTCAGTTCACGCACGGCGACCCTCATCCTTGCGGACCAAGGTAAAAAGACAACAACAACGGAACTCGAACGCCCAATTTGAATACAAAGATGATTAATCTAGCACCAACCTTTGCTCGAGCCACACGCAATAGACCGCTCGGCCATCTCGACACGTAGTAAATTCGGCTATGTTATAATCGATCCGCTTAGCCTCATCAATGGTATGGACAGCACCAACTCAGGACTTCCTTTGTGCTCTTTGGCGAGGGAGTCCATCCGCTGAGAAAATGCGCAGAAATACTACTGGTGCATTGGAAGTTATTGCTAATGCATCTAAGACAGCTGCTCTTATCGCCCGGTTAGATGGCTCGAATTCATCAGGAAAGCGTCACGGCATCTAACTTGCCCTAACCTGTCTAACCCACCTAACTCGTGCCTAATTCATCTCACTTCCTAACGAATTTCGGCCTCTGCGGCCTGCTCAATACCTTCAATAGAGCAGCCATCCATGTATATTACACTAATAAAACACACTACGGTAACAGATCATTACAAACAGCACGGCGAGGTGAATACCATGCTATTGCACGATGTGAATCATGTTCCGGCTACAAACATTTCTGACGGAAGATCTACATGTTCACGCGGGTCAGAACGGGCGACCGGTGGACCAGGCGGGCGGACAAGCGGGTGTGCATGCCTACATAGTCGCACGGATGAACGGTCGGCTGGACCAGCGGGCAAACATGCCTACATGAACAAGCCAGAGACTGTGCAGACAGGCGGGTGAGTGAGCAAACAGGTGAGCATAACGGTTAGTACGACCATTAGGTCGTCCCGGAGCGTGTTCGTGCAGTGCGCACTAGGAGCTTCGCGTTCGTCATCCATTGGTGCAGAGGCAGGAGGTGGGGACACCGGGCATGCAGCGATGCATGTCCTGTGCCTCGCTGCACGTTGGACAGGGCATGACCTTGGTCATTCCCGGGCATGTCCACGCAATCCGCACACGGCGAACGTTTCGTTGGCCGATATACGGGGGGTGGCAAGGTAGCTGCGTCCGGCGAGGGCGTACCTTTGAGAGTCGAGCCTTTGTGCTCATTCTGCCTGTACACCACATGCCCTTCCCCTCGTTCCTCTTCGTGCTCTCCTCGCATCCTCCTCGCCGCACGTTCCTCGCGTTCTGTGTGTCTCCTTGTTGCCCTGCGCTCTTCATAACCCCCGCGCGGCCATGTTACTCGGTGCTGGACTTGCACGCGCGTTGTGCAAGTTCTGGGCGGCGTGGCGGGATACGAGTTGAACTGCCCACGAGTACAACCGCGTGTTTTTGGCGTTTGTCGACCTTGGAGTCACGGAGGACCTTCTCGACGGGGTCGAGGGTAGCACTACAGAAGAGGTCGTTGCACAGCCTCGAAGCGAGCACGGGTGAGGTACAGACCCTGATGATGTGAGCGCTGAGTGTGCCCACGGCTGCGACGATTCGGAGGAAGCTACTTACATGTTTGTTGAGACTGTTACTGCATGCCAGTGTACAGAGGTTGAGATGCGACGCAGTTGCGTGTTGCGGCGTTGCACAAACCCGCTCAAGGCCGCCGCACGTCTGCCCTAAAGCGGATTGTAACTCCGCTTTCGGTCACACGATGCGTACGGCGCTGGCACTTCTCCTTCACAACGGCGGGCGACCCATCCTCGACGCCACCTAAGTCAGGCCTCAGCACTCGTACTCAATGTCGGCAGCCCAGCGAGGTTGTGCAATGGATTGCTCCCATTGTCGCAGCCTCGCTTCTCGCTATCGCATCTCAGGTCCGGGTGCTCTGGCCGCTTGCTCGAGCGGCTTGAGTGTCCTGTCGCTCTTTCCTAGCTCCCACATCCCCTCGCACTCTGCATTGCGACCTCGCCTGCTCGATCTCTTGATAGTCTTAGCCGCTTCGTGGTAGGCCGCGGCGCGAGCGATGTCAACATGTTCCAGACGGCGGCGTACCTCGCGGAGCTCCTCGAAGGTGAACTCGATCAAGACGGAGGAGAGGGCCGAACATATACGCTCACTGCCCTTGAGCGGTTCGGCCGCGAACATCACAGCAATGTTGACCCTCGGTCTGTACCGCGGCCTGACCATGTTTGGACAGTCTGAGCTATCGTACGAGTACCCGGGGACAGTCAGTGCAGTCAACACACCCCTGGGCATTGAGGACAAACCTGCTCATGTACGTCACCTCGTCCTAGGTAGTCGCCGTTAGCTGACACGATGACAGCTGTATTGTGGTCCGTAGACTGCTGCTGGACACGTCACGCAACTTCTCCGCGTTGGTGTCGGGCATTCTTCGCGCACTCGACGCACCGAGGTCATTGTACGGCGCATATGGTGTACACGCCAAGTAGTGAGTGTCCCACAATCGTCTTGAGCTATCGCGGTTCTCACACATAAAGCAGTGGGGTATCAATGTGATAGTAAAGACGACTGCGGACGTGCACCTCGACCTCGTCGTGTACGATCAAGTGCGTCTGTGGTCGAAGTATGCGAACGAGCCGCGCGCTGGCAAGCTTTGGTTCACCCATTCAACGAGTGCAACGCGGACAGCGGCGCTCTTCCTGGAGGTTGTGAACGTGCTCTCTAGGCTCATTAGCACAGTAGTGTCAAGTACTGTACTTTGTATTTGTAGATTGATTGAATGCAATACATTTCTATTGCTGATACCTGATTGCCTGAGTGATTGAATCGAGCTCCGGTACGTCTACTGGCCTCCTGGCCCCACGACTAACCATCTAACAAGTCTCTAACTTCAGAAATGGATCTACTTAACATAGACACTCGATCTAACCGGCCTAAATGCCTAAATGCCTGAATTAGGCAAGTTAGATGCGAAAGTCACTTTCCTGATGTTGGGCATAAGATCAACACCCTCGTATTTCTCTGCCATATTCGTCGAAACATCGCCTGCAACCTCCGGGAGCCACACGGCGGTCCAGCCAGCGCAGCCCGTGGACGCAGAGGCTACGCCTAATATGGACCGTGGGTTTTATAGCCAACCATTGTTCTCGAAACCTACAAAGCGCGCGCGCCACACGCTCAACCTGTCTCTCCTACCACCACACCCGCTTTGTTCCTCCGTCCCCTAAAGCTACCCGGTCCCCAGCCACTACAGAGTTAAGCCTCAGCACGCTTCACATCACAAATTATCACAATGAATACCCTCCTGAATGAGAACACCCTCCGCGCACTCAAGCGCGCCGAAATCCAAAAGCTTGCGAAGGTACGCGCCTTGCCTCGCGTTACGACGCGTCTTCGTTCCTTTACTGATTCCAGTGGCGTTCAGCGTGAAGGCTTTCGCGCAAACGGCAAGACCGACGCCCTCATCGCGGCGTTGGTAGCGAAGTACCCCGGCGGTATCCTACCGTGAGTTGCTCTTTTCTTTGTCTAACCCTGTGACCAACACAGTTGTAGGCTGGAGAAAGAGAAAGGCCCCGCTCGTAGGTCGAAGCGTCTCCAGACGACGGAGCCGAAGGACGAGGAGGAGGAGGTCGCAGTCGAGCCTCCAGTTTTCGGGGACAGCATCTCGCAGTGTAAGTTATCGACGCCACCGTATCAACATGAAACTCACCTTCACTTAGATGTCCCGTCAAGGACCAATGCGACAGTGAGGGCCACCGTCGAGACCGCCGATGAGGCAGACACCCACCAACAGCAGCGCGCAGCATCGCCACTGCCGACCCCGCCACCGCCGTCGCCATCACAACGCCACGAACAGGAGGTCCCTGCACCGCGCCCTGCCACGCCGGTCCTGTCCCTGGTGAAGGCTAGCTCAAGAGGTATGGTCAGTCACCTATATTCATGGTGTGCCACTCACCATCAACGCCACAGGCGTGCGCATCCAGCACAGCCCTCCGGCAGTCACACCACAGCAAGCGCCGGAGTTTGTCCAAGGGTCCTCCGGACTCGTGAACAATCAGGCGCACGCGCTGCAGCGCAAGCAGGAGTGCCTAACGACAGGTGCTCCCACCAGCGCGGCGACGCGTGTACCGAACTTTTCAAGAGCGCGAGAGGGCGCCTCGTTGTCCACCGAGAAGCTCAACGAGCGCAACATTCAGCTCTCGCCACCGAAGCAAGTGGCACCAGCACCAGGCAACGGCCCGGTGTTCCACCCGTCAAGCATCAACGGCCAGGCTGGGCAGTGCACAAGAGCAGGGCCGTCCCGGCGAATTGTCAACCCCCAAGTCGGACCAGCTAGCGCTTTCTCGCTGCATCCCGCAAAGTGGTCGTCTCCCGACGATCAACAGGTCCCAGTGGTAGCCGAGTCCATCTCCGAGATGATGTCCAGGAAACGCCGGCGCGACGAGCTGGAGGATGATGAACTTGACGCTGACAGCGCCGAGGGATCCGACTCTGAAAGCGATGCGAGGTGAGTACTGATCACGCCTGCTGTTCGACATAGTCCGCTCACCCTCGCTTCGTAGCAGCGTGTCGCAGCCGACCGCAGGTCCTAGTCGGGCGTCAGGGTACGTCCCCAAGCCTGTCCCGGGCTACAACGGCCACGAATCCACCCCCGAGCCGGAGTACGAATGGGCGGAACGCTATGCCCTGCCGTACCACTGGCAGTCCGTTCGCGGAGACAATCTCAGGCCATCACCAAAGCGCACTCGCCATCGGTGAATGTAAGCCTATCTTGGTTTGTCTCGTGTTTTCGCTGTAGCTGCTTGCTGCATCGCGTATCATACCATCCGTCGCGTAGTCTTCCCGTCTTTTGTCTTGTTGTTCTGTGGTTTGTATCAGCGTCGGTTTCTCTCGAGGGTCAGAATGAACAAAGCTTACCTCGCACTAATGTGTAGAGGAACAGAGAGAACTCGTCTGTTTGTGTGATCGCGACATAAGTGTGACGATATTGTGACCAGCGCAAACATGAACAATGTTGCCACTGACAATGAGGACATTATCTAAGTGGATGAGAGGGGCGAATATACTCACGGGCTTCAGATCATCGCTATACGCGTTTGTAGTCGAGTGTAGTCGAGCAACAAGTTTAGTACAGCTGTCGCAAGTGAGCCACCCGCAGCCAACGACGGCGGTCGAGAGGATGGGGGGGACAGAAAGAGAGAGCCCTCTCAGCCTATATCCTGCCCAGACTCTTCCCTCGTGGCCAGTGTTTACGTTCCCAGGGTCTCCTGCCACTGTGTCGGAAAACTGCAAGATCTCGCGTGCTCATCCGAAGGGGTTTCGGGACACTCACGGAGGTGGATCGATACAAAAACGGTCCTATGTAATGCCCTTTGATAAGCCATGCGACCAAGTCAAAATGAGGACACACGTACTGTCGGAGATGTTCAGGCTGCTGCATGAGCAGAAGTAGTGAAACCAGGACGGCGGCCTTATCACTGGCAAGCTGTCTGACAAGCCCCACCATGCGTCTGTTCCGCCGAGACAGAGTATAACCTGCGCCAAATCTTTTAATATCTTACTGTGCATGCCAGAGATGTACAGATTTCCACTTACTGTGAGTAGACAATCATAGGGCCAACCTTCATGTTGAAATGGCGGCGCCCTGTGGACTCGGAGGTGGCATACTAATAGACCTTGACGCACAAGCGTGACCGGAGCGTGACTGAACATGAGTGGCACCGATCGTGACTGTCACGGCAGGCAAGCTTTCACCAGCCTGAGAGTCACGCCTTGCACCGCTCCTCATGACCAGTGCGTTGGAAAGTGGATTCAGAGGCACCGCGGGCAAACCAGGTTTTTCGGGCTCCGAAAATGCTAATAACATCGGTCCTCCATGGGAACCTTTTCGGAGAGCTTGACTGACTCCGAAAATGCTCCTACATCTCTCATGTTCGTAGCATGTTCGCCGAAAACACGCATGTTCGGCCTCCGAACATGCTGAAATCGGCTGAAACGCATCATGTTCGCAGCATGTTCTGACAATATTCGGAGTCCGTAAAGGTTCCCAGGCGGGACCGATGTTCGTAGGGGTTTTCGGAGTTCGAACAACCTGGTTTGCCCGCGGTGAGGGTTATAGCAATCCATCCCGTAAAATACAGCAGTGGTCGCGAAGTGGGCGTACTCTCCATTGTGGCGGTGTTCCACCTCCCTAGAGGTCCCTCGTGGCGTCGATCTCCATATTAGGCAAGGTGGCTTATCTCTGCCACCCATGTGGGTCCGCTCGTGCCGGGCGACTCTGCCGCGGAACCGAACTTTCACCAGGGCCCGCCCTGCCCGCCTGGGATCTGAGATCTGAGCCTTCGCTCTACCTTCCTGCTTGAACATTGTCGACATCGACCGTCGGGTCGCTGATTCAAGTGCTCGAACTCACAGCGAACAGAGCCCTCAGGTCCCAGCCGTCGACATAGCAGCACCGGCAGGTACATACCCTATTGCAACGTATAAGTCAATTTGGTGCCCTCGATTGCGCTGTTGACTCATAACATCAAATCCCGCTCCCCGCGCCGGAGCCGGCGGAGGCCAATATACATAGCCATTTTTTCGTACCTGTAATCAGGAGTGCAAACGCTGCAAGCAGTCTTCCGACTCTTCGCCCGAGCGTCCACCACTGCAAGGCTTCACTCGCTCGCCATGCCGCAGTATCAGCTCGAGGTCGCAATTGTGCTTGCGGTCAGCGCGGCATGCAGTCTGACGGTCTTTCTGCTCTCGAGGTCCGAGGAAGGGAAGGTTCACCTCCCCAGCGAGATCGAGGAAGAACTGGAGCGGGATCCGTTCGATGTGACGAAGCCAGAAGATTTCGTGGATGGGACACCGGTCAATGGAGAAGACTTCTGGCATACGGTGCGTTGTGCGGTCTTGCGAATGTCGTCTCTGGACTCATACCTTGGCTTCAGATGTGGCTGAGGAAGCTAGCTGTGTCCGTCCTCCTCGTGGCCATAGTGATGATCCAATGTGCTTGCCTCGGTTGGGTGATCATAGAAGATGAGGGGACAAACATTGTCGTGCACACGCTACACATTGCGTTCGCGCTCTACACACTCGCGGTGGCCGCACGCTCGGTGGGCCAGCAGGATGGAGATCACGCTACGTCTATGATTCACTTGTCTGCCTTGCCATTCGTTGCGTCCGCCCTCCTGTTCACCACAGCCATCCTGCCGTCTACAAGGCTCGTCGACATTACCTCGTATGAGCCCTCATCCGTCCCGCTCGGCCTCTGGTACGCCACTCTCGCGCTGTACATCGCCTCGCTCGTCCTGGCAGCGACGACACCATGCGGCCCCCCTCTGCACTTCCCGCCCGAGCAGATCTACTCGGACAAGATCATCGCGAAGATGACGAACCGGTACGAGGACAACGTCTGCGGGATCACGGGCGCGTCGGTCTGGGACACGCTCCTCTTCTCGTACACGACCAAGGTCGTCATGCTCGGAAACACCGCGGAGAGCCTCGAGATCGGCGACCTGCCGATCGTGCCCGCGAACATGCGCGCGACGACGCTCTTCAAGAACATGCGCGGCGCGGTGAGACGCTACCACCTCCGCGTGCGCTCGTGGCGCCCCCGCCCGGGCTCGGGCTGGGAGCTTGGCTACCGCATCTTCCGCGTGAACACAAGGGATGTGACGATCGTTGTGCTTCTCGCGACGATCGTCGCTGGTCTGTTCTACACGCCCCATTACTTCCTGCAGCGTGTCGTTCGCTACCTGGAGATGGACCCGGAGAGGAAGGACCGCGGTTGGGGGTGGGCGTACTGCTGTGGACTGTTCTTCGCTAATGCTATCACGCAACTCAGTGAGTACACTCACATATATGTGTCCATCAGTTGCTCATTGCCGATGTAGTCAGTGGACAACTCTGGTCTCTGTCCACTACGACCCTTCAAGTCAGCTTCAAGGTGCAGCTGAACTCGATCCTGTATGCGAAGACGCTTGTCCGCAAGGACATTGCCTCGTCATCTGGCCCCGCTCCCGAGGAGAGCGCTGCGGAGAATGGAGCCGCTGCCAGCGCGAACGCAGAGTCCGGGGTTTCGGAGGCGAAAGATGAGGACGACTTCTCGAGCAAAGCGCAGATCATGACGCTCATGACGACAGATGTTGATCGTGTCAGCGAATTTGCATGGCATCTGTTCACGCTGTTTGGTATGTACTCTGCTCAGTGATCTCACATGGCGGACGATTGACCATTTTCCAGACTCTCCCGTTGAGCTCATCATCGGTACTATCTTCTTGTATAGCTTGCTTGGTACGCACGTCGAGTTTGCTGTGGTGTCCGCTTCACTCATGATGTACTCTCAGGCGTGTCTTGCTTCATTGGACTGGCTGTGACGTGCTTGTTCTTGCCACTCAACCACTTCGCGAGCAAGATTGTCGTGTCTGCACAAGACAACCTGATGAAGGCGCGAGACGAGCGTGTTTCATTGATGAACGAGGTTCGTGTTGCGCACCGTGTAGCACCGCATGTCTCATTTCGCCGCGTAGATCTTGGGTGGTATCCGCATGCTCAAGGTATGTCTAGTTTCGATGCCATGGGTACTGCGGACTGATCGTCGACATGTCAGTTCATGGCTTGGGAGCGTAGCTTCGAAGCACGGGTCATGAAGGTTCGGGCAAAGGAACTGAAGTACCAGAGGCTCAACTACCATATCGAGGTATGGAGCTTCCTTCTATATCAATCAATTTGACTGACGATTGCACAGGTCATCTTCAACGCTATATGGTTCGGGTTCACACGTTCTGTCTCATATATACCTCTGTACTCATAACGATGTATAGGGGCGCCTCCCCTATCGTTGTTGCGCTGGTGTCGTTCTGGCACTTCGCCGTCGTTCGTGGACAAGTGCTGACACCTTCGATCGCGTTCACTTCTGTGGGTACTTACATCGTCATCCTTCTACTCAAACTGACCGGCGCAACAGATCAGTGGTAAGTCAGATGAAATACGGAAAGTCTCGGCGGAATGACTAAGCCACGGACATTTAGTCTTCAATGAACTGAAGTTCGCCTTGAACGCACTTCCAGAGACGTTCATCAACATACTCCAGGTATCTCATAGCGAACATCCTACGCATTGCAGCCACTCATCTCATTGACAGTCCATGGTGTCCTTACGTCGAATTGAAAAGTACTTGCACGGCGCTGAGGTAGCCACTGTCGAGCCCCTGAGCCGCCAGTCTCAAGCGATCGCCCTGCAAAATGCAACCATCACCTGGCCGCAGGACCGTATCCGTGGGGCCAGCGCTACATCATCGGCCGCCTCTACTCCCAAGCAGAAGTTCGTGCTCCTCGACCTGAGCATCGACTTCCCTGTGGGCGAGCTCTCGTTGGTGTGCGGTAAGCTGGGAAGTGGGAAGTCTTTGTTGTTGCTTGCGCTGCTCGGCGAGGCGGATGTGCTCGCTGGTCAGTTGACTTGTCCGCGGTCGCCGCCGGATGCGATCGCTTCGTTCGCAGGCAAGGTCGTGCCTGAGGACGAGTGGGTCGTTCAGGGCGTCTGCGCTTACGTTCCCCAGGTGCGTTCGTTAGTACGATGGGAAGACCGATGGCTCATTCCGTAACAGAGTGCATGGCTTCGCAACGCCTCCATCAGAGGTGGGTAGCCTACGATGCATTGTCCTTGCGGTTGCTCACATATTCATGATAATACCTACAGAAAACATCCTCTTCGATCTTCCGTATATTGAAGAACGCTATCAAAAAACTCTTGAGGTACTAACGCATGCCAATTTCGCATGTTTGCGGCGCTGACAAATTCGAATCAGGTTTGCGCCCTTGTCAGCGACTTCAAGATCCTCGAGGATGGAGACATGTCGGAGATTGGTGAACGTGGCGTCAACCTGTCTGGTGGCCAAAAAGCTCGAGGTAGGCTCAGCGGGTTTGAATCCGAGAGGCTACAACTAACGTTCATGTAGTGTCACTTGCACGTGCGGTGTACTCGCGTGCCTCAGTCCTTTTGATGGACGACGTTCTCTCTGCCGGTCAGTCTTTTGTGAAAAGCACGAAGCACGAATCCTGTGACTGATATGATTCCTTAGTCGATGCCCATACCGCTCATCACCTCTATAATGAGTGTCTGAAGGGTGATCTCATGCGTGGTCGTACCGTGATTTTGGTATCGCATCATGTACAGCTTTGTGCACCAGGCGCGAGCTACATCGTCGCCCTCGACAATGGTCGAGTTGCATTCCAAGGCGATCGGGACACGTTCCGGTCGTCTGGTGTACTAAACACGCTTGTCCAGTCTGGTGCGGCTGACACAAGTGACGAGCAAGAAGAGACGGCAGTAGCAGACGTAGAAGACTTGCTACCTGAGAAGGAGTCATCCGACACTGGGGGGCACTCGTCGGAGACCACCTCCACTGCTGCTGCTTCCGAACCGGAGGCGAAGCCAGAACAACGGAAGGCGCCGCGCAAACTTATTGAGGAAGAGACGCGTGCTGTTGGCCGCATCAGCACGGATATCTGGACGACATACATCAATGCCTGTGGTGGTTATATGTATTGGAGTATGTTTGGCGTGGCCTTGCTGCTCGCTGCGATCAGCCCTGTCGCTGAAAACGGATGGCTACGGTACGTATGAAGCTGTTCCACGGGTTCTCGCGAAACTGAGCTGTCCAACTAGGATATGGACAGGGTCTGCCCTGGAATCGGCTGAACCAAGACCCCCGTCGTTCTACATATCCATCTACGCTGCGGTAGGTCTTCAGACCGCATACGAATTCTCGTTCTAACGCATCACTTGCAGATCACTGGGGCTGGTGTCATCCTCCAGACTATCCGCTGGGTCGTCATCTGTAAGTTCGTCTGTCTATCGTATAATCAGCTGCTTAATTTGTTTAGATCACGGTGGTATCCATGCATCGACCGTGCTTTACAAGCGTAAGCCTACAACTCATATGCCTTCCTTCCCGACTCACCTCTTCACAGGCCTCCTCGAGGGCGTCCTCTTCGCCAACATCCGTTTCCATGATACGGTATCCCGAGGCCGGCTATTGAATCGCTTCGGTAAAGACTTCGAGGGTGTTGACAGCAACCTTCCGGATAATTTCGGACGCAGTGTTGCTTACACCCTGTCCGCCGCTACGACGTTCGTTACGATCACTTACATCGGAGGTTTCCCCTTCTTGTTGGCTGCCGTGATTTTCGGCTCTCTCTACTACAGCGGTACGTGACTACTCCCAGTCTCAATTCGCAGTCATTGATGATGTGCGCAGTCGGCAAGGTCTATGGCCAAACATCTCGAGATATGCGACGACTCGGTACGCTCATATCGGTTGCGAATCCGGAACGTGTGCTCATCCCGACCTCACAGACTCGGTCACTCGCTCGCCTCTGTACTCCATCTACGGTGAGACAATTGCTGGTGTGACCGTCCTCCGGGCCTTCGGGGCCTCCACGAAGTTCATGCGAGACATGTTGCGCTGCGTCGATACTGTTCGTATCTAACCTTCACCTCTCGTCCGTACTGCTGACTGATACATCATAGAACACCAACCCGTATTACTGGATGTGGGGTGGTATGTGTAAAGCATTTCGTTGCCCATTCACGCGTGACTGATGACCCGCCAGTGAACCGATGGCTGTCCGCGCGCTTCAACCTGCTGTCGAGTGCTGTTGTCGGAGTGACTGCTTTCGTGTGCATCTTGACACCAGGGATTTCGGCGTCCTTGGCGGGTATGGCCCTTGCTTTCTCGTCGACCATCTTGAACGATGTGAGTACTGAATGGTCCGTATGCTTCTGTGCTGGTACGATTGATCAATGGTTTAGCTCCTGTTCCTCGTACGCCGTTTCGTTGGTCTTGAGCAATCGATGGTCAGCCTCACATCGTATCATGCGCTGAGCTCCCAATGACGTCTTCGCTTGCTCAGGTCGCTGTGGAGCGTATCAAGGAGTTCTCAGAGCTCCCGCGTGAGCCTCCTGAGTTCGTCGAGCCCCGTCCTCCCGCGTCCTGGCCAGAGAAGGGCGCCATCGAGTGCGAGAGCCTCGTCATCCGATACGCCGTACGTCCATGTTCCCCTTCTACTCCCTCAGCCTACCGGTACTCACGTCTCTACGCAGCCCGACCTTCCCGACGTGCTGCACAATCTGAACTTCACGATCGCGCCGGGCGAGAAGATCGGCGTGCTCGGGCGGACGGGCTCGGGCAAGAGCACGCTCGCGCTCTCGTTCTTCCGCTTCGTCGAGCCCGTCGAGGGCCGCATCCTCGTCGACGGCCTCGACATCGCCGCGATGGGTCTGACGGATCTGAGGAGCAAGTTGACGATCATTCCGCGTGAGTGGAGCTGCTGCGAGAATACTGTTTCGTTACGGTTGCTGATCGGCGGTCTGTAGAGGACCCGACGATCCTGAGTGGGACGCTGCGGTCGACGTTGGACGTGTTCAGCGAGTACGAGGATGCCGAACTGGTGAGGACCAGCTTGTCCGTCGCACTGTCCCTTGCTGACGCAGGACATCGCACAGTACGAGGCATTACGCCGCGTGCATCTCATCCCGGCGTCTGATGTGCCGTCGGAAGACCCCGCGACGGTGAATGCGAACGTCTTCCGCGACCTGGACTCGCCTGTCTCGGAAGGCGGCGACAACTTCTCCACTGGGTGCGCACGGTTCCTTGTGTCGTGAGCACGTCTGATTGACAAGCGGACTGCAGTGAGAAGCAGCTGCTCTGCATGGCCCGGGCCATCCTCAAGCGGTCCAAGGTGCTGGTGATGGACGAGGTAGGTCGTTTGGGTGTGTGTGCCGAGCGGGTCGCTCAAGGTATCTTGCAGGCTACTGCTAGCGTGGACTACGCAACGGATGAGCTGATCGGGAAGACGATCAGACAGTGAGTAGCAATCCCTCCGTTTTCGACGCCTTTCTCACCACCTACATCCTTCCGCAGAGAGTTCGCAGAGAGCACGATCCTCACCATCGCCCACCGGTTACGCACCGTCATCGACTACGACCGGGTACGCACCTGTCTCCACCTCATACTGCATGTGCGCTTCATCTAACACGCCCGGACGCAGGTCATGCTGCTGGAGCAGGGCCGCATCGCCGAGCTCGACAAGCCCGCGGTGCTGCTGGCGGACTCGTCGTCCAAGTTCCACGGCCTCTGTAAGGCGACGGGCAAGAGCGAGTTTGCGATGTTGAAAAAGCTGGCGGGCGTCCCGTAGAGGGGAGGCTCGCCGCGACTCAAAATAGATACGAGTCAGGTCGTTGGGTGTGGTGTATTTGTGTTGATGGACTAGAGTAGAGTATGTTACGAATGCATAGTGGTTTGTCTGACTGTCTGTTTAACTGTCTGACACCGTCTGCAGTGTGGTGACGATGGTGAGTGGGGGTCGTAGTGACTCCCGTCGAGGATGTGGAGATGATGTCCTCTTTGACATCCTTGTACCATCCATAGGCCAAAGTGTATAGTTCTGTATTGGTACACGAGCACTGCAGTGATGGCTAGACGCGGCGCACCCTTGTTAATACTGGCTCAGACTACGCAGTGTCTTTTGGGATCGTAGATGATCACACTCCCAAACGTTATAATATAGGTTGAAGCAATGTCAGTGCTGGCGGATCTCGTTGACATGCTCAGTCACATCCACCTGACCGTGACACCACCGGCTCAAACCGACAAGCCCTCCAAAGCAGCAGCCAGCTCGGGCACTTCCCCGCCGTCGCGTTCCACATCCTCAACATCGGCTGAATCCTCAGTGTCAACTGAATTCTCAACATCAGCACCTGACGCCAAGGGCATGTCGACGACCACGGGCCCGAGCTGGTAGATCGCGCGGCGGTAGTGCCCGTCGGGACAGCGCGTGACATCGTACGAGGGGCGCGAAGAGCATCTCTAGGGACGCGCGGTAGAGCTGTCTGCGGAAGGCTCGCAGGTCCTCCGGGTCGACTTCCTGGTGAGCATCTGACACTGCCATGAGGAGATGAGGGTATGGATCAGGCGTGACGGAGCACTTTGTGAGATCGCGAGGAAGGCGATGGGCAGGATGGCGTTGGGGTGCGCGCGGAGCGCATCGTCGTGCAGGTTCCCGAGGGACAGGGAGATCGGGTGGAACGCGGGGCCGCCTGCGGTCGCCGACACTGTGCTGCTGCCCGCGCTCAGTACGATGGGGGCGAGCATCGCGCCTTCCGTTTTGGCGGGGTCGCCGTGCTCTGCGATCTCCGTCTGCCAACGCATGAGGGGTAGCGGGCACTTGCAAGACATGCACACTCACGGCACGGTCGTACGCCCAGCGCCCCGACATGAAGTTCCCGAACCGCCGCACTTGGACCCGCCGGCGCCGCCGACCGTGCCCGCGGCGGGCCTTTGTGGTCTGCACGAACGGCGTGGTGTCGAACTTGTCCCCGACGTCAAACAGGGCGTGCGCGGTCATGCTGTGCGCGGTGTTGCGGGTGTCGCGGCCGTACACTATCGCGTGGACGTCGCGCTGCCAAGCAGGACCGTCGGGGTCCTCGTAGCGCACCTCGAACGCGCCCCACTGCGCGCCGCCGGATCCGGAGAGCATCGCGGCGAAGACGGCATGGAACTGTGCTCGGTCGGAGGTTATCCGCGAGCTGCCGCGCTCGGCGATGTACTGTGCGGCCCAGGTGCGCACGAGAGGGTTGGCATCGTTGGTCGCCCTTTGGACCTTCGTATACATGGCTAGCCTGCGGATGATATTCACGGTGGTGGCAACAGCGTTGACAGAGTGCCCGACCATGCCCACGGCACGGACCTACCGGAGTCGATCTCCCTCGGGTGTTTTCCGGAGTATTCTGGGCTCGCGGAGATCGGCCGTGGCTATCTGGAGATCACGAGCGTCGCGGCGCTGTCGTCCCTCTCGCTATCCTGCCAGTGCCTGACTCAGCCTCGTCCCCTCCTGAGTCTCCCAACGCCCCTGAAATCCTATGGCGAGCTAGCAGTGTGCACGCCAATGGCCCATGGGTACTTGCTGAATTTCTACTGCTTGAATTGCACTGACGTTGGGCTGTATTTGCGCAGAGGGAAGCCGGTATGACGTCGGACAGTGACGACGTACCATCGCTGTCTGGTTATCGCTGCCACCATCGACTGGGGAAGGGCGGGTTCCGAGCTGGACTGTAATCTGCCCACATTGCTCCATCCGGATAGGTGCCACCCCCGCAAGGGACGGAGGGCCGGCTTCCGTCCCCCTATAAATCTCCCGTCCGCCATCCTCAAGTCCACACCCCTCACCCTCGCTCCCATCTCTCGCCCAAAATGCCTGCTTCACAGTATGTTACGCTCAACACCGGCGCCCAGGTCCCTACTCTTGGTCTCGGTACGTCTGCCCCAGCTCCTGTCCCATGCATTGAGCGATGCACAGACGTGTCTCGCGGCTCACGCCCAGTCTCAATGTCTCTCTGGCTCTGTGGTGGAGATGACACGCAATGCAGGGCGGGAGACAAACACGCGTCTAGCACATTGCATGGGACGACGCTACATACGCGGAGACTCACCAACTACGCCTCACAGGGACGTGGAAGTCCGCCCCGGGTGCCGTAGAGAAGGCCGTCGAGGTCGCGCTCAAAAGCGGCTACAGGCACATCGACACCGCCCAGGCATACGGTGCGTCCCCCATCCCCCATTCTCCCGCGCCTCGCTGACCCGCACACAGCGAACGAGAGGGAGGTCGGCGAGGGCATCAAGCGCTCCGGCGTGCCGCGCGAGGACATCTTCCTCACGACCAAGCTCAACAACACCGAGCAAGCGGACCCGCTCGCGGGCCTGCAAAAGTCGCTCGCCGCGCTCGAGACGCCGTACCTCGACCTCTGGCTGATGCACTGGCCGTGCCCGATGAAGGACGGCAAGCCCGACCGCTCGCTGAACTGGCTCGACACCTGGAAGGGCATGGAGGCCGTGTACAAGGCGCACCCGGACAAGGTCCGCGCGATCGGCGTGAGCAACGTGAGCGTCCCGTTCCTCGCGGAGCTCCTCGCGATCGCGTCCGTCGTGCCCGCGGTCAACCAGATCGAGAGCCACCCGAGCCTGGCGCAGGAGGAGCTCGTGGAGCTGTGCAGGTCGAAGGGGATCGCGATCACGGCGTACTCGCCCCTGGGATCGGACAACGCCCCGCTCGGTGCGCACCCCGTCGTGAAGGAGATCGCGGCGAAGCACGGCGTGACGCCGCACAACATCCTCGTCTCCTTCCACGCGAACCGGCCTGGCGTGAACGGTGCGTGCTCCGTGCTGACCTTCGTTGTCTATCCGAGCTGACGCGGCGCTGCGCGCAGTGATCCCGAAGTCGGTCACGCCCGAGCGGATCGTCGCGAACATGAAGATCGTCGACCTCGCGCCGGAGGAGGTCCAGCAGCTGTTCGACATCGAGAAGGAGGGCTTGCGCCGCGTCTGCAAGCCGTTCTGGACTGGCTACGGCGACATCGGCTTTGCAGACTGCAAGCAGTGAGCCGCGCTCCTGCTTGCGATCTTCTGTGGGGCGATAGAAAATTGGAGACGAATATATGTGTTGTAGGTATCATGTTACAGTGGTCTGACGGCGCTCGTGTTGGTCGGGAAGCCATTGACGCTCTCAATTGAACGCGGTGGTCTGCGGTAAGGGCAGCCTCATCGGCGCCTTGAGATCGCTCACAGCGCCCGAAGTTCTCTCACTTGCCGCGAGCCAGACACACTGCAGAGCAAACGCCCGGCGAGTCCATTTCGGGCCGAGACCTATGTTGAGGGATGTGCTGATCAGGATTGTCACCGGTCCACTCTTGAAAGGCGCGACGTTTAACGTTCATAGTTCATACGTGCGTGCCACACCGCCGACCGCGCCGTGTTTGTCTGTGACGTATGCAGGACAAACCTACCACCAATCTCCTAGCGTCCACTGTAGACGCTTTACGTTGAGACTTGGTCTTCTGTTTGCACAGTCTCTGTTGCAATAGTCTTCCGATGGTCACCGACGTGATTCACGGCCTTGAGTAATTTAGGAGCAAGTACACGCGGTTGATAGTGCCGCATTGCCTGACTTGCGTCACACAAAAATATCAGACTGAAGACTTGTGACGTGAGTCAATATATAAAGACGAGACAGTGAGCGTTGACTGCCACTAGATATGTTGATGGAGCATCGGCTGCAGCGATCGTAAGCCACTTGTAGACATCGTTTGGCCTGCGTCTGGCCTTCGACTCATTCGGCGGCTGCGGAGGGGCGCTGGTACTATGGGATGTCAGCACGGTATATCTCTGAAGTATATGATGTATCACTTACTGTGCCCGGGCCAGCGTGCGCTTTAATGCGCATGCATCAAGCCTGAGCTTGTGCGCCACCCGCGTCCTTCCTACACAAGATCCTGAGACAATCTTCTTTGAGGTCATCATCGACGCGCAGTTCATCATCTAGGTCAGAGTCAGCAGCGGTCTGGGTTTCAGATAATTCGAGGTGAGACTGAGAGTGTCGTCGTACGTACTGGAAGTCCAACTGTTCCCACCAGTGGTCACTGGCATAGCGGTAGCGACCCCGAGCAAGACGCATGCGAGACAGATCAACGCAGAGGTGGGTCGCATGTTAATGACAGTAAGTGAACTTCAAAGGAGCGAAGGGATGTAGAAATGCAATGTCCGGAGGGCGATCATCGTCACCGCCCTTTATGCCTTTCGCTCAGCTGCCAGTGAGACAGCGCCTTCCGCCAATCACTACAACCGCATGTCGAGTGCCGAGGGCCCGAGGAAGAGTTCATATAGTCTCTGGAGTCTAAATGCCAGCGCATCAGGGGTCTGTCGAGGATCGTGAGCTACCCGACTGCTATGTAGTACTAGTCCGAAGTCGGAGGCCTGCACTTACGTTCGAATGCGACTCGCCCCGGGGGCTGCGTACTAATCTCAGGGGTCGGGACGGCTGGATGGCGTGGTAGCTCGGACGCATGCACACTTTGAAGGGCGATGAGCCTGACGTAACACCTACAAGGCCAGTGCACTGCCATGCGTATTGACCCGAGGTGGTTTTGTATATGAGCAGCGAATTCGAATGTGAGAAGGCCGCGGCGATCCTCGTACTCAAGTCTCAGACACTAGCGAATGAGCGGTCCCGCGCGGTGATAGCAGTGCGCAGGTTTGGAGAGGTTTGGGAGATTCGAACATGATGGTCAATCTTCGCGTGCACCGGTCAGTGTTCGAGACGTGTAGGAAGGATACGGACGTCACCTTGTTTTACTTGTCGTCTTGGCAGCTCAGAGCCTGGATAAATACTGGCTCATTGTATTGCGCTCGATATATAAGTAGCAGGGATAATCGGAGAACGCGGCCTGGATGCATAGGTTACATAAATATCATTCTACGAACCACAAGTACTGTGTACTACTGCTGTTGCTGCTGAGGCATGCATTCGGTCCGAAGTTATAATCTGTCAGGAACATCAATGCGACCGTCACAATACCTCCCACCCCGGGGATCATGAGAAGCCCGAAGCATATGTAGTGAACCATGTCAGGAATGTCACATCGCCAGTTCTTCCACGCGTACCAGAAGAACAACGTCAACAACGACGAGGCCTGATCCGCCGCTAACCAGGACATCATCCATCCCCTCTGGGCCACGGTGCTTCCGTTCGGATGGAAGCCAGTGAGGCTGTATATCAGGGCGTGCGGAGACACCAGCGCGATGATGAAGAGGCAGGCGATGGTCCAGGCCTCGCGCGGTGTGATTGCTTGGTGCTCGTTGAGCTTCTCTTCTGGTATAGGCCCATCGTGACTGAGGGCGGACAGGGTAAAGCGCGTTGTTTGTGCATCACCTTTGTCCTCGGTAACCAAATGGTATTCTCTAGGCTCCTTTGCGCCTTTGACGGTGACAAAAAGACGCTTCATGTCACCGTCAGGCTTCATGCGCATCTTCACCGCCTCGTACGATCCTCTCCCAGTTTTGCCGATCTGGGTGTCGTCGAAGATAGGCTCGCCCGCGGCATGCTGAACAGCGTCTTCATTAGTAGGCGGCAGGGGTTGACTCGAAAGAACGGGAGGCAGGCTGCCGGTGCGCCGGACTGTCCCGACCAGCCCATCGTACCTCACCCAGGTGTCGTTGCCCACCTGGGCATATAATCCGCCTCTCTTGAGCGACTCTTCGAGGATGGGTGTTCGAAGAACGTGCCCGGATGCGTAGCCGCCGACAAACGCGGCGCAGAGGAGGTTCATCACGGACATGAGCGCGTATGGGAACACCGACAGCCCATACGCTGCGTAGCCCCAGCGCGGGATCTGGTCTGAGGGTGTGAAGTATAGGGTGAAGATGGCGAATACGATCTGGAAGATGGACAGAATCACGTTCGTGATGCCCGAGGGATGGTGAATCTTGAGCTTTCCTGTATCCTCCAAGTCCCTGTGAATGATGTCTTCGGTGTACGCCTTGTGCAACGGCACCGCCAAGGAATATCCCATCGGAGGAAGGACTGAACCATGTAATGATCTACTTTCATGGGTGACTCGACTGTAGGCCCTCTTACCCTCGACCTTGTCGAAGGATATCGTGGCCAGCGGCAGCTGCTTTTTTTGGTCTCCTGCAGGTGTGTCGTCGCTACACAGAAGTGGTCAGGAAACTCCCACTGTAGCAGACTAATAGAATGTGAACACCCACGTTGTCGTGCGAGGGTCAATAACTTTAGTGTATATGATCTCGTCCTTTTCTCCAGGCTCCCAATCGACGCCTCGGACGACAACGAGGAGTGCGCCGTGTTGAAGGGCTGCGCGGACATCGTTGCCCTTGCACTTGAACTGCTCAGCGAGGAGTATGGTCGTCCTCGCAAGCGCGAAAAAAGGTAAGAAGAGCGAAACCACAGACAGAGTCGCCCTCCACCACAGCGCTTGGGTGAGGGTCACGCGCTGCGTGTAACGCTCGATGTCCGCACCAGCCGGAATAGAAACGGAATGAAGAAAATAGTTGGTGCCGAGGTAGACAAGAAGGTTCCAGCCGATGAGGGCATTGTTGAAGCAGAAATACGAGGGTATCGGGGCAAGTAAGAGCCTGCTCGTCGGTGCCGACGAGGCTGGGAGTATGAGGAAGGCCAGAGACAAGGAGAGGAAAGCCAGGAGCCAAGTGCACGGCGACATTGTAGGAGGCCCTGTTCGTCTAGAATCCCGACGATGTATATAAGCTACTCGCGAGTGGGTCGAGGCTCAGGCCTGCCTGCATGGGTCAGTCCGACACCCCGAAAACCAGCACTTGGTGTCACAGCAACATAGGCCGGACACGGAGAGCGCGAAACGTGCAGAGGTCCCTATTGTGTATGAAAGCCATGGCATGGGCGAGGCTTCATAAGACGAGTTCGCCGGTGAAGTGTAGTACTCAGCTCATCGCCACGTAGGTGAGACCTATTACAGAAGGGAGCTGAGACGTTATGCATGCATCAACGTACCTAGTAGTGAACACACCAACGCCAACGGCCTGCCAGGAACACAGCGGCCTGCCGCCAACATTTCGTTTCTGGTCCACCATATGCCTGCGATCGCTATATGTAGCCCTCATATACCAACATTGACAGGACCCTGTGTCCTCAAGACGCGAGCCATCCACCGACAGTCATACCAAAACGTGCTGTTGCTGGGTGGCTCTGGCCACTTGATGCGGGCATCAGTGCCTGTGGTCTGAGCGCAGTGGGTTGAAGCGCGGTACGAGCCACCATCGCTCGGGTCCGTTCAAGTTCCGAGCACGCGGCGTGCGTGTCGACGCTGTCTCTGCGAAGTTTGTCAAGGCAGCGTGAGTACGTGATACTTCTTCTGCATGCCAACTTGACCTGCCTTGCGATAGCGGCCGTGGTCTCGGTCCATTCCGACCCTGTTAGCACGTTGCCCAGTCGCGTCCGTGTTTTGCGGAAGCCGTATGACCGTTAACATAACGATGCTCGCCACGGCGCCTCCGCCACGAGGCTTAGAGTGCTTTTAGTGACCAGTATGCTAACTGGGTAATTCCCGAAGATCGTGGCCTCCATATTGCCCTAATTGTACCACCCATGCGTTTTGGGCCCGTAGGCTCACGGTGCGAAGCATCGAATCAAACGCACCGTTTACCCTCATCTCTTCACGATGGCCGCAGGCTTGCTGGATAGGGCAGGGGCTTTTTCCTTTCTGCTCTTGTTCGAGGGGCACTTGTGTTGGTCTGATTCTGGGCCTAAGCCACATGCATTGAGTCGAGAGGCCGCTGAAGTGGAGCATCCCATTCTCACCGCTCTCCGTACGGTGATGATCCCTCGCCTCGACACTGCTCGGCCACACACACGTGTTGTACCTACGGCTTTCATCAGTAGCCCATCTATTGAAATGGACTGCATGCACTGCCAGGAGCGGAAGATGTGAGAGAGCGCAGAGTCGGTGTTCCATCCTGAATGGTCCGTAGCGGCTTGCGAACGCCCCCGTTCGCGCCAGAGTCGTCCGAGCCTAGAACGAGCACTGTGATGCTGAGAACGTCCCTCGGTCAGTATGGACACGTATTCGCACTTGTGTATTAATCTTAACCTTATGTACCGGATCCGATGGGGCATGCGACTTTTGCGAAAGGACTCGAATCTGACATTATCTGCATGCAAGGACAGACAGTATGCATAGGCTGTGTTCGTGCCAGCGGGAGTTTCATCCTGGGAAATGGTTAGCATTGGAATAACTATGTCGTCGACGAACAGCAATCTCACCTAGACAGAGTTACATAGTTGTGTGCATCTACTTTTCCGTTGTCTATGTATCCAACAGACGACGCTGCTCGGTGACTGGCCAACACCTTGAGCACAGCGCGATTAACTATGCGCAGGACAGATCTGAGCGGGATGGAATGCGACGGCATCACGGCGCATAGGTTATCTGTGAAGGTGTTTAGCGTCTATCGAGAATTGCATAGCAGAATACTACTCACGAACTAGATAAAGTGACTCCACTGCAGACAAGGGCGAGATTACGCCTGCGAACGACTGTACTACTTAGTAGGTTACTCTTAGTTCCGCGACAAGCTGTAAATCCCACGTACCACTGACAGGGCAAATTGGCAACACCTATCTACTATTGGGCATGGATATGATTCGAGTCATGGCGGCTCGATGATCCAGATGTTCGACTCAGAGTTCATATGTTCACGTCGGGACGATACCTGGGCTCAGCGCTAGCATGGAATATTTGACAGTGACAGAGTCACAGGTGAGCGCGAACAGTCACACCGTGACGATGCGCGTTGTAGACATCGTGACCGTGTGTAATATGTAGGAGGAGGACGAGGAGGAGAGATCCATTTAACCACCGGCCGGGTCGCACTCTGCTTCACTGAGCTTCATGATAGCTTCGAGTTTCAAGCGTTGTTTTGCCTTGATGTTTCATAGGATCGAAGTGCGGCGGTTTGGCAACTTCATGTCAGGGCGCTAGGCGTACGATCCATGAGTCCGTAATGAGTGTGCATGTCCTACAAGTGCTTGCTACCCCTCATGCATCCCGATCTCCCTGTCCCTCGGGAACCTGTACGGCGATGCGCTGCGCACGCACCCAAAGCCATCCTGCCCATCGCCTTCCTCGCAATCTCATAAGGTGCTCCCTCACCGCCCCACGCTCGATCCGTACTACTACGCAAGTTGGCTGCCCCGGATGGTCCGTGCGGCCCAAGAGGACGCAGAGGAGGCACAATCACCTCGGTGCGTCGCCCGACATGCACTGCCCAAGCACTGCCAGTGAAGTACTGACTCCGTGTATCCGGACAGCCTCCTCGTGTCGGTCGTCCGGCTACATCGTACACATGTACACCTTCAAGTTGTAGAGAAGCTTCTGTGTCCATTCTACGATGAGCGGCTGAGGCATCACAGTCCGAGTCATGCCGGCCGCATCTGTGTTCATGAACAACGACAGAAGATCCGTACGTCGTACTGACCGTGTCGCGACTCGGATCTGCGCAGGGTTTGGCCTTTGTGCTTCCGCATGTCCTTGACAGATCGTCGGAGTCGGATGCGCGGCAAGCTGCACTGTGCACACGTTGCAGAATCTCATGCTGTGTTCGATCGCAATGAACGGCGCACGCGTGTTCAATCGAGCTCGATTTCCGGGTGAGCATAGTTTAACGGCGTCCGATGTCATTGAAAGGGGTATAGAGACATACAGAGCCAGGCATACGAGAGGAAGAGCAGTCCACGGACGAGGGTATACAATGTAACCGAACGGTAAACATTGAGAACGACATAGATGAGCAAGACGGGAAGAGGAGGAGACAGCGAAACGGAGAGCATAGAGGGGAGATGGAACATAGAGGTGAGATGATGGATTCGATAAGTATAGATTCGGCGACGATAAAGCTCGAGAGAAAGGCACGCTCAGCGCGTCTCAGAAGAAAATTGCGCTGTGAACCAGTCACATGCGGCGTGGGGATCCGACTATCGATTGCGGGATAGTCGCGGTCAATGGGATGGCGGCGAGCCGCAAACCAACCCAAACGACCGACGAGGGACCAGGACAGGTGAGTGCCCGCTGCGTAAGGTTCGCGCAGCCGCCTACTAAGGTGCTGGTGCTCGTAGTACTAGTAGACTCTGGATCAATCGTGAGCGCGCTAAACTGGATCTGGTCGGAAGTGGACGTACCAGCATCACCGTCCGTGGTCCGCTGTTCTTCAGTGTATTCGTCAAATTTTGTCCATTCAAAATTTGTGGAATACGCAGGAGGACCCTGCGTATCACCCGGGGCGCGGGCGTTGTCTTGGAAGGTGAGTAGACCCTCTTCAGACGAGCTGTCTGAGAGACCGTCGCACTTCTCGTCGTCCCAGTCGACGGAGTATCCCGGTACGTCATCTCTCGTTTGATTGTCGTACCGCGACTCGTTTACAGAGGCCTTGTTCTGCAATCCGCGTCAGTAATCATTTGGAGCGACAAAAATGGTGAAGTACCAAAATCCTTTTCTTCGCCTCCTTCACCTGACGATAAACTCGCCAGATCTTGAATGATAAGCCGAAGATACCCTTCAATTGTTTGCACCAGCCTGCGCGGTGAGTTATGATCCTGAAATCACTCGCACGTGCTTGGTAACTACGATGCCGGTAAGCACAATAGGACGCTGAGTGGCGTATGGTTACGTACTCGTCAAGCTCTTTCCAGATTTCGGTGATGAAGTTACCGTCGGACAGGCGACCTTCCTCGAGGACAAAAGCCAGGTGGGCACGTGTCTCGACCAGGATCTCATCGAGCTTTTTGGAGTGATTAATGGGGAGCATGCTCTTGACGAAGATGTAGAGACCAGCGAAGCTGAACATCCCGAAGACATTTGCGACGAGGCCGAAGACGTTGTAGGCAGCGTCAGACATGGTGGTGAGATGGATGCAGAGTTGGGGTGGCGTGCTGTGCGTTTGTGCGTTCGGAGAGGATTCCTGGGGAGTAGACGAGCGAGACACCCGTCCTATATAGCCCATGGCTGTGCCCTCAAAGTCCGATGTGCGTGACTTGGGAGTCATGGAAGCATGCGTAGAGCAGACGGACATGTGAAAGGTATCTTCGTGGTCCATCCTTGCCTCCTCAGGCATGGCGGTGCGTCTTCCTCGACTTCGGAGAGCGACTTGGCCAACGTGCATCAGCGGGAGGAGGACGCAGAACATGCGTATCACGGCCGGTTGCAGTTCGACGTGATATCAATCTAGGACCCACAACGGCCGTCTCTGAGTATTAGACATTCGACCATCTGGACTTGCGATGGATCTTATTATTCACAGGTTGACGCCAGGCGGAGCTCGACGTTCATGGCTTCTGCCGAGTGACGGAGCGACTAGAACGCACTGCAAACGGCGGTTGCGTCTCACTGGCAAGAGGCGTGCACACCACGAGTTTGATTCCAGCATCACTTTGGCCGGGCGACGGTGGACGAGCAGGTGGACCTCACTGGGTGACGCGGACTTCACAGGCCGTGCCGGCAAACTGACGCGTCCTGTGTGCTCGGGATTGCTGGGCGCAGGGCAGGTAGCGTATCCCGACTTTCCTCCCCCGCTGGATGCGTGTGGCGTCATCCTTTGTCTGAATGTGCGGGTGCCCAGTCTCATCGCGTACTCTACAGGATCCTGAATTGAACGCGTCTTCACGTAGAACATGACATCCAGCTCCTCATGCATCCATAGCTGAGGTTGGCTGGTTCTCGTGTTGGACCTAAGTTAGCTGCGAGTGGCACACTGTCGTGACCATGACCATCACGAGCCTTCTGCGCATGTTGTCGTACAATCTCGCGGTCTTGTATCGTCGTACGCATGTAGTTCCCAGCAAGCGACGTGAGTGGGCGGAGTGGCACCCTCGGGCACCCCGGCGGACGGGCTTGGTACTGCTTGTTGTGCTGCCCATAGCGACAAAGGCCAAAGACGCGTGACGTAAGTGATCGACGGGCGTCTCCTGAGAAAACGTGACCGCGTCGCGCCGACGACGCGACTTGCCGCTCGGCCCGCTAAACACGTAGATCTCCTTTGACTCGGACACCTCCTCGCGCGACGACGGCATGGCGGATGCATAGGTCAGAGCGTTGTTATTGCCACAAATCTGACTTGACAACAAAGCTCCAGCGCTGCTCGCGCTGTCGTGGTGCGCTCCGACTCTACTGCCATGTAGGTAGCGCATATTGTCTACTAGCTAGACGTGTCACGCAGGCGCTGCCAGTGAATGTCTCTTTTCCCCCAAGGCCCGAAATTTCAATTAAGGACTGGTAGAGCCATCGAGAGCTCTGTAGCGACTCAGATACAGTAGGTGGTATGACAAGTACCGTGGATGCCGCGACGGTTCCATGCACGAAGGTGCCTCTTTGTCCTCATGACTGCAGCGCAGCCACTGGCGCGACGCTCACAACCCAGCTCCGGATCCCAGGCAGTATGGAGCTCATGACCTGGGCCTCTTGGGATCTCCTCGAGTGGTTGAAGCTGAGCCGTGCCGCTTAGCTCCTTCAATCCTTGTCTGACTGCGATGGCTGGGACAGGCCGCACAATGTTTGGGCTTGAGATGTGACGGGATCCGGTCAGGCCCGAGGATCGCTGTATCTCCGAAGGCGCAGAATAATAGCGCTTGCATCTCCTTGACTCAGTGGATGAGTCGTGACATCAAGGGACCCGTCGGAACTCGTTCGTGCTAGCTTTGGGTATACGATACGACGGAGTTTTTCTTCAGTATTGTGCAGAATGATGCACGCTGAAGTCCATCATACTTTACTGTCTGTTTTGTCTGTTCACAGGTAAACTGTATCAGACGGTCAGACAAACCACTATGTATTCGTAACATATTCTGCTGTAGTTCATCAAGACAAATACACCACACCCAACGATCTGATACTTACGTACCGTTGCAATAAGTAAGTGAGATCATCTGTAACTGTGCTGAGATTACCTGACTCGCACCTGCGACGCTTCACACATGATGAATGTAAAGGATAAGGTCTTCTCGGACGCCGTACTAAGCTAGCCAAAGCCTCTATATTGCAAGGGCGAGCGGTGTACAACGATGGGGAGAAAGACAACGAGCACAGTGAGGCACGTCAGCTTATAACTGCCCTTCGGGAAACTCCGGGATGCTGACTAAGGTGCTGACTACACTACATTACGATCGCCCTTACAATGAATGCGCCTTCGCGCCCCTGTCGGATTCGCAGTAAAGATACATCCGGATTATGACATGCAGCAGTCTATCAGTGACGGAACACCCAGAGCAAAATATCAAATCCGACTCGTACACCCAGTCTTTACGGGTCCCACATCTTACTCTTCACCCACTCCCCAAGCTGATCGTCCCACAAATCCCTGATCTCCGTGTTCTGGTCCACACCAGCACGCTGCGCCGCCCTGATGACCTTCGTCGCGATGTTCGTACTGATCTCCCGGATACGCTCCACGCGGGGGTAGATCATGTCCAGCGCCTTCTCCTCCGCCGTGAGGGAGTCCGCAAGGCCGAGCGAGGACGCCTCGACCATAGTGTCCGTCACCTTCGATGCGCGCGCGAGGATCGCGCCGAGGCCGAGGCCAGGGAAGATGTACATGTTGTTGCCCTGGCCGGGGTAGAGCGTGCGTCCGCCGTGCTCCTGCGCCGGGAAGGGCGAGCCGCTCGCGAAGATGACCCGCCCGCCCGACCACTCGACGGCCTCGTGGTACTCGCACTCGGACAGGCGGACGGGGTTGGAGAGCGGGAAGATGATGGGGCGCGGGTTGAGCGCGGACATGGTCTCGATGACGGACTGGCTGAAGGCGCCCTTGATGGTGGAGAGGCCGAGCAGCGCAGTCGGCTTGACGTATTCCACGATCTGCGTCAGATCCGTCATCGGGGGACCGTCGTAGTCTGGCCGCGAGAAGGCTATGGGGGAATTAGCACGCGCAGTGCGGGGCGTGAGGATGGAGCTTACACTTCTTGTGCTCGGCCATGGGTCCACGCGTGTCGAAGATCAGACCCTGGCTGTCGACGAACCAGATCCTCCGACGCGCCTCCTCCTCGCTCATACCCTGCAGCCGGAAGAACGCCAACAGTTGCGTCGCGACACCAACACCAGCGCTGCCTGCACCAAGGAACAGAATCCGCTGATCCTCGAGAGGACGCCCGCTCGCCTGCGCACTGAGCTTCGCGGCGTTCAAGAAGCCGCTTAAGACGACCGCGCCCGTGCCCTGGATGTCGTCGTTGAACACCGGGTAGCGGTCGCGGTAGCGTTTCAGGTACAAGAACGCGTTGTCCGTGCTGAAGTCCTCGAACTGGATGAGCAGCTTCGGGAACAATGTGCGCATCGCGTCCATGAACTCGTCCATGAACTCGGTCATCTCCGCGGACGGCACGCGCGGCTGGCGCAGGCCCAGGTAGAGCGGATCCTCGAGGAACTGTTTGTTGTTCGTCCCGAGATCGAGGCAGATGGGGATCGTGGATGAAGGGCGGATGCCTGCGCCCGCGACGTAGAGCGAGAGTTTGCCAATGGAGATGGGCATCCCGTTCAGGCCGAGGTCACCCAGACCCAGGATACGCGAACCGTCTGTGACTACTGCGATGCGCCCCTCGTCGATACGGGGCCAATTCCGGAGCACCTTCGCTATGCTGCCCTTATCCTTGTAGGATATGTACTAAACGAGATGTCAATGACTAGCAATGACGCTGCAGCGTTTGTGTAACGTACCAGACCCTCTGGCCGACGGTATATATGTGAGAACTGAAGGCACGCATCACCAACAGTCGGGGTATAGATCAGTGGAGTAAATTCCTGCGACAATTCGTTAGACACTAGGAAGGCGAGCCTTGTCAAAAGACTCACTGCCAGATTATCAAGGCATAGTTTGTAGAATATTCGTGGATCTGCATCCTTGAGCTGTGTGAGGTAGATATATTTTTCAATGGACTTGTCCTTGGAGCGGAGCTGATTCAGACACCGGACAGCGTGAAGCGACTCGTCGAGGGAAGTCGGTACGAGGCCTCGGGCAGGCCTCGGCGGTGCTGAACGAAAGTCAATACGTCACTTAGCAGACCATGAAGCGTTGAAACACACGTTGCGGGACGGCTTTGAGTTTCTGTACGCCGTTGACCCAGACGGGGTTGAGGACTATCGTCATGCTGCGTGAGCGGTGGTATTACAAGGGGTACAGAGGCAGGGGGACTGATAGCGGCTTTGCTTCACGGGCAGCGTACCGCCTGACTTTTATGCATATCGAGAATGTCTCCGGATGGGAGGGGCATCAAAATGAGCTGCTTTGGACGGAACTAACAGCGGTCGCGTAGAGACAGCAACACATCGTTGCCCGAGCGACGAATGATAACGCGGATGAACTGCTCACCTTTCGCGGCTTCCTTCCGTACCACGTTCATCTGTCCAACTAATCCAATCCCACCGGGAGATCACTCGGTGCGCAGTGAAGCACTGAAGCCATGTCAGTCAACGGTCCAACAACAACGCTCAAACGTGCGTTCTGGACTGATGGACGCACGAGAACAGTCAAGCAATGGCAGGAGGCAATCTCGCCGAGGGGGAACTCGACGTCGGGTGTCGCGGTATGACATTCCTGAGGACCTGCGCGCGTATAAGAGGACTCGCCGGGATTAGGATCACTGCCAGGTAAGTCATGATTTACCCGTCATGAGTCAGACCACGGTCAGCCCTCGTCTCATAAACAGGCCGTTGGGTCGCGCCTATGGTGAGAGCACGAAAATAAGTGGGTCGCCCTGGGGTCGCCTTCCCGACGGAACGACTCGGATGACTGAGCGGAAGGGCGTAGGGGCCAATCATGCCGGAGCGGAAGGACAGGGAGGCCAATGGGGACGTCCGACGCCGTCCAGTCACGGAGCGTCCCACGACGCACAGCTCGTTTCAGGTAGACGCACGGAATCCGTACGTATGTACTTGACGACCACCGTCAGTCTGCACTCGAGGAGCTCCGGACTCCCTGGTCGCTGTTACCCTGGGTCGACATGCTTGTTCGATGCTGTCCTTGCACACTGCGGTCGCTGGTCCTCGTGCTGCTGATTCGCCGGATCATGTTCTGCGTTCATCAAGTGTTCGCCGTCAAGGGCAGCTCTACGTACCTTATACGGCGGCAAGCTCAAGCCTACCGGAAACCAGCCAGGGTGGCTCATGCGGCACGATGGGCTGGAGGCAGTCTCTCTGTATATGACTTGGTCACGAGGAGTGCTTTGTGGTAGGACCTGGTCCCGCTACATTCGTCTCTCATCGCGCTGTGCCTTCGGTGAACAACGCTCTCACGAACCTGCGAGATTTCTGCGAGCATGAAGGAAATGTCCACGCCCCCTGCCGATGCCGTCTCCCAGGCTCCCCCACCCACCGAGCTCGAAGGCATCGGGCCGCCTGGGTCACAGGCCCACGGGGTCGAAGCCACCTCCATGCCTCGATTCTGCTTGTTTCAACAGCGAGCGCAGGCCCCCGGCCGCCTCCCCTCGAAGCTTCGCGAGGAATTCGCGGACTAAGGATGCGCCCGAATACACCTGTGCTCTCTTCGGGCGATCCTCGCCAGGTGCGGTCATAGCACGCACAGGCGAACACCCGCGTTGCCCCCGTCGATATAGGTCCCCGGCCCTCGCTCAAATCGCACCCTCCCCACTCGCTCGACCGCTGGTCGTCCCCGCTCTGGCTGGCTATCAGGGCGCGCACGAAGCACAGACGACCGATGTCCGACACGCCCCTGCCCGTGAGCCCGATCACCGGCAACTCGTCCGTCCTGCACTCGAGCAATGGCCCGCCCCTCATCCTCGTGTTCCTCGCGTCTGGCCTGCTCGTCGGCGCTGTCCTCAGCATACTCGTCCTGCGGCACATCTACCCAAGTCGGTTCGGGAGCCGCACGGATGCCGTCCGTGTGCGCAAACCACCGCGTCCGTTAGGGGAACGTCCGAAACTCTGGGACGTTTATGTTTGTGACGGCGCACGAGGCGCAGACGTGCAATGGGAGTCGCTGCTGGTACGTTGTCGGTCGCACTGCTACGGCCAGTGGAGGCCCGGCCCTCCCCGCCTTACGTTCTTCTACCCCCGATGAACCTCGATTGATGAGTTTCGATATGGCAGCCGTTAGCAGCCGCCTTCCTGCCCGACCCTTTGAACGAACAGGTGGACGTGCTTCCTTCGCCATCACTGCCTGCTCATCGTCCCCATCCCTGGTCATGGGTCGAGTGGTTGCACCGGCGATTACGGCATCGTCCCCGCGAATCTACAGCAGATGATTTGGAGCAAACACTACCGCTTGAAGGCGAACGGCCTGCCCCTGAGCGGTTGCAGATCGCTGTCACAATCGCCATGCCCTCGCGGTCATCGCCCGTGCGCGGATCATGGACATATCTGGAGAAGGAGAAGGAGGGGGAGACGTCATTGTCTGACCTCGAAGAAGACCGGGATCTCTGCATTGGGCTGGTCGAGGTGCCGGATGTCCCGCGATGCTTTGGGACGGAGACGTAGACCGGGTGGCGATGATCATCACGACTTATCGTAACGAGCGGGGACGACCTTGCACAAACGTAGATCGCGCACATAGACGATTGCAATGGTAGAGCTACGGGAGATACAGTGGTGGGTATCGTGATAACACATGCTGCAAGAAGCTGCCTGCGCCCAGTGCCAGCAGGTATACTAAAGGCACGCCAGCTGGTTAAGGCGACCATAATCTTCCGAACACGCTGCCTCGACCAGGGGCGCCACCGCTTCCCAGAAGCATACCCATGCCTTCCTGAATTGCTACGCTCACCGGCCGGATGGGTGCCGAATCGAAGACGTGCGGGCACGGCTGCGTCAGCGGCGGAGGATTCAAGCGGGGGTTCTCGAGCTCGCGCTCGTACATCGAGGGCGGGTTCGCCCCGCGGCCGAGGGACGTGTAGGTAGGGTCGTCGAACGTGGCTCGGGCGTTACGCAGACGCGTTAAGATCTGACGGACGTGGTTAGGCGCTGCGTGGGCGGACTGATGAAATGAGGACGCACTTGTTCGTACAGCGCGATCTCGCCGTCGAGGTGCTCCTTCGCAAGGGCCTGGAAGTCCTCCACCTTCTGTGTATGATAGGTGTCCATCTCTGCCATTGTCGTGTTCAACACGGTTTCACAGCGAGCTGCCATCTCTTCGTCCTCCTGCGATGCAGAGGTTTGTCAGGTCGCAGCCATCTTACGGGATTCGTGCACAGATGCGATAAGTTACCTGTCCATCGCGTATCGCCTCTTGATATCGTGAGAGGGTCGACCGGTGCGTATCAATCACTGGCTACAAGGACATATCAGGCTTGCGCGATGTTGATCATGCCAGAGATCACTCACCGCATAGACAGTTGCAGGATGTGCGACGCTCTTGAGCGCTTCATGTGTTGCAAGTTGTTTCCGCCGTGCCTGATGTTGAATGTACCTAAGTCCTACACACATCGGATGATCTAATGAAACCTTACATGATCGTCGAAGAGGTCCGCCACGCTTATCATGGTCTCTGCCGTCCGCTGCACCGCCTTCGTCAACCTAAGACAGTCTTCCTTCTGGTCAACTGCGTCGACACCAGAAGACGAACGAGGCGCTCCCGCGCGCACCTTCACAGTTCTCTCGCCAGCACCACGCGCCGTCGGCGTTGACATGTCCTCTCCGCCTCCCCGCGCCATCCTCGTCTTCCTCGTCCTCGTCACCGTTGGCGTGGGGGGATGTGGGGCTCGTGGTTGAAGAGGATGCGAGCGGCTTGGCTGTGATCAACGAGAGAAGAGAATAGGAGAGCAAACGCTCAGATCTTGACATCTCTGTATTCACATCGTCATATTGTGAGGAATCGGGATGATGACGGGGCAAGGAGTACACTCACCTACTCGAGCCTCTCGAACTCTGCCAAAGATGTTTCGCAGGCCTTGCACACCTTTGCCTACAGCCCTCGTGTGGCCCACAAAGCGATCGATCGCATCAGTCGCGTCGTCCGCGTCTACGTTGAACGCCGGGTGGTAGACCTGCGCGTAGAATGAGGGGCCCTTCGGAGGGAGCGACAAGTAGTGGGGCAGTTGTTTCTTCCATTCCTACTCGGTATTGTCGCTTCGTCAGAGAACTGATAACGGCGATGTCAAGCGGGGAGGCTCACCGCGTCGCTCTCGCAGCCCAAGAAGAATGTGAGCACCTCCGCGTACCGAGCCACGGGATGCCGCACGACGCGATTGATGTAGCGTTCCAGGTCCCCTCGCCTGGCTTCGACGAACTCGTCGTTAAACCGCCCTGCATACTGCTTCTCAGGCAGTGGAGGAAGTGCGATCCCCGGCAAACGCCTCGTCAACGCCGTATGTAGTACGACGAAGTGCGAGAACCGTCGTTGCACGGTGATACTCGTAGGTTCTGAGGTGGACGTTGTCCCTTGGTCGTCCTCATCTTCGTTGGGATATGTATCCGACGCTGATCGTAGATGGGAGTGAGACGCTTCTGGGGAATCAAAGACAGCTGTCAACGTGTAGACGGTATATGGCCCTGCGAGGCCCGAGCTCCTCTTGCTCGGTGAGTGCACTAGGACGTGGAATGTGGGTAGCTTGCTCTTCCAAGCCGGCCCCACCTCTACAAAATGTTTCTCTGCCTCGCCGCTGCTGCCTAGTGTACTTTCGCGCTTGCTCTCATCCTCGTTGACGCTCGCTGCCGAGGTCACTCTACTGTGCCCCGCCTGTGGGATTGACTCCTCTTCGGCGCTACCATGCAGGACAAAGTCCTCCGCACCACTGGTCACGAAGCTTGAAAATCGATTGAGAGAGCGACCACCTAGGAGACTGCGACGGAAGCTCGGGAACCACTCGCCAGTTGTTTGTGGCATAAGAGGTGTGGCAGGAGAGGTACGCGTGGGCGAGCCTCTGGGTGTGATGGATGAGCCAGATGCATCGCGACGGCTCTTGGTGCGGGCGTGCAGAGAGGGAACGACTACGCCGGGCAGTTTGGCAAAGTCGGCAGTGAACTATCAAGCGTCGAGCGCAATATATTAGAAAGGAGGAGGACATGATAGACGAACGGTCATTCACGGTGTAGTACGTTGTCGGCAGCAGCCCAACCTCGCCCTCGTGGCCATTTCCGCTCCTGCACTTCGCCAGTTTGACGAGACTCCATCCATCCCCGACGTCTTCCTTCAGTACTTCCAGCTCATCGCCAGCTTCGACGCATACCAGCTCCCTGAACTCCGCCCTTCCCTCAAATGCATAGAGCGCGCGGGCTGAGCGACCTTGGAGAGACTCAAGATCGGGCTCGTCATCTCCTTCGTCGTCCGACAGGATATTCGGGTTGACGTCGGCACTTGCGTTGCTGCTTCGCTTTGCTGCGTCGGATGCGGTCCATGCCGCAGAGCTGTTGAGCCCAGAGTCGAACTCAAGCGCTACATTTGTATGTGGACGAGATAATGGCTGTGACGACGGCACGATCAAGGTCGGCTGGCTAGGAGCTGTCGCATCTTGCGACACCATGGCATGAGATCCTCGCAGCGAGTACCTCTTCCTCCTGATATACCGAGCCTGAGAGTAGGAGCCTGACAGACCAAGTACCAAGGTCCACGCGTGAGTGTCAGAGATGAAGTCCTTCAGCCCAAGTGGGGACTTGGCCGAGCGATGTAGGGCGGCCTGCTCTATCTCGTTTAGGTAATCGTCGCTCTGTGCGCCAGACGCGTTCTGACCTGCCCTGAACCCATCGCCCGAACTTGCGGGCCACTGGCAGTGGCAGTCACTGACTGGCAGTGGAGGAACATCATCATGATCGAGGCTCCTGGTAAGTACACCAATCATCTCGTATTCACCATGCTAAAAGCTGCGTAGAGATCTACATTGACGCACTGGGAAGGGCTCCAAAGGATAGAGAAACGAACCGAACGTGACATCTCAGGCTTGCGCGACGGCACAACCTACCAATACTTGAAGTGCACGCATCTACAAGCATGACATACTGAAGTAATGCGTCCTGCCGTGCTAAGAGGTCTGGGCCCGTGCGCATGGGATGCCCACCACTCAAACCCCAATACCCAGTCAATCGTCTCGAGCCTGGCACCCGCAAGTTGCGACTACTGGATGTACTTACGCACGTCGCAGTCCAACGGAGTAGTTCTGGCTCCGAGAAGCTGGATTCTCGGCACCTCTAGACCCTGATCGCAGTGTTGAATTCCCTCCTGAGTGTACAGTACGTGCTGCAGTCCGGGTCATTGTTCAACAGTGTCGTTGACGAAGTGACTTCCGCACGACGGCCATGATCATCAACTGATGAACCCATCTTGAGTGAGTGGCCTTGCGAGCGTTCACGAAGGATGAAGTCGCTTACAGACCTGTAGGCTCTGCATCATAGTCGATGTGTACATTGATTTGAAGCCATTAGCACCCATGTCTTGGCATGACTGATCGCCGTGCAATTGGTTGGTCCAAAGTTGCTTGCGTGTCTTGGGGACGGCGATGATTCAATCGCAAGTCGCGCCGTGCTCTGGGGAGGCGAAATCCAGCCTTTCGACCCCCTCAGTGAGGCGGTTGAGCTGGTTGTCGCGTACGCTTGGCCTCCCTGCCTCACATATTCTAACCTCGCGTCCAGTACCTCGACAATAAGCCATATCAATCACGCGGTGTATCGCAGTCAGTGTTGATCTGATCCATGTCGCCACCTAACGATTGACAACTTCGCAAACAGGATCGCTACCCAATGAGACTTTCTGTCTTCCAGCTCGTAGCAAGGAAGAATTCACGAGCAATTAGAACATTGGTTCGTCTCGCATTTAACAAAACATCAAAGTGACTTGTACGAACAGATGTCATGATCCCAAAAATAAATCAGCAGTCATATTACGCCTCAAGCTTCGTCGCTTGCCATGGAAGATCGGCCACTCCGAGGTACAGCGGTGGAGGCTCTTGCGACGCCTCTTTCCCCTTCTTATCGTCGGCGGGAAGCCTCGGCGACGGCATCGCTATAGCCACTGCCACACGAAGACGCCCATCCTCTCCTGGCTTCGATCCCTTGCTTGCGGACGACGAGTGCGACGACGAGGTCTGCATGCTGACCGGGCGACTTGAAGCGGGAGTGCCCGGGTATGACGACATGTTCGCAGCGACCGCCTGCTCGATGTCATATAAATCCTGCGGGATGTACTTGGCCGACAACGGCTGTTACAAAATTGTTGTGAGCACGGAGGTCGGTCACGTCACGTCAAAAGGTGAGCTGCCTACCCTGATATGAGTCCATCTTGCGTTGGCCGTATAGACAGGGGGAGGGGACTCGAGCTGCACGTCGAACAGCTCAGGTTTTTCTGCGACGGTCGGAAGCACCGTTCTCGCCGCGCGCGCCCGGGAGCTCCGGCGGAGCTTTATGATCCAACGGACGAGGAGGCCGATGAAGAGGGCGAGCACGATGGCCACGCAGACCGGGATGACGACCTGGTTGATTACGGTGTGCGACGCATGCTCTCCTCCAGTCGACTGCGACGGGGGACTCGAGCTCGAGGACGAGCTGCCGGACCGCGCGCCACTGAATCCGTCGCTCCCTCCGTCACCTCCTGACGCGATTTCAGACATGCCTCTCGGTATCACGAAGTGAGCAGATGCGGCGAATGAAGTCTGGAGAATAATGCAACGGCAGGTCAGTACCTTGGAAGACGGATGCTACCAAGAAACGTCACTGACCTCGTGGGGAAGTATATGTTGGGCGGATTGGCTGTTTTCCGGAAGCCTGGCCGTGGCGATCATCGATGTGGGGATTTGCTCGTACACTCTAAAGTCGCAAGGAACAATTGATTCATCGGCAACGGGAAGGGGACTCGGTTGCTGTGGGTAGAGGGCTGGCGGAGGAATGACTAGACCAGCGACAGGGCTAAGGGCAGGAATGGCGGTTGGAATGTCTCACTAGTATGTCGACGGGCGGTCGACTGGAGAAGCGGCGCATTGCCGCCAGCATTTATATGAGCTGTGGCTGGGACGCGTGGCTAGCGTGGTTCTGTAACATGCCCCGAACGCGAACAAGGTTGCATCGTGCTGGACCAATCGCAATGCGCGATCGACCCCGATTGACGGTATCCGGTGTCGTTGCGAGTCACAGATCAGTGGTACCTGCTGTGCAACTAACTTTGACCGAGTCATTGCGGCTGCGCAGTGGGATTGGCGCCTCGAGCCTTATGCGCGGCGGCTTTGCGCTCTCACTGCATTTCGATGGGCAGACCGGGGTTTGCGGTACAGTGCGCATCTTGGATGGGCCATTGCAATGGCGATGCATCTACTGCATTGGTATAGTATGATGATCGTCAAACCTTCAGAGACTCCTGCAGTGCTGTTACGTTCCGATGTAGTCGCATGGCCCATCACATCACCTGTCGAGTCGGAGAAACCTGACGCGCAGGCTTAGGCTGACATTCCTTGTCAGGGGTCCTTACACTTTCCTCACCTCGAAGCCACCCACGCAGCCACGAGTACCGTGGACCTGATGGAACTCTGAATGTGGTGGCTCGACGCGTGCGCACCGCAGCAGTCTCCCCGAGCCGCAGTGCGACAAGCGGGCTTACGCGGCTACATGGGAGCAGGCGACTAGATGCGAACGTATTAGGCACAAGGAGAACGTTAACCCTGGGTCGTGGGCTCCTTGCGTCAATGACCGCGGAGTCAGAGGTACCCTAGAGACGCTGGAGGAGGTTCCGACGACTCGGCAGCGTCATCTTGGCGGATCATGAGCACGATGATCTTCATTTGGTCGTACTACAATGAACCTGCGGCCCCGGTGCTGGAGAGGAGCGGCAAACCCTGTACACAATAATGAGCTTCAGTTGTGCACGGAGGCTGGCCTACTCGACACATAATACTAGTGGCTCAAAGAATTGAGGACGCCGTAACGTGGCCAGCAATATGACTCCGAGTCTGAGTGAGTAAGTACCTTAACTACCGGTTCGGGGATCGGGTCAGATCTCAATCGAGATCCTTAGCGTCTGTGTAGCAGAACTTGTCCGACGAGTCGGGACTCAGCAGACCAGGCTTACCTTCAGAAACCTGAGCCCCATGTTCCCCCTGCCGGGTAGACATAGTCAAAGGAGGACTCGCGCTCGCATAACCCCTCAGAACTTAGCCGGTATTTACGAATGTTCATTTAAGGTCCTCCTGAGGGACACTTGCCCGACAGCGAGCATGCACTTCAGTTCCGCTACTTGCGGTAATTCCACCCATACTTACAATCATATATCCACCTGTAGTATATTTGCGCGAGATCTCTTCGTACCACAGACCCACTTGTCCCTTGCGGCTTATCCGCTCCGTGGCTGCGGCCTGCGCTGTTCCATCATCCCCTTGTCGAAGACGAAGAAGACCAATAAAGTGATGCCAAGTCATAGCCGATGCATACTTCCTCCAACGCATAACTTACTTCCGTACGGCAAGAGATCGTCGAGATTATACTTACACCACGATCCTGGCGCCATGAGCATGCTCACTGCTTGCTGTCGGTCGCCCACTTCCAAAGTCCGATCTCACCCTGGCACGCTTTCCTGAAGACGTCCTTGGCCTCAGCATAGTGATCCTTCCAGACGTCATAGTTCGCAGTGAAGAAGCCTATCGACATGTCTGTGAAACAGAAACTGCTAGGGATACACGAGGCTACTCACTAATCTGACTCGTCACACCGGCATCCTCCGGCGAGAGGTCGCCGTTGGGCTTGATCCAGAGCTTGTACCAGAGCGTTTCTGCGTGAGTATCAATACGTTAGTTATTGGACACCGAGGCCAACGCTAGCGAGACAAACTTTGGACGTCTTCCATTGCGGCCTCACAGAGCGGGTGTGCCAGTGCATAGTAAGCCTGTACCGGTGATGTCTGAGTAATGCAAACACTGAGATATCCGATGATACACACCTGAATGCACGGAATCATCGCGACAAGGTTCAAGCCCAGTTGTGGGTCTTGGCTGTCTCGAACTGCATGTCGGTGTAATAGTTGGTGGCGTCCGCCGGCTGTGCCTGAAGGACATATATATCCTTCATGCCTAGGCCTTGGTCCACGTCGTCAACGCAGAGGTCCAAGGCGCCCTGAGCATAGGTGCAGTAGTGCGACGCCTTGGTAGTGGTATCCTTGAATTCCTCGGCAGTCGTCGATTTGATTGCGCGCTCGGTCTGGTACATGATGCGGCGTGCACAGTAAATGTAGTCTTGCTACACGTACGAAACGTTTCAGTAGACGAGCCCTCGCGTCCCAGCTAGCGTGGCAATGGAATGGCTCCTACCACCATGTAAGCCTTGAATCCCATGAGGAGCACATCTGCAGCGGGGTCGTTGGGTCCAGTCATGCCCATCTCTTTACAGAATGGGTTTCCCAGTAACTGATTGAACCAAAGGTCGTGGTTGTCAGGATCGTTGATCAGCCGATTGACGAGGTCGTCTCTGACGAACGAGCATCGCATTAGTCGTCGAAAGAAGATTACACAAAAATGACGCACTGAGCGGGCTCAGCATCCCTGGGACGAGGATGAGATTTGAGAGTTTCGTGGACGACCTTGATTGGGCCTAGCGTCGCACCGTGCCTCGAGGAGGCTGCATACTTGTTCAGCTCGTTGAAAGCATGCTTGACGCGGGCGGAGTGATTCAGTTTTGAGGAGACGAGGACAGCAGGGATTCGAGACATGATTTAACGTACAGAGACCAGGCTGCAGCGGGACTGATCACGCTGGAGGGCGAGGTCGTCGCTAGGCGAAGTACTCGGTCGTGGGCAACGGCGATGTCCCTCCGAGGCAATACCAGATTCGTGCGTGCTTCACGAAGGGGTAGCTGGAAGTATGGCGTCTCCACCCGAGGTAGTGCTATGGAAGAGTACAAGTTGGACGTATCCACGGAGTAACCGACGAGAATTTTGGACGTGTATAGACTAGCTAAGCTTCGAATTCCGCGGAGCGTACCAGTCAGAACAGTTCGAAGGAGGTTCGAAGTGTCGATATGCGTTTTGAACGTGCTGTGCGATGCACAGCCAGGCTTCGACCTGACAGTCCCATTGACAGATGCGACTGCAAGGTTCCGGTTGACGTCCGATTCGGTTCAATCAGGCAGTGCAACAAGCGCTCCTCAGGATCCAATTTAGCAGCGTGTCTGTAGCCTGCAGGTCACGTCAGTGCTTGAAACTCAGTGCTTCGGCGCAACTCACCTTCGTAGATGAATCGCAGACTCACCGATCACCCCAACAAGGCTATCGACATTTGCCATGGAATGGTCGCATGATTTCTAGTAGACAATGGAGGCGGTAGTACTTTGACTCACAGAGAGTCTAGTCGTCGCGTCCATGGAGGTCAAACAGAAACACATCAGACAAACACAGGATAATTGACGAGGTGTTGAGGTCAGGTTGGCAAAGGGTCTGACACACGTTGCAACTTGCGATGTACCAAGTCGCCGGCGCCGACGACTCCCATAGACGCGGTAGTGGACCTTGGCGCTATGGCCCGAAGGTTGAAGGAATGTCTGCGATGTCGCGACACATGTCATGTAGGGAAGCTGAGCATGAGTGCGGCTGGAACTGATATACTTAAGGTAAGATAGTCCTGATGTTCAACGTTCAGATCCAATTCCGAGTCTCCGTTCTGCATGGATGCACGTGACATTTTTGATGTGAACCTGTTGGGCGCTTCCGGATCCGAACGTAGAGCTGCTTAGTGGCTTACTACTGTACTACTAGTACTACGGTAGAGTCAACGTCTCTAGACCCCTCGAAGAGACTCGCTCGAGGCCTGGGACGCTGTGCGGAAGGTGTACTTGTCCCTTCGACAGCAGATACAGCCTGTACTGCAACGGCTCGCGGCACTGTCACGGTACCGGTCCTACTACGGATACCACTGTCGACTACTAGGACCAGTGTCAGGAACGCCAGCCAAATTGAACCCTCCGTTGGAGATATCTCATTATTCTCGCTATCGGAATGAAGTGGCATCTAGGTTCCTTCTTGTGTCTGGGATACCTGGGAGTCGCATGGGCCAGCAGCACTTCAAATGTTGTAGACTCGTCATACGCTGACCCTTGTGCTGCCATCGCGAACGAGACGTGGGTCTCCCCTCAAGAAGCGCGCAAATGCTTTGGTTCTTTCCCGGTGGACCCGGATATTAAGGCTAACGTGCGTTTGCTCTACACCCTAATGGTCTTGTGAGCTGACATCGTGATGCATATCGCAAGATCATCGAGGTCCTGAATAAGTCCCTGGCCTTCCATGCTTCAGTGAACTACCAGCGGCAGGCACCTCCACCATTCGAAGATATCCACGAGGATGTGCACGGGGATCTAGCCCGCATCTCGTCGCAGGACTACTCCTCTGACTTTGATCTGCATCTCGAAACAGTACACGCTCTCAAGAGGCTAGTGGACGGACACTGTTTCTATATGAATTTATGCTATGATTGTAAGCCTGTGTGCACGACCGCTTCATTTTGAACTCAGAGTGCTCATGAATCTCATTCGAACATAGCCCTATACACGACATATCTACCCATTCCCCTAGCGCTCTTGACCGATGAACTCGGCGTGCAGCATGTTCATGTAGCACCCGAAGCCTTCAAGATTTCTTCTACCGAATTCGGCGAGGAGCTGAAATTCTGGCAAGATGCGCTTCCGGAGGAATTGAGGGGCAAGCTAGAGCTGGTGAGTGCAAATGGACACCCAGATGACTTCCTGACGGACATTGCAATGAATGGACGCTAGTTGTCGGGAGCGGAGGTACTTTCAATCGATGGTGAGACACCGTTCGCCACAGTCAATGCGAGCGCCGTCCAGACTGGACGAATGCAGGCGTTTGGTACACGTCAAAACATGTGAGCCGTGTCGCTTGACATTGGCAATGGGATGCTCAACATTCATCTTTAAGGTTCTTCTCAAGCTATGGCCGGACCGAGGCCGGCTGGGTGTACCACTTCGGAGACTTCGCTGCCCAGAGTCTCCCTCTGAAAGACTCCGTCGCTTTGACCTTGCGCATCCAAAGCGGCAGCGATATAGCGTTTGCCAACGTCACGGTGTGTACATCAGTGTCTGTGGCAAATGTACCACCTTCGATAACGCATCTCATCGCTCGTAGCTCCCGTATCGCTCCCGGCTATCTTCATCGGTAGAGCCGTGGACCAATGCGTCAACGTTCTGGGCAAACAACTGTCTGGCGACCAACTCTACCAACGGCGTCAACCTGTACGCGAAACCCAATGTCGTGGTGGATTCGGGCGAACGACCGCAGCAGCCCTTCATCGATCCGGCGCTTGTCAGGGCCCGACTGCGAAAGCACCACAAGAACGAGCTGTTTGATGCTTCGATGGCACAGAACATCGAGCTACCGGCGGAGATGACGCCCTCGTCGCCGCTCAATGGAAGCTCGGGCGTCGCCCAGTTCTACATGCTGAATGCGAGTGTGACGGACGCGCCGACGGGTGTGCTGATGCTGGGCAGCTTCTCGGCGAGCTCGTTCAACGAGTTGCAGTCAAGCCTGTTGGATGGGCTGAAGAACTTGAAGACGGAGGGCGCCGAACAGTTGATCGTGGACGTGGTACGTAAGCACGCTTGAAATGAGGGACTATTCAATGACAGACATCTCTGAGCAGACGAACAATGGTGGAGGTCAGTATTTTCGTCCCTCTCCGCGAAGTCACCACTGAAAGGTACTCGAAGGCTATATTTGCATCGCTCACGTAAGACTATGCCCTGAATACTTACTCGTTTGCATGTGCTGATTGGATTGTTGTCTTGCCAGTGGCTCCACCGTATTGTGCGTACCGTTTTAGCCTACCGATGCTTCTATTACCCAATGATGTGCTACTGTGCTATCCATAGATCGCGGGTCCAAGGGGCACCACCGTTCCGCAGGCAGGACTCCAGACTCAGACCCGAGCGTCGCCATTGGCCCAGCTCATCGTGAAGCACATCGCTGGCGGGGCAGACCCCGAGAACCTCCTTCTGTATAACCCGCTGAACTGGGAGTATGCAAACAATACTCCCATCCCAGGCGAGGAAGACTGGCTGCAGCCGCCCGTCCGGAAGACGGTCAATGGCGTGGAAGATATGTTCAGTCAGCGGTGCGCCCTGAAGTCTTCTACTAGGGACCATTATGTCTTATGAGTCGATACAGGTTGGGAGACGAGTGTCAACCATTTGAAATGGACCCTCCAGCAGAGCCGCTGTTTGATTCAAATAAAGTCGTAATCATCAGCAATGGCCGGTTCGTGCATCTCTGTCAAAGAACTTCCCACAATATTCTGACAGGGCTCACAGGTGTGCGAGCTCATGCTCACTCTTCAGCGTGCGTGGTTTCAGCGAGAGCGACGTTGTACCTACTCACACGCCAGAGCGCAGATTTCCATGGCCAAGAGAGAGGGCGCCACGACTGTGGTTGTAGGCGGCAAAGATGATGTTCCGCAGCAGTATTGTGGCGTCGTCGGTGGCCAATCAATACGCTTCCCTAACATTGACACCGAGATAAAGGCTAGTGAACTCGCATTCAGTGCACCTTTGTGCCGTGTCTGATCATGGATCGATCTCTCGCAGACCGCTGGGCTGAAGGATCACACGCTTGCGCCGCCAGACTTGTATGTATCTCAATCGCTGTGCGAATTCTAGTCTGACATACACTGCGTTACTCTCATCGCACTGAAATAGCATCACCAACAGTCTGCACGGTGTAACATGGAGGCTTGGGTTCGGCATCGACGATCCTTTGGAGCCGGAGGGTGAGCCCTGCATTTACTTGGCGTGGCGACAAAACCTCTGCATGCAGCGAACTTCTGACGTTTGATTTTCGCTGCAGAATGGCAAGACCACCCTGCTGATGTGAACTTTCCGTTGACTGCAGATATGTGAGTTTCCATTCTTCTCGTGCTATCGCGTAGTTGGTCTGATCGTGTGTCCTGCCTTCCTCGTCTGACCGGATTCCATGCTGCGCATGCGACAGTGTGAACAAGCCAGTCGCCATTTGGGAGCGGGTCGCGAAGACGCTCTTGTGAAGTATATACTTAGGCTTCTTGCGTCGCACATCGTCATCTCGAAGCCCAGGTCTTGTCGTCGAGCGCCCGTATATCGATGTGCTCGGCAACACTCGGTGTTTTAACCTCTTATTGTGTGTAGCAAATCGCATATGTCTGGTATGTGATAATCGCTTTGCCTTTACAGCTAGGTTCGTGGTTGCCGCTGGTCATGCGTTTCCCATTGTGGACGGTTTGCAATCAGTTAGCTCCGCAGACACGGCTGTGTGAATTCCCAAATAATACACGTGAATAGGTGACCTCCTAAATGCCTCATTCGCTCAATAATGGGTAGGAGGTTCCGAAGATAAGTCCCGGACATGATAGAAGACTTCTCTAGGTATCCTGACCCTGACCAGCATGGGGCTTGCGATGCTTCGCCGTAACTCTTTCCCACCGATACCACCACGCTCTTCAGCACTGCAAGGTGGGGGCTCCATCCATCCCATTACTTCTGATGTCTCGATTCGCACGAGAAGAGCAATCAGGGCGCTAATGCGGACAGCGTGGAACTGCCTGTCCAGTACAAGTCCACATACATCTCCGGGAACTTCGATACGGCGGTGGTCGGGTTCAAGCCAAGTATCCCCGTGCTTAAAAGCCTACCTTCTCATGTTGCACGACTCCTCCTCAGCCAACCATCATCGAGGTTCATCCATCATCCACGTATGTCGATCCCTAGTTCAGCACTTTACACGGGACTGATACCTCATTCCCTCCTAGTTCATAGTTCGCCTACGGATTGATTCACAGACATGGATATCAAGCAGATTGAGGCTTTATCCTCCGTCATCTCATCTTCAGTCGCTCAGCTGAAGCAGCTCCAAAGCTCGCTCAAAACGACGGAGCACACTGCCGCTACCACCAAGGCCGAGTTCTTGAAGCCGTCGTTGGAAGTTGTGGCTGCAGCGTCGCAGCTCATTGCGTTAGTGCGCACGCCAGAACGATATCTGATGGATATGTCTACCGCGGTCAGTCTGTGCCACAGACCTAATCTTGATGTTAGCTAAAATGCGGAATTCAGCATCAATTGAGTGCGTCGCTTCGTGTAGTGGTTGAGACACACGTAGTGGAGATCTTGCGCGACAAGGGCAAGGGTCTCAAAAAGGCGCTGAGCGCAGAGGAGATCGGTGCATACAACCATGTTAACCACCTCAAACTCGGTAAGCCTCTCACTTGGGTCCTCCGTATGACCCTATCTCAATCTGCTCTGTACAGCCAGAGTTCTTCGTCTGCTTGCTACGCACCATGTCTTCGACGAAGTGACTCCTAATGTCTTCGCCAACAACGCCATCTCCAATGCTCTGGACACAGGCAAGTCCCTCGCTGAGCTCGAGGCAAGCCCAGACGAGAAGTATGACGGTAGCAATGGAATCGCCGCCCTCGTCGGTATTTTGTACGTCGTATGTTCATAATCCGAACATCGATCTTGACTGATGATTGTCTTCAGCTCTGATGAGACGTTCCATAATGCTGTCTGCACAGCAGACATCTTGAAGGATCCTCAGACAACGAACTCCTTCTCGCCCTACGATGCACCGTTCGCCTTGGCATGGCCCGGCACTCGAAACATCGCAATGTATGACTGGCTCAACCTTCCTGAGAACAACTATCGCAAGAAACGATTCGGTATGGGAATGCACGGCATGAACAGCATGACACCTTCAGATGCGATCTTGCGTGGTTCGTGGCTTCTGCGACGTATTTCATGCCTTTCACTCACTATGACGGGTTTACCTAGGCTTCGACTGGTCTAGCCTTCCTCCCGGAAGTATCGTCGTTGACTGTGGAGGCGGTGTCGGCTCTGTGTCCCTGCCCATCGTCCAGACATGCCCGCAGATACACCTCATTGTTCAAGATACTGCGCCTGTCGTTGCTGAAGGGCCTACTGTAAGTGACTTCGTTGTGCAGCTCGAGCACTATGTTGATGAGAGCAATTGCAGTTCTGGCAAGCGAACCAGCCCCAAGCTCTTGCACAAGGACGTGTGACCTTCCAAGGTGTGTCGGCGTCGAATAACATATTCCGTGCGCGCAACTGATGTATCTAAAGGACACAATTTCTTCGAGCCTCAGCCCGCTGAGAACAAGAACATCTCTGTGTTCCTACTACGGATGATCATGCACAACTGGCCCGATGCAGAGTGCATCAAAATCTTGAAGAATGTACGCAACAGCTGCACGAGGGATACTCGCATCGTCATCGTCGACAACATCATGCTGTTCGCGTCTCGTTCGCAAGAGATCGCAGGCCAGGAGACCGGCACCTCTGACCCCGATGCCCTCGCGCCTGAGCCGCTGCTCGCCAACTGGGGTGTCGCCAACTCCCTCTCGTACAAGCAAGATCTCAACGTGGGTCGAAGTCGTCGCTATCCTTGTGCCGTAGTTAACCACTCCTTGTCAGATGCTGAGCAACCACAATGCGTGCGAGCGGACAGTGCCAGAGTTTGCGTCTCTGCTTTCGCAAGCCAACTTCCGCATCGTCGAGGTGCATCAAGCGCACCAGAGTTGGCTGCCGCAGGTCGTGGCCGTCCCCATCTGAGCGCGACAAGTACGCGAATCGAGATAGACGTGAGATCACTTCAACAATTGTAGCATCAGTACATTCGTGTTCAACCACCGAGATCGCAATTCATGACATCGCAAATCATAGACTGGCGTACATGAGTATCATCGAGAGATAGAGTCAATGAGAATGCGATCGTGGCCGATATTATACAGCCGAGGCTGCATTCCGCGTGAATGGAGTCTGGCTGGTGGGGGATATGTATCCATCTGAAGGTTTTGCACGATCCACTGACGTTCTGATCATGGATTCGTCTGTGAGCATAAGCATTCTACCTGTCGAAGAAGCAGGTCACCAGATACCTGCATGTTCCCGGCCTGTTGTATAAGAAATTGATCAGGGAGCAATGTGTCTGCTGTCACTCCCACTCACCCTTCTCACGTCAAGGGCTATATCAGAGGACGTTCGCCGCACTTCATCCGGCGAGTATATCAGAGGGCTAACGCTGTGATTGAGGCAATCGGCTTACACAGGCGGACAGCAACCGCTGACGCTGTAGGGCGATATCTTTATAAGCAAGCAAAACGCTGAAGGGCTCGCGTACTGACCGACATGACGGACCTACAGGACAAGGCCAGCACTTGGTTGTCTAAGTTTGCTCACGCGGCCTTCAGGGTTGATATCGATGCTGTGGTCGACTGCTTCATTCCCGGCGGCTGGCTTCGCGACGCGCTGGTGTTCACCTGGAACACGCGGTCTCTGGAGGGACGAGAGAAGATCGCTGCGTACCTCGCAAACACGCTTCCTGCGGTGCATCTGTCACACTTCAAGCTTGACACGCAGGACGGATTGAAGCCAGAGCCGCACCTTGGCACGGGTCTTGCGACGGGGTTCACATTCGAGACTCTTGATCGCCGGGGGCATGGCTATGCATACCTTCGCCCGGACGGCGATGAGTGGAGGGCGCTTTCCGTATTCATGATGATTAGCGATATCAAGGGCCATGAAGAGATGGGTCATGAATATGGGACCTACAATGGACATACGTTGTCGTGGGAAGAAGTGTTCGGCGCACGTCGAGAGGCGATCGAGAAGGACCCCTATGTCATCATCGGTGAGAGAGCGCAATCAGCGAGAAACGAGTGATAACTGACTTGCGTCGCAGTTGGTGCTGGTCAGACCGGTCTCCACATTGCGGCGAGATTCAAGCAGATGAACATCGCTTCTTTGGTCGTCGAGAGGCATGCTGTAGTCGGTGATCAATGGAGACAACGATACCCAACGTTGTCATTGCATACGACCAAGAATCACCATACTCGTATGCAACGCGTCGTTCTGTAATAGGTCAATGATACTGATATTCGAGCTGATCAGTGTTGTACCAGCCGTATCCAAAGAACTGGCCCACGTACACGCCCCGAGACAAGGTGGCAGACTGGCTGAAGCAATACGTGGAGTCGCAGGATCTCGTTGTATGGACGAGGTCGTATGTTCTTCCGGGCGCCAGTTATGACTCGGAAGCGGAACGGTGGAACGTCGTTGTCCGTAAGGGTGATGAAGACCGAGAACTTCATCCAGTACACATCGTCCTTGCGACAGGTGTTCTCGGAGCGCCTCGCATTCCAGAGGTTCCAGGCGCGGAGACCTTCAAGGGTACCGTGTTTCACGCGAGCAAGTACATGGGTGGCCAATCATTCGCGGGGAAGGATTGCATCGTGGTCGGCGCTGGTAACACCTCCGCAGATTTGTGCCAAGACCTATCGTTCCGCGGCGCCAAGTCTGTGACCATGGTTCAACGGTCGTCTACCTGTGTCGTCCATATTGACACTGTCGCCGGCGCCATGGCGCAGGGCTATCCTGACGGCGTTCCCTACGAGATATGTGACATCAAATTCAGCGCCATGCCGATTGACCTTCAAAGGGCCATGGCCCGTGAGCGGGAGGCAGAGATGTGGGAGAGGGAAAAGCCGTTGCACGATCAATTGAGGAAGGGAGGCTTAAAGCTGAATATGGGGACTGACGGGTCCGGTCAACACTTCCTGATCTTCGAGAGAAGTGGGGGTACGTCCTACATTGTGGACTTCATGTTGGGGCAAAGCATTGATTGTATCATCCACAGGTTATTGTGAGTGTACGAGCAGAATCATATTTTGACATGTTAAGGAGACGTTTTCAGGGGTGGACGTGGGATGCGCTCCCTTGATCGAGTCTGGCAAGGTCAAGATCAAACAGGGTGTCGAGATCAAGCGTCTCACCGAAAACGGCGTCATCTTCGACGACGACTCCGAGCTTCCTGCAGATCTAGTAATATGGGCGTAAGCGACTGATCATTCTACTATGAGAATGTAGCTAACTACATTCTCGATCCAGAACGGGTTATCTTGATTCTCGCCTGCGTCACAGAGAAACATATGGGGCAGACGTGGTTGACAAAACCAGCCCAATTTGGGGACTGGATGACGAAGGAGAGATCAGAGGTACCTACAGGCCAACTGGTCACCCTGCCGTAAGTCGCTCCGCTGTATGGCAAATAAAAACTATAAGCGCGCGGTTTAGCTATGGTACGCGGGTGGCGACTTCGCATCGTCTCGCTTTATGTCAAAGCAGCTGGTGCGTGTTGATTCGGTGGTGGTTTATTCGTGGTACGTACTCACGGATATGACAGGCGTTGCAAATTAAGGCAAGAGAGCTGGGCATGTGTCCCCTTTAGGGGCCTGAAAGCGGTACTGGTCTATTTTGTAGGCGGAAATTGACCCAACGCCGTCGATATGAGAAACGAGGTGGTCTTCGTTGATACCATGTATAGTACTGGTTCAAGCCTTCGAGCGGCCAGACTATTAACTGTCGCACGACCACCGTCAGACGACATACTACCATGGAGTCATTAGAAAGCTTGCCTCAGTGGCGGTCGATATCCTAGGGAGCATACCCTGAGACTAAGAGTCAACGCCTTCGGCAGTGGGCCATGCGATCGCCTCTGGAGTGCTGCATAGTACCGTGACGGAAGTTCGGAACAACGTTGCAATTATGCTTTCTGGTGATTTTAATAATTTCAATTATTGACCGCACAGCAGGTTGCGCAAGATAGAGTCTGACCAGAAGCGCGGTGGTGGTGGTTGTGGAAAAAGGATGTCCACCTGGACCAAACCTGGACGATCGGACCAGGACTGTGACAAGGTAACACGGGCACGCGGATATCACGTGAACGTTGGCGACGCGGTACGCGTAACGCGACCCCAGACCTATGAGCGGGCCATCTTCAAGTTCCTGTTGTCTTCCTCCACTACGCACTCAAAGCCTGAGCGCTCGCAAATAAACCTCCGGACATCATTCCGGCTGCTTCGATATTGTGTGCTACAATGCATGGCTTTGCTAGGCGACGGAGACATGAACTTGATGTCGCCGTGACGGTAGATTCGCCTCCCCCTAACGTCACCGGCCCTAATGGATGGTGAGTCCCACCCTGAGCCGCATTTAATTGTCCTCATAAAAATCAACACAATTTTCTTAGTTACGCCCTGTGTAGACGTAGAACTGGCAGAGAGCGCCCCACGGTCGTTCTGCGTCTCGGCAAATGCTATTGTCGGGGAACTACTACTGGTAGAACGATTTGGTCTTCCGAACATGCGCTTTTCAGTAGTCCTCGAGGTACGTCCGTTTTGAAATTATGTAAACTGCGAAAATATTAGTGGTGCCCCTTGAGATGACTCGGCCCGTTGTCCGGAATCTATGGCAAAGGAAATACTTCTCCCAGTCCTCAAACCCACGCATGCAGGACATATGGAGGAGACAGAAGTAGACTTTTTCTGTTTACCGACTCAATCTCGCCGTAGCTTCTCCGGCGCTGCAAGAATTCTCATGAAGACACAACAGTTGCTACACGCGCTGATTCACGTCAGTACGAGGCCTCCCCATGTCCCCGAATTGTCATAGCTTCGGATCTGAGGCTAACTCCATCCACAGAAGCTGATCCACGTAGCAGAATAGACTCCACATACTCGAGCGCTTTTGCAATAGCACATTCGATGGCGACGCTGGGTGGCCCTTCAAGACAGTAGGTGAGAAGATCCGGCTCCCCGTTCCAGACTTCTCGAAGTGCGTCGCAGCGCATCATTCACTCGTCCCCGCTGCGTGCATCTAAAGCTGATTTGTATGATGCGATGAAGAATTCCAGTGTCTCGTTCCTGAATGCTGCCCTAGTATGTGCACTTCCCACAGGCCAGCTGTCACTGCACGACCGAGTCGAGCTAGGCTCTGGGCAAGTCATACCTCATGATGATGCCTTGGTAACAGGGTTCAGCTCTGGCAAAGAAGGATGATCAAGGAGGTGCGGCCAGAGCTTCTGCGCAGTACATTCGCACCGTGCGCCGGTTCACCTGGGATTACTGACGGTGGAAAAAGGGGATTCGTCATGTATATCTGACATCGTACATCTCTGGAAACGGTGCGTTGGCCACTGAACATGAGCGTGCGATGGCTAAATTTGTGGTAGGTACTCAGCTGTGGTCGCATCTGAAACTTTCCCTGAACATTGAAGCAGTTGCGAGGACTGTCTACGGCGTACGATCGCTCTACAAGTCAATGGAGCCTTACTACCGCTCCGAGAGACCGAGAGGATCTGTTTCCAATGCTGGGATACTGCGCTCCGCGGAATATGAAGACCCTATATGTGAAAATTCTGTCGCCTGGGCCGACTCCCTGGCGCGCTCATCATCTGTCCCTTGTCTTCGATCGTCAATGTAGGCGGCAACGAACGGGCGTATCTTTGCAAAGACTGATGCATGAGGACTTCGGTGTTTATGTACATGTCGGTAGGTTACAGGGCACCTTCGGTGCATGTTGTCTCCATCCCTGAAGCCCAAGTTCGGATGTCTGTATCCTCGACACTCTTTTCGTCCTGCCTCATTGTGACTGCTAGCCGAGCCTCTGGTGCATCACAGGGCGTTAAAATTAAGCCTCGAGCCCTTGGACTCCGGCGTGCAGCGGCAGTTCAATGTGACTACCTAATCATCCTGGCACTCTTTCCGCTTCTCGGGTACCCGCGCAGGGAGTGTATCGGTGTACGTACATTTCCTGTACGCGATTTGCTTCATGGCTGATCCATAATTTGCAGTATGCATGTGTCAAATCACCCTTTCCACCCTCACGACCATCTTTCACAACGAAATCAGTTCTCAGATATCGAGCCAATGCAGCTCTTCAAGAATATTGAAGCCAATGTCATACTCACCCAACCCTAGGTTTGCTCACGCTATTACTTTCGCCTTGTCTAGGATGTTCACTTTGCTCGATTAGGGTAAAAACTATCGATGAAGCCATCAGCGCGATATGGTCCGATGACCCTGCTGGGAATTGGAGGTAGGTCTCGTGCAAACTTTCACCACACAGTGACATGGGCATAAACGAGGCCTTACGTCAAACCATGGTGCCTGCCTGCCTTTGATAGGCGTAAGAGCGGGGCAAGAGTAGAAGAGAAGGGCGAGGCGAGCTTCTCGTTTCTTCCATCCTCAGTAGGACCGCAAATGATATGTCTGGCTACAGTCAGGAATGACACCTAGGATGAGTGCATCCGAGTACGAGCAAATCGGGTCCGTCTTCGGAAACCGGCCCCGCGCCGCGACGAGATGCTCGCGACGTCGAGTTCAACTTGGTCATATGTCCTGAAGACCAATAAATCGTCGTACGTTCCAGCAACGTAATACCCCTTGAAACGACCGCTTACACATGCCCATCGGTCCGATACGTCCCAGAATGTGCCCCATATATGCTCAAGCGAAGAGCTTCGGAACTGCCCCTAGCCAATCTCCGGTGCATTCGGGTGCCCTGATACGCTTCTGCTACCATGCTAGCCCGCCTGTGCAGGCTTCCGTACTTGTATCAAATCGATGACTTCCGTGTCGCAATAATCCCCCCTGATACTTCTCCGCAACAGGAGCATGAGCGTCCTGAAAGCACGCCTAGACTCTGCGGTCATTAACAGAAGACTCCGCCTTAGGCTCATCGATTCAATTTGAACACAAACCCACCCGGAACGATTCAACGTCCAGAACATGCGTCTTGTGCTAGTCGTTGTATTCGGCACGGCTATCCGTATTCTGGGTATGACTTCATTTCATTCATTAGCGGGCTACATCTTACTTGCAGTCTGCCAACAGATCACTCAAACAATCTAGCGCAGCTCAAGGGCCTGAGCGATCTACGGACCACGGGGGCTCCGGGCCGATGCGCACGCCGACACCGCCTGGAGGACCTCGGTCAGCTCCATCTCGTACATGAAGCAAGTCACGAAGCAAGTCACCCTTCGGAAGTGCAACTCAATCTGCAAGTCCGCCGCATGCAATTGTCGGTCCCTCCGCGGCGTACACTGTGACGCCAGGCTCGCGCACAGAAGGGGTCTTGAAGCGCACCCGCGCCATCACATTCTAACAGGTCGCTTCGGACCGCAAGGAGAAATTTGAAGCACGGACACTGTAGAGTGCAACCTCCGGAAGGGCACCCATTCAGTGCTGTTCATTGAATTCGAAATGCCGTACCGCCGTCGCTGCCACGCTACCGAGCCAACGTACACAGACCGCTTCGCCTTCTCCGGATCTTGCGGGTAGCTCGCATGCCCCTGCCCTCGCCCGATGGGCATGACCTTTCTACTCTGCGACACGCGCCCGCCGTGCACACCGCGGCGAACCTCAGACAGGCCATCTTCTGTTCCTGCGCGCAGAGCGCCCCGCACCCCGGACCGGACCGCCGTGCACCCCTGCGCATCTGGTGCCACATCTGCCTAGCCATCTGCCCGTTAATCTTGTGCGCGAGAGCCTGGGCGTGGCGGGTCCGCGCCGCCGCGCTCGATCGCAACGTCATGCGCTGCACCATTGAACGACCCAGGACGGCCCCTGCAGCTTCGACTTCGTGGGCTATGAAATCTAGGATCGCCTGCGGGTCATATGGTGCGTTCTGGCCTGGACTCCTCGGAGTCGTTCGTCTGCACAGTGCACTCGTGGCGGGGTCGCGTACGGCAGCACGAGCTCGGAAGCGGACGCGGAGCACACAGAAGGAGGGGGGTGGCGTCATTGACATAGTGCCGCTGAGCCAGAACACAGTTTGCACACGGATAGCTTGGAACAGCGGCCGGGAGTCCGAGTCGTGGTTGGACGACGACCGGCCCCGATCACGGTTCTGCGAATTCGTGCGGTGGGCATGGTTCGAGTTCGCCGTGTCGGCGTTCTGGCTTCTCGGTGACTCGATGGCTACTGCCCCCACTTGAGTCTCATTGTAACTTGACTGGTGCGCGGTACGCACGCCGGCCCCTGTTTGCAGCCCTAACGCATCTCCACCAGGGCCAGTGCGTGGCAGGGCGGGGCTTGGAGGTGTAGGTTCCTGTCGGGCCGGTGGTGTGGGGTAATCCCGGGCCTGGGGACGTCGACGCTAGTACTTACTGGGATCTACAACCGTCACAGTCGGCGCGCGGTGGTGCCGGTACGCTGACATTGACAAGAAGCAACCGTGATGCTAAGTTACGTAGAGTCTAAGGAACACAGAAGCCCGGACACCGGGCAGGACGTGCGGCAAACCCAATCGACACAACAGACAGTCCAGGAACCACTGCAAGAAAATTCCGGCGCACCTGACATTGACATTGACACCACCGTGATACACCCGCGCGAGATAGCCTGCGCACACGGAGATGGCCCATACGAGCAGGAACGCCCCGGCACGTCCGCAACCATATGCCGTACTACCTCGCCCGAACGCCACAAACCGTCGCGCCGCACGCACACCGAGCCAGCGGACCGCCAATCTCAATGGTCGGCTGAGTTGAATGTCCGCATCGATGGAGCGCCCGTAAGCTTGTAGTCGGAAATGGCGATGGCGTACCGTAATGAGGACCAAGATAGATCGCATCGCGCCGAAGGCAGTCAATCTGTCAACGCGGGAAGCCTCGCGGCCACCGGTTGCCCGGGCATTCAATATTCAATATCAATATTCAGAAGTCATCAAACTGCAAAACTTCAGTGGGTGCAGGGTCTCCCTATCAGCGCAAGTCTGATCAGCCATTGTAGTTCGCGCCCGCAGAGACGAAGCACGCAGTGCGATCCCGAGTTCCATATTCATGTAAAGTGTAGTATACGACAACAGATATGCGAATAGATATGTTCCGTCATGATGCAGCACAGCGATACAGATACAAGGGGGGTCGCCGCGCCGGTCACGCAGCACGCTTTCGAGGCCCCGGGGATGGGGGCCAGGGAGCGTCAGCAGTGAGTCGAAGTTTAGCATGGAAAGTGGCGGGATGAGGGGGCGTGCGCGTGCGTGGGGGACGACGGCGGCGGCTGCGGCGCGGGGTCCATCTAATGGTCATAATCATCCGTGGTATCCAAATCATCGCTCGTCAATGTCCAGTGCTCAAGCGCAGCCTGCGGGGCGGAGCTATTGGCCGCCGACCATGACCTTCATGACCATGCGGCCGTCGTCGTCGCGGCCGCGCGCCATGAGCTCGAACGCCTGCGCGGCGTCCGCGAGCGGGAAGCGGTGCGAGATGATCTTCTCGATGTTCGGGAGCTTGCCCGCGGCGAGCAGCGCGAGCGCGGTCGGGTACGTGTTCGCGTACCGGAACGAGCCGAGCACGTCCACCTCGCGCGTCGCCGCGGCGGAGAGCGGCAGCATCACGTTCCGCGAGCCCATCCCGACGAGCATCACCTTCCCGCCGGTGACCGCGGCCTGTATGGCGAAGGGGCGGTGAGTCACAAGTAGCGAGAGCAAGGAGAGGGAGCGCTCACGTGGACGGACATCTGGATGCACGGCTCCGCGCCGGTGCACTCGAAGACGACGTCGAAGCCGTCGGGCTGGTCGAACTTGCCGAGCGCGGCGCTGACGGTCTCCTTCGCTCTCCGGAGCTGGTCGTCGGTCGTCTTCGCCTTGTCCGCAACGGGCAGGCAGTGGACCTCCTGCGCGAACCCGTTCTCCTTGGCGAAGTCGAGGCGCGCCTGGTTGATGTCGATCGCGACGACCTTGTGCGCGCCGTACGAGCGCGCGAGTGCGCACGCCAGGAGGCCGATCGCGCCGACGCCGAAGACGAGCACGGACGCGGGCCGCTCGGGGGTGAGGTCTGCGCGGCGGGAGGCGTGGAGGAGGACGGAGAGCGGCTCTGCGAGCGCTGCTTGTTCGAACGTGCAGTTGTCCGGTAGTCTGCGGACGGGGACGCGCATCAGGACCGTCACGTGACGCGTGTACTAACAGAGGAAGGGCATGTTGTTGACGCGGGGTAAGGGGGAGAGTACTCACGGGTGGAGGACGTGCGCGGGGTGGTTCATGCGGTCCTGGAGGGTGCCGTCGGAGTGTGGGAATGTTTTTGCGGAGCTGCAGAAGCGCATGTTCTTGCAGAGATTGTAGCGGCCCTTGTGGCAGTAGCTGCAGTTGTTGCACATGATGCCCGCCTCAATGGCGACGCGCTGGCCGGGGACGAGGTGCTTGACGCCGGGCCCGACGGCGGTGACGATGCCTGCGGCCTCGTGGCCGAGGACGAGCGGCTGCTGGACGACGAAGTCGCCGTTCCGGCCGTGGGTGTAGTAGTGGACTGGCGGGGGCAAAGAAAAACGGTCAGCGGGGAGATTGCGGTGGGATCGCGGGGAGGTGCTCACGGTCGGATCCGCAGAGGCCTGTGGCGACTACGGCGACCTGGGCGTGGCCCTGCTGTGGGGGCCAGAGGGTGCGCTCCTCGAGGCGGAGGTCCTTCGCGCCGTGGAGGACGGCGGCGTGCTGGGAGGGGAGGGCGACGGGGGACATGGCGGGGTGCGGCGGGTGGTAGGGTGTGTGCGGCGGGGGCGGTCTGCAGTCGAGAAGACATGGCGTCGGCTTTATAGCCTGGGTCGGGAGAGTCTCGTGAGGAGCGTGTTCTGAGCTGGGCCGCTGCGTTGCCCGGACCGAGTCCCCGCGCCCTCTGCTGATCGACAGCCGCTTAGGTAAGCGCAGACCCTGGCTTCCTGCGCGCGGCACGTTGCTGCCCCAGCCTCCGTCCGCCGCGCCTCTCCAGTGCGACAATTCCCCTATCGCGCCCTGGCCGTGGCCGTCACCTGCGCGGCCACCCAGCGGGACGAGGTGGCTGCCAGCGAGCTCGTGTGCCAGAGTGCGTGCGGAGAGAGCCCGGTGCGCTGCCGGTGCGTCGATGCGCGAAGGGCACAATGCAATGGGCGGTCGGCGGGTCCGGAGTCCGGCGCCGGAGCCCGATCCGGGGAAATAGCCGGTCTGGGGTAGGACGCCACCCGACCGGCCGCCCTCAGCCTCTCCTCCTCCCGCCGTGCAATTTATACGCATCCATGTCTGCACAACACACACCGCCTCTCTGCCCCGCCAGCCATGGACCCGACCCCCGCTGTCCCCGCGCCTGACCTCTTCTCCCTCGCCGGCCAGAACGTGCTCATCACAGGCGCCTCCCGCGGTGCGTCCTGCGCGCCCTCCGCGCGTGTCCCCAGCCGTAATAACGCCTCTTATCACAGGTATCGGCGCCGCCTGCGCCCTCGCCCTCGCAGAGGCTGGCGCCAACATCTGCCTCGTCGTCCGCCCCGCGCCCAGCGCGAACCTCGCCACCGCCGACGCGATCGCCGCGCTCGGGCGCACCGTCACGACCGTTGAGTGCGACCTCGCGGACCTCGCCGCGGTCAGGCAGGTCTTCGCGAAGGCGCTCGAGGCCGTCGGCGGCGACATCCACGTCCTCGTCAACTGTGCGGGCATCCAGCGGAGATCCCCGGCCGTCCAGTTCCCCGAGAGTGATTGGGACGATGTGCGTCTGTGTCTCTCGCTCGGCCGCTCCGCCTGTCGTCCCTCGTTCCGCCTCCCGTCTCGATCCCCTTTCGCTCCTTCAGCCTCCGTTGCTGTCACTGTCGCCCGTGTCAGTCCTGCCGCATCCGTGTGCGGTTGCGGAACGCGTCCCGCGCTACCGCGCGTCGGCCTTCTCCTCTCAGCGTTACTTCTCCCTGCGTACGCCGTCACTGTCAATGTCTGGCCCGCGCTATCCCCACGCTTTAGCGTTCGCGTCTCGGGGCGCGCGAGCAAAGCAGGGGCAACCGGGTCCCGCCGCCCTCATAGGCTGGCTGCCTCCGAGCCGGGACAGCGGTGCGCGCCTTGCGACGTACGACACGAGTGTGAATATGGAATTGTGCGTCTGCATCTGCGGGCGCGCAATTTGCGCTTGCCTATTCCCTCGCCTGCCCCCTCCATTCGTGGCATAGCGCGGCACGCTATCTCTCTCTCCGTATCTAGCTCGAAGCGAATCTGCACCTGGTGGGCGGCACCTCTTTGCCTCGGACCCAGCGTGACCGGCGAGATGAGCTCGGGATGCGGGGTTCCCCCGTCTGACCCCACATCACTAGCCCGCCTCTCGCACTCATCCGCGGGGGTGCTTCTCTCTGCACTTTCCACGCAACTTTGCAGTTGATGGGATGCGCTGCCAGCTGGGCATGTGAGCGCCGCCGCGTGCCTCGTACATGAATCCGCGCATCCAGGGCGCTCTCTTGGCTTTCGCATGAGCGCGCCGTTCTGCGCGTATGATCTCCCATTTCGTCTGCGGCGTCGCGAACGGCCGACGGGTGCACGCGCGCCCGGTCTGGTCTGGTCGCTCGATCGCGCTGCTGCTGTTGTTACTATTAGCGCCCGATACGTGCGGGGCGATCGTGCACCTCTCCCGCTTTCGAACGCGCTCGTCGCTGCCATTCCGGGCCCTTGGCTATTCGCGACCCTCGCTCTCACCCCACAGCGATCGCCCTGTCGTTCGTGCCCAAGTCCGAGGCCGAGGCTGGGTTGCGTCGAGCGGTGTATTTCGGACTGCGAGCTTCGGGCTTCGAGCTCTTCGGAGCCCCACTGGACCAGCCTCCAGGGTCGGGCGCGGCATCTGCTGTACATACCAGGCAACGCACGCGTCTGGATGGTGGTGGACGGAGTGTTGTGTGCTGCGCTCGTCCTTCTCCCGATCGCTGACCCCAGGGCGTGCAACGTCACGATGCGCGGTGGCCAGCTCGGCCGCCAGCGCGCGTGCGGATGGACGGTGACGGCATCCGTCGTCTGGCGCTGCCAGTGCGCCGGTCCGTGCAGTGCTTCGTGGTCGCCCGTTTCTCCGTCCGCTCTTCGACGTCCTGCCTTCCGTGTCCATGTCCGTTCTGGGTGCTTCGTGATTTGCTGGGGCTGCTTCTGCGGCGTGCGCCCCCGTCCGCTTCGCTTCGCTTCGTCTTCTGTGCTTCCCCTTTGGCCGGCCGAGGCCCCTGCGGGTGGGCGTGCTTCTGCGGTGTCCGGCACCCGTGCCCGCGTAAGCCTTCAGCTTCGTGGCGTTGTGGGCGGCGGATCGTGATCGAGGATCGCGCATACAGTCGCTGCGTCCGCGCCGCCCCTTCGCGCATGCTCGTCTCCGTCGACGTCGAGGCTCCCGCGTGCGACTGCGACCCCCGAGGTGCGTGCGTGCGAGTGGGCCGCGCCGCCAGCCACCTCGTCGGATGGCACGCGGGCGTCTCGCCGTTCGCGGGTCGCGGTGCGGGCCCCTGCGCGGGCTGGGCCAGCCCCTCCTTCGCACATCGACGTGTGACGTCACGCGCACGAATGCGGTTGCCCGGGCTGCCTGCCTGGGCGTGCTGGGGATCGTCGACGGGCCTCGACGCCAGGGCGGTGCGCAGTGCTGCCTGGGCATGCAATGCGGGGCCGCGCATTGGCGGGCGGCTCGGTGGTGCCTTTTCTTTCATTTCCCGGTTTGGTCGTCGTAGCGTCGAAGTTGGAGGACCGATGGCGGGCCGTGGCTGGCGGGCGTTCGCTGACGCACCGTTGCATGGGTGGCGGCCCTGCGATGGGCGCTGGATGTGCGTGCGTGAGGTATCCGGGGATAGCAGGATACACGATGTGCGCTACGCTGCGCGGGCGTTGCCTTGCTCGAGCGTCTGCGCGTTCTGACCATGGTTTCGACGGTGACGTACGGTGTTGATACGCTACGACATCCCATCCTATCCCTTCATCCCCGTTTCACCTTCACCCTGAGACCCTTTGCGATCCGCCTTCCGCAGATCAATGATAAAGTAGAGATTCGCTGACCCTTGCTGTTCACATAGGTGCTGAACGTCAACCTCAAGTCCGTCTGGCTGCTCGCGCAGGCCGCCGGACAGCACATGGTCGCCCGGCGGCGCGGCAAGATCATCAATTTCTGCTCGCTGCTGACGTTCCAGGTGCGTGTGTGTCTCCGTGTGCGCCTCCCGCATTCCGCCGCGGGGCCCACAAACGCTCTCCCATACGGACCCTGATGCGCGCGCCCGCGGCGTCGTTCACCCGGCTGCTTCTCGCCCTTCTCCGGGTCGATCGACTGGGCCTTTTGCGTGTGCGGTGGCTGGGACGTGGTGGCTGACGGTGGCTTGCTTGGGCGCAGGGCGGGTTCACCGTGCCCGCGTATGCGGCGGCGAAGGGCGCGCTCGGCCAGCTCACGAAGGCGCTCAGCAATGAGTGGAGCAAGGACAACGTGCAGGTGAACGGGATCTGCCCGGGATACATCGCGACCGACATGTGAGTGCGCTCTCCTTGTCATTTCTCCTCGGACTGTGCGCTCCCATTCAGACTGCGCCCCCATTTAGCCCGCTGGGCGTGGATTCTCGCTTGGTGTGACGTTTGCGTCTTATTGGGATGCGGGTGGGTCGGGCCCGGAAATGCGTTGGGCATCGATGGCGATGTCCCACTTCCGACCTCTTCTTGGGAGCCCCGCGCTCGACGGAGTGTGCTTCGACGGTGCGGCTCTCCGTAATGAAACTCGCGCAGCGCACCATCCATTCAGTAATGATGCGCGTGCGGGGATCGATCCGTGCTCTCAGTGTCATCGTGGCTGATGCGGTGATGTCAACTGTTCATGAATGCAGCCCGGTGGCTGTTGGCGGCATACTTGACTGTGCTCTCGCTATAGAGCCATGGCGAGCTCCAATGTTGGTTAGGGATGGTACGCGGCTGACAGCCCTGACCAATATTGGTGCCTTCCGATGCTCCACCGTACACGGAACGTGACTAGGATGCGCGGCTGCTCGCTGCAATTGCCGCATTGGCTGTTTGTCGGTCTGTTCTAGCCTGAAATCTTCGCCGCCTTTGACTTGCTGATGCGGTCGCGCTCCCCACTTGCACCTCGCATCCTTGATGCGGCTCCTCCATCTCAGACTAATGGGTATATGCACGTACGCGGGTCCGGCAATTTTCTGCTGCACTTCTGCGTGCTCTCGTCGGCCTGGAGCGATTGTTCTCCGCTGACCAAGGCTGCAATGCCAAGCGGGGATGCTCGCAGCACTGCGCGCTATACATGCATGGCACACATGGCCGCGCTGTCACGAGGATGCCCCCGTCCGCAAACTGCCCCCCACAGCCCGGCAGTCGCACCGAACACGACCGTGCTTCGCGCTCCGCCGCCGTGCTAGCGGCGGCGCAAGACGCGCACCGTCGCTACGCCGCGCGAACGTCTTCTGCAATGTCTTCGCCCGGCCGTCCTTCTGATCCCCTCTGATCCTGATACGTGTTTCCGCGGGCTCGCGAATCCCCCCTCAGGCTCGTCTCGCGAATGCACGCAGCTGACCGGTGTGTGCTTGAGCAGGAACGAGAAGCTCCTCCAGGACCCCGCGCGCCTCCGCCAGATCTCGGAGCGCATCCCCGCTGGGCGGTGGGGCGAACCGAGGGACTTTGCGGGGCCCGTCGTCTTCCTCGCGAGCAGGGCGAGCCAGTACGTGTGCGGCGAGCTGCTCGTCGTGGACGGGGTGCGTCCTCTTCCTCGTATGTGTGTTTAGCGTCCCCGTGGCTGATGTCGGTTCGGCACGAAGGGTTGGATGGGCCGGTAGTGTGCCTTGCCGGGGCCGCCTTTCTGGAAGGAGGGGAATGTAGGAATGCTTGTGGATGGGCTTGGGGATAGCGATGCCTGTATAGTACGCGAGGATCATTCCAACAATAACGAGCTTGCATGTTTGTGAGCCCTTCCGGCCTGCACCGCTTTTTCGAAAGCGAAATGCAGATCGCACCGACACCGCTCGCCAGCCCGTTCCTGAGTGCATTATGATCCCGGGCGGCTGGACAGTCGGGCGCTCCGTCGCCACGTGCAGGGGACCCGGAGCTCGGTGCCGACACGCCGGGCACCCGGGTCACCGGGTCAGATCACGGTGCACGCCCGGGAATTAAATCTTCGATCAGACCTGGGCCCCCAGATCCCGCCGCCCGATCAGGCTGCACGGGCAATCTGGATCGCGGCGCGCGGACCGGGCGTCCGCCATTGACGCCTCCGATGGGCCGGAGAATGCGCATGGAGCAGGAGCGCGCCGCGGGTGTGGCGGGCTGCCAGTGTCAGGGACTGCGAAGGTTGGGACGAGGATGCGACGAGGATGCGAAGAGCGGGGGAGGGCGCGAGGGCAGCATGTGTGCGCGCGAGAGTTTGTTCGAGTGACGCTCTGGCGAGTCCGGACCATCGCGACCGTGACGGCTCGCGGTTGTACGTGTAACGGGCCTGTGTGTGAAGGCCTGATTTAATCTGAATTTGGACTCAATGCGAGCGGCGTGTTGTGCACGCGTCCGCACTGGTAGCGCGACATACCGGGTGAGAGGGAGGCCGACGCCCAGCTGATTCGTCTGCGGACCGCGTCGTAGTTCCTGACGAGGTGGCGGACCGAGAAGAAACGATTTGGCTATCACCGTGCAGGCCAGCCTGGTGGGAAACGGATGTCTCCAGAAGTGGTCCGTCATGGGCGGAGGTTCGCGACGTGTGTGCGGCCCGATGGTGGGTGGACGGACGCGGATGATGCAACGCTCTGCCCGTAGCATCCCATTGAGCGGAGAAACGTGCACCCCTGCACCTCGAGTGAGATCAGCAGGCTTTTAGGTGTACGGCATCGTGCTATGATCCTGAGGTCTTGGTTACGCCACATTGGCTACTCGCGTAGGGGACGAATGCCGCGGGGATCCCTGGGCCACAAGAATCGGATGGCAGCCGTACACAGCAGATTAGCTACGCAGTTCGTTACCCCGACCAGAACCGCACGACGCACCCTTGGACACGAGGGAGCGGTCTTCCTGAGATTGCTGGAAGATGCAGTTCATTTGCTCTGCCTGCCTGACAATAGTGTCTCGGGCTTCTCAATGCTCAACGTGTACCGCGACGGCACGGCAGCCATGACATACCGAGGCATTATGCGCACCGGGAGATAAGGGCCGAGACACACACACATATCCGTCGTACCCTGGCAAAAGCCGTAAGGTCGCGCTTCTAGTGCTTCATCAACGCAGTCCGAAGACTTCATGCGACCTGTGGCGGCCGGAATCATCCCAGGGAGGTTGACACGGCCATGAGCTTGTACAGGCTTTTACGTACATTTGACTTAACGTCTGCATATGGAGTCAGCAGAGACATTTTGGATGGAGGCGTACGTCAAGATCAATCGGAGTGGCTTTCGCGCGCTGGGTCGCTTTCTTGGCCATGGATTTCCCTCAGCAACTCTCCTTCGCAGTCTAGTACGGATTGCTCATTGGACTGGCCGTGAAAGTCTTTTGTCAAAGTTCTCATTCCCTACGGCCCGATGCCGCGCAGCGGCTGATAGTCCGGCGCACGATTTGTAGTGTAGTGCGAGACAACGATAACGCGGGAAGCTGCAGGATCGCTGGGCGACCGGCACGAGCTACCCTAGCAGCTATCAGCCTGTACTCTCGCGCTCGCATCCCATGCGTTGCATTTCTGACTGGAGGACGTACCACGCGACCGAGATTCGGAAGAGCCAAGGGTGCACTGCAGATCGCCCGTATATGGCCGCGTGCCTACCCCACATCCGAACTCGAAGGTGCGGAGTACGTCCCTTCCGAGTTAGCCTGCACGTGTACGAACACAGCGGGACGAACTCCAATTCGACCGGCGACCTGTCGGCAATATCCCACCTCAGCGGATACTTCCGCTCGTTGTCTATCGCATCTTTATCTCCGGAAGGAACGAAGGAGGGACATTGTATCGAGCGGCGACAGGCCTGCGAACCCATGACGCACCGCAGAGCTGTCGTCCATTTGATAGCGACTTTCTAAGGTTCGACCTGTTGTGCAGGCCGAGGATTGCCACCGTCGGAGCCCCAAGCGCACTGCCTCTATCTGTTGAACCATAACACTGTAGAACGTTGACCTTGACAGCGGAGTGGCGACTGTCAGACAAGGAAACAGAGATACACTTCTTGTTCTGACAGTGGCAGCGAAGGCGTCTTCGTACCGACGGTGCCGATCATCATTGGCTGGACGACGCACGAGCGACTCGGATGCGTGAGGACGTCAATAGTCGCTGGGTCGAGGCTGAGCTGGACCTCCACCGCGATGATTCCCAGCATGCAGCTCAGCAACTGAATGCAGTACGAGCAGGAGCGATAACGACCGGGGCGACTTCCGCACAAGCCTGATATGTGGTCCGTGTTCAGAACGTGGACCACGAATCAGGACGTTCCGAACAGGGCATATCCGAAGATGCGGCATGTCGCAATATCTGATTGCGATATTACTGGGAACCACGGTCGGTCGGGTAGGACAGAAGGGCGATGCTGCGGGAAGGACCATGCGAACGTTAGACCAACCCTTGTCTAGTATGAAGATATCCTACCGACAAGACCCCATTCGCATCTAGTCGAATCGAGTTGCCTTGATGATGAATGCACGCGCTTCATAGGTTGTCATTCAAGCATCGGGTGTCTTGGGATGTCGGTAGACGATTGGTGAAGCCTCGTAGACTCCCCAATGCTGAGCGCGATATCGAGCCCAAGTGGGACCCAAGTGGGACCGGTCTTGTATAGTCTTCAGATGAATTCTGGTGAGGCATCTGATACCGATGATACCCGACCAATCGTGTCACATCGACAGGAATGGAGCAAGAGAAACTACCGCTGCATACAATTACTGAGGCTGTAATCTGCAAAAGATTCTATATCAGCGATCCTTGTCTGCGCGATTGGCCCCTGTTGGTCAATTTCCTATGGCGCAGTTCCCATCATGGCGTCTACCATAGGAAGGCAAGGCGACAGCGAGGCGATTGCTGCAAGCGAACAATCATGGCATTGCGGAGGCACGAGTAAGAAGTTGTCAAAAACTGACGAGCCTTGGTAAATCGGTGCCTAGAATTATCTGCCCGTGAATACTTCCAGACGACAATGACATCCGAGCCGCGCGATTTGCGACTGTACCGGTAAAAATAGCAGGAGGGTCGCCGAAGAAAGCAACCGGCCAATCCGTGGCATGGAACCTACCCAGTCCTCTGGTCCGACAGCTTCGCGAAAGTCGCGGTCTTCTAAGAAGGCAGCTCCACTTGTCGCGGGGTCTTGACTGACTCAGCAGTTATCGCGCAAGCGCAGATCATCGCCTTGGGATACTTCCTAGCTCGCGTGTGGCTGAACATGTGAGGGATGACAGAACTCGGGCTGGTCACGGACGGATGATTAACCATGCACCGCAGCGCTATGACTGAGGTGACATCTGAGTATCATTGCAACAGCGACAACGATTCGAGGACTTCCTCGGCAGGATCTCGCGTACCGTCCTCGTCGTCTTTTTCGGCGTCATTCGGGGACTCAGACAAGACATGCCGTCCCCGCCATATTTGCACCTTCTTCAGTAGGTCTTCGATATTGTCCAATGTCTGGCATCGAGTCAAGGCAGCCCGGAACTTGTTGAACCAGGGCCTGCGGCCGCTATAGCGAGGTTAATCATTAGAATGCCTCGGACATACGCTAGGAAGCTGCGCAGGACGCACCACTGGTGGTCGATGAAATGCCTGACATGCGTCTGTATTGTTTGCATGGTAGCAGTATCCGGACGCTCTCTGCAGATATCGATGTATTCGCGAGAGATTGAGACCGGATCAGGGACAGTGTTCGCAAACAGACTGCGAGCAGTGGGTTAGTTCTCAGCTTCTACTACACCCTTGTGCGGATCACCTTAGAATATGGCACTCACCAAGGGTTGCCAAGCAGAGTCTCCCCCACCATTATACCTCCCCCACCGGTATATGCGCGATTCTGCTCCACATCGGCCCATGTTCGAACGTTCCCGTTGCTCACTACTGGTACCGACAGTGCTTCTTTGAGTAGCTTCACTTGTTCGAGATCGGCCGCACCCTGTCGGCGTCGCCTCGCAGACACGGTACGCGCGTGAAGCGTTATCCACGAAGCTCCGGCGTGCTCGAGCCGCTGAGCGAGATGCACGCTGGCGGAGGCCGGTTGGCAGAGTCGCAACTTCGCGGTTACTGGAACAGTAAGCGAATTGGACATGGCCGAGACTAGACATGGTTGCATTGCAGTTGTGAGACATATGCAGCAGTGCACACACAGACGGTGGGCGTACCGATACCCTCAACGAGGGGCCAGTCTTTCTGGCCGAGGAGATAGGCTCCGTAGTGCGCGTCGCGTGCCGCTTCCTGAGGGCACCCGAGATTCAAATCTGTGCAACTTTGTCTGTGTTCGACTCCCACAGGATGCTGACTGAACAAGTGTAGAAACACACCTATCGCATCACAACGTGTCTGTAATTTCCGGGCTGCCCGCACGACCATCTCAGGGTCATTGCCGCAGAGTTGCACCACGACTGGCCGGTCCTCGGGTTCGCCGAGACCACGCAGATGGAAGTCAAGATAGTCCTTATCGTTCAGTATCTTCTCTGGCAGGAGCATCTGCGTGTAGACCAGACTTGTCTTGTACCGCCGAACGAGCAGACGAAACGGCAGGTCGCTCTGATTGACCATCGGTGCTGCTACATTCGACAGACTGGGAACTCCAGTTCGAGACTCCGTGCTCATGATGGGTGTTTTAGGGTGATCTTGGTTGTGTGAGATGGTGGCAGGAAACAAAGAGGTTCGAGGAGGCGTGACTCCAAGCCGCTGCGGCTGAACTTGAGGAGGTCGCCAATTATGGCAAGTGTTGTTGTACGTACCATGCATACCAAGCGACCGTGACACTGTCCATGGTATGTAATTTCCTGGACTCATGATACAAATCCATACTAGACCGTTGCGTGTCTATTGCGTCGAGGTCATGGTAATGCCCCTTCTTGGTGAACTACCTATGTAAGTCCAACACGAAGGTTTCTCCGCTGATATATTTGATTACCACACTCAAGAGTGTGAAGCAGCACTTCCATCACTGGCGCTAGCAGCGTGAGGGTCCGCGAAGTCATAGCTATCCGCAGTAGAACCAAACCACCACCAGCCGCCTTGTCCGTGCTCCTTGGATCCATCACGAATACTTCAAGAGTCGTCAGAATACTGAACAGGAAAGAGTTTAGCACAAACATCGACATGCCTAAGCGTCGCATTGGTCAAAGTAGAGCTGTTGGATGACAATGTGGGTGCTGCAAATGCGGTGCTGTTGTGACGATTGTACCAGACGACATCAGGGCGGGGTAGGGGTGCACCGAGGATAGTCGGCAGCAGGAGCATAAATAAGAAGTAAAAGGCAAGCATCGCAGGCGGACGTCGAAAGCTCTCCGGTCAAAGGCGACGCCAAAACAAGGGCTGAGCAAAGACTGTCAGCTCGCGCATTGGGAGACTAGGCGATACACAACGTACCACTCAATGCCCAGGATTCAAAAACAAAAATGAGATTACAGAGGAAATCGAAGGGAAATGGTCGTGTGGGAGTTCCGTTCAGCTCTGTAAAAGCTCTTTCTATGACAGCGGCATCCGACATGCCGATGTTCAACATGCATACATCTGCCAACCATCTATTTCAGCGATGCAACGGTGCGTCCCCACGACAGTCAAACTCACGTATGATCCAGTGCAGGGTACAATTGCCTGACCAATGAGATGCGAAGAGAGATCAGCCTGCGCGGCTCGGCAGACCACCCCGCAGAATGACAATGTCTGTCGTGCGACGATATGGTGACCGCGGAAGATGAACTCACATGGTCTGTTGGTTCTCCTGAGCGACGTGGGGCTCTCAGATGCTCAAAAAGTGGGGCCGCAGTGCGATGAGGCAGCACAACAGCATTAGGCCAAACGTACCTTCCCATACCCTCCGTCCTAGCGTCCATGTAGAACGTATAGTGGACGCACCATGGTTGGCATATTCCATCTATCGACCTATCCTGCGTTTCGTATAAATGATGGTGAACAATCTCAGTTCACCCGCAGTAGCTTGCAGGGAACTTGAACCAAGTTCGTGCTCGCACCATGACGCCTGATTACCCCGAAGATGGGTACAGCCGCATTGACATTGCGTGAGACATGAGGAAGCAACCACCATGACATATGTCAGCGATAGTAATCTATCGATGCATACCGATGCACAAAGCAGAGTAGACACAGACAGACGAAGTCGTCCATAGTGTTGGGTCGAGTGACGCTGGGCCACATTTATCAGGGACCGTGCACAACGTCCGGCCATTCTAGTACATTGCTCAGCTACTGGCAACACCCTACAAGGCGTATCACGCATCGGTTGACATACCAAGCCATGGGACGGCTGACGGTACGAGATGATGGATTGATATGCTTGCCAATCTGGCGGAGGCTTCGCGTCAGTCAAAACTCAAGCTTCAAGGCCTTAAGGCCTTGAAGCTTGAGGTCCCATACTGCACCACATCTGCTGCGAGAATGCTTCCCAATGGCGAAGAAACTTGTGGCGTGACGAAGGAGCTCCGTAACACAGAAACCACAGATTCGTGGCTACAGATGTCAACGTTACAAATTTCAACACTCAGCTATTGACACCAAGGCAGGGCGGACCGTTCGGGAAGATGCAGAGATCGTCTCAGGTTCAAATCTTCATGATGCTTCGAGGGTCGTAATAAGTATATTCGATACCATTTCTGCTGTGATATGACCGGAAAGATGTACGAAGTCAACGGTGGAACCGCGCCTTGAGATTCACAGTCCGGGCAAACTCGGCAGGCAAGTTCGAAGCCATTGCATAGCAGTGCTGCCTTTGGTGCGACGAGCGCAGGATTAGTGGGTACTAGGCTTCGTGGGCAGAAGGTCTCAGAGTCAGACCAGCCGGGGATAGGTCGTGGTGACTGGTCAGGAAAAGATGAGCGTGTGAGACGCCTCGCTGCCACGGAACTGCCACGCCACCAGCGCGTCCGCCCTCAACTGCGACCACGACTTGGACGACGGACAGCGGACACACAGGCACGGACTATCCTCTCGCTGCTCCCATGACTTCTCTCTTTCGACGACCGTCGCGAGGCTTAGGTCTATCCACTCTCTGGCTCGCTGCGGTCCTCCTGCTGCTCTGCCAGCCGACACATGCCATCAAGTTCGCTCTCCAAGCCGCCCGCTTCCCTGCACCGAAATGTGTATGGAATGCAGCACATCCTGGCGCGCTCGTAATTGTCACAGCAAACATCGGACCAGGAGAACATCAGCGAGTTGACATCGAAATCATCGACTCGGGTCCGCAGCGGAACGTGTACCTGAGCAAGAAGAACATAAGCGGGGAGAAGCGGTTCGCTGTTACCGCACACTCAGACGAGGATGTCGGGGTCTGCTTCCGCAACTACGTGGATGCTGGCAAGCAGGGTAAGCCGTTTGTGCTCGCCCGGCGCTCCGCGTGCTAACACTCACGCACAGGCGGTCCTGTGGAGGCGAAGCCACGTTCGAGGGTGATAGACCTGGACATTGACATTGGCGCGGATGCTGTGGATTACAAGTGCGTTGCGTTCTGTGTACCGCGCGTGGCCACTCGTCTGATAATCCGACAGTGCCATTGCAAACCAGGAGTCTCTGTCCGGTCTGGAGACCGAGATGCGGAAACTCGAGGGAGTCGTAAAAGAGATCGTAGACGAGATGGACTATCTCAAGACACGAGAGGAGCGGTTTCAGGCGACAAACAGTGCGTCTCGTCCATTGCGCTCCATTGTAAACTGGTGGCTGACTCGATTCCCGCCAGTTTCGACCGGGATCCGCGTGCAGAACTTTGCATGGTTCACCCTTTTCTCTCTGGTTGCGTTGGGACTTTGGCAGATCTTCCACTTACGGGCGTTCTTCAAGCGGAAATATCTCATTGATTGAGATGGGACCTGTGTTGTACCGACTACTATTGAATGGCGCTGCCGACACCCGATGATGCTGCTTGATATCCCTGTCTCTGCAAAGGGTGAGAAAGCTGCTGCGGCCATTACATGATGCTCTTGACGTTCTCTGTGTCTATGCTTGACGGCCATGTCACCGTGGCTGTACCATGTTCGTGCTCATCAAGCGTTACGACGCGAGCTCACGGGAATAGCTATGGGAAACGTAAGCTCTCGTCGTCGTCTAAGGCGAGTCTGGGTCAAGCCCATAGCAGGGTATATGGAGCGCATCTCCCGTCTGCATCACAACGGTGAAGGTAAGCCAGTCCTGTTGATATGATTTGTCATTGCGTTGCAGTTCTTGTTTGACTGTACATGCTTTGAATGAAAACGACCCAGGCGCCACGGCGAATTGAAATTCTTCACTACATGGCCCTGCATTGCAATCCAGAGAGCGAAACCGACAATATGCATTTCACTCGCGCCAACTCATCCTGCGCTGCCTCACTCAATTGAACCTACGAAAGTATGTCGATGTATTGCTGTTGATCTGTCAAGCCTATTAACCATGCAATAGGCGCCTTTTCAACGCGGCGAGCAACGAGGAGTAATGCACGAGCAGTCTATGACATACAGGAGGTCATAGGCTCGCTCCATGTGACATATCTTGCCTGAACCAGGACTGCAGATCTCCAGGCTGGCCTTCATTATAGGGCATATCCGTGCAAGAACACTTGACTCGTGCCACATCTCGGCTTCATCAGTTGGAAATAGGTAGCTTCTTCAACTCTCCGTCCCTCAGATATAAGCCTTGGATGCCAGTGGCCAGTATCGACGGACCCCCAGCTCATCATGTCCACCGGTACGTTCGACATCCCTAGATGTAGGCAGTTGCTAAGCGATGTTCTAGAGTGGCCGATCATCGTGCAAGATATCCCTGGCAAGGGTAAGGGCGTCATAGCCGCCCGAGCAATCGTTCCTGGCGAACTCGTCCTACTCGAGGCCCCTCTGTTCACTCTGCCATCCGACTACGATAACTCTGCTGTACTGGCAAAGTTGGCTGCCCTGACGGAGAGTGAACAGAGGCAATTCCTCTCTCTCACCAACTGCCACCAGGGTCGTCTCCCGCCGCCCCTCGGTACATGCAAGACCAACGCATTGCCATGCGGCGACCAGAGTTCGAGTTATGGAGACCGCGCCGAACGAGTTGGTATATTCTTGATGGGCTCCAGGTTCAACTCGTCATGCGTTCAGAACGTCAACAACTTCTGGGATGACGCATTGCAGAAGATCAGTTTTCGCGCCCTTAAGAACATCGCTGCTGAAGAAGAGTTGTGTATCTGCTATACCGAACTCTTTGCGACGCGCGAAAACAGACAATACAAGTCGAAGCTCGGCTTTGGCTTTGAGTGTGTATGTCCGGCGTGCACTCTTCCACCCAAGGAGCAAAAGGCCAGCGACGCGCGGCGCACGACCGTAGGAAGGCTCTACGGCGAGATCAGTCAGTGCGGGAATCAACCGTCTCTGGGATTACGAAAGGTGGCATTCTAGTCATTGAATGCCATCGCGAACAGTACTCCAAACTCATGCATGGTACAGGTAAAGCTGGTCATCCAGCTGCTCAAGGAAGAGGGCATACTGGAGTGCACGGGGGCCATTTACTACTATGACGGCTTTCAATTCTGCGTCAGTGAGTACTGTTGATCATGTCTGAGCGTCTAGAGAAGGATGATCCCCGATGCAGGCTGTTCGGACAAACGGAATGCGAAGCAATGGGTCAGAAAGGCATTGGAAGCAGAGACGCTAGGGAGAGGCCCTGACACGTCGGGTGCGAAGATGTATAGGCGGTACATGGAGAATCCGAGCCAACACATGGCTTTCGGGCTCCTTAGAAAGCAGAACCTGGCTGGGCCGGACAATTAACGTCCAGATCCGCAGGTGCGTACCTCAGACTGACCGGCGAGCGGGCTTGCATGATGATACCAAGGCTTGCGCTAGGCTGCATCGTCGCAAGGAACGGCCGCGCGATCGAGATAGTTTCGCTCCATTGTTTCTATCGTGTAATACCACACTGTACCATTTACCATTCGCGCAACGACCCGTCCTTTCCCGTCCATACAGCGTTGATCCAAGGTTTCTGATCATGGTATTGCTCGGTATATTCACGCACGAGTTTCTCGTTGATTTCAATGCCCAAGCCTGGCCCTGATCAGTGCGATTCAATCAATAAATCGACGATTGCCTGCACATGTAGTTTTACGTGCCTTGGAGAGCCTCGACGTATCCGTCCTTGATTGCAAACACGGACGGGTCCACAAGGTAGGTGAGGAGATCTGCACCTTCGTTGTAATGCATCTAACGCCGAGGAGGAACAGGTCAATGTATGGGCATGTGAGACACATGACACACCGTACCTGCAGACTCAATTCCTGGATACAGACTGAAAGCAGTGAGTTGGTGAAACGTGAGTTCACTGGACATGAGACGTACAGTTAGGTGCGGCGATATCGACTTGCATACACGCGGCGAGCGCAATGGGACCAAGTGGGCAATGCGGCGCAAGAGCAACGTCGTAGGTCTCAGTCAGAGATGCTATCCTGTGAAGCTCACTGATCCCACCGCAGTGAGCGACCTGATTTACAGGACAGCTAAGTAACCTGGAGACACGTCGGACAATAGGAGGACTGCTCACGTCTGGTTGTGCGATATCGATGGCACGCGCTTCGAGGTACGGACGGAAATCGCTACGGGAGTGTAGACGTTCTCCGAGAGCGATAGGTGTAGAGACCTGCTTGGACAGGTCTGCGATCTCCAGCGGCTGTGACGCAAGGAGAGGCTCTAAGGGTATAACTCAGATGATTATGAGCCCTCGGTAGCAACGACACTGACCTTCTATGAAGAGTGGCTGCAGGGGTTCCAGGAGTTTGGCAAGCTGTTTTGCCATGCCCTTGTGGACGCGACCATGGAAGTCTACGCCAACATCCAACCCCAGGGCTCTCACATCCCTTACTCGTGCAACGGTGTCTTGCAGCTGCTCTGGTGAGTCAATCCAGCCGATTGCCTCTGTATATGTGACGATCAGCGAGGATCATCAACCTCGTGAGGTGACCTTGACCAACCTGTCCCGTTCATCTTCACAGCCGTGAACCCTTGTTCCTTGCGGCCTTGAGCACCTTCGACGACTGCACTTGGCTTGTCTCCCCCAATCCACCCGTAGACCTTCAGGCGGTCGCGGACTTTGCCTCCGAGCAACTGCCAGACGGGTACACCAAGTCGCTTGCCCTTGATGTCCCATAGCGCTATATCGAGCCCGGATGCTGCAGACTTGACGTTACGTTAGCTCTACTGAACAGCCCCATATGCAGAAAACGCCACCATGAGTACGGGCCCTCCTCTGTAGAACCTCGCCCGATAGCAGTGCTGCCAAATGTCTTGGATTCTGTCTGCATCCCATCCGACGAACCTCCTGATGAGGTCTTGGTAGGCTCCCTCGATCGCCTCCGTATGTCCTTCGAGAGTGCCTTCCCCCCAACCTACCGTACCGTCCTGCGTTTCAACTCGTACGAAGAGCCAACGGGGAGGCACGCGGAAGATCTTATAGAATACGTGCTAAGTCATCTGATGCCTATATAGGCAAATGTCGTACATACCTCGATCTTGGTGATAGTACTTGCCATAGTCTAGTCGTTCTACTCTCGCCTGTTATGCAGGAAGTCGCCAGACATCAGTAGCTCATGTTTATATATACCTCTCATATGTACCTCTCATGGAGCGGTCCATGTCGGATGAACGTTTGAACGGCCTAGTTCCCCGGTCAGCTGCACTTTCCCCCTGTACACGGCCCGCGTACCGCCTGCGGCTCTCGAGACGGAGTTCCGCACTCAGACGACGCTACGAATGTATGCGTTGTTGACGTATGTACATCCTGCTGTGAGGTTGGCGGCGGGACCGAAGAGAGCAGTAATAGCCAAGTAATAGCCTCGGCAGTACGGCTTCCGGAGCTCCTGAAACTACTAGTCCGAGTCCTTTGCGATAGGCGGCCCCACTACTATTATACGATCTCCCTAAACAGGAATATGGTCGAGATTGTGTTGCTACTGTTCAATGATGAAGGCCGCACACATCGCTACGGGAAGGCGCTGGATGCAATACGACGACGTAGCCACTGTAACACCTAGAGAACATGCGTACGTACTATGCTATTCCGTCGTCTGCGTGTCCGGAGATGACAGCGGAGACGTGAAAGGGGTTAGGATGATCACCCACACGCTCACACATTGGCTAGACTGCGCATAAATCGTTAACGAACGACACGAGAAGAGAGGAAGAAAAGCTGGCCAAATATGTGTTTTCCCTCAGCAACTCAGCTGTCCGCAACACAAGGGGAGCCTGCATGCATAGGTGGGAGAAAGGCATACATCAGAGCACTGCAAAACAGACGCATAGGAAGAACATAGAGATAATAGAGTACATGCGACAAGGAACGCCCTTCGGCGTGAAGAAAGCACAGCACGGATGTAGTCACGACCCTGCCCTCGGTGTAGGGGATGTAAGTCGAAGACTATTTTGAAAAAATTGTAAGAGCATACGAAAGCGTCGTGTTTAGCCACTGCCACTTCCACTGCCTCCGAGATTCGCGCTGCCCTTCCTCGTTCTTACGACCTTGTTGCGCAGGGCTCTTTCCTTGAGTTCGCTTTCTCTTCGCTCCAGTTCCGCCTGGTCAGGCATCTCCTATATAGCGATGCATGAGTTCTCGGCATCGACGAAGACAACGCTGAACACACCTGATCGTCTTCATCCCACTTAGTCTTCCGCTTCTCAGCCGCAGCCTGTCCCCTGATCTTGAGTTCACCCGGATTCTCGTCGACGTCCATCTTCGCATTCATGTCCCGCGAAGGCTTGTCCCGGCGGTCTGGAGTAGAGCTCCGACTCCTGCTCAACGTCCTGCTGCGGCTGGCACTAGGACTTCGTCGGCGCTCTCGTGAGCGCTCGACACCGCGCCTCGGGGGCGCTCGACCTAACGAGCGACTTCGACTCTTCCGGATCCTCCTAGGCGGAGGGCTGCGGGAGCGACTTATGCTCCGACTCGGGCTTCTGCGCCTGCCGTACTTGCCACGATACGGCGGGCTCCGGGAGCGGGTACGTGAGCGCGGGGGCGGGGAGAGCCGCCGCCTCTGTGCTGGAGGGCTGCGAGAGTCCCGCCCTCGGATACGCCTGTCGCGATCACGCGGCGGAGGAGTATATGAGGGCGATCGTGGGCGACGACGTGGAGGCGGGCTGCGTGATAACGAACGGCGAGGCGGCTCGCGCGGGCGGCGCGGTGGTGGAGAACGAGAAAGAGACCGACCACCGCGAGGGGGAGACCGGAATCGCCGGGCTGGGGGAGTCCGCGAACGCGAGCGTGAACTGCGCGCACTGGGAGACGTATGTGACGGCGATCGGCGACGGCGGGGTGGGGGTGAACGCGGCGGTGGTGAACGCGATATTGAGCGTCGGCGGCCAGGGCGCTGTGTACGACGCGTTAGAAGCTACTTGACTCAGTGGTAAAGCAGCACGAGACTCACACCACCACCCCGTCCACCCCATCCGCTGTCGCGTGGTCTACCACCGCGGTCATCATCGAAGCCTCCTCTTCCCCCTCGTCCTCGCCCTCTGCCACGTCCTCTGCCATTACCACGTCCTTCTCGTTCGTGTTCGCGGATCTCGTCCAGACGTGCCCGCCTGTCTCGCTCATCCAACGCGCGTGTGTCACCCATCCTGGCCTGGCGCATCTCTGCCTTCTTTTCCTCGACGAAGGATTGAGGTACACCTGCGGGTGACTCTTGTGCCTCGATCAGGAGTTTCCACAGAGAAGACATGAATTCAGCTGTGTGGTTAGTAAGGAATCCCGTCAGGTTGATCTGCATCTTCCTGGGGTCTGGTGTCTGAGAGCGTCCCGGTCAGCTAGGGAGGCATACGGTCGCTGAGACCGCACATACAGGTTGAGTATCATCTTCTAGGAGACCCATCGCGTATTCGACGACTACTTCGTCCTCAAAGCCCACGAGCTCAACGATCTTCTTCACGACCCATGGGCGAATGACGGATGAGTTGACCTTACGCATATCAACCTACACAGACTTCAGCATAGGTACAATTAGCGTCTAGGAAGCATTCGTATGAACCTTCTTCTCAAACTCAGCAGGGAACTTCATAGTTTTGAGTAGCTTCATTTCCTTGTCCGAGAACCTGCGGTCCTGGTCCGCGGATGTTCCTTTGAAGAAACCTGGACGCACATTCGTGACAATGAGGGAGGGGGCGCATCAAGTGGGTACACTCACCAGCATCCGCCATCGTCGTAAGTGTCGACGAGCCCTGCAGAGACAACGAAGTTCAACGTTTAGTGGATCGCCAACGACGGTGTCGCTAGAAAGCAATTCTTACGAAGTTTCTCACTGTAACGCCGGAATAACCTGGGCAACATTGCCAGATATGGAAGCTTCCGTATATACATTATGTACTTATTGGTTTCAATTCATACTGCACTCAGAGTCTCAGTCAACGTTCGTCGTTCTTAGTCTTGACCGTCAGATTTGAACTCGCTGGAGTCATTTGAAAGCATTCCGTGTGGTCAAAAATGCCCGTTCTTCAAGCCAACAGATTGAATGTTTGACAATCGGACGGTCGGATCACGGTCTGCGCAACTGATCACGTCACGCCGGTTCACGAACATCGAGAAAACACTCAGTGACCTCAATACAACTGGCCTTGCACTACAGTGAGTCCTCGGTCGTCGTCAAAGGTCCAACCTGTATACTGATGTCGCTGTTAGATCTGCGAACCCCCAACAGGAATTGTATTGCTGGCCTAGATGGAAAACTGCGCGCACTGGCATACCACATCCTGTCAATCAACTTCTCAGCCGGAAATTCACCCCGCCTTCTCCGAAAAAGCTTCAGCCTGAGGGACCCATGGATGGCAGGTGAACATCCTTATCGTCGATGGTGGCACGTTGTTCGCTCACTATATACCAAGGTGTCGGGACTCGATATGACTGGTCACATCGCGATATTGCACTGAGTCCTAGAACCGACACACGATGCGAAATTGACGGTAATCGGTTCCGCTAGTCTTTCATCCCCGTCGCTTGGGCCGATTGCAATGTATTATAGGTGCCCTCCGCCGTGTTTGCTCGGCTTAACAAGAACAACGTAGGGTTCAAGACGCAATGCCTGCGTCCTCCAAACAAGGTGACGCATGCGTATGCAGATCTCATGCGTTGCATAGTCAATGTATCGTGTTGCGCAGAAGGCAACATCTCCGGAACCTACAAGGCGATATACCTACGCTTCTCAGCGGGATTTAGCATACGCATGGCGACGGCGTCAGAGCTGCCAAGTCAAAAGCACCCGCTCTTATCAGGCACGCGCTGGAGTGCCGTTCAACGATGATGTCTTCTTTCTCGTCCATACAGAGCAGCACCCTTACCTCAATGTCCACCGCAAGTTCCCGCCGCCCGCTCTTCCTGTCTCCTCTCGGCTTTTCGTGCGTTTTCATCTCTTCCTCTCTATTTGCGCCCTCACGCCTCGTCCTCTGCGCAGGCTCGGGCGAAGAGAAGCCGCGGCAAGCCCATAGTGGCCTCGGAGCGGTATGTCGCGCACAATCAGCGTACACCGCCCAACGAACTTGCAGCGCCCCGCAAGCTTCCGCCTGACAATGGACAGCAACGCGTCCGGCCTGTTGTCCCGGCGCACGCATCCTCCACCCTCCAGCCCTGGTACAGAGCTCGAGGCGCCCAAAGTCCTCGCATACTACGTCTGCGGGGTCAAGGACAAAGGCAAGGGACTTGTTGCTACCCAGCCTCTGCCAAAGGGTGCCGTCTTCCTCGAGGAAAAGCCGTTGTTTACGCAGAATGCGGGGTGCACGAACTCGAACATTCTCTCTGCCCTTGCGAACTGTACGCGCGACGAGCAGCGCGAGTACTTCACGCTCTGCAATGCCTACAAGACCAGCGGGAAGGTTCTTCCCGCCCTCGCGATATTCCAAACAAATTCGTTCCCGTGCGACGACTCACCGCAGACGGCGCCTTCAAAGCAGCGGCGCGGCATCTTCCTCACCGCCTCACGCATCAACCACTCGTGCACGCCCAACGTCGGGCGCATATGGGACGTCGAGAAGCAAGCTATGGTCTTCCGTGCCTTGTGTCCTATGCAGGCCGGCGAGGAACTGTGCATCAATTACGTTGATGTGTTGGGAACACGACAAGAGCGCAACGCAGACTTGATGGACCGCGTTGGGTTTGAGTGTGTCTGTGAAGCTTGCGCACTACAGGGTGAGGGATTGGCCCAGAGCGACCAGCGCAGGGGGACGATATGGCGACTGTACGACGAGGTTCGGATGTGTTTGAAGGAGCCTACGTTGGGCATGCGCAAGGTACACTCACTTTCTTCCTTGAAGTGACGTTCGCTCATTGCCACGTGCAGGCGAAATTGGCCCTTCGGCTCCTCCAAGAAGAGAACCTCGCGCTTTACGAAGCAACATTCTGCTTCGACGCCTTCCAGCTATGTGCCTTGGTGACTATCTCTGAGTCGATTGTTCCTCTTCTGTTGCTCACTTACGTGTACTTGGTAAGGTCTCGGACTTCAGCAATGCAAAGGCATGGGCACGCCGAGCTTGGGAGGCCTCCTGTGCCTCTACGGGACCTGACGGACCCGCTGCGCGGACATTCAAGATGTACTGGGCCAACCCGCGAGCCCACCGCCTCGCTGGGACAATGCCACGGATGGTGTTGAGCGGGCCTAATCAAGACGACCGTACTTAGTCTGAGCGTGTGTGCTTCTTCATCGTCTCCCTTACATCGCTAACCCAGACGCAGATATGTTCACCTTTACGTCTCCGTGCTTGCGCGCCACCATGACTTAGACCTGCTTGTGGGTCTTGAAGCTTGACTGGCGGCCGAACACTCCTCGTTGACGTCACCGTTGTCGTCGTCATCTTCCTCGTCTCCTCCCTGGGTGTCCGATGTCGGGATGGATGATCCTAGAGCACGTCACTAATCGCACTAATGATAGGTTAATTCATGTACGGCTTACCTGCAGTCCAGTGAGGGCGGCCCGTCAACAATTTCTTGACAGATGGTACATGTACCGTTCGGGGTATTATAATGCTTTGTGCAAGGACACATCAAACGTACGCGTAAGTACGGGTCTCGCGATCGGGTGGACAGCGCTCGTCAATGCGACCGTTCCCATTGTAGACCAATGTCACTAGTTACAAACAATGACAAACAAACCCCCCTTCCGGGCATTACCCCTCCAATGAAGTTCTTTTTATTCAGGAAGGCCGCTTAGCGCCTCCGCCAGCCGACGGTAAATCTCTCGAGGTAAGTTTACGCAACACACAAGATGCACTTCTGAGGTCAGGCGCCGTGTTTATGGTACAATCGCCTCCCATGAGCTACACATCCTCCGTCTGTCGTACGCCTCGCAGCCCCGCAAATGTCGCTGCTGAGTCTGCGACATACCACCCGGGCCGGCGTTATCCGACGGAGTGACGGGGACCTTGTCCGAGTCTGACGGCGCCAACCAGGCTTTCTGACCGGTTCGGCGTAGACGCGGACGCATTCAACGCTCTGGTGTTCACAGTATCAAGACCAGCCTCATTGACGACAAGGATGATAACAAGGTCCTCCTCGCGCGTACCTGGCTCATCGGGACTTTCCCGCAAGCAGAGAAAGTCTATGGCGACTGGTTGAACCACCCGAACTTCCCTTCGGTTGCCAAGGATAGCGAAGACACGAAGATCAGGGTAAAGTCGTTCAAATACCGTCTACACGCAGCTGAATCAATTCATTGACCAGAGAGTCTTCCTGTCGAGGGAGGAGTGGGAAAAAACTCGCGACTACCTCAAGCACGGCCGCCGCATACGTTCTCCATGCCATAGAGTGAGTAGAACAAGAATGTGTTATTTTCTATTCTGACGAACCGGGGAACAGGTTCACCTACGACGAAGTATCGCAGAGCCTCGTTCTAAACGCAATGCCATCCGCGCACACCAGGGGGATGCTGGACTTCAAGGAGGCTATTTTCAAAGCCATCGAACGAGCGTTGGGAAGCCATATCGTTGAGTTACTCGATCTCTCTGGTACTTCCCGCGCCTTCCGGGCACGCACGCGTACGGGGAAGGTTTTGGAACAGATACCAAACCTTGTGGTGACTGTCGGGCGCCCACTGGATGATATGATTCCCGTTTCCCGTAACGAGGAAACGGTCTACCCGGGAGATCCGCCCGCTGTTGGGGAGATAGACTGCTTCCGTTGAGAACTATGCAACTCGCAGAACGTGGCGCATGGTCTACACAAGGTGCGTTGATGCTAATAGACCCCCATTATATGCGTGTATTGAGCAGTTGCCCAGATGACCGGCTGGAATACTACCGCTGACGTTCTGCGACCGTCGGAGGCAGGGGCGGGTGTGCACGCTGCTCAGTCGATAGCTGGTGGGTCAGGGGATAGTGGCGCGTCGGAGGCTGCAGCCGGCCACTCTGGGCAGGATAGCGAGGATATAATCAAGAAGCTCGCCGAGTTGCCGCTCTTCATCATGCACTTCGAACAAGGCAAGATCCCCAGACAACTGGACGAGGCTGCAGGGAATCTGCCTGACGACGCCGTCCATCAGAGCAAGTGTTCATCGCCTAGGGCGCTGTGCGGTCCTATTTCCTGGGGTACGAAGCCGCGCACAGGCAAGCAAATCGTACAGTTCCCCGTTCAGTGCAGGGGACGACCTCAACTGTCTTCGTGAGGGGATTCGCCAGCGCAGGTTTGTCCAGCAGTTCATCGACGCTGGCCACGGATGCGTAAGTGTTTACTTTCAGTACGTAGTAGGCTCCTGATTTACAATCTATACTAGCATATCGTCATGAACTACGACGAGGCCAGCGTGAAGGGCGAACACGACGCATTCTGGCCTCACCTGGAGCACGCCATGCGGAAGGTCCGCATGATCGTCACCGCCGATTACTTGCGCAAGGTGCGCGTACAAAAGAAGAACTTGACGGCCAAGGAGATATTGGAGGTCCTCGCGGAGGAAGCTAGAGAGTTCGCGGAGAAGGTTGAGACAGAACCGATCGTCGATCCCATGCCCCTTCTCTTTGAATCACCCCGATGGACCTTCCTGCAGGAGCAGGTCATTCAAGTTGACACCGAACGCGTCGAATCGGAGCCAGTTCAAGGCGCGGGCGTTATCGATGTGCTGGGCAGCCCTGATGACAGAGGTTTCGCCGAGGATCTGAGCTCCCTCCTGACAACGTGGATATCAGACCCGTTCGATACTCCTGAGGATCGTGCCCGGAACTACAAGCTTCGTCGCATCGAATCTCTTCGAAACGCGGACAGTATGACCGTCCCGAAGCTGGGCAACGAGGCCGAGATTGAACAGCAGGCGGTGCTCGTACCCTGAGACGTCCAACGACGACGTCAAGCAAGCGGTCCTGGAGCGAGGGCGATCATGGTCGTCGTGTCATCGTCGCGGGATGACCGCATACCATTGCTCGACATCCGCGTCGTGATGGACCCGCTGCTGTTGCATGTCTGTCACAGTTATGCCCCCTGCCCGAGGTCGTCCCAACATATGCTGCGGGTGAATACACTCACCACAGGCACTGTGCCTTGTGTTGTGGTTATTGCTTGTTGTTTCCGACGGGCTGACTAAGGGGTTGTTGAAACGCCCCTTCCAAGGTCAGGTCGCCGGCCCGACGCCGGTGACTCAGTCAAACGGGAGTCCGCCACTGATCGAGGAGAGGTACTGGGGCAGTCAGAGGCAGTGCACCGCGCATCCCGGAGCGCCGTATTGCGCACATTCGTGTGCGTGTTCGTTTATTCGTCATTGTAAATCATCGTCCATCCGACCACTCTCGCGTAGCAGGTATGTTCTAGCTATCCTCAGAACAGTCTCTCCAGGCTGACACTGTCCCCTTGCAGACTGAGCCCTGTTTGTCCATATTGCGGTATACTATCTGCATTTAGGCTTTCGAGGCCTCCGGGCTATTCCCGGACGCCCAGTGCCTCGGCGAATCTCGACACGGATCAACAAGCGCCCTCCAAGTACGCTTATGTTTGGGCGCTAGAGCGTCACGATGGCCATTCGTCAGCCGTACTGGAGTTCCAGTAGCTCCGTATACGGGCGCGTGTTGTTCCACAGGTTCCCCGAGAGAGCAGAATTCCGTGATGGGTGCCGCGCGACGCGCCTTGCCTCCTTACCACCTCCTCGCTCGAGTCATATATTTTGTTCATGACTCTGCGCCCCTGATTTCCCTGCTACTTATCCCCATGCGCGCGTTCTGACATTGACATTGACACGGACTGACGATCATTATGTCTACCACGACGTCCTCCAGCGCGGCTACCGCGACCCAGACAGGCAACGACGGCGGGATCGGCAATTCGACGGAAGCCCAGAACGGGCAGCTCCCGTTCAGCTTCCTCATGACATTCATCGCTGTCTTCGTCTTCATCATCGGCTGCGGCTTTGGGACGCGTCGTCTCTCGATCGAGCTCCGGCGCGCGGTGGGCAACGCAGCGGGCCAGTGCCGCAGTTCACCTCTGGTGCCGGAACTGTGGGATGTTGTCCCGCGGAAGGCATGCCAGACAGCCATGGGCAAGTTCTACGAATTCTTGGTGAGCATCGGTGCGCGTTCGCTCCTAGACGGGCCGAATATTGACTGTGACTCCTTCACAAGCCGCTGTCCGTCGCATATGTCCGCGAGGAGAAACATGATCCCACTACGGAGCTGCCGTCATCGTCGACACCGCCGGTGCAAATACCGGAGCTCCCTCGAGGATATCGAATCTTGGAGTTCGTACCCTTCGTCTCAATATACATCGCCGTCCGCACACTGCGCCGAATGCGGCAGGTGCAGGCTGCTACTGCCGCTGGCACCTTCAACCCTTCTCTACCGGAGGCACCGCCCCCACCTGTCCGCGCAGTCAATGTCTCTGTGCTCATCGCAATGCCCTCGCCGTATCGACCAAATCCCCGGTATTCACAAAGCAGCAGCAGCTACTCCAAAGACATTGCGGACTACTCAATACCGTCGCTAGCCTACTCGTCCGAGCCGAATCCTACTGGGCTCGACGAGGAGTGGCGGAACAGTAGCGTGAGCACAGGCAAAAAGCGAGATAGCGGGTTCCCTGGGAGCTTCGAGGACGAGGACGAGGACGCGGCGTCAGGGGAGTTCGCGATAGGCGTTGTGCAGGTACCATGGGACTCGGATGAGGTAGATCTCATGACCCCACGACGATAGACACGTTATTCAGGTTTCATATACTACCTGTGGACGGTCATACGACAGGCCCATTTGCCTATTCGTGTATTTGTAGTACCCGCGTTTAGTTACTGGGAAGCCTGGCTTTCTGTCTAGTCGCCGCATAGATTGGATGGGATGCTGCTCAGCAAATGTGGCTCACGAATCAAGATGCGTTGGTGGCGACAATTGGCGATTTGTCCGTGACGAGGTCAGTCATAGCTTCAAACCGAATTTGGCCACAAACTACTCATGCCAACAGGTCGACGGCAGATACGACGCGACGCAGGATTGTTGCAAGTCTCAAGTTTAAGGGGGGCAGAGGTGAGTACACCCTACCATTTACCACGCTGCGTCTATTTATACTATCATAGGATGGCTTCGAAGTCGTCTGCCGCCCTACTACACAATACACTCTCCGTGGGCGGAACGCTCGCTCACGACACATTCTGTATGTTCCAACAATCGTGGCAATTCGAGGCCCCCGGAAGGCCCTTCGACGTATCCAACTCACGTTAGGTTACGTGCTTGGTATCCTCCGTACCCGATCGCCGATACTGTAAGTGTGACGCCCAGCCCGCGGACCGCTGGCCATACATGGCTCAGTGTACATACCCTCATCACTGGCAACTGCACGCGGATAAGAAAAATCGGCAGTTGGGCGACTCTCCGATGTGACGTTGTTTCTGATTCATCTGACCGTGACTGCGAGTGTCTCACCGATAAATGGATTTGGAATAGGGCTGTCTCGGATCGTCGTGGGGACTTACAAGGGGAACTATGTGCGCCGGTGTATCGGTGTTGGATGGGACGCTTATTATGTCTCTGCCGTCACGGTGGCAGCCGCGATTTCAATGACCGGACACTGTCTTGACACGCCGCTGCTGATGCGGGAGCATAGGTGTACAGCTATGCAATACTGGTGTAGGCCAATTGACCTCTGTGTCGAACACTTCGCACATGAACCGGTACCCGAGGTGTCTCAGGCGTCTCGCCGGCCCCATCTGGCCGCTCCTTGGGAATGGCCAGCCTCAGATATAAGGGCTTGTCTGCGATGATGAAGTACTGGTCAGGACATACTTCCCTACACTTCTCTGCGTGCGACCAGTCATGTCGCCCACGACGTTATCATCGGTTGCAAGCTTCAGTGTAATCGCACTCGCTGCGTACTGTTTCTTCCGTTACTTTCAGTGGGGAAATAGGTGTACCCGTTCGCTTCCATTGCCGCCTGGGCCAAGGCCTATCCCTCTGCTTGGAAATGTGCATCAGCTTCCCATGGATTTCCCGTACCTGCAGTTCAGGAAATGGGGACAAATGTTTGGTGAGTAAACCTCTATCATCGAGACGGCCCTAGTGGCCAAAATACTTATGCGACAAATAGGTGATGTCTTTTGCCTGAAGGTCTTTCGACGACCTACTCTGGTGATCAACTCTATCCATGTGGCGAAGGAGCTGCTTGCGCATCGGGGGGCGAAATACTCTGACAGGTTTTCATCCCACCTAATCACAGTGTACGTCACGGTCGTAACCATCGACACTCCCGATTGTGCTGACGCTCTCGTGTGGTCAGTATGGGTTTTGAGGTTGCCACGGCTTTCCTCGGGTATGGCGACACATGGCGTCGGCATCGCAAACTAATGCAAGTAGGCCTCGGCGACCAAGACGCGCTAGCTCGCCTTCGCCCTGTCCAGCAGCGGGAGATAGTTGGCTTACTGTCTCGCCTGTCGCAAGATCCGGATGCCTTTGACAGTCACCTCAAGCAGTAAGATAGACCCTCGTTCCAGTTTTACTGTGCTGATACCTTGCCAGCTTTACCGCAGCATTGATTATGGGCTCTGCTTACGGGGAAACGGAGGATGAGAACATCCTCAGATACGCAGAGACCATTCTGCACACCCTTGTCACTGTAATAACAACTCCAACTGCTGTCGTGCTGGATTTTCTTCCGTTCTGTACGTGCTAAGTTGATAGACTCAATCACCGGACCTTGCTGATTATTGGACAGCAAAATACGTGCCCTCATGGGTGCTCAGTGGCCTATTTAACGCGGGACTTCTGAAGACACGGCCGTTGCTGGTTCATGTCATGGACTCAGCGTTTGAAGATGCCCGGACTCGGACGGCAGCGGTGATCCGGCTCTAGCATATGATGGGGTAATACGTGATCATCTGACTATGTCTTAGGCACTTGGGAAAGACAAGGCATCGTTCGTTGCAATTGCCACGGAGGCGCAAACATTGAAGTCAGATACCAACTCGGATAATGATATCAAGGTGGCAGCCTTCACGATGTTCATCGGTCAGTCAAATTCCCGCTCGTTCTCTGGTCGCAGTCTCACCTCTACACCGCCTGTAGCTGGCTACGAAGCGGTGAGTATCGACAAGGATGTCCTCCCGAAAATCACTGTGCAGTTAGCCATAACACTAAATTCATTCCTCGTTCAAATGGTGACTCATCAAGACGTGTATGCGAAGGCACAGCGGAGCATCGATGAGGTTGTAGGCAAAGAAAGACTTCCTGACCTCAGCGACAGGAATTCATTGCCCTATGTGGACGCGATTCTCAAGGAAGTCTATCGGTTGGTGTAGTTGCTCACTAGGTCTGGCTGTAACATTGGCTCACACTCTGTTGGAACCTAGCATCAACCCGCCGTTGCCTATCAGTGCGTCCTACAACCTACAAAAATATTACCTCAGCTGAGATCAACCTAGGCATCCCACGACGTCTCATGGACGACGATGAGTATCGCGGATATCACATTCCGAAAGGAACATCGGTCATAGCTAACATTTGGTACGTACTATAATACTCCTCGCATGGATCCGTTTAACTAAGGTTTCGCCTTTATCCAGGCAAATGGGGCGTGATAGTAACTACTATAAGGATCCCGACACATTCAACCCGGACCGATTCATCGACCCCAAGCCCGGGTCCCTTGTAGAGCTTGATCCACGTGAATATATATTCTCATTCGGACGACGGTACGCAATTTAAGCCTGCAAATCCTTCTACTCTTATATGCAAACTTCAGGATCTGTCCTGGACAGCGCTTTGGGGACGATAGCATGTGGTGGACGATAGCGAGTATCATTGCCACTTTCAATGTGAAGAAGGCTCTGGACGCAGATGGCAAAAAAATAACGCCTTCTATGACCGTCTTACCGGGCTTGACTAGGTGCGTGCCCTTCGCTCGTTGTGACTCGCTATTGATATGTGTCTCTGCGTAGCCACATTCAACAATTCCCGTGCTCAATCCAACCTCGCTCTCAACGGGCTCTTGAGCTGATCGCAGAGAGTGCGATTCATTTAGAGTAGTCGCGGCTGCACACTGTGTACGTATTCGCGTTGGCCAGTGACTCAGCGTCCCCCAGCATACGCAGCCCACTTCAGGGCATATCTGCATGACTACTCTGCATCACATCGATATGCACACCACGCGGTATCCCGTGGTTAAGTTACTCAACATCGAAGAGCAGTACCTCCACTGCCAAATTGCCGACATTCTTCATGACCAGTTCCTCGCCCGGTTCCCCAATGATGTACGCGCCGTCACCCTGCGTCTGAAGCGGCGAATGTCAATGTTGCAACTTTTTGTTTCGCGTGATGCAGATGCAGAATAACGTCCCAATGCATTCGATGACAAGTCGCAACGCAAGGTCGAAAGGCTGGAGCATCTTCGTCGCTTTCACCAGTTCCTGCCCACCGTCCTGCCCGCCTCCACACACGCCGGCACGCTCACCCCGTCCACCCCCGCCCCGATGACCTCCGCCGCCTCTCCCCAGCTCTCCCTTACCACCCTCCGCATCTCCGCAATACGTGCGACATGCCCCGGCGTCGGCGTCGGGATGCACGCTTCGTGCGTCCGCACCCTCACCAACAGCGGCGCCGGGAGCTGCTTCCCGAGATGACGCGAGAGCTCGTCCAGGAGCCGCCTGACATACTCGCTGCTCAGAGACCCGTCCCCGTCGACAGGCGGGGGCGCGAACCGTCCGCGCGTGTAGTACGGCCCGCCGAGCATTACGGTCACTTTCGTTATGGGCGCATCCGCGGGATCTTGTGTTGGGAGCGCGCACGAGTCGAAGACGGTGCCCAGGATCCCGAGCGCGTTCCCGTCTGCGTAGTCGGAGGCAGGGCGCGGGACGAGGTAGCCGAAGCCGGGCGGGTGGAGGGACGTCGGTGGGCCGGGGAACACGATGTTCACGACGGTCACGGAGGAGGTTGGGTTGGCGGTGAGGTGGGGCAGGGCGGGTAGTGCGCGAGAGGAGGACGAGTGAAGGAGGGCGTTGAGCGCGGGGAGGGGGAGGGAGGACACGAGGTGGGAGGGTGTGAGGGTCGTGCCGGAAGCCGTCCGAATCTGCAGAGTGTACATATTGAGTCGGCTTGCAGACAACAAGTGATGTGGGATGTGGGCATACCTCGAAGCCATCCCCGCTCTCTCCCTTACCCAGACTTACCGCACCATCGCCCTTCAAGACCCTGACGCTCTCCTTCCCCTCCAGATCCCTCTCCAATGCATCCACAAGCTCTCCCGTACCCTCTTTGAACGAATACACGCTCATGCCTTGCATCAGCCCCTCCACCCCACCCAACTCATACGTTCCTTCCTTCACTTCACCCGTATCCTTCCTCCTCGCGAGCGCAGTAGCTATCATTCCCCGGATCACACTCCCGCCGCCCGCCTGCTCGTACTCCAGCATCTGCGGGAACGCCGCGCGTATGCTCAGGTCGCGCGCGTCCGCGGCGTATATCCCGTGTATGAGTGCGCTTCCGAACGTCCGCGCAAATGTCCCGCCAAAGTGTCGTGTGAGGAAGGCGTCGGTCGACTCGTCCTCTTCCTCTGCAGCGCGGGGAGGGCTGGTGCCGCGGGAGAAGGCGTCTTTGAATACTGCGCGGACAAGGGTGGGTGCTAGGGGAGAGGTGAGGAGAGAAGCAAAAGACATGGGGATGCGGAGGAGCCCAGGGCTGCCGGGGAGGTGCAGGAAGCGATTGAGTGCTGCGGGTGCGGTGCGCGGGACGGTGAGAAGGGAGGGGGCGAGATTGAGGAGGTTGACCTGAGATGGAGATCAGTAGGACTGCGACGGACGTTTCATTTGGATGATCTACCATGAAGTGACCGCGACGAATGCCGGAGGGATATGGCATTAGTTTCTTGCTCTCCGGAGCACAAGTGACCGATGACACACCTCTCCGCTCGCGCAAAATTCCTCCATGGCCCCTCGCTTCTCAATCAACGTAGTTAAGAGACTTCCACTCACAAGTTCAAGCACGGCCTGCCCGCCTGGCCTTAGCGTCCTCGGGCCCGACTCCAGCAGGACCCTCGCCGTCCGTACTGACGATCCTGTCTCGGAGGGCACGCGTACCTCTACGCGCTCGCTCATCACCCATCCTCCCAGTCTATTCTGCTTCTCTAAGAGAGTAATTTGCGTGTTTGGAAAGCGTCGCGAGATATGGAACGCGGACGAAAGGCCGGTCAAACCACCTCCGAGGATGGCAACGTGCCTTGGGGGCATGGCTAGTCTCTTCCGACGAGGTTTTGAGCACTATGAACGACTAACACGTCTAAACATTGCTTGGGAATGTTGTCCGAGGTGGTGGTTGAGAAATGTCACGGTTGCTGACCAGACCGCACCGGCCGGCGACGCGTCCACAAGCGCCCACGACGCGTCGAAACGCGACCGCCGAAATGGTACGATGCACGCGTTGGCGCCCACCCGCCAGCGCCGCTATATTTCTCAGGCAACACTGTTCTCTGTCAGCGCGTGCCACGTCCTCGACTACCCATGGCCTCGAAGACGAAATCGCGGTCGACTTCAGCAGCGCAGCCCGAGGGTGGCGCGTTCACCTGGGCGACGAAATGGTTCGTGCGCATGGCGTGGCTGACGGCCGCATGGGCGGTGTGCAAGGGCTTGGATGCGGTTAAGGTGAGTGTTTCGGGCGACGTGTATTCTGAGCTTTGTGCGGAGACGATATTGGCGTGGGTTGTTCGGGAGCGTGCTGCTGCGGCCGCCATGCCAGCGTAGCAGAACAGAGGTACTGGGTCTGGGTATCCCTGTCACCTGATGCCGTGTGGATGGTCGTTGCTGGCGTACCATACAACTTTGGTCGCTCAACACACTGCGAGCCCACATTGTCCAAACAGGACTTGGCCGACGCGGACCTGCCGCCAGCGCGAACCGTCTACTTCCTTCAAATGACATCGTGCAATGGTTTGGCAGCTTGTGCGTCTTCAAGTGCAGTCGACGCCCAGGCTCGAAAGCATATTCTCGCATCCTCACATTGGCTATCGAGGACCGTGACTGACGCCGCCTCCTCAGGACCGTTGGTACGTGCTCGACCCAACGAGCCTACACGAACTCGCACAAGCCGCCGTCGCCTCCGCCCCCGAGCCGAACGACATCAACTACATGATCGACTACATCGTCACGAACCTCACCTCGACGTACGGGTCCTCGCAGATCGCGCTCAACACGAACTCGTCCGAGTGGGTGCTCAGCAACGCGGGCGGCGCGATGGGCGCGATGTACATCATCCACGCGAGCGTCACGGAATACCTGATCGTGTTCGGGACGCCGCTCGGCACGGAGGGCCACACCGGCATGCACACCGCCGACGACTACTTCAACATCCTCGTCGGCGAGCAGTGGGCGTTCGCCCCGCCCTCGCTCGAGATGGAGCGCTACCCCGCTGGCAGCGTGCACCACCTCCCGCGCGGCCACGTCAAGCAGTACAAGATGCACGAGGGCTGCTATGCGCTCGAGTATGCGAGAGGTGCGTGATGTTCGAGCATGGAGGAACCTGGGAGCTGACAGGCGTGTTGGTAGGATGGATCCCACTCATGCTGCCATTTGGCCTTGCGGATGTCTTCACGTCAACGCTGGACGTATGGTCCCTGTACCACACCGTTCGCATCACCGCGCGCGAGATGTTCAGAAACTTCTTCATCGGCAAGGTCTAGACGCGCAAGAGTAATATACATACGGAAGCATCTACATGGCTAATTTGTTCTCGGCGTCGCTCTGCATATCGTTGTACACCTGAGTCTTGACCTGCGAGAGACGCGTAAGAAACCGCGACACGGATCAGCTTGTGGGTCGTCGAGACAGAACTTCTGAGAGTTCGCCGCGAAGTCACCGTGTACTTCCTCTCGCCGGCGCCCAGGGCGGACCCGCCCGGTCCCAGGAGTCAGACCGTCTGCGTATGGTAGGCATCCCAAATACCATTCTTGACGTCAGCGTCTGGAACGCGCCAGGGTGTGTAGATTCTGATATAAAACGGCGTCGCGACGCCCGCTCCATGTCAACTGCCTTCGCCCACCATTGCACCAGCCATCTACTACGACCTCTTATCCGCCTCGCAAACCCGCAGCACACACTCAGACTTATCACAACAATGTCGCCCCCAGAGAAGAAGGCGAAGACGGGCGGATACAAGCTCTACTATGTACGTTCCACATCCAACACTACGATACGACGTTCACGCAGTACTGACTCCATCGACAGTGGGGCGGCATCCCCGGGCGCGGCGAGTACATCCGCCTCGCATTCGAGTACGCCGGCGAGTCGTACAGCGAGATGAACACCGCGAGCAAGCTCCTCCCGACGATCACGGACCCCGCCAAGGTCGGCTACCCGCCGCACCTCGCGCCGCCCGTGCTCGAGCTCCCCTCGGGCCGCTTCCTCTCGCAGACGCCGGCGATCCTGAGCTACCTCGCGCCGAAGTTCAAGTTGGCGGGGGAGAAGGGGAGCAGGGTGGTCGAGGCGGGCCTTAGCGAGGAGGAGAGGGAGGAGGCGGAGGAAGAGCGGGCCACTGTGAGCCAGCTGACGCTGACGGCGCTGGATATCTGCAACGAGGTGCGTTCGAGCGTTCTCCGTGGCCAATCGGGGTCCAGCATCCCAATGATAGAAGAGCGAGACTGACGGCGTGGACAGGCGCACGACGTGCACCACCCGATCGCGTCGGCGCAGTACTACGAGGACCAGAAGGAGGCGGCGCTCGCGCGTGCGGAGGACTTCCGCAAGCTGCGGATCCCCAAGTTCTTGAAGCACCTCCAGAGCGTGCTTGCGAGCAACCCCGCCACGGCCGTGGGCGCGAAGACGTACCTGGTCGGAAAGCAGACCACTACCGCTGATCTCGTCCTATTCCACGTACGTGTCCCTTCCCTGCCTATGGAAGTCGCGGTTCGCTGATGTCGGTGTGTTAACCAGGTCATTGATGGGCTGCTGTTCGCTTTCCCGAGGCGCATGGGCGCGGTGAAGGAGAGCGGCGAGTATCCCGACGTGTTTGCGCTGTACGAGCGTGTGAAGGGAGAGAAGGGTATCAAAGAGTACATCGCGAGTGGGCGCAGGCAGAAGTTCAGCTTGGGTTTGTTCAGGCACTACGAGGAGCTGGATGCTGAGGAGTGAGCGCGGCCAGCCCTACAGTGACCAAGAGGAACGACAGGCAGCCAAAGGGACTGTATTTTTAGTGTAGAACTAAGCGAGCGTTATATCGCTAGCAATCGAAGTTGCAGCAAGGCTGTAGGGTATGGTGTATAGGCTCTGTCCGCTCCGGCTGGGCTCGAGGACTTCATGTTGGTCTGGCCACGGCGAGACGAATGTAGCAAGCAGTCCGGTGGTCAAGTTCTTTCCATTGGCTGCGAATGTACTTCTGCGAATAGTCGAGTGTTGTCAGTTGAGACGATAGTTTGTACATGCGAGAAGGCGAGCATGATGATGGGAGAGGCGACCAAACCACCGAGCGCTCAGCGCGTTACGTATGTATGGCCATTGTGCGGCCTCGGTTCTAACCATCGTAGACAATGTTGACCTCCTCCTTCGCCTACCTGACTCGCAGCTTCGCGCCATAACAGACAACTGTGTCGGTCGGATGGGAACTGCGTATCATACATGACCCAAAGTGCGTAGTGGGGGCAGGACGAGACTGAGTATGCATCTCATCTGTCTTTGCAGACACAAATGGCTCGAGCAGCCATGACATTGACTCGGAGGGCCTGTTTGGAGAGGATGCCAGCACGATATTCTCCTCTCTCCAGCTCTCATGCGGACGCACCATCCCCAACCGGCTCGTCAAGGTGAGTTCATAGGCATACACACTCCCCGCGCAGCACTGACCAGCGTGCATACCACCCCCGCGTAGGTAGCCATGTACGAACACATGGCCGCGCTCTTCGGCGGGCCCCCGAACGACGCGCACCTCCAGCTCTACGCGCGCTGGGCAGCCGGCGCGTGGGGCATGGTCTGTACGGGGAACGTGCAGGTCTGCGGGGACCACCTCTCCCTGGGCCGTGACATGGTCGTCCCGACACACCTCACACCCGAGACGGTCGAGCCGTTCGCGCGGCTTGCAAGGACGATCCAGTATGGGAGTGCGGAGGGCGAGGAGATAGCAGGAGAGAAGAAAACGTTGGCGGTGATGCAGCTCTCGCATACTGGGCGGCAGTCGACGAACGTCATTGGAGGCCGCTGGCCGTTCGTGCCCCCCATGGCGCCGAGTGCGGTCCCTGTTGGGCGGAAGCCGTCGGAGAAGGAGGGGGCCGGGTCGGCGGGGCTGTCTCGCTTGGTGCACACTGTGTTCTTCCAGACTCCTCGTCCGATGAGTTTGTCCGATATCGAAGACGTTGTGGCGAACTTTGTGAGAGGGGCAGAGCTTGCGGCCGCCAGTGGATTTGACGGGGTGCAATTGCACGCCGCGCATGGTTGTAAGTAGTGCTTATGGTGTGGCATGGCTGTTCAGATAAGTTGACGGCACATGCACACCGCAGACCTCATAGCTCAGTTCATGTCGTCCAAGGTATGTTTTCTTGCCTGCATTTTGGACATGCTAGTCACTGAAAATCTCGCACCCTCCATCCGACCAGACTAACAAGCGCGAAGACAAGTATAGCGTTCCGGAGAATGCACTTCGCTTCTTGCGCGAGATTGTCTTCGCCATTCGCGAACATAACAAGATCCCCCGCGACTTCATACTGGGCATCAAGCTGAACGCAGCCGACTACGTCGACCGCCGTAACGCAGACCACAGCACAAGTCAGCCCAATGAAGCCCTCGAGCATGTCCGCGAGATTGCTGAATGGGGAATGCTCGACTTCATCGAAGTCAGCGGAGGCGACTACGAAGACCCCGGTGCGTACGCGCCGAACAGAGTGCCACCCAGCCTGCTGACGACCCCTCCCACCGCGCAGACTTCATGATGAAGACACTGTCTCCCAGACAGGCGTTCTTCACAACGTTCGCGCACGAGGTCAAGCAGATGCTCGCCGCGTCCCCGTTCTCGAAGCCCCCTCTGATCCTCCTCACGGGTGGTCTGCGCACGCTGCCTCTCATGTCTTCCGTCCTCAAACACGGACACGCGGACCTGCTCGGTATCGGCCGGCTCTCAGTGCTCTGCCCCGACCTGCCTCGCACGCTCGAAGCCGCCATAGCGGGTACCACTGAGCCAGGAAAGTTTCCTTTGGAACCCCTGCCCGAGCCTGACCTTGGATCGCCCGTTGCACTACCATCTCACCGGAGTATATTGCATCACGCACTAGCTGCCCTCTTCAACCTGCTTGCATCTGTCCTCACTCGCTGTTGGGCCCTGTTCCCCATCCAACTCCCGAAGCTCGTCGGCGCAGGGACAATTATGGCGTGGTACATGGTCATGATGCGGCGCATGGCCGTGCGGAAAGAGGTGGATTACAGTGTCGGCGGCATCGAGGCCGTGCTTAGTATGTGGCTGTGGTTCGCACCAGACTCTAGATCTGGTGCTCGGCGAGGTCGGAGGGGGTTCGTGGGTGGCGTGCTGGAGTCGTGGTGGGCGATGGGCGCGGTGGGTGTGATACTGGGCTTTGTCCTTGGAATCGGTTTGGCAATATGAGGCTTGCCAGGGATCTTCCCGAATCCCGATCACCGTGACGATGATGAGTCGGTGCGATGACATTAATGATTCACACACTCCATCGCACGAGGTAAGTACTATATAGCTGTTGAGATCGCGTCAGATGTGATCCAGAACTTCTGGTTCATCCGTGTGAGCGACCATCAATCGACGTAGAGAACCTTTCAGTGAGCAATCCTGGGGGTCTACCCGGTTGTCCTGCGTCGTCATACTAGTTGCTTGGCCTTTGTGTATCTGGTCAGTCGCGGTCCTGTACATGTCAACGACTTGGTCCATTACGAAGCCCTCTATAATGTGGTAAGGCGATCTACCTTCAAGTTCAGGTCTCTGATCACGCTAATGCATGGCCCAGTTCGACGGCACCGACCATTCCTGCGGACCTCGTCTACCACATCCTGGATCACCTGTGGAATGACCCATGGACGCTGTTCAACTGCGCCCTAACATGTCGGACGTGGCGAGACGCCAGCAGACGACTGTTGAAGCGAGGCCACGTTCTCACCATCAACAATTTCGAGAACCTCGACCGCATCTCCAGACTGCTAAACAACAAGAAGACGCGCCACTTCTATCGCGACCTGCAGCAGCTGTACATCGCGGACGACAAGGAGAAGCCGTTCTTGCACATCCTCCCTCTCCGCCTCCCTGGCTCGCTCCTGCCTAACGTGCGGCTCCTCCGACTGTCAAACATAGACTGGACGAGTCGCAGGCCACACTCCAGCACGCTCGCTATGACGACTGCGTTCGCGGCGGTCATTGACATCAGTATCGATGGGAGCCGCTTTGGCAGCTCCGCGGATATCCGACAGTTCATATCGGCATTTCGCAACTTGACCGCCCTCGAGCTGGACGGAGTCAACATATTGTCCCCTGTCGCTGGGCCAAGGTACTTGGATCTGTCCAAGGCTGCCTGCTCCCCCGTGAAGTGGTTGCGCATGGAGAACCTGCATCTCTATGCAATACCTCGAGGAGGTAGTACTGCGATCGCATATCTGGTCTTCCTCAACCCTATACTCGATCTGTGTTCGACCTTCACGTCCTTGTCGATGCTCCATATCCGAAGATGCACCTTTGGGAGCTTCGACGATTTGCGACGATTTGTCTGCTGCTTCCCGCGGCTCCGTCAACTGAAGATGATGGACGTCGGGTGGGACACCACCTTTCCCCGACGTTTGACTCTGCCTCTTCTTGACGAAGGTCCAGGACTGCTGAGACTGGATACGTTCCATGCAAGGGTCGCGTCATATACCCACGGCGATCGCCTGCTCCAATGGCTTGCCACGAGCCTTCCCAACCATACCCTCGAGTCGCTTGACATCAGACCATGCAGCGCATCACTTGTAGGACGAACCTTGCGCGCAATAGGTGGCAGCCTAGAAAGACTAACACTGTATACTACCGCATCAGACGGTGAGAATCTACCCACATTGTCAGACGTATCGCTGACACAACCCCGATGTAGAAGCTGTGACCGTGCAGACTATCTACGGCAAAACGAGTCGGTATATCCTTCAGATCCGGATCAGCGTCCGACAAGACACGCCCACACTTCAGGTGTCGCGCCTTGCAATGCTACAGGCGCTTTCAGAGTTCGACGGCATCACTTGCGAAGTACGCCGCATCGACTTGCGCATCAATACGGACTCGCAGACATTCGTCCCGCATGACCCATTTTCCACGGGTCAAGGTTCTTTTGGAAAGAAGACTGCAGGAAGCGTAATTGGTAGTCCGATCTTTGCCTCTGTTGAGCGAGTGACCGTCGACCTGGAGCGCTATCCCCTCCTGAAAGGGACGGAGACGTCGGCCTTACGAGAGGCACGAGACGAGATCCGTCATTTACTGTCGGGATGGGATAGTCGTGGCGTTCTGTATTTCTCATATCCGTCGTGCTATTCGGACAGCGGTGACACTACCAGAGAGAACGTGGATATTGGAGAGGATGTTGGCGTTGACGACTGGGCCGTTTGGAGGGATAGCTGAAGGACATAAAGTCATCCTTTTCACCTCTGTAGAAATGTAAAAGGACAACGCTGAACGAGAGAGCAAATATGTAGGTTTGCAGTGCATCGATCTCGGAATGTCCATTGGTGATATGCTGCAGTGACCATATGTTGTATCACAGGGCCATAGGGCGTAAATCTAGAAATGCGTGCTTTGAGGTTACCGTCGGTTCCGACTCTGACCACTGGATCCTGAAGGTCCTGCCGCAGCCCCTTTGCGCATTTCCTCTTCATCCAAACCAGCCTCGGCGAGGATTCGTTCGACCTCTTGCAGTATGGGCTTGTATGCAGCTGCAAGGAGGGGCTCAGCCGATGAGAGCATTAGCAAAGCATGAGTCTTACCGTAACGTTCCTCTGCGAGCGTAAACCCGTCTCTACGGAGTAGCTTTCCGCGATTGTCGCTGCTCCCGTAAGCCTTCTGTGTCCAGTACTCACCTACGGATGGCATTTCAGGATGAGTAATACGAGTGGGTCGAACGTGGACGTACGTGATCGGGCATAAAACATAGCCAATGTCTCGCCCGGAAGAGGGGTGCTGATCACATCCTCTGCGGACCGCGTGTTATCCTTTGCCACGCCCATGAATGCAGTTGCCTTGGATCGCAACTCATCCTGTCTGCGTATGAGACATGACCTAGCGTTATGTGCTATAGCGTACCTCGTGTTCTGTCAGTTCTACCATTTCTTCTGCTGTGATGTCTTCATCTGGCTCCTTCGCGAGCTTCTGCGCTTCCTCGATGGGCTCGTCCACGACTGTCTGCTCGTCGTCGTCATCCTCGTCATCGCTTTCATCCTCGTCCTCGTCGCTGCTCTCGTCGTCGCCGGTTGTAGCAATGGTGACATCGCTGGGTTTCAAGCAGGTATAACGATCCATCTTGTCCAGTTGAAGTGAATAGAAGTCGTCCAGGGTATACTCGCGCGACGGTCGCTCGAAAATACCACCGTAGCTGATGCGTACGTCAGCCGTTGTTCGTATGAAGGAGAATGTGGAGTGCCTACATGTACAAGGTGTTGCGTAGCACCGCGAGCATCGCGTTGTATCGAGGCATAGGCCTCGTGATTTCCGGATCGTCGGGATCCACGTCATCGCCAGCAGGCATGGGTGTTTTCTTGTTCGCAACGGCATGATCCCTGGGCGACTGGAAAGAGGTCAACAACGCTAGTCTCAACGGCATCGTGGATTTCTCACCTCATCATCGCTGCCGTACTCCGTATCACTACCGAGATTCTCGTCCTCGATGTCGTTCTGACTTCGACTAGCTGCAGCTGCAGGCTTCTGCTTCTTCGTGCTGCCACCGCCCTTCTTCTTTGGCTTCTTGAGCATCATGGAGACCCATTGCCCGCTGCCGGTAATCTGATAGCCATACCTGTGCCAACCCCGGTAAGCACAAGACAGTCGACAGTTCATGAAGACATACAGGTCGTTATGGAACACGCTCTCTAGCGTTTCTTCACTTGTGTCGTCATCCGTAACACCACCGAAGAGAATCCCTATGTTCTTCGCCGCCCACAGAGCCATTGTGCACCCTGAGCGCAGAGATGGTGTAAATGCCGTTGTCCTTCGTTTCCGCTTCTCCCATTTCAGTAATAAAGGCTCAGCTGACGACTTCCCTTCCTTCGCCTCGTTCACAGTAATTCTGAAGGTATTAACGAGCTCTTGAAACCCGCAAGTAGATGGTGCGGTAATGACATACCTGAGAAACCACGTATCGTCTAACATGATTCCGATTGGCCGACTCCCCTTGGGGTACTCCTTATAGTATCCACCTAGAAGCAAAGTAGAGACTCAGGTCAATAGCTCATCCTTGCGAGCAACAACGTGAGGCTCACCATGCAACAGAATGCCGTCTGCAGTGGGTAGGAAGGAGAAACCACTGCGTGGACTGCCATGCTCTGGTCAGCAACCTTTGACCAGACCCAGGAACCAATGGCGTACGAGGGTTTGTGATCAACATCTTTGAACTCGACTTGGCGCCACTTGTACTCCTGAGTATCGAATATCCACAGGTCATTCAGATAGTTGGCTGATTAACGAACGCATGGGCCGGTCAGCCATATTGGACCCATGGAGACATGTAATTGACTTACTCTTGAACCCTGGATCATAGAATCCACCGAATAGCACTACGTAGTGTTTCCACATGGCCATCCTAGTAAAGCCAGTATGAGCTCCCTGATATGCTTCCTACGCGGAGCATCCGCGTACCTGTGCCCCGAGCGAGCTGTTGGCCGCATTTTGGTCTCGATTCGATCCCATATATGCGCGGAGATGTCGAAGCACCAGAAGTCACGGTAGTGGTGGAACGAGTTCTGGTACAGGGACGAGAACTCGCCACCTAGGCAGTGGTAAAGTCAGCCGCATAGAGCATCCAGATGGTTTGATGAACTGACCAAAGAGGTACAGCTTTCCGCCTCCAGCAGGGGAGGAAACGACCGCATGTGCCGAACGAGGTCCCGGACAAGTCGGTGAGACAAACTTCCGCCACTCATCCTGGAGTAGCGACAGGAATGAGGTTCAAGTATTGATCTAGTAGTCACCAGTGTACTAGTGACATACCTTTTCCGGCGAATATCGGAAAACGTCGTTGTAGAAGTACTGCAGGGAAGTGATCAAGGGCTGAGCGTCGCTACTCGGAGAGTCAGAACAAATGAAATTACGTACAGCCTTATTATCATCAGTGAAGAACTCCCCACCAATCGCCCACAAATAATTTCCAGTAGGACATGGCGTGAACGTAGCGTTCGCTCGTCGGCTCGGAGGGCCCTCCACGAGCTCCTCGGTGACCTTATGCGCCTCCTCCCACTCTCTTTGCATCTACTGATCCCGACCCGGAACATCACTCTTCATCTGAAAAGCTGGCGCGCAGGGTAGGACATACCTTGTCAAGGATCCCCTCGAGGTCCTGGTCATCCTCCTCCTCCTCTCTCGACTTCCCCGCTGTCTTCTTCTCCTTCCGCTCAACCTTCTGCACGGCTTTCGCTTTCTTGGCTGCTTTCGCAGCAGTCTTGCTTATGGCCTTTGCCACCTTCTTTTTGGCCATGGCGCACTATAGGAAACCGACTTGACGAATATTGTTTAGATGTCGAATCGACGTTTTGGCAAGGACTCGGAGATGTTTACCGGAGCGATCCTTGAATTTGAATATTGAGCGCCTGGCAGTCAAATTCGCTGTGCCTTACAGCCAAACTCATATTGATAGACGTTTCGCGCTCGCGCGAAGATACGTTTCCGGCCGAGGTGCCGGGCTGCCGCGCCACAGCAGCCACCACGAGGCAGGCTGCAACCATCTGCCCCGGTGCGCAAGACGGGAAGCTACTACTTTGTACTGCTGCGTGTATGCTCACTGACTACCCATGCTTGACGTTATTGCGGTTTTGGGAAGTCATGTCGCGCGGCGCCACACGTGCGTTTTTTGCACGCGGCGACCTCTACCTTCGGACGGCCATTGCTCCTCAACGCCTGCGAGTTTCTGCTTGATTCCTATATATTCTGGTTCTACTCGTCGAGCCCGAGGGCATGGTGCAACTCAATTTCGATTTCAACCAAGTCTCAAAATCGCGGTTTCCTAGCACCACGGTGACTTCGGACTGCAATTGCGAGCGAACGCAACATTGGGTGGGGTCCGCGATGGTACGGAAGGGTGCAGGGGGATACTACGGAGGGCACAGGGCAGAAAAATTAGAAAGTTACCGTGAGTTCTCGTTGTAGCTCGCGCCGTCGCTGTGCGGCTGCGTGCTTGACAGGTCGCCGACGCAGGTCGGCCACCGCAGCGCAAGGGCGTGAGGCGTACCCGCATGAACGCCCCGATGGGGTGTATAGAAGGCCTACGGAGCGCATACACGCCGTTTCGGGGTACTTCTCCCGCTCCCCGTCGTTGTAGTGCACTCCGCGCTGGTGGTGCCTCCGTCTCGGCCCCTGTACATCCATTCTCGATCCACTGGCATATAGCATGTATCTACTTGCAAATTCTCCTGAAGAGTAATATATTCCTTTCATACTACTGTTCCGCAACCTTCAGGCCAGCATCGCCGTCAACATACATCACCATCAATGTACATCGCCGGCTAGGCGCCTTGTCGAGTTCAACCCAAACCACCATGCCCCACACGGTCTCTCTGTCAGAGGATCTCCTCTGGCGTGTTGTGTTTCAACATTATGAGAGGGGGAAATCCCCACAGGAGATCTCAGACAACCTCCACATCAGTTTACGAACCGTCCAGCACTGCCTTGCGCGGCATCGTGCAACGGGCGATGTTGCATACCATCTCGGTGGGCAAACAGGCAGACCCAGGTTAATCACAGAGAGGTTAATCACAGAGGAATATGAACAGCAGTATCAATTGATTTTGCTGTAGCTACGCGGTGTACCACTCTACATTGAGGATGGATGTACATGACACAGCGGCGGGGGCACCACGCCGAGCGCGGAGCGCACTACAACGACGGGGAGCGGGAGAAGTACCCCGAAACGGCGTGTATGCGCTCCGTAGGCCTTCTATACACCCCATCGGGGCGTTCATGCGGGTACGCCTCACGCCCTTGCACTGCGGTGGCCGACCTGCGTCGGCGACCTGTCAAGCACGCAGCCGCACAGCGACGGCGCGAGCTACAACGAGAACTCACGGCAACTTTCTAATTTTTCTGCCCTGTGCCCTCCGTAGCATCCCCCTGCACCCTTCCGTACCATCGCGGACCCCACCCTATGTTGCGTTCGCTCGCAATTGCAGTCCGAAGTCACCGTGGTGCTAGGAAACCGCGATTTTGAGACTTGGTTGAAATCGAAATTGAGTTGCACCATGCCCTCGGGCTCGACGAGTAGAACCAGAATATATAGGAATCAAGCAGAAACTCGCAGGCGTTGAGGAGCAATGGCCGTCCGAAGGTAGAGGTCGCCGCGTGCAAAAAACGCACGTGTGGCGCCGCGCGACATGACTTCCCAAAACCGCAATATGTTCGGCTCAATCTCTTGCTCACGTCTCTCCACGGAATGTCGACCAACTCTGCGTGGCTGTGCGGCGGCGACAGTGGTCTGGGTGCGGGAACTGACCACACTGACAGTGAGAGCATGAGCTCTTGGGGCCATCGTGCTCTATTTGCCGCGTTTATGGATGCTCAGGAGAATTTTACCTGTCAAGCGGTGTCGGTGGGAATACTGGCTGGTTGAGCTGAGCTGGAGTCCCCGTGCGTAGAACTGTTGCCCACTGTGATACGTCGTGCCCTGATGTCCGAGCTTTCGACCTCCGGATGCTCCTTCCACTCGCGCGCATCCATCGCGCGTCCCCCTGCACGCACGCACACTAGCACCCACCGCGTCTGCTCGCACGCTTGGGTCACAACGATGTGACCGCGCCGCCCGCCGCGACCGACACCTCTTCTCCGGGTCCCGCGACCTGCGACATCCAAGTTGCCCGCACGCGCGGTCCCTGCACACGTCTCTGCACGTCCGTCACGCATCTACTTCTTCCCGCTGTACCACATCGCCACAGCGTCCACAACACGTTCTCAAAAGACAAAATCACCCAGGTGTCTGGAGCACTACGACTTGTACGTGACGGCGGTGACACTGAGGAGTCTAGACACACAGTTGTTGCTGCAGTAGCAATGAGAACAAGCAATGTATGCAGCCGGACAGCAGATAATAACCAGTACTTGTGGGTGTCATGGCCAGCCTGAGCCCGAGCGTCATGGACTTTGCTTTGCGCCTCCGGATTCCCGAGCTCTGCCAGTGGTGCACGGTGGCGGGCAGCGGTGGCTGCTGTGGCGCGGCAGCCCGGCACCTCGGCCGGAAACATATCTTCGCGCGAGCGCGAAACGTCTATCAATATGAGTTTGGCTGTAACGTCTAACCGAGTCCCCGCGCAGCTAGCGCAAGCTAGTACTAAGTACTTCTGAGATGGCTAGTACTTCTGAGATGCTTGAAATGCCAGGCATCATGGGTCAATCTGTACAATGAGACTACTGGACGATATGTATTCTGGTTCCTCACAGATGGCATTTACTTGAACTCGGAACTCACCAGTGGCAGAATTCATATCCAAGTGAGCATATATTGACCTAGGAGCCTGTAATGGAACTCCGACGGCAAGAGCGAACAAAGCAATACAAAGACGATCTATGTACTATATGAGCACTCGCCGATGCCCGTATTAGGTTGACGATGATCAAAACATAGCGATGGCGTCAGCTGGCCTCCAGTAGAGGGACTCAGGCGCGAGTGTCCACCGATTCATAGCGTATATATACCCAGCGATCCCAAGCAAGTAAGCGACCTTGATAGCTATAGGACTGGGCGTTAGTCAAGTTGCGAGCAACAGAAGTGAGTGGCTTACCCCTTCGGCGATGAGGGAACATAGTTAGCTGTGTGCCGAGCTGTGGTAGGCCCATTATGTTGCAGAAGATATGTGCAGTGATGGGAGGGATCAGGGACCCAGTGCGGAGAAACAGGAATGCCGTATGGAATCCGAACAGCGAGGTGTACGATGATTGGAAGACTGAGGAAACGAGAGGTCAGCAGTCGAAGCGACGCTAAGGGGCCTCGACACCTACGTGTGGCGATGGCTGCATGCTTCACTGCAGCACCGGTGCGTCCATACCGGTTGTAGATGTCCCAAGCGTGGTGAATGTGTGCTGATGCGGAGCGCGTCAACGACCAGCGGGGTAACGAGCAGCTAAGCTCACGCACCTATGCCGAACAGCCAGGGGGTCATGAAGATCATCTTCACACGCGAAGCTCCAGCGAGGTGGTACACGGCCAGCGAACACGAGCGAAAGACGATCTCTTCGGTGGTTGGTCCCTATATCATAACAGATGAAGCCAATTGCACCCCAAGGCGTTGCAAACAACCTACCACCATATAGTTCCGTACGCTCTGCCAGGTCGTGAGCAAAGGGATCACACTCAACTTCCAGCTCCAGTTACGCTGAAGGGGCAACGCGCCCGACAGCCAATATCCATAGAGAGGTCCCAGGAAGAGCACAGGTGTGACGAGGCACGGGAAGACAAGTTCGGACAGTGAGGCCGGGACATCAAAGCCCAGCCTTGCAAGGGTAGTCTCAAACGCGACCGGGAACGCCTGAGCGTACTCGTCAATTTCAGTTGTTGCGTAGCGTAAGACGCAAGAAAGGTATACTCACCGTCGGTGCCCATCCCAGTAACTTCCACACCAGCCCCAATACCGCCACACAACTCGAGAGCGTGCTCAGACTAGCCGCGGCAAGCCGGGCCCGAATCACGTCGGGGTCATCCCTCCATCGCTCGTCCTGTTCCTTCGTCCGTTGCTGGCCTTGCTTCGGCTTGATGCTGCCCCGCTTGAACGACAGCCGTGCATTCTTCGAGAGGTACAAAGAGCCGACATATGATCCGGCGAAGAAGACCGCTAGCGCGTTCGCCGTCGACAGCGAGATGGGTGGCTCAGCGAAGACGAGAGGCATAGGCGGGCCAGTGCACTACCAAATATCCAACCTCGAGAGATGCTATGAGCGAGAGTGGAGGACGTGTGGCAGAAGTGGGCGACACGGGTGCATCTGCTTCGATTTATGGCGAACTCTTCGAGGCGTCTGGGACGACGTCCCTGGAGGCCAAAGCGATTGTCTCCGCCCTCGACCTCCTATGTTCAGCTTTGATGATTCTTACGGGAGGGACCCTTTTGATGAGACGCGTGAGCGGGCAGAGACAATTGGATGGGAGCCCACTGTTCGCACTAATATGGGCGAAAGTCTCCCGCACAAACTATGACCCTTTCCAGACGATCTCCGCTGGCTGAGGCGGTGACCGCAGTCGTTGGCAGGCTAGCTCAGAGTCAGACCGGCGAAAGCGAGAGACTGGGAGGGACTCCGAGGGAGGGGTCACGGTGGCAAGAAACATCGCGCGCGGAGGGCGGCGCGCTACGCGCCTGCAGCTGCCTCTTTCGGAGCCCATCATCCGGGAGGCGTACAGCCAACGGCCGCCCACCAGCGATGCTGTTGTCTAAGCTGCTTTTCAGACCTTGATCATGATCATAGACGGCACGAGTGGTGGGTTTGCAGGAATGGCTGTTTGTGTAGTTGCTCACGGACGGTCGCAGTAGTGGATCCGTTCAGCGACGAGCAGGCTTCCCCCACTGTTGAAGCCGAACCTCCGGAGTAGGTGAATTTCCTCAGAAGGTGTAAGATGGTATCACCGTCTAACTGACGTGATAGGTATGCCTCTCGAGCAGCCTCGTCGAGGCGATCATCACGGCGAGTGTCTGTCGTGACTGTCTCTCAACCTCCGCGGTAAGTAAAACCGGAACAATCCAATGATTCTGGCTCACATAGTTTCGTCCGCCACAGCTATGTCCACATCGAACGGCCGAACATGCCCCTCACCTATGAGTTCATGTCATGGAATATGAAGTCTATGCTTCTTGTCCCGCCGCGTTCAGTAGACCCAGGTCGCGGGGCACTCTACTTCATCTCCGTCGCGCTCAATCTCAACCCCTTTGCCCCGCTATCCTACGTGACGTCACTGTACCGGGGCTCAGATACAGAAGGAGAGTTCGTCGGCGAGTTCGAGTGAGTAAAACGGACCTTGCGGATCTACCCATCTGACCCTACTTCCAAGGCTAGGAATTACTCATAGCCGTGCCACCGTCTCAATTAGGAACCACTCAACCCGATTGAAGAACGTTCTGATTAGCGATGCCCGCTCTCCCGTATGTACCAATTCACAGCTCTTGGATCCTGCATCACTGACAGCTTCGAAAGCATCTGTTCACGTGGCGATACGACACTGTCGAGCTCCGTTGGGACTGTCGCACTAAGCTGGATGATGGGTCGCGCATGTGTATCGTATGTCAGCCTCTCTGGCCTTCGTATGTATGTTGACGTTCATTGCTAGTGCTCGGATGCAGCTTCCCATCAGCTAGCGTCCTTCGTCCCACCACCTCTCGACGCGTCGCCACCCCTTCCAAACGCAACGTTGACTGTGTTCCCGGACGGTCACCGGCACCAGCTCTTCGACCATATAGTGCTCTCAGCGCTAGTCGTCGAGCGCAAAATGACTCTCATGCTCTGATCCTGGTTTCAAATGAGCCGTTTGTTGTATAACTTATTCTGATGTGATTATTGTTGTTGTGGTGTATCAATCACTACTGGCTGGAGTTGTATGCGTCGCAAACGAGAGAGGGTGTTTTGTCCGCGGAGGAACCCAGGGGGCCTCCTGAGTTACGCTCGCTACGCGTTCTCACTGATTCGATTAGGGAGAACGCACTGACGATGTGTAGCTGCGGAAGCTCAGTGGTTGGGAGATTCACAGCGCAGTATGACAGGTGCCTTCATCATACGAGGTACAATACGCGCACAGCACAGAGACTTTGCCTGTGGCAATCAATAACGTATGCCTAGCTGAACAGAAGTATGCTCCTTTTCTCTCTGCAGAAATGTCATGCGGGGCGCGCTGACAGAGCGTTCACTAGCACTGCTCTGCCGTCGGTTGAAGATAGGCGTCATACTTCAGCAACAAAGGCACTTATCATTGATCCGTCATGAACATCCGTCAACACGAGGTATGCAACAGTCTAACGTATGTAAAGCTACAGCCGTGGTGCAGGCGGCGTATTAGTAGACGCGTACAAGCAAGCGAAAATGAATCTTCAGTCGACTATCAGCATACAGTATGTAACTCAAAGACTCCGAATCGGTACCCTCGCCATACTCTCCCGTCGGCTGCTGGGTGCGGTCAGATGGCCGCTTTTCTCCTACGATAGCTACACCAAGCGGCGGTTGTCTCATGAGCACCACAAACAACAGCACGAGAACCGAAACCAGAACTCACCTTTGCTCCCACTTACGCCACCGGGGCCATGGCAGTGCGCGCCACAGACGCACCTTACCGCGGAGGGAGGCCCATCCTTCCCTGCATATGAGCACCTCCAATGGTATGCCTCCGGCTGATCCTCTTACCCGGTCCATCCGAGCTCGAGGAGGAGCCCGACAGCTTGGGGATGCTAAAGATGCGCTGGAAGAAGGCTTTCTTCGGACCCGAGTGCGCGGATTGGGGAGAGTGCCCGGACTTTGTGGTTGACGTCGCGGTGTAGATCGACCTCGAGTCGGGGACCTGAGTAGCTATGAGCACCGTGTAAAGATGAACGATTACGAGGGGAACTAGGCGGCTGGCAGACCGCCGAGAATATTGGATACGACGGGGAAAGACAACGTACGATAAGCCTGACTTTCTGCCCCGGAGTAGGCAAGACATAATAAGTACTCCCGGAGGCTTGTGTCCTACGATCATCTTCGTCGTCGAAAGAGTCGGAGGGTGTCTGAGCACGTGGCGCGCCCGGAGGGAGCTCATGATCGTTAATGTACATAACGCTTTCGGCGGGCGTGCGGGTGCGAGGCACGCTGCGGCCACGGCTGCGGCTACGACCACGGTCTCGCTCGACGCTCCGATCATAGCGGCCAGCCATGCGCGGCTCCTCCTCCGGGATCGTAGTTCCAGGGCGACGGGAGCGCATTGATCCCTGTGCCGAATGGTACACGGACGAACCCGCGCGCTGGTGTGGCGCACCCTGCGGCAGAGGTGCAGAATGGCTGTATGTCATAGACGGGGCATGGCGGGACGGGGCGTGATGAGTCGCCGAGGGCGAGTACACGATCGCCGGTGGCGCATAGTGGGATCTCGAGTGCTTCGACGAGGGCGCGTAGATGATCGCGGGAGGCGAGTAGGTGTATGGGAGCTGGGACTGCACGCGCGTTGATGGCGGATGTGGCGCGAACGATGTCGCCGCACGCGGAGCCGGCGCAGGGAGGGGCTGTGAATGAGAGTGCGAGATAGGCGGCGAGCTCGCCGGGAGAGGGATTTGCGACGGATCGAAAGCACGCCGCGGTGAAGGTGACACGATGCCGTGTTGTGAAGGGTGTGAAGAATGGCGTGAAGCAGTGCCAAACCGACTGTGCTGCTGCGGGATTTGCGAGATAGTTGACGGCGGCAGAGGAACCTGCAATGCCGCGTCGTACGTCGACGAAGGATAACGGGGCTGAGGCGCATTGACAGGGGGCTGGCTATGAGCAGTCTGGCTAGTGGACTGCGTGTTCTGGCTCGATTCACGCGAGGGAAGGATGACGATGCTCTCTGGCGAGCGAGGCGGCTCTGGCATGGCGCGGGGCTCGACGACCGGTTGGCTAGCATAAGAAAGGGACTGAGCGTGACGGGACGGTACGTGCGATGGGCCATGCTGAGCTGGCTGTGCGTACGGTCCTGACTTGGATCGTCTATGTGTAGGGGTTGCGCGGGGCTCCGCGCTGCGCATCTTCGGCGCTGGCCTCGAGTATGTGCCGCTGTGAGGGTTGTAATCGGTCGCTATGGGTATGTCGGGACGACCATCGTTGTACCGCAGCACCATACGTGGCGGCAGGGAATGACTGCTCTCGTCTGAGTCACTCGGACCATAGCTAGGCGCGTCAGAGTCGCTGTTCATGGACGGGGGGTACGATGGTGTCATAAAGGTGGGCACCGTACCAGTCGGCGAGTGAGCATGAATCCATTGCGCTGTCCGCTCCCGCGCGGACATGTACTCTCGGATAGCCTCGGAATTGCTGGTGTACTCGGTCATAGAGACGACACGTAGCAAGTAGAGAAATGTTTGAAGAATGAGAAGCTTACGAGAGGGTGGGCGGAGAAGGGCATCGCGCTCGACGGTGAAGCATTCTTATAAGCTTGTCATGTCAGGATGCGGGTGGAAGCCGGTTCACGCTGGGTCCACGAGCGGCGGTCCGCAATGCCTTCTTTGGAGTAAAGATTACTCTGGTTGTAGTCATCTGTATTGCAGGCAGTGAAACTTAACTGGGCTTATGTGAGTCCGGCGCAGGATTATGGGGAAATGGAGAGACCCCGGCGGACAATTAGAGAGTTATCGCTGGGAGAGAAGAAACGTGTTTGCGGCGAGGCGGAGGACATCATCGCTCGCGAACCAGGCTCTGTCCCAGCGCCTCTCCAGCGCCACAGGTCAGTCGAATACCACTGCGGGCGAAGCTCTGCCTCTCTTACCAGAGTTACTGAGCCACAGTATGACTACCATTCATGGTAAGAAGATGGTATGTGTCCCAAGATGAGAGGTTAGAGGCGGCCAGAGAACAGTACACTGCATAGTCGAGTAGGGAGGATGGCCGAGATCCCGGCCCGATACACTATCCCATCAGTGGAATGAAACTCCGCGCCGGCAGTAGCTACGTTCAAAGTTGCTGGAGCTCTGGAGCTCCAGAGGCTGGAGGCTGGAGCTCACCCCCGGCAAACGCCGTCAACCGCGCAACAGCTCTGGCATCGCCTGAAATTCCCGCCACAGTGCGCTTAGGTAATCCCATAAGCTGTGGCGCTACCGACTGGTCTGTATAACGTCCTGGGAAGGGGTTTGTATGATATATGTCTTCAAAAAGGGGTGAGGATGGTCTGTCCGTACTTTCTCCAGAAGCCGTGACCCTCAAATAATAGCAGCGGGTTCTACACACTCCCGATGACATTGGTATACCCGATTAGGCCAACGGCGCTTACCCCAGACGTACCTGCGCATTGAAATAATCCATGCTTGATGTGCGATGCAGAGTAAATGGGACATCGTACACGTGTAAAAATAAATGATAGATGTGTATGGAGGCCTGTTTCAAGCTGCAGGTGAAGCATGTCGTACTGTGCAGGCGAGGGTCTTGCTGCTTAGTCAGCTGCATCCCGTAATCAAACCTGCGAAGGGAAAGTGAGACGCTTGCTGTCAAAAGACCTTCGCAGATACACGAATAGCTCCTAGGAGCGGTGGTATGCATAAAACTTTATGCATCTTCGTGCAGTTGTACGCAGGGAAAGGATAACTTGTCGCGGTCGAGTCACAGACGTCACGCGCGCGTGACGACGGCAGTGCGCTGTGGCGGCATGCTCTGGAAACGCCTGGCACTGCGGACAAAGCGGATTGTGGGAAATTCGAACATCGGCCTAACATAGGCAGAACGAGTATATCATCTCGCGGCTAATTACGGAGACCTAACATAGCATGAAAAATTCATACGGTATTACTATGTTCGGGACCCTGACAATCGAGACCAACGATGGTATGTTCGGCGGCACAACATAGGTCACGTTTTCGCCGCGATGTTAGGAAACCGCACAAAGGTTGAGCATGCCGCATGTTAGGCCAATGCTCGTGCGTTGTGAGGAGCCAGCCCATGGGCTCCGCGAATGTCTCAGAACATGGTTAGAACGTGTATACCATTTAGAATCTCGAACATTAAGTATTAACGGTAACCGACCATTGGAAGGCACGGCTCCTGATTGGCTGGTTTATAATGTTCGGGCTCCGACCTTACAAAATATTTGGAACCTGATAAGATATACACGTTCTCGCTATGTTCGGACCGTGTAAGCACTCAGCACCATGACGCATGGATGGGTTCCTCACAACGCACGAGCATTGGCCTAACATGCGGCATGCTCAACCTTTGTGCGGTTTCCTAACATCGCGGCGAAAACGTGACCTATGTTGTGCCGCCGAACATACCATCGTTAATCTCGATTGTCAGGGTCCCGAACATAGTAATACCATATGAATTTTTCATGCTATGGTAAGTCTCCGTAATTAGCCGCGAGATGATATACTCGTTCTGCCTATGTTAGGCCGATGTTCGAATTTCCCACAATCCGCTTTGTCCGCAGTGTGGCGGCAAACCCCGAGAACCGTCACCTCCAGCTCCGGGCTCCAGCTGGAGCTCCAGAGCTCCAGCAACTTTGAACGTAGCTAGTGTTGGGTGGCTGAGTGGCTCTAGTTGCAGTGTCTATTTCTGTCGTTCCTAATTCCACCACCCCAACCATCGTCCAAGTACTCGTGTTCCTGTATCTGCTTCAGTGGACTCGGCCACCTTGCATTTTAGTACTTTGCTACACAGCATCAATACGCAGAACCGCGACGCGTCCCAGCTGCCGACGGAACTTCGGATGGTTCCAGGATGGTTCCCAGGTTCATATACGCCCGCTCGCGTTCGACGGTGGGCCAGAAATACGCATACTCTGGCTTGGCGCATCCAATGTACTGACATACAATTCATTCTATTGGCGGCTGTACTGCGTCCTGACGCCTCGAAGGCGTTCTCGCCTTCGGACCGCGCCAATGGACTCGGGGACGGAAGTCTGAGCCAACCAGCTGATAGGCCCGTGCCATACGGTAGCGTGTGGGGGTGCGACAAGAGACGCATGAGCAGCTCGTGTCTATGCATGCCGTTAACGTCCGAGGCTGTGCGGCAGTCCTGCGGCGCTTTTGCGCCAACGCTCGGATATGGTGCATTACGCAAGTAATAGCAGCTTTTGTGTATGGCGAGGGGGAACTTCACACTCCTGAATAGCAGTACTGTGTGGTGGTGTCGAGCGTTGAGTGCATTTGTGTACACTGGTACTTATCACTGATCTTAGGCATTCGCGGCAGGTGTTGAGAAGAAAAGGCAACATGACGGACACCAAGCGCCCCGTGTATCATCCCGTGCCAAATACCGTGAACTCGAGCGACAAATTTGTTCAGGTACAAGACTGTGTATGAGGCATCATGATTTCTTCAAGATCCACAAGTCCGTGCGTCGATTCTGGAGTTGGCCGCGGAACATCCGGTACCATCCCTCGCACGGAGGGATGGTGCTGGGGGCCTACCTTTGTCCGGACCTCTAGGACTGGCCTATTTTCGCCATGGAATTTGTCCGGACCTTGTACTGTATCCAAGAATGGGGTGAGTATCTTCCCTTGGAGTCGCCGAGACCGCTTTTTGGGTTGCTGACGCATATTAGGTTGAGCTGGATCATCTGAACGTGAAGTCTAACTTGCTAAGACCGGAGTTGGATTGTGCCCTGGCTGTCGGCGCGCTCAAGACCGTAAGTCGGCTACCTTCCGTATTGTCCGGATGACTGATCGGCCTTATAGTCCTAGGCTGTGTCACGTCCGGACATTCTGACCAGCATCTGCACATCGTGACCGCCATTCCTGGATACTGACCAACTCCAAACAGCCAAAACAGGATTCCCGTGTCCAGAATCTGGCTATCATGTAGCTGCTGACACTGTGCAACCTACGTCTGCTCTCGCTCCGGTCGAGACATCTGTCCCTCTGTGGCGCTAGTGCGCGTCAAGCGGTATAGAGTCCTGTCGGGGACTACGACCGCGGCTGCAACATGAGGCAGCGGCATGTAGCTGGCTGAGGTACGAGTCCTGATGATCATTCGTGTGCGTCATTAAGCAGACGCACAGTTCGCCGGACGTCGGTTCTTCTCCTTCATTCCCGCGCCAGGGCTCGGGCTTCAAGTCTTCAAGTCGGAAGCTAGCAAGCGCGAGGCGAGCCCGAGCTATATCTCGTCGTGTCATGTAGAACTACATGGTTCTCGCCGGGGGATTGTGAAGCTGAGAACATTCATCGGGCGCAGTGTGCTGCTGCGCCCGTGAGAGTAATTGAGCTGTGGCAAGATTGATGACATTCATTTCTAGTTCATTCGAGGGCGACTGTTACCTCATGCCCAGCAAGCTGTATGAGACGATGGAGGCGAATGACGATGGTCAAGACGACAATGTGCCTGCGAAGGGCGTCGCGAGGCACAGTAGTCTGCGACATGCCCAGATCCAGCGGTGTGGACTCCCATGCGATACGGCCGCCTTCTGCGGTTGCGCTCTCGATGCCTGTAGGCCCGGCAGCGCTTCTCACTCACGGTAGTTAGTGCGAACAGTTCGCCGCACAGCCTGGATGTCAGCGATCGCAGTCGGGGTGTATCGCGCTTCGATCCTATCGATGTGTTCTCACCGATCAGCAAACACCACACACGAAGCGCACCAAACACACCACACACGAAGCTCTTGAGTCTTGTTCCGAAGGGTGCGTCCTGCGTATGATCTCTGCTCCTTAGCCATCGTTGACTAATGCTGTCTGGGTTCGGTGACACCCAGATTTTTCAGAACGATCACGCTCCTAGTGTTATCATCCGGTTCTCTTCAGCTTTCCAATTCTTCCAATTCTTCGTATTTGTATATTGAGACAAGAACGCTATCATGTTTAGAGTTCAACAATTGCAGCGTGGAGTACGTGAGTCTTCTTCAGCACGATGTCGGGCAGACGAACGATTGAACATTTATTCACAGGCACTCACTGTCCGGAATGCTTGCAACAATCAATGATCATTTGGCCTGGATAGCATCCCGTTGACCATAGGCCGTCTTGGGGTACCCAGAGTTGCAGTCCGTTGAAGCTTTAAGTTCTATTGCGATTCGACTCTTCGCAGAGGCTTCATAACTGTGACCGTTGTGAAATATTAACGCAATATGCATAGTGAGTACTGCTATCAGCTACGAACTCCAGCAATGATCTGAAAACATTCGCTCCTTCCCTAAACGGACTCAACAGCTGTGGCCAGTATGAACGAGGGTATGACGTCATCGTGGCGGGGCGTAGCTCCCTCTTAGCTGGCATGCTAATCTGTGGTCGTTTGCATTCCCGCTATCCCGCTTCCTACCGACCATCATCATGTCCACATTCGCGACCGCGCTGGCATACTCAACGGATTCAGCGGGGATGAATTCCGCGCACACTCTGCCCATGAAGCTGCGTGCCATTGCAGAGGCAGGGTTTCCGCAGGTCGAGATTGGCTTCCCAGACCTCGAAGCATACGCCTCTCAAGCGTTTCCCGGATATAAGGAGCTAGACAATAGCGGGAAGGGTGATCTCTATAACTTACTGAAGACGGCGAAGGAGATAAGAGAGCTCTGTCGGGAGTTAGGACTGAAGGTGTTGGTCGTGCATCCGTACGTTCACAGGTCCATGCTGTTTGTCATTCTGTAGTCTTATGACCTACTAGGTTCTCGGAATTCGAGGGCTATGATGACGAACGAAAGAGGAAGGAGAACATGACCAGGGCCAGGGCGTGGTTCAAAGTCTTGGCGGTACTAATCCCTGTTTTGTTATCACTGGAGAACGACTCACTCTTCCGACAGGCTCTCGATTGCCAGATGCTACAAGTCGGCTCTTCCGACGACCCGTCATCGAGCTCCGACCTGGATGTTATGGCACGGGATCTCCGTGTGCTTGCAGACGAAGCCGCTGCCCAGGAGCCCCCGATCAAAATGTGCGTTCGATCTCCCAGAGTTGTATTGGCTTCAACTTATTACTGAATTCAGTGCCTACGAAATGTGGGCGTGGGGTGCTCATGTGTACGCAGCTCGCCCCAAGTATTACTTGACCAACCGTTACTGAATAAAACGTGTTGTAGCAATACCTGGGAGCATACCTGGGAGGTATGCAAGCGTGTCGATCGTCCCAATCTCGGGCTGTGCCTCGACACGTTCCAAATTTCAGGTGCGCCCTATATATAATCGACGGACCCGCATTTTGACGTGCTCGTGTATCTTAGCGCGTGCATACGCGGACCCTACCTCCTCAGATGGAAGGCTCCTCGCCGCACAAGATCGCCTTGCGGACTCGCTGTCTGCTTTGAGCAATACCATCCCGCCGGAGAAGATATTTTATTTCCAAATCTCAGATGGCTCGCACAAGCATGGGGTCGACGCGCTGAAAGCGAGTGCCCAGAAACAGGGTATAGATCCGCTGTATGCATGGTCGAACGCGTGGCGTCCGCTTCCCTTCCAAGACGAGATTGAGGGGAAGAAAGGGGACGAAGGTTACGGAGGCTATCTGCCTGTGGTCGAGATATGCGAGGCCGTTGTCAGGACTGGATGGAGAGGCCCATGGTCCTTTGAGGTCTGTCAAATCGTAATTGAAAGCTACCGAGATACGATCAACGCGACCAACAGGTGTTCTACGAGAAGGACATGTCGAGAGACGATCCGGAAGTGCCGAGGAGATGGGCGAGGTCGGCCAAGGCTAGCTACGAGAAGATCGAGGGAAAGCTGAGGGAGCGGGGCCTCTGAAGAGTACGGTGGCGTCGTCCCCTCCTCCCAGTCGATTGCGTCACCCTCCGATTTGACTGAGTACAGGCTTAATGCGATGTACTTCGATCGTCGTAGTTGGTGGACTCTCTGGGCACATAGTGCTGCCTCGCGACAATTGTGATAGGAGAGCACGAGATGCATATCTTCCCCTTTCGGTCGTTGTGGACTTGATGTGGACCGAACTGCGTGGTTACATGCGGTGTTGGGCGCTGCCTGTCAATTGTGGCGTGGGCAAGGCTAGTAGCCCTTCCGGTCACCCTGTGCGTGCCATGGCAGGCCTTACGCACTGGTGTGTGTGTCTGTTCGACAACTCTTGCATGCTAACCATGTGGGCATTACCTATTCCAGCAAGCTTTATGCATGCGATCGTATAAAAGCACTGAGCCAGCATGGGTCTCATACACTCTCGAGCTGCCAGATCTCGAAGCCCGTCGTAGCCGCATCTGCTCCGAGTCCTCCGAATCCAGGCAGTCACGGTCACGGTAACCGCCTTCAAGGGAGCGAACACGCAGACCATCGTCACCGGTAAGTCTCCGTCGCCCCGCAGAGATACGTCGACATGCTCATGAGCTAGCTAGATAGCATGTTCCGTCCCCCATACTATCACGTCCCGCAGGAACTCTGCGACGAGGTCATAGACTATCTGTGGGATGATGTTCCTACTCTCCAAGCATGCGCGGTGGCGTGCCATGGCTGGGTCTGGAGGGCGCAGCGGCACATCTTCCGTAGTGTCGCTATCAACAACGCCACTCGCTTTGAGCGATTTTCGCGGCTCATTAAGACGAAGCCACGGATCGCGACGTATGTGCGAGTACTCACCATCGCGAAAGCGAGGCGGAGCAAGACCAAGCTGGATCGAGCTTGGCCGGAGTTGCTGCAGACGCTGCGTGGCGTCGAAGACTTGACCCTTGGTCGATGGGTCGAGGTCTTCTCGATGCAGCAGGTGTTCAAGCAGAATTTGCCAGCACTCTTCCAGCGTATCCGTGTTCTGCGCCTCACCAACACCTCTGTCGGCGACGTCGCCGATCTCGTGTGCCTTTTGTCCGCGTGTTCCGCCATGCACACTCTGCACCTGGACAATACACGTATGGTGTGGCCCAATTGGGACCAGGTGGACAGCATTCCTTCGGTCGACTCCCCCCAGCTTCATGCACTATCTCTGACTCCGACTCACGCCGTCCCCATAACCGACATCTGGGCGGAAGGCCTCATTCGAGCGACTATCCGCAGGCTAGAGCTCGAACTCATTACTCCCGATCTATTCCTCAGTTGTCGACCCGTCCTTCGTGCCATGGAAAATACATTGGAGGAGCTAGTCATATTAGTAACCGGCACCAAGTTGCGCAGACGACCTCTTTCCGGAACCCTGCCTCCCATGAAGCGCCTGCGCCGAATCCATCTACGCGTCAAGATGCTGGATGCCAAACAACCGATCCCACGGCAGTACGAATGGATGCTGGGATTCCTCAGGCTTCTGAGGATATGGGAAAGCAACAGCCATCTCTCGGAGGTGGTCCTTAGTTGGCGAACTTCCGATTTGGCCAGCATGAAGACTTCGCCTCCCTGGGACGAGTTCGACTTCGGCATGGCGAAATTGGCAAAAGCGAACGACAAACTCAGGTTCACCCTCAATGTCCTCGATGATACCGGGATCCAGAACCAATGGATATACATGGTGGGCCTTGGCTTGCATGCTTTCCCATCTCTGCGGAAGTTACGGACAACCCTTGCGGTTAACATGGGATCCTCATGGGATGAGCATGAAACCTTCGGTGGCTCTCTGAGCAATCCCAAACAATGGGCATTCCACTTCGATCCTCAAACAGTCTCGGTTCCGAAAGTATAGAGTGGACCATCCGTACAAAGGACAGCTGCACTGGGGCCTACTAGATCTGCCCACCACCATATGATTCCCTCTATGTTGCTATGTTTCCCTCTTGGTTGCATATTTCGCTCGGCTCTTTACTATGTTTATCGCGTCATGTCGTCATGTGTGTAGTCACGGTGCGCCTAGGACACTCCTTCCATAAAAACGATCTATACATCACCGCGTATTACCATATCCTCACTGCAAGTAATGACCAATGCTACGTAATACCTGCGGTGCGCCTGGCGCGCCATCATATCGGGCTTGAGACCTGCTCGCTCGTACACCTCTTCATTAATCGACCTAGAGCAACAAGTGGATCGAAGCGGTCTGACCTCCCTTCTGCGCGCAAACAGCACGTCCTTCGCGTCACGTACAACATGATGAGGGCGCTCATTCACCTGAGGCGGCTTAGGCCTGGCAGCTGGAGGTCTGGAGGCTTTGGCCGGCCGCGCACAAACAGCACGCCCTCTATATCGCGCACATGAGGGCGCTTGGTCACTTGAGGCCCGGAACATTGAGGCTTCAGGCCGCCGCAGACGGATAGCTCATACCCCTCGCTGTCGACAAGGCGACGAGAACTAGCCATTGCCAGGGCCTCAGCAGACGGAATGTACGTACCTATCAGCGGGGTATGCAAGCGTAGGCACCGCTGAAGTGAAAGCGATTGCAAAGGCAATAAGAGCGCTGCAACGCATGATCGTCCAAGGGTCGTAGAAAGAAAGTGGGCGTGAATGTAGTCCTCAAAAGAATAGCTCGAGCAAAGCTATGGATGATTATGGACGCATGAGCTCATGCTGGTAGCAGACAATGTACAAGGAATGTTGTACTCACCTACCAGTGCGGCAGTGCCGCTGCCGTTGAGCTCAAAAATAGCTGAGAAAATGACTACGGCATGCGCCTGCATTTATACATGTCCTGCGACCACCACCCAATGGCGTTCATGTTCCACACGTCAGTGGGCTTTCCCTATGGAGACGGCGAAAGGTCGACTTCGTGGGGGCTAAGAGCGGTCGCAGGTGAGTTCTACTGCCCCTCGTTAAGTTCCCGTACCCGGCGGACCAGTGTGTGCGCATTGCAACTCCTGCTCTTGGGGGGTGGTCTCCGCCGGTCGGGTGATACGAATACCAGCCATCTTGCACAAATCAAGAGACATCGCAATAATGACATCCATCAGCCGTGACGCCTATCAGCCTAGTAGTACATAGTGCAGGTTCTATAGCGTCGGATGTCTATCAGTTCTGCTGTTGTGGTCACTGGGATAGACAAGTCGACTCACCTAATCACTCGTCCCATTGCATTGCAGATGGGACCCAGTAAGCGACTCCTTGCTCAGGATCCTGCTCGTCTAACCAGCACAGCCCGTCTCGGAGTAACATGTTCTCCAAGGCTGCACGCGCACGTTCGTGAGTCCACCCTCTCCGCTGCACCAACATCGTTTCCGAAACGCGTCCGCCTTCTTCTTGAGCGATGGCGAGTACTACTGCCTGATCCGCGTCTAGCTGCTTGGGCACGCTCCTCACCATCTTCTTCCCTGCACCAACGTCGAGCACTTCGTACCCGGCGCCGAGGGGCTTTAGCGTCTTGATGCTCCGAATGACATCGTCCTCGGTGATAACGCCGCCCTTGACGCCTCTGAGCTTGCTCACGAGCCGCACGAGCTCGCCCATCTCGATAAGCCCGCCGTTGCGCTCACGCGTGCTGACGCAGACGTCGACGATCTGCACCCCGAGCTCGTACTGCCAGTCGCCGAGATTCAGCATCTCCGCCCACCAGCCACCCTTCCTAGGCCCAGCTAGCGGATCGACTCCTATGGACGTGCACATGCGTTGGAACGCGTGTCGGAATTGAGGGTCATCGCGGATAGAGTCCCGATGGGTCGCGGCGTAGTGCGCCAACGCACTACGGAATTGGGCGAGTTGTGCATGGAGGAGGTCGACTTGTCCCTGTGAGATCTCGGTTGAGAGCTCTGCAAAAGACCGCTTCTGTTGACTCTGCCTATCGAAGGCTGCGATTCCGACTCCTCCCAGTCTGTGCATGTTGACCAGGAAAATCGCAAGAGCCGGCAAGTGAGTCACTCGCGCGTACAACCCTTTCGGACTGGCGTCGGATATGTCTGGGTGCGAGCCTACAAATTCTCAGTATGTATTCCAAATCACCAGCTCAATTGTGACTTTCACATACCAAAGCAGCTGTGCTGGTGCAATACAGTACCGTGACGCGCTCAGAAAAGAGCCTCCGAATCGTCCCTTAGCAAGTTGGCTGCCCAGTACGGTCACATCAATTCAGTCAAGGTGGCTTGAAGTGCTCTGTAGCTATTCACCGGCGGTACGCGGTCGCTCTGTTCAAGAGTACTAACCTTTCAGTGAGCAGGTAACAGAGTAAACAAGGCAGCATTGTGTTTACTTGAGTACTTACATAAGTAGCTGGCAGTGGCACTGGCAGCACCCGTACTGGTGCATGGCCGGATTAGGCAACTGTTGTTGATGGCCGCCCAGAGTCCCAAGAGACCTCTGAGATAATAATGGACCGCACACAGTGACAATCTACTGTATGTCATTACAAAAAAATCGACGTATACAAACAGAGGGTCAGAGTCAAACCGACTACTCGGGCTGAGGTGTGCTGCTTCCACCATCACCGCCCGTATCTACCACCACAGTGACAATCTCAGGCGAGTGTGTTTCGGTTGTGGGAATTCGTTTCAAGGCTCCGATCGTGTCCACAATTTGTGACGTGCGACGTACCCCCTCATTAGCAGTTCTGGATAGGGCCTTACGCTTCTGGACCAACGAACGTAGGTCTGACCCCACGCGCCGAAAGATTCCCTTGTCGTCGTCACGCCCATCAGATGAGCTTCTTCGGCCCACTTCCGCAGGCTCTGCGCGGCTAGGATCACGGACGACCTCCAACGCCTTGTCCACCAACTCGCGATCTTCCCCGTCGAGGATCAGGGCCAGACTGCCAATTGCCCCTTCAGCATCCTCACGTCGCAGATGATCAAGCATGTCAGACTTCAATCTTTCGCATTCGGGGTCGTCTGTGTTTTCCGGCTTGCACTGCAACATGACGATGGTGACGAGGAGGGTGGTGATTATCTTGAGGCCCAACGGGTTGTTTACAACGTCTTTCGCCTCCTTTATGACTGCCTTAGCAGCCCGCAAAGCCTGCTCGATCTCCACCGCTAGATCGTGCGCAGACTCGGAGCCATTTCCGAGTCCGAAACTCCAGCTCTTCTGCACCGCAGGGAACCCACTCTCCTTCCTGTCTCCGAGTCCGGGAGCTGCAACGGAGACGTCGGCGCCATAGATGTCCTTCTCGTCAATCGGTGCCAGATCAGGCCGTCTGTCCCACGTCTGGAAGTGAACTGTTGCTGCGCGGCAGACGAAGCGTAGGACCAGAATATAGATAGCTTGCATGTCCTGAGCCCTCGTCGCCTTGATACGCTCGAGGTGGCTGCAAACATCACACAGCATGTCAAGCGTAGCTGACAGGATACTGGTGCGATCGTCCTCAGAGATCAGATTCGCTGGCTCCGAGTCCGTGGGGTCCGAGCTGGATTCTATCGCAGGAGGTAAGTCGGCCTCTGGCATAAGGCCAGCGGAGGAATCCCATATAATTCCGGATATATCGACGACATGGCGTAGCGTGTTCAGCAATGCGGATGATTCGACAGTGTCGGTGGTTTCCCAGAACGCTGGCAGATCCTGTAGATCGATGTTCAAGAGGTTTGACAGCTTCGCCACAATCGTCGGGTTGAGACTCATCCGCATGCGTCGCAGGAATTGTGGATAGCGCTCCAGAAGCGCTTGCATCAACTGGCGGCAGTCCTCTGAATTACTGTCCGTTGAGTACCCCAATTGACGCTGTTGGTCGAACCGCGAAGGAAGGAAGCATGTCATCAAAACGAGGATGGAATCGATAAGCGTGTTGCGGTCCCATTGATGCGAGAGTAGACGAGCCAGAGCAGGAGCAAGTGTGTCGAATGAGGTTATGGTTGGAACGAGGAGCCCGGACAGGGATCGTGGAATGGGTCGCGACAGCATCCAGATACCCCACCCGATCTGGCGCAAAACTGGGAGCCCCATATCTGGCCTGTTCTTCAGAAGCGCTGCGAGCACGGTCAGTGCGTTGGAGGCGTGCGCAGCCTGCAGCTTGCGCTCCTGGTCATCCGGATCTACCGCTGTACCGCTCTCGACGTCCGCCTCGGTCTTCTTCCCTTTCACCGCTGCGCGTTCCACCCTGATCGGACGCATGCCTACGAAGATGGTGGCGTTCGCCAGCGCTGTGAGCGCGTCATCGTCGAGATCGCGCACCGTGTCCGGCTTGAGCAATTGATCGAAGAACGCCAACACCGAGGACTGCACCTCCTTCGAGTACCAATCGTTCGACGATACGATAAGCTGCAGCCGCAGCATATGCGAGTACAGAACGATGTCATCGAGGTCGTAGTCGACGGGCGCATCAGTCCGGCACAGACGAGAGTCGGTGAGCGTCTTCTCCGGGTGGTACCAGAAGCGTATGTAGCTCGGTACGCGACGCAGTCGGAAGTCCCACAGCACGGGTATGCCCTGTATCTTGAAGATAACCGTCCGTGCGTCATTTGTCTCTGCCTCGGTCAAAAGCCGTGCAAGAGCCTTATACTGGTGAAGTACCATATCGCGATCCTTGGCTCCGAGATCATCGGGATACAAGTGCGAGTGTCGATAGGCGTCGAAGATGTGGTGCACCAGGAGGTCGATCGCGCCAGCATCGATAAACAGGGCGCGGTACCGGACTAGAGCAGGGAAGTCGCACAACTCCCTGGCCAACTGCGCGCTGTCGCCGATATTGGGGTAAGCTCCGATCATCCGAGCGAGGACGCGAGCATCCATGAGTTCTGGGTGGCCTGAGATATAGGCTTCCTCTCGTAAACGAACGATGTTGGTGGGCCCAAGCCCTATGTGCCTCGCCCACAGGTTCCACAAGTTCTTCGGCAGGATGTGTGTGTCACCGAGTGTGGTGAGCAAACGTCGCCATGCCCGTCCAAACCATGACACGACGAGGACGTCCCAGATGGCACGGAATAGCTCCGGGTCTTTGTAGGTCCAGTACTCCTCGTATGTGACCGCCATGAAAACCCACACACGGGCGAGCGCGGCAGGGAGGTCCAACGATAGGCGCTTACGCACGGAGTTGACGAATATGAGGATGAGGAAGGTGAGCGACGTTTTATAGGGACAGGTGGCGCTAAAGATAGACCGAATGTGCGTCCAGACGTAGATGAGGACCATCCCCGAGACGAATATTGCTGCGACGATTCCGACAGTCTTGTTAAAGTACCACAAGAAGTCCACGAGGCCGGCAAAGAACAGGAGGAGCGAAACGTGCATAAGGAAGGGGAGGAAGGGAAGCACCAGCGATAGTCGCCATTCGCGCATGCTGTCATAGCGCAGCTGGATTTGCCGTCCTCGCATGTGCATCTCTGCGGAGGTGTCATCGCGACCCTCGTGGAGATCGGCAAGCCATTCTTTGCTGAGCATGGCGAGGAACGCGGTTGAGACGCTCGTGACCAAGCTGGCGAACCAAAGAACGTTGATGCGAACGAAAGTGGGAACTGCTGAAGCGTCCGGTTCTACATCTAGGATGTGAGTGTTCGCTGGTAGTGAACCGTTTGACTGTAGTGCTACGAGGATTTGCTGCAAGATCACTTCAGTCTTGTTCGAGGCGGGCGTCATATATTGGTACGACTCAATCACGAAGGCCGTCAGAACCGCAGAGAACAATGCTGCCTGCGACGACGGTTATCAAGCAACATAGTCAATCGCGGTATGCCGATAGCGACGTACGAAGAGCAATAGGGTATCAAGATCTTTGTCCCAAGTCTTGACGAACTTGGTATCCACATGACTGAACCTTTCCTCATATTGCACCCAGGTAGCGTCACTCAATGGCGACTGCTTCCAACAGTCAGCTCGTTTCGTGTCCTCGGCTTCTACGCTGCTTACCGCCGTATGGGATGTTTTACCGCAGTCATATACGCCGGGATTCTGCACAGAAACAGTCAGTAGGTTGCCTGGGTCGGTGTTGTAGGAATGGTCACCTCTGTGTACGTCTCTCCCGCAGCCATACTTCGTTCCCAACGCGGGCGCCCAGACAGAGGTGTCGGTGGAAAGCCCGTCCTCGGTGTCTGAATACATATTGAGCTTCGCGCAGGATGAAAGAGCTCGAGACAGACGTACCCCCGGATGCATGCTTCTCGGTGTACCCGGAGAGGAACTACCTTCCTGAACCATTTCAAGGTGGTACCACAGATGGTCTTGGGGAAGAATGCGGGGACGAACAGGCTGGCGAGAGCGAGGTCCAGGCGTCTTTGTACGCCTGCCGCAAATACCACATCGAAGCGCACCGGAAGGCGGTACCTGCGAGCCCTTCCCTGCCATGTTTGCGCCACGGATGTTACAGCATCTGTCACCGTGAACCTTCATTGTTGCTGAGATATTGCCTGTGAAGTCAATCTCGGTTTTTGCGCATTATGGAACAAAACCCGCAACGCGTCAATCAATGTGTGGTTCAGTGCGACCACACAGTAATGCTAGGACGTGTGAGTTGGTATGTTTCATTCCGACTGCGTGGTTCGTCAAATACATGGTCGAAGCCATGACAATACGTAGTATATTGTCATCATACTCACCCTGATTCCCCGGACTGTCATTGCTCGAGTTTCGGGCCTGCCAGTGAGAGACTTGGGCTCCCTGGCTCGAGTAGAGTTTGGTGATTCTGAAGACAGCAGCAGTCAATCATCATTGAAAACACACTGGTTGGCATGGTAATTATGCATCACAGTATGAGCATAGCATTGAGTTCCGCTGTAGAGCCTCAGAGTTGGACGAATGCGATAGGCTGAGATCTGCCTCGGTACCGTGACATTGTCATGATTGCGGTATTGCCTTTTTCGTCAAACCTCCTCAGCGAACCTTCTAGCTGCAGCACCCCATTTCAGCAGACCTATCAAGACCATGCCCCACAAAAGGGCGAAGCGCACAGTCCGAGAAAAGCAGCAAACACAATCGTATGTCCTCTACCCCTTGTTGTCAGGTGAGAACTCAACAAGAGAAGAGGGCTCAATTTACCGCCAGGTGCCCGCCATGCCATCGACCATGAAGAGATCCCGAAGGGAGCCGCACGCATCTTGAACGCGACGAAGGTCCAGGAAGAGTACAAGCAGAGGAAACGCAAGCTGCAGGAGAGCGGAGGTGACGCGGAGCCCTCGAAGAAGAAAAGGAAGTCTGAGGGTCGGCATGGCGGAGAGACGGGATCGGAGGGCAAGGGGAAGCTGAGGATACAGGCTGGCGAGTCTATGGCTCACTTCAACCGGTGCGTGCTCATATATTTGGTGTATTCTATCCCATGGCATAACCTAGTCGTGCTAGGCGTGTCGAGGATTCCATGCGTGGTGGAGTCCGCGTAGCCATGAAGAACTCGTCCGCCCTGGCGCGGAAGGTCAGGAAAGAGGAGGAGGTATCGAAAGCAGCGAAGACCTCCAAGAAGGGGGCACCTGCTCCCGGTACACGAGTAGACGACGATGCAGAAACAGAGTCCGACAAGACGACCGCCATCACCAAACCCTCAACCGCGGGGAAGCAGAAACCTGAAGACTTCGAACGGCTGTCTACCTCTGCTCCCCGGAGACTGAACGACATAGTACAAGGACCACCGGAGCTGAAGAAGCTATCGCGAGGAGTGAAGCAGCGACCAAAGCCCTCTGCAGACTCGGTGGCTGGAGAGGGTGCGGGTACATTGCGGCAAGGCGCACTGTCGATGGCCCAGAAGGCGATACTCGAGGAAGAGCGCCTCAGAGCAATCAAGATGTATCGAGAGATGAAGAAAGCCAAGTCAGGCGGGTAGCTGTTTGTTGACTTTAGCACACCATGTCCAGGATACGTCCAGATGTCCGCACTGCACGTTGATCGTGATTTTCCACGGAGAATAGCTGTAGGATACTTGAGCTTTCCGACAAATATCGAATGGATATCCGCCAGCTGGCTTTCCGCCCAGTATCAATCATATATTCAGGTTATGTAACGCAGTCGCACGGGGCCGTGACCACACCCATCGCGTCGCGTCGCGTCGCGTCGCGCATATAGCCTCACGCATATAACTTCGACCTGCACCACAACCATCCTGTTGCAAGGCCGCAACGGTCCCGTCCTCTCGAGCTCCGCACGTCATAATGTACTGTTCTGTTCTTTGATACTATGCCAGCAGCCACCCGTTCGACCGTACAACAAACGCAGCCGCTGCGGCCAAAGACCCTTCGCCGGAGTGCTAGGCCGTTGTGTATGTAAGTTCAAATGAAGTACAAAGCTCAAAACTCACCGGACTGGACCAGGATCATGGTATATGCGCAGGAATCCAGCACAGAATGAGGTACGGGATAAACAATGAGGCTTGGTACGTCCTACCAATGTTTTCGATGAAACTGATGATCACAACTACTGTAGTACTACAGGACTTCTTATTGTGGTGCATAAAACGCGGAGCGACGATGCGATGTTCATTCTAACACCGAGGTCAGTAAAGCCACGCTCTCCATCTCCAGAATCAGTGAGTAGCGGGATGGTTCGTTAGATCGGCTTTCAGTTGGCATGCGCGGATTTCATGCACTCGTCGAGCGAACGAGCGCGAACTCATTTTGGAGAGAGAAGGGGGTTGTCCTGATGGAGGTCGCGGTTGAGCGAGGCGGGAGCGGGGATAATGGCGAGCGGGGGTCGGCGACCAGGCGTGGGGCGGGAACGGCAACACACGGTCACGGGGGCGCGACGACGACGGCAGCTCGCCTGCGGAGGCGACTGCGACGCACGGATGAAGGTCAGATGTTGTCTTACTGAGTGCTGCAGGCTGCCACTCACTCTCAGAGCGTATAGCACCGGTACCAGACCCTGCAGGTGGCCGAGACAGACTCGGTATGCGGTACGTGCGCTCTAAGTCCAATCAGGCCCCATTTGTGTACAATACACTGCAGTATATGTAGCACACTTAGTTCGCGGCTGGGAAATGACATCCTGTACACAATAATAATGATCTCAGTCGGAACAGTGCAGAGTGAGCGTGAACGCTAGGGGCGTGCAGACATCCCAGGGTGTCAGTGGATATGCCGTGGAAAGTGACAGAAAACACTTCAGAAAGGTGTCAGATAACAACGCTTTTCTACTGATCTCGTTTCGATTTCCACTGCGGATACCTCGTGAGTATATGTTGGATATCCGGTCTTTCCTCCAGATAGCCGGCGTGGAAATTCGCCCTGACGCGCGGTGCCGTGGATTACATGGTGCATAGTCTCTAATGCATGATAGTTTTTGCGTACAGAACCTCGAACTTGAACTTAAGTGCAGTAACAATACAGTAGGCGAAAGCGATTCTCAAAACAATGCTCAACGTAAAGTTCATTCACTCACTTGACGCCCATTCACTCGAAGCCCATTCACTCACTTGAAGCCCATCCTACGCGCATACTCCCTCTCCTCCTCCGCCGTAAGCCCATCCGGGCCACTCCAGTTCGCCGAACTCGTCCGCGCCCTAAACCTGCTCTGACGCGTCCTGAACATGTCCTCCATCCTGAGCGGCGGGATCCTCCCGAATACCTCATCTGGGTTGACCGCCGCCTGCTGTTGCAGCGCCGTGATGAGCTCGGGCGACTGCGCCCAGTCCGGCGGGTCAAACGTCCGCGGGCGGTCCTCGTCATCCGAGTCCGAGTACTCGCTGTTGATGTCCGGCAGCTCGATCGCCTCGCTCGCCACCGGCGGCGGCTGCTGCGCCTGAATTTGCGCCTTCGCGCGGTCGGCCATCTGGGCGCGGATCGCTTGCGAAGGCTCGTCGTCGTCCCGCGCGGGACCCTTGCCCTTGCCTTTGAGGTTGGGAGGGCCGACTTTGAGGCTGCTGGACGATGCCGTGTGCTTAATCACCTTCGTCACCGTGGTAGCCTTGGGGTCTGAAAGGTCGGTCTGCTTCATCGCCGACTTCGGCGGAGGGCCAATCTTCGTGCCTGGTGGGTGTGTCGTGGTGCTCGGACCTGGTTTGACCATAACGCGCGGTGCAGCCGGGACGTCCTTCTTGTCTTTCGACGGAGGCTTCTTGGACTCGACAGGCTTCTTCTCAGCCTCGAGTTTGCGCTTCTTCGTGTTATCATCGTCGAGCTGCTGAAGAGGACGTGAGCAAGATGCACATTCTGAGAAATAACGGTGTTCATTACCTTCTTGCTGGCCATACGACTGAGCGGCCGCTTGTCGGTATGCTCCTCGCGCTCCTTCTTGCGCCGTTCGTTCTCCTCTCTGATCTTCCTCTCTTCTTCCTGTGCACGCGCCTGTTCTTCCTCCGCCTTGCGCTGCTGAACAAGCTGGCGACGGTTCTCCATCTCCTTCATACGAGTCGCCTTCTTCTCGATCTCTTCTTGTTGCTGTCACGAACGTTGCGGTCAGTCACCATGTTAAATAGATGATTCAATGCTAAGCACACCTTCTTGGCTGCCTGAGCAGCGAGCTGCAGGCTCTTCACGGGCTTCTTGCTGCCGCCTAGCATACTGCTGACAAACTTGCTGGCTTGCCCGAACAGACCGACTTGGGACTGCTGTGACGACGAGGCAGTGGACGCCATGGACTGTTGGCTTTGGCTTCTCTCCATACCGGGCTGCTTGGGCTACATGTCAGCATCGTGGCACCGTTCGACGACAACCAACATACCTGGACGAGACTCACGGTCGACTGACCGGCATTGACGATGTCTTCGAGTTCCATATCTTCATCTTCCACGATCTCGTCGATCTCCATGGCCTCGTCCGCGATGTCCTGCTCTGCGATATCTTGTTCTTGTTCCACTTGCTCCTGCTCGAAGTCGAACACAGCAGGGATAGCGGATGACGGCTGCATCCCCGCCTCCGGTGCATCCTTCTTCGCCACGAACGCATTCGTGAAATTCGTGGTGACGAAGCCAGTATCGCCGCCCTTTTGGCTCGTGCTCCGGCTCGGAAGCGTACTCCACGTATCGTCTCGGTTCTCCCCAGACGTGAACCCGAATGGCGTCCAGATCTGATGGGGGGCGAACTTATCATCGACGTGCCAGCTGTCGTCGTCATCCGTGTCATCGAACTTTTGCTGCGACTGCGAGGGCTGCATGGAGTACTCCGTGTCCTGCGTGTGCGGCATCCACGCAGGAATGCTGTCCTCCTTGTCGAAGATCGTGTCCGAGAACACGCTCGCTTTACTGGACTGTGCCGAGAGACCACCACCGGTTTTCTGACTGTTGGGCGATCCAAGAGAAGCAGGGACGCCGAGCGTCATGGCAGCGGGCATCGAGAACGGGTTACCCGAGGGCATTTTGAAAGAGAAATCCTTACTGGAGCCGGCGGCCGGCTGTGCCTTCGAGGACTGTGCAGCAGAGGTCGATGCGGGCGGTGGCGCAAAGACGGTGGGTGGCTTGCTGAATACTGGGCCAGCGGGAGGAGCCATCGGGGCGGGACGAGGAGGAGGCGAGTTGGGCGGGGTCGTCGAGACGCTAGTGTCTGCATTCGCGCTTGCAGCTTGAATATTGAGAGCAGGCAATGGCGGCTCCCGGCCAGACAGAGGAGACGGCTCCTTCATGGACGGGCCAAGTAGGTCGGACATGCTGAGCCTCTTCTGCGAGTCCGACACAGGTGCATGCTCTGTCGGAGCAGGCGCAAGCGCCAGTTCCGCACTGTCGACGCCGTCGTTGGCCTCACTTGCGTCTGGCGCGACACCGACGTCTGATCCTCGTTCCAGCTTATTTCTTTCTGCGACCCGCGCTTCGGCTGCAGCGCGTGCCTCCGCGAGCGCAGCGGCAGCAGTACCTCCAAGCGACTTGCCCATGCTCTTTCCATGTCTCGCACCGAAGCCCTCGAGCCTCTTCTTGAAGGTGTCGAGGAGTGGCTCGTCTTGGTTAGTGACCTGCATCTCGGTGGTGAAGTCCTCGGGCGGAACAGTGGCCGCCCGGATCTTCATCTCTACATGCGGCTTCGGGGACAGCGAGGGCGGTTCTTCAACGGATATTAGCCTCATCTTGCCCTTCTGCGCAGAGTCACCGTCTTCAGACAGCTTCGCAGCCTTCATCATCCTCTCTCCGTCATCCGCGCTCCTTGACGGCCCAGCGACGGCCCCGCCAAACTCCATCATCTCGCCGCTCTTGCGCTTCGCGCCCAATACACCAAGTCCTAGACCAGTCCCTAACGTGCTGCTCGCTCGCTTGCCCGCGATTTCCATCGCCTTCACCTCGCGTGCCTTGACAAGCCATGAACCGCGCTTGCCACCAGGGCCCAGAGCAGTACCCATGGATGGCTCTCGTCCTGTGCGCGCCGACTTGTGCAGCGGGGAAGGCGCAGGCAGACCAATAATCGGTTTACCATCCAACGTCGCCGACGAGGGCTCATCGCGGAGCGGGACGCTGAGTTCGTCGTCGGCCGTGGTAGAGGGCACAATTGGGATCGGTTCTTGCGCCTCCTGCGGTTCGTCCGCAACTGGCGAAGGGTCTTTGGGGGCCGGCGTGATGTGTCGATGCGACGGCGGGGAGTCGAGAGAGATGGAGTGGAACGTATCCGTAGTTGACATGGTTTCGGTCTGCGCAGGCTCATCGACGTCCATACTTGTCAGAGCGTCCGAAGCATGATTTGGCTCCTCGACCTTTAGCACCTCGAGTTGGGGCAGCTGAGCATTCTCCGCGCCCGACGAGGGCGGTAAGAGGGACAGCCTACTGCGGTCCGCCGGCTCGTCGTCCTCCGCGATTATAGAGAGTTCCGTAGCCACTTGTTCTGTGGGCGCACCAGATACGTTGACCTCCTCTGTACCGCGCTCCTCGACCCTGTCCTGCGCCTGCTCAAAGCGAACTCCAGCAGACGCTTGAGCCACAGGCTTGCTTGTCGCAGTCTCCGCGACGTCAGGTCGAGACGACGCGTGAGGAATCCGCTGTTGGGATTCGTTCGAGCGAGGAACATTGTCAGTCTGCTCCTCGTCATCACCCTTCTTAGCCTGTAACAGTGCTTTGTGGAAGCTGTTCACTGGTGCGTGGTTCCCTCCGTGATCCGTCGCCTGCTGCTGTCAGACATCTGAGCGCGTCGACAACTGTACGTACTCACGTCTAAGGTCATCGCAATTACGGCCTCCTTCCTTGCAGCCGTAGCCGTCGTAGACCGTGTCCGTGTATGCGCGTTCTTCCGACGGCCAGGTGTCTTCAGCAATTCCGTCATGGACCTGCCCTACTCGGTGAATGATTTCTACTGAGTCCAAGAAGATCACTCACTCAGTGCTCGGGCCCTCCAAAATTTTCTCCAGATAATCATCCAAGAAGTCCATCGTGTCCTGAATCCGGTCGTGTAACAGCTGTCTTCCCGGGTCCTTAGCCATGCTGAGGCGGATGTCATTGCAGAATTTAAGGACACCTGCGCCGCCTGGGGTTGAGCGGTCCATCTCTGTGTGGTCTCCCTTGTTGCAGAGGTTATGGGAGAGAACAAGGAGGGTTGCCAGTCTCGCGAACCTCCACGGCGCGGGCAAGGCGCGAGTTTGGAACTTCGCACCACGTGACCGCAACGACCCGCCACATGCCCCGATTAGGTAAGTGGTTGGTTGACAGCAATCTTAACCGGAATCTACGTACAAGACACATCGACGTCAGCCCACAATTGTACAGTACTCACTAGCACCATCCTATTAGTATAAACACCTCAGCTATCACAGGTTTCTGCTTGATTCCTGTCGCTACGGATCCAGCTCCCAAACCAGTGTCGCCGTCGGCGGTCGCCGAGTCGGGCCAGCGGGTCGAACGACTTCCCAGCCTTCGGACGCCCAACGAGCGGGAGATCTTCATAGACAAGAGGTATGGTCTCTCGGACGTGCAGCTCGGACACTTGCTGAGTTACAATAGCCGTTAGGCCTTGAGTGGCTGCTAGTGACACTAATGGTCGATGCACAGGACGACACTAAGGATGTCCCGGTGTCTCTGTGTCCTCAGTCCGCTACGTCCGGAAGAAGCATACCTTCCGGCCACCATCTGGAGAGTGGACGGGACACTCGCAACGCAGCGTCTGTTCATTTGCGCAGAGCTCAGCCGCTCACGCTGCAGAGGATCGGGTCAGCAAGATTGCAAACTGGTATGTTCATCCAAAATCATTCTCTGCCCTTTGCCTTAACACATCGTCATGTGCCGATGCTTGACTCTTGATTGTGTTAGAACAAGTACTGTTGTCTTCTAGCGTTATGCCCACGATCATCCGGGCGCACTGGATCGATACAGGTTCGTGTTGGGTTCGTGGCATGTCCGATAGATGTCGTGTCAACCGCTGTCTTTCCGGGCATGCTCACTGTATCCGAGCTGTGTGGAAGACACGTTGTACGTCGCTTGCACGCCATGGTCATCATGACCTTCGAATAATCGCAAAGCTACTGGCAATGTACAATCTGCCGCCCGTATCAATAGGGGGAAGAATCCCCGTTATGTGGAGATACATGCGCAGAACAGATCGAGTTCTCATCAATTCTGCGGATGTATACGACATCTATCTTCTCTGTCATACAGAACCGCGCCGTAAATTCCCTCTAACAATGCCTAGCCGTTCGAATGATGAGTGGACCCACCACCTTCCAACATCTTCCTCCAGCGCTCGATCCCCTTCAAACGGCAACACCGCCAATTGCAACATGCCGGTGCGTCTGCCTCCCCTCGTGCTGGGCGGTCGTGCCGTAACGTTGAGTCACTGTCCGACCAGCTGACCCCTAGGCGCGCTCGCCGCCCGTCCGATGTCGTGTCTGTGCGTCTGGACGAACGCACGGCAGACGTACGAGGATATCCTGAGGCACGAAGGTTGAAGGAATTGTCTACGTCTGCCTAGGGAGACTAGTACGAGCGGGCAGTGCGACGTGGATGGGTTCTTCGAACGCGGCTGTCGAAGTGTCTGCATGTGTGTGCGGCTCGGACGGGGTGGGCGCACCACTCCCGACCGGTGCCGCTCAAAGTCCCTCTCGTCCGTGGTCAGCTGGACTGTCGGACGTCGCTACAGGCGACGCGCGCGAATGACTGTATAATAGAAGGCGTATACTTGCGCGCAACGCGCGGCCCACGCAGCTCGGTATCACGCCAACGAGTCTTCGAGTGCGGTCGACGGAACTTTGCTATCGGCGTTGAAAGTTGACGGGTCGCGTTTCTCGAGCTGTATTGCTCACGGAAGTGCAGGCCTAGTGCAAGCCCAGTGACGGCTATTGCGAGTTTGCCGTGGCCACGTTGAGCTGATCAGCCTGACTCCCCTTGTACGAGCGCAATACGTGCGTACGGTCTGCGTCGCAGACCCCGCGCACATCCGGTATCGCTCTGACACCCATCGTGAGCACCTCAGGGCGCGCTTCAGGCACCATCGCATGCGACTGTCCTTCTTTAGAGCCATGCTTAGACTCGGATTCTACTCGCCTTCCAGCCCGCGCATCTGGCCGCCGCACAGAACGCGTCCCCGAACTGAGCTCGAGAACCCCGCACTGAAACGCAAGGCTCCCGCCGTTATCCACGATCTATGAACGCTACGCACACTGCTACAGTATCGCTAGCCTCGTTGAAGCGGCGTGCACCGCTTGCTCGCACCCTCAGGCTCGGTGTCTCTCCTGCGAACCCCGAACGTTAAATGGCACAGGCCCCGAGAGTTCGCTATCGAGCCCCCGATGGCCTGATTGCACTCAGAACCTACGGTGTGTCCCGCGAATCTCCAGCTCGTCGACAAGTTCTCCAATTGAGATGCAGACAAATAATGGATGTAGTGTAGATCATGGCGCGGGCCTAGCGCCCGCGCCTGCTTCTCGAAGGTCATGACATTTCGTGCTCTACGTTACTCGTTAAGGTATCTACTAGTGGTATGTACTAAGCGGGGCATCCAGCTCTACGAGACGGCTTCAGAATCAGATGCAAATGAGGAATGATGATATCTACACAGAGCGTCCGTGCCAGAGTGACCGGGAAGATAGGCGTATGTACCGGAAGCGCAAGATGTGTCGCTGGATCGCTGGACGGATGTCGATGAACGTACGCCGCGGATCGTAGCGCGCATTTTTGCGACCGCCCCGTGCGGACGGCAGCCGGAGACGGAGCGTGGAATAACTTAGAACGCAAAGCCGCCAGCGGCTTGCTCAGAAGTGCGATGTGGAGTGCCGCCGTAGTCGTCGTGGCGGCTGACCGCTCCGTGGCGGGCCCCTGTTGGATGTGCCGGTGGGGCTAATTGAGGCGAGGAACCTCTTGAGGAGCGGCGGCTTCGTTGGGCTTCGTGAGCTACCAGAGCTGCCAGTACCACGGGAGCCCTTGGCATATGAGACCTGTGTATTCGGATCATGCTGCCGGGGAAAGAGGTCAGCCTTCGAAGTGGAGTAGAATACCAAAACAATAATAGAGGAAGGCCGGCAGATCGATAGACCTTAGGTGACCCTCGCAGGCCGAGACGAGACGCCAGAGCCCCGGACGTGGCGGGCAGCCTTTTGTGCCCTATTTTGGTAGGCTGCAGGCTCGCGCTGCTCCCAGCCTATTGTCTTCGACTCCATGGTGGACCCTTGGTAGGGACTGGACGAAACGAGGGACTCACCAGTATCTGTACACGACCCCCGTTTGGCGGGACGATCATGTACGCTTGGCCGGGCCGAGGTTGGAGGACGTACTCGCGGCCGGGCTCGTATGCGAGGCGGTAGGTGCTGCCCTGCTGCACCTGGTGCGTGCGGTCCGACGGGTACGTGGCACGCGCGTGCTGCCGGGATGGGCCTGCGCCCGATGGGAAGGGCACGGGTTGGTTCGGCGGCGCTGTCGATGAGCGTGCGGGGTGGGGACGTGGACGCTGTGGCTGCGGTTGGATGTACTGACGATAATCCACGGAGGGTGGGATGCCTAATGGCACGGGTGGTGGTGGCGCGACGGCCGCCACCGTATGTCCACGTCGGTGTGAGGACTGATGCGGTGAGGGCTCCCGACGGGTGTGGTTGTCTGGGATGTGCAGGGGACGTAGCTGGATGCGTTGCTGGCCACGGACCGACGGTGACGGCCCGACGCTAGAGACGATACTCTGGGGGCGTGCGGGGGCATGCGTGGCGGTTGTGAAAGGGTTGGCAAGACGGGTGTGGGTGGGCACGCTCTGTGCCCAGTCTTGGATCTTGGACATCTTGGCATGGTACCGCTCGTAGGCTTCGGGCGAGTAGTCGTACTCAGTCATGGCTGGAGCTGGTGAGGCGAGGCCCGCGGCAGGTGAGCGAGGTTATAAGCAAGAGTGTGCCTGCGTAAAGCGGTGAAAGCACAAGCGGAAGCGCGGTGTCTGCGGGGGCCGCAATCAAATTGGCAGGCAGAGATTGTCGGGGAGATTGACACAAGCGCAGGGATGTGGAGGGTATATGTAGCTGCCCCGCCCCGCTGGAGAAGAGTAGATGGTGACGGTCTGCCTCGAGGCCTCCACCTGCGCATCCTGTACCCTTCCCTTTTCAGGCAGGCCGGCTCTCGTTGCCACGTGAAACGCGGAAGCAATTTTATGATATGAATTTGACGCGCACGGACCACTCACGGATGGCGCACGCTTTAGCACCGAGTCCGACCGCGAGCGCCGAGTCGAAGGTGGCTCCGAATAGATCACTCAGTCATCCAACGCCTTCTGTGGTGCTTCTACGCACACAGTGAACAAGAGATTGCGGACCTACCTTGGGAATATCAGGCTGTGTGGGAGGAGGAAAGCCCACAGAACAGAGCCGGCGAGATCGGCCTGTAACCTGTATTTATGAACGGAATGAACGCGAGAAGTAACATCGGCGGATGAACAATGCCACATACGCTTTCTGATATGGCTAGTGTATAGCCGACAGGTTGTGAAACGTTCATGTACTCCTGCGCAAAGGGATCCGGATCCGAGATGGAAATGGAGGTCAAAAGCCCATGAGCCGACGCAAATCATGCAAGGGCTCTTGTATGCGTACGCGAGCTTACATGCACTTCGACTAATTTTGGTATAGTACAACCCTTCGGGTCATCCAGTAGACTACTACTAATTTAGAGATCCCATGTATCTCTCGGGGCCGGTGCAAGGCGGGAGTGTGCTCGCAGTGCAACCAAGGATGTCGATAGTGCTGGGCATTTGGCAAGCATACGATGTCGCTACTGTATCAAGTGGAAAATCATGGCGAGCCCCGCTCGGACGGGTCCATCGTGGTGTGGATCCCACTTAAAAGGCATAGTCAACATGGTTCGGGATGAATCAGGGCACTGTAACCTTCGAGTGACTGCGGTCGGATCATGAAGAAGCTTTCACAGGGTTTTAGTCACTCAATCGACTACGCCTCGTTCTATTCCGAATGAGCAGAGGAACATTTCCATGTCATCTGAATACGCTCCAGACGTGTAGATTGGTAGAACTGGGGCGTCGGTATCAAATGCTCTTCGAAGATCGCACCCAAAGGGATGCGCCGAGGGCAAGCCAGACCGCGATGACTGTCTGAGCCCGAGCGAGAAGTAGGCATATGTCTCACGGCTCGACGTCCTGTTCCCGTGTATGCCTATCGAGCGGGGGCCTGACAGTACAGAAGTGATCTGATTAGCAGGCATGAGGTTCAGGTTCTGGTCCACGCACGAGTCCTGTCGCCAGTGGCAGCGTATCATACCGGATGCCTATATCTCTTGCACTGTGGCGAATCTAATTATAAGGTGAGAAGACGCATACAGAGTAGCTAACACACATCACAGGAAAGAAAAGGCAGGTCATGTGAGGAGCTTTCACTCGGTGTTGGCAGGAAACAATAGCTAGAGAAGGACGTGATGACACGACTTCATGCTGAGTTATGAGTCCACGGGATGGGGACTGATCAATACCGATGATGGACGAGATGACTTACGACCCGGGAGGGACGCGTTGCAGTCCAGTACTGGAATACGCCGACAACCAGACATGCCTTCTACCTTCCAGTAGTATCCCATGACTAGTAGATTACTGCACGTTGAGCAAGTACACTGGTGCATGCCGTAATTTGCCATACACGGTGTCGTCGGCTGCCGTCCCCTGCGTTCGTGGCGTACGTCCTGTGAATCGGCAGCCACGCATCCTGCTAGTGACGTACAGAGGTTCTCGCAGCATGGCACTCACTCTAAGACCGTGTGCCAAGACTGACAGAGTTTTTGACCTTGTCTATTTGCCTCCGTACATGAGGTGGCCTAGACGGAACATTGGTGAATGTTCCCAGTGCTCGGTACACCAATCACCGGGTGCCCGTTAGTCCCTGGTAGCCTCGAGGTCAACCTGTTCATCTTTCCAAGGTTTCTCCTACGCACATGGTCGACAGAACACGCCTACGTCTCAGAACCGATCGTTCATTTAGAGAGTATGGCAGACTCACATCTCGCATCGGCTCTCGAGCGCATCACCTCTTCATATCACATCGATCAGAGGTAGACTAGCTACCTTATGAAGCGTCTCACCGCCACCAGCAACCGACGAGGCGCTGTCTGTCCCACAAAGAGCACGAGATGAGTGTTGGTGAGAGCCTGGTGAGAACGGACAATTGCCCTCTACCCGGGCGCGCCACCTGACGGCATCGTGGTGGCGCGCTAGAGGGTGGCGCCTGCGGCGAGTCGGAATCTGCTCGCCAGACTGGAGTGGCTATTGCCAAGCGCAGTAGGCGGTGCCGTCGTGTGAGGGTGGTAGTGCGGGCGTATGTAGATGCGCCAGTCGCAGGGCTTCGTGGATGACGTCTGTGCGTGCGACCAGCCATAGAGATGCTGCGGCGTGGGGTAGGCGTTGCGGGCTGAGTTCTGCGCTACAAGGCCAGGGTTCGACGTCGGACGCCTGACGTGATGGCCAGCTGACCGACGACGAAGGGCATTGCGCGCTCTCAGCTGGGAAACCTGGCCTACATGGGTGGCCCGCAGCGGCTGAGACGACACCTGTCGGACCTGCCGCGAACCTGTATGAATGCAGTGCGCCCATATGAACGCGGGTACGACGCTAGAAGGCAGGCAGCGTTCGAACACGATCGAGTGTCAGCTGTCGGTATATGAATGCAGTACGGCAAAGACTGAGAACGACCGTTGAATATACATACCGATCCTCCGCAGCGTGGAGATTGTTCACTATCGGGTGGAGCTACACGTAAATGAAAAGGCATTGTGTCGTGAGTGTCCCGTTTACTCACTTTCCAGTAGGGTGACCGAGCGGTCTCGAAACGAACCTCTTCTTCTGGGCGTGGCGGGCCTGTAGAGGGCACACTATGACGGACACAAGGGCACGCATACTAGATTATTGAAATCTGCCTCATTTGTATGGTCCTGGTGGCCATAATGAGGGTCCGAGCTCCGTTGAGTCCGACATGACCATAGTTCCTGCCAGCAAGGCCCTCCCGAACCAACGTTTAGGGCACGATGGGGACAACGCGTCGACCTTCATATTCAGCGCAGGCTCAGTTTCCTATAGCAGATTAGCCAGAGTGTCTTCTGTAATGTTCACTGTCGCTCGGAGAAGCGTAAGAGAAGCAGTACAAGAGAGAACGACCGTGCGTAGCGCCCATGTATACACCTCGTGTCATACAATCGCTCTCGCGCGTCGCCTGCGGTGACGTCCAACAGTCCAACAGACCGCGGATGAGTGAGCCCACCTTCGAGCGGCACCGTTCCGGGGTTGGTGCGATCACCCCGTCCGAGGCGTCGCGCAGCCACACGCGTCCCATGAAAACACTTTCGGGGAACTTGTCCACGTCGCGCTGCCCGCCGCTACGTCCGCGGTGCCTTCCTCCGGACGCACAAACATGACATCGGACGGGCAGCGCGCGGTCGTCAAGCGCGTCTAGGTGTCAGCTGGCCGTGCGGTGCCTCACCGTTACGGCAGGACAAGGGGAGATAGGCGCAGGGCAGACGCATCGGCTCACTCCAAGTGACGGTATTGCCGTGTGGAGAGGCCCGGGCGCTGGAGGAAAGTGTCGGTAGGCGGTGGGTCCACTCATAAGTCGGGTGGCCAGGCACGGTCGAAGGGGGTTCGTGGGGCAGTTCTGCAATATAGAGAAGATGGGTTTGAGATGGATGCCGCATACATGCGCAGATTTCATGAGGTCGATCTGTCCTGCGACTCCACGACGCAGATGTATCAACAGCTACATGATGGGGATCATTCCTGGCAAGCAATTGAACAATTCTGGCATCCCTGCAATAACATGGAGGACATGGTGACCATGGCGCTCGACATACAAGGCCCGTTCCTGAGATATGGCAGGGGTACCGGGAGGATATCTCGAAAGGCGGTATTTCATGCTACGTACATGACTGCGGCCCTTGGGGGGACTGCGGCCTGTGTAGTAGCGCCCAAACGTGCAGGGCACATCGGCGGCTGCAAAGACTTCGCGAAGAGGAGATATTTGCTGCCTCTCGGGCACAGTCCCATGAGGTGGCCTCGTCATTGCATTCCGGACGCACAGCTTGTCGCTGCTGGGGTCGGGTGGCCCTGTAGAGACTTCGAGCGACGTCAGACAGACATAATAGGATAGAATACAATAGCGACCATACACGACTGCAACGCGAGGCACCCCTTCATATCTCCATCTTTGCGTCGTCGCTATCTTCGGCATGGGAAGGGACTTCCTCCATCGCCTCCGGTTCCGCCCTTGTCTTCTGGATAGTGCTGGCATGCGAAGCATCCATCGTGCTTATGCTCTCCTTCAGTATCTTCCAGACTTCCCGCGCACCGCCCTCTGCAAGTTCCCGCGCGCGCTTCAGCTCAGCTTCGTCGAACGGCGTGTTGGTGGTGTAGTTCGTCCAGAGCAGCGAACATGGCGGAACCTCCTGGGTGCTCGAAGAAGCAGAAGACAGGACGACCGAAAATAGGAAAGCGAAACAGCCTCCACCAGAAAGGCGAGGCATCTCTGCCTCGGAAGGATCGAGTACCAGCTTCAATGCAGATTCGGACGGCAGCCGTCCCACAGCAACAGCACATACGATGCCCCGCATTGGCACAGAGCTCGCGCTGATCAGTGCTGCACTGCTTGCGTTCACCAAGCTCGCAATGAGGTTCGCGCTCCAACCGCGTCCGACGCTTCCCATCCCGCTGCCGCTGTCGGTCCCGCATAAGGCCTGGCCGACTATCTGCACGAGCGTCCGGGGGTGATGAGAGAGAAGGAGGGCTGGAGACAGTATGCCTTTGAGTGTCGCGGAGAGTGCTTTGGAGTCCGTCCCGGAGATAGAGGCGAGTGGTCGGATGTGGATGTCCAGCGTCGCCTGTGACGGCAGCTCGAGGTTGGCGCGGACCTCGATCGGCCCTGATACTGAAGCAAGCGATTTTGTCTCGCCTTACCAGGGATAAAGATGAGTAGCTTTATAGACAGCTATGATCATAACAGGCGTACCGAAACCGAATCTGGCTGACCCATCCACTCTATCCAGCCTCTCGTAGACTATGCTTATCTCCCTCAATTCACTCGCCTTCCGTCCATCTGTGCGCATCGGTGTGCTTGAGACAGAAGTCGCAAATAGTCTCAGGCCAATTGCGTTCTTGTGACAGTCAGTCGCAAAAAGTAAGCAGTACTTACTAGCGTTGAGGTTTTGAGTGGACTTGTTGAGAGACGGAGCAAAAACGGAGCGCGTCGAACGCGTCCCACGTGACGAACGGACTTCGCGCTACGTCCGGACCGAGCTCTCACTGTCAGCTCGCAGCTCCTTCGCCGACGACCACGACCATGACCGCTTTTTGACCTTCACATCTCTTTCTTCAGCAATTGTACGATAATTTTGACTCTTCATATGCTCATATGCTTGTGACCACCGTAACAAGCTCGCTGCGCGGTTTGATGGAAGAAGGGGGTGCATTGGGGTGTAAGCGCATGTAAGCACTAGTCTCCATTCTCCGGCGGTAGAATGGACCAACATGCTGGACCCTGGTAATGGACAGAAGGGACATTCTTCTTTGCTCATTGTATAAATGTGCATCTTATCCTGCTAGTGCTCGTGCACAGACTGCGTCACCTTCACCCAGGTTTCAGCCACCACCGCCTCAGGCAGTGCAGATAGATGCTCCGCGCTGCGGCTGAACAACCCTCCGGCTCTGCTTGGGCTCTGCATTTATCTATGCGCCCTTCATTAGAGCCTTTCCGAATTACAAACCCATATACATACCTCCAAGATGTGTACTCATGCGCGCAGTTGCTGTTGGGTGCGTTCGTCTTGTCAGAGTTGTTGCGACGACATTCGCCAGCTGCTCTACCGAGTAAGTGGACTCTATCATGTCAGCATACAATGACCAACTGACCTCGTGCATGAGCTCTCGGTCTCCGCCCCTCCAGCATGGTAATTCCTGCGCAGTTTAGCGCGAAGACAGCTCTGACGGTCCATGCCAGCATTGTCCCCTGTCGCTGCTCTCCTACATAGACCGGTGTCAGTATCTCTCATGTCGCTTCGAACCCAAGTAACTCGCAAGCTGACAGCAAGTCACTCACATCTCGCCCCTGTCTACCAAGGTTTGGCACCCGCAGTGCTGGTCGTCCCTTTCCCAACGGGTCGCTCTCTTCACAGAACCTTTCAAAGACTTCGCAATTGCATTTGCCTTGTACTGGCGAGACGTGGAGAAGATGTTACCGTATCCGCGCTCGCCATCTGTCAGGCGGTGGTGCGACCTCGATGCATGGGCCACATGAAACGGTCCTGACGTGTACCCGCTGGGTGAGTGTGACGACCATTCTTATCCATAGAGGCGTTCTCGGTGCGTCGCACTGCACTGTATGCGCTCACTAGACATCTAAGCTGTTGTGTGCTTATTGTGGCTGTCTTCAGCGAACATAGCTAGTCAACCTCAAGACTTACGAGCGGTATCAATGAAGACCTTTTTCCTGTCACGGTGCTGTACTCTCTTTACTCACATCGATGACTCTTGGTGACATCCACTGAGATGATAACAGCGCCTCGTTCCTGCCTCGTTGTAAGTAAGTTATCGTTTGACGCTGACACTATATATCAGACTGCGGGGCACTAACCTCCTCGTTTGAAGGCCCGTTCAACTACCGTCTCCATGCTTGTATGCGTGCGCGAGCAGACCCAACTATCATGGCGTACGACCGCTGCGTTCAGCAGGCCGCCGCTCCATCGAGGTTCTGAATTGGCCATCACCGCCGCCCGAAGTTATACGTCACCGGCCACGACGGACAGGCGGCGACTTCTGAGGCTTCCTGCCCTACAATTCTTCACGTCGGCAACGACCCAGCTCGCTCACTTTGTGTCTCTCCAAGTTTTACAACCGTCCAATTTGTACTTCCGGAGCTGTGAGGGACCTGGGTAGCTGCGCCTCAGTGAGTAATTTCTAATCTGACGGTATCGAGGCCACATACCGTCAATTGAGGTTCAGCGTCGGCAGGAAGGAGGCGCGCCCACCGCGCCTCGTGCATCAAGTACGCCCACAGAGTGCCTCATGGGTGGCCTGACCCTGACCTCATGTAGGGGCCCTTGGTACGCTCGCCCTGATGCGAACTCTAGTCCGACCGCTCTTGTTCTCTGGGAGTATATCTTCGGCACCCTGGTCGATCCCAATGCCCCCGCCTCCTCCTCGAAGGACTATGCTATCCTCGGTAGTCCGTTCCTCCTGACGTGGCTGTTGCGCTGACTGCATCTCAATAGACAGTCACACACGTCGACATTTGCTGTTGGTCATACGACGGTGGGAGTCATGTCATGACTGCGCTGACTGGTCCTCAGTCAGCCTCTGCTCTTTTGCACTCCCTGCCGCAATTCGCCCAAGCCTTCAATGTACATCAGCTCTGGCATGTGCGCCCCTCTCTCCTACGTCCTTTCAGCGTCGTTGGTCGCTTATGACTGCAGGCCTGACTTCGTGAGTCCCAGCCTGTGTAACCATCTCGAACACTGACATCGACACTTCGTTACCCAGGCACGGTACCTCGGCTCAATCGGCAGCTATGACTTGTAACACTTCTCCCTGTGCAACGGCGACATTCTCTTCCTTTTGCTGCGCTTCCTTGCCTCTTCTGTGTTTCAGCTATCGGTGCATATACATCCTGGTGGGCGCTCATGCAGGGCACTTCGCTATTCTTACCGTCGCAATGGATCTCTGCCCTGAAGATCAGTCTTCTGCTGCTACGCCTACTATGTGTAGTGCCGCCAACGAAGTCAGCCTCTGTTACGAAGCTGCGGTTGACCCGATTCCCGCCGACGGCAGCCCGACTGGCGAGACGCGCTTTCGTCAACGAAGAGTGTCGCCATCGCCTCGACCACATGGACATATCGTCTCGGTACCAGCGCCTTACGGCTGGACTCACGGATGTCGACCCTGCGGGCCCCATTGCATGGTGCACCGCTGAACGTAAGCTCTTAGTTGGGTCATGGAACGCTGAAATCAGGTCTACTTCGTGGCGTCGCGCATGAGAGCCCGGTGTCCAGAGGCGCACTACCTGCGTCTCTCGCTGGTAATGCAGGGTTCCCCAAATGATTCGAGATACCGCGCAGCCAACCCCGGCCTTGTCGCTGCCCTTCGCCGATGATATTCTGTGTCATGGGGTGAGTGCTCGACCATTCTCCGCCCCTTCGATTGCTGACGTAAAATTCAACTCTACCTTGTACTGCCTCGCGTGTTCGCACCAGGGTCCGCGGAGAGCAACTTCAATAGCCCGCTCGGTTGACCGCGCGCTCCCCAACGCTCCAGTCGGAATACAAGGTTATCGGCACACGGCGCTCGGCGGGCGATATGCTGTCACGGTGCATATGGGCGTAGGCGGAGATAGGTTCGTGTCCCTCACGCGAAGCATTCGCGCTGCCTTCAATCAGAATAATGACGGTATATTTCCATCCGCTCCAGGGAAAGTCTATGGTACAAAATAACGTCGTAGCGCGCAAATAACCTTGGTGTGCGTTTCGCGCACAGAGTCCGGTGAGAGTGATATCCTAGTCCCTGAGATCCAGACGCCTTCCAGGCGTCACCGTAAAGATACAGTGTGATGGCTTACAGCCGAGTTAGTGATACAGTACAGCCTGCGCTCGTCCTCGCCAGGGGCGTGCAGTAGGCAGATAACGGGACAACAGACAGCGATTCGAGGATAGAGATGGGGATAGAGTAAGGGAGGGGGAAATGGTGAGTGTAGCGCGAAACTTCAATGATGGTGAGCAGCGTAGGAATGCGCAATAGCGAAAAGGTGCTCCTGCTGGTATACCTGATCCGGAACCTCCGCGTATTTCTGATAGACCGGATCGTGGTGGGCGGCGACGCCCTGTGCGTACATCGGGTCGTAGTAGTACCCGTCCGTCGGATGGGCCCACTGCTCCTGGACGCCGTCGTTTTGGAACATCTCGACCGGCAAGCCCTGCAGTTCGTCGAGCTGGCCCGGGACCTGTCCGCCGTAGTACGTCGCCTCGGCAGGCATGTACTCGGTCGGGTACGGGCTGGGGGTATTGGGCGAACTCGACATCGGCGTGGAGGAGGGACCGGCCCATTCGCACGCGACGTTCGTATCGATGCGCAAGCCATCGGAGGGGTGGTGGAAGACGGGCTGCTGCATCGTGTACGCGACGTGGGGCTGCGGTGCGAAGATGTCGGGCTGCTGTTCCGCGTATGGACTCGAGAGCGGGTCACAGGAATCGACCGGCGATGGCGCAGCGCAAGTATTGAAAGAGAATGATTCGAAACCCTGGCAAGGCTGTCAGACACACGAGTGAAGGAGACAGGTAAGCACTCACCATCTCAGGGTTCGGGGCGGGCACCGCGTACTCGACTGAGGTGTCCTCGAAAGGAGAGGATGGAGTGCTGTACTCGCTCATGGATTCGTATTCTCCCATAGATTCGTACTTGCCCATGGGGTCGTACTCGCCCATGGATTCGTACTCGCCTACCAAGGATGGCGTCACGTAGCCCGGCGTGCTCGGCATCGACGCGCTGTAGCCCAAGGAAGGCTCGGGTTGCGAACTGACAGCGCGGGCCTTGATGGCAGGTGGCGGAAGCGAAACGAGGAACGGGGAGTTGGGCCGTTCATCGGCAGGGGCGGACGACGATCGCCGGAAGTGGCGCGCCGTTACGGGGGCATCGAAGCGTGTGACGATCTCGGGGACGTGGTTGTGATCGAACTCACTGACAGCGTCGTCAAGCTCCGCGCCCTTCTTCCCCTTAACCAGCAGCTCGGCGATCTTCTCGCATCGTTTCGTATCCTTCGGGCCCACCTCGCGCACCTTCCTCTTCGTCCTCGGGTACGGCGTACCGTTCTTCGATGACGGTCGGAAGGAGTAGCCAGGGTACTTCTGCTTGTGCTCGTCGAGCAGCGCCTTCGCCTTGTCGAACCAGATCTGCTTCTCGGCGGGCGGAAGCTTGTTCCAGGTGTACCCGATGATCGTGGAGAGGGTGCTGTGGTTCGTCTCGACTTTCGATGAGACGTGGTCGCTCTTGACGAAGGACGACCGGAAGAGGATGAACGCGTTGGGCGGGCGAGGAACGTGATCCTCCGGCTTCTTCCTCGAATGGGTAACTTTACGGGGTGGCACATCACACGAGGGGAAGAGGGAAGACTCGGGAACAGATCCAAAGGAAGGGTTTGGGTCGTTGTACGACCCGGGCGTGATGTTCTGTGCGAACGCGAACTGGGCGCACCCAGGCGCGTCAAAGGAGATAGTGGAGGTAGAGGTGACGGCACCTGGTGAGTGGCATTGCGTCAAACTTTGCATGGCCACGACATGTCGTGGCTATATCTCACCTGATTTGGCACGCTTCGACGTCGCTGCGCGTGGCATTGTGTCGCAGAGAGCACAAGTGACTATGCCAGGCTGGACAGAAGAGGCGGGAATGACTCCAGGAGCGCGGATTGATGCGCGAGGCGGGAGGGAGGTGTCGCAAATGGTACAGGTGGGAGATTACATACGAGTCTTATACGAAGGCGGGCGAGAGGAGGGTGCGAAATCTGAAGACAAACTCCGATTGCTCTAGAGTTTTTGGACTGCGTGTTCGCCTACTGGATGCAGTAAATTCCCATACTCTCGCTTACAGCAAGGCCCGACCTACGTGATAACACGCATCGAGCAGAAGCGTTCCGACACAACGGATGCGCCCTGTTTTAATTACGCGTACAAAATGATGGATTTCCCGTCTCATCGTCCGGTCTGTCGACGGGACAATGTCGCCCTTACATTGCTCGATTCCTTCGACGCGCACTTCGTACGAAAGCACACCCATCTGCCTTTTTCGCTGGGGAGAGTCGAACAGAGAGAGGGTCGTTAGGCATGCGATCAGTGCGTAGGAGTCTGGCCCGGCAGCCACCCCCACGTGCGTGCGGAAGCATCCGACCTGATCTCGCAGAATCTCCGATTGCAGAGTGATTTGCATCCGATATGGTAACCCTTGTCTGAGACGCCGAGTCCCAGCCCAGAGGCTGCCTGCCCGAGGCTTTACTCCCCTCTGCGCCCAGTCAATTTCAACGACGCGATGATGGCAGCAAACGACTAGGTGAACAAGGCTCGCACTGACATCAATGATTAGGGGCGGCCAATACGAGGACATCAAGGTACTGACAGGCGCGGACGCCACCGCCGTGACGGCACACTGCGACGGGGCAGCTAAGCTCTCGCAATTCCGCACTCCTGGGTGCCAGACAAGCACTACTGGTCTCGGTTTAGCTCGCGGGTCCAGCCTTCGGAGGGTCGTCATGGCTATCCTCTTCCTCTTCGGCGCCCCCACTGGAGATCGTCCTGATCGTAATGGAAACTAGCCAGGGATCTGAAGATCTACTTCCGCACGCAAGAGCGATCCCATGTCTCGGAAGCTCTTCTGCGAACTACAGAACATTAGACAGTCAGTGCGTACTCGCACTATTGAATGGAAACACGCTCTCTAGACTGTCGTAGTGGCGACTAATGCCATCTCATGGAACGTAAAGCAGACGGCAAAGAGGAGCCAACAGTCGATAGACATGATGCGAACATCCACGGAGCGTCTGCGCATGGTCCAGCACTCTATCCGCGGAGCAAGGCTCTTCGTATTGGATTCGCGAAGGTCTTCAAACGTTCATCCGCAGCAGCGCCAGTTGCACGCAGCGCCAGCGCCAGCCACATTGTATCCGGTCGCCAGCTGAAGTCCCTCAATACAAGGCATCCCTGAAATGAACAAGAGGTCTCCACCACCATTAGTCGACGAATCAGCATTAGCATTAGTATTGCGTCTGTTATCAGCTAGAGCACGGGAAACCTACGATAAGGCATGATCTTCGTTGGCCGTTGACAGGCAGTACCAACCAGAACTGGAGAGCAATCCTATTTTGTGATCCGCTAGAACGATCACGGTTTGTATTTCTGAGCGGTCGTACTGCCGACTCTGCACACATGCACACCTTCGGGAGGTGTAGTTCATGTGAGCGCCACTGCTCGGGGTGAAGCACCCGCGTGATGGATCTGGAGATAACAGGTGAGTGCGAGCGCAAGAATTCGCCCTGCCGTCATAGGCGTTCGGTAAGAATCACTAGCTAACGTGAACAACCCCGCATGCAACTTCACGAAGACTATTGGACGTATCATTACAAAGCGGTCATTTGCTCACCAGAGATTACTATTGAAAACTCCCGTTCGCTCTGCTAACTCCTGCCCAGTTCCCCGTGACCCGATGTCGTTAGTCTCCCTTGGGGCATGACGCCCACAGGGGAGATGTACCGTGATAGGGCCTCTATCAGACTGGTGGCGGTGGCAAGAGATTTACCACCGCCAGGCCCAGGCCCGCAGGTATGAGCCGTCCAAATTATATCCTACCACTGTCAGAGACATCGGCAACGCTGCGAGAGGGACGAGCAGGAGCCGCAGTTATAATGTGCACATAGCCCCCACCCGGGCAACGTGGCTCACCACGTGTAGGGCCTCGAGGCGGCTCAACCGACGCACCATTGCTGGGCAGTGAGACATTATTCTCTCCGTCTACACACTCGCCGAACACGATTCCGCGAAGTCGAGGGACGGAGGGAGATCGCGCCTCGGGTTGCAGGCGGTCCGGCCGCGCCCTGAAGCTCAGGTCGGGGGGACTGGTGTCTCGACCCTGGCGGCCTGCCTGTCCGCCCCGCCCCTGCCGTGGCGATGCGTGCCGCACGGCGCATAGGCCCGCATGCGCTACGGAGTTGTTGTATGAAATTGGCGCCTCTCCGTAGTTCGGGCGAGCACAAGGTGCCATTAATCACCCGCGCAACCGAGGCTCAAAAGTCAGTAGGCCCACTATCACGGTCGACTACTCACTATGCGCCACGTAGGATAGCTAAGCTGTGTACTCCGCAGCGAAGAGCTGCACTGCGGAGTAGTGGTACTAGCGGTGCACCGCCGATTCACTTTCCTGCGCCGGTGGGGGAGTGACCGAGTGGACAAAATGCCCCCGGATTTTCCTAGCGTGCACCCTCATTCGGCATCAGGGACTTCGACAGAGAGTCTAGAGCCGACAACCTACCGATGAGCTCTGCGGCGTCGGGGACCAGTTCGCCGCCCTCATGCAATCTGAAGACAAGGTCGCCCCTTCCAAGCATCATAGCATATGGGAGACCCTGCCGACTAACCAGTCGGCGGCATTTCGCCCTGTGTTACCCAGCAATTATTCCAACCTGAGACAAGCCAGAGCTCACAGGTAGACCGACGCGTCGTTGTACGCGCAACGGAAGCGAAACATTGTCGTCGCACCCGCGCCAGCGGGGCGCCCGTCCAACTTGGCAACGCGTCGGTGTTGCGCCACCGAATGACTTGTGATCCGCTCATCGTGTGTTTCGACTGGGGATACAACGATGGCCTAATGCAGGGAAGGGTCAGTAGAATAACACCGCTGTTTGAAGAGAGACCGTACAGAACAGAAATGATCCCTCCGCCGCGCTAGATGACGCAGCAGCCCGCGAAGCCAGGAACCACCCTAGAATCGCCCTTGAACGGCTCAGCCATCGTGATGCTAGCCCATGATATTCCTATGAGCGACCGTAGAAGTCTTAGGCCATGTCAGTAGGACTACCTCTGGCGCCCCAAGAACGGATCCTGGTGGTAGCACATGTGAAGCCACCGATATGCTGATGGTGCGCGCGCCACACCCGCGAAGGTCACTGCAAGCGCGCAATCACCACCGACAGCCACCTACTCAGACTCAGGGTCTGGGGATGTGATCCGACATGCTCGCGGGACAACTTGGGAGCCGCTCAGTCAGTAGTGACGTGCAAAACAAATGCGTCGTATTTGACGTTGGGATGTGAAAGGGAAGCGGAGTTGGAGTAAATGACGGGTTAACGGCGCCAATCCCCGTGTCCAACAGTGCCGTAAGGAAATCGAGCTTTTGTAGTTCCTTCCTAAGTCCGCGAGCGACTACTTACTCGGGCGCCGTGATCACTCTGATGCTCCCAGGATGGTACAGAACAGCGCCTGGTGGTGAAGATGCGCCCGGTCAGAGAAGGACGGTGCTATAGTAACGTACAGAATACAGGAGAAGGCATGCAGGACCGTGGTGGCGTCAGAAGGGACTGACGGACATTCTCCGAGTAAGTGGTGCCGCCTTCGGTCATGGCAAAAAACCGATTGACTTCCAATAAATCACCCATGCTCTCGCGTCTTGCGCGCCGAGCGGAGGGAGCTCTGCGAGGGTCTTGCTGACGCTACATGCCTTGCTTGTCTCGAAGAACGGGAGACCGCCCGCCTCGCAGCCGTCCACGCCGTCTCGCTTTGCTTGCGCCTCCGCGTGAATCACGGTGCGATAGTAATCAAGCAGCTTGATACCGGGCTGACAGGAGGGGATGAGTACGTAAGGAGCCGACATAACAGAAGTGAACGTACGATCCTCTCCAGATGCGACGCGGAGGTATTCAAGGCTGCGACAGCTTCCAGTCTCATGACCCACTCACCAAAAGGTATGAATGGGCTTGTCACTGCTCCATACCTGAGCTCGGCCTGCATCGCTCCGAACACGGCGGACCATTCGACGGGACGCGGGTGAACGACGTTGATCAGTTCGGGTGCCTCCCGCCCGAGCACAACGTCGACAACAACGCGTGCCACGGCGTCCATCGGTACCCACGAGACGACCTGTCAAAGAAGCAGCGGTCATCCAACCGTCGTCTCCGGAGTAGATTACCGCTGGCACGGACGCACACTTCCTGCATCGGGTAAAGCACCCAATGCGAGACTCGACTTGACGATGTTCGGTACCCACTCTGAGGCGTTCCATACGCCGCCCTTAGACGAGCCTGAGATCTGTCCGATGCGCAACGAGGTCGTCTTCAACCCTCTCTGGTGTGCCCTCGCCAGAACCTAAGATGGACGGTAGGTAGCTCAAACGATGGTAGGGAAGACCTAGTCATCTGATGCTTACCTCTTCGACGACGTACTTAGACATACCATAGCCAGAGGTAGCCGCTGCGATGCTGGAGTCATGCAGAGCAGCTTCTGGGACATGTGCACCGTGGTTGTCTTCCTTCACGTTCCATCCGCTGGCAGCAGACACGGAAGACGTGAATAGATAGTGCGCTGCCGGTGCGAGAGCCAACAACCGGATCGCACTGGCTATTTGCGTCCCGAAGGACGTCAAGGCGAGGTTGAAGTCCACGCGCCAGGCGCTGTGTACGATATGCGTGACCACCTGTTGGATCTGACGTAACGAAAGATAAGACTTCCAGTCGGGTATAGATAGCGCGACTGAGCTGTATACTCACCTCATTCGCATTGTCTTGTGACAAGCCCAGGTCATCCCGTGTATAGTCGACAGAGAGCAGTGTTAGCTTCGGGTGGTTCAACAGCTCCAGAGGCAGCTGTGCGGCATCGAAAGCGGCCCTCTGGCGATGCATGAGCCCGCTCCCACGGTTCAGAGCATATACGCGTTTGGTCCTCTCCTCGCTCAGCAACAACGCCAACACATGCGCACCGAGGTTGCCCGTCGTCCCGGTAAGAAGCACAACACGCTCACCATCGCCCACCGTGGCCACCTCTGGCGCACGCGCCGGCAGCAGCGCGGTGTACTTCTCTATCGTCGCCTCGATCTCCTCAGAGGGCGACTGCACCACGGAGTCGTCCGAGCGCACGAGTGCAGCGACGGCTTCCGCGAGCGATGAAAGCGTAGGGTGCTGGAATATGAAGTTCTGGGGGACATGCCGCGCAGTTGTGTTGATAGCGTCGTCGGACGACTCGCGGAGGGTCCCGATGATGCGGTTTCGGAGGAAAGTCGCGCTCAAGCTGTCGTACAAGTCCTGTTCATGAATGATTCGTTAAGCGGAAGGATGACATAGATGATATACCTGTCGAAGCCCTGCTCGAATAAGTCCCTGTCAGGATCCACCACCCTCTCGTCATTGATACCCGCAGCGTGCTCCGCCAGCCAGCTCTGTACGTCCTTGACATACCACGACGGCGGCGGCGCGACTCCGTGGGCATTTGAGCTCTCCTCGACCGTTTTGTACCTACAACGGCGATGAGCGCCATCCCCATCGCTGGAAATGCAGACTTGAATGGCTCACAATTTTTCGATATCATGAGCGTATAGCTCGAGCGCCTTCTTCCGTTGAATGGTGCCCTTCCCCGCGCGAGGGAGAGGACGAGTCGGGTCAGAGACTAGGATCATCTCCTTAAACACGCGCGAGAATGCAGGCAAGTTATGATTTGCCTCTTCGACGCGCGACCTGGCCGTGTCATCGCAGACTCTGCTTAGCTCCCGCATATTCATAGTTCACAGATACGACTCAGCAAGGCTCACCAAATCGCATTTCTGAAGTCGGCGACGGCGGCCGAGTCGGCTGGGTCGACCCCGTACCCGGCCTTCGGCTCGACGAGGACGCCGATCTGCTGGTGGCCACGCCCGAACGCGACGGCGCCGCCGACGAGCGGGTGCGCGCCGACGTGCCCTTCGAGCTGGATCGGGACAGTCTTCTCCCCTAGACAGTCGCGCCGACGTCAGCCGTGCTAGCTCGACTCGCGCAGGACTGGCAGGCTGTGACAACCGATGACAGGAAGTGTCACATACCAGAGCCAAGTACGATCACGTCGTCATTGCGTCCCACTCTGTAGTATGCGAGCGTAAGTGTAGTTCACGGTGGGTCAACGGATGGACTTACATTTTCCAGAGACCGGGCTTGGTTGGGTGAGGGATCCACAGGTCAGAGGTAGAGTAGCCGCGCTCTCCATTCGGTAGCTGCAAGTTCTGCACGGCGGGGCGATGTGTCGGACAATTCTGAACAAATGAATCCCCCAGTTAGGACGACTGACATTGGTATCTTCTAAGACTTGGGAAGCATACCAGAAGTTGCAACTCATACGTGCCATCACCCTGATCCACCCATCTCGTCTTCACGATGTCCTCCGGGAAAAACATCCAGTCCCATTCCTCAGCGGTCTTACCAATGAGAGGATCCGAGGCGCTGACGGTACCGATCTCTGTCGTGCCATAGCCGGCGGTGAGGCGGACGCCCCGCGCGACAAGCTTATCTCCGTTAACTTTCGACAGAGGGCCGCCTGCGACTATCTGATAGAACGCAAATGAGTGAATGATTGACGATCTAGCCATTCGATCCTTACTATGGTCTGCATCGTCTTCAGGTACTCGATGTCGTCGTCGCTGTTCGCCCAAGCCTCCAACGTCCATCAGCACACTCGGAGATACATTCAAGTACCACTATTCTCACCTCTAAGAACGCCGGCACGCACAGCATGATGTTGCACCCTACCTTCCTCGCAGTCTCCAGCGTATTCTGCGGGGTCGGCACGACGGGCGGAGCGCCCTGTAGCCCATTTGGTGGGAACGTGATCGTAGGGTACCCCGACACAAGCGGTCCAAACAGCTGCACTGCTACGGCCATGGTGTGGAACGACGGGAGTGGGTGTGAACCATAGCAGTGGCGCCGTAGGCGACCACCGACGATACTCGGAAGGGTGCACCATTGGCGAACGAACCCGTGTGTTAGCGGGACTGGTTTCGGATGGCCCGTGGATCCGGAGGAATGCAAATACAAAGCGAGGGAGGTTGGCTCGGGCTCGTGCGGCGGCGGCGGGTAGCGCTCCGGCACGCGCAGGGACGCGTTTGAGGACGGAGCGAGCGCGGGGAAGATGGATGCGAGCGCGGGCGGCTCGTCGACTTGCACAGCGTAGTCAGGCGGAAGCTCGCCGCGCACGCCAGCCATGAGCTCGGCGAACGCGGGCTGCGAGATGATGCGGTGGCATTGCGCGTGTTTCATCATGCTCGCGATCGCGATCGCGGGGTTGCGCGGAGACATAGGAAAGGGCACACACCCTGCTCTGGCGAGCCCCGCAAGGATCGCATGGTACAAAATCGTGTCGACATTCGCGACGATCGCGACGACTGCGCCCTCTGGGCCTTCGCGCTTCGGACGGAAGGCGTGTGCGATTCGGTGGGTGGCCTGCGCAAACTCGAGGAAAGACACTGAGCGAACTTCGTCAGAGGTGAGGTTTGGGTACGGGAAGACGAAGAGAGGTCGGTCCGGGTTGTGGTTCGCATGGAAGTCGACGAAGCCAGGCAGGACGTTGATGGATCCGTCCAAAGGAGGGACTTCGTCAATTACTGGCAGGGTCATCGTCGTCAGTGTCAACAGTCCGGGGAGGCGAGTTGACGAAAGGAGTGTCGCACATGAGATATATACCCGACGGGCGCGAACAGTTGGAGGAGGACATGGCTCTATCACTGTCACCAGTCAGCGCGACCCTAATACACCGGCGTGGCCGAAGCTTCGATCGCATTGCTCCGAAGCAATAATAGAATTCTTGACACTCGTGGGGAATGTACATTCCCTTCGAGCGTCGACGGAGAGTCCAACGCCAGTGATCGGACGCCACTCGCAATGTGGGAGCAGCGACCCTCGGGCTCGGGCTCGGGCCCGAGCATATGGGTCAGCTTGCATAACAGTCACAGCACGGGAGGTGGTCAAGGCAGCAAAGGTCAACGGGATGCGGCGTACAGCACCACAGTCCGCGAGAAGGCCGGTGGTGGCTACCAGATGGTGAAGAAGCGGTAGCTATATGAGCGCCTCATATGACGATCAGAATGCAACACTGCACCGCAAATGACTTCACGGATGACAAAACACGCCGGAAGACTGCCGGAAGGCACAAGATAAACTTGAGAACAACACGTCGAGTCAGCGTCGAGTTGCTCGATTGATGTATGGCGTCCTCCACTCGATCGCCGCGCTCCTGCCATTCTCGGAACGTCTCTACCTGGCAGACGGGTTGTGAGCAAGCAGAGGTTCTGAACTGACGACATGATTGGCACGACCACTCACAACAATGGTACATTCGTTCCAGGCGGATTTGAAGGGTAAGGAGGCAAAGGCCCTGATTGAGTGAGCACATTGCAAACAAAACGAACCCGATCCACTCCTCCTCTGATCAAGGATCTTCATCTTCGATCTTCATGTTCAGATCTCGCCCCGGTCCAAATCCCAACTTGTAAACACCGGGCCCGATAAACTCGCGAGGACATGTCGAATTAGAAAGTGCGCCCCTACGGGTACGGGCCGCACTAGCAACCACAAAACCCGAAACCCAACCTTCTGCATCATCCGGCCCCAAAGTCAATGCTCCATAACGGCACGGGCGACCCCGCGCAATAAACATACTAAGCAAACACGAAATGCAAGCGCAGAACATACCAACGAACGGACAACCTAATCCACCCTGCACCGATATTCCCGTGGTAGACTATGAATCCACATCCATGCTCACGCTCGCCTCGTCCACTACCGCCGCGTCGTCCCCCCTCGGGCGCTGCCGCACCGCGCCGTTCCCGGCGAAGTTCGCGCCCGAGCTCGCTGCGCCGTTCGGGCCCGCGGGCATGGGCATTATTGGCTGGCCGTATCGCTGCTGTGGGCGTGCGGGCGTGACGGTGTTGGGAGGGGCAGTAGGCGGGCGGGAGTCGGGCGAGCCGGACTTGCTACGCGCCTCGCGCATTGCTCGTGCGGAGGGATTGAAGTGACCGCACTTCGGGCAGACGTACTCTGTCGGAAGACAGGGGCGACCAGGATGTCAGTCTTCTGTTTGTAGGAAGGATAAGAACGGCGACGTACGAGCATCTTCCCACATGCTCTCCTTCACAAGCCCATTGTGCGCGAAGCACTTTTGGCAGATGAGGGCGTAGCGAGACGCGGCAGCACCGACGCCGGTCCCGTCGTCGTCCCCGAGGATCGCGTCCGCGAGCTTGTCGAACCACTGCTTGCGCGGTGGCGGCATCGGGCGCAATGGCGAGGCTGCACAAGCAGCATACGTCGTCAGTTGACCCAGCCGTATCAAGAGGGAGAGAGGAACCAACGCGAAAGTTGTTGTTGTAGACTGGGCGACATTGGTGCTGGTGCAGGAGTCTGCGGGTTCAGCTGCTGTGCAGGACGCGCAGGGGTCTGCGGCAGTCGCTGCTGCTGCTGTGGTATTTGCGGCCTCTGCGGCGTCCCAGGTGTCACAGGGCGTGGGCCATCGTCGTACCGCTCGATGAGGTTGCGGGTAGAGTAGTAGTTGGTCTTGTTCTTTACTTCTTCGATCTTTTCGCGCTGTTTCTTGCGCAGCGCGATGAGGGCTTTCTCTGTGGAGTCAGGTTAGGGTTAGTCAGATATAGTCCAGAAGATAGGGACACTGCCTCAGCGGTGATCCCGTGGAGGGAGAAGATCAAAGGCTACGTCGTGCAGTCAAGCCATGGGCTGGCCAGTGTACACAAGTGCGGACTGGCAGGACACGACAAAGGGTAAACTTGAGCGTAGATACGTAATGACACTTACCTTCCGCATCACCCGCCCTCGTATACCAAATCTGCACAATCCTCCGCATGAAGAGAATCCTGCGCGCAGTCACTCTCAGCACAACGCGCGCGAAGCATGGAGTAAACCACTCACACGATCGGCCCCATAAACACCGGCATGCTCTTCGCCGTCTTCTCCCATGCACTCTCTCGTGAGTGACCACTCACCCCTGGAATCATGGTGCTAACATTCGGGAGGTAGTCTGCGTACCACAGGCCCGCCCAGAGGCCCCAGAACGCAAGTGCCCAGACCGAGAAGACAAGAGTCGAGCGGCGTTCGCGCAAACGTATCTCGGAGAGGTGCTGCTGGCGCTTCGCAATGTCATTTGCGAGCGACGCTAGGATCTGCTCGTAGTCCTCTGGTTGAGACTGCACGATGCAAATGATACGTGAGCGGTTTGAAGGCCATAGTCGTGCTCCAGGAAGCCGAGGAGGCGTACCTTGCTAAACCAGCGTGAAAAGAGGCCCATTATTGGGATATGAGGGAGCTGGTGGCCCCGTTTCGGTTCTAAAGTACAAGATGGTGGAAAACGCGTGGAGGGAGAGTGGACGCGTCGGCTAAGTCGCTGTGCTGTCTGTAGCTTGCTGTGGCCTCGCGCTGGTGTCGTCAGAGCGTGGGACATCGCACGTGGTCGCATTCGGATATGGGCGCTTGTGCGGTCCTACTCTCTGCAAGCACCAGCTGCGCATGCCCTCCACAAGCTTGGATACTTCTGCTTCCGTACAATCCATTCTGTGCAAGATACGACTGGAAGTAGAAGAGGAAAGACCAATATTGAAATTGAAGAGAGCAACTATACGGTATGTGCCACAAGCTACTAGTAAATGCCAGGGATCAGCCTGTACGGGACTCTTCTCGCATACTCCTCCCACTCTTTCCCGAACTCCTTTTTCAGGATTGCGTCCTCCTGTGGCGTTCTCGCGGTCAAGTTGAACATGCCATACATCATCCATGCGAGGTAACCCCACGCAATGGCCTTGCCCAGCGTCGTCTCCGCAAGTCCGCATTCCCGGAACCACGATCCCGGCGCCATGTGGGTCAGGCCGACGGCGGTGACCCCCAACATCAGAGTCGTATACGACGGGTGCCGGACGACCGAGTATGGCCCGCTGGTGACAAGCCGGTGGCCGTCGCGGATGGTGATCTCGTACGTGAAGAGCTGCCCGAGCGCACGGAAGCAGAGGATGCGCAGGTACCCGCTGACCGTCGCGATTCCACAGCCCGCGAGGAAGAGCGGGCTGATCCCGACGCGGTTGATGGACGACGCGGGGCCCCAGACGAGGTGCTCGATGACCTGCTGCGCGAGCGTGTGGGACGGGTACGCCCGCGCAAGGATGACGGCGGTCTCGCAGAAGGCGCCGCCCCAGATGACGACCTCGAGAGCACGTCAGGGAGGTGGTGCAGGAAGACTACGTGCGGCTCGCCTACCTTCAGCGACGCTGTGACCGATCTGACGATACGCGCGAATATCTTCTCCCTCCGTGGGACCTCCTTATGGATCTCCCCCTCCTTCGGTTTTGGCACAGGCGCTGTCAGGGCCACGCCGGTAGTGTATGCTGCCACAAGGACGAACGGGATTTTGTACAGGGAGGCCATTTTCGAGAGGGTGGAGGCGATTGCAGGCCCCTGGGTCTCCCAAGCATCGTTTAAAACACTGCCCGCCTCCAGCGCGATACATCTGTACAAGCTCCCATCAACATTGCCCCCAGTTGTCCCGGTGCTACACGACTACCTTGTGGTGGATCAAATCCCGACCGGGACGCTGCTGAGCGCTGCTGTTGCGTGTGTGCGAGTCTAGACGAGCCGTTCCATCATGGGACTTGTATCATGGTGCCGTTAGTGTAGGCTTGGCGACCGAGCCCCGGCGAGCGGCGCGAGTCGACGTCCGACTCAACGTCCGGTGCTGACCCTTAAGCTTGCTGACCGCATAGGTATAGTACATTTTAGCACGCACCTCCACCTCCTTCCTTCACGCCTTGTGGATATGCTTATACTGCCGTACCAGAGAATCCGTCGGCAGCGTTGCGATCGAGGGCGACCTCTCCTGCACAGATGGTTGAGGTCGTTGCCCCACTCTGTCTACCGTCGTCGAAGAGTCCCGCTCTTCTCAGGCAGACCGTGCTACCCGTCCCGCACAATCAGCTGGATAGACGGCCTGCACGGGTAGCAGAAACATGATCATCGCAAGATGGCGAACACAAGCTTCAGCATCAACGCACTGCCGCAGCATTCTTTGTTGGGCAGAATCCAGGCTCAATGACACTGCGAACACGCTGAAAAGGTCTCATATTTTAGTGTGCCCCGTATGTTCCACCCGCTTCCCCCTCCTCGTAGTCTGGATTCACGAGCTTCTGTGGGGATACCGGCAAAGACTCCGGTTCGATAGAGCCGACAGGCAATCTTCGCATCTTTCTCCTCCGCTGGTCCCAGCGCGACCGCCGAAGCTCTGTATGCATGGAGGTATCCACGTCGTAGCGGGTCCGCCTATCATGTATGTAAGTACCAATGCCGCATTGAAGATTATTGCTGGATTCTCGGGCTTGGTTCCGGGGTGCAGCAAAACTTACACAAAGTACTTACAGCCTATGTCTCGCGCAGACTGGACCTCAAGTCGATAGCTGAGATACCTGGAGGTGAGCTATGCACGCGCTACTAATCCCGGGTCCGGGTCATCATGATACAGCCGCGCCATCGAGAGGTGGTACCCAATATTCAGAGGCCGTCGCCACTCTTCGTGACGCGCGACGCGGCAGGATCATACCATAGGACGGCCCAGTAGCTTCTGCGCATGACACGACCTACTTACAGGGCGTCGTACTCCAGGTCAACGGACGATGTAATATTTCACGGTCAATTCAATGTTCATTTCATACGACGGTTTGCATTCCTGCTAAGTACGGAATGACGTTGATGAGGAAGGGTGATCGTCGACTGCCTTGCGCCGCAGCGTCCCTTATTTCATCACTGCAGATCCCCCAGACTAATGACGTACGGTAACCGTATAGGTCCGACACAATCAGCCAGCTGCAGCGATCGAAGCGACGATCGGAAGCTGTGCCATAGCAAGAAGTGGTCGGAGTCTCGAGGATGAGGATTACATAAAAGGCTCATGATCTATCAAGAAGGTTCATTGAGAATAATGGCGTACAGCCTGCACACGGACCATATAGAGAGCGGTGAGCGTATGATACGACCCGGGAGCATGCACCGAATCAGATAGAAGCGGTCATTACGGCTGTACAGTAGACGTCGAAATAGCGAGGAGAAAGCAGTATACAACGACGGGTAACCTAGAACACAACAGATATGCAGTTTGTACATGGTGAAGTTGATTTGCGTACATGGCGAGCATAAATAGACGGAGGCCATACGGAGACAGCGACGGATCCTATATAATCAAGAAAAAACCAGGCAATATCACGGCTCACTGTCTCTTGACCTTCATCTCCCACATGCCTTCCCTCCCCCTCTCTAGCCCAAGCAGAACGCATCTGTCCATCAGGAAGTCGACCCGCCTGACACCCTTCTGCCGCTCACCCTCGTCTATGCACCGCTCAGCCCAGGAACGCGCGATGCGCTCCCGCGTTATCTCATCCATCTCGTTGTTCCACCAATCTGCCTGCGATATCGGAGTCATCATCGAGAGCCAGATCGCGCTGAAGAGGTCGTGCAGCGTGACGCCCGCTGGGTTTGAGCTCTCAACGTCGATGTGCCATGGGTAATGATTGCTGTACACGCGCATGCCTGCGACAGGCGGCTCGCAGGCGAAGCGCGTGAGGTCCCAGGGGTTTACTTCGCGCTCGAGCGCACGGAAGCGGAGCGTTGAGGGGTTCTTGCGGAGGTCGAGGTGCATGCCGGGCGAGACTGAGGAGTAGCGAATGTAGGGGTGGAGTTTCGACCCTCTCGGAGAGTCGAGGACTACACACTGCATAAGCAGAGGTCGTCGGGAATTATATTAGGGACTCACTGCTACCAGATATCGACGCTGAGCGCGCCTTTGTGAACATCGAACCCAATGATGACCCCAGTGACCGTGCCATACTGAAGTCCGCCCTCCACTCCCTTGGTGGCCGCTTCGCATTCTCGTCGTGCACCGATCGCAGACTGCGCGAGCGAGAGATGTGGCTGCCAAATGACGAAGGGCTACTTGTATTGGATGACGAAAACGGAGTGTGCGGGCGTGATATTGTGCGGGTAGGCGGCCAGCCCTCCATGTTGTCTTCCTCGCCGTTGAAATACTGAGACACTCGCACCCAGTCCTGGTCAGGTTCTTCGGGACGCTGCGGCCAACTGTCTCCAGGACCTTGCATTGTGATCGCCGGGGGCGCGAGGGCAGGGAATGCGGCGGGTGTCATGACAAACGCGCCGGGCCATGGTTGACTCCGCTGCGCAGGCCACGGCGACCCCATCGCGGGCTGAGCGTAGGGCGACCACTGGCCGAGCTGATTTGACCCGGACCAAGGTGTACTCGTGGCGGACGCAGTCGGCGGCGCTGCAGGAAAGACGTAGGGCGTCCTGCCGGCATGAGAGTAGTAGTTGCCAAACGGTCCTCCCTCCGACGGTGCCTCCACGAGGGGCGGCATATCAGAATAGTTGGCCATTGTCGCGGGTGGGCTTGCGGGGAGAGTGAGGGACGGAGTATGATGATAATCGGCCACGAGGCTAAAGGGCGAGCTATACGAAGGCGGCAATCCGCGTTTGGCTGTTCTTCGGTGCTAATTCCCCCTGAGGCGCAGCAATATAGAAAGCCGCAGAGCGCGAGTCAGGCGGATGCAAGGCATGTGTAAGGCAAGAGAGGTTGTGGTCGTGGTAAAGGTGGAAGGACACCAAGTCGTCATGTATGCAAGTAGTGATCCAAGTATTGAAAATTCAATATCGACTGGTACATACATAAGGCCCCGCTTGGGCGACGCGGCCATCATGTTCAGTTATTCATTCCTTCCACAGCATGCAATTCAATGACATCCACGCGGTTTCGATGATGGTGATACATAATGTGGGCCACTGTGAGGCCTTGTGAGGGATGGCGCAGTGCAAGTGTGGTGAGCAAAGGCCATGGCCCTCGTAACCATATTAAACATCAAGCTCACTATGGTCCGCCTACCGGTACACTCGAATTACATTCCATCATTATGTATGTATCGCAGTAACTTACTAGTGGTACACTAATATATTCGAACAGCCTGGATGTAGCAGATACAAGGGGTAACGAGCGCACGAGCAACAACAGTGCGTTTAAATACAGCAGTCAGAGTATAATGGAATGTTCAAAGAGAGACGATGAATGATGCACCATACAACCACACCGTGGTTACTAGTCCAAGGCTAGATGACTCACTGCCGGGCATCTGCACCCATCCCGGCAGCCAGCCCTGTGGCCAACGCGCTGCCCATCTGCGCACCGATACCGTCTGTCGGCACGAACACCGTCTTCGAGCCAAAGGCCTGCACGCGGGACACTTCCACACGACGCATCTGCATCTCGCGAGCGAACTGGTCGCGCACCTCAGCGTCGGCGGTCGCGCGAATGCGGATGGCTGCAGCCTCGGCCTCTGCTGCGAAACGGGTCGCTTGCGCCTGTGCTTCGGCCTCGATCTGGACCTTCTGCGCCTCTGCCTTGGCGGCAGCGACGACGCTGTAGGCTTGCGAGTCTGCGAGGGTCTACATAGCTAGGTTAGGGCGCCGGATGTCAGCTACGAGGGAGAAAGACCGACGTTCTGCGATTGAGCTTTGACGCGTGCGACGGCAAGCGTGCCTTCCTCCTGCTTGATCCTGTTGCTGTTCTCCCGATCCACGTTCTATAAAAGGGTTTGTCATCGCGCGTCGATGCGCATGAGGCAGAATAACTTACGGCCGCTTCGACCTGGGCTTGCAACGCTCGTGTCGTGAGCCTATCCATCGTGGATGCCATTTCACCCTTGAACTGCCGGTCGATGACAGCTAGCGACAGTGCATGAGCGACACGTTTTCCACGACAAGAACTGACGCACCTAGGTCCTTCATGACGATACCATATTCGAGCGCAGCGATGTGCAGATCGTCCATGGCCCGGGTCCGCAACGCATCTAAGAAGGCGCCGTTGGGATCGCTGCCGTCTTGTAGATTGTCTGGGCCAAGCGAGCGCTGCTTCACCATAGAGCTGTAGTCCACTGCGCATGGTTGTACAATCAACGATGCTGCCCTCATATCAAACGGTTTACGTACGGTGCGCCACGATCTGGGTGAGGATAGACTGGCATTTGTCACTAGAAAGGGAGCCAGTGCGTGAGTATGACGTTGTTCAGAAGCAAGGCAGTAGACGTACCGGAGGGCGTCATAAGGCGTATTGTAGCCATGTGTGGTCAACTGTGCAAGATCGGTGAGCATCCTCGAGTCCGTCATTGTCGAGACTGCGTTACCTTCAACGGCTCCGTAAGTTGCCTATCATACGCGTTAGCCGGACTACGCGTATGTCACTGATCGCCCTACTCACCACTTCAGGTAGATCGTCAACGCAACGGGGACCTGGTCCCTCGTGAAGCTGTCATAGGGCAGATGAGTGTGACACACAAGAGTACGAACGATACACGTACATGTCCTTCGTCGGCATCTCAATCTGGTTCTCGCCAAGCGTGAACAAGCCGCGCAGCGTAACATTGGGGTTCGTGATGTAGTGCTGCCCGGCGGGGAGCTGCTCCAGGTCATCGCCTTTCTGAAGAATCGCACAGTTATTGGCGGGGACATTCAGGCTGTAGCAGGAGAGGAAGCCATGTAAGCGACTGTGTCCGGGTGTTGTTGGTAGCAGACGAGCACGCACAAGAGCGCCACGACGTATTCCCGCTGTGCCCCATCGCGCAAGCTGCTCTTCATGGTCACCTCGTGCTTCCTGCGAGGTTCGACGAACGCTTCAGTACACGTGGAACTGCCCGTTCCGACATAACTGACCATCCGAGTGTGTTCTTGGTGACATGATCCTTCACCTCGGTGGGGAGGTGCGTCTGGTCGACAATCGAGAGGACCCTGTAGGCACCTTCGATAGCATAGGCGACGAAGCCTGCATTCTTGATGACGAATATTTGGTTCTATGCGACAATCAAATTGTTGCTCAGTCTGGGTGAGCGATGCAGGGCCCGTACCTGAGGGTCGGATACGACTGCTGCCTGTAAGTCGAATACGATCAGTCATTTGTAAAGTAATACCCAGAATGTCTGGACTGACCTGGTTCTGAGAGACCTGTACTATCGTCAATCCCTGGAACTCGACTACAGTGTCTGACACTGCCAAGAAGTAAGACACATAGCATTGTACGGATCGGCAACTAGCGTACATCCTTTGGTACCGCACCATGTGCGTGCCCACCAATTGCGAAGAGGCATGCCAGGGTACCGTCCTGGGCGGGTAAGAATGCTGGGCAAACCACCATGGTTGATCAGGCCTATTTGGCCAGGAGTGACTTCTTTGCCTATCCAATCCGTTGGTCGCTGTAAGGGTGGTCACCGATATATTCACGGCTTTCATTCCGAGCGTGCTCACCTTGCGCGACAAGATGTGGCTGCGTCCGGACTGTGCGCGCCACATACTAGTCAGCCACAACGACAATCTGATGTTTCGACTATTCCTACCTGTTTCAGTTGCTGGTCCAGCTTCTGCAGCGCCCCGATGAGGCCGGTCTTGTCAATCGTAACGAAAAAAGGTCGGTCGTTCAAGTGGTACTCAGGAGATGCGACGAAGTTCTTCTGAGGTGCAGAACGGTGAAGCCCTGTGTCATGCTTCTCGTCGAACCCATCAGGTGAGTACCGCTGAGGCTCGGGCCTGTAAGCGGACGAGGCTGCAGGTGCGTCATACGCAGTGACGCTCTCGTTGGTGACGGTACCTTCCTTGATCATGGTGGGGGACTATGGGGGTGGGGATGAAGGGAGATGACGTCGGATGTTCGAAGCTTTATATGTTTTCACAGGCATCACTTCGCGTCGGGCATGGGCTTGGTATCTGTCAATAGGTGGACCTGCTGTTCAACGCGCGCACACATGCGCAGTACTTCTTGAACGAGGCAGTGACATCTTGGCACCGGCACCGACGCTGGTTCGCCCATCCGCAAGCGAAATGTCCTCAATAACAAGCAAACTCGTGACAAGGAGGTACCCGCGGTTTGACGAGCCCGCCGCGGTACGGCAGGCTAGACGGCACAGCGACTGAGTACTGTGCGGACCACCATATGGGGGCAGCCGAGGCGGTGCATTAATTGTGCGGCTCTGTTTCGGCATAACAGGAGGAGATTGGGAGGAGGACCAGAGGAGGTGGGCACTGGGCACAAGCGCATCTCGATCCTCTCTATACGAGTGAAAGGTTCTGACTGAGACCCGATTATAAGCGGTACATGTACAGGAGGTCTTGCGACTAAACATACCCATAATATACCTCCAGTCTGCCTCCAGTCCAAGCCAAGCCCAAGCACAGGTACATGTCCTCGGTGCCTTACACTGCTCAGAGCCGCTCACAGCCCCGTATGTATGCCATTCCGAGGCGTCCCGTAGCCCATGACCTTCAGCGGGGAGCCACGTCGGGTGGCAGCTGCGCCGTACTGCGCTTTCCACCACGGTATCATATGATGCATCTTGACAGAACATAGACTGTGCATGCGTTGAGTCAGGCTCTCGGCAAGTTTGATTCTAACCATGAGCAAAAGGATATCGGTGTCGTCCAAGGGCCTATTGACGATGACTGACCGACGCCCGTCACCACCAGCGACCTTTAACTTCAACTTCTGTCAGAGCTTTGAAACTGTGAACCCCTAGCTTGTGGAACGGACATTGGCATTTCCGGCGAACAAGCACACAAGGTGAGTAGCAGCATCCCTAGGGGGAACAGCTGAGGAATGAGCGCGTCGAGAGAGGCCTGAGACTGCCATGGCCCGTTACTGTATGATAGAACGCTCGAAGGTGATGGGTACGGTGATATTACGTAAGCATGTGGCAGACGCCTGAGATTCTCTGAGTGAGATCACTCAACGCGACGTAAGTTACTTGCTCCTCCTCGATAGCTGCTATAATACTGATACACAGGCTCGCATAATCACTCTATGTCATTGCCAGTCTGCCAAACCCACTCACTTGTAAGGTGCAGTAGTAGAACGCCTCCGTTCTCGTCAGTCGTTGTCTTCTGAATTCGGCAATTCACGTATCATGCTGGCGGTCACAAGGCGGATGATCCGGCCAGAGCCTCTTACAGTCCGCCAACCTGCCGCCAACCGTTCTGGATGGCCTCGCGGTCTGCAGCCCACGACTCACTCTCTCACCTTTATCTAGCACGGTGGGTGTTGTGGTGCTATGTCCGTAAGGTGAGGACATCCTTATCACTCGTCTGCTGAAGTAGACTAACTCATTTCGGTGTACTTCCTCCAGACAACCCAAATGGGCGATATGGCGCCGCTCGTACCATGACAAGTCGTATGGGTATCGCGAACCTCGACGGTTTGTTATGCCTGATTGTGAGTATCGGTTATAACTTTCATTCTCAGACGAATCGGATACCCCAGCAGAGCCTCGACCTGCCCTGTCTGCTGTCAACGTCGTTCAATGACCAGTTCTCAGTTACACTTGCTGCTGCGTAATCACGTGGAAGCTTCATAGTGGCTGGGATTCCGCCAAGATTACGCGCTCTGTCTGGCTCAACGATGTTCACTCCAGGTGAACATTCGTAAAGCTTCCAAAGCTCTTAGTCTGCGAGCGAAATTACAAGCAAGTCGGTGCCTGTTGCATGACACGAAGTGCTGAGCGCATTTTGTGTCTGACAATCGAAGCCCCGTCATTCACGGCGGCAGCGCTCGGTGTTTACTGAATGTCCAGCTATCGATTTAACTCACACATGGCCGGTTTGCATGACTCGCAGATAGCCCCACGCAGCTACAGAACAGGACTGTGAACGCGCCTCTCCTTCGCTACGTCGACGCGCTCCGGACGCATGGGCACCGCGCCGCGCGCATCGACCCTCTCGATCTTCTGCAAAGGGAAGAGGTCGCCGCCCTCAATCCCTGGAGGTATGGCCTCCTCGACGACGCGCAGAAGTACGACGTGAATGGCATCGTCTGGACGCGCCCCGTGGGCTCCGCCGCGGACCTGAGCGACGAGTGGACGCTCGGCGACATCACGCAGCACCTGCGCGCGATCTACGTTGGGCGCATCGCGTACGAGTACATGCACTCGCCATCCAAGACCGAGCGGCTCTGGTTCTCGCACATGCTCGAGTCGCAGGCGCCGACCCAGGCGGTGTTCGACACGAAGCAGAAGACACGCATACATGGGCTTCTTGCGCGCAGCGAGACCTTCGACCAGTTCTTGCAGCTGAAGTTCCCAAATCTCAAGCGGTACGGATTGGAGGGTGGGGAGTCGATGTTGCCCGCGCTTGACGCGCTCTTCGCCTCCGCAGCAAGAGGTATGTATGGGACTGTGTCTCGGTCCCTGAATGCAGTACTGAAGACTTGCACAGCCGGAGTTGAGAATATTGTCCTCGGAATGCCGCACAGAGGCCGCTTGAATCTGTTGACAGATTTACTCCAGTTCTCCCCAGAGGCTCTGTTCCACAAGATCAAGGGCGGCTCTGATATTCCGGAAGACCTCGGCGCCTCTGGGGATGTCATTAGCCATCTGGGTATGTACAGCTTGCATGTTGCCTACGGCACGTCGAAGTGACCGGTTGCAGTCGCATCTCCAAACCTTCAGTATGACGGCGCCAAGGCTCCGCTTCAAGTCTCGCTTCTGCCCAATCCATCGCATCTGGGTAAGTGCAGTATCGTCCTCACGGACGTGGTCGGTAACTTGTGGTACAGAGGCGGTCAACCCTGTTGCACTTGGAAAGACTCGTGCGAAGCAGTTCTCACTCCTGAAGAAACTTGTTGCCTCCGGCACCGCGCCTAACGAATGCTTCCCCGGAGACAAGGTGATGTGTCTGCAATTACATGGCGACGCAAGCTTCACTGGGCAAGGCGTGGTTATGGAAGGGTTGAGTCTGAGTAGGTGCTATTGTCATTGGGATGTCGCAGGCTTTTGATGTTGACTCGGCGTACAATTAGGCAACTTGCCGCATTACACCGTCGGAGGCACCGTTCATATCGTGGTCAAGTAAGACTTCCCCTTCGTTCATAGCAGCTCGTCCTTACTCTGAATGTCTACAGTAACAGGTAGCACTGAATGAAGATCCTGGATGATCGTCTTACTGACCTAGAGCAGCATCGGTTACACTACTCCTGCGTCCAGCGCGCACTCGGCATTGTACTCGTCGGATATAGGGAAGATGATCAACGCGCCAGTGCTTCACGTCAACGGAGACTATCCAGAAGGTCAGACAAGCGCATGAGTGCCTGGGCCCTATCGTTGACCACATCTCTAGATGTCGCGCGTGCTGTAGACGTCGCATTCAAGTACAGGAACCACTTCCGTAAGGTACTCACTCGTTCGATTCGTCTGCGCGCATATCTGAACACATTCCTGGTGGCAGGACATCATCGTGGATCTACTTGTGTATCGCCGCTGGTAGGATCTACGTATACGACAGAGGATGACAATTGACACCTCTTCAGGGGTCATAACGAACTGGACGAGCCTTCTTTCACCCAACCTCTCATGTACGAGAAGATCCGATCGCGAAGTTCCGTCCCTGCTCTGTACGAAAAGCAGCTCATCGTAAGTGCCCTCAATATTACATTGCTCTCTTTTTGCTGATCTCGCCCATCGGCAGGCGGAGAAAGTCATGACGGAAGACGCTGCCACAGCTGTCCGCTCGTCGTACAAATCACTTCTCGCCTCAGAGCTGGAAGCCGCAGACTCTCGTCCTCCCGTGAAGGTAGATGCCGTGATGTTCCAGGGCTCCTGGGCTGGGATGAGTTGGCCAGCAAGCTCAGATGCTGTCCGCGAACCGGAGACTGGAGTGGACCATGAGACCCTGCTCGGCGTTGGACGCGCAAGTGTCACTGTGCCTGACGGATTCGTATGTCTGATCCAGCCTGTGCCTGACATTTGCTTCGCTGACCATCGCGTCGCACTCCAGGAGATTCACCCCCGCTTACAACGGCATGTCAATAATCGCCTGCGTGCTCTAGAGAAGGGTTCTGGGATCGACTGGGCGACAGCTGAAGTAAGACGAATTCCCTGTGATTGAGAGATGTGGACTGATATGTATGGCAGGCCATGGCTTTCGGGACACTCATGCTGGACGGCTGTGACGTACGGATCTCTGGACAAGATGTTGGACGTGGGACTTTCAGTCAACGGTCAGTGATCATCGAAGCTGACGTGTTCGCCGGCGACTCACACAAGACTGTCGCGCAGGCATGCCATGCTTGTCAACCAACGGACAGAAGAAGTGATCGTTCCACTGAACGCTCAACTCCAATGCGAAGGCAGGCTTGAACTGGCGAACAGTGAGTATGAGGGTCCGTAGCCAGGCAGCGAGTCGTACTAACCCGTGTGGAAATCAAGGTTCGCTTAGCGAACTGGCCGTGCTGGGGGTAGGTCGCAGCACTTGTCAACCATTGCATCCGCTTCACAGCTGATCTGTACTGTGCAGTTCGAATATGGTGTGAGCTGGGAGAGCCCTGACATACTACCCATTTGGGAAGCACAGGTCAGTTAAGACCTCACTAAATTTCCGTCCGTTCTCTCACCGCGCGTAGTTCGGCGACTTTTTCAATGGCGCCCAGGTAAGAGGTCATATTGTGTTGTATAGCGTTCTCGCTGCTCATGGGACATCCACTTAGGTCATCATCGACACCTTCATTTCTTCGGCGGAGAGTACGCGTTCATCGGACTGCACTTCACACCATCAGGACTGACGATGGTGCATTACACAGCGAAGTGGCTCAGGCAAAGCGGGATCACGCTGCTTCTGCCTCATGGGTACGTCTCATTACACTCACCGGTGCCGATGTTTCATTCAATTAACGAAAACCTTTCTCTCCTTTATCTTTACGATGGGATTCGAAACAGCCTTGACGGCGCAGGCCCTGAACATTCTTCATCCCGCTTGGAACGGATGTTACAGGTGAAACCGTGTTTGGCGATGACTCATACTATCGTGCTGAATGCAATCACAGTTGACGAACGATGGCTATGAATTCGACGATAGCCCAATCGCTTCGAATGTCAACATGCATATCGTCTTCCCTACGACACCCGCGCAGTACTTCCACTTGTTGAGACGGCAGATCAAGCGGAACTACAGAAAGCCTCTCGTTGTTGCATCGCCGAAAGGATTGCTTCGACTACCTGTACGTCTGTACTCCTCACGGTGTAGATCTGCATTTACATGGAACCTAGGCTGCCTCCTCATCGCTGCTGGAATTCGGGCACAACACTCGGTTTGAACCGGTGCTCGATGACGCGACAGTCGACAAGTCGAAGGTCAAGCGCGTATTGTGTCTGACCGGCAAGCTTTACTACGAGCTGGTGGCGGAACGTCAGAGGTTGCAGGCAGATCATGTAGCCCTCGTCCGGATCGAAGAACTGTCCCCATTCCCATTTGGTCGCCTCGCTAGTGTTCTTGGTCGGTATGATGCGACTAGCGAATTTGTTTGGATACAGGAGGAGCCGAGGAACCAAGGCGCATGGCCTCATGTCTCGGAGAGGATCAATGCTGTCCTCGAACACCTGGGTCGCACGAAACACATCTTGTATGTCGGAAGGGCGTCGGACGCGGTTCCTGCGCCTGGGATAAGCAAGATATACTCTGCACAACGACAAGCAATTTACCAAACAGCATTCAACTGAGGACGTTACTCATACACTACTAGACGACGCCATATGTACATTTCTGCTCCGTGCACGTTATCAACTTTGACACGCCCTTCGTTGTGGAATCATGACCCAATCGCACGGAACTTCTCCTCGAACTCCGTCGTCACCATATGCACGATTTTGTAGACTGCCCAGTCTTGATCGGAGATGTCAGTTGGACGAGTGAGCTCCATTCCTTCATCCTCTGAGTCACTACCGTCTCCCTCCATCTCTGCGGGCGGCACTGCCTCCACTACGTCTTCGTCGTTCACTCCCTTTGCCTTCGTGCCCGCATCTATGACTTTCGGTAAACCGTTGTCGTCTTCTTCGGCACTGACGGCCTCGGTAGACGCCTTCCACAATAGCTGCCCAAGACCGGCTCTGATGGACTTCAGAGTCAAGGTGAAGTCGTCCAGCAGATACCACATGTCGTTATCACGTATCGCATTGGCTGACTTGAGCGCTGCAGGTTGCCCGTGAATGTAGAAGTCGAGGATGTAGGCGTTGAGCACATAACCATCATTCTCCCGGCTCGAGTGCGACGTGAACAGTCGCATAGATGGAATGGCGTACTGGTTGAGGTGGAGGCCATCACGGCTGGTCCGAGTGAGTTCCTCCACGGTCTGATACTGGTCATCGTGCCCAGAGTTAGCGACAAAGGATGACCTCGCGATTGGCCTGACAGCACGTTGATCGAGATGCTCGACGAATGAAGAAGGGGGATCAGAACGAGGTGAGCTGGGGACAGCTTCGACATCGCTCAATGGCAACCCGACATCAGAGCCCAGTATAGCATGGTGTTGAGTAGCATATGCTAGGGCGTAACTTGTGAAAGTGGATAGGATTTCCGAGTCGTGAGTATCAAGGATGTTCTTCGCGTCTTCCGGCATGGGTGGGAGCGTGACCATGGAGGGAGACTTCTTGATGAGCTGCTGGAGGTTCTCATCCGCTGCATAGATCCTGGGGAGGTATCGGCGTCCGAATAGATGGCACAACAGGAGCAGAAGCCCCCGTTTGGCGGAGACTGTGTCCGATTGACAGCATATCCGATGAACAACTCCGTGACGAAGAAGAGCGATCAAAGCAAGGTTCCCGGGTTCGGTGTAGTAAAGGTGAGAGGCGATTCCGAATAAATTGATGGGGTTCCCCTGGGCGTCGAGTAGACTTGCTCGGCGCAGGTAGTCGATGCTGAAGCGCATAAAGTGGACTACTTGTTCGTTCCCGATGTTGGATCTGAATCCGATATGGGGTAAAGTGAGGATACTAACGACCGCTTGCTCGGCGAAAGGTGCATAGTCGGATCCTTGAAGCAAATTGAAGAGGCGCAGCACCATCGTCGACGTGAGCGGGAAATTGCCGCCGAGAGAGGGAAGTCTTGACAGGACTAATCGCTGGCACCGATCTATGGCGACGCCATAGAAGACGACTTTCCCTAGGAGGTCAAAGCCTCGTCTGCCGGCTGATAGCGATAATGAGTTCAAGTCTACTCGGGTGTCAATGGGCGGTTTCACATACCACGACCAGCACATTGACGGAACTGTTGTGCAAATCTATTCAGCAACTCGCCAGTCATGTACCAGGCCACCCCACGTACCATCAGCGCCGTTAGAAAAGGCGAGTCGCCACAGAAGACGGAAGTCCTTGCAGGTGCATTGATCCCCAGAGCCAGCGTCCCTATCATAGCAATGTTTTGTTAGTTACGAAGCAGGATGAGACGTTCATTTGATGCACCTGTGGCGACCACAACTCGGACGACACCTAGCCGAAACAGACTGGATGAGGCGTTAGCACATCTGGTGCATATGAGCCAATCAAACCGAACCTACCTCTCCACCATTGTTCTGTAACGCTTGTTCATACCTGCGTGGTGCACGCCAATTCCTCTGCGTAGAGCGTTCAGTGCCCATTTCGGCACAGATGACCATCGCTCCAGTGAACGCAGTTCGTCTTCCAGGTCGCTCTTCGAGTACACTGACGATTTGCTGGTGAATGAAAATTGAGGGGACGGATCGTGAGGATCGAAGGAGCTCTCCCAAGTCGTGCTGCTCTCCCCCTGTTCGGCTTCGACATCTACCCGATTCTTCGATCGTGTCTCCTTCTCCGACTGGCGTTTGCGTGCCGCAGCCTGAACCTTCCAGACTTCCCATTGGGCCATCTTTCGTCGCCACTCAGGGCTAGTTTCCCTCCATTGCTCTTCCGCAGTGGTCAACTCCTCCAGCAGTCGTTGACACATCGTTTCGCATGCCTTGCGATCGAAGTTGAACAAGATTGCAGGCTGAAGTAGATGTCAGCCCAAAAATATGCAGTTCAGTCTGCCACTGAGACCTTACCAGATCACCACTGGCGTGCAGATCAGACACAAGATATATCAGGTTTTGCATGAACCGAGAACGATCGGGGATCGCATGGTGGTCCAACGCCTTCACAGCAGGATCGGTTAGGTATTCGATGACCTTGTTCAGAGGCGATTGAATATCCTGTTGGTCTCTTGCGGCGACTAGGTTGTTGACGATCGTCTTGAGCTGAGCTTCATATCGCAGGATGTCCTGTTGTTTCAGGAGAGGACCAGCAGTACTTGCGAAAAAGCGGGTTGGATTCACGTGGTCCAAGTCGAAGCCGCATGACGGCTGATTGGCATGTACAGACAGCGCCTCGTACAACGAAAGACAATCAGCTGCTTCGAGAGAGAAGTCGGGTGGGATCTCATGGACACCAAATGAGAGCAATGAGACGGGGTGTAGGAAGCGTGTACGACCAGTGTTACTGTGGCTGTCGATGCCCTTGAATGACAACGTTGCGGGCTTCTCGTCCTGCATGGCGTAAGTAAATTTGCGAAGATGCGAGTACCGATGCGGGTGGTGGATGAAGGTGTGCTTGAAGTGATGCGCCTCCTGAACGGACTTAAGCCAGTCGTTGAACTCTTCGGGATGTCCGATTGTAGCCGAGAGCCCGCTGTGAACGGGCACGATATCAGATTGACTATGAGGGCTAAGCGAAGCAGACAGATGACCGACATGATTGGGCATGGCGCGAAGAGTAGAATCTGCTCCCATACTGCCCCACCTTCCTGCTGGCCGATGGAATGAATCTCGTCAAGGATGATACTGAGTTCACGGTGTCAGAGAGTACGGTATACCAACATGGACTACTGACCGTTTGATGTGGGGGGTCCAGATGCGAGCCAGGGGAGGCGAAAGAAGCATGATCGCAAGCATCTCCGGAACGGTGACAAGGATCTGGCACTTCTGAGGGTCATGGATCCGATAGTCTCTTGTATGGATCGCCCAACAGCTCCCTGCGTGCAATCCTAGATGAGCAATCATATTGGCATTGATTGTGGGATCAAAGACTCACGTCCTCTCAACTCCTTCTTGTATCGAGCATACACTTCGGCCGCAATCTGGTTCACGAGAGCTTTGGTTGGTGCGACGTAGACCAAGATGCCATCGTCTGACTGTCTGAGTACTTGCTCCATAGCGTAGTACGAGATGAATGTCTTTCCGGCACTTGTCGGCGCTGGCAACGGCTCGTATCAGGTCATAGTCGGACGTAACAGTAGGGAACGTGCACTCACCCACAACGAGGACAGACTGGTTGTCGTCCAAGCAGTCGAGGACATCCCGCTGCCATGCGTCTGGCTTGAACGGAACCCTGGGATCGTACTGACTATCCATACTCCGATCCATGTATTCGCCGAACAGACGAAGCTGCCACACGATAGGGTCCTCGCGTATGCGCATGAATTTGTAGACAGCCGATTTCGTCTTCGATTTCATCAGCTTGACGAACTTGAAGGCTAGTTTGTGTTCGACGTCTGACTGCTCAGGAGACGACGTCTTCAAATCGCTGATCATGGACGACAAGGCGATGACGTTGAGACACGTGTCGAGGATGTCAACGGCAGCGGGGAAGAGATTCGGCTGTTGGTACGTATCCTTCACCATCCGCAAGACCGCAACCGTGGTCCGGTCCTGCACGGCCGCAGTCTCGCGCTCATCGTCCTCGATCCAACGGACAAATTCCAGGTGCAGTCGGAAGAGGCGTACTTCGACCGTGAGCCATCCTTCAAAGGTCCGCTTGTTCCGCTGGATGTTCTCGATGTGCACAATTTGCCGAGACGTAGACATGGAGGCGATGGTGTCGAGCTGCTCCTTCCACCACGGCACGTTCGAATCGTTCAGCTTGGTATGTTTCTTCTCGTTGTTTGCCAACCGGATCTTATCCGCGGACGAGACGTGCTCTTTCTTTCCCTTCTTTGATTGATGGGGTACTGGTTTCGCCTACACCATGGTGAGTGCTTGACCCAAGGTCATTGCAATTACGTACCTGTATGGTGCGTGGGACAGCTCGTCGTGGCTGTGAACCGACAGGTAGAATGAGCATGCGCTCGAGAGGTATCCCGAAGGCTCCTGTCAGAGTTTGCGCCTGGCGTTCCATAGAAGCCATGAAATGCTGCGCGCGGCGCAGTGCCTTGCGTCGCTGAAACTCATCCATGGGCTGATACGCCTCTCCGCCTAGATGAGCAGGCAGGATAGCGCGCTTGTCATTGTGCCAGTGATAGACGTCGTTGAAGATCGTGTTGAAGTCGAGGTGTTGTGTCAGCTCGAGAGAATCCTCGGCTTCAACGTCTACAGTTACGGCAGCGAGATGCTCATCGAAAATACGGTTATTGAAGGGAAGGAGAGCACGGACCGCCGGCGGACGCCCCGTGCTGTCTGACGGCCGACTCGGAGCAGGTTGGGGGAACCGGGCACGAAGTGTAGTGAAGTCGCAGTTGCTGATGCCGACAGCAGACCACAGCGCAGCCAGGCGCGAGCTGACCATAGCGCCGAAGAGCTCAGAAGGCGACTGGCCAGGACGCGTCATGGCAAAATTCAGCAAGGCGACGTATATGTGGCCGTCTACTTCGGGTTGGCTGCGAGCCAAGACACTCTCAAGAGCAAGGAACGCCGTTGGCAAGAACGTGCCAACGAGCATCGCGCTCAGGCTAGGGTGTATTGTCTCCAGCTTCTGAGCCCGTTGCTGGACCGAGAGGGTGGGAACGACAATGAGGTGAGCAATGAAGGTATACAGCAACTCTGTCATCCCCACTTGGCGAAGGTCCAGCACCGATGAGAGCCTCTTCAGCAAAACGGCCATCCAGGTCTCGGAGGGGGCTTGTACGCTCTGCGGGGCGAAGGTAGCCAAGGGAAGGACCGGAAGACCATGTCGTACATGGGATTCGCGAGCTTCCAATGCCTTCGCAGCCGCACTACTTGCAGCCCATAACGCCTCAGGAAGTTGGCTCCGGGCGTTAGGATTGTGGCGCTGCTCGTAAATGAACGTCACAATCTGTAGGAGATTGTACGCACTCAGTGTAAGTTACATGGGTTTTGAGTTCATATGCTATATTCTCACCTTAGAGTCTCTGTATTCCGCGCCATGGAGTAGCGACACTGTAATACCCTGCGCCAGAAGATTGAAGATGAAGACACGTTGGACAAGCAACGCTTCAGCGCGGAGCGACTGGTCATCGAATTTGCGACTGATAAGTCCTCCGTCATTCGTCATCACGAACATCGGCTGAGAATTGAATACGATGAGTTGTGTCGATGTATGCATCCGATGTATGCGCTTACCTTGGTAACACGCTGATAATTGAGCCAATTTGGGTCATGCAGATTCTCGAATGTGTGTACCGCAATGTCCAGACATCCCAGATGTTTGAACAACATCGCACGAGCTAGGCTTCGGGACGTATGAACGTCCTCAGGACGCCCGGTCTGTATCGTCAGATGCCGGCTCTCTGAAGTGGATCAGTCAGTCTACGGAAATTTGAGATAAGAGATAGCATACCATGCCAAAATACAATATCGAACGTAGCAGAGCGCATCTTGTACTCGTTGAGCATCCTCTCGAGAGAGTATGTAGCATGCAAGATCTGAAAACTGGGCTCTACATAGAAAAGGGTTTCAGTGGATTTCTGCAGCACGCAACTTTTAGATACGCACCGCCTTCCCGCCCTAAAGCAAGCAACTGGTCGTTCAGTGCTTCTTGCAGCAGGGCTTCCCCTAAAAAGTAACGCGTTGGTCGACGCCACTATAATCGAGAGCTACTAACGTACCGTCGAGGACGAACATCTCGCTCCCAGCATAATCTCCAATCAGATCCATCCATCGTCCACGTCTGCTTGTCAGCGTATACCATTCGTTGTCTATGTATGCCAACGCATCCTTCGCCTGTGGCCGCTCCGGAAGCCTTGTTGACCCAGAGCCGGTCGCCCTGGCTGCTTGGTCGAACCCATCCAAATCCATGGTGGTGAGGGTGGGGGTGAAGAGGGATACCGCTGCTCAAAACCACCTTCGCCTCGCTGCGTGGAGCGTGCACGCTGCCAATCAAGTATGAAATCGGCGTGGCTTGGGCGTGGCTAAGCTCGAACCTTGAGCTACCGGTTCAAAAATGAACTCCGGTTGGACTTCAGTCCTGGGTAAGTATCGTCGAACGACTGGCACTTATACTGTGAATATCGAGTGTCGGACGATACGGAGGCCAGATGCCAACTGCAGTCGCTACTTGTCTGTGGGTTGCAAGTGCGTCGATTTTGGAAGTCAAGTTCGAACAGTGGCGACCCTCTCGGGCGCTAAGCCACCGCCGGTACCATCGGCATCATTATTTTTGGCATTATCATTTCAAATTGAATGGCCATACTCCCGAAATAATCCTATTTCGTTGCACTGGAGCGTATGACTGCAAGCATAGTAGCGGCTGAATAGCTCGCATTCGTGCCACAGTACGAATTCGGAGTCTGGCAATGATTCGACATCAGTCTGAGTAATTACTGTATAAGTAGCTGACCGGTTGGATCGGGCCGTCTCTCTACACTGATGATGATTCATCCTCGCGCTCGCGGCGGCGGCGGCTCGCCTTTCGCGGACCGCCTCTTCTCCGCCGCCACTGTGTCGTTGTTTGCACGAAGCTGCGACCGTTCAAACGTTCAAGGTCGCCCCGGACCAGTGGTAATCAAATCGCACAACTACGCAAGAAATCGTATACATGGCTCCGAAAATATGGCTAATCTCTATCTGCTCGCGTACGCTCAAAAGCCCGCTGTCCTTCTACTAGTACTGCAGTGTACAGTCTGAATAGGGATGACGTCTTCAATGCACATTCAGAAGCTTGGTCTGGTCAGAAGTCCCGATCGATTCGGATAACGGTACAAACAGAGGGTACGCAACGGCTAGCCGGGCCGCCCAGCAAGTCTCCCAGTCGCTATAAGAGAGCAGGGTGACCGAAGCAAGAGGAAACCATTGGTCCTGTCTTGTTTATTAGCGCAGTAGCAATGGCATCCCCCACAGTCAAGCTCAACAACGGTGTCGAGATTCCCATCCTTGGACTTGGTGGGTCAGGCTCTCCTATAACTCAATATGGTACTGATTCAGCATAACAGGTACATGGCAGTCCAAGCCCAACGAGGTCACGAATGCTGTTGAGCACGCACTGAAGGAGGTGGGATACAGGCACATCGACTGTGCATGGTGCGCGCTATGGCACCCGTTCCGGGTCCACTCTCAGCTGACGCGAGACTCAGGGCATATGGGAACGAGAAGGAAGTCGGCGAGGGCATCCGCAAGTCCGGCGTTCCGCGCTCCGAAATCTTTGTGAGTATGAGAGTGCTGCTTCGACTGGGCACGTACTAATTAAGCTTTCGCTCAGATCACCAGTAAGCTATGGTCCACGCACCACCAGCGTGTCGAGGCAGCCCTCGACGAGACTCTCGCCAACCTGGGTACTGATTACCTCGACCTCTATTTGATCCACTGGCCGGTTCACCTCAACCCCAATGGCAATCACCCGAGTTTCCCTACGCTCCCTGACGGCAAGCGGGATGTTCTCTATGACTGGAAGATCAAAGATACCTGGGCTCAAATGGAGGCTGTCTTGAAGAAGGGTACGCCTCTGTCTCCGCTGACGTATGTAATGCTCGTCCTCACCGTTCACAGGCAAGGTCAGGGCCATCGGAGTGTCGAACGTCTCCAAGCGTATCCTTGAGACAGAGCTCCTGCCGTACGCCACTGTCGTTCCTGCCGTAAATCAGGTGCGTAGAAAGGTGCTACACGCAGGACACAAACCATGCTTGACGAGACATTCTCGATAGCTCGAAATCCACTTGTACAATCCTCAACACAACCTTCTTGAGTACCTCCGGTCAAAGGGAATCGTCGCGCAGGCGTATTCCCCGCTCGGCTCGACGAACTCGCCTCTGTTGAGCGACGAGACGGCCACTGAGATTGCAAGCAAGCACGGCTTGCAGACGCCGGACGTCCTCCTCGGTTACCTTGGTGAGTAAAGCAAATGGAGAGTAGCATCGTACGCGACGCTGATCAACCGTCGGATATCCAGTGGCTAAGGACATTGTCACGCTGCCCAAGTCAGTCACTCCGGCACGCATCGCATCCAACTACACCGGTGCACTTGCGGCCGCGTCAAAGCTGACGAAGGAAGACATTGAGAAGCTGGACGGTGTTGCCGCGGCGGGAAAGCAGAAACGGTGAGTGTTGTTTCTCCACTTATTCTCTGTTGGATACTGACTTTCCGTATATAGCCTCATAACGCCACCGTGGCCTGTCGATCTCGGGTTTGAAAACTGGCCGGGACAGAACCCCTGAGCAGATGATCGGCGAAGTAGTGAATTTGTATAGGCCGATCAGCAGGCAGTCATGACAGGAATGTATGTATCCTGTATAGGCGGTGATATCCCACTTGTGTTCCGAAGATGATTGAACGGCAAACCCATGTCTCCGATGGATCCCCCAAGAGTTACGTATGGTAAGGATTACTGAACCTGACGGCCCCGAGATCCTATTCCGATCACGCGGATGTCAAAATACATATGGAATCCATCGCCACCGCACCTTCCCTGCATACTCCTCCCACTGTTCGCCAAACTGTTCCTTCAAAATCCGGTCTTCTTCACGGGAGCGCCACGCCATTGATAAGGTCACGTACACCGTGAGCCCGGCGTATATCCCAACGAGAGTCTTCCCTACCGGCGTCTGCAATACGCCGCACTCCCGCATCCACGAACCGGCGACGGCGTGCATGAGGCCCAAGCCGACGAGGCTAAACGCGCCCGAAATATAGCTAGGGTGTCGCACGATGCCGTACCACCCGTCCTGGACGATCTGGTGCCCGTCGCGGATCGACACCTCGAAGGTGAAGAACCGCCCCATCGTCTGGTAGCACTGGTAGCGGACAGCAGCACCGAGCGTGCCGACGGCCCAGCTAGCGAGGAAGGCGCCGGTACAGGCGATTCTGCGCGTGAGGGATTGCGGGCCCGGGACAAGCGCGGTGAGGACCATTTGGGAGAGCGGGTGGTCGGGGAAGCGGCCTGCCACGATGACGGCGGCCTCTAGCATGGGCGCAACACATGACAATGTCTGAAGCAATAGACAGTCAAGATTTGGTCGGCGCATCAGGGGAAGGCAAAGTAGTTACCTTGAGTGCGATGCTGTGAATATGCACGGTGGCGGAAAACCACCGCTCAAATGGCTTGACATCCTGGTGGCGATCTTTGGTAGAGACCTTCGGCTGGGGTGGTGTCAATATGACATAGCCGGATAGTAACCCGGTGAAGAGGAGGGGGATCTTCACGAGTGACATACTGAGTAGCAAGCGATCTCCTTGAGAAAGGATGGAAGAGGCGGGTGGCCCGCTATACAGGTAGTTATATGCGTAGGAGGTGAGAAGGCTACGTCCGCGGTGACAAGTAGGTTTGCGACCGCTACGGGAAACACCGCTAGCGAGATCCGTTGGGAAAACGGAGTTAGAGCCGCCCGACATGGGCTCATAGGCCGCCTGGAATCGCGCAGTGGGGCCGCGCCCGGTATGCAACGTCTGATGGATTGCTCGCCGTATAGACGCGAGATGCCAACGTCAATCAGAATAGCTGCAGCGTGCTGAAGCGAACTGGGCAAATGGGATAGCCAATGCAACGGAGAGCACAAGGTTATGGTATGCCTCGGCCCCGCGGTATGAAGAAAGGTAATGAACAACATACCTCGGCTTTCGAGGAGTGAAATTGTATTGGGACACTGGCAAGCGGTGATTCTCAAGCGTGTCAAGCTGTGTGAGTAATTTTGTTATGCCGGAGATATCATGATGACATACCTAACAGCCTGAGATTATTGCGTAGCTGCTGCGAACAGTCTTCGCAACGACATGACAAACAAGACCAGCTTAGTTGAATTCACGTCAACTGGCTCTTGCAGCTCTTTAGGAACGAAGTCTAACCATGATACGACGATCACCGAGCTGGGTGTCGGTGCTATCCGAGTAGTGCCGACACCAGACACGAGTAAAAGCAGGGAAGACTGATGAACGCGGTTATATTGTCTTCTGAAAGTGAGAGGACGAACTCTACCTACAATTCAGGGCATCCGTCGATCCCGACCACGCGTCCGCCCGTCCCCGCTGCCATGACCCCGCATCATGATAGTGAAGCTATGGCCACTTACGATTCAATTCTTTACACACGGCCGTGACTGGAATGACCGACCCAGGATCGGACATCGCGACGATCCCAACATCCAACGTGCAGTTGCGCCATGAATGACACGATCTGAGGCCGATCATCATCAAGTCGGGGCCGCCGATCATAGTAGGGTCCGTGTAGTGACTTATCTGGGTCATTGGGCGTGTGGTCTGGGTAGATGTCTAGACGCTGGGACACTGTAGAGAACGATGGAACAGACGCACCTTCCTACAAGGAATTTGCACGAGGCACCCGTCCCGCCATAGTTGGCTAGTGGGCTAGAGCTTGCCATGACGGTGCCAGTGTCGGAAGGGATGGTGACGAGTGTGCGGTCGATGGCAGTGGGGCTGTGGATCGCCGCCACAGGTGGTTGTAGTGTTGGCAGTACATTAGGGGTCGTGGTGTTGTGTTGTGATCAGTGAGCGCGGTCGACGCGACTGTCACTGTCAGGACACTGGGACGATCCGAGTCGCGCGTGCGACATTGACCGGACTCTGGTCGCGATCGGCGGCTAAACATGATGGATCCTCTCCTTCCTCTCCTCGTTTCCTCCTCATCCTATGTTGAACATGTGCGTCAAACAAGAGGATTGTCTGGTGTCCGTGGGCATCCGCGCTCGGTGAGTCGTCGCCCTGGCAGTGGTGGCTCATGCAGGCAAGTTGCCTGCATGAGCCTGGTAGATTCGGGCGGCATGTCATAGCTCTAGCGCGGAGTACCGGGTGGCACGGTCCTGTTGACGCAAGAACTAGTGAGTTACATAGCCAGCTGCCATTCACTCAGAATCATTCATGATAACACTGGCCCAGGAACCACGATGGCTGTCTCCGGATCCAAGGCTAGCCGAGACGCTCTTGTTCATTCTTCGCCGTTGCAGGATGATCGTTGAAATTTTCGTGTCAGAGCCATGCCGCTCGCTGGCAGTGCCAGTGGTAGTCAACGGTATAGTATGAGTAGACGTCTTAGGACGACACGAACAGGATGTCACGCGGACATCTCAACTTATTGAGCCAAGACCGCGCCAAGGTGAGCCGATATTCTCCGAATCGGGACTTGTTGCCTGCGTTGATTCCGAGTCTGAACAACCTTGGAACAACCCACTAAGTATGTCGTATGGTATGGATTCTATGAAAGGATGAGCATACGTTTCGTATTTGCGCGCTAGGGCCGTCTGAGACCGACAAGCTGTACATGTCATATATGTATGCTCAACTCGCTGTGGAATGTTTCAGCTCAGGCACTACGTAAGTTAGCACGGGAGCGGCCTGGGAGCGGCGGCGAGGATGGCACATTGATGACAAGACCTGGTCTCCAACCGGATGAACGGATCTGTATACATGCTAGCCCGAGTGTATGGCAGGCTAGCTAGCGTCAGAATGAATCACCCGTGCGTGACATCTCGTCGTGCTGCAACACCGTATTGGCTGATGACGCTCGTGCTGGACACAGGACACATAGCCGCTACTGTCGAATATGGCACAGTCGAGGTATGTGCTATGCATCCTAGGCTATACATCCTCAGAGACCCATCATCCCGGGCAACGCGCAATCCATGCCGCCCTTCCGGAAGTAGGACTAGCAATGTATACCAAGACTATGCTGGACGGCTTCTTAGACTGGTCTAGCGGCACGCTCGCACATCCATCACGACACGGGTTCATGTGAAGCCCTCGGCAACATTAGAATTGATCGCACCGTGCAGGCCGCCCCTTTTAAGCACCTGGAAACATACGAGGGGGTCCGTAAGTACGCACTTCGCACCTGGTCGCCCTCATATCCTAGCAGCGCTAGCCTTAGCACTGAGGCTGCTCAACCCACAAGATGTCCCTCGTGAAGATTCCTTTCCTCGTCGCCGGCGCAGTCGGTGGCTATGTGGTCATGACAGCGCCGAATCCGAAGGTCCCCGTCGAACAGAGGGCTGAGGTCAGCGCGTTTGAGCGTTTCTTCTCTGAGACAGCGAGACTCTACACGCTTGGCTTCAAGGTGCGTCAGCCTCCCCTCACGCCTTCGGACTTGCTCACGAGTCCCCGGCTTGTAGGCCTTGATCTTGTCCAGTAGCATCCTGGAGGTGCTCGTCATCGGTGCTAGCCACTTGCCCTCACACCCCCTGTCTCAGAGGATCCTCGACACACTCGTTGTGGGCCCCCACTCTCTCGCCCGCCGCATCACCATCAGCCCACTGTTCGTCGCAGGTGCCGCCATTGGCTACTTCGGCGCATATTTCCGCTGGCAGTGCTATCGTACGCTGGGCCGCCTATTCACCTTCGAGGTTTCCATCAGAGAGGATCACAAGCTCGTCACGGAAGGGCCCTACCAGTACACTCGTCATCCCAGCTACACTGGGGCCATCCTCAGCGCGACCGGCCTTGGGCTTATGTACGTTGCGCCGGGGTCGTGGATTCACGAATGTGGCATCCTGAGGACGCGGGGAGGGAAGATTGCGGCGTGGACATACGTCGCGGCGTTCTTGTACGGGTCGGCGAGCTTGTTCCGGCGAGCACCTCTGGAGGATGCGTTGTTGAAGAAGCAGTTTGGCGAGGAGTGGGAGGCGTATGCGAAGCGGGTGCCGTACCGTATCGTTCCCTACATCTACTAAATGGCCGTGAAGCATTCTGCTAGTCAGTAGTGCTTTCTTACTTACTATCCGGGGTAAATAGTGCCTTGGTTTTAGTGCCTTGGTTTCTGTGATAATACACATACTCGGGAGTCTCGAAGTGAAGCATTGCGACTCGGCATGCAGCATTAATAGCACCTTCTCACGTGACTGAAGCGATGTAGCGATGAGATTGGAAAGTCGCGCCGTCCCGGGACCCGCGACCGTGTCTGCCTTCAAAAGCTCCAGAGACCCGAGTAGCTTCAGCTCCCAACCGTCACCTACCCCGGAAACGCACCTCAGAGAAATGGCCACCGAAGAAGCCCCCGAGAGTACTCTTCCGTACCCTCCCATTCACCAAGACAAGAAATTCGTCGTCCTCTCCGACTGGTTGGTTGGTTCGTCTTCACGCCTGCGTCCGACCTGAGCTGGGCATCGCGAATGCCTGCTGGACGCGGTCTCCCCCGCCGATAACTATGTGGCTCAACGGCGTTTACAGGGATGGGACGATCACGACGCGCGATTCCAATGATTGTGAGTAGTCCTGGTTGGTCGTGATAGACGAATGGAATTGACGGTTCGTTGCACCAGATATGACGGATGAGCTTGGATTTGGCAGGGAGAAGCGCAGAGAGCTCAACGTGGCCACGTTGTCGGGCGAGCGGACCTTCCGGGACACCTTCCGAGAGATGCTCGAGAGTGTAGTGGCCAAGGGTCATTCGTTCGAGTACTGCAAGGAGGAGCTCAAGAAGAGTGAGTTCCGCACTCCTTCCGTTCTATCCAATACTGAAGGCTGCCATAGACATCATCCTTGATTCGGGCTTTCGAGAGTTCTACCGCTACTGCGAGTCAACGGACATACCGGTGGTCATCATCTCTAGGTACTGCCATCTGATTTTGTTCGACGTGTAGGACGCGCGCTAATGGCACGAACACGTACAGCGGAATGGCCCCCCTCATCCGCGCCGTGCTGTCAAACCTGATCGGCGAGGAAGATTCCAGCAAGATCGAGATTGTCTCTAACGAAGTGATCATCCACCCCGATGGCAAGTGGGAGATTCAGTACCGGCATCCGTCCAGGTATGCTTTTGACTCCCCAGAAGTGGACGAGTAATGGTTAAGTCTGTACGCTACAGCGGGTACGGTCACGACAAGAGCCAGGCTATCCTGCCGTACCGTCGCCTCCCCAACCCGCCGACGATTTTCTTCTTCGGTGACGGTGTCTCAGGTAAGCCTCAGCGCCAGTTCCATCCCTGCTTGCGTTGACGCAATTCTGCAGACATGTCTGCCGCTAGGCACGCGGACGTTCTGTTCGTCAAACAGAAGCCGGACGGCGAGAACGACCTACACCTGTACTGTGTGCAAGAGGGCATCCCGCACATCCTGTTCTCGAACTTCGGCCGTGCTCTCAACATCGTTAAGCAGGTGGTAGAGGGCAAACTGACTGTGAAGGAGGCTCTCGCGATTGGGCAGGCATGAGCACGATTTGAAGCACGAAACAGAAGTTGAGTAGAAGTACCGTGGAGCTGTAGAGATCAGGTCATATACCAGACTAGAACACGATTATGTGATGCGTCGTGCGCGCGATCCACGAATGTGCGATTAGGCAATTGCACTAAGCACACTTACAAGCTGCTGCAAGGGTGTCGGGCGACCTCACTGTTTCATCGTCGCGGCCGGGTCGCAGTCAAAAAAGGACAAGTGCATGGCCTAGGGTTTGCATTGCGATAGCATCATGTAGAAAGGCAGTATACCATAAGTGTCGACCAGCAGCCTCAACCACCCGTCCGACTCTCCCAATCAAATCGTACAACATCCGCCGCTTATGCGATGAGAGTAGAGGCGGTCGCTGAGTCGTACTTGAACGTCGGCGGGATCTGCTGCTTGGTCTTGTAGTACCGAGCGAGACGGTGGATACGGGACTCGATCAAGATGAGACGGAACTTGGAGTCCTTGTCCTTGCGGTTCGTCTCGAGGTGCTTGCGCACGGCAACCGCCTTTTTGATAAGATGCCAGAGGTCCTCCGGGATCTGTGGTGCCAGACCTGTAGACAAGAGCGCATGAGCACTTGCACGCACTTGAAAAGAATAATATGCGCACCATTGGACTTGAGGACACGAAGGATCTTGTTACCGGTGACGAAGCGCACTTGGGGGATACCGTGCGAGTCACGGAGGGTAACACCGATCTGCGAGGGCGTCAGACCCTTGCGGGCGAGCTTGGCGATGTGCTCGACGACGTCATCCGGAGTCGTCTTCAACCAGGAAGGAGGAGCGCGGCGGTAGGGGAGGGCGGAGGACGCTGTGTGTGGCCGTCATACATTCAGACTTCACTGCCAATCTGCTGCTAAACGCAAAGACATACAAATGCCCTTTCCGGGAGCGTGCATACGACCCATGGCGATTCTAGGGCAAAACGTGAGCGGGAACAGCTTCTGCGGCAGAGCAGCACTTACAGGTTTTGCGGGGGTGGTCTTGAGGCTTGGTCGTCGTGTGTGCCGTTGGGCTCGTCGTGCGGTCGCTGGAGAGGATTCGGCACGTGCCGGTGCGCGGTGGCTGGTGGCTTCGATCAACTGTACAGCTGCAAACCTTGTTGCCACCCGCCACAGGGTAGTGGCGCTGTTTGTCCGCGCGTGCTGCACACCGAAACGACATCGCGCGCAAGACTATCGCCGTCGTTCTCGTCGACGGAGATCACGCCCTCACGCCGCAAGGTGCGTCCTGCTCGTCCTGCTACTCGCTGTCCTTACTCATTTCGTGTCATCATCCACAGCATGAAGCTCAACATCGCCAGTGAGTATGATTGTGACGGCACGGAAGTGGGACGAGGTCTGACTTGTGTTCACAGACCCCGCAACTGGGGAGCAAAAGACCATCGACTTCGACGATGAGAGGAAATAGTGAGCATGCTATGCCGTTGGTTCTGGGTTCGCAATTCTGATCTGTGGTTACGCAGCCGTATTTTCTACGACAGGCGGATTTCTGCCGAAGTCGCCGCTGACCCGCTCGGCGATGAGTGGAAGGGCTACATCTTCCGCATCACCGGAGGCAACGACAAGCAGGGTTTCCCCATGAAGCAGGGTGTCCTCCTCCCGCACCGTGTGCGCCTCCTGCTCTCTGACGGCCATTCTTGCTACCGCCCCCGCCGCACCGGCGAGCGCAAGCGCAAGTCCGTGCGTGGCTGCATCGTCGGCCCTGACATCGCTGTCCTCTCCCTTGTCATCGTCAAGCAGGGTGATAACGAGATCCCCGGCCTGACCGACACTGTCCTCCCCAAGCGTCTTGGTCCCAAGCGTGCGACCAAGATCCGCAAGTTCTTCAACTTGTCCAAGGAGGACGACGTCAGGAAGTACGTTGTCAGGAGGGAGGTGAAGAGCCAGAAGAAGGAGAACGCGAAGCCTTACACCAAGGCGTGAGTCCCTCAGACATGCCGGTAGTTGACTAGACTGAAAGCCCTTCCAGTCCCAAGATCCAGCGATTGGTCACTCCCATCCGTCTCCAGCGCCGCCGTCACCTGCATTCCCTCAAGCGCCGCCGGCTCGAGCGCCAGAAGGAGCAGAAGACGGAATACGAGTGCGTGTTGACTATGTTATGTTCAGGGTTACGTGACTGATTGGTATGTAGTGTCATTATGCAGAAGCGTCTCGCCGAGAAGAAGGAGAAGGCTGCTGCAGTCAAGGCGGCGCACAAGAAGTATGCTAGTCTCCATTTCTGCCGTCGTCACTTGATTGACCTTATGTCTGCAGGGCTACCGCATAAAACGCCTATTGCTGGGCACCTCCTCTATGCGGTCGATATCTGTATGGTCCACCTACGTTGTCATGTTCTCTACGCCATCTCGCACGCAATGCATCCATATGATTTATGGTGAATGCTACCGCAGTTGCGTCGGCTCGTCTATTCAACATGTCGCGCTTGTACGAAGGTAGGCTCTGCTGGGGTTGCCGGTACTGATGGTACATTGTTGTATTGTGACCTTGTACTATAGAGGACCCTGCAATGAAGGATAGAGTTCTGACCTTTCTTGGTAGACTTGTCGAGTGGGTTATCTCGCGGTCGTATCCCCGTATGTTCTCGTTTTCGCCGTTTGTGTGTCTATGCGTCGCGCTCACGACAATGCATCCTCCTTGCGTCTCATACGTGAGTGGTATTCACTTTTCCAAGTCACAGCACCAACGGACTAAGCTTTCCAGCTGCATGCAGTAGTTGGCTGTCTTTCGCAACAGCCCAGGCGGTGTAGCATGTATACCTCGTGTTTCTTCTGCACCGTTCTTGACAAACGCGAGCGAATGTGGCTGGCTATGCTGCATGTCGTGCGGTGAGCGGTGCACGCGCACCGGGCCCGAGTAGCATCGCACACTCCGTTCGCGGTGTGCTCGCAGTGCATACAATGTCGCCGCGCCTGTCAGTGCCGTCCGATGTGATCTGAGGAGTCGGCGTCACAGCCTGGACAGATACAGCAAGTTTCGTGCTTTCATTGGCTTTTGTGTGGTACCCTCTGCTCCTGGCGGCTGTGTATATGGTTTGACAAGTGCTTCTACAGGGGCACATGCGGGCGTCAAGGAGCTTGAGAAGCCTCGAGGGTCTCCACCTCACTGTCAGGCTGCAGTGGCCAACGTGCATTTGCCAGTTCCGTACGCACAATACGCTTTGGCTCTGGACACTGTCGCCTGTCGGTGTGTGTGTGGTACCGGGTACCGCTGTCCTGATACCTAGTAGGAGTGTTGTCAGTGCCTCCGAGTCCTAGAGTATCTGGGACCTACAAAAGGCGTGTAGGTTTATCCCGCGCCTCCATCTCGAGCCCGCGGACTACAAGATGTCCCCAGTTGCTCCACTGAAACAGCGGATATACCGTCGGAAAGGCGGCGGCGGCGGACATGGTGACGCAGACGGCGGCGACAGTGGCGGCGACAGTGGCGGCGACGGTGGTGGCGATACAGGCGACAGTGGCGACAAAGGTGGCGACTCGAAAGGCGAGGACGTCCCCGTCTCCGGCTCGACAGACGGGGAGTCCGACGCAGTCGCGTACGATGCGGGCGGAGGCAAATCCGTGACGATCCCCCAGGGCCAGCCATTCGCTGGACGCACGAGTGGTGGCGGGACGCGCGGGGAGGTGTATAGAACATCGTAAGTCGTGCCGTCGTTCGGTGCGGGGGACGTTCGTATGGCTGATGGTTGACTTTCAGTGAATACGGCAGTGGTTATCCTGATTTGTCTGCGGGTAGCGTGTCCGGAAGAGACTTCCCCTTCGTGTTCTGGCCAGTCGTGTGGCGGAGCCCGGGATATGGAGCGCCGTATCTGTATGATCCAGAGGTACGCTTGTTCGTGCCGCGGCGCCCTGCTGAACGGTGCTTACTCACAAGGCATCCTAGTACGGTACGCCGTGGAACACAAGCCGACCCGGCGGGCCGCTCGCCGAGGCGACCTTCACATCCAACACGGCGAACAGCACGTTCTACGTGATCGCGGATAACAGCACCGTCACCTCGCTCATCACCTCCATCTCGAAGAACTGCTCTTCGTCAATTGGTGGCGCGTCCTCGACGGTACCTACGCCGTTCAACGCCACCGCGTCCGAGCCACAGCCCGAACAAGCGGTACAGTACTACCGCGCGAGCAGCGTCACTCTGCTGCTGGACGGGTACAACAACACGGATGCACTCGCGCCGGGCAGCGGCAATGCGAGTGCGACCGCGGTGCCGCTGCCCGGTTGGGTCGACAGCAGTCTGCTTGAGTGCTTGAACGACACGATTGGTGAGGCGGCTCCCCTGTTCAGTGGAGGCGCACCCACACTGGCACGGGTCCATGTGACCAATTTTGTTCCGATACTTGTTATGGGGTGGTTCATGTGGAAATTTTGCCGTGATGTCTAGCAGACTTGGGATTGTCTTTTGATGGCCGTCGTCTTCACAGCTGATACCCATGCAACGTACTTATTTTCCCAGTAGGCGGCAATGTACATCACGAAACCTCTCGCATGCTACGTGATTGTTCAGATATCTTGCGCCCCCACACCATCCGCGATATTAATCACTCACTGCGCAGGTATCACTTACTAAGACCCGAGTGCACTTGCCACCGTATGTTTCCGCCACACGAGCGTAAACGCAACTGATAGTCACGTGTACTATGCGTAGTGACTTTGAAACATGGTGAGATGCAGTGACGATGCATGTACCCCCATGAAGCTTGAAGCCTCGGATTGTCCGCGATGATTCGGACCTGGATCCAGCTGCCACGGACTGCCATCCATCGGCCCTGACCACTGGCATGTCACTGACAAAATGCACAACGGACATGTTGACACACCCCATATGTACAGCGCGACCCGGGAGTATCGACAGCTTCGCTACCTCGTCCGGGCCCGTCCATACTAGCCGCGGAGTACGGGGCAGAGTGCTACCAGACATCCATGGGACCCAACGACAGGTGAGATTTCTTCGGACTCGATTCAGATTGCGCGGACCGCTGTCCAGATTTGGCCGGTGGATCCATGCTCTCCATCGTAGATAGGCGTTACCAGTGCAGGGCTGATAGCTCCGAGTCTGCAGCAAGCATGCCGTTATGTATCCAACATGAAAACGTTGCCGAGTATGGTGGCGGTCGCCTCGGGCTTGACGGTGCTGTGTTCTACGAGGTGTCAAACGACGAGAGGTGCGCATATATCCACCTCTTATCAAACGCGCGAAGCTGAACAAGACGGTGTCTGTGTTGCGCCACTGGAACCAGAGAACCCTGACCGACGGGGTTGACTCGGCGAAGTAGCCATCGGATTGTAGCTCAATAGCAACCGTCGTGCAAGGTCACTATCACCCTTCTGTCAATGTTGTGCGTTCGAAGATCTTCCTGAATGGAGTTCACTGGTGCCGCGCGACGCCTTTTTCAGGTGATTGTTCGGCGTTCAGCGCCGCCCCCGGGTCACAAATGTGCCATCTGTTCTATGGACTTGCGCAGCTGGCGAGGCGACTAGATTTGAAGGAATACCGTTTTTGCGGGTGAAGTGGGTCGCTCTTCTACTAGGCTCTTCATCAAGCACAACTAACAATTGCCACCTGCAGAAAAAATATGCGCACTGCCTTGGACGGAAGTTCGCCATTTTTCACTTCGACGAGCATGTAGCGCATGTAGCTGTCGCAGGTGCTTGCACTGTAATGGACGGTTTGAACAAGATCGTTTGCGCTGTAGCGCGGCCAATTCAATCCACCGTGCCCTACCCTTGATTGCTCGCTGCGCAAAAAAAACCACTAACCAGGAATGGCCACCACACAGATACCGGGATTTCAGACCCGGCAAGGGTCTCAACATAAATCAGCGATATAATCCACGATATATAAGGGGCGCTGCGAATCAGGCTGGAGTAGGTCAACTTGAACTTCAGGACTTCTCCGTCCCCGCTCTTTTCTATCTGTCCTCCAATCTAAACCCGCAATGGCCACAGGACAAACAACACCCTTCACAGTCGCGCTCATTACCGGAGCTGCGCAGGGAATAGGTCGGGAGATTTCCCTCAGGCTCGCGGACGACGGCTTTCATACAGCCATCAATGATATCCTAAGCAATGCAGATGCTTTGCACTCCGTGGCGAAGGAGGTTGAAGCCAAGGGACGCAAGGCCCTTGCCGTTTTCGGCGATGTCTCCGAAGAGGCAGCTGTCCAAAGCATGATCGAGAAGACGGTAGAGGTTCTCGGCCGACTAGACGTCGTGGGTACTACCATCCTCTTGGCTAGAGGAAGGAAACTGAACACAGGCGCGAAACCAGATGATTGCCAATGCTGGCGTAGCGTACATCAGCGCGATTGTTGACAGTCAGTCGCCCCGTTCATGAGCTTTTTTCTCATCTAATCCTGCTGGTAGTGGATGTAGAGAGGTTCGACCGCGCACTGGCCGTGAACGTCAGAGGGGTCATGCTTTGCTACAAGTATGCGGCAAGGCAGATGATCAAACAAGGCAACGGTGGACGAATTCTTGGTACGTCTACGACGACCCAGTCCGTGTATCGCTTGCTGAAGGGTATCATCGTATCCCTTAGGAGCGGGGTCGATCCTCGGGAAGCGCGGTATGCCCTTCATACAACAGCAATCATGTCATTCCTCACAGACCACGGGGCAGGTGGAAATGCAGCTGCCGCATACTCCGCACCGAAGTTCGCAATCAGAGGTCTTACGCAGTCTCTCGGTGAGCCCGGAATGACTCTCGATCTGTTCTGATCGCAGCCCTTACGGACTTCTCTCTAGCGACCGAACTCAAGTCTCACCACATCACGGTCAACACGTACGCTCCCGGCGTAATCCTTACCCCCATGAGTATGTAAAGACAAATCCGCGTTCAGTGGTAAGCTTCTAACGGCATGATCAGCTGGTATGGGCGCTCTGGACGAAGCTAAGGGTGGCGGTCACGGTGCTGCCACGAAGTGGGTGAGTGATAAGGATGACTCTTCCCAGCCACGAGAGTTCATGACACGCGCGTGTGTCAAGGTGTGTGGGCTCCCGCCGGATGGCCCAGATGCTCCCCCGGAGGTCGTGGCTAGCCTCGTGTCGTATCTGGTTAAGTCAGAGGCGTACTTCATCACGGGTGAGTTTGCGACTCTCGCGACCAAGCACATCGGCTTTTTTGACACTTCGTTATGGTTGACAGGTCAATCCTACAATGTTGATGGCGGTGTCGAGTTCAGCTAAGCATTTAGTGTATCCTCCTGTGACTTCTTTATACATGAGTTTATAGCTGGAGCGTGGACGATACTTTTCTGACTTGACTACGCATGGCATACTGATGCGTCTATTTCACGTAGTACATTATCATAACCGCCGGTCCCGACCGAATTGGCCTGCGGTTGTATCTGTATATATTGAGAGAGAGAACGACGATCGATACGTGAATGCTATCTACATGGCGATCGGTATGTCATAAGTGCCTCCAGACACCGAGATGGCGTGTGGAATGACGGCCAAAGACCACATACGAATAGTATGTCCGGCATTCAAACGGAAGGTAGTTTGTCATTGAAAATCAACCGCCAGTACTTATTGAGGCCTACTTATTGGACGCAACGTGGCATTCAATTTGTATGAACCGTGAAGCCCGCTTCGTAAATTTGTACTGGGTGATGAGCTTGAGCAAACACAGGGCATAGGACTTCGGTCCACACGGCAAGTTGATAGACCTATGTCCACGCGTGAATCCAGACTACACTGCATTTATCAAGAGAGTGTATCACTTTGCGGAAACTCACCAGGTGACATCGACGTCACATCGTTGAATGGTTTTGAACGCCGCGGCAGTCCTGTAGTCACACTACCCACCCTCAATTGCGCTTGAGACCTTTCCAAGTCGAGTAAGCCCAGGCTTGATAGCGATATACCAGACAGAAGACGAATGTAGACGAATCTGGAAGTGCGAACCAAGTTCATGAGGGTTCTTGTCAAGTAACAAAAAGGTTGATGCCATGAACAAGCTGGCGTCCACGTGACGCGGGACCCGTATGGCACCTGTGGCTCGCGAGTGTGGCTCCTCCGCGCCTGTGGCGGCATCAATCGGAGATCTGAGGAACCTGCATTGTTCGCGGGCCAACGTCGCACGCCTTGACTCGAACCACCGCCACATTAGGTAGGCTTGAGTGCGGTAACGCAGTTTTAGGTCTAGATTTGTGCGATAGACGCAAGGTAACCTACCGATCGGGGATATGCTTCGGCTAGCAACGACAATGCTAACCTAGGGAGTATCGACGCAGGCATTTCCCGTGGCCAACGAACGTCACGCCTCTCTGAAGTACATTTAAAGCGCACACGTCCGCGCGCTCTTGGTGAGTCCCCCTCATCTTCCAGCCATGGATTCGCCTCCTGAGACAGTTACCAGTCCCTCTGAAGACTGGCGCGGCACCTCACCTCCCGCTACTCAACCATCGTAAGTTGCAAGTGGCTCTTGTCACGGAACATCGGACTGATGATCGTGCTAGGGCACCGTCGAGTCCTTCCAGCACCGTACTTGCAGGGCTTGCGACAGGGCTAACGTAAGTCATGCCATCCCGTCATGTCGACTAAGGTTATTGTGCTCACGGTGTACACAGTGAAGACTCGGCTCTGTCAAGCACAGTAGGCGCGAGTGCCGAAACATCGTAAGTCTTGTCTCCGCTGAACGATGGAGGCCTTCACTCAGACTGGCGAGATTAGAGCGGCAAGCTCTTCACACCAAGCGACCGCTCGCGGTTCCACCCCAACCGGTACCAAGCCACCCACGGACATAAACAGCACTCCTGTACACGCGAAGGCATCATCCGTCCATACTCAATCTGTTGCCACAAACTTCAAGGACGAAGGAGTACTCCAACGACTTGCTAAAGAGATGAGATCGAAGATGGTTGAAATGGACTTCGATCAGTTCATGTCGCTGTATATGCCGGGCCCTGGCCTTCCGCCAGAGTCCGTGCTCGAGATTCCTGACTTCGATGAAAATAAACTCATGACGTCGGAGAACAATGTCTGCATTGAATTGGTACGTGTGATGCTTGTCTGAAGACAAGGTCTCTGCTGATGGGCATGTGTAAACAGTGCCGAATTGCGCAGGCCATCCTAGATGGCTGTCCCGGGGAGGAGAAACTTGTTGCAAAGAACACGCGAGACCACCCAGATTCCAGTGATTATCACGACTACGCAGAGCAGCTCAGAGTTGATGTCTCTTTCTATCCGACTCATGGCGATGCTACGGCCGACTACGCGCTTCCGCATGAGAGCTCGGAACAAGCCTCTCAGTTCCGGGCTTCGACCCGCTGGGCTTGGATCTCGTTGCTAGCGGAGATCAAGACGGTCCACGACCAGTGCGCTTTCGAGTTCGAGAAGAGCAAGGCTGATGACGTCAAGGAGTCAGCGACCGAGGACAACGGCGCGAGCGATGGGGCAAGGGGAAAGGGTCGGGGTCGGGGTCGAGGACGAGGGCGGGGACGAGGACGAGGACGAGGACGAGGACGGGGCGGGGACGGAGGGAAGGCAAGGGGCGAGAGCAGGAGAAAGGGCAAGGGCAAGGCGACCGACGTCTCTGCCAACCCTGAGGATCCCATCAATCAGGCCGACGACATCAAGCAACGCAATAAGGGCGACGCGAAGCCAAAGCCATTCATCCGACCTGGTAAAGGGGCGACTAAGGCGCTTGCGCAGATGGCGCAGTACGCCGCGAAGCTGTTCAGGAGGCAGCATCGGCTGCACCTGTTCACGCTCTTTGTCTTTCAGGGCCAGGCTCGCGTCATCCGCTGGGACCGAGCCGGCGCCATCGTCTCGACGCCGATCGACTTCAAGAAGGAGCCGTCGCTGCTGCATCAGGTCATCTGGCGGTACGCATCCATGGACCAAGTGGCGCGCGGATTCGACCCGACCGTGGTCAGGGCAACGGACAACGAGATCGCAGCCATGCGGCGCTGTGAAGGGCCGGCTGCGTGGGTCAATGAAGCTCGCGACAATGCTCTTGGCCAACCAGGATGGCCGGTCTACAAGATCAAGATGCGGACCAACGATCTCATAGACCAACAGGGCATACAGCAGCTCTCCGAGTTCTTCTCCGAATGTGATGATTCGAATGCGCTCGACGACACAGAGAGGCCGACAGACGGAGAGTACTTCATTGTGGGCAGGCGACACTTCGCCACTGACTTCCCAACTGGGAGAGGTACGAGAGGATACATCGCCTATGATGTCTCTCGTAAACGTCTGGTCTTTCTCAAGGACTACTGGCGGGCCCATATCAAGAGTTCGACGCCCGAAGGAGAGGTGTTGCGATTGATGAGGAGCGAGGGTGTGCGGAATGTTCCGACGCCCATAGCTGCTGGCGTTGTGCAGGATGACGCAGGCGTGAAGCAACAGACGCGCACACAGGCACAGTTACCGCCGGATCAGAGGACGAAGTGTCCCTCGCCGACCCAAGAACACTATCGTCTCGTCGTGAAAGAGATAGGTCAGAGGCTTGACGAACACGAGTCTACGAAGGAACTCGTTGAAGTGATGTTCGATGCATTAAGCGGTAAGATTAGCTCATTCGTTATGTGGATGATGCTGACATCTATGCTCTACATTCAGCACACAAGCAAGCATGGGAGTTGACCAAACTCCTCCACCGAGACATCAGCGCCGGCAATATCCTCATATACCGTTTCACCGACATCAACGGGAAGCTGTGTGTAATCGGCCTCCTAATCGACTGGGACTTATGCAAGTTCCAATGCTACTTGGAGACGGTGTCGCGTCCTGCGCGATCGGTATGTTGGAGTTCATCATGTGGCACAAGCTGCTCGCTGACCGCTGATCACAGGGTACGTGGCAGTTCATGTCTGCTCGGCTCCTCCGCAATCCCGGGAAGAGACACGAGGTCGCGGACGACCTAGAATCATTCGTACATGTCCTCAATTGGATGTGTTTCCGGTTTTGCCTGCACGACTTGTCGGAGAAACCCGATATCCTCAAGACGTGCATACTGGCCCTGTATGAGGAGCAAGGTGTCGAAAACGACGAAGAGATAGGTGGCACGCACAAGAGGAAGCAAATACGTAGTGGCGAGCCGCCTATCGAAGTCGACCCGGACACTCCACTAAGCGAGCTTCTCAAGGACCTCGCTTCGATATGTCGCAAACACTACCTGGCGGTGGACGGGCCTGCCCTCAAATCTAAGCCTCGCGGCGCTCTTGCAGTGGATGTAGCGAGCCGTGATGCACGGTCCGAGAAGTATCAACGCATTGCGGCGGCGCACAGGTTGGCCAACGTCAGCGGAAGCCAGCAAGCACCTGTGGAAACGGGAGCCGAAACTCTCAAAGACCACCAAGAGATGTACGGCGCTTTTGCGTGTGTGCTCGCTGCGCCTTCGGAGCTGTGGGATGATGTCAAACGAACGACGGACCGGTTCCAGCTACCTGAGTTCAAGAAGTCTCCCGTGTACCAGTACAGCGCTGAACAGTCGAGCCGGAGGTCATCGAACTCCAAACGATCGTTGGAAGGAGAATCGGCGGACTTGGCGAGGCCTGGCTCATCGAAGCGCCTTCGGAGCTCGACTGCGGGACTCCAGTCGCTGGAGGAAGAACTTGAAGAGGCTGGCGCCGCTCATGAGGAGTGATAAGTTGATGTCGGTGTTCTGCCACTGTGTGCTGTGGTTTTCACTATGTATCATTGTCACCTAGTTTTTGTCTATGTATCATCCTTTCCAACCAGCCTATTCCAGCAAGTCCGTATGGCTGCAATTGGGCCGCGTGGCTGCAAAACGCGCGTACTACTTAGTGGGACAGGATCGCTCGTGCAGCATGCGTCCACCACTTGCCGGCTATCATCATCTGCAACGGAGAGTCGGGAAACTAGCGTCCATCCACGCCGTGACCCGCAGGGGCTTCATCGTTACTTTGTTGTGCCCCACGAGCCTCGGTCGGCTTAATGTTGGGCGCGAAGAGCGGCGCAGGCGAGCCCGACGCCGCTCGTCGTGCCCCCGCGGATGAGCAGTGTGTCGGTATCATATACGGCCGCCCTCCTCCCCCACAAAAAAGGTATGTTTAGAGTCTACCTAGGGGAAACTAGTGTCGGTACTACTTAGCTTGAGCGACTCGCTCAGTGGACCCCTGGTATACTCAACAGCGGTGGCCGGTGCGCTGAGCCTACGTCACGGTAATGCGAGAAAGGGAAGGCTCCTCGCGGTCACTACTAGTAGCGCCGAGTGTCAGCCGGGACGGTTGCACAGCATATGCCATGCAGCTACATGACAGACTGCGGTGACGGTGTGCACTGGCGAGCACTTGAAGGTCGCAAAACTTTATGTAAGTAACTGAAACGGCGCCGCCTCACGGCGAGCTAAAATTCAGGGGAACGTCTCAAGGATCACATCGCGTTAGTGCGTGTCTGACTTGTCGTATTTCTCAGACTCGTGCAGCTTGTAAGCGTATGTATTTCCTACGGTACGTTGACAGTATGAGGAACAATGTTGTGTGGCAGTGGACCGGGGGCGGTGATGCGCAAGAACCTCGGCCGCGAGCCTCGTGCCCTGCCCCGATCGATCGGGGAAAGCGCACGATGGCGGCTGGCCTGCCCTCGATCGCCAAGGAAACTCGCACGCCCAATTATCGGGCCACAGCCAGCCGATGGCGTGCATCGCCTTCACTGACTCCTTTCCTACGTATTTCAAGCTGAGAGGCGGGCCCCTCCCTCTTCGTTTTCGCATCTTCCTCAGAGGTCCTACTTGCTCTTGAATCAATGTCCCCTGTTTCACCACACGTGCCCTCGCAGAAACGCAGCCTGCAGACGCTCTATCCTCGCAAGGGGAGTGGCGGCCATAGCAGCGGCGGGGGCAAGTCCGGAGGCAAGTCCGGAGAAGGCGGGGGCGGCAGTAGCAGCACAGGCACCACGAAAAGCGTGCCCATATCCGGGTCGACCGGCGGGCGCACAAACGCTCAGGCGTATGGCTCTGGTGGCATCGCTGCGTCAACGATACCTTCGGGTCAGCTATTCGCTGGACGATCGTTGGGTGGAGGCACCCGGAATCAAGTATTTGGGTCACGGTAAGCAGTCGTTACGTTTATAGAAGCTTCACCCGAGCTTACGGAATACCTGATATCTTTTAGGGTATACGGAAGCGGATATCCTGGGCTCGGGGCAGGCTCCGTGGCAGGACGAGGGTTCCCATTCCTCTTTTGGCCAGTCGTCTGGGGAGCCTATCCGGGATTCGGTGCACATTACTTGCACAGCGGCGAGGTGAGACTCAGCCTACTCAACGCAGCTGGGAGTTTGCTCATCACTCTACCGTCCCGTAGTATGGTCGGCCTGACAACACGAGTCGTCCAGGCGGCGCACTCGTGGACGCGACCTTCTCCTCGAACAGCACGAACAGCACCTTCTTCATCGTCGGCGACAACAGCACCGTCGCCTCCCTTATCGACTCCATCTCCGGCAACTGCACGCTCGCCAGCAACTCGTCGACAACGCCATCGCCGTATAACGCGACGAGTTCCGAGCCGAAGCCAGAGCAGGCGGTCCAGTACTATCGCGCGAGCTCGGTGGCGCTCCTCCTGGACGGCTACAACAACACCGTGGCCCTCGGGAACGACACGAACGCCACCGCGGTGCCGCTCCCGAGCTGGGTGGACATGACCCTCCTCAACTGTTTGAACGACACGATCGCGCAGGCGGCGCCGTTGTTCTCCGGTGCGCAGGGCCGGCTATATGCGCCCAACTTTGGAGGACTGGTCGCACTGGTGTTCGTCATATGGCGGCTTTTCAGGATCTGAGGGCTATTGGCTTCGAAATGCTACTACAGACGCTAATGACGATGGACTTTATTCCGCAGACGGGTTGAGGGGCAGTTCAGGATACCACTATTGAGGAAGATACCCATTTTATGTAGGGCCGGCGGCCCGTATGTTCCAATATGCTGATGACATACTAGTAATGTGCAACGCGCGATCAGAACACACGGCGTGTTCCTTCAGTACAGTAATTGAACAAGAAGGGTTTTGCGCAAGTTCTGTTGGACGGTGGTCTGCCGCCGAGTCACAGTCAGCCACCGACGCACCTCGTCGTCGCGCGGCCGATGCTCCTTCCATTTTGGCAAGAGGGCTTCCGTTTCGAGGACTTGATTCTAGACCACTAGGTACCTGTTGGTAGCGGCTCCGAGACGGACAGCCGCCGAGCGATGGACAACGTCGAAGGCTCCACCCTCCATTCATTCAGGGTGACAGCACGAGAGGCAGAACAGTCTGTACAGAAACAGAGAGACTCCCGCCCGCGAGATCGTCAGCCACGAACACGCCTTCCACGTCCGGCAGGAGGCTTGCCGCTTCGAGAAGCGGATCGTCGCTCGACACCTGTCATCGTTAGCCACCGATCGCCCACCTCGTCTGTCGGCCCGCCCCGGCTCTTTGCCATCAGCCAGCTTGATCGCGGCGGCGGTGTGCCGTATAAAAGAGCAGCGTTCCACGTCGGTGTCGACCCCCGCCTCTCTCCTCTCTCCGTCATGATCATGGCCTGACGTCGCGCCGCACGCGCATACATCCCGTGGACTCGAAGGTCGCCACAGCCTTCGCGTGTCGGAGCATGTTGCCTCTGAAGTGAAGGCCTTCCGACCGTCGGCACCAGACCGGCCAACCAGAACTTGGACAGCGCATATCCGCCGCGGCTGCGCGGACGATGCGAGATTCGAACAACACGACGGTGCGTGTTGACTCTGTTTCAACGGTTTCTACGCAATGCTGCTTGATGGTTTCCGCGCGCAATGGCACGTCGGTGGAACTTGACGACAACGGCCGTTGGGCGTCGGACATAGAAGGTCACGGTGGTCTTCGGAAGGGCATTCGACGACTCAGGACACGACCAACTCGATGGGAAGGATGGGTGGTGAGGGTGCTCTAGGCCGAATATCGCAGCAGTACATCCGGCCCGGACCGCGATGGATCCGAAGGGAAGCCTCGTTGTCGAGCGGGGCGAGTTCCTATTAATGTGACGGCGAGCAAGACGAATCAGCACAGTCCACTGCGAGGAGAGTATGATCTATGACAAATCGCGGAGCCAGCCACGAAGCACACCAGCTGAACGAAAGTCGCTCGCATCCGGCGACAGCAAACAAGAGGCAGACCATCTTGTGACTGAATCCCGGTGCGGTCTAGGTATCCGCCTGCTTCTAGCCAGCGGCCGTGCCGTCTAGTAGCGGTGCTTTAGCCGCGAAGAACCCTATAGACCTAAAGAGGCAGGCAAGATAACGGATGCGGAAGGTCAGCCCCGTCGCTCCCGGAAGAAGACCTGCAACACAGCCACTTTGTACTTTGGACCTTCTGCGGATACGCCTGACCTTCTGCGGATACGCCTGCGCAACGTCTGTTCGGGGGATATTCCATCTGATGACGGGATAACATCCTCCGGGGGCTTCGCCTTATCGTGGCGCGTCAGCTACTCGTCGAAGATTCGGGGGACGTCCGGAAGGCCTGCAGTCTTTTGGAGGGCGTGCCGAAAGCAGCCGCAATGAGCCTATAGCAGCAAGGCAAGTCCACGGGCTCCGAGCATGGTGAACATAGCATGGAGGGCAACCTCAGTTGGCATTTAGGTTCGGAATGTTACCGCAGCTCGGTCTGATAACGCGAGCGAAGACAGAGGCAAAGGATACCCTTAGGCGGGTGGGACATTCTAGCACCCAAATATCCCGCCACAAAGTGCGGCGTAGTCGGTAGGCCAGGGCGCAGTCCATGAAACGGGTTTCACGTCGGCCTTAGAGACGTCCTCCGTTGTGGCGACCCCGATTCCCAGTCGAATTCTGTCCCGCGGAGGAGTTGCTTCGAGCTCGGCGCACGAGCTAGTCCCAGGCCCGTTCAACAAGAGTCGCCTTTCCTGGACAACCAAGGCTTTCGGTTGCGAGGCGACGGCGCGGGCCCACGCCCACGGCCTCGGGCCGGCCACGTGGAGGGGTCGCTTCTTTCATTGATTTCTTTCGTTCCGGCGCGGGCGGGGCAGCGATTGGCTGGCCGCGTGCGCTCGGTGCAGCCTTGGTGCAGCCCCAATGCAGCCCACAAGGGCGAAATCGCAGCGAAAATCGGAGCCTGCCGGATGTTGGGATGCAGAGATGGGACCAAGAGCGGTGCCATTGGCTTGCGCAAGGCACATCGCAGCCAGTGAGGGTTCACTGTGCAAGCCCTCGTAGTGATAGGCTGCGGTGGATGACACGGCGGGCGGCGCCGCGTCGCCCGAGGCAGACTCAGATCATCGCAGTGCTCTGCGCTGGGAAGGTGGCAGACGGAACATCCCTGTAAGCCGGCGGCTTGTCAGCAAGCTACAGTGGCGGAGGAGGTATGAACTCATCATTCCTGATACCTGTTCTGCTGATTTGCATGCCTCGCTGCGCTTCAGCCTGACAGCTCGGGCGCACGATCCCGCTACGACTCGGAGTCCAGTTGGGATCAGACTTGCTGAAGAGACCGATGGCGGCATGACGAGTACCTGGCATGAATTTGGGGGATGCGAGCGTTCCTCGCCCACATGCGCGCGGGCTAGCCGTGTATGGCCAGCTCACAAACGAACGTCCCGTTTGGGTACAATGCAGCGGATGCATTTGGGCGTCCCTTCGATTTCGAAGATCTAGAGGCGTAGGACCCCGGAAGCCGCTTTGCCAGCGGGGGTGTCGCAGCGGATGCAGATATTGGTGAGCTCTGTTCCTTGTCGCCCGTGAAGTTGTGGTGGGATGTGCCCGGCCTCTGCTGTCCAGCGATGTGCTTTGGAGCGAGGAGGGCGGATAGATCGCGTTCGGAGGGTGGCGGGACCACGCGATGAGGCGCCCGATGAGATGGGAGATCGCGTGGCGTCGGTCGCGTGGGACTGGCCCTGGGAACGTCTTCCGCGAGACGCGCCGGATGGACGTGATAGGCCCTGGACGGGCCAGCCGTATAAAGCGCGAGAACAATAACGGCCTCTTCGCCGAGCCCGCCCTTCCCCCCGCCTCCTTCTCTCTTATTGTATCCCTACCCGCGCCACTGACGCTCCCCGCCCAGTCTCTATCTTCCATCATACCTTTTGTAGCATAGGCAAACATGCCTGTATCACGCGTCAATCTCCGCGACGGTGCTCGAAGACGGTCATCTCTGGCTGCAGGTGCGTCCCATTGTCGATCGGATCGCCGTAGCTAGCTCACGCCCTCGTGCTAGGTATCCCGTACTTTAAGCCTGGACGGAACGCGTCTCCGGAGTTGTCCTCGCCGAACGTGACCTTCGCGCCCAATGTCACCCCAATCACCTACAACATCGAAGACGACCTCTTCGACGGGATCTTGCCGCCTGTATCGCCCTCAACGCTGTTCCCTCCCAGCCAATCGCCACCCCCTGAAAGCAAGCGCACATCTGGCAAGCGCCGCTCGTTGGGCCATATCCCCCGACCGCCGAATGCGTTCATGCTCTTCCGAGCCGACTTCGTGCGTAAGAAGCATATCCCGGGTTCAATCGAGACAAGCCACATCTCGCTCTCGAAAATCATCGGTCAGTAGTCGCCTCATCGCTCACTCTCATTCATCTGACGCGTGTATCGCGTTTCAGGTAACGTCTGGCGAGAACTTCCTTATGAGGACAAGCAATACTGGGTTCTAGAGGCCAAGAGGGCGAAGGCCGAGCACAAGCTGCAGTACCCGAACTACAAGTTCAGGCCCATCCACAACAAGGACAAGAAGAAAGCACGCGACGCCAAGAAACCGCCTGTGCCCACCCCGGTGTCCGAGGACATCGACCGCCGTGCTGGCGCCGTTGCGCAGATGATGCTTGGCGGGAAGAAGGGCGAGGAGCTCGCCAGCGCTGTGCGCGCGTGGGAGGCGCGGAATACTAATGCGCCAGACATTTCTTTCGGCCACGCCGACCCGGCTGGGATTCCCCTGTTCAACCCAATGCCTCTCTACGCTGGTCACCGTCGCTCGTCGTCTGTGCCACTCCCTCCGTACACCCAGATTGCCGTCCCGTCCATCCCGTTCCTCGTCAACTCGTACGCCGGCGGCTCCCGCGCGCCCTCCCCCGTTGGCCACATCTCGGGCATTTCCCGCGGCTTCCTTGGCCAGCGTCGCTCGTCCAGCGTCCAGCCAGTCGCATCACAATCGTGGGCCTTCTCCGACGCTGTGTGGGACCAACCCCAGCAGCTCCAGTCGTACTCGCTGCATCAGGTCCCGTCGCCGCTCCCTGAGCCCGATCACTCGCTCTTCCAGAGCGAGTACCTGACGCAGGGTTCGAACGTTCTCTCTGGCCAGGCTGCCCAGAAGGACTTCTCGGTACGTAGCCGTCTGCTTCCCCCGACTTCGCGCAGCTCACCTGTCCCGCAGAACTACGCCCTCAACCACAGCCACCACGCCGAAGTCTCCCCCCTCGAGGGCATTCCGCCGATCTCGACCGACTTCTCCCAGTCTGCGATGTCGTACTCTGCGTCGACCGCGGGCGAGCTGTACTCCGCGACGACCTACTCCACTGCGCCTTCGCCCGTCTCCGCCTACCCCTGCGGAGACTACTCTCAGGACTCGTACGTCAGCGCGGGCGTCGACCCGCTCGACCAAGCGCCATGGCCGCCGAGCGGGTCGAGCTCCACGTTCTCGGGCTCTCCGGCGCTCACGGACCACTCGCTCGCGGACGGCGTCGTCGCGCCCCAGCCGCTGCACCCGAGCCAGCACGTCCAGCTGGAGATGCAGGAGTGGTCCCAGATGGAGGCGGCCCAGGCCCAGGAGGCGATTGACCAGCAGACGGCGCAGTCGTTCGAGGAGATCGTCTCGTCCTTGGAGGCCGACCCGCAGGTGCACGCTGCGGACGGATACGACATGTTCGCCGCACAGGGCTACGCCGCCGTTGCGGCGCCGGGCGACGCGTTCCCCGCGTACGACGACATGGGCATGGGCATCAACATGGACATGGCTGGCTTCTAGACGGATCGGGCTCTTCTCGCGCACGCACACACCACCATACGGCAAGAACAAAAATGATCACGCATCGCGCTCGCATCGATCGGACTGGATTCTTGACATTACACGCACACTACAAGAGCGCACTGACCCGCGCATCGAGGATATACCACCTGTATCATAACACTTATGCACTCCCCTTCTGTAGCACTACGTCTCGTCGTCTCCGATTCTGTCTCCTGTACCTGTACGCCTGCTGATCTACCTAATACCCGCACCCCTCACATCCAGTGTAGCTTTATTGATACCTACGTGCCGCCACCTCCCCGAGGGAGGTAGCCTACTACACGGTGCACTCATCATTTGTTCTAATTGTCGTCGCATTGCTTTTTCCAGCAGCTCGTATTGCACTTGGCTTCGCGTTGTATATACACTTTGGCGATCTCGTTTCTTGGGATACTCGTACCTGGCTTTAATGCATCTCGAGGTTATCATCGAATCGGCGTGCGTGCGCGCATGCATGGATTGAAGCACGAAGGCCACCGAGAACTGGTCGATGTCCCGACTCATTCGTGAGTGCCTTGCAGGATGTCAGGACGACGATTGTCGAATCTATGCTGGCAAGATGTACAAGAATTATGACTGCATTACACACCCAACGTTCTACATATACTCCACAGGCCTCAACGTCAGAAGCCGCATCGCCGATGCTAGCACGTCTTTGGCCCGGAGGAACAGCCACATTCGTGCGCGCGCCTTCTCGATGTCCGGCTCGCCTTTGATTTTGAGGGGCGTCCAAGCCTGCGAGATCAAATGTGCGAGGCGGAACGCATAGTTTGCGATTTCGCTCGGCTCGTGCTTCTTCATCGACATCTTCACGACGAACGGCCACTGCCCGAGGTTGAGGATGAGCTCTCGACAGACAGGCTCTGTGAGCAGCTCCGTCTTGATCTCGGACATTGGCGGCAAGGGCAGTAGCTCTGGATTGTTCCGCGTTATCGACAAGATGCGGACGTGCGCGTACTGCAGGTACGGTCCGGTGTCGCCGTCAGAGGAGAGCATACGGTCCCAGTTGAATACGTAGTTGTTAATCCTACGCGAGTAAATCAGCACGCACGATCACGATGTCTAGTGGCCGACGCACCGTTTCGACGTCTGGTCCTGGATCTTGATCCCAGAAATGCCGACCTCCTGGGCGACCGCCTCTGGATCATCGATACGATTCATCTTGGCCTCATTCGTGCGCATGTGCTCGAGCATGACATTGCCTGCCTCACGGATGATATCGTCAAGGAACACAACCGTGCCCTTGCGCGTGCTCATGCCTTGCACAAGCCCGTAGTTGATATGCTCGATGTTGTCCGCCCACGGGAAGCCCATCAGCTTGAGCACCTTGATGAACTGCGCGACGTGCAAGTCCTGCTGAGACGAGATGACGTATAACATCTTGTCGAACTTGTACTTCTCGTAGCGCTCCATGGCACCGCCTATGTCGCGCGTGAGGTAGATGGATGTCCCATCTGCGCGCGCGGGGACCATGGTCAGTCACCAGCAGTAGCATGAGGTACAGAGACGAACCCTTTTTCCGAACAACGGCCTTGGCGAGCTTGTACTCCTCCAGATTCACAAGCTTCGCGCCCTCACTTTCCTCGATGAGGCCCAGCTGCTCTAGCTGGGAAAGCGCCTGGGCCTGACTCTCCTTCCCGACCTGGCTCTCACCTGTGTACACGTCGAAGTGTACATTCAGCCGCTTGTAATCTTCCTCGTACTTCTTTACCGACAATTCACGCCACATTCGCCAGTCCGCGAGCGCGGTCTCGTCGCCATCCTCCATGCGCTTGAAGAACGCAGCTGCGTCGGCCTTGACGGATGGATCCTTGTCGGCGTCGGCGTTGATCTTTACGTAGACGTCGAAGAGGTGCTTGATGGCGTCTTTCTCGAGCTCTTCTCGTGAGCCGTACTTTTCGAAACCGACGGCGATCAGGCCGAACTGAGGATGCAGGCATCAACTACATCCGTTGCGCACAGTGCGTAGAAACGAACGCACTTGTGTCCCCCAATCACCCAGATAGTTCATGGAGATGACCTCCCATCCGCACGCCTCATACAGGTTGCGAAGGAAGGCGCCGATGATGGTACTTCGCAAATGTCCGACGTGGAACTGCTTTGCAATATTTGGTGAAGAGTATTCAATGATGACGCGCTTCCCTTTTCCCAACGTGTTTGAGCCGTACTCGGACAGGCCTGACGGTGTGGCATGCGTGAGAGTGTACACTTGATCGAGGACTAGGCGGTTCATAGTTGTGGTGTTGACGGTGAAACGGATGAAGCCCTTGTCAACAAAGACTTTTTCTACCCAATCGTCGCCTGGTTGGAGCTACTCGACTAACTGTCAGCATACTAGATACCCAGGAGTGATACCACAGGGTGTTTTACTGTGCGCAATGGACGGCTCGCACAATCACTCAGCGAGGACGCATCTGAGCGAGGACGAGAAACCGCGGACGATACAGACCCACAGTCTGTACCCTATCTAACCTCCGGCCACGTCCTACACCCAATGAGACCACAGAGAACTCGGCAACTCACCTTGTCCACGACCTTTTGGCTATTCTCATCCAGCTTGCCAGGCAGCCTGAACCGACCAAGGTGTACGGTGAAGTCGTCGTCCTTCTTCCCATAGTCCACTCCTTCCAGGACCTTTTCAATGGTCAAGGCCGGTAGAGCCTCCGCGACGAGTTGTGCGATCGCTGTCCGGAACGCGTCCATGACACATCGCTCGAACTCTACGCCCGGCAACTGGGGCAGCTCCCTGTAGTGTGAGGGGATCTTGAAGCCCGTGCTCATGTCTAGCGTTGGTTTTGGGGAGGCGCGAGGGGAGCCGAGACCAGAGGATTTGCGGTGAAAGAGGTAGGAAGACGGCGACCAGGAGGGCAGGAGTCGGGTTGATGAGCGATGTTGTACAACTAATGATACAATTCGAAAGCGGATTCGTTGGAAGGACTGCACGACTGTACAGATCTCTATGATGCTGAATCTGAGTACAGCATGCGATCGATGGAAATTTTGGCGAGGAAAAGGCTGGGAAAAGGAGTAGGGTGAAATGAGTCACAAGTCGTCGAAGGAGATCGCGCGCTCTACACTCCTCGCCGAATATGGAAGGTGTACTAAAACGAGTTGATGTGGCGGCCGGCGCAATGCTGCTATCCGGACATCATACAAGAATCGCATATGAATGCCCTCGTGCAGAATTTTGACCTCATTCAATTTGTAAGACAATTTCAAACACTGCGGGAGGCATGCGACAAACTCTATATATTAGGTTACAGGAGAGCAGGTGTGATCTGTATAGCGGAAGAGTTCAGATGTCAGATATTGTACATAGGTAAGAGGTATAGCAGAGACGAGTTAACGGCGAGTAGAGGTCGAGAGGTATCAACGACAGCCCTCGACTACGATAGGTAATAAAGTACACCGCATCCCGTAGCGCACAGACGCAGGCCGAAGCTACAAGCCCAGATAGCCCGTATGCAGCAAGTCGGGCCCACGCGCCACTCAAGCTCCTGAGCAAGCGCGTCGCCGCATCCAGAGCGCGCTAGCGGCTCACCACTCGATGACCTCGGGGAAGTACTTGGCAATGAGGGCGTCGTAGTACGGCTTGACCTTCTCCGGGACAACCGGGTCATCGCTCTTGCTGTAGAGGTCATACGGGTTGAACGCCTTCACAGCGGCCAGAGCGCGCTCGTCCGAGGCGTTAGTCAGGTATGAGTACGCGCCCTCCCTGTGCCATCTGCATCCGGCAGGCGTCAGGAAGATGCATCGTGTCCGGGTGGCGCGATGTTACGTACGGGTAGAAGCTGTGGTAGCGGATCATGTACAGGGCCTCCTCCGGCAGGCTGCTCTGCTTCTTCAGCACATTGTAAAGGTACTGCATGGCGTGGTCAGGACAGGGACTGAGGACCGTGGGTATGACAGAACCTACCTCGTCATGTCCCCATGAGAGCATGACGTTCTCCAGGCCACAGTGTGGCTGGTACACGCCGTATTCGGTTGAGTAGACAGGGTCCTTGGAGTCGGGGTTGCCGGCGAAGGTGTCGGGGTAGATGTTCTTATCGGAGAATTTGCAGCCCACGACGAAGGTATCCTGCACACGAGAGGCGAGGTCCGTCAGCATTTGTCAAGGTGCGTGAGATACGGGGCTGGACCACTCACCCCGACGACGTCCCATTGACCTCTGCGGATAGAAATGAAACTCAATCAGCCCCATTAGTACTCGCACAGCGCCGATAGAAGCACGCACTCGGCGCCAAAGAAGTAGAGGAGCTTTCCGAGATCGTGCACCAGGCCCGCAAGTTGCATCCATTCGGGCTTGCCGTCCCGCCGGATGGCCTCGGCGGTCTGAAGGAGGTGCTCGATCTGAGTAACGCTCGTCTACCACGATACGTGAGTTAGGCGGTAGTGACAAGAAATAAAGGCACGTACATCGGGGTCTGAGTCGTCGACGAGCTTGTCGAGCATCTCCATGGCTTCCCAGATGCCTGTTCAGGGACGAAGCACCGTCAATCACTGAGGAACCCGGTGGAAGGCTCGGCCGTACCCATCCGTGCACGCACAGTCTTCTTGAATTCCTGGCGGACCCTGATGTTGTATTCCACGGTCTGCTTCTCTATCCAGGGTCCCAAAGCTCAGCGGAGAGAGATGGGACAGAGTGGCTATACCCACCATGCTGCTCGCGGTAAAAGTTCTTTACTCGCTCGCATGCCTCCTCGTACTGGCGGAACTGTGTCTTGTCCTTTTCGGCATCGAAGTAGGACTCCTCGTCCCACTCGGGGACGTCTTGAGCACCCTTCATCTTGTTCACTGGAGGGGGTAGGCGCAAAGGTGAGATAAAGAGTGCGCTGCGGTGCAACGCGTGCAGTGCATACGGACCTTCATCGACAGCATCGGAGATGACATCGAGAGCGCGACCGTCGACGACGTGCATGGCGTTTGAACGATGAGTAGTAGAGAAGAGTTGGAGTGAAACTTGAGAACTTGAGACCTGAGGGCGGTGATGCTGAGACAGATGAACGACGCGCGAGGTTATATACGTGTGGCTGAGTGGCGAAGGCAAGCACGGCACTAGAATTGTCAAACCGCCAGATTGATCGGCGGGGCAAGATTGTCCTTAACGAGCAATGATCGAAGCGCTGGACAGATGCCGGGCAGACGACTCGGATGGCGCTGGCTTGGGGAGGAGTACCGCCCTACGATACTTCTTATACCTTCCATGGCAGGAGAGTTACAGCGCAGGCCGTTCGACCAGTCGGACAATCCGAACGGCGGGCCTCGTTGCACGCTGCGAAACGCGCTCTGATAAGCCGGTCACGGGGATCCAGTGGCGACCCCGCTGGCGCCCGGTCCGAGGCCCGCGGTTGATCCCAGCCTTCCCACTATGGCAGCCGTCCAGGATGCAGCCCCCGCAAACGAACCGCCTGCGGGGCAGCTGCACTCTCTCAGATGCACCCCGCAGGGTCACGCATCAATTGACTAAGGTCGCCAGCAACACGGGGATCCGGTCCGACGCGCCAGGATACCTCTTGCCGGCGGTTCTCGCCCTCGTTGCCAAATGCTTCGCACCTGGGGAGGAGCGGGGTGATGACCTTCGGTGACCGCGCGTCCTGCTCTTACCCCAAAGGAACATATGTTTTGCAGTTCAACAGCCAAGACCACTGCGGTCATTCGGACCGATGGGCGACGACCCGTAAATCACGGCAGGGTGCCTGTATGGAGCACTAATTCGAACATCAATGAGTAGATCAGTATACTGCGTGCAGCGGAAACACAGAGTGAAAACTCGAAGTGTGAGTTCGGACGGTTCAACGTAGTCAATGAATATTGTATGTGTGGGTACCATACGTCAAACGGTGTACACTCGAGAGTCGTGATATTCGGGCTCCCGCAGTAAGGAGCCAGTGGTCAGCATAAGGACGCAGATCAGGCTGCAAACAATCCTCTGGCGCGATGGAGATACTTAATTAAAGGGTCCGCACGTTCCTAGTGATCCTATGGTAAAGCTACAGCGCACGAAACGCGTGCAGCGCAACGACAGCTGACGAGGTGAATATTGACCTCGCGAAAGTACGTGAGGCTGCCAGTGCATCCTCGGCGAGCAGAGATCGACAAACACCGCTGACGCGAAAGAACGATAGTCATAAGGTGCGCGGCAAGCGCAAGTTCCTCAAGAGAGTGGCTTCCGTCCCGTTAACGAGGTGTGCCATGCACCTGGACTAAGTGCCGTCAGAGCTAAAGTACCAGTATACGACGCCAGATGATGTACCCGCCGCAAGTGTCTTCCTTGGATTCTAGAGCATGGCTGTCCGATCATTCGCCCCAGAGTTACGATAGGGTGTTGGGCAGCCTTTAGACGTCAGGATGGTCGAACACTGTCAGCTGCACGGTCCCGAGGTGGCTATATGATCACTCACCTGTAAACGGTCACCGGAGGGACGATGACCAAAGCCGGCGCTGTTTCAGCAGCAATGTATGATGTTTTAGCGTTCTCACCCCGCAGGCACACCGCTGCGGGGAAATAGGGAAGCAGTGGGGAACCACGGAGGTGAGATCGTCGGACGTTTTCGTGCTGCTAGCTATACCTGTGCCGGCGACGATGTTTCTGCTTCCCGCCGCACCGCAGAGATATATCTATGGAATGTCAAATCATGAGCAAGGTGTCGAAAATCTACACAAGGAGAAAAACGGCTCACAAGACGGCTCATATGACATCCAATCAGTGAATTCTCTGTGGTATCAGCTGGTTATCACGAACCACAAGACGGCCCAGACCCACTCAGAGTGGGACAGCTGCAGCCATATATGTTGTAGCACCGGAGGTCACGGCGCACCACCAGTCGGAGAGAGAAATAGGATGTTCGGGTCCGATGGCAAAGCATCCCTCTGAGATGTGGTAGACATGTAATTGAGGACTACTGACCGTGTGGAGGCGAGAACGGGGCATCCGCGCGCTGATCGTCGCGAGCCGGGTGCTGCTACTGTCAACAGTGCGATTTTGACTGCTCTTGGGCCACCCTCGGAGCCTAGATAAAAATAGCGTTGTGAATCACAAGCCGCGCAAGCCAAAGGAGACCAACGACATTGTTCCCCCGTATTTTCTGTTGAACAGGCGAGGAAGTGGTTCCTCACCAACGGACAACGATATGTTCATAGTATTCATCCCAGTTGATAGCCTCCCAGGGACATAGTACCGCACAAACTCCCAAATAAACCGCATATTTTCTGAGCGTAGAACTCGCCAGCTTCTACCCAGCCTGAGTGAATTGCGTCCTATGTGTTCGCTGAAGCCGTTCAACCATTATGCACGCCGGGACCAAACGCCATAGTAATCATGATGGCTCGTACCAGACTGCGAATAACAAGAGCCCATGGCCAACAGAGCGCTGTAAAAGGCTGTAGATCTCTGTGTTCCGACAACAATCCAAGGACTTGAAGAAGGATATTTCGCAGAGGGCCGTGACGACTCCGACGAGGTCGTCATCGTGGGCAGCCACGAAGGAGGTCCGAGTCGGAAGCGTCGGACCCGGCATCCCGGCCCGGTGATGCTGGACCAACAACGCGTCGATCACGTGCCCTAAACGCCGCCAGGCCGCCAGACGTCAGCATTTCCGCCGCAGCGGCAAGCAGCTCTCCCTCGACGACCACAACCACGACCACGACGTTCGTCACTCGCTGCCTTTCGCGAATACTGCTGCAACCTCGTCTCACATGGCTCAGCGCGAACAGCTAGCATCCACGGCACGCTTCCTGCAGTATCGGCAGCAGTACCTAGAGAAATCAGGTCACCGCGAAGCAGCGCTCCCGCCGCGCCGCATGCCCGCCGTGCCCGACCTGCGCTTCGAACAGAGCTACCTTGCGAGCATCAAGCCTTACGTGCACATTGAGCGCTCTGTCGTAGAACAACCTGTGGTAGACGAGAAGGGCAAGGGAAAGGCGGCTGAGTTGCCGGGCGAGGGCGATGGGTCCGAGGTCACGACGGAGGTCATCACCGTTCAATGGGGAAGAGTCACTTGGATCACTACGAGAGATCAAATCATCAGTCCGCTTCTGCAAGGCGCGTTGAGGTATGTTACTCCCTCTCATGCCAGTCATATTGGTCTCAACTGGCGTATGGTGGTGCAGAGGCCTTGCGGGCGTGTTCCTCACCCCACTGCTCTTTGACGCTGGAGCGAAGTTCCGTGCATGGTGGGCGAAGGGCGCATACCGTCTCGACAGACCCGCGCAGGAGGGCCACGGTGTCGGCTGGTTACGCAACTGGATCGGTAGCTTGACAGTCGCGGGCGGTCCGACTGCCCGTATGTCATGACACAAGCGACAGTGTCTGTGCCTATTCTGCAGCGGCACATCTAGATGGTTGATCTCGAGGGCGACGCGAGGTAGTCTGTTCGTCTGTTTTTGGCTCCACAGCTAAACTGAGCTAATAGGAACCGCTGATGTTACGGCAAGAGGGGGACTGCCGCGGGTTCAACGGCATCTACAGAATCATCACGCTGTTCTTCATGCACGCGCTCGTGCACTGCCGCTGACGTACGAAGATACTCCTGCGATCGAGTTGATGTTAAACGTCGAGCGCCACCACGACTTCCACATCCGTAAAGATCGTTGGCAGTCGAAGCACTCCGGTTACCCTCATCTCCGTCCGTCGTGGGCGGTTTGCCTAAAGAAGTCTCACCCTATTTATCGAGTTCCACCTTCGCAAGATCCGTGCGTAGCACCCCGCGTTACAAGGCGATTGAAATGTGCTCAACAAACAGCTCTAGTGGTCCATCTCAAATGAGGTCTTTGGCAAGCGCGCGAGGACGTCGTCATTCGAAAGGAATGAGTTTCTTCATTCTAGGCTAATCCCGCTGTTACACGGGCGCAGCGCTTTCGGGACTGCTCGGAGGCACGACCTCTACCCACTCATTGACCCACATATAGCGCGAAAACGCGACATACAACCACCTAAACCACACTAACTGCGACCGGTGCTGCATCATCGCGCGCAGCGCCGTTGCATACTCGTTTACGCCTGCCACGAACGCTGGTCCGGTCCGAACCTCCATACTGTCCACAGCGCTGCTTCCCTTCCCCGCACTCGACTGTGTCTCTTCTGCCCCGGAGGATCGCGCGAACGAGATAGGCGCCTCTGCGGGGATTAGGCGCGCGCGCAAGGTCCGCAGGACGTCGGATACAGTGAAGCTCGCTTTCAATAGGAGTGCGGCCCATGGGCCGGTGTACTTGTGCGCAAGGGGGACGGAGACGAGTGTGAACAGCCGTGGCCGGGCGAGTGTAGATGCGGTCGCGGACGATTCTGGGCTGCCGATGTCTGAGTGCAACGGGAAGGTCGAAAGCATGCGTGCGGCACCGTGCGGCAGCGAGACATGGTTCGGGTGCCCGGAGATGCCGTACTTGTCGAATGTCAGGATCTGCGGGTCGACAAAGTCGTCAGTAGGATGACGACGGGTGACGCCGGTGTGCGGTGACGCACTGTCGTGATACGGTTCTCGAGGACGTATGGCCGGACGACGTCTGCGATGGTGTCATGGTCCCATTGCGCGGTGAAGTTGTCTTGCAGGTCACTGTTATGATACATCGTGAGTTCTGTTCTACGGTGAAAGCAGCCCGGGATAACCAGATAAGCAGTGGAGAAAGTTCCTGCACAATCGCCAACTGTGCGCTTCGTAGATGACCTCGTTCACAGCGCACTTTGCATACACTTCAGGGAGTACCACCACGTCACTCTACCGTCACTGCCGAGCGGGACGAGGACGTCGTAGACAGGACAAACTTTTCGGACGAAAGACACCGAGAAGTACGTCTCAAGCATCTATCTGAAAAAGTGTCAAGTACATCCCACTTCGGCAGCAAGGATCCTACATACTGCCAGCCTACGTGAACCGAGGCAGCATCTGAAATATAGCGAAAATGGTGCGCAAAGGAGGCCGACGCGAGCTGCTCCGCCATCGCACTGCAGAAGTGGGCGCTCCGACATACATCGCTCTAGCGCCCGATACGAAAAATCATCGAACGCATGTTCCTTGACATTTGCGTGCACTCGACGAGCAGAGATATGAATGAGCTCTGATGGACTTGGGGGGCGAGTACGACGCAGGTCTTTTATATACATGGACTGCAAGATACTCTGGATGTATGTGAATACTCCACAATGCCGGCAGGTACTTGGTCCGAAAGCTCGCCTCCGAGCAGATAATCGGATGCAAGAGCAGCACGCAATGAACGGCCTGCCTTGGCATGGAGCGTATTCAGCTATGGAATCGTGGATCCTTGACGAAGCAGCATATGTGTCCGAGGCGCGCCACCTCCAACCTCGTGAATCAGAAGATAAACGCGCAAGTCAATACACATCCTGGATCTTGCTACTGCGTCCGTGGACCGGTGTGACCCTATGAATAGTCGTGCCGTGGCACCAAACTGGTCCCCTGGTGACCAGGGGCGACAAAGCAAGGGTCATGATTGAGAGTAGTCGTTTTCCAGGATTGGAAAGTCGATAGGCACCGGTCATACGCATGGACGCCTTCCCCCAGGATTATGGGCCGCAGATAATGCTAGAGCGAATGCAGAACGCGGCGAGTGTGCCCGGGATAGCGAGCGTTCATAAAGTAGAGCAGCCGCTTGCAAACCGCGCTGCAAGTGCAAAAGACATCGTCGGAGGTGGCAACGGTGTGCAAGCCAATGAGAGGGCTAGAACTTGAACATTGACCATATGTGTACGACCCCCTCCAAATATGGACGAGAGTGAGGCAGAGATGTACAGCGCAGATCAGCGCGTAGTGAGTATTACCACGCTTTGAACCTCTGTGAAAAGACATCCGATAGCAATGGGATGCGCATTGCATGCACGGTGTATGAGCTAAGAGCACGCCAACATGGCCGAGCTGTGCCCGAGGAGTAGCAGGGCTGGATCTGCCATACGTACTGAAGAAGCGTAAAAGGCACATGTGGGCTCACCTCCTATCCTCGACCCATCGACGGCTGGGGGGAACACCGAGTACGTCCAGACTTTGACCGAGCTCGTCTCGACGGACGTTCCCAAGCCCATCCGCATTTCCGACTGACAGGCAGAGCGAGAAGATCTCGGGGGAGTTCCTATCTTCCACAGAGGCGGAACCATGCGCGAAAAGGCCTAGTAGTGTCGGTGCAAAAAACATGCACTCATCGTCGGGATGCGCGGTAAGGAGCAGTACCCGAGAGCCGTCTTCCCCAGTGCTGGAGACCGGCTTTGTGAGAGCGTCAACAGCATGCCATGATGGTCGCGAGATGAGCGTGAAGGGCAACGAGAGAACTAGAACGACGAACGAGAGTGTCGGCGCGGTGGGCATGGACGCCGTGGACACAAGCGCAAGACCGGTTGGCGACAGACCGCGCGCGACAGACGCCACGTGGGCGAGGCGCGATCATGCAACAGTCACAGTGCCTGACTGGGCGCGGTTGATGGCGCTGGGCGATCTACGCTCTGATTGGCCTGTCGATAGTCGGGACGGAAATGAAACACCTCGTACAAACCTCATACTAGTAGTACTGGCACGCGACTTCCGAGCTCCCGATGCGCTGTGAACCTGGTCATACAGCTTTTGCACGTCTTCAAACCACTTGCGGTGCGCTGCCTGTGCTCGTACCGAAGACACTCCCGTAATGGCTGTCCACGACTTACCTCATCAGGAACCGTGTTGGTGCCCTGATGAACTAGTTTGCACCGCATCTGATGCTCCCGCTGTCATCCCCCGGGATCGTACAGTCAACCATCGAGATTCCGCGGGGCGAATTAAATGTCTTGAGGAGCCGCCCATCTCACTAGCCGGGGCAATGACAACGACTTGGCAGCGACCTTAGCAGCATCGTATAAGGTGCACACCGCGCGCACATATCGATGTCCTATCCCGCCCGTTTCCCTTTCTGTTCCCCAACACTTTTTTTCCTTTCCTTACCGCTCGCCATGTATATCGACACGTCCTCCATCCTTCAGACCTTCACCAGCTCGCTCATTGCCAGTGCGCTCCAGTATGGGTGGACGTCCGACGCAAACGCGACAGACTTCAGTGGTTATGGAAAAGTGGCTGACTGCAGCCTCTCTGGCTTCGTGCCCTCGTTCCCGTCGAACCAGACCCAGCTCACAATCCCGGCCAACCTCGACCCGCAGTTCATCGGGCTTGCCTTCGGTGTGCAGAACTACACATGCACGTCTAGCAACAACTTCACGTAAGCAATCGACACCACATGCAGCATTCTCTTGATGCGCGTACTGACCTAACGTGCTTCAGGAATGTGGGCGCGATCGCCGAGCTCATCGACGTCTCCTGCTACGTGCATGCCCCGTGGTTCGACACGCTCCAGGACACGCTCCTCCCCGCATGGGATGAGCTCTCGCAGTCGATGTCCATCCAGCAGGTCCTCGACTTCGTGCACTTTCTGAACCCGCCTGCGAGCCTCGCGCAGCACTACTTCGTGCCCAACCCTGTCACGCAACAGGGCCTTTCGCCGAAGTGGGACTTCACCTCAAGCGGCAAGTTCCAGGGCAACTCGGACGCGTTTATCGTCGCGAAGGGCAACGGCACGCTGCCCAGCCCGGACGACCCCAAGAAGGACGTTGCGTGGCTCGAGGTCCTCAATGTACAGGGCAAGGTGGCGGCTGAGTTGTTCCGGTTCGACACCGTTGGTGGGCAGCCGCCGTCATCTGTGAGTTCTCGAACTCAGTTGCATGTCTGGCTTGTTAAGACTGATCTTGTTACCAGTGCACATTCGGCAAGGACCCTGACATCTCGGTGAACTATGTGGGGAAATACGGTGAGTCTCCACCACCTGGCATAGCGCAATGCTGACCCGAGCGTTCAGTCTTCTATGGGGGTGACTTGAATTAGTCGCCGAAAATTCGGTTGAACACGACCTGATTTGTTGAGCATACGCACTTACGATGCACGTCATTCCTTGACACATAGTATTTATATCTGGGCTTTTGGGGACACGTCGTGCGATTAGTGTCCACAGATTCTTCATTTCCATGATCCACGGCGTATTTTGTTATGTTATCATTATCGGAAGATGGGTTCCTCCTGGTGAAGGTCCAATATAACTTGACTCTGAAGACGCTGAACCTTCTAAGGCAGTCGCCACTGGCAAGAATTGAGCTGTTGAAGCGGTAACACATGCTGGTGTCCTTCCACGAGGTGCGCTGTACAGCGAGTCAATATACATCAGTGTTGCTCTTTGTCTCCGAGGACCCGAGATCCGGTAACCAAAGTCCCAGTCCTCACTCGATTGGCTCGAACAGCGTTGCCACGAAAGCGAGGCCACTCACCTTGACAATGAAATCAGAACCTTCTATCGACGAGCAGCATTACGGCGAAGAGCGTCAAGAGGTGGGCGCGATCTGAATCGGGGACCTCGTCCTCCCTTTGAAGGGGGTGGGGGGGTGGTTTCCGGGGTCTCATTTTCAGCCACTCGCGCGAAGTTCAGCCCATTTGGCCTAGATTTTCCTTGGGCAGTCTAACTCACCAAGTATCCGGCACAAATTTATTTATTCCGCCTCTTTATGCGTAGCTTAAGTGCTATGCAGTTTCCCGAGTGCCACATATTGAATTTGCAAGAGGGAGTCGAATACGGAGCGTCGGATGGATTGCACGTGCCGAGCGCGGTCATGTGAGCAGAGCCGTTGAATGCGCTGTTTCCCGCGCTTGCTCCCACGAGTGGCGCTCGCGCTAACGGCGCGATGTACGAGGCCTCTGCGTTGCTCCCGCGTCGCGACTATCCCTAGCTGGTTGTCAGACGGGCTGGTCGTCGTCGTCGTCTTTGAAATCCCACTAAAGTCTCATATAATGCTGCGCTGCCATGAGCAACCGCGTGCAAGACTGCGCTGTCGATGTTCGATCCCGACGACACCTGGAGGGTTATGGACGACAGCGGGAGTTACGCTGGTCCCTCGCTCGACGACCTTGAATATGGTACATCTCAGCTTCTCTCCGAGGATCTATCTGTCACAGGTCCTTCAGATGGCGCGCACTACTCCTCTGATCGCGTGCAAAACCCACTCCCAGATCATTTGCCACTCCCTGCAGCCCCCGTCAATATCAGCCCCGCGTTCTGGATGCAGAGCAATCTGCCCGCGCAGCCTCCACTTGCCGCTCCGCCAGCGCCGCCTCTGCAGGAGACTGAGCTCAACGCCGAGCAAGCCTCCCACTCGTGGAAACGGGACGACAGAGGGTACTTGTGTATCCTGTGTCCCCGGTGTGGTTCATGGGTCGGCACGGGCTCGAAGACGGGGTACACTTTGACCACTCTCGAGACGCACATGCAGGGCTGTAAGTGCAGACCTTCCGCTGCGTCTGACGGCCGTGTGCGCATGGAGGCGAGGGCAGCCCGCGAAGTTCACCTACCTCCGAGCAACTCCCCGGCCTTCCGAGGGTTCGACGCAGGGCCATACGCCGTCCCGACGCCTCAGGAGATGGCAGTGCTTCCTCCGACACCATTCTATGGCCCTGCGGCGCATGTGCAGAGCGCGCCGCGGCCAGCTACTGTGTCCGGCTTTCAATTCACTTTTGATGAATACTACGCGCCGTGAGTGTCCGCTATCATCTTTCATGGATTGGCATGTCTCAACTAATCAACTTGCAGTACCTCCAGTGACGAGCTCGACATCGACGGTTCTGGTGTTCCGTCGTCAAGTTCGGTCCCATATGGGCTCAATTCATACTCGAGTCAGCCACGAGCCTCTCACAAACGGAAGCGAACATCGCGGCATCACACTCCGTCCCACAACGCTTTCGACGCTTCAGAGCCACAGGATACTTCACAGATGTCTTCGAGTACGACAGTGCCCACCGACTTCTCTCCAACTCCATCGTGTTGCGGCATTGCTCTCGTCTGGCCTCATGCAGATTTCTTTGAGACCTACCCGTTCCAGCGTCATGATCTTAGTGCTCCCGGCTCACTTGGATATAAGCTTTGCGCGGTTGGTGACGATGGCCAGTCGTTTCGCATACAGTCATATAGGTGTACAGGCTCGCTCCTTGTAGCTGGTGACGAGGCATGTGTCGAATGCCTGAGCCTCACTGGTACCGTCAAGCACCTCGCGGAGATGTCCGGCAATGCTCGACCGCACACGAACTACAAGTATCGGTCACATAAGCAGCTGAATCAAGTCACGGAGTTTTTGAGAGGCGAAGTGTCTCGCTTGCGCTGTATGGTAATGTCCTGCATTTGCGTCTCTAACATATGTGAATGGCTGATTCCTGTACTATCATCAGACTCTCAACCTTGGTCGGCGGGTGGCTTCCGTACTCAAGAAACTCGATGACCACCGACGCTTTCTCATGGCGATTGCAAACGGAGATCCACGCGGAATCAAACATCTCATCACGCAGGGACTGAAGGACAGGGTCAGCACATCCGAGCTACTCAAGCGTGTCGACGAGAGTACCGAGGGTGTTTACCATGCCCGCGGTTATTCGGCATTTGATTTCGATCTTGCGCTCCTCATTCTTCGTCTTGGTGGACGCAAACTACTGTATGCTATGAATCATTGCCTTGCCATACCCTCGATCCGCGCTCTGCGTCGTGCACGCCGTTTCACCTAGTTTCGGTCGTCCAACACTCTCGGAGGTGCAGTGGAACTTCGGGGAGGTGCTCGGGCCAACGATCAAGCAGCTGAAGGAAGCTCTACGTGCTATGGCGCGCGATTCATCCGACGCGAGTCCGGGATGGCAGCCGTACGGCCGCACTGGCGTGTCGGTCTGCTGGGACGAGATCGCGCAGGAAGAGGTTGCGTGCTACTTCCCGCATGCTGATTCGGTTGGTGGCTTATGCCGGGAACACACTGCGGTGGGGTGGATCTACGGCTTCGTACTTTCCAGAGTGCCACCAACATTGCGGAGAGCCTCGACAAAGGCTACGTACACTTTGGGAAGGAGGTGTCCGTTCTTGGGCTCACCTCGTTTGGTGATGTTTTCCGTGGTGCACTCCCCATTGCTGTATCACCGACATGCAAGTCGGAGACCCCAGAGGAAGGTGCTGAGATTCTACGGACCATCTTTGCGGCGTGGAAAAGCAACCCGGACTTGGAGAAGTACCTTGGTCCGCTGTGGTCATTTGCATCAGACGGAGATGCAGGTCGCCGCGCAATGGTCTATAGCATGTTCATGTCAAGAACGATCGGGTCATCAGATCCCCTGCACAAGATTGTTGGACAACTACCTGGTTTAAACCTCAACGTCGGCGATGACAACATCACTGCGGATTTTGACTGGAAACATGAGATCAAACGTGAGTATTCACGACTCCCTGATGTACTCGGTGAGTCCCCAATGCTGACGTGAAGTGTCTAGGTCTTGGCCGCCTCATGCGTACTCAGGAGGGAATTGTTGTTGGCGACACTATCGTCAACCGCCATACCATTTCCAGTCATCTGCGGCGCATCCCAGGAATGTCGGAGGCTGCTGTTGATCGCCTCATGAATCCATCAGATTCTCAGGACGTACCCCGCGCAATCGACTTACTCCGTGCCATATCATCGCTCTCAGATCTCTCCTTGGACCAGTACTCTCCCACGGAACTTCAAGAACATCGGGCAATCACAGTCGTTGGGGAAATGCTCTCGGCATTCGTGGATGCGTTCATCCGTCCTGAGTGGTCCCTGACGCAGCAGGTCATCTCGTTGAGCAAGTATGCTCACATGATCTTTGCGCTGTACCGACAACATCAGACGAGCTTCATGCCCAATCAACTTTACGGTGACACGCAGACGACAGTCAAGAATGCTATCTTTTGCATCGCGAAGCAGCAGCTGCTTGACGGGACGCAGTGTTTCTATCTCTATGACACAGGCGATGATAAACTCGAGGAGCTCTTCGGCTCCGTGCGCATGCAGGGTGGGCATAACCCGAACTTCTCTTTCAAGCAGCTCATCGACCGCCTTGGTGCCGCGGTTGATATTGATGCTGTCTTTATGTTACGTCGACGTTTGTTTTCCTTTATTTTGCGCTTGACCGTTGTACTACCTTAGCATGGGCCCAACCCCATGACGCTACGCTTCTAGTCTTCGGACTACTTCGCTGTGCGCTCCGGTCCAACCCGGGGCAGTTCACGTGATCTCTGACTCAGTATGACTCGTCGTGACTCGTCTCTTACTCATACCTGACTCATCGTTTATGACTCGGTCCCTGACTCGTCATGACTCACTCCCCCGCGCTCCTATTGGCTAGGTAGATGTGACTCGTCCAGGACCTGCCCTGAACTCCCCATGTATATAAGACCAGTGTACAGTAGCGGTCGAACCTCAGTTCGACCTGGTTATCTATTGAAGCTTCACCAGCTCCTTGGATATCAGAAACTCCCCGCTCGACCTGCTAGACGGACTTAGCAGCGTCTTCGACCATCCTCCCCATCCAAGGACGATTAGAACCTAAGGTCCCTACGTTTAGGGTTAGGTTGAGAGCTAGTGCTCTAAGTGTCACGCTTCGCGTAACATAAGGTCGAACTGATCTTTACGCTCCGCCTGCTCAGGCGCAGAGCCCACACATCTTCACACCCGCTTCCGGAGTGCCCCTCCGTCTAGGGGACTCCCCATCCACCACGGACTACCGAGTTGAGATCGAACCCGTTACCTACGGGCTCCCAACCCTACCGAACCTCTGGTGGAACGACGACCTTCGCCTCTTCGAGTATCAGAACGACACCGGTGAGCACAGACCTGTGCTTGTGCAAGAACCAGAACGAGAAGGAGAGAAGCGCATTTGGGCCTTCTTCCACGACACTGTCCCCCTCGAAGAGCAACAGAAACAGACCCGCGCCTACCTAGACACCAAAGGAAAGGCTGCCGAACGGATCAGGAAGATCCAAGACGAACGACCGAAGCCGGCGACTCCAGCGGCTATCCGACGAGAACTCTCAAAGCACGAAGCTACTTCCCCTGCAGTAGGAACTAGCCCCCTGGTACACGTTGTACCCGAAGTAGGCACATCCAGCCTTACCCAGTACTCCTCGAACCTCGCTACAGGTGTCGAGAAGAAGCCTCTCGAACCGGAACTCGAGACGCAGTCGAACGAACCCGAATCCGAACCCGAACCCGAACCCGAATCAGACGACGCAATGTCTACCACCCGCACGAGCACGGCTACCAAGCTTGAGGTCCCCGCACCTGACAAGTTCAAGGGACAAGCTACCGATGCGAAACCGTTTATCCGACGTCTCGAGATGTACTACAGCGCAACAGGCAACGCCGATGCCAACGATCAACGGAAAATCACTTACGCTCTCCTCCTCATCGACGACAACAGCGATGCTTTCTACTGGAAGAAGTTGCACATGGACGGAGAAGCCGATGCCCAAGAAGAGGGCAAGCATGCGTTTGAGTCTTGGAAAGACTTCAAGGAGGCCTTCTTGAAGGCGTTCCCCGTTTATGCCGAAGGAGACAGAGACTCGATAATGCTTACGACTCTAAAGCAAGGAAAGACTCCCACCCCTGCCTTCATCCCCAAATTCCGATCCATCGCGTCCAGGACCGACCTCTCTGACAAGACCCTCTCCGGGTTCTTCAAGAGGGCAATCCGCCGTGATCTCCTCGACAAGGCAATGAATATGGAACCACCCACGACCCTGCAAGGGTGGTTTGACCTTGTCCTCCGACTCGACTCCCGCCAGATCTACAATACCAATTACTACGAGGGAGGGAACAGCGGGGGTAACAACCACCGCTCCTCCTACCCCTCTGGACGAGGCAGCGGACGATTGGACGAACCTATGGAGATCGATGCCATGGATCAGAGGGAACGGCAACGTCACCAGGAACTGGGCCTTTGCTTCGGATGCCACAAACCCGGACATCTCCTCAGGAACTGTCCCGAGAAGAGACTGAACCCGAAGTTCACCCAGCGCAACCGAACTTCCCCACGCCGTGTGCCCGCCTCCTCTACCCACGTGCGAGAAGTTACTCCCGCCTATGTACGAGAAGTCTTCCAGGAACTCCCGCTCGAAGAACGCGCTCCGCTCTTTGAGCAAATGTCGAAGGATTTTTGAGTGGGTCTGAGTCATCGATGCGCCCAGACCCCACCTATGCACTCCACATATCCCATGTAGTAACAGGAATCACGCAATTCAAAGCCCTTTACTTTCCTCTCATGGTGATCGGAGTGCATCAAGACATCGAAACGGAAGCTCTCATCGACAGCGGTGCAATGGCCACGTACATCCACCCTCGTCTTGTCATCAAACTACGCCTACCCTCGGTACCCCTTGTCCGACCCATCCCGGTCTTCAACGTAGACGATACTCCCAACAAGAAGGGAACCATATCGCACGCCGTCGCCCTTCGCTACCGATGGAAGGGAACAACCAAGCTTGTTAAGGCGTACGTTGCCGAGATCGGAAGACAGGATCTCATTCTAGGCCATGAATGGCTCCAGAAGGAGAACCCCATCATCGACTGGAAGACAGGCGAGCTCGAGTTTGAAGACCAGACGTACTGGGCCAAACGCGAGCAGAACGAACAGCTTAGCAAGGCGGAAATCCTACGAACTGTCAAAGTGGAGCTACCCCCCGCTCCCGTCTATCGGATCCGCCGACAAGTTGAGGAACCACCCGATCGGGCCTGCAGCCCCGAAGAACCCCGCAAACCAACCCCACCTCGACGAGTGACCGTCGAGGATGTTCCCGAAGAAGAACACGAGCGAGCTGTTGATGCTCCTCAGAAGGAAGTTGTAGCGGAGACCTCTCTCTTGGACGAGCCAATTGAGGAACTCCCCAACTTCCCCCCTATGAACCCACACCCTGAACCGCTCGAGAGCGAGGAAGATTATGAAGCACGACTCCGGTCCATGACCGAAGATCTGGACCCTGACGAATTCCTGGCATCGTATGCCCCTGGTGCAAACTACTTGGCAACACTCGCTTTCGTTGAAACACCACTGACGCAGGAACACGAAGACACCCCAGAGCCCCTGCCGTCCAGGCATGCTATCAATCGGATGATACGAACCGGCACCGGCGCACTAATCCCCACGGCATTTTCGATCGGACGAACCACCACAGCCACTGAGCTAGCGCTCTCTGAGTGGGTCGGAAAGAAGCAGAAGACGGTTGAGGAAATCGTCCCTCCCTATCTGCATGACTTCCTCCCGGTATTCGATAAAGTAACGGCATCTCGACTCCCAGAGCACACCGAGTACGACCACGAGATCAACCTGAAACCGGGGTTTTCGGAGATGAAGACCCAGGTCTACCCTCTCAGTCATGCTCAACGCGAGGAACTTGACAAGTTCTTGAAAGAGAACGAGTCGAAAGGTTACATACGACCCTCAAACTCTCCGATCGCCAGCCCTTTCTTCTTCGTTGGAAAGAAAGATGGAACGTGGAGACCCTGTCAGGACTACCGAAAGCTTAACGAGAATACGGTCAAAGACCGCTACCCCCTCCCCCTGATCTCAGACCTCATGGACAAGTTTAAAGGCGCAAAGATCTTCACCAAGATGGATCTGCGCGCCGGCTATAACAATGTCCGAATCAAGGAGGGCGATGAGTGGAAGGCAGCTTTCGCGGTTCCCGGATCCAACCAGGGTCCGCCACGACTATACGAACCCACGGTCATGTTTTTCGGTCTATGCAACTCGCCCTCGACGTTCCAACGGATGATGAACTCCATCTTCGAAGATATGCTAGCTGAAGGCTGGCTAGTCATCTACATGGACGACATCCTGATCTACTCCGCGGACACCACGACACACCACGAACGGACTCGACGAGTCCTCCAGCGCCTCAAGGACCACAACCTCTATCTCAAACCCGAGAAATGCCACTTCGACGTCACTGAAGTGGAATTCCTGGGAATGATAATCCGACCGGACACCATTGCCATGGACCCTGTGAAAGTGAGCGGAATCGCTGACTGGCCCGTACCCGAATCAGTCAAGCAAGTCCGCTCCTTTGTCGGATTTGCAAATTTCTACCGACGGTTCATCCTCCACTTTTCTGAGCGTGCACGACCCCTAGTGGACCTCACAAAGAAGGACGTACGATGGCATTGGGACGAGGAGCAACAACTCGCCTTTGAGGATCTGAAGCACGAGTTTACGCGTGCTCCCACCTTGGTCATGCCAGATGAAACCAGGCCATTTGCTCTCGAATGCGACGCCTCGAAGTTTGCTACCGGCGGTGTCCTGCTACAGAGTGATGCAAACGGGGACTTGCACCCCTGTGGCTTCATCTCCCAGTCCTTGAACCCCGCCGAGCGGAACTACGAGATCTACGACCGCGAACTCCTCAGCATCATACGCGGTCTGGAGACCTGGAAACACTATTTCCTAGGTAGCCCGCACAAGCTCCAAATCCGCTCGGACCACCGTAACTTGACCTACTGGCGCACCGCGCAGAAGCTCAATCGACGACAAGCACGATGGTCGCTGTTCCTCAGCGAATTCGACTATGAACTGGCACACGTCCCTGGAACGCAAATGACCATCGCCGACCTTCTATCCCGACGCAGTGACCATGATACCGGGGCTGATGACAACGACGACATCGTAATGTTAGCCCCCCAGCTCTTCGTGCGAGCCATCAACGCGGACCTCCTTGATCGCCTACGAGACTGCCATGAAAAGGAACCCATGGTAAAGGAGGCCTTCGATGCTCTCCTTGGCAAAGGACCTGCACCTGCGAAGACCTCGCTTACGGATTGGCAGACGGACGGAGACCTGGTATGGTATCAATCACGAGTGTATGTTCCTCCGGATGCGGGACTCCGACGGAACGTGGTACGCTTGTACCACGAGCTCCCCTCCGCAGGTCATCCGGGCATCCACAAGACGACCACCCTCGTGCAACGCGACTTCTGGTGGCCTGGAATGGGACAATTCATCGCACGATACGTCAAGGGATGTGGAATCTGTCAGCAGATGAAACCGAACACGCATCCCACAGTGACTCCTCTCATCCCAATCCCGCCACAACACCCCGCCACACCGTTCTCATGCCAAACAATGGACTTCATCACCGCACTCCCCGAGACTCCCC